ATGAAGATGTCGCCATGGAAGATCGTCAGATAGAACAAACGTCGACAAAGACAAAGAAGTCTCTACCAATGCCTGGGAAAGATCTCAATGCCTCTAAACATGCACCATACGAGGTGGCATCTACCATGAAAATTGACACGGCCAAGGAGATGCTAGCACTCACCGCTACGACGACTAGGAAACGAATGAATAGACCAAGTAGACTTCCCACTGCAGTCCCCATGGAATACGAAGAAGATGAAGTCCTACTGGTTTCAGCATCTCGAAAACAATCGCATGATAAGGAAATGACAAACGTGGATACAACAGCGACGTCAATTTCGCCAACACCAAAATCCTCGTAAATATGACAGTACAACATATATCTATTGGATCTTTAAATGTACGTAGTATATTTAAAGTATCTAAACAACAAACAACAACGACCTATGCCCGATTTTTACGCTCATCACCCACTACCAAATTTGATATCTTATGCCTACAAGAATTATGCAGCAACAACACTACACAAAAACATCTTACCGAAGAAAATATACAAAATATACGCAGTCTCTTTCCTTATGCAACATGTTTCCTCTCCCGCCATTGTGCGATTATATGCCTCAACAACAGTCTCGTTCTCACCAACGAAAGTGTCTCCTTAGATGAGCGCCTTATCACTGCCACCATCATGGAGAAATCTACATCCAGAATTATATGCCACATAGCGAATGTGTACGCACCTCCCAAAGAAATGGCTCGTTCCCGTTTTTACCTAGAAATGCTACGACATCCCTTGTTAACTGCGAACCTCGATCAGTGGATTCTCCTGGGTGATTTCAACTTACAACTCTATGCCAATAGATACCGACTTCCACATATGCAACCTTGGCGACAATGGCTTTATGATCATTTCGCAGATCTGTTCCGTCTACAGAATGGCAATGCTAGAGAAACCTATCAACCTTTACCCACATACAAGGGACGTCAATATCGTACCACTATCGACTACCTATTCGCATCTCATAGAATAAAGTCCAATGTTAGTAACGTGAGACAACAATATTTACCATACCAATGGACCGATCATGCGCTACTATCTTTCAATCTACATAGTAGCATCAACAACATTGGACCTGGGACATGGCGTTTCAATTCACAATTACTGCAAGACCAAGACTTTACGGATATCCTAGGAAAGGCATTGACAGCCTTTTTCGATAGTTCAACAATGTACTCCTCCAACCAAGCAAAATGGGACGGTCTAAAGGTTAAAATCAAAAGCATAGCCATTCACTATAGTACATGCAAGAATAGAGAACGTCGTTCAGTTTTACAAGATCTTCAAAACACGAGGTTAATGTTATTGGCCTTAATCGATAATACAGTTGAAACACATGACCAACTAAAGATTATTGAAGAGAAGATTGATCGAGAAGCACAGTTGATGACTGAAAGATTGATCGTTCGGTCCAACACCAAATGGGAAGAACAAGGGGAAAGAAGCAACAAATACTTCTACAAAGTTTTGAAACAAAGGACAGAGCAAGTCACCTTAACACAAATCAGAGATCCCGACACCCACATGACGTATAATACGCCATCGACTATGCTTCAAGCTGCCAGTAGATTTTACAAAAGTCTGTATTCGCCTGACCCCGTCGACCATGGAGCTACTGAACAATTGCTAAGACATGTATCCAAAAGCCAACTAACCAAGGAAGAACAAAAGGCACTCCTCGCTCCACTCACGACTACGACTTTGGAATTGCTAGTAGAACACACTCCAAACAGAAAGAGTCCAGGTTTGGATGGTTTATGTTTTGAATTATATCGTCACCTGATCAAGACACACCGGCCTACCAAACGTTTACTTCTAGACATACTGAATGAAGCATTGCAAGGTACATGCCCAACCTCATGGTATGAAACGAGAATGGTGCTGTTGTACAAAAAAGGGGATCGAAATCTACTTGCAAATTGGAGACCACTCTCTATGATCAATACAGACGCCAAGTTGTTCACTAAACTACTTGCCAACCGCCTCCAACATCATATGTCTACCATCATCAATCCATTCCAAACTGGCTTCCTACACAACAGGCTGATATCTGATAATGGCTGGATCACACAGACGTTGATGACACATTTACAAAACGTGGATAAAAACAACCCTGCGATTGGAATTCTGTTAGATCAAGAAAAAGCGTACGATCGAGTACATCCAGAGTACCTTCAATCCACAATGCTGCATATGGGCTTTCCGCAACTATTTGTCACCATCATTTCGGACCTGTTTTTCTCAACCAAGATACACCTGTCACTTAATGGTTGGCTTGCTGCACCTATTATACAAGCTCGTGGACTACGCCAAGGAGACCCTTTGTCACCTCTGTTGTTCAACCTAGCCTTTGAACCTTTCCTACGGAGTGTTATTGAAAACACCACCCTACAAGGTATGCCCATACCAAGGTCCTTGCCATGGAAACAGCCACAGAGAAATCAATGTACCTTGGCATGTCAAGTCAAACTTCTGGCATACGCGGACGACCTAATCCTTTTCCTCCAATCAGAAACCGAATGGCAAACACTGAAAGGTCTACTCCACACCTATAGTCAAGCATCAAATGCGAAGATTAATTTGGGGAAAACCATCATGATGTCTATTACGGGTAAACAACATACCTTTTGGCAGGAAATAGCTGCAGAAGAAAACATCCAGTGGCATGATAAACATTCAGCACAAGCAGTCACCTATTTGGGATATCCTTTATATACGGAACAAAGTCAACTTGATGAATATTTGTCAATGATCCAGAGCAAAATTATCAGACACATACACCTGTTGTCCATGAGAAACTTATCAGTGCTAGGCAGATCACTTACAGCAAATTCGCTTCTCTTGTCCAGGCTTTGGCACATCCTTCGAGTTACTATAGTCCCAGTACGATGGTTACAAGAAATCCGCTCAGCTGTACGACAATACGTCTTACCTTTCTTCCCATATCCTTCTTTGGCGTTCATTTACAAATCAAAAAAGATGGGTGGACTGGGGTTAATAGACATTATGCACCAACAATTAGCACTACATAATGTGTACCTTCATCGCTTGCTTGCTCGTACCAATGGAAACCCTCTGACAGAAGTCATCAACATACTGATCCGCATCCATTGTGATGAACAGACATCAATCCCTTTTCTACTTCTCCCACAACATTTCCGGATCACCTTGAAACGAATGCCACAATTGCAACATCTTGCCCATCTACTCACGGAACTACCAGGGATTTCTCCTATTGATACATGGACGCCAGGTTTTGTCAAAAATATTCCCATCCAATATGCTCTGGCACCAACAGCAGAAGCGAAAATACAATTGACATCCATACCGGCTACATATCTTATCAAAGACCTTTTTGAACTTCCTGATCAAGACACCGCATTCATTCCCAAAGCATTTTTTCAAAAACAGACTTCTATGGGTGCTCGAATAGAAGAAGATATAGCAAGAGGATACAGTAGTTGGGAACCAGATATCGACAAAATACTTAATAGGCCATCTCCCACACCATGTCCATCAAACTTACTACACGTGCAACTAGATCACTGGACTATAAGATCCAACAGGAAAATGGATCCGTGGATACAGACATACAAAGCATCACCTAAAGAAATACGGTTGATATGGAAAGATCGCCATGAGGATAAGAGACCACCTCCGAAACCTCCATTCGCATATCCAAGCTACACCACACTAACGAAGAATCAATGGTCCTTTTTCTGGTCGCTCAACATCCCTCATAAGGTACGGAACTTCTGGTGGCGAATCCTTTTGAAGAAATTACCAACACAACAACGACTTCACCAACTACGAGTCCCAAATGCGCCCTTGCCTAATTGCCGAATATGTAAAACGGAGGAAGAAGACGAGTATCATATGGTGGTCGGGTGCCCCTACAAAGTAGTTTTCTGGAAGAAATGTATTAGTTATATTGGCCAGGACGAAATGGATCCACCGTCCATTTGGAACAAAATAACTTTTCTCAGTTTACCACAGAATAAGTCGTCGCTCTGGGAACATGCCTCAGACATGGAAAACATTGGACGTATAATGAACATAATATGGCAACAACATTGGTTGGTAATCATAGAGGAAAAACAATGGAGCATCGAAGTAGCTTTCCAAGCATATCGAAAGCATCTCTGGAGACAAGGAAAAGACAAAGAGTGAGAAAAAGTTTTATTTTTTCTCTCCCCTCCCCCTAGAATTTTGTAACTAGTCACACGCAGATCTATAACTGGGTCCTAATCTCCCCAATTCATGCAAATAAAACAGTCTATAAAACAAAAAAAAAAACAAAAAAAAAAAAAAAAAAAAAAAAAGCCAAATTTTACTAAGAAGACGGTCAAGCGATCTGATTGGTCAGAATTGCCGTCCTAATATGATTGGTCAGTATATTGCCGTGTTCATGTGATTGGTCAATATATCCCCGCTAGAGTATGATTGGTGCATATTTAACCGTGTTCCCAGGTAATTATAATTGGGTTAACATAGAACCAAGTAGCGTTCTTTGATTGGCCAGTTTTGCCGCCCATGGCTAAAGGTGTTCCAATAAAAAATGGGATTGCTTTCCTCTGTTGTATCTGCATTTATGCTACCGTATAACTCAGATGGTACCTTCTATGTTTCAGTTTCTGGCCACTTAAGGTTGATTGTACTAGGATAGTTTTTACTCCTTTTTCTGGATTATCCAATCCTTATCAAAATAAAGATAAGCAACAGTCTCATGATACTCTCTCTTTATTATATTTTATTACATATTCTTTTTCAAACAGCCATTTCATCCTCACAGGCTCTTTATTGTACCATGAAATACAATGTCGAGCACATCAATTGTTTTTGTTAGACTACTGCAACATTTTGAATATAATTCAATAAGCGGTGAGGAGAAACGATACAATGATAAATATCAGCAACAAGTACAAAGACGTCCATCTATTTTTAAAATCTTTTTAATCTTTTATTTATGCCTTGACCCTAAACAAGATAAAGGAGAAACATAAAAGAAAAGAGAGGAAGAAAGGGTGCCTTGACCTGGATAATGATGAAGAGTAAACGGTAAAAAAAAAGAAAAGGAATAAAGAGGTAAAAAAAATGGGAAGATATTGTGGTATTAGTGAAAGTCTTAATAATAACGAGACAAAACGTAAGAATTTTTATTAATAAAAACTTAGTTAAAGAGAAAAAGGAACAAATCCTATAAAAAACACTTTTTATAAATAAACTATCAGATTACTCTGTAGTCTGATCTCCACTATCGGATTATCAATATTCTAGACTCTAATTTAAATCTTTATGTGTTGAATTACCACAGATATGTATAATAAATGGGAAATGGAGAAAGAAGGTGAAGAAAAAGACTTGATTACCTTCATTTCCTTTTTCTTTTTGGGATGCTTTTGAGGAAGGGGATTTGCACGATACTCTTGATGATGGTGAAAAGCACGGAGGTAATACTGGATGTGAATGAGGAATCGAAAGAGTCAATGATCGACGAGTGCGGTGGAAGATTTGGAGCGTATCTTCCATGATGGATTTACCCACAGCTGCCAAATGTAATAAGGGGACCATGCATGTAATATAATCGGTACTGCTTGATGGATATGTCATTTCCTTTTTGCGTCTAATTCGAGTCACATACCCTTTTGCTGTATCCATATCAAGTAAAGAAATTTTGTCGTCTAGTTGATGGTCATTCGAATAAAAAAAAAAAAGGATGGTGTGATAAGAATATGTTGATCATGACTTTTTTTCTGGCTTACTGCAGGTGCTGTATCCAATAACGTGTACATCATTGATTACGGCTGGTGCTGTGTCAATGATCCTCAGAAGCATGTCCTTCTTGACAACAGCCATCTTGATTCGACTGTCCCTCCATTCCTTTGTTTGATTGGAATATCCACCCATTTCTAAACATCCGAGCTCGAAGTCGCCAGCAACATACACCGTATCCATTTTTCTACCCATCTTTTTGTTGCAGATTTCATCAATAGCGGAAAGCCTTCTCTTGTTATTGATGGCCAATGAATTGGCAACGCTACTTTTCTCTTTACTATAAAAAATAGAATGCGATATGCATAAACGAAAAACAAAAGCAAGCATTAATAAGCATCTTGTTTCTTGAGCAATTGTACACGCTGGTCACCGTCATTTACTTACCAAAGAGCACTGATACTTGAGCCATGGAAGATGGTATTGATGAATCCCCCATATTAGTACAGCTTGTCTGTTTCCAAAAATGAGTTGATGCCGTTGCTGTCTTCCTTCAGAAACACATATGATGTATTCATCAAAGCAAGCATCACCAGATCATGAATGGTTCAGTAACAAGCGAGGAAGAGTTCTTCCATATTCATAGACTTGACGAGGTTGATTCCTATAAAATGAGTATCACCGCCAAAGAATGAGCAAAAAATTTATATGTAAAGAAAAAAGAAAAAGCGGTTTTGTTTATCATCTCCCTTCGTACGTGTCTAATAATAGCAGTAACTTGTTCGGAGATCCATTCCTGTATCAAGCGCGAGGAACTGAAGGCAGGTGACCAACTATCAGGTCAAATAGATGCCGCGACCAAATTTCGCTCAATTTGGAAAAGTAGACTTTTCATGTGATGCAGATTATAGCATTCGTTCATTCGGATTACGTACGTCTTCTTTACTTTCTTTCTTATATTTCACTGCATATTCATATATGCCAGAATATGATTAGAGTAGTTGATTGGATTAGAATAATAAATAAAATATAAGAAGGGTACGACGAGGGTAGGTGACTTTTAGAACGTAGAATGCAAATAATCATCAGTAACTTACTTCTGTCTTTCTTCCTCATAACCCGTTACGCATGTTGAAGACGATTGTTTATCAATGCCAATCGGGCTAGTCACTTCTCTTATGCTCATGTTACGAATATGGATAATGCTCTTCTTTCTAACCTACTTGGAGTTAGCATAAAACAATCGGTGTGAAAGTGTACACTGAAGAAGGCTCTTGTTGTTCTTGGGTACTGTATACCAAGGCGCCACTCGTGATATTAAACAGTTTGCAACAACGAATGGAATTACCATACAACAGGCATCCCCATCAAAAGGGAAGCTGATAAAAAGAGACGAAGTAAGTGCATTGTTTTCTTTCCGTTTCAATTGGAGTTGATGCAGTCTTTAATTATTTTTTTATTTAGTCCTTGCCATTCGCTTACACTGGATGTGAACGGTTGGCTGTAGTGATGCTCATTTTGTAGAAATCATCTCGTCAAGGCTATGATTATGGAAGAACACTTGTGCACGACCATATTACAAAACCGCTCATTTATTTCTCAAGATGACCTTATTGAAATGACAGGCCATTGTGTTACCATTGATCCAGTTGGCATGATATGAAAATTCAACTCCAGAAAAACCTTGCCTACTTCGATATACGAGTACGAAAAAAGTGCTTCACAAAGAAATATACTAGTTCTCTCACACACACAAAGTAGAACTCTGTAAGAATATATGTGAACTTTATTTTAAATAAATAAATGATTACTCATTTTCTATCTTTTCTTTTTTTTTTTTTTTTTTTTTTTTTTGCTATCGGGTAAATAGAGTAGACGTGTTCATAATATGAAGAGGTAACTCTATTGATTAATTTTAACCAAGGGGAAGCTCTTTATCTTTCTCACACTTTGCTGATAAAACAGTTTTTTATTTATAGGACTAATAAAAGGTCCTTTTTATAGTATAGGAACTATTCCTTTTTCTCTTTAACTAAGTTTTATTGATAAAAAAAAATCACTTACGTTTCGTTACATGTCTGGACTCTACAAAACACAGCAACAAAGGTCTTCGCGATGTTTGTTCATTGTAAATTTTTTTTTGACTTATTTATCATTATGAGACTGACATGAATTCTTATACTTTGTTTAGGATCTCCAAAATGAAAGACCTTGACATGGGATGTCAACCGACAATAAGAAATCACTAAACTTTATGTTTCAATTGATGTCGGTTGACGCGACATGCTATACTGTGTACAGGAATCATCGACAAGCGGTTACTGTCTCTCTGCCAAATCCATGCAAATAAAACCGTCTATAAAACAAAAAAAAAAAGCGGTTACTGTCTCAGCATATCGTTATACTTCCAACCAGAGAAGGAACGAAACAAAAAGGAGACGATATGCGAGAATTTTAATAGAACGCAAAACGGACCAAGTAACGCAAACCGAACTGGAACTCTCACAAACGAACAGCAAAAACCCTCTGAATGTCAGAGACTTCACGACATTCTTATAAACTAGAGCTACCGTTTGGCAAGCGCTGCATGAATTCTACACCATGATAGTGTTCCGAAAGTTCAGATTGTCTGCCTATATTCGACGACAGCAATCTGACGAGCCACTGGTGAAATCGCTCAGGAACCAATTTGGCAATGACTGTGTCTTGGTGACGGGCACGGTATCCGCAGGTACAAATAAGCACTGTTTGGCGAAAAGAATTGCCGTGGAACGAAAGGACGGGATGTACGGGATGTTCAAACCATATGTTTAGCAGCGGTAACAGCAGCTGATCGTTAACAAATGCTACTATTTCGAAAAAGCAGCTTCAGCATGACTTTATACCATGGTATTCTTATGGGAGATCCGCCTTCTGGGATCTGAACATAGTTTAGGATAAATTAAAAAATATCCCAATACAAGAAAAAAAAATAGTTTAGAATAAATTCGTTTATTTACACTAATAAAAGATCTTTATTGATACAATGATCAAAAGAAAAGTGAAATAAGCATTGTCATAATGCCTTAATTAAGTGTGATTAGCACATATGTAGCCGGACATATATTATAAAGGGAGTATCATGAATTGCGAGATATTGTAATACAAAAATTATTGCGTCCTCCACCTTCTTGACCAGGAAGAATCTTTTTCTTCCAAGAAATAGATGATAGATTCGTATCGGGATTTCGCTCAAGCTGAAAGAGGAAATAGGCGAGCTTGGAAGAGAAATGATGGTGAATAGAACGGTAACCAATGGAAGACATCATGGAAAGAAAGTGTTTATGAGTCATATATCTAGAATTATTAATGCAGGGTAAAGGAAGCACAACGAAAAGATAATGTAATCTGTTTTTTATGAATACATCAGGTAAGAAATTACGAGTATGCATAAGCATTTTCCCTTTACGTAAAAGGTTAGTATCACAAATTTATAGCAACCATTTGTGTTTCAAATTACCTCTCTCTTCCGGATCACCGACAAAATTGACTACAAGTGAAAGAGAAACAATATCATATTTCGATTGTGGTGTTGTCGGTGGGTCCATAGTTAAAAAGTCTTGCTTCTGAATGGATTCATGTTGAGGATTGAGATCGATCGGATGGACCTTTATCCAACGAGTATGTTGTTTATAATTATCTGGAGCAACAGCACCTACTTCAAGGATACGTAAAGGCTTATCTGCTTTTTCAAGATCAGAATCACAAATCGATGACTGAAGAGTTTGTATAAGCCATTTCGATGAATCACCACCACGAGATTTACTTTGTCCCAATTGAGAAGCTTTTTGATACCAATCAAGGCCGCCCATTTTCTCCATTTCCTTCAGTATATCTTGTTCCTTCTCTCGATTTATAGCCGAGTCGTCACTTCGACATTTCGCAAGCTCTTTATTCAGAACATGAAACCGTCTAATCAATCTTGCCGTTTCTATACTTGAATGTTTGAAAGTTGATCCTTCACGAGTTGGTTGTTGAGTGATAGGTCTCCTTTTTTTAACTTTTCCCATTTGTGAGGAAAAGATTGATATTTGTAAAAGTTGAGTTGAGTTGTAAGAAACGGATTAGAAAGTCCTAAAGTGACGAGGTGCGAAAATCAATTCCGAAAAGCCCTGTATTCCCCATCAACGAAATACCAAAATATCCATTTTGTGTTACGTACATTTCTTTCTGATGAATACCATTCCTTGCCTTTACTCCTAATGCCAACACCAAGAAGTATCATCCTCACCTTGTTTTCCTCAAGAACATGCTCGTTATGTACCACAGCTAAAGATACTTTATTAAAAGCTCAACAAAAGGTAATACAATAAAGTAGTCTATGTTTATGAAATAGTTATATTTAACACTTTTTTTTTTATTTTTCCATAGATTCCTTTCGAACTGAAAGTGCTGGATATTCACAGGAACGAGTGCCCAAAAGATCTTGCTGATCAATACATGTTTGACATTCCTGTGATACATCTGGGCGATGAGTTTCTGGCAAAACACCGGATAGAGGAAGACAAGTTATTAAAAGCTATAAAAACTTATAAAGATACTGGCAAAGTAGAAAAAATTCAGAATGATTAAACTCGAAGAAAAAAAATTTTTTTTTGTAACAAGTAGTTTGATAGCTATCGAAAAGTAACCTACAATAAAATCTTTATTCAGATAGTCTCCAGAGACATAATAATTCTTTTTTTTTTCTTTTGGTGGTCCATCGAAGGATAGATGATAGTGAATAGATTGAAAAACAGTGAAGGGATCGATACTGCTTTCTATTGATCAAAGTTGATCCTCAATCATTGTTTTGTGCAATTGTATAGGTGAATAATAAGATGAATTCAACGGAATAGGATGATAACAAAAAAAAGTTAAACGGTGACCCAAGGACAGCTACAAGTTGTTAAAGGTTTATTGATAACTATTACATTAAAAGAAGAGATAAAATATCCCCTTTTTTTTTAAAAAAAAAAAAAACTTTGTCTATTCGTCTTCTTGATCTACGGTATTCTTTCTTTGATCTGCCATAAACTGATCTACCAAGGTATGATACATGCTGTCATGAAGTGATTTCATTTTTCCATGATGTCCGTGTAACCGAGCTAATTCATCTTGAACTTCAACCAATTGAGCCTGTAATGCCATTGAGTTGTCCTTACCCTACATATATATAATATTATTGTCAATAAATGAATTCAATCAATACCTTTCCTATCTTACATCTAAAAGCATCAATTCTTGCATTATTTGACTAGTTGAAGCCATTTCACATGATAAGGAAGAATATGCAGGGCCAACATCGACTAATTCTTGCTGTTTTTTATAATCCCCTTGAGTATTGAATATTTGTTGTTCTACGCCACGTTGTCGTTCCTCTTCCATCATCGTCACTGTACGTTTGAATGGTTTCCATGGCATGGGAATATATTTATGTTGTGTTGCTCCTGTTAACAATTCATTGGGTCGCAGTATGCAAGATACAGATGTCACAGGACCTTTATGACTAGTAAATTTGCGCAGTGATTGACGACTGGCTACATCCCAAACGATACAGTTACCATCGTTTGAACCGGAAATTAAGAGTGTCCCGTCAAAGGATAAATCCAAGGAATTAATAGAGCCTCTATAGACACAATACCATGTGTTAATACTTTTCCGTTTCTTCTCGCTTCTCTCTCTCACTCTCTCTCTCTCTCTCTCTCCTTTTCTTTTTTTTACTACCAATTAAACCCCATATCTATTTTCATTTACGTGTGTCCGGAAAACATGGCACCCAAGGAAGAAGTAGAGGATTCCACTGATTCGTGAACACCAACAGCTTCTACTTTACCCAAACCACCAACGCTTTGTGTATTGTTATAAGCTTGATGCTGTCGGCGTCTATATAAATCTACAGAATATATCATTTCCACAAGCAGCAAAGAGAATAGTTTCAGAAGGGTTAAGTGTAATTGCTGATACGGCTTTTGGGAAGAGAAAGGTTGTTAATAGTTCACCGGTAGAAAGATCCCATAACTAAGAGTAAAGAATTAAATGAGCCATATTACTATTGTTTAATATTTCATTTAGAATTACCTTGACAGTAGAATCCAAGCTTGAAGTATAGACTCTTGCTGTGGATAAAGTACCAGAACCAATACAAACATCAGTGACAGGTAGTGTATGATCTGCCCATGAATACATTGAACTAGGTCGAGATTCAGCTTCGGTTTCCGAGCATAACAATTGAGACATTAACCAAACATTGACAGTAGCATCATCACCGGCAGTGATAAGAGCAGTATCATCGTTGGAAAAGACAAGACGGTTGATGAGACGATAATGTGCATCGAATACACATTTCAAATGACCGGTGGCAGTGTGCCAGAGATAAACACGTCCTGATGAGGTTGCACCAGCAACATAATGACCTTGATGAGAAGCTGTAACGGTAATAATTTTTTCAGGTGTCAACATTTTATAAGCAATATGATCACGTCGCCAGTCATATACGTGTAATGTGGCTCGATCTGTTTGAGCTGTTAAGAATGATCCGATCTGTAAAGGAGCGCCTGGACGAGGGACACAACATAGACCACTCTTTCCAGAAGTACTTTGTTTGAAACTAAATAAAGTTGAACCGGAACGAATATCCCAGACATAGACAGTAGGATCGGTATTGGAGGCGGTGATAGCAATCTCTGTAAGCATAGCTAAAAAAATGGATATTGAGTACAAAAGGAAAAAAGAAATAATGCAGATAATACAAAAAAAGACAGTAAGAAAATATGAACTAAGCCACGATTATTATTATTATTATTATTATTATTTGCTCAGGCACGGACCGATGATTCCGGTCTCAAAATTCAAATTTGGTATCATCTATTTATATATATAAAAGAAAAGAGGTCTCTGTATGATAGTATTGTTAGTAGATGGTACACTTTATTAAAATATATGCGGTTTATAATAGAAGTTGGTGCTGTAACATCCATCAGATACTAAAAGAAGATTAATAATTGGTGATGAAAAAACGTGAACCAAAAAAAAAAAAAATATGGTGTGAGTGGTAGGGGTGTTTGAATACAGCCTGATGATTGGTAGAAAAGCGTGGGAATATTCGTTGTTCTGGTTACATTTCTCCTCTTCAGTTATCTTTTTTTTTTTTTCTCGTTCCTTATGAATCCTCTACTTGCCACCAGCGCCGATCATGACAGTGAAAATAGTAGTAATGGAAATAGTCTAGGAAGAAGCTCAACTCGGAATTTAACTGAGAGGGATGACAATAGTGATAGTTCGTCATTACCCTTGATGGAATATCAACAACAACCAAAGGCCTTATTTCTCAACTTTTCATCTGATCTTTCTCCTCAGAAAACCAATCAAAAAATAAAAAAAGACAAACAGCAAAACGCTTATCATGTTAGTGGAGTTAACATTCTTAATAGGTAATATTTTGATAGAGATCTAATATGATAAAAGTACGATGATAAGACAGATATATCTCATTGAAATTTATCTTATCATTCTATGGAACCTTATTTACCTTGATCTTTCTAGAACCAACATAGACAGCAAGACAGTGATTGAAAAAATGAAAAAACGTCGAGAAAATCATAATCATGTTGAAAGAAAGAGACGGGATAATATTAATAACACTATTTTAGAGTTATCCCGTATTGTACCCAATGCCAGTCAGCAGGGACAGAAACTGAACAAGAGCAATATATTGAAATTAACTTTGGACTATATCAAGGTAATGAAAAGAATCAAATCAATACTATTAAGAAATTAGGAAACATATCCCCCTAAGCATGATCTTCGTATTATTTCTTTTTCTTTTCTTTTTTTTTTTATGAGCAGGAATTACAAACAGATAATATGTCTCTGAAAGGCAAATTCTTATTGAATTATACATTTCCCGCCGTTGAGGATGGAAAAAATGACATCTATCGACATCATCGCTACCCTCAATCGGCTCCATCCTCTCCTACCGAGCATCTTGTAACGGAGCCTGATTTTCAACAATTAGTTCAGAGCGCATCAGTACCAAGCTCACCTATGCATTGTCATAGTTTGCACCAACCACAGCATCAACCACAGCATCAACCACAGTATCGACTACAGAGTCAGCAGCTCGACGATAATAATAATAATAATAATAATAATAGTAACCATACGAACAATAATAATAGCATTTCATCTTTGTCACCCAATGTTTCTCCTATACCTGCCTCACATCATTCTTCAATGGGGGCCGCATCAACTCCAACTAATCCATTACACCAGCCGAATCACTCTCAGCGTCATCGACAAGCTAACTTGCGCCCTTTGCTACCCGCCTCTCCTGCTGCTCGCCCACCTTATCGTTATTTACCCCCTTTACGAATGAGTGGAGTAGAGAAAATGTACAGTGGTGTTTGTAGATATTAGTTGGATCAAAAATGCACAAATATATTTATTTTTCTTTTGTGTGTATTTTTATAATAAACTCTGTAACAAAATATACAATATTGAAACTCGTCTTTACCACAACGTTTGTGTTTTTATTCTCATCAAATTTCTATTCTGGTGGTTTTATACTATAATATGTGTTGTTGTTAGACATGCCGGAATACGATTGCTGCTGCTGCTGCTGCTGTTGTTGTTGTTGTTGTTGTTGTTGTTGTTGTTGTCGTTGTTGTTGTTGTTGTTGTTGTTGTTGTTGTTGTTGTTGTTGTTGTTGTTGTTGTTGTTGTTGTTGTTGTTGTTGTTGTTGTTGTTTAGCTAAATCATCCGACGATACTTGTAATGTTTGCTCTAAAGAAGATGATGACGATGAAGAAGATGCTGCCTGATTTTGGGAAGGTGGTGGTAAACCAAGCATACCTAATGGGCGAGGAATGACTTGGTCTACGCCTTGTACCCGATGCACTCGTTGAATAGCCTTTAAATGAGCGCAATATTTCTCCAACATACTGTAGAGAGTCTTTTTCGAAAAGGGCTTTGGAAGAATATCGGTCATACCGCTACCTATATATTGCATGATATCGTTGTCCGTGAAATTGGAAGTCATAGAAATGATAGGTGTCAATGCATCGTATTGTCTGATATTCCGAGTAGCAGAAATTCCATCCAAGTTTGGCATCACAATGTCCTACAAGTTCATAATAATAATAATAATAATAATAATAATAATAAAAAGTACGTATAAGCCTCCAATATATGTTATCCATTAATAGTTTTTCTCTTTTAATATTTAGTTATCAGAATTTCTTACCATTAGAATCAGATCATACTTTTCTAATCCCATCTTTCGTAATGCTTCTACACCATCCTTTGCTAAATCAATGGAACATCCAATCACTTGAAGCAATTTGCCACTGAGATCACGATATACCGAATCATCATCTACGAGCAATACACGAGGAGGAACGGTCCAGCCGGCGATATTCATCTTTCGTTTTAGGCTTACAGCAGTCCCATTAAGACTTTTATGATCTTCATCTGATGGTAAAACGGTACCATATTGATTAGATGATGATGATGCTAAATTCCCTAACTCTGTTACACCATCTTGTTGTTGTTGTTGCTGTTGCGATAATGGATGTGGAGGAGGTTGTGATTGATGAGTTGATGGAATAGAAGTTGTAATTTCAAAAGCTGCTTTGTTATCTCGTACGGTTGTGTTGGATGATAATCGACCCAAAGTAACAAAAGTCAATCCATCACCTGTTTTCAACGGAGAGCCAATTAAACTACCTGCGTTCATACTGGCGGCCGCTGCTGCACTAGCAGTAACATCAAAATGCGGTTGTTGACTGGGAATGATAAGAGGAACGGAAGATGTTATATTTGTTGGTGCCTGTGGAGCTTGTGCTGATGACATTGGTACTGAGTTTGCAAATGTATTCGATGTCAATGTCGGTTGAGTAAGTATGGTACTATTATCTGAGGGAATAGTTGTCGAGTTGTTTATAGATTTCATTTCTTGATCTTCAGCTTTTACTGTAATGTCCGTTTGCCATTGTGATTGTAATTGTTGTGTGATGCGTTCTAATTGTTCTGAATTCGAACGAGATACATCAATATACGAATCCAGTAATGCCTGCATATCCAAGGAGTTGGCCCCTTTTGTAGAAGTTTGGTCATTGGCGGATTCTAAATAAAAATGATAATTAATGATAAAGTTATATCATAAATTTGACTTTACAACAAAAAAAAAAAAAAAAAAAGGTAACTAACCTTTATCTTGAGCGATCTGGCTTTTCAAAAGATCTTGTATTAGATCATCTTTTATTTTCATTTGCTTGCCAAGATTCATAAGTTCTTGTAAAATAAGATAATCAGTATTATTCAGTTGCTGTAATCGATTTTCCATTTCAATCCGTGATTGTTGAAGTTCCTTGATTTGATTTTGTAGATGCTCAGTTACTTTTTCCATATTCTCTATATGTGTTGAAACGGTCGAGTCGGTTACTAATGGGTGTCGATGTTGAGAATTAAGCTCTACTTGTAGTCTATTTGTTGATGATGTATTCATACCACCTTTGGTCCAATTTCCAGCTGTCATTGTCGAAGCTCCGGTAGCAGTTGTTGTTGCGAAAGTATCATCCTTTTTGGCCTTGCCAGGAGTTTTACGTCGAATTTCTTCTAACAAGTCTTTGCGATCTCTCATGAATTTAGGATGTACGAACTCCCAAGCCTATTTAACATTTACAAAAAAAAAAAAAAAAAAAAAAAGATCAACATTCTTAATAAAGAGTTCTAATGAAAAAAGACCTACCTGATCACCATAAGACTTGTGTCCATCATCAGCATTTCGAACTTTATGAAAGTCATACTTATTTAGTTGTCGAACAAAACTGGCAAAGTTACAGTGCTTGAAATGTTTCGGTAATATAGTTTTTGAAAATTCGTTTGTATCCTTGACAATAAAAGTAGTACCGTTAGGACCCCAACAAAATGTATGTCGAAATGCTTTATTTTCAAGCATCCTATTCCAAGGGAATAATAATATCAAGTTGAAGAGGGTAAAGAAAGAAGATTGTGAATCGATTGTTCTTTTACTATAAGGAATATATTTTTTTCTTATTATGAAAAAAAACAACTTTTTTTTTTTTTTACCTAAATAACTTTTGAATAAATTCAGGAACAGAACCAGTACCTTCGCTGTTCTTTGATGGTATTTTTCCACCTGCTTTTCTACTACTTGGACCTGATATGGTTGTTTCATGCTTTGGATGACCGAGGGCATTAGGCGGAGAAGGATACCCCTTGAAATTTGGTTGATCCATTCGTTATATTATGGTTGTAACCTTGAGTTTATGTGAATACTGATAGTTTTTTTTTATGGGATTTATAAGAAAAATGTTGTTTTTGATCGTAAAATATGAAATAACTGTAATAGACAAAACAACAGATGGAATATGTGAAGAAAAACTAATAAATAATATAGAAGAAGGAGAAGAATTGGAAAAAAAAGAAACCAGCTGTTTCCGGACCCGGTTTTCCGGCATTTGGCATTTTAGAAACTTTTGAATGAAAAAAGGTAAAAAAGAACCAATCAAAATGTTTGATATGTGACGTGCCTCATCTTGGAAAGCAAAGAGAGGGAAAAGTGAGAAACAAAAAAAAAAAAAAAAAAGCCAACCAACCAACTAACGTTGACTTGCTTGGATTTTTTTTTTTTTTTTTGTTCTCCTTTTAACTTTGATATTAAATCAATGTCTTCTGGCGACAGTTATACTCAACGAGAAACAGGTAACTTTAAATCATTGCCATTTAGTATCAAAAAAAAATTTTTTTAACTCCAAACTTTTATTACTTCTATAGGGTCGAAAAATGTCAGTGATCTTGCTAGTTCGTTTTTACATTCTATGGGACAAGAACTAATACACTCTTCAAATGATAGTTCCTATTACCATGAAAAAGATGGTAATCATTTTATCCTTTTTCTACATGATTATTATCAATAGTTAATTTACTTTTCTTTTTGTTTTGATAGCCCAATTTGCGCGTGAAGACTATGAACACCATCAACGACGTAGAGAAAGACTAGATGACGGTTACCGTGAACATAATAATAGTAGTAGTGCCTATGACGATAGAACGCGAGATAGGGAACGACGATCGAGACGAGAGCGGTCCAAAGAACGACAACGATCGAGAGAAAGGTCACATCATCCTAGTCATCGTGATCGTCGAAGTGATAGAGAATATCGTCGGAGCCATAGTCGACGTAGCGTAAGTCCACGAGAACGTAGCAGAGGTTCTAGTCGTCGCCATGATGAAACTACAGTTATTCCTTTACATAAAAGACCTCGTCGTCTCAATAACTGGGATGTAGCCCCACCTGGGATGGAAAATATGACAGCCACTCAAGTAAAACAAACAGGTAAACAGATAATGCATATAAATTGAATTCAAATGTTTTTAATGATTATTTTTTTTTCTATTTTTATTAGGCCTATTTCCTTTACCTGGACAAGTAGTTGGAACCAAAACTCCTCAATCATTTGCACCTCCAAGTGAACATCCTTATTTAACTGAAAATCCTCCTCGTCAATACAATCATCGAACTTCTGGTCAAGACTTTTCATCTCCTGCTACTGTGACGCCTCCTATATCTTCAGCAGCAAGACAAGCCCGTCGCTTATACGTTGGTCAAATTCCATATGCCATTGATGAGCAATCTACGTCTAACTTTTTCAATGAAGCCATGAAACAAATGAAAGGATCTGATGAATCTTTTGTTTCTAGTGTCCAAATTAATCGCGATAAAAATTACGCTTTTGTAGAGGTAAATAAAGTGAAGAAGAATGGAAAAAAAGAATTGTTGTCATATATATAATCATCATCTCTATATAGTTTAAAACTCCTGAACAAGCTACGATGGCAATGGCATTTGATGGAATACAATTTCAAGGTCAAATACTTAAAATTCGTCGACCTAAAGATTATCAACCACCAGCAGATGGCTCAGGCGATTATACTGGTCCTACATGTATGATTAAGAAGAGAAAAAAAAAGAGGATAAATAATTCTCAGAAACAGAAGATTGATTTACTCTTTTTTTTTTTTTCCTAACTATATAGATACGCAAGCACATGGCCTTGCAAGCGTACCGGATTCACCAGATAAAATCTTTATAGGTGGTTTACCAACTTATCTTACAGATGATCAAGTTGTAGAGCTTTTGAAATCTTTTGGTGAATTGAAAGCATTTAATCTTGTTAAAGATACGAACGGTCAATCAAAGGTAATCAAAAGAAGAATCAAATAATGTTTACTGAAATGGAAAAATTAATGTTTCTTCATGATAGGGATACGCATTTTGCGAATACGCAGATGTTAGTATTACGGATTTGGCATGTCAAGGATTGAACAATATGGAACTTGGAGAAAAGAAGCTAATTGTTCAAAGAGCTAGCGTTGGAGCAAAGAATGGAGGCTCAAGTGGTATGAATACACTCTCTGGTGGTACTGGAAGTAATAGTGTAGCAATTGAATCTCGAAGTATGATGACAGATATTCCCTTTACTGGAGCAAAAGATGATGACGCTACTCGTGTATTACAATTAATGAACATGGTTGTACCTGAAGAATTAGAGGATGATGAAGAATACCAAGGTAACATTCATTACATATATATATATATATATATATATATATATATATTTACATATGGTCAACTGATGAATGATTTTTTTAATATGACTAAACCTTTTTTTTTTTATTCTACAATAGACATTTGGCAAGATATTGCTGAAGAATGCGCCAAGTTTGGTGTTATTGTTGACATGAAGATTCCTCGACCTGCTAAGGATCAACAAGTACCAGGCTGTGGAAGTGTAAGTTTCATAAAAACGTTATGATAGCAAGTAAAAAAATATTAATATATCTATCTTTTTATCTATACTTTTAACGTGGATGATTTTCAATAGATATTTGTTCGGTTTGAAACTAAAGAACAAACGGTAACAGCTCTACAGTCTCTTGCTGGTCGTAAATTTGCTGACCGTATCGTTGTTGCTTCCTATATTGATGAAGACAAATACTTATCAGATTATTTTTAACTAATTGATTTGCCTAAATGATTTTTTTATATATAAAAAAGAAAGAATGAATAAAATCTGTACTCTTTGTTAGCTTGTTGTTGGAATTACTTTTAATTGTCCTTTTTGTTTCTAATTCGAATCATGTTCCATAAGGATGGATTAGTATGATTTTTATTTGATTTTTATTTGATTCAATAAAACTCGACCTGCTTGTCCTTCTATCTTTTTTTTTTCCTTGTTGGTTATTTTTTTATATACAGTATTTCCAGAGTTAGATGGCGCATGGGGGGAGAAAGATAGCGTTCATTTTGATTTTTGGATGGCGGAGTTTTTGATACTAACCTGGCGTATATTTTGAAATCTACTTGTCGCGTTTTTTGCCCTTTCTTTTCGCATTTTTAGAAAAATTACTTTTGAATAAACTTTCTTTTACAGTTCCTACGATATGACTTATCAATTTTTGTACGAAGATGGAAATGGAAATATAGTTGACGAAAACGGTGATGATCTCATGAAGTTAGACCCTGAAGACGACGAGACAATTAAGCTGGAAACTAAGGTGGATTATACATCTTATATCAAAGTACAAATGGAAATTGACAGCAACAACGACAACAATCTAATTGATATTGATGGTGATATTAGCGAAGTCAATGAAACATCAACAAATTACACAAGTGTAAAAAAAAAAAAGGAACTACGAGGTGCATACTCTAGAAGAGAAAAGAAAAGTGATCACCTATATTATCGAACATTGTGTTTCAGCAGCAGCAGCGGCGGCCCATTTCCAGCTCAAGGCACGAACTGTACAGAACTGGTGGAAAACATACAACGAAGATGAAAACAAGCTCTTTGGTGATTGCAAGAAAAGAGGTCCTAAAGCAGCCATGGGTGATGAACACAAACAATTCTTGATTGAATACTATGACGAAAACCCTTCGGCAGCAATCGACCAAACCATGGAAAGTTTATGTCAGCAATTCAGCGAACTAAATGTCAAGAAGTCAACTGTGTACAACTTTATGAAAAACGAATGCAACTTGTCATTTAAAAAGGTACAGCTTCACTCAGTAGTCAGAAATAGTGACGACAATATCGACAAACGGTACGACTGGATCATCAAATGGACACGAACGGATATGGATTTTCTTGGAAACTGTATATTCATCGACGAATCTGGATTTCATATCAACATGAGACGTGGTTTGGCATGGTCAGCAAAAGGAACAACACCTATTGTAAAGGTAGCAACAACAAGAGCTAAAACGCATACCATATTGGGAGCTATATGTTCGACAGGTGTTATCAACATTAGTCTTAGAAAGCCAGTGAAGTCTCAGTCAAAAAAAAGGAAGGTAGGTAAGGATAATGGAAAAAAGAAATCAGTAGGTACAACAACAGGACATTATATTCGCTTTTTGAACGACACGATGGATATTATGGACCAGTATCCCGAATTTAAAGGGTATTATCTTGTGATGGACAATGCGCCAATACATCAATCTAAGGACATTGAAGCAACGATTACCGAACGGCAATACAGATGCATTTATCTTCCACCATATTCCCCCGAGCTCAACCCCATTGAACAATTCTGGTCTGTAGCAAAGAGCAAACTGAAGCGGTCCAATCTTATGGATGATGAAACTTTATCAGACAGGATAGCTGAAGCTTGTAGTTTAGTTACTCGTAGTGATCTTACTGGATTCATCACACATTCTATCAACCGCTTTGATGATTGCTTGAACAAACGTCCTATGTGATGCTCTTTTTTTATTTTTTTTATTTTTTTATTGTTTTAATAAAGCATACTTTTATTAAAATATACGTGATGTCTTTTAATATTGTGTTGTATCTTTATTATCATTCCAAAAAAAAAAAAAATTGTAAGAGTACCTTAGAACGCCATGGTAGATTGGACGTATTCATGCGACAAGTAGATTTCAAAATATACGCCAGGTTAGTATCAAAAACTCAGCCATCCAAAAATCAAAAAGGACGCCATCTTTCTCCCCCCATGCGCCATCTAACTCTGGAAACACTGTATATGTTTGATTGTCTACAATTCCTGGATGACGGTTTGTGTAGTTTGTTGCAGGTATGTGTAAATATGTATATCTCATACGGTGCACACGATAAGTCATACCGTAAACGGAACGATCGATAGTATTTAAATGTTGATGTTGATTGATGCTGGCTTCCTTGTTATAAAATTCAAAGATCATGATGGCTTTTGGATGTCGCACAATTTGTCGCTTTTGGTACAGCGACCTCTCTCTTTTTTGGACGTACTTATTTTCTGTCGACGGCTAAATTGGCGGCTTCGGGAAATTTTTATCCGAAATCTTTTTAAGGGTGACTCCTCCTTTTTTTTTTTCTTTCACTCTTTTTCTTCACTTTTCTTTTTTTTTTTTTTTTTTGTATTGACCTTAGTCTTAGTATATCATTTTAGTAGTGTTTATTAGTCTTTAGTAGTTAAACTTTTATTCAATAAAGACTTTACTTTTATTGAAATCACTTCATTACATGTCAATCAATTGATTCCATCTTCGAATGTACTTTTTTTTTTTTTTTACATGCGAATGCATTCCTTTTTATTTTTTTTTTATAGATAAAGTATGAAATACGCAAATACGATAAAGACGAAAGAAAATTGTGTGATACTATATTAGTGTTGTTGACGGTTTAAACGACGGAATTGACGCGGGTGTTGGTTGCGAAGTTCTTCGAATAGCTGAAGGTATTCCCTTAATGTCGTTTCCATTCTTGTTGTTATATCTGGTGACAAGTTGGGTATTCTTCTTGCAGCTTCCAAGTCTTCTCTTTGATGGTATGCACTTGTGATCATGGAACTAATCGATTGAAGCTGGGCATCTACATTAACGGCTTCAACAGCAACGTCCAACTCTTCTACAGTGGCTTGATGGTCGACTTGTACTTCAGCAATATTGCCATCATCATCATCATCATCATCATCATCACCAGCGATTGCATCCAGATCCATATTCACATCGGGCTCATCTACGAACAGAATAAGAAATGTAAGTTGTTTTTTTTTTTTTTTTTTTTTTAGTACCATCTCTTGATTCCAGGGTTTCCATGACTTCATGAAATTGTATGTATAATCCCGTGTATCTTTTCAATATATACATATGCTTACATGGTGCAAGTCTCTGTTGAAAATCATCACAAGTGCACGATTCAATCAACGTATCATCATTAACCTTCACTCTATACAGGGAATTTTCATTTGAAAAAGATCTTACAGACCAAGTACCAATAGGATTAGAAGGGCAGCTACTATTATCACCATCTGGATTCGTTATCATAGTAGGCATTCTTTCGATAGCAACAATGGATGCAAGGTACAACCTACGAGCTTGTTGATTTTCTATAGGACCCATTCGACCGTCATTGATACTTATTCTTTCCCGTTCTGCTCCATTAAAATATTCGACATGATGAGTAAGAATAAACACCAAACGATCTAAACGTCTGTTTCGCAATCTTTGGAAATACTTTGTTTTCAGTTGATTGTGCCATGATTCGATATAATTGTTTGTGAACATGTTGTAATGGGCTGGTGAAAGGTACGCTTGACTCCATCGTGTCATTGTTTCTTCATCCTTAATCCATGATTCTTCGAAATAATCCAAGAATTCATACTGACCACTATACTCCTCTTGGAAGCAAGCAACTCGAGTATGAAATTCATCAATTTCCTTCGCCACCAAAATACTTCTCAGGCTGATCAACATTTCTTCTCGAAGATTAGCAACATCACGAGCAGTATGTGATCCATCTAATCGAACTTTCTGCTTCAATTGCCTCTTCCATGCTTGCATGACGTGAAAACCACAGTAATGGATAAAAGTAGATGGAAAGGCAGCTTTGATGGCATTTACCTCGGGTACGGAACAATCAATGGTGACATATTGAGGACGAAAATTGCTGCTATCGCGTAGATGAACCATCCATTGATTAATGGAACCAACAGAATGATCATTGGTAAACATGTATGCTGATGGATACCCCTTGCCAGTAACGCGATCTCTGATGATCAACGTGTACATAACATCCATGGATTTGGAGGAAATGCCATGAGTGGCGTCCAAGCAAAAGGAAATAGAAGTACCCATTCTACGCTTTTGATCTGGTGATTGAAAACCTAGGGCAAAGAGGCTGGTGTTGCTACTGTAGGCTTGTAAATTGCCAGTGAATATGTTGTAATTGCGTAAAGGGAGGACCCTATTTAACCATATTCCTAACGATGTCATATCATCTCGATGGAATTCGTACAACTGGTGTTTGATCTGATATATACGTAAAAAAAAAAAAAAAAAAAAGAAATACTCTTAGTACAAGTCCGATTCATGCAAGCTGTGATATCTGTAAATGTGCGTGGAAGCCTTTTTTTTTTTTTTTTTTTTTTTTGCTGTTAATGACATGCCTTCAACATTCTGTTATAGACATCCTCATAATTGACTGGTCTCAAGCTGGGATTGCCATCGTTATTTTCAATCCAATCATCAAGTTGTCGCATGATGCTAATTCGGATGTTGCTGCAATTACCACTCTGTCTCAATTCCCTCGTAATCAAGTCAATCGCTTGCGTGGTCAGTGGTAGAGTCCTTCGATCACTTCTTTCACCAGGAACATGACCGCTGTGTCCTCTTTGAAGAACGAACTCCATTATGTCAGGTGTACTGGCATACTGAGTCACCTTCAAACTTCCAGAACAGCCGCATTTTTTGGAAGGTTTTTGAGCAGGACGTTGAGAACGCTCCCTGACTGGATACTCTCCACTTCTGTGGCAGTGATAGGTTCGACTGTAAAGCACAGTCGCAAGTTCACGTCTACGTTTATAAGTGCGCAAAACACACCACTTTTCACAACACAATTCCTGTATCTTCAATCGACAGGCGTCCCACTCGTCAAATTGAACGCAGATAGGAACTTCTAAAGGAAGTTCATAAACACCTCGTACAGTTGTTGGGAGCAAAGCATCGCGAAGGTTGTTGGCAGTGTAGATAGTTGAGGACATGTTGTTATTTACGTAGATATCACTATAGTAAAGAAAAGGAAAATATAAAGAAAAACAAAGAGTAGAAGAAAAAAAATTTTAAAAAAAGGGGTATCACTATTTATTTCACAAGTAGTGTGGCTTGGTGACGAAGTCATTGGTTTGTCGTAGTAACTAATCCACAATAAAAACTTATATCGAAGTGAAGAATATTGGAATCGTATCGTATCAGCGTTTCTCTTATCTATAAAAAAAAAAAAGAGAAAATAAAAAGGAATGCATTCACATGTAAAAAAAAAAAAAGTACATTCGAAGATGGAATCAATTGATTGACATGTAATGAAGTGATTTCAATAAAAGTAAAGTCTTTATTGAATAAAAGTTTAACTACTAAAGACTAATAAACACTACTAAAATGATATACTAAGACTAAGGTCAATACAAAAAAAAAAAAAAAAAAGAAAAGTGAAGAAAAAGAGTGAAAGAAAAAAAAAAAGGAGGAGTCACCCTTAAAAAGATTTCGGATAAAAATTTCCCGAAGCCGCCAATTTAGCCGTCGACAGAAAATAAGTACGTCCCTCTTTTTTTTTCGCTGCCGTCCAAAAACCATCCACAAACCAATTTTGTCGCATAATCCATTACATTTGTCGCAAAATCCATTACATCTGCCGCAAAGCAGTTACACGCATGCGTGTACCAAAAACCATCTGCGTGCATCACGAAAACGATTGGCGGGCGCCAGAAAACCATTTGGCGTGAGCGAGAAAAATGATTCACATGTGCCACAATTCATTTGCATGTAAGATAAATCTGGCCACCCGCCAGTATTTGGCCTCGTCATCGGATAGTTCTGTCCAGCGATTTCATTTTAAAGTCAGATGCGGATATGATGACAAGCCTCTCAGCTTTTTTTTACATTTGGTTTGAATTTTACACTCTTTAACATCAATGGCATATTTGGAACGGAATCAGGACGCTACAGTATATATTGGAAATCTGGATACTAGAGCAACAGAATCCTTAGTATGGGAACTTATGCTACAAGCTGGACCTGTGGGTAATGTCGACTTTTTTCTTTTTTTTTTTTGTCATAAAGGAAGTAAATGCTAATACTCAACTGACTCTCCGCTATTTTGTATTTCTTCATAGTAAACGTTCATTTACCAAAGGATCGAGTAACTCAAGCACATCAAGGATTTGGTTTTGTTGAATTTTTATCAGAGGAAGACGCGGATTATGCAGCTCGAATCATGAATCAAATACGATTATGGGGAAAACCAATTCGAGTGAACAAGGTATACTTTCAGATACAATACTTTCGGATACATTCAATTACATCGATATTCACTCACATTGTTTATTATACTATACTTTATATAGGCAACAGCAGATCGACGAAACTTAGATGTAGGTGCAACATTATTTATCGGCAATCTAGATCCTGAAGTAGACGAAAAATTATTATATGATACATTCAGTGCTTTTGGTCAGATTATTCAAACACCCAACATTACTCGTGACCCTGAAACTGGCAGTGCTAAAGGGTTTGGTTTTGTTAGTTTTGATAACTTTGAATCATCGGATGCTGCTATCGACGCAATGGATGGTCAATTTTTAATGAACAAACAAATAAACGTATCATATGCATTCAAAAAAGATGGAAAAGGTGAACGACACGGATCAGCTGCGGAACGTCTACTTGCGGCTCAAGGTCAAAAGAATGTACAAATGCCTCATCGATTATTTGCCGATCAACATGGTCAACAACCACGGCATCAACCTTCTCCTATGCATATGAATTCAGAAGTAGCACCATCAGGTTATTCTCCCTATTATGGATCTTATCAATAATATTACCATTACCATTAGTATATTTTTTTTAGTATTTAATAGAAACATTATTATTGTGTTTTTATATATTTCCAATTTTAAATAAACAATAGGATATTTGATCATTTTTATTATACTAGTTATTTGACACTTAAGTCTATGCATGTATTATAGTAGTATATGACATGAACGACATGATAATCACTCTTTAATGATTTCTCAAAGTGCCTAATCAGGAAAGAGATATTTCTTTTTCAAAAAAAACAAGTTTGGGTTATGAAAAATCCATACAAGATGCCCTCATTTTTTTTTTTTTGGGATGATTATTTGATGATAATATTTTATTCAACATTCATTCTCTATATTATTATAAGTTATTTAATTACAGAGGATATATATCATTTCCTTTCCGGTCGTTCCAATTCGTTATGCATCGATTTCTTATATTCTGCTGTAACATTTAAGGGTAAACCAACAGAAGATACACTGATATTGCTGTTGCGTGCAAAGCCAAACCAACCATATTTTAATACTAGTTCGTTAGCTAAGATTTCACCAAACCCAAGCATGACACCATTGATAAAGGGTAACAGAAAGTTGATGGCAGTTGACTTTATGAAGGAGAGGAATGCAGGTTTTTGATACCATTTTTCATCTCTTGGAACGATGGCTGACATTTTATAAAGAAAAAAGAAGAAGAAATAAATAGGTATATGAAATGAAGAAATTCACTAAGAGAGAACGCTGTTTTTTTGTTTTATCATATTTTTTTTCCACTAAAAAAAGAGGACGGACTTTAAATTGGTATTCTTTGGAAATCAAATCCCTTTCACTTTGTCCCACATACTGGATTTTGCAGTTCGCTTGGCGGGTGGCTGGATTGTTTTTGACGTGCACTTGGAACTAATTCTAGTTAGTTCTGTTGAATTGCTACCATCTGCCTTTTTTTTGTTTTCTTTTTTTTTTTTTTTCTCTCTCATTCAATTCTTATTGAAATAAACATTACCAACAGACTCATCGTATTTTCGATCTGTCTTTATTCTTATTTTCATATATTTTAATACAATCAACTGTCTTAATGATATACGCTGAATTTCTTTAGTTTTTTTAACCTTTTTATATTGCCACTATTATTAGTGGTGAAATAGTGTCTGATGCAAGAAGGATGGCGATGGACTTTATTGGTAAGATATATCTATTATACAACATATATAAAACTATATGAAATGACCCTTATTCTTATTTTCTCAACATTTAGCTCTATCTATTACAAATTACAAAGGATTCCTATGTTGCTAGCATTGTGTCGCCCCTACGTCTGCCCGCCGACTTCTCTGATCTTGGTTTGTTTAGAGACACCATCAAGTACCCCTTACTAACAAATGTGGTCCTTATCGCAAGTACAAACCAGAGCTAGATCAAACACCAGTTGTACGAATTTCATCGAGATGATATGACATCGTTAGGAATATGGTTGAACAGGGTTCTTCCTTTACGTAATTATAACATATTCACTGGTAATTTACAAGCATGTAGAAAAATTGATACATCTTGTTATTGAGGAAGGTAAGCTTACAATCATTTTCTTTACATTACTCTTATTCAATATTAATCAACTTTTTCTTATGGTTTGCAGGATTAACAGCTGCAGCTGCAGCGAGGAGAACTTTCATCAATGTGAGAACAGCTCAAGGGTATGTGCGTCTGTATAAGCAAGACTTAGAGCAACATGTTCCGATTGCCCGCACTACGAACAATGGAGGGAATCGCAAACTGTTTGATGAACACACCAAGTTTTTGATCCAGTACTTTGAAAACAATGCGGCGGCAACGTCTGTCTGAAGCTAGAGATACACTCTGCAAGCAATTCCCTGGTCTGACTATTACCATTTCTGGGCTTCAAAAGCACGTCGTCAAGCACTGTCGGTTGTCTCCTAAGAAACTTGAAAAGTTGCCCCCTGCTCGTGCCTCTGACCGTGTACTAGATCTTCGGCATGACATCGTACTCTCTTGGTATCAGCTCTCGGATTTGGATTACCTGTCTACCTGCATATTTATAGACGAAGCTGGATTCAATATGCATCTACGTCGTAGTTTTGGGTGGTCTCCAAAAGGCAAGCCGGCCAAACATACGAATACCTTTTTCATCGAAAATAGTTGTATATTTCCAGACATTGCTTAAAATTCGCTTTTGCGTCTCTTGTTGATAATCATAAAGTTCTTCGTTGCCTGGATTATCAGCAAGGTAAACCATATTAAGAAACTGAACGATTTGTGCCGAACACGCTTAAATGAAAGGTTAGAATTCGATATATCAGAAATTATATTTTACTGCTGCACTTACTAAGTGGAAAACCAGTGATAACTGATGTATCATCATTTGATCCAGGTTTTTGGATTTCGTCGGCATATGTGTGGTAACGGAGAGGCTGTTGATTGACCTTCTTTTCCCAAATTAAAAAAGCGTTGTTCGGATCATCAGTGTAGCAAATATCAACTTGTGCGTCTTCAATTCTTTTGGTTAGTATAGCAACGTTCTCTTTGGTGTATTTTTCACCATAAAACATGCAAATGGCTTGACCTCTGGTAATGGTTGGCATGGTGACAAAGACAATGTGAAAAGAAATACCCCCTTCGGGCACCCCCCTCTGCTCAAAAAAAAGGGAATTCTTATTTTCACCCCCCTCAGTTTGTTATTCTCACCCCCCCCCAAGCTAAAAAATAGCCAATAAAACACGAAATACCTTTTTTTTTAAAAAATGCACATAATATATATTTTATACTATTATTATTTTATTTCTTTAGTTTGTTTTGTTTGTCTGAAATAAACGTTGTTATATTTAATCCAGTCTTTTATTGATTCTAGGTGATGATGGATGATGGATGATGGATGATGGATGACTACTTTGTCATTTACTATTCTTACTTCTCTTGAACTATTAAACAAATATTACACTTCTTACCTTTCATTTAAAACAAAAACTTGTTCGATATCTGACATAATCATAGAATTGTGGCTGTTTAAGGTCATGCACGTCAATTTGGACAGTCTTACCAGGATGCATAAAGAAGTTTTTTTTTTTTCTTTACGAAATATGTAATATATTGGTAATGGATGATGGGTGATGGGCGATGGATGATGACTGAATATAAAAGTTTTGCTGAAATTTATCGACTATATGAAAAAAAAATCAATTTTATTGGCTATTTTTTAGCTTGGGGGGGTGAGAATAACAAACTGAGGGGGGTGAAAATAAGAATTCCCAAAAAAAAAATTGTTTTCGGAATTTCAAATTGTACAGTCATAGAATGATCGCGCTTCTAGTGCAAGACTGATGTTAATGGTGACAATTGCTTTCTATCGCTCTTATCTTTTTTTTTTTTTTTTTTTTTTTTTTTTACAATAAACGCTCTGGCGCTCCGCTGGAGCTTTTCGAAATCAAAGATTTGTGTGGGCTCTAGATTTTCTTTGGAAGGTGTGGATTATAGATTGTTTGGAAAGTGTGGATTATTGATTTGATTGGAAGGTGTGGATTACAGATTTCTTTTTGGAAAGTGCGGATTATAGATTTGATTAAAATTTGGTGTGGACTATTGATTTGATAGGAAGGTATGGACTATTGCTTTGATAGGGAGGTGTGGATTATAGATTCAATGTGAATGCGTGTAATATTGATTTGATGGACACGCTTGTACTATTGGTTTGGTGGGAAGATGTGAATTATAAATTTGATGGGAAGGAGCGGATTATAGATTTAATGCGAAGATATGGATTATTGTATTTCTTTTTTTTTTTTTTTTTTTTTTTGAGAAGGCGTGGACTATTGATTTGGTGGAAAGTGGGCTGCAGATTATTTTTTCCTGAAAAGTTTCTGGAAAGTGGTGGAAATCATCAATCATAGATCTTCAATCATCACAAAAGAGGCACATTGTCAAGAGGAGGGCAAAGTAGACTTTTACTTTATTAGATATATATGTAAAAAAAAAAAAAAAAAAAAAAAAAAAAAACTAAAGGATGTCGCGATATACAATGTTGGCAGTTCGTGGTTGAGCATTACGGATTGGTTGAGACACGGCCACTCGAAGATAAGAAAGGAAGCATAGTTAAAAAGAGATTTCCTGTCAGAAAACCATTTAGCGTGAGATAGAAAAATGATAGGTGTGTGCCACATTTCATTTGCACGCAAACTTTTTTATTTTGCATGTTAAAAAACTCCGGTCACTCGCGAATGGAAAAATCCAGTGTACAACTTTTTGCCTTTCTTCTATACCTTGATTATGTCCACTACCATCTTGGTTAGATTAAAAAAAAAGGGTACAATAACAACTATATGAAATAATAACACTTTTATTCGTTTTTCACTGTTATAGGATTCTTGGAATACAGCTACACCTTTTTCACCACCTGTTCCAGTGGCTCTATGCCCCTTATTGGCTTACTTTTGTATAACTGGTGGATTGGCAAGTTCTGGTTTATTTGTAGTGTAATGAAACAATATAATTCACTATTACAATATCAAAATAAAAAAAAAACACTTTAGGTACTCACTCTTGTATTTTATTTATTCTCAATCAGTCAAGGGAAACACACGCGACTTTTAAACCAGTTTCAAACAGCTTTTTTGGCCGCCATCTTGTTAGGTTTTGGTGCTATTTTCACTTCAATCTCTATTGGCATCTTTGTATAAAAATGAACCCTTCATTACAGATGCTTCCTTTCTTTGTTTTTTTATCAATAAAAATTCATCATTTTTCTTTATATGCGGATAATACTATTTCAATAAATACAAGAAATATACAAGATGTTTTTGTTATGAATACAATAATAAGAATATGCAAGTAAACTATACTACAAATAATATCTTGTGCATGTTTTATGGATGTTGATGATAATGTTGCTGATGATACTGACGTATGGATTTCCTTATTGGAGTTCTGGTGTAGCATCCTACCCAAAAAAAAAAGTGGGAATTAGCGTCACATCGAATTTTACAGAGTGTGAAACAAGAGAATTCTCAAAAAAGCGAATGTTATTGGCCAATTTGATCATAGGAGGATGAAAATAAAGAATTTCCTTTACATTTTCAGTAGGTGCAAGTGTTCAACTTTTCCGACTTTTTCTCTTTAACAAAACATACCATATAGTAAAATGAACGAAACTGAAGGATCCAGTATATCGAAATCAGTATCAGAGTTTTCCACGTCAAATAATAATATATCAGTACACTCTACAAAGAATAAACGCCTCGAAAAACTGGATACTCTGTATACCAAATATGTAGATCATATTTTGGAACCTTTTAGGTAAAAAAAAAGGCGTGAACGAAAGGAAAGATCTTTTTTGAAAAGATCCTTTTTTTAAAGTCATTATTCTAAGTCCTTTCTTTTTTTTTTTTAATTGTCAGCGATGAAGTCTTATCAAAATATTTTATTGAATTAGAATTGAAAGAAGCTGATGTTGCCAATGCTTCTAAACAAACTACAGAATACATTCGAAAACGATTGACTGTAAGTGAGGTTTTGTTCCTTACAAACTAGTTTATTTAGTTTTAATATATATTGGATTAGGATGCCTATACTACCCTTAAAGAAGAAGAAAGCATAGATAGTAAATTGAAAGCTATGGACGTACTTATCGAAAATTCTAATACTCAAGACGACTCTTCGATACTTGCAAACGGTGCCTCGACGACGTAAGCGAAAAAAGAAAAATAGATGGATCAAATGGATGAAAAGAAATAAAACTAGAGAAGAGATATTGATTGATTTTCTCTTTAGAATGGTACCACGTTCTACTCAAGTTGTACGCGCTCACATGTACAAATTGAAACGAGAGGAACTTCAACGTTTATGGGATTTGCGTGACAAGGTAAATGATAAAAAAAAATGCTAATTATCTTTTCCCCATCAATAATGAAATTGTATTCTATGCCTTTTTTTTTTTTAGTTACGTGTTGAAAATCAGACCAAGATGGATGCGATCACCGAGAAAAAGAACATATTATTAAGTCAGCGGATACATGACACGAGCATACCTCTGTTAACATCATCATCATCAGAAATAGTATCAAAAATTGGTTCTGATGAATCTCGAATGGATCGATTTTTTTCTTGAAATTCTGTATTCCAATAATAATAATAATAAAAAGATTATCATTCAAACCCTTTCCATGCTGGCTTTTAAATACTAAAGAAAGATTTTTTTCCCCCTTAAGAAAACAAACAGAACAAAAAAAAAGCTTTTTTTTCTCGAGAAGACTTCATTATGAAGAAAAACAAAACTAAGACAAAAAGCGATGTTCTTCGTGTAGACCATCGTACTATTTTGAAAGAAATTGGACGTATCGGTCAGTGTCAAGCAGGTTCAGGAAGTCCTTACTGTCGCGAATGGACTCTTCTGATCTATAAAAAACAGCTAAACGGAAAGCAACAAGAACAATCAGAAAATATGCCTGTTCACCTGAACAATACTATATTAGCTGGCAAATATTCTATTCCTATTGTTGACCCCACACTCAACGAGAACTTGCGAAAATCTATCTCACTTGACGTTTTTGACAATAGTAGTAACGTCGCTACTATTATAAACAACAAGAATACTTCAGCCGCGGTGAATGATATTGTAGATCATCTCAAACAATGCGTATCTGCTTGTAAACAATGGTTGCATATGCCAAGTAGACTAACGGCACTGCCAGTGCTTTTCCAACAACTTGAGTTTGAATCTGTTTTACCGACACTGCAACTCCCTTCCAACGAAGGATATGCACAGTTACTCCAAAGTCTTATTTGTGATCGCCAAGGAGTGTCTCTCTCTGTAGAAAAATTATCGTTACTTGCAAAAGTGGAAAGAGTAAGGCATTCACCAAAGTTCCCTTATATCGATCAATTGTGTAGCGATCCAGATCTTGCTCAAGAGACCTTTTTGCCTCCTGCCAATTTGGAAGTCGAACGTGCCATTATAAACGAAAGTACGACAAACGCTATCAAAATGGAATTAGAAACTTTGCAATCAAACTTGAATGTTTGTTGGCATCACCTAATCGATTTCATGAGTACAGTTGACAAAATGGGCGATAGACTGAATAATTTGATCGGGGAAGGTTTAGACAACGCGATGAATGAATTAGTGGCACAACAAGATATTGTTCCCTTTCAAACGTTTTGGACTCCTCTTGTACCTACTTTTAAAAAGAAAAAACCGGATGGAACTACTCCTATGGCGGATGAAATAGATAAGGCATTCTTGGGTTATATGGACCGAATCATGGAAGCTACTGGTGAATTTTACAATACATTGGTGACTTTTCTTGTAACTGACCTTCCTCAATTTGAGCAGACATTTTCAGAGGCTGTAATGACCATGGTGAAATCTATGAAAGGCCGCATTGAAGGAAACGCAGCTTTTTCGGAACAAATGCGTCGATTTTATGGGGAAAACGGAATGAAAAAATTGAATATTAAAGACATTGCCACAGGTCTTAAAGAGCATAAGGATGGTATCAACAAGGTAGTCAATCATGTTAAGGAACTGGCGAAAAGTAAGACGATGGATCAAAAGGGGGATGTAGATCGACTCAAAGATATGTATATGCAAGAATCACAACCTACCATTGGAGGAAGACTCGAAAAAGTCACTCAGAAAGAGTTTCGCAAGCAACTGAAAAAGATTGAACACCGATATCAAACTTTGCGCCAACATCTTCGTTACGAGTTACATCAGACTTTATTTGCTGCTATCGATGGGATTATCAAGACCAGTATAGCATCAATGCAGGCATTGATGATGGAAGGCGAAATCATGGAAGCAATTACTATCAATGATCGAGTGGTATTCTTTTGTTCTCAGCACAAATCAATGCTAAAGAAGAAGGATGACTGGCAAGAGATGTTGAAACACGGTGTATCCAAAGGACAACAAGAATTGGCTAATTTGATTGCTATCCTGATGATGGCAGAAGGTGGACGTTTAGTATCTGATATCGAAGCCATCAAACGAGAATCAGCATTGTTACAATCATTCGGGAAAAAGCAGCCATCAGTTACAGACAGCGATACTTCATCTTCATCCTCTCTTCCTACAGCCATCATCACAGCAACAACAACAACAACGACAGCAGCAAAAGCAAAAGCAAGTAGTGATTCTGCCAAAGTTGCTACAGTTAGTTCAGCAAAAAAGAAGAAAGATCGCAAACAGTCAACTATTTCTGACATTCCATCCTCGCCTATCTTAGTAACCAAGAAGGACTTGCCACCTGCCGAAAAAAAGACTGAAATGGTAATAGAGAAAAAAAATCAAATAAATGATTTATATTAGAGTTAACTAACAATCAATCATTTTAAAAACCTTTTATCAATACGATTTTAAGATGACATCCTCTGGCGCACCTCCCTCTGAAAATACTATCGATCAACGATTACCAAAAGATAATTCTGTTCCAAATTCAGTAGAAATCCCAATCAACCGAGGAAAAGAGGATCGTCTAGCAAGCGATGATGCTAAATCCAAGTCAACCACTGAATCATGGGTCACAGTGGAAACCACCAAACAAAGTATGTTACTTGGCACGATTCTTTTACTAATTCAATTGATTAAATTACTCATACATTATTTGATTTTCGTTTAGAATCATCTAGCAAGAAAGTTCATATAACACCATCCTGTGACGATAGCGATAAATCCATGATAAATAAGGATACATCTAGCATACAACAGCAGGAACAACATGAAGGTAATTTTTTTTTTTTTGTGTGCGTTTTTGCTTTTTCTTTTTCTCAGTCCTAACATTTTCATTTATTGATATATCAGAGCAAGCCACATTTACTGACAATAACAATACCAATGAATCTACCAGTTCTTCCAAATGGGCAAGATCATCAGCACGTAGAGAACCGACAAGAATGGATGAGCGGTCTACTGGAAATGTCAACAAACAAAGACAATACAACAACGATGATACAACCACGTATACTGCTAATTATGAGACTTCTAATGATGAAAATACCGTTGAGCACAACATTGTGAACATATCTATCAATCAACTGATGACAACTCCTCCAGACGTTGAAAATAAGAATAGTTACCAACCTTCCGATATACCTGATACGAACTTTCAATCCCAACAATTGCAACAGCATCACCCTCTGAATGACTTGAGTCAGAGCCAATTAGTGGATATGGTCCATAGCCTACGTCAAGAGAATGATCAACTAAAACAGTCGTTCATGTCTATGCAACAAACAATGATGATGACTATGAATATGGCGAAAGAACGGGAAGAACAGGTCATCCAGTTGTGCAATGCTCAAAAACAAGCGGATTTAGAAGAAGCTCGTTTATATGTACTCTCTTTGCAGGAAAGAATCAAGGATTTGGAAACTCAGCTCCAAGCATCTAAAGCACAAAAATCTACCAGTGCCTTTGTTAATCAAGATTTATTTGCTGATTATCGTGAGGGAATACGAGTGGATGGCACTGACAAAACATCATATCATCATTCACGTCAACATAACAACTATCATTTTAGTCATCCGCGAGGCCAAGGGAAAAAAGGTTATTGGAATAAGAAACCTATTGTGAAATGTAGCAACTGTGGCGAATCTGGTCATGAAAGTGGTGCATGCAAGGTAAGGACAGAAGAAAAAAAAAAAAAAAAAGCTAATAATATCATTCTTTGTTTTTTCTAACTTTCTTTTTAACCATTGTCTAACTTAGGATCCTTGCCGATACTGTAATAGTTTTAGTCATCTCTCTGAAGCTTGTCCACAAGCTTGATCACCAGAACTGGTCCTCGTGCTTTTAAATTTGAAAAATACAATACATTAAAACTTTATATCAATGAATTAAATATGTTCAAGTTCAATAAACTCTTAGGAAATGAAAAGTCTAAGAAATAAGAAAACAAACTTGTTTTAATCGTCTAATATTATGTACATTCTTTATTAAAAAAAAAAAAAAAAGGTTATCATAAATGAGGTCATTTTGAAGAGCTATTTTCATTAATGAATTTTTCAAGGCGATCAATACAAGTGATTTGTCCCAGTGTATGCATTGTTTCGGCGACTCCTGCGCCTACTTTGGTACCTGTCATAACATAACGAAGGGCCATCATCATATGATTCCCATTTATTTTGTGAGATTCAGCTGTTTCATGTATCCATTGTTTGATCCTTGTTGGTCCTTCTTCAAAGTTCACCTTTTGAAGAGTATTGAATGTCACTGATTTGTCTAGAAGAAGATCAATAACATTTGTTTTTAACTTCTTTCTCAGATCCATAGCATCTTTGGTTGTATAATCCGGTTCCAAAAAGTAATAAATGCAAAGTGTTGGAATATCGTTTACATTACGAATACGATCCTATAGAAGAGAGATAGAAAAAAGGATTATCATTCAAGAATTATTTACTAATGTATCCATACCTTGACCGTTAAAATGACCTGACTCAAGTAAGTGGGAGAAAGTCGATATTCTTCTACATAGTTTATACTAATAAAATAGATAGTACATCGTATTTGAATATCAATGCAAAAAAGGTGATCATCACCATCACAAAAATTTTTTTTTACCTTTCAGCTAAATGTTCTTGAATAAGAGGTGTCAACAATTTCACTAAGCTCTGTAATCCTTGGGTTGTTTGTGTTCTTTTTAATAAATGTTGTTTATTAATCCAAGACAGTTTTGCAGGGTCTACCACCGCACCTGATCGATGAAGATGATCCAGACTAAATTGCTGAATAAGTTGATCCATATCTAAAATTTCATCTTGCCGTTCAATTTCACTTGATAATTGACCCTTTGGATTGTCGTTCGAGGTATTTTGGTGAGGATGCCATCCTAATAGAGCTACAAAGTTATTGACAGCTTCAGGAAGGAAGCCTTTTTTGATATACTGTTCGACATGAACATCTCCTGATCTCTTGGATAATTTGGTTCGATTATCATTTAAAAGTAGAGGAAGATGAGCAAATTCAGGAGGAGTCCATCCAAAGGCTTTATATAATAAGATATGTTTTGGTGTTGATGAAATCCATTCTTCTCCTCGTAAAACATGAGTGATTTTCATTTGATGATCATCCACCACATTAGCCAAATGATAGGTAGGAAACCCATCACTTTTTATCAAAATAGTATCATCCAAAACAGTATGTTGAAATTGTAATTTGCCATGAACATGATCTTGAAATTCAATCATACCTTGCCAGGGTACCTATCAATTCCTATTTGAGCTTAAAGATTATATTAAACTTACACACTTACATTATGCCGAATAGTATATGGTGTTTTTTTATCCAGATAAGATTGTATTTCCTCAGAAGTCAAATGAGAACAATGCTTATCGTAACTTGTTACACAACCCTGCTTCTTTCTTGTCTCCCTGATCTTTTGTAATCGTTCTGGTGAACAGAAACACCGATAAGCGTGTCCATTCTACAAGGATCTATGTTAATATAATTCTATACAGTCACTCTTCTTGCTCTTACTTTGATCAAAGTATCGCTATATTGACGATACATTTCTGTACGCTGTGACTAGAATAAAGTGATAAAGTATTTAGTTTTCATGCCTAACCCCTCACTCGGTTTTTTTTTTTTTTTTTTTTTTTTGTATTATTACTTGAAAATAGGGTGCATATGGTCCTCCTTCCAAAGGTGGTCCTTTACAAAAAGAAAAAGAAAAAAAGGATGAATGATACTTTTTGTGAAAGTTATTAAAATAAGTATACCTTCGTCGGGATATATCCCAGCCCAAGAAAGACTAGATATAAGTTTTTCAACAGCACCGGGAACGTATCTTGTCTGCTCGTCATAAAAGGAAAAAGTTTAAGTCCAAAAGAAAAAAACATATCATTCTATTCAATATGTACCTGATCAGTATCCTCAATACGCAGAATGAACTGACCACCTGTTTGTTTGGCTAGTAAGTAATTATATAAAGCAGTCCTTAGACCACCTAAATGAAGTTGTCCTGTGGGACTTGGAGCAAATCGGACTCTGACAGGTGGTAAACTAGTATTTGCTACAGTTTGATAAAACCTCCGGTACGGTAAGGTACTGAAACGATAGCATAGATTGAAAGACACCATCCCATCAAAGCAGTAGAAAGGAAAAATATAAAAACAGTAGCAATGTCAAAAACAATCTATCCCCCCTGGGTTTAAACCTTTTTTTTTTTTTTTTTTTTTTTGTTTCCTTCAAATCCTTGTGGCAAAACGACTGCGATAAAAAAATCAAACTCTTTTTTATAGCAAAACTCAGTTTACGGCCTATATGATTGAGGAAAAACTGGTTTTTTTTTTTTTTTAATTACTCCTTAAAATCCATGTGACTCTACTCGATGGCAGTACCGAAAAAAAAAAGAGAAAGAACACGTTTGAGAAAAAAAAAAAAGAAAAAAGAGAAAAAAAGAAAAACAACAGAGAAGTAACCCTGGGATTGAAAATCGTTATAAAAATTTGATGTTTTTGAAACTACGTCTCGTATCCCCCTTTTCTTTTTATCATCTTTCATCTACTTTTTTCAAATCATGGCATCTGTCACTTGTACTGCTCCTGTTAATATTGCTGTAAGAAAGAAATAAAGAAATAAAAAAAAAAATAGAATAATTTATATTGATTGATAAATGAACCATTTTATTTCATTAAAAAAAAAAATAATAAACTCGAACATAAAGGTCGTCAAATATTGGGGAAAACGTGATACTCAATTGATCTTACCTACAAACGATTCTCTCTCTGTTACTTTATCTCAAGATATACTTCATAGCAAGACAAGTATTAGTGCCAGTAAGGAATATACACAAGACAGACTTTGGTTAAATGGAAAGGAAGAAGATATCACAAACAACAAGCGTATGCATAACTGTTTCCGAGAAACGCGTGCACTTCGAAAAAAAATGGAAGAACAAGACTCTAGTTTGACACCTTTATCTACCTATTGTCTTCATGTATGTTCTGAAAACAATTTCCCTACTGCTGCTGGTTTAGCTTCTTCCGCTTCAGGTTTAGCTGCTCTTGTCTTCACTTTGGCCAAACTCTTTGATTTGCCAATTTCCATGTCTGATTTATCACGTATTGCTCGTCAAGGATCTGGTTCATCTTGTCGTTCATTATTTGGTGGATTTGTTGCTTGGGAAATGGGTGATCAAGAAGATGGATCAGATTCTCGTGCTGTTCAAATTGCTCCAGATACTCATTGGCCTGAACTCGAAGCATTGATTTGCGTGGTGTCAGATGCTAAGAAAGGAACTTCATCTACTTCTGGTATGCAACAAACCATTGAAACCAGTCGTTTGATGAAAGAACGATTACAATTAGTACCTGAACTTATGGATGCTATGACAAAGGCCATTCTTGATAAGGATTTCCAATCTTTTGCTGAACTAACTATGCGTGACTCAAATCAATTCCACTGTGTTTGTTTGGATACCTTCCCTCCCATTTTCTATCTCAACGACACTTCTCGTGGTATTATCAAATTAATTCATGAGTATAATGCCTCCTATGGTACTTACAAGGCTGCCTACACTTTCGATGCTGGACCAAATGCCGTGATTTATGCTCCCAAGGAAAATATGAAGGAAATCGTTCAAATGATTGCTCATTATTTCCCTCCCTCTGAAGAAAAGAAGTCCACTTACTTTACTGATCCATACCATCTTTTTGAAAATGGAAAACTTTCTGGAGATCGACCTATTATCAATGACAGCTTCAATTCTTCTGTCATTCCCGTTTACCCTGCTGGAAGTGTGGGTCGTCTACTTCATACCAAAGTCCATGATGGTCCTCGTGTCTTATCCAATGATCAATCTTTATTGAATGCCGAAGGTATTCCTAAAAACCTGATCCAGTAGTCAAAACTTTGCCATCGCCCTTTTTTTTTTTTATCCATTTTATACTTTATAATATTATAGTTTATTTATTTCCACTATTTTAGTTTTTGCTTTCTTTTCTTCTTGTCTTTTTATATAAAATACTTCTACTTATTTACCTTATATAAAAAAGCGAATGTTTATACTCATACCTACTTACAAAAAAAAAGGGAACATTAATAATTATAACTTGTTACTGTATCTAATAACTTGTCAATTTCTGAATTTTTGTTGGTACCAATTGATTGCCTTGAACATTTAGTTCCACTTTTTTCTTTGTAGGAAAAGAATATTCTTCCAATTTTTCAACGATCTCAACGATTTTAACCAACCAATCGAATCGATCAGTCAGACAAATAATCAATCAACCAATGTCTGTAGTCTCAAAAGGGTATTGACGATCATTGGAGAGCTACTTACAAGCAGTCTGCACCTACTACATAGTTACATTAACAGCCGCAGCTATAACAATGATAATATCACGATAACCGTCAGAGTAGGCAACATCATGTTACACTGCGAGTTCGTGGGTCAACAACAAAACTCAAAGCCCAACAACCAAGATTACTCTTATTGTTTTCTTCCCTAAAAGAAAGCTAAGATCTGATACTTACTGATCTTTTGAACCCTTGACTCTAGTGCAAAATCCGCTAGTGTGCACAATGCTTTTTCGTGTGCCTGTTGTAACAAATGTTCATTATCCTTCAACTGCATTTTCTGTATCAGAATACCATCCCCACGATTTTTTTGTGATTATCTGAAATGAGCCACTGAGAACATACCTGAGGTTCATAATCTAAAGGTTTTAACTCATCTACTCCATAGTAATACACATGATGCATGGCAAGAATACATAATGCAAGTTGATAAGCATCTTAATAGTATACAGTAAATACTGACACTCCTATTAAATTTTAGAAGGTGACAACAGAAAGTTTGAAAGGAGAAGCCCCAAAGAAAAGGATAGAAAACAAAAAAAAAATAATTTTTTTACAAGGAGGGTAGAGTCTTGTTTTTAGGAATATGGCAATTCATCACGCGAGTATCTAACATAGAATGTTTGATGATCCGATAATGGAGATTAGGTTTAGTTGACACTTTACCCATAAAAGGGTCTGCAGGATTTATTCCTTTTTCTCTTTAACAAAAGTTTTTATAATAAAATTATTTCGTTTTGTCTCGCTATTTATTTTGACTTGCCATAAGAAGGCGATAACTTCTGCAATGCTGCTGTATCTCTCTCTCTAGCACCTGTAGGGGTTCATCTTACAGACAGTATGTATTCATGGCTTTTAGAAGACAGACAATCTTTCAACGTCGATTTCCTTCTCAAATGTTTATAGAGATCATAATTTAAGCTCCTGCAATAGGGTTTGGAAGGAGATCAACCTCTCTTTTTTGCTCTGCATTGTAGATTTCTCCTCTCTACTTCTGCATCCCTTTTTTGGGACATTAATTTTTTCTTCCTCCCCCCGCTTTGCAGATTTCTCCTCACTAGTTCTATCTTCTGGGAGATCGTCTTTTTAATATAAAGTGCTATTCTTTTTCTCTTTGCGGACAATCTTTACATTTTTTACTGCTATAATTTTTGGTTAATTTAAAAAGCTCCCAAAAACAACAACAACAACAATCTTATTAATGTACGACATGAAGAAGATTATATTTGTTTTGTTTTTGATCATTGAGTTCTGTTGTGCTGATACTGTGTTGGGTGGAGTAGTGGACTTTAAGCCTAGTTGCTATATTCATGGTGATATCCCAGCCAGTATGTTAATCGAATACAACGGTGTTTTTAATAATGAAACTATCCGTATCTTGGAGAAAGAAGCTGATCCGTTGGGCATTTATTACCATGGTGAAACCAGACTTCAATATAAAACGTATAAAACGGCTTATACGCCTGAATATACTAATAACGCAATAAGCCATGAATTCAGATTTGCCAATCGCCGCACCAATATGGTCCAAATAAGTCTTAGACGAGGTATCAAAATGATAAGATTTCCCTTCTCAAGGCTTGGTCAAAGATATGGCTGGTATGAAGGCGTGCAGATAAGAATGACAGAGGATCTTGTCGTGAAGTTAGGGGAGAAATATAGGAAAGATCCAGCCAATAAATGGAAAAGCATCCCAGTGGGCCCTCCCTTCGCAGAACCCGGTTCGATGGTGTTTCCTAAATATGATGTGGAATACCACGGAGCTAACGGGACAATTTCGCGAAATATCGACTTAAATATACGTATCCCTTGTTTGATTGCGTATGGTCTCATTCCCTATGACAGAAGAACTCAAGACAGTCAACTTATAAATTGCATGTATCTTACAGATACTGGATATAGAAAAGACGACCCGGTAACAGAAAATTCAAGCTACAAAGCATCTGTAGAGGTGGATAACTGTGAACATGATACTGATAATGTAGCAAAGCTCCGACCACCGCCAACAAGTATCGAAGAGAAACTATTCGAGTATCTGAAAGATCTCGTCCTGATGGGGGTATCACACATTCCATTTGTAGGTCCTTTTATTGCCGTAGGCATAGACGTGGCCTACGAATACGTACAAAACAAACCACGTATGGAAGAACTTCTGGAAAAAGCAGGTGTTGATGCGTCGAAAGCGTCATACGAAATCATTTTTGATGAATTGCTTTCCGTGCTTAAGAAAGGGGTTCGTAAATAAAATTAGTTCGAATCAGTGTATGATGTTTTAAAAAAGGCTTACGAGTAAGGCTGAAGCCAAGACGGTACTTATAGTTTATTTATTTCCACTATTTTTTTTTTTTTTTTGAATAATAAATACGTTTTTATTTCCAATACTATGTGATAGACTAAGATTTAGTTACTGTTATCTTTATCAGCTCATTTCTATTTTATCTCTACCGATGAAAATAATTACATCATGATAAATTTGACAGCATTATCTAAGAACCAGAAGTATAAAAGTAACACTGTTCCCAAAATGGACGGTAGTCATTGATAGCAGCTGTTTTTATCCACATATAATGAAAGAAGTTAAGTAGAGTCCAATATTCAGTTTTTTTTAATGACTTACTTGTGATAATAGAAACCAAAGGTTTATGCTCAGTCGCGTTGCATAAAGTATCTAGAATATGTCTAACAAAAAGAAATAAATTATATGATCATTATAAAGATCAAAGAGTGGTGACTTATCTTCTCCCTTATTTTTTTTTTTTTTTTTTTTGGCTTGTGATGTTACCTAGTAAACTTAGAGTATAATGGTCCGCGAAGAAGATAAAAGAAAAGTAAATAATTTCGTCGTTTGGATTCCTCCTTTTCTAACGGTGACATATTTTGTGTGTATCTCAAAATCATTGCCAGTATATCCATGCTAAACGAGATGATCCATGGTTGCCAGTAATTTTCATCGTCCTTTTCTGTCCATTCCTCTTCCGTTAATGTTTCTTCTCCAAAACTTTCCTTTCCGTCAGTGACAATGCTACTATTATTATCACTAATTTGCGCCTTTGGATGTTGATAATGTTCTTTGTTTAGCAGCAATACTAAGTACAAGTCAAAGACAAGAAAAAGAAAAAGAGTAAAGAAATTATGATCAATATATATATATTCCTTTTGATTTTTCAAGGGAACATCAACATATATTAAATCACATACCATAGATAAGAGGACGAGAAATCCATAATAATTCTGATAAATGGCCCAATTTTGAGGTTTGACTTGAATTTTTGGTAACTATCTGAGGATTGTAATAGAGAGAGCGATTGGAGGAAGAAGGCATACCAATGCGGGTATCTAAATGCCCTAACTCAATTTTATCTTCACCTGTTGTATCATACTCCAATGTAGTTGGGTCTATATTGCGAATGAAATGAGTAGGATGTAACACCATTTTTTTTTGTGAGGTATAATATAGAATTAATCGCATGCACATTCTAAATTTGTATATTACACATCGATAAAAAAAAAAAAAAAGAAAAAGTTCATGTCAATTCAAATCAAGTGCTATGGAAAGAAAAAAGGAATCTACCTCGTACTTACTTTATGGCCTCTATGACAGTGATATGACGCCAACGCAACCTTGAACCATTTTCTTTTCTAGCCACTAACATTTCCCATAGTATTTCCGAGTAAGATACTAAACTCAGTATCAGTGAAGTAGCGCGATATGCTTTTGACCGCCTAAAATGAAATTGAATATGACGATTGAAGGCGAAACTCTCCTCTGGAGGGATATCGTCTTTGCTATTTTTGTTGGCAGTGCGCATTAAATAGTGAGTATTGTATAATGATACCAGATTAAGAGTAGTCAAAACTAAAGGATAGGCAATAAAAAAAAAAAGGTCAAAAATACTATCTCAAACCGTATTTTGTTCTTTGATATTTTACTTGTTTGAGAGCAAAGGTCTCCTTCAGATACTCGTCCTAATCATACACACAAAAGAAATATATGTGATAAGCCTATTTGCCAACTCCAGCACTAGTGGCTACCCCTGAAAAAAAATACCTGGTAGAAGAAGCGATAATGCTCTTAGCAAGTCTTCAGCTTGTTCTATTCTTGATGTGTAGCCTCTATGTATATTGTGATAATGATGTATTGCTCCAGTGAAATGTAATAAATTATTTGGTAACATCTTTTTTTTTTTGTTGTTGTTAAAAAAAGGGGAAAGAAGTATGTTGTAATATCTACATACAAATTAATACAAGTGCACGAAAAGGTCAAATGACGGAGAACTAACCTTGTTTGCAATCATCAATTACCATATCTGGTACAGCAGAAAGATGATTGATAAAACCGTAAAGCACTTTATTCAATTGTAACCCAAATTTTATTCTTTTTATTTTTTTTTTTTTATCTTTATGCTCATCTTTTTTTTTATGGACTGCACTGTAAAAAGTTAGAGCTTATCGCTCTAGTGGAGAAGGTCCACTATAAGGGCGGCAATACAGTGATTTTTTCCATTTCACTGAAATTAAGCATATCTTGTCGCAGATTTTGCACACGTACGTTGTTAACTATTTCCAACCAGTCAGTCTTCTGCAGACTAAATCCAGAGCATTAGATGGCAATTGAACAAACCAAGAGAACCAGTTTTCAAGGACAGTCAATAAAATTAAATTAGCAATAGTCTCTTTTTTTTCTTCTCCTCCACTTTTTCTTCTTTTGTCCCTTTTTTCTTCTCAAGTTGTTTGGGGGGGAAAGAATATAAAGATAAATATCAGCACAGGCACAAAGACGACCATCTATTTTTTAAAATCTTTTTATTTTTTAGTTCAAGGCATGAATAAAAAGATTCAAAAAAGAAAAAATTTAAAAGAAAAGAAAAAAAGAAAAAGAGGAATAAGTGGCGCCTTGACCCGGTAAACTAAACTAAAGAGAATGAAGTAAAGAAGAAATAATATAACAATGAAGAATGAAATAAAAATAATACAGATATGAGACTAATAAACATTGAGGTATATAGTACATAAAGAATTGGGTGACGATGCTATCAGATATCGTAGATAAACGGATTTGAAGCTTGATATTGGATAGGTCGTCTATAGAAAAAAAAAAAAAAGAATAAGCGTCCATTCACTCAGTTTCAGGTCACTTTTGTTTTGATTCCGTGCCTTTATATATATATATATTTACAAATAAAGCTTGTTGATGATCAAATTCCGACGGTTATCATTGATAGCTTGATTGGCCTTAGTCACACAGTTCGCCAACAGCGTCAACTTGATATTGAGGTCGTCATTTGCCGATAATGGTGATCGTGTCTTTTTCGTCAAAGGTTCCATGAATGCCTTCAAGGATAGTCTTGGTTGTCACAGTGGATTTGCACATAGACCATAAATTTTTCCACATCGCTTTTAGCCAAAACAGCTTCCTGATAATATTGAAAACCGGCCGTGGCTAGAATTTGAAAAAGTCGTGATCCAATCTTTTCTTGTGATAAAGTTTGTTGAGGAGAGTCGTGATCAAATGCCGTCCAGATGGTTGATGGGCGTAGGTTCAAAGGTGAGGTGATGTCAGAGGGTGCATGTGAACGGAGATAGGTGGAGAAGACATTGAATTTCGAGCATAATTGCCTCAAGTGTGGTAAAGCAGAATCAACCTGCACCTGGTCACAATGGGTAGCGTCTAAGATGCCTTGAGCTTGGCCGATAGATTCGTTGTCAAGGAAGATGGAAGTTGGTGCCACAGAAATGGTCGGTAGACGGGCCAATATTCATCGATTTGATATCCAAACGAGCGCTGGAAGCAATTAGCATATTGCCTGTTCGAGTGCCAATGATTAGCTTTGAATGTCAAGAACACGACAGGAGAAATGGCATAGTATCAATAAGTAACTATATATGTGCTTATGAGAATATATTAGTTGTTTGATGTAGAAGAATGCAAACAATGTAAAAGTAATTGTTGACCGAAGATAACGGATAGCCCTTTAGAAATAAAATAACGTATTTATATCTAAACTAAAGAAAGGAGAGATTAACTAATGTATCATCGTTGTAATGAGGAGAACAAAAGGGATCAAAACTAGAAGGAAAGAGAAGAAGAGAAAGAAAAAAGGGAAGGTGATAAAAAAACAAAGAAACAAAAAAGAAGTAAATAAATAAATAATAAAACTCAGACATATGCATGATTTTTTTTTTTTATTCCTTGTTGTCGTTGTCGTTGTCGTTATCATTGTCACTGTGGCCATACTCAATATCATTGATTTTTTCTAGTGATCGTGCTGGTGGATCCCATTTGCACGAAACACCATGAGAGTCGAGATACGATTTCGTTGTTCTGGCATTTTTTAACAATTTCGAGCAGAATGGACATTCAAAATGACCTTCTTCTTTCTTCCTAAGAGTCGTATCCGCTGGACCATAAGAAACCACTATAACATGATCCACCCGATGATGCTTTCATTTTGCTGATGTGGAGAATATCTGGTCGTAGATTTTGCATACGTACGTTGCCATAGTGATTACGAGGGGAAGGACAGGGACGAACTTCTTTTTTTTTTCGTTAGAATTTGGAAACTCTATGATTGGCCCACTAGAATTTCCTAGTGGTTGCCTAAAAAAGAATACTTGAGAGCAAATGATTGGGTTGAAAAACAATATAAAAATACAGCCAGCAGTTCATTTTGTATGTTGCCTGTTGGATGAGGGCGAGGAAACTAGATGTCTGTCGTAGTGAATGGGGACAATGATTGTAATACTGGTAGTGGGGTGGGGTTGATCGTTCACTCACCCAAAATTATGACTGTAATTTTTACTCTAGCAATCATATTAAGCTTTTACATGCGACGAGTGACTTTTCTACATTGTTTAGACAACGCTCTATTTTATTTCCGTTAAATCTTTCTTTTTCTCACCAGGAGAGGCATATTGGTAGCATCAACAATAACCGTGTTCATTGTAAACTCGGTGTAAGCAAAAAAAAAAAAGGAGCAACATGGATTTAATATATTTTTAAGTAATGGCTTGGCATCAACTGTTTTTTAAAGTGTCGAACACTTTCACAGCACAGTTCGTCCTTTATACAGGCCGATTTTCCATACACCGTGATTATCACAGCTTCACTTTATATAAGCAACTCTTTCCTATAGATCATCCAATCAATCATCAGCGTGTATATATATATGTATGGAAGAAACTTATTTCCTTTTGCCATTTTATTTTTCTTCACAGTAATATACGATATGATTTGAAAGAGTACATGGATTTCAACATTATATGGACTGAAAATGAGATGATTGACAAGTGAATATATATATATAAAAGCGGGGATAATCAAGGGAATGATCTTCAATATGTTTATTTTATATCATTTCATTCTTAATATAGATATCGATTAACGGTTGCAATGGTTGTAATTCCTTCTTATCCAATAAGTCAAATTCTCTGCTAAAAGAGATAAAATGGGCAAATAGCGAGTTGAAATGAGGTTCTTCGTGGAGAGAAAGTACCTTATCATAGTGATGATAATAAATATGAGCAAACAATCGAAACAATTGACTAAAGATACGTCGTACCACAACGATCATTTCGCGGGGGAAATCTCGACCTAATAATGATGAATAATATTATTAGTATACACGATGCAGATGAAATCAGTATTAATCTATATACATACCAGCTTTGGTGGGGAATATAGATTCATCACTCAATAAGTTTTCTATACTTGTTGCCATGTAATCAATATACTGAGGAGCAGGGAGTTTTAGTTTCTTTGACTGACTATCTGTCCAGGTATATTCGACACTATATAAAAACATAGAACATTCATTTTAGTCCAGTGAAATAAAGTCAAACCATTATGAGAACTCTTTTGAGAAAAAGAAATTACCTAGAACCAGCACACATTGTTGGACAGGTATGTGAGGTGCAGAAGTCAGTTAATGACCCATAAAACAAATTAAGATAATGGAAGAATTCAAAAGCTTATTAAAAAAAAAAAAAAAAAAGGAGTTAAATGAATAAAGATAATGAGAACGAAATATGAAAGGAAATAAACCATAAAGTTGACCCCTCCTCTCTATTATTATATCATCATCACTTACTATTAAATGCAAGCCATTCGTTAGCATCAACATATTTAGGTAGTTCGATCACAGTCTTGAAGTTGCCTTTCACAAGCATATGAGTGACATATGGATAACATAGAAATAAAGGTTTTGTGGATGCTATATTGCCAGTTGATGTTGACGACGATGACGTTGATTTATTTTTGGCTGCTTTGTTTCGTTTCCCACCAAGGCTATGAATGTCAAATGTATATTATAAACCTTTTTTTTTTATCTTTATACGGTCTATATTCTTACCTAAAGTTAAGGAAACTCATATTACAAGTCTATGTGAAAGGTATTTGAGAAAGAGAGGTACAAGAAAGAAAAAAAAATTTTGACTTCTCAGTAGAAAATATGCTGGTGAACCAACTTTGGTTGAGAACTTTTTTTTTCTTTTTTCTGGGGCGGGGCGTAAAGATTTATGTGGTTACAAGATTTTATTGGTTGTTCTTCTTTTGTTTTGTAGTGGAGCTTTTTATTATTTGAAAAGGGAAATTCTATATTGCAAAAAAGAAAAAAAAATCATATATCATCATTATCGTCATTTCTTTGTATTTAAACAATTTATTAGTATTACAGATATATAATAGAGTGAGGGTAAAAAAAAAAAAAAAATTTAAAGATCGATCAATCAAAGAGGATAGTTTCTATCAAAAAAGGTTTCGTTCTCTTGTTTTTTCAACCAAATACATCATTTCCTAATCCAAGTAAAGTAACATCGTAAATGATCATGAAAACAATGGCAATACCCATAACACCACTGGAGAGCACAGCCAAATAAAAAGGATTGAATCGTTTACGCTTCTTGAATGCGATAAATTTGCCACGTAACATATCTTCCTGCGTTTGTTCGTCTTCCAGATCATCATCTTGTTTTAATGTTTCATCAACTATTTTTTCGTCTATTTGACCATCACCGCCACCATGTTCGTAAGGGGTTACCACAGATGATCTGACGGATAATACACTGGCAATCATGGAATGAGGATTGTTTGTTCCTTGCTGAGTTGGTGAATGAGGTGTCTGTTGATAAGTTGAAGTAGGATGATGACGATGTTGTTGTTGTTGTGATTGCTGTGTGGGTGAGGATGGTGCAGGTCTAGACATATCAGGTGAAAGACTACCAGCTGGATGTCGTTGTTTGGGTGATTGAGGTTGTAATCGTTTGCTTTGCGGTTGTTGTGTATCAGTAGGAGAGCTCACGATAACAGCATCAGTAGTAGTAGTAGAAGCAGCTCCAATAGGTGTAGAATTTGAATCCGTGATGCCAAGTCCTTTGGCAGATGCTAATGTTGAACCAGTATTACCTGCTGAAGATGCAGTTGAAAGACGAGGTGAATCTACATGAGTTGTTGTTACTAGCATAGTAGGAGATGTAGGAGGTCGAGATGTATCAATACGAGGTGAATCCTTTGCCTGTTCCGTTTCAATTTCACTACACACGATGGTTGGAATGACAGCTGCTGCTTGAGGATCATTAGCACCATAACGAGGAGAAGTAGGAGGACTGAACATGGAATGACTGATGACCGATTGATCAGCCACGCGACTGCCCAAAGGAAATTTAGGTGACCGACTGAAATGAGATTGTTGTTCCAAACGACTAAGTTTATTGGATGGTGCAATATTAGATCGACGGATGGAAATGGAACAGTCATCTTCTGGATTATACATCACCACGCTGTTTTTCTTTTCCTCTTCGGTTTGTTCATCGACTGCTCCACCAATACTGCTGGCGGCTTTAGGTGACATGGGTAAGGCAAGTCCAGATGTTGCAGCAGCCTCCTGCTGTTGATTGTAAGGTTCTACTGAAGCAACCACTCGACGAGACACAAAGTAAAGCACAAAAGGTAGGATAAAATTCACAGTCTATGGTAAAAAGAAAAGTAGGATATAAGTTTCTATTCCTTTCTTTCTCTCTCTCTTTTTTTTTTATTAGTATTTCTTACCGATTGGAAGAAGAGACTACTCCAATTTTGTATTGTACCAATATAATCCTTTGTTTGCAAGGGACTATGTAATTAAAGAATAAATAAATAAATGGTGGAAAAAGAGAGCAACAATGAAAACGGAAAGAAATTCACTTACATGCAAACAAACCATGGTAAGAAGTTTGACCAGAAAACAGCCCATGGTCTACTACAAATTTGTCCACGTAAAAGATTGGATCGAATGACAATGGTGAATACTGGAATTGAGGTTACTAAAGCTGCCACTGGAAACAAGTAACAAGTCACTAATGATGCCGTGCTTCCTAATCAATTTAAAAAAAAAAAATGGAGTCAATAAGGAATTAAATTATGAAAAGTCCATTTACCATTTTGGCTGAGAATAGCAAGGATATCACTTGAAGCTGACATTTGATACGCCATGGCCCCGCAAATTCCTAAAAAAAGAAAAGGGATGAGTTTAATACTGATGACGTTATATATATATATATATATATATATATGTTTACCAAGAAGGATATAAAATATTGTAGAGATGATCACAGAAATCCATAATACTTTATGAATATTCACATTAGGTTTAAGACTATTAACCCATGATGGTATCTTTTAGAAATAGTGATAAAACAGAGAGATGAGAATGAGATTTGATATATAGCTGTTATTCTGATTTACCGTTGTAATATAACTGTAATTGAATATGACAATACCAAGGACAGTTGTAGAATTTGCCCCAGATGCTGGAAGAAGAGAAGGGTCAAATCCATTTTGACCAAATGCTACCAACCATTGAATAAGAATTCCAATCAGCACAATAAAGGAGGTCATTTGGACAGCAATATTTTCCACCAAACTAAAAAAGCCCAAAGGCATTACCATCACCAAGGTCAAAAGATATCCAAAGGTGAAGATATAATAATCACTTGATGGAAATGGGGAATTACCCTCAGTGACTTGAGAAGTTTGACAGAACCATCCTCCAGGAGAAACACCCAAACCACAAGTACCTTTGAAAATAGTGATCAACATACCATCAAATGTCTATAACAATATATATATACAAAGATTAAGGTCTAATATCAAAGATAAGACTGAACGATCTTGATATTTACCTGAGCGGCCAAGATAATACTTGAAACATTAACAGCTTGAAGGGCAATAAATAACATGATTTGAAAAAAATAATGATATTTTTTGCCCAAGTAAACTTGAGCTATAGTAGTCAATTCAACCTTGGCCTAATACCAATATGTGAAGATAAAATGACATTATTTTTTATTTTTATTTTTATTTTTATTTTTATTTTTATTTTTATTTTTATTTTTATTTTTATTTTTATTTTTATTTTTATTTTTATTTTTATTTTTATTTTTATTTTTATTTTTATTTTTATTTTTATTTTTATTTTTATTTTTATTTTTATTTTTATTTTTATTTTTTTTTCTTACTTGAAATTTTTCATTGCCACGGATATTGGAAAGAGCTTCACATACAAAAAGAGCAGAACAACCTGATAAAAAAGCAACAATGATAAAGATAAACACAGGAGCTGCCCATCCGGACTAAAATAGATTAATGTAAGTCAATGATGATTTAAATAGAGAAAAAATCAACTTACCTGCTGGAACATAGCAGGAATGGTGGATAAGCCTGGACCCTAAAATAGAAAAAAAAATTTAAATAGAACCTTTCTTACAATATTAAATCAAATTAAATATATGAATTCTTACTGTCATGGAGGAGACTAACAAAGCTGTACTGCCAAAACTTCCAATCCCGCTGGTAGTAGACATGTTTGATAAGAAGAAGAAGAAGAAAAAAAAAACAAAGAGTGGAAAGAAAAATACGAAAATCGGGCGATACTAATTTATATAAACAAAAAATCAGGTCAGGCGGATGAATCACTTCCTTTTTGTTATTACGCCGTTTTTGCGTTACCAAATAGTGTATAGACGATCTACAGGAAAGGATCAAATTGAAAAGAGGAAAATATACCACGAGAAAAGAATAACGTTTCAGAAAAGTAGTAAAAAGAAAAAAAGAAAAAGAAAAAAAAAAAGCAAATAAAAAAAGAAAGTTATGTGTGTACTCACTATTTCAGGTAAATAAAACCATAAAAGGAGAAGAAAATTCACCTCTCATTGGATTACCGCCCTAGATCGTTTCAAAAAAGATTCGCCGTCTCAAACCTTTTGTTCCCCTATCAAAAATAATAACAACTTTTTTGGATTTCTATCTGGAATCATCCATTTATCTTGATGATGTGTCTAACTTAAAATAATAATAATATAATAATAATAATAATATATATTACTTTTTTGATGCTTATACCGTCTTTGTTTTTCTTTTTTTAAAAATAGTTTATAGTGAGTGATGGACGTTACCCAGATCGCACAGAAAATCTTCTCTTTTGAATATTTTCATTACCAAGTATGGCTAAAATAGAGTACACCAACTTTCCGGATTTGCAATGATTTTAACTAAAAGTAATTTGTTTCAAGAAATAAAAGAACTGTCTATCTTTTTTTTTTTTTTTTTTACAACAATAACAATATTAATGATAACAATAATAACATTTTCCTACAAACTAAACTACTACTTGCATATTATCATTCTTTGATATCTTTTCCAAAACCTAAGATAATTCTAAAAGTCATTCTTTATATCAGCCGATTTTCCGAAACAAATAAATTCTTTCATTACTATTCTAGAGAAAATATATGCAAATTTAGAAAAATGGATGAACGGCAAACCATACCTTTTTTATTATTAATTCAAATCAGGAAATCACCAATGATGATGATGTATAATCGTTGGACTGCAGCACTTAATTGTTTATATGAACAATGACTTATGAAAGACAACAATCATCATAACAATTATACTTCATCGTTTTATCTCTCAGATAAGACATTTCTTTATTTAGCATAACGCCCATCTTTTTTTTTTTTTTGTTTTTTGACGCAATGCCATGCTCCCATTCAATCCATATCGACTTTCTTTTAGTACCAAAAAAAAAAAAAAAAGATTCTCTGTAAAATATATAGAACACGTGGGCAGCTTACTTTTGGTAGGACAAACGGAAGAACAGTATCCATCAATCTAAGACCACACCCCCTCTTACCCTATTATCCTTTTTTCCAGGAAAAATTGATTATCTCTAACAAATCAATTTCAAAGACTAATTATGGAAAAATTATTTTTTTTTCATCTTACGTGATATCATAATATGTCTCGATATCATGATGTATTGTTTTCTCATGCGAATATTGTATCCGTCTAATCCAATACCGATCAGTCACCCATATTCTAAAAATAATAATAACAAGGGTTGATCTCTGATAGCCAAATTATAACAAAACTCAAAAAAATAGTATTATCATAAGTTTCGATTTTTATTGATACAAGGACAATAAGAAGTAAATAAATGTGCATAATCAAAGATAAAAAGACAATCTAAAAAAAATGCGAGCTACCGGACCTAGATCTATCATCCCATGGCAGTCTTGGTTCTTTCCTGTTTTTCGATTGTCATAAAGTGATGTAGGCACATGAAATTGTCAAATTTTAGGGAAAAGGGGATAAATTCAAGTTGGATAACGATGTAAAAATAAATCTATTTCTTTGTTTAAATAGATGGGTTTACCTTATGACGCGTCAAGAAGCATTTCTTATGCTAGAAATGTGTTGCACAACTGGTATCTTCGCTTTGCTTCTTGCCGAATATAAGTCCGTTCCGTATCTTATATATACTGTGTTCACTGAGATCATACTGTTTTACTATACGACATACATCTTTTGATTCATCAGATGAAGTGAAGCATTTCCAGAAGTTTCAAAAGAAAAAAAAAAAAAAGATATGACTCCCTTGAAAAAAATAGGGAGAGATATTCTCGATTGTGATTGGACAATTCCACGGTAAAAATCAGTTTGCGGATGGGTGTAACTTACAATAGTTGAGAGCATTCATGTTACTTGCGGTATATGGAAAGTATGAAACTGGTCCAAGTTTTTGTAATCTTAAGATGATGATACTATTACTTTGATAATAATAGTGATGATTGGTATGTAGTGCCTTGAGTAATGATCACATTTCATCCAAATATAAAGTAACTTGAATCATAATATTTGAAAATAATGATATACAGATACAACTTAGGATGATTGTTTCCTTAAGAATGGTCAAAGAGCATTTGATTATGCAATCTTTTTATTGTTTGTTAAAAATTTGAGTTGATCTTTGACGAACAGAAAGAAAAAATAAAATAAAGAACCATGGATGTATTTACATAAAACTATTATTAGATGATCATGATTAATCATCAAAGAGAAAATATGGGAAAATAAAAGTGGATGAGATCAGTAAAAATGGATGAGAATAGTAAAAGTAGATGAGACTGTTTAACACCAAACAAAAAAAAAAAAAAAAGAAAGAAAATCAATTATCCAAGGATGTTCTTGACATATCAATCATTATTCAATATGATTGGAACATGGACCAAAAAAAAAAAAAAAAGATGACTAGATATCCTTGTATGCAGATCAAGAAATAGCTATTTGACAACATTTGTGCAAATTTTCCTTGAAAAACATCGACCCACTAATATAATTTCTTTGATTAAAAGAAATTCTAACATGTAAGCAGTTGACCACAAAAAAAATCATGCACCAAATTGAAAAAGTATCGGAACGGAGAGTGAATTCATCAATATGAACAATATTGGATTCAGTGATTTCATTTGTGGAAAAAAAAAGTGGTTCCTTGAAAGGATAATGAATCTTTGTTTTGAGCCAATCGTACTTCAGCAATCAATCCAAACAATAAAATATTCATTGTTAAAGTATACAGCATAATGACAAAGTTCTAAGAAAACATTTCCTTCTATTTTAGAGTGATGTATTCAAATATCGAATATGGTTGGAATATGAAGGTTTCTTTAGTGTAACGAAGAGTAATGAAAACGTGACGCATACCCCCCCTTCCAAACGTCGTTTTTAAGAAATCACGCACAAACCGATATTTTCTCTTTTTCCTTTTTTTTTTCTTTTATCTACTTTTCTTTTTCCCTTATAACTACTTTCACTTTTCTTATAAAAGAATATGTCAGTAGTTTCTGCTCAAAGTAAGAGATCCACTCGACCACCTTCTGCGCCGGGACAAGATGACTTGTTATCTGTTTCAAGTCGACAAAGACAATCCAAGAAAGATGAAGTAAAACCCAACCTCTTTCTTCTTTTTTTTTTTCCCACTTTTATCAAAAAACAAGGTTATTATTATTATTATTATCTAATATATTTTATTATTACTATTATTATTGTTCTATTGGACATTAGGCTATCCGAAAAAAAATTGAAAACGAATTGAGTAAAAAACGTTCTACGTCTACGAAACTTAAACAACAAGGAGGTCCTAGTAATAGAAAGATAGCAGGCACTGTATCTGCCCTGAGGCCAGCTCAAGCCTTGACCATACGTGAACATATCTTGGTGATTGAAGCTGCTCAATTAATGGCTGCCAAACGCAGTGATTGTGTTCTTGTAGTAGATGATGAAGATCACCTTAGTGGAATTTTTACGGCCAAGGACTTGGCCTATCGTGTAGTAGCTGAGAACCAAGATGCTCGAGCTATCACTGTCTCTGATATTATGACCCATAAACCTCTTTGTGTGACCGCAGACACAAGTGCTCAGGACGCTTTAAATTTGATGGTGTCTCGTGGTTTCCGTCATTTGGTATACATATTTTACTTATTTTTTTTTAAAAAAAAATCTAATACTTTTTCTTTTATTATTATTATTATTTAGCCTGTTTGTAATGAAGAAGGTGATATTTTTGGATTATTGGATATCACTAAATGTCTATATGAAGCTTTGAACAAGATGGAAAGAGCGTATGGTTCTTCTAGAAAATTATATGATGCCTTGGAAGGAGTAGAAAGAGAATGGGTGAATAGTCCAGTTCAATTTGTTGCGTATATGGAAGCATTACGTGATAAAATGTCTTGCCCTGACTTGTCTAGTGTATTAGATGATCCTCATCAACAGGATGCTGCCGTACAAGTCCCTGTGAAAGCTCAAGTTCGTGATGTAGCCAAACTAATGAAGGATTATCATACTACAGCTGTTCTCGTTATGGATCATGGTGGATTGGCTGGTATTTTTACAACGTGAGTTTGATTTTAGTGCACTTTTGATTGATAGATGAAAAGTAATGGTTGATTGACTGATTCTTTTTTTTTTTTTTTTTTTACGTTTAGCAAAGACATTGTACGAATCCACAGAGAAAGAAAAAAAAAAGAGTTTATTTATACTAATGATAATTTGGTGATCGTTTTATAGGTATTACGAGTCATTGCTGCTGGTCTACAACCTGATAATTGCTCTGTAGTAAGAGTAATGACACCTCATCCACGATGTTGCTTACCAACAACCACCATACTTGAAGCCTTAAAGATCATGCACGGTAAGCAAGATGATGAGAACCAATACATATATATAAGCTTTTTTTTTTTTTTTTTTTTTTTGAAGATGGCCACTTTTTGAATTTACCAGTGGTTGATGAAGACAAACATATCATTGGCTTGGTGGATGTACTCCGACTGACATATGCTACCTTAGAACAGGTAAAAAAAAAAAAATTATAAATACATCTTGTTCACAATGTTTTCTTTTCCTTCAAATAGATTAATAGTATCGAAGGGAATGATACCGAAGGTGGTGCAAGTAAATTTTGGAATAATATTGCCGCAGCTGGGGATCATACAACCGTCAATGAATCAGACTCTGTCATCTCAGATTCGCTTTCGCAAGCAGCAAACTCACATATGTTTCGATCCCCATCAGCTACACCACAACCCGACATGCAACATCATTCATCCTCGTCACCATATGCAGGTCATCGAGATCCTACTGATGATATTGATATGCTAGTTCAACCTGGGGACAGTGCATCTATGCTAAACGGTAATAGAGATGATGCAGGATCGGTTGTTTCGTCTACTGTGTCTGCAGCTATAGGTACCTTCTCATTCAAATTCAATTATGGTTCAAAAACCTATCGCTTCCGTAGCAACGATCATTCCTTTGGTGACCTGAAAGCAATAGTAAGGCAAAAGATCATGGTGGATCATCTATCTTTATCGCAATCCTATGTGAATATCCAGAAATCAACAAAAGATATCCATGTTGATGGGGATGATAATAATAATGACCAACAAGAGATTGACCAAGAGGACGATTCCTGGCTGACTATTTCATATGTGGATGATGAAAATGATCAAGTGCTTATGACAACAGACGCTGATGTACAAGAGGCTGTTCAATTGACCAAGAAAATGGGACGTGATCGTGTGAGATTGTTTGTTCATGATACTCTGATGGACAGTGTACCTGAACCTCCTTCTGCTCAACCCACTGTACAACAATCAGTATCGCCCCCATCGTCTCCACCAGCCATAGAAATAGCATCTCCATCGGATTCAATGGATAAAGATACAGATACCGCTCATACTTCTTCCAATCAAGGTGTCCCCAACAAACGGAAACAAAAGAAAGGAAAATCATCAATACGTAAAACTACGGATGATGAAACAGATGATGATACTGATACGGAATCAACAAAAAGAGACTATGCAAAGGAATTCAATCTGCCAATTCCTCAGGATTTGTTACTCCCTGCTGCTGTCACCTTCTTGGGTGTCGTTATATTGGGTGTATTTGCCATTTCTAGATTGACTGGAAACTCCTCTAATTCAAGATATTAAAACTAATCAAACTAATTTTATGAATAAACGCTCTAGTTCTCCACTGGAACTTCTTTTTTTTTTTTTTTTTTTTCAAAGTGGAAGGTTTATTTTTATTGATTGGTGTGAATGACGATGGATGATAAACGGATAATGATGAGAGAAAAAAAAAATATAAAAGTGAAAAGGTAACGACGTCAAGTTGAATATATTTTCAATGTAAAGTATATAACAAAAGTCATTTTTATTAATTAATAAACATTCGTCATGAAAGAAAAAAAGATAATAAAACTATGTACATATAAATACAATATAAAAATAATAATTTGAAAGGGGGGGATATTATTATTGTTCAATGTCATTTTCTATCTCTACATGAGGATTATATGCAAGGTATTGACCAAAGATAGTAGCATCAAAACAAAGTGTACCAGCACTTCCCAAAAGATAAGGCACGGCCTCTAACATGGATTTACGAGTAGCATGAGGATTGGTAAAAATACTCAATACATAAGTCAAGTTACCACATGCAGCAAAAAAGAAGAGAGCCATTGATAATCCTTCCACTGACCGGCGTTGGAAATTCTTGATGATTTGAGGTAAACGAGATGATAAGTATAAAAAGGTACAGACCCATGCAAAGAATCTCCCCATCCATAACATTTCATCGTCGTTATCTATATTCGTCATCCAATATGTCATGCTGTCATTCGTGTCATCATATGATACCACAGTAGGTGATACAAATGATGATGTAGTGAGATTGGTGGTATTCAGGGTTGTATAATAAAAACCGAATAAACCCAACATCATCAGTGTTTTTGTGCTTTGATAAGAAGATTTACCCTTGTGATCATTTAGTAAATGAGTCTGTTCAGTAGTATTGTGATTGAGTATTGGACTGGCTACAGTACCATCATGTGCTGATGTAGTAATCTTGATTTCTTCACCATTTCTACTATGTATCCAGCGTCGAAGTCGATTGTCGGAAAATTTCACATAATAAAGGTATTGGAAACATAAAATGGTATCAATGATGATGAAGTATATAGACAAATATAACTGAAATGGTAATTGATGAGTGGCGATGCATCCGATAAAATTGGCAATGTCCCCTTAAAAAGGTAAAAATAGAAAAATGTTATTTTGCTTTGTTTACATTTGTTTTTTTTTTTTTTGTTTTTGTTTTTTATGTTATTTTACCAGTGAGCCAAACAGTTAAGAATGAAAATGATAATGATTCAGCATCTCCCAATCTATAATTCTTAATGACTTGACTATAATCAATCAGAAGAAAAAAAATAATCTATATTATTAGTATGATTTCTTTTTTTTTTTCTTTATATTGATAATTATAATAATAAACTTACGGCATTTGAGCATTTAACCAACAAAATATAGATAGATATCCAAGTAATAAACTAATACATTCCTGCCATCCATATACACAATCCCCAAACAATGAATAAATCCATTGTATATAAGGTAACCCATCTACTACTGGCGTACAAGTTTCTGTTGTGATGCTTACTACTGCTGATGGTAACATGTTAGGTATATGCTTGTATTATTTAATAAAATCCAATAAAGAAAAAAAAAAAGAAAAAGAGAGAAACGATATAAAAATTGACTAAAAAAAAAAAAGAAGAGGAAAAGAAAATCAATTCTATTAAATAGTATTTCGAAAAAAGAAAAAAATAGATTATATGGTCTGCATTTCCGGAGTTGATTTTGATAAATCAAATCTTTTTGGATTACTATATTTGGAGAAGAACATATGATGATCCAATCAGCATCCATGTTACCATGTCTACATCTGGAATGATTTTCTTTTTTTTTTTTACCCCATAATATCAGTATCCTCAGGTCACGCGACTAACAATTGAGTTTCTTTGGTTTCCCTTCAATCATCCTTCCGATGTTCCCTTTTATCTCCAAGAAAGGAGTGGGGGGAACAGATAAGGGGTAATTTTAGAAGAAAAGGAGAGAAGAAAAGGAAATTTCCAACTCAAATCTATACATCTCACTCTAATTACCTTATAAGGTGACTTCTCACCAAGATGAAGTTAAATAGTTGAATTTTTGTTTGTTATGCCGATCTACGTGTAATATTCTCTTTTTCTCACTTTTTTCACTCACATGTTTTTTTTTTTTTTAATAATAATATTCGAATAGCAGGATTTGAATAGGTTGTAACTAAAAATCATTTAAGGATGACTGGATCCTTTAACAACAATAAATGTATTAAAATATATATGCACATTGGAAATCATTTTGTTTCTTTTATACACCCTATTTTTTTTCTTGATTATTATTTTCTTGGTAAGTTATGTTCTTATCTTATTTGGATACAAGGAATAATGGTCTTCTTCTTTTCCTTATAGCCAATGATGAATGAAGGGAAGGACACTTGACCAATTAAAATTCCGCTAATTCATGAAAAAAGCAACAACTCTGGTCCCACTTGTTTTTCTTCTCTTTATTCTTTCTCTTCTCTTTTCATATATATATATATTTACAGCATGACTGGTAAAATAACATTTATCAAATAATAATAACGATATCAAGTCTTACAAACACAAAAGATACAATATAAAAAAAAAGAAGCTAATGTTTTATGTATTTTTAATTTAGATACTGTCGTTGCCCATCACGACTATGAAGCTCAGCAAGATGATGAACTTTCCTTTGTTGCTGGTGATATCATCAAAGTGACTGATCACTCCAATACTGACTGGTGGTTGGGAACTAAACAAGATGGTTCTTCTGGTTATTTTCCAAGTAACGTATGTATATTTATTTTCAAAAAAAAAGAGAAACTATTCATTTACCTTTCCCTTTCTGTTTTGGTTATAGTTTGTGGATGCAGCTGTTGAAAAAGATGATAACAAAGTTACTTCAACACCTATAACAACTGAACAAGAACCAAAACAACCTACTACTGTTGCCAATGATGTTGCTACTGAACAAAAGGACGAAATAAAAGGTATATACTACTTTCTTATTACTAGCTCTCTTTTTTACTCAACCATTTTCTATAACCTTAATATAGAACCTCAACAACAACAATCTATCGGTATGGCACGTGTCATGGAAGATTACGCTATGCAAGAAGATGATGAATTAACTTTACACAAGGGTGGTATTGTGGTTCTTTATGAACGATCGGATGATGGTGTATGGCTTAAAGGGGAAATCAATGGAAAACAAGGTCGATTTCCTGCCAAGGTAATGAAAATGAGGATGAATTCATTAATGATGCGGAGGTTTAATATTCACTATTTTTGGTTTATAGTATGTCGAAGATATTGATATGCCTGGAAGACCTGATCTTGGTGTTGGCCATGGTGAATCTACGAGTGGTGATTCTACTGAAGGGACAAGTAATATATATATAAAAAAAAGAAAAAGAAAATACTGATGTCCATTATTATAAATATATATATAGGCAAGGCTGGACCTCCTGGTGGGTTCAAACTGGCTGCTTTTGGTGTCAAACAAGGCGGTATTGGAAGTGTATTAGCTGGTGGTTTTCCAACTTTGAAAAAAACAAGTACAAGTGCTCCCAAAGCTCCTACAAATGATCATGAAGAAACATCTACTACTACTACGACTCAACCAACTGCTCAACCTACTGATCAAACTATAAACGAACCTATGGCAAAAGCAACCTGTAAGTTTTACTGAAAAATAAAAACGAGAAGGATATCACATTTACTGAAACTTTCGTCATGCAAATTAGTGGGCAAGGCTATTGTTCTTCATCCTTACAATGCAGAAAATCAAGATGAACTGAATCTGATTCGTGGTGAATATATTGAAATTTTGGACCGTAATGCTGATGAAGGATGGTGGGAAGGAAGAAATGAAAAGAATCAAACTGGTGTATTTCCCAGCAATTTTGTCAAGGAAATCGAACATGATCAACAAGCCCCTCCTCCTCCTGTTCGATCTCGAAAATCTGTTGCTTCTGTTGGTGCTGCCACTGCTTCTCCAATCATTCCTTCTGAATCAAGACCTTTTTCTACACCCGCATCATCTCTTCAACGATCTGATCTATCATCGCGCGTCGTTCCTCCTCCCATTCAACGATTGCCACCTCTTCCTGATTCTCAACCTAACCCTGTCACTTCTCCCACGGCATCATCTTCCGAAGGACATCAAAACGACAATGAAGACGAAAAAGAAACTATCAAATCATCCAAGGATGAGAAGGAAAAACCATCTCCCATCACACCAACCATTACTGAAAATCAAAAGACAAATCATGGCGATAATGATTCATTTGAATTTGAAGGTAATAATTAAAAAAAGAAGTATGGTTGAAATTATTTATGGAATCTTAATCATCATATCATTTTATAGGCACTCCTGTTGGTGACTCTCAAGATATCAATGTGGATGAACCTACGACAACAACGACTACCAACACTTCTCATGCTGTTGCCAATGTTGATAAACCGGACCAAGAAAAATCATTATCTTCTTCATTACAATCACCACGATCCCCTGCTAAGGAAGAAAGTACGGAAGAGCAATCTGTAGTTACAGAACAAGAACAAAAGGAAACAGTGGAACAACCCCAGCAACCTGTGGAATCTATTGTGGAGGAAGAAAAGGAAAAGGAACAACTGGAAATACCTGAGAATACCACCAATGTTTCACAAGTGAAAGATCAAGATGACCAACCACAACAAGAGAAAGATGAAACAACCTCGGATATCAAGGACATATCTTCTTCTACTACTACTACTACTGCTGCTGCTGCTGCTGCTGCTGCGCCTGCCTTGGAGAAAGAGCCACAAACAGAAGATGAGGTTACTAACATTTTGGAAAAAGAACCAGCAAACATTGAAACTACAAACAACGAAGAAGAAATCCCAAAGAAGAATATTGACTTGGCAGAGGCTTTACCTACTAGTGGACCTCGATTGACTTTACCCAGTCGTACTAGTCGACCTAGTAATCGTGCCAGTCCTCGACGACCTCCTACCAATACCAATGATAGTCCTAGTCAAACTGAACTTTTACAACAAGAACTGGAAAAGGTAAGAAAAAAGAAAGTATTAGGAAAATAAACATCTTACCTAAAACTATATATATATATATATTGTATTGTTTAGGCTCCTGAAGAAGAGAAGCCAGTGGATCAATCTTCACCTTCTTCACCACCTCCAAAACCAATCAAACCCATCTTTGCCAAATTCCCTACACCTTTTGCTATGGGAGGAGAGGGCATCTCGGCCAAGAATTTGAAGCCTGTACAAAGACGAATGTTTGAACCTGCTCCAGCCCATGAATCGACTGTGACCACATCCAATGATGATGATAAGAATGAAGAACCTCGACCTACTGGTGGTGTTCGCGGTTTGGCGTCTCGATTTGCTGGCATTCCTCCTAGTGGTGGTGGTAATGAAGTATTGGAAACCAAATTGAAGAATTTTACCAAGAATGAGGTGGACAAAGTACGCAAGGAATTTGAAAAGACACTATCTGAAGAAAGAGCAAAACGTGAAGCATTGGAACAATTGGTTAACTCTTTGGTGGAAACTATTGATCAATTACAAAAAGGTTCTTTATGATAATTAAGGATTCTAGAATGTAAGCCTTTTTTGATATTCTTTTTCTTTTTTTTTTTTTTATTTTTAGTATGAATAGGATTAGAATAGAAGGTTTTTTTTTTATTTTATCCAATAAACAAACAAACAAACAAAAGAGACATTGTATAATTGTTGTCATTTGTCTAAAGGCATAGAATTCATCAGGGACAGACTTTTTATTATTTCAAAAGATTTGACCACACCCACATATATATATATATGTATATATATATATATATAGAGTTTACATGCGTCTGATACGTTCCTACATAAATATACCAATTTTTGTTTCACACTGAATAACAATTCTTTATTTGTATCAAAGAAATGATATACAAAAAATAATAATAAAAATAAAAATAAAAGAGGCTATTTGATTATCCAACTGCCCAAAAAGACAATTATTCACCATATCCATCGATGAATTTATTTTCCACGGTCTTCATCCAATCAGAACGAAAGATAAGTTCAGTCTGGAATATCCATTTTGGGATAGTTGGAAATGTCACTCAGGATTTAAGAATCCAACACGATAACGTTTAAATTCATCATCATGAGCACTCTGTGTTTTCTCCAATAAAAAGACCAAAAAAAAAAGGAATAAATGCTAATTTATTAGCAGTAACAAGAAGAAGAAGAAGAAGAAGAAAAGTGATTTATTTTGATTGTATTACTTTTTTTTTGATATTATTTAAGGCATTGGAGTCTTGATAAACAGGGCATCAGCTGCCAAAATAAAAATAAAAGAGAATAGACCGACGAATCGGGATAGCTATTTCCCACGGTTTGCTTAATAGATTTCGTACTAATCTCACTTTGAAAATTTCCCGTCTTTATTGGCAAGTGTCGCTGTCATTTAAAAATAAAAATATTTTTTCCCTTTTTTTTCATTTTTTTTTTTTCATTCTTTCATTTCTTATCACTCTATTTTTTTTTTTTTTTTTTTTTTTTTTACAAATATAATGACTTTATATGATTTAACTAGTGATACCGCCACTCAACCTACGGATGAGATGTTTGATATCATGAAAACGGCTTCTAGAGGGGATGATGTATTCTCAGTAAGTGAATAAAATATGTCGATCAAATAAAATGCAGAAATCACAATAATCGATAACACGTCATTTCCATTTATATAGCAAGATACCTCAGTTCATGAATTAGAACAATATATGGCCGATTTACTGGGTCATGAAGCCGCCTTATTTGGTACATCAGGTACAATGACTAATCAATTAGGATTACGTTGTTGGTTACTTCATCCTCCTCAATCTGTCTTATGTGATTCTCGTGCTCATGTTCATGTGCATGAATGTGGAGGTATTGCTTATCATTCTCAAGCTGCTGTCACTCCTGTGATTGCCTCCAATGGTATTTATTTAACTAAGGAAGATGTGGAAGCTCATATTAGTACTGATACCCTTTGTGGTGCTCCAACTAAAGGTATTAAAAGGAAAAAAAAAATAAGATGATTATATAAACTTTCCTTTTTTTTTTTATGTCTAGTGATTTCTCTTGAAAATACATTAAATGGGACAATCATGCCAATTCATGAAATTCAAAGAATCAGTGAACTTGCCCGTTCTCGAGGTATCAAAATGCATTTGGATGGAGCTCGATTATTTGAAGCATCACAAGCCACGGGTGTAAGCATGAAGGAATATGGTCAATGGTTTGATAGTGTATCTGTATGTCTATCCAAAGGAGCGGGTGCACCTATCGGATCTATCTTGGTAAGCAACAAACAAACAATCCAACATGCTCGTCATCTTCGCAAATTGATGGGAGGTGGTTGGCGTCAGGCTGGCATGTTGGCCAAAGCGGCTCTTCATTGCATCAAGACTGTTGTGCCCACCATGCCACAGACTCATCAGTTGACACGTCGCCTGGCTGATGGCCTTGTCGATCTTGGCTTCAAACTTGTTGTGCCTTGTCACACCAATATGTTGTTCATCGATTTCAGCCCTCTCACTACCGCCACCATCGCCGTGCCACTTTTAGAACAACATAATATCAAGATCTCAAATACCCCAGGGTCCTCATTGTGTCGTATCGTTTTACATTATCAAATCACTTCCGACGTTGTCGATCGTTTCTTATCTCTTGCCACTGATTTGGCGGCTAAACATAAAATTACCCCTTCTGGTGATAGTGCTATCTGTTCTCGTTCTTCTTCTGTAGTCAGTTCTGTTACTGATCTTTCTAGTGCATATCCTTCTGTTCAATAATTTATAAATACTTTTTATATATAATAATAAAAAATCATCACGTTTCATTTTAATGTTTTTTTTTATTTATTTAAATAAGGAAATAATGACAATAAAAAAAAAAAGAAAAGAGGAAAAAAAAAAAGAAGAATGATGATGAGGGAGGGGGGGATTTTTCTATTCTATTGACTACTTGTATCTACAATAACAAATTTACTTGCTTTCTTGGAGGATGAGGTGTTGTCTTGTGATTGAGTTGCTGAAGGTTTGAATTTAGCTTCTTCTAAAGCAATACTTTGTTTTTCCAATAACTTGTAAGGTTTTCGATTCAATACATTGGCAGCATCCTATTCAAAATAAATAAATAAATATTGAGTTTGATGACATCCTTAATTTTTTTTTTTTTTTTTTTACCTTGGAAGTGAATTCAGCATCTTCTTCTATCAACTTGAATCTAGGTTTACTGACATTGGGGAAAATATCAATTAATGGTTCTTGCAATAAAACGGCAGGTTGATCAGCACCCATATATTGTTCCATGCCTTTGGTGAATTGACGTTGTAAAGGAATACCCTAAAAAAAAGTATTTTATTTAGAATTCAATTTATATTTAACTATATAATATATTTTACTTACTGAAGCTTCCATTTCTTTTTCACTTGCTTTCAATTTCAAAATAGCTTCTACACGTTTTAAAGAATATCCAAATTTACCAGCCAATTGTCGAATAGTCCATACTTCAGGATCAGATACATACAATTGATAGATTTCTTCACGTTTGGCGTCAGAAAGAGGAGGTCTAGGTTGAAAAAGTGGATTCTTAGGGAAAGGCTAAAAATAAAAATAAATAAAAATAAAAATGAGTAGTCTATTAATTAATGAATATAATTCATATATTTACTGTCATGCCAAGATAATTGGTTGTGCCTTCAGCAGGTCTTGTATATCTACTTCCAATAGATTGAGCCCATTCATGGAATCGTCGTCTTCTTCGAGAAAGTTTGATTGGTTCTTGTTGTTGTTCTTCTTCTGATTCAATAGTATTATTATCTTGAGTTTCTTGTGATAATCTTAATAAAGTTGTACTAAAAGTTCGATGTTGTGTATGAATGAGTGTTTTCACTCTAATAGGTTGAAGAAAAGAACGAAGCATATGGAATAAATGAAAAAAAAAAAAAAGATAAAAAAAAAAAGAAAAAGAAAAAAGAATTCTCTTCTCTCTCTCTCTCTCCCCCTTGTTCAGCTGGCTGAGAGAGGAAAAGAGTAGTAAACTTTGTGCTGTGTAGGAAATTGAAACCAAGCCACTTTAATATTATTATGATGATTTATTATAATTTTCTTTTCTTGTATCATCACCATCAAATCCTTTCAAAATTTAAATAATAAATTTTTTTTTAAAATTGTATTTTGATCAAAATGAAATAAAATAAATAAATAAATAATAAAAAAAAAACAAGTTTATATTATATATAAAATGGCTACGCTTTTTTATTTTTATTTTTTTTTTTTTTTATTATTTTATAACAAAAACCTTGGGCTGAAGAACTCTATTGATTGGCTAAGCTCAAACCTCCGCTGGTTTCTCTTTTCTTTTTTCTTTTCTTTTTTTTTTTTTTTTTTTACTTCAGTTCCCTTTTTGAATAGAACCTTGTCCTTTTTTTTCTTAGTATAACTTCCCTTAACTATCTCTTCCTTTATTCTCTTATATAAAAAAGTCTCCATCTCCATCTTTGTGTGATTAAACTCATTTTGTGTGGGGTATTCTATCTTTCTCTCTCTCTCACTCTCTCTCTCTCACACTCTCTCACTCTCTCACTCTCATACATACACACGAACGCACACACACATACACATTCTTTTCCTTTTTTTTTTTATTTTTATTTTTTTTTTTCCATCTATTCAATTACATCATATATCTATTCTATATTAGATATAACTCTCCTCTTATATACCTCTTTTAGATCTCTTGTTTATTTAAAACAAAAAAAAAACTTATTTATTCAACATATGACAATATTATATTAATCATGTCACAACATTCAATATTCTTCTTATTATTACTATTATTACCTTTATCACATCGACAACGACCACGAAACAAAACTATCATCTACAATCATTATTATTATTATTATTCAATATTATTATTATTATTATTACCTTCATTAGTATCAACTCAATCAATTATCAATAATGGATGTATTTCCTTATCAACTTCAAAAGCCTGTCCTTCATACAACAAATATTATATTGGCGTTCCAGTATTAACAAGATATGGTCTCAATCCAAACCTAACTACTATTGACGAATTTGACCAAGGTGTAAACTATTATACTACAAGTGCTTATAGCTATGTCAACAGTTTGGAATGTTTTTCAGCTTACACCAATACCTCCAACCTCACCTTTCCTTATGCTCGTTATTCAAAAACTCGTTTTTGTGCTGCTTTGGTACAAGACTCTGATTCATCTTTACCTTGCAATTATAAATATAATGTGAATCCTATGCCTTTATGTCAATCTACTTGTCATCTATGGTTAAATAGTGTAAAAAATATTGTAACTGATAACATTACTGCCTGTCCAAATCAAGGTTCAATGACTGAAGATTTTCCTAATCTTGCTTCTTCTTGTGATTATTGGGCTGGTTATAATGGTACTACTGGAAATTGTATTGATGGTACTGTTAATGAACCAAATTATTGTGGTAAGTTATATATATATATATATATATATATATACAACAAGAAACTCAACTTTTTTTTTTTTAAATTTAGGATTCAATGATACCGATGGTGCATGCGCATATTGTCAAAAGAATGGTACTGATACTTGTTGTCAAACAATATCTTCATGTCCCAAACAAGGTGGTTTATCAGTAGGTGCAATCATTGGAATAGTGGTAGCAGCTGTGGTGATGATGGTATTATTGGGTTTGGCATTCTTTTGTTTCTGTTGTAAACGACAAAAACGAATTCGAAAAGAAAACAGTTTCTCTTTCAAGACATATATTCCTCCTCAACAACATCAATCAACAGTGGAAGAAACTGATCAATATTCAGGGAATAAGGTATTACTTCAAGATGATGATCCAATACGAGGTACAACTATGGCTACAGCTCAAATGATGACTGGCACTATGAATTCAAATGGAACTCGACATACTCATCAAAGTCATTTATCCGATCCTTTTGGTGATCATTATGAAGTCATTTCATTAGCCAATAATGCTACAACTACTACAAATACACCTACACCTACAGCATCAACGTCAGCTACTTTGATTCCCACAACAACAACATCTGGAGCTTTGGTTTCTTTGGATACAAATCCTGTCACAGCATCTACTACTCCACCACCAACAACAACAACAACAATTGAAGATGGAGAACCAGCCTATGAAGAAGAATTTTACAAAGTGATACATCCTTATCCCCCTCAAGTCAATGATGAATTAGGATTACAAGTGGGTGATATTGTATGTTTAGCTATGGGTTTTGATGATGGTTGGGCTTTAGGTTTCAATGTCACCACTGGTATGAAAGGTGTATTCCCATTAGTATGTGTCTCTCTTATTCCTCCTTCGGTTTTGGAACAATTATTGATCTCCTCCAATGAAGAAGATGTGACAAATGATGGTGTTGGATCTTTTTCATCCAAAGTATTAGTAGAAGAAGATGATTCAGTATTCGATCAAGGCAACAACAACAATAATAGTAATGGAAATTCATCACGATTATCAAGATCTTCACAACTTGCTATTAGTATACGAAGGATTCGTGAAGATATGCGACGATCTATGAGTTTATCTTCATCTACTACAACATCCACCAATCATCATCATCATCATCAACCTTCTCCACTTTCCGCCAACAATAGCATTTCAAGATCATTCAAAGATCATTTATCATCACCCTCACTTTTATCACATCAAACAACAGCAGCCAATATTCCAAGGCGGACAGCAAGTAGAGGACGATCGTCTCATAACAACAATAATAATATTGCAACAAGTACCAATTATGCTGAATGTGATAGTCCTACTTCACCGACACATCAAACTCCATTATTTAATGACACCAATCATCATTTACATCAACCTTCTTCTCCAATCACCAATGGTATGGAATCCTTTGAAATGTATCATCAGCATCCAAAACAAGAATCATCAGTGTAGTTTTTTTTTTCTTCTTATATATATATATTTATATAGTATTGTTTATTTTGATCTTCATTTTTTTTCTTTTCAATCATAATAAAACCATCATTTGATTCTCCCTCCCTCTCTCTCTGTGAAATAAACTGTATTACATTTTTTTCGTTTAAAAGACGAATTGCAAGAGACTCTTCATATGACCAATATATCTACATGATAATTAAAGATATGAATATGAAATAAAAACAAGAATGTTCATCATCAATAGAGATTTCTAATGAGCTTTCAAATGATATAAAAAAATAGACAAATCGAAAATACGATGAGACCGTTGGTAGTGTTTTTATTTCAATTAGAATTGAATGAGAAAAAAAAAAAAAAAAGAAAAAAAAAAAAAAAAAACTATTCTTAAATGACGACAAGCTGAGATATTTTAGTTACACAATATTATCAGTCTAGATACGACACCCTCCTTTGTTCATCCCCAGAGACATTTTCATGAGCAATCATGTTGAGAGCACTCTTTCTATTGGTGTGAGTCGCCTTTGACGAGTGGATGCCCACTTTTTTAAACTCTTTGACGTAAAATTTGTGTTGCGTGTGATAATTAAGGCCAGTAAATCTATCTTTTTTTATAAAAAAAAGTATTGTACCAACCGGATCGTCTTGTGAAATCAGGCAATTGTTCATTTTCATAATGGAATCTTGAATAAAGATACAGCACGAGACCTCCAATCGAGCACAATCGAACATCCTTGTGCCTTACGGCTGCACCGTACTGGGTTTTACCAAACTGATCGGCTTTACCAAAATCAATCGTGGCGACTAACGCCATAAGAAGAGCGATCTCTTCGTTCGCTATCTTGAGGCTGAAGAGATCAGGTAACTGTAATCCAAGAATAGTTTCGCTTCGACAGAGCGTCAAATGGCTTACCAAAAAGCACACACGATTACGGCAGCCAACGCTATTATTCTTTTCCTTCATGAAATATTCATTGATCTTTAAAAGCTCTTCTTTTGAATATCCATCATTGAGAATATTCTTGCCACGATCTTTGAATCTAATGCATGTCCTCTCCAAGGCGAGATTTTTTTTAAAAAAAAGATTTTACTAAAGGGCCACGAGGATGTGAGTTAGCGTCTAAACCAGGAGCCTTTTATGTGTTATACAAATCGACCGCTGCTTTAACATAAGGATCGATTGATTCCTCCTTTAATGGAATTGGGGTGCCATCCACATTCCGCTTTCGCTTTTGCCCATGCTCCATGAGATATCCAGTTAAAAAAAAAACATAACTTTTCATCACTGATAATATCACCATCTTTGAACCCCTTTTCCCTACAACAATCCTAATAAAAAAAAAAAGATAGTAAAGAATTAATAAATAACGCGTAAAAAACGAAAATAAATCAATCAACCAAACATCTACAATACATACTACTAACAAATCATCCATCATCCATCATCTATCACCTCATATCGTCCATCACTACATATCATCCACCATCCATCATCGGTCATCCATCGTACTGTAAATCAAAAAGAAAGATTTCATAACTGCCATTCCTTTTGTTTCGTTAAATAGTTTATAATTGTGTTGATCGGACGTTGTGCCCGCTTTCTTGTCAATGTCATTTCATTTTGATACTTCATTAATGTGTGGACATCAATTGTCTTGTTGGATTTATTGATCATCCATGATTACGTATATATGTATACGGAATAAAAATAAAAAAAAAAGAAGGTAAAGAAATAAAAATAAAAAATAAAAAATAAAAAAAGAAAGAAAAGGGAGTTTTTTTTTTTATTTATTTTTCAAATCATCAAGATGAGCATATGAAGTGGAGAGAAAAGAGACATCATCTATCCAAATGGTATTAACAGTAAGAAAAAATTTTGAAATTGCCCTGAGCGGAGATTTTGTCATCAAAAGGGGTCAACTTTTTACTGCTCCGACATTTCATCATCATTATCGCAAAAATTGATCGACTTTTTTTCCTGTCGACTTTTACCCAACCTTTCCTCTTTGTTCCAAAGTTACCTGATGCCACGATATCTCAGCAATCCATCATTACAGGCATCAGGAGTATCTACGACAAAGAAATGGTACAAGTTACCTTATATCTTTTACAGTTGTATTTGTTTTGGTATTCTCTTTTATTCTTTCCGTTACCTTCGTATATTAACTACTTCACCGCCATCAAAACCTTTAAAGATCATTCAAGAACATGTTGATTATATGGATACAACTCAATTATTGAAAAACGATAAATTAGATGCTCTCTTATTTCAAGGTATATCTATCACTATATACCCACCATACATCTTGAAAAACTGACAACATTTTTTTTTTTTTTTTTTTTTTTGTATATAGATGCTAATCCAACTTTTTCAAGGAACTATGGCCATTCTTATCAACAACTCGACCAGCTTACTAAGGAATCCACAATATCTTCTCTTACTATAACAGCTCTTCTTCATGCTACTCCTACACCATCATTTTATACTCAACTATCTGCCGTTGTTAATCAATCCTCTCCACCTACTGTTATTTGGTTAGTATGTTCACAACAAGATCAAGTCATTCTTCGACAGCATACACAAGCAATGACAGGTAAAGCCAACATTCACTTACTGATGATGCAACAAGATCAGAACAAGAGCGAAGCATGGATGGCGTTCGCTTTACAAACCGATACTGATTATGTTTGGATACTGGATGATATCGAACACCCTGCTCCTGGACAACATTATTTGGAACGACTTTTGAAACTTTCAACAACCTCAGCCTATCGAAATACATTATTGGGTACTCAAGCTCTGGATAGGGATACTAAACAGCAACAGCAGTGTGTTGAAACGAGTGACAATGACTTTCTTTCTCGATCTGTCAATACCATTAGCGGGTTATGGTTACTTCATCGATCATGGCTTACACCTCATCTTTTCCGCCATCCTACATTTTCTTCAGCGAAAAATATCAATCGTGGATTCTTATTTTCTCAATATCTCCATTCTGTCGGTATTACACCTGTTGCTTTGCCCTTAACATTGAAAGATAGTTCAGTATGGCATCATTCCTCCTCTCCTTCGTGTCCTACCACTGTCACTTTACCTTCTTCTTCTTCTTCTTCTTCTACTACTACTACTATTGGGTCCTCCTCTGTGGTCTTCTTGATCGATCATTTGGAACAATTACAAGAATTGGCGTCACTGATATGCCATCGACGAAATAATAACAACACTATGGACGACACACGATATGTTCAAAAGAGACATGTGTTGACATTATCTACCAGTTCAACCTTGACAACTTCCATGGTAGAAAATCAACTTTTACAATACGATCCTTCCTGTTCTGCAGCTTCTACCGATAATAATAATGATGATGATGGCACGTCTCTTACCATCCACAATGTAGATTGGTTACAAGATGTTAATGAACAAACAACATGGCACTCGGCACAGCGTCTCTTGCATTTACTTCCTGATGTCATGTCTTCTCTTGATGCTTCCGTCTTGATTCATACTTTAAGGCCTACAGACCCTATTTACAAAAGCTTGGCTTCGATGACATCGCTCACAGTCATTGGATTACCAGCAAGAGATATTCAATATGTTCAATGGATGATGGATTTACCCATGATAGCTTTGGAAAGTAAGTTTTATTTCTATTTCTATTTTTATTATCATGATCATTAATTAAATTAACGAATTGAATTCCTTTTTTTTTTTTTTTTTTTTTTTGTTTTTCAATAGGTTGGAACAAATTCCAGATACAATTGACGGTGATCACAGATAGAAACCCTTCAGGATTGACCAGATTATTACGTTCTATCACACGGGCACATTACATGGGAGATAAGGTGGATTTGACGGTAATTATGGATCAAAGCAGCGATCGTGTAACTCAACATTTAGTCAATGGATTCTCTTGGGAAGCTCATGGTGAAAAACAGATCCGGCATCGTATTGTCAAAATGAATCGAATGCCTGTGTTTGTGGAATCTTGGTACCCCAAAGATAGTTATGACGATTATTGTATTATCCTTGATGATGATTTGGATGTGTCGGATCTATTCTATATCTATGCCAAACAACTCCTTTTACGATATCGATATGGTACGACTTCTTCTTCTTCTACTACTAGATTGTCTGATTCAGTGATGGGGATTAGTCTATATACACCAAGGCTGATTGATTCGTATGAAGATGGTCGTCGATTATTTGATCCTCCCTCAACCATCACACATCCTTATCTAATGCAAGCAGTGACAAATGGTGGTACACTCTTTTTCCCCGAACATTGGCGTGAATTCCATGATTATCTGACCGCTCGATATGCAGACATCAAGAAGAAACAATTACAAACTATACATGTGCCTGGAGCACGATCTGGCAATTGGACTAATTCTTGGCGACGCTATATGGACGAAATGATGTATCTCAGAGGGTATGTGGTACTATATCCTTCGATGCCTCAAGGTAATAGTTTCAGTACTCTTTATCTTGATCTGAAGCACCATCATCCTACTGTTGATACCAACGAGAACAATGATGACGATCTTTATACAATGGACGAATCAATTCGATCATTATTCCAGACTCCTTTAGTATCAGCAACAAAACATCAATCATCATCATTATCCAGTCTTGATTGGACTCATTCTTTACCATCTGATGTGGAATCATTATCACTTTTTGATCTTTGGGGTACGCCAGTGACTTCTCATTCGATTCTTTTGGAACGTGGTTGGCTTCTTCAAAAAAGTGTATCAGCGTGTCCTCCATCCTCTTATCTTGTCTATGATCCTGCTGATTTATTATGTCCTTTTGCCCGTATTGTCGATATCCCTGTAGATGAGATGACCACCAGTGTTTTACCTACTCGTATAGCTACCCTTTATCTTACCAATCCTACTCCTTCATACTAGTTTATTTAGTTTGTTCATCCTTACTTTATATTATTTATTATTATTTATCATGGAATAAAGGTATACATATTTATTTTTTTTTTTTATTATCATCATCTTGGTTCCCCCCAAACAATCAAAAAAGATAAAAATGATCAAAAACAGTAAGAGATGTGAATCATACCCTATATCATCCTTGAATCCTTGTTTTTCATCATCGAGCATGTCAAGTTTTTTTGGATTGTCGGATCTGGTCATTCTCTTGCAATTCGATCTGTTGCCCAGGGAATGGTTTGCCAGTGCATCCATCGATGAAAATGATACGGCGTTTCATTCTTCCATTGTAACCTTTATGATCATACCTGTTCCAGTAAAGATTGTCATCATATGGGAATGATGATTCACTACAATCGTCGTTGAAAGATCCATATTTAGCTTCTGACATTTCTTTGTATATTCTATTGTAATTTCCATGTCCCCAATGATGTTCATCACTATCATCATCCAAAGTCCTGCCAATACCATCATTATCATCACTATCATCATGAGAAAAAAGAATCATGGGTCTAATGTCTCCTGATATGGATTGTTTTCCTGCGGATGGTGTTGTATTATTCGCACCACTATCTTTTCCTCCATGAATAACGATATGAGGATGTGTCTCGTCAGCAAAAGAGACACTTAGCAGGATAACTACAAGGAAAACTATCCGAAATAAGGTTAAGGACATGATGATGTTATAAACGCTAGGGAATTAGGACGAATAATTCTTAAATACTATCCACCAAAGCATTCTTCAAAAAAAAAAAAAAAAAAAAAAAAAAAAACTCTCCGATCTTGAACTGTTTTTCTTGTACGCACCTTAACGCCTTTTTTTTTTTTTTTTTTTTGACGTTGACCAGAGCAAGAGTGATGAAGATGATGATGATGATGATAATGTTTGATGTATGGATTCAGGTGTTATACTTCCCTAAGAAATAAAGGATCTCTTATGTCAAACAAGGGGTCGAAGCTCAATATTAAAAATTCAGGCACGAAGATGATCAATGAGAAGCGTAAAAACCATGCTATTCGCGTGCATCGCGATTGATTTTGGTACAAATGTTTTCGTTTTTATTTTATTTGCATGATAAGAAAACACCTAACTCCTGCAGATCAATTGGAAAAATCCAATATTCGTTGTGTAGATACAACGTATTGTGTTTTGTGAAATGCCACAGTCATATACAGGGCTCCTTTTTGTGAAAAGAAGAGAACATGCAGTCGTGAAGCAGGCATATACAAGAGGAGGCATACAAAGGTTGCAACAATTGATGTCATCCATGGAGTACTATATGATATCAGAAAATTCTGCGCATGGTACCGCATAAAAAAAAATACTATCCTCCATGATATGCTGACCAAGACATTGGCAGATCCTCGCCTTTATGAGCAATATGCATTTACTTGATGCGCAACATTTAAATCTCTACATTATAGACTATCTGATGGCAATGCAGTGCTGTACTTGTGTTTAAAAAAGTTTGTTGCTCTGACTCCTTTAAAAGATAAAATACATGTTCGTTCACATCCCAATTTTTTATCGATGGTGGCCCATTGGTAGAGACGTTCACTTTTTTTTTTTTTTTTTTTTTTTTTTTTTTTACCTTTGACACTACACTGGTGTCATTGTTGATGGCGTCCTTGTACCTTATAGGACATCTCAGGTAAAAGGGTTACTTTCAAAGGGATATTCATAGTTATAGCATATAGCGACCAATTTGGATATTTCTAATAAGAGCAATTTCAGAAAAGAAAAACTTACGGTATACTTGTATACAGACGTTGTCTAATGAAATTTACTTCGTCTCCTCAGCTGAACGATACAGCTAGTTGATATACTAAAGATCAATACAATGAAGAAAGACAACAGGCTTTGCATAAGTCCCTCTCTCTCTGTAGCACTAGCCAGAACGAAAATGGTAATTTCCTTTTTTTTTATTTTCTATTTTTTATTTATTTATTTTTTTTTTTTTTACTGTTTTTTTTATTTTTTATTTTTTTTCGTAAGAATTGGCGGAGAGGAATAGATAATTTGCATAATTGAATAATCCAGTTTTAATTATAAACATAAAAAGTCAAATCATATCATATCATCTAAACTAAAAATAAACTAAATTATACTAAATAATGTTCCAGGAGATAACCATCAAAGCGGGAGATGGAATGGCGCATATATCCACCAAGATCCTTGTGAGTCACCATATTGCAAGCTTCATATTTCCTTGAAGATAGCGTGTCAGAGTCCAACAATGCTGGAATATTGTTCGGTTGGATTGAGTTTGGGAGTGTAGACAGGGAGACAAATTCAGTGGTAGATATACATGGTTCAGAACAATGTTTTCGAATTTGAGCTTCACCAGTAGCCAAAGACCATGATGAATAATGGCGAATCCAGGGTATCTGTTCCACGATGACCACCGTTTTCCATTTTTCACTGTTGTCGCTGCTGTTCTTGCTTTTGAGAATCCATCCTGCACGTTGTTTGAAGCCCAAATCTATTCAAAAAAAAAAAAAAGATCAAGTGAATTATCATCATAACAGAATCAGTATATACCTTTTGGTTACCTTCATCACGTGTACCACTCGGAATATTCAAAAGACAGTATTGATCCTTGAGCCACCACCTTTGAGTCGATTGTTGTGAAGAAGAAACCCAAAAGCTGCTATTGTCTATGGTATGGGAAACCATGCTAGTTCAAGAAATCAAGCTGACCACCGGAAATATGCCACAATAAAATCCCAAAGGCATACACCTGCTATTGTCGAACTGTCTTCATATCCAGTTGCGAGTCAGTTCTTTTGATCCGAGGGCACACACCATCTCGACAGTATTGATTCTTGAGCCACCACCTTGGAGTCGGTTGTTGTGAAGAAGAAACCCAAAGGCTGCTATTGTCTATGGTATGGGAAACCGTGCTAGCTCAAGAAATCAAGCTGACCACCGGAAATATGCCACAATAAAATCCCAAAGGCATACACCTGCTATTGTCGAACTGTCTTCATACCCAGTTGCGAGTCAGTCCGAGATGGTTTGGAAGAAAGTGAAGTTTTGATTGAAAGGGAAAAAAAAAAAAAAAGATGTAGATAGAAAATACCGGCTTTTGAATGAAAAGCTTGTCACAAATGAACACTGCTGACGACTACGACAAATCTTTTTTGTCAAATTCCCCGATTTCCGCCTCACACTCTTCCTTATTTTATATTTTCTTTTACGCATCTTAACGCCTTTTTCTTTTTCTTTTTTTTGACGTTGAGCAGTGATGATGTTTGATATATGAATTCAGGTGGTGTTATGCCTCTCAAGTGATAAAAAAATTGACTGGGAAGTAGAGGATACTTGGGAAGGTCAAAGTAATCAGAACTCAATATCAAGATTCAGGTACAGAGATAAGACAGGAGAAATGGCCTTAGTGAATTGAAGATGAGAAACAAAGCTATACGTATGGTGACGATTAGTACGATGAACAAATGATATAAAGTGTTTCTTGTCTCTGTATCGACAGTTACTAAAAAAAAAAAAAAGCCTTTTCAAAGAAGTCTACTTCCTTTTTTTTTATTTTCTTTGCCTCCGTACCTTTGATTAAATATTGCCGCATATGGAATATTGGGAAAAAATATTACAGTGATAAAAAAGAGGGGGGGGGATATTTTATTAAACAAAAAAGAAATGATAATTCCTATGAGCTATCTTGGTTTAAGACTGATCAGCGATGGCTTTTTTTTTTCTACTGTACCAATTCGTCCATCAAGAGTTCATTGTCTTAATGATAAGACACTAGTTTTTGATTCGCTCAAGAGAGACGCATGATTCAGATCCCGTCTCATATATTTTTTTTAGATTGGGATTTTCCATTTCCACGTTTTACCCTTTCTTCACCTTTTGCTATGAGTTTCAGTAAGGGAAAAAAAAAGAGAGAAAGTTTATCTAGAATCTGTGAAATGATCTTACTTTTTCTCAATTGTTATAGATTTACGTATAGCGTGTGTGGTAAGTACTTGATCTTTCATGTGTAACCAAAAAAAAAAAAATAGATCTTGATGATTATATATTTTATAGATGGTTGGTCTACCAGCTCGAGGCAAAACATATATATCTCAAAAAGGTAAGATAGACCATTTTTACATTATTATTTTATCTTCATTAAACTATATATTCTTTTAAAGTATGTCGATATTTGAACTGGTTAGGGATCACAACCAAAGTATTCAATGTAGGAAACTATCGACGTCAACTTCATGGAGCGAATCTACCTCACACTTTCTTCGATCCACATAATACAGAAGGAGAACAACAACGACAGGAAGCAGCCAAGGCAGCATTAGAAGATATGATGGGATGGTTACTTGACAAGGAAAACGGAGGAATGGTAGCGATTTATGATGCCACGAATAGCACACATAAACGACGACGATGGTTACATGATACACTGACAGCCAAGGATATCCAGGTTCTCTTTATTGAATCGATTTGTCAAGATGAATCCTTAGTTCTAGCCAATGTACGAGATGTCAAATTGAGCTCACCAGATTATCAACATATGGACCCTCAGGCTGCTGCATTGGATTTTACAGCAAGAATCGATCATTACAAGGAACAATATGAAACCATCACGGAGCAAGAATACACCTATGTCAAACTTATCAATGTTGGTTCACAAAATGTCATCAACATGATTCAAGGTTATCTAGAATCACGTATTGTGTATTATGTTCTCAATTTACATATTCAGCCTCGCAAGATCTACTTTAGTCGGCATGGTGAATCTCAGTTCAATGTACAAGGTAAAATCGGTGGTGATTCTAATCTCAGTCCTCAAGGTCGTCTTTATGCTGCTCAACTACCTACTTTGATTCAAACACATATGGGTCCAGATCGTCATCTCACTGTATGGACTTCAACAATGAAACGTACCATTCAAACTGCTGAAGGTCTCCCTTATCCCAAATTACAATGGAAAGCATTGGATGAATTGGATGCTGGGGTTTGTGATGGCATGACTTATGAAGAAATAGAGGTAAATTTGAATTAAGTTTTTTTTTTTTTTCTAATCCAAAATATTTTATATTATCTGTATAGAAAAAGTATCCTGAAGATTATGCAAATCGTGATGAAGACAAATATGATTATCGATATCGAGGTGGAGAGGTAATTTATTTCAAACGGTGGAAATGACTGGTTACTGATTATCTTTTTTTTTTTTTTAGTCCTATAGAGATGTTGTTCTACGATTGGAACCTATTATTATGGAACTGGAACGACATGAAAATATTCTTATAGTTGGCCATCAAGGTAAATACAATATTCACATAATAATAGTAACACCGTCTAATCTACTCTTTTGTTTATGCCACTATGATAAAAAAAGCCATCTTGAGATGTATCTACGCATACTTTATGAATTATAGTCAAGAAGATCTACCTTATATCAAGATTCCCTTACATACTCTGATCGAACTAACACCAAAAGCATACGGATGTGAAGAAAAACGTTATAAAGGTATAAATCAAATTAGATTGGAATCATGTTGGTTTACTTATTTTTATATATTCTTATGGATGAAAATAGCGAATATAGCGGCAGTGGATACCCATAGAAGTAAACCAACAATGGAACAAAGAAAACAAAAAACAAACAAGTTAGCCATTCAAATCGATGATTCAACACTTGGGTCAAGTTCCAAATTACCGGTGGGTGCTTCTGGTGAAATCGTGCGCGATTTTATGAGTCCAATTGTTCCTATCAGTCCTGGATTCCCTCCCAAAGATATGAAACGAATCACCAAAGATGAATGATATAGCTTTTTTTTTTTAGAGGAAAAAAAATGTTGATTGATAATAAAATAGGATATGATCTTCATTTTTATACATATATTTCCTTGGATTTTATTATTATTGATGTGATGATTTGTTTTGTTGTATATGTAGATGATCCACAAATTGACATTTGATATGAATACATACTTTTGTGGCATTAAGATAATCTTGTTGTTGTACCAGAGAATTATGATGGTTGTCCTCCACCTTGATTTGATCCACGATCACTCTTTTTGTGTAATGCCTTGATGGTGTTCTTTGACATTCATACCAAAGATAGGTCAGGCCAAGGTAATCCAAAGACAGATTTATATTTAACGTCAAATGAAATAATAATCCAGCATTTTGTAAAGGTATATTCCCTTCCATCGTCAGTAAATCAATCTTGTTCTTTAGTAGGCACCGGATGTCATGTAAACTCAGAGATTGGAGCTGTGGGCAATAACGTGTCAATGCCACCAAGTCATCCTCCATCGATACCACACAATGAGAGATCATTAATTCCTTGAGACCGTGATATGGCAGTGAGGTTGCTTGATGCTGATGATTGAATGAGAAACCACCAGAAAGGAAAAGATGGGTCAAGGATGGACACGTAGCGAGGATGGCATCGACACTCCATGTCCGTGGTCGCTGGGAAAAACAGACAGCATCATCCGATGTTTGAAGTTTGAGAGATAATGTCGTCAACAAAGGAAGTACAGCTCTTTTCATGGATGATGATAATGATGATGATGTGGTAAACAGTGACAGTTGATCCAAACGATCCCATGAATCCAATACAGTCATAGTAAGAGACGTGAGATGGTCAAGACTGTACCTATGCAAAAATGACGAAGAATAAGATGGGATCTTGATCATCGTTTGATCACTTTCTTTCCATGGTGGTAAACAACAACTCCAATGGAATCGATAAAGAGATGAATCATATTTATCGGTCGTCATAGCCAATGATGATGATGATGATGATGATGATGATGATGATGATGATGATGATGATGATGATGATGATGATGATGATGATGATGATGATGATGATGATGATGATGATGATGATGATGATGATGATGATGATTTCTTTTTATTTGCGAACCATTTTTGCCATTGGAGATAGGGCCATAGGGAACAAGCAGGGGGCTGTAATTGATCATCTAATTGTTCATGAAGCTCGACCCGTAAATCGACAAGTTGAGTCAAGGAGCAAGTGATCCATTGGAAAAGTGCCTTTCGATGTTCTTCTTCCGTTTCATTATATAAAGATGGTGATGATGATCCATTTCCAATACAAAGTTCTTCTATTTCTAGCGTTGTTAAACCGGGATATTTGAGACCAAGATAACTGTAACATTCAACATGATGAATCGAAACAAGAATAAGACGCAACTTTGTCATATAAAGCGCCGGTTCATATACGTTTTCCTTCATGATTGAATCATTGGTATTATTACTATTGTTGTTGTTGTTGTTGTAATGCAATTGGAAGCTGGTCAATGATAACGATCGAAGTGAGGGACAGGCGTGATGGATGGCTTCAAGTGTATGTTCATCGATATGAAAGAAATGATTGGATGCGTACAAATCAAGTTCTTGTAAACAAGGCATAAAAGGAAGACAAAGTATTTTGGTAGCGATGGTGGTGGTATATTGCAAGAGTTCTTCATAAAAATTCATATCCATTCCTAGATGAATTAGTTGTGGTAAATATTCTTTCCATAGTTGGTATGAATCACTATGCCACACTGGTAGACGTGTCAGGTGCTTCCATTGCGCGACAAGTGGATGTCGACTTCGATGACAACAAATCCCATACCCACGTTGATTATTTTCTGGTATTACATCAATGGATTCTACGTATGGGCATTGTTGCTGTATTATTTGCCAACGAGAGTGGTCATTGATGCGCATATAAAATGTGATCCGTCGTACGAGATAACCTTTTGAGAACATCATCATGTTTTCCAATAAAGGAGTTGTCACTGTCATCATTGATGATGATAATGAAAATTGAAGAAAAGAGTTGACTTGATCAATTGTATAAAATTGAATGGAACGATAAAGTGGAATTCTTGTTGCAGTATACCATGAACGACATACTAAGGAACATGTTGCTAGTTGTCGCTGAGATAAAAGAGTCATTATCAACTGTAATAATTCAAGTGATAATTTATCCATTTTTGTTTTGTATATGATAAAAAAAAAAAAAGAAAGAAAAGAAAGAAAAGAAGGGAAAAGGGATAAAGAAAAAAAAAGATGAAAAAGAAAGATGGGAAGTAATATTGATAAAGTAAATAACGCTTGAGGTTTTTTTTTTTTTTTTTTTTTTTTTCTCTTTGGTACAAAAAAGGGACTTTGGGGAGCATGCATTGGTGGAACCAGGAAAGTATATGAGAATTGATTGGTTTTTCTTTTTTGTGTGTGTAAAAAAGTTGCTCAATACTTTCGGTTCTAAATCAGGCCATTGAATTTGTTTTAAGAAGTGTAGGTGTGATCATAAGAAAAAAAAAAAAAAGAAAAAGTGTGCAACAAACATTTCTTAAAGTTATCAAAAGAGAACACCATTATCTTTGTTCTTGAGTAATCACCTCAGTCTCAAAAAACTGCAGATGTCGCTTCCTCATTAAAAAACATGTGATACTCGCTTACGACCTCTTTTTTTTTATATTTTTATATTTCTTTTTTATTTATTGCCTTTATATTTTCGATGTTGCAATAAATATTTAGTGTTCTTTATTATATCTATGATTGTCTTAAAAGTTTTTAGTATTTCATACACTTATCTTCAGTTATGTTTAATGAAATATATATATCAAGCATGAAATTGAAAAAAAGCCGTGGGCGGTGTTTGAATGGGGCAAGCCACATAACGAATTTTTTACTTATTCAATTTGTTTTTTCTTTTTCTGCTTTCTTTTTTCTTCTACAGTAACCAAAACCATGCCAGGTCTCGACTTTAGAAATCTTCCTGAACGTGAAGAAGATATCGATTTTAGCGACATTTACGAAAAACATACCGTTACCCAAGAAGATGACTTTAATACTATTGTAGTGGTTGATGGTGCTCCTATTGTTGACGAAGCTAAAGAAGAAAAATTATTAACTGTTTTGAAAAAATTATTTACCAAAGGTGCTGGTGATATCAAGGATGGTGGTATTTGGATGCCAATGTCTCCCAATGATGCTGGCAAGATGGAAAGCAAAGGGTAAGATTATTATTATTATTATTATTTGGATCTTGTAGTATACTCATCATACTTTTCTATATGTATATAATATAGTTATCTCTTCATCGATTTTGAAACTGCAGAATCAGCTTATGCTGCGGTTAAGAACTTGGATGGTCATAAGATGAGCAAGTCGCATCAATTATCTGTCAACAAATTTACTGATGTGGAAAAATACACCAAAATGAGCGACGAATACGTGGAACCTACTATTGAAGAATATTCACCCAAGGAACATATCAAGAGTTGGTTAGCTGATGAACAAGCTCGAGATCAATTTGTTATGTATCGTGGTGATGATGTTAGTATCTTTTGGAATCGCAAGTCTGATGAACCTGAACATGTTCATACTCGTCAGGTAAGAAAGATAATAATAATAATCATAATAATAATAATAATAATAATAATAAAAAGAAAAGAAAACTAAAAAATCATTTTATTTCATTGATATAGAATTGGACTGAAACTTATGTACAATGGTCACCTTTGGGTAGTTATTTGGCTACTTTCCATATTCAAGGTATTGTGTTGTGGGGTGGTCCTTCTTGGAGTAAGATTGTACGTTTTGTACATCCTGGTGTCAAATTGATCGACTTTTCTCCTTGTGAACGTTATTTGGTGACTTGGTCCAATGAACCTATTCAATTATCAAAGATTCCTGAAGGTCCTTCCAATCCTTTCAGTGAATATGATGAAGGTAATCAAGTCATTATCTGGGATGTTCATACTGGTGCTTTGTTACGTTCTTTCCCTGCTACTCAAGATAGTCAATCTGCTAATAAGACTGTTCATTGGCCCATGTTCAAATGGTCTCATTCTGAAAAATACTTTGCTCGCGTGGTTCCTGGTCAACAATTATCTATTTATGAAACTCCTTCCATGGGTCTTTTAGAGAAGAAGAGTATCAAGATTCCTGGTATTGTCGATTTTGAATGGTCTCCTGCTTGTCAAGATAATAACAAATCTCAAAAGGAAGATGAAACGTTGGCTTACTGGACTCCTGAAGTTGGCAATCAACCTGCTCGTGTGACTTTGATGAACGTACCTTCCAAAGAAATCACTCGTACAAAGAACTTATTCAACGTGAATGATTGTAAATTACACTGGCAATCCAAGGGTCAATTCCTTGCTGTCAAGGTGGATCGTCATACCAAGACAAAGAAATCTCAATTCTCCAATATTGAAATCTTCCGTGTACGTGAAAAGGGTATTCCAGTCGAAACTTTGGAAATTAAGGATCCTGTTGTTGCTTTTGCTTGGGAACCTCTTGGTGAACGTTTTGCTACCATCACCACTTCTGATATCAATCTCTCTGGTAATGTTCCTGGTGTTCAAGGCCAGCTTCAACCTTCCTCAACTGCAAAGACTACTTTGACCTTCTACTATCTTGATCGCACTTCCAAGGCTCATCAAACTGGTTTCCGTCCTCTCAAGGTCTTTGATAAAAAATCTGCCAATTACTTGTTTTGGTCTCCCAAGGGTCGTCACATCGTCACCGCCACTTTACGCAACGCTACCGTGTTCGACATGGAATTCTGGGATTTGGATTTCGAACCTCTCAATGGTGGTAATGATGATAGCACTAACAAAGCTTCTCAAAGCACTGTTGTCCAACTTTTGGCTACTCAAGAACATTATGGTGTGTCTGATATTGAATGGGATCCTACAGGTCGCTATGTAGTAAGTGGTTCTAGTATGTGGCGTCAAGCTGGTGATCATGGGTTCTCTTTATGGGATTTCAAGGGTCAATTATTATTCAAGCAAAACATTGACAAATTCAAGCAATTATTGTGGCGTCCTCGACCTGCTTCCTTATTATCCAATGAGCAAAAGAAGAAGATCAAGAAGAATCTTCGTCAATACTCTAAACAATTTGAAGAAGATGATCTTGCTGCCGGTGATGCTAATGCTGCCAAGTTGATTGCTGCTCGTAGAAAGGCTATTGAAGAATGGTACAGCTGGAGAAAGGCCACTGAAAAACAAGTCGCTCAAGAACGAAAAGATTTGGGCAAGGAAGTTGTACGATCTTTGGATGATGGCAAATCAGAAATCATTGAAGAATGGGTGGAAGAAGTCATTGACGAAATTGAAGAAATCATTGAATAGTTTTACATGTTTAGATTATCATCCTTTTTTTTTTTTTTTTTTTTGTTATTTTGTAATAAATTATTATTGTCCTTTTTTTATGTATATCATATTGGTTCTTTATTTCTTTCTCTTTAAATGATGCTAAAGAATGGCAATCTGATCTTTCCCTTTTTCAGAAAACTAATTGTTCAAAAGAATGAAAAGTCATCATTGTTTCGAAGGGTGAAATATATTGATTTGTACGTGACTAGATTGTAATATAGATAATTATAAAGCGAGATGAATCAAGCTTGTGTTTCTCCCTTTTTTTTTTTTTTTTTCTCATCCCTTTGCAAAACTGAGATGTCTACATCTAATAATAGTAATCCTTCTACTGAAGATCAAGCTTTTTGGGAAGAACAACCCTATGATCCGGAAATAGAAACATCTAATGATGATAGTGAATGGTTAGACAGTTTTGAATTTCAGTCTCTTTGGAACGGTAAATAAAGGAGTCAAAAAAGAAAGAAAAAAAAACATGGTTATTATTATCAATAGAAAGCATCATTAATTTTTTTTTTTTTTTTTTGAATATAGATCAAAATTTTCAAATAAATGGGTTCGATCCACTATTGCGTTATCCCACACTGAATGATCGAATTTACCAACTGATTTATTATCGACTCTTTCGAGACAAGTATTTCTTCATAAAGATAGTGGTTGTTGTTTCTTTTTTGTTAACCCTGTTCACAATGATGTTTATCATTACTACTACTGATAACAATGATCTGAATCAAATGAACAAATAGATGATGTTAAATTATCTTTCACGGCGTCAAGGTGATGTCCAATGCAGTCGTTTCTTTTCGGACAAAAGTCAATGGACGATGGATTCTATGCTTGTACAAGAAAGGATACTAAGCTCCGTGGATGACATATGGACTCATTTTGGCAAGCAATTCTCTGCCAATGATGGTGATGAACTTTTGCTTGAACAAATCAGAAGTCATCCACATGTGATCTCTCGACTTGAGTAATAATAACAATAATAATAATATAAAAACAATTTTTTTAACCTACAGATGCATATGTTTAAATGTTATTATTTTTCCTTTAGAAATGGTCAGTTGATGATTGGTACCAAGATACCTATCTTTTCCTTTTGGTGTTGGCTCCATATGATGATTTGGTGGCTCTTTTCTACATAACGTTCTTCTTCAGTTAGACTTTTCAGATATGAAAAACAATCATAATAATAAAAAAAATGATGATGCACCTCCTTTTTTTTGTTTAAACAATGATTTTAGTGACTAGATAAAATACTGCTGACGACATTTCCTTACTGAACATCTATAAAGTTGTCATTTTTAATGCAGCATGAATAAGTTGAAGAGGAATATCTGATGATATTACCGAATATGTCAAGGATCATGCTTGTTACATTGAAGCCAACTAAGATTTACAACAATGGATATCAGTACGCACAGATCTATCTGCATATGTCATCCAGGAACTGTGATGATGATGATTCGGTGGTTTTGGCAAAGAATGCTGGTCAAGAGGGATGCACACTTCCAAGAAGCAAGAAAATAATAATAATAAAAAAAAAAGAAAATGATAAGTTATTATGATTGACAAATTGAGAATTAGACAGAGTTATGGTAGACACTGAGTTTGTATTGACGTTTCTAGGCAAAAAAAAAAAAAAAAAGATGGGTCTCAGTCTATTGTAATAAACATCCATTCAAATCATCATCATCGTAGGCCAAATAAAGAAAATAGTCTGTCTATTTATGGATATGACGACGTCAAAACTAAAATTCTTATTCTCAAAATAGTAATAGAAAGAGATGACATGATCATCATGCTCATATGAACATAGTTAATAAAGACAGAACGCTAACAAGTTCAAATGATCAAGATACACAAGGGGCCATTTATTGAGTCAATGTAGAATAGGATAAGATCATGAGGAGATGTTTACATTTTAGATCATGTTTTTTTTTTGAAAGTCATTCTTTGTACAAATAGATAGCTAGTACACTGTCATGACGATGTTCACTTCTTTTTTTTTTTCTTATCAAACTTTACTTGACCTTGAAGGTTGTTTTTTTTTATTATTATTATAAAAACTTTAAAAAAAAGGGGGGGAGCATGATGGGGAGCGGAGTGGAAGAAGGGTATGTGCACTTTTGTCGGTAAATCCTTCTTTGATCCAGGTTTTTGATTGATTGTGATAGTGTTTTTTTCATATTAAAAAACAACAACCTTAAGTTGGAGTCTAAGTGCACTGACGTTGACGGATTGTGACTTTTTAGCGCTCCCACTCCTTTGACTAATATGTTTTATTTATTGCTTTTTTTTTTCTTTTTTGTTTATTTGTTTGGGAGGGATCAAAATTGATTGGATGAAAAGATGAAACATGCTTCGACTATCCTAAGGGCAAGACAAAAAGTTAATTCTAGCGATCACTTTGGGAATTTTTTTTTTTCAAATACTATCTATACATACTCAATAAGTTTTTTTTTTTTTCCTTTATATATGCATTCTTGATGTACATTATCATGATTTTCTATTTCAAAAAAAAAAAAAGGAAGTCAGGAAAATATGACAAAGGAAAGAGTGAGTTTATCTATCGGAAACTTGTTCCGTGCTGAGTTGGAATTGTGAATGAGAGGGGGCCACTTTTCTCATCACGGGGAAGAAAAAAAAAGGGAAAACTGAAGAAATGCCATAGTTGGTGATACCGGTTACCCATCGTAACAATGAAAATACAATTTTCTCGGCACATCCATTTTTTAAAAAAAAAAAAAAAAAAAAAAAAGGAAAAAAAAAACTTTTAATAATGAAGAAAAAGCGCGCTTTTTGTTGTTTTTTTTTTTTTTTTTTTTCTTTTCTTTAAATATAAAGAGGACCCGAGTGTTGATTTCTCATATTTTTTTTTTTTTTTAAAAAAAGAAAAGACAAAACACCTTATTTTTTTTTACCTTTCTTTAATCAACAAGTATATTAGTGATAAAACAAAACAACATCATCAGTCATTTTTATTTATATATTTATTGGAGTTTCAAGTCGTTCTTCTACCTATTTATAATCATCCATCCAGTGTAATGTGGAGATCATCATCACCTACTAATCCATCCGCCACATCGTTCTATGCTAGCAAAACGAAACCTATTTCGATACAATCCACTTCATCCATGACGGTGATGCATGAAGACGATTATCCTACTCCGGTAACGACTTATTATGCATCTCCACCTCCACCTCTTTCTTCGTCTATCTCTTCATCATCCACTTCATCATCATCATCATCCACTTCATCATCACCTTTACAACAACCACAACAACCAAGAAAAGGTTCGATTGCATCCTTACTCAATTCTACAGGCGAACTTCAACGATTAGATCAAGAAGAATGGTCTACTAATTATCAAACACATTTTACCACCAAAGATTTTTCTATGATGGTAGATGATGAAGAAGGTATCAATCAACCCTCATCTCATATGGCGTATCCTAGTAACAAAAAAGGATTACGGTTATTCAGTCAACACGTATGTGATATTCTTCAACAACGAGGTCGATCAACTTATAATCAACTGGTACAACAATTAATTGAAGAATTGAATGAAACACCTTCCTTTGAATCCACATGTGATCCAAAGAATATTCGTCGACGTGTTTATGATGCACTTAATGTCTTGATGGCCATCGATTTCATCACAAAGGATAAAAAAGAAATCCGTTGGAAAGGTGCCGTCTATTGTCCAGATAATGATTTCAATGCATGGGTTGCTTCTACAGATTCATTTTATGATGATGATGATGAAAGTGATGATGATATGATGTTGGTGGAACGCGATCTTTTACGTGAAGAACAAAGGTACCAGGATCTAACTCGACAAATTGATATGAAGCGAAAGGAGATTGAAGATCAAATGCAACAAAAGGTAAAGTGTCATATCTATCCTTTTTGGTGAAATGTCAAGCTTACCTTTTTTTTTCTGCGTTTAGTACGTTCCAAATTGTCAACACAGGTTACCCGATCCTCCTTCTACTTCCTTTGCAACATAACTTTATCTACCTTATCAACTTTTATACCCCTTACCTCTCGTTTTTTTTTTATATGACCCAAAATAGTCACTCCTTTTTTTTTTTGTGTATTTACAGTTCCTCTTTTCAATTATCTATGCCCTATTTATGTATTTCCTTACGCACAAACACTTTTTTTTTTTTCATATCAATTAATCACTCGCACAACCCATGCACACATACACACTCTCTCACTCACATACACATATGTATATATATGTATATATACATTACACACACAACACATACACCATATCACCTACAAAACAAACACTCATTCTTCACATATATATATATTATATATGCTTACATACACACACACACACATACATACACCATGTTCCCTTTGTCTTTCTTTTACTATGTAAAACTACGTAAAATCAATAAAGGCCATTCTTTTTTTTTTTCTTCAAATTCATGTTTGATGATATGTATAAAAAATATGTAATATGTTTTATTAAGAAAAAAAAATGCTACAAAAGTGATGCATATTTAAAAGACAAAAAAAAAAGAGTACCCCATCAATCAAAGATAAAAGTCGTATAAATAAATAAAAAGATATATAAAATACTATATGTGTAAAAATATAAATAAACTAGATATAACTAACTGAAGAAATTGACCATCCATATTAACCTTCTTGTTGATCCCAATCACGTTGACGTTTCCTATTTGCCGCCGCAGTTGCAAACATCAAATCAGAAGAAGTAGAAGGCATCATTGGCTGTTGTTGCTGCTGCTGTTGCTGTTGTTGCTGTTGTTGTTGATAACCAAATGGCGTTGTAAAATTGCCAGGTGCGTATTGTAAGAATGCATTCATTGTGTCGGGATCCATGTTTAACAAGCCATCTATAGGAGGACCATTAGTAACAGAGGTGGAGGTTGTTGGAGTCGGTCCATATATAGATGATGGTACACTATGATTTGATGAGTTGATTGTACTTGTTGATACCGATGTGGTTGTAGTGATGCCGGTAGAAGGTGCACCAACTGTAGACGATGTTTGTTGGTGTAAAGAATGGAATAAATCAGAAGATGATGTTGGATGATTTTGTTGTTGTTGTTGTTGGTTAACAAATGGTGGATAAGAAGTTGAAGCATAAAGTCCTTGATCCAATCCAAATGTACTATCATTATTCCCAAAAGTACCTGCCAGCATGGGATTCGCGAACATTGAAGCCATATCCTGTTGAGAATGCTGCTGTTGATGTTGTTGTTGTTGATGATGATGCTGTTGCTGCTGTTGTTGATGATGCTGCTGTTGTTGTTGTGGTGTGTGATGAAGGTGAGACTGTGAAGGCAAAGATTGATGAGTATATACATTTTCAGTCGGAGTAGATGTTGATCCAAATGCACCTGCCATCCCAGGGAAAAATGATGCATCCATTCCCTGTCCTAGTCCCATCATCGTATCATTGAACATCATTGCTGAAGGATCCATCATTGAAGGCGGTTGTGGTGGTAAAGATTGTGCATAAACAGAAGTGGGAACATTTTGCTGTTGCTGTTGTTGCTGTTGCTGCCGCTGCTGTTGTTGTTGTTGTTGTTGTTGTTGCTGAGGTGCTGAATCTTGTTTGGGTAAAGAAGGTATCATTTCCATTTTAGGTTGAGGTGAATGCATCATTGGAATGGGACTCATCGTATCATGAGGAAACATATGATGTGGGGATAGTTGAGATGGTACAGTGTTTCTAGGTGGTAGATGAGAATGCTGTTGTTGTTGTTGTTGTTGTTGTTGTTGTTGTTGTTGTTGTTGTTGTTGAGGACGTGGTGATGAGATGCCAAACGGAGACGTGGAACTGGTTCCGGCCACAGATCCAGGTGTAGTTTGTGGTGTTGAGGAGGATGGAATAGACATGCCCATAGATTGATGTACTGTATTACTATTGTTGCTATTGCTGTTATTAGATCCTGTAGATGCTGGAGGTGTAGAAGAAGGTTTTTGTTTTTGCTGTTGTTGTTGTTGTTGTTCAAATATAGTAGCTGGATCGAAAACGGAAGAAATTGACTGTTGATTGGCCGAGTCCTCATTGATAGGTGGAATATCGTTGATATGAGTGGGTAAACCATTTTGTTTGAGAAAAGAATCAATGCTATCCATAATATCATTCACCTTGTCCATATAAGTAAGAGGAGAACCTCGCAAGACATTGGCAGTCATGATCAAATTGCGCTGAGCCAGAGATGCTAATTCCTTCTCGTTAGACACGGCATTGACTTGATGAATCGTCACACTTGCAATCACACCATCCAGAGCATAAAAGAATTGACACCATGGTAAATGAGTTGAATAAAGATCGAGCATTTTGGTGATAAAGTTTGCTGACTTTGTACAAATGTTGAGAGAGAGTAAGGCAACGGGTGTGGCAGTTTGATCCTTCTTTGGTAAAAAGAACTTGTGTAGCATGATCCAAGTGGTTTGATATTGAATATTAAGAATCAAGGTTGCTTCATCACGGAAAGAGCCTGTCTTTTGGAATTGGTCATCATAATCAAATCGTAAGTGCTTGGGTAGTTCATTGAGCCAATTTGTCAATGCATTTTCCAATCTAGAGATGGCCGATAATAGAGATTGACCAGATTGTTCAGAGGGTAAATGTTTGGTGATATCCTTTCGAATCTTCATTAGTTTAATAGAATGTACACAAAAATCAATTCGATAACCAGTTTCATCATCTTCCGTGTCCAATTTGATGGGATATTCCAAATCACAATCCTTATCATCCACCATTGTCGGTCTATTTGATTCCAGAGCAGCACAAAGATCCAACCAATATGCTGACCACCATAATCGTTTATTGGTTTCTCGTTCTTGAGGATCACTAGGCATATGTTCCTTTTTGTGGTACTTCAAATCTTGAGCCATTCGAATTCCCAAACCAATATAAAGATAAGCCAAACTAGATCTTCCACTGCTGAGTTGATACATGTAAAGGTTCAATAGTGCATGAATCGTGACAGGACTACTAATATCGAAGCATTTTTTGAGTAATTGACGTGCATTCTTGAAATAGGAGTCACCCATTTTAGCAGGATTTGTACCAGGAGTAGCATTATGGTAGACACAACCATGTTTTGACATCCAAGCATTAATCGAATTGGCAAGTAGGGGATCAAGACCAGGTTCCGTCACGTATTGTTTCATGAATGTCTCTTTATCGACCAATTGATAAGCTAAAAAACATTGATGATAGCATGAGTGCATTAATTGATCTAAAATTTCTGGGGCCATAGTATCATCCATTTGTTGTTGTTGATATTGTTCTTGTAAGATTTGCCGAGCTTCCTTGTCATCTACTTCCCATAGTCTTCCACTAGGTCCACCGTTACCAGCAGTATCGCTCAGCATCATACCCGTTCCTAGTCCTTGTTGATGTGAAGATTTAATAGATGCATTTGAAGATGGAGACATTGAATTATTGTGATCATCCAAACCAGTTGCAGTAGATCGTCCAAGTTGTTGTTGTTGTTTCCTTTCCGTGGCACTTCGTATAGAGTCGGTACTGAATAAACTTGCAGCTGAATCCCCATTAATATTCAATTGACTAATACCATTTAATAAAATACGATACAAATCAGCCACACTTGCAATATTAGTATCGATACGTAATCCAGAAGGTGAAAGTGATAGTTTCCAAGTCACAGGTTGTTGAGAAGCCATAGAAGGATCCATCAAAGCCATATTGTTATTTCGATTATCAAAAGAATCTCCAAAAGAAGTAGACGGAAGCATACCCATAAGTTGACTATTATTGCCAGTATTATTGTTGGTATTATTGTTGATGGTTCCTCCCAACATCATACTATCATCAGAAGGTCCAGTAGTACCAGAAAAAGGATGTAGATTACTTTTCATCATGGCCAGTTCAGATTGCATCTTTTGCATACGTCCCCTAAGTTCTTCTACATGACTACCAAGTTGATCAAAAGCATGACCATCCACTCGACGAGGTGGTGTTGCATAACTACAAGGTAGTCCTGCCAAAGCACAACGTCCACAAGTAGGCTGAACAAAATCACATTTGACCTTTTTCTTTCGACAACGAATACACTAATAAAAGAAACAATTTAATACAAGTCAAATAGAAATACCAAAAAAAAAAAAAAAAAAAAGGTTAAAAAAATAATCTTTTAACTTACTGCTAAACTAGATCTAGGTCGTTTTGGTCGTGAAGGTTCATTTGCCTTTTGTTGTTGGGTTCCGCTATTGTCAGAGACAAACACAGAAGACATGATTGAATGAAGACAATAGTTACAAAAAAATAAAAAAATAAAAAAGGATGAATTGGAAAGTAATACAACAAAAGACCAAAAAAAAAAAAAAAAGAAAAGAAAAGAAAAAAGGAAAGAAAATAAAGAGAACTAAAAGGAAAGAGAAAGAAAAAGAGAAAAAAAAAAGAAAGGGGAGAACGAAATAGAGAAGCTGAAGAAACACAGAAAGTTTTTTTCTCAATTTAAAAGGATGATGCAATCAGAGCCAATCAATCGATAGTTCCCATCTGAATTAGAAAATTTCCTAGATGAATTGAGACAATCACTTTACATTGGTGAATGCGACCAATGTAGTACCAAACTCTTTTTAACCAATTTCTTTCAAATATCCTTATATATATATATAGATAAACTAGTTTTTTACATTCACTTTTTTTTTTTTATTATTTGGTCAATAAACATGAAATATATAATCAGTATTGATATGACGTTGTGATTCAAATTTAGTATCATCAAAACTACATAATATCCAAATATTCCTTTTTATACTGCCAAGAAGTCGAACTGCCAATTTGGGACAATATTGATCTTGATCTTCATCACGGAAAATAGCTAGAATTTTCACTAGAGTTAAAGAATCTGGTGTACATTCAAGACCTAATTGCCTAAATGACCTATTGTATCTCTTGAGTCCATCCATCTCTTCCAATGATGATTCGGTGGATTGGTACATGTAATATCTCTTTGGACGCACATGAAGACACGGTCCCTGATAATCATGATTCATATGGTAGGATGGATGAGTTTCCAGGATGATCGAGGCATGATCAGTGATATCAAAATTATACTCGGAAACTGGATGATTCATAAAGATGCGCATGGTGTAAGCGGGATTTTCTTCATTAAAGTTTGAAGCAAAAGTGGGTAAAACGGCACGGATCATATAAGAGGAACAATAAAATAGTTGGAATTTGTCCATAGGATCTAAAATTTCATAAAGTTTTAATCTGACGGATGTCATGTCAGTGATATTCCAACTAGAGATGGTATCCTTGGTTCGTATGATCTTGTTGTACTTTGGTAACAAAGGTAACATGGCATGGAATCGATCTTCATTTCTACTAGCTCGAGAGTTCAATATCTTATCGACAAAGGAACGATAGATCATTTTTTTCTTGATGGTAAGATGGTATGCTAAATAGATCAAACGACGGAATGATTGAGAAGGAGGTATGCTTTGATCATTGAAATCAAATGTGAAAAAATATTCATCATGGAAAATATGTTCAGAATTAAGATGAATGAACCAATATTTCATCTTTCCATCGTTGTGTTTTTTAGCAATATGATATTCACTGATGACCCACGTTCGATTTGCCCAATCTCCAAATAAATCCGTTAGGTGTTCGAGAGCATTCAGGATTTGTCTTCTTCTTTTCTTTTCCAATCGCTTCCATGCATTACGCTGATACTTGATTAACCAATTTTGCATGTTTTCATAGTAATCATCCGTATTTTGAATATCTTTTTTGAATGATATTTCGCGGCATGCATTCATCTCTTCTTCTTCTTCATCATCCGAATCTCGTTTACTCTACGCAGTAATTGTAAAAAAAAAAAAAAAAGATATGGTACCATATATAATTTATATTTTTCTATTTACCTTGAGATTTAAACTAGTTTTGAGAGTATGTCGACTTTTGTCATCGACTGGAATACCTAGGGTATCCATCCACTCTTCATCCAGTCGATCCATTCCTTCGATATTTTCAGTAATAGCATAATAGATGTACCATCTGTATTTTTTTATCTTTTGCCACATCCTAGCATATGCCTTGCTGACATTCAACCAGTATTGCATATTTAAATCAGGTACGGCAACAATATATGCTGCGTTCTCGTAAATATCATTCATCCGATAAATGGTATCCTTCTTACTCTTTTCATTTCTTTGATCGATACAGATGGCATCCACCCACACGTACTTGATCTTTTTCAGGTCAGGTTCCCTCATGATTCGTCTGCACAGGCGAAGAAAATCATTCAATAAAAATGAAGTGACATGGGCATCATAATCATCAGTAGCTCGTACTACCTGCTCGTTCATCTCTCCCCAGCGATAAGACAAAGTCATATACTCCACTTTCTGACTACCCAGAAGCTCAACTTCTTCGCAATAAACACGTCGTTGTTCAGCCGTCTTTCTAATGTCGACAAGGACAATATTGAACGGACCTTGATCATCAGGGCAACCTTCGGTATCATTGTCGATAGCCTTTGTACTGGATTTTATTGATGAATCCACTAAGTAAAGTTTGAGTATAGATTGTACACAAGTCACTCTCTTTTTAGTCTCTTTTGATATATATGTATATAATTTTTTTTTTTTTTTTTTTACCATTGTCTTTGTCTTCGGAATATTCTATACTTGAGTCGTCATCGGTGAGGGTCATTGCTCTCAGGACATAGAAGTACAATGTATCGAAGGGGAAGGAAAGAATGAAAAGAATCAAAACAACTATCTGTTTCCGTAAAACGCCCACGTTTTGTTTGTCCTGTACAGATTTCCCTTTGTAGTACTACTGCTCGTGCTCAGCCTTGTTCACAAAAAAAAAAAAAAAGAATACTGAGAGAATGAGGTATCTTTTCCTTAGTATATTTGGTAATAAAAAGTATTTTTTATTTAAAAGTAATAATATATAAATTGATACTAATCTAAGAAGATAATCTAAGACTACATTGTATAGAAATATATGTGTATATTGTTCAAAATGAGGGGGGGGGGAAGGAAGGAAGAAAAGGTGGGGAAAAGAGCGCGGAAGAAAAGATGGTTTTCAGCGGAAACGGAAAAATGATTGATGAGCGAACTGGCTGCCATCCGCCATTACAGTTATAGCGTTCTTGAATATACACTTTATTCAATAATAATTGACGTTCAAAGAATAAGATGTCGCAAAAATAGGAAATAAAATATCATAAGGATAGAAAATAAATGACAGAAGAAAAAAAAATATAATTGTCGCATAATCAAATAGAGAATATAAGAAAATCATGAAAAAAAGAACAATAAAAAAAAAAAGAAATCCACCAATTGAGTTCACCAAGTTAACATATGTTAGGGATTTTTTTGTTAGAAGGTGGATGGTTGATTTGTAAATAAAGTAAAAGGTAATATCAAGATGATGATATTGGTGATGATTGCTCGTATAGTGAGCACCAGTTCTTTTAAATAAAAAGAACAAAAGAAAATAAAAAAAATAAATGTAATCAAAAAAAAGGTAGTAGAATTCTTGATGATTTTGATCACAGTTATTGATGATTAATCAAATAACTTGAATAATATGCTTGATGATTGCTTGTTAATAACAAAATAAAGATAAAACTTAGGATGATTTATTCCTCAAGAGTGGCCAATATGATTTTGGTTAAAAAAATCTTTTATTGAATAAAAATATAAAAAAAAATTGACAATCGAAAAAGAAAACTAAGAATATGATGGTTATTTATACTAAAAGAAATAAGAGAATAAATAAATAAAAAAACACTGAATAAAAGATTCAATGTTTGATAATATCATAAAAAAAATGAGTTGAGAGAAAAAAAAAAGGATTTCAGGGGCTGGGTTCTACCCCAACACATAAAAAAATAAAAAATAAAAAATGAGTAATACTTATCCAGATAAAAATATTTCGCTAGCTTACCATTTAAGTGTAACGTGATCATCGTACCGCTGCAACGAAAGTGGGTGCCTGGCGATAACCATCCCGGAAACTGTTGAATAAAAAAAAGAAAAGGCAGACCGTAACCAAGCAGATGCGCATTAGCGACAGTCAAGCCCAAAAAGCAAAAAAGAAGCAGGTCAATTGAGAGATAGACAACGGTGATTGAACCATTAAAGAATACTTGTAGAGAAAAAGATAGGCAAAAAAAAAGAAGGCAGACCAAAAAGCAGGCAGGCAAGCCAAAAGGGAGGCAGGTAAGCCAAAAGGCAGACCCCTTAAGATGAATGTATTGTAAAGAAATTAAAAAAAAGGGAATTATCTAGACAGATGAGAACCTTGATGTAGTTGAGGATGTTCATATCTTCGCCGAGTAATTCTGTTTAAAGGACAGTCGTAATGAGTTGTGAATAACTTTAAATAGGCACTATTTTTGAAGAGTCACACACCACCTGAGATAACAAATAAATAATACGGATGATATCTACTTTGGTATTCCACTTGATAGTTGCTTCTGTTGAGATAAAGCAATTAATCAGTACTTTTGTTTTTATATTTATCACACAACTGCCTTACCCGACAATGCATCTAAGTTCACGAACGCGTCAATAGGTTTATCTTGCCATAATATTGCGGCTTCATAACATAAAGTTCTCGATATCGCAGAGTTGAACAAGATTGGGTACCTTGGCGTTGCTTTCTGACTTTCTTTTTTTCTAAGAATGTAAACTTGCTTTTCCCATAGATGTCGCTAGGAGGTTGTCAGATTTTTACTAGGTAGAATGATTCTTTTTATATCGTTTTTGATTTGAATCTATTTATATTGTAAAGACTATTTTTCAAGTTTCGAAACGGAGCATCTGAACTAAAAAGAATAAAAGAGCAGCTTGATCCTTTTCTACTTTTGTAATTCTATATAAGAAGCGGTTTTTATATCGACACAGATGCCATTGAGTGCCTTATTTTAGGAGCCATACAAATGTCGGGTAGCTTGAAGATAAAAGATAATAATAATAGAATAAAAAAATAAAAAGAAAGTAGAATTGAAAAAAAAAGAAAATAAAGAAAAAGGGAAAAAAAGAAAGGAGAAAACCGACAGGGCGACAGGGTGATTAAAAAAAAAAAAAAAGAAACCAACATCCTGCTTTCTTCAGGTCCGATGACTTATTCCAGAAATACTGTATTTTACAGTGTTTCCAGAGTTAGATGGCGCATGGGGGGAGAAAAAATGGCGTCCTATTTGATTTTTGGATGGCGGAGTTTTTGATACTAACCTGGCGTATATTTTGAAAATCTACTTGTCGCATGAATACGTCCAATCTACCATGGCGTTCTAAGGTACTCTTACATTTTTTTTTTTTGAATGATAATAAAAATACAACACAATATTAAAAGACACCAAGTATATTTGAATAAAAGGTATGCTTTATTAAAACAATAAAAAAATAAAAAATAAAAAAAGAGTATCACATAGGACGTTTGTTCAAGCAATCATCAAAGCGATTGATAGAATGTGTGATGAATCCAGTAAGATCACTACGAGTAACTAAACTACAAGCTTCACCTATCCTGTCTGATAAAGTTTCATCATCCATAAGATTGGACCGCTTCAGTTTGCTCTTTGCCACAGACCAGAATTGTTCAATTGGGTTGAGCTCCGGGGAATATGGTGGAAGATAAATGCATCTGTACTGTCGTTCGGTAATCGTTGCTTCAATGTCCTTAGATTGTTGTATTGGCGCATTGTCCATCACAAGATAATACCCTTTAAATCCGGGATACTGATCCATATTATCCATCGTGTCATTCAAAAAGCGAATATAATATCCTGTTCTTGTACCTACTGATTTCTTTTTTCCATTGTCCTTACCTACCTTCCTTTTTTTTTTGACAGAGGCTTCAATGGCTTTCTAAGTCTAATGTTGATAACTTGAGGATTAGCATGAGTAATTTATAGTTCAAGATTGATGACATTCTATATTTTTAATCATAAAATAAATAATAATAGGTGAAAGATTAGTATAAACCATGTTTTCTTCTTTTCTTGAAATAAATAAATAAATAAAAAAAGAAACCACCTTACCAAACCTTTATCAATGAACATTTGACCTAGTTCACGAATAAAAAATCGTACCGAACCATCATTGATACTGCTTGCAAAATTGACAACAGACCAAGATTCCAAGGTGGCACCGTTTGCGACTTTCTTACCACGGAGACTCCAAGTACCACCGACAGGAGTAAAACTAGCTGAAGCATGATAAGAGATCTTTGGAGCCGGAAGAACACGAGCATTGACCATGGTCATATCAGGCTTGACGCTGACACCAAATTGTTGATTATACGGATCGTCCTTGTAGTCGAGTACGTTGAAACCTTGATTGATCAAGTTGGCACGCACATTGGGTGTATTCCAAGTAAACTTGATCATTTCACCTTTTTGATAGTCACTCGGTGTCTCTACAGGGCATTGACCAGAAACTACTTCACAAACTTCCATAGGCAAAAAGGTATTCTTCTTGACAACAATACAGGGTAAGAAAGGGAAGGCCAAATGTCTGTTGTAAGTGTTTTGAAAGTGTTGAGCAACGGTCACTTCATTTCCAGTATCATCCTTGAATACAGTGTTTTCAGCAGAGGTAGGAGTGAGCTTGTTAATCTTGTACTTCAATCGTTTTTCAGCACCACGATGGACAACAACGATCTTGAGATTCTTGAGTATTTTTTCAACTTTGATACGTTCACGGTCAGGAATACCACGACGAAGATCATCAAGACTGCGGCGGTCAAGTAGCTTGGGTAACATTTCGTGAAGAGGACCAGATTCATAGAAAGCAGTAGCACTGACATCAACATTGACCATCATTTTACCTATAAACAATGAATAATGAAATATTAACAAAAAAATATTAAGGATTATGTGTTTTATATGTTTTATATGTTTTATATATTACCTTTAGTTGGACGAGCAGATTGATGAAAGCCTTGCCATACTTCAGCACCATTGGGTAAAGGACATTTGTCTTGGGGAGTGAAAAAGGATCGACCCACAGTGGAATATTGCATGCTTGGAACGTGACGAAATAGTACATCAAGAACCATAATGGCTGTAGCACAATTTTAGAAAAAAAAAAAAAAAAAAAAGAGTTAATGATAAAAAAGGGATACAATGATATTATTCTTTTTTCTTTTTTTACCAGTTAAACAATTGTTGATAATACCAGACTTTCCATCCAAAAGTAATTGTAATTCACTCATGTTGATTACACATACAGGCTTGATTTTTGACTTGAAAACACCTCCAGAACGATTTCCATGTTGAAGGTTGACCTATAACAAGAATAAAAATGATGAATATAAATGAACCAATAAAAAAAAAGTGATCAAAAAAATATAATAATGTTGGGGATGAAATAATAAGCATATGATAAAATACACGTCATTTTTTTTATTTACTTCAAAAGAAATACCAAGATTATCATTACCACACTCGAGAGGTTTTGGAGAAAAGAGATTTGCACGACCTTCAAAGACCGGTTTGATCTTGTTGAGAAAAGCTCGACCTTTGAGACTATCTTCAAAACATTGCCACAAGTTTCTTCGAACAGGTAGAGATGTACCCTCCGGTAGGAATTGAATATTCAAGTGTTGTACATCTTTGATTGGAATACTAGTCATTCCAAAGAAATTGCTTCGTACACGTACTTGTTTACCAACTGTGCCAGTATTGGGACGCATAATAAGTTCAGTCAAATCTCTGTTGGATGCTTGAGCCATGATGTTCGCTTAATAACGTGTAAAAAAAAAAAAAAAAAAAAAAAAAAAAAAAAAGTGAAGAAAAAAGATAGAGAAAGAAAGAAAAAATTCAAATTTTATATGCTACCTGGTCGGAGCCAGTTTAAAAAAATCCTGCAAATCAAATTAACCAATCGTAAGAAATCACATAGGTTTAAGTTGCTTTTTTTGAATTGATTTTTATTGATTAACATCATAATGATGATGATGATAATGATATTAGAATAAGCACCTTCAAGTGAATGTTTTTATCACTTATTTCCTATTCCTTGTATTCATTAAACTTTGAATAACTATAGTAAAGAAAGATTACGAACGAATATGAGCCGTAGCTGAATATCCAAAAAAGGAAATCCTCAATCCATGGCTCAGCGTTATGTAAATTATTTTCTCATACTTTCTTTTTCCTTTCCTATCGCTACTACTATAGACATCTTTTCTATTTTGCATAGAAAGTAAGGCAGATGACACTAAAAAAGAAAGAAAAAGACATTATATATTCATTTTATATTATTTGCTATAGGTATATGACTCATGATTTTCTACAAATAACTCCGACTGCAACGCGCATATTGACAAGCAAGTGAAATCCTTAATTGCTTCTCTTTCTTTCGCTTTTTTCTTTTGCTTTTTGAACTCTTTCACCAAAGGATGCTTATACTCCATGGAACAATTGATTGAAAAAAGAACGCATTACGATGGTATGACTGTACACGAAATCATTATGTATAAGAAACTATTTAAACAACAACAACAACGTAACGGTAAGCGTGATCACAATTGAAACAACAATGTTGTCTTTTTTTTTTTTTTTTTTTTTTTTTTACTGAGTTACTATTTTTTTTTTTTTTTTGCCTTTTACAAATATAGCACAGCAACCCCATCAAGGTGATGAAGAAGATGATGACAATAGTGATGTTGACGGTGATGACAATAGTGATATTGACAGTGAAGATCATGAAGGTAAGAAATATTAGAAATAAAAGCAAAATATTATTGTGAGGCTACTGGCTTAACTTTTTTTTTTTTTTTTTTTTACTTCAACAGGTGATGATGGTGACCATGATGGCGACAACTATGCTGCTGCTTCTTCCTCTACTGCAACACGTTCAACAGTTTCAAAACAGTTATCAGGGAACAAGCGTAAAAGACAACAAACTCGGCAAGAAAAATCAAAGAAAAAACAAGCGTCCATTGTTCGGAAGCAATCATCATCCAAGCACTCTCTGACACCCTGCCCGGTATGCCTAGAAAAACGTCGATTTGACACCGCCTACTCTCACTCAAGATCTACAAGCAAATTATGCCCGTTCCGACAGCCAAGCAGAAAAGAACGACTACGGCAGCAAGTGGGACAAACAATGACCGTATGTAGAAAGATTGGACTGAACTCACTATTATCTATTGACAATCCTGATCACAAACAATTACTCATTGATCGACTGAACGATGTGGCTACATATGCTCGCGATGTTATTGTGAAATTACACCTTTTTATAACTTACTTTGTATACCACAAGCTCAATGATGGAGAAATCATCAACAAACAAATCTTCACCAAAAGCTTTTTTTATTCGGTATTTCAAATCGTTACTGGCGGCACCATCACCACGAACAACACCATCGATCATCATTTGGCAGAAGAAATCCGACGACAATACAATAGCATGAACCCCACTGAAGCGCAGGTGCAACGATTCAAAGTCAAAAAGATCCATGGCGGCAATGGATATTCCGAAGTCATCTCATCACTATTGGACCAGTATGTTTCGGCCTTTGTGAATAGAATCGAAAGTGACATGACACAGTGGATGGCGAATCAATATTCCTTACATGTTCGTCATCAATTACAACAACATCAACGTCAGCCACCATCTCAACCACCTCAACATCAAGAACAAGAATCTCAAGATCAAGTAAGTGACGATAAATAGATAGGTTATAAGACTAAAAATGAAAACTTACATGGAATATGTGATTATTATTTTTTTCAATTTCCTAGACTCTGAGCAAAGTGGATGCAGACAAACTTGGGCTATATATTCTTGAAACTGTCATGCACAATCCTGATTTCCCGCCACGATTACCAAAAATACCTTCTGATGGTGAAAACGATGTCCTCAAAGAATGCGTCGCTACAGTTTTGGATGAAGCCCGTGTTGATCTATTAGTGATATATAATCTGGCCAACTTGGAAGCGCATATGGATACAAGTCGCCGCCTGCTGGAACGCTCTTATCGTAGTCTCCAAGAACGAATTGTAAACCGCCAAAATGGGATGCGAATTCTTATGCGAAATGGGCTAGATCAGTTACAAGAATTACAGGAAACCTTAGACACCTCAAACAATTTACAACTTCTACCTGGAGTCATACGTCTTTCAGAGGTTTTACTAGAAAATCTCATTGGTCATCAACGTTCTGTGCGTCTTATAATGCAAGTGGCAACAAATCTAGGATTACAGGAACTTGTCTCTGGTGATATCAATCAATCTTTTGGTGATCATGTTATACGGCGTTTACAGGACTCCCTTCCTGTGCAACAACAGGCAGTCAATGATAATGATTTAGTTGGAAACAATGATTTGGACACTTTGAATATTGTAGGAAGCCTGGAAGCCATGGCATTGCAAATACAAGGGTTCAATGACCGGTTGATGGAACAGCAACGTATGTACGATATGATTGATCGCCAATATACAACCGCTATGGGAAGATATTACGCCAACAACGATCTGGGAAATAGACAAGTGCTTCATGACATTCATCACTATTGCGAACAGAGCAACACAGTCATTATTCAAGAAAATGATCTACCATCGTTGACACCAGCATACATTGCAGGCCATTGTCACTTATTTAGCAAGTACGGATTCAACATTGCAAAGTATATGAATTCATTCAACGAGGATCAAATACGCGTTGCCGGTCTGGTAATGCAAAGTGCTCCACGGTCATGGTGTTACAGCGTCATTCGGGAATTAGAAGAATTCAAGCACATGGGACGACGGCGACGGTCATCTTTGGCGCGATTTTTAGATAAAGCTATCAATAACGACGAACGATTGGATAACTCTAGACTCAATTATCTGTCTCAAGAATCATTGGAAAACCTGGAAACGATCATCACGGATACTAAACATCAAATCAACAATTCCAAAATTTACTTGAATGACCCTGATAACAACGATCAACTTTTTGACGATTGTTTCAAACCTGAGCTACACCATGTCGTAAAACAGCAACGGTTATTTAATCTTGTGCCAAAACCTTCAGTCATGAAAAAATATATCAAGATCTCCAACCAGGTTAGGCTGTCGCTTTTACGTACCCCAGGTCTAGATGTGTACAGAAATGGCGAACAAACTCTTTCTGGTGTTTTGAATCTTTCGAAAATAAAGAAACATAATGATATGGTCTTCGCAGGATTTATTTGGACGGATGGGTTTGCGGTCTCAATTCCATATGACAGACCAATGTCTTTGCAACAATTGCCTCGATTGGTACCAGCTGATTTTGAAGAATGGGAATTGAAGTACTTTACGATATGGGGTGCCGATCCTGGAGTTACAAGCATCTACGTTGCTAGTGATGGTAGTAGTGATGCAGTTTATAATCAAGCAATGAACAATGAGGGTAGGTGGCATTAAATTTTAAACACGTACATCTTTATTTACCTTTTTTTTTTTTTTTTTTTTTTTTTTTTTTTTTTTTTACAGGTGCCCATGATGCTTCTCCTACCACGACCACCGATCAGCATGACTCTACTGATGTTAGTCACGCCATCACGGATATCGATACTTCTACCACCACCATCCATCAACATGACTGTACCGATGCTTCTCACATTACCGCCACTTCCCGACATGGCCCTACTGATACTTCCACTAACGCCGCCGCCGTCCATCGACATGACTCTACTGGTGCTCCTCATGCTACCACGGATACTGCTGCTTCATTGTCAAAAATAGTTACCGATTTGTCAAGCCTAGCTTCGAATGTTTCCATACTGGCAAGAAACTCGTGTTCTAGTGGCACTAATTCTCATATTTCTGAACGTATATCATCACTTGCGACAAATGTCTCGTCTCTGGCTTCGGATGCGTCTAATTTAGCAAAGAAGGAAGGTGTAGTCTGTACAGGCAATATAGATCATCAAGGCGATTTGATTGAACCTGGGAATATTGTGATTGTTGGCAGTCTAGCGACATCTGGTAGCATTGAAACGAACGAATCATTGACTGTGAAGGATGCTCTCACTACTGGGGGTAATATCAAGGTTGGAAAGAACATGGTTACTGGCAGTTTAATGGCTTGTGGTACTGTTGAAACGAATGAATCATTGACTGTGAAAGGTGATGTTACGACGATGGAAGACGTCAAGGTGGGAAGAAATATGATCATCGGTGGTAATTTATCCTCAAGTGGCAATATTACTGTTGGACAAAATCTACTACTTCGCGGCTCTGTATTTGCTGCTGGAAACATTGTTGCTGGGGGCGCCGTCAATACCAATAATTCAGCTGAAGTCACTGTAATTGGCTCAATTCAAGATCACCAGGTATCCGCTACTGATGTCAGTCATACTGTTCCTTTTGACACACCTACTGCTGTCAGCCACACTGATTCCTCTGCTATTGTTAATCCTACTCTCTCCACTGTGCCTGTCGGTAAGTGATCTATGACAATGCAAACATTATTTTACTATTATTTTCTAATGCACCTTCTTTTTTTTTTTTTTTTTTTTTTTTTTGATAGGTGAATCTCATCAAGTACGGCAATTTAGCTTGGCTCAATATTATACTGATGCAGGTTACAAGAAATCCACAGCGAGAATCAATTTAACTAAAACATCATCACTACAAGTACTAGAGTCAACCATATCAACGCACCGTACTGTAACCATGCAGGGGATACAAGATTACATCGCCACGACGTTGGACGCCTTGGACCCAATGAAAGAATTTTATGACCAAGATGAAATTCGTGGTTTGAAATTTTCAAATTACAAAGGAAGACAGCGCGTAGATGCAGAGATGGTGAACATACTCGTCGATGGCGGTGAAAAGTACAGACCTTATGGAACAAGACGAAGACGAAAACGGAGAACAAAGCGACGACAACAAAGACAAGGACAACAACAAAGACAGCGAAGAGGAGGAAGAAGAAGAAGAAGTAGAAGACACCCTCACAACGAAGAAAGAAGCACAATAAAGTCGTAAGTTTGTCTGATCGAAAATACACATAAAAATCATACTGATCTTTAATTTTCTCACATAGAAAATGGAAAAAAGCTGAAGCTACTCATCATCCATCCAAGGTCCCGGTAATTGTTTTTGGTTCTTCAAAATTCGGACGCAACGTATTCAAGGGCAAACCCGCAGGAGTAACTGATAAATGCAGAAATCTACTGAAAAAAGCCGATAGCCAAGGAAGACTGATACTTATTGATATTGATGAATATAACACTTCTCAAGTTTGCTCTCGGTGTGGGCATAAGGACATGGAGAGACTAGAGTTGGAATCAACGTCACGTATGTACGCTGTACTAGTGTGCAATCACTGCAGTACAGTGTGGCAGCGTGACGTTAATGCTGCTCGAAATATTCGTAGCCTTTTTGTCAACATGGTTACCTCTGGACAACGACCTGGATATTTAGCAAGACCTTCCTCCTCCGCGTAATAAATACGTGTGACGCTTACAGTGTAAGTCCCAAAAAAAAAAAAAAAAGTATGATGCTTCTATTCGGTTTACTAATCTTTTTTCAATTCTGCTCTTCCTTTGTCCCTCCTTTTCCCAATTTACTTTCCTCTCGTCCGATTTTTTCTTTTTTTTTTTTATGCGCCATCCATTATCTGTTTTGTCCGTCATCCATTCTCTATCCTTACGATATCTTATTTCCTATTTTGGCGACATCTTATTTCTGAAACTGCGTCATCTATCAGTGGAGAAACTGTAGGTAGCTTATTCTTTTTTCTTTACTTTTGTTGTTTATACTATATTGTTTTTACCTCTCTGAATTACTTTTTTTTTTTTTTTGTCACTGTTGAACTGCCAATCTATTTGGTAAATGACTATTCATCTTTTTATTATTTTTATATTATTTTATTAACAATAAAGTTTTGTCTCAATAGGCTGTTTAACTATCTTATATAAAAGTCACAACAGAGGCTTCAAAAAAATTTGCTTTTGCTTTTTTACGCTTTTTTTTTTTTATTCCTTCTACAAAATGACGACCATTAGCCGCGAGCAAGCACTTTGCATATGCTTTTTATACGAATACAATAAAGAAAATGTGGAAAAGGCAGAAAAGGAACTGAAAGACATGGGTGACAGGTTTGATGTTTTGCTATTTGACTGATCCAATGATTCCTGTACTAGTGGTGAAACAACGAATATACGCTACTCCTTTCATGTTCAAGCAATATGTATCTGCCAATACCAAGGAAGGAGATGCTAGTCCCCTTGACAATAAGATCATTTTAGGTAAGAAGTAATGATATAATTTAACAATCTGTTGCCTGATTATGCTTTACTAAAGAGGCTCTGAATCAACAAATAGAAACGAATCAGCAAGTGATACAATTTATAAACCAAGTTTATGTACCTGAAGAAGTCATGGATCACAATGTTTACTCCCTCTCATTTGTGTCTGTACACGACATATTCGCCAACATACTTCGACATTCGTATGGCTTCGAAAACAAGACGCTCAACGGCTTCTCGTCATTCTGTGGGGAAAAATAAGTTAAAATTCTTAGAAAAAAAAGAAGTCAGAAAGTAACGCCAAGGTACCCAATCTTGTTCAACTCTGCGATATCGAGAACTTTATGTTATGAAGCCGCAATATCATGGCAAGATAAACCTATTGACGCGTTCGTGAACTTAGATGCATTGTCGGGTAAGGCAGTTGTGTGATAAGTATAAAAACAAGAGTACTGATTAATTGCTTTATTTCAGCAGAAGCAACTATCAAGAACATAGTGAAATACCGAAGTATCTACCATCAGTATCCAAAAAAGCTGATTGATTATTTGAATACGTCAAAGAAGCAAATCCTTTTCGTGTGTCTTGACTATACCGGCCTTACAATTAATGTGAACGATCTGCAACAATTTCTTTCCAACCATCGAAATATAACTGAAGCCAACTGTCAATACTGGGATGGTGCGTACAACCTTTCAGACTGCCAACTTGTATATCATGCAATAACAGATGATGGCCCTTTGCAAGAATATTTCTCTGTCATTTTCAATGATCATCGGTCAATCAAAGCATTCGAAGTCATACGGAAAAAGGATGACGAACCAGTTGGAATACTATTCAATAAGGACAAATATCGACAGGGTGAAGTACTATAAATGAACTATTGGTTGATATTCCTGCTTGCGATTACTACAAGATGGTTTCCACTGATAAAATCAGTCATCCCATCAAGAAAACTTGCCGTTTCTATGCTGTTCATGTTTGTTAGTTAGATGTTGAATGAATTTAGTTGTTTATCTTTTTTATGAAGATCAATATCGCAAAAATGATAATAAAGAACTACTATTTTTTTTTTATTGATGATGATTGATGATCTTTATGATGATGATAATCCGAGGTATGGCTACGTAATAACCATAAAGATTTTGTATTTTGTCTAATCAAGATGTCAGAGCCATCAAACTTTCATGATGATGTAAATTTTGAAAGAGCACCATAAGATCATCATAACACTATTTGATCTGTTCGCTTTTTGAAGATCAAGCTTCAAAAAGACAAAAAAAAAAGAATATTGTGATGAATAAATAACGGTATCAAATAATTCATGGTTTCTCCGATGATCATTGGATAAATCATGGATATGGCATGATTGTGTATGAATGGACTGAGTCTGTAAACAAAGTTAGCTCGTTACGGACACATCGCCGTTACCCCTCTCTAAACATTGATGAATCATGCTCCGTGCGCTAAATTTATACATTTTTCTTTTTTAAAGGATATTACTGCGGAGTGCAATTGTACCCATCATTCACTGTCCTGACGAATGTAACAATAATAAATATTTCTCAACCACCTATTCAAAATAATAATGATTTCTCCACTTAAAAAGACAAAAACAAGTATGTTTTTTTTTTATTGTATATGTATATAAAATGTCCAAAAAAAGAAGATAAAACTACAAGAGAGTATAAAATGATAATAATAAAAGAAAGATATTTTTTAAAGAGAAGATAAAGAAGTGGCCAAAAGAGATGCGGAAGTTTGAAGAGAGGTATCATCACTTTGTTCACCATCTTGAATGACAGCTTGAATGCCCTTTTTGGAGACATCATTCATCTTACCACCAACTTGAGTCACCACATCATTCAAAGAGAGCATCAAGGATTGTTTGATTTCGGCAGTGGTACTTGTTCGAATACCAGATACCAATTCAGTCACCAAAGGATCCACACGTACTTGAAGAGGAATCAAGACTCGTAAAGCTTCAGCAGCATGAACTCGGATATCTTCTTCGGGTTCTTGTAGAGATTTGATAAAAGTACGTTGTAATTGAGGTAAGAAAGGTTTGACATGCATAGGCACCTTGGTCAATAATAAACTAATAATATATAAAGAAATGTAAATGACCATTTCTTACTTCAACATATCCTTCTATAAACTCTCTTTTTCTTTCACTTCCCTTTTTTTTTTTTTTTTTTTTTTTTTTTTTTTTTTGCTTACCTCAAAGTTTGAAGAATAGCCGATTTGACTTGAGCAGGATAACGATCACCAACAATACGAATCAAAGGACCAGTCATTTGAGTGACAAATGGTTTAAGAGCATCGGATGTAGTACGTTCAGTCAAATCACCTAGAGCCAAAGCAGATTGTTCACGTACATCAGTAGCACCATACATCAAACCTTGTAAAAAGATGGGAAGAATAGCACCCAAACCTTTAGGAATCAAACAGAAACCACGGACATCCGTACCAGGAGCAGACATGATATCAATAGCGCGACGTGTGGATGCCACATAACCTTCGTAGCGTTCCTTATTTGTGCCAACGGATTTCACCACAGCTGACAAAGCCTTCCAAGCAGATTCCACCACTGTCATGGTATGATCATTCAACAATAACACCAATGCAGAAATCCAATCAGCCACATAATTTTCATCTGCTTCCAGTTGTTCAAGTGCTTGGTCATTTTCGGTAAAGAAGGTAGCCACCACATCGCAAGAGACTGCTCGTCGTGCGGGATCATCGCTACGTACTTGTTCATGTAATGTTGTCATCAAAGCTTCCACACCTTCTTCATCATCCACAGATAACATTAATGCTTCAATAGCTTGGCATAGTTGCGTTTGTGTTTCTTCATCTTCTTGTTCCGTAAGGACACGAGAGCTGATCAATGCATCCAGAATCACACTCAATCGTCGGTTCAAAGTAGGTCCAGCCACAGTCACTAATGATGCCAAAGCGCCGGCATTGAATGCATTGATGGGTACTGTAATTAAAGTAGGGATCAATACAGGGAACACCACATTTGCACGTACCGCCATGATTTCTTTGAGAGCAGACAATGCATAAGTTGATGCTTCATTCTTGGCTTGCAATTGATTCAATAAGAAGGGTAAAATATCATCAATGGCTCTAGCACCCAAGTTTTGATGTAATGTATCGAATGCTATTCAAAAAAAAAAAAAATGAGTACATTTTTTTTTAAAAAAAGTAAGTTTCTTTTCTTTTTTTTTTTTTTTTTTTTTTTTTGTAACTTACCTTGAGCAGCAGCTTCACGAACTTCAGTAGAGGGATCACATAATGCTTGTCGAATAGCAGGGACGATTTGATCAGCAAAGTCGAGGATTTGTACACGTTCTGCCGAAGCCATGATTTCACTATAGGCCACAGTAACACCTTGACGAATAGATGCATCTTGAGATTGCATACCGTCTTGTAAAATAGGTAACATATCTGCCATCACACGTTCACCCAATTTGGTTACCAAATCACATAAAGTACGAGCAGCAACAGCACGTTGTTCATAACTAGCCGCAGATACCATATCATCATCTTGTTGATTTTTATCATCATCATGACGGAAGCCAGCCGCAAGCAATTGAATGATCATGGACATCATCGTAGGTAGAATATCACGTAATGTACGAGGAGTGTTGGATACCAGAGCCTTCCATACTTGCAAAGCAGCTTGTCGTACCATACCAGAAGAATCACGACGAACAATGTACAAGGCAGATAAGATGCGATCTGCACGATCCTTTCCAAGAACGTCACGCAATTGTTTTCTACCACCATGAGCCCCTTCCCGATTAGCTTCATCATCTTCATCCGCATCTTCATCATCCAATTCTTGCATGTTGCCAAGGGCTTGATTGGTTTTGTTGGGATTGGTAGTACCAGTGATACGGAACAAGAGATCACCAACCAATTGAACAGAACTTTGTCGAATACGCCAATTGCCATCGAATAAACCTTTTTCAAGTTCAGGTAACAAGAGATCCACCGCTTTGGTAGCATAATTAGTGACAATCATTCGACCAGCACGTAAGGATGCATCACGTACATATTCGGATTCATCTGCCAAACCCATCAAGATAGGAGGAATAATACGACCAATGTAAGGTTGGAAACGAGGACCATAAGTAGCAGGAAGATACACCAACAAGGAGATAAAACCTTCACGGACATAGGAACGAGGATTATTAGCATTGGCAATAATTTCAGGAAGTAGACCATCCAATCGTTCGAGACCTAAACCAGCTAGTACTTCAGCAAGACCTTGAGCTGCACCTTGACGATCCACACCACCAGCATCAGCCTTGAGTGTATCCAATAATTCAATCACAAGACCAGGGAAGTTTTCTTCACCCAATTTTTCCACCAGGCCACCCAATGCTTTCGCAGCAGTACCACGAGCTTCTGGTACAGGGTCCAAGAGTACTTGTTTCACTTGAGGTAATAATACAGGAAGATAAGGGATCAAATCCTTTTGATCAGTGAGAGATGCCATATTGCCGACGATTTGTGCAGACTTGGTCTTGATTTCCGTACCACGTTCACGTAATCCACGTTCCAAAATAGGCATGACAATAGCCAAGGAGGGCGAATCAATATAATGGACAAATGAGGTTTGTAAGAGTTTCTTGAGAGCAATCATTGTCTTTTGGTTGGGATCACTCAATGCTTGTAAAAGTTCGGGCACCAATTGTTGGATTTCAGGATTGCTGATGACTTCACCAAACATTTGAAGAGATCGATTAGCGGCATTTTGAACTTGTGCATGTGTATCGGCCAAGACTTCAGTAATACGGGGAATGATATTGGGTAAGGATACAGATAATTGTTTCGGAGCACAGTAAGCCATTGAACCAAGAAGTTCAACAGATGCTTTCTTGGTACGCCATTGACGTTCATCCAAACCTTCGAGAATAGACGGAAGAATCAACTTGACACAGTGACCACTGATCTTGCTCATAATCACACGACCAGCATCTGCACTTGCTTCACGCACATCCATATTAGTATCACTAAAGCATACTAGCAACAGGGGAATGATTTGTACAATGTAAGGTTCAAAGAGACGACCCAAAGTAGCAGATAAAGTTTCGAATGCAAAGAGAGCACCTTGACGATATTGATAATTACGTTTATTGTCGACGGCATCCTTGAGTGTTTGCATGATAGCGCATTCTTTCAAAGCAGTAATACCACGACCCTTAACCACACCAGCTAGACCATAAGCAGCACCACGACGATGAGCGTATTTTTCACCTGTAAACAATTTCTTCATCAATCCATCTACAATACTAGGTACATCTTCCTTGATCATCTTGATAAGAGGAGGCAAACAATCAGCCACAGCACTTTGAACTACTTCAGAGGGAGTATCCAGAGTTTCAATCAAGTTATCTACGGCCACACGAATCTTGGGATCACCTACAGGTAAAAAGCCAGCAGCACCACCATAAAGAATAACCACTGATTGACGAATATGATCTTGAGTTTCATCAGCTGCCACCATAACACCCTTTTTGTCATTAGCCAAGTAAGATTCAAAGCAGTCTAATAATTCACGTTGAATGGTTTGTTCCTTGCCATGTGTGTTGACCACTGCCAACCCAGCATCTACCATTTGTTTGCGGACCAGTTCATCACGATCACCCAAAGCCAAATCATTGATTAAGAATTGCACCATACCAATAATATCGCCCATTGCTTGTACATAAGGAGCACTCTTTTTCAAAGCAAGTGCAAGTCCACTGCGGGCTTCCCAAGGATCTTGTCGATTCAACGTTTCAGGGATCACCATACCAAACTTATCATATTCAGGTTCTAAAGAAGCAGCCTTGACCTTGTAAAGTGAATAGATAGCAGTAAGAGTATTAGCCACAGTTTCAGGATAGAGTTCCATGGCTTCTGCAAGAGCACCACTAGCAGCTGATCGCACAAAAGTACTATTGGAGGTCACATAGTTTAATAATTGATCACTATAAGTTTCTTCTTCCACATCCATGCCATTTTCTTCCCACAATGTTTTAGCCAAATGAGCATTGGTTTCATTTTCTTCATCATGACACGCTAACCATAATTCAGCAGAATAATCAATATCGGTCAAATCGAGAATCTATATCCAAAAAAAAAAATAAAAAAAAAATTAATGAACTTTTTTTTTTCTTCTTCAAATAACTTTTTTATAATATTACCTCTAAACCTTGAAGAGCAGCATGTCTAACCATGGATTCATCAGATAAAAGACCTTGGAAGAGAGCGTTGAATTCATCAAGAGTAACCAAGGTACCATCCATTGCAGTACATAATTCTATCAAGGCAGCTTTAGCAATCTTACTATGACTAGGGTATTCTCGAATACTGTAGACAAGACATTCAATCATTTCTTGACGAGGCATTAATTTGGCTTGGGAACCCAAAGAAGCATGGAAACTAAGTACATCCAAGGCCATAGTGACTTGTTCGATTGCTTGTTCGCGTCCTTCTTCTGCTGACTTGTTGCAGGCTACACCACCTTGTTTGATCACTTCATATAGGACAGGGAAACAAAGTAAGAATGCATTGACAGAAAGTGGGCGAGATTCGGTCAAGAAACGGAGTTTATATAGTACACGGTTCACCAGTTCCAATAAAGGTTCATCCAACCATCGTTTAGGCAAACCTTCTACTTGATTACATCGTAATGTTGCCAAACAAATTGCATCTGCCAGAGATCCATTGATATCTTGTTGTTGAGTTCTACCTAGAGCAAGATAAGTATCGACGAGTTTATCTTGTACAAGTAAACCAGCATTGGCCTTAGCAACCGTCAATAAAGCACCCATGGATTTCAATACGGTATCGTTACTACCTTCACTGCTAGCAGATGATGTCAAAGCACCGAGAATATCCAAACCCAAATTGATTTGTTCGTATACTTGTTGTACCTTGTCACGGATATCGCTTTCCTTTTTCAATTGAGCATCGACTGCTGCTTGTTCTTCTTTTGTCAATTTGCGTTGAGCTTGATTCTTATTCTTGGCTGCCAATTCCGCTCGAAGTTCATCTTCCCATTCTTGATCTTTGGTTTTACGTCCACGGCTTTCAGTCTTTTCGTTCTTCTTTTTCAATACTAATGGATGAAGGTAAATATATTTAGAAGGAAGAATTTTTATTATTTTTTTTCCAGACACTTACCATCCACATAAAGAACATCCTTGGGAGTTTGCCAAACATTGTATTCCAAATCACCAATACCTTTCATCAAAGAAGGATCCAAAAGAGTAGAATGATCAGCAAAGGATGCAAAAGTTGAAGCATCAATAAAGGAGAGAGTGGAAATGGCCGAAAGTGCTGCTTCATAAAATAATTTGGACTACCAAAAAAAAAAAATTACATAATTGAGTGCCTCTTTTTTTTTTTTTTTTTCTTCCTTCGATATTTCATTGTATATATATATATTGTCAAGAGTAATACCTCTTTGCCACTGTTAGAAAGTGTAGAGCGAATAAGATCTTTCAATTGTCGGGCGTGTGTTTTCACTAATTCTCCAGGATTCAATCCAGCACGTTGCACCAAAGTAATCCAATTGTACTTATCGGTAGGAGACGCTATATGGATATATCAAAATTTATGAGTATGTCCAACACCATTTTCATATTCAACAACACAAACACTTACCAATGAAAGAATGATGAGCCAAAATGATCAAATCAGTCAAAATAGAGGATTTGATACCCTTCAAAACATCATCATCATTTTTGGAAAAACAAGTGATAGCCAAAAGTACAGAAGCCAAACGGTAATGACTAACCAAAGGATCCATAGTAGTAGGTGTACTGGCAGCAGCCATTACAGGAACAGAACCCTTAGTTTCGTTTTCCAAATGTGTCAACCATAAAGTTAAAGCTTGAATCATAAAGTGCGACCATTTTTCAGGTTGAAATTGACTTGCTTCGGCCATACCTTGGAATGTTTGTTTACGTACAGTATGGATGGGATGACTTGTTAATATCCAGATCAAAGCTTGAGCAATCAAGATACCAGGACATTCCTTGTTGTTCCCAGAAGAGAGTACTTTTTGATCCAATTGAGTAAATACACTGATCAGAGCATGAGCAAACCAAAGACCTTCATCCAATGATAATGCCTTCATATATACACGATCCATCCATAAAAAGCTCTTTCCATCCTTGATCAAAGAATCTGGGTACTTTCGTTGTTTAATCAAATCATTGACAGCGCCAGGTACATTTGTCCATGTTGATTGTACACGACCAGATAATAAGGCCACCAAAACATACCCTTCCAAAGGTCCATCTTTCCATACAAGCGGCTTTTCTTGAATTTTGTTTGTAGTAGTGAAGAGTGGAGACAAGTATTTGACAATTTGATCGGCCAGAGTGATACTAGGTTGTTGATGTTCCCAATACGTAAGACCTACCACAGAAGCCCATTGTGATCGAATAGTAGCTTTGGGTGATACCAGACCTTCAGTCATCACCTTGATAATAGTTTCCATCAAACTCTTGTTTTCTTGACAATAAGCATCATTGTAAAGCACCACAGCAATATGTTTGCCTGCACCTTGGATAGCGTGAATGGTCGCTGTTTCGTTGGTGTCCTTTTTGTTTCCAGTCAAAGCATTAAAAAAGCCTTCGGTAAGAACAGTGTGACTAAGATTTGCATCATTCGTTTGAGCTAGATCAGCAAGTGCTTGATAAAGAACCACACGATGTTCAGGTGTACTAATTTTGCCTTGTTTCAAAGGAGTGGTCACATGTTGGGTCACCTTGATGAGAAGAGGAATATCTTGAGATTCTTTGGCTAATGCTCGCCATAATGCCATAGCACCTTGTCGTACTGCTGCGGAAGTGGAACGTAAATGATTGGATAATGGTTCTACCCACTTGTTGGCGAAAAGTGATGATGGATCGAATGAGAAGGAAGAAATAATACATGCCAAAGCTAAAAAAAAAAAAAAAGATAAGAGTATATCTTTAGATTTAATAATTCTTTTCTTTTTTTTTTTTTTTTTTTTTTTTGTTATTTTACCTTGAAGTGCGATTTCAGGAGATCGTAACATCATTTTCTCCAAAACAGGTAAGAATTGATCTTGGAAACAGGTTTCAGATACAGCAGCATGGATGAATCCATTGAATGAGATCATAGCAGCGTGACGGACAGGAATACGTGATGAGATAATATTCTTCAAGTAATAATCGATCAATTGATTCTTTCGTTCTTCTTTGGTGATGAATAAAGATTTTCCATCCATATTTTTCAAATGAAGACTAACATCAATAATAATACCAATCAAAACAGCATTGATGAATGATGGAGTACATGTTGATGAATTGGCCAAAGCAGTATCGAATAAGCGAGGAATTTGCGTAGCATGTTCACGAATTGTACGTCGTACTTGAGATAAACTACTACGCCAGATAGAAGAAGGTTTCTTTCTTGACAAATCTTCTTCACCGGCTAAGGAATCGATCAATAGAGCTTGTGCATTTACAACAAATCCTAATAATTGTGCTGATGTTGTCATGTCGTCATTATTGTTTTCTAATACAAATGATACCATTGTATTCACCCAAGTCAATAATACAAATCGATCAGAAGATGAAGTAACACATTCTCTATAATAAACAATGCAGTAATACAATTAAAATTAATATACAATAACAAAATACTTTGATTTCTGTATTTTCTTTTTTTTTTTTTTTTTACCCATTCATAGAGCGCTTGCAAGTTTTTTCAGCTTCACGTGCAAGGACAGGAGCAAAGGTCTTTTGGAATAGAGTAGAGTTCCAGGCATTGAGTTCTTTAAAAACATCTAGAATTGCTTGACGAGACGCGCGGTCTTGATATCGTGTATAAGTCAGTTTCAACAAACCGAGAAGAGAAGGTAGAGCTTCTTGAGGTAAATCTATATTAAAGAAAAAATGAATAAATAAAATAATAAATAAAAACTCGTCAATGATAATATGTTGAATTAACTCACCTTTCCTTCTTAGACGAACTAGTAAAGAATGATGAATAAAGTCGAGTCTGTCGGTCACCTTGGAAGTGGTAATGTTGGTAACAAGTCTATATCGAATGAATTCTGCCCATGATAATTCACCAGAGGCTGTTGTTAATGGTGGTTCTATGTCACTCATACGGTATATATATTTATAATATATATATACTTTTTGAAGAGAAAGAGTAAAAGAAAAAGAAAAAAAAAAAAGAAAAAAAAGAAGCGTTCCGAAAACTTGTACGCCCTTAAGTCAAATAAAAGTGGCTTGTGGCAGTGTTTCTTTTGCCGCAGTCTGCTTATTAGGTTACTGAAAATGAGATCAGCCCCGGTTCCATATAATTCATGCAAACAAAGAAAGGAATAAAAAAAAAAAAAGAATTTATATTTATTTCATCTATTAATAAGAATATTTTTGTACATAAAAGAGTATCTAACTAATTACAAAAAAAAAAAAAAAAGGTTCTAAATAAGGGCACTGATATTATATTTCTTTTTTTTATAATAATCCTTCAGTACACTAATGCCACATACACTTTTGAAGATAGTGACAAAAATGACATAGTCTGGATTCTTGAGATCAACTCTATATAAAAAAGAAAGAAAGAAAGATGAGAAAAATTTCTGTTTTTTTTCTCCTTCTTGTTGTGTTTTAACTTACTTGAGATGAGTAGGTAATGTAGGAGCAATGATAGCAATGATTTCTTGTTTGGTGATAGAGATATTGTTTCGAAGTTCGGTGAGAATGGCGACGGTGGTATTGGCAGGAAGAGAAGCTAAACATTCTGGAATCACACGATTGATAAAACAGGTACTGATACGTTCGGTAGTGACAGGACAAATATAATCCAAAGGAACAAAACGATGACAATGATTGATCAGAGCCAATTCCTTCTCTACTTCTTTTTCTTGATCCTTTTTCTTATTGATAAGATGTTCTATCATGGTATCGATAAAGTTGGTTGGCTTGATATTAATACGGAATCGGTAAAAGATCAATCCACCACTTGCTGTGTCTACTGCTTGGAATCGACGATCTTTCCTTGACGTGTTGTTGTCTTGTTCATCTGGTTTTTCTTCTTCTTCTTCGTCTTCCAAATCCTCTACATCTAAAGATACATCTGGACGTGTCCATGTTGATTCATAAGTTGGATATAAGGCGGCCAAATATCTTTCCAATGCTTGCTGTGCTTGCCCCTAGTAATCACTGAAGAGTAAACAAAAAAAATATATATATTCCAAATGATATTTTCTTCTTCTTACCAATGCTCTTGTTTCCGATTGAATTCCACATGATATCATGACACCGCTAGCAGAATCCGATCTTTTGATTAAGCTAGAATGTTTAGCAAGCCATCGTTGCTTGAATTTGCCTCTTATAATAGGAATCGTAGCATTGTTGTTTTTCTGTTTCTTTTCCACTGGTTTTGTTGTTGTTGTTGTATCATCGTCTTTTTGAACAGATTTCCTTTTCTTTGTTGTAGTTTCGATCGCAGTCGCGTCCATATTGTTGAATGATCAAACTAAAAAAAGAAGAAAAATAAAAAAAAAAAAATAAAAAAAAAAGTTTGGAGTGTTGAGTCGGGATTCAAAACGGTCCATCAACTTTTATTTCATTTCATCATCACTGTCATCATTTCTATCTACTGGTAAAGCTATATTAAATTGTCGTAAGAGATTTCCCGCTGGACCTGGTAGACCCTGTTGACCCTTGAAGCTTTCCAATACATTTTGAAGAAGATTCAATTGAATGTCCACAGGAGCATCTTCGTCTTCTTCTTCTTGATTTTCTTGTTCTTCTTGATCGACCAAACTAGGGTTTCTAACAAAAGATCCAGCAATCTTCTCATGTTCCCCGATTTCCTGATCCATTTCATGCATCATTGTTTGGAATTCTGACTGAACATCTTGCATATCCTTACTTGAAGAAAGTTCTATATCAAATAATAATGTTATCATATAACCTTTACAAAATAATAATAATAATAATAATAATAATAATAAAAAGCTTTACCTTGTTGACCTTGATTTAATATATCCATAAAAGATTTAAAATCAAATGAGATTTGCTTGTCCATGTCCTCTTCTATATCATCTTTTCTATAGCTGTCATCATCATCGTCATCTTCATCATCTTCATCACTATCTTCTTCTCTATATCATACAAATGACCAAAAACAAAATATATATATAAAAAAAATGAGTATTCCCTATGTTTCGTACCATACACTTTTTTTTTTTGTAAATTTACCCAGGTAAATGAACACCAGCAACACCACTTTGACTGTTTTCCAAAAAATGTTCAAACTTGGCCATCATTTCTTCCAAATTAACCGGGATATCCACGTTTTCTGTATTCGCCAAGGTATCATCACCATCTGCTTTTCGTGCAAGCATTGCCTCCAATTCGTCAGGATAAACATGTAACCAGGCCAGATCATCTTCTACTGATTCTTGCTTCTCTGTTATTAGTTGATCCAAAGCTTCTGGTGAATAGAGTTGTAATAAAGTATCGATTTTTTGCTTGGGTGTCATGCCATCAAGAACGGTTGGAGGTAATTCCAACATATCGTATTGATCCACATCATCAGTGTCGGTCCATTCTTCCGTCCCAGTATCCTTGGCATATAGCATCTCTAATCCACACATCAATTTCATTCCTAGTTCTGCCGCATCAAAATCTTTGTGTTGTTTTGGAGGTAAGTGGAATGGTTTTGGTGCATAAAATGATTGGTGAATAGTTTGTGCATAAGTTGTTCGAGTCCAAGGTAAAATAAGATTCTTTGAGTACGATTTAATGGGTGAAAATTGACGCATGGAAGAGCATGCCTTGAGAGAGGATGGATCACGTAAATAAAAAGCTTCCACCGCTAACGGTAAGAGTTGAGGGGCTGATAATAAGACAAAGACTGCTTGTGGGTTGGTCAGAATGGTACGTGCTCGATGTATTTCATGACGTTGTTGTTGTACTATTGAGTTACTAATATTGACTTTGTTGGATGATTGGTATTTCTGTATTCGATCCAAGATGATGTGCCGGATATCATCAGTTGCTGTGGTTATTGGAGTTTGTCGTCTTAAAATATCAATTGCGTCCTTTTTAGTCAATACATTCTTGCTAGCAGCAGTGCCATCGGCCGTCATAAATGAATAAATATCAGCAGGTGATGTTGGTAATGGAATGATATGTAGTTGTCCTTGATAAATGTAGATCCTATTGTCACTATTACTTGGATCTAACCATGGTGGTAAAGCTTGAGCTGCTTCGATCAATAATACTTCACCATCGTTGTCAGAAACAGCTATAATAGCATCTTGAAAGGATTTGGATATTTCATAGAGTAAGTAAATGATAAACCATTCATCATTCATACAATCACCAAATCGCGTGATACCGAACAGGAAAGGATAATCAGGATCTAAATACATATATAAATATTAGACATTAAAGAGTAGAGTATTGATCGGTTTTTTACCTTTTTTATCATTGCGAACTATACGTAAGTTGAATCCATCCTTTTGCCATATATGACCAGTAGTAAGAGGTTGAATGATCTGAGAGTCGATCAAAGCTTTCAATTTATGCAATGTTGTTGTTGTTGCATCGTTGGTATCTTTTAGTGGAAAATAGATCGAGTATTGAATATAATTGATATCAATTCTATTGGTGCCATTAAATACATCCTTTAATGACTCCATGAGTTTACGTTATTGCTTTGCCAGTCGAGATTTAAAAAAAAAAAAAAAAAAAAAAAGAAAAAAAAAAGATGAAACGAACTCTTTGGATTGGTGAAGTGGATGATTTCAGCCACCGCCCAACAAAAATGGTATATAATTTTTTTTCTCCTTTTTCTCTCATTCTTTTTTTCTTTTTTCCTTTCGCATATACATTTATATATAACAATGGGAAATGATGGTGGATCTATTCCAAGACGTATAGAACTTGTGAAAGAAAAACAAAAAGATGTTAAACAAAACCCTAATCTTCAACGAGAAGCTGCTTGGTTCTATTGTGCCTTATCAAAGGTATAAAATCATTATTTTTTGATGACGTTATTAACTTTTTTTTTTTCTTTTTAATATTTACTAATATAGCGAGCATTGGAATTACCAATAGTAGCAGATCGACTTGGGAAACTATATAATCAAGATGTTGTTATTGAATACATATTAGATCCGACATCATATGGAGATGGTGACAAGATCTGTCCATACATTACTTCTACCAAGGATACTGTCAAACTTAACCTCACACCAAACCCAGCATATAATGAACAACAAAATGATACTTCAACCGTTGTTGGTAGTCTAGATAAAGATCTCAAGAGTAAATTTATATGTCCCATTTCGATGAAGGAAATGAATGGAAAACATCGATTTGTCTATTTAGATTCTTGTGGTTGTACATTTGCTGAACAAACCTTGAAAGAAGTATCTTCAACACAATGTCTTAGCGTAAGTAGTTATAATCAATTTATATATATATATATATATATATATATATATGTGACTAAATCTTTCTTCTTCTTCTTTTATTATTATTATTATTGGATATAGTGCGGAAAAACATTTGATAAAAGCAATATCATCACCATCAATCCTACGACAAAGGAAGAAATCGAAAGTATGACCAAAGCAATGGAAGAAAAAAAGAAAAATGGCAAAAAGAAAAACAACAAAAAACGAACGGCGGAAGATGGCAAAGATGAAAATGGTACAGACAAGAAAAAGAAAAAGAACAATAATGAACATAGGAATATCTCAACTTCAGTGGCAGCTTCAGCGGTGATGGATAAGGTATCAAAGGAATTGGCCGAACGACAGAAAACCAAGGCAGTCTCTAGTGCGATTCAAAGCTTATATACAAAAAAGGATGGTACTTCCAAAATCAAGGGTAATTATCTGACCATGGGTACTTTTAATCGATATAGTTAGATATTATTGTAGTGTTATTTTTTTTTTTTAATATGTTGAAAAATAAAAATGATCTTTCAGTGAATTTTATGTATGATGATGTGATGTAACACAATCTGATTGTAGTAACTATCATGTGAAAAGGCAAGGAATGTGGGGTTCAAAGCGCCATTTTTCAAGCATCATGTCCGTTCTACAGTTAGGTTCTTGGAGAAGGGACGTTTTTATCATAGTAAGAGAAATCTAGTTTCGTGAAAATAAACTTGAATTAGGTACATTCTCCTTCTACGTATAGGATTGCATATATAATCTAAAATATAGAGTGGACAAAAAAAAAGGTAGATGATTATAATAAAAGATGTACGGTTTATTTCAATAAATTGACACATAAAAACTAAACTATATACAAAAAGGCGGGTAAAAAAAAAGCAAGAGTATCATACAGTGACTACAGTTGTTGCAGATCTTCGAGTTCTTTTCCTTGGTAACGATTCTAAACTTGAAGTTCGTCGCTTTTGATCATCATCATTCATTACTTGTTGCTGCTTATACCTTGAAGAGAATGAATACTGTACATCATGTCGACGTCTTCGTTGTCGTTGTTGTTCTTGATCATCATCATCTTCTTCTTCATTACGATCATTATCATGATAATCATCATCATTGTCGTCATCATCGTCATCCAATTCGTCGATTTCTTCTTCTTCTTCTTCAATAGAAGATCCAACGGAAGGTAATGTCGTTCTATTTTCCATACTATTATTATTATCATTGTTGTTGTTAATACTACGTCCATCGAGTTCATGTTCGTCTTGAAAAAGGAGAGAAAAACCTACATTTCCTGATAAGTGTATCAAATCGTCTTCATCTTCGTTTTCATAGTAGGCTTTAATCACTGCATATTCATCGTCGCTCCAATCGTCGTCATGATCGCTTTCGTCTTCACTAAGAGTATCAGAAGTCTTGTTCAAGGTAGGAACATCAGCTTCGTCTTCTTGATCTTCGTTGGTGAGAGATAACACAGCTGCCACCATATTCATGGCTTCAGGATCATCAGAAGAGAATATTTCACGTAATATCACCTTTTCTTCAATACGTAAAGCTTTGACATTCAGTGTTGTCATGGAAGCGAAGTAAAAAAAAAAAAAAAAGAAAGACTGAGGAGAGAGGGAAAAAAGGTAAAAATTGCGGTGATCTAAAATTGATAGATACAAAAAAAAAACAAAGGTTCCCTTTGCTACCTCTCTTCTTCAAATACATTTATTTATTTTTTTTTATTACATTCTCTTTTCTACACATAGTTTTAGTTTTATTATTACAGTTAGTACTAGTTTTAGTGTTATTCTATTCTTTTTTTTTTTTGATAAAGCTCAAGTTTTTAAATTATGTATCATCTTATCCAAATGTGTATTACTTTTCTTGTTACCGTCATGGCTTAGCACAAACTACTGGTACTACCCAAAAAAAAAAAAAAAGGATACTAGTAGCGTAAGACAATAGAAAAGACAAAGCGTGGTACGAGGATATTAGAAGTTTGGATAGTAGATGTCAGTCTTTCCTTCTTTTCTTCAATATTATATTATTATTATTATTATTATTATTTTGTTTCTGAGATGACTCTTACCGAAGAAGACAACTCATCCATTTATTTCTCTTGTGATGAAGAAGAAGGTAAAATATATATAAAAAAAAAACTAGTTATCATTGAATACTCTGATAATAAAAAAAAGGAATCCCTTTCTTTTACACCTTCCTCTCATACTTATAGAAGGTGTAAGTAATAGTGAATACTCAGACGATGGAAATACTTTCAAAATAGTACTTGTAAATATCAAAGAAACATTTGACCAATTACATGTTCATTGCGAAGAATTTGAGTTCTTGGAGTCTGGTCCAGAAGTGGAATACATCACCTTGTCCTATCGATGGGGAGAGCTGAATGAACAGAGGGTAGCAGCCACAGAGGATTATAATGCCCACATCACGTCCTTTTTATTGAAAGATTTTTATCGATTATGCCTACGGATGATGACTGAACCTGATCTAGAAAATATCAATTATGTATGGGTGGATGCTATCTGTGTAGATCAAGCAAATGAACAACACAAAAAGGCTACTATTTATCGAATGAGTGACATTTATGAACATGCGACGTACATTGTTGCTGTGCCTGATTTACATAAAGAATCATTGTTAGATACTAGTAAAACACATCGTGTCATGTCAAAAAAGATCATCAAGTACAGATGGTACCTTTATCATTTTATCTCTGAAAACTATCAGGAATTGGACCAACTTTTGAATACCCTTGAGATTCCATCAGATTATAATTTACAACGATTCATTGGGAAAGATCCGAGTATCTGGGTAAGTAAGGAGAATTATATATATATATATATATATATTTACGTGTGTATCAAGTAAAATAAAATCTTATCTACTTACATATATATATATATATGTAGGATGTTGGCGATTCAGAAGATGAAGAGGAAGAAGAAGAAGAAATTAAATGGGAAGCATCATTGACTGAAAAAAAGTTGCAAAACAAGGATATGCAAAACTGTCTAGCTAAGTATCAGCGCCATATACGGAAACGATTCATGGAGAAAAAAATCAAAGGTATTTTAGCTTCTCTTTATCATATTCGAGATATGTTTCTGGATTGGGCAAATCGAGCGTGGGTCATCAGTGAATATCACATTGCCAAAAGACGGAAAGACGGCCAATTGAAATACTGGTTTATTCATCTGGATGGAGATAATGATTTTCATTTTAATGGGAACCCTTTTTTTACATTTGATTTTAATGATGATCAAGAAAAAACCGAACCTGATGGTTTCGAGGGGCCAAGCGGACAATTCATTACTGTGATGTATGATTTGTATCATTTATATATCAATTATGTCCTAGTCAATCGTGATTTTATAGACATGATACTAAACTCTAAAGCCAGTAAACATGAAGATCGATTCCATGCTATGTTACCTGTATCATCAAAGTACAACAAGATTAAAAGAACCAAGGATACCATCTTTCATTGGCATATATCAGACATCCAATCTGTCATCTTAAAGTTGTATGAAATACTTGATCCTGAGGACATGATGTGTTTGCTTTACAGTTGCGTCAACACACCCAATGATGTCTTGCCCACTTTTACATTAAACAATTGGATACAGATTTCGTATTATTTTTCCTATAAAGCTCAACAATTCACAGATTCAGAGTATAATTTTGATATTAGTGACTCTTCATCATCCATCCTCTTTGAACCATCCAATCGTGTTAATACCCAGTATAAAGGACCTCGTCTTCATTTACGGCCTAAAACATATGATGTATATACATCCATCGATTTCTCCTGGCAGGAAACGGCTGAATTCAAGCGGTATACCAGATTATTCAAACGATTGGGTATTGACATGGATGATTCCTTCACTCTAATTAAAATCCAACCTATTTTTTCTCAGGATGAAGATGATCAACCTGATTTTTGGGATGTGGGAGCTGCAGTTCGTCTTCTTGGTACAATGGAAAAAAATGTTTGGATATTTTGTAATTTGTACTATTGTGCTGACAGATTAACGTCACAACGTTATGTCAATGACGACAACATAGTCTTTACCGTGTATTGATGCTTTTTTTTTTCACTCAAATAAAAAACTATAAGAGAATATCATTCTGATTTTATTTTAATTATCGATCTGCTCTCGATAGTTGTATATCATAAAAAAAACAATATAATTTTTTATTTCAAAAAAAAAAAAAAAGTAATCCACATACCAAAAACTATCACTACTATTCATTCTATTATTGTAATACCAACCAGAGTTCACTAACAAGAAACTAATTCCCTAACCAAAAGCCATCCTCTAGTCAGTTTTCCGTTCATATTAAATAGTATAAAATATATATTTTTTTTTGTCATTACCTGTATTAAATCCTATATCCAAAATGAAAAGGTTTTCCCATGTATTTTGTAAATCCCTTTTTCAAAACCCTCCAAATCTAATAAAACATACCATCACAAGATTGTAAAAAACAAAGACGATATCTAATGTGGAAAAAGAAAGTAAAAAAAAAAAAAAAAAAAATTGCAGACTTTCAGCTTTTTTTGTTACTCCTCTCAATTTTTTTTTTTTTTTTTTGAATTTTGATCGAGATTTTCCAGAACTAATCAATAGTCGGAAACTGAATCAACTGTAAGCAGATGATCATTTGAATTCTGCATAATAATGATCGATAGGATAAATAATAATAATGGATGACAAATAGTGTTATTAATAGTTCAATTTTATTATATTTAGCACTAATAATAATACTGAATGACTTCATTGAATGAATAATAATAATATGAATGTAATAATAAATAGGATTGATCCATACAATTCGATTTGAATCAAGTTTTCCCAAAAAAAAAAAAACATAAAACGCTTTTTTTTTTCATTCCCACGTGGTATCTTTTTTTGATGTGGGATCTCCGCCTGACATCATTTCCAAAAAATCACTCGATTTTGATTTCGTATCACTTTTCCAAGCCCAATTTATCCTTTATCCAATCAAATCATTCCAAATCATGTTTAGAAGTGGGGCAAAACTCTAGACACACAACGGCAAGCGGTAAATTAGAATAAAGCACAATGGATAAACCTTGGAACGATTTGTAAGACAAAAAAAAGTAATGATTTATTTTTTATTTTATTTTCATCAAAGATCATATATACAAAAGAATAAACCTATATTTCACACACATACAAAAAAAATAAAAATAAAAAAATAAAAAAAAAGAACCCAAAAAAAAGTACTATCTAACATAAATAAATACAAAACAAAAAAAAAAAAAACAAACTATATAAAAAAAAATTGGGGGGATCTAGAGTGAAGGGGAAATAGGAAAGGAAGTAGAAGTAGAATCATCCATATCTTCATCATCTTCAGATGCAGCATCTTGATGGGGAGTAAGGACCCAGCCTACTTTCCAGGGCCGGCCACATGACCAATATTTGGGACTACATACAAAGTTTTCAATGTCTTCATCTGGATCCACATGTCCATCAGGTCGATTTCTTCGCATCTTGTCGATATATTGCATAGCTTTTCGTTTTTCTTCTTTACAAAATACCCAACGACAATGATGACAAACACATCCACCACTTTTATTATATCTATTAATAAAAAAGTGAGTTGAAATAATAATAATAATTAAAGATATTACCTTAATCCACATTTATTACAAAGATAAACAAAAGGTTTTCCTTTATCATTAAAGATTTGACTAGCAGGGAAAGGCCAATTGAAAGCTTTTCTCATACAACCATCAGATGTTTCTTGACAAGCTTGACATGGACCTTTCACACGAGAAGGTCTACCTGAAGAAGTATGACGATTTTGTTGTAATGGTTTTCGACCACGTTGTTTTGGTACAGTGAGTTTAGATGCGGTATCAGTTGTTGTTGGTATGACAGGATGATTGGTAAGAACAGGAATTGACATTTTATGTTTAGTAATAGGTTGATGATGTGTTGGCAAGGCGATACAAGTAGCTGTCAATTGACGTCTTGGTTGATGAATAATACGTTTCTTGATTGGTAAATCTTGTTGTCTGGCCATAGCTACTCGATGACGTAAAGCGGACAATAAGGATTCACCACAAATGACTTTAGATTGTACATGAGATTCGATTGTTTGTTGTAAAGTAGTATCCCATTGAAATACAACACTTTTATCCAAAGCACTTGCTTGAAAAGCATCTTGAATCACAGAAGGAGATCGATGAGGCATGGATTTTCGTCTTGGATGATCATCATATAAATCATGTTGTTGTAAAGAAGGAGAAGTGGATAAAGAATCACCGTCATCTTCACTATCATGTAACAATTCAGGAGGAGAACTGACACGTTGAAAGGCACTAGAAGGATGATCAAATGGATATGAATAATTCATTACTTCAAAAAGACTTGGTAAAGAATATGTTGACATTTTTTTTTCACTAAAAAAAAAAAGAATGAAAGAAAAGAAAAAAAAAAAAGAAAAGAGAAAAAAAAAGAGATTAGACATTTTATTATTATTTATCTAGGCGGAGTTCCCAAACAACCATACTAAAAAGGAGAAGAAGAAAGGGAAAAATAACTAATATTTTGATCTAAAATGTCATAAAAATGCAAAATGTTCGTTTCATCTAGTTTTTCCCTTTTTTTTTTTTTAGAACTTACATTGTTAAATTAATAATAAAAAGAAAAATAATAATAATAATAATAATAATAAAAAGAAAGATAAAAAAAAAAAGAAAAAAAGAAAGAGATTTATATAAGAAAAAAACGTTAAAATAACCCAGATCGAGGTTTTAGAAATGAAAAGGGGATAGACACAGCAATATTTTATATATAAACAGTTCTACCGAATGGAAATCGATTTCATCGGGTAAGTCATATCCGCCAATCAAAATACTAGATCATCCAACCTTTTTTTCACTTTTTTCCCTTCATCTCAGTCATCCCTACCATTTTAGGAAATTGTGTGACCTATCGGCTAAACCCTCATAAACTTCATTTGTTTTACCCGTCTTCGGCTTCATCTCCATTTGTTTTTTTTTTTATATACATTATGTGATCTATTATTGTAGTTTTTTGTCATCATCAAATTATATTATTATTATCAATTATTATTATTAGTTTAAATCATCAATTAAAAAATATATATGATGATTACCATTTTTGATATAATATATTTTTATTTGATGGGGATTTGATTTGTAAACTAATAGCAATTCCCTTTCCCGGGAAAAAAGTGAACCGATCAAACCGACTATAAGGCATATGTTGGGTTTCATTACCTCCGATCAACTCAGCAACCCTCATTTATATAGTAGAGTAATTGTCATTAAGTTAAAAAAGAATAGAAACCTTTTATCATTTATTCGTTTATTATTATTATCATTGTTGTTGTTGTTGTTTTGTTTTTTGTATTCAATGAATAAAATAAATGAATTGATTTTGTTTAAGATAAAAAAAAAAAAAAAGGTAATAGAAATACGTAGGAGCAGTACCTTTTTTAGATAATTAGAAATCAAATGGATGAATCATCGCTTACGTCCGAGCGGATAAAATAAATTCAAACATTGGATCAAAAAAAAAAAAGATCTCTATAGAAAATTGTTTTTGTCCTCCTTTTAATTATTACTTTTTTATCTCTCTCTCTTTTTTTATTGAATAGGAAAATAAAGGATGATGAAATGATTTTTTAGAAACAAATGCCAAGAAAGAAAGTCTTTTTACATCTTTTTTGTTATAAAAATAGTAGAGTTAATTGATTGAAACTATAAAATTAGTTTTTTTCCTTTTTGATTGTTCGATTTCAATTTGCTTGGTAAATCAAAAAAGTTTTTTTTCCTTCGTTCCTTATTCATTCTTCAGCCACTATTTTTTTTTATAACGAACATGAAGAATGAATGGCCTGGGCATGTATTTGAACACCGACATTGATGTATACCGGATTCAACCAAAAAAAGTAGAGAAACAAAAATAAGATGAGGGGAAAAATGAGGAGAACAATTGTATTGATGATAATTACTTATCCCATTGGGAGAGAAAAATAAAGAAAAAAATATAAAAAAAAAAAAAATAAAAAAGAGGGAGACTTTTTTTTTTTTTACTAGACATTAATATTTATAGTGTGAAGGGAATAAAAAAAAAAATTTGGTGCTAAAATTAGTTGTTTTTTTTTTTTTTGTTGAGTGATAAGTATTATTATTTTTTTTTTTTACCTCCTCTTCTATTTTTTTTTCTCTTTTTTTTTTATTTTTCCTTTTTTCTTCTTCTTTCTTTATATATTCTCCTACTAAGGAAACATGATGGAAGATATGACTAGTTCTCTTCCTCCACAACCTCCATCAAAACATGATAAACCACCTCCTTTACCAAAACATCAACAATTACCACCAACAACACCTGTACCTGGTAAACAACCTATAAAAAGCGATATATATAATAATAATCAAAGTGATACGTCATTACCACAACAAAATAATACACCATCGTCTTCTTCACAGTCTCCTCCAAATACACGAGCAAGTTCTATCAATCTATCCTATACTGGTGGAGATCAATTACTTGACCATTCTCATCTTAAACCAGGCAATAAGGCATCATTATTATCATATACTCAATCTATCAATATGTATCGTGAAAATGCAAAGAAAACCAAGAGTCCGGATATTCAATGTGATTTTGCTATCTTTATGGTGGAAGCTGCTAAACCGGTGGTGGATGATGAAGTCACTCGTTGGGAATACCTAGCCGAAGCTGAAAAGTTATTGAAGCAATTGGCTGCACGTGGACATGCTGAATCTCAGTATTATTTGGGCAATCTGTATGCATCTGGTCTTTTGAGCAAAAAGAATAAAAATGAATTTGATAAGGCATTTCCTTTATTTGTTCAAGCTTCTAAACATCATCATCCTGATGCTGCTTATAGGTAAAAAAAAAAAAAAAAAATTAAAAAAAAATTAAAAATGATGTTCATATTCAACATTCTTTTTTTTTTTAAATAGAACTGCTAAATGTTATGAAGATGGATTAGGATCTCGTAAAGATAGTTCTAAAGCTATTCAATTTTATAGGTAAATAAATGACAACAATAAAGGAGTTTTTGCTTTAAAAAAAGCCGTATGTAACCATTCCTTTTATAGAAAAGCAGCAACACTTAATCATCCAGGTGCGATGTATCGAATGGGAGTAGCGGAAGTCAATGGTGAATTAGGTATCTCGAAAAATGCACGGGACGGGGTCAAGTGGCTGAAACGAGCAGCCGAAGCAGCAACGGTGGAATATCCTCAAGCGATCCATGAATTAGCCTTGTTACATGAACGTGGGATCGACAATGTGGTATTTGTGGATTTACAATATGCAGTAACTTTGTATGGTCAAGCGGCGGACTTGGGTTATGCACCTTCTGCCTTCAAACTCGGCGAATGTTACGAATACGGTAAATTGGAATGTCAGCAAGATCCCGCGTTATCCATTCATTATTATACCATCGCCGCTCAACAAGGTCATCGGGAAGCTTGTTTTGCCTTGACGGCTTGGTATTTGGTCGGCTCTCCTCAGGTTTTACCTCAGTCCGATGCTGATGCTTATCTATGGGCCAAACGTGCTGCTGAAAAGGAATTACCAAAAGCTGAATACGCCGTGGGTTATTTTACTGAGGTTGGGATTGGTATCACCAAGAATTTGGAAGATGCCATGGTATGGTACAAAAAGGCTGCTCAACATGGTGATAAACGCGCTATTCAACGACTTCAAGGCAAACCATCCGAAAAATCAAACAAGAAGAAAGGTCAAGACGATTGCACCATCATGTAGATAGATTTCCCACACACACACACATATCTTTTTTTTTGGTTTCTATATATATATATTTATCTCATTTATTCTCACATAGCATAATATAATAAAACAATTTATTTATCATACCATAAATAAAAAAAAAATTCATTCTTTTGTTTTGTTGATCTCTTTTTTTATATTAATATATCTAAATTACCACATAGAAAAAAAAGTGTATTAAGATTTTTTTTCCTTTCATTGTGCTGGTAATCATTGGAAAAATGATCAAAAATATGAAAATAATGAGATAGAATCCAAGTTAATACTCTTTTTTTTTTTTTTTTTTGTGTAAGATCAACAATGTTGACACTATGGTAAATATATATATATATATATATTTTATTTTATTGATCAATACAAATATGATGAGCTAAGTGCATAACAACAAATGATCATCAATGAAACTAACTAAATAAGAGTATAAAGGTATCATCCAGTATTTTCTAAGGTCTGAACCACATGACGCCAAAGATCAACACCCTAAAAAAAAAAGATAAAGATAAATAAACATATAAAATAATATCGAGTTTACCTTTTGATAAAAATCGATCTTTGCATTAGCATAAGTTTCAAGAGCATCATGCATTTCAATGGCATTGTTCCGTACAAAGAATTCATTTTCCTTTTTCACTTGATCCGAAAAAGCATTGGATACTTCATGAGTTTGTTCTATGGCATCTTGTAACTAATATATCATTTAGTAAAACAAAAAATCTTATGTAATCTATATCTTTACTTACTTCACGAATTCGATCATCTAATCTTAAAACACGTTCCCGACGAATCTTTTCAGCATCAGCACCACGGACTTCATTGAGTTTGCCAGTTAAATAATCAGTCAATCCACCAGTTGTGTCAGATGGATACATTGTCTTTTCCCGTTCTTTGATGGTTGATTGTAAATAATCTGTCAATTCTTCAAAATCCAATTGTTTTTGATCTCGTAATTTTAATACATCCTAAAAAAAAAAAAAAAAAATCAATAAGAAAGAAAAAAAAAATATGACTTTTTTTATACCTTCATTGCATTGTGATAAGACATATAATCATGAACTTCACTTAACCATTCAGAATCATAGGAAGCCATGGTACTAATATTCTTAGCATAACCAATGGTAGCATCAGAAAAAGTGTCCAAACTAGGTTGAAAAGTAGTTTCCAATTGACCCAAACCACGAATACTTGAAGCCAATTCCATATAATCATGAGATAAATCTAAATAAATAAATAAATAATTATTTTGTAAATCAATATTTTTTTTTTTTTTACCATCTGTTCGTTTATTGGTTCTTGTCAAGGTTTTTTCCAATAAAGAGAAATTTTCTTCTAAACGATCTACACGATTCTTCATATCCACAAATTGTTGATCAGGTTTTCGAATTTTGGCAAATGCATTCAAAAGTGAATCACCAATTGTATCCATCATTGTTTCTTGTCCTTCACGTAAAGCCCTTGCCGATGCATCATTCTATCAACATTTATATAAGTTTTTATCAAGAGAGAGAATTTGGATCAACTTACAAATTCCGATGATTCCAAAAACATGATAAAGAATTGAGCTCGACCAAGGATAGGATGTCTAGCTATACGTTGTAAGAACCGTTCCATACTAATATATAATAGTGAATTTCTAATATTTCTCACCATTTTCTTATTACCTTGTCCTTCGTTTTTCTACAAAATCAGTTCCAAATCGATCCCCTTTAACATATTCTAAAAAGAAAGTAAATTTAGTTGAGTCATCTAAATATGAATCATTCTATACCTAATCGATGTTTTTCAGGTAAAGGAGGTACAATACAAGCAGGATAATGAGTATATAAGACATTGTAAAGCCATACAAAGTCTTGGAACCTTCTACGTACAGTGGCTTTCTATAAAAATGGGATGTTGATATAATAATATAAAGTGATAATGACACTTACCTTAGATACAATAGCATAAGAAACAAAAGTGCCTTGTTGTCCATCGTTTTCCTTTCTCGGATCACCTACTGAAATCGATCGTGTTTCTATCGTTGGTTTTGGTGAAGTCATATCTTTAGGAGAAGAAATGGAAGATGGCACAGCAACATTATTATTCATAGGAGTTGATAAAGCTGCATCTATTGATGATGATTGAGTTAAAGGATCTTGTGAGTCGTCTTGTTGTAATGTATAGGATAAAACATTGGAGTGTGAATCTAATGTATTCTGTTCAGTTTAAAAAAAAAAAAAAAAGAAAAAAAGATTCGTGTGAGAAAAACTAAAGACTATCTTTATATTTTTTTTTTTTTAACTTTTTTACATCAAAGTCCATCTTGTTGTCACTGGTCAAATCCAAAGTATGCATAATAGATTCATTCAAGTCAGATAAAGGATCAATAACAGCAGGTTCGTTATTGTTGCTAGAGTCATGAATATCTAGTTGAGAAGCATCGAGTTGGTTACCTTGAACATCCCAAGCAACATTATCAAAGTCTTCCGATGGTTCAGTCATGGAGAATTAATATATAAATTGTTAAGATTGGATAATAAAAAAGAAAATATGGATATAAATATATAAAAGAAGTTGTTTTAAAGAGTTCTAACTTTCTGGTTATACAAATTAAAAAAGAAAGAAAGAAAGAAAAAAAGAAAAAAAAAAGAATAAAATAAAAAAACAATAGGCCCGAAAAAAGCATGTTTCCAAAAATGAGACGAAACCATTCAACGACCGACGCATTAAAAAATATTTTTATTATTATAAAACGAAAGATAATAAAGAACAAACAAAGAAAAGAGTAAAAGAGAAAGAAAAGTTAGAATTAGCATCAGCAGTGAAAATCGAACCAGGAGAATGATTAGGACCCACTGAAGGAGAAGCACCATTAGCAGGGGAAGGAGTAGGAGCAGCAGGACGAATTTCGATAGGAATTTGAAGATTCGTATTGGTAGAATGATCAGTAAAGAGAACTTTATAATTCCCAGCCTTGACAGTAGTAGGAATATTAAAGTTAATCGAATGTTCAAAATAAGTCAAATTTCCTTCTTGTTTAAAAAAAGCATCTGTTCTAGATATATCTGCCTTTTCACTAATGATATAAGTTCCATTATTATTTTCGATATTGGTTGAATTGGTTGTATTATTAGAAGGAGTGGGTACTGTAAATCCACCTATGGCTTGTAAAGTAATGGCCAAATCCAATCCATTTGTATCCACATTTGATAAAAGACGATAAGTACATGGTAAAATTTGTCCTGCAACATAAGGTCCATTATTCACAGGACTGGTCACATTATAATTATGTGTTGGACCTTGTAACATTTGTCCAAATACAATCATAACATTGCTTAATAAAATCAATGATAATTTCATTTTATTTTATTTTATTTTTTTTTTAAAAAAAAAAGAGATAAAAGTAAAAAAAAGAAAAAAAAAGTAAAAAGGAAAAGGGATGTTCAAAAGAAGAAGAAGAAGAAGAAGAAGAACAGGTGTTTTCAAATACCGTCGAAGGGGTTGAGGAGAATAACGACTTTCTCAAACAAAGCAAGTTAAGAAAAAAAAACAAGGAGAAGAATGATAATAACTATGAAGGATGATGATTGATTGGGATGAATTAAAGAGAGAGAAAAAAAAATAAAGATATCATTTATTGATTCAACATTTTTTTTTTCAGTTCTTGGATTAAAATAAATAATAAGTTATATATATACGTTATGATGTAACAAAAAAGAAAAAGAGCAAAAAAAAAAAAAAAAAAAAAAAAAGAGGAGTAAAAGGAAAAAGGAGTGTTAAGATGGAGAGAAAGGAGAATAGATGGTTAATGTAAACACCAAATTGAAAATAACAAGGAAAAAATCACAATCCATGAAGTATTAAATTTGAAGGATGATGCACTAGACGCAATGCCAAGTGGAGGAAGATCCGTTGATTCTGGAGTCGCTGTAGGTGTAGGTGCCATAGATGATGCTATGAAATTTAAAATAATTTGTATTTAGGAAACGAACAAATTAGGAAATTGTCTTTCTTTTTTTTAAAGATCATTACCAACAGTAGCAGATAAAGTCCAACTAGTAGGTATAATAATAGATTCAGTAAGAGAAGTAGGTAATATGGCAGCACTGGTAATAGAAGGGATAGTAGGTTTGGCCTATAAGAATAAATAAATGAATTTATGATCATGATCTTTTTACTTTTTTTTTTTTTTTTTTTTGAAACACTAGCAAACCAGCACCCCAACAACAACATCATTCATCAATGGATCCTTTCTCCTTGTTGTTGTTTTTCTGATGATTGTTAAGTACCTCATCTATACTAATAGTAGGAGTTGGTTCTTCCATTTTAGGTTGATACTTTTTTGGTTGATCTACTTTAGGTTTTTTAGGTTCTTGCTTATGTTCTGTCTTTTGAGAATGAGAATCATGAGCATATGTAGGATGACTAGAGGGTGGATCATGATGAGGACGAGAAGGTGCGACTGCTGGCGTAGTAGGGAGATATTCAATTACCGTTTTTACTTTCACTGGTCCACCTTCATTTTCATCAGGTTCATCTTCATCAGGTTCATTTTCATCTTCACCTCGTTTATCTATTAAAAAAAATCATCAATATATATAAATTGGATGGATGTTATTTTCAATTACCGATACTAAGCGCATGGCTGATCGTCAACAATGTCATCCATGTTAAGAAAAAGAATAAAAAGATATGAAGTTTCATAGTAAAGGAATGTAAACTGTTGTAATAATGAATGGAAGGGGGGTCGTAAAGAGATCAAAAAAAATTTAAAAAAAAAAATCGAAAAGAAAAAGAAAGAGATCTTTTTTTTTCTGTTTTCTAATAATCTGTTTGAAGTAGAAAAGAAAGTAAAAAAAATATATATATATTTTTCATCAAACTATTTAATAATTAAAAACGAAAAAAAAAAGACCATCATGTTTTTTTTGTTTCTTTCTCCTAAAAATCTTAAGGGGATCACTTGATAAAACTATCATCCTCTACTCTGTTTTTCTGCTGATCATTCTTTTCATATTATATAAAGTTCAAAAAAAAAAAAAAAGGGAGGAAAAAAAGTCTACACAATGGATTCAATTTGAGTTTTCATATTTATTTACATAACAAAAGGAGAGAAAAAAAATACATATATATATATAAAAGGGGGAAAGATAAAAAAATGAAAAATGAATGAACTACTACCGCGATAACTATAATACAATATATACTAATAATAATAATAATAATAAATAAGATAACTAGACTATCTACTGTCATCAAGGAATGGATTGTTTCCGCCACGTTGTTGTTTCAATTGTAAGCTCTTGACTTGTTCTTCTTGTTGAAGTTTTTCTGCTAATTCTTCATCTTGCTTGAATTGTTCATATCGCGCCCATAATTGCTCCAAATCTTCATCAGTCGTGGATAAAAGATCTTCTTCATCATCCTCATCATCATCATCCATAAAGTCTTCGTTGAATCGACTGGATACACTAGCCATAGATGCTCCATCGTCTACTAATAATCCATTATCACTGTTGCCTAATGCTGGATACATTGGATGTTCTTCTTCTTGTTGTTGTTGTACTGTCATATCAATATCATCCGGTGCTGCTCTCCAAGCTCTTGTCATTAATTGTTGCCAATTTGCCATAATTTCCTTATCACGCATAAGAGCTTGTTCCGATACTTGATCCCCAGCCAATGAGATGTCATCAAAAAGTGATAAACCATCACCTCCATCTTGATGTTCTATACTATCCTTGTCAAAATCATCATCCACAACATGATCTGAATAACCATCATCTAGTCTGTATGATTGTATAGGTCCGGTCATATCATCACCAACCAATGTATCTTCCCGTTCCTCCTGTTGTTGCTGATGTTGTATATCCATTCCGTTGATCAACAAGAACCAATATGTCACAAACCCACTGAAAAACAGAAATGGTTCTACAATAGCCAGATTGCCATATATCATATATGCTTCAAAAAGAATGGTACATAAGATGGTGCTTAAGATAAGGTGCCAAACCAATTTCAATGGATTAAACACATCTAAAAATATAGTAAGATGAAAAATAGATGAGTATATACCTATCCGTATACATGAACACTTACTTTTCAACCAATAATCTATAGAAGCCAAGATTTTGTTGAGCTGCCAGTTGCTAAAAGATGCATTGATCGGAGCTGAATCGTCCTTGTGATATTGATACTGTTGTATTGGAGACCCAGGTCTTGGCGTTGGAATATCATCATCTTCGTCTTCATCAGTTATTTTTTCATATTGATCAGGTGATATGTCCAACGTATGGGGTTTTTCAATATTGACTATTCCGCGTTGTTGATGTGGTAAAGGTAAGGACGATGAACGGATGGATAAAGGTGATTGGACAAGTGAAGCGGAGGTGATTTCTTGATGAGTAAAATGAGATGGAATAGTTGGTACGGGCGGACTAGGCGTTTTGTTAATTTTACGAGATGAAGATGTTGAAGGTGATAAGGATGAAGATGCGCGAGTCTGTATGTTAGGTGACACAAGGGATTCGTCTGGCTCCACAGGTTTCGTTTCGTTATCCACTAGGAGATCCATCGTAAATAGGGCTTGAAATTCAATCAAAAATTCAATCACACGCTGAGAAATCATATATTGTACAGGAGAATTGTGTTGAGGATGACTAAGAAGACCAGGACTAAAAACTGCTGCAAGATTAGCAGCATCCATTCTTGTAGCTGATGCATTAGTAGCAAACAGTCGTAACATATCCAAAACATATAATAATAAATGTTGATGAGCAGTTGGAAGTTGACATATAAGAGATTGAAATGCGTCAATGCGTTGACTTGTTCCTTCATACATTGAATCATCTAGATAAATAAATAAACAAAAAAAAAATAAAGGGTTTATTAATGTTTCATCATTAATAAATAAATAAAAAAAAAAACAACTTTACTCATCACATCACGGAATTGTTGGTAAAAGTGAATAGGAATCACCGGATCAGGAAGTCGAAGAAAATAACGTCGTAAAATACTTCCAGCATCATGAACAGAATAATCTTTCCATACATGATGTAATCCATACGATGCTTGTGGCGAATCAAAGATTTGTTGTAAAGTGTTGACTCGTTTTGTACTTCCCGACAGTCTAAAGATACCTTCTGTTTCCAAGGCTAATACAAAAAGAGTTCGTTTTCATTATTTTAGTATCACTTTGTACAACTTTCTATTTTTTTTTTTTTTTTTGTGATTCCCAAAATCAGAATAGACATTGTTCCTGCCTTTTTTTTTTTTTTTTTTTTTTACCATTGCGTTTTAGATATGAGCCACACTTTGCAACTACTAAAGGGATAGCTGCAGCACGTTGATGATTCACTTGGTCAGCATCTTGATATCCAATAGTGGCTCGTGCATAAGAGATAGAAGCTACCAAAGGTACTCCAAAAACACCTAATAAAAAGAAAATAATAAAGATAAAGAAATAAAAAAAAATCAATTGAAAGCACTCTTGGTTTATATTTTTCTAACCTTGATGTTTTCCGTCAACACCTTTAGGCAATATGGGTGACACTTTTGGTGTGGTCACTTTTCTTATCCAACGTCTAAATGATTTTCGTTTCTTGAGAGGTGGTCGATTATCTATTGAGTCCATATTGAAATGAGATGAAAAGAAGAAAAGAAAAAGGAAGAGAAAAAAGAAAATGGTTCTAATTTTATGCCTTCAAATTGATATTGAATTCAAGCACCGCATTATCTCAAGGACCTAAAACAAACTTTTTTAAAGCCTTACTGTAACGATTCATCCTACGATTTGATATATAAATGATTTCATACTACAACAAAACAAATAAACTACTATTATTAAAATAGATCTAAATGTAACTTGCAAAAAAAAAAGCAGAAAATGGAAGTTGAAAAGTCATTTATTGGATGAGGCATAAATGTAAAATAGTAAGGCTATATTAAGAATTTAAAAAAAAAAAAAGTTTTCATTTCTTTATCTACGATTCATTTTCAATTTCGATAAGGCCACAGCAATTTGACCACCCACTACTGCATTATTTTTAATCAAGGCAATATCTATTTAAATAACATAGAAAATTAGTTCAAATAAAAAAAAAGAAAATCATATTAACAGTAGCACCACTTACTTGATTCCAAGGATTTACCAACAGTAAGCTCCGTAACACGTTTCAATAAGTATGGTGTTTCTTCTTTTCCACGAATACCATGAGATCTACGTTTAACAATCATTGAATGATTAACATGATATTATTACTTTTGAGTATCTATATATTTACCTTGCATCTTGTACAGCAGTGTCAATAGCATCTTGAATAATTTGGGAGTTCGCTGCGTGTTCTTCAGGAATTGGAACAGCAAATACCATACCATTTTTTAAATCAAGATCATGGTTGGCCACTATAAAAAGGAACAATTGATTTAAACTTTGTATATATATATATATATATATTCAATTAACTTACAGATCACTTGGGCAGCAGTCTTTGCATCGGGTACATGACTTGGACTCTACAGCGAGTAAAAAAAAAAAAAAAAAAAAAGATAAGTATCCATTATTTCAATATAAATGTTCTAATTACATCAAATCCACTATCAGGAGTATAGAATGCAGGAAATCGTTTGCTTGAACCAACAGTAGCCACAGTGACACCTTGAGTTTCCTATAAAAAGTAACAAATCAAAATATTGATCTACATATATATATATATATATATATATATATATATATATCATCTTTACTTACCAGAACTTCTAATGTTTTTTCAATGTCCAAAATACTTTTCACACCAGCACAAACAACGGCTACAGGAGTTCTACCAAGTTCTGTCAAATCTGCACTAATATCGAACGCTAAAGAATAAAATAAAATAAAATATGGATGAATCCATTTTATTAAAAAAAAAAAAGAGACTTACACTGATCAGCACCACGATGAACACCACCAATCCCCCCAGTAACAAAGACAGGAATACCAGCTGCTCTTGCCAACATCATAGTACTTGCTACAGTTGTTGCACCCGATTGTTTCAATGCAATCACCGGAGCCAAGTCACGTCTTGAAGCTTTGACAGCTTTTGGACCAATTTTGCCAAGTTCTTCTAAAGCATCCTTATCCAATCCAATATGAACATGTCCATTCAAAATGGCAATGGTTGCAGGAATGGCACCTTGATCGCGAACAATGGATTCAACCACTCTGGCTGTTTCTACATTTTGAGGATAAGGCATACCTAATTTATATATATATATAGAAATATGTCAGTCTAAAATTATTATTATTATTATTTTGATGCATAAACTTACCATGACTGATAATAGTAGATTCCAAAGCGACGACAGGTCCACCACTTTGAATAGCTTGTTTTACTTGAGGAGAAAAAATAAATTTGGAAGCACTTGGTAATGCATGAAATAACCTACGCTGAATTAAAGGAAAAAAGACCATGATGATTAAAAAAAAAAAAGTAGTAAAGGAACAAACACGAAAAACAAAAAAGACAAAAGAAAAAAAAAAAAGAACTAGGAAAAATATTTCGGATTCAATGTACAACAGTTAAATGTGTGTTTCAGTCTCCGGCTCCATATGGCCAGAAGGTCATCTGCGATCTTTTTGAGTCTCTCAGTTTTTGGGATAAAACGATTGATAATAAAACGATTGATGATAAAATCTATAATGCTCATGTTCGAATTCAAAGACTAAATATAATACAAAAGTTTGTGTTCTTTATTTCATAATAAGGATGATCTAAAATAATTAAGCAGATCGATATTGTGCATAACTATTCGTTATCGTCAGAGTACCCCAAGTAGCATGCATTATCTCACCACTATCCATCACATATCATCAATCCCACCATCATCCCATTATCCATTATAGCGACCTCTTACTTCTTTTAAGCGTCAGTTCCCAAGCGACCAAACTGGTGAGTAGAGTGACAGTAACCAGTCACCACTGGCTGAGTTCCAATACAGTGAAATGGCAAAACCCCATTTCCAAAAAATACAAAAAAAAAAAGGATTCAACTTTTCCACTTTCTCTCTTTGTCGTATCCCGCTTTCTATTCATCTATTTATTATCCGTCATGGCAGGAGATGATTTCTATGTACGATACTAGTAAGTAATAGACAAAAAAAAAAAAAGGATTGTTACTTTAGTCTACAGCTATACTTTTACCCTTTGAACTATTGGCCGCGTTTTTTTTTTTTTTTTTTGAATGGTCATAACTAATGATTCACCTATCCTTTTTTTTTTTGTTTTAGTTCAGGACACAAAGGACGATATGGTCACGAATTTTTAGAATTTGAATTTCGATCGGATGGACTTTGTAGATATGCAAACAACTCCAATTATAGAAACGATAGTTTGATCAAAAAAGAAAGTAAGTTCTTTGAAATAGAATGGCCAATAGGAACAATCTAGTTTTATCATGAAAAATCCCAAACTCATTTTTTTTTCTTTTTTATATAGTGTATGTTAGCCCGGCTGTCATTCAAGAACTGAAACGTATGATCGATATTAGTGAAGTGATGAAGTAAGATCCCATTGAAAAAAAAAAAATAGATCATATTAATATCAAGTATTTATTCATTCTTTTTCTTTTTGGTTATAGGAAGGACGATCGTTTATGGCCAGCAAAGAATGTAGTGGGTAGTCAGGAATTGGAAGTACGATCTGGCAATGATCATATCTCATTTGAAGTAAGTCAAGTAGATAAAAGTGTATATGATAAAAAAAAAATGACCCTGACGTTTCTTTTTTTTTTTTTTGTTTGATAGACATCTAAATTAGGCTCATTAGTAGAAGTGGAAGAAAGTGAAGATCCTGATGGGTTACGTGCGTTTTACTACTTGGTACAAGATCTCAAGGCTTACGTGTTTTCTCTTATTGCTATGAACTTCAAGGTAAAGAAAGAATGGCACATGACCTCATTTATTTTACTAATAACGATCATTCTTTTCTTTGGTTTACATAGATCAAACCTACCAACTAAAATTGGTCTTTTATAATATATACAAAATCTTTAGTTATTTTTTTTTTGGGTATGTCTTTTTATTATTAAAAGTGAATAAAAAAAGTGTAAAAATTGTTCATTTGCATCATCAAGTTTCTAATCCACAAGTCAGAATGTATGCTTTTTTTATTATTTTTGTTTTTTATTACATAATCTATCCTAAATATATGTGTCTATTCTGTGTCTTTGAAGAATTCACCAAGAGTATCTAACCAACTATCATCATCCGGACTTGATACACCAGCTTGTTCATCATCCATCCATACATCACCATATTCATTAGGTTGTTGTTGTTGTTGTTGTTGTTGTTGTTGAGGTATATCTGGATATCCTCCAGTATCTCCACCACTATGATTATCATTATTAGGTTCATTTTTTTCTTCATTTTCATATCCACCACCACCAAAGAAGGGCATTGGGAAGAACCCACCACTACTATTATTTATAAAAAAAAAAAAAGAGGGAGATTTGTTATTATCAAAAGATTTTTTTTTTCTTTTGGCTTCAAGATTACCCATGACTAGAATGTCTTGAAAAGTAGTCAAAATCAATGGAAATAGCACAAGCAAGCATGACAGATCTTTGATCTAAAGTCAAACCATGACTTCCTTCCATAGCATCCATCCGTAATACATATTGTCCAGAATCAGTAAAAATCTAATTTTTATAAAAAAGTCAGTTTAAATGATGAATCTTATTTGCATTCCACTTACTTCTCGAGCGAAACCAACAAAGTTTCGACTCACATTGGCAATGGCGGTTCCTTGTTCATCACGAAGATCAAAATCCCAACCCAAAAATGGAGTATCAATAGTAGCAAATTGTGTATTTCTAATATTAAAGAAAAAAAATGAGCACATATATATATATAAACATCTAATACTGTACCCTATAAATAAATCATATTTTCGTCGCAAGAGATGCCATCGTTGTTGTACTTCACCAATCAAAGTATCATCCGAAGTATAGATAAAAATCCGGCTATTGATCCAAGAAAATGGTCGAATTATTTTGAAAATCACGTTGCCTTGAGCATCCAATACTGTTGCATTCAATCGTCGATGGGTTCGTAAGAATTGTCGACTCAAGGACTTTGCAAATCCTTCTTCTTCAGCAATGTATCCAACATGTTGTCCATTTGGATCCATGATTTTATACTTGTTGGCTTGTTCATATCCCTATCATATATATATCCAAAAGAAAAAAAAAAAAGGTAAGTAGATCAAAATAAACCTCTTCTTCCTTTTTTTTTTTTTTGTACTTACAAGAAAAATATTCATCATTTCAAGTTCTCTACCAACAACTAAAGCTGGTTGTGATAACACAGGAGCACCCGCATAACTAGAGGTGACAATGGCATCTTGTGCTTCTGGAATATAAACAGGAGTATGAACAGGATCTGAACTAAAATTGGGGTTGGGTTGTTGTATCAAACTTGAAGCCGTTGTTGTTGTAGTTGTTGCTTGTTCAGGTTGGACGACATTGTTGGTTACTCGTTGAGAAGGTATTTGTCGTTCTACATGTTGTCGAATCCTTCCTCGAGGTCCTAATTTGAATTGGTATAAATATATTTATTATTAATCAAAGTTTCAAGTTTTTTTTTTTTTTTTTTTTCTTACCAAGTTGTCTAGGGTTTCGTAAAGAAGAATATCGTGCCCATTGTATGCTCTGTTGATATCTATTTCGAGTAAAGAACAAGGCTGGTCGTATGGTTTGATTACCTTGGAAAGCACGTCGTGTAGCTTGCTTCAATAATTGTACATTCATATCCACAAGTTAAAAAAAAAAGTAAAAAGGTTGTCAAAAGAAAAAAAAAAGTCAATGCTTTTTTTTATATACGTATTAGCAGATTGATATTTTTCATTGTCAGCACCCGAGACAATGTTTTTGAGTCAAAAAAAAAAAAAAAATAACTTCTGGTTCTTTCTTTTTTTTTTTTTTTTTCTTTTTCTTTTTATTCTCCAGCTTTCACCATGGCGACCAAGGAAAACGACAATGTTGAATCCATTCCTATAGAATCAGGTCCTCAACGACATGAATCCGATTTTAGAATGGATCCTGATAATCTCGATGCAGAAATGGCCAAAGTTCCCTTGTTCATGTCTCAACTACCTGAAGAAGAAAACGAAACCTTGGCTGCTTTACAATCTTTAGTCTATGATGGCACTCCTGAAGGTAAAATATATATATATATATATATAAAAGAATACTAATATAGCCATGGTATTTTTTAGAAATCGCGGAAAACTTCAAGAACCAAGGAAATGATTGTTTCAAAGCGGGTAAATTCAAGTACAAGGATGCGATTGGTTTCTATACACGAGCATTGGACACAGAGTGCAAGGATATGAAGATCATGGAAGCTTGTTATGCGAATCGAGCAGCGGTGAATTTGGAATTGGGCAATTATGGCAAGGTACTACGGGACTGTGCAAAGTGTTTAGAATTGAATCCTAAGAATGTCAAGGCGTTGTATCGGTCAGCGAGAGGCTTATTCCAGTTGGATCGACCTGATGAAGCTTACGATTGTTGTGAACATGCGCTTGCTGTGGATCCTGACAATCAACCTGTGCGTGCATTACAAGCCAAGATTCAACAACGACAACAAGTATTGGCCAAACGACTCCAAGAAAAACAAGACAAGGAACGCAAGGAACGTGAAGCCAAACAAAAAATGGAACAAGCCTTCGAACAACGTCGTATTCGTATGGATGTGCAAGATAAAGCCATGCGTGATGCTGCCAATATTCAATACGATCCTGACACGGATATCATGTCCTGGCCTGTTTTCTTTTTGTATCCGGAATACAAGGAAAGTGACTATATTCAACAATTCGATGAAAACAACACATTCCAGGATCATCTCGATGTCATTTTGGAACATCCTGCCCCTTGGGATCAACATCATGTCTATACTCCCGACAATGTCCAAGTCTATTTTGAAAACAACCAAGGTCTTCATCCTTCTTTGATTAAGGTTGGAAACAAATTACCCTTGGCTAAAATTTTGGCTCTCGATCAATATGTCATCACAAATGGTGTCCCCAGTTTTATCATTCTTCCCAAAGTTGGTGCTTTCAAGGATGAATTTTTGGCAAAGTACAAGAAAAACAAAAAATAGATTAGAGAATCCCCTTCCCTTCATTGTAGTATAGTCATGTTTTATATATATATATTTCTTACCCTTCTTTTTTTTTGTGGAATAATAATAATAATAATAAAAAATCGTCTTTTTTCTTTTATTTATTTACTAAGTAGCTTTTGGTTTATTTTCTGAAGGATGGTCTTCAAAAGAGGAAGCTAAACTAAGTACACCAAAAGCATCGTCTTCAACAGAGAGCCGATCATCGGATGATAATTGCTGAGTCGTGTCAGAGGATGGTTGAACGGAAGACCAAGTTTGGTTGGAAGAAGAAATGGATTGGGTGCGTGGGAAACTTGACATGTTAATATCATCTTCCTTATTCCAACCCATCAAACTATTGCCACGTTGATGAATGCGTCGTTGTCGTAATTGTCTTTCCTCTTGTTCAAGTAATTGTCTTTGTTGTTGTAATGCATGTCTTCTTTCCTCAAGTTGTCTTGCCATATTTTCTAAATCTTCTTTGTTCTACAAACAAATAAAAAAAAATTCAACAAACAAACAAACAGAAAGAAGAATTTTTTTTTCTTTATTTACCTGGTTATAGGAAGCAGAAGATAATGGAATAGCATCATCATCATCATCATCATAAGAAGGAGGAGATGAATAAAATACTTGTTTTTCTTCATGATAATGTCGAATATAATCTTCATATCGTCGTTGTTCTCGTCGAAATGAAATCCAATCAAAGATTTTGCTACCAGCTTCATAACCACCCCAAAGACATGCAATCCCTCCTACCACGATAAATACAATAGCAGCTGGATGCATCGTTTATTAGAAAGTAGAAAGAAAAAGAAAGAAAAGAATATTCAATATGTATTCTTTTTTTTTTTATTAAACCTAATCTCATCCAATCACGTTTGGGCCATGTGTTTCATGCAGCAATACTCCTCCTCCCCTTTTTCACTATAGAAAGCCACATGGTACCATCCTTATCATCCCCAGCAAAAAAAAAAAAAAAAAAAAAAAAAAAAAAGTTTTTATTATATCTAACACTTGGGTAATCAAATAGGTAACTTGTTCAGCAGATTCCGATCATCTTGTTCATTGTGTCCACCAAAATCGCTTCTCATCTTTAGTAGCGCTCCTTTTTTCTTGATGTTGTTCAAATATATCCCCTAAGCACGAATTGTCGTCAATATATCGTAAATCGATGGTCCATGCTCATTCAACACAACATTATCATATACATCATGGAGGATGGTATCCTATTCCTTGATAATTTCTTCCAAAGGATTACCTCACATTCTGGATATTTTCTATCTTGTGTCAATGATAAATCAGGATTCAAACTTGGATGACAGTGCACTTGAATAGCCGTATCGCCCAAAAGTAATCTATCCAAACTCCCGCCCCATCTTCATACAAATCATGACCAAGTTCGCGACTATCATCAAAAAAAAAAGAGAGAGAGAGAGAGAAATCAATCAGATATATAAAACTTTCTTGATACTTAATGGATATGACCCAACTATGTTCCAAGAAAGGGAAATGTTCTATTCTAGATTCAGAATCCGTTGCACCATATGATCGCATCAAGATAGGATGTCTAAGAAAGAAAAAAGACATCAGTATCACTTTTGAATCATAATGATGTCATGATATATTTTTCCTCCTTGAATCAAAAAAAAAAAAAAAATTGATTAATCTTGTGATAAAAAAAAAGGATGTTTTATACTTTTTGAAAATGATATCACGAAACTACGACACACATATTCGGTCTATTGGCTTTGCTGATCTTTTTGAGTTGTCAGACTGGGTCAGAGTGGTATGATAAGAAAAGACAATGAAAAGCACTTCCGGAAATAAAACTTTTATTTCAAAAAAAAATTGTCTATCATCTAACACTAGGAAGTTTGAACTTGGGTAATCAAAAAGGTAACTTGTTCAGCCGTTTCGGATAATCTGGTATCTTGTTCATTGTGTCCACCAAAATGACCTCGATCCAAATCCACCTTGAGTAAGAATGCCCTCTTGTTTTTTTCTTGACGTTGTCCAAATACATCGCGTAGACGAGCCATGAATTTCAAAGGTTGCCAATACATCACACGCTGATCCTTCATTCCTGCTGTGGCGTAAATCGATGGTCCGTGCTCATTCATCACCACGTTGTCATAAGGTGCATAATGGAGGATGGTATCATATGCTTTGACGTCTTCTAAAGGATTGCCCCATTCTGGATATTCTACTTGTGTCAATGGTAAATCAGGATTCAACATGGATGATAATGGATCTACAAATGGAACGCGTAGAACCAATGCCTTGAAGAGATCAGGCGCCATATGTGCCATCCCCCCCACAAGTAATCCGCCAGCACTAGTGCCCATTGCCGCCATCAGTTCCCGTGACGAAATCTTGTTGTCCACCATATATTTGGCTACTGAGATAAAGTCCTTGAAACTGTTGATCTTTTTATCCAATTTGCCATCTTCATACCAATCACGACCAAGTTCGCTGCCTCCACTAAAACCAAAAAAGGGATAAATCAATCAAGTATAAAAAAAAAAACTTTCTCTCTTTTTTGAAGCAGATACTTACCGGACATGTGCCAATGCAATGACCCAACCACGTTCCAAAAGAGGGAAATGCTCTATTCTAAATTCAGGATCTGTCGTAACTCCATATGCACCATATGATCGCATCAAGACAGGATTTCTAAGAAAAAAAGAAAAAGATATCAATATCACTTTTTGAATCATAATGTTTGATAATTTACCTTCCATTCTTTTTTAATCCTTTTTGATGAATCAACGTGACTGGAATGGACTTGTTATCATGAGAAGTAACATGGATTTGACTACAGATATATTTTTCTTTATTGAATCCTTTAAAAAAGAAATTGATCAGTTTAGAGATAAGAAAAAAAAAAAGATAAAAATTACTTACGTCGAATAGGTTGTACACGAATAGGTTTCAATTTCCGTTGGGTCATGTCATATTCATAGGTGGATTCATGCATAAAAGGTGAAGTGATAGAGAATCGGAATGTATCAGTATCAAATTCCTAAATGAAAAAAAAAAGAATCAATCAATCATTGTACAATCTTGTTTTCCTTGTGATCATACCAAATTAGAACCAGGTGTAGTCACACAAAAATCCATAGGTAAAGGTACTTGATGTGTTTCTTGACTATTTACATCATGACATAAGATAATAGGTAATCCATCTTGCCGACCATAAATAACAACATGATTCTAAATTATTAAAAAAAGAAAAAAGGAAGTCAATAATAGTAATGACATAAAAGTTTCATTTTACCTGAAATAAATCAACATCCTCTATCTTCTCAGTTGGTTTCATCGTAATGACATCCTTCCAATTCGCACGACTTGTAGCTATATCAGGTGTCTTGACTAGTTTGAAATTGGTAGATCCATCTGCATTGGTCAAAATGTAAAAATCATTCTTTTGGGAATATAAAATGTTGAGTGATTCTATTGGATTGTATTCTATATTCTTACATTGTGATGATCGACATAATACTCTAATCCAGGTTGTCTTGGTTCAATAAGTGACAGTTCAAGTCGATGGGTACCAGGAACAAAAGAAGCATCCAGTACACGGATTTCTGATGATGATAGTGAATTACTGTTGATCGTGATATATTTCTGTCATTAAAAAGTGTTAAATTTTCATTCTTGTAAATACTACCTAAAATAACTTTACCGAATCCTTTGTGCTAGTAATATCAACAAACGCAGTACTATCTGTTTCTTCATAAACCAAAATATCCTCTGATTGTTCCGTTCCAATTCTATGGGCAAATACCTAAAATGATAGAAGAAAAGAAAAACAAAAAAAACCAAATCAATCTAAAGCACCATTTATATCAGAAGGAGGATGATCTCTTACCTTGCAAGGACATAACTGCGCATTGGCCATTGTATAAAAAACAGTTTGATCATTGGCCCAAACAAAGTTGAATACATCATATAAAGTTTCGCCCTATATAATGGAAAGAAATGTTCAAGTTTCATCGTATCTCTTTTTGATCTAGTCTAATTACCTTCCAATCGGTACGACCATTTAAATCTTTAAAATGTAAATCACCGTATTCCATTCCTTCTCTTTCAGTATTGTAAGCAAAAATAGAATGATCTGGAGACATCAACACCTTGCGAATGGATGTATTGAGAGATCGTAAAAAGCCAGCATTAAGTAGTACCTCCTATAAAAGAAAATAAGTAAGTCTATATAATTGATTTTCCTCTCTCTCTTTTTTTTTTTTCTTACTTCAGTTGCATGACGTCCTTGACCAAGAGGTTTTCGTAGATAAATTAATCCATAAGGAGATGTTGTTGTATAATATTCAAATCCATGAGATATTGTCTTTAAAGGACCTACATGACTAGATGTGGATAATTTTTGTTTCATTTCCTATAAAATCAATCATTCGTTAGTCTTTTATTTCATTTTCTTGTTTTAAAAATAGGGTACCTGAAGGACAACTCGTTGAAGAAAACGATGTTGACGCATGAATTTTCGACAATATCTATTTTTTTTTTTAAGAAAGAAAAAGAAAAAGGCAGTTCAATAACCCAATATATCTATATGTATATTATTTTTGATAACTTGCTCATTTTCAGCTTGGATATATGCCGGAAGATCCTAATCCAAAAAAAAAAAAGAAACAGTAAGTTTTAGTTTTGATCACGACAAAAAGAAAAACTTACAGAATGCGAAAGGTTTTCCATCCAAGAAAAAGGATCTTGTCGTTGTTTACCATGATGTATTTGATTATCTATCACTTTTTTCGGTTCTGGAGGCTTGAGTTTACTATAGAATGAAGGTAAATTAATTACTATAGATAAATATCAATGAAAAACAATCATACCCTGCCAAAGCAGATCTGAGAGACGTGAATAAGGATCTTTTCGAAATGTAGTCATGTCGATAATAATAATACCTAATAATATAAAAAAAAATAATAATTCAATATCATTTTATTCAAGTCAATATAATATAACATACACTAGTTGTGTTGATAGAGAGACCTGTCGGCAGGCAAGCATTATAGAACAACTTCAAAAAAAAAAAAAAAAAAAAAAAGAAAAAAAAAAAGAAAAAAAAAAGAAAAAGAAAGAGGCAACTGAATCTCAAAAAAAAAAAAAAAGGACAAAATTTATTTGAATCCAACCACATTTACAAAAGGTAATCATAACCTTATAATAGAAAAAAAAATGCTAACTAACTAACTAACTATAATATAAATATATATGTAATCTATTTGCTAAAGATAAGATCAAAAGTAGTTCCATTCACTTCTTGAGTTTCTTCAATGATGATATTGGCATTTTCCTTCAAAGCTTCAGCATTGATGATCGATCTTTTAAGAGCCTTGGTAATGGCAGGATGAGAATGGATGACGATTTCAATATTGGCAGAATCATCCTTGATACGATAATGCATTTCAATGTCATCAGTGGGTAACAGACCAGCCTTCTTACGTAAACGTTGGACACGGTTGATGACTTCACGAGCAAGACCTTCTTGTTCCAATTCAGGATAAGACTTGACATCCAATAATACAAGTACTTCACGATCAGCATTGGTTTCATATTGTACATCGGAATTGGTATCAAAGTAACGGACCACATTGATATCTTCATCAGTCACAGTAATACCAGCAACAACCATGGATTTATTGGCAACAAATGTCTTGACATCTGCATCTGTCAAATCAGGAAGCGCCTTCTTCACCTTCATAGCATCCTTCTTGAGTTTTTGTCCAAGTACTTTAAGATCAGCTTCAGCTCGATATTTGACACCAAATTTGGATTCTTCAGCTGTCACTACAATTTCACGTACATTCAATTCTTCAAGAATATAAGATTCCAAAGCCTTGATGTCAGCATGATATTGAGGATCATTTTGAATCACCACAAGTTGTTTCAAAGGAGTCTTAAAAAAAGAAAAAAAAGAGAGAGAGAAAATAAGTATGTATATAAAGTCAATCACCATCTAGATGAATTTACCTTCAATGAGATAGTCTTGCGTTCACGAATAGTACGACCCAAATCAATGACTGCCTGCATACGACCTACAGAACGTTCAATTTCAGGATCAAAGTATTCTTCACGAACAGTAGGGAAATCTAAAAAGTGAACGGAACGATCATCCACTGCATGTTGGTCTGTTGGAAGGAACTTTTTCAAGGTTTGATACATGTTTTCAGTCAAGAAAGGAGTAAAAGGAGCCTATAGAATAAAAAAAGAAGTGGATGATATAGATGATGAGTGAAATAATAAAAAAAAATAATAATAATCCACTCTTCTTACCATAGTTCTACATAAAGTATATAAAACTTCAAATAGAGTGTTCAAAGCTTGTTTGGCATCTTCAACACCATTTTCACCCTTGAGACGCTTTCGATTGAATCGGACATACCAATTAGTCAATTGATCCACCAATTGTAAAAGACGAGGTACCACAGTGTATAAACGATAAGCAGCCATTTCTTCACGAATGAATTTAATCAAAGATTGACAACTAGCCAGAATCCAACGATCCATCACATTGGTAGACTTTTCAATGTCATGATCATACATAAAATCAAGACCGAATTCTTTCTTGACCACCGCAGTTTGAGTCACAAAGAATTTGAAAGCATTGTACCAAGGAAGGAAGACCTTGGAAAGGACTTCCTTGACACCATCTTCACGGAACTTGAGAGTTTCAGCACGGACCACAGGAGAATTGATCAAATAAAGACGTAAAGCATCACTGCCAAACTTGTCCATAACGATCGAAGGTTCGGGATAATTCTTTAAACGCTTACTCATCTTCTTGCCATCAGCGGCCAACACCAATCCACTTACAATCACATTCTTAGCAGGAGGTGTGTTGAACAAATGAGTAGAAAGCACCAAAAGAGTGTAGAACCAACCACGAGTTTGATCAATACCTTCAGAGATGAAATCAGCAGGGAAACCACTATCAATCTTTTCCTTATTTTCAAAGGGGTAATGTTGTTGAGCATAAGGCATGGATCCAGATTCAAACCAACAATCAAATACTTCTTCAATACGACGAAGAGTCTTTCCAGTTTTCTTGGACACGATAGTGATATGATCAATACTTTCACGATGAATGTCGGTGATAGGTGAGACACCACTCAATTCTTCCAATTCCTTGATCGAACCCACAGCCACAATTTCAGAATAATCATCGCTGACCCATAAAGGAATAGGTGTACCCCAATAACGGTTTCGAGATACATTCCAATCAGGAGCACCAGAAATCCAGTTGGCAAAACGTTTTTCTTGAACAAAACCAGGTACCCAAGTCATTTGATCGTTGCAAGCCAAAATCTTGTCAATCACAGGTTGAACACGCACAAACCAAGCAGGGATGGCACGATAAATCAAAGGAGTGTCGGAACGCCAGCAGAAAGGATAACTATGCATGAATTGGGATTGTACAATCAAACGACCACGTTGTTTGATATCCTTTTGAATCAACTTATCAGCATCCTTAATATACATTCCAGCAAAATCCGTGACTTCAGCCGTAAAGCAACCTTTTTCATCAATAGGACAAGGGAGTTCACCATCAACAGAGATCACACCATTGGCAACACAAACACGGTAATCGTCTTCACCAAAAGCAGGAGCATTTTGAACAATACCAGTACCAGAATCATCAGTCACATACTTGTCGACCACCACCTTGAAAGCACGTTCAGCAAAGTTCTTGACAAAGTAAGGGAACATGGGTTCAAACTTCCATCCATCCATATCCTTGCCCTTGTATTTTTCTAAAACAGTGAATTTGGCTTTCTTGGGATCTTTGTACAACATAGTCAATCGATTTTCCAATAGAATGTAGTTGTTACCACTAGCTTCGTCCTTGATCTTGATATAGTCAAAGTCGGGGTGTACACACACGGCCATACAAGAAGGAAGTGTCCATGGAGTAGTAGTCCAAGCCAATAATTGAGTAGTAGGATCTTCAATCAAAGGGAACCCAACGACAACTATTTTTTTTTAAAAAAAAAAAAAAAAAGAAAAGAGGATTAGCTTCAGTTCTATATCTTCTATATATATATACCACTTACTAGCAGGATCATTGACATCTTTATAATTTTGAGAAGATTCAAAGTTGGACAAAGGAGTTGTACAAGCGGTAGAATAAGGCATGACCTTCTTACCACGATAAACTTGACCCTTATCATATAATTGCTTGAACACCCACCATACACTTTCCATAAAAGTAGGATTCAAAGTCTTATAATCATTGTCAAAATCGATCCATCGAGCCATACGTTCCACAGTCTTTCTCCATTCAGAAGAATATCGCATCACAATAGCACGACATTCAGCATTGTATTTATCGATACCCATTTTCATCACATCGTCTTTACCCTAATTCAATTCAACAAAAGTTTTAATTAGTTGTTGTTTTTATGTAAAAATTGTCACATTCATGTTTCTTACCTTGATATCCAACTTTTTGTCAATTTCATATTCAACAGGTAAACCATGAGTATCCCAACCAAAACGACGTTCTACATGATGACCAGTATTGTGAGCATATCGAGTAACAATATCCTATAATATAAAATACAATATTCAACAATTTGCTAAACATTATTATTGTTAATTTTTTTTTCTTTTTGCTCACCTTGATGGTACCAGCAAGTAAATGGCCATAATGAGGTAAACCCGTAGCAAAAGGAGGTCCATCATAGAAGGTAAAAGGTTTCTTATTTTCGTTCAACTTTAAAGACACATTGAAAGCATCGATTTCACGCCAGAACTCGAGGATTTTCTCTTCTTCCTTGGGGAAACTATAACAATAATGAATATAAAAATATTAATTCATTGCACAAAATATACATATATAGTTGTCATTGTTGATAATGTAGTTGTGGGATATATGAGGAATAAACAATACGTGTATAGGGGAGAGAGTTATCAATATATACAAGTTACTTACTTGAACTGACCAGAGACTAATATAATTGAGAGCAAGAAAAAAATGACAAATTAGTTTAATGAAGAAATAACTAGTAATATGAATGCTTACCGTCAGCCAAAGACATTTTTTTTAAATATTGAAGTTTATAAAGAAAAAAAAAAGTTAAATAGAAAAGAAAAGAAAAAAAAAAATGGGAATAGAATGTCAAAAATATAAAATTCAAAAAGGGCCCGCAGTGGCTTTTTATTTCTTTGGTTGCCTGGCGTTTCAGGAAATTTGATTGGCTCACGATGATTCATTCATTCTCATTATTTTTCTCCTTTCAGTCAAAGAAATAAAGTAAGAGTCATCGCCACGTGACATGGATGTTTATCATAGGTGAAGAACTTTTATTTTTTTTAAAAATGGATTTGATCAAAGCAAAAAGAACAATACAATAAAGTACAATTCTTTTTTTTTTGTTTTTTTTGTTTTTCATTTTATCCATAATTGTGGAGATTTGGCGGTGGTTGGGTTCGATCATCCAAAAGAGGCAACGATTTCAAGATGGCGTGCTTTACTGTTGAGAAAAAAAGGTTGGGTCAGCATACATGAATATGTGCCTACAAAATAGAAATGGGACGGTTAGTATGAAATCACACAAGTGAAAATGGATTCATCTTGCCAAATTGGGTCAATCATGCACTTACCAGATATTTCCAAATAAGAGAGCCTTCAAATCCTACTTTTTTTTTTTTTTTTTTTTTTTTTTTTTTTACTTACAACGCAAGCATTTAACCGTCGCGGATGTTTGTTATCCGGATTATTGTTGCAATCGAGAGAACACCGAAGGTCGAGATCCACTTTTGATAAAGTTCATAGCCAGAGAATGGATGTTACGAGCTGCGTTATGATCCCGTTGCCATACACGTCCACAACTTGTGCATGATTGGACGGCATGCAATTTAGATTCACCAACTTTTATGTTTTCCAAGGACTTAGTACCACAATTGCTGCAAACTTGACTAGTGAGATATTCATCGATGTTAGCCACTATCAATCTTCCTTGTTGTTCTGCCTTGCGAAGTAGCTTCCGAAAAATATTTGCAAGACCATGTATTTTCCCTCTGAACATGCGTCTTCCAAATGATCCATCCCCTACACATACGACAGTGGTTATATTGCTTGGTGTTTGGCTGAAAGGAAGCTTTTTCCACTTGTTCCTAAAAAAAAAAAAAAAAAAAAAAAAAAAAAAAAAAAAAGATGTTTGTCTATCTGTCCTCGATCCTACCAAAAAAAAAAAAAAAAAAAAAAAAAAAAAAAAAGACTACTTACAATTTTGATTCCTTTGCTGTAGATGGAGGCTGTTCATCAGATGAGGATGGTGGTAGTTGATCGTCAAAAGAGGATGGCGGTGGTGGACGTCTTCTTTTTCTTCGTGTCGTTCCATCTGTTCTAGTTCGAGCCATGACAACTGCTTCACTTGGATGATGATCAGGATCCGGATTGTATTTCTTGCCGCCATTAACGAAGATATTTATCCTTTCGTCTTGTACCTTTTGTTTCCCGATGTAATTGAGGAATCGCAGCCGTTGTATTTCAGTACCATAGAATTGGACCAATTGGGGTAAAACATCAAGTAATCGTTCAATATACAATTGTATACAATCCATACTGCTTGTTTTGGGCGACGGTATTGAAGATTCAAGTCGATCGATATTTTGAGATTGTTTCCTTTCACAAATAGTGTTGTTCGTTTTCTTATATCCAGCTTTCACGTAATACTCTGCTGAGGAAAACTTTCGTACCTGGTGTCGTTCGGAAGGATCGCTATTGTCGACAGCCACGAAGACTTCAGTAACCCCAGGGTCTACCCCCCATACCTTGCATTCTTGCATATCTTCACTGGTAATATCGTCAATCGAAAGAGAAGGCAATCGGTCTTGATTCACTATTTTTTTGAAGGGAAAGGAGGTTGCATAGCCATCTGTCGTAAAACTGTTTTCGAAAATTCCATGTCTAGTTCAATGAAACAAAACCAGATTAGTACTAGATCATTCTTCTCCTTTTTCTTACCTTTTAAGCTTCCGCAAGTCAAACATATTAAAATTCGGGTGAGGCTGGTTTGGTGGGATCGGTGTAGAAGATGGACTAGCCAAACGTCCTAGACCAAAATGTTTTAGTATTGTTCCAAGAGATTGATGATCGATGTGTATATATTTGCGTGTGAGTCCTGGAATGGGTATGATAGTGAATAGTCTTGCTTGCTGCTTTGTCAGATATACTGGTGGTGCAAATCTTCCTTCGCGAATCTCTGTTTGTGCTGTAGTAATGGCGTTTTGTATATGCATAATAGATTCAGCGCTGAAGCCAGCAGGTAATTTCTCTGGAATAAATCGTACACCTTCATTGATAATATTTGTAATAGCGCGAGTCAACGATGAGCGGCGGCGATGGTCTAATCGTGTCCATTCAGGCAATCCAGATAAAAGATGATATGTCCACATGCGTTTTGCTTCATTCTGAGGTATGGCCGGTAGTTCAGAGTCTATTTGATTCCATTGTTCCATCTTGCGTAAGATATCAAACATGACAGGTAAGAAAAATTCTGGGTAGGAAGAGATTATTGCAGTCGTAATAGATTTCGCTGAATGTACAGGATTTGGTGTTTCAAGGTCCAGTTGTGTCATACCTATACTTCCTACACTTGAGGCTGGAGACGGGATGTCCATTGACTCCGGGAGTGGGTCTGTCGATGAGCTAGCTATAGACGAGCCACGAGATGCTTGTACACTTCGACGTCGAGCTTCTTCCGTAGTAATCAATTCATGTATATTGTTCCATTCAGTACTTGCTTCATCCATGATGGTCAACAGTGATTCATTGAGCTTGTCGTCAATAGCTGGATCGTATTCAATTTCTGGCCAAACTGGAGGGAACTTGTCATCATTGACGGTGGATTGGTAAACAAAGTGAGCAAACCGCATAGCATGATTTTGTGCTAGTTCCTACACACGAGGAAAAAAAAAAAAAAAAAAAAAAAAAAAAAAAAAAAAAAAAAAAAAGAGATGAGAAGAAGAAGATTTGTACTGATTTGCCTTTACTGTCCTTGTAGATATACTTACAGGAATCATGCGTCGAAGGCGGCCTTGTAAATATGCTATATAGAATCCATCAAAATTTTCGACAACATGAGAAATGAGATGAGTTGAATAGGTTTGTGCTGTTGAGGATAGAATACCACTGAAAGCAATTGGAGATCGACCAATAGGGGAGGACACCTTTTCACATCGTGCCAGAGGAAATTGCTGGATAAATCGACGAAACACAAAATTGATATTATCACGTGTTGCAGCATCGAAAGTCGACTGATTGGTGAATTTGCCACCTAGTAGTAACTGGAAGATACCATAGAAGAAAGCTTGTTGAAAGAAACATGAGAGCAAAGGTAACCCGGCATCAAGACGATATGTGAAGAAATATAATAAAAAGAGATGACCCTTGATCACAAGTTGGCGATTGAAGTCCACAACAGTTTCCACACCTTGAACAAACTGAGTCTTTTCGTCATCGGTCATATCTAGGAGTAAACCATACAGGCCATGTTTGATCGTGTGAGTTCGGAGAGGAGCACCAGAAAGTTCTTCGTTCTTGACCTTTTGTCGTTTTTTCTGATCAGGACATAAATTACTTGAGGAGCGTGAATGAGTTTTTGCCAATTCATGACGCCCAGCAGCGATACATGTGGGACACGGTTTGCGATTTCGGTTTTCTAGTTGAAGAGCTTCTTGTCGACCTTTGTTGGCAGTTTGCTTTTCTTTCTTTTCGTCCTTAGACTGGCGTCGTTTGGTAGTCTGTTTAGAAATAGCTTTTTTCTGTCGCTTGTTCGCTACCAAATAATGGGAAAAAAAAAAAGGCAAATGATATTAGCTTATTCAGAAAGAGAATTATAAAAAGTAACATACCTGGTTGTTCATCGTCTGTATCAGCATCTTGCTCTTGTTGCAGTAATTTTTGTTGTTTTTGTAGTTTTTTATTTCTGATGAAATTTTGTACGGTACGTGCCATGATAGATATAAAGATAAGAGGAAAAAAAAAAAAAAAAAAAGACTGAAATACAGCATTGACCTGATCTTGGACTCACTTTTCGTGCTAATCCAAAAAAGGAAATCAAAAATAAAAGGATGGCTCAATTTCACTGAAAAACTTGACCCAATTAAAATTCATTTGACTCATTTCCATTTTGGTGACCTATGTTTAACTAACCTAACCCAACCTAATTTTCTCGACTGTAAAAAAAAAAAAAAAAGCTAACCATTCAAAAAGAGGGGAGATTCCTTCTTCTTCTCTATCTACTTTCTTTTTTTTTTTTTCTTATTTTTATTTTTTATTATTTTATTCTTCTCATAAATGGCCAAGGAAAAGAAAGATCCCATCTTCTCATTGATAGCGGGATCAGTTGCTGGTGGTATTGAAGGAATGGTGACTTATCCAACCGAATACGTTAAGACACGACTTCAACTTCAAGCAGGTGGGTCATTGGCACATGGTGAAATACGATTTAAAGGTCCTATCGATTGTCTTTTACAAACTATCAAACATCATGGTTTTGGTACTATTTATACCGGTGTCAGTGCTTTGGCCATTGGCAATGCAGCTAAAGCAGGTGTACGATTCTTGACTTATGACCAAATTGCAAACCAGTTACGGGATAAAGATGGCAAGTTATCAGGTATAAGAAGTGTCTTGGCCGGTCTTGGTGCCGGGATGACTGAAGCAGCTCTTGTAGTGACACCTTCAGAAACCATCAAGTAAAAAAAAAAAAAAAAAAAAAAGAAAGAAAAAAATCTCATTGATTGATTATAATCTAACCACTTTTTTTTTTTTTTTTTGTGTTAGAACCAAATTGATTCATGATCGCAATAATGTTACACCAAAATATCATGGATTGATTCATGGTACTTCAACAATCATCAAGGAAGAAGGGATGAGTGGGATCTATCGAGGGTTGGGACCAGTGATGGCACGTCAAGGAGCCAATAGTGCGGTGAGATTCAGTAGTTACAGTTACTTCAAATCAAGTTTCCAAAAATGGCGTGGAGATGAATCAACGCTTCCTTCTTCTTATACGTTTGTTGCTGGTGCTTTGGCCGGGATAGTGACCGTCTATTCTACTATGCCTTTGGATGTTGTCAAAACAAGGATGCAAGGTTTGGATGCTCGATTGCTTTATAAACATTCTCTGGATTGTTTGGTGAAAGTGGTCAAGGCCAATGGTGTATTCTCACTTTGGAAGGGTACTACACCCCGACTTACTCGTTTGATTGTAAGTAATGATTTTTGAAGGATGGGCATAAAGGACTGATTTTTTTTTTGGTATAGTTCTCTGGTGGGATTGTCTTTACGGTTTATGAAAAAGTCTATGCTGGTCTTGACTACTTAAAGTCATCCTCTTGATACCTTTAGAATCAATTTGTACATTAGTAATAGTAGTAGAATATTTGATTAGTTACATAGATAGTACGATTTTGTTGAATGAATTGGTAGAAATAAAACAAAAAAATAAAAATGAAGTCAACTATTGGAATAGACAAGGTGTATACGTGTGAAAGAAAGAAAGAAAGAAAGAAAAAAAAGAGAGGATATATTTATTTAATGTTAAAAGTAAGGAATAAACGTGATATCTATGTGTTCAAAAAGGGAGAGAAGACTAAAAACTATATAAAAGCTATCGATCCAATTCTTGTAAAGAGGCACTGATGGAGAGTTGAGTAGCAGAACGAATGACTTCTGGACGATGACTATCAGGTTCTTTGATGGGATCAGAAATATCATATTCATCATCAGCCATAGGAGAAGATGTTCGACCAAAAAAGATACTTTCACCATCTGCTAAAGATCCTGAAGGTCGTCGATGATTAGTAGGAGAAGAAGGAGCTGGTGATTGTCGATGACTCAAGGAATATAAATGATGTGATTGTCGAAATTCCATAGATCCTGTTGAAGATGTTGGTGATGTTGGCCGTGAAGTAGGATTACTAGTACATGAGGGTGGAGATGATTTCTTATTGTTATTGTTGTTGTTATTGATAGTAGTTGTATCTGCTGCTGTACTATTAGGACTAGTAGGGCTACTTGGGCGAGAACATGTTGAAATGGATTCTGCATCTTTTAATCGTGGTTGAGCTTTTTTGGAAGAACTACAAACAGTAGATGCGGTTGTAGTTGTTGTTGATTTGAGAGGTGCTTTTGATGTATAAGATATATTTGATGATTGATCATTTGATGAAGGTAAAACTATTATATAAACAAAATATATTATTATGAATCGTCGTAAATCTCTTCTTTACATATATATTTCTTACCATCACCTTCCAGATCAGGAGGTTCAATCCATTCAGTTGGTATAACACATGGAAACATGGTACCTAATTTTGCTGCCCGATTAATCCATGATGGTGCATGTTTTCCCAAGAGCTGTAGACATAAGTCATCCGTGAAATGGTTGCAATTTCGAGTAAGTAAGTTGTATGAAGTACCAACATATTCTTTGGATATATCTTGAATTAATTTATGTATTTGGTCATTTGTCAAATGAGTGTAGCCAACACTAATGGATTGCCTAATATAGAAGAACAAGTTATCAATATATATGTATATATATAAAAAGAGAAATTGATTTTTATATTAATCTTACTTGAATAATAAACCAGGAGGACCGACCTTGGCTTCTACTGCAAATACACCTGTAATATTCTTATATTCGTGTCCACCAAAACAATACTCTTTACCACAGATTTCTACTCCAGAATGATATATTCCTAAATGGATGTGAGTTTTGATCATTTATAAACGAGATGAAAAAACTTACCTACACCTAGAGCATAATATCCAAAATTCGTCAAGAAACTAGGTTGTAACTAATTTATATACAAAGTCAATAAAATTTTTAAACTTATTTATCGTGTTTTCTTACCATGTCATACACATTAACAAAGACTACATAATAAAATATAAAAATAGAAAGAGAACGAAGTGAATCAACTGTTAATTAATATATTGTTGTTTTTTTATTATTATTATTACCTTGATGTTGGTTTTCATGCTGAGAATGATAAGATTTTGAAAAAGTCGCTTTTATGGCATTGAACATTGATAGTTTTGTATATCAAATGGAAAAATGAAGATAAAAAAAAAGATAGAGAAAGAAGAAAAGTGGAAAAGAAAGATCAAAATGAAAAACGCGGTGTTTAAATGAGTCAAACAATCATCGTTCAACGTGGAGACAACAGAATCAATCTATCAAAAAAAAAAAAACCAAGACTTACGAATTGTTCAAATCAATATACATATATAACAAATGATTTTCTTTTTCTTTTTTTTTTTTATTTTAAGTACTAAATAAATCAAAATAGAATAAAACAACTAAAAACAAAAAAACAAAATAGTGATAAAATTCCTATTTCTTTGCAGCAGCTTCAGCTTCCTTTCTTTGTTGAGCAAGTAATTGCTTTTGTCGCATGATTTCGGCATCACTATGAAAAATATATAAAATGAATATGAAATCTATTATATATATATATATATATTTTACCTTTCCTTCTTTTGAGTCAATTTTTGACCACTATCACTAGATTTGCCCTTTTTTTCTTGTTGTTGCTTTTTAAGATTCTTCAAACGAGCTTGTTCTCTTTGATTACCACCTTATAAAAGAAATATAAGTATTGTACTTGAACTCTTATTCTTCTATCTTACATCTTTTTTTTTCTCTTTTTGTTTGTTTTCACATACGGGTCATGTTGAGATATATATAAAAAAATAAATCGCTCAAATATGTAAACAGGAGTACAGGAAAAAAAAAGTGATAAAAAAAAATTTTGACCCACACAAAAAACCAAAGAAAAAAAAAAGCGGAGACTAAAAAACACTTCCTTGGTTCTGATCACAAATCAAATTTCAAGATGATCTGCTGATGTCCAAAGAAGTAATTTATCAAGGGATCCCATTTATCAATAGTTAGGAGAAAAGAATAAATAGTTTGTGGAAGTAAATAAAATAGCTTTCTTTAAATGAAAAAGTTATTTGCGTTGCGTGCAAGGAAATGAAGAACAAGACAAAGAATGGTAGTTTCAATGGATCTCAGAAAAGAATGTAACATCAAGATCATCCCTCGCTATCAAACTTCGTATAGGACAACAAGAATGTAGTCAAAGAAAGCATCTCTCAGGCTTCCAAAATGTGCCAAGACATTCATGAATCACTGTAAGTTTTTCTTTGGGAATGTAGAAGGATACTGGTATTCAACATTTTTTTTTTTTTTTTTTTAGCTCTCTCACATATTCTATTACTCAATGAAAGCTAATGTGTGGGTAGACACAGCACCAACACTACTATTCAAAATATGTCTTATTTCACAAAGAAGCTTCTTTGTACTAGTTCTAGGTATCCCTACCCAATGTATCCAAAGTAAATATGTTGAATGGGTCAAAAAAGGGCAGATGGCAAGCATGGCACAACATGAAGCTTGATGGAATCAATTGGCTTATGGATCGTTCTCAAATTTCTTTTATCTCAAGCGAACCTACTATCGTTTTTGGCGCACATGTCATCCATCCTCTCTCTGATGATGTCATCCGACCCTCAAATATGTAATGCATAATACTATCACCATATATTCAGGACCATTCCCCCGCAGGAACCACCATAGTCATAAGGAAAAATCCAGTAGTATTTTGTTAAAATAAAAAAAAAAATGTTTATTAAACGTATAAAACTACTTTTAATTGGGCATCAATAATAATGGTTTCTTTGGTTTTTTTCGTCCAGTCACCTAAAGAAAGAAATACAAGTTGAATAAATAAATAAATAAATAAAAATGTTAAACTTACCTCCCAACCTTTTCCATCATTTAATAACATCCAATCACGTATTCCATCATCTATTTCATCCATTGAAGCTAAAGCATTATCCAATAATTCACGACAATAATCATAGTCAGGACTTTCATCAAATCGTAAAGAACGAGCATAAGTAAGAAGGGTGGCCAATTCATCTAATCAAATAATAAACATTTAATTATTTTTATATATATATATATATAATTTTTCGATTTACCTGGATAATTATCACAAAGATCAGATGGATTTGTTTCTTGTTTGACTTTACATATCCTTTCATATTTCAATTTCGAATTTGCTGCTTGAATACCTTGCCAAGGTAAAGATCCACGTAAAAAGTAAAGTAAAACATGACATAAAGATTCTAAATCATCCCTCCTTGATTGTTCTATATATAAAAAAAAAACAGAATAGTAAGAGAATGTATTTATTATTTATTTATTTATTTACCTCTTCCAAGATGTGTATTGATACTCATATATCTAGCAGTTCCACTTAGAGCTTTCTTTTCTTTAAAAGGAATATGTCTTTGTGTTTTTGGATCCCAATATCGTTTAGCCATACCAAAATCAATTAAATGTAATATGTTTGACTTATCCTTAGGATGACTGATCAAAAAATTATCAGGCTTCACATCACGAAAGATATAATGTCGTTCATGAACTGATTGTAATAGTGACACCATATCTTTGCCAACACCCACCACTGTCTTTAATGAGAATTGTCGTCCACACATTTCAAATAATTCTTCTAAACTTGGTCCAAGTAAATCCATCACCATACAATAATCTATTCCTTCTATACCAAAATAATATGTTCTTGGTATTCCTTCTATTATTATTATTTTATAAATAAATTATATATGAGTAATGTGTTTTTTTTATTATTATTTTACTTCACTTACGTAGTCCATTCATAACTTGATAAATTTCATATTCTAACTTGAGTTGAGGTACTTGAGCATCACAAGTTTCAAATTTAATAGCCACTGGTTCCTTGGTAGTAAGATTGGTGCCTAAATAATAATAATAAAAAAAAAAAATGTTGAATAAAAAGTATTTAGGTCTTGTACTTATTTTACCTTCATATATAATGCCAAAACTACCTTGTCCAATCTTTTCTCCTAATTGATGATCAAGTCCAACAATTACATTATCATTATGCCGATCGTATACATGTCGATTGTGTTTAGCCATTGAAATAATTTTTAAATGTCAAATAGAAAGAAAAAGGGTGAGAAAATAAAAAAGAAGACAGTTGACCCAAATCTTATGCAACAAAAAAAAAAAAATCGGAGAAACAAATAAATTAGACATTTTTTATTAGATACTAATTTTTAAAAGTGATATTATATGCTTCGAGTATTCTTTCTACTAATTCTTTTTGTCTTGATGATCCAAATTCCTAATCAATAAAATAATAATTAATTCTATCTATTCTTATTATTATTATTATTTGTTTCAATTGAATTTTTATACCTTCAGTAGAGATTCTCTTGTCAATGCTTGGTCCTTGGTGGTAAATAAAATATCTACAAGTCGTTGACCAACAAATCCCATATTATCTTTGGTCATCAATGTCTTACAATAGATTTTCAAAAGTTGAATGTTTTTTTCCATCACACGTTCCAAATGAGTGGGTCGTATAAACTATCAAAAGTAATACTTTAGTATTCCATTTCCTTCTTTTTCTTTTCTTATTACCTTGACTTGATCATGTTCGATGGCTTCTAAATAACGTTGAAGTTCGTTTTTGTTGATAGGATGACGTGCTATAGAGAAAGATAAACATTTTAAATAAGAATATATACTTTATTGTATAATTGCTTACCGTTGCCATCAGCACGCAAATGATCTAAAAATGTTTGCATGACATTCAAATGTTGTTCACAAGCGCCTAGAAATAAAAAAAAAAAAAAAAAAAAAAAAAATATAAGAACCGTTTCCATTTTTATATAAATAGTTTACCTTTAGATAAAACTGGTGATTCTACTTCCACATTCGTAATAACAGAAGTAGTTAGCAAAGTCTCTTTCCTTCGTTGATCTTGTAATTGAGCATCCAATGCCTCCAATTCAGCCTCTAATTGTCTTTGTTCCAAAGCCAAATTTTGTTGATCTATTTCCAATGTTTTCTGTTGACGATTTGTTTTCTTTTGTTGTCCCTTGGTTCGTTCATGATCTATCTTTTTATCGAGGTTGGCCAATTCCATTTCCTAACCCAAAGTATATATCAATTATTGTTCTCATGTTTCTATTTATTCTATATTACCAGCTCTGCTAATGACACATCACAATCACTTGATTCTCGAAGTAATGTCTCTTGTCGTAATTGATATCGTTTAGTGCGTTTCTGTAAATCCATGATAATCGCTTGATCTTCTCCGGAAACAGGGGACATGTGCGTACCTTTACCAAGTTGATCCATGTATTTTTGACTTTTCAAGGTTTCATCTTGAGCATCCACCTAAACATAAACATATAAATTTAATTATCATCTCTTTGTTCGTTCAACTATTTCCTTTTTATTTTACCTTGCGTTCTGTTTCAGCACTCAACTTGCCTAGTTGATCAATAATCAATTGAGCTTCATTCAGTAATACATTGATTTCAGGTGTTGTTTCATTAGCCACTGCTGTTTGTGCTTCCTTGATATCCTCTTCTGTCACCATTTCGTATCGCTATTGTCATTCAAACAAAAAAATAAAATATTAGTATCCAACGAAGATTTAAAAAAAAGTGGAAAGATGGTCCTTTTTTTTTTCTCTTTTATTTTTTGATAAGACATTACCCGTTCCATTTGGGAGACCATAGTCAAACGTTGAATGTCAGGCGTAAAAGATTTCAAAAGATCAATCGATTGGGAAAGCTATACATAAAAAGTAAGAAAATCAAAGTAGATCAAAGGGAGTTATATTTACCGCTTTCAAAGTCGAAGTCAGTTTTGCTGTGGATCCTTGCAAATTTTCAATCATGGTATAAGGTTTTTCCCAGGTCATGTTTTCTTGTTCAACATCACTATCAGACCTAGGTCGTTTCATGGATAAATTGGATTGTGCCATGCCCAATATATATATATATATATATATTAAAAAGAGAGAAAGTGAACAAAAAGGAAAGAGAGAAAAAAAAAAAAAAAGAAAATCAAGGCACTATTCACATACACTTTAGTTTTGGCGTCACGGTTTGAAACGCCGCTTATTAGCAATCTTCAATTCACTATCAAAGAAAGTTCATTCTTAAGTACAAAACAGAGACCTGATTCTGATCATAGGAATACATAAGTTTACAAAAAATTCATCGAAAGTCGTCATATAAAGAAATTCTAGCACGGATGATGAGGTATAAAAAGATTTATTAGAGACTCATTGTCTTTTATCTTTTGAACCTTTTTTCTTTCTTTCTCTTACTTTATTTTTTTTTTATATTTATTATTTTCTGTTATAACATTATTATTTATTTAATTATCAATTATTTTTATATATTTCACGTATTGAACTGCCAATTGTCTGGTAATGACTTTTCCTACTTTATTTTTATGTTCTTTTTTTTTTTTTTTTTTTTTTCAAAGATGGAATACTTAAATTCAACTCAAGCAAAACCAAAAAAGGAAACCAGTCAAGGAATATAACATCACATACTATTTTTTTTTTCATGTTTTTCAATTAATGAACTACTATGAAAACTAATTTGAGAGGGAAACTACCTATTTTCTAATCTATTAATAATATGTCTTGATATTCCATAGGCCAAAGTTTCAATAGTAAGCATGGGATTCACACCAGAAGCTGTAATAAAAAGAGAACCATCACCAATATACAAGTTTTCAATTTCCCAGGTTTCACCAGTAACTTTTGCAACTGATGATTGAGGATTCTTTCCCATACGACTAGAAAAAAGAAAGATTTGCATATGAGTCTATATTAAGTCATATTTTTTTTTTAAAAAAAAAATCATACCATGATCCTAATTGTTGTGTTGTAAATAATCCATCTGGAAATCCATTTTGTCGAATACGATTCAACCATGTATTAAATTTAGGATTCTTGACAGCATCCACACCTTGTACATCTTGATCAAAATGGAAAGGTTCAATGTCGGATTGAGAATGATGAAGTTCTCTAGCACCAGTAACAGCCAAGATACGGAAAGCACGAACCACACCATCCATCAAAGATTGTTCATCACGTTTAGATAACTTACTTGTCACCGTCATTCGACCTTTTTCTTCCACAACTGTATTTTCAGAATCTATATCACTTGTATGAATTTCAAATGCCACTGCACGAGGATATTTAGCCATAAACTGTTTGTGTTGGAGAGCACCACGCCAAGGATACATGATCGATGTTCGAATAGGGTTGGACGGAGGAATATAGATACGAGCACCATGATGACCATAACCACTTCTACTTGATACATGACTCATCACCGTTGACATTGCAGCTTGATCCACATTTTGCTGTTTGTCGTAAACACCTAAAACACCTGTAGAAGGATGAAGACGAAGATGTGCACCGATATGCTTGTTTTTCAATCCACTACGTCGAAGAAGAAGAGGCGTGTGCAGACTACCAGCAGCCACAACGACCGCCCTTGAAATAAATGTAAGTGGCGTATTCCTAGTCAAACATACCACTCCCATAGCCCTGCCATTTTGTGTAAGTACTTTGGTGACTTCAGTTTGATCCAAAAATCTCGCACCATACACTTCAGCGTCCCGTAACCATGAGTTTGCCGTCCTTTGTTGTCCACCTTCATTACACCCAGCATAGCATACTTTGCAGATATGATTGACATTACGTGAGTCATTTGGACAATCAGAATTGCTAACCCCTAATTGCCTGTTAAAAAAAAATAAAGAAATATTAATCTAACACTCTACCTTTTTACTATTCTCTGATTTACATGCATCCTTTCTTCAAGATCATGTTGGCATTGTTGTGATTAGTATTTGTTGAAACACCCATCCGTTGACTGACTGTAATGAGATCCCTATTGAACTATTGTTGATAATATATATATATATATATATTCATTAAAAAATAGTAAAAGACACTATAACAAGATATCTTACGGTTTTAGCATCAAATAAATCATCTGTTGCTTCGGACCATTCATTCAACAAAGAAGGAGAAGGCTAAGTTTAAAAAAAAAAAAAAGAAGGTGGTAAGTAAGATACATACGACTTGAGAACTAATTATTAAAACGTACTTTAAGAGCAACACCCCAACTAACTGCCGTGCCTATTTTATCATTAAAAGAAAGAAAGAAAGAAGGAAAGAAAGAAAGAAAGAAAGAAAAAAGGGAAGAGATCAATCGTTTTTTATGAGAGAGAAAAAAAAAAATTCATATGCCGCCTGACAGATCCTTACCACCACCAAAAGTACTTGCAGCCATGATCCCAATAGAACCATTCTTATTGAATTGTACACCATCACCATCATACATCTTTGCAAATCCACTAATATCATCAGAATCATATTCATCTTCCCTATAATATTTTCCTTTTTCTATCACCAAGACAGTCTCTCCTACGGATGCCACTTGAGCAGCAATCACACCTATTTAAAAAAAAAAAAAAGGAATGAGCATAATATCATAATAATTTATTTGTTATCATATCCTTACCAGCCCCAGCACCACTTCCTACAATGATCACATCAAATTTTTTGGATTGTAATGCTTTGGCCTCATCCAAAGCGACCATATGATAAGGTTTGGTGGCCATACCATAAGGATCCTCCTTCAAAAGACTAGATGATGATGATGTATTATGGTGAACATGAGCATATCCTGTGGCTGCACGCAAGATATCAGATTGTCCATAACTGGTGTATAAAGCCAAAATACTTAAAAAACGATACAGTTGACGTTGTTGAGCACTCTTAGCCACTTTCCATTTCAATAGCACTTGTTCTCGTTGTGGACGAGATAGATGATAAAAAGGACGACGATGACCGGTTAGGTAGGCCGAGCCCAAAGAGGAGGATAATAATCGTAATGTGGACAAGATGTGTTGATGGACATGAGGAAGAATGGATTTGGTCATATAATGTAAGGTCACTTCAAGCATATCATCTAGATCTGTTGCTGAGGTGGCTGCCATAGCTGATAAATCGATATTACCCGTGCCACCTTCCATGAGACTATTGTTATTAGATTGATGAGCATCCTGTACTAGTGAAAGGGATTCATTGTCATCCAGTGGAGCAACAAATGTATCCATGATTGCTCTTAATGCCACTGCTTGTTTCCTATTTAATTTGATCATCATAATAAAACAAAGTAATATATATATATATATATATATATATAAAATGAAGAAACTAAAAAAAAAAAAAAAAAAAAAGAAAGTAAAGGAAAAAAAAAATGTTCCTCTCTTCCTCCCCAACAACCTCGCTCCTCCCCCAGCTTGATTTGGAGAGAGAGAAAGTGTGTGTATATCTGTTCTTTTTTTTTTTCTTCCTTTCTTCTTTCATTCTTTGGTTTACTATTTAGATCGAAAAATACATCCATTCCCAAATCGTGAGCTGACAAACACGATTGGTTCATTTCATCGTACTACTCCAATGCATTCCCATGTCATTCCCCACAATCTCAACGGTGTACCATATTAGGCAGGCCGCTATGTCGGCGTTGGAATTTCAACCAGTATAACATTCAAAAAAAAAATGAGAACCATCGTTCAAATCGATTGTACCTTTTTTTTTTTTTGAAATGTTATAGAGGGTGAAAACAACAATATAATGACCAAAGCTTAAACTTTAGGTTGATCATCAGTTTGATTCAGTTGAAACATAAAGGACGATAAGAAAAAAAAAAAGGAAAAGCATATATTAAAGAAGGGTATTCTTATTTGAATCTTTGCATCATGATATCTTTTAATCGTTGGGTACCACTCAATCAATAATATAGATGATTACCGACTAGGACAAATCGAAAATGAGATAAGATGATGTGTGACCTAGTGATGAACTGTACTACATTGAATGATGATCAAAATCACAGTTTAATCATGTTTTATGTGAACACACACACACACTTTGGAGAAGAAAAACAATTCTAAAATTATGAATATCAATCAATATTGGCAAGTGTTACTATCCGACCAACCAAGAAGGTAACATTTGATGATTATAATTTTTTTTTTAAAAAAAATTGATATTTTGTGTGACAGGATAACATCACCAAATAATGTCTTCCATCATTCATTACTGAATAAAATGTACTATTTTATAAAAACAAATGTAATAGAATTAAGGATGTTCTATTTAATCACTCTATTTTGTGCCAAGGCACTTTGTATCTGTCGCTTTTTCCATTTCAGTGCACGTGCATTGTTTGCATAAACTCAAAAAAAAAAAAAAAAAAAAAAAGATGGGTACCTGTTCTTTTTTTTGCCTAGCAGGGAAATACAAAGAGATAAAAGAATTTCTATTAACCAAAAATGATGTAAAATAGAAAGAAGAAAAATGTTTAAAGCAATTTTTATTTCCAACGAGTCATACATAATCTTTTCTTTTTTTTTCAAAATGATCAAAACAAAAGTGAATAATACAAAATAAAAACTAGGACTAAATAGTATAAAAGAGATGAAAAAGGGAAAAAAGTTATAAATAGTATGTTAAAAAATATAAATAGATGATGATGATTGCATTTGATGAAAAGATGAATAATAAAAATAAATAAATAAGAGTTGATCATGGACGAAGACGACAAATAGTATGACATTTTTCCACATTCATTTCATAAAGAAGACCACTGGCATTAACTTGATCCAAAATCACCATTGCTTCTTTCAAATCATAAGCAACCCCCAAACAAAGTTCCTGTAAAGCCGGTAATTGAATCAATAGTTGATATATTAAATCAGATGAGAGTTGAGATTCCAATCCACTAAGATTAAGAGAAGTAAGACCCATAGGAGGACCACGAGCAGCAAATGCATGATCAGTGAGAGATCGACTTCCAGAGACATCCAAGTGTTTGAGTTGATGACAAGATTGAGAGAATTGTTGAATAGAGGTATCGGTAACGCCCGACTGATAGGCCAGGCACAGGGTATCCAAAGAAGGGCAGTGAGGAGCCATGTGTGCTAAACCATCACTTGTGATACGAGCACATTCACTCATATCCAGATGCACTAAAGAGAGTCCACTTGAGAAAGCAATCCGTTCCATGTGCTCTGAGGTCAAGTTGGCAATGTCGCGAAATCGTAGCCGAGTCAGCTGAATATGTTGTTTTTCCAAAGCATGAGCGAATCGAGAAAGACCATCGTATGTCAAGTAATCAGAACAATGTTCCAAACCCAAATCTTGTAAATGATGACATTGTTGAATCACATCCAAAAGATCATCAGTGATATCCGTCAATCGAAGACAAGTAAGCGTACGATGATGACGTTGAATCAGAGTGGCTAGAGCTTTACTTTCAATTTTCCCACAACCATAAAGTATCAACGTTTCCAATCGCGGTAATGGCATATCAAGAAGAGGTTGAATGGCATCCGTTGATAAGCAATAACAATGAGAAAGATCCACATACCGTAAATAGGAACTTGCTCGGATCATCGGAGCGACAGAACTATCTTGTGCAGCAGCATAGGAAAACACTAGTTGATCCAAGCGTGGAAATATAAATCCATCGAAAAAAGGTCGTTCAAACATATGAGTAGTAACATCTTCTTTCAGAGACCAACGGAACACCCGAACAAGCCGATTATATTGAGGATCCAAATTTGTTTTTAAATGTCGTCCTTTACCATCCAAAGTATTCTTGAGTTTTCGAAGTACCATATGAGACCGAGGTTGTAAAGTATGCCATAATCTAACTATCATTGCATAGTACATGGTCCGACAACTAAGTGCCATGTTTAACATATCCTTGCCATCAACAAAGTAACATATAAGTTGGGCAATTTCCGGTATAGTAATGGGTGATTGACGTACTAAAAGTTCGCTCGTCATATTTGTTTTTCTATATATTTATAAAATAGGTAATATAAAATGGAGTAAGTGAGGTTTAAAAAAAGAAAAAAGTGAGTGAAAAGAAAAAAAAAAAAAGGTACATAAACAATAAAAAAAGAAAGGTTATTTTTACCATTGAAACCAGTTTGAATTTGATATATTGAGATGATGTTTCTTCAATTAAAGTTGTAATGAACTAGAAGAGGAAGGAAAGGAGGAAAAAAGAGATAGAAGAAAAGGGGGAAAAAAAAAGAAAGAAAAACGGGGGAGCAGGAATTATTGAACCGCAACTTTCTTTTTTTTTTTTTGTGCCATCGGTGATCAAAAGAAGGGAATTTCCTCGTTTTGATAGTAAGAGTCGGGTTTTACAGATCCATATAGATACTACTTTGTAACAAAAAACAAGGTTTCGATGATCAATGTATCCAATCATCAAAATAATAAAAATAAACAACGTCAAGATGCATATATTATTATTCTAGAAGAAATCAAGTGCAAATCATCTTCTTCCTTGATTTTCCCAAACATTCCGTTTTGTTTTCTTTTTTTTTTTTTATTTTTCTTTATTAATATTTGGCAAAGATACGACTAAAACTACTACTACTACTACTAGTAATAATAACTAACTATAATGACTACTAGATGTTGAGAATTCTATCCCTATATATATATATATAAACAAAAGATACAATTATAATGAGTATCATATCTATCTTATTTTACTTTATTTATAATTTTAATTTACCTATATTCTTCAATGTTTTCAAGAGTTAGCACCACTATATGTAGAGAAAAAAGAAAAGAAAAAAAAAGTTAATTATGATGATATTCAAAACAAAAGAAAAAAAATCACAAGTACCAAGATCACGTTTTGTCAGTGGTTTCTTCGTCAATGGGCATATATTCTTCTTTCCTTCCCAATTGGTTAAGCATCGCACCCAACTATCATATCTATAATAAAAATAAAAAAAAAAAAGAAAAATGAATAATCACTAACATCACCATTTATTTTTGTCGTTTTGGTTTGGCTTGTTTTGTTTTTTTTTTTTACCCCATCACATGGCCGTATTTGGAAATAGCTGGTTTTTCAACTTCATCAAGTGTAATTGGGTCAATAAATCCAGGTAGAGGGTTAGCATCCAATGGCTCTTCTTGTTCACTTTCTGCATAATCAGGTCCATTTGACGTATCTTCTTGATCAGTTTCTTCTTGTGGTGTGGCAAATCTAGATCGTGTGCGTCGAGTGGATGCTCTTGTTCGTGTACTTGTTGTATAAGTTCCAGAATTATCATTGTAATCTTCAAAATCATCCTCTTCATCGTCATCATCATCATCACTATTCCATCCTCGGCTTCGTCTTTTACGTTTCTTGACAGTGCCTTTATCTGATACAGGTGCTCTCCTCCGTCTCGTCGCAGTAACTGCTGTTGATGATGATGATGGTGGTGATGCTGATGATGATCCTCGATCTGTAATAGCATGTTTGTTATGTGTTCGGAATGTCTTTTCTATTGTACCATTGGCATTTTTCTTGTCGAATAGATAATGTGCTTTGCCTTTTTCGTCCAATACATAATTAGGATCATCCACTTGACCAGTTTCAACTAAAAGTCTATAAAAGTTGGAACACTATAATAATAATAAAAAAAATCATGAGATTCAACGTATTTATATCTATATATATATATATATATATATATATATATTATACCTGATAACCCACTCGACCAGGAATTGTCATAGCAAAATAACCCCATTGACCATTAGCTCCTACTTCTTCCAATCGTTTGAAAAAGAGTTCCCGTTCATGTGGTGACCATTGACCTTTTTGTTGAATTTCACCAGGAGCATTGAATCGATAATAATAACTATTGGGATTTTGTTCAATCATTTGATAAGCACGAATACGAGCAGCTGACCATCCTTCAAAAGCCTTATCAGGATCCACACCATTTTCTTGTACTTGTTTCAAAGCATCATCTAGAGCCAATCTTCCACCTAAACGATATTGTCTATCATAAAAAAAAAAAAATATCATCAATTTCAATTATTATTATTATTTTGTCTTTTTTATTTTATTTTCTTACTTTTTAGCTGAATCATTTGTAGTTTTCTTCAATGTTGCAGATCGTTTCTTTAAAAGTTGTTTGTATGCTTCCAATTGTTCTTCTGTCATTTTATTTTGAGAGCTTTCCACTTCAGGTGCATGTTTGGTGGCAATCTTTCTTCGTATTTCAAGAAGATAACCAGGTTGAGTGAGACGAACGATGATTTCATCCTTTGTTATCCAAAAATAAAACATAAGTAAATTGCTGATGTTTTTTTTTTTTTTTGAAAACTTACTTCATCATTTTTACAGTCTTGTAACATTTCATCCATTTCTTCCACCGTTAAATAGTCGTAGATAGCAAACACCTTTTGAAACTTTCGAACCTTTTCACGTTTCTCATATTCAGCGAATTGACGTTGTTGAAGAGCAACACGTTGCTGAATGATATCCATTTCTGATTCCGTCACTTCTTCACCAAACACATTTTCTTTTCGTACAATTTCAATTGCGTCACTAAAATATACAAAGATTAGTGTTCATTAATATATAGAAATGAAAAACATACTTTTCATTTAAGGTCAACTTCATAGGAATTTCAGAGACACAACAATCTGATGCTTGTTCCATTTCACGTAACTTGGACTATAATTAAGGAAAGAAAGAAAGAAAGAAAGAAAAGTATGTACCTGTCAACTTTGTTCCTTTCTGGTTTCTTTTTTTTCATTTTATTTTATTTTATTTTACCACTATAGGATGCGGTTGAATATCTGAAGGAATAGCATATTTAGACCAATGAAGCCTATGTTTATTACTAGTGGGAGTGGCATTGGTATCTATAAATGAAAGTAAGAAAAGATGTAGACAGGAATACAATATTGAAAAAAATGGGTTAAAATTTAATAAATCCCTCATGATCATTTCATACAGATGAATGAATGACATTTTTTTTCTTTACCTTCTTTATAGAATACAGTAATAAGTTTGTTGTCATCTTCAGGAGTGTCTTCCTTGGTTGAGCGTGCCATTTTTTTCGTATTGGTTTACTTGTATTCTCAATATGAGATATAATAAGAAACAAGGGAAAGAAAAAAAAAAAATAGAAAGAAAAAAAACTAGAAGCGCGTGTCGTGATGAGAAAAAAAAAAACACAGGAGACAATCACGGAGATTCAAATACCGACAGGCGCGTTTCTGCGAAATCGCCCTCTTCTTAATAATTTAACTGTACATTATGCTCTTCATAAAAAAACTATATGTAATCTCTTACAGGTAGCATTTTATTTTACGAGATATGAATTCTATATGCTATTTTATGAAATATAATGATTGGATGATTGATTTGATTTAATTGAATAATCATGATTATTTGAGGGCTTCAATGTGATTGGAGGAAAAAAAAACAATATAAAAGATTACCTTTTTTATTTTCACTTTCTTTCTTCTACAAAAAAAAAAAAATTATTTGCTTCCTTTTGGCTGCTTACTTGTTGGTATCTTCTTCTTTTCGTTCGCCTGGTCATACGCGACAGAACGCTATCCTTCTCTGGTTGATTCTTGTTTCTCCGTTTTCCTTGCGTCTCTCTGTCTTGCTGTGTGGATCTTTTTTTTTTTTTTTTTTTTACTTTATGATATTTACACTATCCCTTTTGTGTTGCGCACATCCCGGATGGATTGATGCGTGGCGACCGCGCCTTAGAGCTGGAGGATCTATTTTTTTTTTTTTTTGGGAAGTGCACATATACAAATAATATTATCCATTTCTTCTTTCTAAATACAGGAACTGGGGGGGAATACGGAGATCCGTGTTTCTTTCTGGTATGTCGATGAGTTTGTCGATATACTTTTTATTCAATAAAGTATTTTATTTTTATTCTAACTAGTTTTGCTAACAAATGATTCTTTTTTTCTTCTACTATAATTTTATTATTATTTTTTTTTGTGTTTTGAATATGCATTCTTTCTATCTTCTTGTCCCAATTCAAAGTAAATAAACTATATTCAATATTGATAATATAAAAGACATCGCAAAATCCATCTATATAGTAATAAAAAAATACATTTTTTTAATTTTATACAGTAATAGAAAGGTAATCAAATCAAAATAAATGAATATAAAGTATACCAATCAAAGAATATAAGATAGCAATAAGAGAATGAGAAAGAGAGGGGAATGATTACATAAAAATACAAGATAATTAAAAATAAGGATAATAAAAATATAAAAGGAGAGAATAAACTACATTGTAAACTAAATTATTCATTCTTGTGACAAGGCCTTGTTGGCGTTATTATTGGTGTTATTGTTGCTTGATATCTCGTACATTTCTATAAAAAAGTAATAATCACAAGTCAGTCAAATTTGATAATAATAATTATAATCATACCATTAATCGAAGGAGAAGATGATGGCAACGTCTTTTCTTTTTCACTGGGTTCATATTCATGATCGCTATTGATTTCATCATCTGTCAGACCAAAGGAACGCATACCAAGGAAGAATACAAAGGCCAATGCACCAAAGCAAAGAGATACGATAGAGAAGATACGTTGAATATTTCCATAAGCAGTGATAACACCTTGATGTTGATCGGGTGGTAGAGCAGCAATGGCTTCCAAATTACCAGCTAAGCTTGCATAATCATATTCACCTAAATATCAAAGTGAGTATTAAAAAAAAAGATTTCTTCCTTGATAAATGCCTTACCTGGAATGTTTTCAGCAAATTGGACTGGTAAAAGATTTGTAAAGATAGCTCCTGCAATAGCTGATCCAATACTTGTAGCCAAAGTTCCACCAATTTGAAATAACGCAGTAACAACAGCAAGATCTATGTGTATTAAAAAAAAAAAAAGATATTATTATTATTACCAAGTCGAAGAAAGAAAAGAAAATTTTAATTTACCTTGATGAGGAACGGAACTTTGAACGGCCACCAAAATAGGAACATAAATGAAACCAGCACCAAAACCAGCAATCACTTGGGAAAAGATAAGAAACACCATGGAAGAATCAGGATAACGTGCAGGAATCATCATTCCCATTCCCACCATCATAAAAGAAAGACCAGCAAAAACAATAGGTCGATACAATTTGAAATGTTTCATAAGGTAACCAGCTAAGACTTGAGATAAGAGAAAAACAGTATGATAACTGTTTTGTACATAATTAGCAGTTGTACTGTCCAGTCCACGAGTCACTTGAATATACATGAGGAAATAGTTCCAATTACTTGCATGAAACATACTAACTGTAGCACATGTCAACACACCAGTGATTGGCGTAGGAGTAGCCCATGATCCTAATGGAATGATTGGTTTGGTAGCAAACTTCTTTTCGTAAAAGCCAAAGATGACCAAAAGGACACACCCACTAATAAGAGTACCTAATGTTGTAGGTGAAGACCATCCTCCCCATCGAGATACAGCCAGGACGAAAGGAACCAAAAATAGACAAAGACCAGCAGCAAGAAGACAACTACCAATAATATCCACTTCAATTAAAACCCATTGTATCTTTTCCCATGTTGTCATTTTTTGGTTATTATTCTTGCCCATATCACGCTTGTATTGTTCCAATAGACCAGATTTACGCGCCTTACTTTGAACACGGTAAAGACCAATAAATAAAGGAATGCTTGTCGCTCCAATACAAAAAGGAATTAAAGAGTAAGCCCAACGCCAGTTCCCAGATTGATAAAGCGCTTGACCAGCAATTGGGGAAACATAAAGATTGATTAAAGCAGGTACATCGTAAAAGGCCTGGAAAAGGCCACGATTGATCTTGGTAGTCATATCAGCAATAAGAATATGACCAACCACATTGACACCAGATAATCCAAAAGCGTAGAGGACTTGACCACCCTATTTAAATATATTTATATAGATAAGGATTACAATGTACCATTTCTTTCTTTTTTCTTAAAAAAAAAAGGAAAAACTTACCATGAGAGCATCCATACTTTGAGCACAAGCCATCACAACACCTGCCATAATATAGAAAGTGATAGCAATAACAAAAGCTTCTGCTCGACCAACAGTATCAGCAAGTTTGGAAAACATAGGTAATAAAACGGTGACCATAATATAAAGAATAGTATCCAGTACACTTGCAATACTTAATCCACCGAAGATACCAGTAACTTGTGGCGTAATGGATGATAAGGTGTTTCCTTCCCAATTTTTAGCCCATGCAACTAGAACGATACTAAAATATTATATTATATATATATATAAATAAATCATCGCACAAAAAAAAATAGTTTTTCTCTTTTTTCTTCATATTACCCTGAAATGACTAGAATAAAGTCCAACCGATTTGCTAGTTGTTTGAATAGTTGTGCTTTTTTGACACCAATAGATAATTTATAATTAGAATAATTATTATCCATTTTGAAGGTTACAAAAAGAAAAAGAAAAAAAGAAAAGGAAAAAGAAAAAGAAAAAAAAAGAAATTGAAAAAGAAAAAAATTAAATATTTATACCACACGGAGCGGAGTCAAAACATCTCATAGTGAAACTTATCAGATTATATACGATTTACATAGTGGTTATCAGATTGCCATTGACAAGAATTCCATTTGTCACACAGTCTCGAAAATGAATAAAAAGTCAGCTACTTTATTATTTTGATTATTCCTCATCATTGTCATCATTATCTTTTTAAAAAAAAAACAGAAAACACTCTATATAATAGGATCATACTCTTCCTTCCTGTATTTTTTTTCATGTGTCTACGGATGAATCGAAAAAAAAGAGAATGATTTTTTGAAAAAAAGGTACAGTGTTTTCAAAGTTTTTTGTCGGGTCACAAGAAAATAGTTTTCGTGATTTTATTAAACAAAATATCGGACTTCCCCAAAATGAATAGCGCATTTCCACTATTATAGATATCGCTCCAGAGATGTCGATTAGAGTATATTGATGGATGGATGATGGATCCTTTTTTTTTTTTTTTTTTTTTTTTTTTTTTTTTTTTTTTTTTTTTTTTACATACTCACATTTATGAATATATGATATAGGCAACTCCAGTAGCAAATTGACCTCATAACTGACAAATGTAAAACTGCATAATGTTACTTCTTTTTTTCTTCACATACAAAATAAATTTCTTCTCACATGTGAAACCTATTCAAAATGCCATTTTCCTCTTTTTTTTTTTTCTTTTTCTTTCTTTTTCTTTCTTTTTCTTTTGTCTTTTCCTTTCTTTATCTTTTTTATATCAACTTCTAAACCTCTCTACAAGTCTCTTTATCTTCTATCCATATCAAATACAAGTTTTATCTGAAGTACAAGTATAACGACATCAAGACGGGCTAAGGCCTATTTGCTTCTTTTTTCTTGTTGCTCTGTTGTTTTGATCCACTGTTTCCGCTCCTCATCCTTTTCTTCTTCTTGGTTGGCTGTATCTTTGTCGTAGGATCAAGATCTCAAAAATCATTACCTTACATGTGCAGATCAGTCAACCCTCGCCTTCCTCTATTTCCACCAGTGGTATCAACAATAACATCAATAATATCTTTCTGTGTGTCTCTCTCTTCTCTGTTGCTCTTCTCACAATTTTTCCGTGTACTGAAAACACGTAGATGTTTACAGTTTTTGTAAGTTTTTTTTTTTTTTTTTTTTAATTGATGAATATGAATATGATGATGTACTAACGAATTTTTTTTTTTTTTATTTTTCCAATATGATCTCTCTTTGGTATTTCCTATTTGATTTGTCCTTCTATCTCAATTTTTTTTTTATGCGTCATCCATTATCTGTTTTGTCCGTCATTCATTCTCTATTCTTACGATATCTTATTTCCTATTTTGGCGACATCTTATTTTTGAAACTGCGTCATGTAATTAGTGGACAAACTATTATATAATAGGTGGCTTGGGGGGGGAGAATTTACTCACCTCTTTTCTCCGTTTCTTGTTTTTCTTCTCCTTACTTGTACATATTATTTAAATATATATCATGACTGACATAGAACACCCTTCCAACGTTATTGGTTCCCTTATCTTTTGTCCAGAATGTGGCAATCTTTTAGACATGCCTGGTGGTGATGATGATATTTTACTTTGTAATCAATGTAGTCATCCATATCAAATCTCTGGTAAAGAAAAAAAACAAAAAAAAGGTATTTTCCAAATATTCACATATAACATTTGTATAGGTTTTGAAGCCACTAAAGTTGTTACAACTTCATCAGATCGTGCTTTCCAATCTCCATTAAAAGCTAAACGTCATTTGGTTCAACAAAGTCAACAAAAAGAATCCGGTGCAACGGTAAAAGAAAGAAAAAAAAATTCAATATGAATTTTATTGATTCACCTATACTTTTTCTTATATAGATTAAAGAAAAATGTCCTCAGTGTGGTCATGATGAAATGGCATATCATACTATGCAATTACGGTCAGCGGATGAAGGTCAAACTGTATTCTATAACTGTAAAAAATGCGGGTATGTATCTTGTTTTTTTTTTTTTTATTGAACATGACTAACTCTTTCTCTATTCATCATTTAGGTACAAATACTCGGTCAATTCATAAACTATTCTCTCGCTATCTTCTGTCAATATACAAACATATGTCATCACGTCCTTATTTATCTACGTCAATTTGATATCACATTTACCTTTTATTTACTATTTAGAATATTAACCATCATTTATCCTCTTCTCTCACTTTTCACTCTGCATTATTTATTACTATCCATCATCATCATCATCATCAATAAAAAATAGATATTCATTTTTTACACTTATTTCCATTTACGGTCAATGAAATACGTTTATTCTATTGTCAGGATTGGTATGAATCATACAACCCCCTCTCTTTTTTTTTTTTTTATGAAAGTGAATGTATACATTTTTTATCACAACTTCTCAAGTACCATATAAATGAATGATTTCAATCTTGTAACATTTTCTCTTCTTCTTTCTTCTCTATATCCTGTTTTTTTTTAAATTATGTCTGAATTACGACATCGTAAACTTTGTCGTTATGATAATACTGACTTACATTATAATTATGATGATACAGATAACAGTGATAAAAAGGTAATCATACATATTGAAGTAAGGAAAAAAAAGTAATAATAATAATGATGACAAAATTTGAACCAGTCCATCCCAATGAAATCACGACAAATTCAACATGATCGTCATCATCAAATGGCTCATGCCATAGTGACATTGATCTCCGTGTTCGTGTCATTCTTTAGACTTCGGCATCCAAGTTCTGCAGTGTAAAGAAAAAAAGAATAGATTGACACTCCGCTGCTTACAAGAAATCCTTTCTTTTTTTTATTCCTTTTTCTTATATAGCTTTAATGAAGAATATATTGGCAAATGTATCTCTCATTATATCAATGGAACCTATTTTTATGACATTCATCCTCCTTTGGGGAAATTACTACTGGCTTATCTTGCTTCTTCAGTAGGCTTTGATGGTCAGCAAAGTGCATTTCCTGAAATAGGTAACGATTATCCCAACTCTGTTCCTTACGTCAGTTTACGTGCTATGTCTGCTACTTTGAACGTCCTATCTACAGCATTGATATATGGTATTATGCGGTCTTCTGGATACTCTGCATTAGCATGTATACTTCCTGCCATGTTATATACGTTTGGTATGATACAAAGGGAGAGGGGGGAAAACTGTATGAAAGGAGTCTACTGACTATTTTTTTTTATTAGATAACTCATTCGTAGCACAAAATCGATTGATCTCACTTGAAAGTTCGGTCATCTTCTTTATTCTCTCAAGTATCTTTTGTTATATTCAATTTCGAAGGAGAAGAGACAGGTAATCGATTTGATATCGATCTGATTTTTTACACATACATATATATATATATATATATATGTATATATATTCATTATCGTTCTTTTGTTCCTTGAACGAACTTTAGACCTTTTTCTATTACTTGGTGGTTCTGGCTTTTATTAACTGGTGTGGCTATGTCTTCAGCTGCGAGGTAATTTTTTTTCTCAACAGCAAATAGTGCAAAACACTAATGATTTCCTTTTTTAGTATCAAGTTCATTGGTGTCTTCGTGATCATCATCATTGATATATGTACTACTCTGGATCTATGGCAATTATTACATTACAGTCAAGGCTTATCGATGGTAATAAAAAAAATGTAAGAAGAAGAAGAAGAGAAAAAAGGGAAAAAGAAATCATCTGCTGATCCTACCATTATTGTTGTTATTATTGTTTCTTTAGACACAAATAACTAAGCAACTACTGGCTCGTATATTTGGCCTGATCATTGTACCTACCGCTCTCTTTCTATTCTGGTTTTATCTTCACTTCAAATTATTACCATTATCTGGTCCTGGTGATGAACAAATGACTGTTCAATTTCAAGAAACTCTCCAGGGAAGCCCTCTAGTTTTCAACTCTATTCGTAAATCGATGACAACATATCACCAAAAAAAAAAAAAAAGATGATTGACTCATTTTCTCTTCTTTTATTTTGATTTTTATATAGCCATTCGTTATTACGACGCTGTTTCCTTTAGATTCAAGAAAAATGGACACTTTTTACATTCTGATGAATTATCATACCCTAGGACATATGAAGATGGACGTGTCAGTAGCGCAGGTAAATTGTCACCTATGATTTTACTTCAAATAATTCATCTCCATCTTTTTGTTTTTTTGTTTTTCTTTTTTTTTTTTTTTTTTTTTTGTTTTTTTGTTCTTAGGTTTTCTGGTAGATATGATTAAGGAAAGAAATGAGGAAACCTATTGGAGAATTATGCCTACTACCAAGAAGAATCGAAGAAAAAAGAAGAATCCATACATAGTAAAAAGCGGAGATGTCATACGATTACAACACCTTGCGACAAGACGATACTTATTGGCTCATGATGTGGCATCCCCTTTACATGCGACTAACATGGAACTGACGACTGTGGCTCCCAATGAACGTCCCCAAGATACGCTTTTCAGAATATCTACTGGTTTAGGTAATGTTTGGATGACGCAATTACAAGATGTTCAAGTGATCAATGTGGCAAATAATGTGGCACTATCCTCCTCAACGGATCTATTACCAGAATGGGGTCTCTATCGTGATGAAGTGAGCGGAAATAAGTTGCTCAATGTCTCTGCAAATATATTTGTGGCTCATGATGTTTATGGAAAAGATGGTATAAAAAAAAAAAGGCACATTCGATTATTCTCCAATATTTATATCCGATTGTTTATTCTATCATCTTATTTTGTAGCATATAAAATCAATATGAAAAAAGGGATCAAGGTCAAAAAACTATCATTTTGGAAAAAGTACAAGGAATTGCAACTCAAGATGCTCAAACAAAGAATGGAATCTCACCCAGACGAATCTCGTCCTTCTGTATGGCCACTTGCAATGGTTGGAACTGTTTATTGGGGAAATGATGAATCTCGATCACAAATCTATATGACAGGGAATGTGGCAGGTTGGTGGCTTTCCACGGCTAGTATTCTTCTCGTAAGCATGATATTTGTTATACTTGCTATTACTGGGAAAAGGGATATTTATTGGATGAACAAACGTAAGTATATATTGATGATGATGAGGATGATGAATAGTGATTAATGACTTCTTTTTTTTTTCTTTAACATTCTTTTTTTTTTCAGATATCCGTCGACGGTTTACACGCTCAGGAGGATTTTTTATCAGTCTTTGGGCAATCCAGTACATACCCTTCTACTTTGCGAACAGTGCTTCACTCTTACAAGACTATCTTCCTGCAGTGACGTGCGGTTATTTGGCGGTTGGTGCGCTTTATCAGTATATGTTTATTGATGGCCTGGATTTTCCAGTGGTGATGATGGCAGCTGCGACAGCAAATGATGATAGCGATACCTTGTTTACCAGCAATAATACAACAATAAAAACAAGGAAAATGCAATACAGCTATTACAATGGATCAATGGCTGTACCTTCTTTGAAATCATATACGGTGGCAATGACCGTGATTTTAACGCAACTGGTTACTTTTGTGGCTATGGCTCCTTTGACATATGGCTATCCTGGTTTGACTACAGATCAAGTTGTTCAACGCAAGCTATTTTCGGGCTGGAATTTACTTTATCAAAACTAGCTTGATTTAGTTTAGATTTACTCAATTTTTTATTTAAATAATAAAAGTTTTCCTTTTTTTATTATTATCATCATAACGAGTGCATTATACATTATCACTTCACCGAACTTCATTTTGATCATCATCGTTTGCTTTCAGTAATAATAATAAAAATAAAAAGAACTACTCATATAATCGCTCCAATGACCCATCTACTTGATTCAAAGTAGCGTTCGATAGACATTAGAGAACATGTGTTGGAAACCATCATTGACATGTAACAAGGTAGTTGGAATAAAACTAAAGTATTTTATTCAATAGAAGCATAAATCCTAACTAACTAACATAGAAAGGTACTTGATATTCAGTCATCTGTTTTATGCGCAGTGATCATTTTGTCCTGATGAGGTAGTGATGCATCCATTAGTACAGGGACCCAAATCTTGACCAGCACCACCCAAGTGATCGCATTGATAGATATGATCGGCGGTACATCCATCCATTCCAGCAGTTTGACCACAGAATCTACTATTACCACTGCTTCAATTACAGGTACATGCGGTAGCGACACCAACAAAGAAGAGAGTAGCAACCAATTTCATAAGAGAGTTCATTTCTCTTTTGTTTTGTTTTTTTTTTTTAAAAAAAAAAAAGAAAAGAAATGTAAAGTTATCTTTTATGAAGTATTGATTGAAAAATTGTCTCTTTATATATCTTTTCTGAGCCACATTTTTATTAACTCACCAGATGTTGTGTTCTGTGCTCCTATTATTTTTTTGACGCCATAGATCGTTATTGATTTTACCACCGTAGCTAGGGGCGGCTTGACGACTTCATCAGAACTAGCTTGATGTAGTTTAGATTCATTCAATTTTTTTTATTCAGACAAACATATACTCTTGTTTTTCTCATGTCTTCATTATTATGATGGCCTTGTACATAATCACTGCACCATATTTCATTTTAATCATCATCATTACTGTCAATTATAATATTAAAAACAGTTCATCAGATAATCACTCCAAACTACTTATATCAAAAGAGCACTCTGTAGATATTAGATGACATGTATGAGGAATCGTCATTGACATGTAACAAAATAATTGGAATAAACAATCATCATCATTACTATCTATGATAATATTAAAAAAGAACTCATTAACACGATAATTGGAATAAAACTAAAGTATTTTATTCAATAGAATCATAGATCCTAACTAACTACCTAGCATAGAAAGGTTGCTTGACATTCAAGCACCTGTTTTAGGCACAGCGATCATTTTGTCCTGCTGGGGTAGTGATGCAACCATTCCTACATGGACCCAAATCTTGACCTTGAGTACCTAATCCACCACACTGATAGATATGATCCCTAATACAGTTTTGCATTCCAGGAGTTTGGCCACAGAATCTGCCAAGACCACTGCTTGAATTACAAGTACACGCGGTAGCGACACCAATGAAGAAGAGAGCAACAATCAATTTCATAAGAATATTCATTTTTGTTTTGTTAAAAAAAAGATACAAAGTTATTTTTTTTATGAACAAATTGATTTAGAAGAAAATGATCTCTTTATATACCTTTTCTGATCCACATTTTTGTTAGGTCACTAGACCTTGTGTTCTGCACTCCTATTATTTTTACTATTGATACCATAGATCGTCATTGATTTATCATCATAAGAAAATGCAGGGGTGGCCTGACTACAGATCAAATTCTTCATAGCAAACTATTTTTGGATTTGATTATCGAAAATAGCTTGATTCAGTTTAGATTTATTCAAATAATAAATATACAATCTTTTTGTTATTATTGATGTACTTGACATAATCATTTCACCGAATTTCATTTTGGTCATCATCGCTACTATCCACCTTCGAAAAAATGGTCCTGTAAATAAATGATTTATCCTGTGAATGCAGGCTCTGCACGAAATATCCAGGATAGATCCTGAGTTAACCTACACCCTACATCATGTAATTGCAGGATCCCGGATAAAACCTATTATATACAGAATGCATCATTGAGTTGACATGCGGGATACATCTTGTAATTCTAGAATCCTGTAAATAAACAACTAGGATGAATAAATACTAAATAACTAACTAATATACAGAGAATAGACTATAAAAATGATTTATTATATAAATAATAATAATAGTAATAAAAGCAATTGTTATTACAAAAAAATAATAAAAAAAAAAGAAGGACTACACTAAATCAATATCACCAGAGAGCCGGAACTTTGTATCTTGACCCAAAAACGTGTTGATACGAGTAAAATAATGAATTGATTTACCGTAGTAAGTCACCGGAAAGGTATATTTCAGTATTCCATCTTCAATTTCCATATCAATATCAATATTATCGTTAGAAAGTATTAATGTTCATATTGATGTTGATATTGGTGCTGGCGTTCCAATGGCTGTTGGCGCTGAAACTATGTCATTTTCGTGCAAAATCTCATTGATATCCAAGGGAAAGCTAGCCGATAAAAAAAAATCAGACACAGTTAGTCTAGATACATACTTTAAGAAAGATCATACCTGTTCTTCAGACTCTACATTCATTGTTGATATAGTTTTCGTACAGGAAAGAGAAGAAGAGGAAGCAAACGAGGAATAAACTTTTGGGACACACAATTCATTAGGAGGTGATATCATACCGTATCAGATACTAAGTGGTTTCTGTTTCTGTTTAATTGACATGACACTGAAAGTAAAAGGGGCTTCACGAGAAAAAAGAAAAATAGAAAGAAAGATGAATTTTTAGGCACCTCAATTTTATACACCGTAAAATTTTACATGCGAGCATAATTTTTCATTCCTCACTTCCTTTTTTTTTTTTTTTCTCTCTTCTTTTTTATTATCATTTTTATTTTTATTTTTCTCTAACAACATACCTTTTTAAAACCAGCTTCTTTTCAAATTAATTATATCATTATTCTAATAGAAGAATTAGCGAAAGACTATGGGCTGTAGAATAAATGCTCACCAAACTCAAACGAATAGATGAAAAGATGGACGAAATAATGAATATGATTGGAAAATAAACGGACGAAGCACAGTCAGTGGAACATCAAGCATACTTTTGAAATTGTCAACGGAAGAAGAAAAAGGAATCGAAGTAAATAACGAACAAAGATCATTGTTTTATCAAAAACAATAGATTTAAGCTGACAAAGATCTTGGGAATAGACAATGTTGATGGTGATAGTGAAACAATTGAAAAACAAGAGGGTAATATATCAAATGGTCCAATATCTCAGTCAAAGTCTAGCAAATTGTAAAGAAGAATGATAAATTGGCAACAGCAGGAATAAGAATTGACTCAAGAACAACGGATTGCAAATACTGCGTTTCGTGACAAATGTGCAAACCGTGTGAAATGATCGGTAAGATTGGCAGACTAAGATATTGTATAACTACTAACTATTTTGTTTTGATCTTATTTCTTTTATTGAACTGTCATCAACATCAATGACATATATACCAGACTTCCAGCTAGAAAAGCAAAATCATCATCATCGCAACAGGATCATCATCAGTAATACCGCTATCAAGGTCATGAAAGCGTTCAAGGTGCCAATTGTTTTTTTTTTTTTTGTTTTTTTTTTTTTTTTATCTTCAATATATTATTACGGTAGCATACGATCTTTTTCTCATAATAAAGAAGTACTCATTTATATGTTGTATTTGATAGTGTATATATCCTGTATCCATAGTTAAACACTCGATTTATTCTGTATTTGATCTTGTAAATATCATGTATTTGCAGTAAAAATACACGATTTATCCTGTATTCTCATCCTGTAATTTGTAATATCCACAGAATGAAAAATCCTGGAAAAATCTGTATTATCCTGTAATTACAGGATCATTCTTTCCAAGGTAATCAATAATAATATTAAAAGAGTCAGTCATATAATCGCTCCAACAACCGATCTACTTGTAGCAAAAGAACATTTTATGAAATGCCACGCATTAGGAATCATTGACATGTAACAAAGAAGTTGGAATAAAACTAAAGTATTTTATTCAATAGAAGCATAAATCCTAACTAACTAACATAGAAAGGTACTTGATATTCAATCATCTGCTTTATGCACAGTGATCATTTTGTCCTGCTGGGGTAGTGATGCATCCACTAGTACAGGGACCCAAATCTTGACCAGCACCACCCAAGTGGTCGCATTGATAGATATGATCGGCGGTACATCCATCCATTCCGTTAGTTTGACCACAGAATCTGCCATTACCACTGCTTGAATTACAGGTACATGCGGTAGCGACACCAACAAAGAAGAGAGTAGCAACCAATTTCATAAGAGAGTTCATTTTTGTTTTGTTTTGTTTAGTTTTTTTTTTAAAAAAAAAAAAAAGAGTTGTAAAGTTATTTTTTATGAAGAATTGATTGAAAAATTGTCTCTTTATATATCTTTTCTGATCCACATTTTAATTAGCTCACCAGACGTTGTGTTCTGTGCTCCTATTATTTTTTTGACGCCATAGATCGTCATTGATTTTACCACCGTAGCTAGGGCGGCTTGACGACTTCATCCAAACTAGCTTGATTTAGTTTAGATTCGTTCAATTCTTTTTTATTTAGAATTGTTTTTCTCATGTCTTTATTATCATAATAGGCATGTACATAATCACTGCGCCATATTTCTTTTTAATCATCATCATTACTGTCAATTATAATAGCAAAAACAATTCATCATATAATCACTCCAAACCACTTGTATCAAAATAGCGCTTTGTAGGTACTAGATGACATGTATTAGGAATCACCATTGACATGTAACAAAATAATTGGAATAAAGAATCATCATCGTTACTATCAATAATAATATTAAAGAGCATTCATCACGTAATCAATCCAAATTACTTGTGTCAAAATAGCACTCTGTAGATATTAGATGACATGTATGAGGAATCGTCATTGACATGTAACAAAATAATTGGAATAAACAATCATCATCATTACTATCAATAATAATATTAAAAAAAAAGAACTCACTAACACGATAATTGGAATAAAACTGAAGTATTTTATTCAATAGAAGCATAGATCCTAACTAACTAACTATCATAGAAAGGTACTTGATATTCAAACATCTGCTTTATCTGCAGTAATCATTTTGTCCTGCTGGGGTAGTAACACATCCATTCCTACATGGACCCAAATCTTGACCTTGAGTACCTAATCCACCACACTGATAGATATGATCCCTAATACAGTTTTGCATTCCAGGAGTTTGGCCACAGAATCTGCCAAGACCACTGCTTGAATTACAAGTACACGCGGTAGCGACACCAATGAAGAAGAGAGCAACAATCAATTTCATAAGAATATTCATTTTTGTTTTGTTAAAAAAAAGATACAAAGTTATTTTTTTTTATGAACAAATTGATTTAAAAAGAAAATGATCTCTTTATATACTTTTTTCTAATCCACGTCTTTTGTAAGGTCATCCGGTCTTGTGTTCTGTTCACCTATTGTCGTTGAGATTATATATCATCCATGATTTATCATCGTTGATGATTGGAGGAATTAATCATCCCCTATGTTTGCTTTAAACCAATCTATCATCAAGCAAATTTTATTATTGATTAATGTCATCATCAACAGTATATCATTAAATCAATCATCGTTTGGATTATTCAAGAGAATCATCAAGGTGTCTCTTCTTCTTCTTTTTTTTTTTTCGTGTATGCATGCTTGTTTTGTTCTGTGAAATTAGGACTGATGGCGCACTACAGTTGACGACATTGGAGTCATCTTGGATCCGTTAACATTAAAATTACGATCTGAGCATTTGTGTACCCTTCCCACATTTCCTCACATTTGCCACACCATTCTCACGTTTGGCACACCATGCTCTGATCTGGAACCGTCGTTCCCACTTTGGACCAACTTTTAAGGAGTCGATCATCTTAAGCTTTAAGTCATATTTACTTTATTCCAGCTTCTCAATATCAATATATATCTATCTATATTTGTTTATATCAACTACAATTGATATCCGCTTTATACAAAAAAAAAAAAAAAAAAAAAAAAAAAAAAAAAAAAGGGATGCAGTAAATCATATAATATAACGCAAGAGGTCATCCAAAACAAGTATCACTCTTTACTATCAACACATTCGGTCGGTAACACTATATACAAAACTATTGATCATTCATTAAAAGAACTGATCATGATTTAAAAAAAAACACAAGTTACCATGAACGGAGTTACCATGAAAAATTTTATGCAAGAATCAACACCTGATGCACTGCGCGGACGTGAAGCAACACAAATGTAATTGATGCATCTCTCAGCCACATTTTGCTTTCCTTTTTTATTTTTTTTTTTTTTTTTTGATGTAATATTCCTTATATCTTTTTCTGGGGGAGGATGCAGTACTAATGATGCTAAAATAATAATTATCAGAAATTATAAACCTAATAATCACATTGAGAAAAAAAAAAAAAAGATCATGGTACAATGGCTGAGCATTTATTCTTTTTTTCCATTTTGCCAACTTCTTGATCCCTTTACGTTATGAGTACCAGGTTACCTTTTATTCTTTATTTGACGTTTTGGTCAAGTTTTGGAATTATTTTCCATCGTAGACGTTTTTCCATCAAGTGATCTTTATTTTTTTTTTATTTTTAAAAAATAAACAATGTCATACCATTGTAATTCAACGCGTACTTCGTTTTTGCGTCACGCAGAACCCATTTTTTTTTTTTTTACTATTATTCTCAATCAATCAAAAAAATTTTTTTTTTTAAAAAAAAAGAATCAAACTACTTCGCTCACTGTTATTGGACCATCTAAGATTTTACTTATTTTATCAATCATCTGGAATATTATCCAGGTATTATTTTTATTATCTTCATCGTCATTATTATCATCATCAAGCATGATCATCTACCTCAACCTATTTCTATATTTTAGCAACATCCATTCATCAACAAAACAGTAACTTTCTGTTCTATTCAAGGTGCTCACTACATATCAAAAGAAAAACACAATGATCATCTGTTGATGACAGCGTAGTCGTTTTGTATTAGATGATACTAGAATTACCATCTGATCATTTAGTATTCATATTTTGCAAAAAAAGCAAATCATTTGGCCACGAAACAGTCATCCAAAGTCATAATAATATTTACTTTATTCAAGCTTTTTTACTATCAACAATAAATATATTGTTTTATTCAATTAAGATTTGTATTCATTACATACTATTGATTATCCATGACAAAAGATGATGATCATAAAAAAATAAAAACACAAATTGAACATGACATTTATTAGGATGAAAGTACAATTAAATTCGGCGGTTTGACATACTTTCCTTTTTTTTTTTTTTTTGAAATATTTCCATCAGATGATTATCTTCTTTTTATTACAAACAAATGGATCCTCCAAACTAGCCGAGAATATAGATATCTTGTTTTATCTTGTTAAATTGGAAATCACATATATATTTTTTGGACTATATTCAATTAATAAAAAAAACTATTTTTTTCTTTTGTTTTTTCTTTTTTTTTAAAGAAAAGCATACTGTATTAATTTGGTCACTCCTATAGAATATCACATCACCTTTGATATCTCTATCTATGAATCATCTGGATTATTTTACAATCATCGAAACTTTTGTTCCATTTTTTTTTTTTTTTGATCATGATCAAATGTGATCATTACATTTCAATCTATTTTTATTTTTGGATAGCATGCATCCATCCATTTTTCTTTGTTTGTTGTTCTATCAATATAGAAACTTAATAGCTTATTAAATGAATCATCTAACGTAAGAAGAGGTCACCAAAAAAAAAAAAAAATCAGGTAAACATCAAGCAAACGCATCTGGACAAATCACTAGCCATTTTATCTCTTTCCCCTCAATAATAGTGTTGAGTCCGTGGGACAGCCATCCAATGATCAAGACAACTGTTGATAGAACATCAATTTTTTTTTTTGAACTTGAATCCATCAGACATTCCATTTGTTTGACATAATGTTAGTTTGAAATAACCTTCACATCAACATATATACATCCGAAATCTTTTATGTTTGAAGTTCTTTTTTTTTTTTTTTTTTTTTAGTTTTTAAATATACATACATGTATATATATACTCCTTTTTTATTACTTTATTTTTCAATCGTGAATTTCGATTGATATTTTTTTATCAATAAATAAAAGTTTCCTAAATAAAAACTTATTATATTGGCTACTCTCATGTCTCATCATCTAATTTTTGTCATTATTATCAAACATCAAGATTATTTTATTAACATCAAGACTTTATATTCAAGTTATTTACACTTTATTGATCATCATCAAGAGCGATCACATTTATTCAAGACATCTATTGCCCTTTCTGGATTATTTTTATTTTTTTTTTTATTTTTTCAATTATATCGTTTTTGTTCCTTTTTTTTTTTTAATAAAAAGAACTGGTGCTCACTACAAACAATCATCTTTGATATTATCATATTAATCTCCTTATCCATTTTTTCTATTTTTTTTTAATCATCACCTTGGTAACAAAAAAAAAAAAAGCCGTAACATTTCATTTGGAAGAAATCATCATTTGAAGCTGACTATGAAATAGTTTTTTTTTTATCAATTTTTTTAAGCTTTGACATATTTCTCAACATTGATTTTTTTCTCGTGTTTGACATTTTTCAAACACTGGATTTTTTTCCAGTGTTTGAGAAATATCCAACTTTATTTTTCTTTTTATTTTTTTTTTAGTATAAATAACCATCTTTTCTTAGTTTTTTTTTTTTTTTTTTTTTTTTTTTTTTTTTTTACATTGTCAATTTATATATTTTTTTTATTCAATAAAAAGGGGTTTTTTTTTTTTTTTTTTTTACCAAAATCATATTGACCACTCTTAAGGAACAAATCATCCTAATTTTTATCTTTATTTTTTTATCATCAAGCAATCATCAAGCATTTTATTCAAGATTATTTGGTTGATCATCATCATCAGTGATCAAATCATCAAGACAACTATTTCCTTTTTGATTTACATTTATTTTTTTTATTTTACTTTTGTTCTTTTTATATAAAAGAACTGGTGCTCACTACTCATCAAATATCATCGATATTATTATTTTAATAATATCATCCATCAATTATATAAATCAATCATCCACCCAATAACAAAAAAATCCTGAACACCGTAACATTTCAATTTTAAAAATCTACCCCAGTTGCCATAAAATCCGTATCACAACAGTAGCACAAACATGTTATTCCAGGAGATAGACTACTTGCATGACATTCGTCGATGATTGGATAACATTGTATCTCCGCATAAAAGGGGAAAATATCAAAAAAGAACGACTCCGATGGGACTCGAACCCACAACCCCCAGATCCGAAGTCTGATGCGATATCCATTTCGCTACGGAGCCTTTTTTGGATTTTGGACAGTGAAATGCTATATATTCCAGAAGCTTACGTAAGCCTCCAGTTCGCGCTTTGATTGGCTGAATGCCGCATGGCAGACGTTGTGATTGGTTGAAACAATGAATATCCAGTGAGACACCAATATATTAAGGGGAGTTCATGTACAATACAAAGACAAGAAAAGAATAAAATAATAATAATAATAATAATAGTAGTACTTGAGTAATGGCGTTTTGTTTTTTTTTTTATTAAAATACAGTAGTATTGTAAAAAATATAAAGAATAAAAATTGGTATGTATCAATAAAAAAAAAAGGGAATTCATCTAATACTGTACATTCCCACTAGCTAAAAAAAAAAAAAAAAAAAAATGTTGCAATGTCCAACCATGTCACTTTGCCATCATCATAGTCGATTTCTTTTGTAATCAAGTTGATCTACAAACCAAGAGAGTAAAAACGGTAATTGTTTTATTGAACGTCATTATGAATATAATCTACCAAAAGGAAAAAAAAAAAGCGAACATTAGTTAAATGTGGTTGTTTTGTTTGAATGAAAAAAAAAAAAGAACTTGAAGGTAGAATACAATGAGTAATCAACATACAGTAATTCATGATTCACTTTGTTCCAAAATAATAATAATAATAATAACCTGGAATTGGGCAAGTCTATGGGTAAATAAAAATAGGTCAGAAAAAAAATTATGTTGGTCATAAAATAAGTAGTCTTTACGTATACAGAAGACATTCATTCACAGAAAGAAATGTACTTTTTTCTTTTCATACTATTGTCTTACTATACATAGAAATTCATTGAATCATGTTGATATGACTTGTTCCATTTCAAAAGTTATGTTGACCGAAAGAATAGGAGATGACGTGAATATAATGATAATGATAGAACAAGAATGAGAGAAAACATAAATGGTATTTTTTTTATTTTCATTTTCTTACGATCATATTTATCAGAAGGATGTAAAAAAAAAAAAAAGATTATATTTGGAAAGAAAAGGAAAGAATTCAAAAAGTGAGGGAATCCTGTACTATCTTTTTCCATTCTCCGCTAACCAAAAAGATTTGTATAAACTCTTTTATAAAATGTTCCCTTACAGAAATAAAAACAAACAATGTATCTATACTACAAAACAAAATAAATTGAGTATTATATTAAATGATAAAGAAAAAAAATAATGATGATAGATGCTAAAAGATAATAATGTAAATAAAAAGGAGGGGGATCATGAGACGGGTGTGATATTGGAACAAGTCTTTTCAATTTCATCTACAAGGTTGGCAAATTTGGAATGATGTACAAACAAGAGTTTTCTAGAGGGAGCAATACCAAATTCAGAAAAAGCACGTTTAGAATCAGAAGCGGCTTCCTTTTCACTATTGGTAAATTTAAAGTCGAATTGATGAGAGGCATAACTTGCAATGATTTCATCTTCAGCTTGGAAATAAAAGGTTTCACTCATAGGAGTTCCACCACTTGATTTCTTTCCCTAACAAAAAAAAAAAATAAGAATCAACAATCCATTTTCATATAGGATGAAATGTTTTACCTTTTTCTTTTTGGAAGGTGGCTGTTTATTTTTAATAGATGTTTCATCATCATCATCTTCTTCTTCATCCACCGATGGAGAGACTTCCTTATAAACTTTGACAATAAACATGTACCATTCAAATGAATAAGGTTCATTCTATATATAATAAAGATTGAGTTCATTCATTCAGTTCAATTAAAAAATAGTCACTTACATTGTCCACAGCATTCTTCATTTCTTGTTGTAATAGGTTATACATGGGAGGCATGACTTCAACAGGCATATTGATAAATCGTTCAGATACAATCCAACCAACAGGTTTTTCCAATGAAAATATATTCATGATTGTTTTGTGTATAGTTTGATCCTTCTTTGGACATTTGTTGGACAGATATTGACATAATGATGAAACACCTTGATTTTCCTAAATAATATATTTATCAATTCGCTTGATTTCTTTTAATATTATCCTCTTTTATTACCTTTTGTTCTTTCAAATTAATCACACTTAAAATAGCATAAGGATCAGATTCTTGTCCATCTACCTTGATAGTTGTACCAACATGGTTTTCTTCAATGATAATATCAGCCAGATCACCTATTTGAATCAGTTCAGCATCCGAGGAAAACAATTGTGATAAAAGTCGTTTCAAGGCATGATAGTCAACTTCTTCTGGATTATAGAAATCAAAGTCCACGTCTACAATATCCTATTGATATATAAAAAAAAGTCGAGATGAATGGTTGATAATAATAGAATGCCTTAGAAACAAAAAAATAGATTATCTTTTTTATCTTTCTTTACCTGAACAGTACCATCCGAGTCTTCATCAGAAGAATCTTGTTGTTTTTTAGGATCTTGTTCTGGTGCCTTTCTTTTATTATTCATTTTGTTATGGAAAAGGAAAAAAAGAAAAACAAATTTTTTTTTTTTGATTTTTTTTTTTTTTGCATTACCAAAAAAAGGGTGAATAAACAGTCCAATGACGTCGAAAATTCTTAAGTCGCAAAAAAAAAGGATGATCTGGATTTGAAAAGACGGCTTTGTAGAACGTTTTCTCATTATTTCTTGTTTACGTGTTAACTTTTATTACATTTTATTTTATTGCCATCATGAGCGTCCGTCTTTTAAGTTCTGATAATGAACAATTCTCTGTCGAAAAACATGTTGCTGAACGCTCTGTTTTGATTAAGAATATGCTTGAAGGTGAAGAAAAACTACATCTTACATTTATTTACTTATCTTTTTTATTACTTTATTTTTTTCTATTTTTCTCTCTCTCTCTCAAAAAAAAACAATGCTTTGATATTAATTTATAATCCATTCTCTCTTTTTTTTTCGAATATGATATAGATGTTGGTGAAAGTGATGCTCCTATTCCTCTTCCAAATGTTACCGCCAAGGTTTTACGAAAAGTAAAAATAGAAAAAAAAAGGATGAATTTTTTTTTTTGTTTTTGTTTGGTTTATGACTAATGGTATAATATAGGTGATTGAATGGTGTGTTCATCATAGTGAAGATCCTGCACCTGCTGACGAAAATGAACGACGTACAACTGAAATTGATGAATGGGATCAAAAATATATGGAAGTGGACCAAGAAACTTTGTTTGATATTATTCTGGTAAGTAAACAGAGGAATCATTCTAGTGTTTTTAAAGGTGTTGTTACTGATATATTATCTTTCTTTTATCAGGCTGCCAACTATCTTGATATTAAACCTTTATTAGATGTAGGATGTAAGACTGTGGCCAATATGATCAAAGGAAAAACTGCGGAAGAAATTCGAAAGATCTTTAATATTGTGAATGACTTTACACCCGAAGAAGAAGCTCAAATCAGAAAGGAAAATGTAAGTATAATGAGAAATAGTACCGAAACTTATTTTTACTTAATTTATTCTTGTTCATTTATATAGGAATGGGCGGAAGATCGATAAATCTTTTATCTGATTTTTTTTTTTATGTTTACATCTTTTGTTATTACCCTTTTCTTCCACATTTTTTTTTCTTTTTTGGTAAAGTCGTATATAGTTATCCTTTCTTTCTTTTTTTTTTATTCTATTTTTATTTTTATATACAAGCAAGAAATAAAAAAAAGGGTACCCCACAAAAAAACGGAGTTCCAAAAGAAGGATATGATTGAAGCTTTTTTAGTTGATGTTTTCAGGTGTATGGGGGCATAAAAGGGTTTAGTGAATAGAACAAACGAAAAAAGAAGTAATCCCGTTTGGTTTTGATTGGTATACAACCCCCTTTTTTATGATGAACCTAAAGTAGAAAAAAGGGGGTGTTAAATAAAGATGCAAACTACTTTTGATAGGTTTTACCAAATGCGGTGCGATGGTGATGATACTTCAAAACGATATAAAGGATGCATGACAGGTTAAAGAGAATAAAACACGTTAAATCAATATAATCTACATACTTATACTTGAATAGTAATAATAAAAAAACAGTACTTCATATTAGGAGATATTTTAGATGATAGATGAATAACATTAGAAGTAATAAGGATGACATGTGGTAATTCTCCTCTCTCTTTTTTTTTTCAAATACATATATATATATATATATATATATATCTTATACTCCTCCTCCTCGATCTCCCTCACCCCCCCTTGTTTATCCTTTCAAAATAAAAAAAAAAGATTTTCCTTTTCTTCTTTTCTTTTTCTTTTTTTTGTTTATTTATTTGTTTTTTTATTTTATATACCCATATACCTTTTTCTAATGCCATGCTCTACTATAGAAAATCGACAAGTTTCTGTATTTGAAACCACTTTTCATGTCAATCATGAAATAGTGACAGTAAGCATCATTACAAAAGATAGTGTCAGTAAGATGGTTTGATCATAATACATGATTCTTTTTTATTATGTAGGTTTTTAATGTTGTTATTCAAACGCCAGCTTATACTGTATCTTTATTTCGATACCCAACCGATTTTATCGAATTTCATCAAAAGGTATTTCTTATTATTATAATTAAAAAAAAATAGCATCACTGACCTTTTTTTTTTTTTTTTTTAATAAGATACGGTTCCATTATCAACGGTCCAAAATTTCATTTCCTGAATTATTTCCCAATCAACAAAATGTCAGGTACCGACTCACGTCCAAGCCATCATCCACTCGACTAAAGATTTTGTGTCTAATTCAACAACATCGTTATAAACGAAACAAGAAATCCAATGCAGATAAAATGGAACAATATTTACAAAAATGTTTTCAACATCCCGTGATTTCCATTTCTTCTTTATTGAAGGACTTTTTAAGTGTACAACGTGAAGATGATAAATTAATCGAGGCGATCACCAATACAACTACCACTGCGGTTTCAACAAGAAGAAACTCCTCTTCCATTTATGGTAATCAGCCCACCGTTCCTCCTGTATGGTCTACTACTACTTCCACTGGTGTGAATAATGGTAGGATCATCATCTCCTCCTCTTCCTCCTCTAACTATGATCATACAGAAACTCCTGAAACCATGTCTCATCCTTCTGAGATTCATTCCTCCCATCGTCATCGTAAAGTCACTATTGATCAATTTGATTTACTGAAAGTCATTGGAAAAGGTTGTATGGGCAAGGTAAGAAGATCATGCGAAGCGGTTATTGAATTTGATACATGGAAGGGAGTAAACTAAAAAAAAAAAAAAATTCTTTCTTTTCTTTTTTCTTTTCTTTTTTTAATAATAAGGTCCTTCTTGTAAAATCAAATGTGGAAGATAAAATACCATCATCAAAACTCTATGCACTCAAGGTGATCAGCAAACAAAAAGTTATTCAACAAAATGAAATTCAACATACAAAAGCGGAACGGGATATTTTGACAAGATTACGCGACCAACCTTTTTTAATCAAATTACATTATGCTTTTCAATCCGATACACATCTTTACTTTGTTTTAGATTATATTTGTGGAGGAGATATTGCAACTCAAATGTCATTATGTTTGACATTTACAAAAGAACGAACTCAATTTTATGCAGCTGAAATCTTATTGGGTTTATCTATTTTACATAGTCATGGTATCATTTATAGGTAATAGGAGTTGGGAGTAGATAAAAACAATCAAAAGGGGAAGAAGAAAGAGGGGGTTTAGACAATGATAATATAAGGTTCCCCTTTATTATTATTATTAACTATGATTTTTTTTTTAATAGAGATCTTAAACCTGAAAATATTTTGATTGGCCGAGATGGACATATTGTATTAACTGACTTTGGCTTGTCTAAAGTCTTCACGATGCTGGACAAACGTGATATGGGTTTACCTATGACTGGTACTTTTTGTGGAACTGCAGAATATTTGGCTCCTGAAGTTTTATTGGGTGAACAATACTCTTATGCTGTAGATTATTGGAGTTTGGGTACTCTCATTTATGAAATGTTATCTGGCATGGTAAGTCATATCCTATATATATATATATATATAGATGAATGAAACTCATATTTTCATCTTATAGACACCTTTCTGGGCTGATACTCATATGGAAATGTTTAGACGTGTATTGGAAGATAATTTGGAATTCCCTATATCTGATGCTTTCGATGAAACCACATGCGACTTTTTATCAGGGGTAAAAAAAAAAAAAAAAAAAAAAAAAAAAAAAAAAAAAAGGAATGAATACATTTATATTCATGTGTTCATTTTTGTAGCTTCTTGAACGTGATCCTTATGATCGTTTAGGCTGGGATAGTTCTGAACAAATCAAAAAGCATGGATATTTTGGCAATTTAGATTGGGATGATGTTGCTCAACGAAAATTAATACCACCTTATATTCCTACCATTGAATCTGAAACTGATTTGACACATTTTGATGAATCCTTTGTTGCAATGACACCTCGTATTTCAGAAATACAACAACAACAACAACAGGAACAGGATATGGAAGATGAAGATCCTTTTCGATATTTTGCATTTGATCCACGATTTTCCATTGGTACATTTCCGGAACAACAAGAAGATGAATCACAATCATTGATTTCACCAACACAACAACAACAGAAATCTCTTAGACCACGACCTTCACATCAACGACTCAAACTTTGGACTGGTGGTGGAAGAGAAAGATTCTCAACATCATCTTCTTGTCTTTCTTTTGGAACAGGTGATATCATACGACATACTGATACAATGCCATCCATCTTGACTGGGGCCAAAAATACACCTTCTCTCGCCACAAGTGTTAGGAAACGTCATAGTGCTGCCTTATCTTTTGATTGTTTAGATTCCCCTATACACCCCACTACACCTACCACCACCACTACTACTACGACCACTACTTGATTTTTTTTTTTATCTCATCTTATTTATTGTCATCTCTAGTTTATATCCCTCACATCACCTTTAAAATTAGATTAGATGTTTTTTTTTTTTTTTTTTAATGATAACAATAAAGCTCCATAGGTCTCCTTCTTTTTGGAGGGCAAAAGGTACATAGTTATTAACGATACTGTGGATGGCAGATTGGAGGATAGAGTGGATGATAATGTGAATGATAACGTGGATGATAGTGTGAATGGTAATGCAGATGATAATGTGGATGATAATATGAATGGTAATGCAGATGGTAATGCGGATAGTAATGTGGATAGTAGCGCCCCTGATAATGCTGATGAGAATGGGGATGATCGTATTTGAGTGTATAGTATTGCATTTTTCTTTAAAGGATAAATTTGAGAAATGATTTGATTTTTATTTGTGTGTGTGTACATGACTATGTGGGGGAAATGAAAATGTATATAAAATGATAAAGAGAATCAAAATGAATAAAGATACATCTATATTAAAGGAAAAAAAAAAAGAAATGGGATCATTGAGCATCATTGGCTCGTTGTAACCAAGATTTAAATTTAGCATCGTTTTGTTGTTGTGAGAGAGATGGTGGATACCGAGATGCTGCAGGTAAAGGATTTTCTTCTATAAATAATATTCAAAATAAAAATGAATCACCATTCCCAAATCATATAGATTTTTTTTTTTTGTAAAAGCCATATCTTACCTTCACTATCATCATCATCTTCTTCTTCGTCTTCATCTTCATCTTCTTCATCTTCTTCCCAAGTTTCATCCTCTAAATTACCTATATAAACCGATTCAGTCACTCATTCCTTTTTTTTTTCTCTACATTCACTTACGTTCACCTTTTTCAAGAGAGACTTCAGTGCCTTTTGATACTTGTACATCTTTCATCAATCGATTCAATTGATCTTGTCGTTCCTTTTCTTCCTTTTCCATCTATATTATTTCGTCAATATTATTATTATTATTATTATTATTATTATTATTATTTTTATTGTTACCTTTAAGCGAATCATGCGTTCAATTTCAGGTTTATATTCCCTATTATTATCAAATCAAATTAGAAAAAAAAATTCCTGTCCATTCACCTGTATCTTTCACTTACTTTTCATATTCATCGGCAGCTTCATCTACAGCCTTGAAGAATTCATCAATACCTTGACCAGTGACAGCTGACACACCAACAACTTTAAGATGTTGATAGAATTCATCCAACACCAAACTCATCGAGTTCATCAAGCTACTCATATAAGAAGTATCACGACGAAGCGCTTCTTGGAACTTTTCAAAATCAGTCATCCATTCCACAGCAAAATCATGGGATACCACATCCGTCTTGTTAAACACGAGAATAAAAGGAAGTTTGGTTTTATACAAGATACTACAGGCATAAAGCATATTGCTCATAAAAGTGGCAGGGGAAGTTGTGCGTGGTGTATCAATAATATAAGCAATCATAGTGGGATAAGTAGCAGCCAATGTATCAGTAATAATGGCTCCAGACGCAGACCAAGTAAAGATTTCAATTTGTCCAGGTGTATCAACAAGAATATGACTAAATAATATTAATAAGAAAAAAAGTTCGACATTATTATAATTATTATTATTACCTAACACTGTCAGAACGCTTAGCTACAAAGTTTAACACTTGATCAAATTTGGTAGTGAATAGATTCAAACTAGTCAAGATTCCTCCATTAGGACCCAAGTTGTATCTAAATAAAAAAAATAAATAAATAAAATAAAAAAAAAAGAAAGTATAAAGATAGGAATGATAATAATACTTACTGTTTCATGACTTCTTTATAATTAACAGTATCTCTAATATCAATATTGGCGGTAAAAGGTAAAGTACCTACAGCAGGATCCAAGTTGAGTACATAAGGAGGTGTCTTTTGACTATGAAGGTGAGCATTAATACGCTAGAATAATAATAATAATAATAAAAAAAGGATTAGTTATGAACGAAAAAAGATATCTATTTTATTTTACCTGCATAAAAGTAGTTTTTCCTGAACCAGCCATACCAATACAAAGAATGACAGGAGGTTGTTTTTTATTGGATGTCGATGAATCAGCCATATTATACAAAGTTAATTAATATAGATTTTGAAAAAGAAAGAAATATGTAGGAAAAAAAAAAAAAAAAAAAAAAAAAAAAGAGGAAAAATAATTGGAAGTCCGAACAAACTCTCTCAGTAAAGAAAAGGAACTGTTTGAAAAAGTCACGACATTTGGTAATAATAATAATAATAATAATAATTAAAAGGGTCTATACAAAAATAGAATGTTAATAATAATAATCAAGTTGATAATAATAAGATCGACAATGCCTTTTTTATATATTTTTTTTTTTTACTCCTATTTATCAAAAAGAAGATCATGATTTTTTTTTTAAGTTATATTATTTTTTTATTGTGAGCATATGAGCACAAAACTGCAAGGCCACGCTTTGGAACGGAAAATAACCATTCATCATCTGGGTATGAAATCCTTTAATCATAAAAAAAAAAGAATGCTCAAAAAAAAGGGCACGCTTCTTTGACTCCCCCTTTTTTTTTTCGTTGTTGTTTACTTTTGTTCTCCTTTTGTTCTCTCCTTCCTTTCTTTCTATCATCACTCATTCATTATATATTTATATATCTTCATACTTTTACTTCTCCTTGAATTTGTTAGAAAAAAAAATTAAGGTGAAAACGTTCTCTCCTTCCCTCTCTTTCTCTCTCTCTTTTTCTCCGTTTTCCATCTTTTTTTTTTATACTTTTCTTCCCTCTCTTTACTTTTACTCTTTCTTTCTTTCTTTCTTGTTACAATTCTTGTCTATTTTGGATGGCTTTGAAGGTAAGTTCCTTTTCTCCTTCCCCTCTTTCTTTTTTTTTAATGACTTCCCTTCTTACTCATATTATATACGTGTATATATATGTATGTACATGTGTGTATATATGTGTATGTGGCGTATATGTACAATCCCAAAATACTCATTATTATTATTATTTTTCTCTCTATTTATAGCTTGAACTTGAACAATGGCAAAATGCTTGTTCAGCGTTTGATAGTAAAGATTATGACTCAGCCTTGAAAACCTTTATTGTAAGTTTTTTTTTTTTTTTTTTTTTTTTTTTTTTTTGAATAGAAAGAATAACTTATGATTTTTAAATTAGAATATGGCGGATAATGCGAAAATGCATTTTAATATTGGATTGATCTTTGCAGCAGTGGAAGATCATGAGCGTGCGGTAAGAATAATAAAAATAATAAAAGAATAAAGTACGACGTAGTACATGATATTATTTGTTACTGACTGTATTACATTTAATAGTTGGCTGCTTACTCTAGATCAATTACTATGGATCCTTATTTTGCTGTAGCTTATTTTCAAAAAGGTGTATCTCAATTTTGTTTGGGAAATATGCAAGAAGCCATGCAAGAATTCGATAATGCTCATGTGGTAAAAGATTCATATATTATATTATATAAAATATTTAACCCTTTTTTATATATAGAAATTACGTGGTAATCAAATTATCAATTATCAACAACTTGGTCTAGCATTTCGACTCTATGCATGCGAAGTATTATTCAATCGAGGCATCTGTCGACTTTATTTGGGGAAAATTGATGCTGGACTGACAGATTTATATCATGCTCAAAAATCCAAGATGACCGAAGAACACGACGTGATCGATCAAGCTGTACGTGAACGAGGTAAAGGTTATTCAGTCTTTTCTATTCCAGTCGGTGTATTATATCGTCCTCCTGAAAGTAGATTACGACAAATGCGTGGTAATGTGGATATGTTCGATGTGGTAGATAAACTTGGATTAAATAAATTTCAGAAACCAATCATGGCTGGTCAACCTACTCCTTCTTCTGGTATTAGTCGAAACAATTCTGTCTTATTATCAAGTACAAAATATCAAAGAAAACAATCCCTTGGTTTTTCATCTCTTGGAAAATCCATCCCTATGCGTCATACTACTTCACAACAACATCCAACATCTTCCAGTTCAAATACTCCTCCTATGTTAGATCCAATTCCTGTGGCATCTGTGTCATCTCATTATCCAAGAAATCATCATCATCAAAACAATAGTAACAACAATATACCATTATTATCATCCTCATCCTCATCCTCATCCGTCTCTCAACAACAATATCGTCAACAATATCATCCTACAGAACGTCCAAGAAAGGATTCTAATCCAGGTCCTTATATGCAATCATATTCATCACAAGAAGATTGGCCTGATACCTCCTCACAACCTTCATCTTCCACCTCATCCTTCACATCAAGTTTACGTTATCGTGCCGATGGTCGTCGTGTGGATAGTGGATTTGAATCATCTCATGAAGATCGATTTTCATTCTCATCAAGAAACTCTGCCAAAAGTCACAAGACCAATCGTTATTCACCACCACCTGTACCACCCATTCCAAAATCATCTTCATCCACTACTACTCATACGAATAGTAACAGTCACGTCTATGATGAAGTATTTGATCCCATGTCTTACACTCAATTTGATTCCAACGACTTGACCAATGAATTTCAACATATGACAGTAGAAGATGAACGAGATCGGATTCGTGGACGACTCAATGGAATGACAGATGAAGAAGGAGAAAGACGTGGTAGTGAACAAAGTGGAAAAAGTATATCAGTACGACCTACACCATCCACATCGACTCATTCTCGCAATGATAATCAAGGTAGCAAAATCAAAATCAAGGTCCATCATATCGATACACGTGTTTTATTAGTCTCTTCCACTATCACCTTTGACGATTTAATTGCAAGAGTACGCGACAAATTGAATGCTCCTGCTCATACTCGACTTCAATACAAGGATGAAGACAATGAAATGGTGTTGATGATTGATGATGATGATTTACAAATGGCTCGACAAATCCACAAAGTGCGGAATAACAATGATCTTGGCGTGGAAAAAATGGAAATTTGGTGTATCACTTGATTTTTTTTTATTTTTATATATTTTTTTTTTTATTTTAGCATTTATTTCTACTCATCGTGTTGTATTTTATTTTAATGTATTTATCCCCCCCCTCCCTTTTTGTTTACGAAAACTTGTACTCCTCTCCTTTTTCACTGGTTGTACCATTTTATTCTATTCTTCTTTTGAACGCATCAATAAAAACATATTTCTAAATACAATCTTTTGACAAAGTCTAAAAAAAGTAAAAATAAATGACAAATCCTGTCTAAAAATATATTATCTTGTCATCGGATAAAAAAAAAAAGCCATTTGATCAAAACAAACAATACTAGTGATTTATAAATGAACCTTTTTTAGGTCAAAAAGTGTATCTCTTCACTAAAAACAACACCTTATTCTAAAAAGAAAAAAAAAAAGGATAATGCTGACTATTTTGAAACATATGTGTCAAAGCCCACTATTGGGATCATTTGGCTAAAAAAAAAAAAAAAAAAAAGGAATGGAATTCGTCTACTTTATAAAAGAACCAATTTTTTTTTCATTCATTTCATTTCTTTATTAGAAAAAACAAAAAAAAGATGGTATCCTCTAGTTTGATCTTGATTCTTTGCGTTTTCTTATTTCAAGTGTATGGTTTTCCTGTTCGCCGTAGTGCCTCCATCCATTTACAATCATCTACTGATTTCTGTTTCTTTTTGCCTCCTCATCCTGGAGACGATGTGGGTGCTACTGAAGATCAAGGCATTCCTTTTTGTTCCAATACAACCACCAATGCTTTCCCTCAAGGTCTGATTGTGTCTTCTCATTTCGAAAGTCAAGATGCTTATGTTCAAGTCACTGGTCGACTCAATCCAGATGCCTATCAACTCAGTCATACTGATGGAGGTGGTCAATATGATAACAGTAAGTTCATCTCTAAAAAAAAAAAATTCATCATTCATCCTTTTTATATGTAGAGGATATCAGTGATGTGACATGTAATGGATATGATTATTTTGTCAACATGTTGGAACCTGATAATGGTCAATATTGTATTCGATGTTGTGAATCACAATCTGATTGTAATTTGGGAGAAAGTAAGACATACAAAAAAAAAAAAAAAAGGTTGCATGTTTGATATTAACTTTTTTTTTTTTCCTTTAGGTACAAAAGGATGTGAAGCCATTGTACCTGGTGATTATAGTTAAATCAAGAAGAAAAGAAAAAAATAGAAGATCATCTACCCTAGTCTTTGAATCATACATTTCCTTTCTTTATTATTATTATTATTGCTTTTTTCTTTTTTGTATATTAATTTCTGTCATCTATATTTTCTGCTTTGCCATTTTTGGTCGGCGACTTGCCAAATAAAGTATTCACACTAAAAAAAAAAAAAAGGGTCCAACCCCTCGTGTCATCATCTGACCATCATCCAAAAAAACAATAATAATAACATATTGTAATAATACATCCACTACTTTATTATGACTAAACTAAAAAAAAAAAAAAAACGACGGGGGGGGTATCTATGAACCAGTTTGAATGCGTCGTCGTTGTTTTTCCACTGCTTGTGAGACTTGACCAATATCTTTTTCAGCACGTCGTACCATTTTCGCCAAAGCCAATAAATCTTGATCCAAAACAGAATCATCCAACACACCAGAAGAAGCTGTGGTTGTTCTATCCCATCCATCCAATGTTTGGAGCCATGACCAAAGTTCATCACGATACGTTTGTTCCACAGAAGTATCCATTTCATTAGAAGGTTGAGTTAATCGATTCAAACGTGATTCTACATCGACCATTTTCTGTACAAGCAAAAGGTTGACACAGATCATGATCACCATACATACAACCATCCAATGGTTAAGGGTCAACATCAGGTTGGTTCTGCATATCGTCCAGCCATATCGTATGATTTCTATCACTTGTGTTAATCCATGAAAGAATACCTTGGATTTCTTCTTGCCCATTTCTTCCTGTTTGTCTTGTTCTTTCTTCTTGTGTCGTCTTGCCTTCTTTCTTTTGCGTCCTTGATAATGTTTTCTGTCCAATGCAAATTCAGCTGGATGTGCTTTCATGTACTGTTTGATGGCAGTATCCAGTTGTTTATAAAACGATATTTGACCATCAACTGATGCTTTGTCAATAGTAGCTATATATATATATATATATAAAGAATGTTAAAGAAAATAAAATGATGATATATTGTTTCTCTTACATTTTAACCATGATGATTTTGTAAAGTCAACCAAGACTGTCACCAACATACGTATTCGACCATAGCCAGCCCAGGTCATACAAGTTTTGGTTTTCACAGAAAAAGAATTACCAGATGGTACATCAGGTGTTTGCGTTGTGGTCAACACCGTCACACTTTCCTTGAGATTTGAATAAATTACTTCTTCGGTCTGAAGACATTGAGTTTGTTTTGGTCCTATTCAACATATATATATATATAAAGTGATGTTTAAAATCCTGTATCTTCATTTCTTGTCATATCTTTTTTTTTTATTACCTATGGATCCATTCAGTGGTTTGATATAAGATGTTTTTCGAATTTGTTGTTCAGTATCTTCTGACTTTATCCATTCACCAATATTCAGATCTAGTCATCATCAAAATAATAGTAATGAGTTTCTAATAAAAGATAATATATATATATATATATATATATATATTTACCTATTGATTTCATGTCTTCTATCAAAAACCGTTTCATGAATCCACTATTGTACATCAAGTTATTCATTGTTTCCAAACTACAATTGTAAGTTTCATCCATCACCGTATTTGGATAATGACCTCCGTTTTCACCACATGTACAATCTGTCCTTTCATGAGCTTGAGAGGGTTGTTGTGTTGGTACTTGTTGTCCTTGTTTTCCAGATATCTTTGGCGTTTGAGTAAAATCCATCGTGATTTGGCTTCTATTATTTCTACTACCATTGATTTTGGCACCTTCAGATAAAGCACGTCTTCGTAAAGAATCTTGTTTGATTTGCTTTTTGATAGCTGAAACAGGAGGAATGGATACTAAAAAAAAAAAATGGTCATAAAATTTTTTTTTGTTTTATTTTAAAAAATTTACCTTTGTCTTTCTTTTCTTCTTCCTCTTCTTCCGTTTCAGTGCCAGAATAAGTGTAATCAGAATCCATATCAGAACTTTCATTGTAATCGCCTTGTATTCCATCTTCTTGGTCCAATTGGCTATTCTGTATGTCGTCTGTACTTCCATTCGAAGATCTATATGACAATGGTCGAGAATATCGCCAGACATCCACAATCAAATCATAAGCTTGGTCTCTTGAAAGAAACGAAGCGAAAAAGTGCTATTTAAGAACATAAAAATTGAGCATTTATAAAACTTTTATATATTTTTCATGATTTACCTTGGATTGAAGAGTGGATACTTGAATCGCATTGGGAATGAAAATGGCTGTTGATCTTTTTTCAATTTCTACAATATCAGCAAAGGCAATCACCAACTATATATAAAAATAGATAATAATATATAAGATTATCTTATTTTGATAAATGAACAAACTTACATTTGTTACCCATCCAAAAATATTGGCATTGAAGCATAAATGGTTTTCTGAGATATAAAGTCGACCTTGTACCAAGATTTCCTTTTGTAAAGCACAACCATAATCTAATAAAATAAAAAATCATCCATTAAAAATTTTATCTTTTTATATATATTAAGATTTACCTTCCACCAAAGCATCATCTTCGGGAACACTACGGAATAAAGCATGGAATTCTTGATTTCGTTTTTCACTGATTGATTCTACACGAACAGCAGTTGCAATACTACCAGGAGCCATCATAGAGACTTCACCTTCAGAACCTGATCCTTCAGTACCATCGGAGCGACGATGAAGAACGGGTAATTGCGGCGAGGCCGAGGAGCTTCTTCTTCTTCTTACTGGCGTACTATGATTGCTTGAACCTTCCATTTGTTCATTGACTGGAGTGGATGGTCTTGATACTGACTTGACAGATGCATTGGTAGTGGATGTGCTAGAAGACCGGGACCGTGTTTTCATTCGTGGGAGAGGAAGTCGAAGAATGCGTTTGTTATCTTGTTCTGGTGCTGCCACTGGCGTTGGTAAGGATTGAAAAGAGGATGACTTGATAGGTTCTCCTTTCACTTGATCATTGTTGTTATCAGATCTTGAAGGAAAATGGTCTAAACGTAAGGACCCCCAAGAAGCATCTTGATGAGTTTCTTGTAATGGTGTTGGTGCTGAAACATCGATTTGAGGTGGTGGAACACCAGGTGATCCTTCTGAATTTCGACGGGGTATATTTGGACGTGTTGTTGTATTAATAGCTGGAGGTCGATCATTAGATATGGTATTTGAATGAAGTCGTTTATGTCGAGACATTTGGGGTATGTCTTGTACAAAAAAGGAAAAATAAAAAAAAAAAAAAAGAAAAATGAAAGAAAGGAAAAAAAAAAAGACTCTTTCCAGCGAAATGCCGAAATTAAAAAAAAAAAAAAGATTAGTTTCACCACGAGTTTAACTAGGGTATTGAGTAAGAAAAAAAAAAGGGAAAAAATAAAAAAAAAAAAAGTGATGATTCTCTTTATTAACAAATATTAAACTATTCTATATAAATTATATTACAATTTCATTAATCACCTTGACAAGAAGATCATATGGAGCAGTGGTAAATAAAGTAGATGGATATATACTACTATTCCAAGTGGGGTGTAACAAAATATGACAACAACCAACATTTTGAATATCATATTTTGTCAGTGTTTGTGTTCCCTGAACGTCAGGATAAGGTGTAGGTCCAGCTTCACTATAAATCTAATCACTAGTGATTAATTTCTTTCTTTTTTTTTTTTTTTTTTTTTTTTTTTTTTTTTGGTTTCATTCTTATGTCTTACCGGAAATCCAGATGCAGGATCCATAATATCAGCCCATATGCCTATCCTTCGAAGTCTATCTACTACACTTTTTCCCCAACTGACAAACTGAAAAAAGAAAAAAAAAATTAGTTTCCTTTTTAATTTCGATCAAAAAAGACTTACTATTTCTAATTTTTCATTCCGTTCATGATTAACCGTTTGAGTAATACCAACCATATCATGTTCACAACGTTGAATCACTGGAACCACCAAGATTTCTTTCAGTTGTTTGTTGGTCAAACTAGGAAAAACCACAGCTAATTCTCTTCCAAAACGAGTTCCTGGTGAATGAATAGAATATTCAAATTCGGAGTCTTTATATATAAAACGAGTTGCCTGTACTCTACATGTAGGTGAAGAATGGTTTGAATTTGGTTTATAACTAATAGTTTCTTTTTTGACGGGTATCGTATCAGTGCTTGCCGACATTGAGAGAAATAAAAAGACAAAGATTAAATCTGTCTCTGTCTTTGTCTGTCTTATCCATATTTCAAATACCGTCGAAAATCGCCAAAGCGTGGAATACCTGGACAGTCACCCTTTTTTTTTCCTTTTTTTTTTTTTTTTTAATTTTTAAACCTTTTCCCTTCTTAAAGCATATTTCTTTCACGTCTTTCTCTTTTTTTTTTTTTCTTTTACATTTTTATCTGCCTCAACAATAGTCATGACTGCGGTGGATACTAAACCTACTTGGTCACATGGGGCAAGAAATCTTCACGACTTTATATGTAAAACACGATTATCATCGTCAGAAAATGATGCCGATCTTTTATTACAACTACTCGAAGACAACAAACAACGGTTTCGTACCTTACTTGACGATGCTCCCAAGAATACAGAACATAGACGAGCCCTTCAAGCAGGTAAAATAAAATTACTTGAAATAAACACGATGTATTTTTTTTTTTTTATAAACAACGTACTCATTCTTTTTATTTTATAGGCAATGCTTATATAGATCGCGCTTTATATAAACCCAACGAAGAATTCATTAAAGAAACATTACTTCTTTCGGATGAACTAGATATCAATGAACACGTTGCAGCAACTTTACTTTACCATGGTCAAGCAGAATCGAATCGTGTTAATTCTGAACGTATATACGCATGTATTGAACTTTATCACACTGAACGGGGTTATCTATTGGCATGTTTGGAAATCATTCTTAAATCTATCAGTGATGCATCTCTTGACGATCAAATCAAAGAAAGGTTACTACAATTCATAGACGATATTATGACTGATGATGCTATTCCTTTTGGTGAAAATGGTCCTACCGGTACTTTTCCTTCCAAATTACTACAAACTGCAAAAAAACTCAACACCATGATCAAGTCTCTCAACAAAAATGACTCTCTTGGTGCAAGTGCAACAACAACAACAACAACAACTTCAACTACTATTGGATCTCAACAACTACAAACTATGCCAACTTCATCACAATTAGATATCAAAATTACAGCCATGCGGATCGACAAACTGAAAGATGAACGAATTTACCTCATGCAAATCTTATACCACTTGGCATTACTCTTTTGGCTTAAAGGGGATGATTTATTAACAATTTTGGGATATGTGGAAAAATCAAACTTATCGACATTGACAACACCTTATTTATCTATGATTTTGATGGCAGCACTCTCTCCGACAATCGACATACACAAGAATGGCAAGGATATGGCACTCGACACTGATCTTGTACAGAAATGTCACGATAAGATACAACAAAAAGAACAATGGAAAGTGCCGGCATTACGATCTATGATTACTTTACAATGGGTATCCTTCTTGATGACTGCTTTACAACGAAATCCTGACTTGGAATCAAAACTAGCCATCAACGAGCTCAAGTGTAAAGAACTAGCTTCAGATAGTATGTCCTCTTCTAGGGTGTTTGGGTTTATGAATGATTATTTATTACGATTCCAACAACAAGATGGTCAAAGCGTAGAAGAACAGGACAAAAAGAATTATGTGACAGAAGACAATGCTATGGTGCTGGATGGATTGACGGTGGATCCTGGAGACTATACAAAGTTTCATGCTGATATCAAACCTGATTTTCAAGAAGTGGTGGTATATGAAATCAAGGAATTGACAACTTTTATTATCAAACATCTGACGGATGTTCTGCGTGATCTCAACTATCAACAAGAAGACAAAGTTTATCAGATGGGTACTGTGGTGACCAAGGGTGCAGCCATTGTTGGACCGGAGGATGAACTCTATAACAAGCAAGATCCTGAATTATTTTTCACACTTTTGGCTAGTATCTATCGTCATGGGAAAATCAATCAAGGTCTTTGGTTCTGGATTCAAAATGATTCGATGGAAAACAGCTTTGTTAAATGGGTGATTGACAATATCAAGTTGGTGGGAACCATGCGTGCGTGTTTCGAATTCTTTGGTGCTATTTCTTGTGGTGATCTCTGTGCTCCTCATGCTTTCCGTTTCTTTGAATTAGGTACTGTCCGTACACCAAGCATTGCAAATAGTCAATTATTTTCGTGGGGAAAGTTATTTGCTGCTATTCATTTTTATGTTCCTCTCCTTCGTCAAGCAACTGAAGCTTGCCCGGCTGAATTTCCTCCTGGAGAAGAAGATCTGCTCAAGACATTTTTGTATTTATTGAAGCAAGTGGTACAATACTCTGGGGAAGCACGTGTAGCGTTATGGAATGATCCTGTCTATCGTGTACGTGATTCATTGACGGAATTGGCAAACAGTAGTATCTCTGCTTCTCTTCGTGCTTCTCTTTGTGACGTGATGGCTGCATTCTGTTCTCCATGGGGTGGTGGGATCAATGATGTTGGACGAAATATTTCTCTTCAAATCTGGCATATCATTGAACATGGCAATGTATTTATTATCAAACAACAAAAACAAAAACAACAACAACAACAACAATCTTCAATGAATCAATTATCTGGTTTTTTGAAGGAACTGTCATTAGAAAGAGAAGCTAGATCATACACTGAAACTTTATCAGCACTCAATCTTTTGGTCAATCTGATTCATACTCAAAGCAAACGGGATGAATTACAAAGTGGTTTCTCTCCTTTGGTATCTTCTATTCCAATGGATCTTGGCAAAGAAACAAGGTTTCCTGGTGCGCAACCCTATATCTCGACAGTGATTGATGATGTCCTATTGGTGTTAGATGATCAACGCTACAAGGTACCAAATGAGAAATGGGCATTGACTGAAATGTGTTTGAAGATCTTGGAAAATAGTGTGTTTTCATTTGATTTATCGCAACTATTGGAATCACATGTCGCTTGGCAACAATCACCTACTTACAAGTCAGAAGTGGATCGCGTGCTTTGTTATTACATTACTCATCCTGGATTTGAAGTGATTATGAGGATCTTATCTGGTGCTACACTGATTGGGGAACTTTTCAAGATCATTGAAAGAGGAAGAAAGGCCATCATCAACAGCAGAACGCCGTCCAAGTCCATTCCTAGTAGTTTGGTACGTTGTCTACGTATTCTTTTCCGTGTGATGCAATTACAAGATGCTTTTGGAAACTTGCTTGTACCTGACGTGCTTCGATCATCCACTCGCTTACCTTCTGGAAACTACAAATTAGATGATCTTACTTTTGCACCGTGGCCGTCTCTTGCACCTGTTGGAAACCATATGCTTTGTAGCAAGTCGGTGATTGTCCAATTGGCTGAACTGGTTGATTTTGGGGATTATGAAGAAATTTGTTACCTCAGCAGCAAAATCTTACATGGATTATCAATGGAACCGTCTACAAGTCGTGAACAATATGATGTCTCGCGTGTGGCTGGTATATCACATGTATATGGAGGATTGGGATCACAACTGGCGGAACTGTTAGCAATGAGTGACCATTCATACGATATTATCCGTGGCATCAGTGAACGCTTTGGTATTGAACAACCTGAACGAACAACATATGATGATTACGACTTTGATATCAACAATATTCCTTTTTGGATGGCGACCCAGATCTTGAACAATAAATACCGGTACGAAAACGACTTTGATCAACAATTCATGACATCTTCAGTGCGTGTGGCCATTTTGGATATGCTATTGGATAATGCCCCAAACGACAAACCATCACCCAACTTGACAGAATTTCTTCTTGGTATAGAAGCTTTGACACCAACACGAACATCACTTCTGGAAAACAACGATCGTCATCATACACAAGCTCGAGGTGCCAAATTGATTTGTCTTCATGCCATTCTAGATATGCTTCGAGCCAATTTGAATGTCTCTTCTTTAGAACAAGTGGAATACCAAGATCAATCTTTCCTTCCTCTGACGGCGACCCATCCTGTCTTGGCTGAAAAATGTTACCAACTGATCTATCGACTTTGTGCTAGAAAATCAACATCTTTCAAACTGATGCAGTATCTACGACTTCGGGACGATTATTTTTATAACCAACTGGAGGCTATGCTATCAACACTCTCAGTCTACACTTTGGGCAACAATCATCAAAATACATTCACGACCCCTGGTGCCATGGTGTTCACGGATGGATCCAAAGTGACTTGCGATATGATTCATTTACGATCAGAATTACATCAACGAGCCTGGCGACTCAAGACGATTGCTATAGAACTTCATGTTTTATTCGATACAAAGTCCAAAACCGATGCAACACGATTGTTGAATCTATTATATGGTGATGATGATAATAATACAACGACGGACCAACAAAGACTTGCTTCTGTAGAAGAACCATTCACTAGTTTCATGGATTTACCTACTACACTTGATTTTACTTGGGAGGATGATCTTATCAAGAAGAATACCCTGGCGCTTCATTACTTTGATAGGTTTGATGCCAAATTGTTCCAAACAACATCGGTGACGGGATGCAAGGTCAATGACATTCGATCCATTTATGGGTATCTTCGACGACAACAACGCAACCTACAACAAGCAGGGACATTGATGATGGATACTGACAACTGGGCAGCTGAAAAGGAAATGGGTGATCTGTTACGGCATGTGATGGCGGACAATCATGCACGAGAAATCCAACATGGACAACATCATTGTTTCGACGCCTGGCTTCAAGTGATCCAAATCACCGTCATCGACAATTTCGACTTTTTACCACCAACAAAACGTGAACGTATCCTTGGTGTATTGATGATCAAACTTGTCTCTCTATTGACGAAATACAAACAGGATGAGAAGCTGTTGATGGGTGTGGCTCATACATTATTACTGTTCATGCAACGACTACATCATGAAGATCATCCAGCGACATTGATCCATCAACAACTCTATGGTGTCTTTGAAAACTTGGTTCGTCTCATGCCCTCCATGCCAAAACAAGTCCGGCCAATCCTCTATGCCGCCATGGTTCATCTTGTTCAAACCTTACGTGGTTCCACTTTACGATTGGATATGCTGCAACAATTGGCCAAGCTGCGTGCTGATACCCTTCCACAATGAATCTGATTTAGATAGATAAACAGATTTAAATAAAACAAGTTTTTTTTTTTTTTTTTTTTTTTATTATTGTTATTGTTTCTATCAAAAAAAAAAAGTGTATTTCATTTCATAATCATTTTATTATTATTTTGATAAAAAAAAAAAAGGGGAATATTATACAAAAGATGAGAATGTCATAAATGTTGAATATATAAATAAATAAGAACTATTTGTTGACACGACCAGAAAACAATGTAAAGGGACGTTTTTGTTGACAAGTTTTTCCAGAAAGTGATGGGGTAACAAAAGAGGAATCAATACTTTTCCGTTGTTGTTGTTGTTGTGTATAAATACCGGAATCTGTTCGCCAAACTTGAATACATCCATGTACATCTGAGGTTACAATGATCTGACTATCAGGATAATCATACTTTTCACTTGTTTTGTAAATAAATTTTGTATTATCATCATCATCATCATCTTCATCAACATCATCATTATTATTGAGACATGGTGGATCATCTGGTATAGGTGTATGATTGAGGATAATATCATGTCCAGTCAATGCTAATTGTTGTCTTGTTCTATGTGAAGCAAAGATGGCATTGGTGATTGTGCTTTTATGTGCTTCAAAGAATTCATGATGATGTTGTAGTTTTTCCTTGGCTCGTTGTTCTCCACGTTTCAACCATGATCCAAGACCTTGTTCCGTTGTTGATGGTTGACCTCCGCTCGTATCACTACCACCACCGCCATAAACTGATCCATTTGATCCATGATGATTGGTGATCATATCCCTTGAAAATCGACTTGATGAAAATCCAGGATGTCCAGTCGGCCATAGATATACACTACAATCCTCAGATCCACAGATAATATATCGTCCATCATCACTACAAAAAAAAAAAAAAAAATCTGAATTAAAAAAAAAGAAAAGAACTATATTTTTTTTTTTTTTTTTATTTTTTGGCTGAAATTACCTGAATGTAGCCATAATTTGCATGGTAGAATTATCCAAACCTTTATACTTGTAAATCAAACTCTTGTCTTTCATATTGATCATTCGAATCCGAGAATCATTACTAGTGATCAAAAGCTTTTCATCCCCTGGTGGCATATTCGGCATGGCTTCTATCCCAGTGATTTTCTTGCCCTTCTTTGCTCCACGTTTCTTGACATTGATTTGAGTATTGTATTTGAGACCTTGTGTTTCATAAAAATAGACTTGTCCAGTATATGATCCTACACAAGCTGTTCTTCCATCCAAAGTAAATCCAACCGCTGTAATAAGATTTTCATTTGGTACTTCATTCCAAAATGCCACTTTTTTATCGGTAATACTCCATAGACGAACTTTACTATCTAATGATCCAGATAAAAAGAATCGATCATCCTTTATTAAAAAAAGAAAAATATGATGATGAATATATAAACTTGAGATTTGATTTTTTTTTATTTACCTTTGGGTGGAATTTGATTCCAGTAACAAAATCCAAATGAACAAAGACACAAAGACATTCTGATTTGGTGACATGCCATAATCTAAAAAAAAAAAAAAGCAAAATCATTTCATTATTCTTCTGTATCAAAGAAAATGTTCTTTGTTTTTTCTTCTTTAATACCTAACAGTTTTATCCATAGAACTTGAAAGTAAAAAGTTATTCTAAAAAAAGAGGATTTAAAAAAAAAGGTTTCAATCTCCGAGTGGGGTTTATGCAATTTACCTTTGACCAACTAATATCCAAAATATCTGCTTTATGACCATGATATTCTTGAATGGGAGTTTCATTAAAGACTTTGATTGTATCTAATTGTTCACCATCATCATGATTGAGTTTTTCTGATAAAATTTCCCATACACGAAGAACACAATTTTGTCCACCTGCTGCTAAATATTTCCCATCTTTGCTGAATTTCATGGCCCAAATAGCTTGATGAGGTCGATTAGGATGTGCATGATTTTCGTCTTCCATTCCTTTGTATTCTGTTTGTCGTAATTCATTTGAATGTTCTGTTTTGGTTAAGATTTGTGCCAATACCAATTTAGAAAGAGCTTTGTTTTGAGTTTTAGCTTTGGATTTTATCTAAAAAATAATATATAATAACAATGAGGAACCCTGTAAATGAATTCATAAAATTTACCTTGATATAACGTTCACCATGTGGAGGAAGATGTTGATTACCAAACATAAAAGATCGTGTGGATTCAATACTACGTCGATGATGGCGAATAGTAGTAGAAGGATGTTCGTCCGAAGAACTGTCATTATCACTATCCTTCTCTTGTATCGATTTATTACTACCAGAAGTTGGAGGATATTTTCGAAGACCTATTCTTGATAATAAATCCATTGATTTTTTCCTATTTATATAAAATATATATTTTTTAAAAAATAAAGTAAAATAAAATAAAAAAAAATCAAAAAAAAATCTGATTTACCTTGTAATAGAATGTTTTGGTTGATGTGATGGTGGAGATAATGTATTATCAGTATTGAATGGTTGATCAGATTGTGAATCAGTATGATCTTCGTAGATATAAACTGAAGGAATGGAGGTTCGTCTTCGTATTTGTTCTGCTAAAGGATGAAGGGAAGAATTGTATTCCGAATCTAGTGAATCTTGAAGATTCATATGATCATATTCTATTTTTTCCAAGAAGAAGAGAAAATAAATTAAAAAAAAAAAAAGAAGGAAAAAGGAAAAAAAGAAATACCGGGTGAGGTGAGGGTATTTGAGTTTCAAAAAAAAAAATGGGAAAACTTTCTTTTTTCTTTTTTTGTTACCTTCTGATAATAAAGTGTGTTGCTGAGTTGCCTGAAAACTAGAAGTAAGTGCCTTGGGAAGATGCATAGTATTACCTTTAGGAGCTTGTGGTGATACTAAATCTTTTGCATCATAAAACTCTTCATCTGAAATTGACATTTTATTTGTTTCTTTCAAAAAAAAAAAAACAGTTTAACACTGAGAAAATAAGAAACAATAATAACAACTAAAGATATAGAAATAAAGAGAGAGAAAGAAAGAGAGAGAGAGAAATAAGAGAAAGAGAAAGGGAAAAGAAGGGAAAAAGTGATAAAAAAAAAAAAGAGCGAGCAAGAACGATAGCACAAACAAAAAGGAAGGAAAAAAGATGCCATGCGGGACATTCAAACTCCTATCAAGCTTTTTTTTTTCGATTTTATTAGTAGTAGTAGTGATTGGATCTTTTTCTTTTATTGATTTTTTTTTTTTTGTTATGGTAGACTCTGGTAATATTATAATATATATTATTAAACAACTTATAAATTATATATTTGTTTGTTTGTTATAGAAGGTATTGACTTGACCGATATCCAGAACTTACAAGACACATGTGAAACTACAAACAATTGGTCAATTTTAACCAATACTCTTTTGACTGTTTTTGGTGATATTGATTCTCTTAGTTCAAGTTTCTTATGGGTAAGAAAAAATAAAATAAATAACACTTTATTTAATTTTATTTGAATATATATAGAAAACTCCTGATTCTTTAACTCAATGTCCAGTGGATAAGTTACAAGCTCAAAAAGCCTTTAAAGTCATCAAACTTAATGTAAGTATATATATATACATATTCAATAGATATACTTAATAATTCCTTTTTTTTTTTTATTTCTTCATTAAACTATTAGTGCCCTCCTTTCTTATTTAAACGTGTAACAGATCGTGTACGGAAATTGATTCAACATTGCTCTCGAAATAGAAAAGAACAACTTTCTACTATTCATCTCAATGCTATTGTCATTCTATTCCAAGTAAGTTAACTATTGATACTTATAATTTTGATTTTTATAATATTCATTTTTTCTTCTTTTTTTTTTTATGTTATAGTGTCCTGTTTATATTGATGTACTTTATCCCAACAATCTTTTGACAGAATTATGTGAACTCATTGCTGCTATTGGTATTCCTTTACAAGATATCTTGTGTCGATATTTGATAGAATATCAATCACAAACATCATCTTCTATATCAATTTTTAAAACTCTTTTATCTATATTCCATCATATGGTTCAAGTACGATTATTATTAAGAAATACTTCAACATCTAATCCAAGTACGCATACTGATCCAATGGTGATAGAAGCAACACAATGTCTAGCTATGTTATGTAAGTTTGTCAGATCTTTACTTTAATTATACCGACTGATTTTTTTTCTTCTCTCTCTCTCTCATGGAATAGATCGCATGAACGAAGAATCACATTATGTTCCTTATACTGATTTTTACAATGAAGCTGTTAATGAACATTTGGAAATTAAAGAAGATTTTCCCAATTACAAAGATCACAAAGGGTATACATCTATATATATATTATAATTGTATATATATGTGTATATATACTGATAGTTTTTTTTTTTTTTTTTTTTTTTTTTTTTTTTTTTTTTTTTTTTTTTTTGCTTTCTTCATTTCCCCTTTATAGGTTCTCGTTTTGTGATTATCCCTTTATTTTGAACCCAGTAGTCAAAGCTGATATTCTCAAGATTGAAAGTGTTTATCAAATGCGACATGAACTTCAAGATGCCTTCTTCCGTGCTTTATTTCAAGGTGTCAATAGTCCTTATTTGGTATTGGAAATACGAAGAGATCATATCATTGAAGATACATTACAACAGTTGGAAGAAAAATCAATTCATGATCTCAAAAAACAACTACGAATACAATTTGTTGGTGAAGAAGGTGTGGATGAAGGTGGTGTACAAAAGGAATTCTTCCAGTTAATGGTTAGGGAACTCTTTGACTTGAAATATGGTATGTTTACCTTTAATGATGAAAGCCGATTGTGTTGGTTCAATGCGAATCTCTTACTTGGTGATGATACTTTGGAGTATTCAAAAGAGCAAGAAGATTTGACAACTGTTCGGGAATACAAACTTTTGGGCTTACTGATTGGATTGGCTGTATATAATAGTGTGATTTTAGATTTACATTTCCCTTTAGCTCTATATAAGAAATTGATGAATGTTCCTGTGGATATCTCGGATTTGAAACAACTGGATCCTGTAAGCAAAACAAAACAAAAAAAAAAAAAAAAAAAAAAGGAAAAAAAATTCTCAGTTTCTTTTCTCTTTTTTTTTTGAATAGAGTCTTGGTCATGGATTGGAACAATTGTTATGCTTGCCTCAGTCATCATCAGACGAAGACGATGAATTTGATCATTATTTTCAAGTGGATATTGAATCCTTTGGGCATTTAAAGACTTATGATCTCAAACCTAATGGTGGATCTATATTGGTGACCAAAGATGATCGTGAAGGTATTCATTTATTATATTTGAAAAGTACAATCAATGATTAATTTTTTTTTCCTTTGTATAGAATTCGTTGATCTGTATGTGGACTTTCTTTTGAACAAATCAGTGGAAAAACAATTTACTGCGTTTCAAACAGGCTTCAATTTAATTTGTCGTGATTGTGCAATCAAGGTAATCAAATGAAAAAAAAAAAAATAAACACTTTATCTCATTCAGCATCTCTCTTAGATCTTTCGGCCAGAAGAAGTTGAACAATTGGTTTGTGGTAGTTCGGATTTGGACTTTTATGCCCTAGAGAAATCTACTGTGTATGATGGTGGTTGGGATGAAAACTCGACTATCATTAGGTAATATGATATAATGGATAAGATGGATATTAGATTTATATATATTTTTACTAGATACTTTTGGGAAATTGTCCATGGTTTTTCTTATGAAGAGAAGAAGAAATTGCTTTTTTTTGCTACCGGATCAGATAGGGTAACGTGTTTTGGAAAAAGCTGACAAACAAGAACAAAAAAAAAAAAAAGACACAATAGAAAACTGATATATATATTATTTACATAAAATAGGCTCCAATTGGTGGACTTGGCAAGTTGCAGTTTGTGATTGCCAAAAATGGTGGAGATTCTGATAGGTAAAAAAAAAAAAAAAAAAAAAGGCGTCAAAGAGCATGATTCTCATTTATATTTTTTTTTATCTTTTTATATATACATAGATTACCGACATCACATACCTGTTACAATGTATTACTTTTATGTGAATATGGAAGCAAGGAAAAGTTACGAGAACGACTTTTGACAAGCATTAGCAATTCGGAAGGATTTGGAATGATATGATTTTGTGCATATACCCACTTTATACCATTTTATTTATATTTTCAATAAACGAACAATCATTTTTATTTTTATTTTTATTATGTTTGATATCATTCGAAAAGAGCATGGATAACAGCAGGACGTTTCGATTGACGATCATAGTATTGTTGGAGATGAGGACGACCAGCAAAGATAGTTTCAGGATGAGCCAAATGACGGTTTCCAGACCAGATGAATGCGGTGGCAAAGACATCAGCCAGGGAATGGGTATTACCGACAAGATAAGGCGATCCAGAGCTTAAGACAGTTTCGCAATGATCAAGCACAGCGTACCATGATTGTTGGTGGCGATGAAAGACCACAGGATCAAGGAGCCATTGTGCACGTAAATCAAACAGGGACAATCGAAGGGCATAGTCCAAATCTGGATGTTGCTGTTGATAAGCTACCATCTCTGCACGATCTGCCGCGATCTTTTCAGCATGTGCCGCTAACGCTTTTTCGTCTACGGGTTGCTCGGCAAGCACCAAGGCCTTGACACTGATTTGCCGCCATTCTTCCACAAAGGACACAACTTCCGGATCATGGGCTCGTAATGACCCATCCTGATCTAGAAATTGAGCAATGGAAAGCGAGTCAGGGATTACTTGTCCATCATGAACAAGAACAGGCACTTTGCCAGCTGGATTCAGTCGAACAAAATCAGGTCGATTGTGCTCATTGCCTTCCAAATCCACTGCCGTCAACGTATATTTATCTTGCACTCCCTTTTCCCATAATAAAAGTACCCCTACATTGGAATATAATGATTTAGGAAGAATATATAATGTATTGGTTGCACCAGTCATATCAAAAAAAAAAAAAAATAATGAAGTAAAATCAAAGATGATGATCATCCGTCTCATTATTTATACGTCTTTGATCGTCTATTTTTGTATATTATAAATCATCTTACTGTGTCACCATGTCAGCCTCAAATTTCCATTTTCTTTCGTCATCTTTAAAATCCTGATGTGTCATGACACTTGTAGATAGATCTAAAACATGCATCATCCAATCAATAAAACATAATATCATAAACTAATAACGTCTTTATTGAGAAAAAAAAATATGCTTTTCTAATTGTAGATGGACTGAAGCAAAAAAAAAAAAGTGTCAACTAAAGGAGACCGATGATCACCAAATACTGACCGAAATCGTACCTTTTGAAATCACCCAAAAACTCACCACCTAAAGTCACCGAAATGAAGTGATCGTCGCCCATAAGATGTAATCCTTTGATTCGTGCAAACCAAAAAAAAAAAAAAAAAAAAAAAAAAAAAGGAAAAAAGAAGAAAAATAAGTACTGTGAGAGTTCCTCTCCGCCCTTTTTTTTTTCGCTACCAAAACCAACTTCAACCAATCGGAAAAAAGCTTCTGTTCACCCGTTGAAATCCCTTGGGGGTACTTTTCCTTTGTATTACAATGTCAATGGAGCTACGCACGGTTGACTCATTAAAATGATTTTATCATTTCCAAAGGACATAAGATGATATGTTTTCATTTCAACTTGTAAACAAGCAAAAAAGTGGACTCAAATAAAAAAAAATCGTTATGCGGAGCTAGAACTTTTTTTTTTCTTTCTTGAGGACAAAAGAACAAACTGTATCGACTTTCTTTCCTCTATCTTCTTACTCACTCACTTAAACCCCCCTTCTTTTTTTTTTTATCTACTGTTTTCGTCACAGTAATTATTATTATTATTTTTTTTTATCTGGCTGAATGCAAGTCAAAGGCTGGGCCCATGTCTGTTTTTTACCACCGTTTGATCAAGATGGCAACTATGAGACACTAATGGGACATGTTGTGGATGAAAAGACCAAACAAGTGTATGGACTAAAAGGTGAGCGATTGGATTATGACGACCAGGAAAAGAATGACTGTATGGATCCTCAAGCATTTTATCGACTGATATTATCAGCATATACCCAACAAACTGTATCTTTGGTAGTACGACGTGATATTCATAACGACATGGCCACTTTGGAAACGGATCCAGCAGACGCTACACCATTTGATCAAGATAACATGTCATTCCATTTTCAACCTGATCGTGTCCTTGTCGATGAAAAGGCTTATCAACACTGCGAAAAATATCTACCAGTATTGACAGATCGTGATGATATATCAAAAGATGGCATCGATTGGCTAGTCTGTTTAGGATCAGTTAGTTTCAATGATGGAACGGTTGAATAGAAATGTATATATAGTATTATTATTTAAAATAAATAGGATTCCTTCATTTGATATCTATCGAGAAACGCGTTATGACGGAGTTGCGAAGGCGCGATTCCCTATTTTTTTTTCTCTCCCTTTCTTTTTTTTTAAACTATTTTGTTTTTATTTTACATTCCTTTTTTTCCATTGATTTTATATAACTTTTATTGATATGAATACAGAATCATCTACTTTGGCATCTAAAAAACTTCATTATGCTAGCTTACATGCTCAACTGACTCAATTGAACGAAAACGTACTGCGTTTAAACAACAATATTCAAGTCATGGGTGATCATATTCCTGCCTTGCAGAAACTTGGTATTCTCCATACTGCAATGTACGTATAAAATGAAAGAGAGAATAGTTTGTTTATATATATATTATTCATCTTGTGAATATTTCTTCAATAGGTCTATGTCTGCAACAAGAGTATTGAATGATACTACCATGTTCGACAAAATTCAACGACAACAACAACAACAACAACAAAAGGAACAATCATAATTATATAGTTTTTTTTTTAATGGAGGAATACGACTCATATACCAGCTGTATTGGGAAAACCTTGCAAGAAAGAAAAAAAAGGTAACAGGCTGTATGGAAAATGATGGGAATCATTAGTGATAGAATAGATAGATTCAGTAGTCTTAGTTTATTGGAAATAAAATTCAATAGGTATTTTATTTGAAATATTTTATCAATATGATCTATTCCAGATCTATGATGCCTAATTTCTATTATTATATAAGTTTTTCTGTCTATGATGTAATTATTATTTGAAAAAAAAAGTTGATCGATAGGCAACTGGATGATTTAAAGTTTACACCGGGGAATAGTTGCTGATGAATGATTGATGAATGTCTTTCATAGGTTGGTGGGGTTTGAATACAAGTTCCTTTGATGATAGCATTTGAAAAAAAAAAAAAAATAAGGGGGGTGGTTAGACCATATCAGGAAAAGTCAATAATTTTTAACTCAGTGAAAGTATAAAATGATTATTCTGAAGGACTTTCTCTTCTTTTTTCTTTCTTTTTTTTCATATATATATATATAGATAGATAGATAGATAAGACAATGACTATTTCTGACGTAAAAGTACAAGTATTCACTGACTTTGATGGAACTCTTTCTTTAGATGGTAAGAAATAAAACCGTTTATATCTTCATTATTCTCATGTCATTGTTTTTCTTTTTATTAGATACTGGTCTCATTCTTATTGATGACCATCGTTCTATGGGTCCTGAACGTCGTCGTGCCATTGAACACGATATTTTGGATGGACGAATTACCTACAAGTAAGTTAAGAAATGTCGATAAATTAATGATTATTTTTGACCATTGGTTTATATAGGGCTGGTCTTCAAGCTATGTGGGATTCTGTACATATTAGTTGGGATGAAGCTTGGTCTGAATATTTGGATCGTAAGTAAAGCATTCTTTCTTTCTTTCTTTTTTTTTTTTTTTTTTAACAAATAATAAAATAATGTTATTTTTTTATTTTATTTTATTTTTATATTTTAGATTGCAAGATTGATCCTGGTTTCCCTGCCTTTAATGATTATTGTATTGAACACAACTTCCCCGTCACTATTATCAGCAGGTAAAAGGAAATTTATATATTCAATTGAATGAATGATCATATGAATAACATTTGTTATTTTGTAGTGGACTCAAACCTCTTTTGGATCGAATCATGACCAACTTTTTGGGAGAAAAGGCCAAGGCAATTGATATTGTTTCCAATAATGGTGAAGTACATGGACGAGAATGGAAGATCATCTACAGAGATGAATCAGAATATGGCAATGATAAGTCAAGAAGTAAGTCTATACAATAATTATAGGTCATTTAATAAAATCATCTTTTTTTATTTCTTTCTTATTTCTTCTTAGCTCTCACCAAGGCTCGTGAAGCTGCTGAACCTGGTACCATCTTTGTCTTTTGTGGTGATGGTGTATCCGATATCTCTGCTGCTCGTCATGCTGATGTATTGTTTGCTCGCAAGGATCGTGATTTGGAAACTTACTGTGTTCGTGAAAACATTCCTTTTATTCCCTTTGACACCTTCAAGGAAATTCAAGATGTGGTAGAAAAGTTGGTGAATAAGAAGGCCGTGATTGAAAAGGATCCAAAGACTGGACTTTCCAAAGTGATAGATGTTTAGATGATAGAGAGATTATATTATATATATTTGATTTTTTTTTTTTACAATTAGAAACTTTTCAATAAACCATTTTATCACTTGTTTATATATTAAATTTGAATTTTTTTTTTCATTGGTGTGGTATTCGCAATTCAAGGATTTCTTTTGATCTTCAAATGATCCATCTACCTCATAAATGTACATTGTGATCACTCATATACTGTACAAATAGTTACAGTGAAAACTCCATATGTGTGCAAGGTCACCGATCAAATTCACTACCCGCTCAAACCAAAAAAAAAAAGGAAAAATTTTCTTGTTTTTTTTTTTTTTTTTTCTCTTTATTTCTCTTTCCCCCCTTTTTTTACCATTGTACTATATTTCTTCGTCATGTCTTCTAAACCAATATTACCTGATTCTCCATTACCTACTTCTTCTACTACTCAAGTATTTAATACTTTGATACAGCAAGATGTAACTGATACCTCTTTTGACTCGAAAAATCAAATATACCATTCCCAACTTCCTTTACAGCAAACAAATCCTTTATCTACACAACAACAACAACAACAACAACACACTCCTCCTGGCCAGTCTCCTATATCTGTTGAAAGAAGCAAGTTACCTTTACGGAAACGTCTAGCCAAAGATCAAAAGCCAATATCATTACAATGGATGGAGCCTGTTAAAACAGAAAACACTCAGCTTTCACCACATACTGAACCTTCCCTGTCTAAATCATTACCACACCCTTCTGTCTCTCCAATCGAGCAACCTCCAACACAATATAGCTTCCATAACAGTAATAGTAGCAACATTCATCTCGAGACTGATTCAGCCGTCCGTAGTCAACTACCTACATCACCAAAACCCAAGCATACAACGAAAAAGAAACATAATAATATAGATGAAAATGGTCGTGTAAGTTTGTAAAGTAGTATTTTTTAAATGATGATTTATTTACTTAGATTTTTTTTTAGCCTATCAAGAAAACCAAACGAGGTCGTCCTCCTTTATCATCGACAACAAGTAGCAAGAAAATAATCCTCGATCAGACGAACGACGTTGTCACTTCTGAAAACACACCAATCAGTAAAAAATCAACATCATCTACGGAACTCTACTGTTTTTGTCAAAAAGTATATGATGAAACTCAATTCATGATTGCTTGTGACCGATGTGAAAAATGGTTTCATGGTGATTGCATTGGTATTGATGAAAAACAAGGTGAAGCTGTAGATCTCTACTTTTGTCCCAGTTGCTCCAAGAGTAAGTATATATATATTATGATACATTTTTGATTTACTTTTATATTATTGTCATATTCAGTTAGTGGCAAACAAACTTCATGGAAAGCAAAATGTAGTAATCCATCCTGTCAAAATGTAGCAAGAGGTGGGAAAAATAAACAATCTCATGGATCGAAATACTGCCAGGACAAGTGTGGATTACAAGTGGCAAGGGCACGGTTGGTGTTATCAGATCGAAAACAACAACAAGAAATGGGTGAACTTGCATCATTTTCAACTCGTATGGAACAATTGTCAAAATCGCGACTCAGTTTATTCGCAGACAGGGATGATCGCCGGCGTTTGATTCGAATACGAATGGATAGACAACGAGCCATTGATATCATCCACCAGATCACTCTAAAACAACAATTTTTACAAGCACTTATGGAAACGATGGATCCAACCAATGATCAATGTGGGTTCGATTCTAGATTATTATGGGAAGACGATCCATGGGATTCAGTGACCGGATTAGAACGACAACCTACTCTACGATTACTACCTCTTCAAGAAGACACTTGGACAGTGTGTCATCAAAAATCAAAACGATGTCAAAGGCATAGCGGATGGACCAAGTTGAAGACGGCTGAATTGGAACAAGAACGGGAGGAACAGTTTGTCATATTATCCATCCTGGCTCGAGAACGGAAATTGATCAAGACTCGAATGAATAATCGGGTGGCAGAAATGAATGTAGCTAGATCTTTAATGAATGGCACTCTTGTACACAATCAATAAAATATTTCTCTTTTTTTTTTTTATATATTTGTCTTTCTGTCCATATTTCTTTTTTTTTTTTTTTAGTTCCTTTTATCAAAAAAAAAGGGGTACACTTTTTCATATACGATTGTCCAAACTCCGCTGTCAGTTCATACAGTTTGAGCAAAGAATCCAACAAGTCTTTCCTTCTCTCCCCCTCATACCCTTTTAAGTAAGTCATCCATCCATCCATCCATCCATCCATCCAATTGTACGATTGATACCAACATTCAAAAACACAATATCATTGATTTCATTTTATATTTTTTTTTTTTGTAGGGAAAATAAAAATGTCTGCTGAACTTGCTGTTGTCTACGCCGCTCTTATTCTTCAAGACGATAATGTTGACATTACCGTAATGCATAAAAAAAAAAAAAAAAAAGAAAAAAAAAGAAAAAAAAATGATTCACACCTCTTTTTTTTTTCTTATTAGGCTGACAAGCTCCAAACTCTTGTCAAGGCTGCTGGTATTGATGTTGAACCCATTTGGTTCTCTTTGTATGCCAAGGCTCTTCAAGGTCAAAATCTCGGTGAACTTCTTTTGAATGTTGGTGCTCCTGGTGCTGGTGCCGCTGTTGCCGCTGGTGCCGCTGGTGCTGCTGGTGCCGCTACTGATGCTCCTGCTGAAGAAGCCAAGGAAGAAGAAAAGGAAGAATCCGATGATGTAAGTCCATAGGAATATAAACGTTCTTTTCTTTGACTTATATATATATTATTTTGTAGGATATGGGTTTCGGTCTCTTCGATTAAACGATGGATTATAATCTTTTAGTTTAGTTATCTATACATTTGAAACATCCCCCCTTAGATCCAGCATATCAATTCATACGATTGCATAATTGTAATAATAATAAAAAAGTATATGTCTTTATTGAATGATCGGATGTATGCTATATGCTAATAAATATATATATGTGTGTGTTTGTGTGTATATAGGAGGAGGTAATTATTCTAATCTGAGCCTATTCTATAGGGGCCACGAATATCTTCACAAGTTTTCCCCTTTTCCATGATATCCGAATTGTAAGCAGTAGGGACTTTATGATTAGCATCACCAGGGATATTGATAGGAACATTCTTTAAAACTATGAAAATAAAAGAGGATGAATTCATATAGTGTTCCATTTTTCTTTTTTTCTTTTTTTCTTTACCTTGAGAAGGGACACAACCACCAGGAATATGATTACAAGTACATTTACCACCCAAGAAACTTGGAAGATTTTCAGGTGGGATTTGTTCCAATAGTTTTCCTTGATAATCACTACCAAGAATTTGAATTTTATCAATGGTACCTGGATCAAGCCAACCTTTGATGATTTTCCAAACATAGACAAAAGCACCTGGAGCATTCACTAGATATAATTTGTTGAGTGTTTCTGGATAATATTTTTGATCCACATCCGAAATAGTTCTAATCAATTGAATGGCAGGCATATGGAATTCTAAATAAGATAAAGTGAGATCTCAAAATAAATAAATAAATAAATAAATACTTACGTTGCCAACTCATACCAGTACAGTCAAAGATAACAGTTTCACGATTGATGACTTTACCAGCCATTTTGGAACAATCCCTCATAATCACACGATGTAGGAATTCATTACAACCAACATGATAATGAAAGATTTCTTCCACTGTTGTATTCTTGGCAATTGATTTAGCTTGATGGTGTCCCTAAATTTATCATTAATAATTTTCTCCCTATTATATCTCCTTTTTTTTTCTTACCAAACGTTCAATATAAATTGGACATCCATCTTTATCTACTTTATGCAACGCAGATCCACCCATGTGACGATAAATGCGTAGGACACTTTCAGCAACACCAGGTGCAGCAATCAAATTTTGATCAGGCATAGATAGATAACCACGAATAGGATATAATACTGGTAAACCATTACTTTTTGTTGCTACAGGATACATATCAATGCCATTTTCTTTTCTCCATTCAAAAGTACTCAGCAACTGTTTTAATGCTCCTTCCTAGAAAAAAAAAGAAAAAAAATTAGAAAACAATTTAGTATCTGTAGTTTTTTTTATGAGTCTTTCACTTTACCACATTCCAACTTCTAGCGATCAAGAATTGTTGAAGATACTATTGTTCATCGGTAATATATATATATATATAAAACATGAGAATGACATTGATTAAAAAGGAATGGCTTACTTGATCATTGACTGGAGGGTATCCTTTAAGATGAGAGCGTAGTTCAGCAATGGCTTGAGCTTTTTGTTCATCCGTACGAGCGATCACCATAATAATAAAGAATATAAAATAAAAAGAAAAAGAAAAAAAGAAATAATAAAAAAAAAAAAGATGGAAATCTGACCACTCCTATTTTTGGATATTTGTTGTAGGAGAGAGGGTAGACGGATCGTCTGATTTTGGTACTCCGGTCATTCATCCTTATCTGGAGGCATATAATCTTGGCAACGTTTACAATAACTCAGGATGTGAGTGGTCCTTTTTGTACTTTGAGATCAGACGAACAGGCACAAGTCAATTTTTACTACCCCACGTGCCATGAATCCATTGAAAGATTATGCAAAAAGGGAAATCACGAGTTTCCATCTGTCGGACAATGGCACAGACATTTTTCAATTCATTACGTTTACATTTCTATAATAAAATCACAACGGATTCAATCAACTTTTTTTTTTTTTTTTTTTTTTTTTTTGGTTTGAATTACAATTGAGCATCATCATTAAATGATTTAGGATAATGACATAATAAATCGATATGAAGGTAGATAATACAAATAAACAATAGTGATAATGATAATAAAGGAATGTTAAAGTAGGATCATCATATCAAAAGAGGAATATCTAACTGATAGATGAATGAAAAAGGGGATGATTTTTTATAGACAAGTTGCCTCCCTCGAGAGGGAAAAAAGGAATTGGGATCAAAAAACGCACACTCTGCTTGAATGCGCATAAATAAGCCATTGTGCGATAATCCTTACACAATAGATGATAAATCAATTGATGAAACCATTCGATGCTATATGATGAATAGAGAAAAAAGTAAATTTTGTAGTTCTCTATTTCAAAAGAGAAATGTACCTTCGTGTCAAAGTCGGTAGTTAAAATTCATAAAGCAAGAAAAAAAAGAGTGACTAAGATGAATTGCCCCCCCACACTTTAAATCTCTCTTTCTTTCCTCTTTTTTTTTTTATTCAGTTACAACAAAACCAACATGGATATTCAAAAGTTATTTAGCGTCAAAGACAAAGTGGTACTTGTTACTGGTGGTAGCCGAGGCATTGGTAATGACTCCATTATTCATAAAGTGCAAACCTTTTGCTTTGTTTCTAATACTGTCACCTTCTACCTTTTTTTTTCTAGGGGAAATGATATCTACTGCAAGTTGAAAAGAAAATACATTCATAGGTACTTTTCTTTATAACATGACTTTACTAATATATAGTTATAATTCTTTTATACAGGGTTTTGTTCAAGCTGGTGCTCGAGTCTACATCTCTAGCAGATCAGCCAAGAATTGTGATGAGGTAAAGGCAACCAGAGGGGGAGCAATGTTTAAGCTAATGTCATTGTATTATCTAGACTGCTGCTCGATTGACTGCTTTAGGGCCTGGCGTCTGTATCTCCTTGCCTGCTGATCTACAAAGCCTGGACGACATCAAAAAGCTGGTGACTGAACTGTCTAAACGTGAAAAGCGTAAGTTTCACTACAAATGAGTGCATGACAACTTATCGATACTATAGTATGTTTTAACAGCTCCCTCTTTTTTTTTATGATATTTGATTTTAGATCTCGATGTTCTTATCAACAATAGTGGGGCTACCTGGGGTAATGTTCTTTTTATATTAAATAGCTTATTGTTCATATTTTGACGCTACTTTTTACTTTCTCTCCTATATGTGTTAGGTGCTCCTATTGATAAGTATCCTGATGAAGCTTTCCAAAAAGTGGTGAACCTCAATTTGAACCGAGTGTTTAGTCTCACTCAAGCGTAAGTTATATTGAAACCAAAACCAATATTGATATTGATATTGATATTATTATTTTTTTTATACATGAATGATATCTTAGTTGTTTGCCTTTATTGCGTGCCAATGCTTCAACTGATCATCCTTCTCGTGTCATCAATATTGGATCTATCAATGGTATTAATCCTCCATCCTTCGAATCTTATGCATATAGTTCAAGCAAGGCTGCCGTTCATCATCTTACTCGACATTTGGCTGCTCGTTTAGGTCCTGAAGGTATTCTTGTCAATGCTATTGCTCCTGGCGTGTTTGCAACAAAGATGATGGCTGGAACTTTGAAGACTAGTGGTGATAAAATATTGGCTGGTATTCCTACTAGTCGTGTTGGTTCTCCTGAAGATATTGCTGGTACTTGTTTATACTTGTCTTCGCGAGCTGGTCAAGTAAGACAAAAAAAAAAAAAAAAAAAAAAAAGACAAAAAAAAAAGATAAAATGGATGGTTTGAACTTGTTTATTTATTTTTTTTTCTGAACTAGTATACTACTGGAGCAGTATTCCCTGTAGATGGCGGTTCTTTGGTTTCCAAAATCTAAAGTTTGGTATTTATTAGTTTACAGTTTTTTTCACTTCGAATTGGGACAAAAAGTAAAAATAATAAAGACGGATTACAAATAAATGGCAGGAATACCAAATAATACAAATAAAGTTTAATCATCATCATTAAAAAAAAAAAAAGAATACTTACAACGTAGTACTGGCAAGTTCTATCAAGCCGTAAATGGAGAATGAAGACACAAAGGAATGGGATAAACCAAAAAAAAGCGGACATTGAAAAAGAGACATAACTTTTTGGCATGTGGATGATTGTTTTCCTGCTCTTTACACTTTTCTTTTTTCCTTTTTTTTTTCTCTTTGGTTTGAGTACTTCTTCAATAGAAATACTTGTTATACTTTTATCATGCTGGATAAAGTACTTCTTCGTTTGAAGGAAGAGGTAGCCATGGATGGTTATCAAGGTATTGACAAGAAGTGTTTAGTGTGTGGGAACAATTTTTTTTTTTTTATGATAGTTCGATTGTTTCTCACCATTCAAAAACTTCCATTATTTAATAGGCACATCTATTAACGACATGTGGTCTTATGTACAGCGTTTTTTATCAGAACAAATTAATAATAATAATAATAATAATCGCGATGCCAAAATCGAACCAGTAGTGGATATGAATTACAAGAAATACTTTTGGTCTCAGCTACGATACGTTCCCGAACTATCATTTTTTGAACAACATCAACTTGCTTCTATAGAACAACAAATGAAAAACAATAACTCCGATGGAAACGAAGTAATTAATATAAATACATTAAAATATGTTGTTCATTTCATTTATTTCTTATATTGATCATTTAGGATACAGTGGATCTCGACTATAATTTATTAAATCACCTAGTTGAACTTGGATACGATCAAGTCGATAGCAAATATGGATCTCAATTACGTGTTGTGGCAGAAAAGAAGTTACAAGAAGCTCAATTATTTGTGGATGTACCCGTAAGTTTTCTTCTTCTTATATAAATAACAATTATCATGTTTAATAACCTCTTTCAATTTTTTTTTTTTCTGTTACAGTTTGGACAAACTTGGTCAACAAATCTTAGAAAAGTGCTTACGACGATCTTACAGGCTAGAGAAGGAGGTGTGACTCAAGCAGAACTTACAAATATTTGGAACTTTGATCCTAGATCAACTGGTCATTATGTCAAATCATTGGAAAAAAAGGGTGCCATGTAAATGATGATTCAAAAAAAAAAATTACTATGCTAGTTTTATTGGTATTTACCCACTTTATTAAACTTTTTAGATTCCGTGCTATGGTGACGGTGAATGCAACACGAACTAACATTTGTATCCATACTCGATTCAATAAAGGTGAACCAGTACTTGATTGCTCTAATCAATATGCACCAAATAATGTCAATATGAAAGGCGAAATATTCACCATGAAGGTATTCCGGGATCGACTTACTGTATTACTATCGGATGCAAAAGATCATACAATGTTTAGTACTGATATTCTTACAGCATTGGTAATACACATTACAAGAAAGAAATATTGAAATGAATCCTTACAAAATATATAACTCATTTTTTTTTTTATTAATAGGGCTTCAATTTGGCAAATCGAAAAGTCAGAAAATGGTTCAACAGAACAATTGATAGTCTTACTCATCAAGGCGTCGTGCGGAAATTGGCAGCTCAAAAGAATAACACTGGTCCAAGACATCGATGTATTCAACTTTTGGATTCAAAACAAGGTAGAGGAGTGAATCTTAACATATGATTTGAAGTATCTCATATTTTTTTTTTTTTTATTATTTTTATCAGGACCTCTCGATACCAAAAATGTGGATGAAGATGATGACGTTGACATGACTAGCGATGTTGCTTTTGATGATTTGGAACCTTTCGTATTGAAACCTATTACGGAAACCGCGGGCGGTGGCAAACTATTACACGGTGTTAGTTTGGATTATCAAATCTTACAAGTTATTCGAAATGCTGGTGAACAAGGAATCACTCAAAAGGTAAATATCTTAACTAGTGTTATGATAGATGGTTTAACTTTTTTTTCACTAATGATTATTATTATTACTATTATTATTATTATTTTATGTAGGATATTGGAATCGCAGTACGATGTGATAACATTCGGGTGGCAGGAAGAGTTATGGAACGATTGATTGAAATCAAAGGGGATGCTCGATTCAAGTACGGCATTGAACGTGTTTTGGAATTTGAAGGACGAAATCGGCGATATCGGTACTACTCATATGCGAATTATCTCAAGGTGCAAGGAGAATCAAACCTAGAAATACCTCCATTCGAGCCATTTAGCTGTCATCCATCATATCTCAGAGAAGTCGATTATCGTGCTATACAACCTGATGGAAAGAAAGGAAAACTACCCAAGACATCCAAGGCAACCAAGGCATCGAAGGCAACCAAGACATCGAAGACAACCAAGACAACCAAAACGTACAGGATACCGATGGTACACTCCGAGCCATTATCACCAACAAACGACAATCAATCTCCTTCTATCGAGGAAGAAACATCATCTGTAGTTACAGACATGCAGCAAGAATCAGTAGAAGGAACACCATCTGCAGTTACAGATATACAACAAGAACCAGTACAAGCAACATCATCCACAACTACGGACATACAGCAAGAACCAATACAAGGAACATCATCCACAACTACGGATATAGAGCAAGAAGCAGTACGAGAATCTAACGTTCGATCCCGTGGCAAAAAGCGTGCAACATCAGACAGTACCAGTGACCAATCAACAAAGAAAAAACAGCGACCACAACGAACGACGGCTAACAAAATCGTTAATTATTTCAAAAAAATAATTCACCAGGCAGACTCAGACACTTCTGCTGACTCTTCTGAATCTCCATCGGCATCATCCTCACCATCGTCAACATATTCAGCATCCTCACCGTCTTCATCGACTACATCGGACGTCAGCACTGAACATCCATCAACACAGCCATCTGTCGAACCAATCATGCCCTCGGCAATAACATCCACATCAACATCCTCATCAATAACGCCAGTAGTGGAGAAAACACCCAGCGAAATCGCTTCAACCGACACAGAAGACAGAAGGATGACTGACAACAACATCAAGACCAAGCCAGTTCAAATCAACAAGTATCTACAACAGCGTAAAGAAATCATCATGGCTCTATTGGAAGATAAGCATATTGTGGAACGTGGTATTGAATTACGGAATCTATTTATGGCCAAACGGAAGGAATTGTATGATGAGGCACCAGAAAGTTCGCACCAAATTGATAGCAAGACACTCTGGCGGTCGGTGGTAGCATTGAAAGAGGAAGGACAAGTTCATACGCGAGAAGGACAAATACTATTACTCAATGGAAAAAAGATGACCAAGCACATCCTGATTCACAAGTCTCTGGACCCCAATGGAACTGAAGTCAATGACTACTTTGACTATATGAATGAACGTAAAGTCATGAAAACGCATATAACCAAAATGGAAACTATCGAAAAAGCGTCTGTGGATGTGGAAGGACTGGACGACCGATTGACTCGTATGCAAAAATTGAAAGAAGAAGCTCTAGCGAACAATAAAATGATGGAAGCCAAACGTATTGATATGGAAATCCAACAGATCAAAGGTAACTCGATTATTTCTGGTGAAACATGGGATCCTTCTCTTCCAAAGAAGGTGAGCAACTGGCTTATGGTAGCTATGCAATTTGGTTACGCCAATTCTCGTATGGTTAGGATCAAACTTTTCCATCAATATCTTTTGGGCATACTTTTATTGGACAAGGAACAAGGTGTAGATACAACGACTCGAACTATTTCCACAAATGTGATCATTCATCGTATGACTCTGGCATTCTTATGCAAGGTGATTGGTGTTTTCCATCCTACTGATGAATTCCGCGAATATGTACAAGACGAAGCACATGGCAACGTGACGTTTATTGATCTTCCTAATTCAGTACGTAGTTGTATCCTTCATGAAAAAAACAGGTTCCGTTATCGGGTACGAGGTCTCCTTCAATTCTTGGTTTTTCTTGGTGTACTTGAAATGGTTCAAAAGAAAAACATGACAGCGGAAGATATCAAGGAAGATGAAGATAAACAAACGATGAATATGGAACGACCTCTACATTTGGGTGTGGCATACCGATTGACAGACAAAACAACTGTACGCAACTATCGACTTCCTGATCGTCCTATTGTACAAGAACACTCACTACTCACTCAAGCTGATGCCCTGATGTATTGGAGCGATTTACAATACGTGTGTACCAAGTTATCTCTAAGTGATGGGGAATCGGCGGTTCCTATACTGAACGACGACAGTGAAATATGGATCCGATCATTGTATGCGACGAAGAATTGGAGCATTAACTTTGTGTTTTCTCAAGATCAAAGAAAGGTGTTGAACAAAAACGTCGATCGACAGGCTCAAACAACTCCTCTCAATAGCACGGCTTGGTGTAGATCTATTGCAACTGATCTTGGTGTGTCCATTGATGCAGTACGTGGATATTATCGGAAGGTGGAAGATGCCATGGAACGATCAGCACGAAGAATGCGAATCAAATCGAAACAACAGGATATCGTCATCATTGGTTCACCACAGAGACGGCGACGACAACGACGACAGGAACCACCACGACCACGACAAAGACAAAGACGACAAATATATGATAGAGGAGTGGTATCTGATAGCAACAAAGTGATTACTCTTGCAACTACATCACCATTCAAATTCAATCAACATTCCATGAAACAAGGTCGACGATTGGCTATGCAACAACGACGAGAACAACAAAGATTACAACAGTTATCTGATGATGATCAAGATGAAGAAACAAAAAGTTCAAGATTGTTTTTGGATGATGATACAACTATACCATTGATGACACAAGGTAAAAAAAAAAAAAAAAAAAAAAAGGAATACATTAAAAAATATTGATCTTTTTTTTTTTTTTTAAATTCTTTTGATAGAGGAGTTGTCTACTACAAAATTGATGATTCCCCGTTCGAAACGAAAAACTTGGACTACAGAAGAAGATGATCTTTTAAAATTATGCTATGTTATCTCCAATCATCGAAGAGAAGCTGGATGCCGATTTAGTTGGAAGCCTATTGAAGCCGTTTTAAATATTGTGCCAGCACGATGTCGACGAAGGATCACTTTTCTCAAGGAAACTGCAAAACATGCGGAGGATCTACAAAAAATTCGAGTCAAATGGCATCGGTTTTACAATCAGGGTGTTCGTGAAGGAGTCATCACTACTTGGAAGAAGGTGGCCGATACTGATTTTGGACTTGTGGATTATGTGACCTATTATCTTGAACAAAGTCAACTTGAAGATATGTAAGTGATGTAGAATATATACATTCATTCCATTTTATCTCATCTATTATATATATTATATTAGACAAGATACTTCCTCTGTTGTCCGATGGTGGTTACCAACTACTGCTCAAATGATTGAAAACAATTTCAATGTCACCACTATTGCTGCGCTCAACAAACAAAGTATTAGTTTTATGGAAGATGAATATCATACTCGAAATTCGGCCATTTTGATGCGACAAACTTTATGTACCCATGCTTTTACTCAACGAGTACATCTAGCTGAATCATATGACAATTTTGCAACAAAAGATCTGACTGAAACGGATTGTGATAGGCGAAAAATAGAATTGTTAAAACAGCTTTTCAAGGTAAGAGAGACTTGATTTTTTTTCTTTTTAGATATTCACTCCACTTTAATGATAGATGATCCTGATGACACCTGCTGAATTATACGATCCATATTATGCCCATACCTTGGTCTCAAGTTTCCCACAAAGTCTACTTACATGTGCTATTACAGAATCTCGTGCGGAAGGTGTGTTGGTCAAGGCCAAAGGTGAACGTATCACTGATCGACGTATACCAAAGACATTATTAGGATTTTCTGAAAGGTAAGAATACAAACATATTACTTGATCTTTTTTTATTTATTCTTTATTATAGGTTCATGCGCAATATGGCTGTGCAAACACCAGAAAATATTTGGTCTCAAGCTCGGGAATATGAAAGACATCTTGTCGAATCAAAAACTTCCAATGTAGATCCTGTGGTGCTCAACAGTGGGATGATGGCATGCATCTTGGATTTAGTTTCAACTGGAAATGTAAGTAATATCATATTCATTTGCTATTACTCATTTTATTTTCATTTCTTTATATAGCTGTCTATCAAGATTACCAATTTTGATGAATTTATTGAAAAACATGGAGCACCCAATCATGCATCAAGAGGCCTCAGTAAGTTATATATATATATATATATATATTTAGATATAGTAGTAACTTACCTTCATTTATTTATAGAGGAGAAAAATACGGATTATGATATGACACTTTTATTTGGTGGCACTCGTGATGATATTCAAAACGTGACGCTTTTAGAACCTGAAGTGAAATGTTTGACAGATAAAGAACTAAACAGCATATTGGGTGGACTTGCGGTGACACAGCCTGGTATATATGGACTGGTGCAAAAGATAGTGAGATATCTTGAATCTCGGGGAAACATGGGTGCCACTTTACTGGAGATGAAGCAAAATTTACTCATAGAAGATGATGAACTGTTTATGGCAGGTGTCAATTTGGTGACACGACAAGTCCAACCTCCTTTGGCAACATTTGTTGGCTATCATACTTCTCGATTGATACTTTCTACGGAACTGGACACATGGACAGTCATTACAAGGGATATAGAGGATAAGACAATTGAAGATGTACAACAACATATGAAACGAATCCATCCACCTGATGATGATGATGATGATATGGTCGCGATCAAAGCGGAACCTGGACAAGAAATGATGGTGATTCAAAGGAAAGAAGTGGTCAAACCATTCTTATGGATGGACATCAACGGTAACAAGACCGTATCGATATGGAAAGGTTGTGTGGATATCTTGGTGGATACATTGATGCATCGTCCTGGCATTACCTTTGGACATTTATGTCGTGTGCTTGTGGGGATTTTATCACCGGTGGAGATCAAAGATTTGATTCAAGTATTACTTTCTTCTGGTGCTCTTCGACAGTTATCAATCACATCCTCCTCCTCTTCTTGTTCACTGTTCTCCTCTTCTTTGGATTTACGCACGGCTACCTCCAATTCTATCGATCCTTCTTTACAAACAAGTTACTGGTTGACTCCTGGATATTACAACAAAATCTATCCCTAGTTATTGTATTTGTATATATCTCCATTTATTTGATATATCTTTACCACCATGTATTGATCAATAAAAAATATTTAAAGACGGTTTTTATTATTATCATTAAAGAATGGAATACAAAATAGAACTAAAAACAAAACTAAAACTAAAAAGAAAAAAAATCAAGGAGAGAGAGAGAAAAAAAAAAAAAAGAATGATGGTGGTAGATTGGGAGGAATATATATGGATATATATATTGGAGAAAAAAAAATAGGAGGAAATAAATAGATAGATAGATAAATAGATAGATATATATATATATGTATATATACGGAATAAGGAGGGACCTAATAAAGAGCAAATGGAATATAAAACATACAAATGGATTCACACACTAAGTAACACAGGGCTTGAAGGTGTTGAAGAAGATCGCGGACCGGCCGAAGGATCAGTAGTTGTCGAAGAAGAAGAAGAAGATGGAGAAGTGCAGGTAGTAAATGTTGAAGATGATTTGATGCGTTTTTTTGTTGATTCTGACGTTTCTGGTATGGGAGAAGATAAGCAACGTTTCCTTGTCCAAGTTTCCGAAGAACTTATCATCATGGTATCGGTTTCTTGAGTATCGGTTGTAGAAGAAGAGGATGTTTTTGAAGAAGATGGTTTGCTTGTGATCAATGTTGATACCTCGTGATCTTTTGTCTCATTATACATCCAATTATATGATAATTTTGTGTTTTGTCGTATTTCTTCATTATCGTCATCATTCAACCATGCCCAGCTTGGATCATCATCATCATCATCATCATCATCATCATCATCATCGTCATCATCATCTTCATCATCATTGGAATAGGATAATAATTGATCTTTGTCAGGTGATGTTGAAGTCAAATTTTCAGAAATTGTTGTATCATTGTCATCATCTAAGGTTGATTCATGATCTTCTTGAGAAATCATCCAATCATCCTGAATAGATGTAAAAACTAATTCTTGTTGTCGTCGGACTTCATTCCATAATCTGAATAAATAAATAAATAAAAAGTTGTAAGTAGTGAAGTGGAAAAAGAACAACAAAAAAAAAAAAAAAAGAAAAGTAGAGGAAGAAGAAGAAGAAGAGGGTTTCATTGATTTATTTGGGAAAAGTATCAAGGTTAAGAGAATGTTAACTATTAGGGTAATAATAATAATAAAAAGAAGATTACCTTGTCGTCAAAAGTATTCTTCTTAATTGTAATTCACTTTTAGGTAAAATAGATGGATAAATCTTGTTATGACTTGCAGTTGCTAAACGCTTCATCAAAAGATCTTGAGAATCCATTTATTTGACAAAAAAGAAAAAAAAAATTATATAAATAAAATAAATAAATAAAAAAAAAAAGAAGGTGACTTTGTTTTTCGATAAGAAAAATGGAAGAAGGGTCGAGGAATAATAAAGAAGAAGAGGAAAGAAGAAAGAAAAGAGAAAAAAAAAAAAAGGAAAAAAGATCGGATGAAGACAAGGGGGAAAAGAAAATCATTTGAACCAATAAAAATTCAATTTTATTTATATGTCTGAATTTCAAAATATTATAATAATTATTAATAATGGCCACCATATCTTCTTTTTTACTTTATACAATGATACACTATCACTCATCTTTATACTACTCTTTGGTCCTGTAACAATAGTATTTGGAAGATCTTTGACTGCAGCAAAACCAATTTCTCTCTTATTCATATCAAATACAAGATACGTTGATCGAAGGATAGAATCACCAATTAATACTATTTGAAGTCCATTTCTTTCTAACCCAATCTTATTCTTCTTATTGGACTGTAACCATGGTGCAATACCAAACATACATTGTGTTGCTTTTTTTGGATGGTCAGCATTCAATGGAATCACCAAATCGCGAATAGGAACAGTAATACGTACAGGTTCTTCAATTGCCTTATTTTCAACGGATATTTCCAACACCAATAATTGATCGGTATGATAGACATCACAATCAATGATATATGTTCCAGTGGTTTGGTCCATTAATACTTTATCTCTATTATTTCTTTTATTATTAGATCCTGCTGCACTGATGACGATCTGTTCGGCCAAATCCTTTTCCATATAGGTCAACGTTGTCCCAGTATCAATGATGAATCCCTTTAATGGCTTGAATGGAAATCGTTTTATTTGTGTTCCTTGTTGAAGTTGAATACCTTGTCCATATACCATCCAATACGTGTAATGATGTTTTTTATCTTCTTGTTGTGGATCTTTATTATTAGATGGTGTCAATGGAACATAATGCATTTGATTTTGATATGTTTTATCCACTCCACCAAATACAATTTCTCCAGCCCAACCTTTATCGTAGAAAGATCCCATCATGATCGAGAATATAGGTTCTTGGATATGTCCTTGCTCTACCAATGAAAATACAAATGGATTGTAGGCATCTCCTTGTTCGTTGGCAGAATGCGTCAAGCTTGGAAACCCTAGTCCCAAAATCCCATTGGCCGTCACTTTGGATTTGTCATCATCTTCTCTGCCTTGTAGTTGTGATTTGGTGGCCATGATGATATCTTTGGAATTCTTCGCAAGTCCGAACTGTTGATTCTCGATCTGGACTCCTGCTACTCTTACTGTATCTTTACCATAGATGCCTTGAACTTGACCAATCTGAGTAAGTTAGAATATATACGAAAATAATAATAATAATAGTAAAATATATGAGTTTTGAATCAAACGTATTGAATATTTATATATTTTACCCCATAGGTGATTGCAAATGGTTGATGGGAGGTTTGGAAGGTAGATGAATTGGTGGCATCAAAACGATCATGCGGACAAGATTGCTCAGAACAATCAACAGATGGAATCCAAAGATCAGAACTTTTGGTAAAAAAAAAAAAAAAAAAAAAGGATAGGATGAATAAAATAGATTGATTCTTTTTTTTTTTTTTTTGTTACCTTCCTGTATCCAAAGCAACTCTGAAATCTTGTGGTGGTGTTCCCACTGATATGGAAATTAAGTACTCTGTCCCTTCATCATTGTAGAGTAACGATTTATACTCTGGTTGATTGGATCTTTTTAGGATAGACTTTGATTGTTGTATTTGTTTAGTGATAGGTAGTTTGATAGTTTTAGCCGTGATATTGATGATGAAATAAAAATACCATATTACCATCAAACAGATAATAGACATCTTTCAAAGTGATGATGGACAAAGAAAAAAAAAACAACGATTCTTCCCGATCATCATTACTTTTTTTTTTTTTTTTTTTTTTTGAAGAATGGGGTATATGTTAGGGCTTCATTTATTTATACAAGGGGAAGGGTTTTTTTTCCAAACAGAGGGGTGTTTATGGACGGTGTAGATGGAAATATATCACCCGTTCAATCTATTACTGTATCTTCTCTATAGGTGGACCGTAAAAAAGAATCGTTCTTGTTGTTATCAATTACATTTTGGTGGGATGATGATCGTTTGTCTTTTTTAGAAAAAAATAAATAAAATGGAATAGACGATTCAATGTACAAATTGCCATATCGGGACACGGGATGTAAAATGTCATTCATGCAAGGCTTTACTTATACATATATCTTTAAGGTGGGGATACCTCTCGATACATATTGCATATATTATTACGTTAGTCATAATGGATTTCATGCATACAATATAGGGTAATCACATCAGACAGAAAATCATGTCTTTTTTCTTTCTTTTTTTTTTGGACACTTTTCTCGGTGAATTAGGGATTTGATAAAATCATGGTGGATGTAAAACATGAAAAATAAATAACCCATGAAATGAAAAAGGCATGATGATGAATAGTAAAACAATGGATGATATAACAGATGTATATAACATTTTTTTTTATTATTATTATTTGTTAAGGATACAAAATAAAAAAAAAAAAAAACAAAGTAAGAAATGAAACAATGATAAAAAAAAAATTGGAAGTAAACAAGTTCTAATATAACAAACTATAAAAAGGGTGAATCTAATACAGGGGAAGTAAAGAAGGAATCAATACCATAAAAAGAGTGGCATAAGAAAGTTTCCATAGAGAACTACCAGAGTTGATGACACCACCATCGCCACCACTGCCACCACCACCACCACCACCACCAGATGTTGTAGAATTTGATCCATTGACTGAACCACCCATTCCTTTTGCCGCAGCAATGCCAACACGATTTTGACCCATATCAAAGACCATATAAGCACTTCGAAGCATAGAATCACCGATCAAGAACATGTTGGGACCCAATCCACCACCAGAACCACCCACAGGAGCAATACCAAACAGACAAGTCTTTGCCGTTGCAGGAGTATCACCATCCAGAGGAATGACCAATTCAGAAGCCTTGACAGAAAATGTGACGGGAGGTGTATTGAGAGAAGGTGTACTTGACATTTGTAATTCCAACATGGCAGGTGAATCGGCTGTTGAACATTCTACCACCAATAAACCTGATTGTCGATCCAATTGGAACCCGTTGGAACCCGCCATGGCTGTTGCAATGGAGATCGCTACTTCGTTGGGCAAATAAGTCAAAGTGGTTCCTGTATCCAAAATAAATGCACCAGGTTTTTGTAATTTGAATTCTGGATTTTGTACACCATTCCGTACAGCAATGCCTTGTCCATATACCATCCAATAGTAATATCCTTCGTAGTTTGTTAAACTGTTGTTTGCATCCTTCTTGTGAAGCAAAGGATCAATGTTGAGTTTCTTCATCAGATTAGTACCATCATCATCATCGCCATTGCCACCAGGAGAAGGGCCTTCGCCTTCAGGAGGAGAAGGATGTGGTTGATTTTGTAGTTTTGCCACTGGAAGATACACCAAGTTACCTTCATATTTGGATGAATCCACACCACCAAAAATGATTTCACCTGCCCAGCCTTGCAAAGAAGCAGAATTCAGATAAATAGAAAACACTGGTTGACTGATCATGCCTTGTTGCACCAAGTTGAAAACAAAAGGAGTATACGCAGGATTGTTTTGTGTTGTTGCTGCCGTCAATTGAGGATACCCCAAACCAAGAATCCCATTGGCATTGATATTGCTTGCATTACCACTATCTTGAGGTATGAGAATGTCTTTGGTATGCGTTGCTAAACCAAATTGTTGTTGTGCTACTTTGGCCCCAGATACTTCTACACTATCTTGAACATATGTACCATTCACCGATCCAATGCCGTATTGAATACTAAACTTTTCTTTCGTTGCTTTGAAAGTCGACGACTTTGCTGTATTGAATCCACCAAAAGGACAAGATAATTTATCACAATTACTGGAAGGTACCCATAGATCAGCACTTGTTTAAAAAAAAAAAAAAAAAGTTAAGGAAGAAAGAAAGAAAGAAAAAAAAGAGTGGCCCGACTTTTTTTTTTTTTTTTTTTTTTTTGTTATTACCTGCCAGTATCCAACGTAACCGAGAAATTCTGCGGCGGAGTGCCAATGCCTACAGAGATCAAATATTGAGAACCTTGATCATTATAAAGAGAAGCAGTAAAAACGGAACCTTGTTGACGTTTTTGTAATCTTTGTCGTTGACGTAATCTTGCTGTTTCCAAAATATCATATTGTTGAGGTTTTCTTTTAATGGACATACGTACTTCTTGTTCAGCAGCTACTACTGCCATAAGAACCAATATAGTGGATAATGAAATCAACATTATTTATTTTTTTTTTTTTTTGTTATTTAAAAAATATACAAACAAAAAAAGAGAATAAACAAAAAAAAAAAAAATATACAAAAAAGTTGAATAAACAAATAAGAAAAGAAAAAAATTCTTTCAGTCAAGTTACTAATTCCCCATCAATGCAAAACAGAAACAAAAACCGATCTATTCCCGAGGCTAAACATGATTCTTTCCTTTTGATCCATCACCATCCTTTAGCTATATGAATGGATTTTTTTATATAATGATTACATTGGATAATCCATAGATAGAATCTCTCTCAACAAAGTTCAATAATATATATAAAAGGATATCCTGCCGTCGTTTTTACACCTTTTTTTTTTTTTTTTTCTTCTTCGTTTCTGTTTCAATTATATTATGTTTATTAAAGTAAAACCTTCTCAAAAGATAGAAAGACAAAAACAAATTAAACTAAATTACAAAGTTAAAACTAATACAATGAATCCAAGAGTAATCACCGATGATCGACCAATAGATGAGGCAGAGGATTGTTGTTGTTGTTGTTGTTGTTGTTGTTGTTGATTGTTGGGGTTTTGAATGTTGTTCTCGGCACTTGAGGATGATGATGTAGTATTGTCATGAGGAGAATAAGGAGCCAATCCAACACGATTCTGAGCCATATCATAAACAGTATACACAGCACGTAAAGTCGCTTCTCCCAATAACCAAGTAGGGGCAGATGAAAGACTATCACTAGGTTGAGCAGGAGCAATGGCAAACATACAAGAAGTCGCAGTAGCCAGATCATTGGTATCAAGAGGAATAATCAATTCTGAAACAGGTACTGAAATGTCGAGAGGTTGTTGCTGCTTTTCTGTTTTTGATGTCGATAATTGGAAATGGACTGAATCACGCTTGTTGTTTCGTAAGCTACAATCCACTTGATAGATAGAGTTGAATACATCAAATACCGGTTTTTTCTTTGTTGAGATACTTTGTACAATGCCTTTCACCACCGATGCTGGCATATATGTCATTGTCGTACCCGTATCCAATACAAATGGGACCACATCGTTTGTTGTATGAGTATAGTTTTTGGAAGTAGAGACGCCTTGACCAGGTACAGTCCAATAGAGATACGTACCACCTTGTCGCGTGCCATTTTTCTTGCCAACATTAGGAGAAACATGTTGATGTTGAATATCATAATCAATCACTGGGACATAGATCAATTCACCGGAAAATTTGGTCTTATCCACTCCACCAAAGATGATCTCTCCTCCTCCTGATGATGATGATGATTTCGTTTGATGGCTGTTGGTAAGATAAATTGAAAAAAAAGATAATTGTTGTTGCATTAGATGAAAAGCAAAAGGAATGTCATTTTTTACACCTCGAGCAGAGTTGAGACCAGGATATCCAAGACCGAAAATACCATTGGATTGCGTACCATCCGACACGACACCAAGAATATCCTTTGTATTGTTGACAAGACCAATTTTCTGATTCGATACAGACGTTGTACCAATACTGACAGTATCTTGTCCATACACACCTTCTGCATTGCCCAAACCATATTGAATGGAGAAAACTTCGTTCAACACTGTCAATGTAGATGACTTATTGGGATCAAACCGTTCATAAGGACACACTTTTTTGGGACACTTGGTAGTAGGTACCCATATTTCAGCACTATATATAAATAAATAAGATCAGTTATCATACAAATAAAATATATATATATATGTCTTTGTAATTTACCTGCCAGTGTCTAAAGTCATGTTGAATAGTTGTGGTGGAGTGCCAACACTGACTTGAATAAGATATTCACGACCATTTGCATTGATGAGTTGTTCACGTTTCCTAAACTTGCTTTCATTAACAGATCGACGAAGTAAAGTCATGGCATGTTCATTCCGTAGCAAAGGAGCTCGTATAAGTTCTTGAGGTGTAATGGTATATACGGGCATCACCATACTAGCCAAAATACCAGTAGTGACTAGTAAGGGATTAATATACATGATAAAAAAGAAAAATGAATGGAAGGGGGTTATGAAGAAGAAGAAAAACAAAAACAAAAAAAAGGAAAAGAGGTATAATAAAGAGTTGGCAAAAATAGACTACATTTTTTTTTTTAGTATAAAAAAGAATATGAAGAAAAGTGGTTGTGAAATGATTTCCAGCAAAAAGAAATACCACTTGATTGTCGGACATGGAATATCCAATTGTTCGTATTCTTGGATATTCCCCTCTCCTTGGTACAATTTCTTTTCTTTTTCTTTTTTTAATATTGATTGTCCTTGTAAAATATTTATTTTTTCAAACGGGATCATCATCACCTTCTACTATTTGTTTTAATGATGATCATCATACAGGGAAAAGTGATAAACACGTTTGTCTTTATTTTTGGCATGGCAATCTACCTCAACTCCCGCTTCACGGTACACAAAAAAAAAAAAAAAAAGAATGTATTGAGGTTCCAGTTCCTTTGTCGATATGATCCAATTTAAACATCATACTTTTCTTCTTACCAATCTACAGAGAAATTGGATAATTATCTAGGTATTCACTTTGCTAGTTTCTTCTTTTTTTTTTTCTTTCTATCATATATTCCTATTTTTTTTTATTTTATTTTATTTTATTTTTTTTACATGATTCAATTGATAAAAAAATAAAAAAGTTATTTTTAGAGAGTTTTCTTTCAACCATTGATTAGTTATTCAGTATAAAATGATTTTTGTGATCTATCTATTGATATGATATGATGTGATCAAGCTAAAAATATATGATCGGGACAAGATAATGGCATGAATCAGGGCAAAAAAAGCTGCTGAGCCCAAATCACAGGGATGATAAAAAAAAAAAAGTGATGAAATTAGAATCACAAAAAAAAAAGGGCTTCTTATTTATTATGTCTTTATATAAACAAACAGGATGATTAGATGATGAAAGACAAAAAAACATTATGGGTTCTCTTTTTTTTTTGTCTTTTTTTTTTTTCTTCTTGTTCTTTCCCCCTTCTTTTTGATTGAAAAAAATAAATAAATTAGAATCTATTGATGAAAGAATGGTTAAAGTATAGATTCATGATTTTATGGCACTTTATTCTCCTTTCTTGGTATTGTCAAGCTCAACCAGAATCTTCCGATAATATTCTTCTTTTACTTTCTACCACTGCATCATCATTACCAGAAAGTAAGTGATCATCTTTTTTTTTTTTTTGATGCAATTGAAGTATTAAATTCTTCTAGTTTCCCTTTAAACTTTTTTTTTTATCAGTTGAAACCAATATTAATACAACATCTATCAACAGTACTAATAGTATTAACAGCACATATATTACCATCTATCCTCAAAGATGGACTATAGTAAGTTTTTTTTTAAAAAAAGTTGTTATGTCCAATAAAAGATTCATTCATTATTTCCTTTTGTTTTTTTGTTTTTTTTTTTAAAAAAAAAAAGATTGTTGGTATTGTATTTGCATCACTGACTTTATTACTTTTAACTATTGGAACAGCATTGACTCTTCATATGAGACATAACAAACGAAAATCAAAAGAACTTAAAGCACTCTATTATTATAATTCTTCTACTCTTATACAACATCAAAAAGAGAAATCATCTATTCACCGACATCATCTCTTCCTGCGAAACAACAAACAACAGACAATCATCATTGATCCACAATTTCAATCTGCTATTCAACATGCATCCATGATTCCTTCTTCACCTACATTATCACAATAATAAAAATATACATTAGGGGTCATTATGTCATCTAGTCACGGGAATGATGCAGGCCAATTTGTATGACAATGGCTAAATTTTTGTCCCCGAATTTTAAAATGCGGGGTAAATGATATTTCATTGGTTGATTGAAATAAGCTTCAATGTCTTTCCGTTTTTTTTTTTTTTTATGAGAATGAAGGACGTCACCCATAAGAATGCAAATCAATCAAAAAAGATTTTCCTTTTTTTTTTTTTTTAAAGAAGAAGAAAGAAAAAGAAAATAAATAGGAGAAAGGGAGATTGATCAAATGGAATTTCCCGAAAGAGTATGGATCGAATCTTCACATGTCAAGCGGATACTCAATTTCATTTTTTTTTAACTCTTATAATTTTTTTTTCTTTTATTTTTTTTTTCTTATATTTTTTTTTCTTTCTTTTCTTTATCTCCTCCCTTTTTAATATGTCTACTTTATTAAAGACTGATATTTCTCATCGATTATTACCTAGTTGGGTATTACGCATAGTCGGTTTCTCGTCTTTTGCCGTTGCTTTGATCAACTTTTTATTCCTATTATGTCGTCGTACCACTCGTCGTTATATCAAGAAACCTCCTGCTTATCAACCAACTTCTTTGAAAAGAACAAGTAGTAGTTTAGCCAATATCCAACAAGAGGTAATGACCAATCTATTACAATAAAGAAAACACTTTTAACTTTATTTTTTTTTTTAGTGCATGTCAAGATCTTCTCCTTATGCACGTACTCCTTCACCGCAATCAAATAATAGATGGAGATCACGTTTAGTAGATAATGTCATAGCTGCTACATCTGTACTCAAAAAGAAGAAAAAGTTGACGATTTCTTTGAAAAATGTAAGTATATATAAAAAGGTGAAATAAAAAGTTATTTACACTTATCTTCTTTATAGACTATTCTATGGAATCCTTCTCAAGATGTAGATGTTTCTAATCATGCATTCCATGAAAATGCTGTATTATTATTATCTCGATTATGTCAACAATATGAAGTTCATTTATTGATCCATATCAACAATCCAGACGAACACGAACAAATCAAACGATTATTGACTCCTATCATCTCTGGTCATTCATCCAACATTCTTTTGGACTTGACACGCATTCATTATTGTCATGATGAAAAGACAAAACTTCATTTGGTACAACATGTACTTTGTCCTGCTATTCATGTAGAAGGTGGTTGGGAACTTGATGATGGTGAAGATATGGTACGTGAATTACGTTCTTCAGTCACCAAGTTGATCTGGGTCATTACTCGACGACGACGGGCATCTTTCAATAAAGAGGACATGAAACTTTCGGATCAAGATATATTGGCTGATAATGTGGAATTGACAGATTCTTTATTGGATACTTCTTTGGCTCGTGATCTTGGTTTTGTTGTATGATATCCCCTCCTTTGTTTTTTACCCTTTAGATTTGTACATTTGTTTAGAACCTATTTATACACATATACTTATTTTAATATTTTACCCTACATCTTTTTTTATTCTTTCAATAAAATCTCTTATTTCCCTATTCCTTCTTGATCAATAATAAGAATAATAAAAAAAAACACACTTCCTTTTTTTTTTTTTTTTTTTTTTTTTTGTTTGCATCATCATCAGTCATTAAATAGTTGGGATTTTTCTTTGCAACTATAAGTAAATCTATTCAAATTGTGATCATCTTGACGTTTTCATCTTTATTCAACATGAATAAAACCTATTATTTCTTCAAAACATCAACCCCTCCCATTTTATTTCTATCAATCATAAATAAAGTATAACTACACTGTAACTAATCTATCAATAATAATGATTCATCTGTGGCATCATTTTCTTCACGTAAAAGGTCTATAAATAGAAAAAGTGGATGAATATCAGTCCTTTTCTTTTTTATCTTTATTTTATTTCTTACCAGACCAAGTGTTATGCTCCAATTGTCCTACCAATTCAGTGACATCAGATGGGGTCATATGATCCATTGTAGAATCCAATGCATAATAAACTGTAAATGTATCGACTTGATCTTTCGTTTCATCCAGAACCTCTTTTTGCCATGAGAGATTTGAATCACTTGCTTGCGAAATAGTGCCTTGTCTTTTGTCTTGTACTGAAAGTCTTTTGATGGGTGAGATAGGTGATGCAAGTCGATCTGGTTGAAGTGAAATGAATGAATGCGATCTAGATGATGCACGCTTCTTCTGTATTCGAGAATCCATAGGAGGTACTGCAATGGGCGAAATGGTCTTGCTGGTATCGATGATCAGTGGTGAAGGCCGTAATGGTGATCCTACCTCCTCATTCTCTGTTGCTAATGGATGTTGTGATGGTGGTTGATTAATAACGATAGCAGGCACCGGCGATCCATTCGGACCGGATGATGATGATGGTGATGGATGATCTGTAGTAGTCATCACGTAGTTATCCATGTCCCTTACGTATTCCGAGTTGATTTCATTGTCATTTGGTGGAAATAAATCATTTGGACGTTCGATGACAACGGATGAATGACGCTGTAATTCAAAATCACTGGATCCAACTGATGTCACATTACTGGAAGGAGATTGCCAATCGGCATACAAGCTCATATTCATCATTTGGTTGTCGTGTAGTTGTTGTAATTCCTTGATATACTCTCGGCGTTGTATAAGCATGTTAACTGCATTCTTTGCTTTTTCCGTAGCCAAAATCTTCCTGATGCATTCTTGTTGTCGAGACCATTCCACAAATCCAACAAATCTAATATTCAAAAAAAAAAAAAATAAACTAAATATAAAAATAAAAATCAAAATGAACATACGTGAGAGCTTTTGTTGTATCAACAAGTCGAAGGGCCAAGATTTGAAGAACAGAATGAAACGCAATTCCCCTTGATGTCGCTGTCAATAGAATTTCCTAGATTATAGAATAATCAGTTATTGTTTGTATGATGAATATCTTTTTATGACTTACATGATAAACACGATTATATTCCTCTTTGTTGGCACGCACAAGTGGTACATCCATATCTGAAAGTTTTTTGTTGACTTCATAGTAGTTGTAATATCTTTCACCAAGGATATTGTTGGATGCAAATTGATTTTGTAGCCGTGATGAGCTCAAAGGAACTGAGGCAAGATGAGTCATATCCGCATCCATTTGATCACTAGCTTTGAGAAGACTTGCCAAACTGTGAGATTTTCCATAGATTCGCATAGCCAATGTTCCTTGAAGACTCTAATATTTAAATGGATTGTACATAAAAAAAAAAGTGAGATCATCGTCAATCATGTAGACTAAAAAAAAAAAAAAAAAAAAAAGAAAACACAATCATTGACTTACCCGTAAAAAACCAGGAACATCATCCTTTTTTATGAACCCAGTGGCTTTTGGATCATATTCCTCCCATGATGACTTGTAACTAAAGGAGAAAAGTACATAGTTTAGAATTTGTTGATATAATGTAAACTGATCATCACTTACTGCCTAAGATCTGCTCGCGTCAGTTGAGTGAATTTGTTCCGTTTATCGAATGTAAAACTAAAATTATTGATAACAACCTATAAAAACAAAAGTATGAATTTTTTTTTCTAATCTATATTTAATTTTTTTTTTGTCTATTATAATTACCACTGTGAATAAATTGACAAAGATATATGTACAAACCACGTAGAAGAGAATAAATAGTGTATAGGCAGCAATTGGAGAACCACAATCTTTCCCTTGAACACAATTTGGAGGTTCCACCGCAAAATCATGCATCAAAAAGTCCTATTTGACAATCAAGATAAGTATCCATACTATCATCCTTTATTTTTTTTGTTTTTTTTTTTACCCAATTTTCTCCTGTAGTAATTCGAAATAGGGTTAAGAAACCTGTTGATAGAGTTCGGAAATTGGCATTATGGCTTCCATAAGGTCCATATCTTGTCCAATCAAATAATTCTTGGAATATAACAGCGAAACAAAGCATCACCAATACGAATGCACCAGTGACATAACCAATGGATGGAAGTGCTTTCCTAAAATGATGATAACGAGTAAAATCAATGAATGATCCCCTCTATTCCCCTTTTTTGATATCACTTACTGAGTGGTTCTTAACAGAGTATCCAAAGAATCAATCCTTTGAGCTAGACGGAAAGCAAGACCAACTTGAGCGAGATTGTACATCACCTCTAATGAGAACTAGTTTGTAACAAAAATAAATAAATAATAATTATTAGTGGTCAGTAAATCATAATATGAATTCGCTGCTTTACAGATTCTTCAAGGAATAGTTTCAAGATACTAGTTGTAATGGCTAAATGATAAATAAGGATTAATCATTGGATAACTTCATTGAGAGAAATGATTCTGTAGTTACCTGATATTACCACCACAATGTCATAAATATTCCATCGAGAAGAAGTAAGCTATAAATATACCAAATATGAATTACGAAAAAAAAAGAATGAAGATTTCACATTTGATTACCTTCCTCGGACCCAAACCAAGAACTTTGATCAAGATTTCCAAAGTATAAATAATCAGAAAACCATAATATAGACGATCTAATAAAAAAAATATTCCCAATAAAAAAGAATGAATCAATTTAATAATCATTCTTTTTATATTGTTATCATTTATTTACCTTGCAAATTGGTCATCCATATTGGTTGATTCAAAAATTTGGAAGCAAAGACGGCTAAATAAAAAAAAAAAAAAAAGATGGATAAATAATCATAGCTCACAAATCCCTACCAAAAATCAACTTACTAATATTAGCCATAGATACCAAAGCCATGATTTGAGCAAATTTTCCACGTCGATTAATAACAAGATCATAACACATGGCTCGAAGATTTCCTTCAGGTCTTCCCACTTTTCTTGATGGTTTGACCAAGGAGAGTTGACGTTGTAAATCTTGAAATTGTCGTTGAGCATTTGTCAGTGAGGATATGCCACTTCTTTGTTTGAATGTTTCCAGGAATACCTAGAAATAAATAATAGAATGAGATAATTATCAAATCCCAAATAATTTTGTATCTTACGCCAATGAATAATTGAATAGTACATAAGGAAGCTACAAACATAAATACAATGTAATAGATAGAGTAAGTGATAGATGATTCAAACCAATTAAATTTGGGTTGTGAATATAAGGAGGGTGCCACGCTCATTGCTGTAAAGAGAGATAAGATCTATTAGACGGACATCATATAAAATAAATAGTTAATATTGTCTCATCATTCTAAAAAATAAAAAATAAAAAAAAAAAACTTCTTTTCAACTTACCCAACCTTCACCAGAAGCACATTCGAACAAATGGAGAAGAGCCTTTTCAAACGTATCAAAGGAATAATCGTACGGATTACGCCAAACTCGAGGAATAAATATACCTTGATTATCGTCATCAGTTGATTGATATTCACCCCAACAGCCAGATTTACCACCAACATCACCATCGTTGCAAAGAGAAAACCTTCCACCAAAGAGGAAACACCCGTAAATAGCAAAAGGAATAAACACCAAAAGATTGAGAGTAGCCGCATCCAATAGTTTAGGAAGTCCATACATAATATCTAAAAAGATCACTCGTGTTCCATGAATGTAACGTATCAAATGCATAATCCGTAGTGTTCGTAAGCATCGAAGAATACTAGCTCTTTCGTTGGTATTGTGATTATCCTTCAAAACTATCATCACAATCACTTGCGCAATGAGTGAAGCAAAGTCCAAATCATTCCATATACTTCGTAAGTATGATTCTGGCAGCATGATGACCCCGGTATTGATCATGTGCACAACTATGTCTATAAAAAACACAACCAATAATCCAATTTGAATATATTCCATGACTTGCGTTGCTTCAGGATGAGTCGTTCGAAATTGATAGTCGGTATAGATGGCAAGTACCAAACTTAAGCAAATAAAAGAAACCATAACAGCAGCATAGGAGATACGATTTGTTGCTTTGGCACACCAGTGACGGATAGGATTACTTGGCTTGAGCATTACCATGCTTCGGAAGAGATTCAGATTTTCAAGTACCATTGCTTTGTTTTCTTTGGCCACATTCAACTCGTATTCATCACCATATTTGACCAGAGGATCCACAGAATCTTGATTGATAATTAGATCACTAGGTACAGACACTTGAGCACTAGCAATTGATCTATATATATATATATATATATATATATATATAAGTAACATGATGACCCTCATTTTATCATTTTTCTTCACTTACACGTTTGACGCTGTACGTCTTAATGATTTTCGTACTTGGACCGAGTTTGACCGAGATGAACGTCTAGATAACATTTGTTCAAGGTTTGGTTCCTCTTCTTGTTCTAAAAAGTCTTGAAAGTCGGATTTTTTCACAGGTGCAACTAATGTTTGAGGTAAGTCCTCCACTTTTAAACCTCTTTGCTCTTGTTTCACAAACATGGGCAGTAGGAATCTATTAAAAAAAAAAAAAAGAAAGTAAATTTCAATGAAGATGATTATTCCTTTTTATCTTTTTTTTTTTTATTATTATTATTCCCTTTTTTCCTCATTACCTGCTTATAACGTCCAATTGAAAGTATTCAGGTTGCCATCGATGTTGACGAATATATTTCTTGATTTGAATTTGCCTGATTTCATCTTCATCCAAATCAAAGTTTTCCAAGATAACAGCAATAAAGAGATTGAGCACCATATCTATATTATTCAAAATAAAAAGAATAAAACCAGTTTTCAATATCTTTTTTTTTTTTTTTTTGTCTTTTGCTTTAATAATATCACTTACAATGAATAGCCATATAGAGAAATAACATAAAGAGCCCAGCGAATACCACTGTTGAATACGATTGACTGTGCATAGCATCATAGAGAATATCCTAAAATGAATAATCATAACATAAGCATATATGAAATATACATATATATATATATATATATATATATGTATGAATTTCAATTTCAATTTACCGTCCAGTTTTCACCTGTCATGATCTAATTATTTAAAATAAGAAGATGAGATAAAATATATTCAAGAAAAAAAGATATTGCTTGCTTACTTGAAAAAGAGATAGGAAGGATTGATAAAAATTATCGAATCGCATCACAGGATCATCCATTCCAGCTGTGCCTTGAAAATCACCACCAAAAAGCTGGACAGCAATAGGACTAAAAAGAAACAGTACGATAAAGGTAAAGAAGGTCAAATTGATAATCCCTTGGCCATCACCAATCACATCCGACTAGTAAAGTTAACCATGATCCATCCAATAATAGTAGATATATGTGAAAAAAAGGGGAGTTAGTTTTCGTATGTGTATGAACCTAAATATTCATATTACCAAAAGTTGCAAAACTCTTGGAAAAAAATACACTAATCGATAAGTTCTTGCTACTGCAAATATTTGTAAGAATTGATACAATCGACTAGAAGAAGATACAAATAGAGTTGTACATAGGCATCCAATGGCAAGAAAAGTATCCACTTGATTCCGTACTAGAAAAAGAAAAATAAAAAAAAAGTGAAGGTAATAATAGAGAAGAATACAAGGATGTCACGATGTATTTTATATATATAAAAAAGGATATGAGTTGAGTCCCAAAACTGTGAAAAGTTGTCATGACCACAAATTCGAATAATCAGTTCGATCAAAAATACCAAACAAAATCCAGATTCAATCAAAACTATATATATATAAAAAGGTTAATGAATGATTCAACCAATTGTCACTACTAATAATCTCTACGATCAATTTGTCTAATTACTTACACATTTTTGTTGTATGCTTTCCAGGAGCTTCAGCACTGAAGATGGCCATAATCACCGTGTTGATAACCACTAATACACTTCCAGAAAGCACAAACCATTTACTCGTGATGATATTGTTCAACTTCCGGTGTAAGCGATGAGAACGGCGGATCAATGGATTACTTGCTCCATGATGTCCTTCATATACCCAATCATCATTCACATCGTTGTTATCGTTGCCTGTCTCTTCATCTGTTCTTTGATGATCCTTTTTCGCGTCGTCATTGCTTTTGGATGTTCTTTCAATATTTCTTGATAAAAGTACCCTTGTTTTACGTTGACTGGCAAAGGCACTTTGCCGAATAGTACCACGAAGATTGGAAAAAGATGTTGTGATGACGGCTAAATAAAAAAAGAAAATTATCAACAAGTTCTTTTTTTTTTTTCTGAAAAATAATAGTAATCACTTACCAATAAACATGGGAACCAAAATAAATGTCATCAAGTAAAGACAAAAGCAGTAAAAGATACTAGAAGCCATAGTGGAAATAGAGTCTTGGCTCATATACTTCAAATCAGTCCAACCTTCTGTAGAAATCACCGTAAATATATTGAGCATGGCATAAAAAATGTTATCATAGTTGATATATGACCATCCAGGTAAATTCTTGGCACTTTGAATACATGCCTGTCCCAACTTGCAAGTATATCCATCGTTGCTACGACTAGTTATCATGTCGCCAGTATCAAGAACAAATACACCAGATTTATGAGATATTGAATCATAATAACTGTTGCACATCTGTGGTGGGTTAGCATAAGTGATATCTATCATTTCATAAAAAAAAAAAAGTGAGTTGTTCCATTATAAGTATTTTTTTTTTTTAAAAAAAAAAAGAAAAGTAAGATACTTACTTTCCATATTCTTATGAAGACCACCTTCTGGTATGACAGCACATCGACGAGAAAAAGAATTTGTAAACAGGAAAAGAGCCAGTAATGAGAATAATAACCAGAAAAAAACAAAAAATCCAAATACATTGCATAAAATGAGGAAACAGGTTTCCAAAGATTGCATGATGATCTATTATAAATCAAAAATCAAAAAAAAAAATTGAATTAAACTAGTTTCAAAACTGATCTTGTCACTTACTGTTGTGCCTTCTGTCATGGTAAGGAATCGTAATATACGAATAGATGACAAAGCTGCTAAAATAGAGACCATTGCGTCATTGTCCAAAAGAATGATATGTAACCAAAATGCTGACACTGCAATCACATCCAAAATACTTCGGGTATTACTGAGAAAAGGTAGATGACTAATTTTGAAAAATTCAAGAGAAGGTGTTCCATTTTTTTCACTTGTTGTTTCATCACCTATTTGTTGAGTAAACGGATGATCACTTATGGTAGGTGACTGTTGCTGTTGATCTTGATTGACTAGAAACGGGCTTTGTTCATTGACAGGTCGAGCAGGTGAAGCAGAATTCGATGAAGGTATTGAGCGCTGTGGTGAAGGTTGATATATATTATTGTCTGTGTGATTGTTGATAGGACCAGGAGACAAATCTGTAGTAGCCCAAGGTGCTTGACGACTGGTTCTACCACTGTGGTCATTGGAAGGCAAAGATGATGGTGAACCAAAAATGCGTGGCATCACGTTGGGTGGTATATTTCCTTGACCTGATGATCGATGTGTCATGGGTGGACTTGAAGGTTCATTAGGTTTTCTGGATTGAAACCGTATCTTTTCCCATATACCAATCAAAAATAATTCTTTGATGTTTTGTACAATATTTGGTTGACTTGGTGATGATGTATGGAGAACAAAGCCATAAACGATTATCTTGGCCACAATTTCTAATCTGTATTAAAAAAAAAAAAAAAAAAAAAAAAAAAAAAAAGACAATCAATATTTCATTTCCATTTTTTTTTTTTATATGATACTTACAATACAACACTATTGATCACACAAAGAATGGGGATTTGAGCACTAGTAATAGATGTTTTCTGCTCATGATTTTGAATAGGTATACAGGATAAGACCAACCATTGAATGAATAAAAGTAATAACGACAACAGTTCATACCATCTAAATCAGTATAACATATCAGTACCAATATAACATATTTTTTTTTTTTTAAAAAAAAACAGAGTTGATCATGGAATTACCTTGAAGCTATCACCATCCAGAGATATAACCGGATTTTGCTTGAAGGAGAGAATAACCACAAAGACCAACCATCGAATTGAATACAAGAAGTTTGATCATCCTTGAAGGAGGGAATAGACGGAGAGACAGGAACTTCATCAGGTGTCAAATAGGCGTTACTGTTATCGCGATTCATTCCAAAAGCAACAGATAATCTACGGGCAAGATGTTTTGTGGGTGTGATCAAAAAGGATTTGCTTGTGGGTATTCTTGTATCATGTTCAACATCCGAGGATGCATTGGATGGCGTCGGAATCGATATGACTTGTTCTTCTGGGGTTATATGAGATCTTTCAGGCGATATTGAAGTTGGTTCAAAAGAAGTTGGAGGCAAAGGAGATCGTTCATTAGAATGACGTGGAGAAGAATCCTGAATATTTGGGGCAAATGGAAATATTTTACCAAGACTTCCAAGTCGCTGTCGTTGACGAATAGGTGTAGGTGAAGTGGATGGTGTACTGGTGTTGTTGGTATGATTGCGTGATTCATCGTTATCAATAATAAAAGATGAGTGAGAATGATCGTCAGGTTCAACAAGGATATCAGTGGCCGGAGCAAGTTGGTTGCCTTTGCTACGAGATGTACGTCTTTGTTGTTGTTGTTGTTCAAAGTGGCTTTCGTTGTCACTATCGTATCCAGGTAAATGTAGAATGGATTCTTTTTGAAGAGCGCGCATAAATGTAGCCAAAGCTTTAATATCAGTAACCGTCATTCGTGTTGGAGCCAGTTCACAATTCCTAGTATCCATTACACGTTCCGCCATGTCGATAAGCCGCACTTGAAAAGATGTCCATATATGTTGAAGCCAAGATAAACCTGGATAATCAAGGTGAGCTGCATTGTTTTTGTTTAAAGTGGTAGAGTTGCGTGCAATGGTTAAAAATTTGGAAAGACGCTTTTGTCGTAAAGAGGGTAAAGACCGGGATTTGAAATGCAAGGCGGCAGGTGTTAATTTCTTGTAATCAGGATGAAGATGATGATCTGATGATGAATATTGACTGAATGGTGGCCTTGCAAAAGAATAGCGTATAGAAGATTTACGTCGATGAGATTTATATGCTGATGGTACTGGAATGGATCTTCCAATACTACTTTTAAAGTTTCCTGTATTATTGTCGTCCGAATATGTATATTGTGAAATAGGTATTGTACGTTGGGAAGATGTGGAGTATTGTTTACCAGCATGTAATGGTTGATCATCATCTTTTTTATTCTTTGTAGATACTGAACCTTCTGATACCTTTTTATCAATATCGATTACATCAAGATTGTATTTAGAATATGGGATATGTCCACTAGCTATACTCTGTCGTCGTTTTGGTGTTCGTCTTCTTGAAGACATAACTTGTAACTTGAGAGCATCCAATTTATTTTTCTTTTCCAAACGATCTTTTGTTAAAGGAGGGTAACATTCTTGAAGATGAAATAATGTCGTCAATCGAGAAGAAGTAGATGATAAACGTCTATCATTAGGTGGTGGTGATGATGATAATATATCAGGATGACGTTGAAAAAAAGTGGGTGAACTGGTATCCGATCGTCTTGTTTTTTTCATGCTGTTCAAATGAAAAAAAATAAAATAAAAAATAAAAAAAAAAACATTTATATAAAGTTTTATCATTTATGTCAAAACTCGGGAATTTTCTGAATTTAAAAATTTAGGCCACTGTCATTTGACTTTTTTTTTTTTGTCAATGTTTCTGCTTTCTTTCTTTCACCTTCTTTCTTATTGCTTATGAACTTTTCGTGTGGTTGCCTATTTGATAAATCCGTCAAGGAACCTCATTTCAAAAAGACGAAATATTTTGAAGATCTCAGTGCAAGTTTTGCCATCAATGCTAAACATGAACAACTAGGTGCTCAGTAAGTGAATATTAACATGAAACAAAACAAAGTCTCTAATTGTTTTTTTTTTTTTAATAAAAAGTTATTCTTGGTTGGTACAATTACATAAGCCCTTAGGTGTAAAGGACCCTTATATTGAAGCAACTTTAGAAAACCCTATGGATCCATCAAAACCTTTACAAGTTCAAGCCATTCGGTTAGAAAATTCAGATAGCCAAAACCAATTCCCTCATCCAAGATACTATGTACTTTCTCCTGATATTGGTGGATTGAACTGTGGATTATATAAAATGAAGCTTACTGCGTATACTGACAAAACAAAATCAAAAGTAATTGGTCAACATGAAAATGAATTACTCTCGCGTGTTAATACTGATACTTGTTACAAGGCAGAATTTATGGAGAAAATGAATGCGGCTGCTAGATATGCTGAACAAGATTGGGAAACTAGACAATGATGATAGATATTGTATTTTATAGATTAGATTAGTAGTGATATAGTATCTTTTTTGTATCAATAGACCATTCTTCTTTTTCATTGATGTAAGATAGTTATGACGGAGTTGAAAAGAAGACGCATTTCTACCTTTTTTTCTAAATTCCTTTTTGTTTACGTTTTTTTTTTTTTTTTTTTTCTTATTTCATTCTTTACTCTTTTTTTCTTTTTACTCATTAATCATCAATGCCGCTTCAAGTCATAGGTGCTGGTCTTGGAAGGACCGGAACTCAAAGTTTAGCTGCAGCTTTAGAAATATTACAGTAAAGAAAACTATCATTCTTCCTATTTATATGATATGACCTGCTTGTTTCTACTTTTTAACTTTTTTTTTTTTTGTTATAGATATCGTACACACTCTATGGTGAATGTACTTACGGATCCAACACAAGACCCTGGTGTATGGTTACGAGCGAAAGAACAACCTTTAGAACATAAAGATGAATGGGAAACTGTTTATGGCAACTACGATGCAGCAGTAGGTTGGCCTACCGTGAATTGTTACAAGGAACTCATGGACAAATATCCTGATGCTAAAGTGATTTTAACACTTCGAGACCCTAACGAATGGTACGACTTGATGCTCAATACTATCTTCACCCAAGTTCATTTCCAATTACCTATCAATGCTCCTCACCATTTGAATCATGCTGTTGCCATGTTGAAGTCTGTTGTCTTGGATGGTCAAACGCCTAGTCTTGCCGACCCAGAAGCTGACCGAGCTAAATTTATAAAGATATACAATGATCATGTCGAACAAGTCAAGCAATATGTACCTGCTCATCGGATGCTTATCATGGAACTCAATGAAGGCTGGGTAAGTTGATTTATTTTTTTTAAACATCAAGGATTCAATTTTGATCGTTTGGTTTTTTATGAATGTTTTTTTAGGATCGTTTATGCGCGTTTTTGGGCAAGCCTATACCAAACGTACCTTATCCTGCTTTGAATTATGCTGATGATTTTGGAACTCATTTTTATAGTTTATTGGAACAACTGAACGAAAATCTCAAGAAAATGGAGGATCATGCTTAGACTAGATTGAAAATATATCACCTTCCCTATAATAGAATAGCTTTTCTCTCAATTAAAATATACTTTTTTTCTTTTTTTTTACATTATTTTTATACATCTCAAATAAAAAAAATGTCCATTCCCTTTTTTTTTTTTTTGTAGTATCATATTCTTCAAATCCTATGCATATATATATAAACATATGCATTATCCCATCATCCCATATCAAATAATACAAGATTAAATAAACCAAAACAAAAAAAAAAGAATATTTTTTATTTACAAATCACAAAAACAAAATGGTTCAATAAAAATAATTAACGTCGACTACGTCTGGAAGAACGTCTTCGATAGTTTCTACTACGATCACTATCACTATCACTTTCACTACGACTATCACTACGGCTATCACTATCACTATCGCTGGCACTATCGCTGGCACTATCAGTATCGCTACCGCTGCTGCTACCACTACTGCTTTCACTACCACTGCTGCTATCGGTGTCGCTGTCACTGCTACTGTCATCCCTTTGTCCCTTCATGATTTGTTGAGGAGCCGTTCGTAACCAATCTCGTAAATCTTCTGTCAAAGCACCAAGACCAATACTTGTCCAATAGTTGATGGCAAATCGAGTATTCTTAGGATTATCTCTTGGGAACATACCAGTGAAACTGTCAACAAAATCAGGATCTTCCAGGCGTGCTTTCAGTTTTTTGAGACCCATGAATTCACTGATTTCTTGGAATAAGATCTTGATAAAAATACGGGATGCTGATGTTGTGTCATCTTCCGTGAGTCGGATCACAGAGAAACATGTCCATGGTAGAGAATCAGTGAAAAAGACATGACCAAAGAGTTTGGCAATATTTCGTAAACGATTGGTTTCATATCGATGCACCGTTTCAAAAGTTTCTTCAAAAGCTTTGATAAAGTTGTCCGCCCATACACGACTCATTTTGCAAAATCGTTCCGCCATAAGACCATAGAATTTAAGATAAGTTCTTTCTTGAGAACAACATTCGATAATCATATTACAAAGTTCGATCTAAATGAATAAGAAAAAAAAAGAGAGAGTGAGTATAATAAAGTTTGACAGTTTTTTTTTTTTTTTTTTTTTTTGTTGGCTATTTTCATCATTGTACCTCTTGTCCTTCAGGAATTGTTAATTTCATCAGCTTGTGACAACATTCTTCAAAGTCAACACTGGACATCACGGTCAAATAGATTTTTCGTCGAAGATCCACCACATCAGCACCAGTTTCGTCCCGAATATCCATACCTTGATCTTCTTCTTCACTTTCACTTTCTTCTTCACTACCTTCATCACTTTCACCACTTTCAGATTCGGCATCCGATCCATCCCCTAGGATTTCTCTCTTGATGGCTGTGTACTTTTCTTCGTTTTCTTCATAGTCAGGATCATATTTGAATATGTTGAGTTCGTCTTCTACATCCAGATCTTCGTCGTCCAATGCGATTTGATGGGTGATCTGATCTTCTTCTTCTACCAAGTCGAGTTCTGTCATAATAGGTTGATTATCCTTGTATTTATCTTTGCGAACTTGGAATAGTACTTCAATCATATATTGTACACGTTTGTCAATGTCGCCTTCATGAAGAATAGATCGAAACCGTTCAAAAATACCATTATCTACTTTGGGATTTACTGCAGCCAAATGAGCACCCACTTCACGCATAAAACCCACTGCAATTTCAACCGAGTCATCTGTAGGTCGTTCCAACATTAAGAAGAGCATTTGCATGGCCAGAATTTCTTGAACTACCAATTGATTGGTAAGATGAGCGATGAATCGACAAACAGCTAAACAAACAGTCTATGTTGAAAAAGAAAAGAAAAAAAAAAGTTAAAATTTTTAAAAATACAAACAATCAGTTTCTTACCTTGTCATTTCGACGGAATGCACGACGAAATTGAATTACCAATCGAGTCACCAAAAGACCACCAATAGAAGGAAGTTTTGTATTGATCACAGCCACCATACTTGCATAGATAGGAGTGAAAGGTATACTGGCACTTTGAGCTTTCATGATGCTTTTACAGAATAGACCACGTCCACGTACCAGATTTTCACCAAATAGTTCAGGAACGATCATCTTGAGATTACCAACATTGACTTTGTTGATCAAACCATTGATGGACTTTTTCAAAGCTTCCCAGGTCATACGTTGATAATCTTCACTTGATTTATCCGTCATATTTTGTTGTAGTTGACGTAAACGATGAGGAGGAATGTAAGCGCCACCACCTCGAGTAAGTTTTAAACTCTCCATTGCTTGGGAGGAATCCAATTTTCGTCTTTTTACACTATCTTCAACTTGAGCCATGTTTGGTATACTGCTGATTCAAATAAGTTGCTAAAGTCGATGATAGAACGATTTAAATGTTGATAATTAATTAGAAAGAGAGAAGAAGAGTAGAAGAAGAGAAAAAAAATAAAATAGACAAAAAAGAAAAAACAATTCAAAAGAGACTCCGATAACAAAAAATCATCTTTCTGCGGTGCGTCATCTGGGAGATGTGATTGGATGAAATTCAATTTGAAGTCATATGCACGATACCTAACTACTATTACTACTACTTGCTGCTTCAATGAAACTCATAAATTAATTATCATCTGTTAAAAAGGACTTATATATATTTAATAATTTTCAACTATAAAGTAAAAGTTTCTATACTGGAACACTATATGCCACAGTTGATATTTTATTAAGACACGCGTTTTGATAGAATATAATTTCAATCACCGGAACTCTTTTCTTTCTTTCTTTTTTTTTTTTTTTTTTTTTTTTTTTTTTTTTTTTTTTTAAAAAAAAAAAAATACTGTTTCTTTTTATTATTAATATTTTCACGGATAATTATGGATTATACCTCACATACAATAACAGCACACCAATCAGTTGACGACAGGATAAAGAATGATTCAGAAACAGAAGCTCGACACTTTGACATACGATTCTCACGATTAAAGCGACGAAAACCAGTGATTGATCCAACAAAAATAGGCATTACTTACCGACCACGACGTAATCGACAGCGCGAATCACAGGCAGGAAGTAGTGATCTATCCGTGATCTCTTACAATAGTAACTCTACATTTGGCCGTTTTGATCAACATACCCAAGAGGCTCCAATATTCCAAGAAAACAACGGTACACCAACTAGTCAGCGACAAGGATTCGATATCAAACCCATCACTCACAACGCAGATTTATGGACACGACCTTTATCAGTTGCCCCTTCGCCATCAAGACAACAACAACAGCAACAACAACAACAACAACCTATTGCTACAGCACTGTCAAGCCTGGTAGAGACAACGTTATCAGAGGATCATATAGAAGTGGACGCGGTGCCAGCTAAAACATTAGATAAACAATCGTATCCGATATATAACAAGAAAAGAAGAGTCTCATCGTCATCAAGCGGTTTCTCCGGTATTCTCTCAAATTCGCCATCACCTATTCTGTCGCACACTCCAAGTCCTAACTATGCTAGCGATATCGAAGACAATATACATCCGGATGATAAAGAGTCTCACGCACCAGTGGAGGTCAAAAATTCATATGAAAATAGATGGTTCATGCCTGATGTGTTTATACCAAAGTATGCAATAGAAATACAAATATATATAGAATGTCATGATTATTTATTTACCTTCATACTATTTTACACCCGATTTTAGGAAACCAGAAAAACCAGAACACGATAGGGATAAGTAATAAATGAAAAAAAAAAAAACGAATATTACTAAATGATAAAGTGTATACTAATAGAATGATTAATAATAGTATAAGCCATTGGACTTCAAGGATCATGAATAAATATATGAACACAAAGACAATAGAAGACCTCGTAGAAACATCAACGACGACAAAATCACAAAAAAGGAACGACGATGCATCACTTAAAGAACAACAAGTACTTGGCTTAGAATCAACAAGCAACCTTGCCCTTGATACTATAAATCATCCATTCGATACATCACCTTCCTCCAATGACAATGATAATACTCAAGAGACAGCACATAAATCACCAATAGTTCCGAATGACGAAATAGATGACAAACTATACGAACAATATGATGACTTGGAAGCAGCATTTATATCACATAGTGAACCGAGCTCGGCAAAAGGAAAAGAAAGGATGGTTCACAATGAAACAATTTCTTCGCCTACTATCGATAAAGGAGTACCTTCTCCCATAGATGAACATCAGTCTAATTTGTCAATCAACAACGAAATCATATCATCATCACCATCACCTATTCAGCAAGATTTATCAATTAATGAAGCTCAGCAAACCATGGACATAGGTTCTCCTAGTTGGTCATTTGAGTAAGTAAAAAAAAAAAAAAAAAAAAAAAAAAGAGTCGATTATATTGTGAGTCATAGGATACTTATCTTTTTTATTATTATTATTAGTCAACCATACGCCTCACCTTCTCACGATAGTAATTCTAATCAAGATGGGTAAAATAAATATTATGTCTATATATCAATCTATTCACAAATGAATTGACCTTTTTTTTTCAGAAGGACCAATCAGAAACGAATTGACCCTGAGGCGAATTTTGCGGCACGAATGATAGCTGAACGGAATTCAACAGAAAGGTAAAAAAAAGGTATTTGTTACAATATATTCCTTAATTGTTTGTTATTTTGAAAAAGGAACTCTAAATTGTATGGCATTGTTGCTTCCAATACTGCCAAATGTGTGTTTGCTTCCGGATTACCAAGCGGAATGAAAATGACTGTTGATACTCAGAAAGCCATTGAAGAAGCGTAAGTGAAATAGAAAAGAAATAAGTAAGGATACTCAATTGTTTTTTTTGGATTTCAATAGAACGGATTATTATTTTACACAGTTATGTGATGACTTGAAAGCGTATGCTGACCATACTGGAACTATCAAAATAAGTAAAAGAGAAATGGATTTATTGATGACAAGGTATTTTCAAAAAAAAATTCCCCTTCCCTTTTTTTTTTTTTTACTATTTATAGAGTGAAAAAGGAATTGAATTCTTTTCTTTTATAGACAGCGACTAGTGACGGAAAATACAAGTTTGAATGAACTGGCCCATCGACATTTACCACGAGATTTTTGGGATGAACAATGTGTATCTGCTTTAGCTTACAATTATTTGTACCCTAGAAATAGATGATAGAATGAATCGGAAAAATATGAATGATAATATAAAAAAAAATGTTTATTTTATTTTTATTTGTATAAAAATGGGATATATATGTATATAAAATGTACAAAGGGATAATAATACAATACTAGTGTTTTTTCAAAAGATATTTCAAATGAGTAAAAGGACGAGATAATTTTGAATAAGTATTACTAGTAGTAGTAGTTGTAGGAGTAGAAAAACTATGTGAAGAGGATAAAGAAGAATTTGAAGAAGAAGAATTAGATATCCAAGAGGTACGTTGTTGACTATGTTTCATAGTGGCCTTGAGTTTTTGTTTTAAACGTTGTTTCTTATTTCCATGTTCTTCTCTAATAAGTATAGTATCATCGGCTAAGTCAAGGTCAAGTTGTGATTCGTCCCACCAAGTATGATGTGGTTGTATTGACGACGTATCGGATGGTCGCTTTGTATGAGACTCTGGTAACTGACTAGTAACGGAAGTCGAACTTAATGAGTTTATCTGTAAACTAGTTGTCATAAATATAAAGGGAAAGAAAGAAAGAAAGAAAAAAGAGAGAGAGAGAAAGAGAAAGAAAGAAAGAAAAAAAAAAAAAAGAAAAAAAAGAAAAAAAGGAAAAGAAAAAAAAAATAGGTAAACAGAAAAAAGAATTTCCTTTTTACAGTGTATTCCAATTCGAACTCTTTCTATTTTGTCACCATTTTATTATTTTATACTCACATATTCAAAAGCTCAATGTTATCTTTATCCCTTATATGTTTTTTTTAATCGCATACATATACACACATATATATATTATATACAAATAAAGATACTCCTTGCTTTCATAAAGCACGGTTTTCTTTTTTCTAATTGTTAGATGTTTTAAACCTCAGATTGTAAGCAGGTGACAGATTTGGAAACCTAGGAAAAAAAAAAGGGGAAACTTTTCCATTGAAACACTATCTCCCTTGCTTGGCAATCAAAACACCGCTTCTTATTTTTTTTTTTCTTCTTCTGTTCTTTTCTTTCTTTTTTTCTTTTCTGGGGTTATTATGTCTACAAGATATGCTAGAACAGCTGATAAAGCATTAAATGACAAACATACTTCCATTTTTAATATTTTATTACAAGATGACGACAATAAATTCTGTGCCGATTGTAAACGAAAAGGTATTAAAATATATATTTTTAGACTTTTTTACTTATTTTTCATCTTATATATAGATCCTCGATGGGCATCGTGGAATCTTGGTATCTTTATTTGTATTCGTTGTTCAGGTGTTCACCGTTCATTGGGCGTTCATATAAGCAAAGGTAAATAAAGGACCTTTTTTTTCTTTAAAAAAAAATGAGAATTTTTTTTTTTGATTTGATTTTTTTTCTAGTAAAATCGGTTGATTTGGATACTTGGTTACCAGATCAAGTAGAATCTATGCAGAAATGGGGTAATCTTCGTGCAAATAGGTAAAATAATTTCTCTGAACTACTTTTATATATAATATATTCATTCTTTTTTTTTTCTTTTTAATGTGTTTTCAAGTTATTGGGAAGCTCGTATGATGAATCAACAAGGAATGAAAGATATCAATAATATGGACTCATGGATCAGAATGAAATATGAACAAAAACAATGGGTTTTGACCGAAATCGTACCTGATCCAGCAACTATACCCATCATCAAGGTAAAAATTATACCGAAATAAATCGTCCTTCATCTTTCTCATCCTTTTTTTTTTTTTTTTTTTTTGAATAGCACAATCTTGATGTGAACAAAACTAGTTCTACTGTTTCAACAAAACCACCAATCATTACCGAACATCAGAATACCATAATACAAGTATCAAAATCGTCAATAGAATCTCCCAATGTATCATCAAATAAATCCGACACCAGTTATTCCAATAATCTCGCTAGTTTTCAACAACAACTTTTTGGTCTGACAAAAGGCTTACCATCTTCTGGAATCATTCCACCTGCTCCTCCTACATATCAAAACACTTGGATACAAGACATGACCTCTTCCTCTTCCAAATAATTCCCACTAAAGTAGTTAGTATCATATCAATATTTTTACCGTTGTAGTAATAATCTAGAATATATCCATAACTTGTTTATTTGTTAGTTACTCTTCGTTTCTCCTCACATTTTATTAATTTAATACTATAATAAAACAACATCATTTGATCCAACTTTTTTTTTTTTGTCAAAGCATTTTATCAACCATAAAAGAAGCGGAGAACAAATGAAAATGATTTGTCCTGATTTTTTTTTTCAAACACGACAGCGCGTTTGTTTTTTCGCTTCCTTTCAATTTTCATTCCAATGGCACCTAAAAAAATATCTCGTACCATTTACTTATTATTTACAAAGCAACATGGTCTTCACGTACAAACTGATGCTGTTCGTTATCTTGAAGAAGTATTAAAAAACGATCCAGATTATGCCAATTCTTTAGATACCATATTGAAATCCTATCGCAAATGGAATGAAGGTAAATATATATATATATATATATATATATATAGCATATACTGTCTTTATTTATTCTCACTTTTTTTATCAGACAAACCTGTGGTTATTGTCGATAAGGCTTCCTTGGAACAAGTGGTTCATAGCCTAAAAGCAGAAGCACAAGCAGCCAGTATCAAGACTCCTTTCCAAAAAGAACATGAACTTCAGGATTCTTTACAAGATATGACTATTCACGAAGAAGCTATTGATGTTACTCAACATTTCCATGTGGCTGATGCTTTTAAATTACCACGTTTACAATATGATTATCATCGAAAAGTGTTTTTAACGTAAGGAGAATTATGATAAAAAAGTCGGGATGCATGATGATGATTTTTTTTTTATTTCATAGATCTCCTCAACCATCTGCTTTATTGGGTTCTGCTGGGGATAAGGCAGAAATGTATCGCGATCGAATGAATTTGGTGAAACAACGATTATTACGGAATGAACGCTTTTGTCCAACATCTATGCATTTGGATAAAGAATCTTATATCAAGGTATAATGAATAAATAATCTTCTTATTTATTGACACACACTTTATGTATTTTTTAGATTACACCTATTAAGGCATTGATGGGAAGGGGAGCTCAATTATTCACTATTTTCGGTATGCTTACTCAATTGGAAGAAGGCAAAGTGTTTTTGGAAGATGAAGATGCTCATATAGAATTGGATTTATCTGAAGTGGTAAACATATGATTATTTTTTTAAAAAAAAGGGGACTAACGATATTTCTTTATATGGATTAGACTTTTGAAAGTGGATTATTCACAGATGGTACTTTTGTGATTGTTACTGGTATTTATGGTCAAGATTTAATATTCCATGCACATGACATTAGCTTTCCTCCTCCAGAACCAAGGATAATGACAGAGTAAAAAAAAATCATAATTTATTGATAGTCTCTGTATCCTAAGAATCCTCTTTTTTTTCTTTTTAATAGTATGCTATTCCCTCATGTTGACTTTACTAGCTTACCGAAACTGATGGTGGATGAAGTAAGGATATAAAAAAAAGGGAAAAGTGATTTGTGTATAATCTTATTGATGGTGTCTGATTCTTTTTCCATAGACACAATTACAATTGGAAGAAACAAAGAATGATCAAATCTCATTTATTATATTATCAGATGTCTTTCTGGATCAACCAAAGGTAATTGTTGAATCGAAAGGGATAAAAAATACAAAATGACTAAATAGAACCATTTTTATAGGTGATGAATGCCCTTCGTAGGATATTCGAAAAATATGGAACTGAAAAGATACCTTTAGCATTTATTCTTATTGGTAATTTTTCAAGTCGAGCTCATATCAATAGTGGGATGGAATCAACACAATATAAAGGTAATTTCGAAAGAAAAGAAAGAGAAAAAAAAAATGAAAGGGATGCTGATTTATATATATATATATATATATAGAAAACTTTATGGCATTGGCAGACTTGATTGGCGAATTCACATCCATTGCGACATATTCCAACTTTGTTTTTGTACCTGGATCTCGTGACCCATGGGGTGGCAGTATATTACCACAACCAGCTATTCCAGATATGTTTATTTCACGAATGCATCAAAAGGTGAAACGACTTACTTTTGCCACCAATCCATGCAGGTAAAAACAAAAGAAACCCTTATGGTCTGATCTTATTATTTTTATATGTTGATTTTGTATAGAATCCGTTATTGTACTCAAGATATTGTGATCTTTAGAGAAGATATCCTCAATAGACTATGGCGAAATGTTCTTTTGAATCCAAATACTCAAGTTGAACCCGAACCTGTCAAGCATGTAAGTTGAAACTATTTTGATAATGATTCGTACTCACTCTTTTCTTTCTTTCTTTTTTTTTTCCCCTTCTACATGACTTGTAGCTGGTACGAACATTGATTGATCAAGGTCACCTATGCCCACTACCACTCTCCGTACGACCGATCTATTGGAGTCATGATCATGCTATGAGATTATATCCCTTACCACAATCAGTATGTCATATAGAAAAAAAAATGGTAGAATGAAATACTAATCACCTTTTCTTTTCTGGAATGCCATTCTAGCTTATCTTGGCTGATCATTGTGAAAATTTTGCAATTAATTATGAAGGCACTCATTGTCTTAATCCTGGAAGTTTCGCCAATTCAGACTTTTCATTTGCTATATATTATCCTGGTAGAAAAACATCAGAAAGATGGTAAGAGATATAATCAATATATCTATACATATCGAACTAAATCACTTGTTTTACTAGTTTTGCCACTGAATTTTAGATTAGTTAGTTGGTTAGATCATCATTTTTTTTTATCTTCCGTTTGTACATTAGAAATCATCCCATCCATTCTCTCTTCTCATCTTTAAATATATATAGATATGTAATATTTATGTATGACAATAATAAAAAATTAGATTCTTTCAAACAACATCAAAAACAAAATAGGTATATCAATGGCTAACTAATATTATGGGATCCATCTTTGTCCAATGTCTTGATTCGTAACTTTTCCATATCTCCAGCCATCCTTTCTACCACACCATCCTCTTCAGTATCCTAGAAATAGATTAAAACAATATGAGAAATAGGGATTTGATATTATTTTTTTTTTCTTCTTCCACTTCTTCTTTACCTTTAATGCGGTACATGTATCATCATCATCATCGCTACTATCATCAGTGATATATTCTGGACATCTGGTTGCTGGTCCAAAAGGTCTACCAATCTATACATCCAAAAATAAAAAAAGGAAATCGTATATTGATCAATGATAATAGGGTCAATAAGATGACACTTTTTTTTTTACCTTTCTATAATAATCTTCCAAGGAAGCCAACCTTCTGATCTTCATGGCGGCATAATGATGTTGAATAGATCCAATACTACGTTGCACAGACAGTTCATCGACAATATATTTGAAGGGGACCTTGATGGCGCGTAGCTGCACCAGTAATAGTTCATCTTCATTCGACCATGGTCCACTTGATTTCTCCCTGTCTTTCTTTGCTTGTTGTTCCTTTTGTAGTTCCTGTTGTTGTTGCTGTTGTTGTTCTTGCCGTTGTTCTAGTTGTTCCTTTTTTCGTTGTTGTTGTTGTTGTTGTTCCTGCTGTTGTTCTTGCTGTTGTTCTTGCTGTTGTTCTTGCTGTTGTTCTTGCCGCTGTTCCTGTTGTTCCTGTTGTTCCTTCTTTTGTCCCTGTTGTTCATGTCGTTGTTCCTGCTGCTCTTCCTGCTGTTCATGTCGTTGTTCTTGTCGTTGTTCCAGTTTTTGTTCTTCCTGTTGTTGTCCCTGTTGCTGCACCTCCTGTTGTTCTTTCTGTTGTTCTTGTAGCTATCATGTATAAGTATATATATATATATATGAGAGATAAGAAAGTCTATATGCATATTGTTTCACGTGTCTTTTTTTTTAATACCTGAAACTTATTTTTATTTTTGAGCATAGTCAAACGCGATTTGCAGGCACCTGGTGTACGACCCAACTCTACAGATATGAGTTCATAGGTCCATCCTTGCAATGCCATGTCTTGGAGTCTTTTTTCATCTTGTGAAGACCAGAGTTTACGGTGAGATGCCTAAAAGCGTAAAACCATCATTGTGAATAACAGTAATAGTAATAAGAGTCATTCATAATAAAAGTGATATGCGTCAGTAAAATAATGCTTATCTTGATCCCTGTTACCTTTTACTTTAATTATTATTATTTTACCATGTTGGTGTACCTATTGGAATCAGAAGCAAGAAGAAGAAAAAAAAAAAAAGATATCTGGCGGGGTTTTACGAACAAGCTCATACATATATGAAAAAGAAAGTGATTTTATTGAACAAATTGAATCAAATGACTAGCTACATAACCACAAGTTGTTGATAAAGATTCAGTAGTTTCATCCCATAAATAAGCCAAACACCAAGAATCACTTTCTATACGTACAATCGCTAACCAATTTCCGCGTAAGAATGTCAAACAACCATCCGTTGATTGATAATCATACAAAGCCCGTGCTATTCCCCCAAAATAATAATAATAATAATCCATGAGTTTATTGATTTTATAAAAAAGTCATTTCACTTACCCCATTGAATACCGTCTTGTTTTGGAGGTGGACTTGTTCCATTGGATGAATAATAGGATGATGGTGCTCGTGTCCCTTGTGTAGATCCAATGGAGCTGTAGTTCTGTTGTAACTGTGTATACATGGATGGTTGTTGGTGTTGTTGGGGATAGGAGTGATTGTCTTTTGTTGAGCCTTCCCCTGCCCTTTTGTCCATATCGCTGTTTACTGATGATACAAACCCCGTACGATCAGTACGATCAAGTTGCTGCTCATTGTTGTTCCCAGAATAGACTCCAAGTTCCTCCAAAAGTTCCTTTATCGATAGATCAAATGAGTCATCTAGTTGCCCATCATTACCATTCTTGGAGATTCTAGTCGTAGTGGGTTCCTTCTTTTCCCCTCGTGAAGATTGATAATGCCTGTGCTGATCATGTTGTTGATTGTATTGTTCATGCTGTTGTCTATGATCCACTTCAAATATATTGTTTCCAATAGCAAACACCACTTTGGCTCGAGGATCAATTTCTACATCATCGCTGATTTCCTCTTCCTCACTACTATCTGTAATATTCAAAGAAGAATGATCATTTTGCACTGATGGTGTCCGAGACGATGTTGTTGACGCAGATCTTCGATGATCATCATTGCTGTTTCGTATATATGTTGGTTTTCTTCTCACTTGTTGAGAGGTAATCATACTTGGTTTTCTATCAATGGCCGGTAGTTGCTTTGCTATACGTTGTTGAGGTGATGATACATGTTGGACACTACTAGATCTTGTCGCCGTTGCCTTTTTGACTGGAATGGCGTCATTGAATTCACGATGACTGTTTGATTCGGAAGAATTCTCCATGGTAGTAGATGGCTGCCGTTGCTTTGGATCCATTTTTGGTGTTTTCGCACTTATTTCATTTGGGTGATCTCCAGATTTGGATGTATCAGTAGGTGAGGATGATTTGTCAGAATCAGAAAATTGAGCAATGTGATAAGTAGGTAAAGTTTTTGCTGGATCATCCATATAATGTACATATACAGGGGGTCCTATAAATAATAATAATAATAATAAAAAAAGGTTGATTAGAGTTATTGACTGGAATTTATCGAGTTTTTCTAAATACCTGGTATCATTGGGCCAGTTCCCTTTTCATCAATGAATGTTTCAATATCTTTTTTGGGGTCACATTGATCTAATGCTTGCCAAAATCGTTCATAGGACTATATAACATAAAAATGACATGTGAATACCTTACAATATCATTCTCTTTTTTTTTTTTTTTTTTTTTTACCTCTTGATCATGGTTGGTAGTAGTAGATAAAATATTGACATAAACACTAAAACTATGATGCATGAATTCTACGCGTTTTTCTTCCATTTCTTGATATTTCTAACAAAAAAAAAGTTTAATACAAAAAAAAGGAAAAAAAAATGAATAAGATATGTACTTACATCGCAGGCGTTTTTCCATTCTGTATCCCAAATAGATGTCGCATCTGCTAATTTATGGCATGCACTTTTGTATTCTTGTTCAAAAATTCCAATATCATGAGTACACCTTTCGAGTTTTTGTCTTAATCTGTCGGCTTCTCGTAATCCAGCTGTAGAAAGTTGAGCTTCATAAGATATCTGTTTGGCACATTCTGTTTCATATTTTTCTTTTGCCTATAAAATTATCATTTAATATTTAATGATTTTGTTCCTATCTTTTTACCTTTGCTACATGTGCTGCATGAAGTTGTTTGTTTCTATGAGCCTTATCCACAGTTGTTTGTACCTATAAAATCAATAAATAATCAATATATATTCTTTTCTTTTATTATTATATTTATTATTACCAATTTACGTTTATCTTTTTGTTCTAAAATAAAGTTATCTAGTCGTAATTCCAAGTTGACCTTGATTTTCTGAGCCAATTCTATATTTGATTGTGCTGTCATTTCGAGTTCTCTATAAGCAGAAGCTAAAAGAATACCTAATGTTCTATGATAATAGTATGATATTAATTATACAAGTTAATAAATATGACATCATACCCAGTTTCATCACGACCAAGATCATTTTTCAATTGTTTCAATAACTTTTTTCCAAATTCTTCATGAAGGGAAGATCTACCAGAAAAAAAAAAGGATTAATTCCTAGTTTTTTTAATATGAACTGACCGTTTTTTTTTTTTCTACCTTGCAGTATAAAATGACTTCAAGTCTTCAAATGTCTTTTTAGAATTGGCCATTTTGGAAGAGAGTACAGCATAACCCGCGTCATCTTTTCCCTACATAAAAAGAAGGTTAACAACGAAATGAAAAAAAAAAAAAGTGTTCTTTGGCGCGTATATAAACTTTTTACCCAAAAGTTGTTTGCAAATGATTTTGGAATATGAGCTATCACTTCAGTCATTAGGTGAAGAAAAAAAAAAAAAAAAGGTGGTAGAAAGAAGAGAAACAAAAAGGAACATATAGACTGAGTTTTCTTTTTTTTTTTTTTGAATCAAAATAGACAACCAAAACAGGGAATGCATAAAAAAAGAAAAAGTGGGTTTGTTACTCCGCAAGTGTGAGCTTCTATTTTTTTTTATCATATTCCCCTTGTAAAAGGATTATCTTCTTCTAATTCGATAGACTTCTTTCTCCCTCGGTACCTCTACTCTGACTCTTATTATGATGATTGCTTTAAGAGTACTTTGTCCCATATCTCATAGATCCATATTCATATCTTTTCCATATCATCGCTTTGTCGTTTTGACATCCACTCTCTACAGGAATATCTGAACAATGGCCAACCAATCTCTATCCATGATCACATGTCAATCATCATTCATTAACGCATCAACCATCGTACTTCAGTCTTCAATTCATCCTTTATAAAAATCTGCCAAAGCAATACAGTATTTCTTAAGAAGCATATAAACAAAACATTTAGACTAAACGAGTAAAAATGAAGTTCCACTTGAATCTCTGATTTCAAAAGAGACTGTGTTTATCTACCAAATAATAATAATAATAATAATAAAAATGATTCATAGAAGATAAACCAAAGTCAAATGATAATTATGTTGCACCATCATTATATATTCACTTGATACCTTGAAGGCGCGTAGAAGTCTCTTCCAGCATTTTTTCAAATGCATGAGAACCATATGGGAACACATAACCATCTTCATCCTTATAAGTACCTACAGGAACTATCAAAAAGACAAATAAATCAGTATACTAGTACATATATACATATAAGAAAAACATACGTAACCATTGATACCAATGATTGCCCATCACCATTTTCCAGTTTTTCCATAATCCCAAGTCGTACAGACGTTTTTCTGGAGGGAAAATACGAAAGATGGCTACTTCAGTATTATTGTCGTTATCAGAAGAATGTAGTCGTATATATTGTTCCCAAGTTGCTACTTGTTCTATTGTTGTTCTGTTTCGAAGGATAAGGTATATGTGAACCACAGTTAGACCAAGAAGAAAAGCACCAAATATAAAGGTCCTAAAGAAACCAACAAAAGAAAAATTACTTTTTGTATTCTATTCCACAAAATGATGATTCCTTTTTTTTTTTTTTTAATATTTACAAGTAGAGCATGATGATGATTTGAATTTTGATGGTCATATTCTATAGTCAATATAAATAAGAAAAAAAAATGAACTGAAAATCGTTTTATGATGGGAATCAAATCGCTTTTTACCAATGACGGCGCACCTGTCAAAAGTGGTATCCAGGTACCATTCCATATATTTTTCCAAAGCTGCCAGATCACCGTCCATGCTGTGATAAAATAAGTCTTGTACAATGTCCAAATATACATCAATGTAGCGCGATTCAGTCCAAAGTTCAAGGAAGTCACGACAAGTGAAATACAATTGTAGAAGAGCCATAACACGCAGATCATAGTATAAAACACAAACAAGACAAAAGTCTTATAGTTTCTGTATCCAACACATCCATTGATCCTAATAAGTGTTATTAATTGACTGTTACTTTTTGATCTGTTCTTACCATGAACAGTGACTAGAAAAGAAAAGAAATATAATAGTATCTTTGTCATTGGATCTTTGCTCTTTATATTAACTTACTGATCCATTTTCAAAACACAACTGTTGCAAACCTTGCAATGATGACTTCGATCTGGTTTAATGCACTTGCATATTTGGCAATAACGATGATTTCCATCCTGCTGAGATATTGATATACCTTGAGAATGATCATTGATCTTTTTCTTCGCAAGAAACTATTGATAAAATACAATAAAATAAAATAAAAAGGCTCAGTTCCTAGCTCTTTCGGTACCAATTTTTTATTTTTTTTTCTTTATTACCTTTTCTGGTCTACCAGGAGACGTGCGGAGAACTTGTATATAGCATAGAACACTGATACTCCACAGTAAGATTGTGCCACAAGTCATCATAACTACAAAATAACAGAGAGAGAGAGAGAGAGAGAGAATACATTCAAGAAATATGAACAAACTTAGTAACATATTGTATTTTGTATAAGGTACCTCCTTTATATACTTTCGCAGAGTCGTCCATCAAGGGTTCTAGAATAGTGTATATATATATATTCACAGGAAGAGGAGGAGTCGAGAGAATAATGAGTGACCAGAATTGTATGTAAAGGTTGAGGATGTTTACCACAAAACCGGTAATAAAAAACATAAAGTGAAGACAATAACAACCCCAAAACGAGTACAGGGAAAATACATATCTTCAAGATAACTTGTAATAGAGATAACATGAAGATAATTAGAAAAAAAAGAAAAAAGTAAAAAAAAAAAAAAAAAAAAAATGAAAAAAATGAAAATATTTATTGAAAAAAGAAGGCGGGGTTGAATCAAAACTATACAGACATCTTCATATCTAATTTGCCATGAGGATGATAATCATGTAAAATAAAGTCTTCATATTTAAAATCATCAATAGAATCAATTTGTCTAGCAAAAGTCAAAGTAGGGAAAGGTCTTGGTTCACGAGTCAATTGTTCCTTAAGAGCATCCAAATGATCCACATAGACATGAGTATCACCCATGGTATGAATAAATTCTCCAGGTTCCAATTTGGTGACATGAGCAATCATTCTTGTCAATAAAGCATAAGATGCAATATTGAATGGTACACCTAGACCCATATCACATGATCGTTGATATAATACACAAGAGAGTTTTGCACGTTCTCCATCTTTTGGTGATGATACATAGAATTGACAAAAAGCATGACAAGGTGGTAAAGCCATTTTTGGTATATCTAATAATAATAAAACAATTGAAGAGTTATTATTTTCTTCTATAATACATTGATTTTTTTTCTTTTTTACCAGCAGGATTCCATGCAGATAATATAATACGACGATCAGTTGGATTGTTCTTGATAGTATTGATAACAGCTTGTAATTGATCTACACCTTGACCAGTATAATCAGTATCACAATCAATATATTCAGCACCAAAATGTCGCCATTGGAAGCCATAGACAGGACCCAAATCACCTTGTTTTCTATGACCAAGTCCAATCTTGTCCAAATATTCTCTTGAACCATTACCATCCCAAATCTTGATACCTCGTTCACTAAGATGGTTACTGTTGGTATCTGCACGAATAAACCATAACAATTCTTCTAATACTGCTCTATAAAATACACGTTTGGTTGTCAAAAGAGGTAAAATGTCGTTTTCTAATGAAAATCGAAGTTGAGGTGGAGCAAACATAGCTACTGTGCCTGTACCCGTTCGATCCGCTCGGTGTTCTCCATGTTCCATGATGCGTTCAATCAGTTGGAGGTATTGATATTCTTCATGTTGAGTCGATGATCCTGTCATAATATAAGTGAATGAATAAAATAAATGATTTTTTAGAAGAAAAGAAAAGAAAAAAGAAAAAGAATGTCAGTCGCGATAAAAAAAAATAAAAAAGCGAGTTTTTTTTTCGCGTCTAGCGGAACACTTTGGTTGGTTCAGAAACACGTATTCCCCAATTTGGAAAGTCAATATATTCGATATTGATTAAATCTTTAAGATAAAATCATTTCCATTCAACTTAACTTGTAAAGTAATAGGAATAAATGAATGTGGTCGTATGTTAGTATTTGATAATGCTTGTAGACATCAATGTGATTATTCACTGCTACAAAACGAATCAAAAAGTCACGTCGGAATATAAAATGCAGAGTTGATTGAAATGGTATTGAATAAGGAAGGGAAAAAAAAAAAGACAATTGACTTCACTTTCTTCTTTCCTGCAATAATAATCAATCATCTCAGGTATACTATTACTTCAAAAGCAATATGAAACTGCTCAGTTTTATACTCAATTCTCTTTTTATTCTTTATTAGATCTAATCAACAAATATTATATCATGCATTCACATAAGAACGACCATACATGTATGTTCCTATTTTTATTGAATCTACAAGTAACTAATATTTTTTTTTTCTTTTCCTCTTCTAAATTAGATTTCTCCCATTTACCTTCTTCACAATCAACATGGCAACATAATTCATCCTTACAACAGGGACAATATCGAACTACCGAAGAAAACATACCACGAAAACGACACCGACTGAGTGACAATTCAGATCAACACCCTTATGGACATTCTCAACAAACACGACAAATGGGAGAATCCTCACAACAACAGCAACAAGAAGAAGAAAAGGAAAATAAACAGCAACGACGGCATAAGGAAACCAATCCAGAACACAACCCATATGACGCTTCCCTATTAGAAGAAATTAAACAACTAAGACTACGTGTTACCCAGGTAAAAAAAAAATGAAAATATAAGATTGAAAGGAAAAAAAAAATGAATAATCGTGATTCTTCTTGTTAGCTTGAAAATAGGGCATCATCTGCAGAGAACGGCTTTATAGAACTGACAGCATTGAAGGAAACAGAGCCACAACGACAGTTACGATTATATAAAGAACATGCAGAAGAGCGATTTGCAGGTAAGGATCATCAAAACAAGATGAAAGCAACCAGTCTAAATTTGGACTCTTTTATAGCATCTGACGAAGAAGTACGGAAATTACATGAATTAGCGAAAGATCAAGAGCAACATATAAGCAAAATAACTGCTGAATTGGAAAAAACTCAAGCCGAACTGATTACAACCAAAAGACGACAGGAAATTGCAACCACACCTAAAAGAGATACCCTGGAAATCCGTCTGACCAGAGAAATGGAAAAATACAAAAGTAAATATACACATGCAAGTACTAGAGGTAATGATTGATTACAAATAAATAATAAAGGAAGGATGTTGATCATGGTATTTTTTTTTTTTATGATAGCAACAAAACTCAAAGATGAAATGGAACAATTACAAAAGGCATATAAAGATTTGGAACAATCAAGAAGCTTAATAACATCAACAGATGATAAGGTTGCATTTTATCAAAGGATGACTGGACTGGTGATTACTGATCATGAAAAGAAGCACAACCGGGATACTTTTACTTGTAGTCAAAGTGGAAGATATGGAGGTAAGGATCATTTTTATTATATATTTGATTAAAACTAAGTATGAATTATGATTTAGTGTTACAATTCAAATTGGTATTCTTTATCAACGAGGAAGGGGAAGCAACAACAAGATATATACCAATACCAGATGGAAGGATGGATCGAAAATTACCATCATATATGAATGATGAAATAGAAATCAAGGAAAAGGATGCGATTTTATTCTTATTGCGAATGATGACCAATCTGAACAAGGCTCAAGAATGAACTCAATATACTTCTTATGAAATAAAATTTTTATATGTTTGCACAGATTTTTCTTTTGACCTGACTTTTTTTTTTGAATGGATGATGGCATAAATGAACGATGATGACGATGCTGATGATGAAAGAAAGAGTCTTTTTTTTTTTAATTAACACAGGGAATGCAGCCAATGGAAGAAAGTTTGACATCTGGCATGAAAAAAAAAAATGGGATGAATCCACAACCAAAAAATTTGGAAATTCTGAGCCAAATTTTAGCTGTAAAAATCTAAATTATTACTACAACTAAAAGAGAATGATTTAATCCATGTTCAGTATTAATTTTTTGAGACGATGGCCATTTTTGAGCGAGAAATGAAAAGATAAAGTCCTTCTTAAATGTAGGATGAACAAATAAGATGAATTTCTCCATTTTTTTTTTTTTATATCCACATAATTTGTTCATTTCATGTATAAGAAAAGTGATAAAAGTTTTGCGTGTGCCAGAACATTACTAGTAAAACAGTTCAAAATGTATATAGCGGATTTTCAAATGAATGAAAATTTTATTTTCTATTTTTTTGAACTCTCCTTTTTTTTTTGGACTATCAAAAGATATATTCATTTTTTTTTTATATTTTTATTCTTACTCTTTTGTTCTGCTTCTTCTGACATTATTCATTACTATAGGAATTATTTCACACTTGTTGTGTGACTAGATCATATTTTATTATTGTACATCTAGTTTTATTTAATTCTTTTTTTTTTTATCTTTGACCCAGATACTTCTTCTCCCTCCCCCCATTTCCTTTTCTCCCCCCACAACATATATCTTTACCTTTTGGCTCCCCCCATCAAAAGAAAACAAACATCTTGAAACTACTATTCAATTATCTTTTTTTAGTCAAGGTTATTATTATTCGACCTAATGTCCAATGGTCCTTCGCCTGGTTTTGAAACTCAAGGGTATTCTGGACTTTCTTCTGCTGGATTGCAAACTACTGCACAACCACGCTCTCGTCAACAAGATATGTTAAATCCTCAACAAGATACCTTTCCTGGTATAGCAACATCAAATAATCTTGGTAATGGAATACATCATTCTTATGGCTCTCAGCTTGGTTCTATTCCTCATGGTTCTCTTGGTGGAAAAGACCATAGACAACATCCTATGCAACAACAACAACAACAGCAACAGCAACAACAACAACAACAACAACAACAACAACAACAACAACAGCAACAACAACAACAACAACAACAACAACAACAACAACAACAACAGCAACAACAACAACCACAACCACAACCACAACCACAACCACAACCACAACCACAACAACAACGACAACAACAACAACAACAACAGCAACAGCATCAGCAACAACAACAGCATCAGCAACAACAACAACAACAACAGCAACAACAGCAGCAACAACAACAGCAACAGCAGCAACAGCAGCAACAGCAACAACAGCAACACTCATCAAGTGCTAGTCCTGGAAATAGTCAACAAGGGAATGGAACTCTTAATCAAGATTCGTCACTCTGTTGCTCTCTATGTCAGACATTTCGTCATATATCATTCTTCCAGACTGAACGAGATGGTAAATATGATGTATGTGAACTTTGCAAGGCTCGGGAATATCAAAAACAAAAACTACAAATGGAACGCTATGAAATGGTGGAAGATCAAAAACGTAAACAAGCACAATATTCACAACAAAGACAACAGCAACAACGTCAGCACTTTTCTTCCAGTTCCCAGGTACACCAAACTCCACAACAACATCATCCACACCATCACCACCAGTTATCTACACATGGAATGCCATCACATCTTCACACTTCAGGTTCACCAACAGGATTATCTACTTTAGCTCAGCAACAACAACAACAGCAACAGACGTCAGCAGTATCCCCTCTTTTGGTAAAACATTCATCCTCTCCAACCTCACAATCATCCTCAATGAGTCTTCCACCAACGACTGTGATTCCTGGAGTCAACAATTCCAACAAGTCACATATGTTTTCGGTGAACAGCATGCGATCTCAATCACAACTACAATCTCATTTGATGCAACATCCCCCCATGTCATTACCACTTCCATTATCGCAACAGTCACCTTTGCAAACTCAATCGCAACCGCCTTTCCACCATGCTCATGTACTTTCTCCACACGATGATGCGGAACAACAGCAACAACAACAACAGCAGCAATCACCAATGCCGTCAAGACCAATACCTCCCATGTACGCCCTCAAACAGCAGGTATCGCCTATACAACAACAGCAAAGACATCTTCAACATCCACATGCTCATCATCACCACCAGCAGCAACAACAACAACAACAACAACAGCATCATCAACAGCATCTTCAACAACAGCAGCAACGTCAAATTCGCCAAAATCACCATAAACAACTATCATTGGAAAATCCGCAATTACATATCAATGGAGGCAGAGAAATGAATCAAGTATCGTCAGAGGAGAAATCTTCCAAATCTACAATGATCGTCACCCCAGAATCCAGTACACATGACAACAATGGTAGTAAGATCAGCAATACTAGCAGCGGTGGAAACAACAACAAGAAAACAACAACAGCTTCCAGAGCACGCATGGGAGGAAGCACTGGAAAATCGAATCATGGCGACAAATCAAATCAAGAATTGATGTCATTACCTCAATTTGTAATGGCATTGCAGCAACAGGAAATATTCGATCGGATGCATTACGCCATTGATATTTCAACACTGATTAATCAACCTACCATATCGTCCACTGGTGAAGATCAGAATTCGAAGACTGGATTTACGCAAATTGGACGAAAGATTTGTGAACACGTTTTGGAAGGGACAAAATTCAATTTTAGGTAATATAAAACAAGGAGGAAAAAAAAAAAAAAGAAACCAAAATTTAATTTTTTTTTTTTTTGATCCATGTGCGTACACAAATTTATTATTAGTATGAAGGATCGCAGGCGATCTACAAGGGCACCTGATACAACATCAACACTACGTTATTATTGCTCACAACGTGCTGATATTGTCAAACCACGCAAACCAGACAAGAACAAACGTACAAATGCGACCAGTTCGACGGTAAACGACACTACAACAAAGGCATTGAATCGATATGAATGTTCAGGAGGTTTAACAATTGTGATTGATCTTGTGAAACAGACGGCCCATCTTACCCTGAATCACAAAGCAAAGCATCCACCTTTTGCAAGTACCAATAGTTATCATCATGGTAGTACGACCAATCAACGACAAAAGTCTCAACCTCGACAACTAAAAGCAAAGGCAGTCAAGACGGCTAATACAAATAGTAAAAAGAAGGCAGCTCCAACTAATAATCATCAACATTTATTACAGCAATCTCCACAACAGATTCCTCAACAGCCTCAACCAACAATACCACCGTCTTCACAATCTCAATTAACACAGCAGCATCAGTTAGCTCATCAACAACTTTCTCAACAGCAGGTGTCTCAACAACAGCAACAACAACAACAACAACAACAACAAAGTCATCAACCTTCACTGCACGGTTTCTTGGGTACCACGATGATGTCTCCTTTGCCTCCTCCTCCTATTCCGACCACACAACAACATCAACAGTCATCGCAATTAGCACAACAGCAACAGCAGCAACAACAACAGCAACATCCTAATCAACATCAACACATGCAGCACCATCCTTTATTACCACCGCCTCCAGGAACCCTTCTTCCTCCTCCATCGACAATCACATTGCCAGCATCTGCACAAGCGAATTTGACTTCATCCAGTCCTAATACAAGTGCAACAATGAACTCGGCATCCATTCCTGTCATACCATCTGCATCTAACACGGCATCCTCATTACCATCATCATCTATCATGATTCAAAAGCAATTTGATGCTTTACGGAAGAGAGTCTTGGCATTTGATCAATTATTAGAACGACAGAAAGGATTACAAAACAAACAATTTTTACAAACGGCCACAGAAGCTTTTGCCGCAGCTTATGAAATGGTGTCAGCATGTCAAGCACAAGAACAACAACAGCAACATCGCCAACAACAACAACAGCAACATTTTTTGGCTCGTCATGGATCATCATCAGGTTCCTCATCATCTTTATCTTCTCCATCATCTACTATTGGATCATCTGCATTGCCTTTATCGAAGTATACCACTCATTACAACCGGAAAAACGATGGATTAGATTAGAATTCTTGTTTTTAGTTGTTTAGTATGATTTTATGGTTTAGAAACATCCGTTAGGGATTAGTTTAACAAAAAAGAAAAAAATTAAGAGATGTGGGATGAACGTTTTGAATAAAGAATATATTAGAGATTATATGGCTATGTTATATGGACAGCAGATGAAAAAGGGTTTACAAAAGGAAAAAAAAACACAGGGGTCTACCAAAGTTCTATAGGAAACAACCCGATCTTAGTAACTTTGTTGCCGATCGTCCTTGTCATCTTTTTTTTTCCAATCTATACAACTTTATCAATGATAATTTAAAAGAGAATGATTTACTTTTTTTAAAAAAAAAAAAAATCCTCGAACAATTAACAGATTTTTAAATTCCAAAAAAAAAAGAATCAATACAGAACCAATCATCATAGATCTTCATCACAGAGCCAATCAACAAGTGATCATCATTCATCACTATAAAGTCCAATTTAAAAAAAAAATGGAAAGATGGGTATCAAGCCCTTGCGGTTTATATTTTTTATTAAAGGAAACAATAAACAATAAAAAAAAAGAGAGAGAGCGGGGGGAGGGTAAAGGAACATATACATACAGAAATCATCATAAATATGGAATGAGGATTCAATCAAAAAAAAAAAAAAAAAAACATGATATATGGAACAAATGTAGTGTGTCAAAAAGGAGCAAGTCAAAAAAAAAAACAATGAATAGGGAAAATAAAAAGAAAGAGGAGAAAAACAGAAAAAAAAAAAAAGGAAAGGGGAGGAATGGGGGAGGAACCATTCAAGATCGTTTCTTTCGAGAGAATACCGATGTCAATTTTCTTGTTAATGTTGTGGGTGAAAAAGGTAAAGATAATGAGACAGATGTTGGAGAAGGATGTTCATCTTCATCACTAGAATCCTCTTCTGTTGGTGATAATGGTGGTAATGATGGAGTGGTAGATGATGATGATGATGATGATGTTGATGATGATGATGACTGTCGAGTTGGTGGATGTTCACAAGTAAAATAAGATGTATTTATAAAAGATTCTGATGAAATATTGTTTGCTTGATGTTGATTATATTGAAGATTTCGAATTGGACGAAGATCTAAGCGCTGAGGTGGTCGTCGTGCATAAGAAGGCCAAATATCTTTAGATTGACCAATATTGGAGACAAGACGATCAAAAGTATCATATTCTGCTTCATATTCAAATATTTGTGGAGCTTCCGTACTAAATCTCACTTGACGACCATTGTTGTTTTGTTGTTGTCGTTCTAATTCTGCATGTTCTTGTTGTACCTTTTGAAAAAACTTTTCTAGATCCACGCGTTTACACCGTCCATAGTAACTACTAGGCCAAGCTGAAGTATCTATTTCTACAATATTACTTTCTAAAGACATTAAAGATATATATATATATGAAGTGAGAAATAATAATAATAAAAAAAAAAAGAAGAAGAAAGGAAAGAAGAGGAGTTTTTTTCTTCCTTACTTTTTTTTTTGATCTATTCATTTCCCTTTCTAATGGGGGGAAATGAATCCCAAGGACTAAAAAAAAAAAAAAAAAGGAGACCGGAAAGAAAAACTGAACAAATCAATTTCGTTTGATTTGGCACGCTGTTTGAAAACTGATATTGAAATCAAAATTAAACAGGTGAGCAACAGCCAATCTCACCCAGTGGTTCGTCCATGAGCTCAAAGCTTTTCGCTCAAAATCATTCCATCATGATAAACATCACACCATGGGATCACACTATTTTTTTTTCTTTTTTTGACTTGTACAAAACCATTATTTTTGCATGTGCATATATTGACTTGCAATAGAGATAAGTTATCTCTTTTGTTTTTTTTTATTTTTAACTCTCACGCTAATTATTTATTATGGCTTTATAGTTATGATTCAACACCAATCGTATAGACAAGTTTAAATATCCCTTTTGGACTCCACTTCTTTCTTTACTCTCTTCTTTCCCCTATACTTTTTCTTTGTCTCACTTTTTTATTTTATTTTTTCCCCCCTTCTATTTCATTGTCAGAAACAGTTTTTCTTATACTACTCTCCTTTTTTTCCTTCTCACGTTATTATCCCGCTTCATAAGAAAGTAAAGAAAAGTATTCTGATCTCCGTTCCAACAATCCCTATGTTTTTAAAACAAAAACGTGGGGTTGCTTCATTGAGATTTCATGATCCTTTATTATCATCGACCAAAGGTATCAATTATCATCAACTAAATCAACTATTTATCCATCAGTAATCATTATAGGAATCATTAATATTGTCTTCATCATTACACGTGAGAAAATCAATAAGGGCAATAAGAGCGTTCTATGGGAAAAAAAAATATCCTTCTATTTACTTAAAATGATCCATACAATAATGATGGATGATTGGCGAGTTAAAAAAAATGATGAATCATGATCCGGTCTTCATGTTTTATCTCATAAGTTAATAGTTGAATGAATCAATTAAAAATTGGTATAACAAAAGAAGCTTTATATAAAGACATGTACAAGATTGATTATTATTGATGAATGTTCATCCTTGTTTAGTTCATTTGATGTATACCCAAAAAAAAAAAAAAATGGAGACAACTTTTGTAAATATATTAGCAAAATATAGAATGAATGAAAAGCTTGGTGAAACGGGATGCAGAAAGGTATATCGAAACGAAAGAATATAAAGTTATAACTCAGACTAAATATAGATTACTTTTATACTTGCAAAGTGACAATGATTGGATGGCCAAAAAAAGATCTACAATGCGGATATTGAACCCTGTCCCTTTTTTAGGATGATGGTATATTATCCAAACTTCAGCTATAATAATAAAAAAAAAAATAAGGACTAGAAAGGAACAGAGAAAGATAAAGTGTAAACAATGATGATGATGTTGTTGTAGATACGCATGCTCTTTAGGGTTTGTACAGATACCAAGATATCAAATGAGAAAGATGACATCATAATAGTATGACACTATCCTTTAATGGCCTGCGTTACCCATGGTGTTGGAGGCACTTCCTCAAATGGGAAGACCATTCATCATGGCATCGTCATTACTGATGATCAAAGACCTTCTCCTTGCCATTGTAAAAAAAAAAGTATAAATTTTTCATTTCCTTTTTTTCCTCCTTTTTTTCATTTTTTTTTCCTCTCTCTTTCTTTGAACTATCTTTCATCTTACTGCTGTATTTTTTTTCCTAACAGTGATCATCATCAGAAAAAGGAGATCAAAATTTTATAAGAGACAACAGTTTTTATCCAATTTTTCATCCTCTTTTTTTTTATTTTTATTTTTTATATTTTTATTTTGATCAATAAGGTAAAGTTTATTTTTTAAACGATATCTTTTGAATAAAGTGTGTATTATGCAAAACTGTTTTTCACCGTGTCTCTTAATGCATATTCTTTTTTTTTTTCTCTTGTAGATTATCGATTTTAGTGTTACGCAAAAAACGAGCCAATCAGAACTCACTACAAACTTCTAGAAAAAAAAAGTGACAAGTGGATAAAATACCCCCTTTTTTTTTCTTTCTTTCTTTCTTTCTTTCTTCTCATTATGCAACAAAGTGAACAACATCACCAACAACAAGAACAAAAGGAACAAATAAAACAACAATTACAACAACTGCAGGATTATTCTTCAGATATTACACAAATCTATGCCGAACGTCATTGGTCTGAACAACTTTTAAATGATGACAAACTGTTCTTATTTGTTTTATCAGCTCGTGGAGATATACTTTATTGTTCAGATTCTTGTCGAGGATTGACGGGTTATAACGCCAATGATGTGGTAGGACATTTGATATCGGAATATCTTCACCCTGATGATCATGCTGTGTTTTATGCAATGTTGGATCAAGTCTTCGAAACTCCTCTCCGACTAACCCAAGTCCAATTTCGGTGGAAACGAAAAGAACCATTGACTGGCTTCACCTGTCTCCAATCTTTTGGTTATTCCAAGCCTGATGACGTGCCTTCTTATACCATCACTAAAACCAACAACATTGAATCGAACTATTATGCCTTCTTTGCCATTGCTCAATCTTGTGATCCATCCACATTTGATCTGCTTTTGCAACTGAAAAGAGAAAATCAATTACTGCAACAACAACTGGCTCAATTATCATCCTCCATCGACAATTCACTTTCCAATGGTGGTGGTGAATCTTCCTCCTCCTCTTCTTCTTCTTCTTCCTCCTCCTCCTCTTCTTCTTTGAATCAACCCAATTCTGTCATTGCTTCTTGGATGCAATCTGGATGGCATCAATCAAGTAATCCTTGGATAACCAACAAACAACCTGAATTAGGTCAACAAACAACATACATCCCTATACAAGAGAAATCATCTATAACTGATAAGGATCATTCAAAACCTGATGATCAATCATCCAAGGACAAGAAAAGAAAGGTAAGCGTTTTATTTTTTTTAAAAAAAAAAAAAGAAGAAAAGATATGTCTGTGTGTGTGTGTATGGGGCACTTCCTCCTAATTTTATTGTTCTTATTCTATGATTTTTTTTTCTTTTTTGTTTGTTATTTCGATCCTCTACAAAATGACCGTCATGCAAACAAAAAAAAAAAAAAAAAAAAAAAGAACCTCAAGATCGATCTGCGAGTAAAAGAAAACAATTATATTGCCGTGAAAAACTCATTGGTTATCTTCTTCCTTGACATGTCTTAGAAAAAGGTATACTTTACTGTGGAAAAGCATCAATGCGCTGATTGTGGTTCAACCAACTCTCCGGAATGGCGAAGAGGACCCCTTGGTGCCAAAACGTATGTGTGTGTGTGTGTGATGATATAGTTGTTATACAACTAGCATGAGCAAATCATTAGTTTTTTTTTTTTCTTCTCGGTGTGTATGGTTAGTGATCAATAGATGAATACTGATCTCTTTCTTTTTTTTAAAAAAAAAAATACACTCTCTATAGGCTTTGCAATGCATGTGGACTACGATGGTCCAAGAAGAACAAGAACATGAAGACCGTAGGACAATTATCCAAAGACAAATGATTTTTTTTTTTTGCTTATATCCGACCACAAAAGCATTCGAATCCATGCAGATAGTGTAGTTTATATAATACATTTTACCCTGTTATTATTCCTTTTTTTGTGTGTGTGTCTCCCTAGTTACCCATTGTTATGTATCTCGTCTCTGATTTTAATATGAAACCTCTTTTTTTTCCACTATGAATCTGTCTCTCCTCATATTATTATGCTGTGTGCTGGTGGCGTGTGCTCATTTTATCAAGCTATCATTGAAATCGACGTTTTTTTTTTTTTTTAAACTTTGTTGATTTTTTATTTCCTTGTTCTTCAAAATAAATATCAAACCGATACAAAAATAAAAACGGTTTTTCTGTCTCTTTCTTCTCTTTTTTTTTTTTTTTTTATTATTATTCTTCTTCGTTCTATAGTTGTATTTCTTTCTTTCCTTTTTTTTTTTTATCCATCTGACTAGTGGGATATTGAAAAAAAGACCGATTTTATCATAAAACCTCCACAATGATATCAACAGAGGAGAGAAAACAACGATTATTAGATTTAATCCGTCGTCCAGTCTCTAGTCGTCTTGTTCAATATGTATCACAACAAGCAGGTCTAGTCATTCCATGTCAACCTCCATCATTGCCTTCCAAATATGATCAAACTTCCAATCGTCAAACATCACCCACTTTACCTTCTTTACCGACATTTATTCAATCTTTGATAAAAAGATCCTGTGTCAAACCAGGCACTTTACTTGGGGCACTTGTCTTTTTGGATCGTTTACAACGCCGACTAGCTCATTTGGCCAGAGGCATGCCATGTACTTGTCATCGGATCTTCTTGGCCACTTTAATCGTCACTTCTAAAAGTTTACATGATACTTCACCAAAAAATAAGCATTGGGCTCGTTATGCTGTTCATTTTAATTTATCCGAAATCAATTTGATGGAACAACAGTTACTATCACTAATGGTAAATTTTTTTTTCTTCTTCTTTTTTTTAATAACCTGATTCCTTTTTTTTTGGTAGAATTATCAATTGATTATTACACCAGAAGAAATTGATCTAGTTTTTATTCAATATGAATATTATAAATCTCAACGTCATCATGTCAAATCGAATCCTATTGTTCAACATTCATCTCCTACAAACATAGTGGAGGATTCTATAGGATCTATGGATCGACAACGCTTAGACGATGCATCTACCATCTATCCACATGCTCGATTATTCCCCATAAGTTCCTCGTCATCATCATCATTATCATCCAATTCCACCATACGGACACCTCATCATTCATCCAGCTCACTCAACAGCGATTCCTTTTCTTCTTCACAACGACTTGCTCTTCCTCCTGCTCTTGATCAAGAACCTGTCTTGTTTTATCCTCCGGCTCATGTCCGTGATACTTATCGACCTCATCTTTGGACCTTGTATCCACCATCCTCACCTCATGATTTGAATCCTTTGGATACGATCACTATTGATCGAATACAGAAACAATCAGCAAGAAAACAAACGCTATGATTCTTTTCCTTTTTGATGGAAGTATGTGTGTGTGTAAATGTATTTTTGTATGTATGTCTGTTTGTATTCTCTTTGTTATGATGATTCATTTTTCATCATCATCTCTTTTTTTTTTTTAATATCTATCTTCTTTATTTATTTAATGCCTCATTTAATAAAAAGCCAACTAGTCTCTTGTAGTATATGGTAGTTACATGAATGACATTATGTATAATAATGGAAAAAGGACTTACTATATGAAGAAGAAATGATTGTCTTCCATTAGTGGATACAAAGGCAGAATAGAATGGATAGATATGTCATCGTTGATAGACAAAAAACAAAAAAAAAAAAAAAAAAAAAAAAAAACTAGAGATGTTATGATTACCATATTAGGATACAGTACGTTCGTTACCATTAGTAGTTGGTCGCATTCCTTTCAATTCTTTTTTTTTTATTTTTGTTTTGTCATCTATAACAGAAATGGATGCTTATCTTGATGGATGATGAATACAATTCTATATCATACGTTGGCTAGCATAGAAAAAAAAAGGAAGGAAGGAAGACGTCATGTATGGGAGAGACCAAGCCATGATGGATGATCGAAATTGGACATCATATATGCAAAGAAAATAAGAATTAACTAGTGCTGTCCAACCGTTTTAGACCGTGCTCATTTCCGATACTGTTTTATGGTACTCAGTGAGTGTAACAGTTCAAGATCTCATTAATAGTGATGATCATCTCTAGAAAGGTGGATAGAAGATGATTGTAGTATTGGTGCGCGGAGACCCATCCGTCATCATGGGAATCAAGTATGTATAAAGGAGAAAATGATATGATATGATTTAACAGTCTTTTATTTGTATTTTTTTTATATATAATAAAATATATAATGGAGATAACAAAACTAAAAGGGACAACAAAAGGGAATGGCGAAAAATTGTATGTAACGTGTGAAAAAATTCCGTAAGTAAATAATAATAATAAAAAAAAAACAATTCATCTTGAAACAAAGGAGACATGCTTAAGCAGAGTGTTCCTTGATCTTGTTAACGATGCTGGACAAATTGGCACCAACCACTTCATCAACCTTATTACTATTTTTGAAGAACATGAAGGTAGGCATAGCACGGACACCGACTTCAGCAGCAACATCCTATTTAAAAAGATAAAACGCGTTATATATTCAGTATCATATCCTTTTTGGTTATTTCATCATGACCATCATATCCATTATCAACTTACAGCTACGTCATCGACATCAATCTTGGCAAAGATGACATCAGGGTATTCCTCCACCAACTTTTCAAACTTGGGAGAAATCAATTTGCAAGGAGCACACCAGGTAGCGTAAAAATCAATGACAACCAATTTATCAGAGGCAATCAAAGCTTTGAATTCATTGAGATCCTTGGGAAGGTTTTCAATAGCCATTATGTGTAATTTCCTTTTTTTTTTTTTCTTAAAAGATGGTGAAAAAGAAGAAAAAAAAGATAGGAATTTTTTTTTTTTTTGAAGAAATTGATTTTTATTTAGACCACATGTAGAGGCGGAACCTGAAATCAAAGACTAAAGGCTACGCTATAGAAGGGGCAGAACGAGGAGAATCTAGTTGGACACAATGGCATTAATAAACAGCGTCTTTTTTTTTATTTGATTGTATGTACTACCATAGTATTGCCAATCGATGACAGCAGCTACAGCAAGACCAGCCCTGAATACTCCACTATTAGCTTCAATACATTTCGAAGCAAGATCATAGGACTAAAAAAATTGAAATAAAAAATAGAAATGGAACCTTATAACAAACATAATACTTTTTTTTTTTCTTGTTATCTATGACAGAAATAGAAGATGCTTATCTTGGCGGACGCGTAGAAGTATGTATACACATGTCTGTCCAAAAGAAAAAAAAAAGGTGAATAATCCCATCATACGTTGGCCAACATGGAAAAAACATATACAAAGAAAATAGGGGTTGAACTGGTGCCATCATCCAACCATTTTAGACCGTGCTCATTTCTGATACTGTTTTATGGTACTCAGTGGGTGTAAGGTCAAGATCTCATTAACAGTGATGATCTTCTCTAGATAAAACGTGATTGTAGTGGTCTTTGTTGTTGATGCATAAAAAGAAATCTGTCCCGGGAACCAAAAGAACCATCCGTACGCCATAGGAAACGAAAGAATCGAGTATGTATAAAAAAAGACTGTGATATGATTTGATTTAACTGTCTTTTATTTGTATTTATATCTAGTAAAATATACATTGGAGATAACAAAACTAAAAGGGACAACAAAAGGGCTTGGGGGAAAAATTGTATGTAATGTGTGAAAAAAGCCAAATTCCATAACTATATAATAATAAAAAAAAACCAATCCATCCTGAAAGGAAACATGCTTAAGCAGTATTTTGCTTGATCTTGTTAACGATACTGGCCAAGTTGGCACCAACCACTTCGTCAACCTTATTACCGTTTTTGAAAAACATAAAAGTAGGCATAGCACGGACGCCGACATCAGCAGCAACATCCTATTTAAAAAGATAAAACGTGTTATATATTCAGTATCATACCCTTTTTGGTTATTTCATCATGACCATCATATCCATTATCAAACTTACAGCAACTTCATCGACATCAACCTTGGCAAAGATGACATCAGGGTATTCTTCCACCAACTTTTCAAACTTGGGAGAAATCAATTTGCAAGGACCACACCAGGTAGCATAAAAATCAATAACGACCAATTTATCGGAAGCAGTCAAAGCTCTGAATTCGTCGAGATTCTTGGGAAGGTTTTCAATAGCCATTATATGTAATTCCTTTTTTTAAAAAAGATGGTGAAAAAGAAAAGAGAGAAAAAAAAAAAAAATAGAAAAACAAATACTTTTTTTTATATGAAAAAAATCTCGTCATCGATTCCAAACACCGCAAGCCTCTGTGGTGGTGCCAGTTCTATTCTCTGTGATTTCATTGGCTGAAAGGATGACTAAGCCAAAGACACTCTTCCAAAGGCAATATGATACCATTACTACGACACACGATGAATAATCCAAACATACTTCAGAATATATATATATATATATATATAATCATCGAATATGCTAGATTATAAAGAATAAAAAGTAATTACTTCTGTAAAAACATCAACTCCCTTTGTTTTATTTGTAATGAAATGTTATTTGTAATGAAATGTTTAACAAAAAATAAAAAGAAAAAGATATGATTTGCATAATACAGTCAATAAGAAACTAGTCTTATAATGTCGGCTATCTAACCTATATTAAATCCTCTTCGAGCATGGCTATGTCCACCACCACCTTCGCCTTGGATCTCACCAGAGAATTTTCCATACGTTTCCTTACGAAGGTGCAAGTATTCTTCGCCACCAAAACTATAATAAAATCAATATATATATATATCAATCACCGTCTAATCCTATTCCAATGCTTTTTACCTTTCCCATAAAAAATCGGTCAATAAATAATACAAGTTTTCGTTGGCATTGTTATGTTCAATAAAATGATTGCTGTCGGTATAAAATTGGACTTTGTATGTATGTATAGAAGCCTTTGTCAACTTGTCTACTAGAATGGCTGTATGTTGGAAATGAACTGAATATATATATAAAGAAATTAAGTATATGAATGAAAAGGAATATTTGATTTCGATGTATTACCATTATCATCTGCTGTTCCATGTACCAATAAGAATTTGGCATTGGCAAACCCAGTCATATTGTTCACTGCACTATTAACATAACCTTGAGGATTCAATTTGGGAGTCGACATGTACCTTTCTGTATAAATAGAATCTATATAGACATATATATATCGACATCAATAAACAATTTTTTTTTGTTTGATTGTATATATTACCATAGTATCGCCAATCGGTGACAGGAGCCACAGCAAGACCAGCGCTGAATACTCCACTATTAGCTTCAATACATTTCGAAGCAAGAAATCCACCATAAGACTAAACGTCGATAATAATAATAATAATAATAAAAAATGGAAGTTTATAACAATAGAACATGTTCCTTTTTTTTTTTTTTTTTTTTTTTTTTTTTTTTACTTACCCAACCCCAAATAGAAATTCGTGCATGATCAACATAATCCAATCCAGCCCAATGTCTTGCAGCATTTGTATAATCAATGGTCTCCAATTCTCCAAGTCGACCACGTACACCTACACGATATCCACGACCACGGGCTCCTGTCCCACGACCATCCACCGTCACCACAATGTATTGAAGTTTGCTTGTTAAAAACGTATGCCAATCCAATTCAAATTGATAAGTCACCATTTGACTACTAGGACCACCATATACTTGGAATAATACAGGATATTTTTCTTTAGGATCAAATGAAGGTGGTAGTAATTCAACAGCATTCATATCTATATTTGAAAAAAAAGAGAGAGAAAAATAAATAAACCATCAACAATCCAAAAAAATAATACACAGCTTACCAGTAGTACTACTTTTGATGGTAAGCATTCGCTTTCGAGGCAAGTCATATTTGGTCAATAATTTTTTCAATCGATCATTTTTTTGCAAAGACAGTTCAAAAATAGGATCATCCACCTTTTTCACCACTGTTGTAGGAATATCGGGTCCTTCGTAGTATAAGATATAGTAACCAGCTGAGGGTGAGAAAGTCGTACGGTAATAAGCATGGATATCCGCATCTGAAGGACATGTTAAACATTTCTTGGTGATCGAAGGTTCTGAGGCAAATAAAGAGATGGTGTATAAATGTCGTTCCAATGGAGATCGTTCAGTAGATATAAAATGCCTGTACAAAAAAAAAAAAAAAAAAAAAAGATCTAGTTTTCCATCATAAAGATTTTGATATTTCTATCTTACACAAGAGCTCGTTTTCTATCCACCACCACAGAATCTTGTTCTACCTCCCATTCACCGTCAGTAAGCCATCGTTTTTTTATTGTCAAATCTTGTCCAATTGTCATCATGGCCAAATGAAGGTATCCAGATCCATTATCAGCAATATCCACATAATCCACCGCCCAAGAGCCATCGTTGTTGCGATATTGTCCAAAGAAAGATACTGATTTAGTCAAATCAATCCATCCACCATCTACTGGGCTATAACTATCCACTGTCGTCACAAAACTGCTGATATCGTCGCTGTCCTTTTCATCAAGTATCATGAATAGGTTGGTCAATTGTTTGTCTTGAATTCGATTGGTTTGTTTGAACAGGAGATGCGTATGAGAGTCGGTTATCCAGCGTACTTCAGTAATGATGCGATCCTCTTCATCGAAATCTTGGTGTTCCTTTTTCGTAGCCACTGATATAGGAGAAGTTGCATTTTTTGTCAGCATGATTGTTGTTTGTTGAGTCAAAGAATAAACGAATAAAGAAGCTAATGGATTTGGAGCTCCAGCCTATAGTTTGATGATGGTATGAGTTTATTTTCTTTTTTTCTTACCATGATTATAAAACGAACTATTTTTTTTTTTGTTTAAATTGTATACCTTTGGATACCTAATGGCCATTTCATCAGGATAGCTATCATTGTCAGTAGTGTATATCGGTAGATGGAGTTCAGGCACTTTTGTTTCATCTAGTCGTAAATAGGCCAAGTGAGTTGCATCAGGAGACCACCAAAGTGCAAAGTTTTGCAAAAGTACTTCCTCTAATATAAACAATGAGTAAAGATTTTAGATCGTAAAAGATTTTACCTACCTTCATATACCCAATCAGGAACACCATTAAACACTGTTGCAGAGCCATCATAAGTGATTTGCTTATGTGAGTGTAAATCGGATATATATAAATTGTTGTCCATCACGTATGCCTATTTATATAAAATAAATATTTTTAATTTCTTATTTTCTATTCCACATCATTGAGGTCTATATTTCATTACTTACTACTTGATGACCCACTGGACTCCATACAGCGTAAGAAATGTTTGGTGGTTTGTCGATGGTTGAAGTATTCAATAATGGAAATAGGTATTTGTCAGATCGATTATAAATATAAATGGTAGCCAAGTTCGAATGTCTCCATACCTATGGTAGAAAATAAATATCATATTAGTTATTCCTCTTATTATACTAATTGGTCATCACTTGCATTTGTTTCGTTTGTCCATAGCATCATGTAAGCGTTGTCCTTTGAAAAGGTATAACGTGATATAGATAATGGTTGATGGTTGATCATCTACAAAAAACAAAAAAAAAAAAAAAAAAAAAAAGGAAAATGAATAAGCATCTCTTCATTTCTTTTGATTCTATCATTTTGCAATACCAGATCTTTCGAGTCCAATAACACTTGTTTCTTGTTTTCGTCGACAGAAACCATCATAATGCTGTGATTTTCAGGATCAATAAACGTAAACACTCCATCCATTTGTTCTACATGCAAAAAAGTTAAAAGTGAACAAGACTTTTTATTTTTTGTACTTGAAGGTATTTTCTATATCTCTCTCTTTTTTTTTTTTTTTTTTTTGGCTTACCACTGCTATCAAGCCATACCAAGGAAGGTCTTTTTGGTATAAAATCAGAATTGGAGATATCAGCTAGATCTATATGGTTACCACTACTAAGAATTTGAGTTGAACCATCTATAAAAACAAAAAGTAAGAAGTAGTGTTCAAATGATTTATTCTATATGTTTAAATTACCTGGACTTAGGCTATTGACAATGATGATCCATGCCAACCAACCAATAAGCAATATGCCTAGAAAGAGAAAACAAATCCATGTTCGGCGACGTTCCTAGTCTCATATGATGATATATATATGTATATAAATAAAGAAAAGAATGAATAAGAATAAATAAAAAAAAAAAACGTTTTAAGAAAAGAACTATTTTTTTTCTTTTTACCTTTAAAGATTGTACAGTATGGGGCTCATGTTGTGAGTCTTGGTCATCAGAAACAAGTCGTTCATGTTCATCGTTTTCGTCTTCTTTGTAAGAAGTGTGAAGAAAGTCAGCATCTTCAATACTATTATCATCGTTATCCTGGGTATGTTCATAATAAGTTTTGCGCATCATTTCGTTATTTTCCAAATCGCTATCTGTACTGAGACGAGAATTATCTTCACTATGTCGAGGGTTAGAAGAAGTAGAGGAGAAAGAATGAATACTATGCCGACTGTCGACCATGGTCATAAATTGATCAACAAAGGTATCCATAGTAGGTGAATGAGTGACATGTTGTAATGGAATAGAAGAGGTCATACATATATATATATAAATAAATAGATAAAAAGAAAAAAAAATAAGAAGAAGGAAAGAAAAGATGAATATAAAGGAATGGATTGGTTGATAAAGAAGAGAGAGAAAAGAAAAAAGAATTTTGGTTTTGTGTGGGCTTACCTTTTTTATATAATGAGACACATTCAATCACCGCCAAGTGAATCACAAATGGTTACTAAAATTATAAAAAAACAGTGTTAAAATAAGTATATAGTAATGATGACAACACTTGCTAATATGAAATTAAAAAAGATAAAGGAAAGAAAGTAACAAATAAAAAAAAAAAGATGAATAAATATGAACATTGCTGTATTCAGGAGATATTCTTTCTCCCTCTTCTCGTTTAATGTCAGATCTTTAAAAAGAGTAGTACTCCTTTGATTTTCCCCTATTATATCAGTTTTATACTAATAACCATCATCACATATGAACACTTATGTAGGATTAGTTGTTACACAATAATTGTTATGTAAAGGAATAGTTTTATTGAAGTAAAATGAAATAATAAAAAAAAAGGTATTTATTTCTTCACAGAAGATTTTAAGCCAAAGACCAAGTAATATCAATAACACCTTTGTTCATATCTTTTTCCAAAGATTTGAAAACAGTATGAGTCAAATCGAGATCACCATAACTACATTCAGGGCAAGCATCATTGATAGTAGCATAAGTAGTTTTACCATTATAGGAGATCTTGATCTTCTTACCACACCAGCCACTCTTTTTATCCATGCTACCATATTGTTTAGCGTTCAACGCCACAATATTAGCAGAATCAGATTCAAAACTACCACAAGCACCAGTAGAACCACCTTCAGTAGATGGATTAAAGAAAGTACCAATACCAGAATAACTGTTACGTTTTTCCATCAAAGTTTTTTCAGCTCGAGAAGGGCCATTTCTTTTGGCATCAACCAGGATAGCAAGGAAACAGGCAATAATGGCAACAAGGACAATAGAGAAACGCATGATGATTTTGTTGTATTTAAAATGAAAGGAAGTGTGTAGAGATGAAAAAGCGACCGGCGCAAAAAAAAAAAAAGGATGAATGTACTGTATAACTGATGAATAAATAAAAAGAAAATGGGATGATTGAAAAAGGTCGATTACTTTTATACTGAAAATCGAGAAAAAAAAAATAAAAGCTACTATCGCTGACTTTAGAATGATGGTCAGGGTGCCCTTTATCAAAAAAAAACCTTTTTCATTGGTGATGTTTTGATAATTTGATGTTCTGGACGAATGAAAAATGATGGTCTTTATATTTTAAAAAAAGAAAAAGAAAAAGAAAAAAAAATAGATTGGGTATCGGGAATGGTTGAAAAGTTCCTGAAAAAAAACTTTTTTTTTCTTTGATCTGTTATATTTTTTTTTTTGGGGATGATCAACCAGTGAAGAAAGAGATAAAAGAAGCGATCACTAGAACTAGATAATAGGATAAAAGTTCCCTTGACATCATGATGATGATGATGATGTTAATTAGCCAAGGAATTGAGTTGATAACAATTAGATCACATTGGCAACAAAGTCTAGACGGAATAAAGCAACTGTCAATGTCAGTTCACCAATGAAATGGTAAAAGATCTTAAGATGGCGGCCAATAAAACAAGAGGAAAGGTTCTAGATTTCTTGTACCTGAGAAATTTATATTTCTTAAAGACTCTGCCAATGAATATGGATATTTTTTATATATATATTCAGGAACATAAGATGATTAGAAATAACACGTATCTTACTGGATGATATTTATATATTGAAAAAAAGGAGGGGGGATGGTGTATTCGGGGTCCTCTTGATTAAGCAAATTGACGAATCATCTTTTTTTTTAAAAAACAAAATCAGGACGGATCAATTAAATTTATCCAAGGCCAATTGATTCTATGGAGAAACCATGCTTAGATCGCCACCATAAAAAAAAAAAAAAAAAAAAGAATGCAACTTTTCATGCAAATGTCTATTAAAAAAAATGATAGTGCAATATGAAAGGAAAGTAAGTAAGGGGCAGCATATTTTTTTAACTCCGTCATCTTTTGTATTTCTCACTTTCTTTTTTCTTGTTATCTCTTTATCTATTATTATTTTTTTTTTGATATTGATTGAATGTTTTCCTTTGAAACTTCATCATGAACAATCAAGTTGTTGTTGGCACTATTGGTCCTTGTACTGATCGTTGGTCATCAAGGTAAAAAGGAATAAGAAAAAAAAAACCCTGTTTTGTATATTTAGCTGTGTTCATCTCCTATCTTTTTCACTCCTTTGATCAACCTCTCCCCAATCCGTAAAGATGGATAAACATTTTGAACTTACCTTTCTTTTTTTCTTTCTTTCTTTTTTCTTTTTTTTTTCTTCCTTTACGATGATGAACTTTTGGGAAAATAGATCAACTTGCCTTCCATCCATTACCTCTTCTTCTTTATACCCAACATATACCTCTCATAGGCAGGTAAGCATAGAATGGATAAAGAGATAAAAATCTTGTCTTTTATTTTTGTTAATATGATTCATTTAGATACCTGATGACATTTCTTTACCTTTATCAGTCCCTTCAACAATCATATCATCAGAATTATCACCAAGATCAATATCATCATCATCATCTGCAGCATTAAAAACAATGGATATGGAAACACAAACTTCAACTTTGTTCTCCAATGGGATTTTCAACTCATCAGGCGGTATTAGATCATTTGATCCATTCAATCATTCCATTTTATTCCATCAACCTATGACAACAGGAATTATACCAACTATTACCAACGAAGTTTCTTCACCGTTCTCTTCCTCATCTTGTTCTTATTTTGGTGATCAAATGTCCTCTTCATCATCATCATCATCTTCTTCTTCTCCAGCAACGGAAATAGATGACGACCCATCATTTCATTATTTAATTGATATATTGGATGATTATGCAACGAACGCAACAAGCAGGATGCAACCGGACTCTGAAACACAACGCTCTGTCACCATCAATGTACCAAATGTAACCAATCTAGGGAGTGCTCGCATGACACATCATTATCAATTGCCCTTTTTATTCAATTCCATCAACAATAATATTTGGTCTAATCATTTATTTCGTTATCATGAACCTTTTGATGATGATGAATTTGATCCTACTCAACCTTATCCTAGTCCACCATCCAGTACTTCAACAACTTTTCACTCTCCTTTATCCTCAACAAAAACAGCAATTGAAATGTTATTGGACTTATTACCTCAATATACAGAACAACAAGTGATATCCACATTGTCCAAGGCAAATTACGATATGGATCGATTTTTGGAATTATTGACGACAAATGGAAATTTATCTTATTACAAGAAAAGGCAAGTGTGTCGTCATTTTCTATTGGGGGATTGTCATCGTCACGATTGTCGATATGCTCATGATATAAGTATTAAGGTTTGCCGATTTTGGTAAGTCACAAAGTAAAAAAAAAAAAAAAAAATTTAAATAAAAAAATTGACGTAAATCAATGGTTACATTTATTACTTTATGTATAGGTTACAAGGTTGTTGTTTGAAAGGAAATCAATGTGAATTTGCTCATAGTGTTGAATCTATCAGTATCATTCAACAAGAAGATCCTATTATATCAACAAAACGATCTGGTAGGAAAAAAGAAAAACAACATGGTAAACGACAAGATCGTAAAAAATCAAAACGAAAATCCAATTTGATCAACAATGTCACACCGATCGATTCAACAAAAAAGAATGTTTTGGAAGATGAATTCCCTGCTCTTTTGAAAAATGCATCTGGTGATACTTCAAGAAGAACAAGTGCTCACGTGTTTGGTGATATGTGTCCAACTAACTTTGCTCAGGTGGTGGCCAATAGCAAAAGGTGATCAACATTTTGAAAAAAAAAAAAAGTAATGCCAAGCAAAAAAAAAAAAAAAAATGAAGGTCTGTGCTTTTTTTTTTTTTAGTGTGAGCAACAAAAAAATAAAACAATGAAGAAAGCTTATATACTATTTTTCTTTTTTTTCTTTTTTTTTTTTTTGGTTTAGTCTTTAGTATAGTTAATTAGATATAGCTATCAAAAATTGAATAAATGAAATAAAAATGATGATTTGTTGGTAGGACGAAACAATATGTATGAATGTTCTTACAAAATCGGAGTATAGTCCTTTTTGTTTATCTGTGTGAAAATTCTTTTTTTTTTTCCGTAGTTTTTTTTTTTTTTTTTTTTTTTGGTATTCTTCCATCCTTTTTTTTATTATTATTTTTATTTTATGGTTGATGATGACTCTATTTTGATGAAAGTTATTCTATAAAAGGAGATTGAAAAAGAAGAGATTGGGGAGGGGAATGAAGGAGACACAACAAGAAAGAGGGAGATGGGGGGAGAAGAAGAAGAAAAACTCCGTTATCGATGATTATATGTTTTTCATATGGAGATGATGGTAACGCAGCATATTACAGGCAAAAGAAATTTTTTTTTTCTGCCGATCTCATCTTCAACCATTCAATTCTCATTGTATTTTTATTGGAAGAGAAAAGACTCGCAACCTGTTTCAATGACGTAATGTTGAAACTCCGTCAAGCCCCTTCACTTTCTTCATTTTTTTTTCTTTTTTCCTTGGTGCCTTAAAATGGGTTCTTTCTTTTTTCCTTTTTTTATCTTCTCTTTTTTTCTTTCTTTTCTTTTCACTCTTTTTTTTTTTTTTTATATTGAAACCATGATGACACAATCTGATACTTCTTATTTTACATTACAACCTTGTGATAAACAAATGGGTTCAACAGATCCCTCCATGGCCTCGAATAAACGTATTAGTCCTCCTCCTTCTTCTACAACAACCTCTTCTTCTATTGATACAGGATATCTACAAGACCTCGGTTTACCTTCTTTACCACCATTATCACAACTATTGACTACTGAAGAAAAACCAGCTAGTTGTGCCTACGACAAAGCTGCTACTAATACTTCTACCTCTTCATCCATTGCTCAAGCCATGGTAGAACAACAACAACAACAACAACTTTTTACAACAACAAATAATACTATGACACCAACAACTACTTCATCTGTACATAATTCTACCACCAATAATCTCACGCCCGCTGTTGTTTCGGCCATGACCGATTCTATGGGATTACTTACTTCGACTTCCGCTTCAACAACAACACCCAGTTCTTTGACAATGTTGATGGATCCTACTTCTGCTGCTGCTGCTGCCGCTGCTGCAGCTGCTATGTATTTACCTCCTTCTCAAAATAGTTTAACTGATGCTACTACTAATGCTGTGGCTGCTATGATGACCAACAATCCAATGTTACCACCATCGGCCAATCCATCTTCTTTTTACAATTTGTCAACTACGTCCTCTTCATCATCATCAAATAATACATCGAATTTTACTATGCCACCTAACGCGTTGGATCCTCGAGATAATCTTGAAAAAAGTTATTCCTTTGTTGCTATCCCTGGAGCAAATCAACGAAAACGCCCAAGACGACGCTATGATGAAATTGAACGATTATACCATTGTACTTGGCCAAATTGTACGAAATCTTATGGTACTTTGAATCATTTGAATGCTCACGTCTCTATGCAGAAACATGTAAGTTATATATTTTTTTAATAGAAGAAAAAGAGTTTGTGGAACCCATGTTTTGAACTTTGTTTTTTTTATAGGGCCCCAAACGTCACCCATCTGAATTTAAGGAGATGCGAAAGAATTGGCGACGACAAAAGAAAGAAAGAGAAGCAGCAAGAAAGGCAGCGGAAAAGGATGGATTGACGACAAGTATGAATATAACTGGCAACAATCCTTCATTGATGCAACCATTACAATCTTACAATACTTATTCTTTTCCTCCATCTATGTATTCATCATTACCGCAACAAACAATGACTTCCATTGGTACGTTTTATTAGATATAATTTTTTTTTTCATATCCTATTATACTATCAGCATTCCCCCTTTTTTTTCACAAACAAACAAATCAACAAGAAAAAACCTCCTCTTTTGTATATGTCATTATATTATTATTATTATTATTATTATTTTATTCTTCTCGAAAAAAAAAACCCCTTTTCTTTTCTCTCTTTGCCTATTGTACCATATTTTCTCTTCATTAACATCATGGATTCTTTTTTGAAAAATAAAATAAAAAAAAATTTTAAACAATATCAAATGGTATAGATTGTATCAGATGTGAAATCATTCATCATGATATCATATTTATAGGAGTGGATGGAAATGAGGTTTGAGAAATGAACCAATAAGCGTGCAGTAACCTATCTCCCTCTACTTTTGCTTGGTTTTTTCCTGCTTTTTTTTTTTGTTTGTGCTTACACACACATTGTGTATTCATAATCCGCTCATTTTTTTTTTTTCTTGCACTTCCTATTTTTTTTTTCACACCCTTTCTTCCATTGTTTACTTTATTTTTTTTTTTTTGTAACGTAGATATGGAAATACAAGATACTGTAAAAGATGAGTCTACATCTAATAGTTGGCTTTGTCGTGGACTTGCTTGGTTATTTCCAGAGACTTCAATTCAACAATGGCGTGATATTGTAGATAAATTCAATGTATCGAATCTTTTATTTTGTTATTGTCTTCCATTCTTTTATGTGTTTTATCCTACTTGGTTAATGCCTGCCATATTCCTGAAATCCTTATCTTTTGTTGTGGGTTGTCTTTATCGTTTAATTAGTCGTCACCATGGTCATTACAATTCAACTCAAACCACGGCTCAACATTTAAATAATAATAATAATAATACAACACCTTCATCTTCTGGTACTTCCACTCCTATTAAACCTAGGTCTCGTCCTTCTACTCCCACTTTGGAAGATGAACGAAATCATTTATATTTCTGGTTACAACGATGCTCTATTTGTTTGGAACAAACTTATTCTTTATGTTTGGAGTCGTGTCGTGATCAATTTTGCAAGGATTGTTTTGCAAGGTAAAATATCATCTTTTTAAGGTAATTATTCACATTTTATAATTTCAATAATATAGGTATACTGAAGAAACAGTACAAGCTTCTTGGGGTTTAGGTGTCACTCGAATCAAATGTCCAGGTAAAATGATCTTTATAAAAAAAAATTGGGAGATGGGATTATTTATTTCTTTTTTTTTTATATTAGTTTGTCAAGAAGTGATTCCTCAAGCTGAATGGAGTCGTTATGTTTCAAAACAAGTAGTGGATAAGTATAATGCATTCAATCAACCTTATCGACCCTTTATGCGACATTGCGCGGCATGTGAAAATGAAGTGATTCCATGTCAATCTCCAAGGCAACAAGGTGTTTCACGAGAAATGTAAGTCTTCTTTTTTTTTTTAATACTATTATGTTATTCATATAATTATATAATGATAGGCGACTGGAATATATTACGGATGCTCTTTCATCATTGAAGGACTTGATGGAAAATAATGCGGATTGGAAAGAACAATTAGATCAATTGACAATGTTTTTTCAACAAACATGTCAAAAAAAAGGGTCGACTTTCCGTATTGGTCGTGTACAAGATTTATATCAAAAGATGATTCCATCTTTAGCTCGTTTGGTTCAACAACAACAAGCTAGTTATCAATATGCATCTCTGATATCTAAGCAATTAGTGGCAATGGAAGTGATACCTGAAGCTTGGAAGCAAACTCAATTCTGGCATGTTGCTCATTTTCCTTTGGAAACCTGGTAAAATCTTTCTTTAGAAAAACCATTAAATTTCTAACTATTTTTTTTTTTTTTGATATAGTGATCAATGTGGATTACATCTCTGTCTTCAATGTGGGGAAAAGGCACATGTGGGAATGACTTGTATGAATTGGATGATAAAGAGTTTACAGGATCAACCATCATCAGATCAAACAGCTTCTCTACAATGGAAAATTAAAAACACGTATGTCATGACACATTTTATTTTTGATTGTACTTATCTTCTTATTATTATTAGACGACCTTGTCCAAACTGTTCGGTGATGATCAACCGAGATGAAGGATGTAATCGAGTGGATTGTTTATTATGTGGTCATCGATTTTGTTGGCGATGTTTATCAAGTTGGACTTCGGTAAAAAAAAAAAAAAAAAAAAAAAAAAAAAAAAAAGATTCAATATTGATTCTCATGGTTTTTTTTTTTTGGATGACAGCAAACATGTGGATTCTATCAATGTGGACAAGAAGAAGAGAATCAAAATGAAGAAAAGACACACGCTCAAAATGGAAAGGTATACTGGGAATAATAACAATACTAAGAAATAACCTCTTTTGGGATATATTGTTTGTTTTGGATAGGCTGAATTAGGTGTTCCCAATATGACATTGATTGATTCAAAGCGACGCCATTCTTGATGGATACATGTAACAAGAATACCCTCTCAAATATAGTATAGTATGTTGTATATAGTTTTATTTATTTATTTATTCATTATATTATTGGCTGAAATAAACCAAATTGGGATATATATATTTTTATTGAATGGGGAATCAAAATGTTTTGTGTAAAAAAAAAAAAATCTATGCTTGTGATGCATGTGATAAAATGCTTATATTGAAAAAAAAAAAAAAAAGTATACACAAAAAAAAAAAAAGGTTATATACAAAAAAAAGGGGAGGAAGATTAATCTGTCCAATGAACGCCAAGATCATGAATCAAATCATCGGATTGTTTCAATAAACAAGACAGGGCATCATCCATGATTTTTTGTTTTTTGTTGGTATCAAACGATACTTGAACAAAATCAAATTGATCCAGAAAATGAAAGTCATCATCATCCTCTTCATCATCATCCTCTTCAATGGAAGGAGTAGAACTTCGTTTTCGTTTCTTGGTTTCGGTTGCATGATGATCGGATTCTAAAATGCGCAACAAGGCTTCATCATCCACCAAGTCGATGGCTTGTTTCTTGTTATCATTATTATTGTTGTTGTTGTTATCATTATTATTATTGTTGGTCATTGTTTGTTGATTCATTTTTGTTTGTTTGTCAAAAGGGAAAATGTGTCAATGAAAAAAAAAAAAAAGTTAAAATGCAAAAGTGAGTCTTATTTATATGAAAAAATTGAAAGGAAACAAAAGATCGCACTTGTGTCCAAATAAGGACTAAGTAGAAAAAAAACTTTTTTTTTCTTTGTTCATCCTAAACAAACACTGGCGCCGATTCAATGACTCACCAACAAGAATGATTTTTGTTTCAGTCATCACCCCCTCCTTGTTTTTTTTTTTTTCACCTGACATTCTGTGCCACTTTATTGGTTGAACAAAAATCATCAAGAAAACATCATCTCAAAATACTCTATATGTGTGATTACACATGTGCACCATGCACAAGTTTTTTTTTCTTTTTTTTTTTTTTTTTTTTTTTACTCGGTCCCTCCAAAAAATCGGACACGAAAAAGTGGATCTCCCCCCATAAATAAATAAATAAAAAAAACATGCAACACAAAAAAAAAAGAAACAACAATTTTTTTTATTCGGAGGCATCGATTTTTTCTAACCATTGTGATTGGATAGCTTTTTCCAAGAGTTTTCTTGATTGTTGTTCCTCGGCCAATTGTTGTTTCAATTGATCAATCAAGGCCAATAACACCGTAGCTTCTTGACCCAACTTGATGCGTTGACCAGATTGTAACCAAGCAGGACTACTTTCCCTACGTTTTTTCTTATTATCTTGTAAAGGACGACAACATTGATCACATCGAGTTTGTAAAGGTTCAGTTTGAACCAAACTATCAATGGCCTTTTCTTCCTGATGAGATTCATGCAAAGATGATGCAGGCGGGGTGGGAAAGGACAATGGTTCTTCATCATCGTATAATCTTGGTTGATTAGCATCCTCCACTAAAGGAATATGTTTTCTATGATGTTTGTGCCGCATTAAAGGAGGTTGGTATTGATGTTGTTGTAAAAGAATGGCATTATTACTATGGCTGGCTTTTTTTCGAAGTCGATCAAAAATCGTCTTTGATCGCATTTTATGTTCCAAAGGTTCTGGTGGACCAGTGGTGGCTAAAAATTGAGCTAATGCATATGTATTATTGTTATGAGGCATTCCACCATAACGTTGCATCGATAAAAAAAAATAAAACTGAAAAAAAATAAAATAAAATAATCTTTTTTTTTTTTTTTGGCTTTTTTAAATCATCATCTCCTTTTTTTTTGTGCTGCCATTCAAGCTTGCTCAAACCTCCTTATTCCCCTCCCTCCCTTTACTTTTCTTTTTCTGGTAGCTGGACATAATCATCGGTTCACAGACAATACAACCATCTGTAAACAATAGATACAGCTCCTACAAATTCTTTTTTTTTTCTTATTGTTTTATATGAATGACAGGTTTTGATAAAAAAAAATTCTCTAAGGAGCATTTCATTTAGTCATCCCAACTCCACCGTAAAAAGGAAAAAGATCATCCATTACCTCCCTTTGCAACATTAAAAACAAATGGGAGACACACACTTATTGATTTTTTTTTATTATAATATATTTCCAAACAATAAAAAAAAAAAAAAAAAAAAAAAACTATGAAAAACCAATCATGTTTGATCGCATCGACTCATCCATAGATACTGCTTTTTTGGTTGTTCTTTTTCTTCGACCATTGTTATTTGTTGTTTCACTAAGACTTTTTTGTTGTTGTTGTTGTTGTTGTTGTTGTTGTTGTTGTGAGCATCTGGATATGATTGTTGTACGTCGACCAAGTAATTGTTGTTGTTGTTGACGATGATATCCAGCAGAAGTATGATGACGTCGAAGAGCTTGTTTATCAATAGTAGAGAATCGTCTTTTGCTTAATCCAATGGCTCCAGGAAGTAAAATACCTTTGGGTCCCATCACCATACAATCTGAAAGTCCACGATGATAACTGTTGTCACTGTTGTTATCGTTACTGCCACCATCATGACCAAGAGAAACAGGAGGACCAAATGCACGATAGGAGGATGAACTTGAAGGAGTCAAAGGTTCCCCACCCCCTTGCTGATTCACCTTCTTTGCCCAAGAAGATACATCGTCATCATGTGCCGATCGTTTCCATCGTCGCCAGCCTTCAAAGTCAATCAATGCTTGCATACATCCCCATTCGATGATTTTCTTTTCTAACCATTCAAGACTAACAGGTTTCGTCAAAAAATCGTTACATCCCGCTGCTAATGCTGCATGTCGATCGGATTCCAATGATGATGCCGTCAATGCAACTATAATCACTGGTGATCGGAACGTTGATGGTGTTGTTGTCGTTGTTATCGCTAGTTCAGTTGCTGTTTCGGCTTGTATCACATCCACAACACCTTCCATAATTGTATCTAAACCATCACTACCTTGTTGTTGTTGTTGTCGAAGGAATGATGATGACATTGGTAATACACCTATTTTTTGTTCCTTTTCAATCGATCGAATCAATTTCGTAGCTTCTATACCACTCATCACTGGAAGTTGAATGTCCATCTATAATAATAATAATAATAATAAAGAATTAATAATTGACAACCTTTTTTTTTTTTTTTTTTTTTTTTTTTTTTTTTTGGTACATACCAATATCAAATGAAATCCACCTCCTTTCCATTTTTCCACTGCTTCTTGACCATTACTGGCAACAGAGAATTTGATTTTATGTTTCTTCATCCATGCTGATAAAATAGCTTGATTGATCATATTATCTATCCACAAAAAAAAAAAAAAAAAAAAAAATGAATAACTCTGAAACATCATTTATTCTTCATATTTTCCTGTATATATGAATTACCTTCAACAATCAATACATTGATAGGTGGACTGACCACATTTGCAAATGGAGTACCTTTTTCCCTTCTTCTTTTCTTATTCAGTTTGATACTGGCCATACGAGAGAGAGGTTTGGCTGGTTCAATGGGTGTTGCTGAGGTGGGTTCACTGGATGTTGGTGAAGTAGAGCTGGTTTTGTTATTATTATTACTATTATCATTATTATTATCAGTGTTAATGTCGTTATTGTTGTTATTGTTGTCATTTTCTGTCGTTGGTGCGCCTTCATTACTGTTATTATCATCCTTGTTCGACCTATTACCAAGATCTTGTTTTGCTGGAGATCCTGTTGGGAGTGGAATGTCCAAAGATGGTTCAGTTGAACTTTTGACTCCTTTCGTTGTCGATCCTACAGATCCTGTTGTTATTTCTGTTGTTGGAGCTGAATCTGAGGTGGATGTGATTGTTGTTGTTGCTGCTAGTACAGATGAATCAAGTGTTGTAGTGGTGGTAGGCAAGAAACAACCAGGAGGCGTTGTAGAGGAAATGCCATTTTTGCGTCCTGATGGTGAAGGTGAAGTAGCTGCTGCTGCTGAGTATTCAGATCCATCCAATATGTCATTGTTGTTGTTGTTTTCCATATGTTCGTTGCGTGATTGTCGACGATTTTTGGAACCTGAACCACCATTTGTTCGATCGAAAAAGTAACCTTCGTGTTGCTGGAATTGATGAAGAGATGAGGGACTATAAGCACCACTAACAGGACGACGTGAAGTTGAGCGATGATGACCCGTCGTTTCATTTTGTCGATAAAGTTGCTGATCATTACTACCAGATGAATGTACATTGGGAGGCGTAACATTGGAAGGGTCGATTTGTGACAGCATGGATGATAATAAAGCAGTAGGAACTGGATTACTAGGAGATGTCGCAATAGGAAGGAAATGAGGTTCTACCATAGCATTGTGCCAAGCTATATGGAAAGCTGTCAAATATCGTCGAGGACCTGCTGGTTTAGGAACAACTACAATTCTTGGCATAGGATAAGGTGTGGCGAGAGTTGTTGCCCATTGAATAGTATCACGTACGCGTTTGTAATTGTTCAAAGATGTAAAATGAATGATGGCTGTGGTCTGACCATGCTGATCGGCAGTTCCTGTATTGGCTTTGGAGGATTTGTGACGACGATGATGTACATGATGTTGATGTGATGGATGATAATGAGGATGATGATGATGTGATTGTTGTTGCTTTTGTGTATTCGACATGGTTGTAACAGGTGCAGCAATTCGAAGTTCCAAAAGTTTCTTTTCCAAAGTCAAAATATGATCATCAATCAATATAAATGCTGGTGGAATAGAGAGGAGATGTTCTTCTTCAGTAGCAGGAGATGGGACAGGAGGTGTGGTATTGGCGGGTCGTGGTGAAGACATAGCTGTTGCTGTTTCTGTTCCAGTGGCTGCTCCATTGGTGGATGTGGTTGTTGATGAACTTGTATTTCCATCAGATCCTGGTGTACTAGCATCATTTGTCAATGAGATATCATCATCATCCACCCGAGAAACTGGTACATGGCTGATATCGCTATTCCAACTAGCAAGACATCCTGTCAGATGTTTGGCAAAAACACTTTGTTCTTTGGCATGTAGTACCATCTTGAGTCCTTTGAGATTTTCCATAAACTTTGATAGATCTTTCAGGCTAGGTTCATGAGCAAATTTGATATGGTGATACGATTTGTGAAATGGTGTGGTTGATGAAGTTGTGACCATATCTCCAATAAATAATCCATTGATATGTTTGACTCTACTATCATTACTGTCGATGTTATTGTTGGTATTGTTGTTGGTATTATTAGCAAGATCCATTTCCATCGTTATGTCAAAGCGTGTTCGAGTCTTTGTAAGATGATGTATTGCTAATCGTCCTCTAACATAACGAATCAATTGAGCGGTCAGGTTGGCATTTGGTAAAAGTAGAGCTGTCGATAAAAGATGATCCGGAATCGCAGGTGACGAAGTATGTATAATTTCAAACATTACGTTCATCTTTTTGGTATCGTTTTCCACTGTCATTAGATTCAATCCTAATTCAATACAGGCACCAGGAGTACAACCTTCCAAGATATTTCGTAGTAACTACAAAAGTGAAAAAAACAAAAAAAAAAAAATGGATCAGAATATATATATATATATATATACAAATTATAAATTTATAATAATCTTTTTTTTTTTCAACTTACATTGAGTAAAGCATGTCTTAAGGAAGCTTCATCACCAATCACGGGAGTATGATGTAAATTATTGTCAGAATGATATATCACCAAGTTAACATCCAATTTGGAAGCCATACCAGCCAAAGCATCACCTACGTTTTGTAATAATTCACCAATGTCAAAGAATTGTCGATGATAAGTTGGTTGCCAAGGAAAAACAGTCGAATCAGAAGCAATGGTATCCAAAGAAAGATTGGTATCGTATAAACAAGAATTATTTTCCCGGACAAGACAAGACAGAAGTTGCAATTGTGAACTCACATGACAGACATGTTTGATAGTGGTATGAATAGCGGATATACTGGTGATGGGGACGGCGATCGAACAAGCACTGAGTAATTCTTGTGAGTTGGCGAGAATAATACCTGGAGAGAATTGTTCAAGTGTGGTGAGAACCATCAATGCAGCATCCTGAATTTCATTGGTGATGGTGGATAAAAAGGCAAGATGATGTTGTGAATAACGTGAAGTCTGATTGTTGACATGACGTTGAGCGAGACTATGTTGATCACGAAGATGCTGTTGGAACCAAAGTTGTTGAGATTCATTGGCACGGATCAAGCGACGGGCGATGTAAAAGAGGACTGAGCATACAGAGAGAAGACCTATGACGATAGTATACAGGTATCCAGTAAGTGGGGTATCGAACATGATTGGTATTGGGGCTACAGAGATAAAGGTAATGAGATTGGCATATTGAGCCCAGTACAATAAATGATTCATCTGATCAGAATGATAATTCCAAAAGACAAAGAACAAAGACCATAGAACGACCAAGAGAGGTTGAAGTGATAGTTGAACCCAGGCATAATGACTTGAAGGAGAAGAGATAAAAACAAGAAGAGTAGTTATCACAGGACATATAAGACACGTTATAAAAGCCCGTGTCACGAACCGATGAATTTCACACGACATTTGATTATTTTGACTGAAGATGGCATCACCAGATTGTAAATCAAAGGAAGGTATTCGAATAGAAAGAAGAGCATCGTCACCATTCTGATCAACAGTTTGTGGTGATGAAGAAGTAGTAGTAGTTGTAGATGAAGAAGTTGATTGCGCTGACCAAGTGGATCGACGTAGATGAACAAGTCGTTTCAGAGAAGCAGGTTCCATACTATCAGTAGGAGTTGTACAAGAGGAATTGCGTACAGTATCAGATTTTATACCATCAGTTGAAGATATTGATGTAATTGCTTGATATTGATTAGAAGGTTTTTCTGATAATAAAGTTTGTTGTTCTTCTTGATTTGTTGATGAAGTATGCCGAGATGTGAAATAAGTCATATTGATATGAAGGTATGTAATACAATGCAAATAGAATGAAAAAAAAAAAGAAATAATATGAAACTATTGTAATATGTTGAGGTATATATATATATATATATAATAGTGATATACAGTAATGAGTGTGAATGAATAAATGAATAATATGACTGAGTGAGAAAGAAAAAGAAGAACAAAAAAAAAAAAAAAAAGGAGAGAGAGAAAAAAAGTTTATCTCCAAAAGAACCAATTCGGAACTTGAAATTATCTTCAAAAAGTACCTGGTGTTTTGGGCTTCTGTTTTCTTACATTGGGAAAAAAAAATAACAACAACAACAACAAGAGGGTCACTTATCATGTGTTACCTTGGATGAACACAACAGCAACAAAGAATTTCTTATTTGTACAGCGTGTTTGTAATAGGTAACACTTCCGAAATTATCTTTTTTAATGTACGTAAATCAGTTTACTCTATTCATCCATTTTTTTTTTTTTAAAAAGAAAAAAGAAAGTTTTTCCTCCCAAAACTATTTACTTTCTTTGGTAACGGCTAGGATTATCATGTTCTGGGTTACTTTTAGTAGCAAGTCACGTCATGTCAAGGAGGATTTGCATGAATCCGCCTTTTCCTCACTTAGTGATTGAGAAATCAGTAAGTCAAAGAATAAAGAGTATATGCGGAGTCTTATTTCTCTCTCTCTATCGAAGGTTTTTTGTTTTTGTTTTTTTTTCTTCCTGGGTAGCTGGTCTTTTTTTACCTTTTTTTTTTTTCTTGAAAAAATATTATCAAAAGAACAAATATGTCACTTTTTACCAAAGCCATGATACGAGCAACTTTAAGGGTAAAAAAAATAGGCTTACCATGTATGAATTATAACTAACTCTTTTTATATATTTAATTAATTAATAGACATCTACAAGACCCATTTTTCAACGTAGCTGTCAAGTAGGACTCCGTCGACGATTGTTTGCCACTTCTTCTGAAGAAGCAAAACGACAACAAGCTTTTGGTGTAAGTTAAAAAATTTGAATTTTATTATTTTTATTGATTATTTTATATGATATAGCCTTTCACTTGGAAAGCTGCTGCCGCGTTTTTAGGTACAGGTGCTGGTTTATTGATCTATTTTCAAAGCGAAAAAAAACGGGTGGAAGAAGAACGTAAGTATAAAGAAAATAGAGAGTTCAGTTATATTAATTACTTTTTTTTTTTTTGTTAGGTATTGCAAAAGAACAAGAAAAAACCAAGTCTTACGGTAAACCCAAGATTGGTGCACCATTTACTTTAACCAATGCAGCAACTGGCAAGTTATCTAGTAGTGATGATTTCAAGGGTCAATTCTATATGGTTTATTTTGGTTTTACACATTGTCCTGATATTTGTCCAGAAGAATTGGATAAAATGGCTGAAGTGGTAGATAATGTTAGTAAGTATCAAAAAAAAAAAATATTTAATAACATAACATAATTGATTTGATCTTATATATTATTAGAGGAAGATAAAGAATTAGGAGAAGGCATATTGGTACCTGTATTTATTACTTGTGACCCTCGTCGGGATAGTGCTGAAATTGTGAAAGAATATATTCAAGATTTCCATCCTGATATGGTGGGCTTTACTGGTGATCAAGAATCTATTAGACAAGTAGCGAAATCTTTCCGTGTTTATGTATCCTCCCCTCCTAATGTAGCTGATGGTGAAGATTATTTAGTGGATCATTCTATCTTCTTTTATTTAATGGATCCTGAAGGCAAATTTGTGGATTGTTATGCAAAGGATACTACTGCTGATCAAGTCACTGAAAGTTTCAAGAACTATGTTAAAGAATATGTAGATCAAGGTGGCTCTCTAAAGGCTCGTTCTTCTTCTTCTTCTTAGTGTAGTATAGTTTAATTTATGATACTTTAATTTGGTTTTTTTTTTTCCCTTCATTTGTAGCTTATATATTGATGATGATATAGATTTCTCCCTTCTCTTTAAAATTCTCAATAAAATAAAATAGATTCCTTATTCTTCATTTATAGCAATCACTTGAAAAAGATTTATCAATCAATAGGACAATCGGCAATACCACCTTCATTTCTTTATATTATACTAATATATTCTTTTGGGCATCATGTCTATAAAATAACCTTGGATGTCTTTAAAAAAAAATATTAGTTAAGGTGACATTCATAAAAAAATATGAGCAACAAGAATGGCGACAACATAACTATTAAAAAAAAAAAGGGTTTTATTGATTTTGAGTTCCAATGAACTTGTCCTCCATAAAAAAATAAATAAATAGAATAGATCATCCGATATCAATGAATAATAATAATAATAAAAAAAAAAGGGAGAGAGAGAAAGAAGGGAGAATAAGAGAGGAGAGCCGTACCTGACAGATCCATTAATGAAAAAAAAAAAAAAGAATAATAATGTGATATCCGTAAATAAGAAAAAGGAGGACGAATTGGGGGGAACTATTCTAATGAGAATCTAAACCAAATACTGTGGTGGCGACGATGGAGTGGTAGTAGATTTGATCCATCGAGCTGAAGCAGGAGGGGTATCCAAAAGAGATGGAGTGATGATTGTCGAAATGGGTTCCATGGTCAACATATCTTGCTTATCATTATGATGACGATGATGAGATAAAGTAGAAGCCACCACTGCATCATATTGAGCCTTATCTTTTCCAATTTGATTATACGAACCATCTTCATTCATACTTGTACGTAATCTCTGATCCTGTTGTTGTTGGCGTCGTTGTCTTCTTCGTTCAATCAAAGTAGAACTGGTGGATGGTTTGAAATCATCATCTTGTTGAGTTTCCACAAGAGTATTGCATTTTGTTGTTGTATTATCATCATCATCATCATCATCATCAATGATGTCTTGTATTCCACTATAGGATGAATAAACAGATGAAGTATAAGATTGACGATGAAGATCTACATCCAAAGATAATCGAAGAGCTGGTGCACGAGGAATGGCATATCTTGGCGGTGGTGGTGGTGGTGGTGGTGATGGTGATAAAAGTGGTAATGTAGTTGTTGGTGAAGATGGAGTAGATGATTGTGTTGTCGATAGATTAGCCATAGATGTAGGTAAGGTGGGTATAGAGGAGAAAGAAGAGGGTAGGTCAGTATAAGAGTGATCTAAAGGAGTCAAACTTTTTGCTCTGATTTGCCGGGTCATCGCATGTCGAGGTGGTGGTGATAGTGAGGATACGGGAGTAGGTGGTAAGGAGGAAGCATAATGATACTTTCTTGTTTCTACAAATAAATAAATAGTAAATAAATAAAACAAGATGAATCATAAATCAAATATGGGTAAAATCAGGGACCTAAATATATAAATCCTTTTTTTTTTTTTTTTTACCAATAAGATTTTCAGAATCATCATCAATGGTAGTATCATCAGTGGCACCGTCATCAATATCATCATGTACTATCTCCGTTTCATGTACAGTAGTGATGGAAGGTGCTATCCATTCTTGGTCATTGGTGGTGATGTTGACTTCAGATTTGGATTTGGACCGTTTAAAGATAAATGCAAAACAAGCAGACCAGCGCTGTTTGGCTGTTTTTCGATGTGCAGTGTGTAACAATGGCGGCAGATCAGTCGTAGAATCTGTTTCGTGTAAAACACTCTTTCGATGACGAAGGAAAGACGAAGAAGGAAGTAATAGTTCTGTAGTTGACATTACCAGTCTTTACGTTTATTGACAAACGCTTTTGACAAAAAAGGTGAGAGGATTGATATAAATAAATAGAAAGAGAGAAAAGAGAGAGAGAGACAGAGAGAAAATGGAAATTTCGCCAAAAGGGAGGAAAAAAAAAAGAAAAAAATTTAAAAGAAAAAAAAAAAAAAAAGGAGGGGAAGTGAAAGAGGAAAATTGAAAGTGTGAGAGGGAAAGAAAAAATAGAGAAAAGAAAGAAAGAAAAGAAAAGAAAGACTGTTGTCTTTTTTGTTTGATATAGTTTGGGACAAATAGGGGAAAGCCATGTGTCCAAAATCAAAATCAAAAAAAAAGGATCATCCAAACAAAACAAATATTTTATTATTGTCGAAGAAGAATATATATATATATGTATATGCATAAATAAAAGAAAAAAAAGAAAAAAAGCAAAGAAAGAAATGAATAAAAAAAAAAAAAGTAAAATGATAATCAAAATGATGAAGTAAAATGAATGATGTGTATATATATAATAATAATACCTAATGAGTATCTAATGAATATTTAATGATATATCTAATGGTTCTAAAGTTCTTCCATTGTCACATCATCTGTCAAAAGTGTTCTTCCACCACGTTTGCCATTATCTGTTTTCCCTAAACCAGCCGCTGCATCTGCCTATAAAAAAAAAAAGAATATAAGTATTTCATCATCATCATTATCATTATCAAAATATTTACCTCTGCTTGTGTATAAGGTTCTTCTTGGAGTTTCTTTACCCTTCGTTTATGCGTCTTCCCACGGTAGTGAATATCTAATGCATCTTGATTGATAAAATGACGACTGCATAACCCAAGAATTAGAATATTGCATTTTATCTTATTGTTCCTTTTTTTTTTCCTACTTACGCGCATTCCACACAGTAATGTTGTCCTAAACCAGGTTTATCAGTATCTATTTCTTGATTCTTTAATTTGATGGCATTTTCTGGTTTAATATCATCATGAATCTGATCAAGATCTCTTGTATAGTTTCGAGTTCTATATTTCCTAGAAACATCACGAATTCCACGATGTTTTCTTGCTTTTGCTAATCTATATTTTATTAATAAATGTCATTAATATATTATTATTCGTGTCTTCTTTACTTTACCTTCCCATTGTTGGTGTGTATTATATATATATTTATGTAAAATGGATATGAAGGTTAAAAAGAAAGAAGAAGAAAAAAAAAATAACAATGTAGTTTAAAAAAAAAAAAAAAAGAAGTCAGTCACCAGGAGAGCCAATCATATCAAGGAGAAAGAAAAAAAATGAAGAGACTCAGTTTGAATTTCATGCTTTACTTTTTTTTTTTTTCTTTTTTTCTCTCTACCTTATTATCATGGATATTATTCAAAAAAGATCTAAAGATGTTCGTATAGATCAAGATGTTGATTTTAGTACTTTGATTCAAAATCCTTTGATTTTAAAAGGTTTATCAGCTTCAGGATATGCTAGACCTTCTCCTATTCAACTACAAGCTATTCCTTTAGGTCGTCTTGGTGTTGATATGATTGCTCAAGCAAAATCAGGTACTGGTAAAACTGTGGTATTTGCTGTCATTGCTCTTGAAGCCATTCAACTCTCTATTACTTCACCTCAGGTAAATAATAATAATAATAATAATAATATATTTGATAGCCTTTATAATATATATATATATATATATATATAGGCTTTGATCATTGCTCCCACACGCGAAATAGCTATACAAATCAAAGATGTAGTTCAACATTTAGGTCAATACATACCACAATTCAATTGTGAAGCTTTGATTGGTGGTTTATCAGTACAAGGTGATATAAAAAGATTACAACATTGTCAAGTCGTGGTTGGTACTCCTGGACGTTTAATGGCTTTATTGGAATCAAAGAAACTATCTACAAAAACAATCAAGTTACTAGTCATGGATGAAGCCGATAAATTGATGTCTGATACCTTCCGACAACAAATTAAGTAAGTGATAATGAATACTTGATTTTTTTTATTGATGTTTATTTTGTAGATACATATATCAAAAATTGAGTATCAACAAACAAGTGGTTGCTTTCTCTGCTACTTTTACGGACGAACTTTTGGCATCTCTGAATGACTTTGTTAAGGAACCTCATATTGTAAAACTGACTCATGATTTACCGACGCTCGAAGGTAAGAAAATATTTAGTGTTTGTATCAATTATCTAATCAAGCAATTATATATTTATTTAGAGGTTCAACAATACTATGTGCAGATCAAATCCAAAGAAACGAAGGAAAAATTACAAGATTCAAATACAAATGATTTTTACCAAACCATACAGATCTACAAGGACAAATTTGAAACTACAGCCGAACTATTATCCAAGGTGGACTTTTATCAATGTATGATATTTGTCAACAGTTTCCCAAGGTAAGAAAGAGAGAAAGGGAAAGATAATTGATTACTTACCTATTTATTTTGATGATTATTTTTTTTAAAGGGCTGCAGAATTGGCAACATGGCTTACAGATATGGGATGGCGATCAGGTCATATCTGTGCAGGATTATCACAAGAGAAACGGATTAGTGTGATGGAAGACATGCGACAGTTCAAACTTCGGGTGCTTGTATGCAGTGATTTGGTAAATTAGGAGGTCTGATATTCAAAAGTTGATCCTCACACTTTTTTTTAATAAATACATATATATATATATATAATAGATAGCTCGTGGAATCGACATTGATAGAGTCAATTTAGTCATCAACATTGATTATCCTCAAAACATAGAAACATATCTTCATCGTGTCGGTCGAACAGGTCGTTATGGTAAGATAAAAGTTTGCAGCAAAAAGAAAAAAATTAAGTTTTAATATATTAAAATTAGGAACATCGGGAATTGCGATCAATTTGGTGGCCACTGAAGAAGATCAAAACTTTTTGAAATCTTTACAAAAAAAAAATGTATCCATTCCGCCCTTACCAGGTATTTATCACACATGGATTATAAAAAGTAAATGATTTACCTTTTTTTTTTTTATTTTGGTATTAGATCAAGTGACATTTGGTGATTATCGAAAAGAATTGAATCAAGATGAAAAACAAATATGGCAAGATCATCGAATACAAAGAATGGATAAGCAGGTACCAAAAAAAAAAGGGGGGATGAAAAGATCGAATGTATTCATTTTTTTTTATATCTAATTATTTAGGAGCAACCCCTCGAATTTACCCAGATTTCCAATAGAAAGAAGAAAATGAAGAAACCAAAGCATGGAAAGGCACCTACTGAAAAAAAGAATAAGAAACAATCGTTAGATGATTATCATGTCAACAACAATATACATTCTTCGATACCCATATTTGGCATGCAATCACAATATACCACCAAAGGAACGAAGAGACGCAAAGATGATCATGATGCAACTTGGAATTATCATCAACAACACCGATCTTGTCCTATGCCTCCTCCCTCTCATCGTTCATTTGCCATTCCTGACCTTCCATCACCATTTATTTTGCCACCTTTCCCATTATTCCCTTCCAACAACAAACGTTTTACACCCTTTATTCCACCTGATTTATACTTTTAGATTATTTTTTTGGTGATAGATGTAACATAATATATTGAACAGTATATAGATTTATTATGATTAAAAAATTGAATGTTTGTATATAAATGAAAGGGGACCACTATTAGAAGAAAGAAATATTGAATATATGATTTTGGAATAGGGAAGGAAAGGGAATAATAATAAAAGAATCATTTGGTTTGTTTTGTTTCGAAAAAAAAAAGATATATACATAAACTAAAAGTAGAAAAAGGTAAAGGAAAAAAAAAGGGTCATCATAATAGTTAAATGTAAGGGGGAAGAATGCAGTACCGGCTCTATATAAAACAACAAACAAAATAATAATAAGAAAAAGAAGTATCAAAGCATAAAAAAAAAAAATGGGATGGTAGTAGGAAAGTAAAAAAGACATATCAAGTGGGAACCAGGAGTTAAGAGAAGAATGAAAAAAAAAAAAAAAAAGAGGGAGAGTTTTTTTTTGTTGGTGCAACATGGTAGGGGAGATATTAAAAAAAAAATAATACATAAAACCAAAAGAATAAGAGGAATAAAAAAAAAAAAAGAGATGTCATAAAAAAAAAAGAGGAGAAATAGAAACAAAGTGTTTATAGAAAAGATGTTGGATTCATGGTGGGTTGTTGTAGATCGATCATCATGCAAGATGGTTGGGACATGTCGAAGATAGGTTCAGATAAACGGCGTAAAGTGTCTTTATCTAATGGAGTATCGAAGCAGACAGGATAAGATGCACGACGATGACAAGGAGGTGGCGATAATGAAGATGCGGATGGTGGTGATGACGTTAAAGAGGATGAGGAGGAAGATGTATGAGTTGTATCGACTGTATTGACGGGTGATGGATACCAAGGCATCATGTCCGGTGTTTGATCCATCAATAAAGAAAGTGATTCATATTGCCATTGTTGTTGTTGTTGTGGCGAAGGATAAGAACAAGAAGTTGAGGGTGTAAAAGGTAGAAAAGGTGTCGATTGGAAACAATCATCAGGTAATGAGACGGGAGCATAACTAGATGAAGAGGATGAATGTTCCATAGGTAAACAACTCGGAAGATCAAAACCATAACAATCAGTAGAAGAAGAATCCATTGATGATTTTGTTGGTGAATTTGTGGATGTAGTGGGCTGTGTAGATGATGATGAAGTATGTTGTCTTTTTAATTGAGATTTTGCTTTGGCTCGTCGATTTTGAAACCATACTTGTACACTACGAGGTGTCATCCCTAGTTTCTGAGCTAACCATCGTCGCATTGTTGCATTGGGTTTGGTGTTTTCATAAAAAGATGTCTCCAATAATTTGAATTGAGCACGAGAGGTGCGTCGTCGATGTTTGGTTTCAAAGGGATTATAAAAGGTCGGCATAAAATCCTTTTGAACAGGTTGACTTCGATGAGGATGCTCTTCTTCATTATAACCTGATAAGCACATGGAACAATAATCATCCATGATGTATTCATTTTCGAATGAATAATAATTTTCTTGTTGAGTAGTCATCGTCATAAAATATAAAATAAAAATTCTAGTACATAAAATAGGTCATACAATAATAAGAGAAATAGATGATATCAGATATAAAAACAAAAGCGAAATAAATAAATAAAAAAGATAAAAAGTGATATAGATAAATAGACACAAAGAGAAGAAAGAAAAATAAATAAAGAGAAAGAGAAAAGATAAGAGAAAAATGGGATTTTTTTTTCTTTCTTTTGACCCTTTTTCTATTCTTTCAAGAAGGAGGTTATAAAATAAATGATAGTAGTGTGTGTAAAAAAAAAAAAAAAAAAAAAAAAAAAAAAAAAAAAAAAAAAAAAAAAGAAAGTTGTATTGTGGAATGTGATGAACAGAAATAAGAAGAAATAGGGGTGAGAGGGGTATGTGGAAAAAAAAAAAAGAAACGAGAGAAAGAAAAAAAATATTCAGTAATTGTCTTTACTTATATATATATATATCATGTCTAGAGTGTGTATGTATGTTTGTATGTAAAGAGCCAATCATCATCATTATTATCATCATCATCATGATTAAAAATTATAAAAACTGTGCTCTGTATCTGTAGTTCATATTCAATTCATTTACGTCGATCTTGTTCTTTTTTGACAGATGTTAAGTTTGTTATTTTTGGCATAAATCCCTTTTAATGCCCGACAGCATATGTAGAAGTGAACTTTAAATAATAGTAAAAGAATAACTATGGATGGTCAATGCCCAGTTCATTGATATACACCTCATCATCGTCATCATCATTCTTTTTCTTATTGTTGTTATTCAGGGGGAGGAAGAGGGAAAAAAAAAATCTCTTCTGTACTTTTATACACGTGTGAGATGAAGCTATATATAAACATTCCCACCAAAAAAAAAAAAAATTCTTTATAAACCCTGTATGCGTGACTATATCTCTTCAAACTCACACACTACACACTACTCGAACCACACAACACACACATATATATATAAACAGAGTAAACATATATATATATATATATATATATACAGACAAAGAGAGATGAAAAATTTATACACGTAATGGACACTCTCACACAGAGAAGCAAGTAAGCACATGACTTTTTTTTTTTTTTTAATTATAGTAAGGAGTGTTGGGAAGAATCCATTGGATAATGAGGGATAAGGAGCATCTTACTCGATATATGAGAACAGATGGAAGAATCATCATGTTGTTTATTGATAGTGTATGAAAGGGAGGGAAGGAGAATCCACGTAACCAAATAAACAATGATTTTGACATTATCTCCCCTTGAAATCCAATAGAGATGCACATCACTATCATTAACAAAAAAAAAAAAAAAAAAAAAGACATTATCAACAAGCTCTCCTTAAGAAGCAACCATATATTATCATCATGTCATTCATGATTATATCAAAAAAAAAGATATTCATACATGTTTTCCAAAAAAAAGAGTATCCTTTTTTTTTATTATTATAAACTGAATAAGTTACTAAACTATAATATAGTATACTAATCTATTTCCGTTTTGATCCTCTTTTGATTCGCATCTTGTTCCTCTTGATGTTGTAAATCTGCTTCTGTCAAAGTCCGTCTTGTACCTGTCATCCTACCAACCGATTCATTGTTGTTATTGTTGGTGGCGTTGCTGGTACTGTTTGCCTTCATTTGTCGCATAGCCGGCATGCCCCTGATCATTGCCCGAGGTTTGAGTCTGCATCCTGGTTGTAAAGTCAATTTTTTCCCATGATCACCAATATATTTCGTACGTAAATTCGTCATTGTCCCTCCTCGTATTGTTGATTTATCCACAGTAGTCACTTTGGCTGATGAAGACCTTGTAGCCGATAGGTATCCAGTGGTAGTGGGTATGGTAGAGCCACTGGTAGGTGAAGATAAAGAAGTGCTAGTATTTGTTTTCAATGATTTTGGTGTCATTGATGATCCTGTCCTTGGTAATGTCGTTTTTGGTGACTTGGATGATGATGATGATGATGATGATGTTGATAATGTAGAAGAGGATCTGGATGACGATAATGATGAAGATGATGATGCTTTGATTTTGGGTTTTGGTATACCAGAACGTGTTGCTAGTGGTTGTCGTTGCTTCAGTCCAGTTGATATCGATCGTTTGACAGATCCTATTTGAAGGTACCTTAGTATGGTAGGTGATAATGAATCTGTGAATCTATCAAAACAAATGAATATATATGTATCATCAATAAACCGTTTTCTTTTTCCTTTTTTTTTTTTTTAGATGCTTTACTTCGATGCATGAGTGGGTATCTTTTCACAGTAAAGCTTATAACACATTCGTATACTAGATCTGACTTCAGGTGCGGGATCCATGGCCGTATTTCGAATAGCATCTTGAATATCATCCACATAACGTAAAAGATCACTTGTAGCATTGACTTGGATCACCGTGTTCAAACATTCTGTCACATGATATTTCACTGCCTTGTTGTTGTTATTGCCATCATTATGATTCCTTAAAATCAAACATAATCGATGGGTTGTTCGTGGTACTTTACTGTTTTCCACTATTGTTTTGAACGTCGTCATAGTGTGTCGTACATGAAGCTTGTTGGTGCGGGAAAAGAGTTTAATCAAGGTTGGTAAAAATAATTCATGAATAAGTTCATATTTTCGTTGCATCGCCTTGGATAAACCTTGTAATAATTCATTAGCTGATCCTGCAAGTCGCGTTCGTTCGCTATTCAACTATAAGATGTATTAATTAAACAAGTAAGTGAGCCCTTTTTTTTTTTTCTTACCGCTGAGATAATAGGTTGTTGTAATAACTTGATATGATCCACAAATCCAGGATATTGATGAATCTTATCCACAGTAGCCCATATCTTGATATTCTTGAGTGCTTGATCAAATAGTTCCCAAGTTTCTTCGTTTTCTTTTTTCTTAAACAACTGATGGATTTGCTTCATTTCCCTGTCCAGTTCATTTTTGGAAGATATCTATCATAAATAAAAATTTGAATTATAATTAAAAACAAAAAAAAACAAAAAGTAAACATATTCAGTGTGCTATTTACGTGTATAGGTTGTTTTGACCGTGCCGTGCCTATCATTGTTGTAAGGGATAAAAAGGAAAAAGGAACCCTCAAATAAAAATTTCTCCTCATCATACTTTTGGAGTTGAAATCACTCAGCCAATCAGAATTCAGCTTACTTTTCTGGTCTCCTTTTCCACAAACTTGCCTATTCATTTTTTTTAATCCTATCTTTTTTTTTCTTTTTTTTTTTTTTTTTCTCTCTCAACCAATTATGACTGATGATGACTTATTACAAAGGATATGGAAACTTACTAATGATTTAACTCTTCAACAACAAACTAATCAAGACATTGCTGCAGGGATCAAGACTCAGTTTGATAATTTTAAGGTATTGCTTAAAAGAATAAATGTATTCTTTCCATCTTTTGCTTACTTCTTCTTCTTTCCTTGTAACCCTAGCAACGTGCTTTGAATGATAAGGATCAAAAGAGCTCTGGTACTAAAAAAAAAAAAAGAAGAAGAAGAAATATTACTTATATAATTTGGAAATAGCTCATTCAAGTTTATACATAGATACTACTAATGACGACAACGACAACGAAGACGACGATGATGATCAAAATTTTGCTGAACTTGTACCAGCTAATCCTATAAATGATGCTGACACCGAACTGGTCTCTTTAGTTTCAAAACATACCAAACTATTACAGGAACATCATCGAATCAAAAACAGAAACCAAGAATTGGAACGGGAATGTGCAGAACTTCAAGATTTAGTCCATCAATATGAATCAAGCTTAGAACTCGTTGCTGGGAAGCTGCGGACTTTTGCTGTAAATCAAACATGAAATGTTATATGCGTTTTGTATATTAAGCTTTTTTTCCTTGTTTTTTTTTATAGAGCGGATCTTCTGAAGGTCAAATCCAACTACGAAGAGAATATGAAGCTTTACTAGATGCAGAGAAGGTTATTTAAAAAGAAAATGGCGTAATGCAAAGAAATATACATTAACCTTTTTTATTATTATTTATTTTTCATGAATAGGATACAACGACAGCTTTGTTTATGGAAAATACCATTTTACAGGCACAATTAGCAAAACTTTCTGGTGTGTTACGTTCGGTAGTGCATGAACAAGATTCTCTAGTCTCATATGATAGTCAAATCCAGCAACTAAAGACTGAAAATCAAGGTTTACGTACTTTACTTGCTATATCGGAACAACAACAACAACAACAACCATTGGTCACATCACCATCTTCTCATCAAGCACAATCATCCTCTGGTTCATCTCCTCTCTCAAAAAAATCTGTTATCTCTCTACAACCTGCCAAACCACCCAACAAGGTTATACAAGATTATTTTGGTGATAGTAGATAGTTTGTTCTCCCTTTTATTTGTTATACCCCACTGTATACATTGGATTCCCTTATCCTTTTTTTATCTTAATAAAATATACTATTTTTTTTTTATTTATTTATTTATTTATTTATTTTGTTGATCATCAATAAAAATACAACTATATACAAAACTAAATACAATAACTATACTACAATCCTAAATCCACTTGATTGCCACTGATGATTTGTTCTTCCCACCATAAGATTGCACTCATGACACGCAATTTCCAAGCCGAGCTACCTTGAACAATATCCTTTGATCCTTGTACACAAGTTCGAATGACCGTCGCTGCATCCTTTCGACCTTGCCAATATTCTACTTGACAACTTTCGACAAATTTCGACGTTTTCTTCGATGATGATTTCGTGTTTGTCATGTGTTGATGATGCAATTGAGTCAATATATCCCAAGCCTTGCCCTTTTTCAATAATTCCCGATGAACCACAAATCGATAGGCACGACATACATACCCTAAACGTTTCTCCAAACTTGGTGTTTTGTTTTTCAAACCAAGACCAATCCGATAAGAAGCATATAAAGATTGTTGTTGTTGTTGTTGTTGTAGTTTGGGTGCCAAATAAAGACCACAGGTTGAATCCCAACTAGATTGACTTTCTTGCTGAGGAAAACAACAGGAGATCATATCCTTGATACTAGTATGGCCAAGTGTCTTCAAAATCAAATCTACCCATAGACTAGGACCTTCAATCACTTTCCCAGTTCTGTGACACTGGACGGCACGAATCAAGATACCACCACAGCCACCAGATTTATTATTTCTTGGTGTTGTTCCAATCAAGGTCACATCCATCCCTTTCCGACTACCTCCACGATATCCTTTGCTATGTCCCACATGATGAAAGAACCAAACGCCATTTTGATACTGTAAAGGATGAGCATGAGTGAATGGATCATCATGATGGTATTCTGGCAAGGTCTTGAAATATACTTCGGCCTCAAGTATTCCATAGCGATGGATATCATGCTTGAATGGTTGTTGGTGATGTGATTTATCCTTGATACAGATATCATAGCCAAGTAGTAAAGTTTCCGCTATCCTTCCAAGGACTTGTTCGTAATACGCTTTAGAGCCTTTCGATTCTGTTGTCAATGGGACTTGGAATAATGTTGATAATAGTTCCATGGTGTTATTGTCTTCAACTAAAATGGAATGGAATACATTGAGAAAGGAGGTTGGAAAAGAAAAGAGAAAGAAACAAAAAAAAAAAAAAAAAAAAAAAAAAAAAAAAAAGATCACAAGTTGGAAATGATCCCGATTGGATGCTGCCTGCCAATCGTATCACCGTCTTTCCCGAGGTACAACTATAATAATATGGAGATCTAGAGTTTTATTTATTTAATACAGAAGAAAAAAAAATAATCTATCTACAATCAATAAAGAGGGAAAGGGGGGAATACAAAGAGTTTCAATAGAAAGATTAAAAAAGTACACCAAGAATAATGAGAAAGAGAATCGTCCAATAAGAAAAAACCATTGAATGAAGAGAACAAGCAGATGATTTTTGTTTGGTAGATGACATGATGGAACTCATTTGAGAAGTCTCCACACCATTGAATAACAATAAATTGACAGTATCTTGCGTCACGTCCTTGATCAAATTGGGCGTAGCCAAAGAATACATGAGTTGTGTCACATTGGTATGAGCTGTTATTCTATTGGTTTGTTGATTATAAAGTAAAGCAAGGACACCAGATACATGAGGTGCACTATAAGAAGTTCCACTATACCACGTCTTGACCTCTAATGATGATGATGATGATGGTGCATTGCTTTCCATTGTGTCAGATAGAATTGCTGCCCCTGGTGCCAAAATGCTAACACATTTTCCATCATTACTAAAAGTGGCAAAATTGTCCTTGTCGTCTATTAAAATAATAAATCATATAAATCATCTTTTTTTCCTTTTTTTTTTTTTTTTTTTTTTTTTTTTTTGTACCGGTTGATCCAACAGATATAACGGTCGAGGCACTTGAAGGACTATAAAGACATGCATTCTAATATAAAATAAAAATGAATAATCCGTATTTAGAACATCGGTGTTCTAACCCGTTCTTTTTTTTTTCATTACCCTTTTTGCAGTATTATCATTTTCATGATAATTACCAGCAGCAGCCTATATATAGAATAATTCAAAAAAAAAAAAAAGATGAGTTCAATAAGCTAAGAGAAGATACGTATATATGAGGGGAAGAAAGTTACCACTATGACGGCACCAGTTCTTGATAATGCATCAGTTGCTTGATTTAAAGCCTCACTCTTTTCAGCTACCAAGGATAAACTAAAAAAAGAAATGCAAAGAAGGTCATAAAAAAAGGTAGGTGAGACAATCGTTCATTAATTCAATGAATGATGATAGGTTTGTATGATCACTTTACTTGATCACCGCTCGAGGAGGCTGAGGTCCAGACTGAATTCGTTGTAAGATATAATGTAGACCTTCTATAATTGTACCAACATCACTAGTTCCATTCGCTGCTAAGCACTAAAAAAAAAAAAATTAGCCATCATCTCATTCCGACAGATGTATTAATGACATTATATTCTCTTGAATTACCTTGACAGAGATGATATTTGCTTTCTTGGCTACACCATAGTGTTTACCTGCTGCAATACCTGCAATAATTGTCCCATGACCATTTTCATCTACATCAGGCGATCCACTTACAAAATTGGCTCCCCAGATAGCACGACCATCAAAGTCACTATGATGGACATCCACACCGCTAAAAATGATGAAAGGAAAAAAAAACAATCAAAAAAGGTAAGTCTCATCATGACGATCATCAATAACATTTGTTCCTTTCTTTTTTTAGCTTCAATAAACTTACCTATCAACAATGTAAATATCTACACCTTGACCTGCATCTTCAGGGTAACCAAAAGCATTCATTAAGGGTAATTGACGTTGACTTATTCGAGATAGACCCTACATCATTATCATCATCATCATATTCATAATAATAATAATAAAATAAATAAAAAAAAAAGTAAGTACATAGAATGGACTCAGCATTGGTTACTTTCTTACCCAGCTTGGAACATCTAATTGTACACTGTATGGCCCCATGATAGTACCATTCATACTTGTATTATTGTTGTTATATGATGAATCGGTAGAGGCGATTTTGACAAGGTGATTAGGTTCTAATACTATCGATCTTTCATGACGTTTCAATAAAGTAGCATGATCATTTGGACGGATACCCAAGAGAATATGAGTGTGATCATCAAAGCTAAATAGACGGATGGAATGGTTGGTTGGTTGGGATTGTTTAGAGTCGGAAGAAAAAAGTCCAGGTTCTGGTGCTGACCTCAGTACGGCAATATGTTGATCATTACGTCTGTGGCTCGAAGAGGATGTATGCAGGGTATAAACCACAGATGTAAAGTAAGGTGACACATATAAAAAACAGATGAATAAACAATTTAATAACATTGTTAACGATCAGATAGAGAGAGAATGACAAACACAAAGTTAACAAAAAAAAAAAAAAAGGGAACGAAAGAAAAGAAAAGGAAGAAGTGAACAAAGGATTATTCTTGGCTCTTTTTTTTTTTCGAATTTCGATGACTTTCATTGTCCGCTTTGAAAGTTTTTCTTACAAAGGTTTCATATTACCCAACCATCTAGTATGGAGCACGGGCCATGAAAAAACAAGCGTCATTACCAAAAAGGGACATATTGTTTATCCATCACCGAAAAGCCTTGATCAAAATATATATACATATATCTACATATTTCTAGGGTTTTGAAGACTCGCGTTAACATGAAAATAATGAAGTAATAAGGTCATCATCATATAATGTAGAATCAATGGTATTCAATGGCTACGCATATTGTTTGAATCCGCTGACCTTTTTTTTTTTTTTCTGTATACCCTGAAAAAAGAAAGAGTTGTAAATCCTTTATTTGAAAGTACAATAGTAGATACAATAAAGATATAAAAAAAAAGAAAAACAGTTTGATAAACTAAATACTAAACAAAAAAAACTAAACTAAACTAAACTATAATGGATAATCAAATATAAAAGAGTGAATAGATTTCAACTTAAATACCAGTATCTTTGTAAGCGTCCACACCCAGACCTAAAAAAAAAGAAAAAAAAAAGATTAAAAAACGAATATCCGGATCCGGTATCTCCGTGGACAAATCCCGTTTCCCTATTTGGGAATTGATATGACAACTTACATTCAGCCACGGTAACAAAAGTCAATTGTTTCGACTTTACATAGTCGATGATTTTTGGTACCAGGTCTACAGCTGTTTGTTGGTAAACCTATCATATACAAAACGTTATAATAAGAATCAGAAATAATATACATCTATATTCTTTTGATTTACTTCATGTTCCAAGATAATATTATGACTAGCAGGGTCATTCAAAGCATCTGTAACAATATTCATTTCAGCATCCACAGTTTGACCTTCTTGCCAATCTTGAACATCAATAGACCAGGTCACTACTGTGTAGCCCCATTGATTCATCAATCTAGTTTGATCATCCGTCAATTCACCATAAGGAGGTCGCATCACTAAAGAATAATATATAAAAAAAATACAGATTTAGTCATATCCGAAAGTATCCATGTGTTTAAAAAAAAGTTTCAGGAGTCAACAAGGAGTGAAATGAAAACCTAATATTAAAGATAATAATAGATGATGTTACCTGCTGGATATTTTCCAATGGCATCATGAATCACCTTTTCATTATTAGCCATTTCTTCTTTGACTTGATCATCAGATAGACTACTAAGATGAGGATGTGTATATGTATGACTTGCAATTTCAAATCCGGCACCATCGGCTTTTTGTAAGATAGGATTAATATCGGAAGGAGAGTTCCTGATTTGAAAATAAATAAATAAATAAAAAAAAAAGGTTAGAAAAAGGAGAAAAAGAAAGATCAAAAAAAAAAAAAAATAAAGATTTTTCATTGTTCATTTTTTTTTTTTTTTTACCAGTAGTTGTTACCGTTCACAAAAAAGGTGGCTGTGACTTGTTCTTTTTGAAGCAAATCAATCAAATCTGAGGAATAAATATAAGGACCATCATCAAATGTCAAGGCAAAGTGATTCGCATTATTGCAAGTGGTTAAAATACCAGGGCGAATCTTGTCAGTACTGGAAGCGGAGGATTGAGCAGTAGTATCCGTCGAATCGGCAGTTTGTCTTGGTTCTTTTCCAATCTGTTTTGCCTTTTTCACATTATGATGATTCAAAGGCATAGCTTGTACTATTGTAGTCATGGCAATGATCATCATCAAAGAAGTACGAGGTCCAGGGATTTTTACCATGATGGATCAGAAAAAAAAAAATAAAGAAAAGAGAGAGATATAAAAAAAAATCAAAGAAGAAAGAAAGAAAAAAAAAGAACAGCGAAATGAATGAAGAAAAGGGAGAGGACACACAATAATGAAAAAAAAAGGAAAACGATTAAAAAAGATGGCGAGTTTTTATACACAAAGAAAGTCCTTTATTAAAAACAAAATAAAGTTTTTTTTTCTTCATCATCACCCTTTTTGGCATAAAAATAGAAACCGTTGGATCAACATGGGTTTCGTTGCCATGGTCCCGTGTAACCATAAAAAGTACTTCTTTGTGATTTCCCTTTGTGGAAATCTCAATGTCGCGTCATTCGATTCCAGACTTCTTGTTAATGCAGGAGTGCTCCACAGCTTTTCTTATCAGGGGAAAGTATATTCGTTCTATCCAATTGATCCAATGATAAATAAAAAGTAACAACAGTCTGGCGCATGTATATTTCAAAAAGGAAAATCAAAAAAAATAAACTTAAATCTATGATACACAGATTCTTGATCGAAATATAAAGTGCTTCAAATGTATATTTTTTTTATTGAGTTGTTCATGTGTAAAAAAAAAAAAAAGAGTAATAAATAGTATAATGCATAAATAAATATAACTGTAATAAAACAAATGAGGTAGTGATTGAAATAAGGTACATATAAAAAGGCGGGTAGAAAAAAAATCGAATAAAAAAACAAAAAAGGATCAAGGAGAAAATATCATCCTATAAAAGAATAAGGAGGTGGTATCAAAAAAAAAAAAAGTTGTTAATGCAGCAAATCATCCATCTAAAAAGTCTAGCCTTTGTTGATCCGTCTTCTCAGCCATCATGGCGACAATGGCAGCACCCACAATTCTAGAGTGTTTGACAATACCAACAGATAATCTTGAAGCCACCTGTTCATCGATCAACGATCGGACAGTTCCACAAACACGAGGATGGAAATTTGGATAATCTTCATATACATCTCCACTGATGGCTATATATAATAAAAACATTTGTACATCAAGTATATATTTTCTTTTGTTTGTTTGATTTACCTATTGCAAATTCTTCTTTGGGATCTACAATTTGTTGTTCCACCATGTAGGTCACTACACCAGCTATATTTGTTCCAAGTAAAGTGGCTGCACGTTGTCCAACCCAAAAACATACCTTTTAGAAACAAATCAGTTTATTTCATCCAATATAACCCCTGCTCACTTTTTATTGTTTTAGTTTTTTTTTTTTTATTACCTTTTTCACGACAAGTCGATCATCTTTGCACGTTTTCCCAGTATGACACATTTCCTCCAAGATCACACGTGTATCTTCCAAATCATCATCTTCATCCGCTTCACAAACATACATATAACTTGTATCAAAATTATATGGTAAGGTTAAAAGACATTCTACATCATCATCATCCTTGTTGATATTATCATTCTTTCGTGTTATGGTGAAAGACAGTACTTGATGATCGCATAGATAAAGGATGATTTGTCGTACTATTTCTCCAAGATACATTCCAGTAGAACATTTTTCAAAAAGATGAATACCTTGATTATTTGATTCTTCATCAACCTTGATATCAAATTCATTCAGAGGTAAGTACTTTGAACCAAAACTACACCATTCTGTATTGACAATCATATCGTTAGAATCCGTCGTATGGTTGGTAATAAAAGCATTGTGGATATTATCAACATGATCGTAATAGCTGCAATTGGTCCCTGCACCATGAACTATGCCTATACGTGTTGTTGGATGTTGATAAGCATGAGCAAGTAGAGTACATACCGTATCTAAAAGAAAAAAAAAAAAAAAAGAATTAACAGTATGTTAGAGTAAATGTATTTGTATCTGTTATCTTACCATTGGCTACAGCAACCACTTTGACTGCTAACCCACGTTCTTCAAACCGAAAAAGATCGACGATATCAGAACCGATAGCATTTGTGTATCCAAAACCTTGAACAATCCAAGAGAGATAAAGAAACGAAAAAGTTGAAAAGAAAAAATGAGTTCAGGCGGACATTTAATTCCTTGATAATGCCTTACCATGTTCCAATCCAACAATGACACCACGATGCAAAGAAGTTTGTTGTATAGCAAATCCCAAACTAATACACATAGTGACTTGATGATCAAAAGAAGCATCTACTCGATGTAAGAAATCCACGACACAATCGGTTACATAATCAATCAATACATTGACATCGTCTCCTGTAGTATAATCATCCGGAATCTTGTATTGATATTGATTGATGGCTAGTTTTCCACTATCCCCTTTCAAAACTACTTGACAAACATAAATATCAATACCACTGATTTCAAGAGCAAGATAAGTGCCTTTTTCTTCTCCAGTAGGATGACCTATCGTTATGCATCGGAGAGTAGAATATTAATAATAAAAAGAATGATAGATATTATCCTTTTTATTATTACCAGTAACAAAAGAAGGAATCATCTTCATATCACTTTTCTCTGATGGTTGTAATCCATTTTTCATATCTTGAATAAAGCCTTCTTGAATAGAAGTCAATTGACGTTTGGAAAGCATGAACATTTCTTCCACTCGATGTAATATCACTTGTTGTTGTATAGTAAGTTGCATCACGATAATACAAAAAAAAAAAAAAAAAAAAAAAAAAAAGAAACAAATAAAAAATAAGAAATAGAAAAAAAAAAGGAAGAAAATGAGAAGACATAGACGGAAGTCTAAATCTAACGAAATAGACTTTCTGCCCATCAGCTATTAGATAAAAAAACTTGTTGTACTTTGTGTACCAGAACTAATCTCTCGTCATACCTTCTTTGACTTGAGAAACTACTTGTGATTAAGTCCATATTATTGTTGATCCGTTGTCTTGGGTCTTGCTAACATTTGTGGGAAAAAAAAAAGAGAGAACACCAACTGACTGATTACTTATTGTTTATCTGATAAACCTATCTTTTTTTTTTTATATATATCTTTTACTATCCTATTTGCCTAATGATGTTGCTGAAGATGAACAGTTTTCATCATGATGAATTGGATCATAATAAGAGAGAATCATCTTTTCACTGTTCAATAAATGACAACGCATTAATTCTTGGCACTGCAATCACCGTGCGCTCGCTGTTTTCTTCTTTTGGTAAGTCAACAGCGGCTCTTTCTTTTTGCCGACGTATGAGTATTCCACCTGTCAAACCTTCCATTGATTTGCCCCATTTTTTTTTTTTTTTTTAATTATGTACCAACTATGTTGGTTACTTTCCTTTTTTTTTTTTTTTTTTTTTTTTTTTTTTTTTTTTTTACTGAACACAAAAATGCATTACTCGTTGTTCCTCGGAAAACATCAAGAGTACCACCAAGATGATGATTGGTAAAGAATATGACGTGATTGCCGATCTGCCGTGGTATCTTTTTGCAAAGCTTGAATTTTAGGAATACTTATTCATGGAGATAGAAAATAGCACGATGATTACTTGGGAGAAGGATGGATGATATGGCTGCTCATCTTTTTTTTTTTTTAACTTACTCTATAAGATTGACAGTATGCTATAAACTACATTAAGTAAAGTTCAAGAAAATGGATTGTTTTATGCTCTGTTCAAATTTGTTGCCATGATGATGATTTTTGAATGAGAGGCACATGTCTATCCATGTGTGGCGTTCGAATTAAAAAAAAAAAATACAATGTTCGGTTAGCTTATCATGATGTTTCTTTTATAGGTAATTAGTGATAACGATATCACTCTTCCTTCAATAAGATCATACTCCTCTTTTCCTAGCTCCATCATCATCATCATCATCACCATCATCATCATCGTTTAGTTAATATTGTTATAATTGGCAATGATCATTATCATATATATACATATATATTCACTTATCATCATATGTAATCCGTCAATCCATCATCTTCAAATGTAATAAAATTATTCAATCACAAATTCTTTTATTAACTAAACTAAACGAATATAATTACACTAACTATCCTAGAGACTAATAATGAATACCAACCATGTAAAGCCAAGATCTATACCTATAAAAAAAAAATCAAACAAATACAACAGAAGACTATCCTTCCCATCATTCTCACCAACCTCTCTAACCCACTACCGCTTCTCATTCAAATCCAACCATCCAAAAGACAAAAAACAAGCCACACAATCCCCCATCAATTCAATCATTTCCCAAAAACAGACAACCAAGTAACAAGAAGCACACAGAAAAAACAACAGACACCACCGTGCGTTCCCGTTGAAATGATACTGCACAAAAAGCACAGGTGCTTTGCATCGAATAATGAAAACAATAAAAGTTTTTATTATATATAAAGAATGCAAAGGTTCAAAACAACATCAACCATAGAGGACCAACCAAAAAGGCAAACCAACCAAGTAAGAATAGAGGGAAAATAACCAAATATATATAGTTTATTCTTCGTCTTCTTCGGCATCACCACCAGCAGCGGCAGCAGCACGCTTTCTCTTGACACGACCAGCACGGCCACCACCATAGGGAGAGGTCAAAGCAAAGTCAATGTGCTTTTGAGATTCCAAACGAACAATGAAGGAAGGAACGTTGACGATTTGCTTACCAACACGAATGTGACGTTGACGGATCAAGACACGAGCATGATGGATAGACTTGGCAAGACCAGACTTGAATACTTGAGTTTGAAGACGACGTTCCAAGAAATCTTCAATCTTGAGACCCAAAACGTAATCGAGCTTCATACGGTCTTCAGTCAAGACACCAATACGGACAAGACGACGAATCAAGGCATTACCTTCAAAGAGACGACGAGGATCCTTTTCATCCAAAGTCAACAATTCACGAGCAGCACGACGGATCTTGGACAAGGTCAATCCCACACGCCATACTTCCTTCTTGTTCTTAAGACCATATTCACCAACCAACTTCAATTCTTGATCAAGACGAGCGGATTCGAAAGGACGCTTAGGTACCTTGTAGGTCTTGCTATAAGTTCTGGAAGCACCGGTCATTTTTTTTGATATGAAAAAAAGAGAAAGAGAAAAGAAAAACAATAAAAAAAAAAAAAAAACAATCCTCCCCCTTTCTATTCTCATGATTGATGTTCCGATGAAAAATTTTCTTTGCCAAAGTAGGGATTTTCAATTGATGATTGGATGGATTCCCCAAGCCACGTAAAAGCGTCGTCCTTTCAATTGTGTTTTGGAAAAAAAAAATTTTGTTGGAACTAAAGACTACACTCTTCGACAAAAATCTACTTGTTCCTTCTCTTTTCCACATTTTAGACTCGTCAGGTAAAGAATGACTATCCTATTGTAGTATATTATATATCTGAAGTCATCAATATTATCAATAACAACAATAATAAAAAAATAAACGACGCCCAACTTCAACAACAATAACAACAATGCTACCAACTATTTTAATATTAAAAGGGAACAGCAGTATGGATATACAACAACAAACAAGCTTGAAAGGACGAAAACTTCATCTATTTGTTACCATTTATTGATAATTGTTATGATGACTTTAAATATATATATATATATGTATATATACGTTGAACATATCTGTAATATACTCATTATTCTTTTTTTTTTCTACTTGATACCTCTATTAGAATGCCTCACTCCTTCGGTCGTATGTATCATGATGAATTCACCTTTTTTTTTTCTAAAAATCAAGATCAAAATGACTCACTTATTTTTTTTATATATTGATATATTTTAGTTCGTGCTCGTACTCGCCACATGTTCTCGCGCAAGTTCCGCGAACATGGTGCTATCCCCTTGTCTACCTACTTGAAGACCTACAAGGTTGGAGACATTGTTGATATCAAGGCCAACGCTGCTGTCCAAAAGGGTATGCCCCACAAGTTCTACCATGGGTAAGTTTTTTTTTTTATATATATAATATAATGTAAAAGAAAAAAAATATAATTGATTTTATATATATATACTTTTAGTCGTACTGGTGTTGTCTATAATGTCACCAAGTCTGCTGTGGGTGTGATCATCTACAAGAAGGTTGGTAGCCGTTACATGGAAAAGCGTGTGAACCTCCGTATTGAACACGTCAAGCACTCCAAGTGCCGTCAAGAATTCTTGGATCGTGTCAAGGAAAACGCCCAAAAGAAGATCGATGCTCGTGCTGCTGGTAGTAAGTGATGAACATGAAAATAGAATTAAAAATAAGGGTAACTGATTTATATATTATTATTTTTTTTGGGGGGTTATAGTCAAGGTTAACCTCAAGCGTATTCCTGCTCAACCTCGTGAAGCTCGTCATGTTTCTACTGCTGATAATGTTCCTCAAACCATTACCGCTATCCCCTACGAAACTCTTTTGTAAAAGACACATTGGATTTGGTTTCTAGTCGTTAGTAATCGTCTTTCTTTTTTTTGATATATTTTTTTATCTTTTGAATGAAATAAATAATAAAGAAAAAAAAAAAAAGAACGTTTGTTTTTTGTTAAATTTGATTTGATCTGAATGTTAAAGATGTTCCCCCTTATTTATATTTTTGTGTGTGTGAAGATGTCAACGTCTTGTCAATCCAATATGATCATCTGACTTTTTTTTTTTTTCGCCCGTCCTCCTTTTTTTTTCTTTTTCCACATTGATTTGTTCCCGTCTCCTATTTTCTTTTTTTTTTTTTTTGTCTTTTCTTCCTTTCTATCTCTCTCTCTCACTTTCTTCTTATTTTATTACTCTCCTCTCTGCCACTTTATATTTCTTCTACACAATAGTTTATTTTCTGTATTCACCATGAACGATGAAACCAATATCAATAACCGCATAACTTCTGCACGACGTGAAGCGGAGACTCTTATGGAACGTATCAAACAAAGAAGAGAAGCTTTGGCCGATTCATCACGTAAGTTATAAAAAGTCCATTCCTTTTTGCTGGATAGGCGGAATAATAAAAAAAAAAAAAAGGGAGAGAAGATATTGGTTGTATAGGTGGTGGGTGTGAATATACAAAAGAAGTGTTAAAAAAAAAGGTTGCTGCAGGGTCATTTTAGCCAATAACGAACTGACCTTCTATATTATATTAATTTTATGATTTGATTGATTTATAGTGAAAGAAATGGCTAAAGAAGTACCATCATTACCTCGGATGACACTGAAAGCAAGACGGACATTGAAAGGACATTTGGCAAAGATTTATTCCATGCATTGGGCCAAAGACAAACGACATTTAGTATCAGCTTCACAAGATGGCAAATTAATTGTATGGGATGCTTATACAACTAATAAAACTCATTCTATACCTTTACGTTCCTCATGGGTCATGACTTGCTCTTATTCGCCTTCAGGTGATTTTGTCGCATGTGGTGGATTAGATAATATATGTTCTATCTTCAATCTCAAGACAAAGGATGGTCCTGTACGACCTGCTCGAGAACTCTCTGCTCATACTGGTTATCTTAGTTGTTGTAGATTCATTGATGATCGTCGATTATTATCTGCTTCTGGTGATATGAGCTGTATGCTTTGGGATATTGATGCTGGTGTCAAGGTAGAAGAATTCACAGATCATTCAAGTGATGTCATGAGGTAAATAACAATTATAATAATAAAAATAATAATAATAGGTGGTACAATTCATTACAAAAAAAAAAAGGGGGGTGTTGAGATGATGAAAAAAAAAAGCTCCCGTTTATATTAATAGACTCTTTCTTCAGTCTTTCACTTGGACCATCACCTCATATTTTTGTCACTGGTGCTTGTGATTCTACGGCTAAAGTGTGGGATATACGAACAAAAAAATGTGTACAAACCTTTACTGGTCATGATTCTGATATCAATTCTGTTGAATTCTTCCCAAGTGGTGATGCTTTTGCGACAGGATCAGATGATGCAAGTTGTCGATTGTTTGATTTACGGGCTGATTGTGAAATGGCTGTGTATTCGGATGATTCAATATTATGTGGCATTACTTCTATTGCCTTCTCAGCATCGGGTCGCTTACTATTGGGTGGTTATGATGATTACAATTGTCTTGTTTGGGATACATTGAAATGTGAAAGGCTGTCTACTCTGTCAGGTCATGAGAATCGAGTCTCTTGTCTGGGCATCTCAAGCGATGGTGTTGCCTTATCCACTGGCAGTTGGGATTCAACTCTGAAGGTAATTCTTTTTTTTTTTATTAAAAAAAAATGATAATGGGAGTAACATCTTTTGTTCACTGATTACCTCTTCTTCTTTTTTTTTTTTCGTTGTTTTACCACATATGATTAGATATGGACTTGATTTCTACTATAATTACTTAGTTTATTTATGCTTGATTCGTTTGAATTTTTATACCTTCATTCTCTTTTACTATTTAAACATTATTTAATAAAAACATCTCATATATTTTTCTGCGTCTTTGGATGACGCTGTATTCATTTCGCCGCTGTTGCTTTCTAGTTTAAAAGAATGATTTCATTTATGATTTTTAATCTTACAAGTTACTGGAATAGTTGGGGGACACAATGAACGATTTAGCATATGATCCCAAAATGGAAAGCAGGAGAGGAGTTTGATTCCACCTAGCCAGCCATCCAAACAAGAATTTTTTTTTCTTTGACATTGACTGGCTTTTTTTTTTCTCTCTCTTTCTTTTCTTTTTCCTACTACCCTTTTTTGAATCTACTCTTTTGAGGTCATGGTGCAATCGATCATGACTATAGACAGCAAAAAACGTCGTGTCAACAAGAAAGAAAAACGATCTAACCGATCCAAGATCTACCAACCTTTCCGAGCTTTAGGTTACATTACCAATGACATTCCTTTTATTGTAGAATCTCGAGGACAGGATTACTTTTTGACCACCAGTGTTGGTCACAACTTCCAAACGTACAATGTAAGAAAAAAAAAAGATAAATAAAAAAATAAATAGCCATTAGAATAGAAAATTGGTCGATAGTAACATAAACTTTTTGTTTTTCTAGTTGGCGAAAATGAATCTCTTGTTTGTGGGACCTTCTATGGATCAAGCTATTACCAGTATGGCTGCAGGAGGGGGACTCACTTATATTGCATGCGGAAACACTTTATTATCTTTTAAGCGTGGTAAAGAGGTATGTAATAATAATAAAAAAAAAGGTAGATATAATAAAACAACCAACTGAAATCCTTTTATTATTATTATTATTATTATTATTGTTTGCTTAGTTGAATCGTATTGTAGGGGATTCTGATTATACTATTTTCCAATTGATTGTACTTGGTTCATTGGTAGCAGGACTTTGTGATGACAATACTCTCAAAGTGTGGGACATGACGAAAAAAGAACTTCACATGGAAATTGAATTTGGCAATGATTTTACCGTTTCAGCTATGATTCACCCTAGTACCTACTTGAATAAATTATTGATCGCCAGTACTCAAGGAACAATGCAAATTTGGAATATTAGAAACAATAAGATGATTTATCAATTCCAATCTTTTGGATCTGCCATTTCCTGTTTGGTACAATCACCTGTGGTTGATGTTGTGGCTATTGGTTTATTGAATGGTACTGTTTTATTGTACAATATCAAGGTTGATGAAAAGATTGATGCCATTCGACAAGATGATAGAGTCACTGCCATTTCATTCAGAACAGGTAAATAGATACAGAGACTTAGTTATCATCATTGACTCACTAAACAATTCTTATTCTTTTTTTTTTAGATGAAGAACAAATGATGGCGACAGCAAATATGCATGGTGATGTTTCTTTATGGGATTTGAAACAACGTCGATTATTACATATTATCAAAGGTGCTCATGATGGTGTGGTATCATCTCTTTCTTTCTTACATAACCAACCTCTTCTGGTCACTGGTGGCGTGGATAATGCGGTCAAACAATGGCTTTTTGAAAAAGAAAATGCTGTCCCTAGAGTATTGAAGCTACGAAGTGGGCATTATTCTCCTCCTTCCAAGATTCGTTACTACGGTGATGATGGTCATTATATCCTTAGTACTGGTCGTGATCAATCTCTACGTATGTTCTCCGTGTATCGTGATAGTCAATCATTCGAATTATCTCAAGGACATTTGGAAAAGAAGGCAAAGGCTTGGGATGTCAAAATGCAAGATCTGAAACTTCCTTTGATTACAGATTTTGCTACCAGTAAGTTTATTAAATTTACATTAGTTATATTACTTTATTAAATCCTGGTTTTTTTTTCTTAGGTATTGGTAAGGCGAAAGAATGGGATAACATCTTAACAAGTCATATCAATGATACTGCAGGACGAACTTGGTCAATGAAGAGAAAGGCAATTGGTAAACATACTCTTATCGGTAAATCAAATACTGCTGTCAAGGTAATAATAAAACAAGAAAAGAAAAAAAAAACTCACATTTGTTGAATAAAAAAAAATGAATAGACACAAAGATATTTACCTTTTTTTTATTGTTATATTGTATTTAGGTTACAGAAATCACAGCTTGTGGCAATTTTGGTCTTTTGGGAAGCAGCTCAGGACAAATAGATATGTTCAACATGCAATCAGGTGCACATCGCAAGACATTTGGTGGATTAGAAGGACACAAAAAGCCCATTACTGGTTTAGCAACAGATAACATCAATCGATATGTCATTAGTTCATCTGTTGATCGTACTATAAAGATTTGGGACTTTAAGAAGGCTACTATTGTTCACACCATTACTTTGGAATCCCCTATTGTGTCCATTCGTTATCTCCGAGACAATGATTTATTGGCAGTGGTGTGTGATGATTTGGGAATTCGTGTTATTGATATTGAAACTTACAAAGTTGTTCGGGAATTCTGGGGTCATCGTAATAGAATCACTGATTTGGTAAGTCATTACTAATATAAAATTGAATAGCATACTGATAAATCATTTGTTCTTATGGTAGACGTTCACACCGGATGGTAGATGGCTTGTCTCCTCTTCTTTAGACGCAACTGTTCGTACTTGGGATTTACCTACTGGTACCTTGGTGGATATTTTCAAAGTAGAAAATGTGGTGACAAGTCTTACATTCTCTCCTACTGGTGATTATTTGGCAACAGCTCATGTTGATAATGTTGGTATCTATTTATGGGCAAACCGAACGCAATTCACCAATGTATCATTACACAGCATTGCAGATGATGAAGAAGTAAAACTTTTATCTTTACCTTCATTGGCTACCGTAGACTCGGATGGTAAGCAATGAAAAAGATCAAGTGATCAAAGAAAAAAAAAAAAAAAGAGAACAAATGATCTAGTGGATGAAACTTATCGCAATATTTTTTTTTATTATAGATGAAGACAATGAGGATGATGAAAGTGATGAATCTGATTCTGAAGCTATCAACATCAAGGATGAATTTACAACACAAGAACAATTAACTGATAAGATGATCACTTTGTCTTTAGAACCTCGATCAAAATGGCAAAATTTATTGAATCTGGAAACAATCAAGGTAATAATAACAATAAAAAAAAAGAATGTGTCAGATGAAATTGAATTCTTACCTAATCACTTTTTGACATTTTTTTCTTCTTCTTTATAGCAACGAAATAAACCCAAGGAGGCACCCAAAGCACCTGAACAAGCACCCTTTTTCTTACCGACGGTGGCCGGAGCCAAACCTACATTTAACCTAGAATCAAAAGATCAAGTGACAACGAATGAAGAAAATCATGACTCTAGACGATTGAAATTTGGTGAACTGGTGACTGAAACTGACTTTTCAAAATTATTACGTATTGGTCATGAAGAAAACAAGAACTGTAAGTATTATGAATAGGTAATCTTATACCAAAAATGCTTAATTTTTTTTTTTTTTTTTTTTTTTTTTTTTTTTTGCTGTTGTAGTTACCGAATTTGTTAATTACACAAAGGGATTGAATCCTTCAAACTTGGATCTTGAATTACGAACATTGACAATAGATAGTGAATTGACATGTATCAATTTTGTTGCGGAGGCCATCTACTTTATGTTGGAAACTAGAAAGAACTTTGAATTGGCACAATCTTGGTTAAGTGTGTTTTTGGCCATCCATGGTGATTTGATTATTGCCAATCCTGATAATCCTGTCCATGGTGTTTTACAAGATATCCTTCAAATACAACAACAAGAATTTGGTCGATTATCTGAAAAGATTCATTACGGTTTATGTGTCATTGATTTTGCTAGAAAATCATAAACCTTTCTTCTTTTCTTTTCTTTTTTTTTCTTTTTGTAGTCATAGCATATTCTTCATTTTTTTTTTTTTTACTTTTATATCAATCAATTACAACGAAATAAAATTAGAAAACATTCCTTTTTTATTATATAATTGTCCATCTGTGTAACAAATAGAAAACACAAAAAAAAAAATCCCTGCTTTTTTTTTTCTTTGATTCGTGATTTCATGACACCAAAAACAGTTTAATGAAGATGACATTGTATCCGAGTCATCAGAGATTTAAGGTGCATCTGAATAGATGGAGAGAGATAAGGAGTATCCAACGATGTTTGCCTTTTTATGACTCGTTGGATGGACTCTAGTAAAGGAGCTTGATAAAACAAAAGACATCTATATTCTCGATTAACACGATCCATTTCTTTGGTGAGGCGGATCATATTGGAAGATGATCTACATGATTTTTATCATCGGCTAGAAACAATTGTCGTTGTAACCATAATTTTTGCTGTGTTCTACTTTGGCATCGAGGATCATGATGGGTTGGATAAAAAGCATTTATTCGTAAAAGCATTTGGATGATTATAAAAAAAAAAACTAGAATTACAAATAATAAAAAGGTTGAAAAAAAAAGTAAAAATATATGAGAAGAAAAATAAAGTGTAAAAGTACAATCCGAAAAAAAGGACCACAAGATCAAAACAGACGATAATCAAACCACCACGGCCGTCACTCGAAGTCGGTTTCGAAGTTTGTACCACAATTTAGAGAATTGACCAACAACTACATATGCTGCTGGGCTACCACGTTTATATAAGATAAGTAAGATGATAAATGCAGTCAATAAATTCACTGCTGCATGCTTGATGGCTGCCTATCATAAAAAAAAAAAAAAAGAGTAAGTCATTAGGTCAGTTTTTATTTCTACTTTTCCCTTACCTTGATGACCCATTTCCATCCATCCCAATCATCCTCACCGCTACCACTACTAGTCTTTTCATCAGATGAAGTAGAAGAAGATGGTTGTTGACGATCCCTACGAAGAAGTTCATGTCGTAAATCATCGATTCGTTCGTTGAGTGCAATTACTTCTGCTTGTAAGGTTTCTAGAGCTCGTTTGGTTGCTGGACCTAAGGATACAACTGATGCATAAGCATAATCCTGTTGATTTGATTGTTGTGATATGACACTTTGTGTTGGAGTAGGTTGCATTTCTTGACGTCTATATTGTTGTTGTTGTTGTTGTGAAGCACGCACATTTGAAACAGTGGCGGTAACGGTGGATGATGTAGTAGATCCATGAAAAGGAGATTGTAATGTTCGTAAACGATTCCCTAGGACAGGTGATGGTAATAATTGTACAGAAGAAATATTGGTATGACTAGTAGATCGACTATCTGTTTGACGTTGTTGTTGTTGTTGATCGAGTGGAGTCATGGTTTCATGATTGATCAAAGTGGAGGGCGTATGAAGAATTTGTTGAGCGGCCCATGGATTTACATTATCATCCAATTGATCACTAAATATAGGAGATTCACGTGGTAGGACATGAGTAAATGGTCTCAGAGGTGGTTGTACGGGTGAAGGTCTAGTCTTGGCTGTCTTGGAAGTCATATTATTATTGATAGGTGTCGATGGTTCCATAGTATGATTGGATGTAGAAGAAGCTGGTCGATCTACGGATGATGATGCTGAGAATGGTCGTAAAAACTGTTGTCGTTGTCGGGTAGAATTAAAAGTATTTGTTCGAGATTGTCGTTGTAAAAGAGGTGATTCAGTTTGTCTGAATGCTGTAGCGGGTGTTGATCTTCCTGCATTTTGTTGAATTTCAAATAGATATTGTTTTTCTTCTTCATCCAGAGATGCTTGACTTGATCCTATATATATATTTTGATTAGAAATAGATTATTAAAAAGGGAGAGAGAGAGAGAGAGAGACAATAATAATTTATTTACCATCATCATCTAGTGCTCCATCATCTTCTGTTGCTGATGTCAGATCATCGTCTGTTGTATCATCAGCATCGTCACGAGAAGGACGCATCATGGCGAATGTCTGAATTATCTGTTGAGCTTGAATTCTACTGGCAGGTTTTTGATATGCTTCTGATACAGCTTCCAAAAGGGTATCGACATAACGATGTTGAGCTTCTAATTTGTTGGTTCCTTCTAGTTTCTTCCAAGCATCCCTATATGAGAATGAAGAATATTAGTTACATAGTTCTACATAGCTATTTTGAAAACTTTACCACTTTGCTCTTCCAACCACGTCAAATAATCCCGGTCTAGGTGTATTCACATTGCCAAGAGATACTTGTTTATAATAGGCATAAAGCTATTTCATAATAATAATAATAGTAATAATAATAATAATATTAATATTAGAAAAAAAAGGGTTAGTCTAAAGAACAATAATAATTATTTTTTTTTAGTCTTTACTTGAAGTTTTTGTTCTTTTGTAGGTTGAAAACTAGAAGCAGGTAAGTGTTGTACTATTTGTAAAGCTTTATTATAACGTTGTTGAATATATCTGTTTGAATAATGAGGAGGTATAGAATTATTCATTATCTTTCAAAAAAAAAAAAAAAAAGAAAAAAAAAGAAAAAGAAAAAGAAAAAGAAAAGGGAAATTCACACATTTTTTTTTTGTTTTCCACAAAAAGCCAATTTCCGCTTTATCATCATCGTATTTTCAACCAATTTTTTTTTTTTTTTCTGTCTCTTTTTTTATTTTCTCCTTTTTTTTTTTTCTAGGTAGATGGCTTCTTCCCTTTCTACTACTAATGCAACAACAACAACAACTAATCAATCTTCACCTCGTCCAGCTTCATCTTCACCTCTTCAAGATGATAGTCAAACACCTCACCTTTTAACTCTAAAAGTCATGCGATTAACTCGACCTTTATTATCTACTCATTCTCCTGTTTATTATGAAAAACAAACTGATAACTTATCATCTTTAGTGGAAGGATTAGAAGCTATCAATATATCAGATTTATCAGCAAATCATCCTATACAAGAAGATGGTAGTATCATCAACATTCGTGACTTTGGTCTTAGTCAAATGTTAAAACTACCTGCTGCATTTGGGAATATCTACCTTGGTGAAAGTTTTAGTACACTTATCAGTTTCAACAATGATACATTGACAGAAACAGTTTATCAAGTTGGTGCCAAAATAGAACTTCAAACAGCCTCTCAACGATTTAGCCTTTATGATACTCTTAACAATACTCAAGCAACAATGGATCCTGGAACAAATCATCAGGTCACTGTTTCTCATGAAATCAAGGAATTGGGTGTTCATATTCTAGTATGTTCAGTACATTATGTTAACCCTGATGGTAGAAAACGTCATTTTAGAAAGTTTTACAAATTTCAAGTATCTAATCCTTTGGCTGTGAAAACAAAACTTAACAACTTGGCAGATGGTCGTGTCTTTATGGAAGCTCAAGTACAGAATGTCTCGGCTGGTCCTATGTTTTTAGAACGAATGAAATTTGAACCTTCTGAATACTTTGATTATGAAAATTTGAATCAAATACAACAACAGCAAGAACAACAGCAACAATTATTAGATTCAGCAATTGATCCATCTTCTTCAGTATTTGGTGACTCTTTTATTCACCCACAAGATGTAAGACAATATCTCTATCTATTGACACCAAAACCATCTCAAAAGGATCGAATAGCAAGAACAACAAATGCATTAGGAAAATTGGATATTGTGTGGAGATCAGCAATGGGGGATATGGGACGACTTCAAACTTCACAATTAACAAGGAAGGCTCCAGCTTTAGAGGATATTGAAGTACAACCTATTGATGCAACTGTGTATATCAAAGATGGAAAGACAACAACAACTGATAGAGTCATTTTAGAAAAACCTTTCCAACTCAAGATCAAGGTACGAAATCATTCAACACAACATATGAATTTGGTATTATCAGCCAACAAAACCAAGATGGGTTCGGTGTTACTTAGTGGACTTGGTAGTAGAGAGCTAGGTGATCTGGCTCCAAATCAGTCAACCGAAACACAACTGGAATTCTTCCCATTGACTCCTGGATTACAACGCGTTGGTGGATTGAAGGTGGTGGATACAACAACTGGCTATACCAAGGATGTGGATCATCTCTGTGATGTATTTGTATTATCCAATACTAATGAAATCATATTGTAGTATATTATTCTCTGTAATTTATTTTACATAAGTAGTCTGGTTGATTAGTTTAGTTGATTTTCTTTCCCACCATATATACCTCAATAAAATAAAATAATGAAAAAAAAAATCCTTTTTTTATGCGTGCTAATAATGCAAATTTATCCTACACCAATTAGAAATGATTCTTTTCCTGATGTTGTCTATGACATGAAACCTTTGATTCAGACTTTTGAATATAAAGATCTAGCGTTCTTTTTTTTTTTTTTTTTTAATTCGATTTCTCTCTTATTTTATCATTCTATTCTACTCAAAAAATACGAATACTGTTATTAGTTTATTATGAGTACAATAGAAGTACCTCCATCAACAACATGGGATGATCAACTCAATGTCGCCCAAAGCACAACAGAAACATCAATCTTTCCACCACCAACAACATGGGATCAAAAACTAGAGGCTGCTGAAAGTGCAGCACAAACATCAACTGTTCAAGCTGTGGATCAACTTGTAGACTTGGATAAATTGATGTATTATGCCAAATCATTAAAAAATGGAAAGATGCCTACCAATCTTCAACTAAAATCATTGTTAAAAAGAATACGTACAAATCCTGAAATCGAACGTCGCTCACAATCTATGTCTCAAGATGGTCAAAATCTATTAGATGATTTTCGTGAACTGGTCACTATTCTTGAAGATTGTTTGGATGAGAAGAATGGTAGCGAATTGACACAATCTCTTATTTATCATCTGCGAAATGTGGATCGTACGTCTATCAAAGATCAATCCATTGCGGTACCATCATCATCTATCGAAGCTGACGTCAAGAAAAGAGCCTCAACAGGTATATACTTAAAAAAAAAAAAAAATTCAATGACCGATATGCATGAAAAAAGTCAAGAAGTGAAACCGATGCTTACCCATCTTCTTTTTTCTATCATAGGGTTTAAACATCTTCAATTGATTGCCAAACTCATTTTTATCAATGATGAATTTCAAGGTGTGATGAATGAAATACTGGATGTAACCAAGGACATCATCCAATCAAACATTAAAGAGAAAACAGAACAATGGCAAGTTGAACCTGAAGAACAACTTGGTTTAAAAGAAGAAGCTAAACAAAAGACGAAACAAGTTCAACCAAAAGAACGGGACACGGTAAAGGATGATCTTCAAAGTAGATTTAATCAACAAGACTTGATTCGTCGTCTCAAACACGTTATGTTACAAGTTCAAAAGAATTCGGAATATCAACAAGCACTAGATTTATTGGAAGATTCTTTTTCTAAATGGTTTGGTCAAGCTGGGAAAATGGCAAATCAAATGGGTACAGTGGCTACTGATACTGTTCAACAATTGAAATCAGATCGTAATTTTTCTCAAGCATCTTTGGAGGCAAAAACCATTGCAGAAGATTGGGCGCAAGGTCAAAGTTTGGATCCACTCATTGACACCATCAACAAGATTTTTTCGGACGTCAAAAACGATCCTCGTCTTAATGATTATGTTAATATGGTAAGGAATTAATTTTTTTTATCCCCTTTTCTTTTCTTTTCTTTTCTTTTCTTTTCTTTTTAATTTTTTTTTTATTTTTATTTTTTTTTTTTTATTTTTATTTATTTTTTTTTTTTTTTTTTTTTTTTTTTTTTTTACCTTTTCTTATAGTCTTGGGATTATATAAAACGACTGGTACGAGAACCTGGTTATGTACAAGATGAACAATCTACCAAGGATGGTCAACAACTTTTGGAACGTGGACGCTCTGAGCAATTTGATAGTTACAGAAGAACTATAAATGAAGCCTTTGATCAAGCAATATCCTTCTTCAATGCTATTGCTCAAGATCCAACAGCTATTGAAATCAGAAATGCACTCAAGAACATCAAACGTGATTTATGGTTAGATGAGTAAGTTATATGAGGCTTTTTAATGGAATTTTTCAAACTAACAGTTATTATTATTGAATGTAGAGAAGGAAATATGACATTCAAACCTCATCTATTCAAGGATATTGCTGTCACTGTAATTCCTGCTGTTTTGGATCAAGTTAATTCGGTACCTATTCCTCATATTGAATATCATGACGATAAGATTGATGTGGCGGTGGAAAACTTGATACTCTCTGGCAGCACTGTACTTCCTAATGAGGTCGACTTTAAGATGTATAACCATTTGCAATACACACAAAAAACCAAGGCGAACAATCAACAAACTCTTTATATGCACTTTTCTGGTATTCAAATTCAAATGAAGGATGTGGTTTTCTATTACAAGAAAATGGGTTTCCCAAGTATCTCTGATCGCGGTATAGCAGACCTCAATGTAAGTGCATTATATATAAATGGAAAGGGTAAATATGAGACTGATATATTCTTCATTATTACTCTTCTTTCCTTGAATAGACTTATGGTAAAGGTGTTGGTTTGACTTTGGCCTTAACCAGTGATTCAAGAAACAGTATCAATACATTTACTGTACAAACATGTCATTGCCACGTGGACAAACTTCACTTTCGAATTCATGATAGTCGACACAATATGCTTTACAAAACGGTTCATCCTATGGTTACTACTATTGTCAAACATCAACTTGGAAAAATCATAGCTACCAAGATCAGAGAAGGATTGGAAACTGGGGATCGATGGCTTACATGTCAACTCAAACAATATGGTATACCTATTACGGCTTCGGAACAAGCAAATATTGCACAAGCTGGAGCTGTTACGGATGAAACTGCTACCAAACGTCAACGACCTGGCATGTTCGCATCTCTTGTCACATTGATCAACAACAAGATGAAAATCAATAAGTATCGCACTGGCTATGCCAAATACGAAAGCGCTTTCAACGCTTCTCAACGACAAAAAGCAACTGGTATCGTACGTGACATCCCTCAACAGAATATGACCAGCAGTACAGTTACCAAAGACGGCAATGCTCCAATCATGACGGAAGCAGCTATGGGTGATTCAACGACTTCGACCAAGGATGATCTTCGTGATGAACGACAAAAAAGTGTACCTGTTATGAGCCAAAAGGATGTAGATACGACTGATGCTTCCAAGAATACGCGAGAATCACAAAGTGCACCAGATAGGATGGATACAGCAATCAACAAGAATTTCCAAGGTGATGCAATGAAATCTTCCAAAGAACAAGGAATCCCTACTACTGTACCTGGTGACGATCTTCAACATAGTTCTGCAATGAAAGATAATATTGGTCAAGATATATTCGAAGGAAATATTCAACCTAGTGAAGCTATGAAAAGTCAACTTGGCCAATAACCTCAGTTAACCTTTTTATTTTTTATTTTCTTATTTTCTGGTGTTTTAGCTAGTTATTTATTTTTTTAGTTTAGTCCTATCAGTGTTATCTTTTTTTTTTTTGTTTGTGAAAAATCAATATAGTAATAAAATATATTTTTACTTGGTCGTCTTTATATAGCTTTATGATTCTTCTCATCTACCTGTCAGAAATGACAATTGTCAGTATACATCAGGGAAATTTCAAATTTTCATTTGGCGGAGGGTCTGAATTTTTTTTTGGTTAAAAAGTCTCTCCAATTTCTTTTTTTTTATTCCTCTTCTTTGTTTCTTTTTCAATTGCGCACCATGTGGCAAGAAGCAAAATCTAATGAAAAAAGGGTATACTTACTAGGAACGATTTATTTAGAAATAATAATTGTATAAATATTATGTTGTTTTTTTTATATAGATCAAAGAAGTAATGGCAGATCATAAGAAACGTGCTGAACGCCGTCGTGCCTATTACAATTCTAAAGTAAGTATAAATATCTTGTTTGTGGACAATCGTTTTCGAAACTGTATAGGTATACTCAACTCTCTCTCTCTCTCTTTTTTTTTTTTTTTTTTTTCTCTTTCATAAGCTTGGTGATCCTCGTCAACTACTACGTATCATTGGTTCAACTATCAAACTTTATCCCAACGGTGAACAGTACTATTACCACGAAAATACAAACAATCTGTAATTTACTTTCTTATAAATTCATCAATGATAATATCCTTCAGTCTCATTCCGTTTTGTTGCCATTGTCTATTATAGAATGCCTTGGCAAGGTGATACAACAGTCAAGATTGATAGGTAAGCCAATAATGAACAGGGAAATGGAGAAACAATTTACAAAACTACTTTCTTTATTGTGCATAGATTTGACGGACGCTCACTTTTGGACTCTACTCCACAAAACAATATCGACAATACAGCAACACTGGACGACGAAGATTTTAGCGACAGAGAAGAACTGAATTTTGAACGATATCGTGATCTTGTAGAAACCGACCGACTTCATCGTAAATTTGAAAATAAAAATCAGTTTGCTTCTCTTTTTTTTTCGATTACTCAATCAATTCATCTTTCTCCTAATCGACCGATATGACTATAGAAACTGAAAAGGAAAGGTTAGAATTAGTAGATGAAGAGTGGACCAAGTTACTGGATAGACACAAGGCTCTTCTAGCAATGATCAATCCGACGTATGTATACTATCGAGAAAAAAAAAATAGATAGAACACTAATCCTTTTTTTTCTTTCTTGGATGATGTAGAAAAAAGAAATCAAATGCTATTGGATTTGACTATGGCACTTCAACAACATCAACTATAGATTATTCTACAAAAGATCAAGAATCAGATCTATTGAATGATATCCTTTTACATAGATTTATTTATATGCATCATCTCATTTTATTTGATTTATCCTTAACTCTTTATTTTTTTTTCTCTCCTTACAGACCGACATTTTGAAATATGTGAATGACTTGACAGAAAAGGATCGTGACATTTTGAATGATATGGGAAGGAAGTATGGAATACGGAACTATGTCCGATTACTTCGTGTGGCCAAACGAGACCGTGATGAAGAACTTAATCAGCTCAAAGCTAAACAGACGGTAAGTTAGATAAGACAGAAAGAACCGAATGTTATTGTCGATGTTTGATATTTCTTTCTTTTTATGATGTTTTATATAGAACGGAAACAATAAATCTGAAGGTGGGAAATCAAGAAGAAAGAAACGAAGAAGACGCGCTAGGCGGGATCAAGAAACTGGAGAATCGACTCGTAGACAAAGACGAAGCAGTCCATCCTATGGTGAAGGTTATTCTGACGAAGACAGCGACAGTGATGCTACTGATGATGATGATTATGGTTCTTCTGCTGATGACAATTCTGATTTTGTTATTGAATTTGGTTCCAATTCTGGTTCAGATGGTCATCAACACAGAAATGAGGATGGGTTATCGTAAGTAAATATATTAACACTACGTAGATATAAAGGAATGCTCATTGTTCTATATTCTAGTAAAAGTAGACGCAATACCACTCCAACAATCACATCAAGAAACTCTTCCAGTAATAGTGCACCTCCAGTACAAGGAATGGAAAAGAAGTTGACACCTATGGAAAAACTCAAAATGAAAATGCGAGCAGGATTGGAAAAGACAAGTAAAGTTAACAAATACTATGATCAGCTGGGAAATGATTAAATTTACTCATAATTTGTTATTTATGTTTAGTTCAATCGGATGCAAATGCGAAACTTCAAAAGGAACAGGAACGTCAATTGGAAGGAATACAACAACATATGGACGATTTTGACACGGCTAAAGGAATAGCCCCGATTATCTCATCAATGAACGTCACTGGTAGCAATACTGATGAAAAACATACATCCACTCGTACGCGGTATCGATCACCCTCTTCATCTCGTTCTCCATCACCAACGAAAAGGTCATCATCATTATCATCAACAAGTAAACAATCTAGAACTTCATCAAACACAACAAAAAGATATCATCATTCCCCAGTTCGACGCGATAGATCAGATAGAAGAGTGGATGATGATCGATCGCCTTCACGCCATCGTTCGCCATCACCAACAAAAGATCGGCACCATTATCGTCATGATGCCAGGTCTCGTTCTTCTAGATACTCAAACGAAAGCAGTCGATATAGAAGTAGTAGACGCCATAGGGCTTATAGTAGATCAAGGTCAAGGTCAAGGTCCAGATCTCCTTCGCCATCAAGCCGTCATCGTCATCGATCATCATCATCGTCAAGTAACCGGAAAGCCGACAAAAACAGATCGTCGTATTACAAGAAATATTGAATTGAATACATTGTTGTGATATGGTTTAGATGATAGTATTGAATTTTATGTACCGTGAAATAAAGTTTTCTTTTTTTTTTTTTTTTTTACTTCTGTCAATTGGGTTGCCTTATTTTGATCCCCGATTTTTAACTTTTTGGAAGTCGCGCGTCGGTTTTTGTTACCCCTCTCTTTCTCTTCTTTTTTTTTTTCTTTTTTCTTTGACCATATCATAAATCCACCTATCTTCATGTTAAGTGTAGAGAAGCAGAAACGTCCCATTAATCCAAGTTCTGACGATAGCGACAACAGTAATTCAGATACTGACCTTAGCAACAACAATAGTTCTTTTACCACCAAATCACCAAGAAAGAAACGACATATCGAAGACACTCCTTCTGACGATAGCAGTGATAATGACGACGAAAACGATAACTCGGATACAAAACAATCAATAGGAAGAGAAAATAATGATTCAAGAACAACAACAACATCAACAGTATCTTCAGCATCAACGCGACACGGATCTATAGCGGAAAACGACACAACATCTTTGAAATTATCGCGACAGTCCTCTTCTGTAAAGTCGCCACAAGCCGACAATGCCATACAAAGCAATCAAGTTCATAGTGATGATCTTACAATATCAAATGAAAATAGGATAGATGGCGATGATACGACAAAAGATCAACAACAACAGCAAAGAACACAAGAAGTAAAAAAACCAAGACTTGTCATTACAAAAATGGTTCTCAACAACTTCAAGTCATATGCTGGTCGGCAGGTGATTGGGCCTTTTCACAAGGTAATGGAAAGATAAGAACGATATTCCTCAAACAAAATATACTTACGATCAATTTTTTTTTTATTCTCGCATATATATTAGTCATTTAGTGCAGGTAGGTCCAGCAACTTTTCCCATTTCAAATCATAAGTTATATTGATTCCATTTTTTTTTTTTTTTGTACGCTTCCTTTTTTATTCTTTATTATCATAGTCGTAGGTCCAAATGGGTCAGGAAAATCCAATGTCATTGATGCCCTTCTATTTGTATTTGGATACAGAGCTAACAAAATGCGACAAGGCAAACTCTCAGAACTAATTCACAACTCTACCAAGTACCCCAATCTTGACTCATGCTCTGTAGAAGTTCATTTCCAAGAAATCATTGATGGTGATAAACCTGGCAAGTTCGATTCTGTACCAAATTCTCGTCTGGTGGTATCTCGTCAAGCGTCTAGGAACAATAGCAGTAAATACTATATCAATCAAAGGTCAAGCAACTATGCCGAGGTCACTACGCTATTACGTGGGAGAGGGATTGATTTGGATCACAAACGATTTTTGATCTTACAAGGTGAAGTGGAATCGATTGCATTGATGAAGGCTAAAGCAAAGGACGAACATGATGATGGTTTACTGGAATATTTGGAAGATATTATTGGAACTTCAAAGTACAAGGAATCCATTATGCAAGCTGGTGTCAGATTAGAAGAATTCAATGTTATACGTGCTGAAAAACTCAACCGTGTCAAGCTTGTGGCAAGAGAAAAGGAAAATCTCGAGGTAAAACCAAGACTTTGAACAAAAATAATAATAATAATAATAGTAAAGCATGCATAGTTTTTTTAACATTTTATTTTTTATCTATAGGACAAGAAACTGGAAGCTGAAAATTACTTGGAAAATGAAAATGAATTATCAAAACGAAAAAATGAACTCTATCAAGTATACCGTTACGAAGCGCAGGTCAATATGGAAGTCGCTGGAAAGGCTGTTGTAAGTTGAATTTTGATGAATCGGGATATATATGAATGAAAACATCTTTTTTGATCATATCATTGGATCTATTCATGTTATTACTGGATTTAGGATGAACTGAAAGAAAAACTCAAAGAAGATGAATCACAAAATGCACAAATTGAGCAAGAAATCACTGCTAGCAAACGTTTATATGAAGAAAAAGTCAAAGAATTCAAAGTAAGTAAAAGATTAGATAGTAATCTTATATCTAACGGACGACCTTATATTTTTCTAGGTTTTGGAAACTGAACATTCCCAAGTGGTGGCAAGACATGCTAAAATCGAAAAGGACGAAGTGGAACTGCGAGCTAAAAAGGATCACTTACAAAAACGACAAGAAAAAGGCAAAGCATCTATTGAATCGGTAATATAAGGAAGGGGAAAAGAAGTGAATATGTTCTAATTTATTGAATGGATATTTATGTTTTTCCTCTTTAGGATCGTACTGCTTTGACCAATGCAAAAGAGAATATCAAGAAAAACACTGAAGAAATTGAAAAAAGAAAGAAAGATCTCAAGGCTCTGGAAAAGCAACAAAAGGAAGAGGATCAGAAATTGGATGAGATTAACCGCGAGTTACAAGGAAAAACGGAAGGTTTTATGGCACAAATTGAAGAACATCAAAAGCAGCTGGCTCCTTGGACTGAAAAGATCAATGAAAAGAAGAAAGATATTGATGTGAATAAATCAGAAAGCGATATTTTGGCAAATCGAATCTCTTCTGGTGCTAAAGCGGTGGAAGAAGCTGAAAAACAACTAGCGAAACTGATAGCTACCAAGAAAAAGAAGGTAAAAAAAAAAAAGAAAAAAATCAAAATGATTCAGATTCTCATTATTGTTTATTCATCTATTTCTTAGTCTCAAGAACTTGAATTGCTCCCCAATGAAATCAAGGAACTTTGTGCTGATATTGATGAAATAACTAAAAAAGTCAAGGTAAGAACAATAGCAATTACCTGCAAAACTAAGATAAATGACATTCTAATATAATTGTTTTTATTTATATATATATATTTTTAATTAGGATGCTGATGAAAAAGAAGCTTTGTACAGAAAAGATGTTGCTATTGCTCGACAAAAGGCTGAAGAAGCAAAGGCATCCATGCAGCAATCACAGTCCAGGGGCAAGGTATTAGACAGCTTATTGAGAATGCGTGATTCTGGCCGTATTAAAGGGATCTATGTAAGTGATAAAAGAAAAAGAATTCACCCTCCTGAATCTATTTTTTTTAATTGACTGATTTACCTCATTTCTTTAGGATCGACTGGGTAACTTGGGTGTCATTGATGACAAGTATGATGTGGCGATCTCTACTGCCTGTCCTGCTCTTGACAACATTGTGGTAGAAACAGTGGAAGCTGGTCAAGCGTGTATCGAATATCTTCGTAAGAATAATCTTGGTCGTGGTGTATTTACAGTATTGGAAAAACTACAACGTCAAGATATGCGTCCTATTGATACTCCAGAAGATGTTCCAAGATTATTCGACCTGGTGACATCTCGTGATGAGAAGTTTGCTCCTGCTTTTTATAGTGTTCTCCGTGATACCCTTGTAGCCAATGATTTGCGACAAGCGAACCGTATTGCATTTGGTAAAAGACGATGGCGCGTAGTTACCTTGGATGGCAAGTTGATCGAAAAATCTGGTGCGATGACAGGTGGTGGCAATCGTCAACTTCGTGGTGCCATGAGTTCACAATTCAAGAATGATGATGTGAATCCTGAACTAGTGGCTTCTCTGGAAAAGGAACGTAATGATTTGGAAATGGAATATCGTAATATTCAAGAAGAAAAGCGTGCCCTGGATTTGGTACTTCGAACAAAAAAGTCAACTCTGCCAAAGAAAGAAGTGACACTGGAAAAGTTACAAATGGATGCTCGAAGTCTGGATACACAATTGCAAGATGATACCAAGAGACTAGAGGAACTCAAGTAAGTTTGATCTAATAACATAACGCATATTCCAATAGAGATGAATGGATTGATCCAACCTCTTTCCTTTTTTTTTTTTTTTTTTTTTAAACAGAGCGCAAAGTCAACCAAGTCCACAAGATGTACAACGATTGGAGGAAATCAATCAAACCATTGAACGCTTGACTGGAGAAATGGAAGAACTCAAGGCAAAGACAACATCTATTCAAGAAACAATCGAATCCTTACATGAAGAAATCTTAGATGTTGGTGGTATGGATTTACGACTTCAAAAAATTGTGGTGGATGATGTTCGCAAGCGCATCGATGGTCATAACGATAAACTCACCAAATGTGCTGTACTTAAAGCAAAAGCCGAAAAAGATGTTCTCAAGTTGGAAGACAACATCAAGAAAACCGAAACCGAAATTGAAAAGATGATGGAAGGACTTGCTGATTTGGATCGTCAACTGATAGCAAGTACAACAACTGCTGCTGAAATTTTGGATGAAGCTGACCGAGTGAAAAAGGTAAATAGATTGTTTAGGATGATGATGAATCAGTAGTAATTTTTCTTTCTTTAGGTCAAAGAAGAGAAGAAAGAATCCATGGACGCAATGAAGAAGGAATTGGATGAAAAGACAGAAAAGATCAACGAATTCAGACGGGCAAGGGTAAGAAATAGATGGGAATCATATTAGTCAACTATCTTCTTTGTTTTTTTTTTATCATCGAAGTTCACCTATTTTTTTTTAAAAAAAAAAAAAAACTATTTGCTTTTATAGATGGAAATCAGTAATCAACTTGACGACTATCAACGAACCTATAATGATAATAAAAAGAAAGCGGAACATTGGTCTGATCAACAGTCAAAACTGACCATGCATAGGCTATGGTAAGAAGAAAAAGAAAAGAAAAATGAATGATTCAACATCTAAACATACTTTCTCTCAAATAGGAATGACGAGAATGATCACACCACTCTACCTATATACGACGTGGAAAAAATCAAGGCATTTCAAAGTGATAAACAGGCCATCAAGGGGGAGATTGCTGAAATCGAAGGTAAGTGTTCGCCAATATCAATCAATGTATCATGTTTACTAATCACTGCTTTTAAAATTTGTTTGAAACTAGCTTTTGTCCAAAGTGCCAAACCGAATTTGTCAGTTCTCGAAGAATATCGCCGGCGTGATGAAGAATATAAGGAACGTGCGACTGATTTGGAAAGTATTACAATGAAACGGGATCAAGTCAAAAATGAAGTAGATACTTTACGAAAGCGACGTCTGGATGAATTTATGCATGGATTTAATATCATTTCTCAAAAACTCAAGGAAATGTATCAGGTAATAAGGAAAAGACACGGCTGTTTATTTATTTTTTCTCATATTGGAAATACCTTTTTTCTTTTTCTTTTCCTTTTTCCTTTTCTTTTTTTTTTTTTCCTTTTTTTTTTTTTTGATGTAGATGATTACTCTGGGTGGCAACGCTGAACTGGAATTAGTCGATAGTTTGGATCCTTTCTCTGAAGGTATTGTGTTTAGTGTGATGCCTCCAAAGAAAAGCTGGAAAAACATCTCCAATTTGTCTGGTGGGGAAAAAACTCTTAGTTCCTTGGCTCTTGTGTTTGCCCTACATCACTTCAAACCTACGCCTCTCTATGTAATGGACGAAATCGATGCCGCTTTGGATTTCAGGAACGTGTCTATTGTCGCCAACTATATTGCCGAACGAACAAAGGATGCCCAGTTTGTTATCATCAGTCTACGCAATAATATGTTTGAACTGGCCGACCGTCTAGTGGGCATATATAAAACCAACAACTGTACTAAAAGCATCGCCATCAATCCTTCTATGATCGCTACTCTCTCAGCATTAACCAACGATGATAACAAACAACAACAGCAACAACAACAACAGCAGCAGCAGAAAGAGCAACGATGATGATAGGCTATATTGTTAGTATAATGATATTTAAAATAATAAAGGTACGTTGGTTGGTTCTTTTTTTTTTATTATTATTGTGTTATTTTGGTTAATATATGGAGTTGTATCGAGGCCTTGATTAAGTGTATATACCCTTTTTTTTTTATTACTATTATTATTGTTCATTTTGAAAAGTTCTTTATTATAGCTATTATCTAGATCATCTTGTGATACTTTTACTAGCCACATTTGTTAGAAGTTTAAACAATTCTTCTCCTGCAGATACTTGTGCACTTTTCATAATCTCATCAAATTTACTTTTATCAGTGATCATGTTGTATGTAACATCTAGCCCAATAGATAAAAATGGGCCAACCACAGGGATGAAAGACATACCTAAACTTGCTATGTGTTTCAGACCTTCAACCAATAGATCTTTAGGAGTTGTATCGATATTTTGCAAATTAGTTCCTTGTTCACAATTGATGACTTCAGCTATCTGATTAGTCCCTTCATAGATGGCAGTCTCCTTCACTACTTCCCTTGATGATTTTTGTATCTTCATACAGTTTATAAAATGCTGCTTTGCACCTCTTCTTTCGAATGGAATAAGTCCCGTGATGAAGAAGCAGTGTGTATCTATCACCAAATCATAATCGGTATGGATCATCCCGTGGTCTGGGAAGAAAAAAATTGTATTCTCGTTACCGAAATCTCTTTTAGATAGATGTTTTTTGAAATCATCCGTGATCCGTAGCTGAACACCTTGAGACCATCCGCTTCTTTGACCAGTCTTTAGATAGTGGAGGCGAATCATCTTAATACCTTTCCACATACTGATACCAATATATCGAGTCGCTTTGTTGGTTAAAGAGATTCCTTGGACGACTGGGTAATTACCAGAACCCAGCAATTGCCCACCGTGGTAACGGGAATAGAGTAGGTCGAGATCAGGTATGTTATGTGCGTTGTTTGCTTTGTTATCGGGTATGATGTCAGCTGTTGTAGTATTGGCGCGGGCGTTGTACTCGTCTACCTTCAAGTGCCAGATACATTTTCCCCATTTATCGCCCTTAAGCTTGCCTCTCTGAGAAGAATCTGGTATTTTACACGAGCATGGAGTCCGATAGAATGCGGTTGAACGTTCTCGGTAACAGTGACCAGCATTATATTCAACATAGAGCATAGCGTTAGGTGTTGCATAGCACTTTGGCAAATAATCAACTATGCCTCCAAGAACGGTATCGCCTGAACACATTCCAATCGTAAAAAGCAAAGCAAATAAAATGCTCTTCATATTATATCTGGAGCCTACACAGGGAAAAGGACGGAGAGTACTGAATGATTTGGAAACCATGATGATGATTGTTTATGTGATAAAAAAAAAAAAAAAAAGACATGTCTGCCATTCCTCTTTTTATAGGAATGAATCCAGCTTGAGGATGATCATTTGGTAAAGACTTTTTTTTTTCTGTATAGGGGATGATATAGTAACTAGGAAACAGTGATGCGAGGATGATCATTTGGTAAAGATCCTTTTTTTTTTCTGTATAGGGGATGATACAGTAACTAGGAAACAGTGATGCATCAAGGAACCAAAGGAATCTATTTCCTCTCCTCCTTTTCTGGCCTGCGCTTTCCTTAAATTTTAGAAAATATAATAATTTTGCATGATGCATACGATGAAAATAGTGGTAAAACCTATGATGATGATGATGATGATGATGAGAGGAAATAAACTAAGAATAATCTACATACTTTTTTTTTTTTGCTATCATGCGTTATTCAGAAAAAGAAAAAAGAAAGAACCACAACTATGGTTCCTTACTCCTCATCGATACCACATATCATCTTTTTATGATGGCGTAATGAGAAGCATCTTTTCCCTTGCATAATTTAACACGATTAACATTCCCTTGTAGAATAAGAAAAAACGAAGAAGAAGATCTTGTAATTAACTATGCACAAAGATGCCAATAAAAGGAGATGGCAAAATGATGTCAATTATTACCCCTTCCACCCAGTCGATTCAAGCTGGAAAACTTATCTAAGCTATTTTCAATCATTATCACCTTCATCACATCATCCAAGGCTCTGCCAAATGCTCTCTAATCATTTCCACACTTTTACGCGCAAAGGGAGGTTTGATCGATTTTTAGCAAAATTGCATAACAATTCGTTATAGTTCTTTTTCAGGACTAAAAAAGAGTCTATCTAAGCGGAGGAACCTGAAAAGTTCGTCTGTGAAAAACCCAATTTCTTTTTTTTTTTTTTCATTCCGTACCTTTCTTTCCTTTCCTCATCACTTTTTTTTTTTCCTGATCTAGATTGATTGGAATCTTACTCACCTCTCCCTTGGACGATTACTTGACAATCTTACCAATGGTCTCCTTACCATTTTGCAAAGGTAATCCCGACCAAAAAAAAAAAAAAAAAAAAAAAAAAAAAAAGGGCAGCAGGAAGCGTTGAAATGAATGGTAGTGCTAATCGATTTTTATGATTCTTTATTCTTGTCTAGATGCCCTTGCACATCTGTTGTAATGGTCTATTGCTTCTGTCTCTGCTTCCAGTAAGTCATCCTTGTTACTTTTTATTTTTCTGAATAATTTAACTTGACTAACATCTTTTTTTTTTCTTTGTCTTTTTGATAAAGGCAACTTCTCATGTCTTCTCTTTCTATGGAGTATTCCCGTGCTCTCATTGTCTTATCCGCCTTCTACCTCTTCTTTTTTTACTTTTATTCGTTATTATATATATTTACGTGAATGTAAGCAGGCGCTTATACAACCGGATCTTATGGATGGATACGTAGCAGAGTCAATTGGATGAACGTACAATAAGGTCAACGAAATGGTTTGGCAACAGGATTCGACTGGACAAGAAAAGAAAGCCAATTGTGCAAAGGTGTTTTCTTTTTTTTTTGGGGGGGGGCTTCTCTCTCCATTTAATTCTTATCGCGACGATTTTCTTATGGGTTGTTAGTGTTAGCTTTGTTGGTGTTTATATTATTTGTAGTTTATTCTCTCTTTATATCCTTATTTAATAAAGCTATATTCATGTTGTCTTACTTCCACTATCATCATATTATCATGATCTCAATATTCCTAATAGTCGTCATTATCATCATCATTCCGTCATCCATCAGTTATCGCAAGGAATTGTCAACCATCATCATCATCGAATATCTACTAAAACGATAACTTGATAAAGAGTACTCATTTTTTTTTTTTTTTATAGGTGACGATGTACAGAAAGTAAAATATTTTGGAAGCCTGTATCTTCCCTTACCGAATAACAGGAAGTACTGCATCCTCTCTTTTATATAAGTTATGTATTCTTTGATCTATATCGACCTTTATTAGTTATAAGTTTTCACTATAAACGGAAAACATCTCTGCGACAAAACCATGTGTTTATTTATATATCAAAGTCATTTATTACTTTCAAAAGGCTCATAATGCCAGAGAGAATCCTTTTTTTTTTTATTTTGGGATCGGGTGATATATAAACAATTTTAAGATGGCTCACACATAATGAGAACCAGGTGGACAAGAAGGATACAGATCAATCCTGTAACAAAGACCTCTCGAACCCTTAGCACAACATTTCTGATTCGCTTTGCAATCACTCTTTTGTGAACATTGACTGTAAGTACGGCAATAACACAATCCTGTGTTTCTTACGTTGTCGATAACACCACTGCCACAACATTGACCATTGATTGGCTTTTGCTTACAGTCACCACAATTGATCCCAGGTCTTTCAGGGACACATTTCCCACCGACACATTGCTGAAAGTTACAATCGTACCTATTATTACAATGACATGTACAAATACCGCTTGCATTCATTATTCCCTTGCCACAACAACGCCCATTGATGGCTTTTTGTTCACATCCGCCACATTTTACATTTGTATCACAGACACCATTGACACAAAAGCCCGCCACAGATGAAGAGTACCCACGGGAACTTACAATATTAGTGCACTTTTGTCCTTCGGTACATGGTGGCCATGCAACACTAGTAGGCTGGCACAAGACACTAACGCAGGCAAAAAAAAGACAGAGTAATAGATGCATTGGAGACATGAAGTCTACGTTCGATAGAAAAAAAAAAAAAAGAAAGCAAATTGAAAGGTCCATTTCTCTGCATTTTTATAGAAAAGAGAAAAGAAGAGCTTTGGGATGATCACTTGATAGAGGACACCTCCCCTTTTTCTTGTGCGATAGGAGATCATACATTAAACAGAAACCACTTTGAAGGAAGCCTATGCCTTTTCCAACATTTCTTAACGTGCGATGATTGAAATATTTGCATGATTCATACAATGCTGATGATGACGATCCGATCACGACCATAATAATGATAAAGGACGCTGATAGGAGCATAGATATCCTCATCTCTGTCGTTTTGGATAATGTTTTTTTTTTTAAAAAAAAAAAAAAAAAAAAAAGAAAGAAAGAAAGAAAGAAAGGGAGTGGTAGGGTTTACATAGCCAATGAACAGTGAGGTTTTTCCATGGCTGCATTGCTTTTACATGACATGATGCCGAAAAGACAATATCTTTAACTCCGTGTGATCTTGAGCAAATGGTATGCATTGTAAAACTAGGACGAACAGCAAAAAAAAAAAAAAAAAAAAAAAAAAAAAAAAAAAGGAACGTGAAGCATCTGTACTTCATTTACCATGACGATGAAAACAAACGGATGAAAGAAATGGTCATCTAGATGCCCTAGTTCATTTACTTTTAGACTCCATCATAGTATCCCAAAGATTTACCGGTTCCAGTAGGCTAGTCCATTCAAACTGAGGAGTTTGAACTCTTTAGCTATAAAAACCACAAGAATCCTTTTTTTTTGTCCTTTTTCTTTTCATACCTCATTATTTTTTGCTCTACCTTGATTGGAACCTCATTCATCTTCTTCTTTTTCTTCGAACAGTTCCATGGCTTGTCACCAATATCTTCTTCCATCGTCATTCTGGTGTGTAGTCAACGCGTGAAAGGTAATGTACAAGAGAAAACAGAAAGTATTGATTGGAACTGTACTAATCACCTTTTATGATTGTTTATTCTTGTCAAAATCCTTTGGAGTTGATTGTGGAACGGAATGGTGTTCTATGGCTTCTGTCTCTGCTATCTGTAAGTTATCCTTTTTCTTAATTTTCCTGCATAGTTTAACTAGACTAACATTTAATTTACTTTGTCTTTTTGATATAGGCCGTTTCTTATTCCTTTTTTTTTTTTCTTTTTTACATGCCTATCTTCCTTTAAGTGACCCTTTCTTTATTATTACTTGACCTTGGTCTGTTTTTATTAGGCACATTTTTTATCTGGATAGAATACAACTAGGTGCTGACACAACTTGATCACATGGATGGATACGTGGCAGGATGAATTGGACGACTGTAATACAATAGGAGCAACTAGTTGGGTATATACGTGAAGGAATATGGGACTGGATCAGCAGAATACTAGACAATCAACAAAATAGGGTCGCAACAAAATTCGACTTGAGAAGAAAACAACGTCAATTATGCAAAGATCTTTTTTGATGGATCCTTCTCTCGTTTTTTTTTTTTTTTTTTTTATGGTGATTCTCTTATGGATAGCTAGCGTTGATGTCAGCAATGTTTACATTAGATGTAGTATATTATATCTTTATTTTCTTCTCTAATAAACTTATACTCATGTTGTCCAATACTGTCATCATTGTGTTATTGTCATTATCATGATATTAATACTCCCTAATAGCCATCATCGTCATCAAATGCTCTACTACGATGATCGCTTAGCGAAGGATAATGCCACTTTTGTCTTTTTCTGTATGTGAATTTCATGTGCTCCTTTACCGGATGACTGGAGCCACTGCGTCCTTTCTTTTTTATAAAATATGTAATCTTTGTATAGCTTTATTGTAGAGCCTAGAAGAGTTCTTGTTATGAACTTCTCTGCGACAAAATCATTTATTTCTTTCATATATGACAAATAAAACCATTTATTGCTATTAAAGTCTATTAATACTAAAGGAAATAGTTTGATTTCATTGGAGAATTGGATGATATATAAACAATTTTAAGATGGCTCACACATTATGAGAACCAGGTGGACAATCAGGATACTCATACTCATCAATCCTGTGACAAAGCCCTATCGAACCCTTAGCACAACACTTCTCGTTTGCTTTGCAGTCACTCTTTTGTGCACATTGACTAGAGGTACCGCAATAACACAATCCTGTGTTTCTTGCGCTGTCGATAACACCACTGCCACAACATTGACCGTTGATTGGTTTTCTCTGACAGCCGCCACAATTGACCCCAGGTTTTTCAGGGACGCATTTCCCACCGACACATTGCTGAAAATAACAATCGTATCTATGATTACAATGACATGTACAAATACCGCTTGCATTCATTTTTCCGTTGCCACAACAACGCCCATTGATGACTTTTTGTTCACATCCGCCACATTTTGTGTTTGTATCGCATATACCGTTTACGCACAAGCCCTCCACAGATGAAGAGAACCCAACGGAATATATCATCTTAGTGCATTTTTGTCCTTCGGTACATGCTGGCCGTGCAACAATAGGAAGCTGGCACAAGACACTAACGTAGGCAAAGAAAAGACAGAGTAATAGATGAATTGGAGACATGAAGTCTATGTTCGATGAAAAAAAAAAAAAAAAGAAATGCAAATTGAAAGGTCCATTTCTCTGCATTTTTATAGAAAAAAAAAAAGAAGAGCTTTGGGATGATCACTTGATAGAAGACACGTCCCCTTTTTCTTGTCTGATAGGAGATCATGCGTTAAACAGAAACCACTTGGAAGAAGCCTATGTCTTCCCCACCATCTCCTAAATATGATGATCGAACTGTTTGCATGATTCCTACCATACTGACAGTGATGATGATCCAATTACGACCATAATGATGATAAGAGTGATGTGAGCATAGATAACCTCGTCTTCCATCGTTTTGATTTTTTTTAAAAAAAAAAAAAAAAAAAAAAAAAGGAAGAAGAAAGGGAGTGATAGGTTTACATAACCAATGAGCATTGATATTTTTCTATGACTGCATTACTTTTACATGACATGATGCAGAAAAGACAATGTCTTTACCTCCGTCTGATCTTGGTGATATACATTATAGAACGAGGAGGGACAGTAAAAAAAAAAAAAAAAAAAAAAAAAAGGTAGAGCATCTGTACTTCATTTACCATGACGACGAAAACAGATGGGTGAAACAAATGGCCATCTAGACGCCCTAGTTCATTTATTTTTAGACTCCATCATAGTATCCCAAAGATTTATCGATTCCTACAGACAGCGTAGTAAGCTAGTCCATTCAAACTGAGGAGTTTGAACTCTTTAGCTATAAAAACCACAAGAATCTTTTTCTTTTTTGTTGTCTTTTTTCTTTTCATACCTCATTATTTTTTTGCTCTACCTTGATTGGAACCTCATTCATCTTCTTCTTTTCCTTCGAACAGTTCCATGGCTTGTCACCATTGTCTTCTTCCATTCGTCGTTCTGGTGTGTAGTCAACGCGTGAAAGGTAATGTACAAGAGAAAACAGAAAGTATTGATTGGAACTGTATTAATCGCCTTTTATGATTGTTTATTCTTGTCAAGGCCCTTTGGAGTTGATTGTGAAATGGAATGGTGTTCTATGGCTTCTGTCTCTGCTATCTGTAAGTCATCCTTTTTCTTAATTTTCTTGCATAGTTTAACTAGACTAACATTTAATTTACTTTGTCTTTTTGATATAGGCCCTTTCTTATTCCTTTTTTTTCCTTCTTTTATATGCCTATCTTCCTTTAAGTGACTCTCTCTTTATTATTACTGGACCTTGGTCTGTTTTTATTAGGCACATTTTTTATCCGGATAGAATACACCTAGGTGTCGACACAACTTGATCACATGGATGGGTACGTGGCAGGATCGATTGGATGAACATACAAGAGGATCAACTAGGTAGTTATGTCGTTGGGTCAATTGACAGAATGCAAGGCTGGATCAAGAGAATAGTACAGGATCAGCAATATGGATTTGCAGCAGGATTCGATTGGAAGAGAAGAGACTCAATTGTGCAAACGTCTTTTTTTTTTCTGGTGGGCTTCTCTTTCCGTTTGATTCTTATCGCGACGATTCTCTTATCACCGTTTATATTACTTGTAGATAATTATTCTTTAATAAAGCTACGATCATGTTGTCCTACCGCTGTTATCATTGTCTTAGTGTCATTTATCATGATCTCCACATTCTTAATAGTAATCAAACCATCACCATCATCGAATATCTACTATGATGGCCATTTGGCAAAGCATGTTCGTCCTATTTTTTTTTTGTAGGTGGTGCTATTGAGAAAATAAAATACTTTGGAGATTTATATCTTCCATTACCGGATGACTGGAGCCACTGCATCCTTTCTTTTTTATAAAATATGTATTCTTTGTATAGCTTTATTGTAGAGCCTAGAAGTCCTTATTATGATCTTCTTCCAACTTCTCTGCGTCAAAATCATTTGTTTCTTTCACATATGACAAATAAAACCATTTATTGCCATTAAAGGCTTATAATACTAAAGGAGATAGTTTGTTTTAATTAGAGAATTGGATGATATATAAACAATTTTAAGATGGCTCACACATAATGAGAACCAGGTGGACAAGAAAGATACTGATCAATCCTGTAACAACTGCCTTTCGAACCCCTAGCACAACACATCTCATTCGCTTTGCAATCATTCTTTTGTGAACATTGACTGTAAGTACGGCAATAACACAATCCTGTTTTTCTTACGCTATCGATAACACCACTGCCACAACATTGACCATTGATTGGCTTTTGCTTACAGTCACCACAATTGATCCCAGGTCTTTCAGGGACACATTTCCCACCGACACATTGCTGAAAATTACAATCGTATCTATTATTACAATGACATGTACAAATACCACTTGCATTCATTATTCCGTTGCCACAACAACGCCCATTGATGGCTTTTTGTTCACATCCGCCACATTTTACGTTTGTGTCACAGACACCATTCACACAAAAGCCCTCCACAGATGAAGAGAGCACACCGGAATCTACAATATTAGTGCACTTTTGTCCTTCGGTACATGGTGGCCATGCAACACTAGCAGGCTGGCACAAGACACTAACGCAGGCAAAAAAAAGACAGAGTAATAGATGCATTGGAGACATGAAGTCTACGTTCGATAAAAAAAAAAAAAAAAAAAAAAGAAAGCAAATTGAAAGGTCCATTTCTCTGCATTTTTATAGAAAAGAGAAAAGAAGAGCTTTGGGATGATCACTTGATAGAGGACACCTCCCCTTTTTCTTGTGCGATAGGAGATCATACATTAAACAGAAACCACTTTGAAGGAACCCTATGTCTTTTCCAACATTTCTTAACGTGCGATGATTGAAATATTTGCATGATTCATACAATGCTGATGATGATGATCCGATCACGACCATAATAATGACAAGGGACACTGATAGGAGCATAGATAATCTCATCTCTGTCGTTTTGGATAATGTTTTTTTTTAAAAAAAAAAAGGAAGGGAGTGGTAGGTTTACATAGTCAATGAGGAGTGAGGTTTTTCCATGGCTGCATTGCTTTTACATGACATGATGCCGAAAAGACAATATCTTTAACTCCGAGTGACCTTGAGCAAATGGTATGCATTATAAAACGAGGACGGACAGCAAAAAAAAAAAATAAAAAAAAAAAAAAAAAAAAAGGTAGAGCATCTGTACTTCATTTACCATGACGACGAAAACAAATGGGTGAAAGAAATAGATGCCCTAGTTCATTTACTTTTAGACTCCATCATATTATCCCAAAGATTTAACCGATTCCTACAGCGTAGTAGGCTAGTCCATTCAAACTGAGGAGTTTGAACTCTTTAGCTATAAAGCCATGGAGTCCTTGTTTCCTTTTCTTCTTCCTTTTCTTTTTATTCCTCATTACTTTTTTAATCTATCTTGATTGGAGCCCTCATTCACCTCATTCTTTCCCTTCAGAAAAGTTGCGTAGCTTGTTGCCATTGCCCTCTTCTATTGTCATACTGGCGTGTAGTTAACGCATAAAAGGTAATGAATGCCAAGAGAAAACAGAAAGTGATGAATTGAACAGTACTAACCGGTTTTATGATTTTTTTTTATCCTTGTCGAGAACCCCTTGAAGGTCGATTGTGAAAAGCTGGTGCCCTATGGTTTCTTTCTCTGCTTTCAGTAAGTCACCCTTTTCCTTCTCTATTTTTCTGCATAGTTTGACTTGACTAACATTTATTTTTCTTCGTCTTTTGGTATAGACCGCTTCTTATTTCTTTTTTTTTCCCTCTCTCTCATTATCTTATTTGCCTTCTTCCTCTTCCTTTTTTTCTTATATGCCTGTTTTCCTTTAGATCATTCTCCTTTGATTGTTACTTGACTTTTTTTTTTCTTTTTTTAATAGGCACATTTTTTATCGGAATACAGTACAACTAGGTGTCGACACAACTGGATCGCATGGATGGATACGTAACAGGATCAATTGGATGAATATACAATAGGAGAAACTAGCTGGATATACAACTGAAGGACTGCAGGACTGGATCAATAGAATAGTACAGGATCAGCAAAATGGGTTTGCAACAGGTTTCGACTCGACAGGAAAAGAAGGTCAGTTGTGCAAATATCTTTTTTTGGTGGACCTCTCTCTCTCTTTTGTCTTGTTTTTTACGATGATTATTCTCTTATGGATAGTTAGGGTTGATCTTAGAGAGATATAGTATATTCACTCTTTACATTCTTCTTTAATAAAGTGATAGTCATATTTTCCTCCTCTATCATCATTATTGTTGTTATTATGATCTCAATATTCTTTAATAATCATCGTCAGTCATCATTATAGGAATATCATCAATCAACCATCAACCTTTATCAATATTTACTAAACACCATCACCACCAAATCTCATCTACATTACAACATAAATAACGTCAACAGACTTTGGATTTTGAAAACCTCCAGCAATACGCCAGAATGTTTATTTTTTAATAATATCGAGATAGGAAGGGGAAAACTTTGGAAGTAAAAGAATAATAATAGTCTGACACCAACAAAAAAAAAATGTGGGGAACGAATAACAAAGAAAGAGTATAAGCTTCCAAACAGTAATTGATGTCTTGTATCCATAGTCAAACTTAAAGGCCAGCAACGCCTAAGCCGCCGCTACCGCCGGATTCTCCACCAAGGACGCCTTCAGTGACACCATTCACAGCACCGGTCACAGTATCGACAACACCTCCTCTAGCATGAATACCAGCTCCCTTGTCGGCTTTACCATCAGCACCGTTTGTCTTGCCAGCGGATTCATTAGTACCCTTCGTATCAGTGCTACCGGCTTCAGGAGTAGTAGCGTCGGTGTCTTTAGCTTTGGCCAAGGCAGTAGAAGCAACACAGGCAAGGACAGCAAGAGTAATGAAAGCTTTGGAGACCATGATGATGATTTGTTTTTGTTTGATGAAAGTAAAATAAAAAAAAAACAGAATCATTTTTCTGCTTTTTTATAGAAAAAAAAGGTGAGTGGTCACCTTTGCCACGATCATTTAGTATAGATACTCTCCTTTTTTTTTTTATGTAAGATAGGAGGTGATGTGCTAAACAGAAAAAGTTAGAACAAAAACTGAGGCAGCCTATACTTCTCCTCTCACTTCTCCATTATTTCATAACGTATGATTATAGAGATAGTGTCATATTCATATGATGATAGAGGATGATGATAGATGTTGATGATGATGACGATGGTGACGGATAATAGTGGATGACTGATAGATAAAGATGGACAACATTGGATGATAATGGATGATGATAATAGCGATGATGATAATCATGATGATCATAATTCTGAAAAAGAAAGGGGTCATGCATGGCATAGTTAAGGAGCAAAATAGTCTTTTTTTTTTTTTGTTTCTGAAGGATACTTTCATACCATTTTACAGAAAATGGTAAAGACTGAAGATTTTGTCTCCTTAATCCTCTTTTTTTTTTTTTTTTCTACCGTCTACTTCCTATTCTGCATCATAACGCAAATCTTGATTTTCCTCCTTATTTGGCGGACAATTAAATGGAAAGTAAAATAAAAAGGATAATACATGTCGTTCATGAACAAAGGGATGATGGACGAATGATTGTAGTGGGACTATATATGATGATGGATGATATAATGATGAATTGATTAATGACGAATTATCGATAATGGATGATGGGATGTCTACTGGGCTATTTTGAAGTAACTTCCAGGTTTTGTCTGCACTCAGTAACCTGTTTTTCAAACTTGTTTTTGTATTTGTCAGAGATAAACCATTCTTGTGCATATTCGATTTTGACGATCATTCACTAAAGAGATCTGCAATTATCGTCAATTATCGTAACTATGACTATGGATATTTATGATACTATTATGGAAAACACACTGATGATTCTTCGTCAGTTTCACAAATCATTTTATTGAATTCTTTTTATTTTTACTAAATAAAAAATAAAATCACTATCCTAAAATATTACAAAAAAAAAAATAAACTAATCTAAACATTATCATCATCAAAAACTATCATCTAAGCATCCATGAAGAAATAGTTGCCGCTCAACTTTTGTTCTTGATCCAATTGAGAGTCCAATTTGTTGATACGAGGGCGGTAATTAGTAGGATCACGTCGGAAGGTGATTTCCAAGGAGGCCAAGAATTTGTTCATACCAGTCAAGAGAGATTGAGGAGAGTTGGCGATAGCATGGACTGAGGGAGTACCTTCATATACAACGACACGATCAGCCAAATAAGTAGCCATGATGAAATCGTGTTCGACAATAAAGGCGGTGCGCTTGAAGTGAACAATGAAACGCTTGATGACCTTGGCAGCAATAATACGTTGTTCGGAATCCAAGTAGGCAGAAGGTTCATCGATCAAATAGATATCAGCAGGTTGACCCAAGGCAAGAACAATAGCGACACGTTGCAATTCACCACCAGACAAATGGGTCACTTCTTGATCGATAATGTTGTCAATATTGAGAGGTTTCATCACATCCGTATTGAATTGAGGGTTCAAGAAAGCAGCCTTGATCTTCTTGATGAACAACATACGCACAGTACCCTTGAACTTGGGGGAGATCTTTTGAGGTTTGTAGGAAACATTGAGTTCAGGAATTTGGTTTTCGCCATCAGGTTTTAACAAACCAGCCAGTAATCGAATGAAGGTTGTCTTACCAGTACCGTTTTGTCCTAACATTACCACAATTTCAGAATCAGTGAATTCACCAGCTTTCACTTCCAGTTTGAAATCACCCATAGTTTTGACCATATCAGGATACTTGTAATTGCGATGCTTGGCTACACTTTCTTCTTCAGCAACTTCACCAATCTTGAAAGTCAAAGATTCTTCACGGAAACGCAAGTTTTCAGTACGAATATTACCATCCAAGAAAATGTTGATACCTATACAGAAAAAAGTTTTATCAGTATACTCTTCCCAATTTAGTTTTATTATCAATATTACCGTCACGAACAGAAGCAGGAAGGGTAACAACACCATAAGCAGAGGGCATACCATACAAAATACACACATAATCAGAGAGATAATCCAATACAGACAAATCGTGTTCCACAACAATGATATAACTATAAAATAAAAAATTGTTGATATCTAAATTCTCTTTCAAAAAAAAAAAAAAAAAAGTACTTACGTATCTGAAGCGAGTAAAGAACGGATCACACGAGCAGCATTCAAACGTTGCTTGACATCAAGATAAGAAGAAGGTTCATCAAACATATAAACGTTAGCCTTTTGAACAGCCACAACACCAATAGCGAAACGTTGCAATTCACCACCAGAAAGTTGACCCACTTCACGTTGCAAAACATCACGAAGATCTAAAAACATAAAAAAAAAAAAAAAAAAAAAAGGTTGATCAGTCATTTGCCTATCCTTATTTCCATATCAATAATATTGATCATTGTACCTAAAGAATCCACAATGGAATCAAAATTATCGCGTTCCAATTTTTCTTCCAAAAGGGCACCCACTTGACCACTGACCACCTTGGGAATATGATCTACATATTGAGGTTTAATGATAGCCTAAAGAAGGTATATAAATATCATCAATCATCCTTGATTTCATTTTATTATTATTATTATTTTTACCTTCAAGTTATCTTCCAAGATCTTGGTAAAATAGTTTTGCAATTCTGAACCACGGAAGTACTTTAAGAGATCTTCCCAATCAGGAGGATTATCAAAGTTGCCCAAGTTGGGTTTCATCTTGCCAGATAAGATCTTCAATGCAGTGGATTTACCGATACCGTTGGTTCCCACTAGACCAAGTACTTGACCAGGACGAGGTACAGGCAAACGATGCAACTTGAAAGAATTAGCGGAGTAACGATGTGTCACTTCAGATTCAAGATTAGTAGGCAAATTGATAATATGGATGGCACCAAAAGGACATTTCTTGGCACAGATACCACAACCAATACATAAAGTTTCAGAGATGAATGAGATCTTGCTAGTTGGTTCCACTTCAATACAGAATTTACCTATTAGAGTTTTTTTTAGAGAAAAAAAAAAAACGAAGAAAATAAATCAGTTCAAGGTACACACACGTTTGAAAGAAAGAGAAAGAATGAAAACATTAATATCAGTAATTCTTTTAAAGACAACTGCTTACCCATTCGGTTGACAGGGCATGATCGTTTACTATGTTATATAAAAAAAAAAAAGATATCAATGAATGATAAAGTTTAATGACCAAGATTTTTTTTTGATTGACGAGGCTTGTAAATTTTTTTTTCTTTTCTGGACTTTACCATTCTTGTCGACATTTCTTTGGTTTACACTTGTCAGCACTGACAATGGCAATACGAGTAAGTTTATCACTCATGACTTGTATGATATAAGAGGAGGGATGATAAAGAGGGAGGGGAAGAAAATGAAGAAAAGAAGAATCTTTCTATCAAAAAAAAAATACAAGTGAAAAGAAGTGAAAAGAAATAAAAAAAAAATAAGGCCGTCAATGCGAACAAAATAGAAGAAAAAAAATGTTGTGACTGTAAAAGCCTCATCGGAATCTGAAGCAGTACAATAGAGTATACTGAATTGATTAACTTGCCGTAGCAAAAGAAAGTCAGGGGAAAAATAGTTGTGCATATGACTCTGCAGGATATGGACGAACATCACAAGAAACAGCAAGACATTGAACATCGGCTCATTTTACTAATAAGTATGACGTTTTCATGCAATACGATGAGGATGATGAGAAAGACTTTATTATTATTATACAGATTCAATGAAGAAACAGTAAGGAGATATGGTAAAGGGTAGTTATAGTAAATCAAAATGCTATCTAATGTTATCTAATGCTATACAATAGTTTCAGGTGTCGGTTCTTGTCCAATGATGCTTTCCATTTTCTTCGCCCTTGTGTAATCAGCTATGGATCGAATGATCAAAAACCACCCAATGATCATCAATATATACGAGATAATATCAGCATCGAATTTTCCATCGTAATCTTCCCCACTATGGTCTCCATGTTTTCCATTGTTGTCGTCCATATCTGGATCATCTACCAATGATTCTCCTAAAAAAAAAAAAAAAAAAAAAAAAAAAAAAGATGAAGAAAATCAATGATACAAAAAAAAAAAGATGCTTTCATTTTAAAAGAATGACAACTTACTACTTCGGATATAGAATCCAGTTTGAACCAAAGAAACACCTAATCCAGCAAGTGATCCATTCTATTACAAAGTAATAATGAGTAACAAGTTCATATTTCGCTTTCTCTCTCTCTCCCTCTCTCTCTCTCTATCTCTGGTATCTCACCTTGGCAGCATGTGAAGTATGAAGTAAATAAGTCAGCATAAATCCAACAAATTGAAAACTTGCAGATACTATTGAGATAAATATAAAGTAAATGGAAAGTTATATTCAATGATGAATTATCGACTTACCTAACAAATTCCAAGCAAATCCCAAGAGAGAACCCACAGGTAAACCTTCCACAAGGATCACATCACCCATTCCTAATGGGGCAATCACCGTCGTTTGCCAATAAGGAGGAGTAGCATCAGCAATTGCAACATCATAAGCCTAAATAAATTAAAAATAAAAATAAAAAAAATGGAGATTTAGGTAAATTTGACAAAAGAGAGTAGAATTTCTATCAATAATAAACCTACTGGAGGTGTTTCATCGACTTTGGCGCTATCAGACTCGGGTTTTGCAGACATATTGGAGAATACTCCATCATTCGTAGAGTTCATTGATAAAACTGCTGGTTGTTGTTGTATTTGCTGTGATGATATGTTCGGTGGTGAACGTGAGGAAGAAGAAGAAGAATGTAGTAATCTTCGTCCTTCATCATGATGTATATCGTCGTCGTCTTCTTCATCTGCTTCAAAACTTTCTCCAAATGTATCTTCTAGATCGGTTTGTTGTCGTTGTTGTTGTGTAGTTGAAAAATGAGCCGAGTTGCTACGTTGCGATGTTGTCGGAGAGCTATTACTGCTGTTGTATGAAGAATGATTGGATTCTATTTGTTCATCGTTGGCAGTTGTACTAACCTACAGAAGAGAATGTAAAGATTAGTTAAATGTATATAAATTAAATGATAACTCTATGTTATTTACTTGTTGATATTTTGGCATTGTAGGAAAAAAAAAAAGGGAAAGACGAAAGAAACAAAGATAAGAAACAAAGATACAGTATCTAGAAACTGAGTCACATCTGTCTCACCTCAGTCTCAAAAAAATTTGGCGGGCGAGGTCCCAAAAAATCCATATTTTGATGTTGTACAGGGCAAAAATGCAAAAATACTGATGCCAAATACCTCCGTATTTTGACCTCTCGTTCTCATCTGAGTCTCAGGCAATGGGTCACCACCCCTTTTTCTGTATTGATTAGTATCATTTGGATAGGCGATGTTTCTTTTTCCACTTCATATGTCATCTTGATGATTTGAAAAATAAAAACAAAACGTAATTTTTTTTTTATTTCTTTACCTTCGTTCGATCTCTTTTTTTTTATTTTATTCCATATACATACACTATGGGAAAAGATCTGAAATAAATTTTATTTTCCCTGAATACGTTTATTTTTTTTCCTGACTCGATTTAGTACAGACGTTCTTGATTTCTGATTTTTCTGAAATACATTACGTCGCTTTCAAAGTAAATTAAATGCGAATTTCGGAAAAAAACGAAATGAATGTCGGATTTCCGAAATTCATTCAGTATTTTCATAATCAAACTTCATTTCTGAATACAATATACAATCATCGATCATTATAGGCAAGAAAGGGACTTTATTTCATTAATATAACCATACTACATAACTATACTACATAACTATACTACATAACTATAGCAATAAATAGCTACACTACAAGGATAACGTTCACTAGTACGACCAGGACCAACTTATGCCACCTCCAAGATAATGATCATGACTTCCACTTTGGGTATAACTATTTTATTTGATATGGATACTTCAATTGGCAGTCTAGCAGAGTCATTCCAGCGAAGAAGGGAGTCGATCTTGGCTTGATTGTATAGTTTGCAACCTACAGGTAAAATTAACAAATAGCAATCCATCAACATCACTCTCTTTTCTTTTTTTTTTTCTATGTACAAGTTACCTTGGCTGCACCATCGGACGTTTGTATCACCATTATTGTATAGACGATAATCTAGCAAGCTACAGATAAAATCAACAAAATAAGTAGTAATCCATCAATGTTTATTTCTTTTTCTTTTTCTTTTTCTAGATAAATGTTACCTTGGCTATATCATTGAATGTTTGCATCACCATTATTGTATAGACGATAATCTAGCAAGCTACAAATAAAATCAATAAAATTAGTAGTAATCCATCAATGTTCATTTCTTTTTCTTTTTCTTTTTTCTATGTACAAGTTACCTTGGCTGCATCATCGAATGTTTTGTACCACCAGTAAACCCAATGTCATCATAACAGTTGGCTCGGAGAGAAATAAAAGCTCGCCAAATGCAGATATCAGACAATTTCAGATCATCAAGAAAGATAGTTGTACCGTCTTACGTATAGCGCTCCACTATCAGTCATTGATATGATCTTCAATAATCTTTCCAAACCAAATACCGCAAATGTCAGGACTTAACAAGGACTCCAGCATGAAACAACACGATCAACAGACAATAACTGAATTTCCTACGTGTTGCATTTTGCCCTCCACCTACTTGAGCACAAAATTCAGTCACTAGATTCATAAACAACTCTAGAGACCGATCATCCTCGACCAAGTCCATTGCCCGTAAACAAACAAAGATCAATACACCATGATCTTCGTCTGACCAGAAGCTAAGTATAAAGTAATGATGACCATCCGACATTTGACTGTATAGACCACTATTCTGATAACTAACAGATAAAAAAAAAATAAACACAGTGAGTAGTAATCCATCGATCTTATTCACTTTTTTTCTTTTATATATACATATTACCTTGGCTACATCAGGTTCCGATATTGATGTAACAATCATAAAAATCAGCACCAAAGAGATAACCAAAAGCATTTTACATATAGTATAATTTGTTGACTTTTTGTCAAAGAGAATGGAGACAACCAAAAGAACAGGAGCAGCAGCCTAAGACCACGAGAGAATGATAATATGGAAACACCATATCAAGTGGTAAAAAACAAAGGACAAACACCAACAATGCAGGAAAAAAGATCTTGAAGAAAACAACACCATAATGAGAGAGAGAGTCTAACGCAACCAAGTAAAAAAAAAAAAAAAAGATTTTGAAGAAATCACCAACCACAATAGAGACAGATAAGAGGAATAGAGAGTTCAACGACCTGTGAAAGAAATATTGATGGAAACATCATTACAATAAGAGGCAGATGAGAGAAAGGAAAAAAGACCAACCAAGGACGAAAACAGATATTGAGAAAGACACCACCAGAATAAGAGAGATCAGTGCAAGTAAGAGAGTCCAACCGAGAGAAAAAAAGAAAAAAAAGGATAGCGAAGAAAGTACCATGTTGGAAGACAGATAAGGTAGAGAGAAAGACCAATTACGTATATAAGAGATTTGATGAAAATACCATTACAATGAGAGACAAATGAGAGAAAGGGAGAGAAAGAGAGTCTAACTAAATAGAAAAAAAAAATAAGATGAGTCACCTCTTGTATTTTTTGTTTAAAGATGTTCTTGTGATTTTTACCACTTCTTCTATGAGGAATCACGGTAATTCTTTTAATTCATTGCTAAACGGTAATGGTACCCAAAGTGTTCTTCAACCAATATTTGGCTTGATATTGCTTGTGGGAATATGGAAGGCACAGAATGAGCTAGAGTTTGTCATGTTAAAAAAAAGTGAATTGAACAAGAAAGAAAAGCGAAGAAAAAGGAAATAGAGTGGATTTTCCCTTTATGCTAATGACTGACTTTGAATCGACTTACATTTTTTTTCTCTTTGATTTTGTACCTGAAATGCATTTCATTTTTACGAAATCTAATTCGGTTCAAAATTACATTAATTTTAGATCTTTTTCCCATAGTGAAAGGATTTGCGAAAAGGATACGGGTCTCAAAAAAATAGGTTTAGTTCAGGATTTTTTATTTTTATTATTTTTATTACAATAAACTTGTTTCTTTTTTTTTAAAAAAAAAAAAAAAAAACTAAATTCATTTCATTATAACGAGATCCATTTCATTTCAAAATGAAATCAATTTAGGAAATCCGACATTGATTCTTGTAAAATAAAATGAAATTCATACTTCCGGAATTGATTTTACGACACGAAACTCATTTCGGATTTACGACATTGATCTCATTTTGAAATGAAATGTTTCCGGAATCAGTTTAGAAAAAAATTGGAAAACGAAATTAAACGAAATTCATTTAAGAAGAATATTAGATTAATTCAGGAAATACGAAAAGGATTTCGTAAAATGTCGGAAACCTGATATTGCTTTTCCCATAGTGATATGTAATACGAATGTTAGTCTTGACAATCATTGAAGGAAGAGTAACTGATGATGATTGCAGAAGTATACTTTGTTTTTATATAAAAACATGGACAAAGGAAGTCGCGCTATGGCTGAGCCTACCAATTTAGCATCAGTGGCTTTTTTTAAAGCCAAATTTTGGTTGTAAAGATCAATCGTCCAGGGGTCACCAGGCGATCTTTGGAAAATGGATGAAACGCTTTGATTATCACTACATATTAGGTGGCAACATAGACAATAAAATGATATTAGAGGATGTTAGATCGCTCTTCTGAGAGGAATCCAATGGTGGCAGAACTATTTGATGATGATAATTATTGATGATATTGACCCTTATTTTTTAGTTTGCTCTATAAATTGGGAGGTAAGGTATAAACTGCTATTAAGATAAGAGAAAGAAAATGTTTTCATATAAGTTCAGTTTAAATTTGGTACGATGATAATCATTTTTGCATGAGTTATAAAAGTATTTAGCTGATAGATGATTGAACGAGTTAAAAAAACCGGGCGCTGACTTTTTTTTTTTTTTTTTTACTTTTTCCTTTACTTCTCTTTTCTTTAACCAATGACCCTTCGAACACTGTAAGTTACAATTATACGTAATGATACTATCCACATTCTATACTTAAAGGTAAGTTCCCTTTACGCATATACTTCTATGCTTACTGTTTTTCTTTTTCTTTTAATCTCCCATACTATGACCTAATCTACTTCTTTTTAATCTTTCTGTGAAAATACTGTAGACGGATAATACGACAGGAATATACAACAGGATCAACTGGATACAAAATAGGCTTTCTGTTGGCAAACAATGGCAAGTCAAATGGTGGCAGAAGTATCTCTCTTTTCCAACTCTTTATCATGGAAATTGTTTTATTCAATAGTTTGGTCTTTAGTTAGTGTTTTATAGTTTACATCCAATATTATTTTTTTATTCTCATTTAAATAAAATCATATTTTTATTGTTGTTTATATTATCATTCACTCTTATCCTATCATACTACTGTCAACAAACATAGAGTCATAAATACACCAAGTATATTTTGAGACCATCGTAGTACAACGAGGTATTTGTTGTAAACATTACATTAAACTATCTTGATCCAACAAAGTGTAACAATGAAGACTAGTAAAAAAAAAAAAAAAAAAAAACGAGTGACTCAAAACTTTTTTTATTCATTGATTTCATTAGCTAACCTAAGATATACAGTATAGTGAATACGTACTAAACTAAAACTATAAACATAACACTGTATACAGAAAATACATATAGAAGACATCTATTCCAAAAGATCCTAATGGTCAACCTATTTTCAAAAAAAAAAAAAATAACCTGCTCACTCCTTCTTTTTTCTTTCTTACCTATCACAGCTTGATCAGTTTTCTGTAATAACTTGCGCTGATCCATCCATCGTTGACATGTAGTTTCCGTTGATTGAAGTTGGGCGCGCAGCATATCCAGCTTTCCTTCACTTTCGAGCATAAGATCATAGCCAACTGCCATCATCGAGTACCATCGTCGTAGCTTTCTTGGTTTCCAAATGTTACTGTCTAATCAATCCAATACAAGTTCGGTATTCACGAATTGAAATTTGCCGTAGTGACTTGTAGTTGATGTGGAGTAGAGAATCTTGCAAATAGAAAGTTGATGGAAACGCCGTCTGTCAAGGTGTAACCGTAAAACATAAGTTTGCCAGATCGATGTCGGTTCGTAAGGTCATCCAAGCTACATATATGTAAAAGAATCGAAATGGTTAGTTATCTGCTTTCTTGTCCTCATCTCATCATCGCATTATCACATCGTCCTATTATTCCATTCCATCACTATACATCACTATACACGGATACACCTCTTTTCTTAATTACCTTGTAGTCCCAAATTTACAAAACTAGAGTACGTCGTAAAAAAAATTGGATACACAGGCCCATCCACCGTTTCAGTATTTCCTTGATAACCTAACATTGTTTTGATATTTTATGGAATTATGGCAACAAAGCGTCGATGTGCTAATACTGTCGGAAGATTCGAAAGCGGGTTTATGTATATCAGGTTGTTAATTTCTTGTTGATGATATTGGTCGTCGTCTTGTACAATCGGGATACGCTAGTGCCTTTCTTTATCGCTTACTTATCCTTGAATGCGTACCTTTTGAATAATGGCCACAGGATTTACAAAGTCGATACCCAATCCATAGCAAACTTCGTTGACTCTAAAGACGAAAACAATGTAAGATGTTAGTTAGTACAAAAGTTATATAAAACGTGCTAATTTTTACCTTATCAAACGTAACTTGTTTTTGTCGGTCGTCTCTGGTAAATAAAAAAAAATATTTAGTGTGAAGAATAAACAAAGCGATGTTTATATACCTGTTGGTCGACAAACGTGGGTGAAATAAACAGATTCTATAGTACAGTGAATCAGGAACAGCGTAATATAAAAAAGGAACAATAGGACAAGAAGAAGAATGGATAAAAACAATGGATTTAAAGAAAGACAGGGAAAGATGTTGAAACTAAAAGACAAAAAAATAAAAGGTGAAAAGGAAAAGGAAAAGGATAAGGAAAAGGAAAAGGAAAGAAAAAGAAATGAAAAAATTTTTTATAATAGAATTATTTTTATTTTTACGCGAGTAAGCGGATTTTTCGGGGTGCGATCAAATTACGACCGCATCATTCAGTAACAAAATACGATAATAGTATCGACGTCTATTCAGGGCGACATCCAATCTCTTTGCTTTTCTTGAATTTGAGTCCTTTGCTTTTGATTTGCCATATCTTTAAGAAGAGTTTTTGCGAAAGAAAGAAGAGAGAGAAAAAGGAGCTAACTTTCAATACCGTCTATAAAACGGGAAAATGTCAACGCACTTTCTGTGAATGTAGCTATCAGCTGATGGCAGATAAAGAACATTGAATACATAGTCTACAAAACTAAAATGTCCCCAATGCATTGTTTGACAATGCACTCTATCATCTGATGGCAGATGGAGAGCGATGATTGCGATAATCACATTGCTGAGAATCAATGTTGACATAAACAAAAGAGAATAAGGGATGTTTCTTTTTTTATTCTATTAAAAAAGGATAAATGGGGAATAAAATATGTGTCAAAGCTAAAACTATAATAAAGAGGTGTTGATTCATGCTAGCATCAATGCTCTATATCAGCTATTGATATTTGTTAAAGAGGCGTTTTCTTGTCGTCATGACCATACATGATATCTTCAATGTATTCGGTATCATCATCCATCTGAAGTTTAAATGAAGAGAAAGGCGACCGTGCGTTTGTGTATGTTTTGACATAATGTAAGCATTTGTCTTTTGATTTGTGTGACACGTTGACTTTTTCACTAGATTGCTAGTTGATTGATGATGGACAATGATTACCATCACTTCCAAGAACAATGAAAAATAACAATAATAAAAAGGACCATCGTCCACATCTTTTCCAAAGTATAGAAAATCTATAACCCTTACACTTCTAAAAGAATATATAGTGCACGCTTCAAACCAAATAAATAGTCCTTCCCAAAAATATATATATATATATAGCTCACCTTCTCAACGTCAATAAATAGCCACACTAAATTTTATTAATGAAAGGAATATAAAAATAAAACTAGTAATACGTACTTCTATTTTCCAATCAACTTTTTTATTTTTTCAGCAACTTTAGTTTTTTCATCGTCTGTTTCTAATTTGATTGACGCATCCCACAATTTTTCATTTTTTGGATATTGATTGATCCTCTTTCGTACTACGTATCGCCGTGATCTGATGGGAAGGTTGTCGATGTTAGCGAGAACAAAGGATAGAAGTGGAGGCGGGGGTGGCGACGATGTTGATGGAGTTGATGCTGACGATTTTGATGTTGATTTTGATGGGGTTGTTGACGATGTTGATGATGATGGGGTTGTTGACGATGATAGAGTTGATGATGATGTTGATGGAGTTGACGATGATGTTGATGGAGTTGATGTTGATGATAACGATGTATCTACGGAGATTATATCTATACGTTGAGAATGATAGTAAAAAAGTAAGTAAATATGTATGGTAACATCTGTTTTGTAAGTATTAATTACCTTTTGATTTTTGCAATGTCGGTGCTGTTAATGAAGCTGATATTGTTGAGTCTGCTGGCGTTATCGATGATGATAATGATGATTTATCTACAGAGATTGTAGGTATACAGTGGTAGTAAAAAAAAAAAAAAAAAAAAAGGTAAGTAAATCTACGCACCTTAATATCTGTCTTGTAATTATTCCTTACCATTTGCTTTTTGCAATGTTGGTGTTGTTAACGGAAAAGGTATTGTTAATGAAGCTGGTGGTATTGAGCCTGCTGGCGTTGTTGATGATGATTTATCTACAGAGGTTGTAGGTATACATCGCGAATAATATTAAAAAAATAGTAAGTAAGCCTATGTATCCTCCTATCTGTTTTTGTAAGTAATAATTACCCTCCAGTTTTTGAGGTTGTTCGTTTTTCTTTCGTTTTTTTCTTGCTTGTTGCTGATTTGGGTCTACAGAAAAGGAAAGAAATGATCGTAATTAGTCGTACGATAAGTATGATTATTATTGGCCTACCAATAGTTGATAAAGGGCTACGTTGTTGGTTCTTTTTAGATCGAAGGTTGTAAGTCATTATCTGTACTATAAATCTTTGATGTAATTTTTTTTTTTAAAAAAAAGAAAGAGGGAAAAAAAGGAAAGGAAGAAAAAAGATAAGCAAAAGAAAAAAAAAAGTGAGCATGATATCCGATCAATTGTCTCGTCCTGATTGGCTCAAATTTTCACCTGTCAAAATTTGCACAATAAAAATTAGCCCATCCGCTCCTTTTTTTTTTCTTTTTTTTCTTTTACTTATCTTTTTTCTTTTCTTTTTCTTGTTCTTACCTATTCCTATTTTTTTTTTTTGTAATTTTTTTTTCTCTTCGACGCGAAAAATGACAAAATCAATCATTCAAACTATATTCGAGATTCTATGTGAACTAGATGAAGAACAATTCGAAATGGTAATCTCGGACCTTCCAGCTCAAACGGGGTTAACAGAACATGAATGTTATATAATCATTACTAAAGCAAAGATACAGAGAAAGTGTAAGTTACTCAAAAAAAAAAAAAAAAAAAAAAAAAAAAAACAGTAAAAAAATAAATAAATAAAGAGATAAATAAAAAAAAAAGAGAAAGAGACAGCTGAACTGACTATTTATTATTCTTAGTATCAAGATCAACAGATCCTAACGCCGCAATGAAAGAAGAAAAAAAAGTAGGAAAGCAAGCAAAAAAGCAAGAAATACGCAATCCAAATGCCACTGGGCCGTGTGGCTCATGTGGTGAGATGGGCCACGCACGGTCATCCTCTCCACATTGCTCTCATCATACATTTAGCAAAAAGGAGTATCTAACGTACAATATGCCTGATCACCAACTTTTCACTATCAAGACAAGCTTCAAAACTGGTGTGCGTGCAAGTTTCCAAGCAAAACTAGGTCGTTCCGTTGATATTGTTAGTTATTTTCTTCGTGGTGTTATCATCCGTCTCCAAATATTCCTCAATCACTTCATTTTGACTCGTCCTGAACTGGTCAACAGTTACCTTATATCTCACTCCGCTTTGTATTCAATCTCGCAGCTTATACGTGGTGCGGAAACAATCACAAACAACAATCCAAAGTTGCCAGTCGAGGTCTTAGAACATTTCATGGCTTTCAAAGAACTATACCCCAACATTGTATACCAATACGAAGTTGCATCTGATGGAATTACAGGCGATACACAAGCTCTTACTGAATATCTACACTCATTGTCGGAAGCATACAACAATTGTTTGGCAGAACGCTTTGAAATAAGGATCAAAAATTACATCAAGTTTCTCTTTCGATTACATGACACTCACGTGAGTTACCAAAAAAAAAAAAAAAAGAGCGGAGTAATATAAAAAAGAATGTTGTCAATCTCACTCTTTTATATATATTTGTATAAATAGATACCTGGAAAGTTTTTCCAATCAGTTATCGATCAGATGTATCAACGTTTTGTTTCGCGGGTAGAAATGGATGAAGGTGCCTTACAACAATATGCTGCAGATATCTCCTACCTAGAAGGCATGGATGGGCTTTTGGAGGAAGATCGTATACAGATAGAAGATATTATTACACAAGTCCATGAAGCATTTATCCCCATAAAGCCAAGCGATATTGGTGGAATCACAATCAAAAGTTTACAACAAAAGCCGGCCGAAGCATTGCAGATCCTAATCCCTATTCTAAATCACTATAACCGACACAATGACGATCAAGAGGACGTTGAAGATGACGATCACAGCAACAAAGTACCACTTTTCTCTTTACTACCAGAACCTTCATTCAAAAGAAGACATGTAGCGATATTACCAAAAAACATTGCCCGACTCTCTGGTTGCCAAACATTTTCCCACTCTGGAGATGAACCAAGCTTTATGTTGTCTTTGCCAGCTTTTTTCCAAGTTTTCAACATGGACAAATTTGGATTATCTAGGTAAGAAAAAAAAATCTTTTTTATTTATCCTCACTTTTATCTTTCGTATAGCCCCGACCAGATGATTGACAATATTTACAGTGGTGGAAACATGTTTACGGCTTTCGTACTTACAGATGGTGTGTCTTGTTCTTTTATTTTCGCTCGTCCTGCTCCGTTAACAAAGCATCCTATCATCAACACATCGCACTTGGACAACATGCCGCTAGATATCAGACGTGGATTCAGAATGTCAGCTGTTGATCCTGGCCGAAAGACGATAGTTACTTCTTCGTATGGAACACCCTGTATTCTTCAACATCATCAACAACCATCATCACCATCATCACCATCATCATCGTCGTCGTCATCGTGGTCATCGTCATCATCATCATCACAGGTGCAACAACAACAACAACAACAACAACAACAACAACAACAACAACAACAACAACAACAACAACAACAACAACAACAACAACAACAACAACAACAATCGTCATCATCATCATCACAGGTGCAACTACAACAGCAACAACAACAGTCGTCATCATCATCACAACAACATTATTATCCAATAAGAGCTATATCTGCAAAAGAGTACCAAGCACAGTGTGGTAGTACTCGTAGACGTCAAATCATGGAGACCAGAAAGCAAGATACTTTTTATATGTTCAACGGAATATACACGGAATTCCAAGAAATTGAAAGCGTTTTACCGAAATCCAAGACAACCGATGCTGATTTGTACCTAGATCGCGTGGAACACATCCTAGGGAACTTGGAGTCTTATCAAAATTTCTACGGACGTACTCATTCCATACAACTTTTTAATAATTATCGTGGACGGCAAAGAGGGGTGGCCTACGGTGCCAACGTACTCGCGGGTACGTCAAGTAAATACATCAAATCAAATCGGTCACGCAGAAACACAAATAGAAATAGAAGAAATCGACAGAACAAGCGAAAGAAACGTCGAGGAAGCACTGAGGAAGTGGTAATGTAAGTTGTGCAATTAGGTTATATCGACAAACAACTTCTCATCTTTTTTTTTTTTATTGTAGCCCTTCTCCGATGAAAGAAGCCACACGGTTGCATCATGGTACTGTCAAAGATGAAGCCCCTGGTACTCCATTGATTCATTTCGGTGATGGACTTGCTGGAAGAAAAGCCAATGCACCTATCAGAAAACAACTGCCTGGTTCATCCAACAGAATACACCGAAAACTTTTAGAAAGACAAGAACAAGGACATTTGTTAGTGACAACAATAGATGAATTCCGGACGAGTAGAGTAAGTGAATCTTCTAATAAAGAAAAAAACTTAACACCTGTTTGCTTTATTTCTAGAAATGTGCCAAATGCCTTGGAGACGTTGAAAAAGTTAAACTCAATGATGTCACGGTTTATTCTCTCTTACGATGCGTCAACTGCAATATCATTTGGAACCGCGATGTTCTGGCAAGTGCAAATATGTATACGATTGCAACTAGTGAATTAGACGGCACTGGACGACCGACTCCATTTCGACGACAACAACGACAGCAACAACAACAATAATAATAGTTTCCTGAACGGTCGTCATCATCATTTTTTATTTTATTTTTTATTCTTCCTTGTTACATCGTTTATGACTTTTTTTTTCTTTATTGCAGTGTAGAATTTGATGAAGATATATTTAGTACAATAGCATAGTATTATAAATTTACTTGATAAATAAATAAAATGATTTACAAAGTGTTTGCACTTCAAAATTTTTTTACCTATTTTATATTCATTTCAGAGTAATAAAAGATTTTCTTCCTATATATAACGTTGACCAATGATTTAGATTTTCGGTATACATCCTTTGATATGATCTGTATGTGATATTTTTTTGATACTGATTGTTTCCGTATTTTAGTTCAACTGGCACTTTTAATCCCTATTGATATCATATATCATCACTTGGTACATGGATTTATAATGGTGGTTCGGTAATATATCTATCTATTGACAAGTAAATCTTCCAAACTCTATTAGGGTATTTGACTGGGCCCAAGCCTGTTCTCAGATTCAGTCTCACTAACAATTTAGCGGAGGTTGAGACTGAGAGGCCAAATACCACTTTTTTCCTTCCTTTTTTTGGAAATTCTTATTTTCACTCGCCCTTAGTTTGTTATCCTCACCCCCATGGTAAAAAGTAGCCAGTAAAACCCCTTTTTCCTGCTGTCCTGGGTAACTAGCCAAAATAATTCTAAAAGCCAAAGACGACAACAAGCATCTCAAGCAACATTCACAGATTAGTTCTTCTGACACGAAATACCTTCTTTTTTTTTAAAAAAAAAAAAAAAACAAAAAAAAAAAAAAAAAACAAAAAAAAAAAAAACAAAAAAAAAAAAACTGCGCATAGTGTATATTTTATACTATTATTATTTTACTTCTTTAATTTGTCTGAAATAAAACGTTGTTATATTTGATACAGTCTTTTATTGATTCTAGCTGATGATTGATGATTGATGATTACTTTGTCATTTACTATTCTTACTTCTCTTGCACGTCAATTTGGACAGTCTTACCAGGATGCATAAAGAAGTCTTTTTCTTCTTTACGAAATATGTAATATATTGGTCATGGATAATGGATGATGGGTAATGGATGATGACTGAATATAAAGGTTTTTCTGGAATTTATCGACTATATGAAAAAAAATCAATTTGCAAGGTTGGGGTTGGAGCGAAAAAAAGAAAAATCAAAAAATCATGCCAAATTGTCGTTAGTGGACGGGCTTCAAAAAAAAAAAATAACTACCCCTTCGTGCAATTTTAATTTTTTTCTTCTTTTTCTTTTCTCCATCCACTTTTTTTTTTTCCACATTGGGTGTCCTCTTTGTCTGTGCGATCTTGTCAAGGTAGATTTTATTGGATTTGGAGCGTTTTGAAAAAGGGATTTACAAAATACATGGGGAAACCCTTTCATTTTGGATGTAGGATTTAGTACAGGTAAATGATAAAAAATATTTTATAATAGGATGTGAATTACTTGGCCTGGTTTTATTTTACTAGTAATGTGAACGAAAAACTGACTAGATGACAAGCTTCTTTTGGTTAGAAAGGGCAGCTTGTTGTTAGGATCTCGGTGGTGGACGAAGGCTTCTGGTTGGTACTATAATAGATACAGTAGTGATAGTTTTAGTTAGTCAGTATGTGGATTTTTTTTTGAAATAAAAATTATATTACTTTTTGGAATACACAACAATACACTTCCATGACTCTCTTTTTTTTTTTTTTTTTTTGATGATGATCATCATTATTAATTGAATGAGGGATAACTGAATTGACTTTTCATTCTTGGTTTACCTTATAAATCGTGAGGCAAGGTGTATATTGCTATTAATACAGCTGAAAGAGAATGTCATCACGCATCGTCAATCCAAATTTGATACAATGATGATATGTTGCGAGGGAACTACAGAAATATAAAGAGGCAGGAAATTTGACTAATGATCATGATTCATAGCAGTAATTGATTCAAAGCCACTGGTCAATCGTGAAGATAACTCAGGTAAAGCTAACTAGATTTTTGACTTGAAGTGAAAGCTCATTCATCATTTTCTTGTGCTTTTAGCACTTGATCTTCGAATTGCTTATATAAAGTTGTGGAAAATACACATCCTGACCAAAGATAATCGTCAGGATATATTTGCTTCAATAGTACAGAATCATAAAAGTACAAAAAAAAAAGATGAAGATAAGATTACAAAAAAAAAATAAATCATCCATCATCCATCATCCATCATCCATCATCCATCATCCATCATCCATCATCCATCATCCATCATCCATCATCCATCATCCATCATCCATCATCCATCATCCATCATCCATCATCCATCATCCATCATCCATCATCCATCATCCATCATCCATCATCCATCATCAATCATCCATCATCAATCATCAATCATCACATCAATCTCATCATCAATCATCAATCATCAATCATCAATCATCATCATCAATCATCAATCACAATCATCAATCATCAATCATCAATCATCAATCATCAGCTAGAATCAATAAAAGACTGTATCAAATATAACAACGTTTTATTTCAGACAAATTAAAGAAGTAAAATAATAATAGTATAAATATACCTATGCGCAGTTTTTTTTTTTTTGTTTTTTTTTTTTTGTTTTTTTTTTTTTTTGTTTTTTTTTTTTTTTTGTTTTTTTTTTTTTAAAAAAAAAGAATATTTCGTGTCAGAAGAACTAATCTGTGAATGTTGCTTGAGATGCTTGTTGTCGTCTTTGGCTTTTAGAATTATTTTGGCGAGTAGCCCAGGACAACAGGAGAAAAGAGATCTTATTGGCTACTTTTTACAGTAGGGGGTGAGGATAACAAACTGAGGGCGAATGAAAATAAGAATTTCCAAAAAAAAGAGGGAAAAAAAGTGGTATTTGGCTACTGAGTCTCAACCTCCGCTAAATTGTTAGTGAGACCGAGTCTGAGAACGGGCTTGGGCCAAGCCAAATACCCCCACAGTGTTTTCAAAGTTTTTTGTCGGGTCACAAGAAAATGTTTTTCGTGACGTTACAAAATAAAAAATCGTACTTTCCCAAAATGGATGTCGCATAACCACTTTTTCAGATATCGCTCCAGAGATGACGGTAGAGTATGTCATTGATTGATGATTGATGATTGATGATTGATGATGGATGATTCTTTTCAACAGGCCATATTTGGGAAAAAAAAGAACTATATTTTTTATATTGTATCATCATCATAATATTCACAGTTAAGACAGGGGTATATTAATGTAATATTCATATCTTGTGATGTTGATGTGAATTTGCATAATAGTTCTTTTTTTTAAAAAAAAACATCATTCTTCTTTGTTTATTTTCATTAACTGAGACATTCGATCGATCGATAACGAATGTAAATTTGCATAATAGTTCTTTTTTTTTTCTTCTGAGGTATTTTTGCCAGGTTTATTTTATTCCTTGATCAAGTGAGAGATATAAAAAAGTGCTATTTTATTTTTCTTTTTTTTTCTGTTTCTTTTTTCTCTTTTTTTTTTCCTTTTTTTTTTTCTTTTTCTTTTAATTTCTTTATCTATTTTGATATCAATTTTTAAACCAATTTACAAGCATACAAGACCTTTATATCCATCCACTCCAATACAAGTTTTTTTTTTCTGGACCACAACCTTACAAGAATCAAGACGGGCCTTTAGGTCCATTTGCTTTTTTTTTTTTATATATACTTATTGGACTTCCTTCTTTCTGTGCCTTGCTCAATAGTAAGTTTCTTTTAATGATAATAATAATAATGATACAGTGTATTAATCATTCTCTTCTTTTTTTTTCTTTTTGAAATCTCTCTTGGTGCTCAAAGTGAATATCAAACTGTACAGCAACATATAAAAATATGTTATCGCCTCTTCGGAGGACGTATTTAATGCTTCCCTACAGGTAATTTGAAATAAATATAAAAAAATGGATATGTTGACTAAATAATATTTTATTTCCTATTTTTGCGACATCTTATTCTTTGAATTCCGTCATTTTTTATTGAATAAAGTGTAAGAAACAATACAAAAATCTTGGCAAGCCAATAAAGATATGAGATGTTTTATTCTCCGACCACAGAATCTTTTTTTTCTTTTTTTTTTTTTTTTCCTTTCTTTCTTTCTTTCTTCAACTGATGAAAAAGCAACCACCTCCGGATTCTACTACCGAACCACCGATACAAAATGAAAAGCAAATATTATCACCTACTACCTTATTATCTGAACCCAATTGGTCTTTAATGGACGATTTTATAGGACAAGACGATACCGATCTCTTTCAAGAAGCTCTCATACCTCCAGAAAACTTTAATATGGTCTGTCAACATGTCTATCGTAGTTCCTTTCCCAAGAAAAAACATTTTCGTTTTTTAGAAAAGTTAAAACTTAAAAGTATATTGTAAGTATAGCAATAAAGAAAAAAAAAAAAGGTAAACCACTCACTTTTTTTTTGTTTAGAACCCTTATTCTTGAAGATTATCCTGAACAAAATATGAAGTTTCTCAAAGAACAAGGTATACAGTTTCTTCAATTTGGCATTGCTGGAAACAAGGTAATATCATTTCAACTCATTATGCAAAATATATATATATATATATATATATATATGTTTATATACTAATCTCGATTTCATTTCCTTCCTTTTTTTTGTTCTTTTCTTTAGGAACCATTTGTACAAAGTATGACAGAATGAATGCAAATATAGCATATTAGATAATCTGAACATTTATTTTATTCTACAACTATTATATAGTTCCTGAAGACAAGATAAGTGCTGCTTTAGCGGCTATTTTAGGTAACATACCAAAAGAAAAGAATTAGAGATGATGACTTACCATCGAATGTTTAATAGACAAGCGAAATCATCCGATGTTGATCCATTGCAACAAAGGAAAGGTAAACAAGGAAATACAATGAATAATCCTAATAAATAGTTAGAGACTGACAGGATTTTTTTTTTTTATAAAGCATCGAACTGGTTGTTTGATTGGATGTTTACGAAAGGCACAGCACTGGAGTCACACTTCTATATTTGACGAATATCGACGCTTCTCTCATCCCAAATCAAGATCAATGGACCAACAATTTATTGAACTATATGATGCAAATCAAGTATGGCCTCTTGTTGATCGACGTTATTTACCTGATTGGCCTACTTTAGGTAGGTGAAACGAAATGATACATATTTTGTATGACGTACCTATTCTGATTTACTCTTCCTTTTATAGGTGACCCACCTCCAACTACTGAATCATGATAATCGCCCGTAGATCGACCATCTTCATCATTCCCCTCTCTCACTCTGTTATTTTTTGTACATAGCCTCCCTCTCGTTAGGATTAGAAAAAGTGTTATTTGTTACTAGGTTGTCATTTCCTTTTTTATTTTATTTTTTTTCTTTATCTTTTTTGAATAAAAGATTATTATTTTTATCGTTAGATTTTATTCTGTCAGTACATACTCTATACCTTTTTTAAAAAAAAAAAATCAGCAACTTTTATGAATGAAGATCATCATCATCGTCATCAATATTGGAAATAGGACCTTTGTAAGTTTTATGCCCAGTTGTTATCCAGCAGATCACGGAGAAAAGGAAGACGGTACCAATCATCAAACTAGCATAATTCATAGAATCGGCAGAGACAGGAGAGACGGATGGGAAACAAAGGATGATACCAAAGAAGACGATCCACAACAAGGCAATGACATTGATAGGAACGCTCCATCGACCCAAATCAAAGGGACCTTTTGGCATAGAATGTCTAGACCACAACAAACGACAAATAAGAGGCATCCCATAGGCCACATTGCAACAGATCACACTAGCAGAAAGGACAGCAGTCCAATAAATCATAGTACCAAATACAGGCAGAATCAAGATGATCATCAGGATGATTTGTAGCACAATGATACGCAAAGGTACATCACCTTTTTCTAATTTGTAAAAGAATTTGGAGTAAGGTAAGCAACCATCACGGGCCATGGCAAACATCAAACGACAATTAGCCACCGATGCATTGGCAAGAGAACCAAACTGGGCAACAGCTAAAAAGACAAGGAAGAAGGTGGACAGGGCACGATTACGTGTGACTTGAAAAAAAAATTCACTGACAGGAAGATCAGCATTCAATAGACCATCTAAATCTTGAATGGAAAATAATACGGCAATGGTCAATGCGATACCTTGAATCACAGCAAAGATGACACATAGCAAGATACCTCGAGGACCTTCACGATCAGCATCCTTTGTATTTTCACTCAGTGTGATGCCACCATCATACCCAACCAATGTCCATCCTGATTGTAAAAGACCTAGGAAAAATACAAGGGCTACATTGTCATACCCAGTACTATTGTTGAAACTGGTAAACACCCATGATGTACTTTGGTGCACTGGCGCAATGGCTGGAATCCCAATGGTAAAGAGAAAACAACCTGCAATCAACCAAATGACTAAACATTATAGTGTAAAATAAATAGTAATAATATGAGTTTAAATAAATCAGCATGATGATGCCTTGCCTTTACATGTAAAAAAAAAAAAAAAAAAAAAAAAAAAAAAAAAAAAACTTACTCATAAAGTAGTTGAGGATGTTGGTAAATGTCAAACCAAGAAATCCACTTCCTGTACCAAAAATTGTTACTGCAATATAAATACCAACATATGCACCAGTCTCTGTAATCTCTATGCCTCGAGACACTGATACAGCGCCTAGCAACGATAAAAAAAAAAAAAAAAAAAAAAAAAAAGACATTAGGATGATGATGCATGAATCATTGAAGATTGCTTCCGTTTCTACCTATAATCAGTTGTGCAAAATTCCATGCAACTGTGGCATTACTGGCTACGTAGGCAGCGACGTAAATCCATCCTGATATCCATGCCATGACTGTAGAATGATGAAATAATGGATGATGGATGATCATGAAATGTATGGATGATGGTGAAATGTACGGATAATGAATGATGGAGAACATAAATAAATGGGTGGTTGGTTGATGAATGATATGTGATGATGATGATGATGATGGATGATGTAAATACAGTGACGATATTTAGTTGTACAAAAAAAAAAAAAAAAGGTAGGTTAGTAATTTGACAACACCAAAAAGGGAAAAGCATAAATCACTGTGTTCACTTACATGGACCCCATTTTTTGTTACTAAGAAGATATCCCCAGCTATAAATGCTCCCACTCAACGGATAAGCAGAGAACATCTCAGCTAGCGAAAGACAGTTACATAAAACAAAAGGGACAGTAACTAACCAACCCCAAAATAAAGAAGAAGGACCACCAGCTGCTAGGCTTGGGCCAAAACCAACAAGCCAATTTGGTAAAACAGCCACTGCTGTAAAAGGGAATGCGATTTGAATGAGAAAACCAAAACTACGCTTAAATTCTTGCTTGTATCCAAGATCTTTTAATTTTTGAGCATCACGGTCTAACTCTGCACCAGATTGCTCAATATGTGAAATATCAGGCTTGTCAGAAGCGTTCTTTAACTATTATAAAAAAAAAAGAGCCATTTTTAGACTAATTTCCTTTTATAGCCTGGTTGTTATAATAATTTGACGTTTTTTAGCTTTACCTTGTCTACTTGATCACCATTCATCGAGTTTTTTTTTTTTAATAGTTTTATTTAGAATCAATCAAGAGTATAATCACAATAATAGAACAAAATAAAAATGAAGAAAAAGAGGAAAAGAGGAAAATAAGTGATTCTTCTCTCTTTATATATATTTTTTTTCTTTTTTTTTTTTTTTACTATTCTACCTTGAAAATATAAATATTGTGCGAGAATAATAATTTGGCGAGTCTATCATCGTTATCTCTGGTCGAAGGAAATTAAAAATGTACCTTTTTTCCAAGGTTAAACGATGTCTTTTCTAAAATCATGCATTTTTATCCAAAACAGGTATTAATCAAAGATATATGACTAATAGACTTTTTCAATTCCCAGGCATTGGTACTCCTCCTTCTGTTTTTTTTTTTCTTTATCTTATTTGTCTTATCGAAAGAAACAATATCATCAAATATAATAAAATAAAAATAAAAAAAATGACAAGTGATGATCATCATAATGTCATTGTGTTGTTTATTATGATGATTACCTCATGACATCTATACAAAAAAAAAAAAGGACATCCAACTTTCTTCCCTTCCTATCTCTATAGATATACCCCAGATTTATAACAAAAAAGAAAAAAAGATATCTCATATATGTTATGAATATGAAAGACCACATGATGTGGGTGTACTTGATATGGATTACCACAAGCCGGGAAAAAGAAAAAAAAAGTCCTATATTGCGGATGTTCAATCTTACAAACTGTAATTCCGTAAAATAATGGGTTTCCTTTTTTTTTCTTTTTTTCTTTCTTTCTTTCTTTTTTACTTTTTTTAGATCTCGTTCTTGTTTGCAGGTCAACAAAAACGATCAGAATGGTCAATAAGGATCTTGTGGAGCAAGTATTTGCATACTTTGGTCTTGTTCTTTGGTCATTTCAAATGGCACCACAAGGTACATTATCAACATGATGCTCGTGACTCCATCTTTGACATATCTTTTTTTTTTTTTCCTAGTGTACAAGAACTACAAACGGAGCTCTACAGAGGGTGTGTCACCATGGATGATGATTATTTGGATATTTTCGGGAACTGTATGTTGAAACGATAGAATGGGATCAAATTATTATTATTATGCCTACTCAAACTTTTATATAATTTTAATTCAGGTGCTCGGAAACTACAATATCGGGTTGGGTGTAGCGATTCCTTTGATTGTCCAACCTCAATTGTTCGTATTTATATGTTCAATATGTTTCGGCCAAGAACTATATTATGGTCGTGGATGGTCTAAAACAAGTTCATGGGCTATGTATATTGGTACATTGGTAGTTATGGCTGGATTGGAAGTAGGCTTGACTTTTGCTTTCAAACGTGCTCAATTTGATCAAAACGAACGTGCCATTCAGTTCTTTGGTATTCTTCCTGTGGTATCCATCTTGTTTGGTTTCCTTCCTCAATATTGGGATATATTTAGTAAGTTAAGCATGAAACATATGATTCAACAAACATTGATCGACGATCTTTCTTTTTTTTTTTTTTAATGTAGCCCATTGCCGTGTTGAAGGTGTTTCACATTTGTTTTTATTTATGGACTTCTTTGGGTCTGTCTTCTCGATTATCAGTTTAGGTAATGGGATGTTTTTCTATTTGTTTTAAAAGACAGGATATGTATATTAATATCTCAATTTGTAGCTTTTCGACCAACAATAGACATTCTTAGTTTGGTCAATTACATTGGAATTGCCATCTTTGATGCTGGTATCTTTATTCTGTACTACATCTTTCAATGGTACAATGGCAACAAAGGAAAGGATAGCAAAGACGATAATGACAACGATAATGATGATGGTATATCCGAGAAAACGGCCAAGTTACAAGACGAAGAGAGTGGATCAGCATTACCTTCAATTAAATTGTAATTAAACTCTTATTTATATAGATTGTACAATTAGAATAGACGTTACCATATATTTACTTTTACTTTTATATAATTATTAATAAATTAATACATTCCTCTACAAGTTTATCTCTATTATTTAGAACAAATTATATGATATTATACATTCATCACAGTGAGACTCTTCATCTGTCTAGTCTCGTACCAGTAAAATGATCATCACTACAGTAGGATGCAGAAAACTTGAAATCAGACATTTTAGAAAGACAATGACATTGAAACAATAAGGTTGCACTGGCCATCCATAAATCAAGTGTTGATTATTGATTACACGCTGTTCGACGGCGAAGAGTCGCGGTAATTCAAAAGTAAGCTTTTTTTTTTTGTCCCTTTTTCATGGTGTGGTCTTTTTTTTTTTTTTCTCTTCTCTTTACCTTTTTTTTTTTTTTTTTCTGTTGTGTGTATATACAATTCATATTATCTATTCGTGTATATATACATCTATTTTATATCTATCTATATATCATGCCACCGAATGCAGAAACAACGACTTGCACTCAAGATGCAACTGGAATGATAACACAGGAACTGTTCCAAGCACGCGTGAAGAAAGGAGAAGCGCTCTTTATCTTTGACGACAAAGTATATAAAGTGGATACATTTGCAGCACGACATCCAGGCGGTGAATTAGCTATTCGACATGGTATTGGACGCGATGTGACAGATGAAATACGAAGCATGCATCCACCCGAAGTGTACAAAGTGATGATGAAAAAATTCTATATTGGTGACTATCTTCCGATACAATCAAGTAAACGACAACAACTATCATCTTCTCCTGAATCACCCAACCATAGTCAACAGATGGAAAAGGTACTGCAAGCATCATGGGGTGGTCGTCTCAGTGTGGAAGCCTTCGACGAAGCTATTCTGGATCTTCATCAAGCACATGCCAAGGATCTTCAACAAGGTATGGTACAAAAGCAACAGAACAAGGTGGTGGATGCAGCAACGATGCGACAGAAATACCAAGCTTTGGAGCAAGACTTGAAGGATCGAGGGATGTTTGAATGTAATCGATATCGTTATGGCAAAGAATGTTGTCGGTACGTACTCTTGTTTTATGTGGCTATTTGGATGGCGTTGCGTGGCACATGTTTTACACATTACATGATAAGTGCGATCAGTTTGGCAGGCTTTTGGCATCAATTGGTGTTTACAGCACATGACGCAGGACATAACGAAATCACAGGGCGAGTGGAAACAGACCATTTGATTGGCGTGATCATTGCAAATTTTATCGGTGGACTCTCTCTTGGCTGGTGGAAGGATAATCACAATGTACATCACATCATGACCAATGATCCTGAACATGATCCTGACATTCAACATCTTCCTTTTCTGGCGATCAGCACTCGATTTTTCCAAAACTTGTACTCGTCCTACTACCAGCGTGTGATGGCTTACGACGCAGTGGCTCGATTTTTTGTTGCTCGACAACATCATCTGTACTACTTGATCTTGGCGTTTGGACGATTCAATCTACATCGTTTATCCTTCCGATATTTATTGACATCCAAGCAAGTACGCATGCCTCGTCTCGAATGGATTGGTATTGGTGTGTTCTTTATCTGGTATGGCTCTTTACTCAATCAATTGCCCAACTGGGGTACACGTGTGATGTATATCCTTGTCTCTTATATGCTGACGTTCCCACTTCATGTGCAAATCACTCTTTCTCATTTTGGCATGTCAACGGATGTGATCGACAATGAACCCTTCCCGGCCAAACAACTACGTACGACGATGGATGTGGATTGCCCTGTGTGGTTGGATTGGTTTCATGGTGGATTACAATATCAAGCAGTACATCATCTATACCCTCGTTTACCTCGACACAATTTACGACTCTGTGTGCCTTTTGTACGACAATTTTGTAGAGAAACCGGACTCCATTACTATATGTACAACTTTTCCACAGGTAATGGTGTGATCTTGGGTGCTATGAAATCAGTGGCGGATCAGATCCATTTAATGAATGATGTGGCAAAATACAATGCAGAAGGTTGGACCAAGGATGACAAGAAACAACATTAGTGAAATATTTATTTTTTGTTATCTCAATAAAATCATTATTTATTATAACGTTAGTATCTATCTATTGTATGATTGTGTAATAATGAATAGGATTTTTTTTTATTGATACAAAATGAAATAATAAAAATAAAAAAAAAAATAGATGTACGTATGTATGCAATGTATATATGAATGTAAAGATCTAAAAAAAAAAAAGGGGGATCTAATCGAATGTAATCTTGGTTCCTTTGAATTCTTGTACAGTAGGCTTTTGACGTTGAGCTTGAGATAAAGCTTCACCAGGTTTGACACGTCCTTGAGATTGAGGTTTCTTGTGATTGGACTCTTTTCGTTGTCGACGTTGTTCTGCATATTGATTCCTTTCATGATGTTGTTGTTGTTGATCATCCTTATGTGTTGTTGATGATTCAGTTGTAGATGATTGTGTTTTAGCATTTTTTTGATCGGCCTTTTCACGTCGAATCATCCAAGGCATTGATCTTCTATGGGCTTCTTCACTAGCGAATTCCACACGAATCTTTCGAGTTCCCATCATATGTTTATCAGGAGCACGAATGGCCTTGGTTGCTGATTCCACTGTCACATAATCCACATAACCAAATCTAATCAATAAAAATAAAATAAAATAAATAAATCCATCCTTTTTTTTTTTTTGGTATTACCCTTTGCATTTTCCACTATCTTGAAAAGTTCCCAAACGAACTTGTCTAATATCACCAGCCCAAGCAAATAATTCTTGAATGGCTTCCTTGGTACAATCAAATCCGAGATTACCCAAAAACAAAGTAGGACAAGGAGGATTCTTCTGTTTAATAGATTCTTTAGTAGGAGGTTGGATACCATCTTTGCGTTCAAAGTTTTTTGCATTCTTAATCAATAAAGGTCTACCATCCAATTTCTGTTCCGATTTGGCGATAGCTTTTTCAATAGATGCTTCTTCTTTGAACATCACATAGGCAAATCTAAGTACCATGATATAAAATTAAGTAAATCTATATATATATAAAATGTTTGATATTTACCCTTTGTTCTGTTTTTGTCGACCTTCCCCTTTTGGACACTTGATACGAGTAATTTCCCCACAATCTTCAAAGTAACGTTGAAGACCTTCTTTAGAAGTTGCAAAAGCCAAGTTACCAACCCAAACACCAAATTCTTCCTGTTGTTTTTCTTTCTTGCTCTTTTTCTTATTGTCGTCATCTTTCTTGTCTTGATCCTGCTCTTCATCATCACTGACTTGTTCACCACGCTATTCCAACAAAAAAAAAAAGTTGATCAGTTCGACTTTTCCTATTTTCATTCCTTATGATGTGTTACCTTGCGTTTTTTGTTTTTTTCCTTTAATTTTTTCTTCTTTTCTCGGTTTTCTCTGTTGATCCGACGCTATTAAATAAATGAAATGTCAAAAAAAAAAAAAGCTATACCTATCATTTTTCTACTTACCTCTTCTTCTTTCTTTTCTTTGCTGGCTTCTTTTCGTTTCAACTTTTCAGCCCGTTTTTCAGCCTTGGCACGTACTTCATCGTCTAAAGGTGCATTTTCAAACACTTTTTCTACCTTGAAATCGTCATTGCTGTCCACCATGGTTATTATATATATATGTGGAGATCTAAAAGAAAGAAAAGGAAAAAAAAAAAAAAAAGGGAAGAGAAAAAAATTGAGCAGTCACCGGAGTTTCTGGGAAATCCAGGAATAAGAAGTAAAAAGCATATTCTATTTCACTTTCTCTTTTTTTTCTTTTCTCACATTATGGCTCCTAGCGATGTACGTAAATTATTTAAACAAGAAAAATCACAACGACAATCATCAAAGAAGATAGAACATGTGTTTGCCAAATACGATACACAAGGTCGTTTGGGATGTGTGCTTTGTCATTCCATAGTGAAGAGTGAGCAGTTATGGGGACCTCATTTACAATCAGCACGACATAAAGAATTACTGGCTCAACTCAAAGCCATCAAACAACAACAGCAACAAAAACAACACATAGCAGGAAAGAAACGATCAGTGACCGAAACTGGTGGGGATGCGGCATTACTTTCCAAACGAGCTCGTTTTGAACAACTGGAAAAGGAAATGGAAGAAGAACAAGAAGAAGAGGAAAGCGATGACAGTATGGATGATTCAGATCAAGAGATGGAACAACAAGACGATGAAGATAATACAACGGGATTACCTGCCGATTTTTTCGATACCCCAAGCAAGACGGTTGCCAGTCAGAAGACAACCATGAAGGCAGGTGTTCATCGCGATTTACCTTCTGGCTTTTTTGATGATGCTAATGAAGAAGCCAAGGCACGACAAGTGGATGCACCAGATGCTTTGGAGAATCAACAATTGGAAGAAGAGTATGCAGCATTCAAGGAAATGATGGTGGACACCAATGAAGAAACCGACAAGATGCAAGAACAAGATGAAGAAACCATGTTATTGGAAAGAGATATTGAGTTGGCAAGACAACAATTAGCTCTGGATGAAAAGGTACAACAGTTAAAACAACAAAGACAACAAGGACGACCACCACAACAACAAAAGACAACCATAGATGATGTGGACAAGGATCTGATACGTGGCAAAGGTTGGACAGTTGGTTTGAAATCTTCAGTACGGCAGTTTATGAAACAAAGCTCAAGGAAACAGGCACAACCTATATTTGACGATGAAGATGAGGAGGAAGATGATGAATCAGATTGGCGGGCTCAACATGTGTAGTGAAAGAAAAAAAAAATAGTTTAGATTCATATTATCATTCTTTTTTTTTTTGGTGTCAATAAAATCTTATTTTTTTTTTTTAAAGGATCACTTTTTTTTTGGTGAGATTCATTCTTAAATCCATTTTATTAGATTAACTTTGTATTTTGAAACAAAAATGATCATGATCTTGTCGTTGTATATATTACAAATACATGTAAACAGGATATTGGATCAAATACAGAGTGAGAGAGTGGAAAACCATTCATTTTATTGAGATATACATATTTAAAAATATCATTAGAAACTGTTATTTATTTTCTGGTAATAAAAAAAAAAAAAAAAAAAAAAAAAAAAAAAAAAAAAAAAAAAGAGTATATATACAAAAAAAAGGAGTAACATAAGGGAAATGATCTATACGGACAACCATGAAGGTAAACTAGGAATACGACCAAGAATCACCTTGAGCACATCTAGCCAACGTTGGCGTTCATTTGCTGAATCACAGAAGAACTCGATTTTGGTGCCATCCACAAATTTCAATTGGAAGCTATTCTTGACCGAGTAGGAAGAAGAGAGATCATCATCATCATCCATCATTTTTCTATTAATGGTTGTTGTTGTCGAGTCTGACCATGTTGGAGAGGATATATCAATCGATGTTTCCAACTCTTGATGACTGTGTGTATGGTGATACCTTTCCATAGTAGAGGTGTTTTCAAGTTCCATCATCAATGTTTGACCTACATCATTGTTGTTCATCCATCCATTATTAACGGTCGAGGAGAATGTCTCGCCTGTATCCTTTACTATACGGTTGTCACAAGTCAAAACTATTGCTTTGGAAAGGTCAATCAAGGCACGTGGTGAATGGAATGTATCGGTATAAGAATAGAGTTGGCCACCAGTCAGTTTGAAGTATCGTCGACGCCAAAACTATAATATATATAAAAAAAATGAATATACATATCATCTATTGTCATATTATCCATCCTCACTTTTTAAATTATTGTTAATATTGTTATTATTTTACCTTGACATCACCACCTAATTGGGACATGTAACCAGAACACCAAACGGTTTGATGAAATCGTTGAATATTCAATGCATTTTCACATCCATCCATATCTTCAGGTAAATCAGGAATCTAATGAAATAGAATTAAAAAAAAAAAAAGAAAGAAAGTTGAACGGATTTTATCTTTATATATTCTTTTCCTTACTTGAGGATCAGCATTAGGTAAATAAAACAATTCCATAGTAATCTTGCCCACAGCCTTTTCTGGTACCAAACTCAAGCGTTTTTCCTTTTTCGACCTGGATATTAAAAGAGGATGATGATTTGGTTTCTTCGCAGGGCGATACCAACTATTGACTAAAGCAAAGGATGCCGTACACAATCTTGAACGACACTGATAGGATACTGCTGCCAACGAAACTCGTGTCTGCGCCAATGCACCGTCTTGTCGATTGATGTACCTTGATAAATCATCTGTTCGGCTAGTAAAGGAAGACCGCCTTGACCAACGCTTAGAAGTTATCGTTGTTGTTGATGATGATGGGACCATATCTTGACCAGGTCGAACCGCATGTAAAGTTAGTGTGAATTCTTCATCGGATTGAACATTGTCTCTATAGTTAGGAAATTCGCAATTAAAAAAAAAAAAAAAAAAAAAAAAAAGAGTCAATTAACAACCGTTTTGGTAGGATTGTTCGTCTAATTTTCTTACAATATGAATTCATGATTAAAATGAATATCATGTTGCATCTTGTAATAACCCGACTCGATATAGTTACTTCCATTACCCAAGGAACATCGTACGGCTGGTGCATCTGAAATATATGTATATAGATAGATAAGATGGTGAGTTTTAAGCTGTTCAATCGATATAATTGCATCTTGTTACCGTAATCAATAGGGAAATCCAGATTTTCAGCTGCAATCACTTTGATATACAATCGTCCACTGGCCACTGAATCTACTTGATGTTTCTCATCTTGTATCAGAAGCTTCACATTATCCTCTTGTCCGTCCTATCAATAAATAATTAAACGAAAAAATATATAGTCAGTCTGCCGTGAACTACAAATTTCCCTTTCTAATCCATCATAAAGTTCTTTTTTTTCTGTTTTAATCTCTTACCAGTAATTGCCAAGCCACGGAATGTGTATGTTCATCTTGTCTAGCTTCGTCCATTCTAGTTTCCGTATGTTGCTGAGAGCCCTCGATCGTCGTTTCTTCTTTCATTGAGGAGATAGTTGACGATGATGATGATGATGATGAGGACGACGATAAAGGACGTTCATGGCTTTGAAATATCTAGTATCAAACAAAAATGAATGAATCGTCACTTTGTATATTATGACAGAAAAAAAAAAGTGGTTTACCGAATCACAAGAAATCCTATCAAGCTCGGTCAATAGAGTTTTTCCAAAATCACATAAATGTTGTTCAGAGGATGGTAGATACACTAGTAAATCCATCTTGTTGTCCAATTCTTCATCTTCTACATTGTTGATGTTACTGTTGCTGCTGTTGTCAATAAGGTCGTCATCCATTTTATTCCCTTCTTTTGTGTTGCTATAAAAAGAAGCATCTTGATCGAGCTGATCGTCTTGCTCATGGGTCTCCATTGTACCATTGGACTGGTTCTCCTTGTCGTACAAAGAGGATGAATCGAGCGATGCATCATCATTGTTGGGTTCATGCGGTGGCGGAGATGGTGCGGACGTTGCTTCTGGATACTTTGTGTCCACTGATTCTGTTGATATTGCTGCTGCTGCTGCTGCTGCTGCTGCTGCTGCTAATACGGTTTCTGAGGGTACTACTGTCGTTGCTGGTGTTAATGCGGCTGTAGTTGTTGTGGTTGTTGCAGTGGTAGTGATAGGCGGTAGAGGAAACTGAGAAAGAGAGGTGGATCTAGTGAGTGGGGTTGGTGTATCTGGCATGTGAGGTTCGAAGTGATGAAATTCGTTGGTTGCTTTGTCACGTTCAACCGCTTCTTTGATATGCTGTGGGACTGAATCGGCAGCAGTGTGTTTGAGGAAGATAGGTGTTTGATGATGTGGCGGCTGAGCTGATAATCTCTTGTTTGTTCTTGAGGAGGATCGAAGATGTTTGTTGGTTGGTGAGGATCCATTTTCCAGAATATCCAAAATGGTGAGTTTTGGTATCATGTTTCCTTTCCGTTCGATGGCCATTTGATTTGGTTGCGTGGAGTTGTTGATGATCTTGCTGTTAGTAGATGATGATGTCCTTGGTATAGGAGCTGATGAAGTGGATGATGGGAGTAAGGCTGGTAGTGAAGACGTGGAGGCGTTGATATAATGATGATTGCAGAGTGAAAGAGCTTTCATTTTATTGTTGTTGACAAGTGAAGATGATGATAGTGAAGATGATGATGATGATGATGATGATGACGATGAAGACAGGGAATGAACTGATGAAGAAGGGACAGGTGTTGCTGGTGAATCCATTGTTCCCGGTGAATCCAATGCTTCTGATGAATCCAATGCTGCTGGTGAATCCATTGTTGGTGGTGAAGTAGTTGATGAAAGCGACGAGAAATTACTGGTGGATGTAATGGTATCAATGTTACTGTTCTTAGTTTCCATATATCGATCAGTCCGACGATCATTTGTGAGTGACGAAAGAGTTGTTTGATGATGTTCATTTTTAGATTGATCTATACATATTTAAAAAAAAAAAAAAAGATAAATAATGAATAAATAGCCATCATTGAAACTAAATAATTTTAAATCGTATTTCTTTCTATATTTACCATTACCCAGCCTTTCCTTTGTAGTTTGATTCATAATAAGATTTTTTTCGTGATCAAGTGGTTCTGTAGAAGGAGGTTGCAGTATCATATTATCGTAATAATCCACAGGAGGAGGAGGATCGAAAAACTCGATATCATCATTGAATGTCACACGGCGGTTAGATTTCTTTTGTCGTTGTTGCTGATTGGATTCTGATTTGGGTGCCAGCACTGACCAAGTTTTATCCAAAAGAGCACGATCATTGAGGGTATCAGAAGAAGACAAAGAAGAATTGGAAGAGGAGGAAGATGTTGAACGAAGAGATGAGGTAATTTTACTGTCTTGAGTGGGAATAGTAGGTGCTGAAAGAGAACTAGCAATAAAAGGTTGTTGATATAATCGAAACATGTCGTTTTTTGGGAATAAAGGACTTTGACTTGCTGAATGGGACGACCGAATAGCAAGGTTGGCTACCTGAATCTTTCGTGTTGCAAACCCTTTACCCAGTTCTTCTGATGGTTTTTTGGGTGTTGATGGCGATTCGTGCTGTTGAGTGGTATTAATGGTGGTATTCTGGGACATTGTACTTTTATTTCTTCTTCAATGGTCAGAAACAAAATATGGTTGAGGATGGTCTTGAACAATGTAAAAGAAAAAAAAAAGCAGAATGGTAAAAGAAACGTAATAAAAAAAAAAAGAATGATAGTAATAATAAAATAATAAAAAAAAAAGATATAAATAAAATAATAATAATAATAAAAATAATAAAGAAAAAAGAAAATAAAAAAAAACACTAAAGGGGTTCCTACCTTTTTTTAAGTTGTTGTTGTTTGAATTGCCAAATTTGGATATGAGTTTACCCTTTCTGGTGAATTTGCAATAGAAAATCAAAACAACCCAAAAGTCTATTCCACATAGAAATAATAATTAAAGAACGTTTTTTTTTTTTTTTATTGTTATTTATTTCATACAATGACAGAAATGTAATCAAATCAAAATAAACTAATATAAAATGTACCAATCAAAAGATATTAGGCATCAGATACAACAACGTAGTCCGAAAAGTTGTAGTACAGACGATGATGCTGATGATTATCATTATCATGATGAATGGTAGTTTTGTTGGGAATCGTTGGTGTCGCAGCAGTCATAATATTGTTGTTGTCAGTGTTGTTGCTTTTCTTGATTGTCTTGTTTAAAAAAGGATAAAGAAGGCTATCCGAATTGTCATTGTCCAATACTCTCAATATACTGATAGATCGATCATCCATATCAATACTACTGTTGTTTATGTCACCAGTGCGATGTAGTAGTAAATCATTACTAATGGAGGAGTAAGGATACTGTTGTTGTTGTTCATGATGATGATGAAGTGACTGCCATGATGTAATATCCGATGTGGAACTTCTTTTGCTTCGCATAGATCGTGCTACAGCTTCATCAGAAGAGACAGATTTAATGGATGAAGGATATCCTGGTGATAATGGCCATACATTTGACGAAATGGAGGGTGATGTAGGAGACAATAAAGGTTGATATCCCCATAATGTAGGTGATTTCATAGCTTCTTGGTGATAATGTTGTTTTTGAGGTGGAGGTGGTAATCTTGGTTTGGTTTGTATATATCCTAAGGAACTTGACCGTGTTCGATAATATGATGATGAAAATGGCGGAGATGTTGATGATGATGCTGGTAATGGTGGCGGTGGTGATGATGATGATGATGTAGGTCGATATTCATCATCTCTTGAGGAGGAGGATGTACGTCGTTGAAAAGGTGGATGATCTCTTGTAGAAGGTTTAGCCCATGGAGAGAAAAGTGAGCTAGTTGACAAGGGAGACACCTCTTGGCTTGTATTGTAGTGTAGGTCAGTGATGTTATCGTCATTTGTGGAGGTAGTGATCAATGGAGGAGGTTTGAAATATGACTGAGGTTGCTGCTCGTTGGAATAGTAAGAACGGTCCAATGGCTGTAAAGTTTGATGATTCCATGCATTTCTTTGTGATGGCGTATCGATTCGATGGTGGCCGATGGAAGGATCTAACAGAGATGCAAAAGTATATATATATATATTTGGTTAGATGCACTGTTCTTTTTATGTGTTTTTTTTTCTTTACCATTTTGATTATCGTTAATACCAATAAACATTTCTTGTGGAGAAGGTAGATGTTGTTGATGAGAAGTGACAGTCATATTTTCAAATGGTTGTATAACGTTGATGGCAAGTGGACTAAGAGGTTTCAATCCCTTTCTATTGATAGCTGATGATTTTGATGGTGACGATGATGTAACTATGCGCAAAGAATTCGATATATCTTTGATATTGACTCTTTCTTCCGTTTCCTGTTTCTGTGGTTGTTGTTGTTGGATAGCCATTTTTTGATGTTGTACGTGTAATGAATGAAATTGCTGACCAGAATGAATAGAAGATGAATCGGATGATAAAGAGGATGAGGAAGTATTGTCTAAAGACTGAGGAGGAGAAGGCTGTTGTTTCATACTATCGAATGACGAAGATGATGATGATGATGGTAAAGTGTCCGTTGTTGATTGTAAATTAGAATCATCTACTTGAAAGCTTTGTCTGTGGTTGTTGCTGGATAATCCCAAAGTATTTTTTGATACCGCAGAGGTGTCATCCGATCCACGTTGATGACGATGATTTAATGACCATGAACAAGAAGAAGAAGATTGTTTCCAAGGTAATTCGATAGGACCGTCCAAAGGTTTGATATGTAAAAAAGGGGAAAAATCTGTATGATTTTCACAAGTCAGTTCCCAGGCAACGTGTCGATCAGGTATCACATCATTCCATCCACCAGCTGAAGGAGGAATAGGTCTAAAGTTGGGCGGACAATAGCGGCGTTTGTTTCGCATAAAAAGAGCAATTTCATCAGTTGGTATCAATCTATCAGGATCATCATAGTATATAAAATCAGCACTTTTGTTGTTGTTGCCAAAACAATGGTAATATCGATAATTAGTATTGTTATTTGATCGAACTAATTGTTGCTGTTGTTGATGATATTGAGATAAAATGGTGGATCTTTTAGTATCTATTGATTTCTTTGATTTTTTGCTACCGTTTTGTCCAGTTGAATGGAGAGTTTGTTTCTTTGGTTTACTATGATCTTTTCGCTCATCAAAAGTGGTGTTGTTTGTCAAAGTGGCGTTCTGTGATGGCGTATTATTTTTGAGGATGCTAGAATTACTATACTCCCGATAAAAACTAGGTGGGTTACACGAGACGGATGATGATGCTTGAATTTGTGGTGGTGAAATTGCTGTTGATATTGTTGTTTCTTTTGTTGGATCCATACAATGTTGGTTTTCAATGGAGTTTTTCCCATAATCATCCATCGATTGATTAATTCTGGAAGAGAGAAGAGAAGAAGAAAAAAGAGAAAGGAAAAAAAAAGAAGAAGGAAAGAGAAAAGAACAAATCCAATTTGAAGTGCACGTAATACATATCACAAAACAAAAAAAAAAAGAGAATATTTGATTAGTTGAAAGCTACACACACACAAATAAACATAAACAATTCTATTTTATCGTTTCATGAGTTTTCTTTTTTTCTTTTTTTAATCTTGTCAAATTATTTTTTTTTTTTTTTACCTTTAGACAATTCAGGTTTCGATATTTATAATGTTGAAACAAAATGATTTGATGATAGATAATTGTTCAATGAAGGCTGTGTAAAATATGTGAGATCCAACGTTTCTTTTTTGGATGAATATAAATGTTGTTGTTTTATAAAAGCAGGAGGTAATGCATAAGTGTTGTCGTGAAATAATGATGAGAAAAAAAAATGTTGTTGATTTTTCTTTTTTACACGCATTCACTTCAAAAAAATCATGGAAAAAGAAAAAGAAAAAAGAAGTAAAAAATATATGAAAAAACAAAAATGCCTTTTAGTTGTAAGCTTTGAACGGACTTTGAATGTTCCAGAAATGGATTGCCCTAGAAACCAAATGCGTAACAAAAAGTTTAAAGAAATTATCATGATTATTTTATTATATATCTATATATATATATATATATGTATATTATTACTAATATTATATATTTATCATAGAATGACTGTTTTTTTTATTGAATGAAGAAAAAAAAGAAAGGAAAGTTATTCCTTTTGGTTGACTTATGCCAAAACTAGAGCGGATATTGAATATCATGATCTTTTTTATGTTGATCTTTTTTTTTTCCCTCGAACTTTCCTTTCTCCCTCTCTTTTTGATCTCGTATACCACTTTTTTTTTTTTTTTGTGATAAACAAATAAACAACAGATAAAACTTGGTATATCTGTTAAAAACTATTATTTTATTTATTCACTTTTTTAAATATGGCTGGTGAACCTTCTCGTAATAAGAAAAACGATAATGAAGTTTCAGATAGACAACCACTTCTTTCAACTGGTACTACTTCAAATGATACCAAACAGCGTAAAGATAAGTTTCCTGCAACTCGACGACATTCTGAATCTACAATTGACAACTTTAATCACAACAATAGTTATGGTAGTATAGGTGAATCTTCAACAATACGACAACAACATCAACAAAGACAACAGTTAGGTGTATGGCGTATACGAATTTATATCATGTTAATCCTTTTGTTTGGAATTGTATTTGTGGTCTCTCTTATTCTTCTCATTATGGCTCCTAAATTTGCTCAAAAAACTTTTGAAGATAATGTCCAACTAGAATTTCAAGAAACTTCTATTCAGAATGTTAGTACAACGGTGGACGGGGTCAATATCATATCTATGCATGTTACAGGATCTATCACTTTACTAGGTTCAGCATATTCTCTTGGTCAAAAAATCACTTCCATCTTTGGTGATATTCAACTACTTGATACAACATTACAAGTCTTTTCATCTCCTCCAACAATAATATCATCATCAAATATATTACGCTATCATTATCATTTAGAAAACCAAGTAACATCACCCATGGGAACTATTCATTTACCATCACTTATATTGGATTCCAAATCAAACGTGACCCATTTTGATTTTGTCACACCTTTTGTAGTGAATGACCCTTCTGCTTTAGTGGACTTTTGCAAGGATGCTTTGATTTCTAAATGGGTTGGTTGGAGGATACTTGGATTATTACCGATACATATTGGTTGGATTCCCATGAAAAATAATTTGGCCTTGGATAAACTGGTGGATATCGAAGGTAAAATCTTTCTATATATATATATATATAATATTAATTGCTAATTCTCTTATATTCTATATAGGAATGGATGGACTCAAACAAACTGAAATGAAAAATATGATCTTTCCTGGTTCTCATCCTTTAGGTGGTATCGTTCTTGATGGTACAGTAGGAATTTATAATCCTTCAAAAACTCTCAGTATGATGATTGGTGATGTGGATTTCGGCATCTATTTACCAGATGATAGATTGAATGGAAATGATGAAATGATTGCCGTAGTTACAGCAAAGGATACCCGATTACTTGGTCAACGCATGAATTACTTTCAAATCCATGGACGTACTTTACCTTTGAATGACAGCGATACTCACAAAAGACGCTTAATGGAACATTTTTTAACTTCTTATCTACATGGTAATACATCGATGGTACGAGTACGTGGAAATACCTTTGGACCTGATGATCCTAACAATATGGCAAACAAGTTACCCGATTGGTTACAAAAGGCATTGGCTTCTTTAACACTGACAGTTCCTTTCCAGGGTACAACTCATAGTGACATTATCCAATCTTTGACTATGGATCACATCAAAATCGACTTTTCAATGGTGACAAGGGAACCTTTAGTATCAGGGGATGCAACAGCTCTTTTACAACTTCCAAGGGAAATGCAACTTTCTTTAGACGTGACTGAAATCGATCCGGATGTTTATATTTATTTGGAAAAAGACTCTCAAGAACCGTTTGCACAGATCTCTCCAACTACACCATGTGCATCCAAAACCATCCATCGTAGCGAAGACAATACCATTCCTGAGGATATGTTTATGGTGAAATCAAGAATCAACAGGGCACCATTCAAAGTATTGAATGGTCATGAAAATGAATTTGAAAAGTTTTTGGATCGACTCTATCATCAACGCAATAGTACAGTATATCTTCAGGGAACAGCAAATGCCAAAGTAGAAAGTGATCTTGGGAAACTAATGGTACATGATTTGAAATTCAAAGGACAAATCAATACAATAGGTAAAAGAATTGATTCATATTCAGATGATTCCATTACTGACCTTTTATATATATATATATATATATATCATATGTAGGAATGCAAGGCATGAAGAATCCACCGCCAAAAGTGACATCTATGACGATTGAAAAAGGATATCCTGATGCATTACAATTCAAGACAAGGATCATCATCACCAATCCTTCTGACATAGATATTAACATGGGACCTATTACATTTGTCTTGTCGTACAATCAAATCGAAATTGGAAATGTTACCATTGAAAATTTGAATTTATTGCATGGTGCAAATAATGAATTTGATGCCATTGGATATATTTCTAGTGAACCTACTAAACATCATGATATTTGTTGGAAACAAGAAGTACAATTACCATCTATTGTGGAATTTATTGGCTCTTATATATCTGGTAAAAAAAAAAAAAAAATATTTAATACTCCTTTTATTTATTTATTTATTTATTTGTTAGGCCGGGTAACACATTTGAAGATCTTTGGAAAGACAGGGTCAACAAAATCAAAGTATTTGGAGTCTCTAATGAAACGATTGGAATTCATGATTCAAGTACCAAAGTTTAACAAGAGACCCCTATTACAAGATGTCCAAATGAATTTACTCTCATCTACAGTTATTTTTTGGTTAAGAAATCCATTTGAAGATATTGATATGCGAATAATGAATATAAATGGATCAGCAAGTTATCAAGTACAAAAGATTGGTACAATGTATGCTAACTTTATGAAAGAACCTTTAGCTTTACCTCCAGTATGGTGTGAACAAGACGAATGTACTGGATTTGTAGTACAAAGTCCTAAAATACCAGTGACAATGAAGAAATTAGGATTAGAAGCTATTTCCAAAGCATTAGGTGGAAAAATAGTTATAGGTGTAGACAGTATAGTGACAGTGATGATCGATTCTTTTTTATTGACTGGGTTAGAATACAAAAGGGAGAATATTACTGCCATTATTAAAAAAACTTTTTGAATAAAAAAGGTACTTTTTTTTTTTTATGTTTATCATTTTTTTAATTTCCAATTGATTGTCGCGTGAAATATATATATATTTTTCACTTGTATTGTTTTGTGTGACAAAAGCTAGTAAAATGATATTAACCAATAAAAAGTCAGTGTAGAAATGAATCTTGTCTACACTTTTTTAAATCCGCTCCTTTTTTTTTGTATATTCATCGTTTTCCTCCTTTTGTTATTTATTCTCTTTCTTTTTTCTTTTCTTTTCTTTTTTTACTTTGTTAACCCTACTTTTTGTTATTTCTTTTTTTTTATACATATATTTTCCCCTTTCCTTTCCTTTTTTCTTTCCTTTTTTTTGTTCCTTCTTTTGATATATATATATACACAACTCCTCAATTCAATCTTTTTATTATTATTTCTTTTGTCTAGTGAACGAATAAGTTATGAGATTACGACTCTTCACACACTTTTGTCTCACTCTTCTTTTATTACAATCACATCAAATTGAAGCATGTTTTTGGATATTTGGCGATTGTAATTCTTCTTCTTCACAAACACCAACTCCAACAGGTAATCCTTCTAGTTCCCCTGGACCAACTTCACCCAGCTCAGCAATCTCAAGCTCCGCACAATCATCTTCTGTGATATCCAGTTCTTCTATTCTACCTTCTTCTACTATCCATAGTTCATCTTCAATTTCTTCACAGACACCAACTTCTTCTTCTTCTATTATATCTTCTTCTGATTCTTCATCTGCTTCATCCTCCGCTTCATCATCATCAGCTTCATCATCACCTTCAGAAACAAACAATTCAGATTCTAGTAGTTCCAACAACACAGCTGCCATTGTAGGTTCTGTATGTGGATTCTTAGCAGTTCTTGGATTAGGATTTGGATATGCTTTCTTCTCCAAAGCTCGACGTAATGAACGTAGACGAAAAGCAGCTTTATATAACGATGAATTTAACAACAATAACAATCGTAACGGCTCTTCACCTTTTGATACCGAACGACCCTCTCCTGCTATGGCAGCAGCAGCAGTAGCAGCAGCTGATGATTTACATTATTCAACCAGTCCTTATCAACAACATCAACAACCACAAGGATGGCATGATCCTTATAATCCTACCAGTCCTACATCGTATGGTTATAACAACATGTCTCCTTATCAACCTCATCAAGATTATTATTCTCCTCCTATGACTCATACTACTGCTTCAGGTATTGCTGGTGTGGGTTATCCAGATGCTGCCATTTCTGGTGCTTATTATACTCCTGCTCCTATGAATAATGGTGGTGTTTATTATGATCCTCAACAACAACAACATTATGGAAATGGTTCTTTTGTTAATGTGGCTCAACCTGTATCCAATGGTCCTACTTATTCTGCTCCCAATGCTTATGATGATCATGATCCACAAAAATCAAAGTAATTGAAAAACGAAAAAAAAAACAAAATAGAATTAGTTATCTACACCTTTTCTTTTTCTATTATTATTATTATTATTATTATTACCATTTACCTTTATTACTTTATTATTCTTTACTCATTTATTTTTATTACCTATTTTTTTTTCTTTTACATATCTCTCTATTTCTCCCTTTATATACATTTAGTTTATAGTTTGTTTTTTTTATCATAGTCTTATTTATTTATTTATTTTCCCGAAATAAAACTGATGAAAACAACATTCTTCTTTCATTATACTATTTGTCATTTGTGAAAATAAAAAAAAAATCTATGAATTTCTTTTATAATCATGCAAACCATTTGGAACTCCCCCTTCTGACTACCTATTTAAAAAAAAAAAGTTTTTATTTTATTGAGTAATATTACATATTTGTTCTCTTGACCAAAATAATAATAATAAAAAAAAGGTAATACTATGGATGAAAGACCATTTTCATAAAAAAAAAAAAAAGGGGGGAATGATATAAAAAAGGAGACACTAAATAAAGTTGGAATCATAAATAATAAGAATAATAATATAGATGACAAAAAGAGAAGATCGCCCAAAGTTTAAATAGATTTTGGCTGTTGTCGTTTTTGTTGTTGTCTGGCACGAAAAGCAGCCACATCTTTTTCCACCTCGATCATCATTTCCCTTCGTAACTTGGGTCGATAACCTAAAGCAAATAAAACTTCAAAAAACACAAAATAAGGTGCAGATACAAGAGCTAAAAGGAAAAAAGATACATATATATATAAGATACAAGGTTTATATTTTCTTTCTGACCTGATTTTTTTTTTTTTTTACCTTGTATAAGATTATCCACCAATTTAGGACTTCGTTTTTCAGCAGCACCATGACCAATGAATTGAAGGATCCATGAAGTGATATGTAAGCCAAGAGCCAATTTAGTTGCGTTTGGATTAGTACGTTGGAATTGAGTAGCTGTATAACACATAGTATAAAGAATGGGAGCATAAAGAGCCTAAATATCACAAGGATAATTTAATTCATATGATTATTTCCATAATGATATCAATCATCCTTTATATATATATATCATTTGATTTTTTTTTTATTATTACCGAAGCTATAGGATCCAAGGCGGCATAGTAAAGACTGTATAATGTAACAATAAAGAAACCAAGATTAGGACCCATTAGTTTCAAAAATTTCAAAGAAGTAGGTAGGTTGCCAATATTGATAAGTGGACCTGTCTTTGCACCGAATACCAAAGCTTTTTTGTAATAGAAATAATAAAAATGAGACCAAAAGGCTGAATTCAAATAGTTACTTACCAGTCCAAAAGATGGTGGGAACGAATATCATATGAATAATAATATTTGTTTTGTTATAATGATGAGATCCATATTGTACAAGTTGTTTCTTCAAATTAAAAATATCCGATAAAGTCATCTTTTATGTATGTGAAAAAAAAAAAAAGAAAAGAAAAAGAACAAATGCAGAAAAGAAGTAGGTCATTTTTTTTTATTTTTTTTGAAACCAAGACAAGCGTCAGTCATCACCAATCACCCATTTAAGGAAATCGTTCTTCTCGAGAAAAAGAAAAAAAGAAAATAACTACGTTTCCCATTGTATTACATATTTTTTTTTTATATGTTAAATCAAAAAGGATCTGTCTTTTTCATGCCAATACTATTTATTAGAAACTCAGAGAAAAAAAAACCATACTCTTTTATATAAAGTATTTTTACGCCAGCCTTGCCAACATGAACCAACCAAAAACAGAAATATGCCCGTTTTATTGCCAATAGCCGGCGATGAAATTAAAAATGAGATCAAAAAAAAATATAGAACTGTTTCAGTTTTTTTTTTTTTTTTTGAGGTTCCCCCCTTTTTCCTTCCTTTCTTTCCTTCTTTCTTTCACTCTCTCTCTTTCTCCTTTCCTCTTCCCCTCCCCCCCCCCTTTTCACTTCTCCTTTTCATTTTAATAATTTTATTGTCATGGGAAATACTCAATCTATTGGTCAAGTTGTAGAAGAAGGCATTCATGTTTATAAACAGGTGAAGCAAGCCCAAGAACAACAACAACAACAACAAGGACAAGGACACTATCAACAACAAGGACATTATCAACAACAACAACAACATCATTATACTAGTGAATCTCATCATGTTGGTCCAACATATCATCAACTAAAAGAAGAACACGATGATCCTGAATACACTAGACTAAGATCCTTGGCTCATGAAGAAGCGGAAAAACGGAATGCTTGTTATCAACGTAGTCAAGAAGCCTACCATAACCATGATGGTGCTTTAGGTAATAAAAAAAAAATCAATATAAATATATATATGTAACTAAAATGATATGTATTTTATTAGCCAAGGAAGAATCGAATCAAGGTCACCGTCATGATGAATTAATGAAACAATACAATAAAAAAGCGGCTGATCTGGTGTATTTCCGTAAGTTAAAAAAAATAAAAAACTCAAAAAGAATACAAATTAATTGACGATGATGATTTTCATATTAGACAAAAATCAAAACCGTCCACCTAATGAAATCGATTTACATGGATTATTTGTACAAGAAGCTTCTGAACGTGTGGATGAAGCCTTAAGACGTTGTGAAAGAGAAAACTATGATCATTTGGTGATTATTGTTGGCAAAGGTCTTCATAGTCCAGGTAAAAAAAAAAAATAAAATAAAAATAATAAAAAGGATGTTACTTAATTCTTCTTTTTTTTAATAGGTCAAATTGCCAAATTGAAACCTGCTATTATTGAACTGGTTCAGAAATACAAGGTCCGCTGTGAACCCAATCGACCTAATCCTGGTTGTCTCTATATTGAATTCGGCAAAGGCACTGGTGATTTGTCTTGGTTGGATCGTATCACTGATAAACTTTCCAAGAACGATGTTTGTACTATTATGTAGTTTGATATTACTAGTTAATTATTTTTTGTATAATGATATCTTAATAAACTATTTTGATTTTCTTTAATCTATAATTGGGTTAAGAAAGAAAGGGGAAGAAAATCATCAAGGAAGGAGGTTGTTGAATCCAAAAGTATAAAAATAAAGAAAAAAAAAAAAAAAGAAACAAAATGTTTATATAACCCCCCACTTTCTTTATCTTTCCTTTTTTTTTCCTTTTTCTTCTTTTATTATATCTTTATCACATATTAATATTATAGGATGATCCCTTCATTCTTATTTACTATTTGTATATATTTCATATTAGTTCAAAGTATACCCATCAGTCATCCTAATGAAACAAAAAAATCTACCACAACATTCTTGCGATCTGTAGACACTAGTACAACCATTGATGTTACTACATTATCAACAAATCTTGGAGAATATTACGAAAGTATCACAGATCAAGTCCTTGTCTCATTGACCAGAGACATTCTCACCTCGGCCACCTCTTTACTTACTGATCATCATCACCAAGGTAAAGTATATAATAGAAACACTCTGTTGCTCCTTATTTCAAATCTAGTTGTTAACCCTCAACTTTTTTTTTTTTTTGTGAAAATGAAGAGAATAATGTCATTCATCCATTCATTCAATCACTGGATCATCATCTCGACTTGATGCGAACCAATTTGATTGCATCTGTCCAACCTTTGGTTGACACCAACTTGCCATGGATATTATCACCACTCACAGGAAAAAACACTAGTAAAAAAAATAAAGATAATGATGATGATGATGACGATGATGACGATGATGATGAAGAGGATGACGATGATACTTCGGGCATTCCAGTATTTCCATTGACCAAAGATATTCATCAACTCAACCAACGCATCAGCAGTCAATTAGGTCTAATTGTTAATGCTAACCAAAATGCCAACATCATGATCCATCAATCATGGATCCATACATCCGTCCCATCAACTCATAATATAGGCAATCATCAAGTAGCTTTTTCTCATCCTCCCAAGGATCACAGGGATGAATGGAAGGCTTGGCTTTATACCTGGTTATTAACGATTGAAGATATTCTTGAAATTGAATTTGACAAGAGAATACAAAATGTGGTGGATTGTATCATGGAAGACTTTTTAGTATAGCTCATTGTATAGATCTCCTTTTTTTTTTCATCTCCTCGTTTTTTGCTATTTCATTTGGGCGGAATTTATTATCACAATAAAAAAAAAAAGGAAATTTTTTTTGGTTCATTCCTATTTTGCTTTTCTCTTTTTTTTTTTCTCTTATCTCTTCTGTCATGAATCTGACTGGATGACTACTACTACTAAGACTGCATTACTGAAAGCAGATTTTGAACTTGCTATTAAACAATTTGCCATTTTGACAGCTAATACGGATACACCATGGCATCTGACTTCAACACAGGTAAAAAAAAAAAAAAAAAAAAAAAGGCTTTCATTAGAAAAAAAGTATTCCATTTGTTTGACTTTTTTTTTCTAGTGGGGCCCAAGTTATTTACAACGGACGGTCAAAGTAGCCGCTTTTAAATCATCCTATATGAAATCCCTTGAACCTTTGAACAATGACAATATTTTTGAAGATGACGATCCCGCTTTAGCTTTACCTGATCCTTCGATACAAACCATCATGTTGGATCATCATATAGTTTATTCTTCAACCTATCAAGTGCCTGTGCTCTACTTTGATGCTTACTTTCCAGGTAACGAATGGATGAAACAACATACAAAAAAAAAAAAAAAAAAAAAAAATAGAATATGTACTATTAAAACAGATGGTTTTACTGATACTTTTTTTTTTTTTTAATAGATGGAACGCGACTTGGATTGGATGAGATTTATGAATACATTGTTCCTCAAGTGTATCAAGATGATTTGAAAATATCACCCATTCAAGCACAAGGTGCCATTACCCAGGCTGATCATCCTTTATTGGGCCGTCCTTTTTGGTATATTCATCCATGCGATACTCAAACCTTGTTACAAACCATCATGCAAGACGTGTTTATCGAAAACTATATCAAGATTTGGTTATCACTTGTTGGTCCTTTGGTTAGATGTAGTGTTTCCCCAAATCTGTTTTTATGATTCTTATGTTCATTTCCTTTTTTCCACATTCCAAAAAGTTAGATGGATACTCTTTTTCAACTACATACACTTTAATAAAAAAAAAATTCACTAAAATAGATTTGTATCTTTATTCAAATAAACATATATAATTATCATTAAAAAAAAATATATAAAAACACAACAATGGTCAAGATGATCCGAATACAGAGTTGATTTTGCCTAACAAGTTCCTAATACTAAAGCTACGCACCCACTCATCTTCTTGTCCATCGAGCGCATCTTGATAATCAATAGACCGATCTTGTTCTTCAATATCATCCATATCATCATTCCTTTGTTCCATCACAGCACTGACCATATTCTCCAGATCATCCATACTATCATATCCGTCATCATTATCGTTGTTGGTACTATGTTCACTGATGTTTGATCCACATGAGGGTTGATCCATTGTTCTGTCGATGGAGTCAGTATTTAGAGGGTATAATGTTTGGCTAGTCACTGATGACGTAGGTGATTGTTGTTCTATTATTGTTGTTGTTGTTGTTGTTGTTGTTGTTGTTGTTGAGGATGATGATGCTAGTGTAGAGGTGGTGTTGGTGCTTTCAGACGAGATTGCTTCGTCGTGTGTTCGTTTTAGACACGTACTATCCTTGCAACTCTGATGGGTTGCTTGTAATGGAGGGGCTTGTTTTATTTCCTTGGAAGGCTTTGCTGAAGACAAAAAATCATGACGATCAGGAAGACTGATGGTGGTGAAGGTCATTGAAGTAGATCTCATTGACTGACTGGTTTGCTTTTGTGGAATTTGATGCTTGCTGGTATGATGAGACTGATTGATCTCTGTAGAATTGTCTTCTAAAGGAACTCTTCTTCGTTTGGATTTATGCATGGATTCTTTTGATGATTCTTGTTGCTTGTTTTGTCCTAAATGCACAAAAAAAAAAAGGAGGAATTAGTTGCTTTGCTTCAAAAAAAAAAAAAAAGGGATTATACTTACGTTTCTTTGTTTGCATGGATGACCGAGTAGTGGTTTTTTTCCGTTTGGGACGAGTAAATTGAATAAAGGTTGGAACACGATCATCTTTCTGTTCAGTCATGATATTAAAAAAAAAAAAAAAGAAAAGTGCAGAAGAAAGGGACAAACAAATGAAAAGATCTGAAAATCTATTGGAAAAAAAAGAAAGCAAGCGGAGTGAAACCTTTTTTGCAGAAAAGCAACTAAAAGAATGAAATCCTTAAAAATAAAATAAAAAAAATATATTTTTTTTTCTTTCTTTCTTTCTTTCTTTCTTTCTACTTTTTTTTTTTTTAGAAAAAAATCATTGTTTATTTAAATCAAAAAATAACACTAATGCAATCAAACTCTGATTTACCATCACGATTCACCAAAAAACTACCTCCATTGTCAAACGAACCTTCAAGGCGTAATGCATTCGGTATCCCGCCTAGGAATAACTCTTTACTATATGACACTGAACCCTATGTATTAAACCATCCACACGTTGATCCGACTTGTCGTCAACTGATCCATATGAAACGACTGATGCTGACAGCCATACATGAACTTCAGTATTTAGCAAAACGGGTGGCCGACGCTGAGAAGAATGCTGCTTATTGGGAAGAAAAATGGAAGGATCTGGATGCACAACTAGATCATCATCATCAAAATAATACCAGAAAGAAAGGTTTACGACAAACTCTATTATCAAAACTAATGCAATCTCGTGATATCGTACCAACATGAATTTTTTTTTTGGGAATTAAAAGATGGACATTTGTCAGATGTAGATAGCTTTCATCTAATTATATACTCTTTTATTATGAATATTGTTTTTTATATGATTTCAATAAACAGTTGTATTATTTCAAAGAAAAAAAAAAAGAGATCAGTATTACCTTGATTTCATTGTCGATCGATTATTTTTAATTTTATTGTTGTCCAAAAATAGTAATGATGGAGCTGAATTTATGTAGTTTACATTATACTGTATAAACCTCTCTACATTCCTTGACAAAAGTCATATTCATGCTACATTATTGTGTAGTTATTTATCTCTTCACTACAACATCACGCATGGGGGAAGTACCTCTTTATACTTTTGTAATTCACTCAAAAATCATCATCATTGTATCAAATTTGGAAGGAACATACATGAAGATATTCTCATTCAGTTGGCTTAAAAGCAATTTATAGCTTTCTCTCCCAAATTATAGAGTAAATTAAAAATGAAATGTCAATATCATCATCCCTCATCCAATAATCATCATCATCCAATAAAATGATCGCCATTGGATTCCTCTCAAAAAAGTAGTTTAATATCATCTCATCTTATTTTATCAGTTACCTTGTCACCTAGTTTGCAATGAGCATAAAAAGATTTCCATCCATTTTTCGAAAAATTGCCTGATGATCCCCTGACGATTTGTTTTTACAGCCAACATTTGGCTGAGGAGTTTCAAATTTTTGGCTGTAAAAATCCAAAATCGATCCCATTTTTTTTTTTTATCCTAAAACCTTGACTTTCCCTTTTCTCGTTCAAAAATGATCATCATTGCACCAAATATGAATAGAACAACTCATTTTCCCTTATCTAATGAAGGTTTATAAAGAATAAATGAATCAGGATCCATCCCTGCGATGAACAGTAAAGTAATTTTATACCTATATATAAAAAAAAAAAAAAAATACTCATCCAATCATTAGACATAAAGATATGCATTCCGCTCCAACCAGTTCAGTGTTGATCGAAATCAAACGATGATTGCGTTGCCAAGGTTGCCAAATCCAGAAGTAGTTGGGTGATAGATCAAATTTGATTGGCTGAAGATAAGGTGCTGGGGTTCTTTTTTTTTTTATATATATATTTATCTAAAAAAAATTGAATTTCAACTTTGGCGGGGGGGTGTAACCATCTCATTACTCATCAGACACTGGCTTAATCAGCAAAAGCCTCTTGATTTTATTTTCCAGATCCGGTCTTCAAAATCATTCCATTTTTTTTTTCATTGTTTTTCTTTTTTCTTTTTTCTTTTTTTTTTAATTCATAATGTCGCATTCTTACATGTCTTCCTTGGATTCACTTGCCTTGGAACCAACTGATTATCAATCCTCTCATATTAATGAAGAAGAAGCTGCCGCTGACTTGGCTCTTTGGGTAAAAAAAAAAAAAAAAAAAAAAAAAGAATATATATATATTCAAAACAATGACTCATTTTATATTATTTTTTATTCTTTTTTAGACCAATGCCAAGTTCACTTATGATACAACACCAGGTCAAGGTATCTTAGAGGAGAAACCCGCCTTTGACTTGGACAAAGTCATGTACGAACATTTATCAAAGTATTTGGACATGTCACAAACGTTAACTCCATCACTCGATATGCCTATGGAAAATGCATACAAACCCATACGACCACAACCTTTACTTCCTAAACCCATGATGGAACAACCTTTATATTTACTGCCCACTGACGTACCAACACCAACAAAGAATAACGACAAACGAACAGAAGATCGATCAGCAGATGAAGATAAACGACGACGTAATACAGCTGCAAGTGCTCGATTCCGAATCAAGAAGAAACAAAAAGAAAAGGCCATGGCTGAAACTGTCAAGGAAATGACGGAAAAAGCAGAAAAATTACAAGGTCGTGTCCATGAATTGGAAAATGAAATCAAATGGTTACGTGAACTCTTATTGGAAAAGAATTCGAAATGATCCCCCTATTTAGTCCTCCCTCCCTCTTTTGTATATTTCTCGTTATTATTATTATTATTATTATTATTCTCTTTTGTATATCTTCTCATCTTATGTTATTAAAGTTATTTGATATGACTTTTTGAAATAAAACTCTTTTAATTATTAGATTTTTTTTTTTTGTTGCGTTGTCAATAGGTTTCACGTCAGATGAAAATCATTCATATAAATAAAATATGTATTATAAAACTTTGTTTATTTTATGCATCACCATCTTGTTGTAATCATCTGATCATTTGTACACCGGAAAAGTCATTCGATATATATATATATAATATTATATTATACACACAGAGAGATCACAGACCAACACAAATATATATATATATATATATATATATATATATATATATATATCATCAACTTTATTTCTACCATGGGAACAACATAATCTAAACTAAAAAGAGAGGAGAGGAGATCTATCTATACGCGTTTGATTTTCACAGGTCGACTAGGTGGTTTTCGTAATAAAGTCCAAAGCATCACGGTAGTGGCGGCAGAGAGAGCATACCAAGTAATGATATATTGCAAATGACTATTCCTTACCTCTACCACTGGTGATCGTCCAACTGGAATTCCTTTTTCTATTAGTTCATGTTCTTGATAAGAAGGGCGATCTAGAATCAAAAAAAAAAAAAATATATATATAAGAATCATCTCTTCTTTTTTCATTTCTTTTTATTCTATACCTGATACACTTTCTACTAATAAATTTTGAGAATATGATAATTCAGCCATGGTATCCAAATCCACCCAATACCATTGATTATTTTCAGGATCATTGTCAGGTGTAAATGAGTTTGGCTATTTTGAGAAGAAAAAAAATGAGTCGTTTTGTCGATATATATATCTTATCCACTTTACCTTTTCAGTGAGTCGAAGTAATCCTTCCACTTCTACAGGTCCAGTCACTAAACTTTCAGGACGTTTGGATTTGTCTTTTTTGTCTGAAGCTACCCAACCACGTTTAATAAGAATAACTGAACCATCTTCCCTTTGTAAAGGTGTCACCAAAAAGTAACCCACCACACCATCGCCTCTTGTACGAGGTCCCACCAACATTTCTTGATCATGACGAAATGTACCATTCACTTTGACTCGACGATATTCATAGTCATCCAATGAATTCTGACTATATTAAAAAAAAAAAAATTCAATATCAAAATAAAACCAATTTTTATAAACTTTACTTTATGCGCCGAGGAAGAGGAATGGGATCAAGAAACATACGTTCTTCTAGTCGTTCAATCAATGCCACTTTCCATCGTAATCGTTGTACTTGCCAAGTCCCTAATCCAAAAGTGATGAAAGGAATGGTACAAAGAATCGCCGTGCCTAGACCAAACTTGCGTTTCTTGACAGTATATGACCGGTTGACAGTTTGTTCAGTGGTAAAATAACGACATGTGTTTTGTGTGGTAGGTCGGATGCTGGAACGAATGGTTGTTTGACTGATACGTAATAATGGGCTCGTAAAACAATGTCGTATCACGTTCATCTTCAAAAAAAAAAAGTGATAAAGCAAGAAAAAAAAAAAAAGAAAGATGATTTACCACCCCAGGCTTTTGAAAAAATAAAAAAGGTCAAACGCGGGGGTTAAAACTTGATTTTGGGTCTTTTTTGTTAAAAAAAAGTGACTTGAGTACTCAGAAGGGAAATTTTTTTTTCTTTTCTTCTTTTTACAATTGTACATAATGGCAGAAGGCAAGAAATTGACCAAACGTGAAAAGAAGGCTGCCTCTTTCCGACAAAAACAAAAAGGAAAAGTCCAAGAAGAACCAAGTGCCATTCCTGAATCCGATCTAGTACCTGATGAATCGACTGAACAACCAAAGGACGACAACAAGAAACGTAAAGTAGAAGAAGATCAAGAAACACAGACGAAGAAGAAGAAAACTCGACGTGGAAAGAAAAAGGTGGAAGACGGTAAACGATATATTGTATTTGTTGGTAATTTGCCTTATGGGGCCACAAAGGAAGGATTAGAAAAGCATTTCCAAAGTGCAGGTGGGATCGTCTCTGTACGTTTGATGACTGACAAAGAAACCAAGAAACCCAAAGGTTTTGCTTTTATGGAATTTGAATCATCGATTCATCTCAACGTAAGTATATTTATATATATGAGAAATCAATAGTATTGATTTTTTTTTTTTACATTTATAGAAAGCACTTGCCTTTCATCATACCTTATTTATGAAACGACAGATTAATGTGGAACTGACAGCTGGTGGTGGTGGAAAGAATGAAAAACGAACTGAAAAATTAAAAATCAAAAATGAACGTTTACAAGAAGAAAGAGTAAGTGTAAAAAAGGATGAATGGAGGAAAAAAAAAAAACTAACATTTTTTGATTGTAGCAAAAGGCTCATCAAGATAAAGTACTTGGCAAGATTCCAGTTGTACGATCATCCTCTTCTTATGATACTCATTCATCGACTTCAGAATTTTAGTTTCTTCTCTACATTTATGGAATTTTTTTTAGATCTATAGCCAATCCATTCTCTCTTGTATGCATCATCCATAGTTTTTATCATTATTTGTTCATTGTTTTTTGTAATATCTCAATAAAGCATTCATATATACAACAAGAAGCGGAGTTTGCATTTATCAAAACTGAGGGCAACCACCTTTTTTTTTTTATTTATTTATTTTTTCCCTTTTTATATTTTTTCAAAGCTTTCTTCCATTGACATATATATGATGAGACTTGATCCTTTTCCACGATTCTCAGAAACTTTGGGTGCAGCAGTTAGTAATCCACGTGTAGCTTTATTTGCCATTGTGATGACCAAGATCTGTTTGGATCGTATTTATAATTATGCTTCTGTAAGAAAACCTCTTTTTTTTTTTTTTTATTTATTCATCTTTATTATTATTTTATATAGGTTGTTAATCCAAATAGTGTTTTAGATTCTTCTGGTAATGAAACTTTGGATATTCTTGAATATCAACATCCTGGTACAAGTGAAAAAGTATATGAATATCTCAATAGTTATGGTGTGAAAGGTCGATTGGCCTATCAAACTTTATTGATGTATGATTGTTTCTTCTTATTATGTCGAACGGTTCCTTTATGTTTATTGGTTCAATGGGCTTTCCAATCGGCACCAAGATGGTCGCGTCCTGGTGTATGGCTTCCTTTATTGACGACGTTTGTGGATTTGACAGAAAATGTATTGATTTGGTTATTACTCAAGACATTCCCTCATCGATTGGATTTCTTAGGACAAATGACAGCTTGGATGATCGAATTGAAATGGATTCTGTTCTTTAGTACCGTGGCACTTGTATGCATATCAGGTTTAGTTGGCATTTATTATAGTTTTCATAGTATGTTGGCTAATAGTGTTTTGATGGAAAAAGATCGACAAGAAAAATTACGTGCTCGTCAACATGTGACTGATGTACTTCAACGTACACAATCAACAAGTAATGATAAAAAGAAGAAATAACATAGTAGTTGATTTAGAAATGATTGATTTAGAAATAAAAAAAAAAGAGACAACAATATTTTTTTTTTTGGTTGGTTACACATGCGGAGTGAACCTTGGCACTGCTTTTTTAGTTTATTTGGATGTATCACTGGGTTTTTTTTTTGGATTTTTCTTCTTTTTTGTTTGGACTCCCCTCTCTTTTTTTTTTTTTTTTTCTTTCTTTCCCCTTTTTTTTTCCTTTTATCCCTTTGTAGTTTTTTTTTTTTTTTTCTTTTTTTTTTTTTTTTTTTACTCTTCTTCTTCTTCATCTTGGTCTTTTTTTTTTTTTGTTATAAAATGTCATACACCTTCAGTAGAGATCGTACAGCAGAACTTCGAGTAAGTTAGAATATGATTTGAAATGTTTCATGACTTTTATGATGGAAAAAGCCAAGAATGAAAAAAAAAAAAAAAAAAAAATTGGGAGTCGGGTCCCTTTTCGGTCGATCGTAATAGTGGTGAATGATTTTTTTTTATTATTATTTATTATATAGGATTCTTTCGAAGGTACACAAAGATCAAAGTAAGACTATAGAAAAAAAGAAAAAAAAATGTCGTACTACAAAACTTATTAGGTTATTATTGATAGTGATGATTTTGGACCAGCAAGAACGCCTACAGGTTATAATAATAATACAAATCCTTTCCCTCAAGATCATACCAACAATAATCGATATAATAATACAGCTAAAGTAGATGCTTATGAAATGCAACCTCCTTCTGATATTCATACTATGCAAGGATTCTTTGATGAAGTAAGAAACTCCTCAAAATAGAAAAAAAAAAAAAACTTGTCTTAACCCCTTTCCTTTTTTTTTTTAGATTGAAAAGTTGAAGGATCAAGTTCGTTTGATTAATGAAAATATTGATGAAATTGAACAATTACATAATACAGCTTTGGTTAGTTTTAATGAACAACAATGGGCTCAAATGTCATCAAATTTGGACCGTTTGAAGAATGAAACACAAAAAAGAAATTTGGATGTCAAAAATAGACTTAAAGGTAAAAAAAAATATTTTGTATCCTTTTTTTTTAAGTCAAGAAACCTAATCTTTTTTTTTTTTTTTTTGGTAGCTATTGAATCTTCCAATGGTCAATTTAATAAATCAGATGGTCAAATTCGTCGTAGTCAGGTAATATATTATCTTTATAGATTGAATAGAAATTAATTCATCCTATTATAGAGTGCTGCTATCAAGAAACGCTTTTTGGATACCATTCAACGTTATCAAGATATTGAACGATCATATCAACAAAAATACCGTCAACGAGTGGAAAGACAAATTCGAATTGGTAACTATTATTATTATTATTATTTTATTCATATTTAGGATCACTTATCCTTTTTTTTTTACCTTTTTTTTTTTTTTTTACTTTTTTTTAGTTAAACCTGAAGCTACTGAACAAGAAATTGATAGTATCATTGATTCAGATGAATCTCCACAAGTATTTACTCAATCGGTAAAGAAGATGTTTTCTTAATCTTAGGTTGTATATTGATCATTCTATAAAATCATAGTTGATGCAAGCTAGTCGTCGTGGTCAGGCTCGTGCTGTTCTATCCGAAGTTCAAAATCGTCATGACGATATTAAAAAGATTGAAAAGACTATTTTGGTAAGTTTTATTATAAGGATGATCTATAACTTCTAAACTTTATTTATAGGAATTACATCAACTCTTTATGGATATGCAAATGCTTGTGGAACAACAAGGAGAAACTCTCAATCAAGTGGAAGAACATGCTGAAACAACTGCTGTACAAATGGAAGAAGGAAACAAATTTGTTTCTAGAGCTATCAAAAGTGCTAGAGCTACTCGTCATGTAGGTCATTCATATCTGTTATATCTTTTAGACTCATATTGGTTGTTATTTTATATAGAAAAAATGGTGTTGTTTTGTCATCTGTATTATTCTTGCTGTAGTCATTGCTATTTTAGTTTGGTGGTTTGGCTTTGGTCATCCTGTAAGTAGATCCCTTTACAATAAATATAAACACCATTTTTATTTACTTTCTTCTTCTTATCATATAGGGTGTTGGCGGCAATACCAACAATGGATCTGCTTAGTAACTTTACCTATTCATTATAATGTTCGACCTTTACCTTCTTTTTTTATAGTTGTACAGATCTTCTCCTCCTTTTTTTCCTTTCCCTACTCTTATTACTTCTTATTATTATTATATATTATTATTATTATTATTTTATTTCATCTTTTTTTTTCTTTTTATTGTAACCTTTCTTCTAGTTTTAGTTTAATGTCTTTTATAATAATAAAAATTTGACTTTTTTTTTTGATCTCATATACAGTGTATCTTGATTGTAGCTTGAATTTTTTTTTGGGGGAAGGTGATACGAAGAGATTTTCCCGCTGCGGATGAGGACCAGCCAACGTGACTTTTTGATTTGATATTTAAATATTCCCATCTTTTTTTTTTTATTTCTTTTTTTCTTTTGGTTTTCTTTCTTTTTCAATAACTCCCCTTCACTCTGATGAGTCAAATGAAAAAGAAGGAATCCCCTATTGACTCTACTCTTGTTAATAACGAAGAAGAAGGTGTCAACAACTTTGATGAATCTCCCTTTTTCAAGTATCACCACCAAAAGTCCATAGAAAATGTAATGACCTTGTTTCTTTTACAAACATATATATATACATATTAATCTTCTTCTTCTTATTTATAGCATGATAGCAAATATATTTTTCAAAACTATCATCAAGATGAAGACCCTGGTGTTTTAGATCAACCTCCTACACATCCTGTTACTGCAGCACCTTTATCAGAAACTAATGGTCCTTATGCAGAAACTGGTAAATAGAATATATATATGATAAATCTTATACAAGTCATCTTAACTTTTTTTTTTTTTTTTTTGGTTAAATAGATAGCGCGATTACGGCGGAATTAAGAGAATTATATGTTCATTTACGACGATGTTTGGATTTACGTGAAAAATACATGCGACTTTCTTGTCAACGTTTAAGTGATGATCCCAAGAATAAACCTGATTGGAATATTTATCCTCCTCCTCCTCCTGCATCTTGGCCTCTTCCACCTGAACCTGAACTCACCAAACTCAAACAAAAAGAAAAAGAACGTGAAGCTGATCCTGTGGGTTCTGTAGGAAGTGATTTCCGATTTGAAGATTGTCACATTCCTGGTAAACATGAGGTAAAAAAAAAATTATTTTGATTATTGATAAAATAGGATAACTAATGCACATATAGTATACTTTTGGTAGAAATCAAGAAGGGTTTTATCAAGTATATAAGAACGAACAAGATAAAAATGAAGATCGACCTATTTGGCATGTACCTTATCGCAAAGAATTCTATGAAGACATGGATTATGTATTGACAACTATTAGGTAACACAAAAAATCGTGGGAACAATAATGGCGGAAGTATAATAGATTTAACCATCTTTTTTTTTTTTTTTGATGTAGTGATGGTCCCGCTAAGAGTTTTGCTTTTCGTCGTTTACGTTACTTGGATAGTTCTTGGCAAATGTATATTTTATTGAATGAATTCCAAGAAATGGCTGATTCAAAGGTTAGGATCATATGTTACAATCTTCATCACGTTATTAACTAATTTTTTTTTTTTTGTATTGATAGCGTGTCTCCCATCGTGATTTCTACAACGTGCGTAAGGTGGATACTCACATTCATCATTCAAGTTGTATGAATCAAAAACATTTACTTCGGTTTATCAAATCTAAAATGAAGAAATCGCCCAATGTAAGTAAATAAATATTACCTATTCGATATTGACATTTCCTTTTTGAATAGGACAATGTGATTTATCGTGATGGACAATTATTGACTCTTAAAGGTGTATTTGAAAGTTTGAATTTAACTGCTTATGATCTCAGTATTGATACATTGGATATGCATGTAAGAGAAATAATAAAAATAATAAAAAAGGTGAGCAATCATAATGATGTTTTTTTTTTATATTCTAGGCGCATAAAGATTCATTCCATCGTTTCGACAAATTCAATCTCAAATATAATCCTATTGGTGAATCTCGTTTGCGTGAAATCTTTATGAAGACCGACAACTATGTGCAGGGCAAATATTTAGCAGAAATCACTAAAGGTAAGCATCATTGATCATAGCCTCTTTTTTGTCACATTAACTCTTTTTTTTTAAATATATATATATATATAATATAGAGGTGGTGTCTGATCTGGAATCCTCAAAGTATCAATTTGTTGAATATCGTGTTTCCATCTATGGAAGGTAACAATGCGAATGAAATATATATATATATGACAGATATTTGATGACAACTTTTTTTTTCTTTTGATAGATCGAAATCTGAATGGGACAAACTCGCCAAATGGGTGGTCAATAACAAATTGTTTTCTCATAATGTACGTTGGTTGATTCAAGTTCCTCGTCTATACAACATTTATAAATCTTCTGGTATCATCAACGACTTTGAAGATGTAATCCAAAGTAAGTAAGAACCGAAGAGGGGGATGAACATAACAATAACTTACAAATGATATCTCTTTTTTTGTTATTATTATAATAATAATAGACACCTTTGAACCTCTCTTTGAAGTCACCAATGATCCTTCGTCTCATCCTGAACTCCATGTCTTTTTACAACGTGTGGTTGGTTTTGATTCTGTGGATGATGAATCCAAACCTGAACGTCGTACCTTCAAAAAGTATCCTAAACCTTCTGAATGGGATTTCGCCACCAACCCTCCTTATAGCTATTATATTTACTATATGTATGCAAATATGGCTGCTCTCAACCACTGGCGTGCAGAACGTGGATTCAGTAAGTCATACTCAAGATGATATATATATATATATATATATATTTGCTTACTTTCTACTATTGTTTTATATAGATACTTTTGTACTTCGTCCTCACTGTGGTGAAGCCGGTGATACTGAACATTTGACAGCTGCATTTTTGACGTCTTTTGGCATCAGTCATGGTATTCTCTTACGAAAGGTGCCTGCGTTACAATACCTTTACTATTTAGCTCAAATCGGTATTGCTATGTCTCCCTTATCCAACAATGCTTTATTCTTGACTTATGAACGCAATCCTTTACCCCAATTCTTCCAACGTGGTCTTAATATTTCTCTCTCTACTGATGATCCTCTTCAATTCCATTTCACCAAAGAACCTTTGATTGAAGAATATAGTGTGGCTGCACAGGTAAATATTAAAAAAAAAAAAAAAAAAGAAAAGGTCCATTCAATAGGTTACTCATTTTTTTTTTTTTATTTGGAATAGATTTGGAAGCTCTCCCCTACAGATATGTGTGAATTGGCTCGAAACTCTGTAATCCAAAGTGGATGGGAAGGCAAGATCAAGAATCACTGGCTTGGACATGAATGGGACAAGGGTATCAACGATGTTAGTCGTACCAATGTGCCCGATATTCGTATCCGGTATCGACAAGAAATCTTGAAAGGTGAATTGGCTACGTTGCGTCGTTATGTGGATCATGACAACAATAGTAAGGTGACTTTGCACGATACTGTAGGCTTGGCTGGTATGGTAGAACCTGCAAAATTACAACATCATCTTCATGATCATCATCATCATCAAGATCCTGACAATAGCGATGATGTTCATCATTTGGCTGCTTTCCCTGGTGCTGCCCTGGCGGCTGAACGTGCCAAACGCAAACTCTCTGGATCTGGTAAAGTTGGATCTGACGATGGCAAGGAAACAACCGATTAGTTTAGTTCTATTTTATTCTACTTTAGTTTCTTTTTTTTTTCGATGAGTTGAAATAAAAATCAATGTAGATCCTACGGTACCTTTTTTTTTTTTTTTATAATAGTTGTAGCAGTATTCGTCGTAGAAAAAGAAGGTGACTTTCTTTTTGATCCAAATAATCATACAGAAACAAGATGATTTATTCATGACCTTTAAAGAGAGAAACGAAATAGAATACATTCGAGAATTTCTCCGCACCTTTGTTCATAGTTTCCTTTGTCTGTACATATTTCAATATATTCATAGAACAACGGTTTTTATTTTGAATAGAAGATGAGTCTATGGAGAGAATGGTATCAACAAAATATATGTAAAAAAAATGAAGAAAAAAAAAAGAATCAATTAGGGATAAGTAAAACTAGATTAAAACAAGGATATCTACACGAAAAAGAAAAAAGTGATATATACATATATAAAAAAACAAATGAGAGTGAAAATGATGATACTATCTATGTTCTAAAGATATAAAGTGATGATGATGATGATGATACTGGACCTAATGATGAGTCTTTTTTTGATTGTTGATGTTTTTCATCGTCCACGTCCACGGCTTCTACCACGACCAGTTGTTCCTCCTCGACCTCTACCACGACCTCTACCACGACCTCTAGTGGTCCGTTCATCGTTCGATCCATCCACGTTGTCTGCATTCAAGCTAGCATGATCCAAAAAGGTCCCTTGTCCACGACTTCGTCGACGATCTTCTTCGGCATTATAGTATGTATTGACAGCTGCATATAATTTTTCAAATTCCCATACACTACGGTTGAACATGGAATAATACCGTTCTATACTATCGTGAAGTACTTGTTCCTTTGTTTTGTTGCCTTCACAAATTGACTTTAAATCGGTTTCCATCTAATCATATAAAGATAAAAAAAATGAATCGTTCATGTTGTGCACTATTTTTGATTTTTGAGAAATACCATTTGATGTAGCTTGGGCTTACTGAGACTTTCTTCAAAACCAATGTCTTCATATCCTTTGACCAAACCAATCCCCAAGGTAGATGGAATAAAGTAGCGTTGAGAGACCTTGAAAGCATATTGCCGAAGTAGAATCTTTTTTATCAACTCTGAAATGGTTGCATCTGTTCCAATACCATGTTGTTCCATTTTGGCAATCAAGTCTGATTCAGTCAATAATCTAGGAGCTTCTGTCTTGCCGGCTTTCATCATCAAAGATGTTGGTTTGAATTGTTGTCGTTCCTCAAAGTTAGAAATGGTACATCCCTGCCACACATCATAAGTATAGATTTCTAGATAATTCTTTTGAGCAATGATTCGACCTATAAAAACAAAAAAATCATGAGTTCATACGTGGATATTCTTTTTTTTTTTTTTGGGAACTGTATGATTCACCTTTTGTATCAAACTTTTCTGTTGCAATATCAATATTCACCACGGTTTCATAGCCCACAGCATCAGCCGAACAACAACCAAGGAAACGACGAACAACGAATTCATATACTTTTTGTTGATCACCCGTCAAATTGCCGTTGTAAGCTGTTGGATGAATAGGTGGATGCGCCTTGTCGTTGTTTCTACCATTTCTGGGTGTTTGAAATTCGCCATCTAATAATCTAAGTCAAAATCAAGCGTTATTGCTAAGACCACTAGATTATCTTTTTTTTTTTTTTTTTTTACCTTTGTGCATAAGATCCCCAAGACGAATGTTGTGTTTGCATTTCAATAAGAGGTTTAAACTGGAAATTCTTGTCAAATTGATCTGTTTCAGTTCTTGGATAACTGATAAAACCTTCAGTATATAGGCCTTGAGCAATCTAAACATCAAGAGAACAATTCATCAGCATGATAATGTAGCAGTGAAGATATCTATAACTTACAGTCATAATTTGTTCACCAGTCATTCGTAAATGTCTTGTTCCTACTTTTTGAAGTTCGATTGTCGTCAAAGGAAGAGGCTTCCTACAAAATAAAATATATATAGATATAATCAGTAAAATGGTTTGCATGTCAAAGTTTGTCTTACCATTTGCTCACATTCTTTTTCGTTACTTTTGTCACCGTGGCCATTGGATTCTTCACACATTGATCATAGAGAACAAAACAAGTATGTCGATCAAAGCAATGATTGCGTTTCCAGTTGAATATCGTTTGTAAAGGTGGAGCATTTGGTATATTTTCCGTATAACTAACAGTAATCTTCCAGAATTCCTCAGGTATGAAATTTTCACGTCTAAGATATTGGTCCACCACGAATCCCAAGGTTGGAAATTGACAGCTTCCTATAATTTGTACCAAAAAAAAAAAAAAAAAAAAAAAAAAGGTCAGCTTATGATAAAACATTCATTATATAATTCCTTCGTTTTGAACATACCATAACTGATAATCATCGAATCATTACCACCAATAAGTCCTCGTAATCTAATAGACTGGAATCGGGTAAATGCTGCCCCAGTACGTAAATCCAATTCTCTGCGAGTCATAACAGCTTGTATAGCCTGTTCATCCAAGGTACCTGGGTTTTGAGCAGCATGATGTATAGGACTTTTATAAGAGAATAAAAGAAAAAAAAAGTGAGAATTCATCATGTCAAATAATATATATATATATACTTACCCTGGCTGCATAGCAGAAAAGTGAGCTCGCCATACTTGTATATTCGGATTGACTTTTCGACATACTTGTACCACTTCACCACCAATACTTTCACCTTCACGATCACAATCAGTCCATATGAATAAAACGTCTGCTGAACGTGCTTGGTTTCGTAAGTTTTGAGCGACGTTTTTCATATCCTATTATTCAGTATTGAATCAGTATCATATAAAGTTGGACGAATTCTTTACTTACTTCAGGAATAGATTCTATAACGTTCAATCGGAAAAGATCTCCAGGGTCACAACCAGTCCAACTTCGATGAGAGACAGGAAAATCCAAATCAGTCAAGTGACCAAGAACTGATGTCATAACCATAGAAACAGTTCTTTGATTCAAAGTATAATCAAAGGTATAATTGCGAACATACTTGTTACCAGATTCACGCTACCAATATCATATATATGCGTTAAAATGACCAAATATATATATATATATATATATATAATATGAACTTACGGATTGAAAGTTTGATTGAGATAAGATCTGGGTAATATTTTTTGCTGCTTTTGGTTTTTCTGCCACACATAAGATTTTCGAATACATGGAAAGGAAGACAAAAAAAAAAAAAAAAAAAGGTGGCAAAGTTTCAAAAGAGATTTAAAAAAAAAAAAAAAAAGGCGCGTATCGGCAAATCAAATGTTCTGTAAAGTATGTAGTTCGTGTTCATAGAAAAAAAGAAAAAAAAAAGTCAAATCACTAATAAATTATACTTTGTTCATCAAAAAAAAAAAAAAAAAAAAAGAAAATTAAATTGAATGATTATTTGATTATGATACTATTTTAGTTGAATTTCTTTTTTCAAAGAGGAAACTCGTGGGCCATCATTGTAGATCCACAATTTCAAACTCCTTTTATATGATTGGAAGAAAGTTTGATTTTTTTTTTTGTTTTCTTTTCTTTTTTTTTTTTTTTTTTTTTCTTCAATATCAGCATGTCTTCATCAAAAGATGATATTTATATGACTAGAAAAGATAAAGATGAAGCAGAACAAACCTTCCTTCCCAATCCTGCTACACAAAAACGACCTGCCAATCATCCTGTCACGTTGATCGTACTTGTGATTGCTTTTTATTTCTTCATCTCTTTATCTGTGGTATTCTTAAACAAGATCATCATGAGTGGTTCCGACTTTAATTATGCTTTATTTGTCACTTGGTATCAACTTGTCGTGGCTCTTGTTTTACTTTTGGTACTTGCTCATCTTGGAAAAACGTAATGGAAATAAAAAAAAAAAAGTGACATTGGATAGATAAACTCATCTATAATTATATCTTTTCAGGAACAAGACTTTTAGTATCATTCCTCCTTATGAATTTGACCAACAAGTAGCTAAAAAAGTAGCACCATTGACTATTGTCTACGTACTCATGCTTGCCTTGAACAATCTTTGTCTACAATATGTTGAAGTTACCTTTTATCAAGTAAATCATTAAAAAAGAAAAAAAAAAGATGATATAAGTTGGCTAATAATAATATATTTTTTCTATTTTAGGTAGCAAGATCGTTGTCTATCAATTTTACAATTCTTTTCACTTATATGATTCTTGGAAAAACTACTTCCTTCCCAGCTCTGATTGCTTGTTTTATTGTGTTCCTTGGATTTGCTATCGGTTCTTATGGCGAAATCAATTTCTCTTGGGCAGGTGTCATTTATGGTGTGGGATCCTCTGCATTTGTAGCATTGTACGGGATTTACGTTCAAAAGACATTGGCTGCTGTGGATAACAATCAATGGAAATTACTTCATTATAACACTACCATGGCTATCATCTTCCTATTCCCTCTTGTCGTGTTTTCTGGCGAACTCTCGGAAATCTTGGCTACCTCAACTGCTATTTATGATCTTGGTTTTTGGGGACTCATGACTTTTACTGGTATCACCGGCTTTGGAATCAATATTGCCATGTTCTTACAGGTCAAGTATACTTCTGCTTTGACAAATACTATCTGTGGTACCGCCAAGGCTTGTGTACAAACTGTTCTGGCCGTAATGATCTTTAGAAATCCTATTTCTGGCATGGTAATGATCATCATCATAATAATAGAAAAAAAAAGGGAAGAGAGAGAGAGAGAGAGAGAGACGGAAAGAGACAAAGGGAAATATCGGCATTGATATAAATGAATGATGGATTCATCTTTCTTTTTTATTTATTTATTTAGAATGCACTTGGTATTCTTTTGGCTTTGTTTGGTTCAAGTTATTATGGTTGGGTACGCTATCAAGAGCGTTTGTCAAAATAGAATTAGTGTAGTTTATTATCAAAAATATCTATTACTGTAAAAAAAAATAAATAAATACGTGTTCTTATCAACATTATAACATGATGAATAAAAATACAATAACTATAACATTTCTTATCCATCCAACATGAAATGTTTTATATCATCACCGATCCTTTTTTATATAAATACAGTGTTTTCAAAGTTTTTTGTCGGGTCACAAGAAAATGTTTTTCGTGATGTTATAAAATAAAAAATCGTACTTTCCCAAAATGAATGTCGCATTTCCACTTTTTTAGATATCGCTTTAGAGATGTCGGTAGAGTATGTCATTGATTGATCATTGATTGATGTTTGATTGATGACTGATTGTTAGCTGATTCTTTTCAACAGGCCATCTTTGGAAAAAAAAGAACTATATTTTTTATATTGTATCATCATCATATTCACAGTTAAGACAGGGGTATACTAATGTAATATTCATATCTGGTGATGTTGATGTGAATTTGCATAATAGTTCCTTTCTTTTTTTTTTAAAAAAAAAAAATACATTTACTCGGGTCTTCTTTGTTTATTTTCATTAACTGAGACATTCGATCGATCGATAACGAATGTAAATTTGCATAATAGTTCTTTTTTTTTTCTTCTGAGGTATTTTTGCCAGGTTTATTTTATTCCTTGATCAAGTGAGAGATATAAAAAAGTGCTATTTTATTTTTCTTTTTTTTTCTGTTTCTTTTTTCTCTTTTTTTTTTCCTTTTTTTTTTTCTTTTTCTTTTAATTTCTTTATCTATTTTGATATCAATTTTTAAACCAATTTACAAGCATACAAGACCTTTATATCCATCCACTCCAATACAAGTTTTTTTTTTCTGGACCACAACCTTACAAGAATCAAGACGGGCCTTTAGGTCCATTTGCTTTTTTTTTTTTATATATACTTATTGGACTTCCTTCTTTCTGTGCCTTGCTCAATAGTAAGTTTCTTTTAATGATAATAATAATAATGATACAGTGTATTAATCATTCTCTTCTTTTTTTTTCTTTTTGAAATCTCTCTTGGTGCTCAAAGTGAATATCAAACTGTACAGCAACATATAAAAATATGTTATCGCCTCTTCGGAGGACGTATTTAATGCTTCCCTACAGGTAATTTGAAATAAATATAAAAAAATGGATATGTTGACTAAATAATATTTTATTTCCTATTTTTGCGACATCTTATTCTTTGAATTCCGTCATTTTTTATTGAATAAAGTGTAGCTACTTTTTTCCTTTATACTTTTTTTCTTTGTCAAGAAATATATTATAAAAACAAAAAATCAATTTTGTTTAAAATCATACATCAACCATACAATCATCTGGTCACTCTTTTGGATAATCATCATCTAAAAGTTTTACAATCAAGATTTATTTTTTTTTAATCATCTGTTTTTACTTGTATCATTTTTTTTTTATTTTATTTTATTTAAATTTGATCATCCATCAATCTCCATATATCATTTCCTCTTTTGGATCATCCTTCTTTTTTTCTTTTAAATTACTTTTGTTCTTTTTTTATAAAAGAACTGGTGCTCACTACGAACAATCATCATCATTATTATTTTATTAATGACAATTGTCAAGGATATCATCAAGGAAATTAATAAAAAATAAAAATCATGCGTATGTCTGAGTTCAATTATTTTATTTATTTACTTTTCTCCTTCTTTGTTTCTTCGTTTCTTTTGTTTTTCTCACTTTCTCCTTTTCTTTCTCTTTTCCTTTTTTCTTCCTGTTTTTTCTTATCCCCTTTTTGTTCTCCTTCATTATAACAATGATACATTAGTTAGTCTCTCCTTTTTAGTTTAGGTATAAATACGTTATTTTATTTCTACAACAATAAAAGGAACTATCTGTTATCTTTTGGTCAACAATTACTTTTACATTGTTTATTCTATTCTCATCAAACAACTACTCTATTCTCGTAAGCTACATATATACTTATTTTTACCTGTCTATCTGTCTGTGTACTGATAATATACCATTTCTCCTGTCGCGTTTTTGACAATAATATCCAACAATCACATTAACCAATCATCCACCAAATAACGAAAAAATCCTTACCATAACACTTATGAAGATTTCATATCATTTAACGATGCGGATATTTAAAAGAAAATTTTTTAAAATCTCACACTTTTTACCTGGATCTCACGAATTTTATTAAATCCCACACATTTATACAGATCTCACGATATTATCAAATCCCACACTTTTTTCAGTTTCCAAAAATCTGTTTTTTAAAAAAAAAAAAAAAAAAATAAATTATTTAGTATAAAATTATTTAGTATAAATACACCTTATGAAAATAAAATACAATCATAGTCAATTTTTAAAAAGAAAAATATTATTTTAACAATTATAAATCACTTTGGCCACTCTATTGGAAATAATCATCCATTGGTTTTAATTATCTTAACAATCATCACACTTATTATTTTTTTTTTTTATTTATATACCAAATCATCAAGTCATTTTGGTATCTTTCATTTATTTTATTTTATCTGATCATCATTTACTGTGATTACCAACTTTAATCCATTTCCATATTTGGATCATTTTATTTTTTTTTTTGTCAAAATACGTTTTGTTCTTTTTTACAAAAGGAACTGGTGCTCACTACCTCTATAAAATCATCGATTTAAACATTTTATTTAAATCATCCATCCATCCTATATCCCATCATCATCCGTTGAGAACAAAAAAAAAATCTTAACACTTAACAAGCGAGTAAAAAAAAAAAAAAAAAAAAAAAAAAAAAAAATCTTTGCCGCGAAAAAAGAAAGAATATGATTGGCTGAGGTAATTAAGCTTATTGGCTAAAAATTTTGCGCGGTCGGGGAATCGAACCCCGGCCCTTCGCGTGGCAGGCGAAGATTATACCACTTAACCAACCGCGCTTGATGTTTTTCGAAAATCAATTTCTACATTATGAATCTCATCGTAAATTTCAGCCAATCACGTTCGAGTAGTGACAATTTGGTGTTACATTCATCATTCCTTCGATGATGTATGCAATCGGGGAATTCCTTTTTTTTACGGTTTTCTCCTCTTCTTCTTTGGTTTCTCTTTTTTTTTTTTTTTTTTTTTTTTTCTTTTTTCTTTTTCCTTTTTTCTTTTTAATCTTTTCTTTTTTCTTTGAACTTTTTGATATATATATATTTTTAACGTATCTTATTATACTTTGATACCTTTTTTTTTTTTTTTTTTTTTTTTTTTTTTTTTTTTTTTTTACATTTATCATAAATATATATATATACTTTTCTTGACTTGACCAAACTTTTATTTTCTTTTGGGGTTTACATTCTTCGGTTACATTCAACAAATTTTTTTTTTGTCAACCTTCATTGAATAAACTCACATCGTCTCAATTTTTTCTTCATGTCCTCTGTTACTTGTCTACTTTTTGGATTGGCTTTATAACTACCTTCTAGGCTTTACATTTTGGTGAGACTACCAGGGGGATTCTAAAAAATAAAAAAAAATATATACATTCTTACTCAAGTACTTCAACTCAACATGATTCAAGACACGGTCTACCAGTTTATTGGTCGACCCAAGACATATTCTGGTTCTGATGGCCAAGGAATTTCTGCTAGGGCTTGGCTCAAATCACTTATTCGCATCAAAGATGGTATGGACTTCGACGATTCAAAGATGTTGTGGATAGCAGCTTCAAACTTATCTAGTCTTGCTTTATTATGGTGGGACACAAACGAAGAAGATATCAACTCCTGGAACGAATTTGTTGGTGCTTTCTCTGGTCAGTTCATTGCAGGTGATAATCTCGATCATCTATGGTATGAATTAAAAACTCTTCATCAAGGAAATCATTCTGTGGATGAATTAGGATATCGTCTAGTGGAACTTTTCGGACACCTAGGAATTCGGGATGAACGATGAAGAAGAAGATATTTGGAATCATCTCTACATCCGGACTTGGCATTGGCTCTCGAAGCTAAAGATGACCTTCACGATTTCAAGGCTTGCTTAATTATGTGAAAAAGTGTTAAATTTGTGTGTAGATAAAATAAAATAAAAAATATGGGACTAGTAGTAAGTTAGTGAGATTCTTAGTTTATTTAAAATAAAAAAAGTTGATTATTATACCTACATTTGAAAAATTTATGTCTCTTTTATATCTGTTTTGAAAAAAAAATAATTAATCATCATATGTATTAAATACAATGTATACTCTTTGTTGGTATATCTGATTAGTTTGAATGATATTCATGATTCATTCCCTATGATGATGATGATTATATGGTAAATATATCGACATTCTTCATTCATTAAATTAAAGCTCTTTGCTCAAGGGAAAACTTAGATTAAGAGTAGAATAAATTTCAAAGTCCCCCTTCTTTTTATTTTTAATACGCCTACTTTTTATTTTTTTTATTTTTCTTCTTTCTTTTTCTCTTCCATTGACTTTTTTTTTATGGTTTTATTGTATACATTAGTATAGTCGTTAGATTACATACTTTTTTTTATTCAATAAAGTTTTTATTTTATTACATATCAACGGGGTCATTTCCATCTACAAGATGTATTATATATGTATGAATGCATTCTTTTTATTTTTTTATTATACGGATATGTTACAGGTACCAAATACACCGACAGAACAAGATCGACTTGCCTTTATTCCATCTCTTTTTTTTTTTTTTTTTTTTCTTAGATGTCTCTTCGAAATGATAATGGCAGATACCAAGGAATTAAGATAAGGAACTGTGAAAAAAGAAAACAGAAATGTCACCAAGGGTCTTGGGTGGAAGTCAATACAAATGTTCTCATGCAACACACTTATTGATGAACGAACAACAGTAACGAAGTCAGCAGCATACAAGGATTGATGATACACGCTGTCAAACAGTTCCTGCGCTTGTTTCGATCGTTTCAAAGTAGTATTTGATGGCAAACAATAGGGCATCGATGAGGTACGGATATAATGGTCTTATGATGAATGATGTGTTGGTACTTTTGTTTGGGGAAATGAACGATGCTTGTATGGTCTTTTTTTTTTTTTTTTTTTTTTTTTTTTTTTTACCGTCATGTTGGTCATCTCTTTTACCTTTTTTTTATTTTGATAAATGGGGACAGTGGATAGTGAATGGATGACGGTGTGACGAATGAATGATGATGTGATTAAAGTAGTTGATTGGATTAAAAAATATAAAATAAAATAAAATAATAATAAAGACAAATCGAAATACGATGAGACTGTTGGTAGTGTTTTGATTTCAATTAGAATTGAATGAGAGAAAAAGAAAAGAGAAGAAACTATCCTAATCCAATCTTAAATGACAAGAAGCTGAGATATTTTACTTATCCGTCTAGATACGACAGTGATGAATGGACGATGACATCAAAGGTAATGATATCGTCGTTGATGCCTTTTTCGATATGTGTATAGTATTAAAAAAAAATAAGCACTTTGCTGGATTTTTTTAGAACCAAATAACAATTAACGTTTATTTTGTTTGCCTGGTATGAAAGGTGATTTGATTGATTTATAAGAATTTTTTTCCACTTCATTGGTTGTGATAAGCTACTGAGTTTCACTGGTCAGTGTAGAAGAAACTTAATGATGAGAATGGCTGACGATGGTCGACAGATAATTGAATGATAATCCTTTTGATGACAGCTTTTCGATGACTAGTAAGAATATTGTAATTATATCAATAACATAAAACAATAACGACAGTGATAGAATAGCATGATTATAAGTTTATTAAAGAAGAATGTAAAAAGAGAATGTATTGTCAAACGTAGCACCACTAAGACTAACGCTAACTATCCATAAGAGAATCACCACGATAAGTAGCAGACAAGAGATAAAAAAAGAGGAAGAGGGAGGCCTACCAAAAAAAAAAAAAAGAAAAAAAAAAGGGAAGACATTTCCGTAATTGACTTTCTTTTCTTGTCCAGTCGAATCCTGCTGTAAATCCATTTTGTTAACTCTGTACTGTTCTATTGATCCAGTCCTGCATTCCTTCAGTTGTCCAATCAGCTAGTTGCTCCTATTTTATATTCATCCAATTGATCGTATTATGTCTCCATCCAGATGATCCCGTTGTATAGTAATATCGTCATATCCTATCTGCATCAAAGAGTACAGTAAAAAGAAAAAAAAATCAAATGATTATCAACGCAGGTTAGTTCAGAGGAAGACAATAAGTGTTGAAAGGTCAGAAGAGGAAGCAGAGAGGTGATCAAAAGTTGATAACGTGAATGAAGAAAAAGACAGAGAAAAAGAGGTTAGTCAAGCTAGTAGAAAAATAGAGAAGTAAAATGGTGACTTACAGAAAATAGAAAGAAAACCCTAGGATACCATTCTTTTTCATAATCGACCTACAAAGGGACTTAGACAAAATAAAAGGTCTTAAAACTGATTAGTATACAATTCAATTCATCACTTGCTATTTTTTCTGATTGATGGCTTTACCTTTGACGCGTTGACTACACATCAGAATGACAATGGGAAAGACATTGATAATAAGTCATGTAATTGTCCATAAGGAAAGAATATGAATAAGGTTTCAATCAAGGTAGATCATAAAAAGTAATGGGGGAATGAAAATAAAAAAGAAAAAGATAGAGGAAAGAAAAGCAAAGAAAAGGAAAAGAAGGAAAAAGATTTTTTATGTTCAAACTCAACTTAATTGACCTGTTCAGGAAATTGCTTGAATGAGTCTCTAGAACATGATTGTTTTCGTTATTATGCATGCGCCGTTCTACAAAGCAGATCATTTTCCCAAGGGGTAAAGACATCGTCTTTCCTACTCTCACCCACATCATGTAAAAGAAAGGCAAAAAAACCCATCGTCAATTGGCTATGTAGATCCTATCCACTTTTTCTTTAAAAGCATGATTCAAAAACGGGAGAAATATAATAAGCCTATCCTGGAAAAAAAAAATTAAGGGGTATCGTTTGCAAAGTGATCGTCGCAGAGTTGTGCTCTATAAAAATGCTGAAAAGATGGCCCTTTTTCTTTCTCTCTTTTTTTTTTTTTTTTCTGTTCATTACATAAACAATCATCATCATGGTCTCCAAATCATTTATGATCCTTGCTTTTCTTGTCTGTGCTGTCTCCAGTTCCCCCGTTAAAGGTAAATCAAATGATGAGGCTATTATTCCTGATAACAGTGATGTGAAAAGAACGAATGGTGCCGATGGCGAAGCAGACAAGGGCACTGGCATTCGTGCTAGACAAGAAGTCGGTGGCACCCCCATCAATAGTACACCCAATATTCCTATTACTGGTGATCTTTCTGGTGGTCTTTCTGGTAGTGATGGTGGTGGCGTTACTAGTACTCTTGGATGTATGAATACACTATCAGTAGAATGTAGAAAACAATTTGAAAAGTTTCTAGATATGACTCCAGCACAGTTGTCGCAACGCGCTATTGAGATAGCAACCTTTCACCATAATTGTCCATGTAATAAATAATAATAAATATCTCTTCTAAGAATTCATAATTTTAATAAATTATAAAATATTTAAATTTTATTCTATTTGTCTGGCGTGAAAGATGATTTGATTGATTTATAAGTGATGTCTTTACTTTGCTGGTTGCGATAAAGTATTGGGTTCCGTTGGCCAATGTATAAGAGATTTGTTGATGACTACGAAAGAGTATTGGGGTGACGATGACGACAATAAAGCAGTGACGAAAATAGTAGGGCAAAATCGGTACAATTTTATTAAAAAAGAATGTAAAATAAAGGATATACTATAGATAATGTAAATACCACTAAGACTAACGCTAACTATCCATAAGAGAGTTGTCACAAGAAGTACCGGGCAAGAAGAAAAGAAAGAGATTCACCAAAAAAAGACATTTGTACAATAGACCTTTTTTTCCCTTGTCCATGGAATCCTGTTGTAGAATCATTTCGTTGAGTCTATTGTATATCCATCCAATTAATCCTGCTACGTCTCCATACATAAGATCCAGTTGTATGGTAACATCGTCGTATCATATTCCCATAAAAGTATCAGTAAAAAAATATCAAATGATCGTCAAACCAGGTTAGTTCAGAAAACAGTGATAGGATGAGTGGTCTAGAGATCAGAAAAGGAAGTATAAAGGCGATTAAATACTGATAAAGAGAGACGAAGGATAAGACAAAGAGAAAAAAAAAAGCTGTTATCAAGTCAAACTACACAGAAAAATAGAGGAAGGGTGACTTACTGGAAATAGAGACAGAAACCATAGGACGCCATTCCTTTTCATAATCGACCTACAAAGGAACCTAGACAAGAATAAAAGGTCATAAAACCGATTAGTATATAATTCAATTCATCACTTGCTATTTTCTTTGATTGATGGCTTTACCTTTGACGCGTTGACTACACATCAGAATGACAATGGGAAAGACATTGATAATAAGTCATGTAATTGTCCATAAGGAAAGAATATGAATAAGGTTTCAATCAAGGTAGATCATAAAAAGTAATGGGGGAATGAAAATAAAAAAGAAAAAGATAGAGGAAAGAAAAGCAAAGAAAAGGAAAAGAAGGAAAAAGATTTTTTATGTTCAAACTCAACTTAATTGACCTGTTCAGGAAATTGCTTGAATGAGTCTCTAGACATGATTGTTTTCGTTATTATGCATGCAGAAGTATAAATTATCCTTTTTTTTTTTCTCTACCCTCCGTTCTACAAAGCAGATCATTTTCCCAAGGGGTAAAGACATCGTCTTTCCTACTCTCACCCACATCATGTAAAAGAAAGGCAAAAAAACCCATCGTCAATTGGCTATGTAGATCCTATCCAGTGTTTTTTTTTTAAAAAAAAAAAAAAAGATTGAAAAGGATGAGAAATATCATAAGCTTAGTGACTTTTGGTTACTGTACCATATCCTATCCTGCAAAAAAAAAGAGCAAGGGGTATAATGCGGAAGACTGTACCATTTCCTATCCTGCAAAAAAAAATAAAAAAAAAAAAGGGATACTCTTTGCAAAAAGATCATCGCGGAGTTCTCTATAAAAATGCAGAAAAGACGATCCTTTTTCATTTCTTTTCTTCTGTTCATTAAATAAACGATAATCATCATGGTCTCCAAATCATTTGTCATCCTTGCTCTTCTTGTTTGTGCTGTCTCCAGTGCCCCCGTTAAAGGTAAATCAAATGATGAGGCTATTATTCCTGATAACAGTGATGTGAAAAGTGCGAATGGTGCCGATGGCGAAGCGGACAAGGGCACTGGTATTCGTGCTAGACAAGCCGGTGGCACCCCCATCAATAGTACACCCAATATTCCTATTACTGGTGGTGTTTCTGGTGGTCTTGGTGGTGGAGTTAATGGTGTTCTTGGAAGGTTAAATGGATGTATGAATACACTATCAGCAGAATGTCAAAGTCTAGTTCAAAAGTTTCAAACTCTGGATCCAACACAGTTGATACAACACGCTGCCGAGTTAGCAACCCTTAACCAGAATTGTCCATGTAACAAATAATGATAAATGTCTCTTCTAAGAATTCATAATTATTAATTTTAATAAATAATAAAAACATTTTAAATTTTGGTGCCTGGAGGAAAGATGATTTGATTGACTTATAAGGGATTTTTCATTTCTATTGGTTGCGATAAAATACTGGGTTTGGTTGGTTAGCGTAGAAGTCACTTGGTTGTGAGGATGATCATTGGATGACGATGATGTATGATAACTCCTTTGATGACGACTTGACGGTATTAAAATGGTACAGTATTGAGATCAGGATAACGAGAATAATACAATGATGACAGTGGTAGGAAAATATAAATACAAGTTTATTAAAAAAGAACGTAAAGAGAGAATGTACTATATCTAATGTAATAACGGATAAGACTAACCCTAACCATCCCTAAGGGAATCACGACGATAAGAACCAGATGAACGACAAATACCCGCCGAAGACGACCTTTGCACAATCGATTTTCTTTGCTTATCCAGTCGAATCCTATTGCAAACCCATTTTGCTTGCCCAGTAATATTCAATCCAGTCCTATATTCCTTCAGTTGTACGTCCACCTAATGATCCTGTTGTGTATTCATCCGATTGATCCTGCTACGTATCCACTCATGTGATCCAATATATAATAAAATTAACATCGTCGTATCGTCTTATCCTGTAGACCCCCACAATACTGTAAAAAAAAAAAATCAAATGATCATCAACGCAGGTTAATTGAGGAGAAGACAGTGATAGAACAAGTCGTTGAGAGACCAGAAGAGGAAGCATAAAGACGACCAAATCCCGATACAAAGAAAAATAAATGATCACAAAGCACTGTAGATCAAAAAGGATAAGAGAAAAAAAATTAGTCAAGTCAAACCATCTAGAAAAATAGAGAAATAAACGATGACTTATTGAAAGCAGAGGGCAACCATTCCATTTCACGTCCAAAGGAATAGTCGACAAGAATAAAGAATCATAAAAACCGATTAGCATCGCGGTTCAATTCAATTTTTTTTTTTTCAGATTGGTATTACCTTTGCAGAATGTCAATGATGGTAACGCTAATAGGTCATGCAACTGTCCAAAGAGAGGAGAAGATGAATGGGTCCCAATTAAACTAAGACACGAAAATAAAAGTGATGGTGAAAGAAAAGAAAGGGTAGAATAAAAAAAAAAAGGAGACAGAGAAGAAAAGATATGGAATAGAAAATTTTGCAAGCCAAATATGTATTTGAACTCCTCCAGTTTAATGGACCCAGTAGATCAAACTTCCTTTTGTGAGTAAAAAACTGTTATTATAGATTAGTTAGACGAGTGTATATAATGGTGTGGTAAAGGGTGATAATGACTGAAAATGGTTCAGATGGCTTTCCACTCGTGCCTTGGACCATCCAACTTGAGCCAGCTGGGAGACAAGAGTGATGCATAATCCATCCATATGATTTCGTCTACATAGACAAAGAAGTCTTCTTCATTTTTTTTTTTTTTTTTTTTTTTTTTACTTCAAAGAAAGTTATAGATGATAACATCATCCACCTGTTTTAATCCTCTTTGCAGAAAAATTTTCAAATACGGTCCTTTTTTTTATTTTTATTACAACATTCATTCTATTTTTCGATGATATATGAGAAGGTACACTCTCGACGGTAGTACATTGACCATCGAATCTTCCATTTGAGTACTATTAAAAAAAAAAGGAACTCTTCTCTACCAACCTCGTATCCATCCTTTGTGTCATGCTTTATGCGATGACTCGTGATTCAGGAAACCAACGGAGCGGGAAATGAAAGCATGTATGTTATGTTTCGATCAAAGGCAAATTGTTTTGGCGTTTATTAGTGAATATGAATGAGTGAACACCTATTGTTCATCCAATTCCTTTTTTTTTTAAAAAAAAAAAGAATGCTGATGATTGGTGGTTTGTTTGATGATGCAAAAAAAAAAAAAAAGAAAAACTAGTGAATGGGAGGTACAGATTCACCACCCAAATTTTTTCTTTTTTGCATCAACCAATAAAAAATCAGTAGCTATTCTTGCTGACAGATGATAACATGGTTGTTAGGTTTCTTGTCTTTCTTTTAAACACCCGCGATCACAGAAAAAAAGAAAAGAGGTATTTATCGTACTATAGAATCATCAAAGTAAAAAAAAACCCTTCATCATGATTCCTTGTCATAAAATAAAGGGAATACCTATTTTTCGTCATGATATATCCTTTCTTTTGAAGATGCCTTTGTTCATCATAATCTTATCAGTTGGACGTATTTGGAAATCAAGGTTCCCAAACTCCGATGATGATGATGACAATGTCAGTTTTTTGAACTCTAAAATGAATGGGATCATACATGTGTCACAACCTCAGCACTAATGATGGGTAATAATAACTTTATTCAGTTTGAATTTTTATTTAGAACAAAAGGGAGGAAGAGGTCGATTTTTTTTTAAAACAAAGGCAAATTCAAAGATTATAATACAATATGTATGGAAGAGGAGAAGTGTATATATGAATGGATGGATGGAGACTTGTGAATAAAAAAAAAAAAAAAGAGAATGTGTTATATATAATGAAGAGAGGAGGGAATGATGATCTAATTAACTAGTCTAATCCTTCTTGGTAAATTGATCTTCGGTAACACCCTTGCCCATAGCAGCAGTAGCAGCAACACCACCAGTAACAACCTTGATTAATTCATCAACATAGTTAGCACCAGACCATTTTTGATGTTGGAGGACATCGACATCATGTTCACGTTCCTGGCGTTGCACATTGTTGACATAACCGTACATACCACGTTCCTTGAAGCTACGAGCAAAGATGGCGGTAGTGAGAGCGTTGGCATGAAGACCACCCAAAGTGATGAATTGCCAGACGAAACCAAGTTTACCCAATTGCCAGACATAAGCTTCCATATCTTGATCAGTCATACCAGCAGCATCCCTAAATAAACAAAATATAAATGAATACTTGTTCACACACACTTATATGATTATTATTATTATTTTATCTTACCAGTTGAAGGAAGGAGACAAGTTGTAACACAACTTGGCTTCAGGGTAGGCGGCCAAAACACCCTTAGAGAATTGTTCAGCTTGAGAGAGAATAGGCTTCTTGGTTTCCATCCATAACATATCAGCATAAGGAGCGAAAGCAATAGCACGGGCAGTAGCAGCTTCAGTACCACCTTCATAACGGTAGAAACCTTCACGTACACGAGGAGATTCACAATCCCAGAAGATATCAACACCATAGGATTTGGCAATAGCACGAGCTTCAGTGTTGGACTTGAAGTGAATCTTGGATAAGAATTCTTCAGCAGCTTGAGCCTTACCGGCCTTCTTGAGTTCATCAGCGACAGCAGTACCATAACGTTTCAAACCAGCCTTAGCAACCCATTCATCTTCAATAGCTTGAAGAGCAGCACCAGATTTGCCTTGTTGTTCAGCTTGAGTCATCAATTCAGCCAAAGGAGGGAGTTGAGTAGTAGCACCAACCAAGAATTCGTGATCACGGATATCAATGTTACTGCTGATCAAAGTAGCGGCTTCGGCATCGGAACGGGCAACCACAATATTTTCCACACCCATAATATCATATTGTAAACGGATAGCGATCAAACGGTTAATGTGTTCAGCAATAGGGACCAACACCTTACCAGCCATATGACCACACTTTTTGGTACCAGGGCATTGATCTTCAACGTGAATACCAGCAGCACCACGTTCAACAAACATCTTGGTCAACTTCATAACAGCAGTAATACCACCATGCTAAAAAAAAAAAAATGAGTATCATCACGGATTTCACTTAGCTTTAACTTACGCCAGTGTCAGCATCGGCAACAATGGGACGAAGATAATCAATCTTGGGGGTCTTGGCACGTTCTTCAGGAGTCATGGACAAACGAGCTTGACGTTGCTTACGATCATGGAAAAGTTGAGCCTTGAAAAGATGATCAACCTTGTTAGGAACAGTATCCATAGGGTAATCAGCAAGATCAGGTCCAGGTTCGTTAGAAGTGGAAGCAGTAGAAGATGATTGCCAACCAGAGACATAGACAGTTTCGATACCAGCATTGGCCATTTGAGTTACCTATATAAAAAAAAAAAAAAGAAGAAAGTAAGAACACCATGAACGAATGAATAATGAGTTTACTTACTTGAACGGGATCCAAGGCACCGAAAGTATGACTAGTTTCACCAGTAGCCTTATTCTTTTCAAGAAGCTTCCAGAGTTTCTTGGCCATGACATCAGAACGATATTCAGTAGGGAATTCACCACGCTTAGAAACAACTTGTTCAGCAGTATAAACACGCTTGACATTACGGAAACGTGGAGAAGTCCACCATTTATTCACTTGGTCAACTTCTTGTTGGAAAGCAATCAATTCTTGGTCAGCCATGTTGGATTGTTAATAATAAAAAAAAAGTATAGAAAAAAAAAAAAAGAAAAGAAAAACAAAAAAGAAAAGAAAGATAGAAAGATTTAAATAAAATTTTGGGTTTAAATATTTCTTTTTTTTTTTCTTTGGTAGGAGTCAAGGCTTACAGCTTAAAAGTATCTTTTTTTATTAGATTCATGTGATGAGTTTGATTTACCGCCACATAAAAAGGGAAAGGGACAAACTAATTGGCACTAATCATCCATGTGAAAAAAGGAAAGGAGTTTCATTCTCTTGTCATGATTTCCCGGCTTCTCCGCAAAATTTCAACATCTTTTCCATTGCTCATTTGTCAGCCTTTACCCTTATTATACTAAGCTTCAATTCACGGCCTTTACTGATTTCATGGCCCCTTCCTCTTTACTTTTTTTTTTTTCCTCTTATTTATTCTTCTTCTTTATTATCGTCATCATCTTTCTTTTTTTTTTTTTAATAAAATACTTGATATGATTCATATTTCTTCTTGGATTTTATCTTTATAAATGATATCGGTTCATTTCGGTATCCAAACAGATGGAAGTAGAAATCTATATTTGATGGAATCATCTATTACTTTTTCTTTCATTTTTGTATAGAAGAACGATAAAAATCTTTTTTTTTTTTGATTTCCTTGTTGTTATTCTTCTCCTTCTTTTTTGCATGAAAAGATCGCGTTTATCCTCTCGTACAACCTTACTGTCGGTAATTCAACAGGATGGAATTTTTCTTTTTTTGTGGGGAATTCCTGCAAATAGGATGATTGTCTTTCCCCTTTTTTTTCATATAAATAAAAAGTTTTGATAAACAAATAATAATAATAATAATAATAAAGACTCAACTTATCGTTTAATCATCATGAATAGAAAAAAAAAGGATAGACAAGATACCAAAAACAGAAAGGATCATTTGATTTACTTCTTTTAATGATTTATTTCGAATTGCCGGACCCTTAAAAAGATTTACCCTTAAAAGTCTTAAATGTTGCCCCCCAACAACAACTACTTGGTATTCTTCAAATCTTGAAAATCCTATATCCACACTTTATTTCAAAAATAATCAAACAAAAAAAAAAAAAGTAATCATCCCCAACAACAACAAAAAAAATTCTATACTAGAGATTAAAAAAAGATTATATCTATCTATCTATTATTTCTATGCATTGAATTGTTTCACATCCCAAGTATTATCCAATCGAGTTGTCAATTCATCTTTTTGTTCACCAAGTATAGCCATAGATGCTTGTTGCAAAGCGAGAGATTCAGCCACTTGTCGTACATCAGATTGTGTCACGGATAATAATTGATCACGTCGCCGTTGTCGCATTTCATCAGAGATACCGTATACAAATTGAAGCATACCTTCTTCAGATACACTTTGTGGAGCATCAATCCCCTGGAAAATAGAAAGCTTAGCTTCGGTCAGTTCTTGATCCGTAAAATTATGTTCCACCGCCCAAGTAAGTGATGATTTATAAGTATCCAGAGTTTCCATGGCACGAGGATCGCGATAAGAATAAAACGAGAAGATACCATTCAATCCAGCATATTGTGATCCACCGCCATAAGCACCATTCTTTTCACGGATCTCACGATGTAAATAATGATTTGTCATCAAAGACGATAATACTTGGTATTTAGCACCATCTTCATTTGTATATGGAACACCACGTAATGCCTTGGCTGAAAAGTTGACAGAGAATGGAAGAGGGAAGAATGTTTTGCGATATTCAGGTACAAATACTGTTGATGATGTTGATGATGTTGGATTAGATGGTGCAAGTTGTGTGAGGAACTTGAGAAGAGAGGTTTCATTGTTAGACACAGCATCTTCACCACAAGTCACCGCCACACGAAGTGAATCTTGTTTCAATACAGATGACGCGATTTCTTTCAATTTGTTGGATACTTCAGATAAGTCTTCCAAAGCTGCCAATCGACTCATAAAGTTCGCTTGAGTTAATCCATTGAGTTTTTCCATGTTGTTCATTGTAGGTGTGAGACTTGATCCAGCATAAGTTCTAGCAAAGACATGACCTGAATCGGCAATTGAATTAACAAGTCCACTTGCATTCTAATGAAAGGAATAAATAAGGAATAATTATAGTTACTACACATTGTATAAATTATATATATATATATATATATTTTTTTTACCCCAATGATCAGCGTTCGAAGTTTTTCAGTATCATCAAAATTGGTTTCCAAAATGAGCTTTGTAAGAATACTATACATCTTGTCAATATTACGATCAAGACAATTTCCCATGAGAGCAATACCTTCTTCCATCACATCAATGTCTATAAAAATGAAGATTAAATTAAATACTAATTTTTAATTGTTTTTTTTTTTTTTTTTTTTTTTTTTTGTTGATTTACCAGAGTGATTAGTGGAAACGGTAGTTGAGGCACGTAGACCACCAGTATAAAGACGAATTTCATCATCAATTTCAGCCATAGATTGATCTTTTGTACCAAGAGATAATAATGTCTAAAGAAAAGAAAAGAAAAAAAAAAAAAGAAAAAGATGAGATAATTTCATGGAACGTTACCGAATATTTGTTTTCAAGCTCTTTTTCAATTGAACTTACATCACAAAACAAAGGTAAATACATCTTCAAATCATCAGAAAGAGGTGGTAAATTACTGATAGCTCTGAAATAAGTGATTCCATTGGTTGCCGTAGTTCGCCATTGAACAGGTGTATTGCATAAACCGGTATGATCAAGTGGTGTTCGTTTTGATTTGGTTGCAATGTCATTCAATTGTAAAGTTGGTAAACATGATAGATCTTCTGATTTTTCTTGATTTTGTTGTAATATTGCACCTTGTTCCAAAATCCGAGTTTTGTCCGAAGCATCCAATTCATTCACCTTTTGTGCCAACCGTGTCTCTTCTTCTTTGGCCAAATTAGCAGAGTAGTTTGCATCTGGATTCATAATATAGGTCAACTTGTGAGTGTTGTTCAGCAAATATTTATCAATTCGAGATTCAAAAAAGTTGCCTTGTGCCAATTCCTTTTTTAGACGATCAAGATTCTATAAATAGAAGAATATATAAATTATCCATAAAATAAAGCAACCTTTTTTTTCTTCTTCTTTGAACTTGCCTTGTTGATTTCCAAAAGATCAATAGGATCCACATCATTGAACCAACCAGAGCTAATACTATGCATAATTGTCAAACCAAAATCAGCTGTTTTCTAATTTTTGATTTCCAATCAATAAATCAAACAGGAAAACGAATCAGTAACATATATATATATATATATATATATATATATATATATATAATTTCTCTAGTCTTCCTTACGTGTTTTTGTCCAAGTTCCATTTGATGTAAGGCTGCATCAATCCGTTTCGAGTCAAAACCATCTTTTTTGACCTTTTCCAATACATCTTGAATGGTGTTTTGAACCTATAAATCCAATAGTTGATAAAATCATTCGGTACATATCCATTTCATAATGATAACATGTCTATTACATACCTTTTCAATGTCATCCTGTCTGACGCCCTGTAATCCAATAGAGAAGCTGCTCATGCTAAATAAACAAATAAAAAAAAAGAGTAATGAGATTTTTTGATTTATAGTTAGTCATGTTCCATTTTCTTACCGCGTAGTATTATCGTATCCAGTATTAGCTGAGAATTCTGATCCCAAATTTGTATCAATCAATGCTTTATACATGGGAGAAGCATGACCATCAAGGAGGAGATAAGACAATAGTCTCATAGAGAATGTTTCAAAAGTATCCTATTTAATAGATAAAGAGAAAAATAAGTTACAACATTTGAATTACATTTTTTGATTTACTGTAGTATCATTGGCCAAATAGGATAAGGATATTCTTGTTTGCTTATCAGGAGGAGACACTAGAATAATACAAAGATGAATTTCAATTGAATATATGCTTTTCTTTCTTTTTTTTTTTTCTATTTACAAGGATCAAGAGCACAGATAGATTGTATGGCCTTGGGAGCTGTCCAGGGAGTAACGATCTTGTTCACGACAGTAGGTTTGATACGTTCATAACCTTGTAATTGATGACCAATGTTTTCCAAATGTTCTTCCAAGGCAAAGTTCCCTAATCAAAGAAGATAATAATAATAAATATAATGCTTTGTTCTCACTTTTCATTTTTATCTTTACCATAAGTGAAAAAGCGAGCATTACTAGGATGATAATGATCTTTATGAAATTTGACAAGTTGTTCATGAGTCAAATCAGTAATATAACGTGGATCACCACCACTAGAGTGAGCATAAGCTGTTCCAGGGAACATGTTTTCTTGGGCATCAGAATAGAATAAATAATTGGCATCAGACTAAGAAATAGAACAAAAAAAAAAGTTAAAAAATCTTTGATGGATGATCATTCCATGTCACTTTTTTTTTTTACATACTGTTTGACCTTTCATTTCATTATAAACAATGCCTTTGAATTGAATAGGAGTTGAAGCATCGGTAGGTATTTTATGTTCTAAGCGCCATCCTTCTTGAGCAAAATCTAATTTTTCCAATCGAGGATGGAAAACGGCATCCATATAAACGTTTCGAAGGTTGTCATAGTCTACTTTGTTGGTAGTTGCAAAAGGATATACTGTAAAGTCAGAGGCTGTAAATGCATTCATAAAAGTAGCAAGACTTCGATTCAACATTTTAAAAAAAGGATCACGAACAGGATACCGATCACTACCACATAAAGTTGTATGTTCCTATATAAAAAAAAAAAAAATTGAATAACCTATGTTTACTCATTTTTTTGTTATTTATTACCAAGACATGAGGAACACCAGTACTATCTTTCACAGAAGTATTAAAGCCTACTGCAAAAACATTATTGTTGTCTTCACGATCAATATGCAAATGTTTGGCTCCAGTTGCTTCATGTTCTAAACTAATAGCTGTCAGTTCCAATTCGGGTACACGTCGTACCTAAAGTATTCCATTAAAAGAAAAAGGATAAATTAAGTCGTCAAAATTATTCCTTTTTTTTTTTTTTGTTAATTCTTACTTGTTGAACTCTATAACCTAATAAGTTATCACCAGCATGTAGAGTGGCTAATAAAAAAACACAGACAGGGGAAAAAGTTGAGTACTTTGTATAAATAAGAAAAAGTTCGTTTACATACCTTTGTTTGTATAATACTTTCGAATAAAAGTTCTTTTTGCACTTTGAACAATAGGTGAAGCGCGAAGAATTCTACTAGCCATAGAAGATCGTTATAGTAACCAAATAATAATAATAATAATAAAAAGAGAAAAAAAAAAAAAATGAAAAAAGTCTTGAACCCAGGTCAAAGCTTTTTTTTTTTTCCTATTTTCATCCCCGATCTTTTTTTTTTTTTTTTTTTTTTTTTTTACTGTAGCTTGAAAATATTATTGTAAGAAAGTTTTTCTTCTATTTTTTTATTTTTATTTTATATATTATATATATTACAGCAATGCAAAATATATTCGATGTAAATAAAAACGATAAGGATTATTACTCTATTCTAAACTGTGTTGACTCTAGTTCTGTAAGTGATTCATAAATTAATTTATTATCATGAAAGGATACTAGTTAACAAAATGGACAAAGCGGCATAAAATCAAACTTTGTACTAATAATTATGGAGGATTATTATAGATGGAACAAATCAAGGCTGAATATAAACGACTTGCACTTCTTCATCATCCAGATAAAGCTCAAAATACTGAAGGTATGGTAGATAAATGAGATATAACAATTATGCTGCGTATCGTGGGAAAAATAAGATAAACCAATTCTTTAATTATATTAGGTGATAGTCAATATCCTATGATAAAGGAAGCATTTGATGTAATTGGGGATCCTCAGAATAGAGCAAAATATGATAGATGGAGACAAAGTGGATTATGTATTCCTTTTGAAGACTATATTCAACTTAGTGGTCATGCTCAGGTAAAATAAATAAATAAATAAATAAAAAATATCATGCTGATTAAATTTTTTTTTCTGGGTAGACAATACACTGGCAAGCTCTTCCCACTCAACTCACTTTGACAGAACAAGGCAGATCCACAGACGAACAACATGTTAAATCAGTACGACCTCATCCAAGAAATGACATGCCTAAAATTACATTGAACAAGAACTCATTTTGGTCAAAGAAAAGTAGCGATGACCCCTATACCAAATTTAGAAACTATGAAATCTGATCGACTTTTGTTTCTTTCTCTTTGGGTCTACATCAAATATCATGATCCCATTCAACTAGTATAGCTAATCTATTCTGTATATATTATCAATAAAATTCATATATGTATATAGCATTTGTTTATTGGTGTAATTGTAAATAATAATAATACTATTACTAATAATAATTATAATAAAAAGAGATAGACTAATTTTACTCGTCATCTTCATCCTCATTTTCACTATCTGTTACTTGTTCACCTATTTGCCGTAGCCTATTCTTATATCGTTTGTTGGTCATATCTTGATCACCTAAAAAAAAGAATAAAAAAAAAGATTAATATTTTTTTTAGCAAATCCTTCTTTTATTTTTGAGAAATCAATCATACCCATTAGCACAAGTAGATCTTCCTGTTCCTTTTCCAATGTGGCGTATTTTAATCTTTCTTCATCCACAATAGCCATCAGCTTCTTATTCTTTTCCTTTTCTTCATATAATTCTGCTGTCATGCTATTTTCAGGCGATGATTGCTGTACAAGCAAAAAGAGAAGATATAGGAATATTAATTTCATATATATTATTTATCTTTGTGTATGTATTGTTTTTTTTTGTCCACTTACTAAGGCCGCCAACTTGGTTTCTAGTTCTGTCACTTTTTGTTCAAGAGATTCTATCAGATTTGCTTGGTTTTTGATAGTCGATTTATATGATTCTATCTCTTCAGGATTTCCATCTGTGGCTCCCATAGTCACTACAAAGAAGAAAAAAAAGAGTATATACATTAAAAAAAAGGTCAAACAAATCGTCCATACATCCTCATTATAATGTTCATAATACTAGTAATATATATATATATATATATATATATGTATACCTGATTGTGCCTTTGGTTTGAAACTAGATGGTCGTCGTTTCATAGATCGTTGCGTCGTTTCTATTTTCAATATACATAAAATAAGAAGGATGATGTTACACTTGTTGTTTCGATTGACTATTCCCAATTTCCTTTTCAACATTATTAATCTCTCTTTTTTTTTTTTTAATTTAATTTTTACCATATACATCCTTAAAGAATTTAGCAAAGGAAACATCAAGAAGAAGAGAAGGTAGACTCTTGGTGCTTGTAGCAAGTGCTTCATCTTCAGCAGATATTTCCAGATGTTGAGAAGCGTTCTTGATAGCATTACTATCTCGAAGTCTTGTTATATGGCTATTGAAGACATCTACCCTACTAGACAATATAGCTTGAAGTTTTTCTCTATTAAAAATAAACAAGATCATTAGTATACATCGAGTTATCATTATAAAGGAATATTTCTTATTTACCTTGTGATTGGAGTTTGAGGATCATTGTTGAATTCATATGTAATACCAAGTAAAAAGGCAGTCAACCCTTGAACTGTTGGATCATTGGTTGATGATTGTACTTCTTGAATTAACTAAGAAAAAAAAAGGCAGGTTTAGTTTTTCTTTTTTCTTTTTTTAAATATGTTACGTATAAATCACTTTTCGTATTCTATTTCACTTACAAATTGAACATGAGTGCTTTCTGATAAAAATAGAGCGACTGATGCTGGACTATCGTAAAGCCATACACAAAGTAGACATAAGTAGGCAACGGGTATCCGTGGGTTTGTTGCAGAATTCTTTGTTGATAATAATAGCTGGGCGACAATATGATGTAATAAAGGTACTGGTTCTTCACCTATAATAAACGCACATAATTATATATTAACATACACTTGATAATAATAATAATAGTACCTGTTATATATTCCCTTTTTCTTTTCTTTTCTTACCATTGTCTTCTTCACCAAATTGAATACCTCCAGCTACTTGTTTTGCCTGTTCATTATCCTTGATGATATGAGATAAAATAACACAAGCAAACCACACCTTGTAAGGGTCTTGTATAGATAGTTCCCAATTTTCAATAGCTTCCAATAGCAATGATCCAGCAGAACATGGTTTATCTACAAAAAAAAAAAAAAAAAAGAGATAGATAAGAATATAATATCAAAGAAAAAAAAATAGAGGGCTTTTTTTTTTCCCTTGATTTACCTGTAAAGTCAGTATTTGCGTTGTCAACAGGAGGCAATTTCATCATAGAAGCAATTACAAGTTGCGTATCATTGTTTCCATCTACACAAGAAGACACAGCAAATGCAGCAGCAGCACGACTTGAATAACTATAGAGAAGACCAGTATCAGCAGTAACAGCAATAGCAATAAGAGATACCATGGCAGGACGAGGAAGACCAGGAACAAGATTAGGATCGATTTGACCATCAATCATATTTGGAGGACTGGCTACTACTGTTTTAGTGAATTTTTCTTGATTTGCGACATTATCTCGTATTACATAGGCAATAGCATACAAGGCTTCAGTTCGGACAATAGATGGTGTGTTTGAGCAAATACCAAGTTGGACAATGGGAAGAAGGATACCACTTTGGACCATGACATTTTGATTAATTGTTGTATTGGCACCATCAGGTTCAGTAAGAACACGAATCAATTCTAGAACAGCTACAGTATTTGCCACTTTTTGAGGAGGCCAATCTTCAAATGAAAAGGGAATATGATCAGCTTCACTATCACCAACAAATCCTAATAATCCTGGAATCTGTTGGATACAACTTGTTTCACGAAAATAGATCTATATATAAAGGAAAAGCATCAGTATTCATATTACTTGCGATCAAATATTTGTTGGGTTCCTTACTTGATCCGAGACATTGTATCGTAATAGATTTTGCATCAAAGTCAAACTATCTTGCACAATAATATCACCAGAGATTCCTTCTTGTTCTTCGATAAGTGCCAGTAATTTTTCAAAGGTCGCCTGAAAGGTTACAAGTTTTTGTACTTCTGCATTTGATCTTGTCAATTCAATCAATAATAAAAGACCCTCTATTATCAAAATAAGTAAATAGTTAGTTCAATACGTATTCTCGTCCTGCTTATTTTGACTTGCCATTTCGTATAATATCACGTTTATCGTCCAATAAGTCGACAAGTCTTGTTATTCCCATTGGGCTAGTAAGGATGCATTCTTGGATACGTTTTGGTCGGTTGGATAGAAGTGTTGAAAGTAACTTGATAGTATTGAACCGAATATAAAAATCGAACTCCTCCAAAATATCTAAAAGAATGGTGACATTGGAGGAATCCTAAATGATATTACAGTAACAATAACAGTGAATAAAAAAAAAAGATATAGTGTATATAAATGAATCATCTTACTTCAATAAAGTAATCGGTATACTTGTCACCTCTATCGTTCTCAGTACGCTGGTTCAAAATGATGAGAGAAGAAGAAAAAAAAAAAAGGAGATGAATATATGGTACTCTTTTATAAGTGTTTTAGATAGAACTTACTAATTTTTTCCTTGTACATAAAATGGTAAGGGTTTCCAAAAGTGATTTGGTGATATCCACATCTCGATAATCCATATGAAGTCCTTTAATTAAAGCAGGTAAACTTTTGTCTCCTACTGTCTAAAAATAAAAAGAGAAGAATTAATATTATTTATATAATATTGAAGGTACAAACTTACTTCAGGCCAATCCTTCACAAGTCCTTTCAGGCTAAGGACAGCAGCACGTCTGTCTTCCAGTAAAGTAGCAGTTTCAAGACAATCAGCAAGTCGTTCAATGGTTTCATCAGCCGATTGTGGTTGTCCTCTTTCACCCCTAAGAGCACTATATCCTCTACTGAAGAAGTCCATCACTAAGTACAGCAAATAAAAAGATGAGAAGAGAAGCAAAAGAAGTACAACTGTTCAAAAAAAAAAAAAAAAGTACCTGCGGTGATTCAATTGATCCTGATGCCATACAAATCGAGAGCATTGTACACATGTCTGTATAGTGTATCAATAATAGATGAATCACAGGAAGTGCCAATTTAAAAAGAAAGGAATCAAGTAAAATGAAATCATCATCATGAAGGTAATCTATGCAGTTTATTGAAAAAAAATACTAATACTAGCCATACAGTAATGGTAATAATCATAACGTATATACATAAAAAAAAAGATAGATAAAAAGAGGTAATCAATTTGTGGGATATAACGACCAGTGAGAATGAATCCTATAATAAAATAAAGTTGATTAGCGAAAAAGAAATCATTTTCCAAGAAATTTATCCATACTGTATCTCATCCCTTGAGTAAATAATTACCTTGTTCATCATTGTTTTGCTAAAAAAAAAAAAAAAAAAAAACCAACAGTTAATGCACTCAAGACAGAATATTCATTGTATCAACAAGTCTATTCATCTTTTGTCGTCATATTAGTTAAGTCCCTGTTCTCTCAATACAAAGTTACAATCATGGAAATAAAATGAGTGTAACTATTCATTCAATTGTACTCTCTTTTGTTTGACCAATGTTACTTGTAATATATTCAATCCAAAAAGGAATGGAATGAATATTAAACTAAACATAGTATGTATGTTTTATACGATAAGAAAAAAAAAAAAGAATTGTAATGTGGATAAGGAAGGAAAAGAAGAAAGGGTCTTTTTCTTTTCTCAAGTCGAAAAACATGACGAACTAAAACTCCGAACGGCTATTAATGACCAATCAGCGAAGACCGGCATTATTCATCCAATCAAATTGCGCCATTGTTAAATTGGATTCATATAGATGTTGCCGGTTGCGATTTCAGTTATGGTGAGATGGCCGAGTTGGTCTAAGGCGTCACGTTAAGGCCGTGATCTCTATCGGAGGCGTGGGTTCGAATCCCACTCTCATCATTGATTTTTACTTTTTATCATGTCAAAAATGTGATATTTTTAATTTTTGATAGTAATCAATGTTTTTTTTTGAATGTAGTGTTAATGATGATTGAATTGGCAAGGAAAAAGCTATAAAAATCGCGAAGTGGGGAAGTGAAAATAAAAAAAAAAAGTGATTTCGAAGTCAGCTTACTTAGGATTTTTTTTGTAACCTTTTTCTCTCTCTCTTTTTTTTTTTTTTTTTCAATTGTTAAGTGTTGTTATGATTTTTTTTTTTTTTTTTTTGTAATCTCGAATGGATTATATTTTGTAAGATGGATGGATGATACTATTATAATAATAATATCGTTGATGATTAATTTTTGTGAACGCTAGATCTTTTATAAAAAAAAAGAACAAAAGTAATATGTTGAATAAAAATAAAAATAAACAAGAAAAGGAAATGGATGTGTTGAATTGTGTGTAGATAAAATAAAATAAAATAAAAAATATGAGACTAGTGATAAATCAGTGAGATTCTTCTTAGTTTTTTTTATTTAAAAATAAAAAAGTTGATTATTACTGTATATCTACACTTGTAAAATCTATATCTCTTTTATATCTATTTTGAAAATAAAATTGTAATCATCATATATACTGTATGGTCGAATCTTGAGAAGTACACCCGTGCTTGTTCAAATGCTTGGTTATAAGCTGCGTCTTCAATATGCTGCATATGTTTTTGCTTGAGCTGATTATAATACATGTTGTTTCTTGTCGTTGCATTGTGCTTTTTCTGGCATAATGGACACTTCTTCTTGAAATATGGACTTCTGAAATAAGACGAGACAATAAAAAGAGTATTTGAAGCATAAAAGAACCTATAATTTTATTTCAAGCATAAAAGTCATAATTAATAAAACATAAAAAAAAAGTTAATGAATGTACTTACCGTGGTAAACACGGTTCAGATAAAAAATAAAAAAAAATAAATAAAATAAGGATAAAAAAAATAAAATGGAAAGAAAGACAAAAGGAAAGAAAAGGGCATAAAAAAAAATTGGGCATAAATAATAAATTTCATAAAAAAAAGAAAAGTCATTTTACTATCCGCTATCAACTTCACACAGGCATCGCTAGCTTCACGATAACTTTTCTTATCTTGTATAGTTCTTGGTTTGGTAGAGCGGTCATGAAGCAATCGTATTGTAAGAGGGATAAGTGTTTGATATTCTTCATTAAGTAATGACTCTTCAATTAGAATCTTTTCGTCCAATTTTTTTTTTGAATAGCCAGGCAAAGTTAGTTCCAGTAACAATAATACATCTTCGTCATTCAAAATAAAAGGACTTTTAGGTTTGAAAAAAGGTTGGTCATGAATGTCTTGGTCGTTAGTCCATTCACAGGGTTGCACAGGTGTAAAGGTGTCAGAAAAAGGTGGAGGATGTGTGTCATAGTATCATTAATAGATAACAGATCTTCTCTAATGGATGTCATCGCAGATGATAGTCCTATCCAGGAATAATTGTCAACAGATAGCGTATTGTCAAGAGAATACAAACTAGGATCCATACTATGGTTAAGTTTTTTCGTGCTGGTCTTTTTTTTTTTTTCTCAACAGTGTGTTGTTGTGTGAATTTTTCGTTGTTGAGTGATTTTTTTGGTTGTTATGTCCAAAATAAGAAAAATAAAAAGGATGCTTGATTGTTTAAAAGGTTCACAGTGAGCACCAATACTCGATTACGCAAGCACATGTATAAGGTATTGAATGAAATAAAATAAAAGTAAAGGAAAAATAAAAGATCAAATTTGGAAGGTAGGAGTTTGATAAAATTGTTTCTTTCTTGCTTAAGGAACAAAGTGAGCCAATCAAATGTAACAATCCACAAGTACAATTGACTGAAAATTAGATCAAAAACACAAGGAAGAGAGTAAATCATTTTGGGTTTTATTTAATGAATGTTTGAATACAAAATAATAATCTATCTATGTGATGGCGAATCAAGTTCATCATAAAGTATATGCTAATTGAGAGTCATTCTCTTGACATAAAAAAAGAATAAAAACAACAACAACAATAATAATAATAAAAAAAAAAAATAAGGTCATGATATATATATAAAAAAAAAAAAAAAAAAAGAGAAAGGGGAAAGGGAAATTATCTATCTATCGAGTAAAACTATTGTAAAGACCAACACAATCACTATCAATACTTAAGCGACCACTTTCACTAGATCGGCCACCACCATTTTCCAAAGAAGCCATATATTCTTCATCCACATCACCAGTAACATAGCATTTGTCAAATACAGAAGTATCAAACTTTTCAATAGCAGGATTGAATTTTCGGACGGATTCCACAAGATCATGCAAATCTTGATAGATCACCTTGTCAGCACCAATTTCTTCAGCCACTTCTTGATCATTTCTTCCATGAGCCACTAATTCAGTACGGGTAGGCATATCAATACCATAAACATTGGGGTATCGAATGGCAGGAGCACAAGAGGCAAAGTATACCTTTTTAGCACCAGCTTCACGAGCCATTTGGATAATTTCCTTTGAAGTTGTACCACGAACAATAGAATCATCCACGAGTAATACATTCTTTCCACTGAATTCAAGAGCCATGGCGTTCAATTTTCGGCGAACATTTTTGCGTCTAAAAAAAAAAGAGTCAGTTTGTGTATATATTGAATGTAAAAAAAAAAAAAAGATTACCTCGTTTGTTGACCAGGCATAATAAAGGTTCTACCAACATATCTGTTCTTGTTGAAACCTTCACGGTAAGGAATGTTGAGTTTACGAGAAAGTTGAATAGCAGCAACACGACTTGTATCAGGAACCTATTATATAAATGATTGATTTTCATTATGAATATATATATATATATATATGTATATGTAAATATATGTAAATATGATGATTTAACTTACAGGAATGACAACATCAATATCCATGTTATCCCCAAGAGATTTCACAACTTGATCAGCTAAAGCTTCACCCATACTTAAACGAGCCTTATAAACAGAGATACCATCCATGATACTATCTTGACGAGCAAAGTAAACGTATTCAAAGATACAAGGAGCAATACGATCACTAACAGCAAGGACACGACGTAATAATGAATCTTGAGTGATAATGATGGCTTCTCCAGGCTTGACATCTTCCACATCAGTAAAACCAAGAGAATCTAAAACCACACTTTCAGAAGCAAGCATATAATCATAACCAGCTACTGTCTTTCGACGACCAAGAACAAGAGGACGAATACCATGAGGATCACGGAAACCAATGATACCATAACCAGCAATCATAGCAACACAAGCATAACCACCACGGATTTGACGATAGAGATCTTTGATGGCAGTGAAAATATCTTCTTGATTTACACGGAATTTACCAGTCTTTTGAAGATTGTTGGCCAGCACATTCAACAAAAGTTCAGAGTCAGAGTCAGTATTGATATGACGATGAGCAATCTTATCCAAAAACACACGGAGCTCGTCAGCATTAGTAAGGTTACCATTCTATTTCCAAAAAAAAAGGAATTGACAGTTATGATATGATATTATAACGACTTTTTTTTTTTTCTTTTTGGAAACTTACATGGGCAAACACAATACCATAAGGTGAATTGACATAGAAAGGTTGAGCTTCGGTGATAGAAGATGATCCAGCAGTAGGGTAACGTACTATTATTTTTTTTTTTTAAAAAAAAAAGAAAGGAAAGAAAAAGATCAATCTATTATCAAATATAATATAAAAAAATATAACTTACCATGACCAATACCAAGACTACCAATAAGTCCAGAAAGTTGAGATTCGTTAAAAACATCTCTAACCATACCATTGCCTTTACATTGGAAAAGACGACCTTTAGGACCCGAAGTTACAATACCAGCAGCATCCTATGTTAAAAGAAGAGTTAAGATATATATATATATTTTGACAGTTTATATTTTCTTTCTCTTACCTGACCACGATGTTGTAATAAACCCAAACTTTCATGAAGATCAGGGCAAGCAGCTGCACTTTGATCAGCCAAGATAAGAGCTGAAATACCACACATGGTTAATAGATCAAAAAGAAAAGAAAAGAAAACGAAAGGAAAGGTAAGTGAAAAAAAAAAGGAAATAATGGGAGAAAGAACAAAAAGAAAAAACTAGGATCCTGAGATTCAAAATTTGACTCATTTCAGAAAAGCCGCTTTCATTCATTTGTCCTCTGGAAAGCCATCACCAATCAAAATTGTGCCTTTGTTTTTTTTTTTCTTCTTTCTCTCTTTTTTTAAGGTACTCGTTGTCTATGTTGTTCATTATCATATACAAATATATTCTTTTTTCAAATCATTATTATATATTTTCAAATCCTTTTATTTATGATTAAAAGTTGCATATCCTGCTTGGGCCAAAAAAAAAAAAAAAAAAAATGAAAGCGGGGACTGAAAATAATGAGGGAAGCAAGGGGAAAATGGGACAAAAGCCGGGAGGGAGAACATCTCTTCATTTCTTTTTTCTTTTCACTTTTATTTTCTATTCAATTTACTAAAAATGAGTACTCTCAAACTTGGTTCTCTTTTAATCAAGTAAGTAATAATATGAATGTAGAAAACAAGTTAAAATTAATTCTTGTATTCAAATAGGACACTAGCTAAACCCGTGGCAAATTCTATAAAAACACAAGCAAAGCAACATCCCACTTTTAAAGAATTTTGTATAGGCGTTGCTCAGGTAAAGTATTTATAGTATATTAAATATAATATCACGTTCTAATATTACTATTTTTTAATTTTCCTTCTCGCAGAAATCTCATAGACTTGAAATGACCTTAAAGATGAACTTTTTGGGTTACAAAAAAGAAGTGATTCGACCTTTAAATGACGCGAGGTAAATATATATATAATACATCAATCTTGTTACTAATATAATATAATTTCCTTTCTTCCTCTTCTTTTGTGTAGAGCTATTGAAAGTGGTGCCAACTTCATCAGTGAAGCCTTTGTATTTGGCGTGGCTGCATCTATTATTATAGCTGAGAACTGGAGGCAAGTTAATTTCGTCAAGATCAGTGTTTATAGATAACTCATATTTTTTTTTCTTGTTTTGATTTAGATCAAGGAACAAGGATAAAAATCGAAGAAATTATGTGGACGATGCTTTGGAATCTTTGGAATCTAGAAATAACGAACTGGTGGAAAAAATGGAATACAACATTAAAACTCTACAATTAGCAAGCGAACGTTTACAACAATTAGAGGAAGAAAACGTTCATTTACGGAATATGCTCGATGGTAATCCAAATATAATGAAGTGTGATAATACTAAAATGTATATATTGTATATTTTTTCATTATTTAGAAATTTTATCAGTCAGTATGGGATTAAAACGACACACTCAATACGAGCAACCGGCTGTAATGGGTCTTCCAGGAATCACCAAGGATTAGAATTAGAAAATACATAGATTTCTATACCATATATCATTTTGTATTAATATGTATTTTGAACAATTTGTAGTATATTATTTTTTAAATCTTGGCTTTTAGAAATAGTTGAAGATAAGTAGGATGAAATAAAATGCTTAAGATATATTCTTTCAGTTTATTCTTTGTGTATTGTTTATCATGCATGTTTTCATTCCATACGCATTTCATTATCCGACAATATCGGGTGTGGGTCCCATGAATGATCTTTTTTTTTTTTTTTTGTCTTGGATTCTTTTTTCTTTTTTTTCTTCTTGTTTCCCAACATTATTGATTATTATCACCTCTTACGCATATATACATACATACATATATCTATGTGTGTATGTATATAGCGAAATCTTTACTGCAGAATACGTTTTTCTTTTTGTGTATAGTTTGTTTGTTTATTGTAAATACGAATGTCGATCTTTTGTTGTGGATCAATTGAAGAAAGTGACATGGCCAACAAATACATAGAATTTGATCAACATATTGTTCCTCATGTTATGCAAGTATGATCTATGGGAAAAAATAAAAGTCAATGATAAAAAGTTAATAATTGATTATTTTTGTAATAGAATACAAATTGGGATTGTGGATTGGCTTGTGTTGCTATGCTACTTGGAGGAATGAATCTCAACTTGACTTTGAATGAACTCATGCAACAATGTGCTGTAGAAAGTGTATGGACGATTGATTTGGCCTTCTTATTACGAAAATATGTAGGAGACTTTACATATTATACCAGTTATTTTGGAAGTCGCAAGGAATATCAAGACGATAGTTTTTATCAAGCAAATTTTGATCAAGATGAACTCCGGGTGAATCGATTATTCTCTATTGCAAAAAGCTCTTCTATTCATGTTGTAAGAATGTACGTATGAAATATTATTATAAAACATGATAATGAAGATGTATTTTTTTTCTTATATTATATTATATATATATTAGGGTCCTTCCTCTTGATGATTTCAAACGGTTTTTATATTGTAAGAAATTTGCAATGATTACTTTGGTGAATGCTCGGTTTTTGAATTGTCCTATCTGCAAGGTAAATATATATATATATATATATATAATCTAACTTTTGTGATATTCCTTTTGTTTTTGATATATATTTATATATATTCTTTGTGTGGGAATGTTTAGGAGCACCAAAGTTGTGTCTTATCTGCTTGTGGTCAATTGAATTCATTCATGGAAAAAGTCAAAGGCAATGATTACTTAGGTAGGAGTTAGAAAACAAAATAAAAATCAACATGATATGACTGGATAAAATGAGGTGATTCACAACTGAAAAAAAAACTTTTTTAAGGGCACTTTGTAGTATTAATAGGTTATGATCCCAATGAAGATATGTTTATTTATCGCGATCCTGCTGTAGAAGACAAGTTTTGTGTTATATCTGCCAAGGATTTGGATCACGCTAGACAAGCAGAAGGCACAGATCATGATTGGTAAAATAAATCTTAAAATGACGATTCAAGGAAGCATTGACAGCAAATTTTTTTTTCTTTTTTTATAGTATTGTGATTCAGTTATGAGGACTTCAAAAATAAACCTGTTTGTACTTTTTGGCATACGGGGGTACGTGCAGATATTTCTTCTTTTAGATCGTGTAGTCTCAGTGTATATAGCGAACTTTAATAAAAAAAAACCATTTTTTTTTTTATACAACAACACACAATAACAACAACAACAACAGTGCGTTTTTTTTTGTTTTTGTTTTTGATCTCCTTAGTGTTTTAGTATACTAGTTTATCTATTTTGTTATCTCCGTATTTCTCAGTAAACCTTTTAGATTGGACAAACTGTACACCCCTTGTATGTACTTCATTCTGGGAACTATTTTAAAGATCCGGTCCAGTAAAAGTCGATTGTTTTGTGGCACAATTTTTTTTTATCGATATATATAACGCGCCAAATAAAAAAATTCCTATTCCTATTTTTTTTTTTTTTCTTTTCATCATCTAAAAAAAACTCATTCCTCATTAACGTTCTATAATAACAATCATGACCGCCAATAACTTTTCTCAGTATCCTCAAAATGTTGGTATCGTGGCTATGGAAATGTATTTTCCTTCAAGAGTAAGTTATATATCGGGTATAGGATCGGACAAGATGTTCTTATATTTATCATTGTGTGTGTGTTTTTTTATATAGTGTGTAGCTCAATCTGAAATGGAAGTATTTGATGGTGTTAGTACTGGAAAATATTCTATTGGTTTAGGTCAAGATAATATGGCTTTTATTGATGATCGTGAAGATATTCAATCTATTTGTTTGACTGGTAAATATATATATATATATAGAAAAAGGAAAGAGTTACTGATATATTATTATTATTATTATTATTATTATTATTTTAGCTGTTCAAAATCTGATGGAAAAATACAAGATCTCTTATAATGATATTGGTCGTCTTGAAGTTGGAACTGAAACTATTATTGACAAGTCCAAGTCTGTTAAGACTACTTTGATGACTTTGTTTGGTGAACATGGAAATACTGAAATTGAAGGTATTGATACTACCAATGCTTGTTATGGTGGTTTCAGTGCATTCTCTAATGCTGTTAACTGGATTGAATCTTCTTCTTGGGATGGTCGTTATGCTATTGTGATTGCTGGTGATTTGGCTCTTTATGCTTCTGGTGCTGCTCGTCCAACTTCTGGTGCTGGTGTGGTTGCTATTTTGGTTGGCAAGGATGCTCCTATCGTTGTTGAACGTGGTTTACGTAGTACCCATATGGAACATGCATATGACTTTTACAAGCCTGATATGCATTCTGAATATCCTGTGGTAGATGGTAAATTCTCCAATATTTGTTACTTGCGTGCTTTCGATGCCTGTTATACTCGTTATATGAAACGTCTTGGTCAACAATTGAATAAGGAAAAACCTAGTATGGATGATATTGATTATGTTGTGTGTCACTCTCCTTACGCCAAGCTGGTCAACAAATCATTTGCTCGTGCTGTAAGAACAATAAAAAAAAAAAAGGGAGGATAGGAAAGTTAAATTTTTTTTTTTGTCATGTTATATAGTCGTACAATGATTTCCGTTTGGACAACAATAATGAAAAATATGCCAGTCTTCAACCTTTTGCTGAATTATCATATAATGAATCATTGGAAAGCAAGGATCTTGAAAAGGCTTGTGTTGGTTTGACTAAGGCTTCTTATGCTGAAAAGGTGGGACCTGCTGCTTTTGTTCCTAAACAAATTGGTAATATGTACACTGCTGCTGTTTGGGCTGGTCTTGCCTCCTTGATTTCTGAAGTGGATTCTGATACTTTACAAAACAAACGTGTTTTATTCTATTCTTATGGTTCTGGTCTTGCTGCCTCCATGATTTCATTCCGTATTAATGGTGCTACTGATAATATCAAGAATGTATTGAACTTACGTGAAAGATTGGCTGCTCGTACTTTCTCCAAACCTCAAGAATTTGCTGATGCTATGAAGATTCGTGAAAACACCCATAATGCCTGCGATTATACCCCAACTGGTAGCTTGGATCATATTGCTTCTGGTGTTTACTATGTGGAAAAGATCGATGACAAGTGGAGAAGATTCTACAAGCGCAAGGATTAGATTTTATATAGATTCCTTCTTCTTTTATCCTAATATACATATTTATTTAATATTATTATTATTATTATTATCATTATTATTATTATTTTTTATTACTATTATATGCATCTTCATGTCGATAATAAAAGTGTTGAACGAGTACAGTTTTTTTCCAAAGACTTGGGGCCATAGAAGTGATACACTGAGTTTGAATTCTTGATCAATAAGTGTAAGTGAGTATTTTTTTTTTATTTTTTCCCCTTTTCTTTTCACTCCATTCATCTTTCCTCCTTTCTTCACACTTTTTTTTTTATTATTATTTTCTTTTCACTTCCTTCCTTTTGTTTACTCCATGTATTGAACACACTTCACCTATATATATAAATACATTTTTTTTGACCATATTGTCCTTTTAGTATCTTCTTTTTACTATTCACTTTTTTTTTTGTGTATATCCTTTATATTGTCTCTTTTATTTTTTTTACCCCAGTTCCATCTATTCTTACTCTCGTTCAATACATCTTTTTTTTTTCTCCTTATTTTATCTATTTCACGTCATTTACGCAAACCATATTACAAAATGCAAACGACTAATACTACACAAACAACAACTTCTCTTTATTGTAACGCTTGTCAACAACCTTTGGAAGGTGAATTAGTACGTGCTTTGGATGGTACTTTTCATTTAGGTTGTTTCAATTGTTTGGTAAAATAATAATAATAAAAAATAATAATACTTCTTTATATATATATATATATTGACTCTATTTTATTATTTAAATAGGATTGTCATGAACCAGTAGCTTCCATGTTCTTTCCTATTGAAACAGCAGATGGCTCTCAACAACCTCTTTGTGAACGTGATTACTTTCGAAGGTTGAACCTTGTATGTGATCACTGTGGCGATGCTTTGAAAGGGTCTTATATTACCGCGGTCGACAAAAAATTCCATCTCGAACATTTCTGTTGTTGTACTTGTGGTGAAGTCTTTGGTCCTGAAGATTCTTATTACGAATATAATAATAATGTATATTGTCATTATCATTATTCTGTCAAATTTGCTATTACATGTACTGGTTGTCAAACTGCCATTCTAAAACAATTTGTGGAATTGAATCGAAACAATGTAGATGAACACTGGCATCCTGAATGTTATATGATTCACAAGGTAAAAAAAAAAAAAAAAGAAAAAAAAGAAAAAGAAGATTATATATATATATATATATATATATATATTATATGTATGATTATTATTCTCACTTCATTTTATTATTATTAATATTGTTATAATTATTATTATTATTATAATTATAGTTTTGGAATGTCAAACTAGCAAAACCTTCAAATCAACTAGGCAATGGTAAATAATCGATCAAGTCGATACATTTTTATTTTTATACATGCAATGTATAATATTTATTTATATCTTTTTTTTTTTATATTTATATTATTATATTTAGATCTCAGTCATTTGACTGCCACTGAACTCAGGGACGCTCAAACTGCAATGGAAGAAAAAGTATATAGAATCTGGACTGTTCTATCGGCATTTGAAGGTTATTAAACAAATTCACCTAAAATAGCTCTTATTGATGGTCTTTTTTTTTTTTTTTTTTTTTTTTTTTTTTCTATTTTACATAGATTCATCAGCCGCTTGTATCTCTGATATGCTGGTTCATGTATCTGAAGGAAGTTATGGTGAAGGTGTTCGAATGGCTGATTATTTTATCACTCATGTCGATGTTCTGTTTTGTGCTATTGATGAATTAGCTACTCACTATTCAGAATCAATGAAAGAAGAATTACTTTATGATCGTGAAGCTCGAATGTTATGTAAAAAGGTCACCAACTTTTTTGCTCTCTTGTCTCATACCCAAGTTGGTGGTTTACGAAGGATTGGTATTACACAAGATCTTTTATCATTGGTCACAGGCTTAGCCCAGTATCTCAAGGTCCTTATTCGTCTTGGTCTCACTGGTGCACTGAAATTGGTAATTATCACCCATTCTGTCTTCTTTTTTTTTTTTTTATTGTTCTTTTTTTTTTTTAATTTTAATTTATTTTCTCTTTATTTTAGGAAAATGCAAATGATGTGAAATCCGCAGCTATCAGTCGTTTCCTTAGTCAGCTAGTGAAACTTGCAAATGGTCGCCAACACAACGATTTATCCGAATACTCTGTCTCTTCGGATCTCTGTCAAACCTGTCGATCTGTTTGTGATAATCAATGTTATCGATTCCAGTCATATCGTTGGCATGATCATTGTTTTGCTTGCTCTCAATGCTGTGCATTACTTGGCGACGATTATCAAGGTTCTTTTATACAATTGGATGATTTGACTTTATACTGCAATCACTGTGGTAACAAGGATACAATGTCTCAAGGTTTTGAACGTATCACCAAATTACAACAGTTCTCCTTTCTCTTAAGGGTTGCATTGAAACGACTATATCAACTTTTGGATGTACAAGGTAAAGTAAAAAAAAAAAAAAAAAAAGAAAAAGAAAAAGAAAAATCATATTTAAATTTGCCTTCCTTTCTTCTTATAGATGTTTCCAAGGTATCATATGATGGTTCATTCAATAAACAGCTTTCATCTAGCATCACCAAAGAAAGTGGACATCCAACCATCAATACCAAACATTTACCATCCATTCCGGAACCACCAGAAAAGAATGCAATCCATCTTGGCGATATAAAACGTACAAAATCAACCCATATGAATCGAAATATCAGCAGTTCCCAGCGTATTGCCAAGCGATCAACATTAATGGAAACACCTAGTCCAACTTCAGCCTATATTACTAGCCAGCCGGATACCAATGATCACTCTGGAAGTCTCTTGATTGATATCCACGCTAAAAACAGTAATCTTCAAAAAGATAATTCAAATGACTCTGCATTGACGACTAGTCCCACAACCTTACAATCATCACTGAATGCTCTTGATCTGAATAATAAAGATGCCTTACTTGCGAAACCACCAACCAATTTACCTCAGCGACCTTCTCAAGATTATGTCAAGACAATGCCGAAAGCTAAATTTTATTACTTTGCCGAATTGGGATCGTTGGATCATTATATGTTGAAGCATATTGCTGTATTATATTTGGAAGAATTATTGAAGGATTACATTTCTTTGGAAGAACTGGCTGATTTGATTGATGACAAGAAGAATTCGACACTTTGGGGTAAATTTGTGACAAGTTTGAAAACCGGTGGCAACAAAAAGACCCACGCAAAAGGTAAGAAACCAATATATCTGTATATATATATATATATTAATAGATGAACTAGGATTTAACTCTTTTTTATTTTATTTTATTATTTATTTATTGATACAAATGGACAAAAAACAGAAGGAACATTTGGCGTGCCTTTGGAAGTATTAGTCGAAAAGAATGGAGTCGATTCCAATTTGGGTGCTAGTCCTACTCGTGTCCGAATTCCATCTATTATAGAAGAAACCATCTTTGCAATGAAACAAATGGGTAAATTATCAATAGAATATGTAAAACAATATCTCATTTTAAAAAATACTTTGTATTTTTTTATTATTATTATTAGATGTATCGGTGGAAGGTATATTCCGAAAGAATGGGAATATTCGTCATCTCAAGGATATGATTGAAAACATTGACAAGAATCCTAATGATATCAACCTTATGAATGAAAACGCAATCCAGCTGGCTGCCTTGATCAAGAAATTCCTACGTGAAATGCCTGAACCTCTATTAACTTTCAAGCTACATCGATTATTTACCACTATTCAAAGTAAGGATGTGATTAAAAGATAGTTGAATGATACTGATTATTATTATTATTATTTCATTAGAATTGGAAAAAGAAGCGGATCGAAAACGAGCAATGCATCTGACATGCTGTCTTTTACCGAAATGTAATCGTGATACCATGGAAGTATTATTCCTATTTATTCGTTGGGTATCAACATTTGCTCATACTGAAAATGATGGTGGTAACAAAATGGATCTACTCAACTTGGCAACAATGATAGCACCCAATCTACTTTATTCCAAAAGTAAGGACCCAATCAAGGATGAATCTTTTGGTGTGATTGAAGCTGTCTTTTTACTATTACAACATCAAGAGGAATTTGCTACAGTAAGTGGAAATATTAAAAATATAAAATTTATTTTTCATTTTTATAATATATATATTTATTATATAGGTACCTGAAGATTTTGTCCCCATGTTAGAAAATCTTAGTTATGGTGAAGGAGATATGGATTTGAATGTACGACATATATTGAAAAAGTGTGAAGTAGTGATGAAAATGGCAAGAAATCAGGCTGGACGATCTGAACATACGCCGGCTCCACCACTATTACCTAGACAACATTCATCACCAGCAGCAGTACCAACATCATCAAGCACATCCAATTCACCACCTTCTACACCAAATCCATCCTCAACAGCAGCAGTAGTGGCCCATGTGACAGACCCATACCCAGCAGTGATCGATGGACATAATTCTTCTTCAACTCTTTTTGATCCACCATCTTCTTTCCCTCATTCTGCAACTTACTCAATGTCTTCATCACCTATTGATATGGTTCATCCCAAGCAACAATCGGAAACATCAACATCGTCATCAGTGTCATCGTCATCTACTTCTCCTCCATTGCCACCAGTGACTCCTCAGCTTTTACTTCGATCTCAATCCTCTTCTCAATTTGATACCAATGATAGTCTTCGGAAACCCTCCTTACTTGTATAGTTTAGTTTGGAACAATCTCTCTTTCTTTTTTTTTCCTTTATATTTTTCCTTTATTATTATTATTATTTCTTATTATTATTTCTTATTATTATTCTTATTATTATCTCATTCACTCCACCGTCTTCTCTCAATTGGTATCGTTTTTTTTTATCTTTATCTCACTTTTTATATATATATATTCTTATTCCTTATACTATTTTTTATTACTATATTCTTATATTATCCCATTTTCCATCCTATATCTCCAATAAAAAGATGCTTTTCATTATTCCAGTTGATTCAAATGTTGTCAATGCATTCGTTTGGACGGCGACTCAAACCATTCAAGAACAAAAGGATTGTCTCGTTTGAACAAAAAAAGGTCCATTCAACTATGATTGTCTTGTGAACTATACATACACACACACACACACACACACACGCACAATATATATATATATATATATATATATATATATATAGTATTATTAGTCCTCTTTTTTAAAAAAGCCTCATTTCATCCTTCCAAATATATATGCATATATTTTATAAAATAAAATTGACAGAAAGAGATGGATTATATAAAGTCATTTGTTTATTAATAAAAAAAAAAAAGTAGAATCATTTAAACTAAACAGAGGGATGAATGATATTCTGTAATTGGTCTTCATTGTTGATCAACACTTCTAATATTGGCATCATATTGCTGATATCATGTCCGGAAGCTGCCCAGAGGTAATCACGCAGTGTATGTAGTCGTTGAAGCGCACTGTATCGAGCGGATAGTCTTTTGCAAGGCATCTGTTGATTGGCAATGACTTCTTCTTTGGCTTCAATGAGTAAGGTGGATAAAGGAAGGGGGAGTGTATACATTTCTTCGGATAAATCATATCGGATCAAATATTCCGCCATATCTGGACATGTCAAAAGGACAAAGAGCGATGACTGTTGCGATGGTTTACCTGGTGTGATTGTCTTCCTACTACTTATACTATTCATACTCTCGATGGTCGGACTGGGTGAATGTGACTCGAGACGATCCAATGGTGGCGATTGGGCTTTGATTTGTCGATCCAAGGACATGGCTAAATCATCTTCAGCATTCAAATATATTGTAGGTATTTCTTGTTGTTTAGATGCCATTATAGGAATGTACTATAGGTATACGGATATGCGAAAATACAATTTACAAAATAAAAAATAAAAAAAAAAAGGAAAACGAAAGAAAAAAAAGGAATATTCTTCTTTCTTTTTTTTTTTTTAATGCGGAATCTGAAACGTAGCCTTACAAATAAAAAGTGGGCATATTTTTGAATTAGTTTTTTTTTTTTTTTTTTTTTTTTTTTTTTTTTTTTTTTGCCATCTGTCAAAAATCTTGACATTTGACCATTTCTCACACTTTGACCAAGACCTTCTTCTCTTTTTTTATATCAAAAATCAATAAAAGATTGTATAATCATGTTGGCCACTCTTAAGAAATCAATCATCTTAAGTTTTATATTTATTATTTTATTATCAAGCAATCATCCAACTTATATTTATATTATTTACTGATCATCATCAAGTAAGTGTGATCATTATCAAGAAATCTATATTTGGAATCAAGTATCAAATCATCTTATACTTATTTTGTTCTTTTTTTTTTTTTTTTTTATAAAAGAACTGGTGCTCACTACAATCAATCATCATTGATATTATTATTTTTATAATATCATCCATCTATTATACAAGTCAATCATCCACCAGGTAACAAAAAAAAAACCCAACATTTATTTTGTTAATAGTGATATCATACGTTCAAGAAATTTGGGTTTTTTATCTATGTTATCGTCACTGAACTGACTATAGTCATCATTGTCATTATTGTGTTGTGGTTCTCTTCTTCTGATGGATAATATGGATAATCGCTTATGTGTGGTTCCTATTTCTGTATCATCTCTAATGGTGGTGAATAATGTTTCCAATAAAGTGATTATTTTCTGGCAAACATGGGGTTTTTTCTGTTGTTGTTGTTGTACAAGTCGAAGGGCATAGTTCAATTCGGTACGGGTCAAGATAGGATTCAGTTGGTCCATAGCGGTTGAAGAATGTAATAACCAATCCAGGCAATCCAGTCGTAGATATTTGGCAGCTTGCAAGATGATGGAACCAGGATGGGTACGACGAGTGATAGGATCCAAGAAATCTCCTCGAAGATGCAATGGACTGTGGGCGATTTGAATCAAGTAGGCAAGGGCTTCGACATGATCTCCATTAGCCAATAAACCGAATAGAGGGGTTTTACGTGATGAATCGACTAGGCTCACATCTGCACCATGTTGGATCAACAATTCTAGGACAGGCAATAAAGATGATTGACAAAACCGGGTGGCGTAATGTAATGGGGTCCAACCATCACCATCTCGACCATTGACATGAGCTCCATGGGCAAGTAACAAGGCAAGACAATCACGTGGTGCTTGACAATGTAAAGGGATCGTATGAAGTGCTTGTACATTGTAGACATTGCGTGCACAAGGATCGGCTCCGTGGGTTAACAACAAATCGAGTACAGCATAGGGTTCGGGTGCATGACTGACAGCAAGATGAAGCAAGGTACATTCGGTTTTTGGATCTCTTTTATTTAACATGGCAACTGGGTCGGGACTCTGGCGAATATAGTAGGTCAAAGTGGCGATATCTCCCTGTTCTGCAGCTGTCCAAATGGAAATGGTGGGGACTGTGATGACGACAGCATCTTCTTCTTTTTGTTTGGTCCTCAATGGTAATGTGATGGGTGGTATTGGTTTTGACTTTACTTCAAGTTTAGGATGTGATGGTGCTGGTGGACTAATGGCTGTAATAGAAATGGATGATCGTGGTGATGAATTATTAAGTTGTAGATGTGACATATCGACAATAGTTGTATCCTTATTAGTATGTTTATCATTTTTTTGATGATCATCATGATTGAATAAAGTTGTTTGTTCTGATGATAATCTTATATTATTATTTTTAGTATTTCGATCATGAACTAGAGAAAAGTTTTGTGATAATAAAGTTGGCATGTTTATATATAAAGAAGAAGATAAAAAAAAAAAAAAAAGAAAAAGAAAAGAAATTTAGTATCTGGCTGGATCAAAATCATCAACTTTAGGAAAAACCAAGCAACAAAGTCTCATACAATTGTCAAAAAGAAATACCCGGTTGAAATCATGACTTCTTAATAAGTTGTTTGTTGAATCATATACCTGCAAGTGAAAATAGTTTTCGAACCATCATAGTGGGAGAATTTGTTTGTGATTTTGTTATAGGTACTATGGCATCTTCTATAATAGTATCCATTCTATTTTGTTTGTATAATCAATCAAAAAAAAAAAAAAAAAAAAGAGAGAAAAAAAAATGAAAAAAAATGAACATATTTATAAAAAAAAAAACCCTTTCATTTCCCCTTTTCAATAAACTTTTTTTATTCTGTAAGTAAAAAAGGACATTCCAATTCCCCCTCTTTTGGATTCCCCAAATGACCAACGGAGTTCCTTTTTTTTTGGTCTTCTTTTTTGGCAGTTTAGCAAAAATAGAAAAAATAGCTTTTTTTTTTTTTTTTGATGTGAAAATCGTATTAAGCTGAGCCCTTTTGGTTTTTTATTTTTCCACTCTCTTTTTCCCTCTTTTTTTCCCCTTCTTCCAACATTTTTTTTTTTTATATTATATTATTTGTTATTATTATTAGTTTTATTAGTTTTATTATATATATATCTATACATATATAAAAGAGGTTCTTGGAACCTTTTCGTTTTGCCACTATCCTGCAAGCAATTCCTTTCCTTATCGTTTAGTTTATACATATATTTAATTCAATAACTCCATCATGACAACCAATGTATCAACATTTCCTATTACACCACTATCAACAAACGAAGAAATATCTACCATTTTTGTAGTTGGTTTTCCTGAAGATATGCTAGAACGTGAATTCCAAAACATGTTTATTTTTTCTCCTGGATTTGAAGCCGCCACTTTGAAATTACCAAGTAAAGATCAGGAAGATGATATGATGCCAAATAATAATATGCGAAAGCAAATTGTAAGTTAGATGATTCATCACTATTATCGTTAAAGTAATTAATTTTTTTTTTTTTTTTGATTAGATTGGATTTGCCAAGTTTCGGACTCGTATGGAAGCTTTAGAAGCCAGAGATATTATTAGTGGTCGAAAAGTGGATGCTGAAAAAGGGTCAGTACTCAAGGCTGAAATGGCAAAGAAGAATCTGCATACAAAAAGAGGATTATCTCAAGAATCTCTTCAACATCCAACTCAGGTCATTTCTCCTCCAATGAATCCAACTTCGTATTCTTCTGTATTACAACAACAACCAACACAATCTACTGCATTAACAACAACAGGTCGATTTCCTTCTACTTTAAAACATCATTCAACATATGAAGCTTTTTATTCAGTTCCTTCCTCAACAAACTTGGATTCATTCTCTCCTACTACCTCTCCACCTCTCATCAATACATCAACATTCAGTGATCCTGGTCTGTTTTCCTCTGTCCATCCTATCTCGTCTTTTGATCTACGTGCAACATCCGTCGGTGATATTTTCAATACAACTTCCAACCTTTCCTCCTCTTCCTCATCATCATCATCGTCATCCGGTTTCCCTGGCTCTGCATACAATCCTGCACGTCGGTTCTCCTCAAAACATGTGTTTGAAATGAACAAGGATCAATCTTACTTATCTAAATCAATCCCGGCAGATCATCACTTTTTTTCACCTCCATCTGATGGTATGACTCATCCAACCACTTCCTTCACTTTACACCAGCAACAACAACAATTCTTCAGTCAGACAAACGGAATCTCTTCTTCAACATCATCCTCATCGTCAGGATTACATCCTTTCTCTTCTCTACCTACATCATCATCCAATAATGGAACTATAATCAACAATAACAATTTATTCAGTACTTATAGTATCAATGGATTGACTAGCGTCTTGGAAGAAAGCGATAAAATTTCACCAGCCGCCTCTCATGCAAGTTTAAATGTCGACAAGGAACAACTTGAAACATCATGCCAACCACCACAAAACCAGTCAAAGTCAGCATCATCATCAACATCATTGTCAGCATCCGCATCGCAATCATCATCGTCATCATCATCATCACCATCATCATCATGTTCGTCATCCTCATCCTCTTCGATACCAGCAGTAACAACAATTGTCGATCCAGTAAATGAACTCAACCATCGAGTGAATGAATTAGCCATTGATACAAATCCCATGATGACGACTAATCAAATATCTTCTTCCAACAATAACAGCAATAACCATAACAACAATAGCATTTCATCTCCACCTTTTATGCCAACTCAACCAACAGTCATCTTAAATAACAACAATGGATTTCGGAATTTCGGTACTGGTATGATGATTGGTAGTACGAATCCTGCCGATCAGAATCCACCATGCAACACACTCTATGTAGGAAATTTACCACCCAATACCAATGAAGATGAACTCAAGCAAATGTTTTCCAAATGTCTTGGTTACAAACGATTATCCTTTCGACAAAAATCGAATGGCCCTATGTGTTTTGTTGAATTTGTCGATGTAGCATGTGCTACTCAAGCATTACAAGACCTATATGGAAATCCTCTTAGCAATTCGATCAAAGGTGGTATTCGATTATCTTTTAGTAAGAATCCTTTGGTAAGATCATAAAAAAAAAAAAAAAAAAGAAAGAAAGAGAAATCATTGATTTTTTTTTAAAAAAAAATTCTATTAGGGTGTTCGTCAACAACCATTATCTTCTATGAATTGTAACAATAACAATGCATCGGGATCTTCTATGATGGCCACTAGTCCTCCTCTTTCTTCTGGTATACTTGGTTATAATGGATTTCCTCCATCCATGAATTATCCTCGGCGTGAAAGCATGACGTTTGATCCTCAACTCTCCTGATTCATCCTTATGTATTTGATCATTACTATTGATATTTTGATTATCATTGTCTATTATTATCAATTTTTTTTATTAGTATTAGTATATTTATCATCATCATCATCATTGTTATTATTATTCTATTATTATCATTATTATTTTATTATCATTATTTTATTATCATCTTATTCTCCCCCCCTTTTTATTATCTTATTACTTATTCTTTTTATTTAGTATCTTATTTTCTTATCCCTTCATTCTTTTCATCTCTTCCCCTCTTTTTTTCTCCCCTTTACTCAAAAAAAAAGAATAACCTTCTCCGTATAACAATACCTCATACAAATCACACGCACATACACACATATATACTTCAAACGCACACACATATATTTATATTATGAACCATTTATTCACATCGTATGTTCAAAATTTTATTCATGATGTTCGCCTTTTATTTTTTTTTCAGAAGATCGTTTTTCCAAATAAAATCCATCTTTGAAAACCAACAAAAAAAAATGTCTTTTATTATAAATGTTTCATCATAAAGAGGCTAGAAAAGGAAAGAAGGAAAGAATAGGAATCAAGAAAGGGGAAATGGAATAAATAGTACATCAAGATGATCAGAAAAACTATCCTAAAAGGTTTAGTCTATCGACCAAAAAGAAGGTCAGATAACCAAATAAAAGAAAAAAGACCTATAGGGATATACCAAGGTCATGATACCGTTGACGTTTTGCTCTTGTTGGTGAGTTTGGCCTGCATATTGTTTTTCAAAGTAACATGATACCGATGACAATAAGAATCCAAGATAGAATCAAGCCAAGACCATAGTTGTAAAGGAGAAGATGGACCAAGTTCCAATTGATAATCCAAAAAGTAGAGGAATTCCATTTCCATCAAGCATAACTGAGCTGTCGATAGATTTATGCTCCAACTAGGACCCATTTTTCCTAAGAGTTGTGCTGCATCCTCTTCAGACGCCCTTTCATCCTCGTTGTTCTTGTTGTCACTATTAGTGTCATGGTAGCTCGTTGACGATGATGATGATGATGATGGATTATCGGGAGTAATGATGTTTGCGATAGTAGGAGGCATAGGTTGATCTGAAGAGTATGACGATTGTAATTTTTCAGAGGTGGATGATAATGATGATGAATTCCATGATAATTCCCATGGAATCACTCTTGGATGATGGAGAGGCCTTTGTCGATTGTTGTTTTTGTTGGAAGGATGTGATAATGATGATTCATATGTAACCGTTGATTTCAAATTCGCATGAATGTATTTTGCTGCCACCAAATAGGCTACTAATACCAATCGTTGGCCAACTTGATAACTGTATGAGAATATATTGAATTTCTATATTAAAAAAAAAAGTTGAGTTCAAACTGTGTAACCGATAGAAAAGACAAAAAAAAAAAAAAAAAAAAAAAAAAAAAAAAGAGATGATCCTTACTTGTTTGAATCTTTGCAAATAATAAAGGGCACAGATCATCGTTGTGGCAGGGCACACTACCGGAATACTGGATTTATTCATACAATACAATTTGATGGCATCGCATACTGAGGCTGACGGATGATGCATGACTGTACGATCCATGACAGAATACAAAAAGGCAATCGTTCTTGATAGGATAGGTTCTTCTTCCGTTTTATCATGAGGGATTTCATCAGTACAACATAACATGGCTTTAGAGATTCTTTCTAATAAAAGAAGAGTTATAAGTCATTCGTACCTTTTATTCGCTCCTTACTACTTACCGATGAGTTGAGCCGACATGGGTTCTAGTTGACGGGAATGTATCATATGTAACAAATAGACAGCATGCATGGTACTATAGTCGCCATATGTCTTTGTTGCGATAGAAGAATCTGTTTCCAACATAAAGTCCAATTGTTCAAATGAATGAGTAAAAAAAAAAAAGAAAAAAAAAGAAAAAAAGAAACAGGAAAAAGGGAAAAACGGGCATGGATATAACCAAATTTGACTGGAACGGTTCAATTCATTTAACCGATGTTTTTCTTCTCCGCCTTTTTTTTTCTCTTTTTTTGGTCTGGCACTCAAAATGTCTCCTGAGAGACAAGAGTAAAAAAAAAAAAAAAAAAAAAAGTTGTCTTCGCTTTTTTCACTTTCTTTATCAAGTCAATCTCCAACAATTCAAAGAGTGAAAAAAAACGTCAATATAATGAACAATGAAGTTGTAGCTTTACATAACTTACCACCAGTTACTTCCGATACCGATATTACTCATACCACTAAGCCTTATCATCATGAAGAAGACGAAGAAAACCGATTATTAAGTGACGAAGACACCTATGATGATGATGATTATGACAATGATGATCAACAAAACTATATACCCACTAACTATACCTGTCCATCTATGCTCTGGGTAAAATAGACAAACTATGATTCATTATTGACATTATGTTAATTATTTCTCTTTCTCTCTCTCTTTTTTTTTCTTTCTTTCTTTATAGCGAAACCGAACCATACGTTATATCATGATTGGTGTTTTTATTGCCTTTAGTTTCCTACTATTTCGAATCACTTTAGCTCTAGTGGCTCATAAATATGGACATGAACATTATAGTCGCCCTGTTGAAAGACTTTATCACAATGGATCTGAATATTATGCATCTACGGTCATTTTGATCTCTTTGGATGGTTTTAAACCTGCTTATCTTGATCTGGGTATTACACCAAATTTAATTCAACTAGGTAAGGAAATCTCATAGAAACAAAACTATTATTTAATTAATCATCACGATCATTTTAGCCAACGAAGGTATACAAGCAAACTATATGTATCCATCCTTTCCTGTAAGTTAAATCCATATGTCAATTGTCTTTTCTAATCAATTTTTTTTTTTTTTTTTTTGTAGACACTTACTTTTCCTAATCATTGGACTCTGGTGACTGGTATGTACCCAGAATCACATGGTATTGTAGCAAATGACTTTTATGATCCTACTATGGAACAAACCTTTCAACATTACAACAAATCATCAAATACGGATCCTCACTGGTGGCAAGCGGCTGAACCTGTAAGTGACAATAATAAGGGAATTAGGGAGTCAACGTTTTACAAAACTTAATTTTGATTTAGATTTGGGTGACGGCGAACAACTTTAATCGAATATCGGCATCCATTATGTGGCCAGGATCAGGAGCAATCCCACCGACTTATTTATATCCTTTCAATGCGACAACTTCTCCAAGCGAGGTGGCCGACTTGACTTTGGAATTATTAGATATGCCTTATAACAAACGACCACAATTCATATCAGCATACATACATCAAGTAGATTCAGCTGGACATGCTTTTGGACCTAATGATGATGCGATAAAAACATCTATTCGACAAGCAGATCACGCTATAGGCAAACTCTTGGAAGGACTTAAGCAACGACATATTGATGAACATGCTCATATAGTGGTGGTATGTTCGCCTACCTTTTTTTTTTTGTATTTCCTTGCTGACCTTTTTTTTTTTTTTTATGTATCTATTTCAGGTGAGTGATCATGGTATGGCAAAGACGGACAATTATATTTATTACGACGATATCTTATCAACAACCTCACTCTCTTATTTGCGACATCGAGAAGCATGGCCATTGCTTGATCTTCGACCTCTAGATGATACACCTCCCAACGCTACTCATCAAATCTATGGCGAACTCGCTTCATATGCTAAACAATATCCTGATGATGCTCATTATCAAGTCTATCTCAAGGAAGATGTACCAACACAATATCATTATAACAACAACGAACGCATATCGCCTATTGTCACGATCCCTGATCCTGGATATGCTTTTGTTAATCACGACGATACTGATCCATCCTCTGGTGTATCTCATCAACCAATTGGCATGCATGGTTATGACCTTTTTCATTCTGATATGCTGGCTATCTTTATGGCAAAAGGACCTAAAATCAATCGTTGGTTCCCAGTACAAAAGACACCTACTATCGCTACTTCCGTCACCTCCTTCAAGAAACGCATCCTCGCTCCCTTCCACAACGTCGAAGTCTATGAATTCTTGACCGAGCTGCTCAACATCAACGGTAACCCCAACAATGGCACTCTACATGGAAAATTAGTGTTAGCTTCTTCTATTTCTTCGTGATTACCCTACTTTCTATATATCCTTTCTCCCTATCACTCAACTTTTGTTTTTTAGTTTATATATCCTATTCTCAATAAAATTGAATCATTGCTAGATGTTCTTCAGATTTTTTTTTTTGACTTGATCGTTTTAATTCCAAAAGGGGGTACATTGATGATCAACCTTTGATAGTCATCATTCATGAAAACTATTATCCATCATCATCTGTCAATCATTTGTTAATCACCTTCTATCACCAAAGAAGTTAAAAAAAAAATCCTTCTAATCAATTTAATCCTCTTTTTTGCACAAACAAAATAGACGTTAACAATTCTTTGATTTTGAAAACTCCAAAGCCCCATTCTTTTTTTTTTTTTTAAAAAAAATATATTATATATTGCCATAGGAAGAGTGGGATATAGGTAATAAATTAAAGGTAATAGTTTAGCACCAAAGGAAAAAAAAGGGAGACAAAGAAAGAGTGCATATTTCCAAACAGTCATTGATCCTCATCCATAGTTAAATTTAGCCAGTAGCGCTACCTGCAACATCTCCACTTAATTGTCCACCAAGGCCATTAGCATTACCAGCCAGAGCACCAGTGACGCCGCCAAGATTACCAGTCAGACCACCAGTGACGCCGCCAAGAGCACCACCAAGACCACCACCAGTGCCGCCGCCAAGGTTACCAGTAAGACCGCCAGTAAGGGCACCAGCAACAGGAAGACCAGAAACAGGATCATTGGTGCCCCCACTAGTAACGGAGTTTCCTCCCGAAGAATTTTGTTGTCTAGCACGAATACCGGCGTTCGCTTCACCATCGACATCAGTCGTAATAGGATCATTGGTTCCATCAGTATTATCAGGGGTGGTATCCGATTTACCTTTAACTGGGGCACAGGAGACAGCACAGACAAGAAGAGCGATAGTGATGAATGATTTGGAGACCATGATGATTATTTGATGGAAAGAAAAAAGAAAAAAAATAGACAGGATGTCCATTTCTCTGCAACTTTATAGAAAAAAAAAAAGAGCTTTGCGATGATTGCTTGGTAGAATGCATCTCCTCCTTTTTTTTTTGGTACGATAGGAGATGATACAGAAAACATTTGGAAGGACGTCTTTTCTCGTTTCTGCATCATGTCTTTGTAATGATTGAGCTATTCGCATGATTTATACGATGATGATCATCCAATTACAATAATAATATCGATAAAAGAAATTGATGGGAACACAAATAAATTCATCTCATCGTTTTGAATCATGTTTTTTTTTCTTTTTAAAGAGAAGAAAGGGGGTGTTAGAGTTTACATAGCATTGAGTTTTTTCCGTGGCTGCATTGCTTCTACATGACACGGGTAGATGCAGAAAAGATGATGCCTTTACCCCTGTACGACCTTGAGCAAATGATATGCCTAGTAGAACGAGGACGCACAGTAGACAAAAAAAAAAGAAAGAAAGAAAGAAAGAAAAGAGCGTTTGTACTTCGCTATTCATGACGACAAGAAAAAAAAAACGGGTGAACTAACGAGATATCTAGAAAATTATCAGAGGCATTTCAATCACCTTTACACTTCATCATTCTATCGCAAAAGTTTATCGAAGTAGTCCCTAGGTTGTGTCCAGGCTGAAGATGAGATCGACTTAAACTGAGGAGTTTGAACATTTCAGTGACAAAAACCACAGCATCTCTCAGTCTGCCATTTTTCTTTTCTTTCTTTTTCTTTTCTGTTATTTTCATCCCCTGATTACTTTTTTGGTCTGCCTTGATTGAAACCTCATTAACTTTTTTTTTTGAACAATTGCATGACTTGTTACCAACATCTTTTTCTAGTCATATTGGTGTGTCAATCAACGCATGAAAGGTAATGTCAGGCAGGGACATCTCCACAAAAACAGAAAGTTGAATTGAATTGTATAGTAACTGGTTTTTATGACTCTTTCCTTTTGTGTAGATCCTTTTGGAGATCGGTTTTAAAAAAGCATGGTATTCTATTCTCTGTTTTCTGTAAGTCACCAGTTTGCTTCTCTATTTTTCTGTATAGTTTGATTTAACTATTTTTTTTTTTTTTTTTTTTTTTTGCTTCGTCTTTTGTCCAGAGTGCTTTGGTCCATTTCTTTTTCTTAGTCCCTCTTTATCAATTTTTTGACTGCCTCTATACTTCCTCTTCTGATTTTTCATCGAGATATTGTCTAATGCTGCCATTATCTCTTTGACTTCCTCTGAACTGACCTGCGTTGATGATCGTTTGATATATTTTACTTTTTTTTTGTTACTGGCATAGTTATGGGAATAGGACAGGACGAGATGACTATTGGATCATGTGGACAGATAAATAGGGACCAATCTGGCGAATATACAATAGAATCATCTAGCTAGGTGCACGACTAATGGTAGACGGGACTGGATCAATAACAAGATGGCTCTACAACAAGGTTCGACTAGACGAGGAAAGAAGATCAATTACATAAATGTCTTTTTTTGGTGGATCTCTTTGTTTCTCTCTCATCTGATGCTTCTTATGGACAGCTAGCGTTAGTCTTATCAGACCTTATATTATATATAGTATATTCTTTCTTTATATCCTTATTTAATAAAAGTACACGCGTATTGTCTTATTACTGTCATCCTTCTCTTATTGATATTATCATGATCGCAACATTCTTAAGCAGTTATCAGCAGTCATCATTACAGGAAGTATTACTTATCTATATCAGTATCATTAAAGTGTCTGATATGAGCATCAGCGCCTCTGCCTCCTTTCATAATCATCGCCATTCGTTTGGAAAACCATAAAATCGAATTTTATTTTATATTTTTAAGAATTTCTGAATTTTACACATTGATGTCCTCCAGTCATGTGAGGAAGACAGTGATGTCTTGCACATTTACAACCTATCTGAGGATCACATTTTTGCCCTGTACAATCAATAGCTGCAATTGCTACTGATTAATAATTAACAAATATTATTCAACCATGGAAAGCATCTTCTTTTTTTTTTTTTTTTTCTAACAGGGACATTCGCTCATATCAGCGCTACTTTTCTCAGGAGTATTTGTCTCCAGATTTGGCTTACCTTTAGGCAATGCACTGGAGACAGCACAGACAAGTAGAGCGACGATGATGAATGGTTTGGAGACCATGACTTATTTGTTTTTTGGATGAAAAGAAAAGGAAGGTTTATTTTTCTACTTATTTATAAAAAAAAAAGAATTTTATAACCATCAGTATGCAGATAATATCCCCTATCTTTTTGTAGGATAGGAGGCAATACAATACCTAGATACCTCTTCAAAGAAAACCTATCACCTCTCTCGCCTCTTTGGCATTTCTCAACGTGCGATGATCGACTATTTGCATGATTCATACGATAATGATGATGATGATAATGATGATGATGACGATGATGATGATGATGATGACGATGATGATGATGATGATGATGATGATGATGATGATGATGATGATGATGATGATGATGATGATGATGATGATGATGATGATGATGATGATGATGATGATGATGATGATGATGATGATGATGATGATGATGATGATGATGATGATGATGATGATGATGATGATGATGATGATGATGATGATGATGATGATGATGATGATGATGATGATGATGATGATGATGATGATGATGATGATGATGATGATGATGATGATGATGATGATGATGATGATGATGATGATGATAAAGAAACTAATGGGAACATAGACAAGTTCATTTCTTATCATTTTTCCTGCTTTAAAAAAATGGGGCGGGGGACAGATTTCCATAGGCAATGGGCAATAAGGTTTTCCATGATTGCATTGCTTTTAAATGGCATGGATATATGCAGAGAAGACGCTGTCTTCGACGCTATATGGTCTTTAGTAAACGGTACACCTTGGAGAATGAGAGCGAGCAGTAAATAAAAAAGGAGGGATTTATATTTCGCTGTGCATAATATAAAACAAAGGCATGAACGAAAATGACATTTAGAGACTCATCTCAGGCCATTGTAGTCACTCTAAGACTTCATCACGCTAGACCGAAGATTTACCAAAGTAATCCTAGATAATGTCAGTCTTTTATGCCCAAGAGGTATCTTTGATCGAATCTTTGATAAAATCGCCTCGCACCACCAATAATAGGACTGATATGAGGCCAATTGGGGAGTTTGAACTCTAGCTATGAAAAGTATAAAATTCTTTGCATATTTTTTTCTTCTCTTCTCTTTTCTTTTTCATTCCTCATTACTTTTTTTTTTTTTTGATTCACCTTACTTGGAACGTCATTCATCTTCTTTCTCTTTGGACAGTTGCGTGGCATGTTAGTTAGTGGCTTCTTTCATTGCCATTCTGTTGTATAGTCGTTATATAGTCAACGCGTGAAAGGTAATGTCAAAAGACAACAGAAAGTATTGATGGAAAGGTAATACTAATCAATTTTTATGATTGCTTATCTCATTGTAGGTCGGTTGTGAAAGGAAATGATGTCCTATTGTATTTGTTTTTGGTATGTTACTTTTTTTCTTTCTCTTATTTTCTGCGTAGTTTGACTAACAAACTTTTTTTTTCTTTTTTCTTTTTGATACAGACCGCTTTGTTGCTCGTTTCTTTTTCTTCTCCCTCTGTCTCCTATGTTTGTACCGTCATTGTCTTATTTGCCTTCTGTATCTTCTTTTTTACTCTTTTATATCTATTTTATGTGAATAGAATACAAATAGGTGACGACGCAACTGGATCATATGAATGGATACGTCTTAGGATCAATTGGATGAATATAAATAAAATAGGATCGACTATTTATACAATTGGATCAACCAACGAAACGCAGAACTGGATCAATAGAATACTACAGGAGCAATAAAATGGGTTTGCAACTGGATTCGACTGGACAAGAAAAGAAGATAAATTATACAAATGTCCTTTTTTTTTATGGATCCCTCTCTCACACAGACATACAACTGGATCTTATCGTAGTGCTTCTCTTATGGGTGGTTAGGGTTAATCTTAGTCATGTTTACATTCTATATAGTATATACTCTTTTTATATTCTTCTTTAATAAAGTTATAATTATGATCTCTTGCCACCGTTACCATTGTTTTATTGCCATTATCAAGATCTCAATATTCTTAATAGTTGTCAACAAATCTTCATCGAAGGAATTATCATCCCTCAACCGTACCTCAATCATCGTCAACCAGTGTCATCAAGAATCTTTTAAACTGACCAAAGAAACTTAATATTTTATCGCAAATAGTGAAGTAAAATATTTCCATAATCAATCATATCATCTTTCACGCCAAGCGAACAAAATAAACTTTAATAGCTCTTTGATTTTGAAAAACTCCAACAAAAGGTGGCATAAGGTTTTTTATTTATTATATATTGTGATAGGAAGAAAAGGATATACATAAGAAACTAAGGATCATGGTTTGATACAAAAAAAAAAAAAAAAAAAAAAAGAAGAAGAAGAATTGGGTGTACCAAAACAGGATTTATTTTCGTTCCTAGACAAGTTTAGCCATTAAATCCACCAAGGGCGCCACCGTCTTTTGCGCCTTTTCCGCTTTTTCCTCCATCAGTAAGTTCACCAAAGAGAGCGTCAAGATCAACGGCGTTTCCAGCGTTTCCTCCATCTTTTTTTCCACCAAGGACGCCACCGCCTTTACTGCCTTTTCCGCTTTTTCCGCCTTTTCCTCCACCAGCGAATCCACCAAGGAGGCCGCCAGGATCAACGCCGTTTCCAGTTTTTCCTCCATCTTTTTGTCCACCAAGGACGCCACCGCCTTTACCGGCTGCTCCGCCTTTTCCGTCTTTTTTGCCTGTCCCCCCGCCTTTTTCTCCACCACTGGGAAGACCTTGTCTAGCATAAATGCCATCGCGCTTGTCCATTTTTCCATTAGCGCCATTCGTAACAGGATGATTGATTCCCTTCATAGCAGTGTTATCAGGAGTAATATCGGCATTTGGCTCATTATTAACTGGGACACTGGAGACAGCACAGACAAGAAGAGCAAGAGTGATGAATGATTTGGAGACCATGATGATGATTTATTTGTATGTTGAAAAGAGGAAGAAATTGGACATTCCAATTTTCTGTATTTTTATAGAAAAAAAAAAAACAAGTTTACGATGATCACTAGGTAAACAATCCTCCTTTTTTTTGAGGCAGTATAGTAAAACGGAAACCATTCCTTCGGAACCCTATGATACATCACCTCCACCATATCTTTACGTGGATAATCGGATTTTTCACATGATCTATACGATGGTAGTAATGATGAACTACTTTCAATAATAATGATGATAAAGGAAACTGATGCATGTGTAGATAAACTTATCTCTCATTGTTACTATTTTTTTTTTTAAAAAAAAAGAAGGGGGGATAGGATTTATATTGCCAATGAACAATGAGTTTTTTTTCCATGGCTGCATCATCTTCACATGCAAGGGGTAGTGAAGGCGAACACTAAACAAAAAAGGAAGGATCTGTGTTTCGCTGTCCATAATGATAAAAACCAAGGAAGTGAACAAAGCATCTAGAAACTCATCCCAGAAATTTCACTCACTCTTGAACTTCATCACGCTAGACTGAAGATTTTCCAAAGTAATTCCAGGTAATATCAATCCTTATGCCCAAGATATATTTTTGATCGATTCTTTGATAAAATCGCTCACAACTTCAGCTGAGGAGTTTTAACTCCAAAGCTATAAAAATCATGGAATTTTTTTCTTCTGCTCTTATTTTTCTCTTTCCTTTTCATTCCTCATTACGTTTTTGATCTACCTTGATTGGAACCTTATTCATCTTCTTCATTCTCTTTGAACGTTTACATAGTATGTTACCAGCGTCTTCTTCCATTGTTATCTGGTTTGTAGTCAACACATGAAAGGTAATGTCAAGAGACAACAGAAAGTGTTGAATTGCAACAGCGATACTAATCACTTTTTATGATTGTTTGAGACCTCCTATATATATCTATAGATATACCCCCATATTATGTGAATAGAATACAACCAGGTAGCGATACAACTGGATCATATTATTGGTTACAAAGAAGGGTCAATTGGATGAATATACAACAGGATCAGCTATCTTGATATACAACTGAAGGAATTAGGTATGGATCAATAGGATAATACAGGACTGACAAAAGTGTTTGCTACAGGTTCGACTAGACAACAAAAGAAGGGTCAATTGTACAAAGGTCTTTTTTTTTTTTGGTGTGTCTCTCTCTGTCATATGGATCCTATCGTAGTGATTCTCTTATGGGTGGTTAGGGTTAATATTAGCCCTGTTTACATTCTATATAGTATATATTCTTTTTATATTCTTCTTTAATAAAGTTATACTAGTGTCATCATTGTTTTATTGCCATTATCAAGATCTCAATATTCTTCATAGTCATCAACAAATCATCTTTCAGGCCAAAGCAGGCAAACTAAAGTTAACAATTCTTTGACTGTGTAAACTATAGCAAAGCGCCAGAACTTGTTTTGTCTTAAAAAAAATATATTATTTATTGAAATAAGGGAGCGATCAAGGTAAGAAGTTAAGGATTATGGTTTGCCACCCTCCGTTGTCCAAAAAAAAAAAAAAAAAAAAAAAAAATTAGGGAACAATGGAAAAGTGGATATTTGATTGATTCTCGTTCACAGTTAAACTTAGCCAGGAAAACCACCAGCATAGCGGCATCGATGGCCTAGTTATTGGAAAGAATATTATTACCAGAAAGAATACCATGACTTTCATTGTCGAAAGAAAAAGGTGAAAAGTTGTTCACATAAGGATCTACCTGAGGATCGACCTCGACAGAAGCTAATTGTCTGGCAAGAATTTGGCCCCGCTTGTTTATTTTACCATCTGCACCATTGGTATTATCAGGAACATCGGCATTTGATTTACCTTTAACTGGGGCACTGGAGACAGCACAGATAAGAAGAGCGAAAGTAATGAATGATTTGGAGACCATGATGTTTTTATTTGATGAAAAGAAAAAGAAATTAGAGGTCCAATGTTTCTACGTTTTTATACAAAAAAAAAAAAAAAAAAAAAAAAGACTAGGTAAAATAACTTTGACGATGATCACTTGGCAAAGTAAACTCCTATTTTTTTTTTTTTATTTTTTTTTTTTTTGCAGGATAGGAAGCGATACTGTAAACAAAAACCAGTCAGAAGAAAGTCTATGTCTTCTCTCGCCACTCCACTGGTTCTTAACAGGTAACGTCCTCGCCACTCCACTGGTTCTTAACCGATACCGTCCTCGCCACTCCACTGGTTCTTAACAGCTAACGTCATCTATTCCTGTTTGAGTCAGGTTTTTTTTTTAAAAAAAAGGCACGATATACACTATGGATTCGGAAGGCAGACGCATTGGGCGAATGAATGCTAAACGGACTGTGCCTGGTTTTTGGTAAAAACTCACGTTGGATGGTGACAGAATACCTTAGGATGATAGTGATGAATCATATGGGTTTTGTGTAAAATCATAAATTGCATAATGAGCGATAATTCTATGAAAAAATCTCGATTCTTTTAGCACTAAAACGGTTCGTGTGATGATGCTCAATCAAAGCGTCTTGATGTGTTCACCTTGACTATTTTCAATTTCCGTCAGACTTCCATGATGAGAGGTACAAATCCAACTCTTTTTTTTTTTTTTTTTTTTTTTTTTTTTTTTTTTTTGTTCTTTCTTTGTATAATGTCTCTCTCTGATACTCAAAACACTATCAAACTCTTCAAAGAATATTTTTATAATGATAATATATTGCGGCATGAGGTAAAAGTGCATTCAACAAAATAAATGATCTAATTAGTAACTTTTTGATTGACGCGAACTTAAATTCACCACTCTCTTATTTTTGACTTTATATGAATTGTATCTAGCTTGATCCAAAACCAAATGAGGTAAGGAAGAAGAAGGAGAAGAAGAAAAAGGACATTAGTAGAAAAGGTAAACTTATCTGCTCGTTGGCATTTTTTTTTTTTCCTTGGCAAGCTTCCAAGTATGAGCGATCTGATTGAATACTGTGAAAAATACCCAAGATTACTTACTCGTACGTGATTGACTACTTTTTTTACTGCGAACATGGGGAAAGAACGTTGGTGAAGTCATTTCTTAATAGGCTAATCATACTATATTTAACTCCATTTTATTTCTGACAGTGCGCGACTCACCCTTGAAATATCTGCAAGATCCAAACGTCCCTATGGTCTTTGTCCACGATTGGTATATATGTAAGTATGAAAATCGTTCAGTGAATCCAAATGCCACGATCTTGGTTACGGACTATGACTTATGAACTTTTCTTCTTTTTGCCAGATATTGCTTCGGAATACATTGATGAAAAAGCAAAACAAATTATTAGATCTTGGGAAGAAGATAACCAGGTAATTGGAAAATAATACAAATAGGGCAGGATAATCTAAGGCACACGTTAATACTTTATATGCTATTATTTCAAATAGAAGAACGAAGATGCAAATTTCCCGATAGATAGTTATGATTCTTTGGTGGATCGATTGTACGAACTATGCCAACACATCTATCTTGCACCCTCCATGCCGTGGCCCGACAATAGTCCTATGGCCTCTCAACAACTAAAACATCGATTGCAGACTACCTTTTACGACATTATTACAACGCTTTTGCCAGCTTCATTCAATACCCTTCAGCAACAATACTATACGCATATCTACAGATCACTTTTTGAAAGCTATTACTACAGGCAACGGAGGACGGTCGTAACAGCTGACGATGATGACTTCAAAGCTGGTGGTAAAGAAGAAAACGACAGTACAACAGTCAACCACGATGATGATGATGACGTTCAATCCATGACTCACGTAACACCTCCATGCACAACCTTATATCCTTATCAAGATGGCGCGCTAGAATGGATATTGACACATGTTTTGGACGAAAATTTACCTGAAATGGGGCATATCGGTGAAATGTCAAATCATCTTCTTGAAAGACGGCTAAACGAAGTGATGGCGGATTGTCCCTTCGCATACAGGTTAAAGAGCTCTTCTTACCAGCAACTACGACAAAAGGAACAGCAAAAGAAACAGGAATATGATGATCAACAATATCAGGAAGACTCGATGCAATTGGATAACAACAGTGAAAACAACGAAAAGACAGCACTGGACAGTCGTCATTCCATCCCCACGCAAATGATGACTCGATTTATGACGACGTGTCAAAAGGGATGTGCGTTACATTTGATACCACCGTGGAAACAGATGATATCTTCGTGGATCTATCATCGATTTCAAGACCCTAGATGGACTCGGCTTTGGACAAAGGATGTACTCAAGATACAAATGGACTGGCTCCAACGCACCGTTTTGCCTTGGTTATCTCATGTATTAGCTTCATCTGACACTTTTGTTGGATTTGGTAAAAAAAAAAAAAAAAAAAAAAGGAATATCATATATAGTATCTTACCCAATGTCATTTATTTTATTCTATCTTTTTTTTTTGTTCAGAAACTGACCCATGGTATGTCTTTTTACAAGCCAAAATCAAATTAGAACACTTGATTTATAAGGAATTTTATCAATCTCGGTAATGGCTTTATATTCAAAAATAAATTGTGGTATTTATGTTTATTTGTCTTGATGATTAGATCCAAGGACATCTTTGATATTATGCTAGAGTATCCAGCTTCAAAGCCTGCGACAGAAAATCTGATGGTAAAGAAAAGAAAAAGAGGTGAAGTGAGTAATGGATTCAAAAGACCATAGAATTCATCCTTCTTGTCATTTGTTTTCACTTTTAGGTGATTATTGAAAAGACAAATCAATTGGATCATTTACGAGATACAATAATGGAAAGGTAATGCCAAAAAAAAAGAAAGAAAGAATAATTCGATGAATAGCAGAATGATAACATGATTATTTTATTATAAAATGTAGTTTGAACAAAAGGTTACTACATCAAGGCGCTTCGGCATTAGATATTATTCAACAATACCTCTCATGTATACGACTAATGAAATTAGTGGATCCAAGTTGTGCGGCATTATTACCTATCGTTCGACAAGTGGAATCCTATATGATGTATGTATATTTATGTAGAGGTGTCGACACAGATCAAATTTAGTTCATCTTTACCTACACTTTTTTTTGTTTTGTAATATATAGGACATACCGGAATGATACTGAAGAAGGTGTAGTAGAAGTCATTCGACAAGCTGAAGAATACGACTTGATGCCATTGGATGACCAAGAATGCTACGTCTTTCCTGATTCTGAACTGAATGAAGAAGTTATTTCGATCTTGGATGAATCAGGTGAGGACGATACGTTGACAATAGGTATTTGATTTTCTCATTATCGTTTCTTTTTTTTTTCATATATGTATGATCTTATAGCGGAACTGGAACGTCTTCAGCGAAAAGCAACGGATCTAGTGGCAATGTTGATCAGTATGTGTGGCTCTAGAACTAAGTTTGTGGAAGGTTATAAAAAAGGACTGGCCAAGTCTTTGATGACGATACAGGATTATGATACTGATCAAGAGGTAAGTAACACACAAGTCAAAAAAAAAAAAAAAAAAAAACAAATTACCAATATATGTGAAGTAAAATCACAAATGATTACTAATTTTTTTTCTTTTTTGATAGATGATACTTTTGGAAATGCTTAAACAACGATTTCCTGAATATACAATGAATGCATGTGATATTATGATTAAAGATATTAATGACTCACGAAGAATCAATCGACAGGTACATGAAGATAACCCCGATTTGGATGATCGATTCAAGACATTTATTCTTTCCAAGGAATATTGGCCCAAGATCGAACATGACAATGACAAGGAAGATGATTGGTTGGATACGGAAGAAAATACCGATCCTGTCAAGATCCCAACGGTTCTAGAAGGGTATGTATGATTAAAATATTGCGCTCATTGATTGACTTTTTTTTTTTGAAGACCAAAGGATGGATATGCTCAAGAATATAGAAAGATCAAGCCTTCAAGACATCTGATATGGTTACCTTCTCACGGTTCCGTTACATTGGAACTAGAACTTGATGGTTGTTGTAAAGAATTCATCGTGGAACCTCCTGCTGCTCTTGTGATCTCATTGTTTGAAAAAGGTATAAGACGAAGTATAAGAGCAATAGGAACACCTACTAATTTTTTTTTTTTTTGGATATATAATGAAGACGAGTTTTTAACTACGAAACAAGTGATTGAAAAAACAGGATTACAATTGGAAAAGGTGATGATGGCATTGAACTATTGGCACAAACAAAGGATTCTGGTTTTACAAGCAAATGGGTATTTCCGCCTTTTGAATCAAGAGACAATAATGGAATGATTTAGTTATTGTAATCTTATCTTTGTACAAATTGTAATAAATTTCATTAGAAAGTCATATAAGCTACTTCTTACTTTTAATGGATGGAATTGACCGATGATTTTTTTTTTCTATTGGATTCAATGAACTAAGGATGGGAATGACGGGAAACTTTATTCATGAGCGACCCCCCAAAAAAAGAAAAGAAACTTTAGAAAGTATCACTTGGATAAATTTGTTTGGACAAATGGAAAGAGATAAATGTCTTCATTGGTAATGGATGATTCTATTCATCATATCTTTTTTTTTTTTCTTCTTCCTAAAATACACTTATTCTACTACTTGTATTCCCTATTCACTTTACATGAAAAAAAAACAACTTTATATACATTGTTTATCAGCCTGGGTTTTCTTTACTAAGCGTTATACATTTCAAAAGGGAAAAACATTGAATGACGATGATGATGATGATGTAATCCTAATCGTCAACACACTACGCATAGTAACACGCAGATTTGAGTAACTTGAATTGTAACACTGAGGGGAATAGTTGTACCGATCACATATTAAAGACATGTTTTCTTTTTTTTTTTTTAATATAACTTTCCCAATGACAGTCAAATGACCTTATAGATGGAAAAAGAATCTCCTCATATACAATTTATTAGGTGATTTAAAAAAAAATAATAAGACTCATCATGACCTACTTTGGCAAGACAAAGTGAACGGCGGATGTCAAAGTGTTTTTGATAAAGCATAAAAAAAAAAAAAAAAAGGAATATATTTCCTTTTATAGTTTCCATGTTGCCGTACATTGTGTGATTGATTGTCTTTTAATGATGGTTAGCTTGAAAGTTTATTGATTTTTTTTTTTCGTGTAGGCCTTCATCCTTATAAAAAGAGACATTTTTTTTTTTTTTGATAGAATCATCTTTATCCTTAATAAAAAAAAAGGTACAATGAAAAGTCTTTTTGCATTTGGCGTGTTGATGATCAGTTCTGTACTTGGTACTACGGTCACTACTCCTGGTGATTGTCCTGCCCTGACACCTCGTACTTCTCCTCCAGTGGATATTACTGATCTTCGTCCTGATGACATCAAGGTTCTTGGTGCACTCGGTGACAGGTTTGTATTCATCATTGATCATTTAAAAAAGATGACTTATTTTTTTTTATCATAGTATCATGGCAGGTTATGTGATGATGGGTGTGTCCGGTCCTCTTGATATCAAAGCATTGGAAGAATTCCGTGGTCATAGTTATGCCATTGGGGGTGATAGTGGGGCCATCACTCTTCCTAACATCATGAATCATTATACACCTGTGAAAAAAGGTCCTTCTGTTGGAACAACATTAGCTACTACCTGCAATAGTAAAGAGAGAAAAATATAATCTTTTTTTTTTTTTTTTTTTTTTGGAAAGTTAATCATCAGAATTATATTTTTTTTCTTTCTAGTTATTGCCGATACTTGTTCAAGTATTCAATATACTCCATCTGCTGATCAATTAAACGGTGCTCTTAGTGGGGCCATGTCATTCAATCTCCAAACTGAACTTGGTTATGTTTTGTCACGTAATAATAATAGCAACAAAAAAAAAAAAAAAAAAAAAAAGGAATGATGGATGAATCTAATCTTTCTATTGGATAGAAATGAAATCCATTTCTGGTATTGACGTACAAAACGATTGGAAGATGATTACTATTCAAATTGGAAGTAAGCTATTTTTTTTTTTTATTTTAAGAGGAATATGATGACAAGGATGAAAATTAACTTTTATTTTTTCCCTTCTAGGTAATGATCAATGTGCATCTTGTAATTCCACTCATGCAAGCCAAGTGACAGCCGATCAATATGGTGCAAACATCGAAAATGCCATCCTCACTATTAAGAATGGTAGTCCAAGAACAATTGTCAATCTTGGTAACTGATTTTAATATATTAAAAATAAAAAAAAAATATTAACATCTTCTTTTTGTATGATTAGTTGGTGTGTTTAATGTATCACAGGTAAAATAAGAAATGAAATAAAAGAGAATCTTTTGCATTGATTTTTTTTTTTAATAATAGGTATTTCCATTATCACAAAAATCAGGATTGAATTATTGTGTTATGACCAACAATGATCCTTCTACGATCAGAAACCTCAAAGAATGTTCATGTTCTGCTGATAGTAATCATCAAGCGATGGATGAACTTGCTGCTAGTTACAATGTAAAATTACAAGCCTTGGCTGAAAAATATAAAGCTCAACCCAATGGTACTTTTGCTGTAGTCTATCGACCAGCCAATGTCAATATCATGAGTTTCCCTATTGATGCTCTCAGTAATTATGATTGTTTCCATCCAAGTCAAAAAGGACATGAATGGATGGCAAAGGTAATTATTTTTTTTTTGTTCTTCCTTTTATATTAACTCAATTGATGATAGATTGTTTGGAATATGCTTTTCCTTCCATCTAACAAGCAACCTGGTATTTATAACTTTGATGCCAATCAACCGGTAAAGAAGAAAGAAATAAATAAAAAAAAAAGAAAGATGATTAATGATTCTATTTTCTATGATAGATTTATTGTCCTACAGATACTGACAGGATTCAGTTATCTTGATTCAATCATTTCTCTTCGTTCGTTAGTTTTTTTTTTCAATCAATAAAAAGAGAAATAATGGACTTTAATGTACTATTGCTTGTGATAGGAATATGATTTTTTTTTTTATTAATGTTTAATATAATTTAAACTAACTATCTATAAAAGAAACAATCCAGATGATACTTCTTTGTTCCAAATTGCCTTTCTTATCCAGCGGATAATCCTATTTACAAAAACCATTTATTCTATTTTTACATAAAAATAAAAAGTATAATAAAAAAGAAATATTAGTTCAAAGATAAAAAAAAAAAAAGTGAAAAAGAATGTTAACGAAAAAGGAAGGAACTTACAACAGAGTAATTTAACCAAAAAAAAAAAAAAAAAGAGAGAGAGAATGGAATCTGACATTTAGATGTACTTGTCATTCGAACATCGTTCAAAAGAAGAAAAAAAAGGTAAGTGGTAAAAAAAGGTAAGTGGAAAAAAAGAAAGAAAGTGAAGTGAAAAAAAGTGAAGTGAAAAAAAGTGAAGTGAAAAAAAAAAGTGAAGTGAAAAAAAGTGAAGTGAAAAAAAGTGAAGTGAAAAAAAGTGAAGTGAAAAAAAGTGAAGGGAAAAAAAGTGAAGTGGTAAAAAAAAAGTGAAGTGAAAAAAAAAGTTAAGTTGTGAGTGAGAGCACCTCCCGGTTTCTGTCAAATCCACTTTTCAAAAAATGCTTTTTACTTTTTTTTCAGTGTTTTCCATAAATGGTATAACTTTAAAGTCCGGTCTCAATGTTGGGTGTGTGGGATCAAAAAAAATCTGGAGGTACGAGATCAAAAAAAAAAGTTGGTCGAGATTGAAAAAAAAAAAAAAGTTTGTGGAGACGAGGGGAAAAGTTGGACCAAGCTCTGACAAGAAAAAAAAAAAAGTTGGCGCACTCTTACTTTTTTTTCCCTTTTGCTTTTTTTTTTTTTTTTTTTTTTTTTTTTACTTTTTTAACCACTGGCACTTTGGACATTGTAAGCTTACCATTATACATTACTTTACTTAAGCTATATTATATATTTAAAATTCACTCTTTATATATATTATACTTACTACTCTTTATACTTATTCTTCTTCTTAGACTCTGATACTATGAATTAATCTTTTTTTTTTTTTTTTTTTTTTTTTTTTACCTTTTCTATGCAAATACAGTAGATACAATAGAATGAATATACAATAGGTTTTGGACAAAAAGTAGAAAATAAGGAAAAAAAATATATATTATATTATCTTTTATTTTACATTCTTATTTAAATAAAATCACATGTCTTTTTTTTTATCATTTATTTATTATACTGACATTCACCTATTATCCTATCTACCATCATAAAAAAAAAAAAAAGATACTACTAATACTATAAATCTAATCAGTTTAAATAATAAATAAATAATAAAAGATATCATAGAGATGACCTTGAATATGGACGATATTGTTGTTGATGAAGTAATCGTCGATCACGTTCATGTTCACACCATTTCTTCATTGTGATTTTAGAGCTATCAAAGATACCTTCCTTTTCACCATGTTGTCCTTGTTTACTTTCACCTTGTACCTTTCTTGTTTCGCCCCACGTGAAATCATCAAAATGCCAATAAGCATAAGTAGGCATCACAAAATTCCAGATAGGTAAACTAAAGAGATAAATCAACATCCAACCTACATACACTAATTTTCGACTTGTCATGACGATCAAAACAGCAGGTAAGCCAAGAATAAGAGCAAGCAAGATCAGAGATACCACAGCAGGTTGACCCATGATGGCCAATACAACAAGATACATTGTAAATGAAATGGCAGCTGGAAGGGCCAATGTCCCTACTAGTTCCATAAATACCACAAATTGCATTGAAAAACAGAATGTACCACAGAGATCATTGACAAATAAGAGTTCCATAAGATTGTGAATGGTAGAATTGATCCATCGTCGTCTTTGAGATAACAATACCATGAAAGTATCCGGTACTACCGTCTTGCATACAGCTTGTGGAACAAAAAGCATCTTGCGTCGAGGGAATGTCTTGAGCATCAAAGTTGACAAATAACGATCTTCACCCAATAATAATAAATTTTTTTTATGTAAAGTATCCACCACATTTTCCGAATAATGTTCAATGATATCAGGATTGGCAAGAATCGGTACCCAATGTCCATTGCTCCCTTTAGGACTCTTGATTCGATACATACAAAAACAACCAGGTAAACAGGTCACATTTCCAAATATAGATTCGAATGCCTTGGTTTGATGATGAGAGATATAATATTCAAAAACTAGTTTTTTTTTTAAAAAAAAAAAAAAAAAAAAGGAAGTAAATATCTACATATATAATATATTGATTGATTTTTTACCTTGTATCATAGATACCCAACTATCAGTTTTATTTCCAATTTTTGTTTCTCCACATAATCCAGCCACTTGATCATCATTGACCATACAACTTATCAAACGAGACAAGGCATCCGGGTAAACTTTGGTATCAGCATCCACCATCAACACAATTTCGTACTTATCAGGACTCACACCAGTAATACGCCAGGTGTTTGTAAAGAGTTCATATTCCAGCATGGTCATCCGTTCATCAAACATCACCTTTTGCAGAAATGACATGAGAATGACTTGTGAATCACGTTTCCCTCTGTTGCCTGGTTTGCGTTCACCATGTTCCTCTGGAGCACCACATTTGGCAATAGTAATCATTGGTACTTTTTGTTGTAAACTTGGATCCACCGTTGTATCGTCGAACTTGTAAAATCCAGCATATACCTTGGCCATATTATGTCGTTTCGTTCCATCGGCAATAGCCACATAGCTATATGCTTGTACTTGATCTGGAGGTGTAAGAAATTCGTGCATCATCGAAACACAAATATCAGGCGTGGATTGAGCATTACCATGTCCAGTAATTTGTCCATCTGCAATCACAAGAATCAATTTATGGCTATTGGGATAGTCTGTTGTAGCAATCGAGTCTAATGTTGTGCGGATGCCTTCTTCCCCTTCAGAATAACATGTCACCAGACATATAGTATGAGTTAGTACAAAACCAAATGGCATATAATCAGACTTGGGTTGAGGTACAGCATGTCGTGATATTGCATAAGGACACGCTGTTGTGGATGAGGATGAATGGGTGAGGTTAGAATGAGAAGATAATGAAGATTGACGTGACACTGTTGTCAATTCACTATGTCGTCTTGATGAATTGCTACGTCCATTTTCTGATCCAGTAGTTGGTGTTCGAGAAGTGGAAGGAGTGAGTGGTGTAGGAGTCGTGATGGGTCGCAAGTAAGATTCACTTAAAGGACTAATTGAACCAAATTGTCCCAAGGCACGCGTACTGAATCATAGAATAGGAAAAAAAAAAAAGGTTAGAATCATACTTCAATTTTTTTTTTTTTTTTTTTTTTTTTACCTAGGTGATTGTTTCCATAAAGCACTTCCTGGTCGTTCAAGAGAAACAGCATTAAAGTGCATAGAACCTGTTTCAGGAGGAGTGAATCGACTTGTTCGAGGAAGTTTTGGAGTTGATAAGAAGGATTTCGATACAGCAAGTTGAGGGCGAATGGTGGTCGCAGGTCTGTTAATATTGGTTGTCCAGTTTTCGATTTCTTGTTCACGTTGCATTCGTTCACGATAAGATCGGCCTTCCTTGAAATTACCCAGTTGCCAAGACAGACACCAACCAAAGATGACAGCCAAACCAAATTTGACAAGGATAACACCCAAAATAACAACAAGAGAAGTATAAAGTACGATATCCGAAGCAATACAACCGACACTTTTTGTATCTATTTCACCCACTTTGATAAGATCGAGTAAACAATAAGCTTCTTCTTTCCAACTGCTGGTAAGATTGGTGGGACCAGGAGCAAGACCAAGTGGTGTTGAAGGAAGACGATGGTGAGATGCTACCATATGACTAATATCTTTACCACCAAAAAGAGCTGGATTCGCAAGTGCAGATGCAATCAATCCGCCTGGTGGTACATTGAATAAAGTAAGAGAAAGTGACGATAATAAATTGAGATTGAGAACATTGCTATTAAAAAAAAAAGTGGAAGAGAAAGAAAAAAAGAAAAAGAAAAAGAAAAATTAGACAAATCGGTATTAAAAATAAAATAAAAAAAAATGTTAACGTACCTGTTAAAAACGGCAAGATGATTGGTTGAATTGACTTCCCTCCAACCGTAATAGACTCTACCAGCTTTATCCAAAGTGCCTTGAGAAGTAGGTACACCTAGGGTTCGCATTGATTCAAAGTCTGATTTGGCTTTGGAGGTTAAATGGCAGCCAGTATGATTACTATAAGTAGCAGGATCAGGTACATCCATGGCATTTCCCTGGGGATGAGTATTGAACATACGACATGGAAAAAAAGTAGGTAGACTTTGTGAACCGAGTTTAGCATTTGCCATTTTTGGTACGATGACGTTGGCGCAGGATGAACTATTCATGTTTTGAAATAAAAAAGAAGCATCCTTACCACCAGCATTAATGGGAGGGTATACTGGGTTCAAATTTTCACTGGAAAGATAAGGAATAGGAGGATGATCATTCCATGAAGCAAGTAAATAAGCTTGACCATGAATCACCACGTAACCATCATTCAATTGGTCCATTCGGAAACTCAGTGATGGTCTTGGACAAACAGCTTGTGTGAATCCAAAAGTAAGAAAACCAACAAATGCCATAATATATAAAATCACTGACACGAGTCCGATTTTTTCTCGAAATGCATATTGAGCAGCATGATCCTTCTTGCCTAATCAAAAAAAAAAAAAAAAAGTTAGTCAAGAAAAAAAAAATCATCTATTTATATATCATACCAAAACAATAACTTAATATACAGGGTGGAAGACAACATGTTAATATATAGCAATATATTTTCCATATATTTAAAGAATGAGACTCTGGTAATTCCATTGGTTTGGACACTTCCATTATATACATATCAGAATCAGTATCTCGTGCAACGATACCATTTCGTAATACAGAGCGTTGATTATATGTTCCATCTCGATATGACTTTGTGATGATTTGTTGTTGTTGCGGAAGAGCTCGTAAACTAGAATAGTATTGTGGATGATGGGCATCAATACGTTGACGTTCAGGTCTAATCAATGATGCTTGTCGTTTAGGTGGTGATGATGATGATAATGATGTATTCATAATGAAGAAGAATAAAAAAAAAACAAGTGGGTAATGATGACTGATAAACCAGGAAAGACAAAAAAAAAAAAAAAAAGACGTTTGATTAGACCGTTTATGTTGATTAAATAAACCAGTTGATTGAGAAATTATCTTGGTTCTTATTTCAAACAAGATCTTTTCAACTTGATAATAAGATATCAATGAAAAATACAGACAAAGTAATGGTAAGAAAGAAAAAAAAGAAAATATAAAGAAAATGAAAAAGAAAATATATATAAAAAGAAAATCCATTTATAAACAAAATCATGATGATTGATAGGTACTGTTTGATATTCACATTGTATACGTAAAAAAAAAAAAAATAGAGCATTTTTCCTTCAGGAGTGCATCAACAAACGGTCAATCGTAGTATAGCTATCATGCAGTCAACGTAACTTTGTCACCAATCATATCCAAGGCATTGGCTCAATTCAGGCACCACGTGTGTAAAGTTTTTTTTCAATAACAAAAATGTTCAAGGGTAAATCTAACAACAAATAAATATCAAATGGGCTAAATTCTCTTATAGATGAAAGATTCCCTCTTGTTTTTCTTTTTTATAAAAAAAAAAATACCAAAACGCCTACGTTTATGTTGTACATACAAATGCACAACAAATCAAATCGATCTTTTTTATGATGCAACCCCAACCCCTGTTTATTTTTTTGTATTTGTTCACGATTAAATAAAGAAAGAAAAAGGAAAAAAAAAAAAACATCATCATGTCATTTTCTAATCATAATAATGAAATTGGATGACAAAAAAAAAAAGGAAATTTGATAGATGAGGATTTTATTATTTGAGTGACTTCATGGATCATTCGTATCTTATACGTTCATCTTTAATGACAGTTGCATAGCAACATGCATATGCGGTGATAACTGAGTATGATTATTATTATTATTATTATGAAGCCATTGTAACCAAACATAACTATATGATATAAATAGTCTTTTTGTATCATTTATAGTTAATAGATAGATATAAATAAAACGTCCATTTCTTCTTGATTATCACATGACTTGCTCATGGTTATCATCGGTTATTGAGATTTATACTGGGATGATCATCTAACTTTAGTCTACTTAAGGGAAACAGAAGATAAAAAGTCAATTAGTAGTATTATCATTTATCTAAATCATCATCATCATCATTGTTCAATTTTTTTTTTCAACCCACTTTTTTTTTTTTTTATTTATTATTTTTATCATTCATTCCCTTCATACTTTTTTTGGACAGTTCCCCTCTCTTTCACTCACCCCAAAAAGAAGGATTTCTAGCTCAGCTGCATAAACTTTGTGAGGTGAAAAAGTTTTTCTTTTGCATGATAACCCATTTTAAAAAAAAAAATTCTTTCTTTTTTCTTTTTCGTCACCTTTTTTTTTTTTTGTTTTTTCTTTCTTTTTCTTTTTTATTCTTTTTTATTCTTTTTTTTTTTTTAAAAAACCATGTCAGCATCAACGAAACGTTCTTCCACAACAAAACGAACAGAAACAGTTTTAAAGAAATCACAATCTAATCATGTTAGTAATACCAACACGTCCATAGTATTACCAATGGCATTGAAAAGACGATCTACTGGTTCTTTAAGACGAAGATTATCTTGTAATATGGAAACAAACGCCACTCCAACAAAAGTAAGTCCTCCTTTTTTTGGATTGATGAAAAGTAGTACTCATGAGACTCCGCCCCCCTTTATTTATTTTTCCCCCTTTTTTTTTTTTTTTCTTTTAGATTTGGAGAGCACCAGGGTTTTATGAAATACCTAATGTTTTAGGAAGTGATTGTTTTTTAAAACCAAATGATACCAAAACCACCTTTGAATTACGACAATCTCAACCTGAAAAGAATATTTGTAAACGACCTTGGTTACCAGCAGGTATTTGTACTATCATTCCTCAATTACCACCTTTGGTTCGTCCTTCCAATACTTTTGAACGTCATTTGAGGAAAACTTTACCTACTTCTGTTTCTATCTCTTGTTTGGATCCTCATAATAAATATAATGATTTTTGTGAAATTGGCACTGGGTAAAAAAAAAAAAAAAAAAAAAAAGATGATGGATTCACTTCTTTTTTTTATTAGGGTGAATGGAGCAGTGATGGGTGCGACTCATCGATATAAACCATGGAAATTGGCCATCAAACGATGTAAACTGGATAATGATCATGAATATCGATTGGCAATTGTACGAGAATTGAAAATCATGGCCAGTGGACATAGCAATTTGATTCGATTACGTGAAGTCTCTTTATGGCGTGATGATATTTGGATGGTGATGGATTTACAACAATGTTCAGTGTTTGCTGTTCTATGTCAACGTGGATTACCGGAACAGTATGCAGTGTATATTGCCAATGAAACATTAAAAGCGTTGATTTATTTACATAGCAAAGGATATATTCATCGAGACATCAAGTGTGAAAATTTATTGATTGGTTGGCATGGTGAAATCAAATTAGGTATGAATGATTTTTTTTTATTCTGACTTTGGCTAATGTGTATCTTTTTTTTTTTGGTAGCTGATTTTGGTTTGGCCACAAGACTTAGTCGTCGAAATCGTGAACGTCTCGGAACAAGTAAATGGATGGCACCGGAAGTCATACGAGAACAAGTTTATAATGAAAAAATCGATTTATGGTCTTTGGGGATTACTGTGATTGAAATGATGGATCGGGTGCCTCCGCATTACCTTTTGAAGAATGAAAAAGATCTATTTGCTGCTATCCTCAATGAACCAAGTCCTACTTTTAGTTATAGTTATCCAACCATGTATATGCGTGGATTGGTTGCTTGGCTTTTAGATGAAAATTCAAAATCAAGACCTTCTGCAAAAGATGTGGCCATGGTAAAAAAAAAAAAAAAAAAAAAAAAAAAAAATCTTAAACTTACTCTTTTCATGCATTTGTTAGGAATTGAAAACACATATTGAAACCAAACTTTTAAGAACTTCGGATGCAACGGAATTCGCAAGATTTGTAACACATGTAATGTCGGCTACCTGAAACTTCCCCATTCTCTCTCTCTATATTAGTGAATCATCCGCATCTTTCTTTACTTATTATTTTGTATTATCCCACATATCTAATCGTTTTTGTATCATTTGATCTCATTTTAATAAAAACAACCATTGTTATTCCATTTGTATCATTTGAACACGAATATTTTAATTCATCCTGCATCCATGCTTAAATCATAAACATAACTAAAAGACTAAGCTCCATTCATATAGAACGATATGATCTTTATATATATATATATATAAATGCTTGGAAATAAAAAAGAACCACGTTTTTTTTTTAGTTTATTATTGAAAAAAGGAGACAACACTGAAAAAAACAGAATAAATATGCAATGTTGGGAAGATGTGAGGGGTAGTCAGGATTAAAAAAAAAAAAAAAAAAAGGCAAAAGGAAACAAAATGACGGGTGATCATCAAAATAATAATAATAATAATAGTCATAGAAGGTAGGTTTGAGAAAACAAAATATGATCTAATTCTATAGGTGAATCACAATTCAGATACATAGTTACCTACATAAAAGATAATAATCATTAGTTCATCAAATAATTCCCTTTTTTTTTTCTTTTAGCATACCAGGGAATATACCAGTGATACCATGTAAACGACCAGTCCACCAATCATTTGTATCTGCTGTACGTTCCACCAATTCAATTTTATCATCTTTTCGAAATGATAAATCACCTTCAGCTTGCGCATCATAATCATATAAAGCCACAACATATTTTTTGTTGATAGTTCCGAAAGAGGTAGAAGGGGGAGGAGGCGGTACACCACGAGACTGCTGTTGAGGTGAAGGTTGATATTGATATGATGAAGATTGTTGTGATGATGCTAATCCATAAGCTGGAGGAGATGAAATCATAGTAGTAGATGTTGTTGTGTTGTTATTGTTGTTGTAATTAGTTGAAGAGGATGTTGCTGCTACCATGGAGGGAGAGTTGTATCCAATCATAGCCTTGTCTTCCTGTTCCCGTAATTCTGCACGTTCTTTCAATGATAATTTACTATTGTTGCTTCCACCTGACACTATTAGAAGAAAAAGAAAAAATAAACGTCCATTAATATATATATATATATATACTTTTATCTATACCTTTTAACCAGGCTTTTCCACCGGATTTCAGCAAGTCCATGTTTTCTAAATCAGAACGCGCGCTATACTGTTGTTCACGCCATTGGAATCCTTGTTCAATACCCATTTCATAAGTGACAAAGTGTTGTTCATTGGCATGTAATAGTTCATGACAGCGAGCGTAAATCATACCATAAATGCGACACTGTAAAAAGTAGAATCGTTCAAATACTGGGACAATGAATTGTGCCTTGAGATGGAAAAACTGAGGAAGTTGTTGTTTTAACATGTCATTTAAATAATCATAGTCTTGAGTTGCCGTTTCCAATTGAGCTTCCACTTTGTAAATTTGCTTTTCTTCATTGAAGCTACGTTCTTCTTTGACCTTGAGTTTATTGAGACTGGCCCTATGTCTATCATAATCGATCATCTTGTGATTGCGTTTTACCATGGTTTTTTGTATTTGTTTCATGATTTCTGTCAATTCCAAAGTAGGTCGTATTACTGCATCATCCACTAGATCCTATCAAGGTCATGAGTATAATGGTTGATATTTTTTTTCTTTGTGTTACTTACAAGTTCTGGTAAGATTTCATCACGACAATAGGCCATAGCTGCCTCGGCATCATTTGCAGCTTGAGCAGCAGCAGCGGGTGTTTGTTGTACTCGACGTTGAATTTCACCTTCTTCTACTTCAATACCAATATTCGCACTGTAAATTATAGTCAGATACGCCGCCATTTGAGCTTGATGCATAAGAAGAGCTATGTGTTGTCGTTTTTAAATAATAAGTCCCCTTTTCATATAAGAGAATTATTTTTTTTTATTTTTACCTGCAATACTATCACGGAAAGATTGAGCATCCTTTTGAAGTTTTTCTACCACTTTAATTGAATCATTCAGTTTCTTTTCCAATTGCATATATTCTGCATCTTGAGTCACTATTAAAAAAAAAAAAATTCATAAGTTTTCGTACATCTTTTTCTTCATTCCTTTTTTTGTTTTGCTTACCATCTGTTTTCTTGGAAAGGATCTGATGTGGTAAACGACTGACAGCTTTAGTAAGACCCTACATAAAAAAAAAAAGAAGAATATGAATACTTTTAAATAGAAAACAATATTGACTGTTTTTTATTCTAGTTTTACCTTCCAACTCATAATTGATAAATAAAAATATATATATATATATAAAAAGAAAGAGAGAGAGAAAGGGGGTATGAAAAGAAAGAGAGAGAAGAGACAAAGAAGCCGAATGCAAACCTGTCTTGCCACGCCTTTTGTACTCCGCTTACTACGCATCAAGTTGCCATTTGCGTATTTTAATATTTTTATTTTTTTTTGTTTTTCTTTCTCTTTCGCCTTGTTTCTTCGTCTTTTCTTTATCGTTTGCCGTTGGATAAAAAAGGTACGTGTTCTGTTTTTTTTATCATTTCGTTATTGTTGATGCTTATATCATCTTTTCGGGAAGCTGTGTCACAATCTCTTCCCTCTTTCTTTTCTTTCTTGTATCGTCAGCAATCAAGTCACTTCTAGGACGTCGCCAGCTTTTCGTCATCGTCAACATCATCTTCATTACCTAGCACACCATCATCATCAACATTGACAACAATAACTACAAAAGCAAAGGAGCATAAATTAAGCAAGTCATCTACAAAGTCGATTGCAAGGCTAAATTCACAAAGCATATCTTCTCCAATGGTTCTATAACTGAATTCATAACAAGGACAACTCTGATGACTTTGAATAAATCTACAAAGGATTGTTGACAAAGTGGAGAAACTTATGGATTGGCAATTTATCAAGTCATTGTTATAATAGAATTACTATCGAATTGATGAGGTAAGACTTGCTTTTAATTATACTATTTTGATGAATGTTATGCTCAATATTTTCTTTGGATATTATAATATATTGTAGTTGGAAATGAATTTTGGAACTATTATACGCTCTTTTTATTTGTCCACTCTCGTTAAACACCAACATATCAAGAATATCAATCATCAAAAGTTGAACCATTGTCTAGAAAAAATGCTGTTGATCATACTAGTGTGGATGGAATATTTGAACAACCAAGAATTATATTGTCCTACACGTTGTACATATTCATAACGGCAAAAAAAAAGTAAGACTTTTATAGAAAATAAATTAATAAAAAGGTCAATTGTATTTATATTTCATTATTATACTTACTTGAAGAATTCATGGATTGGTGTATTGATTCTACTCGTCAAGCTTGGAAGTCTATGGTGAAATTGAATGAATATTTGTTACTTGTATACTGTTGATTTCCGCTCTTCTGTAATCAACAAACGTGTCCATATTGCTTTTATGCTTACATCTAATGAAATAGTACCTGATATGGTTAGAGTAGATCAAGGCCAACAATAATTTGAATGTACAGCGTGTGATGATTGATTGCAGTAATACCGAAATATCAGGTTTTCGATCTATCTTCAATGACGGTGTAATTATTTTATTGTGTCACTGGCACATCAAACGTGCATGAGAAAAGAATTTGACATCAAAGGTAAAATGAATTATAGAAAAAAATAATTCATCGCTCTACTATTGTATGTATAACTTACTGTTTTATTCTTTTATTATATAGACCAAAGGTGATGACAAGTACGAAACTCGACAATTATTGGATGCAACTCGTATTAAGTTGAACGATATGATGCATGCAGTTTTAAGTGAAAGTTTGGTCCTCTTTCCAATCAAGATATAAAACTGATTTCTCTGAATTTTATACATATTTCAAGACTTATTATTGGTACAACATTGGCAAGATGAAATTATGACCCAAAGCTTTTTGATCTGTAAGTAATCATCTATATTACAGGGTATAGTGTTTACTAATAGTTTTTTTTATTGTAGAATGCTGTATTCCACATCAACAAGTTTACGATAATACGAGCAACTAAGTCAGTTCAATTGACTCAATTTAGGAATGTTATTGATGATATCACTGTCCCCAATCATCACACATCTGGATAATCAAGACGATTATTGGTATTTTATTAGTTTTTTTTTATTATTGTTGTATATGTTCTTCTTTTTTTTCTTTACGATATATTTTGTTTTAATCAAATAAAGTATAATCATCAATATATTATTTCTACTCTTCATTATTCGTTTGTATTATTGATAAAAAAAAAAAAAAGAAAATAGTTTTTTTTTATTATTTATGCTATATCTATTATACAAAAATATTCAAGCTAATGAGTGGTTCCGGTCTATACCAAATAAAGGGCACATCAGAAAGAATGAACATATCGTTCATGGGTGCACAGTAGTTACGTATCGCAGTGAATCATAGACTTGATTATTGACTGAATGAAGTTCATATTCATGATAATGACCTGATGACGGATGATGAGATCCAGGTTATTTAAATAGTATTGTTATTTAGTTTTTAACGTATTTCCAATATCATTGTTATATTTGAGTCACATAAAATAAATAAATCCATGAAAAAACATCTAAAATGTCAAAAATGAGATATGTGGAACCTACTCCAATGTCAGCAGACAAGACAATGTTTTCTTTTTTTTTTTTTTTTTGTTTACTCACGTATATTTCGAATGTAGATATGATCATCCGCAAAACTCCATTGTGGAAGTCTAAATATTAAAAATGAATTATAGTTTTTTCTTTTTTCTACTCGAATGTTGGTACAATAACGCTTAAACAATGTATGAATCAAGTTACGATCGAGATCATAAATCATACAAAAATCATACACCATCATATCATATTTAAACAAAATATAAGAAATCGAACATCATCCATTTCTTTTGTAGATTTATCATTATGCATAAAAAAAAGAGACTATCTTAGAAACCTTTTTTTCGTAATCAATCAACCGTTATCTTGTATATATTGGACTCATTGTCAAAGAGTGGGAGTAACCTAATTTAGAAATTTCATCTCCGCCTTATGTCTGTGCTCTTTTTTCTGATGCATTTTTTTTTGTCTTTCTTTCTTTTCCTTTTCCTGTTTTTTTCCTGCCTTTTTTTCCACTTTCTTTTTCTTTCTTTTTTTTTTTTTTTGCTTACGTGTGTTCTTTTTTTTACATATTACTACAATTTTTTATACTCTATTATATCTCCTTTATTCTTTTATTATCGTTTAGAACACATCTATTTTCTTTTCCCTTGATTTACTCATTATGGCAAGATTAAACCCAAACCGTTTTGATCAATCAACATATCGGAAAGCTGAACTTCACACTCAAGATCAAAGAAGAAAAGGGTCTCAAGCAACACCTCTGGATAAAGCAGAATGTGTCAGATGTATGAAACTGACCTTCCCCATTCGACTAGCCAAAACAATCAGGACCATGCAGAACAAGACGAAAGGAAAGAAAAGGCAGCCAGGAAAAGAACAATTTAAGGCGGATCTTTTGAAGCAAGAACAAAGCAAGAAAGGAAAGAAGCTGGGACTGAGAGATCTCTACAAGGACACTGCCAATAAGTACAACGATGGTAAATATTTAATACAGAGGTCATATGACTTAACTAACTTCTTTTTTTTTTTTTTTTTTTTTTTTACTGTTATTATTATTATGACCATTATGATAGAACATCCACAACAGCGTGCCGTTACTACCTCTAACATCAAACAGTGTGTTGACACCGAAGCTATCGACTTCTTTGCCCTCTGGTTCACATTCTTGGACGACAATATTGATCATGCTCTGGATGAACATTTTGCATCAATTACTGAAGGTGACGATGATGATGACAGCTCTCAATTCAACTACACAACGCCCAGTATAAAAGTGATATCAAGGCCATTGACAGAAATATTGAGAACCGATTTGACAGTGGACGAAAAAAAAGTATTCATGAACACTATTGATCGTTGTCGGGAAGTTGTTTCTGACAAAATGATGGATCTCTCGACAATTTTGGCATTGGACTTAACTAGAAGAACTACGTAAGTCAAACCATTTTATATATTCAACTGAAAAGAGATTTAATGATCTATTCTCTATGATAGTGGACCTCCTGTTGACATCATGGGAATTATACCTGAAAAAGCGCAAAGAAACACCATGGATAGTCCTTTGACAGTGTCTCCACCTTCAAGTGATCTGAAAAACAAGATGCTTAAAAATGACTCCATCGATGGTCGAAAATATTCGGATCTCTATTCCAGCAATCACTTACAACAGATGCTCACTTCAATCACATCCAGTACATCCAGTACATCCACTCAACAATCGACATCAACAGCTCCATCTGAACCTTCATCTTCCTCGTCCGTTCCAGTGCCCTCCTCACAACCCCAACGTTCTGGTTTCTTTGATTTCAACCGTGATGATATGAAAGATGCTACAATTACACCATCACCTCCTGGAATGGGCTCAATCATGAGTCCATACGTCATCCAGTACGCCACCAACCTCAAGGTCATGTATGAAGGCAAGTTGACTGATTACATTTTGGGAAAGGCTCTCTATGTCCTTTTACGATGCCACCTCTCGCCAAATAAAGAAGAAGAAGGCAGCACAAAGTACAAAAAGGAAACGACAAAGGAAACGACAAAGGAAACGACAAAGGAAACGAAAGCTGAATCAAAAAAGCCAAGGTAAAAACAAAAAGAGCAATTAGTTTATGGTGATGATTAGCGACTTGTATCATTAAGTATTAACTTCTTTTTTTTTTTTTTTTAGCAAACCAAAGTCATCAACTTACGCCTTGTTGTGTCGTCGAAGAAGAGACCAAAATCGTATACATCGCATTCAAAAGCATGATCATATTCTGAATCCTGAAGCTCTGGAAAGGAAAAAGCGTCATTTACAAGAGTTGGAACAAGCGATTGAACTACGGAAGACTACTACTGCTACTACTGCTACTACTGCTACTACTGCTACTACTGCTACTACTGCTACTACTGCTACTACTGCTACTACTGCTACTACTGCTACTACTGCTACTACTGCTATTACTGCTACTACAACTGTACCTTCTGACTCCGCCACAACACCTTCTGTTTCCCGAGAAGGCACTGATACCGGTATTGATCCAAAACTCTTGTCCAATGAGCCATCCGCGAAACGTTTACAGAAATTAACAAGACTGTTGAAGGCCCTCCTACTGAAGAATTCCCTCCCTGAAAATGCTGATGCCGAACTTCTTCAATCTCATGTCAAATACATCCAACTCAAGGAAATAGAAGTTCCCATTATCCTCAAGTTATATCAATTTTTTCTACCCTTCGTTTTACCTCGTTCATATAACAAAAGCGTGGACCAACATCCGATCTTCCAGTACCCTCTCATCTTGCTGTGTAATTCAATTCTTTATATCACCGATTATCGCAAATTTCAACGGCTACCGATACCAACAAAAAATCCGTCGACACTGGCAGCAATCTTCTTAGATGCAAGATCTCTTTACAATCTATTCTGCTTGTTAAAATTTAGACAAGGTGGACAACGGATCAAGGCTGGCGAAACTGCTCCTCTGAACTCACTTGGATTCGACGTTTTTTTTCACGGTGATGTGATTACCAGTGAACCAAAAGCTATGGAACAACCAAAATCTATGTTTGGTGCCTTCTTCAACCTACCATTTATTGAAGCACTTTGTCGAAAGGTATCTGGATATTCCTTTGATTACCGCCTGATCATTACAACATTTGGTGTGGTTCGAATTCAGATCAAAAAGAACATGGCTCTCACTACAGCAGCAACAACATCAACATCAACGTCAACAGTAGCAACATCGTCTACAGTAACAACATCGGTAGCAGCAACAACTGGTAAAATCGACAGAAAAGGGAAACGAAAGCAACAGGTAGTGATAACAACGGATACAAGCAAGCGACAAAAGACTCAACCCTCTTCTGGTGATGACAAGATGTTGAAGGTTGATGAACAATTATCCAAGTTGAAAGACAATATGAAAGAACCAACAATGGAGCTGGCACAACTGAATGCAGAAATTTCCAAGATCACCAATACTTTGAACAGCATGGCGGCATCATTTGGATCAGGCAATATTGGCGGATCGACAAAGCAACAACGACAAAAGCGATATAAAAGAAAGAAGCTGGCCCAGGTCGATATATCATCTTTGGTTTCATCATCAACCAGCAAAAACGATTTGATAAAGAATAGATCTCAAATGAAGGCGCGACGTGACGAATTGATATCCCAGCTCTTACAAATAGAGAACAGTCGAAGTCAATTGAAAGACGAAAAGAAGGAAGCATTTGAAGAAGCTTACGTTGAAGATAATGATACAATCATCGCTAATACTTCACCAGTGTTTCAAGCACCCACTTCAGATCAACTTTTAGTAGGCTGTGATCCTGGTCTTTCAACGATGGTACAAACGACTTATGCTGATAAACAAAAAGTATCCTTCTATTTGTCCCTTGACAACCGTTTCCAACCTCTCGAACAATTCTCTCAGGAAATGGATCTTGACGACGACCGCAGCATCAGGACAATGATGAAGTTACCGACTTTTCCCATCAGCAGCAAGGATATCGATAATAAGACGATGTCAAAAAGGTCTCGAACAAAGATGAATAATAAGAAGGTAAGAGAAGATATAGCAGAAAATAAATCCAAAGACGTTTCATAATGATTATTTTTTATTTGATAGGCAAACGATGATACTATTATGCAAACTGAAGCTGATCTGGCTAATTCTGCAGTTAACGTGGCATTATCATACAACAAAGAGGCAATTATCAACAAACACAAGGTAAGAAACAACTAAAGTATCATTAAGTTCATACGAGTAATCCTCTTTTTTTTTTTTTTTTTTTTTTTTTAATCGTAGAAACAACGGGAAAATGCCAACAAGCTTCGTTCATTTTATCAAGGAAAATGGTGCAAACAACAACGACGATCGCAACCAAGAATGAAGCAACGAGGTCTAAACCATGTTATGAAGTACCATCGGGATAGGATACAATATCATCACTCTGCGGCTACTTCTACCATCAACAACAATGTCGATCTCAAGTTTTTCTATGGCGCTGCCGGTCGTGGAACAGGTTCAAGGATCAAAGGCTTCCTGCGACGTAGTCATCTCGATGTTATCGCCACTATTGAACAAAAATCAAAAGTGTTCATCACCGACGAATATCGAACAACGAAGCTGTGCTGTCTTTGTCATCACGTTGTGAACCATCCTCGTAAACAATCTGGCAAGCTTAACCTTGGAACAGTCATATGTGTGAATCCTGAATGCATTGGTAAGAAGTTTGGGTGTATTGCAAGATCACGAGATGCCAATGCATCAATGAACATGATTATGTCTGGACTACAACAAGAGCTATATGGTTCTGTGCCGTCTCCGTTCCTCCGCTCCTCTTCCTTATGAATGAACAACTGGATCTTGGGCTACCTCTTCTGGAACAATGATTATACGACAACTTCTCTTTTTTGTAACATATCCCATCCTGGAATGGTTGAAGATACGTTCACTGTGCTTTGTGCCAGTTGGAAATTTTTAATTGTAAGTACATATTTCATATATCTTATAGTGATCACTCATCAATTCTTTTTTTAAACGCTGTTTTTTTTTTTTTTTTTTTTTTTTTTTTTTTGGTTTTTTTGGGGAAATAACTTAGTCCTACGCATGTCTTGGAGTATACGTTGAGAATTTCAAAATAGATGTCAATCTTTATTGGGACAAAAATAAGAATAATAACAAAAAAATAATATATCATCATCATCATCTAATAAAAATAAAATAAAACGGTGGAGAGTGGCTAATTAGCAATGACATTGAAGAAATGATATACTTCATCTTCATCCATCATAGCTACATGGGTATCACAAGTATCACATTTGACAACATAATAAGCTTCATTGGTTGCGCTTGATGTTGATTCTGGATATCTATATCGTTCTTTTTTATTGACTTGACAATTGGTAACAAACATGGCTCGGAATTGATTACTGTAACTTTCATGCCTATCAGACAAGGATGGATTGTCAGTTACATATAAAACAACATATTTTATTATTACCTTTGACAGCTATAACAGAGAGGTGAGAAACACATAGGACAGGACAATATAGCATCTGTACGAGCGACATTATCGGGTTTAGAACCTTTATAGGTTGTTGCCTCTATTTTCCAATGGCATATGAATTGAATTATTACTTAACATGTTAACAATACCTTTTTGACTTACGTTTGATTTGAGCAGCTACCCAAGCTTCGTCCTTTTCATCTTGATGAGGATCATACAATAATTCATCATTAGTCAATTGTTTTCGTTGATCTATGGTAAATATATATATAAAGTAAACATTAATACATTGGATCATGTAGATCAAAGTAGTAAAAGAACGATCTTGTTTGATTTCCTTTTCTTCTATACCTTGGTCACTGTTTGAATGGTCAATAGATTCTTCATGTTGTGGTTCTTCCTCCTGATCGGAATCAAAGTAGACAGTATCATAATATTTGTTTTGTGAATTCATTTGATCACAAGTCAAAGAAAAAAGGAAGAAAAAAAAAACGGACCCTAAATTCGCATGCGATGATTTTTTTTTTTATTTTATTTTACAAAGGAATAATAAGAGAGTGTATAATATATACTTTCTTGAGAGTGGCAAAAAAAAAAAAAAAATTGGAGAAGGTGCAACAAAAATGGGATAAATAAAAAAAAAGAAATGTGAGTATATATATAAGTGAAATACAAAAAGGAAAAAAAATATATATATGACTAGTTAACTATCTATGGATGACCAGGAGAAATTGGAGAGGGAGAAGGAGCATTATTGGAAACACCTAATGATGGAGAAGATCCATACATTTTCCTATCATTAAAGATCATACCAAAAGAACCAGGAGTGGATGGAGTCACAATACCACTCTTTCGCATACCAGGTTGATTATTGTTCACTAGACCATCAAAAGCCAAAGGAGGATCCAAAGGTGTTTTCAATGATAATTTATTCTTGTTAAAGCGTTGTCCTGTACGTTCAGCTTCCCAATCTTCCCATTTCTTCATCACCAATCGAGATGAATCAAATTTGCCATCAGCATCTCCATGACCTTTATCTTTCTTTTCACCAGCAACTACACGTGTTGCTCCCCAAGAAAAGTCATCGAAATGCCAGAATGAATATAATGGTAAGATGAAATTCCAAATGGGTAATGCAATAATATAAACTAAAATCATAAAAAAAAAGTAAGTCATCTTTTCTTTTTTTTTTTTTGTATATAAATCACTTACTTAACATCCACATAACATAAACAAATTTAAAGGTAGTAATAGCAATCAGTACAGCAGGTAAACCCAAGATAGCAATCAATAAGGCCAATGATTGCCATTGAGGATTAGAAGAGATAGCAGTATTCACAATCAAATAAATGGTCATACAGATAGCAGCAGGTAATACCAAAGTACCAATCAAATCAATAAATACGGAAAATTGCATGGATAAACAAGCAATACCACATAAATCAGACACCAAAACCAATTCCATCAAATTGTGTACAGTAGAATTGATCCATCGACGACGTTGAGATAAGAGCACTTTGAATTCATCAGGTACTACAGTCTTGCATCGGGCTTGAGGTACAAACATCATTTGACGTTTAGGGAAAGTACGAAGCATCAATGTAGATAAAAATCGATCTTCACCCAATAATAACAAGTTCTTTTCATGTAAAGTCGTCACCACATTTTGATTATATTCCAAGATAATATCCGGATTGGCTAAAATAGGAACCCAAGCACCATTCTTGGGCGATTTGATTCGGTACATACTGAAACAACCAGGTAAACAAGTAACAATACCAAACAATGATTCGAATGCCTTGGCATAATGATGAGAAATATAATATTCAAATACTTGAATAGCCGTGACCCCTAAAAATAATAAAAATAAATAACATCATTTTTATATTGTTTTATATATACACTTACAGGATGCACGTTTGTTAGCAATTCGAGTTTCACCACAAAGTCCCATAATAGTAATATCATTTGCCATAGCTGCCACCATATAAGTCAGAGCATCAGGTAAAACTTTTGTATCAGCATCCACCATCAAAACCAATTCAAATTTATCTGGTGTAACCCCTTTCATCAACCAAGTCATTTTCCAGAATATTTCATAATCAAGTTCAGATAAACGATCATTGAAGAGAACTCGTTGGAAGAAACTCATCAAAATCAACTATTAAAAAAAAAGGTAATGTAACACAATGTGTGAATTAAAAAAAAAAGTATGAAAATTTTTCTTTTTTTGAATTTATTACTTGAGAATCACGTTTGCCACGATTTCCTGCCTTGGGAGCATTCTTTTCTTCTTCAGTACCACATTTGACAATGGTAATACAAGGTACTCCTTTGTAATGACCTGCATACTTTTTTTTTAAAAAAAAAAAAAAAAAAAAAAAGAAAGAAAATTAAATCAAAAAGGATTATGAATGATTTTTTTTTTCATTTTACCACTTTTGCCATATTCAATTGTTTTTCACCATCAGCAATAGCTAAATAAGAAGAAGGACTAGGATCTTTCATGGTAGGATCAAGATCCATCATATCAATGACAATATCAGGAGTAGATTTTGTTTCACCAGCACCAGTAATAAGACCATCACAAATAACAAAAAAGACCTAGAAAAAAAAAAGGATAAGATTTTATAGATTTTTTTTTGTTTGTTTTACCTTATGTTTTTTAGAATATGTTGTCAGAGCCAAACTATCCATAGTAGTACGTAGTCCATCTTCACCTTCAGAATAACAAGTGACTAACATACAGGTATAAAGTTCAGTAGATACAATATCAGTTTGAGGACCACCAAGTTCCACAGCTGAGCTTTGTTCACTGAGAGGTGTTCCACGAGAAGAGATACCGGAACCGATAGAAGTAGAAGAACCACGAGCATAATTGTTGTTCATAACATAGTTGTTATAAGGACCAGGAACATGATTCGCAGGATCATCATTACCTCCCTTGATAGATCGCCAAGCAAGCCAATTGGAACGACCACCAGGTTTGACCAATTTACTAGCAATCACCCATTGGAAAAGTAAAGCCATTGAATATCGAACTACAATCATAGCAATGATCACCACTAACATAATAGTCATGATCATTTGTGAAGCAATACATCCACCTGTATCCACCTCCATAATACCAACGGAATACCGAGCTAATAGACAGTGTCGAGCATCTTTTCCTTCAGGTGTAAATAATAGTGAATAAGATGCATCATTGCCTCTACTTGATTGTAACGCCGTTCGCACCTTTGTACCGTAAAAGTCATTATTGCCGTTTAAATACTTTGTCAAGTTTAATACTACAAAAGAAAAAAAATATATATATAAGAGAAATGAACAAAAGTTTTCATTTATATATTTTTTTTTCTTACCAGAATCACCCAAAACAACTAAATCAGTATCACCTAAACTGTCTACTCCATTTGGTCGTAAATCTTCCCAGTTGTAAGCCAAATAACCCTTCGAATTGTATTGTTTCAATTCATTAATGGAGAAACATTGACCATCACTTTGTTTGATAGATCCACCTTTTATATAAATAAATAAATAAAATATTGTGTGAATGATAAATATATAATCAATAATATTTATTTGATGATTCTTACCATAAGGACTATAAAGAGTACAATCACCCAAAGTAGTTGGAGAACCCGAATCATAGGATGTACAAGCACCGGTAGTGTCACCATTGAATATACTTGAAATATCCATGTTTTCATAATCGTTTGTAAAATTGAGACCTTTAGAGCTAAAGAAATGTTTCATATCATCTAAATCATATACACGACCCAAAACACGTACATCCGATCGCCACATAGGTAATCGAACACCATTAACCATAGCAGAATAAGCCAAATTTGTTTCGCGATTAGGACATAATGTTGCCGTTAAACCATAAGTAATAAAACCAAGTGCAGCACAAAGTAAAAGAATGATATAACACAATGTCAACTATAAATAAAATAAATAAATAAATAAATAAATATAAATATATAAATATAAAAAAAGATCTACTCTCGTGACCTATGATTTCATTTCTGATTGGCTTACCTTTTCTCTCCAAGCTTGTTGCGTCAAAACATTTGGTTTCCTTAGACAAACACGAATAAACCAATTTGGAAAACAACAAGTAGCCAAGAAAGCCATCCACGACCACCAATTTGTCAATACTTCAGGTTTTTCTTCTTCTTCTAATTGTTCAAGTTTCTTTTGTTGACGAGGATCCATAGTAGGTTGATTTAATAAAGCTTCTTGTTGTTGTTGTAATTTTTGTTGTTGTAATTGTTGTTGTAATCGATTAGACATTGGTTGATTTGGATTCATACGAGGACGTTGATAATGATGCATCATAGTTGCTCCAGCAGGACCAGGTCTTCCAGATCCTATCATACGACGTTGTTGTGATGGTGTTCGGAACATACCTTGTTTTGGACGTTGACGTTCAGGACGAGATAATGATCTTGATCTACTAACAGTATTACGACGATAAGCACCTCCTTCTTGTTGATGATAATAATGATTAGCATTAGGTGGTCTAGGGCCAGGTCGACTCATCATTCTTTGAGGAGGAGGACCAGGACGTGGTGTAGAATTTTGGTATATATGTTCACGAGATTGTCTACCTTCATTATGACGTTGTTGTTGATAATGAGAAGATGGCATATTAGAATGACGAGGTTGACCAGGAGTAGGTGGTAAAGGATGTTGAGTTGATTGTCGATGAGGAGGAGGTCTAGGTCGAGCCATGTTTTCCATATTATATGAACCAGGAGGAGGTCTTTGATGTATACTTTGTCTTTGTTGAGGAGAGTGCATACTTTGACGTTGTGGTTGAGGTTGCATCATACGTGGATCAGTGGAATAACCTCGTAATGCTGGAGCATAACCAGAATTCCTTTGTTGATGAGACATGGATGATGACAAAGGAACAACGACAAAGAGAAAAAAGAAAATAAGTTGTTATTGTTGTTTTTCTTTATTAATGTATAGATTCTAAGTTGATAAAATAATAATAATAATAAGGGGAAATAAAAAAAAATGAGAGAGGGGTCAATAGAGAAACAATAAAAAAAAAAAAAAAAAACAAGAAAGAAAAAGGGAAAAAAGGTCAAATGAGTATAAAAATATAAAAAAAAAAAAAATAAAAAAATAAACCATCTGGTTCGCCCCTGGAAATATTCGCCACCCGCTATCCAATCGTTACACTAATGTAAAAATAAAATTTTGCCTTCACCCTTCTTGGATAGGTTCCTAAATAAGGTGAGCTACAATAACAAAAAAAAAAAAAAAAAAAAAGTTAGAATAGTTTTGATTTACATTATGCTTTATACTTTACCTCGCATTGGGATAATGAGAGCTGCATTATCCTTGATTTTAACTTGATGTAGTTGACCTTGGAATCGATATCGTACCATTAATTGTTTACTTTCTCCAAGACATGGATCATAAAATCCACAAATGTTCGTCTAACAACAATCCGTTAGTCCCGACTCTTTATATTTTCTAATTTTTTTTTTTTTTCTCTTTTTACCTTTGAATGTCCGCTAGGAATGGTTAGTCGAGACTCATTCACCATGGCTTGTAAAACAACGGTTACATCAATAACGCCTTCCCTTTCTTGTGCCTCTTGTCCGTCTATCAAATTTTCTAAATGTCCATAATATGCCTTGAGAATCACCAATCCTAATGACATCATATAAATAATACATTAGAAATAATTCAATTCCTTTCTGATCCCTTATTCCCCTTGGATTCCCCTTTTGATTTCCTCCTATTTTTTTTTTCTTCTTACCATCTTTTTTGCTTTCTTCCATTTTGGTCTTTCGTTCGGCCGAAGATGTTACCAATTTTTGTGCGTCTTCAGCTTCAGCTTTCCGATTGGCCAAAATATCTGCATGTTCTTCGCGAAGTTCCCGGATTTTCCTAATCAATAATGAATGATGAATTTTTATGCTTGACAACATTTTTTTTTTTTTTTTTTTTTACTCTTTGATTTGTTTTTGTCGCCTGGGTTTCAATACAAGTTGATCAATGGCCATAGCCATAGCCGCTGGGATCGCTGTACCCAAAAATGTTAATCTGAAATCAAATTCTGAAGAAAGTATAATAGGTACCACTAGTTTTTGTCCAAGTCTTGATATCCTACATAAAAATCATCATCATGTTAATTATGTTTTTTCATAAATCTTTTTTTTTTCAATAAAAGATAGTATATACTTACTTGAACTGCATCATCACACCAGTAGGTACCCCGCATTCCATAGACATTCCAAATCGAATATTTGATGGTAATTTGTGGTCACTGCCAATACTTGCTGTCACTCCACCCACCGTCGAAATTGATCCCGCAATACGAATACGCATTTGATTGTCCATCTTGTGAGTATAGTCACCTGCCAAATGAGATGCAATGATACCAGTCTATAGAATTATAATGTTGTTGTTAACCGACCATTGATCACACGTATCCTCTTTTTTTTTTCATTCATACCTGTAATTCGCAACTATAATTTCCTTTTTGTTTCGCTCCAGTAGCACCAGCAAGACCAAGAGCAACGTGTGATTTGTCCATACTTCTAGATACATCACCACCCCATTCGAGTAAAGACCATTCTCCAGTACGATAGGTCATATAACCAGTGGTTGTTGAAAATAATCGTCGTCCTGCTGTCACCGTAACAATAGGAGGAGAATGAATCGTTCTTGCCTTTACAACCGTATTACAAAAACTATATAAAATGACAACATTCAATGATTAATTCCATTTCCTTACCTTTATACATAAATATATAAATTACCTATCTGATGACATATTATATACCGTTTTCATGGTCAGACTTCTAGGATTCAATACTGTAGCATTTAACTATTATGCAAAAATCAAAACATCAACATAAGATGAGTACAAACTTTTCTTTTTTTTCTTAAAAAACAACTTACTTCACACCAAAGTTTTGGGGAAACAGTATGACGAATTGTACCCATAACATTGCCACCACCCATACCAGTTCGAGACACCATTGATCCACCAAAAATAGCTCGAGTTTGAGGTCCAAGTTGAGTCTAATATATATATATATATATATATATATATATAAAGGAGAGAAACATGAATCATCCTCGATCCAAAGTAAACTCAATATTATTCTATTATCTTTTTTACCTCGAATGAATGTCGCATAAACAATTGTTGTACTTGACCTTTGGTTAAAGCATGAAGAGGGCCTTTCTTTTTGGGAGCCAAAGCAGGTTGACCAAAGGATGAAAATACAGGAGGTTCATAAGGATCCAAAATTTGAGTAGCATCTATAGTCAATTGTACTTCTGCTCGAGATCGAACCATATTTTCCAAGTCTTGTTCACGTTTCAATCGAGCTTGCTTTTCATATTCGGCTTGTAACTATAAAGTACAATATATTATTATCTTCACCATTAAAAATATATTCCATTACCTCTTCAGGTGTTTTGAATTTCGGTCCTAATTCCCAAGTTGCATTAAGTCCTTCTACACCATACGTATCGTAAATCACACGTCGTTGAGGATCACTAAGAACTAATGGAGTTGAATTTTAGTCAAACTATGTAAAATACACATAACATATTATTTCTTCTTACCTTCATACGCTTGTTGTATGACTTGAAATCGGCCTTCAGCAATTCGTTTATGTTCTTCATTGTTGTGCTAAAATGCATACAGTAAGGAAAAGAGGAGAATATTATTAACTTTTTCTTTTTTTAAAAAAAAAAAAAAAAAACATACCTTGTCAGGGTGGAATGAACGACATAGATTCTTATAGGAGACTTTAAGTTCTTCATTAGTGGCCTAATAAAAATAGATAATAAATAAATAAAAAATGGCATGAATATCTATTTAAAACATATAGTTGAAATATATAACACGTACATTCTTGGAGACATTGAGAATACCATAATAATCGTCAGGCTGTGGTATGAGTTCTTGCTCCAATCGTTCTAATTCATCTATATCATTGATATTATCGTCGTCTGGTATTGATCCATATGAAACATGTTCATAAGAATCCATGGTTGATACAAAAGGAAATGGAACAAAAAGAAGAAAAAGAGAACAAGGGGGGCAATAAGCCAGTCAGTTCATTTCATACCCAGTCGCCCGAGAAAACAAAAAAAAAAAATCGGAAAGTTGGTCCTTTCCAGCGAAATAAAAAAAAGAGAAAAAAATAAAAAAATAAAAAAAAAAAAAGACCTTTCCTTTCCTTTTCCATGTTTTTATAGTCATGAGTTCATCTACTATATCCAAAAAGAACTTGAATAAACGCAAAAGAGTCTCAACGGCCTCTAATAGTTCTTTTATCCAAGATGAAGTATCTGGTAAGACACGAAATAAGGTTTATCTATTTTATCTTTTGCTCATTTTTATTCTATATTATCATTTCTATAGATGAAGAGAAGGCAGTAATGACGAATGATACTACTTCTGTTACCAATTTGACTTCCAATGTACCTCTCATTGATTCATCTGTTTCTACTGGTGATATCCATGAAGATGAAGTGACTTTAGTAACGCGACTTGAAAAGAAATATGGTTTCAAAATCAACAAGGTAATTTAAAAAAAAAATCTCTCAAATAATAGTTGATAAAGATAATGATTTTTTTTTTTTTTTGGATTGAATAGCCTCCTACAGATCGACCAGTTCGTATTTATAGTGATGGGATTTTCGATCTTTTCCATTTTGGTCATGCAAAAGCCTTGGAACAATCCAAAAAAGCATTCAAAAATGTTCATTTACTTGTTGGTGGTAAATGATTGAACTTTTTATACAATGAATTGTTTTTTTTTTTAATATTATTTATTCATACATAGTTTGTAATGATATTGAAACTCATAAACGAAAAGGCAAGACAGTGATGAGTGATGTGGAACGATATGAAGCGGTACGACATTGCAAATGGGTAGATGAAGTGGTGCGGGATGCTCCTTGGTTTGTCACACAAGAATTCTTGGATAAGCATCAAATTGATTATGTTGCTCATGATGCTGAACCCTACGGAAGTAGTGAATCTGGTGATGTTTATGCATTTGTCAAGGAACAAGGACGTTTTTGGCCAACTGAACGTACAGAAGGTATTTCTACTTCTGATTTGATTACTCGTATTGTCCGTGATTATGATGCTTACTTGCGAAGAAATTTGGAACGTGGTGTTAGTGCCAAAGATTTGAATATCTCTTTTCTCAAGGTAAAAAAAAAACAAGAATGAAATAAGGAATTGAACTTACATTTTTTTTTAAAAAAAAAAACTAGGAAAGAAAAATCAAAACAAAGAAATCCATTGACGATTTTCGACATACTATTAAAACTGCATTACATGATACTTTTGGGTTATGGGAAGATAGAAGTCATGATTTCGTAAGACAATTTAGTGGAATTTTCGGTGCTGAAGATGTAGTGGTAAGATAATAGAAAAAAAAAAAAAAAAGAATAGGTTGATTGATCTATTGAATTCATAGGATAAATTCTGGAAAAAACGACATCGAAAACGTTTGGTATTGGATGATAGTAGTAGTTGTGCCAATAGTAGGGAAGGTTCAGAAGAGGAAGATGGAAGCGATCAAGATACCACTACCACCAGTTCTTCTTCCAATGGTAGCAGCAGTGACAAACAACAATCACAAAAGAAGCGGAAACTGGAAAACTAAATGATTTAATATATAGTTTATTAGTTTTTATCCTTTTAGTATAATTAGTTTGTCAGTTAAATGTATTCCTTTTATTTTTTTATTTTTTTATTTTTTTTTTTTTTTTTGTATACTCCCCTTTATTATTTTTTGATACACAATTAAAAAAAAAAATGATCCCAATGATTTTATTTGATTCAGTACTTCTCACGTGGAGCATTAGTATGATAACCATTTGCTGAAAAACCATACTAACGATATCTCAATGGGTTACACATGTAAACATATTTTTTTTCTAATGGAACAAAATCTGCTCTCTTCATTGTGTTATTTACAAAATACAACTTGTTCATCCAGATGACATAGTGGTAAGTAGAGGCTGGAGCTTATTTTGAACGACAAGATGCAAATACTATAACATATTCTTTCGATCAAATGTCATATATATATATATACGTGTATGTGTATATAGTTACAATGATTTCCTATACATATGTAGACCTTGATATATTAAAACTGGGGAGATGGATCATACACATCTTATCCTCAAGCAAATGTTGGATGGAGCCCATGACAGCGGTGTTTGAATAGCTACGGATGGTTTTTTTTTTTCACTCTTTGTCTCATTTCAAGTGAACAAACCACGCCTTTTTTTCTCTTCCTTCTTTTGTTTTTATATACAAAAAAAATGCAACCAATGTATATTATTCTAACACTATGTTCAATACTATTATGTTCAATATACGTTCAAGCACATACTACGGTAAAGAAAAGAAAAGTCGACCAGACGCTCTTGAGAAAAATAACAACTCATCTATTTCACTTGTAGTTATCGGTTTATCATAAACGAGGTGGCGATTATTTGAAACGAGGAGACATTATCGATATTCCTTCTGCACCAAAATATGTACCCGTTCAACATGGAGAAGGTGATCTTACTACTGAATTATATCAAGTTAAGATCAAAAATGACGAAACTGGCCATATCATCCTTTCATCTATTCCTTCGGTAAACAACCTATCTTTTTGTTATTCTTTTACGAACTATATTCATCTTTTTTTTTTCTTATTTTTTAGTGCCATTTGAAAGCAAGTAATTTTAGTGATCAATTTCGGATTCATTTGGACGATCAACAACGCGTCTATCATGTTGACTATTATGCTTCTACTTTTGACTGTGACCCTGTCACTGAGGTAAAACGTGAAGTAATGTCACATATGTAGCTTACGTCTTTTTTTTTTTTTTTTGTTTTAATAGACCATTCGAACGAATACCTTCAATAGTGATATTCAAATCATCAAGATGATACCTGGTGCAAAGTAAGTAAAGATCCGTGATATTTTCTCCTCAAAGCATAAAAATGATAACTTTTATTATTATTTGGGTAGACCTATCCAAGGACAGTTCAATGGAAAAACCAAATCGAAACCGGTTATTAAGAAACAACAACAACAGCAGGAAGGAGCTCAGGATGAAGATGTAGAAGAAGATAAGACCTTTTTCCAAAAGTACTGGTATCTCATTTTGGCAGGTGCGTTGATGTTACTATCCAATGCCGTGGCTCCTCCTGAACCATCACAACAACAAAGTCAAGCAAGACGATAGGATCCTTTCTCTCTTTTTCCTTAAAGTACAAAATGGACAATCCAGTTTAGTTTAGATTTATTCATTGATTTTATTTTAGTTTACAATATAATAAAAATGGGGTCGATAAAAAAAAAAGGATAGATGATGTAAGAAATGTTGATACTAACTATTGAGAAGGAGGTCTAACAAAACCACCAGGGGTTCTAGAAGGTAGTGGTGGAGGAGGAACAGGTCGATTTTGTAAAGATGACTGTTGTTGTTGTTGTTGTTGTTGTTGTTGTTGAGGTCGTTGAGGTAAAGGAGGTTCGTTGCTTACAGGTTGCATCCAGGTAGTGGAAGGTGCTGGTTGCAAATGTCGTTTTCCAGAAGGACCAAAAATCAATCGAGGTACTTCAATTCCATATCCCATTGTTCCTTTCTTGCCTACTTCTTTTTCAGCTTGAATCCAAAAGAATATCTTGCCAGTTTCTTCATCTACATAACCAGCACAATAATTTCGACATCCCATCAATTTTTTATTTTGTCTCTACAAAAAAAAATCAATCATCTTGTTTTAAATGGATTCATATATATATATATATATATATATATATACTTACCGTATTGCCATTGGGAGATCGTTTAAATAGATTATACATTTTTTCTTCAACGTTGGGCGAAAAGGTCACATAGGATGAGTTTTGATTCAATATAGTCAATAAGGCTTGAGGAGGAGGACTAACGCGATAAAAACAAATATTATGTTGTCAATCATTTTCATATATCAGTGATTTTCCTTACATATTCACAATGGCACTAGAAATGATTTGAACCATGAGATGAGGATCACCTTCTTCTTTTTGTTTCATATCCTTCGAGTATAATCGACCAGCACCACAACAATGTACCTAAAATAGAAATCCTTGTCAGTCTAAATGTCAATGCATTGCTTTTTTGTTTTAACTTACATCACCACCTAAAAAGGATACTCGCACAGACCGTTCCCGAGCATATTGTTGTAATCGTTCAATAAATCGCTTCCTTTCCACTTCATGATTACTCGCTGTCCAATCTACGAGAAAAAAAGTCAATATAGTATCATCATCATTTATTTCAATCATATAAACTTACGATCATTCATATCATCCAAAAGTTCAGGGTCACCATTCCATTTATTCAGTTGACCATTGATGATATCACCCAAGGCACCTGTTTTCCCAGCAATAGTAGCCAAATTAAATCCAGCTGCACCATCCATTGCCTTTTCAAATAATGTTAATCTAGGGTATACAAGAGGCACACCAGTAAGAACCAAGAGATGTTTAACAGTAGCAGGGATTTGGCGGTAGATGGCGTCAAATAGAATATCATATGACTTTGGTTGACATACGTCATGCTTTGTACGTTCTCCACGAGCATCCAATGAAAGTAAAGCAATATCTCTTCCAAGAGTGGTCAGTATATGATGACATGATGACATGGTCCCGCGTATCATCCCATGATGTGTTGCTAGTTCTGGTGTTGTATGATGTTGGAATAAGTAATAAAACCGTGTTGCGTTGAGAAAGAGTACTATAAAAAAAAAAGAATAAAGAAATGAACAAATGAATGATAAGACATATATTTTTCCCACTTTCTTTTTTATATATCATACCTCGGAAACAATCAGCATTTTGCATATCTGCCGGATATGATCCATAACCATCAATGATATCCTAGAAAGAAAGAAAAACAAGTCAGTATATATATATATATATGTTATCTTTTTTTTTTTTTACATGATCATCCCACATATTCACAGATGGTATCGTAGCAAAGGCCTTAGCGACCACAGGATTATCCTTGAATCTAATCAATATGATATATAAATATTTGAAATTAGTATATATCATTATCACAAGTTCTCATTCTCTTTTTTTTTTTTTTTTTTTTTTTTTTTTTTTTTTTTTTTTTTTTTTTTTTTTTTTTTTTTTACCCAAAATTGATCACATAGTTCCAAAAATAAAAGTGTTCAAATCCATCTCGCATAGATTGAGTTAATGTCATGGCTACCCGTTTCTTTGGATCCTTTTCATCTCTCCAAGGTTTCATAAAGTCATCTTTAAGTAAACGGTCTTGATATAATTGATCGCCACCACCTAGAAAAACATGGAAAGGAAGTACTTCATGTCGATCCAACACATCTTGCCAAAGAGGAGCTTCCTTTTCACCAAACTTATCTTTCATTTCTTGAGGAATATCAGAGAATCCATTACAAGAGTAAAACATGAACCGCATGGACTGTTGAAGAGATGGTAGATGGAATTCAAAAGAAGCGGATTCACTATTAGTAGCATGTTGCGCAATAGCAGTATTGGTGGTAAAACATTCACTCGAATATGTCGCTATTTGTGGTTCATTCATCAAAGGAAGTTCAATACCATAGCGCCAAAAGGTGTATTCTTGTCTAAAAACATCCAAAGCTTCACCATAAAGTCGATAAGTCTGTTGATTGCTGTGTCGAAAGTGATGAGAAAAATGTGAGTGAGTCTTTTCCTCAGATGCTGAAGCTGGTCGAAGGGTGATTTCCAATGGAGGAGCATGTTTATGAGTAGATACCAATAAACAGGAAGCAATATAAGTGTTTTTTTCATAATTGGTGCCTATATATCGAAGAAGTGGCCCTGCTACTAATTCCCCCTGAGAAGATCGATGGAAGTGAGGTCGATGTCCATGAAGAGATAAATTCTGTAAAGTCGATCGCATATTATCAAAATGACTTGTCGGTTGAGGAGAGTACTCTGGTGGAGGAGGAGAAGATGAAGGGTACATGTTGGATAAGTAGAGTAAAAAAAAAAAAAAAAAAAAAAAGGTGAAGGAAAGAAAAGGAAAGAAAAAGAATCCAAAGCCAATAAAACTGATGGATAAAAGGAAAAAGATAAATATTAGGCCAATCAGAGACGTACTTCAGGATCGGATATTGAAAAATTGCTGTCCATGAGTAGCTTCCATCACTAAAACAAGTATGAGTGAATGCCAATACGATTATAAAAGTTCATTGTTTTCACATAAAATGGATGATTGACTAATTGAGGATTGGAAGTTCGTTCGCTATGTCAAAGTTTATAGTAGGAGGAAATACTGAAAATCACATGGCGATTGTACTCAGGGGAAAGAAAAAGAGAGGGATAATTGCTAGCCAAACTAGAAAGAGTAAACAGATCAATCCTAAAGTGATGATTTTATTTCTCGTAAAAAGTTAATCATTATTCTTGAACAATTTTAATCTTGCACCTTACCAGGTAAGTTAATAAAGTTGTCACTTTGTAGTAGTTTATTTTTCGGTCACTATGTTGAACGACCCTGACGCTTGTAGTTAGCCCTCATTTTGTTTCAACGTCCGAACTTCCTTTGGTATACCTATGATTTACCAAGATGACCCTTCAAAGTACATTTTTCTTCAATCTACTGATTAAAAAAAAAAAAAAAAAAAAAAAGATTTTCGTCGCCTATACTGATGCAGTAATTCATCATCATAACCGTTTCAAAATTAAGATAGAGATCGACATTTAAAACCATTCCTTCTGAGATCAAATCAAAAAATGAAATGTAAATCTTTATTATCAGTATTAAGAAAGAAACAAAAAAAAAAAGCGGAAGATATGATGGATGATTATTTAATTGCAAGTACCGCATCGTAAATCAGCCTTAGGACATCTTCCATTACAGCCAACATGTCCATTATCGTAACAACGTCTGTTAGCACAATTATTTTGAGGATAATAGTACCCTATGAAGAAGAAAAGAAAGAAAAAAAAATTACTTTGTTTGTATCAAGGATTCACTTTTGGAGTGATGATCACTTACATCCACAAGGACAATAGAAACCACACTTGGTCAAATACCATGTAGATCCACTGCAACCACGAGCTTGAAGACTTTGAGAATCGTCAAAAATCTTGCCATCTAATCATCCAAATGAAATATAAATAAGAAAAGAATAAATTAAAAAAAAGGGCTTGATTTGCAAAGTAAATGACTTACCAATGGAGGTAACATCACGTTCAAGGATATGACTGGATGACAATTCCAAAGAGTTTTCAACAGGAGTGGCAGATACCATAGAAACCACGGCTAAGGTAGCAGCTGAAATGAGAGAGAAACGCATTTTTTTTATTATTAAAGTAGTATATGTTAAAAGAAAGAGGAAAAAAAAAAAAGAAAAGAAAAGAAAAACAGATGGACATTATATAATTGATTTTCTTTTTTTTTGTACCACTGATCTGTTCAACAAAGTGTAACCGTTTAACCCAGGATTTTGAGGCTGAATCATCCTAAAAAGGAAAATGTACCGTTTACAATTTAATTTGGGACAGGAAATCAAAAAATTGGTAACCAGCATGTTTAGATTACTTTATTGAACGTGTTTGATCATGACTCTTCAGCCACTTTGATCATCATGTGTACTTGATCTATTCACGGATGACAAGTATGACAAGTATGACGATTATGACGACTGTCTATCTACACTTTCAGTACAAATCGAAACAAAACAAAACAAAAAAAAACAAGCCATTAAAACAAGCCGTCAACCTAAATAGCAAAAATTTCAGATGATAGTGCCTTTTTTTTTGAGGCTGGTCTGCCTACAACACAGAAATAGTAAAGTTCATTTCAGTCATTTCATTTCTCACCCCTTAGATGCATCCATATCTCTACTAGACTTCATAAAACTCTGATACGTCTTTTCCGATTGCCGCAGAAGAATTTCATTTTATTTCATTTCAGTATTAAAAAAAAAAGATTTAACTAAGCTAATCCAATTCATCCATCAGTTTTTCCAGTTCTTCATTGTATTTGCGAATCACGTTGACTGTTGTATCTTGATCATATACAGAGTACCATCCTCTAGGTTCATGTGGTGGATCTATTCATAAAATAAAGGCAAGTAAATAAAATAATTGCTGTAAAACAATATGCTATTCTCTCTCTCTTTTTTTTTTTTTCTGATAATAAATGATAATAGATATAATGGATATAAATTTGAAATGATGATCATATATTGTTTCCTTACCACCAACCCAACTTGTAGGGGGATCAGTTGGTCTGCCAATACCACTATAAGACCAAAAGTTGGATCCAGAAAAAGCCTTGCCTTGTTTCACCATTTGAGTCACTTGTGAAAATAAATGGTTATAAAATATATCTTTATGTTCGGTCGTAGTGGTTGGATCATATTTATATTCTATATTGTTAGGTTGTTTCCATGCATCGCGAGCCATTCCAAATTCTTCAAGCACAATCGGTTTTCCTATACTTGTTGCCCATTTCTCCCGTGTATCGATATAATTTGTTGCATATGTCAGAGCACGCTGAAGTCCATTAGGATCATCAGCCTTGTATATACCCCAACTAAAAAAAAAAAAAAAAAAAAAAAAAAAAAAAAAAAAGGATTCAGAATAGATAGCCGAAAAATAAATAAATAAATAAAAGGAATGAATGATTATAAAGCTATAAATACTTACTTTTCAACCCATAGGTGACAAGTACAATAGTCAATAGCTGTTGATGAATGAGCATTTGTGAAATCAGTATAATCCAACATGCTTTCAATACCACTGGTAACCAATTGTTGTGGTGCACCCTTTTTGATGAATTGAGCCAAATCGTCATACCATGAAGCAGGAGCCGATTGGGGCTCATTTGCAATTTGCCATGCTAATTCAAAAATAAAAATAAAAAAAAAGAAAGGATGAGAATCTTCATATATATATGATATCATTCATAACTTGCCCATAATGACCGGATCATCCTTGTATCTTTTGCCATTCATCACATTCTTTCGTTCTTGAACAGTGTTAATATGTGCCTTGAATAGATCAGTGCAAGATTTACTAATAATGGCATCCTTATAGAATTGTGAAGTATATTTGGTAAAGGCTCCCCAAGTATCTGAATTTCTCGTGGGATAAGGCGGCACGGTATTTGTAACCCATGCTACGTATTGACTGAAACTAATAATACAAATAGGAAAAAAAAAAGTTATTATATCGTGTGTTCTGATCCTCACACAGCGTCATTCTATTTTGATTTACCCTCCACTCCAATGCCAAAAATTGTTCAAGGTCACTAATAAAGAAAAAAAAAAAATAGAAAAAAATCAAAAAGATAGTAAGTATATACTTCAATAATTAAAAATAGATTCAACTTTTTTACCTATAGCTGTCATATTTCGTTTTCCCATGGCGTCCAAAAGGTAATCCAAACCTTGAAAGATTTGTTCATTGTATATTCCTGGACTTGTCATAAGAGAAGGTTGCATACGAAAAGTCTGTTGTGGATCATCAGGACCTTCACTACCAGCCATAATACGTAGATTGTTGACCCCCATTGCTACAAGCTGATCTAATTCTGTATCCAAGCGTACCCTATTTCCTCCAAGTAATGAACCCATATTCATCCCATACCAATAATTGGCTCCACGTATCAAGTAAGTTTTACCATATCGCTTGAAACCAGTTTTGTCAATAGATACAATGCCATCATTTGCCATATGGTTTTGAGCAGAACAAAAGAAGGGAAGAAGGAAAAGAAATAATAATAATAATAATAATTTATTTGTCATATCGTTTTGACGAGAAAAAAAAAAAGGAAGAAAGGAAAAAAAAATAAAAAGGGGAGATGATTTACAAGCATAAAACGAAGAAACTCCGTAAAAAACAAATAGGAGTATGCATAAAGTCTTTTTTTTTTTTTATTGATGTTCGGTTGTGAATAGGATGGAATCAACATATATATATATATATAAGAATAGAATGAGAAAGACTAATAAAAAAAAATAAAGGATGATGAAGTTGACATGCTTGAATAATAAAAGTAAAAAAAATAAATAAAAAAAATACAAAGGAAAGAAATCTAATTATAGTATTCTACGAAGGCATCAACATTCTTGTGTACTCGTTTGTTATCACCTTGGGCTTTTTCGGCCAATTTTGATGCAGTCCTCTTAAAGTTGTTTCGAGAATCCATATTCAATTCAAAAGGTTCCAAATAAGTAGCTACTTTTTCAAAAGTATCCTTATCACCATTCATGATTTCATGAATAATATCTTCCACACAGATCACACCAATATCACCAAGTGCTTCTTCAACCATATTATTATCAGATACAGGTACACGTTTATTCTTGACCAAAGTATGAGCACGTTTGTTGATAAGATTTCGAACGGTTTCCAAAGAGGGAGTACCAGTAAACACATAAGGTCGTACTTTTTGTAACTTTAAATGAACAGCAGGAGAAGATCGTAAAAAGACAGCAGAGTGAATTTTTCCTAAACGTAATTCCTTAAGTGTACTTTTGACTTCGCCTGTTTTTTGTCGTTTATTTTGGATACCATCAGATCGAATAACAAGTAAGAGTTGTCCTTGTTGACTTTCGGGTAGATCGCCTTGTTTTGCTACTCGTCGTTTCACATTTCGTAATCGTTGAACTTCATGTTGCATTTCTTTACGTTTCTTCACTAGATAATCAGCACGAATAAATTCAGTTCTCAATGACTTTTTCTGTTTGCGTAAATCGATCTTTTGTTGACGTTTATTGTGAATGTTTTGTTTGTCGGCTTGCTTTCTTTTCCGTAACCATACTTCTGGTACAGTTTCAAGAGGTCTATTTTTTAAATAGAAGAAGAAAAAAAAAAAAGAGTATAAATCAAATTGATCAACTATATGGAAAATAAATAATTGCTTACTTGTTTTCATTATCCAACATTGTAAAGAGTTGTGTCAAGTATATATATATATATGATATAACAAGAAAAAAAAAAAAAAAAGAAAAAAAGGAGAGAATTTTTTTTTTTTTTTTTTTTTTTTTTACAGTTCAGCAGTCAAAAAGCCACTCAGTCAAAAAAAAAAAGAAAAAATTTAGGTGGACCATCAAACTAACTCATTTAGATAACTCACTTTGTTGGTTCAGGTCGGACTGGAAAAATATTGTTGCGCGTCCACAAATGGGTCTTTTTCTTCTTTTTTCTTTTTTGTTGAAAAAAAAAAAAAAAGTTCCTTTCATCATCTTATTTTTTCTTTTAGTTTTATTTATACAATACAATGGGTTTGAGTTTCTCAAGATTATTTACTGACCTTTTTGGAAAAAAGGAAATGCGTATTCTGATGGTTGGTTTGGATGCTGCTGGTAAAACCACCATTCTTTATAAACTTAAATTGGGTGAAATTGTTACTACTATCCCTACTATTGGTAAGTAAAAAAAAAAAAAAAAAAAAAAAAAAAAAGATATATCATAATATTGGAATATATATATATATATATATTGCTGTTTTTATGATGTTTCTGAAATGAAAAAAAAAAAAAAAAGTTACCGTACCTTGACTTTCACCATCATCACGTTTTAACCATTCCTTTTTTTTTTTTTTTTAATAGGTTTCAACGTCGAAACTGTTGAATACAAGAACATCTCTTTCACTGTATGGGATGTTGGAGGTCAAGATAAAATTCGTCCTTTGTGGAGACACTGTAAGAGAGAGAGAAAAAAAAAAAAAAGAGATTCTATAAAAATGGATAAACGTTATATTAACTATTATTATTATTATTATATAGATTTCCAAAACACTCAAGGTATTATCTTTGTAGTGGATTCCAACGATCGTGATCGTGTATCGGAAGCTCGTGATGAATTGCAACGTATGCTCAATGAAGATGAACTTCGTGATGCCCTTTTACTCGTATTTGCCAATAAGCAAGATTTACCCAATGCTATGAATGCTGCTGAAATCACTGACAAGTTGGGTCTTCATTCTCTTCGTAACAGACACTGGTATATTCAAACTACATGTGCTACTAGTGGTAAGTCTTTTATTATTGATTTTATCAAGATGATATTGAAAATATATTTATTTCTTTTTCTCTAGGTGATGGTCTCTATGAAGGTTTGGAATGGTTGTCAAACAACTTGAAGAGAAGATCTTGAACGGATGATTTGTTATTACTTCAATAAAGCTCAAAAATATTAGTACACCTTTTTTTATATATCATTCTGTTTCCTACTTTATTATTTATTATCCATTGATTTACTGATATGAAAATAAATAATATGCGTATGTTTACGTGTTTTAGTTATTATTAATATCATTATAGACTTCTTTGTATGGGATGATCCAACTTGTCATGATTACCCTAAAAAAAAAAAAAAAAAAAAAACAAAGTATCAAACCATTTTGGGCACATTTGGGTTGACAAAACAAATATTCCGGGAAATGAAGAGTTGTCTGAAATGTTACCATTTGAGCATCATCGAATCTACTTTTGTCTTACTCGGTGTGAGAAAATAATAATAAAAAAAGTATGATGTTTTGATCAGGTTTTTTTTTTCCTTTTTCTTTCCCTTTTCTCTTTTTCTTTTGATTTATTATTATTCATTTATTTATTATATATCACTGAATGGATAGTAGATTAGATCAATCAAGGCAGGAACTTGATCTTGCTCGTTGCAGATCACAGTGGTCGAATGTACCAAATTTGGCCTATCGATTCAAAAAATACAATCCTGATGATGAGGGTAATTTTTTTTATTTTATTTTATTTTATTTTATTTTTCTGCCCTGCATACACATCAATATACAGGCACACTTTTCATACTATTTCACTCAACACAATGCAATTTTAACTCCGGTATTTTTTTCACTTCTTTTTCCTATCTATCAACATGATAACAATCTAGTTTTGCAAGAAACTGCTTGTTTAGAAGCTCAACTGATTGAACTTATTACTAAAGTACGAACACAATATTATTTAGAACGAAATGGAATTACTACTTTGAATAAGAATCAGACTATTCAAGATACTATCTATGATCAGGATACTCCTCAACATGTCAGTTTACCCATTCGTTTATCTCCTATTCAAATGATTCCTATACAACATGAACTTGAACGTATTGTTCAATCTTATACAAAAACCACTATCAACACTTCAAACGAATGGCAAGCTCAGGTAAAATAAAGTAAAAAAAAAAAAAAAAAAAAAAAAAAAAGAAAAGTTGGGGTGTTATATCATCAAGGTAACACTAAAGGAATGGAGGAGTATTAATCACTTTTTCTTTTTTACTTTTTTCTTTTACATAGTTTTCAAGAATCATCCTTGCACGTGTTTTTTATGAAAGTGGACAATATGAAAAAGCTTTGGATCTTTTACAAAACTTGGTGTTACGATTAGAAGATGTCAGCGCAGGTTATGGGTTTGTTTTGTTAATACAAGCCCGAGTCATCAAAGGTAACACGATGCACGAGGGCAGCATTAAAATGAAAAATCATATGAAAACATTCTGATCTTTTCTTTTTTTTTTTTTGGCCATATCTTAGGTATATGCTTTGAATTAATAGGCAAGGAAAAGGATGCTTTGGATACATTTGAAGCTATTTGGACTACACTGGAGGAACATTTGAATGAAACCGGATCAGCTTTGGCTTATTGGACAGAAGATGGATTTTATCGTGCTATTATGTTATGTTTACGTACAAGGTAAACTCTACAGAAAAAAAAAATAATATATTTTATTCACTTGTCCTATTTTTTTTTTCTCTCTTCTTTCATAGTGCTTCTGTGGATTTGACTCTCAAGTTTTTACGTGCCTACAGTCAATTATCATCCTCTCATTGGTCTTCTCATTGGCGTAATCAGAAAAAATGGGTAATCTTCAAGCTATATACCGATTATTTAATCAATGTTTATGTCGAAGGAACATATCCTGTTCATTCCAAGATCACTGGTCAAATCGAAAAGGAAGAAACAAAACAACAATCTGCCTTTCATGAATTATTTGTTTTAATGAATCGTTCTCGTGCTGTGATCCGCGTATATGCTTCCAAACTGGTTCCTGGTGATCTGAACAGGTACGTTGTAGAATTCGTTAACATTATGTTCAAGGCTCATGATATCATTGGTTGGGGTGAAATTAGCCACATTCGAAGAATACAACAGGTAAATAGAAAAACGAACTAATGATTTTAAGAATTAACGTTATTTCCTGTTTCTACTCAATAGTTTTTATACCATGCAGAGTCATTGACGTTCAATAGCCCATGCATCTTCCGATCGTTGTTTTATGCCTTGTTACGGCTTGGTAATTTTGAAGAAGCCAAGTACGCCTTTCGAACCTATATGGAACTAGTTGGGTTACCTGATATGAAGATAAATAAAAATGAAATCGAAATGCAAGGAGAGTCACTCACAACCAAAGTAGAAATGATTCGATCAAAATTGAAACGGATGGCAATGGAAAATGATAAGAACTTCAATCAGGACCAACCTGTTCAAGCGGAAACTATTATTAATGTGATCAAGGTATTGCTGGCAGCTACTCAACTCTGGGGACGTGAATACAATCAAGGAAAACAAGCTAGTACTATTGCTGACCTCGCTGTGGCGCTTGCCGATGTTTTGGACGATGAAGAAGATTCAATGGATGACAGTGTTGTGACTGAATGTCATCGATTTCGTGGTGTATCATATGGATTATTAGCATGTCAATGTAAGTTTAAAAAAAGAAGAAGCAGAAAAAAAGAAAAAGAAAAGAAAATGATCAAGTTAGTTTATCAGATTGAAAATCTCACTCATTTATCTTCTTTTTTATCTTTTTTTTTCACATTCTTCTTTTAGCGGATGATCCTGATAGTAGATCTGAATATCATCAAGAAGCATTGATGTCACTGGAAATTGCTGTCACATTGAACCCAGATTGCTGGAAGTCCCAATACGAACTTGGTTTTCAACAATTTCAAATCCGGGATATACAAGCTGCCTCTAGATCAATCACTCGTGCTCTCCAAATCAATCAATCATACCTACCATCTTGGCATCTTTTGGCTTTACTTTACTCATGTGATCAACACGAAAAACTCCCTGAAGCTTTGCAAACTCTGGAATTGGCATTGATTGAAACACAAGCAATGGATCGTCTCATCAGCATCAGTGCTGGATTGCCTGTCATGTCTTGGACGGAAGAAAAGAACTGTCGTGATATCTTGGACTTGGCGGAATCCATCATCTATATCCATTTATCACAACTTGCTTGTATGGCCAAAATGGATGGACCTGAAACTGTTTTGCCAGAGTTATCTCATCTTTTCAAGTTATACAGAACAATGACTGCACATCTTGGCATCACTGAAATCATGGAATTGGACCAAGTTTCCCTTTTTACAGAAGCACCATCGACAAACGTTCCATTACAACGAAATGATCGCAAGACCTCTCGACCTGAAATTAAATCTATTACTACAATCAACACTCCCGTCAATACATCGTCAACAACGCGGCCACCATCTTCTTCTATTGACGACTTGGATGAACCTAATACTCCCTCACTTTCTCATACGACATCCAATGGTGTAGATAATACTGAAACGCCCGATTTTGCACGTCGTCGAGCTTCTGGGGGATCTCTGACATCTTTTTCCTCCAATCCTGCGTTGATCGACAGCATCAAGACTCATACACCATCTCAACAAACTACTCGTCAAAGTTACAATGGTCTTCCTGAACCCAAACCCAGCTTTGTTCGTCGTGGTAGTCAATCGATCAAGAAAAGTCTTTCTCATATGGAGTCAAATTTAGCAAGGAGTAAAAGTACTTCTATACACTCTACACCAGTATTGAATGGAGCTGTCAAAAACGGTAAGTTGTGAAAAGAGGAAATGTTGAAAAAAAAAAAAAAAACATCTGATTGATTCCTTTTTTTTTTTTTAGGGACATTGAATTCCAAAGATCAGTCTGAATTTTCGTTGGCATCATTATTGACACCCAGTCTTTCCATGGCATCTATGCGTAGCTACACAACAAATCGATCGTCGTCGTATATCTCTGTTTTTGGCACAGAACAAAGTCAACAACCTGTCAACAGCTTTCTGTATCGACAAAGGGATCGATGGAATGCATTATTGATGAGGCTCTGGTTATTTGCTACCGATTTATTTCTTCAAGCGGGTCAATTGGATGAAGCGAACAAGGCAATGATGGAAATGGAAACCCTGGCATCAGGAGAAGCGGATACGTGGCATCAAATGGGCGTGATCTGTATGCAAGCGATGATGGATGACAAGAAAAAACGGAACTTGATGGCACTTGAAGCATTCCAAAAGGCGTTGACGTTGGATGAAGATCATGTAGCGACACATGTATCGATGGCAGCTCTTTTTATTCAGTTAGAAGAATGGGAGATGGCAGAAAGTTTATTGGAACGAACAACTCGATCTTTTGGTTGGGATCATGCTCAGGCATGGTATCTTTTAGGTTGTGTCCATCAACGACAAACTCATTTACTCGACAAGGCAAAGACATGTTACCTTTATGCATTGGAACTCAAGGATACCGAACCAATCCAATCTATATTGACCTCTCTTCCTCGTTTTGTATGATCCCCCCCCCTTTGATGATAGATATTTAGAATAGTATTTTGTTTTTTTTTCTAAAAAGAATAATAATAATGATAATAAAGTAATTCATTTTTATATAATGATGTATGCTGTGTGTGTCCAAAAAAGAAAAAAAAAAAAGGTAGGGTGCCTGATGTGCACACACTCTCCGACCGCAAGCCACTTGCCTTTGTTAAATTTTTTTTTTTTTTTTTTTGAATAACAGAGAATTCATCATGGATTGTATTTTTTTTCCTCCTCTTTCGCACCATGCAACTTTTCGTCAAGTCCCTTGCCGGTAACACCCTCGCTTTCGAGGTGAACTCTACCACCACTGTTGAAAATGTCAAGACCATGATTGCTGCCCGTGAAGGTAATAATAAGAATGTTATTATTATTATGATATTAATTTTTTTTTTAGGTATTGATGCTTCTCTTCAATTGCTTTCTTTTGCTGGTAAGTCTCTTCAAGATGCCGAAGCTTTGTCTTTGTACGGTGTCCAAGATAACAGCACTCTCCATCTCAATGCTGAATTGTTGGGTGGTGGTAAGAAGCGTAAGAAGAAGACTTACACCACTCCCAAGAAGATCAAGCACAAGCGCAAGAAGGTCAAGATGGCTATTCTCAAGTTCTACAAGGTCGATGAAGCTGGCAAGATCACTCGTCTCCGTCGCGAATGTCCTACCGCTACCTGTGGTGCTGGTGTCTTCATGGCTTGGCACTCTGACCGTCAATACTGTGGCAAGTGTCATTTGACTTATGTCTTCCAAAAGGTAAAAAAAAAAAAAAAAAAAAAGTCTTTATTATTATTTGGATATTCATTCTTTTTTTTTTATGAAATAGGACCAACAAGCTTAAATGATTCTTTCTTTAGTATAGTACCATTCTATTGAATAAAATAATAAAAAAAAAGTTTTGTTTTATTGTAAGATATGAATTATTTGATTATATATATATATTGAGATTGATTTTGGAAACAAAAAAAAAAAAAAGAAAAGATGTAGTTTTATTCAATAATATAATAACACTGTTTGTATTACTAAATCTACATTGTCTATCTACAAAACAACAAAAAAAAAAATATTACCATTTTTTTTTTTTTTTTACCAACGTTCTTCCCTGACTTCAATATCCAAGCCATCGGTCCATTCATCCCGTAATTGTGTCAAAAAGCGATCCTTTTCCACCCATCGTTGACGGAGCCAATTCGCGATCCCTTCCTCGTCTGTTGGTAAATCCTTAATAGCATAGCGTTTGACATGTACATGGAATTGATATTCTGGTGATAAAGTATCCACGTGAACTCGAATCATATCAGGAGCTTCATTGAATTGGGCTTGTTTGACAGCATGTCTATAAGCAATGGTGAAATCTAACGCGAAAAAAAAAAAAAAGATTGTTTGCATAAATACAAGATGATATAGATTTCATAAAATTCTTACCATAAATATACTTGATATGAGAATGACGGAATTCATTGACACAAGTAGTGAATCCTTTTGTCCTTGGTAATAATACATTTTCAGTTGGTGTATAACCACGTTCTCTAGCAAAGGCTTGACACTAATATGAAATAAATGAGAACTTTCAAAATTAAACATTTCCATTATAATTACCTGAAGAGATTTTTCGGGAGTAAATCTAGATCCTTCGACATAATTGATGATCCAAGCAGGTGTTTGTAATTCTTTAAATCTTGCAAATGTTTTGTTGATTTTGTTTTGATCTTGGAGCCAATTGCGTCGTACAAACATAAATCCAGCAAGCTAGAAACATAGAAAAAAAAAAAAAAGAAATGAGTATAACCGATTGTATGATATCAGATCAGAAAAAAAAAAAAAAAAAAAAAAAAAAAAAAAGAATACTTACCCACATTCCCCAACCAAAGAATGGTAACTAAAATAATATAAAATAATATAAGAATTTTGTATTTTTTTTTTTTTTTTATGTTTTCTTATAAGACTTTACCCATTTGATAGAATCCTTGACAAAATACTACAAAGGTAAAAAAAAAAAATTAAAATTAATCAAATTCACATTTATTTCACTTACCTTGCAATTATTAAGCATATTTCTTCGAATGGCCATAGAATGAATCATATAAAAATCAGTCCAAGATTTATGATTACTGATCACCAAAGCGGATTCATTAGAGGGAAGAGTGTCTCCTGAAAAAGTGACACGAGCCTTTTTTCGTTTCTATCAAACATGTTGACCGTTAATACATATCTAAACTCATTTGTTCCTTTATTTACTTACTTCAAATATATACTAACAAAAAAAGAAAGAAAAAAAAAGAAATGTTAAGTTCGTGGATCAAGTGTTTCTTTTATTATATTTTACCTGCATAACTTTCCATACAGTACCAATGAGAAAAGAATTAATTTTGACTAAAAGAGAAGGAGAAAAAGGTCCAATAGCAAGAGAAGGGACTTGAATAAGTTGAAGTAGTCCTGTCATGCTTTAAAGGTAAACAAAAAAAAATAAGTAACCATTCAGTCTTTTTATTTTTTTTTTCTTTTCTTTTTTTTTACCCAAATAAACCAACACCATAACAAATAGCTTTGATTGCCTTTGAAATACTTTGAATAGAAGTCATGTAAAAAGAATAATAAAAGAGTGTGGAAAAAAGAAAGGGAGTGAGAAAGAAAAAAAGGAGAGAAAAGAAAAAAAAATCCCATTCTTTTATTTTTTAAATCTCAGGCCAATTGCGAACATTTCAAAATTGCCTTTTAGGTACCTTTTTTTTATGTCCACTTGTAGAATTTCTCTTTTTTTTTTTTTATTTTTATTTTTATTTTCAACAAAAATGCTGTATATACAATATAATAATAATAATAAGCTAATAAAAAGAAAACAATAATAATAATAATCTAACTAACCAGTAAAAATACGGAATACAAGGTAAAGACAAGAACCACAGAAACGAATGACAGAAAGACCAGCCACACTCCAAAGAATAAAACCAAGATAGACTGAACTTCTAGTATCAAAATCACCTAATCCATTTTCAAATATAGTTGTATTGGTAATAATAGCTACAAGGGCCAAATTAGAGATAATCCATGATAATACAAGTCGAGTACGGAAAGAACGGTAATAATCTTCTTGTTTAGTCTTGGCATCACGATGTTGTACTTCAGGTTCCACTTGACGAGTCAATTCCAAACAAGCTTCTTCATAGGCATCATCAATATCTTTTTGTTCCACTGGTACTTCCACTTCCACAGTATGTTCTCCACTATCATCCTTCTTGGCCTTGACCACACCGAGATCAGTAGCAACACCACTATCACCTTTAGTACCCCAAGACACATCGTGTGTATTACAAAAGGCGTAAACGTTGAGAATGTTGGTATAACTGGGCGATAAAAGAATATACTGAATAAAGCTGGTAAACATATGCCAAGGATCCAAGAATAAAAAGCTGGCCACAAAGTACATGACGTAGGTTGCACATACGGAGATCACAATATTTCTAAACGTTGATTGTTTAAGCATTGCCATCATATTACCATCCGATTCATCCACAATAGTTGTTACACTTTTCACCGTAATCCAGATCGTTGCAAACATCATATATATCATCAGGAATGCAAAGAATACCATACTAATCACATAAGCCCATTTACTACCTTGAGGTCGATTACCCAAAGCGATGATGAATTGTACAATGATCAATAAAACGTAAATATAGTTGAGTACCAAATGGAAAATATTGGCCACTTCAGTTGAGAAAGGTTTATCAGCCAAATTAGGAGAAGCCAAAGCTTGAGTCAAGATATAAAAGGTCAAATAAAAGTTACCCTAAAATAATAATAATAATAAAAAAAAATCAGTCATCATTGATAAATCCTTTTTTTTTTTTTTTTTACCAATGCAAACCAGGCGAAAATCATGTTGTAAGTGTTGTATAAATCTTCAACCATAAACATCAATTTGCGAAGGTAAGAATGATCTGATTGCCAAACTTTTCTCCAATGATACAATGCATATACACCAGCAAAGAAAGAACCGTTTAACCATCGACGACGTTGAGAGATAAATTCAGGTACCTAAGAAACGTTTTTTTTTTTTTAATTAGAGATCCTATTATTGTTATTTTTTTTTTCTTATATTAACTTACACTATCGGGGACATCAGTTTCACCATAAGAACTAGAAACGTAATGTAAAGTCCAATTGGCTTCCTTCTTTGCTACCAATTCATAACATAAAATACGATCTTCGGCAAGATACATATTAGCTGTAAAAATATCAGCATCACCACCATGTTGAGTTTCACCCAAAAAGTATTTTTCAAGAGGACCATGACCGTTCACATCATTTTGCAAAGCTGAGAATCGATAAGCAGAAAAAGCACCAGGGAGCACAGAGATATAACCAAAAACGGATTCCAAAGGTTTATCAAGAATATTGGACATCTAATAAAAAAAAAGAAAAAGAAAATGTAAATAATCCATAACTTTTTTATAATAGAGAATAAAAGATTTACCTTGTATTCAAAATTTTGAGCAGCAACAAGAGGATTCAAAAAAGCTACACCAGCAGTACCAGACATGGCACGAATTTCACCACAAGCACCAGCAACATTGGAATTGATATCAAATGCTTTCCATAAATGATAAATAGAAGTATGGCCAGGTTTAGTACCAACATCAATCAAACAACATACATTAGGGTCAATCAAAGGTCCAAAAGCTTGGAAAAACCAACGATGAGAATTGATTTTCTTTTGATTCTTTTCCTTTAGACAGAATAACATTTGACATGGTACCATTCCCTTATCAGCACCACGGAATTTCATATCAGGATCCACAGATAATTGAGTTGTATACTATAAAAAAAAAATAGGATAATAAAAATTAAATGATGATATTTTCTATATATATATATATCTTACTTCATAAATATGTGCAGTAACGGGTTTTCCATTCACAACGTTTTTGGCCACACCATCTTGATATACACCCAAAGTAGCCAATAATGATAAAGTACGAGGATGAATCTTGTTACGACCATCAGAAACAACACATACAACGACCTTTTGCCAACCTTCTACACCCCTATAAGAAAAAAATATTGAATATATTAATGACTGATAAATAAATAGAATTTTTTTTTTTGTTTTTTACCATGTTCTTGATCTTTCACGAGTACATAAATGAGCAATATTTTTCATGACACCATGCATAGTACGAGCAAACAAAACTTCATCTTCCTAAACAGACAAATAGTGTTACACATAACAATGATAACAAAAAAAAAAAAAAAGATATTAGTTTTTCACACACACACTTAATGATTTTCCTTAAAACTTTACATTATACATGGTTAAAACAATGAAAAGTTCAGTTTTTCGTTCCAATAATTGTTGACGGAGAGTATATCCTTCTGCACCGAAATCTTTGGGATCACAAGTAGCACCAGTGTAACGCATATGAGTGAATTCTTTTGTATCTTTCAAAGGAACAGATTGCAAATAACGAGTAGGTACAGGACAATCTAACACCAAGTTACCTCTTGTCAATTTCACCTTTCGAGCTATATAAAAAAATAAAAAAAAAAGAATTGAGTATTGATAAAAAAAATAAATAAAAGTTGAACTTACTTGTTTTGAAACGACGAGGTTGACGACGAGGAGCAGCACCATAATGAAGATTAGGTGAACTTGGTGGATAAACATTAGATGGAGGAGAACCAAAGTTAGCATGAGGAGAAGGAGGAGCATATGGAGAAGGAGGAGCACCTTGAGGAGGACCTAAAGGACGAAAACCAGTAGGATCACCAACATTATTATTATTATGAAGTAAAGGTTGATGGTCAAAACCAGGACCTGTCCCTTGACCAGGAGCTTCTTGAGGATAAGGGTCAGCAAAAGGGGATGATCGATCCATTTCATGAGCAGTAAATTGATTTAAAGGATATTGATCATAATCCGATTTTCCGGTACCATGAGGAGGATTATTTGGATACATTCTCTAAATAATGATAGAGAAAAGTAAAAAAGAAATAAAGAAATAAAAAAAGGAGAAAATTGAATAATTTTTGTGTTTTTTTGATATTCGTGTAACCAACAGACAATTGACTTTTTAGGATTCCGATACCTCTTTCTAACGTCTAAAGTTTAAAAATAAACTATAGTTTAATGACCGAATATCATCTATTCAATCAATATCTCTTTTTTTTTTTTTTTTATTTATACCTATGGGCTTGGCAAGATTATCATCCATCATCATCTTTATTATTATTATTATTATTTAATAAATTAAAAAAAGGTAGTATGATCATTTATTACAAAAAATATATAACATAACCTGATGGAAAAACTCTCTTTTATAGTAATTTTCAATGTCCCTGATAGAGGAATAGTAACACAACATTTGATTTTAGGCCACTCCCCGCTCTTTCTTGAACCCATCATCATCATTCTAACAAAACCAAAGCCACCTTTCATTACCCGATCAGATCAAATTTCTACAAAAAAAGTGATGCGTACCTTTTTTTTTTTTTTTTTTTTTTTTACCAAAAAACTTTTGTTACCAATATTTTTATCATTTATCATTTCTTTTTTTTTTTATTATTATTTTTAACAAATGAATAATCCATGCCGTTGACCCCTCTCTTTTATTTTTTAAGCTACCAGGTCAACAACAACAAGCAAGTAAAATTCATTCTCCGTTTTGGCCTTTTTCATACTACTGAACATCTAATTTTTTTTTTCATTATTTTCTTTTTTTCTTTATCTTTTTTTTTTTTATTTTTGATACCTTTTTCTTTCCACGTCTTTCCTTTTTGAACTAAAAAAAGTCACTATATTCAACATGGATCTCAAATCAATGCTCATAGGTGATATTCAAACTATATCTTCCGATAAAACTTTTAATCCATCTAATACTACACCAACACCTATGGATCCAAAGATACTTCAAGATAAAACTGTAAGAACACAGACTTTTATTGTTATTATTATTCAAACTTACTTATATATATCATATTAGGCTTTGTTACATTTAGGTGGAAGTCTTCAAGCTTATCTTCATAAAAGTGCACAACGATCAACAAACACCATCACAAATGGTAAAACTATGAAAACTTATTAAAACATGTATTAATATATCTTTCTTTTTTTATATATATCGATAGCAACCTCATCAAGTCTTAGACTTGGTCCTGAATTAGCAGAAAATCCAAGTTTATGGCGTCCTACTATCTCTTTACAACGAGTCGCCAAAGAAATACCCTCCTTTGCAAAACGTCCTCGTTCACACCAACAATCCAATTTTGATGAAACTTTACCCATACAACTTATTACACATGAAATTGGACTTCGGAAAAATGATCCACGTTTGATTTTGGAAAATACCTATGATATACAAGGATCTTATCGAAGAGGTTTCTTTGTATTGATGGCTCAAAGAAATATGCCTCATACTTTTGTTTTTTACAATCCCGATCATCCTTGGTTTGAAGATCTCTATGGTTTACGCAAGGTAAGAAAATTAAGTTTGTTTCTTAAAAAAAAATTAGATCATCATATGAAAAAATAATCTCTTTTATATATATATAGAGTGCTTATATTGTATGCAAAGCAGAAGATGGTGCTTTATGGGAAGTTCATTTGAAACCAGCAAGAGGGAAAGGGTAAAAAAAAAAAATCATATTTACTTCCTATTCCTATACATTGATTTTTTTTTTTTTTGTTATTATTAGTTGGTTATTCGGATATTTAATCAAACAAGATGATGTGATACGAATGGTAAAAGAATCAAGAGATGAATTAATGATGCAACGAAAACTTCCTCTGGTATTGGATTTGGATGATACCTTGGTCAGATTAGTAGGTGAAGGTAGTGAACGATTTGTACCTGAAAATGATCTACCGAAATGTAAGTAATATATATATCAAAGGATAAAGATAAAAAAAAAAAAAAAAAAAAAAAAAAAAAAAAAAACTGATAAGATGATTTTTTAGATGGCAATAGGGTGGCTGTACTGAAAGATGGACGACGAGTGGCATTAACAGCTAGAGTGCATGAATTTTTAGAATGGGCACAAAATTTTTATGATATATCTGTGTGTTCTTTAGGGTAACTTATAAAGAAAAAAAAATTGTGATTCACAACTTTATTTTTATTATAGGGATCAAAATTATGTGGAAAATGTAGTGGAAGTACTCGACCCTCAACGTACAAGGATCAGGGGTATTTTATATTCAGCAAGAAGTGAACATGACTTTATCAAACAATCACATGAACCAGGACGACCACCGAAAGATCTAAGGGCGCTTTATTCATTTTGTGCACTTCAAGATAAATCATTAGGATCAGCATTCACCTTACCATTGATTTTAGACGATGAAACAAGGATGTGGCCAACGGAACAACATGATAATATCATTGAAGTCAAGCAACAATTGGGATCTGAGGCATGGAATGTATCTTTGTTTCCTGTCGTTCAAGAAACATTGGCTCATATACATATGGAATTCTTCCGGCAACTTGATACTTGGTACAGTAAACAAGTGGAAGCTGAAAATAATGGATATCCTTTTACTCGTGAACCTCCTAGTGCCTTGGCTATTTATAAGACTTATTTACGACACATGTTACGTGATATGATTACAAAAGTACATCAATAATAAAATACCTCTTTTTTTTGTTTATTTACTTTTTATTGATTATCATTATTATTACGATATTGATTGATTGTGTGTTTATAAATATGGAATTGACATTCTCATTTGATATCATCCTTTTCATTCAAAATCTCTTTCTTTGGCTTAAATTTTTATCAGTGTTATGAGTATCTAATGTGCACGTTGCATTTCTCTGTTTCTATCAAAGAGATAGAAACGAATGATCATCTATAGGTTGCACCATAGAGTATGGTAGGCAAAAGGATCTCAACAGGGTGAATCAGGTGGGACTATCATCAGGGTCTGAAAGATCTAGGTACAATCGCTCTCTTTTGCAATTAAACAACTGATGATGATGACCATGATGATTCATCACATACTCTTTTTTCTAGTTGCAATGAATATGATAGATTGTCACGTTCTTATGACATCATGCAAAGAAACATATAACTTCTTTTTGATAACAACACTTAATATCCTTTATGCACCTAATAAGTCTAACGATTTTCTTTTTTTTCTTTTTTTCTTTTTTAGGAAGGACGTGTTAAAATATATAGATAACAGAAAAATGAAATGAATTCACGCATATAAAAGAGATTAGTTTATCAATAGGCGCTCACTTTTCTTCTCTTTCTCTGGTTTTTCTTATCATTATCTTTTTTTTTTTTTTTATTTCCTTACTTTGAAATAGATAGAGAGAGAAAAAAAAAAAAAAAGAGCAAGCAACATGACAGATCGTTCTTCATCTCATATCTCTGTCCATAAAACTGAACCAACATTATGTACTGACACTAATGATGATGTATTCTCCGCTAATGATTCAATCAAACCAGGCAAGTGGAACAACATTAAAAAAAAAAAGGAAATTTTGACTAACTTTTTTTTCTTCTCAACGTTCATTAGTTAACATTCATTTTGCCGAACAAGAAAAGAATCATCGACAACAACATCAGCGGGTCTATCCTTCTGTTTATATGGATGATTCATCCTCATCTGCTCATCTTCCATCTGAAAAATCAAAAGAAGAAAAGAAAGAATCATGGCTTCATCGATGTCTGGCTGTATTTGACAGGTTGATACAAAATAATGGTAATCGTTATGCTTTACAAGTAGCAATTGCATTTTCCATTGGATCTCTTTTTGTATTTATAGAAGTCATCAGTAATGGGATGATGAATACTGTATGGGTGCGTAAGTCAAAAAAAAAAAATCATGCGTTAATAATAAAAAGTTTTTTTAATTTGGATTTTTTTTTTCTAAAGCCATCACTATTACTCTGGTTCATGATAATACTGTAGGTGGATTTGTTTTCCTTGGTGGTCAACGTATCTTAGGTACCTTGATAGGAGGAGGACTTTCTATGATTGGAATGACTCTTGCTCGCGTTCTTTTCCCAACCTGGGGAATTAGTGCTAATATCTTTTTAAGTTGTTACCTCTTTGTTCAAGTGTTGTCCATCACAAAGTTGAAAGAACGACCGCAAATCGCTACCGCTTGTGGAATTGTAATTAAAAAAAAAAAAAAAAAAAAAAGGATTTCTCTTCTCTTTCTTTTCTTTTTTCCTCACTCTTTTTTTTTTTTTTTTTTTTTTTTTAATGAATATAAGGCTTTGGTTACTACTGCAGTCATTTCTCTAAGTGGTTACCCTGGTTTAATCAATGACAAGATCTCTGCTTCGGTTGAATTCGCTTCATGGCGTATATTGAATGTTATCGTTGGAATTATTATTGCCATGTAAGATTAAGCATATCTACTTGTATCATGTATCATTAAACTTTTTTCTATATATACATATATAAAACTATAGGTGCTCAGTCCTTTGTATCTTCCCAATCCAAGCTAGTCGTGCCATGCGAGACAATGTGGGTGAATCCTTAAAAGCTACTGCTGATTTGTTTGAAAAGGCAGCAGAATACTACCTGGAAGTTAACATTTCTCCTCAGTCAACGACCGCCGTATCGCCTTCAATGTTTCTCAACAAACATGACCATCTTAATACTACAACATTACACCACCAAAGTGTCGCCAATGTCATCTCTCGAAGCTCATCACCAACAAGACCATTTTCTAACGATGAACAACAACAAGAACGACAATTATCCACTGCGGATACTTCAGATACTATCACTCAACTATGTGATAAAGCACTTGGTATTCTCAAAAAGTTACAGAATGAAGCCCTTAGAATGAAAACTGTTTCCAGTGAATACTATTTGCAACTTCCTTTCCATTTACTTCTTGGTCAGCGGGAAAGATATCGACGGGATAGATTACGTGCAGCAAGATATGCTGATGCTATTGATGATGTGAAACAGATTGTTTGGCTCGTAGTATCATATCGGTTACTATCACCTTTGGTCCAACTTTCTATGACAAGTCAACAACTTGATCTCAGTGGAGTGGATGCATTTCTACAATCCAGCTTGAACAAAACGGTGTATCAGCGAATTGTACCAACACAATCAACATTGGAAAGTTTTAAAGATAGTCTTCATGTGATGCGACGTTTAGGTGCCATGCTCAAGGATCGCCATCATAAACTCAGTGATCATCCTGATTGGTATAGGTTGGGACAAAGAGTACATCAAGGACAATCTCATATTCAACATGAATTAGTGCAACTGGTACAACTTGCTGGTGATAACGTCGATGGCATGAAATTGGTCTCTTATTATGGTTTTTTGGTCAGGTGTGCTATGATTTGGGCTGGCTTGAATGCTGTCATAGATAAATTGGGTCCTCAATGGCATGCTCGACGTTCTCGTCATTCTTCCTCTTCTACCAGTTTGAATCCTTTTGTACATCCTCCCATTTGATTATTAGACTTTGTTTAAAAATAAAAATTGGAATCATCCTTCATCTTTTTATTTTATTATTATCATGGAATATTTTGGAATTTTATTGATCAAAAAAAAAAAAAAAATAGAGAGAGATATATATACATAGAGGGAAAGTATAACAATAACAATAATAAAAATTAAGTATGTTACAATAAGAGACATCTAAACTAGTACCATTTGCCTTCTGTCATATCAGCTTGTTTTTCTCTTGTTGGGATAATTGTTTGTCGAATACCATACGTTTCAATGATTTCCTAATCCAAAAAAAAAAATCAATATCCTTTTTCTTTTTTTTTTTTTCTCTATGCTTACCTCCCAAAGGGGCATACTCAGACTCATGATGATTTGTTTCTTTCTTAATCCGGCCACCAATTCTTCCATGGTTGGGTGTGATCTAGTACTTAAAATAGGTTGACCACTGGTATCATCGATTTCCGCCACTGCATTTCTGATCAAGAAGGAGACATAAAACATATTTTCCACCGATTGTGAAAACGATTCTGGATTGGTGATGAATTCAAAATAATTGGTGGGACCCCTTTCATCCAAGATTTTATAGATACTGTTGACATTTGCGGAAGTTTCATTTGTTTGTTGTTGTACATCATCTTGTTGAAGCTAAAAAAAAAAAATCATATCAATATTTCATTTCCTTTTTTTTTTTTTTTTACTTTAGTAGGTTGGACCAAATCTTCCTTGTTTTTCGTCAGTCGTGCTTGTTTCACAGGTTTTCGAATTTTCTTTTCTACAGAGAGAGGTCCAAGACTATCAAAAAAAAAAAAAAAATAGAAAGGTTATGATAAATAATAAAAAGAAATATAATTTACATCAAATCCATTGATTGAGCTCTTTTGCTAAATTGAGCAGCTCTTTGACCTAGTTTCTTCCAATTCCAATCTTCATGAGCAGATCGTTCAGTTCCACAAAAAGTCTTCACCTTGGCTATAAATTCATCCATATTGAATAAATGATTGTCCAGACGTAAATTGCGTGCTCTTTGAGTAGTAATGTTGGCAGAGAGAACCAATAACTTTGAATCCAAAGCTGCTTCTTGAGTATTTTTAACTACATTAAAAAAAAGTTATATATATATATCATTAGCGAAAGTAATCCTAGTTTCCCTCATTTACCTGAAGTGAATAAAAAATTGGCTTGATTGAGTGTATCTTCTAGTCCATGATCATTGGCATTGGCATAATCCTTTCTGTGTTCTATCAAAAAATAATAATAATAATAATAATAATAATAATAATGTAGAAAGATAAGAAGAATGAAAAAAAAAGAACATAAACTTGTATCCAATCATTATCTTTTTTTTTTAATCCTTACCTTCAGTAGTTTGAATCAATCGACGATAATCTTGTCGTAACTTTCTTCTGACTTCTTTATCTTGACTAGGATCAAAATGATCAGTATCGCGGTCGCGTTCCAAGCTTTGTGTAAGGGCAATTAAGTTTTCGTCACGGGTGTGAGGTGGATGACTATGAGAAGATCCTCCTTCATCTCGTCGTTCTCCTGATGGGTTACTGGATCCAACTGACATTGTCAACTGTATTATGTTCAATTAGGATAAAAAAAAAAAAAAAAAAAGAAAAGAAAATGAAAAATGACACGTCCAAAAAAAAAAAAAAAAAAATCATTTCACTCTCCGTCGATACAAACAAAAAAAATATATATCATTGGACATTCTTTACCGATACGGCTATTTCCAGCCAATCAAACGCCGGAAATTTAAGATCTGAAATATATAGAACATAAGGGTCTACAACAAACATCTGGGGATCTAGCTCAAATGGTAGAGCGCTCGCTTAGCATGCGAGAGGCACTGGGATCAATGCCCAGGTTCTCCAATTGCTTTTTTTTATTTTACTGATCTTTGAAGTTCTATTTTTATCTCGATATATGATTGGTAGATATGATGGCTGTTAATTTTTTTTTTTTTTTTTTTTTTTTGTTATCTAAAGTATTGATGATGATCTGTTAGGTGATTTTTTGGTTTATAGGTTCAAAATTGAAAAAATAATTCGGATGATCGAAAGAGAATAAGTTGTTTAGTGAGCACCAGTACTTGATTACGCAAGCACACGTATAAGAAAAGAGATAAAATAAAACAAAAAGTAAAGTAAGGAAAAATAAAGTCTTGTTCCAAATTTGGAAAGTAGAAGTAGAGTAAAATTGTTCTGACTTTAAATATAGAACAAAGTGAGCCAATCAAAATAGATAATCCACAATACAATCAGGTAGGGATAAAAGGTAAAGATTTATTTAATAGGCGTACTTTTTATTTTTTTTTTTTATTTTCCATTTTCCTTTCTTTTTCTCTTACATTGACTTTTTTATGGTTTTATTATATACATTAGTGTAGTCGTTACTTTACACATTTTTTTTTTATTCAATAAAGTTTTATTTTATTTATTACAACTATTTTATTACATGTCAATAGGATCCATTCCATCTACTAAGATGTATTAAATGAATGCATTCGTTTTATTTTTTATTATACGCTTATGTTACAGGTACGAAATACGCTGATACGACAAAAAAATTGACAATGAAAAAAACTCAAAAAAAGGAGAATATTTATACTAATTACGCAAGCGCACGTATAGTAAAAGAGATAAAATAGAAAAAGAAAAGTAAAGTAGAGAAAGAACTACCAATTCCAATTTTTTTTTTTTTACAGAGAAGTTCTTAACCTGACTTCAAAAAAAGGGGATTGAGCCAATCAGAGAGAATAATCCACAACACATTTTAAGTAGGGATGATGTTTGTTTAATTATGTTGATTAAAAAACGAAAATAGAGGGTATTTATAGTAAAAGAAAACAGAGTTAAGAAAATGAAATAGATATCGAAAACGAAATGAAAATCGAAAACGAAACGAAGATCGAAAACGAAATTAGGTTTAATTTTTTTTTTGTTTTTCTATATGTACTATATATATATATATATTTTCTTTTTACAGATAATCAATACTTTTTTTTTGATATGATGATCGATTCTCGTTTTAAATAAATAGAATGTATTATTGATGGACAGATGTCATCCAAAAATGGAAATAGAGTGGTGCAGCATGATCACATTTGATGAAGATCAAAATAATAAAATAACTTGATAATAAGACTTGGATAATATTCGAGATGATGATTCAAAAATGTATCATTTATATGGTAAAATATAGTCCAATGTTTAAGATGACTCATCCATCATCATTTAATCACCATTGTGATCCTAAGAATCATATGCCCATCTTGCTTTCGTTTCTTCTTTTTTTTTTTTTTTTTTTTTTTTTTTTTTTTAGTGCATGTGGACTCAATACGGAAGCTCTCCTTGATACGGTCACGCTGAATGGATCACTTTATTTCATTTAAAATAATAATAATAATATTCCAATCAATGACAGATATGGTATAGATAAGTAAATAAATAATTAAGAATGGATAAAAGGAATTAGTCTAATGGGAGATGAGTGTTCGAAAAAAAAAAGGAGAGATGATCTATATCTACATACATAATGGAGAGAAAAAAAAAAAAAGAAAAAAAAAAGAGAATCTATACTAAGACGCGATTGATATCCAATAATTGTTGTTCAGATAAAGGTGATTGCTGATATTCTTTCATAGCCAATAATGCATCATCCACATAATCCCGTTGTCGCATACCAGTGATGATAGAACCAATTTCTTGTTGTGCTAAATAGATTTCTAATGCCTTGACTGTCAAAGGAGAATAACAGGAAGTCTTATTATCATCTTTGAGAGAATGAGAGGATGGCCAGGACACCAAAGCTGATAAAATCCTATCCATATCATTGTTCTTCTTCAACGTATCCATATAAGCATAATTGACCAAACATGTCATCAAATGATCCATTTGTTTTTGGTACACATCGGCCCATTCCATATAAGCAGGGACATCCTCATACTTTTTCCGAAACCTGGCTACATCCTTTGCTACTGTTGGTTGTACCTGAGATGTCAAATAATGTCGTGTCGCGAAATGATGTTGACCCAATCGTTGCAAATTTTCAGACAAGACTTGACTCCATACGAATGTTGATGCCATAGAATCGTCTTCATCCTCTGGTAATTCTGCGATCATATCCATTTCCAATTGAGCCACATTTTCAAAAGCTTGACGTAGATCCTCCATATCGGTAGGGTCGATCATATGATTGTAAAGTCCACGGATTTGGCCCTGAGGTGTGATGGCGTTCAGAGGTCGATTGGTCATCAAGAAAATCCCATGGGCGTCCAGACTGTCCATCAAGACGGCATCTTGTAACAGATTTTGCTCGTATAGGTTGAAAGGCGCCTCTACTGCACAAAAGTTATCCAAATGATCACACGCACGAAGCACAGAGCTGAGAGAGACATGATCCGCCGCGTCCTTGCATGCCATGGTGTTGGAACAGATACCATAGCCCTTGATCACACCTTGCTGCACCATTGTATCCAAAAATGAGAAACTATGGCCCAATTGTTTGTACAGTTCTCCACGATGAAACTTTGACGACACAAGCATCCGTTCAGGGGCATTGATCATAAATATATCCACATACGATGTCTGTAATCGAGTCAAGGATTGTTCCAGCTGATCTTGAAGAATTCGTGGCGAGATACCGTGGTAGCTGTTCCCTTGAACATGCACATAATCATCCTTGCTAGTGTCTAGTCGTTCAATGTCTTGTTTGGATAAATATCCTGCTTTGGTCACTAATGTCACATCCTAGATATAAAGTTATGACTTGAGTTGTATGACCTTTTTTTTTTTTTTTTTTTTTTTTTTTTTTTTTTTACCTTGCGATTGATTGACGAAGAAGACAGGATGTCACCAATAATTTTTTCAGACTGACCATTTTCAAAATTGGCGCCAGTATCGATAAGATTGATCCCTTGTTCCAAGGCATATTGTAATGCTGCACCATGTGATTCGATTTGACTGACACGATATCCACCAAATCCAAGTCGAGTAACGGATTGATTGAGTTTTGGAATGAGTCGTTTGGGTAAAGTAGACGAAGTGGTTGAGAAAGGTTGTTTGATATATTGTAGATTAAAAGGATGAATGATATGTTTGAATGTATGGTGTGCGGATAACATGGTTGTAGAAAAAAAAAAAAAGAAAAAAAAAACAAGAAAAAGAAAGAGAAAGCGGTGGTTTAAACATGGTATTTTTATTTTTTATTTCGAAAACAGTATCTACTAAACTAGGAAGGTTTTGATTTTTTCTTGTTGAATGACAAAGAATCCAACGAAGAGGGAGAATCTACGACATTAGTATGTCTGGATCGTTTTTGACTACTGTTACTATTGATGGAATCAAGAGACAAATCGGATTGCTGTTGTTTACCTAATACCAAAGATCGTAGAAGGTTGTTTTCTACTTGAAGATCATGAATTTCACATATCAATCGATCCATTTCTTTTGCATGTTGTTGTTTTAACTGACTGATTTCCTGTTCCCAATGCTGTTGAGTCATCATTGTATTATTGTTATTGTTGCTACTGTTGGATAGGTGAGATAAAGAAGGTAAAGAAGAAGATACAAGTTGAGAGGACATGGTTGGTAAGGTTGGCGAAGTTGGAGTAGGTGAAGGAATAGGTAATGTTCTTGGATGAGTTGGAGAAGATATTAACGATGATGAAGATGGTGACGGTGACGATAACTTAGTGGACGTTGCTACAGTGATACTGTTATTGGTATTGGATGATGTTTGCTGGAGTGCATACATAGGTGATAGGTTGGTGGTATTGGAGACTGGTAAGGATGATAGGGCACTTGGTGATGGTAATAGAGGTAAATAAGAAGGAGGTGATGCTAATGATGTTGATATGGAAGATACTGATGATGATGATGATGATGACGATACTGATGATGGTGTTGATGTGGTGGATAATAAAAGTTCTTGATTATCACAATGTAGTGATGAATTGACATTGGTAGGTATTGGTTCAGAAGCAGGATGAGCAATATGAAGTTCAGGAACGGTCGGTCTTGCTGTTGGAGAGTGGGTAGGTGATAGAGTGGGAGATTTACTATGATTTTGTAAAGAAGATGAAGACGTTGAAGTTGTCATGATACAATGTCGATAAGCCATGCTACAAGGAATATCACCATCCACACGTTGATGTCTGTTTAGTGCATCTGATCTTGCAAATGATCGAGAACATATCTTGCAAACATGAGGTCTTTCACCAGTATGGAGTTTTTGATGTCGTTTCAAATCGTGTTGACGTCTAAAATGAAGTTGACAATGATCACACTATTATAAACAAGTTAGTTTCTTATTCTTTAATACATATATATAGATATAACTTACTTGAAAAGGTCGAGCGGATGAATGTGTAGCAAGATGTGATTTGAGGTTATGAGGTCGACTGAAAGTTTGTTCACATTTTGGGCAAGAATAAGGTTTAACGTCTGCAGTAGAAGAGGAGATAGAAGAAAAAGAGGAGGAAGATGATGATGAGGAGTCATTGGCGGCGATATTTGTGGCATTCCTTTTGTTTTTCTTTCCAAATATAAAGATAGGTTCTTTTAAAGGTTGCATTAGTGAAGTACTACTAGTAGTGCTGTTTGCATTTGACTTTTGTAATGTTCGTTGTTGTTGATCCTTTGTATGGTTTGTAAAATTGTTTGCTGGTATAATGGTAAGCTCCATTGGTTTGTACACATTCAATGAACCAGAAAAAAATAAGTAAGAGTAAAGAAAAAAAAAAAAGGAAAAATTGAGTATTCTTTTCTTTTATATATGAAGTTTGATATATATAATAGAAAAAAAAAAAGAAGGAGGGGTAAGAAAGACTATGATATAAAAGGGAAAAGACGATAAAATAAAAAGAAAAAAAGAGTCTTTATTTCCGCCAAAAAAAAAAAAAAATAAAAAGAAAGGAGGAAGAGGAAAAATGGGAAAAAGGGAGTTTTGACTTTTTTGGGTTGAACTTACGCGCGCCAAGCATTATGGTTACAAAAAAAGAAACCTTTTTTTTTTTTGATGTGGCTTCAGAGGAAGCTTTACTCCCAATATCTGGTAATTTTAATCCGCTTCCCCCGTTATTTGGCTCAGGTACATAATTTCAAAAATAGAAATCAATTTTTTCTTTTTTCTTTTCTCTTGGTATTTTACCGAAAAAAAACATGTGATATAATTGAAGTATTATTTTATTATTTAAAACAAAAATGATTTTTTTTAAAGTAATAAGATATATTGTGATATATGTATATAAAAGAAATCAATTGGTATTCAATGGATGATATGATAAAAAAAAAAATATATATTTATATATATATATATAAACTAACTAACTAAAAAGGGGAATCATCATTCACTCCAATAATAACTACATTTGACGGGGAACTAACTAATCAGAGAGAAGGGGTATCAATTGTTGTTGTGAGTACGTAAACGTTTGATGTTTCGTTTCAAGCTGGTATCTGAATGATTATTGGGAGGCGGTAAGATGGATGATTGTGCAGATCGTTTTCTTCCACGTTGTTGAGGAGAAGATGGCTGTTGTTGTAATGATGATGATGATTGGAGTGTAGCTGATTTGGTAATACCATCAGATAATTGTGATGTCAATGAAGGAGACCAATGTGAAGAATGAATAGAAGAATGACCAGCAATAGGAGAGGTAGTAGAAGTTGAGGATGAATGAGATAGTGGATTAGACTTGTATTTGACCATATCATCATGAGGTGGACTATGAGGATAATTTGCATGGGATGGTGGTTTAATCATTGGTTTACGAGAGAATGAATCATAATCATAAGCATCATAATTGGGAGATGTGGATGCTGATGAAATATTCACTTGAGCCAACCGAGGTTGATGATGGTGATGATGATGGCTATGCATGTTGAGTGATGATGTTGATGATCTTGACGATGATTGATAATCATAAGGATTGTTCATCAAATAAATATCGTTTTCATCCGAATGAGATGGTGGCAACATAGAAGGAGCAACTGAACCAGGTACTGGACTACAACTACCACTAGCTAAATCATTTTGATCATTTCCACGAAGAATGCCTAAAAAAAAAGAAACATAAATCAATATTTTTAAAAAGAATATATGTAACAAACTTACTTGTAAAAGAATCATGATGATCAATAGAATCATTACTAGAATCGGTATGACGTTCCCAAGAAGATATCGGAAAACCATAAGCAGGATCTTGTTTGTAAGGAAAAGAAGGAGTCATTGTTCTTGAAGGTACCATCATAGATAAGTTAGGTTGAGAAATGGTGGAAGTAATACCGGATGGAGGAGGGAATATAGCCGAGGATGCCACTGACACATTTGTACCAGGTACCGTGGATGGACATAAGAATACGGAAGGATCATCAGTAAACAAAGGATACAATAAATCAGTGATTTTAAACTTTGCAGCCAAATCTTTTGCTCTTTCAAAAGTAATCCTAAATAAAATAAAATACTATGAATTAAAAAGAAAAAAAAAAAGACAAAAAAAAAAAAGAGTGGCAATAATATAAAAAAAAAAACTTACCAAACACCTTTCAAATGCATAGCACCTACTTTAACGACAATACGACCCTTTTCATTCTTCAATATACCATCTCTTTTTCCTCTTGACATGCCAACTACATTCAATAACTTGGTACCGTTGATCATATCATTATCTAAAAAGGAGTACCGATAAAAAAAAGATAAAACAATTTAGTAAAAGGAGGGAGATGAAACGATTCGGGGATTCAATGGTTTCTTTTCTTTACCTTGACGTCGCGCCACACAAACAGATTTGGCATCCACTTGATAACAAACAGTTCCTTCATCTTCCCAAACAGTGGTTGTCAATTTTGGTCGTTGCATTGGTGCATGAGATGATAAAGAATAACATGAAGTTGAAGATGAATAAGGTGTTGATCGAACGGAAGGATGATGATGATGATTATGTTGTTGTTGATGATAAGATACAGGACTAGGCCAAGAGAAAGTACCAGGTGATGACCATCCTACCATGGAAGAAGTTGTATTACTGGTGGAGGTGGCAGCAGTAGAAGTAGAAGTAGTATTTGTAGCAGAAGTAGGTGTAACATTCGAAGTGGTATGTGAATGATCAGTGTTCAAGGATGATGATGAATGAAGTGAATCAGTTGGATGATGAGGTGGTATGAAACTGGTGCAAGGTCTAGCATCAGAAAAAGCACTATTATTACTATTATTACTACTACTATTATTATTATTATTGTTGTTGTTGTTATTATTGTTATTGTTATTGTTGTTGTTGCTACTGGTACGATAAGATAGATTTGTAGATGAGGTATTTGTCGTAGTATAGTATGAAGTATGATCAGGATGTTGCAACATATAAGATGACGATGATGATGGATACAAATTGTTTTGATAAAGACCTTCCATTTGTTTTTACTAACTAAAGAAAAAAAAAGAGTTCAATGAGATAAATTGAGTTTATTTGATAACAAACAAGACAAGGCACTTTTTTGTTTTATTTGAATTGAATCAAACAACAAAAGAAAGCACTCTTTTTTTCTTTTTGTGGAACTTACCTATAACGTATGATTGATTGTAAGAAATATAAAATGTAATTCCTCCCTTTTTTGATTTCTTTATGCGTGACGATAAAAGAAAAGAAGAGTGATAAAAAAAAAAGAAGAGAAAAGCGAAAGAGAAAAGAAAAAAAAGAAAAAGAGGTAAAAAGAATTAGTTTCCGGTTTTTTAAAAGAAAATGGGAAACGGGTCACTCGTATTTTTTGTTGACCGATTTTCCCAAAAAAAAAAAAAAATATAAGCGTAGTGAGTGAAAAAAAAAGTGGCGGAAAAGACAAAAAAAAAAAAAAAAAAAGGAGTCTATTACTAACCTGTGATGATAATGATGATGATGGAATCATTTAGGTAGCAAATTATATTGTTTACTGTTGTTGTTTTTGTTGTTGTTGTTGTTGTTGTTTTGTTGATATCTTGGTTTTTTGCTGCAAGAAGAGGGGTAAGTTTAAAGTTTCCTTGACCTGCATTTCTTTGGCGGAAAATGAAAATCACCATCATACCCCCTTATGGATGTTCTCCGTATTTTTATAACAAGAACTTTTTTTTTTTGTAGATTATTCTACTGAATTTTAAACATGGTTCATTCATTCACACGCATTTCAAAAAGAGAGCCCTTTCATTCCCCTCATTTAGCGCCCACTTGATCCCCATATTTATATATATATAAATTTAAGGTCATTTTTCCAATCATCATGTTTAAAATAACAACTAAAAACCTTGTTCTGAATGACTCGTTTTATTTACGAAACAAATAGAAGAACTTGAGATCGACGCCTTTTTGGTATAAACAACCAAGAAAAACAACCAATCTATCCTTTTTTTGGTTTTTCTTTTTTTTTTCTTTTTTTTTTCTTTTTTTTTGCTCAGTCAATTTTATATATAGTTGTTATGGCATATTTCTTGACATTATCAATTTTGGCTTGATCTTGTACAACCAATCAAACGTCTAGTTTGGGTATCCGAGTTTTTAGAATCGAGTCAAACTCTGTTTTGCCACATTTGTAAAACAAAAATCTATGGGTTCCAATAAAGATGATTTTCATCATTATTATCGAAAAAAAAACTTCCAATATCAACCAAAAAAAAAAAAAAAAAAATTACATAGATCATTATCCAAAAAAAGAAGGAGACAGAGGGGATCTTTATTTGTATGATATTGATTGAGTAGGGGAACTTAAAATGAGTTTTTAAGAAAGATAGAAAGAAAAGAATATATCATATTTTTACTAACACTTAATGATAACTAAACTGAGAGAGAGCAAAGACCAACAATGAATCCAATCCCAGAAAAGAAAAAAAAAAAAAAGGGAAGAATATGCACCTTCATGCATGCAAAACAACCATCATCACCATACGAATCATCATCATCATCATTCTTTCTTTCTCTCTCTCTCTCTTTTTTTTTTTAATGTTTGTATATACTTTAGTCAGAAAAGAATAGTTTTTGATTTAATTATTTGCAATTCCTTTTCATCATGATCATCTTTTATCTTTTACCTTTTTGGCTTGATTATTATTAAAAAAAAAGTGCTGCATGAAATATCCAAATAGATGCATGACGGAAAAAAAGTTCAAATTGGCTATATTGGAAGGTGGTACAAAAAAAAAGATCCCATTGAATCACTTTCATGCTACGCTTGAAATCACTTGACTTTCTTCTCTCCCCCCCCCTCCTCTCTCACTGATTCAAGACCATCACCACCATCCATCATCATTCTTCTCCTCCCCCCCCTTGAGACCTCCTCACCTATTTCGCCCCCTTTCTTTCTCCCCATTCTACTTTTTTTTGACGAAAACAACAAATAGAAACAGTTGGTTTCAGTCATCTCGTCCTTATTTTGCCACCGGATGGCAAATGTTGAAAAAATAATAACAAAAAAAAAACTACTTTATAAGGTGACATTAAACTATCTATTCAATTCTCATCACCATCTGGTTTCTTTTTTTTTTTCCCTCCTCTTCTTTATAGCCCCTTTGTTCTTTTCCCCCCTTGGAATAACAACTCCGTGTCATCAAAATAAAATAATAATAATAAAACTTTATTCTTCCATAAAATACTAACTACACTAAAAAAAAAAAAAAAAAAAGAAAAAAAAAACTAAACTATCATCACTTGATTCTCTTCGGCTTCTTGTTCCATGTCCCCCATCTTGGTACAAATAAATTTCATCATGTCATCTGTACATTGCCATAAAACGTAGTCAGGTAATTCAGCATCTAATAATAATAATAATAAAAAGACAAATCAGTCAATATATGAATCATCTTTTCCTAATTTATCCAATCTATTCATATTTGATTATATTACCTGAATTAATACATTTACATCCAAATTCAGCATCAAAAACAGATTCAGCAATCTCATTAGAATTCAAATTCCAATTGACAGTATGCTAAAAAAAAAAAGAAAACAATATATATATATATATATATATATTTTAAATGAGAAGAAAAAAAAAAAAAAGGAATATGCAAATGAGGCAAACACATGTATTTTTTTGGTAACAAACTTACATCATCCAACCATGCACGTTTGTCGTCTCCATGAATAAGTCTTGATGAATGATTCGAATTGGCCAAAGCTACCCCAACCACCTTAGATTTGAATATATCAACTAATAAAATGTAAAATCCAACCAACTAAGTCATTTGTTCTAATCACTTGTTTATAACTTACAATGTTCATTCAACAATTCTGTAAAACAATGACCAGCCCATCCAAGCCCTATTATACCTATCTTTTCCGCTTGGGTTTGACTATAAAATAATAATCATATAATATGAGAACAGACATACATGAAGATGTAATATTTCCAAGATAAAGTTGCTGAGCATCACATCCTATCATTGTTATTGTTTCTTACCTAACAAAATGGCGAAATACATATTGACAATGGTTTTCAGGGCTTTCATTTCCTAAAACAAATCAATAAAATGGAGTGAGTTTATGCGTAACTTTTTTTTTTTTTTGCAGGATGCATTCATCTTGCGGATTCATTGTCTTTCCAGTGAAATCTTAAATCCGTTCAAATGCAAGTAAATCACTTGTCCCGTTCCACACCCCCAAAAAGCAAGTGGATCTTTTTTTTTTCTTACCTGGAATACTTGACCATGTTTTCGAACTTTGTAATGGCGACAGATACTATAATATGTATGAGTATTCATTAGTATTTGTCTGCACGATCATTACTACACCCATGCTTTCCCGCTCTTTCCTGTTTTTTTATTTTTTATTTTTTTTTACCTGAGGTGCATTATCGTACCAAAGAATTGTATTTGGATTGAAGATGATGACTTCATAATCGTATTCTTTTGCCTTATTCACCATATTCAACATAGATCCAGCCTAAATATATCAAAAAAAAGAAAGGAAAAAAAATGAGATCATGTGATCTTTTATCATTCTCTTTTTTTCTTTGTTCTTGCTTACCTGGATCGATTCTTCACTTAATACACGTCGACTCCATTGTCCGATTCTTATATTATATAGAAACATCAATCAATTCTTTTTTATTTTTATTTATTTACTTTTTTATTTTACCTTGTCCCAGTTCCAGGTATAAGAAGTAATAGTTTACCAGTTGTGGTCAAAGCATTTGGTCTATAAAGAAACAATACAATATCACAAATCAGAGCTCTCTTTTTATGTAGATATCATTTTCTATTACTTACGTCATATAAAAAAAGGTATGAGGATCGTTTTTTGCAGGATCCGCTTCAAGAGGAATAGTCACTGATTGGAAATGATAAGGAGCTTGTTTTAATCTGCTTTCTACTTCATCACCCAGGAGATCTAAGATTAAAAAAAAAGGGAAATAGGGATGAGGACATAAGTATCTAACGTCCAGTTTAACATACCCATAAACACGCGATATCTTTGTTCATTGTAAGTTTGATCTTTTGGATGGTACCCAAACACGTATTGGGAATCTATATAAATAATAAATGTCAGATTTAAGAAAGAAAAAAATAGATGGTCTTACCTGTGGTTTTGCTACGAACAGCACCATTATCCTTGAGAACATAGCCAAATTCATCAAGTGTAGTTGGAATGGGATCTTTGACTTCTCGTTGCTTCTTCTTGCCTCGATACATTACGCGTACTAAACAAAAAAAAAAAAAAAAAAAAAAAAAAAAAGAAAAAAAAAGAAAAAAAAAAAGGGCGGATCGTGCGTGAATGTTTTCAGTATGTGAGTTTCAGATTGGATTTTGAATCTCCGTGTCTTCGCCGTAATCGCAGTAACGAACGTTTAGACTTTTAAGGGGAGAATGGCAGTGAATAGAAAACATGTCTATTCCTTGCATTGATTATTATTTGTTAAGTATGATTAACATTGACACGATAATAAACATATTTGACAAATTTATTTTCAATGCAAAACAGAACAGCCTTCTTTGTTATCTTGTTTTCCTACAGATCTTTGCATAAACTGTATAAGAATCCAAACAAATAAAATCAAATAATGACAAATATAAATGAATGATTCTTTTTTATTGTTTTTATTTTATAATATTTTGATCAAAAAAGTAAAAAAAAAAAAAAAAAAAAAAAAAAAAGGTAGACTAAAATGCTAATGAAATATGGTTGTAAATGTAAATATAAGTTAATGTAGAATGCATAATACAAAAGTGAGAAACAACTAAAAAAAAAGATCTAGACTTCAGAATCATCATCATCACTATCCATCAAAGAAGATTGATCCTTAACCCACGAGACTTTTTTGTTGTTATTGTTGTTGTTTTTCTTGGTGTGTTTTTGCATAAATTTCTTCATTTCCAATCCATGTTTCGCACCAAAGGATTTTTCCCAATCAGATTTGGCATGTTTATAAAGAGACATTGTAAATCGTGCATCTTCCACTGATGAGTGACTTCCTGATTGGATCTGCACCTTGAGAATCTTGTTGACTAAATTTTTCAATCCTGGGGTTCTTCCATTGACAAGTTCTCTAAATGGTTTGTATCTTGAGGTATCACGGATCAATAATTTGGGATGTCGAAGCATCAGTACCTTCATATCATTGTACACTGCATGACCAATTAATACTCTATCCTTGATAATATCTGCCACTTGTTGTTGTGCTTCTTTAAATGTGCATCCTATTGAATAATAATAATAAAAAAAAGACAAATTAATATAATATTAAATAAATAAATAATTCCTTTCTACTAACCATTTTTCAAAAGTTCCGGTGTAATCCCACTAACCGCTGTACGATAATCCGTCACTTTTTCTTGAGGTTTAACAAAGATATCCAATAATACTGCACCATTGTAATTCACCAAACTGACTCGAGCTAATGCTGATTCTTTGCCTTCAGGTCCAACTCCTACCATTTCACAATCAATAGCTACATACTTGCCAATCCTAAATTAAAAAAAAAATAAAAAAGTAAATAAATTGAATTGGTCTATATATATATTTACTTTGCATCTTTGCCCTTGACAGCATCCATTTGATCCAAAATCAACTTTTTGCGCTCCCGTTCCTCCGTTTCTTCTTCAGTCTTGGTCAATTTTCGTCCATAAGCTACTTCCAAATCCTTTTCATCTACTTCGAACCATAGATCATCCTTTTTGGGTATCACCTTGTTGTCAGGGGTTATTTTTACTCCATTATCATTCTTTTTCGTTTTTTCTTTTATATCGCTGTCGTGTCTATTAGAAAGAAAAAAAAGAGATAGTTTAGAATGTAATCATGGTCAAAAATCTAAAAATTGTCACTTTACGTTCGTTTAGTCTTCTTTGTTTTTAAAACTTTGGTGGATTCTCCTTTTCGTTTTCCCAATGTAGTGCTACTAGTGGTTGTTGTTTGAGTTGCTTTGATTGACTATAATAATCAATAAAATAATAATAAGGGGAAAAATTAGTGGTTAGTTTAAATCGTAATTAGACCTACTTTTATATGATCCAATCTTTTTTCAAGATTCTTTTTCATTATAATCTTACCGGTAATAGTTTCTTCCAATTAGAAGAAGGGGCTGACTTGGTTGATTTTGCTTTCATATTTCAAACACCAATCCAATAGACAAAAAAAAAAAAAAAAAAGAAAGAAAAAAAAAAGACCAGAAGGAAAAAATTCTTTTTACACTATGCGGACATTCAATAGGTCTTCCTTTCCCACCTACATTGTAGACAATGTGAAAAAAAAAAATGGATATTTAATTTTTATTTTTATTTTTATTTTTGATACAAAGAAACAATAAAACGATATATAAATCAGATAAACAAATTGAAGGTAAAAAAAAGAGAAACTAATTAAAAAAGATAACAAAGTTCAAAGATAAAGTAAAGAAGGAGATTTGACAGCAAATTTCAAATAAGCATTCAGACCAACAGCAAATAACAAGGCAAAACAGATAACAGTAGGACCAGTCATATCATCATAAGGACCAGAAGCACGTTGACGAATCAGTTCCCGACGACGATAATATAAACCCATTCCATATAATAAAGTAGATAAAGATACCAAAGTATAAACAATTCCACTGACCTTACCCACAGCATCACCTGCATTGAATAAGGCAATCGAGAAAGTTGCAAGTAAAGTACCAAAGGACATCCATGAGAAATACGTACGTTCATTGGCAAAAAATACCTTGGGTTCCACACGTAAAGGGGTGATCACTTTTTTTGGAACTTTGACACCAGGAGGAAGGATCACAGGAGGTGATGCAGCATGGGATCGTCGAGGAGAAGTTTGTCCAAGGAAGATATGTTGTACTACCAAAGTTAAATCTTTCATGCATCGTTGAGCCCAAGATAAGGATGGTTCTTCGTGAGATTCAGGTTCTGTCAATTTGGGGAACGTGGTATAGGAGGAGGTAGATGCATGATGAGGTCGTCGTAAGAGTGATGTACGTTCATCGCTTGGATTGGTATCATCTGTCAAAGCTGTCGTTGTCTGTGCGTCTTCTTCTAATTCTTCTTCATTATTATCTTCTTCTGCTGATGATGCCCGTCCTTTACCTTTGCTGCTTTTCTTTTGATCCATAGAAGGAAGATGTGGTAAATTGTGCAAATCATCACCCATTTGAGCAAGCCAGTAAGGAAGGAGTGCCACTCGAGTATCAAACATTACAGCAATACCATGGACAAACTTGCTAAAATCAAATGCTTCTTCGAGAATACCACTTTCTTGTAAATCAGTCACCCATTCAGGTTCAATTTGTCCAGGAGCTAAATCCATCTTGATCTCAAACGTTGCAAAAGGATATCGATTAATATCATTTTCATTGATATTGGTAAATGGAAATTGAATATCTGCATCAGGTCTTCGCCAAGCATCATCAGGTCGTCGTATCACTTTATCAAAGATTCCAGTATCTTCACGAAGGAAACAAAGATCAGTATCCAAAGCCATACGAACACTCTTGTCACCAGGGATTTGAAAAGCCGTTCTCTTATAATAAGTACGAAGTACTATTAAAAAAAGAAAAGAAAGAAATTCAGTATAAATTCAATATGAGTATTTTTTTTTTTAAAAAAAAAAAGATTTAATTTTTTACCTGGTTGCATCTTTTGTTTCAAAATGGTTTGTTGAACTTCATTCACCAAAGATTGGAAATGTTGTACATCTTGTTCAGATTTTCCAGCAGTATTTCTTAATTTTTGAGAATATTTATCCACATAAGCATGACCACCTTGAATAAAATCACTAATGTATTTGTCTTTGATCACAAATCTATCCTTCAATTCACCACAATTTTCTTCAGCCAAAGTACGTCGCTCAAAGGCAATTGAGTTATTACGTTTTGCACTACCGTACCAACGAAGTCGAATGATTTGAGATCCTTGAGCAGATTCTACTCGAGAATTATAAGCATCAAGATCAGGATTGTCCAAATATAAAGTCGAGATAGGCGGATCAATGTTATCCTTCTTGCCAGTGATATCACGATAAACCAAGACAGGGAGATGGCGTAATACATATGTTTTTAATTCCAATACATTATCAGCTTGTACAAAGAAACGTCTAACAACAGTACGTCGAGCAGATGATTGTTGTGAATGTGGATCATAAGAGGAAGTAATTTCATTTAATTGTAACTGCTGATATTGTTGTTGAGTTGTAGATACATGATTGATAGGAGGCTGTTGGAAGGACATAGTCCTACCACCTTGACGGACTTGGGCAAATAATTGTGATAATTTGAGTAGTAAAGAGTCATTATTTTCATTCCAAAAGGGACATTGATTCAATCGCACCATAAACATGGGTCGTAATACATAGTCGGTATGTCTATCATGTTTCTTGACTATTTTCAGAAATCCAGTATAATTAATTCTTGAATAACGAGCCAATCGGTTAATATCATCCGCAATATCATTGATATTCTCTTGAATTCGACCCATTTCTTCTACAGAATCATTACTTGGTAGTTGACTTGATATCGTTTCTGCCCAATGATCTGTTCTAGTTCGAATATCTTCCATTTTTTCTTTATGGAAAGCATAAACCTGAAACAAAAATGGTATCAATAAATAAATAAAAAAAAAAAGTTCATTAATATTCACTTTCTAGAACTTGATTCTTTTCATCATGAAAAAAAAGAAAAGGTCTTTATCCTGTTTGTTTTTTTACCTTTTCCAAGTTATTATCCAAGAGTTCAACAAATTCAGTTTCGTCTCGTTCAGAAAATGGAGTATCCTTTTCAGCTTTTCGTAACTTTTTCTTCAATCCATCATAATCCAAATAAGCTTGTTGCCATTCAGGATAAATAGCATCCCGTAATTGTGAACCAAATTTCATAGTACAGTTATTTTTTTTTTTTAAAAAAAAAAAAAAAAAAGGTGAAAGAGTGAAAAAAGGAAAATAAAAAAAAACTTTTTGGTGTCCAAAAAAAAAAAAAAATATGACATACTGAGTTTGAATCAAGTATCGTATTTGGAGATCATGTAGGGAAAAAGATGAACAAAATGATAATATATGTTGAATACCTTCATAATCCTTTTTTTTATTATTTATATTCTATATATCAATCCAATAAGATAGAACGAAATAACAGTACTTTAATGATTCATAGATGAAAAAGAAGAAATCAACCCATTCTTTTCTGATTTATTGTACAACCTAGGGTAACAAGAAAGTACACGTTTCAGTCATATCAGAAACTGATTTGACGTATCGTTCAATCGCCGAATTTTCTTAGAAGAGTACATAAAAAAAAAAAAGAATGGAAGACATCATCATTAAATATATAAATATATATAAAGATGAATTTGTTTAGGTTTCTTTATTATGGGAATATGTAATTCAAATCAAAAACAAGTAATCTATATGATGTCTATAAAGAGAAACATATATATATATATATATGTATATAAAGAAAGTAATGAGTTGGGTGGTGATGTACAAATAAAAAAAAAATATGCATGGTAATAGGAAAAGAAAATAGACAAATAAACTGTATACAAAGAAAGAAGAAGAAGGAGGAGCAGGATATAAAGTAAAACCAACTAAAAAAAAAAGAAAAAAAAATCTAACTATAAGACCATTGCCATTGTTTCGCCTTAACAATTGGTGGCCATTCACCACGTTCCCGCATTGATTCTTCAAGATGTAATACTTGTTCATAGATAACAAACATGATTGCGCTTTGTAAACTTGTCCAGAACACGCGAGGCCCAATACCACGAAAGAGTCCACCAATTCCTTGATGTTTATAATTCCATATTAATCCTTCCATAATACCACTATAATGTTTGGGTTGATGGATTGTTGTTGTTGTTGTTGATAACGCTGATGATGATGTTATTGTTGCTGTAGTTGTCACTTTGTTGATTGACGTTGATGCAGTTGTTGATGATTTCTTTGAGCCACTTTGTTGAGTTTGAAGTAAGGTTTTCATCACGTCTAATGGAGTTGTCACTGCGCCTGCAATTCCACCTGCAAATGATCCAGTTAATAAATCAATCCCAAGAGGTAATTGTTGTCCAGGTTCTACACAATTTTGCTGAGCTATTTTCTTGAATCGCTCTATTCAATAATGATTATAATTTTTTTTTTAAAAAAAAAGTTTACATTAGTATCATTCCATCACCATCATCACCTTTATTTTCCTTCTTTTTTCTTTTGTCTTTCTTTCTTTTGACTGTCTTACCATAACATGCAAATTGTATAGCAGAATAGGGTACATCACGAAGGATTGTTGCCTTGAACCCATGGAATAGTGCACCCCAACCATCATACTGTACAATCTAATATCATCAAAATACAATTCAAAAAAAAAAGATAAAGATCAATCGTTTCTATTCTTTTTTTTTTTTTTTTTTGGTTTCTTTCTTACCACTTTGGCTGCGTGCCATGTATTTCGATAATTGTATCCACTAACAAAATGAGGATTATTGTATCTGCCTTGAAGTTGCATTCGAGTTTTCAACACTTCCGAAGGTACATATACAACAGAGGCTGCCAAATCACCCAGAGAACCAGCTGCAAGATGTGACATTACTTCAGGTACATGGTTTGCAGTCAAATTTCTTTTTGTAAATTCATAAATACTGAAATAGATAAGAGTTCCAGGTACTAAAATTCAAATAATAACAGGTGAGTTGAGTTGTCTTTCTTTTTTTTACAAGTGTTATACATATTTCATCTTCATTTGTCCCTTTTCCATGTTCTTTTTTTTCATTTTTACCTGAACCAAGCATAGCAGGAGTGATACCAGCATATAATCCTCGAAGTACACCTTCTTCTTTCAAAATAGTTCTATAAGATTGGACCATATTATAATATTTGGGTGCTCGATGATGAGGTTGTCCTTGAAGTCGAGTTTTGACCGTATCCACACTATTTTTTTTTTAAAAAAAAAAAAGATTAATACAAAGTAATTTATCTACAATAGTGTTGAATTCATCTTTTTTTTTAATTTTTAATTTTCTACCTATGCATAGCAAAATCGGCAGCCGATCCTCCAACGCCTCCAGCAATAATGGTCTATAATATTGAAAACAAAACAAAAAGAGTGATTAGTTCAAAATACATAATATGGGACAATCGATCGTTCTTACATCAAAGTAAGGCGGGTATTTGTGATTATCACCATGAACAGACAAGATCATAAAGCGATGGTAGTTATACTTGTCAGAAGAAGACGTTTCAGTCACATCTTGTAAAGTCATGGAAACTGAGAAGCTTGAAGTACAAATGAAAGTAAATAACGGAAAGAGAAAAAAAGAGAGAACGTATGTGTGTGTGTGTGTGTGTGTGTTAGGAAGAAAGAAAGTGAATAAAAGAAATAGAAAAATAAAAGAATAGGATAAAATACAAATTGAAAATGGTAAAAGGAATGAGTGAAGAAGAGAAAGAAAAAAGAAATGAAATATCTGCGCCAAAGAAAAAAAGAGGTTTCTCACCCGTTTATACTTTGGAAAGAAAGAAAGAAAAAAAAAACCAATTTGAACTCAACCAGCAGGGCCAATGTTTGCTGGTTGGTTCAAATGAAATGTCCTTTTGTTCAACGTTTTAGGTACAAAAAGTCACAAACTCAGTTAACACTTATCCCCTTGGATCTTCCGATTTCATCCTTCTTGGAAAAAAAAATAAATTAATAGTACCATTTTCATTATTCAATTTGCCATGAAGGTCTGATATTTGTGTATAATAAAATAGAATTTTAAATATTAATTCCCATTCTTTTTTTCTTCTTACATTGTTAAATTTCAATATTATAGATGTTAAGGCAACAACATGCATGACAACGTGCACACTGGATTCAGGTAATGTCGGGGGTCGAAATCCAATTCCATTGTGACTATTGAAGTGTGTGTGTGAGGTTAAGTATCTCTTTTTTTTTTCTCTTTCATTCTTTTAATTTCTTTTTTTTTTTAAACTTTTGACATCAAATTAATTATATTACGAACTATGGGTGTCCAAGTTGCCAACTCCGTTATCGCTGATACCAATGCTACTCTGAACAAAAAGAATGCACAACAACCACGAAAACGTAACCGAAAGAAATCAAAAAAGCAACGTGCTGAAGAAGAAGCTGCTCGACGAGTAAGTTTAAAGACATAACAAAAGGAATGACTTTATTAACCATGTTATTATTATTATTATTATTATTATTATGTAAATATAGGAACGACGTAGTGAATCAGTACAAGAAAACGAAGACGATTTAAAAGATGTTGAAATTGAATATGTTGTACAATCTATGGATGCATCAAGTTTAAAAAGCATGGATGGTATGAACAATCTACAAGACGATGTCCTTGATCAATTCTCGAATATCTTTCGACACTTTCAAAGAGGAAAAGAAGAAGACGAAGTAAGTTAATATATTATCTAATCTACGCCAGTAATTAATACTAATTGTTTTTATAGGACGAAACGATGATACATAGAGAAGGACTTGAAATCGACGGCAAGACAACCAACGATGTTGATAATGAAGAAAACAACTCTGATACCGAAAACAAGGACCAAGTTTTATCCAAAAAGAAGATGAAGCAACTAACACGTCTTAGTGTGGCCGAATTGAAACAGGCAGTGAGCAAACCTGAAGCTGTAGATGTAAGAAATCCATTGATTTTTTTTTTTAAAAAAAAAAAGAAGGATTAAAATTAACATTGGTTATTATTATCATTTATTTAGTGGTGGGATGCCAATGCACAAGATCCAAAATTATTGATTCAACTCAAATCTTATCGAAATACTGTACCAGTACCAGTTCATTGGAGTCAAAAACGCAAATATTTACAAAATAAGCGAGGCATAGAAAAACCACCATTTGAATTACCTGGTAAGGAACAATAAGAATTTTTGAATAGATATATATAATCTTTACTCATCTTTGTTATATAGAATTTATTAAGGATACTGGTATCATGGAAATGCGTGAAGCCGTTAAGGAAAAAGAGGATGCTGCTGGACTCAAAAGTAAAATGCGTGAAAAGGTGGCTCCAAAGATGGGAAAACTAGATGTGGATTATCAAAAATTACATGATGCTTTCTTCCGATTTCAGACAAAACCTCACTTTGCTGTCCATGGTGAAATGTAAGTTTTTTTTTTTTCTTAAAAAAATGTATTTATATCATTAATCATCTTTTTTTTTTATTCAATATAGGTATTATGAAGGAAAGGAAAATGAAACAAAGGTTCAAGAAAAGAATCCTGGTCAATTATCTGAAGAATTAAAACAAGCATTGAATATGCCTCCTTTAGCACCTCCACCTTGGTTGATTAATATGCAAAGATATGGCCCTCCTCCAAATTATCCAACATTGAAGGTTCCTGGATTAAATGCTCCTATACCAGATGGGGCACAATGGGGTTATCATCCTGGTGGTTGGGGTAGACCTCCTGTGGATGAACTCAATCGACCTCTCTATGGTGATGTCTTTGGTGTTACAGAAGAAAACAAGGGTCCTCAGATGCCAATAGAACCTGTTGACAGAACTCTTTTTGGTCAACTAGAATCCGACGAAGGTAAGAAAAGACATTTTTTTTATCAACATTATCTCTCATCACTTTTATTATTGTTATTATTATAGAACTTGAAGAATCAGAAGAAGAGGAAGAAGAAGAAGAGGAAGAAGAAGAAGAAACCAAGGAAGAAGAAGAAAAACTGACAGACGAAACACTCAAAGAAGGATTGGTGACACCCTCTGGTATTGCATCTGTATCAACTGTAGCATCAGGATTGGAAACACCAGACGTGATTGAATTACGCAAAGAAATACGACGACCAACTGAAGAAGAAACACCCAAACAACTATATCAAGTATTACCTGAAATGGAAAAGAAAATTAGTGGACTTATGGGCTCACAGCATGGATACGATTTACAAAATATTGACAAACCAGTGATTGCTCCTACATCAGGTCGAATGGCAACAAGTTCTTCTAAACGAAAGCATGATAATGTGGATGTGGCTATTGATCCTAGTGAATTAGAAAGTGGTTTGGATGAATCAACTTTAAGGGCCAAGTATGAAGCTCAAGTCAAATCCAAGTTACCTGGTGGTGGTGCCAATGCTGAAGATTTATCAGATATGTACGCTGAACATGCTAGTCGTCAAGCTGCCAAGAAGAAGAAGCCTCAAGATGCCAGCAAGGGAAAACAAAAGGAAAGAGAGTTCAAATTCTAGATATATATACTCTTTTTTTTTTTTTTATAATTATTACATAGTTTTTATAGGTAGTACTTTTTTTTTTTTTTTTTTACCTTTAATAAAACACGTTTTTTTTTTGTTTTTCTACTGTCTCTGCATATTTTGGTTTCTTATCATTTTTTAGCCTCCGCTTCGTTCTATTTTTTTACCGATTTTTTGTAGATATATATATTCTTGCTTTTTTTTTTTCTCCCCTCGTTTCACTCTTTTTTGACTCATCTTTCTATTGATTACTATTCTCAGGTCCCATTCATTGACTTTTTCCCCTCCTAGAAAGTTTATTTTATCAAAACATCTCTCTTCTAGAACCATTCCTCTGGAAGGTGAAAGTTTGGTTGTTTTATATATATATATACATATATATATATCTTTTCCTTTGGTGTCTACTTTTTTTTTATTATTATTATTCATCGTCCCACAAAAAAACTACAACACTTTTATTTTATCGACGACAATCAACTATTGATATACGGTCATGAATCAAGATTCACCATCTTCAATAATGGATAATGGTTTATCAACATCATCCTCTACAGAAAACAATGGTACTCCTTCTATGAGTATACCAACACGTCTTACTATTCCACAATGGACTCAGCAGCAACAATCGCCACAACTTCAAGTAAATTCCAATTTGACATTGTCACCAAGTGAAAGCAGTAATACAACGGTATTTCGAAATAACTATGATATGCTTCTCAAAGAAGTATTGGGAGATAGTAATAATGACACTAGTAACAACAATAGTGACGACGATGAAGATAATATCTATGCAAACATACAACAACTACAGCAATATCAACAATTTCATCCTATTGACATAGATCTTGATTCTGCTACAGCTGACCTTCCTGACGAACTACGGGCTGCTCTAGAAGACCGGTCTCTGGCGGACAAGTACTTGGCAAATTTAAAGACGTTTATGAGTCATCAGCGTAGTCATTCTATGGGCTCTATGACTAGTGGAAAAGGTGATTATTCAAGGTAATATGAAAATAAAATAATAATAATAATAATAAAAAGGATAGTGACAATATTAGATGGATAGATATTTTAGAAAAAGAGAGAAATTCATAATCATTCTCATTTTTATACTATAGTCCTACAACACCGTTACAACCAACATTTTCAATTCAATCACCATCATCAACACATCATCCATCATCAACATCTTTTTTTCGAATGCAACAAGATCCTTTATATAAAGTATTAGATGCTGTCCCCTATCAAACACGACTTATCAATGGTGTACAATCATTATGGGAGCTACAAAAGAAATTAACTGCTTTGAAAATCCCAGAATTGGATTTACCTTCGGTATCAGATACAGTGATCAAGGCTCGATTGAATGACCTTTACAAAATACAAGACGATTTGTTTATTCATTTGCATGGTGGACCTTTGGTACGCAACAGTCATCGACTGCCTATTGGAGAAAAGAAGAAACGAGAAATTGATCAATTGCTGGATCAAGTGGCAAAGGAAATTGGTCTTTATGAAGAATTTGTCAAACGAGGTAATCTATTATTAAGAAAACTTATTAAAATGATAATGGACTCATACTATTCTTTTATATATATATAGATCAATATCTTAGTTTAGAAAGTATTTTGAATGAATCAGATAGTTCGGATGAATATCAAGATTCGGAAATCAATGAAACTGAATCAAGTCTATCACAATTTGTAAGTTGAAAATGATGGAATAAAAGAAAAATCATTTATTAATGTACTGTATTTATTCAATATATGGATAGGATACTTTATCAAACACTTCCAATAAAGCAACAGTATCATTTGGATCTCCAACTTCTTATTCACCTCATGATCGTGCAATCAAGTCATCTGCAAAAAGTCCTTCTACTTTACGACGTGTGACATCTCAACCTTCTATTGCATCAAATATTACTCCCTCAACTCCTCCTACTGCCATGAATGGTCATCTTGGTTCACAGCGATTTGAATCGTCCTCTGTTAGTGGGTCCATTCATTCATACGATGCTGCCTCTGATCCGTCATTATCTCAGTTACTTGTCAACGATGGTGAACAAGACGAGAAAACAACGGGAATTACTCCTTCAGAAGCTTTCAAATGGACTCCTTTGATCAAGATATCCGATCATTTGTATTCAAAAGATATCCGTCAAACCAGTGGACTTGTCTCTGTATTGGCTGTAAGCAAAGAAAAAAAAAAAAAAAAAAAAAGAAAAAAAAAGTGGCGATTTACTAAATTTCTCATTCTACCTTATAGGTCAGTGGTGTCATTGCTGTTGGGATGACTCGTAGTCTAGTTTTTGTGTATGACTATTCTCAAAACTTGAAATGTATCTTAGGGGATAGTCTTCGTGGTAAGGAATTCATATCAAACCAAAATAAAGAATCTCATCGATATATTTTTCATATATTAAATATCCTTTTATTTATTTGGTATTAGCTGTCGAGGTAGGTGCTGTTACATCGTTGGCTATCTCTGCAGATCACACAACTATTGTTTGCGGACACAGTCAAGGTCATCTTGTGATATGGGATCTTCGAAAACCTCAATTACCGATTCGTACAATAGATCCTATACCTCCCAATCAAACTCTTAGTAATACGGCAACAACGACACAAAACAACAACAACAATAATAACAACTCTGGATCTCGAAAGGAAGGTCATGTTCGTGGAGCTGCTATTCTACATGTTGGTTTTGTTGGTGTGAAAAAGTCAGAAATTGTATCTGGAGATGATCAGGGTATGGCGTTTTATCATGTTTTATACAAAGTGGTCATGGTCAATGCGGTGGATACAACTAGAATCTTGGGTCGATATCAAAATCTTTCCCTTCCATCATCACCTTCTTCTTCAACAACAACAACCACTCCTATGGTCACAGCAACAACAACAACAACAACTGAACAACCTTTTCAACGTGGTCTTTCATCTTCTTCTTTATTGGATAACAATAGCCCTTCTTCATCATTGACAAATAAACCACGACGACCTAGTACAGTATTTGCCATGCAAGCTCTTCCTTTAGGACAAGTGGCACATCCGGCAGAGAATTTTGGTTTGGTTGCTTTATTAACACCTTACAAGGTAAAATAATAGTAGTTGCATAAAAATATATCAGTTTGAAGGCATGTATTAATGATATCTTTCTCTATATATAGATGATTATCGTTGGTCTTAAACCCTCTTGTCAAACACAATACAAATTTCTGAAACCCAAGATCAACTTAGGTCACACTATGAACGAATCTGCAACACCTTCAACAATTGATCCGCAATCTGGTGGAGAACATCATCAAAAATTTGAAGTACATCATGAAACTCTCTCTGGTTGTCTTGCTTGGTTACCTGTCACCAAATCTAGTGGACCGTTACCAACATCAACTAAAGGAAATGGTAGAAAAGGTAATCATTCAAAAAGATCTACGGTAATTGTTTTGTTATCTCCGTTGATTTAATGTATTATTTTTATTACATATTATAGACAAACGTATGGTCAATGATTTGGCACTCTCAGAAGATCCAATGCTAGCATTTGCTTGGGGTAATCACTTATTTATACTTAAAGTGGGTGTAGGAATGGCAGAAACTCAACATGGATCAAGTCGTCTTCGAAGTCCTATGGTTAGCAAAAGTAAACGTGGAACAAAGCTTCAATTTCCCAAGCCAGCGGAATGTCAATTGGAGGATGCCATTATTGGTTTGCAATGGATTAATCGACAGGTAATATTTTTTTTTTATTTTTTTTTTTTATTTTTTTTTTTATTTTTTATTTTTTATTTTTTATTTTTTGGTTAATACATTGATAAGGAGAAGATAACTAAAACCGAATGAACTTTTTTTTTATAAATAGATTCTTGTATTGTTTACGCCAAATGAAGAAATGCTTCTATTTGATCCCAAGAAAATGATTGTAACTGAACGTGCCGTTATCCGCGACAAACACTTGGTATACCATGATTGGTTTAGTTCACCTCTCCGAGATCTTACGATAGCGAATACTGCTCCTGTTCCATCTAACGCTATCACTACCACTATGGGATCAAATAACTTGGATATCGACACTGGAATGACTACTTTGGCGACTTCAAAGACGGTAGAAATGGCATATTATCATTCATTGAAGGGATACAAAGGAAAATTGTTCTTATTGGTAAGGCGATCATCTTTGAAGAAATAGGATCGCGTATTATACATTATTGTATTGTCATCTCATATTTTTTTTTTTTTTGGTGCATGTAGGGACTAGATCAACTTTTTGTGGGAACATTATTATCATGGGCAGATCGGATCCTGGCATTGGTACGAGCAGGCGATTTTTTGGATGCAATTCAACTAGCAACAGCGTTTTATAAAGGAAAATGGATTCAAACAGTGATTGGGTTACCTGCAGATGAACAGCAACGCAAACAATTAGTAGGCGAACGTTTAATGGAACTTTTGGTGGCTTCATTGAATTATACATTCTCATCTTCAAGACGATCTTTACTTCAGATAGGTCAACAACAACAACAGCCACTTTTGAATATGTTACCTGATGGAACAATCGATAATATTGCCGATCCTATTTTTTATCAAGACTTGGCTAAATGTTGTGTGGATGCATGTCTTAGTATGGGTGAAAAAGTCTTTTTATTTGAGACAGCCTATGAACAATTTTTGGAACATGGTGTACATGGAATGTTTTTACAAGTATTGGAAACTTATATTGTGACGGATCAACTTCGGGATATTCCGCCTGCAGTAATGAAGGACCTTGTAACTCACTATAGTACGCATGGACGACTGGAAGCTTTGGAACGAATTATTTGGCATGTGCAACCTCAGTGTCTAGATATCGATCAAGTAGTTGGTGTATGTCAACGAGAAGGATTGTATGAAGCAATGATGTACGTTTGGAATCGAAGTATGGACGACTTTGTGAGTCCACTGGTGGAGATGCTCAAAGTGATTCAACAAGCGCTCAAGAAAACAGACGAGACATCAAAAGATCAGTGGGAATCTTCAACATCTACAATCCAGCAACAACAACAACAACGTCACTATGAACAAGCAGATAAGGTATTTGATTATCTCAAGATGGTATTACAAGGTCGCACTTTTCCTGATGGAGCGTTGATGCCTACTTCTCGTGGAAATGAAGCTCGAAGCACAGTTTACTGTTTTGTATTCTCTGGAAGATGTGTTGTGTGGCCTAGAATAGGTGGCAAATTGATCTTGACTGTTGATGAAAATGAATCTTCGGCAGAACCAACATATCCATATCTTCGACTCTTATTAAGATTCAATACCAAAAAATTCTTGGAAGCACTAGAAGTGGCCTTTGAAGATCCATGGTTGAATGGTGGTGATGAAAAGTTGACATCTACATTTGAAGAAGATATTACGCAAGAAAAGGTCATTTCTCGTCAAATCATTGTCAATACCTTATTGGATGTGATGGGTGGTGGTGGTATGACTTCGAATAACAACACAAACAACAACAATAATGCGCATTTGTTATCAACTCCACGACTACATCCATCTATCTCTGCATCAACAGTTCAGTCTGGTATAGGAGGAAATATCAATAAGGGATCAGGTACTTCTTCGGAAACAACATCATCTTACTACGACGGCGACTCCAACGGCATCTCCTCGCAAAGTGATCATTTATTACAGCTTTACATCTTTCTTGCCAGCAATTTACACAAATATACCACGTTTATTCTTCTTCCATTGACGATCAAGCAAAAGATGTTATTGCGACTGACTGTAAACGATTCACATCATTATCACCATCAACATCGACATGACCATGATGATACAAGAGAAGAACGACAACGCGCTGTTCAAAAGCTACTGACTGTATATACACCTAGCAACGAAGAAGGGATGACATTGTTATACGAAGAAGCCAAGTTTTGGAATGTCCTAGAGGATGTGTATCGACGGGATAGAAAGTATGGTAAATTGGTGGAAACATACCTCAAAGACACAACATCATCAACTATGCCTATGCACCGAATGCTGACTTTGGATCAAAACAATGAGGACAATGATGAAAACAACATTTCTTCTCCGGATGACGAAGAAACAGCCATCATAGCAAGACAACAACGTGTATTTGATTGTGTGGATTGGTTACTAGACGCCAGCTCACCATTAACTCATCATCAACGACAAGATGTGAAACGAGTAGTGTTGATTCGAATTTCTCAATTTGTAGACATGGATGGACAACGAACAGCCGACCTTGTAGAAAAATACTTTGATGCTGATCATCATCTTATTCTGAAGCAGCTATATGAAGATGATGAAGAATTTGGTGATGTTGATGATGATGGTGAAGTCTTCCAGCATACCAACAACGAAAGCAACAACATCAATGGTTATGATGAACATTCGTCACCTACATCTCGATTTGCTCCAACCTTTGCTCGAATGGCGGATAAACGTGTATTTTCTTATCTTCGTGGATTATTAGAACCTCAACCAACAACAACCATGACACCACGTATAGGAAATGATAAAAATAATAATAATAACAGCAAAGGCGGTAACAAGCAATCTGGCGTTGAAGAACAAGAACAAGACGATTATGTGATCCTGGGTGAACAACCATCTGGTGAAGACAACAATAAAAAAATGGCCACTAAAACAACAACTCCAACTATAATTCGACGTACCAACATTGATAGCCAATTACAAGAATGTTATATTGATTTGATGTGTCGATTTGATCCGTCTGGTGTGTATGATTACTTGAATACCAAATTGTACGATTATGATATTGATATCCAGCAGCGACAACAAGATGATCATGCCGACGAAAAATTAAACAGATTAGATCATGTTAACTTCACCACTTTGTTGAACAGTTGCGAAAAATATGGAGTGATGGATGCTGTGGTGTGGATCATGGAAAAAATGGGCAACATCAAGGGTGCTCTTGAAAGGATGTTGGAAATTGGCCGAGAAAAGATTCAATTGATATTATCCATTATCAAACAACAAGAACAACAATCATGGATGTTTGAAAACCAAAGCAAGATTAGCAATGGATTGATTGGCCTCAGTGGTGTCCTCCGTGTTGGAACAAGATTATGTGAAAACAGCAGCAGTGGCAAGATTAATACAACCTTTGATAATATTGATGATGATGATGATGGTATAAATGGCAACAAGCAAAATGATGATGTTGATGATGAAATTGAATCCTTATGGTTCCGATTATTGGACGTATATGTGGAAGCATCCATGAAAATCCATAGTGCTCTGGACAAGAAGAAGCATCCTGATTTGACCTTACCTATTGGTGTTCAACAACATATGATCTATACATTCAAATCATTTGTACAATCCATCTTGACCTCATTACTGCTTTCAACATCTCCTCAAGTATCGTTGCCAAGATTACTACTTCGACTGATTGATTCTCAAACCAAAGGTGAAACAACATTTGCGGATTTCCGAGATATCTTTTTAAGCATGTTGGATACGTACAAATATGAAGGACAATTATTGGATTTGACGAATCGTTTATTTGACCGTGATCTATTTTTGGGTGTCCAGGATATGGTACGGCAACGTGGGAAAGGCTGGAGACCACAAGCTATGCTATGTACCATTTGCAGCACAGGGATTTTGGATATGACTTTGATGCAACCGGATATTTGGAAAGAACAAGATCAACCGAAGGATACAAGTAAGATTGTTGTCTTCCATTGTGGTCATGCTTATCATCATCATTGTCTTGCATCTCAGCAAGAACAACAACAACAACAACAACAACAACAACAACAACAACAACAACAACAACAACAACAATGTATTTTATGCTACCCTGGATTTCCTACAAATGCACTTGATAAGGGCAAAGCAAAATCGACCGTTATATCCTCCTAGTTTTCTTTTCTTTTTTTTTTTTTATATCAAATATTTATTTATCCTTCTTTTTTTTTAGTATATACCATTTTTTTTTTTTACTGTTGTTCCTATGTATATCAATAAATCATTATTTGTTCTCCCATCCTCTCTCTCTCTCTCTCAATTAGTATATGATGATGATGTTTGATATGAATGAACAGATGACATGCAATGATGGATACTATGTAATCATATGTAATGAATAAATGAATAATGGATAACGTGTAGTAACGGATAATTATGTAGTCGCCAAGAAGTATGGTATGAATAGAGTCATCATTCCATTACATTGAATAAACTGAAATAATCTTTATTTGGACGTTGATAGTTGAAAAAGTGATATATACCAAATGTGGGATAATACTTTCTTTATTTGATTCAATATCTGAACTGTCAAAAAAAAAAAAAAAAAAAAAAAAAGAGCGGGGTCGCATGTGTTTCTCAGAATACATCCCCTCCTAATTTCTTCTTTTCTCTTCATCCCCCCAACGATTCCAACTGATCTATTTAACTCCGTTATAAAGCAAAAAGTCCATTTTATGCCATTTTGTTTTTATTTTATATATAATTTTTGGGTGATCATTATCAGTCTAGATTGAAAAAATATGAAGAAAATAATATAAAATATCGACATTCTTTTACTAGATCATCAAACTGCTTTTAGTGACAGTAATGCATAAAATGATATCCAAAAAAAAAAAGGTGTGGGGATAATGATTGTGTGATATGAACAATAATGGTCGCACGTGAAGAATAGGGTAAGCAACTTTCTTAGGCTTTATTTCGGAATTGGAAAAACTGTAAGGGCATCCCTCATTTGGGGTTTTCTTACTTACGCATACAAAAACTTTTTGATTCTGATATATATTTTTACTTTTCCCCAAGGCTTTTTTCTTTCTTTCTTTCTTTTTTTTTTTTTTTTTTTTATTCCTGACTTCTTCATTGTATATACCATGTCTACTCATCTCAAACCAGTACCACAAACTTTATCAGCAACAGAAGAATATGCTCAAGCTATAGAGTAATGTTCATAAAAAAAAAAGCAGATCTACTTGATCTTTGTGCAGCCAAACCAAAAAAAAAACTAACTCTTTTTATTCTTTATATATAGTCCTGTTCGAAGCATGAATGAAGAAAGAGCAAAGGCCAAGTTTAATATTCGTGAATTGACTTATTTATTGGACGGTGACCAAAAAACTACTGAAGTAAGTAAAAATACCAGACTTTTGACTGGAGAAAATTGAATTTTTTTTTTTTTTTTTTGTATAGCTCAAAGAACGTATCATGTTGGACCTAGAACGTGACCCTCTCTTCAAAATGCACGATATTCATGATCTCACCAAAGCTCAACTTCGTGAACGTACTTTAGAAAAGGTAAAAAATACAAAATATCTGAAAACAATATGAACTCCATTCTCACTCACACCGTGATTAGTACCGAAGCATGCTTCATTATCTTCAAAGTGAATCAGTTGAAAACTTCAAGAAACGAATGGAAGTTGTCAGTATGGTGGATCCTGGATTCTGGACAAGATTTGGTGTACATTATGGATTGTTTGTTGGTGCTTTACAAAGTAATGCTACTCCTGGACAACTGGGTTATTGGTTTGAACGTGGTGCCCTAGGTATGAGTAAATTCATTGGTTGTTTTGCTATGACTGAAATTGGTCACGGTTCTAATGTCCCTGGTCTTGAAACAACGGCTACTTTTGATGAAGCTTCTGATCAATTCATTATTCATACCCCTACTTTGACTGCAACTAAATGGTGGATTGGTGGTGCTGCTCATAGTGCAACTCATGCGGCTGTCTTTGCTCAACTGATTGTCAAGGGTAAAGGTTATGGTACCAAAATTTTTGTTGTCCCTCTTCGTGATCCCAATACCTACAATGTCTTACCTGGTATTAATATTGGTGATATTGGAAAAAAAATGGTAAGAGATAGAAAGAAAAAAAATTATATACTTATCACCATAAACTTCCAACTCATTCTTTTTTTTTTTTTTTTTTTTTTTTTTTATCTAGGGCCGCGATGGTATCGATAACGGTTATATTCAATTTACCAATGTCCGAATTCCTCGTGGATACATGCTTCAAAAACATACAAAGGTATCTCGTCATGGTGAAGTCAAGGAACCCAAATTACAACAACTTACCTATGGTGCTCTTTTACAAGGTCGTGTAGCAATGGTAGTAGACAGTGGAAATGTCTCCAAAAAGGCCTTGACAATTGCTATCCGATATGCTGCTGTTCGTCGTCAATTCGCTGGTTCAAAATCTGGTGGTGTTGAAACCAAATTACTTGATTATCCAATTCATCAACGTCGATTGATGCCTCTTCTAGCCCAAACATTTGCCATGCTCTTCACTGGTGCCGAAATGACTGAAATGTTTAACAGTATGATGACCCGTTTAGATGGTGCTCGTGAAGGCGATCCAGATTTGGATCAAGTAGTTGAATCTCTCAAAGAAACCCACGCTACTAGTGCTGGTCTCAAAGCTTTCTGTACATGGAACTGTCTTAATGCTATTGAACAATGTCGACAATCTTGTGGTGGTCATGGTTACTCTGCTTATACTGGTTTAGCTGCTATGTATCAAGATTTTGCTGTTCAATGTACTTGGGAAGGTGATAATACCATTTTAACTCTTCAAGCTGGTCGTTATTTGATATCCTCTTACGGTGAAGCTCAAAAAGGAAAGATAGTGGCTCCTGGTGTTGGTTATATCAACAATTTGAAGACATTAATTGGTAAACATTGTCCAGCAAAGACTGCCCAAGATATCCTTGATCCTCAACTTCTTATTGAAGCCTGGCAAGTGGTTTGTGCCAATGTGGTCAAGAATGCTGCTTTGGAATTCGAAGCCTGTATCGCTCGTGGATTAAACCCAGATGATGCTTATGAAGAATGCTGTAAGTTAACTATAATAGAGGAATTAAAAAAAAAAAAAAAAAAAAAAAAAAAAAAAAGGTAGTTAACCTGATATTTATATAGCACAATCACGTCTTTATGCAGCCAAACTTCATTCTTACAGCTACTTATTCAACCGGTTTGTGGATGGTGTATCGAAACTTCAAGGAAATTTAGCAGTGGTGATGCGTGATGTTTGTTTATTATATGGACTTTATACCATTGAAGACAATGCTGGTGCATTCTTACAATACGAATACTTCTCTCCTACTCAAATTGAATTTGTCCGTGGTCAAGTGAATGCCTTGTGTAAGGCTGTGCGTGATCAAGCTATTCCTCTGGTAGATGCCTTCAATTTGTCTGATTACGTCGTAAATAGTCCTCTTGGTCGCAAGGATGGCAATGTCTATGTCCATTACTTTGATCAAGTCCAACGCTCTAATCCTCAAGGCGAACATCCTTATTTTGATCGATTAATCAAACCTTTAATTCATCGTGATATTGGTGGGGGTGATGATGAAGATGATGATGAACAAGCTGGCTTGGAAGATGATGACGAAGATGACGAATAGATAGATTATCTAGTTTTATTTATTATGTTTTTATTAGTATTATTATTTTTATTATAGCTTTATGTTGTTGTTATTTTTTTTTTTTATGTATCATCACGATGTCTGATCGTTACTGTATTTATCTAACTGATTTTTTTCTGAAAAATAATAATAATAACAATAAATGGTTTGACTACGTCTATTTGAAATTGAAAAAAAAAAAGCTTTATTGAATAAAAAGTATATACTAATTATGACTACACTATAAAAAGTCAATGGAAAAGAAAAGAAAAATAAAATTATGCGTATTTAAAAGATAAAAACCCCAAAGATAGAACTTTGAAAATCAAACCATCTAAAGGAATCAATCATCCCAAGTTTTGTTTGAAAAATGTCCGATTTATTTATTTATTTATTTTTTTTAGTATAAATATCCACCTTTCTTTATCATTATCAATTTTTTATCTCTTTTTTCGAATAAAAGGTTTTTTTTTTTTTTAACCATAATCATATTGGCCATTCTTAAGGAATTAAGCATCCTAAGTTTTATCTTTATTTTATTATTATCGAGCAATCATCAAGTACTTGACTCAAATTATTTTATTTGATCATCATCAAGAGTGATCATTTTATTCAAGACATCTATTTTTTTTTCTTTTTTATAAAAAGAACTGGTGCTCTCTACGATCAATCATCATCAATATCATTATATTGATAATGACACACGGTGAAGGGGCTTGGGGGGTGAAGAATTAAATTTTATTTCACACTCCTCTGGACTCGAGGGGGGAATCTACTTTTTTTTTTCTTTTTCTTTCCCTTGCTCATTCATTCATTCATTCCTTCCATTCCATTCATGTTCTTATTTTTTTTTCTACTTCCTTTTCCTTTTTTTATTTTTTTTTTTTACTCAGTGTATTACTACTCGTCTAGTTTCACTTATATTTATATTTAGTTTTATATAAATACATTATACATTCTTTTTTTTTTTATTTTTCTGAATCAATTCATTTACCTTTTTTTTCAGTTTTTACTGATAAACTTACCTGGAATTTACTCATATATTTTGTGAATATAGTTTGACTGAAACGGACCTTGGTTAAGCGTATATTACAAAATTCTCCTGTTTTACAGTTACTTGTCCTATTTTGAATTGGCTTTATATCTCATTCAGTTGTACCTCTAAAAAAAAATAAAATCAAATCTCACATTTTTTTTAAATCTCACACTTTTTTTTTTAATTTATAACAATCTGCAAAAAAAAAAAAAAAAAAAAAAAAAAGACAATCGGATTAATATGATACAAATACTCAAAATGCAAGCTATACAAAATCATCTACTCGCCTAAATACATATGAATATTAAATAGTATAAATAACCCATATCAAAATAAAAATAGTCAGTGTCAATTTTTTTTTAAATAAAATATATAAATCTTATTGGCCACTCTATTGGAAATAATCATCCACTAGTTTTAATCATCTTAATAAACATCTAGCTATTTTTTTTTTATTATTATTTCTATTTACTTATATACCAACTCATCAAGTCATTTGGTATCTTCTATTTATTTTTTTATCTGATCATCATTAACTGTGATTACAAACATCAATCCAATACCATATTTGGATTTTTTTTTTTTTTTTATTAAGATACGTTTTGTTCTTTTTTATATAAAAAGAAATGGTGCTCACTACATATCAAATATCATTGATATTATTATTTTAATAATATCATTCATCAATTCTGTAAATCAATCATCCTCGATAAGTACAAAAAAATCCTTAACACTAGAAAACAATTATCTAGCAAGTAACAAAAAAAAAAAAAAAAAAAAAAAAAACTTAACAACAACAACAACAAAAAAAGAAAGCCTTTAGCTAAAAAAGGAAACGTCGATCGTTGTAACAATGGGCAAAAGTAAATGCCTTCTGTGAGAATCGAACTCACGACCTTCTGCTTACTAGGCAGACGCTCTGCCAACTGAGCCAAGAAGGCGTAGATAGTTTTTGGACTGAAAACTACTACATAAAGACAATTTAAAAATTCCGGCAATTTTCCGGTATTCTGGTATAGCATCCAGTTTTGATTGAAACCGAAGTCCGTTGGAATCCGGTTAGATGTATTGAAGAGATCGATCTTACGGAGACGCGTGACTCATGCAAGTAAACAAACGTTCATCTCTACCGTTTTGTCTTCCACTGCTTGTAGATAAGAATTACTGTAAATCCATATTATAAGAAAGATAAGTATAAATTTGAGTTTCAGTTCATCAAAAAAAAAAAAAAAAAAGAGTTAACAAAGCAGAATGAAACAAGTAAGTTTAATAATAATGATAATAAAAGATAAGGTTTATTGACGAGGATGATCAAAAATAAAAACATTGTATATATTAAAAGGAATAAAAATAAACTAAAGACGGTATCGACCATTCTCATGAATAATCATTGATATTTTGGTTTCAAAAGGAGGTACTGTAAACAAGCCATTAGGTTGTTGTCATTGAGTCATTGACATCAACAAGAGATCATTGAATATTTGTTATATGGATAAATGGTAACCTAAAGAATAAGGGATGTTAGTTAAAACTATTACTATGAGTTCCATTCTTTTTTTTTTTTTTTTTTTTTTATTTATCCATTCCAATGCGTCCTACCTATAAACCAAAGAATAATTGCAGAGAGACAGATAGTAAAAGCATGCTATAAAATATACAATAAAATAAGGACAGTTAGTTGTGTACAGATGCTTTTGTTTTCTCTCTTTTTTTTTTCGTTCCTAATTACCTTGATAATTATAGAAATGTATTCATGGTGAAGTTTTCAAAAAAAAAAAAGTGTAAAGAAAAGAAAAGAAAAAAAAAAGAAAAAGTTAAATTCTTTATAAACTAATTTTTCAATACCGATGCTTGAGCTGCCTGACTATATAAATTACAAAAATCGATATTCAAAATGGAATTGTTTATTGAAGATAAAAAAAAAAAAAATAAATCAAATAAATACAAATAAAATCAAAGAAGAACTAATCTATACTACCAAACAATTTGTTCTACAATTTGGCTTTGGAGACAGAGTTTTCTTCTTCTTCTTTCTTGACCCAATCCTTGATCACCCTTCGTAATAACTTACCACTTGCAGATTTGGGTACAGCATCAATAAAGCGAATACCACCACGTAACCTTTTGTATTGTACAACCTTGCTAGCAACAAAATCCATCAATTCTTTGGCAACTGCATCACTTGCTTTGACGGATGGTTGTAACACCACATAAGCTCTTGGAAGTTCAGTTGCTTGGGAGGTATCATATACACCAATAACTGCACAATCAGCAACAATGGGAGATGTTAACTAATGTGTGAGAATTAAAAAAAAAAAAAGTTAGCATTCTTAACTTTGTACTTCATATTAACATTTCTTTTTTGATATTCGCTTACTAATAAACTTTCTAGTTCTGCTGGTGGCACCTATTTGTGAAAATCATAATGATCAATTCATCTGCTTGTATCATCCAAATACCAAGTATGATTTTCATCTTTTTTTTTTTTTTTTTTTTTTTTTTTTTTTTTTTTTTTTTTTTACCTGGAAACCTTTATATTTAATTAATTCTTTGATACGATCTACAATAGAATAGTGACCATGTTCATCCACGATGGCAATATCACCTGTATGGAAGTATCCTTCACTATCAATACAATCGGCAGTAGCTTCAGGATTCTTGATATATCCCTTCATAATGCTTGGTCCTTTACACCATAGTTCCCCTCTTTCATTGATACCAGCCTCTATAAATGGAGAATATAATATAAAAAATAAAAATAAAAAAAAAAAGATTAGCCCATCATATAATTGTTCCAAATTGATATGATAGAATTTTTCCTTTTTTTTTTTCTTTTTCTTTATTACCTTTTCCATCCTCAGTTATAATTTTAATGGAGACATTGGGAACCAGAATACCACTTGTACCTAGTTAAATAAAAAAAAAAAGAAAAAGATAATTACTTAACAAAAAGATATTTTTCTATAATATATATTTATATATATTTACCAGGACGAATATTATCGAGAGGACCAGCTGTCAAGACAGGAGAAGTTTCAGTCAAACCATAACCTTGAGTCACTTTTAGATTTGGAAGACGAGCTTGTACATCATCACCTAATTCAGCAGATAGCGGGGCAGCGCCAGACATCACATAACGTAACGAGCTCAAATCATAATTACTGATCACAGGATGTTTGGCAAGTAAAAGTAAGATGGGAGGTACTAAACATGAGAAGCTGATCTTGTGTTTTTGAACTGTTTCGCAAAAGTGGACTAGGTCGAACTTGGTCATGACCACCAAAGGAATACCCCAAAAGAGAGACATATGGATCACTACGGTTAAACCAAAGATGTGGAAAAATGGAAGTACACCAAGGATTCGATCTTTTTTTGGACTGAGATGAGGACCAAGGAGGCTATTGATTTGTAGAATATTAGCAGTGATGTTTGTATGCCTATGAAACATAAAAGAAGGTATTATCGTTAATATGTTATCAGTTATGTTTAGTGTTTAAACTTTACGTGCTATGTACACCTTTGCTAAGACCTGTTGTACCACTTGAGAAGCATAAATAAGAAGCATCATCTGCAGGATTAATAATAGTAGCAGGGCGATCCAGTTGGCGTCCAGGGAGTAAAACATGAGTATAGGGTTGAACACCTTTGACTACTGTTTCACCAAATACAAATACATTGTTCTTGGCCAAACCACAATTTTTAGCAGTTTCTAAAGCAACTTCCACATTTTCAGGAGAACACACAATCACTTTTGCATCTGATAAAGAGACTTGATGTGTAAGTTCCTTGACTGTATAAGCAGGATTGGCTGGTGTAGTAGTTCCACCTAAAAAATAAAATAAAATAAAATTAAATAAAATTAAATCATGAAGAAGGATAACTAATTTGCATATACACATTGTTTTATTAAATATACCTGCTGCCAAAGCACCTAAAAGTGGAATGGGATAGTCAACCTATCAAGGAAAAAAAAAAAAAAAAAAAAAAAAAGAAAGAAAAAAGAAAAAGAGGTCATATTTGGATCAGCATGTATATTTTTTCTTATATAAACCCCACTTTCCTTCATAATGACTTACCAAGTTAGGAGCAAAAATAGCAAGCACATCACCTGTTTTGAATTGACAATGATCTTGTAGACCAGCAGCAAACTGAAGAATATTTTGTTTCAATTGTCCAAAAGTAATGGTACGATCACTATGAGCATCAATGAGAATGGGTTGATTGTCAGGAACATTATTCCGGTTTTCAAATAAGAACTCGACAACACCAGTAGTAGGAACTTGTATAGATGGTAATGAGGAATGAAACACCATGGAATATATATAGATATAAAAAAAAAAAAAAAAAAAAAGAGGAAAACACTGGTGAGAAAAAAAAAAAGGATTCCTTTCTTGTAAAGCCTCCTTTTTATACCGAAAATCCCGTGGCGGTTTAAAAAATGCTTTAAGGATTTGTCAAGTCGGATAAAGTTTTATTTTCACATTGTAACATTGTAACACTATGATTTTCACGTGATTGAAAAAGAGCTTAAGTGTACTACGGTAAATTGAAAGATAAAGTAATGTTTTATTATGCATTTTATATAAAAAAAAAAAAATAAATAAATCAAAACTATATTATATAACTGTCTAAAAATCTATGCATGTAAGAGAAGCCATTCTTCAGGATCTTCAACACCTACCAAGTCTGTCACCACTTCCAATAACTAAAATAATAAATATACATATTAATTGTCAAATGAGTACATCCTTTTTTTTTTTTTCTTCTTTTTGTTCTTACCGTTTGTAATTCTGTGACAAAAGCGGATCCAGTCATTAGATACGTACTATAACTTGGGAAGGATGAATCTTCTACATGAGCTCCACGAATGGCAATTCGGTTTTCCAAGATCTTGCCAAATCGCATTCTGGCTTCATTCGGTTCAATAAGGTAAGGTGGTAAAGGTGTTTTGGCTGCCAAAGTTGCCGATAAAAGTTTCAATGTTGTCATAATGGAAGCAAGCTTTCATTTTCATCCAAGATACCAAATAAAAAAAGAAAAAAAGAATTGGTTTAGATAAATGGACATATATATGATGATTCATCAAAATGTAACTTACATATTCTCGTCGTTCTTGTGCTAGAGTCATTGCAATTTCTTTTCTCCACTCCATTTTAACTTTTCGAAGTGCAAAACCCTAAAATAGATAAAAAAAAAAAAGATATTAATTCATATTTATATAATTTTGACATTTTATAAATATATATATTACCATACTATGCACAAGAGCAGCCAGATTGTCAACAGTTTCCAAAATTTGAGAATATTTTTTGACAGGAAACTTTCCACGTAACGGAGGTTCATACTTGGAATGGGCAAGAAGATTGCGTTCATCAGCTAATTGTCGTTGAATTTCCAAGGCTTTTTTGCGAAATGCTTTTTGTTGATGTGCTGTTATTTCACCAATGACTTTGGTGGATGTTACTTCGGCTGTAACAATTCCATATAATCGACCAATATCGCGAATCGTTGTAGCCAGTCGTTTTCGTAATTCAATACGTCCTTGTACTGGAGCTGGGAAAAGTAATAAGAGACCTGCTGCTGCAATACCAATCACCACCGCCAACAATCGCTAATTATAAATATCAATAAACATTAGACATCATCAACTAATTTTTTTCTTCTTCTTTTTGGCATGTAACCTACCTTTCCAGCTATTGTCCATACAGGTTCAAATGAATTACCACCTTCTAACTCTGCATTATAGGCATAAACAACCACCTGTACCCCGTAAAAAAGATGAAATTTCGTTAATAACAGAAAATAATGGATCATTTTTTCCTTCTTTCTTTCATATACTTACTAAAACCATTGTAATTTTTCCCATTAAACCAACAATACGATACATTGCACTAAAGAAAAAGATATGATATAATGGAATAAAGAGAGCAAAACAAAGTACAGCCAAACCATAAGGATTTCCTCTTGTAATTTCCCAAACAACAATTCCCAAAACAGCACCAACCACGGAACCAAGGACACGAGTATAAAGGCTACAATAATAATAACAATAATATTAAAAAAAAAAAGATGAATATATATTATGTAATCAATTCTAATGGTATGATGAATCTCGTTACCCAAAAAGGAATAGACCAGGAGTTGGGAAAATCCAAAGACATAATGTAATCAAACTCCATTGTCCTAAAAAAAAAAAAAAAAAAAAAAAAAGGAAAGACATGTTAAACATAAATATCTTGTAATTTTTTTTTTTTCATCATATTTACCTCTCCAGTTTTCGAACCATCCAGCATTTTGAGTCATCCATGAAGGAATAGCCAACAGAACCATACCAACAGCAGTTTTCAAAGCAAACGTAGTGTCAATATCCTTGAGCCAGAGAAATACCTTGTATAACCCATTAAAGAATTGTTCACTAAAGGTGGACGGAGGTGAGACATCAGGATCCATATGTAGTTTTGAAGGAAAATCATGCTGTGACGATGTAGGATTAGTAGCAGTATGATGGCGATTGCTTGTTATACTTCTTCTTCTGATAAAACCTTCTCGTCCATCTTGATCATCACTATAGGGATCATTCCGAGTCATCGTTTGTACCAAAGAGAGATTGGCAGTATCAACCATACCATTATTATCCTGTTGCCCATAATCGTAATTGTTGTTATTGTTGCTGTGTTTTTTGTTAAAAAAGGTTGGATCCACTTCGTTGTTTGAGTTGAACCATTTCTTCAAAGACATCTGAGGAAAGTATAATCTTCGTTCAGTATTGTGTTGATGAAGTATTTGTATCGAATTTGCCAGAGAATTCACTTGAGAACTGTAATCACGAATATTGTGCTGATAAAGAAACATGAGGTAAAGCGGTCCGTGCGTCTTGGATAAACCACCATGAGTCTCATTGTCCAGTTGCTCTTGTTCCATATGCGGATTCTGTTGACAAATTTGAGAATAACATTCCATTGACTTTGAGCGTTGTATTTGATCAAATTCCTCCAAAGCCTTGTTAAGTTCATCCACTGCATCATCCAATTTCTTGCCCGCTTCCTCCATATCCAATAAATGTTGACGATGACTACTTTTTCCAAAAGATGTAAATCGAGGGAATGGCCATAAGAACGTGTTGAGGGGTTGTCTTGGTCGAGGTTGAAAGCTTTTGAGACTTGATCTGCATTTTTCCAAACAGGAGACTGTTGCATTTGTCAAACGTTCACTGGTAGGTTTTATCAATGCCACAGCATCCTGATATCCATTGCGAATACGTTTAGATTCATCCATCATAGCATCGTTGTCATTTTCGGTGGCCTGTTTCAAAAGAGGATCAATTGCCAATTGGGAGAGATAATTTTTTTCCATAATAACACTAAGACCAAGACCATGAAGGCCAGGATACATATTTTTCACAATTTTAGTCAAGTTGCTGATATCAGTGCTGGATAGTTTGCTGTATATAACTTCACGTTGTACTGCCCGCTTGCAATCAATCAAAAGAAGCATAATGCCTTGAAGTCGTGACTGAAGCGAAGGTAAAGAAGATGCACCAGTGTTGGATTGTAGATTCAAAAATGCTTCCGAATTTTCCTTGACGAAGATTTCACATGTAGATAAAGTGGATTGGAGTACTTGCATATAGTTCGCCACACTATCATCAGGCCATAAAAAATAATTGACGGCAAGAGCAACCGCTCCAGCTGTAGCGATTGGACGAAGGAAGAGCCACTATACCATAAGAAAAAAAAAATCAATATTATTTTCCATAAAAGAATAGTATTTCATTCTACTTACTGTTAGTTCTGCAGCAAAGATAGGTACAGCAGCACCTTCAGTCATAGTAAACTACATATATATTAATGAAATAAAAGTTCAGTCAATTTGTTTATATATAAGTAAGGTGAATTTTACCGCCAAGAGAATACAAGCGTTGACACAGGCAAAATTAGCTATATAAAAAAAAAAAAAAAAAAAACAAAAATAGTCGAATACATAAGGAGCCTGTACAATCTATTGATATTTCAATGAATATTTTTTTTTTTCACCTTTATGAAACTTCATACGGACATAATTGAGGATAAAGGTACCAAAGAACAAAAAAACAGCCAAGATAGCAGAGGGACCTGGTTGAATTGGATTCTTATTCGTATGATCTCTTGCCAGATTGGCCAAATAAGTCCCTGAAAAGATGGATCATGAGTCATTTATTCTTTTTTTTTTTTTATCATAGTTTGATTTTTCTTACCAAGTAAACTATATAAACCACTGATCAAAGCACCAAAAGTACCTAAGTAATACAAAAATAATAATAGGTAAATATTTAAAAGTATATTTCATATTTTTTTTTTTTTTTTTTTTTTTTTTTTTTTTTTTTTTTACCATAAATGACAGCCTGTCATATCCAGCATGAGAGTATGGAAAAAAAAATAATAATAAAAAAGGTATTGAGATCAGTTATCAGCCAAACATAACATCCAACTTTTTCTTTTTATACATGCTTACCTCCGTTTGTACCCCTAAATATATGTATATGTTATTATATGCGTGACAAAAAAAAAAAGGGTCAAATCAAATCAATAAATAAATAAAAAAAAAAAAGAGGGGAATTCTTTACCATAAGTTCGGACAGGAAAGTAAAATATAATAACAATGGGAACCAATAAAACAGTTTGACCAATAACAGATCTTGTATGTAAATCCAAAGCCATAACTAGTCCAATTAGTAAAGCAATGGATGCTTTGAGGTCTTTACGAAGTTGACCAGCATTCGGAAACCATGATAAGTAACGTTGTTGAAATGTTGTACAAGTTGAAGCATCACTGCTTGAAGTTTGTCTGTTAAATGCAGTCGTTGATTCTTTGTCAGTTTCTTTTGACATGAAGGTCAAAAAATGTCGTGTCAATGTCAACGAGTTTAATTGGGGGGAAGAAAAAGAAGAAAAGAAGAAAAGAACAATAAAAAAAAAAAAAAACTGAAACCCGTCCTAAAAAAGAAAAAATGTTGAACCGGAGTTATCAATGCCTTAATTCAAACTTTCAAAGCTACAAATCAAGTAAAAAGTACTTATTCAGCATTATTAATTTGATCGATCATATTGTCGGATACATAATAATGAAGGAAATCAAAAAAAAAAAAAAAAGACGCACTTATATAATATATATATTAAAAACATTTGTTTATTCAATAAAATAAAAGAACTAATAATATACAGATTATAATTTTGATTGTATTTCTTGTTGTTCTTGCTCCTTTTTGACCCATTCTTTGATTTCGCGTCGTAAAAGTTTTCCAGAATTACTTTTTGGAATAGCATCCACGAAGCGTATACCACCACGTAACTTTTTGTGACTTACTACCTTGCTACTAATATAATCAGACAATTCTTTGGCTAAACTTTTACTTGGTTTGACTGATGGTTGAAGAACAACATATGCTCTTGGAAGTTCAGTCGCTTGTCCTGCATCATATACACCAATTACACAACAATCAGCTACCAATTCATGACCTACTAACAATGATTCCAATTCTTTTTTTTTTTTTAAAAAAAAAAGATAAGGTTATTATCAAATAATTCATTTTATAATATATATATATCTTTTACCAGCTGGAGCTACTTGAAATCCTTTATATTTGATGAGTTCCTTAATACGATCCACAATATAAAATTCCTTGGTCTTGCTATCATATTTAGCAATATCTCCAGTACGCATAAATCCATCAGCAGTAAATATTTCTTCATTGGCTTTTGGGTTGTTAATATATCCTTTCATTTGGAAAGGTCCTTTGAGTAATAATTCACCAGGTTCATCATCACCCATTTCTAAATTAAAATAAAATAAAATGAGTTCATCTATTAACATTTAATACTCTAATACTTACCATTGCCATCCGCATCAACTAATTTGACTTGAGCATGAGATACAAGTCTACCAGTAGCACCCACATCACCTGATCTAATTGATTGGTAAATAAATCCACTACAACTTTCACTGAGACCATAACTAATAATATTTTTTTTTTTTTTTTTTTTTTTAGGAAAAAAAAGTGAATGAATATTTCGTTGAATCATCTATGTTTTTATATTTGATTACCCTTGACGCACAGGAATCTTGATTCGTTTGTAAAGCTGTTCGATATGTTCTTTACCAAGAGGAGCACCACCAGAGGTAACCATACGTAAAGAACTAAGATCATACTTGGGAACAATAGGAGATTTGGCCAATAGTACTGCAATAGGAGGGACTAGAGTTGCTACTGTCACTTTATACTTTTCAATCAATTGACAATATCGTTCCAAATCAAATTTAGCCATCACAATCACTGGATTCATAGCATACATAGATCGTAGAATCAAGGTCGTCAATCCAAATATATGATAAAATGGTAAAAATGCAAGCATAATATCTATTTCACCTATAGCACCGTCTTCTTTTTCAAAGGTCATGACTGATAATACTTGAGAAACAAAATTCGAATGGCTTAAACAAACACCTTTGGCCACTCCAGTTGTACCACTATATAACATGACGAGTTGAATAAAGATAATAATATGATTTTTTTTTTTTTTTACCTTGAGAACATGATAAAAGCTAGATCGTTTTCAGGATCGATAGAGTTATCAGGAAAGGCTATTTCATGATTAGAAGAGATTTGACTCAAACATAGAGCATGTTCCACTTGTTGTTCACCAAATACAAAAATACGATCTTTAGGAATGTTATTTCTGGAAGCCACCTTGGTTAATACTGGTATGAGAGAAGGTATGGTAACAATGGTTGTAGCACCAGCTGTGTGAACTTGATGGTGAAATTCATCTATTAAAGAATCATTAACATGTGAATTCATGTTTATATATATTTTTTTTTTTTCATTAGTTTGTTCAAATATATTCAATACCTTCAGTGTAATTAGGATTACTAGTAAATTTTTTTTTTATACAAAAAAAAAAAAAAAAAAAGAAAAAGAAAAAGAAAAAAGAGATAAATATTTTGCTTTTTTGTTTGATATATATATATATATATATATATATATTACCCAGGGGTGATTGTGCAACCAGCGGCCAAAAGAGAGAAATACAAAATAGCATGATCGAATTGATTAGGGGCAAAAACAGCCACAATTTCACCTTTTGTTAATCCAACATTTTCTTTCCATCCAGAAGCCAATTTTCGAGAAAGAGAATTTACTTGTGCATAAGAGAATGATTTTCCAGATTCAGCATCAATCACAACCTTACGATCATGAGATAATTTAGTATTTTGATCATTAGGACTAAATAAAAAAGAGAAGAGATCTAAACGAGATATGTCAACTGGATGACAAGTCGATTTATAAATAACCATTCTAATGGAAATAATAAAAAGAGAAAAGAAAAAAAATGTGGGGTAAAATAAGAAAAAAAAAAACAAAAGAGTATTTAACGAAACAAACAAGTAACCGTTCCTGAAGATTTTTTTTTAGTAATGGCAAAAGCTGATGTTGAAATCTATGAATATGATTGGTAGATGGAGAATCCTTTTTCCCTATTCACACTCTTCTTTTCCCCATCTTTTTTTTTTTTTTTTCCCTCCAAAATGAACTTGGTCCAACCTAATCATTTATCATTTTCTTTTTTTTTATCTATCTCAATAACAATCATGAAAAGAGAATATATAAAAAAAAGTAGTAATTATAAGTTTGTCAAACTAAAAATATATAACAATTTAACGTTCGTATACCTATTTTTCTTTTCTCTATCGAGTAATACTATTAAAGTGATGTATCATTTCACTCATCATCAAATAATTTATCATCCAAAATATAATCTTTATACTATCTGATTTTTGGAACAAAAAACCTCATGGTATTAGAAGGGTTAATATTTTAAATATTTAAAGGAAAATCAAGAGTTGTCAATGTCAATTTCCAGCACCGATGGTAAGCAACAATTTTTTTTTTTTTTTTTTTTTTGGCTCCAGTTCTTTTTTTCTTTTTTCTTTCTTTTTTTTTTTTTTCTTTACTATACCCATTTTACAAATGTCGAAATCTATTATAAGTAGTACTGCTAGTACCATTACTCCAACACGAGCATTTTTCCGGGTAAATCAAGAACTTTCTACTCTGGCTCAAAGTAGACAAGTCTTCAAGGCTCTAGGTGAATATGGTGATTTAGTTGAATATAAAGTATTAAGAGTAAGTATATGATTTTTTTTTTTCGCCTTATTATTTGGAATATTCACATTACCTTTTTTTTTTTTTTTTTTTTTTTTTCCTTCTTCAAATCAATTTCTATTCGTTTTGTACTAGTGCCCAGAAACATTCAAGATGTTACGATACGGATTTGTTGTCTTCAAACACCAACAGGATGCGAAAAAGGCCTTCAACGATCAATTCATCAAGATCACCTTGGATCAGTTTGATCAACCTTGCGAAATCAAAGTCGAAGCTCCTACCAAACGTACATCATGATCTCTATCCCCCATTCTCTCTACACATACATCTTTTTTATCACCATCTATACATAGTTACGTTTTTCTCTTTATACCTTTCAATATATGATTATTGAAGTTATTATTGTATATTATATATTATTATTTTTATTGTTATTATTAGTCTGGTTACATCTTATCTTTTCTATTCCAAATACAAAATAAACATACATATACATATTCTATGGCGATGATGATTACTCTATTATAGTGAAATATATAGGAAGGTACTTATCGTTCTTCCCAATTTGGATAATAATTTTAGGCTCTGTTGGAAATATACAAAATAAAAATGATCAATGGTTTATTTGATAAGATAGATAAAATAGTATCATTTACAAAGGTAATAGGAAATAATGATTAATAAAAAAAAATAATAGGTAAGTAATAATAATAATGAAATCTAATATAAGTCTAAATAAAAGGGAATAAGGGAGACGTATTTGAATAATGAAGGGAATGGTATATAAAATAAAATAAAAAAGATCTAAAAAATGTTATGTAAAAATGATGATATACTATACATATAAATAAACAATAAGGGTAGATGATGATAAATAAAAAAAAAAAACTTTACATCAAGATGTAACTGATAATGACGATAGGTACAATCATATAAGACACAACAAACGCACCAACAGAAGAAGCATCACTACTGCTTACGTGAAGTGGTTGACCGTTAGGACCCAAAATACTGATACTAGCCACGGCTGAGTAACCGGCATTGTTGGCAGAAGCAGTGAAGGAAGGTTGAGCTTGTTGATTGGCATTACTTGTGATATAAAAAGGAGCAGAATACTTGATTGGATCAGAACCATGAGAAATAGCCACACGCCAAGCATCAGTAGAGTTAGCAAGAGAAGAAGGGATAGGATATACTACAGTACCAAGAGATCCACTGACGTTTTCAGCAATCACAATACTGTTAGAAGATAAAGATGCATCAGCTCCAGCAACAAGACCAATATTGATAGGAGAGTTATCTGGACCCTTGTTCCATATAATCACCGCACTAAAGAAAAAAAAATGTTAATATGATTCAATGACTTTTTTTTTTTTTTTTTTTTATAAACATACTTTTGATTCACTTGTAAAGTGGCATTAGCAGCAGGAGAGATGATATCGTATGGAGTGGTGTCATCACGCTTTTCCATTGGCAAAGCATTGATCAAAGAAGAAGTTGCCAAGGCAACAATAGTGAAAAAAGCAGTGTTGAATTTCATGATAAAGAGATTGATTTATAAGAGTAGATGATTGAATTGACTAAAGAAAGAAAAAAAAAAGTCCAAATCGATTTTTTTCTTTTATACCTTTTCGATGATACCATTTTAACTTTTTTTTTTAATTTAAAAAAAAAAAGATTTTACCAATTTTTTATTTTTTTAACATATGAATGTTGTCAATACAAGTAAAGTGCCGATGCACTCCGTCCCTGTCAAGGTTACACTATTTCGCTTAGTGAGATTTCACATGGGCAACTTCATTGACCTTATTTTCGTTTCTTTTTACCCGATTCTTTCCAAATCCACCGGGATGATTCTCTGGCGTGGTTTTGTACCAAATACGGGTAAAAGTTATACAACATCGGCAATGAGAAGATTGATCAATAGTCAGCCATTATGATGATCATTTCAAATCAAATCAAAATTAAAAATCATCAGCACTCTTTTTTTTTTTTTTTTTTTTTTGATTTAATAAATGAGTGATTTCTTCAGATCATAGATTTTTGTAGAGTATATGCAATTCATCTATAATATTATATAACGAAAATGCATGCCTTTTCCGATGATGGTGATGATTGTGTCTTTATCTTTCCTTTTACGTCCAAAAAAAAAAAAAGAATGACTCGATAACTGTTTCCGAGGACACTGATCTATCCTAATGTAGTAAAAAAAAGTCTTTTCTTCCTGTTTTTGGCGAGGACGAGGATGGGATCTTTTTCGAGTTTTCGAATGCCGATGTCGTTTTCGATGATGAGTGTACTTAAACATTCTGTGAAATGAACAGAAAAGCGAATGATTTTTTTTTTCCTCCTTTATACTAGAACATGATGTTATCTTTTTTTTTTTATTCACATATTTAGATGATGATAATCAAAGACATGTATCGAATATCATATTCGTTTCCTTGTGAATGATGCAAAGCAAACTCAATTCCTCCAAGGTAGTGGAACAATAAACTTATTAGAAGATTAATAAACCATGCATTCAACTTTATTTTATCTTTTTTTTTTTCTATGAATGAGAATGACGATGATGGTGTTACCATCTGCATGAATCATCCAAAGTTACTTTGATGAATCCCAAAAAGTGGTTTTTCCCTGTCTGCCAGAGTTTTCCATAGTTCATAGGAAACATCTCGAACAAAACATTGATTCCCCGCCGATAGCATTTTTTCCAATCTTTTTTTTTTTCTTTTTCTTTCTTTCTTTAATCATTGAATAAAAATAAAGATACCACCAATATGACTGACGAAACAAAGAAATACGATGACATGACACCAGAAGAACGAGAGGTTCAAGACAAGTTGGAAAAGGCAAAAGAAGATGCTGAACAGGCTACTCTTCCTTATACGTAAGTATAAAAACCAAACAAACAAATAACACCAAAAAACTTGGATCGTTTGGCTCACTCTCTATCATTCTTTCACTATGTTAATACTTTATTTGATGTTGTAGTTGGAAACAAACTTTACAAGATGTGAACGTTACCGTCCCAGTGCCAAAAGGAACGAGAGGCCGCGATCTTGATATTGTATTGAAGAAGAAATACATCAAGGTCGCATTGAAGGGTCAACCAGCTATTCTAGAGGTAAGAAAGAAAGAAGAAAAGAAGGAAGATTTACGCGATATATGATGATAGAAATAAATGAATGTATTGAGTAGGCAAACTCACTTTATATATTATATTGAATAGGGTGAACTATGTAAGGAAATCAAGGTGGATGACAGTACATGGTCATTGGAAGATCAAAAACAAGTAGAAATCCATTTGGAAAAAAGCAATCAAATGACTTGGTGGGAAAATGTCGAGACCTCTGCTCCAAAAATTAATACAAAGAAGATCCAACCTGAAAATTCGAAATTGGAAGATTTGGATGGAGAAACGCGTGCTATGGTGGAAAAAATGATGGTAAGAATAGGTCTCTTGTATTGAAATGAATGATTCATCTTTTTTTTTTTTTTTTTTTTTTTTTTTTTTTTTTAGTTCGATCAACGTCAAAAAGCAATGAATAAGCCTGATAGCGATACTTTACGAAAACAAGAAATGCTAGAAAAATTCAAGAAACAACACCCTGAAATGGATGTAAGTCGTAGTAAAATAAAAAAAGTAAAATCAGATGATCGAGAACTAACTTTTTTTTCATTTTTTTGATATATATACTCATAGTTTAGCAAGGTGAAGATGGATCAATGAATAAGTCGGTAATAGTATAGTGGATCTAGTCAAACTAGTTTTAGTTCTATTTAGTGATTGTAATAAAGAAAGAAACTTGCATTTATTTATTATTTGACAATATATGAAATGATATATGTGCTAATGGTATGATATGAGATGGATAATCAATAGTAGAAATTATTCATGACAAGAAAGTATAAATGATATTTTTATTATGAGACAATGGGTAAAAAAAAAAAAAAGATAATATGGAACAAAATAGAAACTATAAAACAGATCAAATGATAAATGGTAAATAAGAAGTATGTGTTTGAATATAAGTGTATAATATGGTAAAAATCAATATTGATATAAAAAAAAAAGGTAATAATGATAAGATAACAATGAGTAAAACTATGATTCATTAAAGTATGGATGTGACTAAAAAAAAAAAAAAAGAAAAGGAAGAGAATATGAGTAAAGTTGAACTTATCATCCATACATATGCTGAAGTATAGAACTTACCAATAATTGCGAGGCACTACCACGTTTGACAGGGTCTCGACTTAATAACATTTTGATTAATTGGCGAGAATGGGCGTTTCTGACTTGTCGATCCAAGTGAGGGATCTCCAGTTCTTTTTGATCATTCCATCGTAAACCATTATTGAGAATAGGCGTAGAAGAAGAAGGATGAGAGACAAAGTGTAAAATAGTTTCATCTTTGATGCTTGTGGCGAAGAGAGGACGCTTCGTTTCTAATTCATATAATACACATCCAAGCGCCCAAAGATCTACACTTGCTGTAGCAACCACTCCATTTGCGCCTTCTAAACCATAAGTAGTAGCACGCGCTACTTCAGGGGGACAGTATCGAGGGGTAATCACGCCAACACATTCTTCTCCAATGGTGCGACTAGCTTCAAAATCAATCAATTTCCAAGGTTCATCCATGTTGTGCATGATGTTGCTGGGCTTCAAATCACAGAAAGCAATCCCTGAAAATCAGTAAAAAAAAAAAAAAAAAAAGTGTGGTTAGAAAAAGAAATTATCTGTACGCCATGCTGTTTTTTGTAGTGATGAATACTAACCTTTTTCGTGACACCAAATCAAACATTCGGTAATGTCCCGAGCTATGGAAATAGTATGTTGATCAGACCAAATAGGATTAGTAGTAGATACTGGTGATTGTTTGGATTGATCTGTAGATGAAGGCCTTGCTCGTCGAATTGCGGTAGATAATGTTTCATCGAGTCGTTCCATGACAGTGACATATTTGATATGATAATCATCATCTCCATCTTCCTGTTTATTTGGTATCTGTCCAGAAAGCGATAATGACTGTTGTTGTTGTTGTTCTGGTGTTGTATCCAAAGATGGTGGCATCGTCATAGGTGTTGATTGATGACTTTCGTCCTGGATCGTCAGTACTTCCAATAATGTAACCACATGGTGAGATTTGAGCTTCATCAGAGTACGACATTCCCGTTCCCACGCTTCACGGCGGCCAAATGACTTGACAACTACGTTAGACTTGACAGCATCCTGATTATCAGTTTTGTAGACAAATAGAATACCGTTGGTCGGGCCGATTACAGGAGGTTTTGATTTGTCCAATTTGTAACGTCGAGGAAGCATACCGGAAATGGATAAATGTTGTGAATTTCGTATACTACTAATACTGACATTGTTGCTGGTATTCTTGTTACTATTGCTGGTATCATCAACTGTACTACCACTGGTATCATTTTCCATAGTACTGGTAAGGGTGGATGAGGATTGCGAGATTTCAGCAGCAGCAGGAGGAGGAGAAGGAGTAGGAGAAGAAGAAGGATTTGCTGGAGTATTAACAGGAGATGTTGGAGTTGATGATGGTATCACATTGTTGGGTGGAATCATTGTCTTGTTGTTGTCATCGGACAATGAGTTTGGGAAATAATCAGCTGTACGTTCTTCATGTAAAATTCCATTTGCTTGTCCCAAAGTTGCCAGTCGATCCAATGGACTAACAGAGTCATAAATACCGTTCTCTTCATGATGATGATGATGATGATGACTGATAGGTCGAAAACTATGGATAGATAAACGTGCACCAGTGCCGGTCGTGTCATTGAGAGCTTGAGGTGAGATGGGTTGAGCGACTGGAACACTTGATGATGGGTATTGATGATGTGTAAGTGGAACAGCCGTATTTGTGTGAACTTGTGATGGCGCACTGTTGGTAACTGTAGTTGCAATACTGAATTGTTTACTGGCGCCTGGGATATATTGAATGGGAACCGTATTGTTGTCATCACGTAGAGAAAAAGAGTCATCTTCATCGTCGTTTTCTTGTATATCGCTAGGCAAATTATTATTGTTGTTATTAATGTTGTCATGGTCGTTACGAGATGCATATGCATGTGTCACTTTGATATTTCGTGATCCGAGTGCGCTACTTCCATTCGTTTTTATGCTTCGTAAAACTTCCATACTGCTACTGAGAGGTGCACCATCGGATGTAACGGTTGATAAGTTGGTAGAAGGTGTATAATGGTCAATAGGTATACTATTGTTACTATTGTTGTGAGCTGCAAACTGAGATGCCGGCATTGAGAATTCATTGGGTTTCTGTAAAACGTATTCGTTGGGTATTTGTCCAGGTCCATCCAAATCGTGTGCCAATAGCTGTTTGCTTGCTGCAAGTGAGTTTCTTGAGCCACGCAGATAACTAGCGATATCATAATGAGAGTCGGTTGGTGAAGACATCATTTCCATAACAGAAGAGGGAACATCACCATTATCAGATTGTCGAGCATAAGAGTTACGAGTACTTGTAGTCCCCGTTTTGGAAGTCCATGCCTTGGAAACGCGTTTATGACTGTAAGGGGTCATCAAGTTGGCATCCGAATGAGCAGGATCGCTTAGTGAATAAGTTCGATAGTCGTCTTCGTAACCTCCATCGTTGCCACCACCAGCAGCTGTATTTCCATATCTCCAATAATAATCGTCCTGACTTTGATCGTCCATATCCTTTTCCATAGCCTCTTTTTCGATTTGCTGTTGTCGTTTTCGTCGTCGGATAAAAAAGAAAGCTGCCAGAGCAATAGCACATAAACCAACTACGCCACCAACCACACCACCTGCAATGGCACCAACAGGAGTGGATGAGCTAGTACCAGAGCTAGGTTGATTTGAAGAAGAAGAAGAAGAAGAAGACATGCCTGTTGATGGTACGCTTGACCAACTTGATTTTTCAATATCGAGTATATACATATTTTGATCCTCATTTCCTTGACCAGTCCATCCACCATAGATATAAATTCGTCTCCGAGTAGAGTCCAATACGGCTGTGTGACCCATGCGTGCACCGGGACCTTGACTTGCGTTTGCCATACTTTGACGTAGCCAAGTAAGTGTTGGATATTGAGATGCATCGAGAACCCAGACATCCGAATCTGAAGGAGTTGTGGTACCTCCACCGTAGACTAACATTCTATCTTGAAGACAAGTTGCGGTGTGTAAACGTCGAGGACCGGGTATAGCACCATTGACAGAACCAGGATTGACTTGAAGATTCCATGAACGAGTACCAAGATCGTAAGTATAAACAGACCTAGATGGTTGATCTGGATTTCCAGTTTGAGATCCACCAAAAGTAACCAAACAGTTGCAAGACGGAATATAACAAGTTGAATGATCAGTGACAGCTGGACCATTTGAACCCGAACTCCAAAGAAAAGAATTGGCATCCAAGAACCAAAGACTATTGAGTACAGCACCTGACATACGATTTCCATTGGCATCTACAGAGACACCACCATAAGTGAAGATAGTATTATTGATAAGAGCCATTGTATAACCGGAAGCTGGAGGAGGTTGATCTATATAATTAATAAATAATAAATAATAAATAAATAAATAAACAAGAAAAAAAATAAAATAAAAATAAAAAAGAAAAAAATATTGGAAGAACAATAATAATCTTTCTTTCTTTTTTTTTTTTTTTTTTTTTTTTTTTGGTTGACCTTACTTGTTGAACTAGGACTATTCCAATTCCAAACTGTAGTATCTAATTTTTGAAGTAAAGAACCACCACCAGTAGTATTACTTGCAAGAGCTAAAACTTGTCCAGTACTAGGTAAGTTAATAGCTTGAAAAAAGACTTGAGAACTGAAAGCCACATTGTTTGATAAAGCTTGAGCATCATACCAAGTACCGTTTTGTGAATTCCAAATCCAAAGTGACTTTGTACCTTGAACATTTGTATTATTTCCAGTAATGTCAGTGGTACCACCATATATGATAACATAAGGGTCTTGAAATACTTTAATAAGAATAAATTATTTTTTGAAAAGTTGAGTTTCAAGATAAGTAATATTATTATTATTATTATTATTATTATTAAAGTTACCTGCAGCTTGACCAGCTTTCCAAGGAACATCAGTTGCGATAGTACCGGGGGTAATACCTTGAGCAGTTATATAGGAAAAGCATTGTAATATATAAAATAAAGTTGTTATGACAATCCAAAGACAAGTCATTGAAATGTATAACGAGTACAACTATATCTAAGATAGATGAATGTTGTAATTTTGAAAAAAGAGAGGGAGAATGAAAGAGGAAAAAAAAAAAAAAAAAAAAAAAAAAAAAGAAAAAAAGAGAGAGAAAGAGTTCTCCCTGTTTTTTCTTTTTTTGAAGATGTTATCGGGATATGAAATCAATACAAAATTGGATGATATGAGAAGAGTAAAAATGAGACAATGAATGAAAATGACCATTAGTTTATTATACATTTCCTTTTTACTATTATCATTATAAGAAATAGTCTATTTTTTCCATTGATGAAAAAATTAATTTTACTTTTTGTTAGAAAGATTAACAATAATAATAATAATAATAATAAAAGAGTGAATACACAATAAGCATAGTTTAAAGTTTTTCCAAATGTTTATTTTTATACATCATAACCAAACATATCCACATTTTAAAAAAGAAGATCCCTCTTTTTCCCTAAAGTCTAATGTGACATCAAACATTGCTTTACTCTTTTTGATTGGATAAGGACATATCCCGTTCATGTTGTACACACACACACACACATATATATATATATATATAGCATATATTATATATAAATTTTCCAACCCTTTTATTGTCCCATTTTTTTTTTTATTTTTTATCAATTGATATCAGTTGATTGCTAACTAAACTAAACTAAACTATATATATATATATATATACTCTCTATCCTTCACCATCATCATCATTGTCGGAGAATCCATCAAATCCATTTGTCATGATATCCTTGAATTTGTTGTCAGAACTGTCATCTTCATAAAAAGCCATTTCTTTTGCTTCATCTTCTTCTGCTGTATTGTCTAAGGAATTCCATGTGATGGCGTCAATTAATTTTATCACACCATTATCTTGCTGCTTCTTCTTTCTTGGTATGTCACTAGTCGTTTTGTTCCTGAATGCTGTGTACTTCTTCATATCATCATTGATCAATGTCTTGTTACCGGAAGATAACGGGATTGACGAACGATTGGATGTATTCTCTATAATTGAAGGCTTTATATCTACGACTGATGGTAAAGGCAGATGTTTCCTGATCTTCTCATCGCGCATTTGGTTGTCTGGCAGTAGGGTATGCTTGCTTGCTGTTGATGGTAGTCGTTTTGACTGATCATGATGATATTGGTTGGTATAATACGGTAATTCAATATCCTCTTCTTGTTTCTTGAATCTTTTTCTAACAGTATTTGTGATAGGAAGTCGCTTTTTGTTTTGAGAATGAAGATTTTTCAAGCCATTGTCAGTTGGTAGTGATGCTGACGGGTTATTAAACTTAACCGTATTTCGAATAGTGCTATTGAAGGTGGGATGACTGTAAGAATGCCGTTCTGATGGTTTCAATGATGACCTTTTGTAATATGGATAAGTTGAAGTAGTGTCCAATGCAACCGATGGTACTGTAGATGCTTTACTAGAGGTAGGAAAGGATGAGTAAGGTAGAGAACGGCGAATTAACGGTGAAAACTTGATTTCAGCATTGGTGTTGTGTTGCAAAATGGCTCTAGAACGTTCATTCATTCACTATTGAGTGTATATATATATTTTTGTAATACTTCGCAACGTTCCGGATAAAGAAAGTGTTAAAAAGAGAAACGAAGAAGAAAGATAAAAAAAAAAAAAAAAAAAAAAAAAAAAACAAAAAAGCAGCTTTTTCGTAATCCGACTGATCGCCTGCAAAAAAAAAAAAAAAGGTTTGGTTTGATAATACAATTTTATTTCATATTTCGATAGAGATACTAAATGATAAATAATCATACTAATACTAAAGATGGTAATGATGATGATGAATTAATATAAAGTAAATGTGATATGGCTAACTGTAACTAAAGGAAAAAAAAAACCTACAAGGGGATGGTTCAATCTGATGCAGTTGTCGTTTGGTTGGAAGGAACCATCAATTCAATACCACTATACAATAATCGTCTGGGCCGTCGCCTTGATCTCTGGAAAGAAGAGGTGGTTGCATAGCGTTTAATACCAATATGTTGAATGTCAGTATGTTGAGAGTCATTTGCCATAATAGGTTGTCGTTGGGTGGTGTCTGTTGATAATTGATAAATATCTTCCGGTCTAGTTTCATTGTTGATATCAGGTGAGTAGTTTTTGATAGAATCTTTTGATGATGAAGAACTATCACCAGGTTGTTCTTGAGAATATAAGAGAATACGACGTTGATTTGTTGATACAAATGGAATATCATGACTCATCGGTCGTTTTCTATCGTTGTTGGTACTATCTTCCAAATATCTTGATAGATGTGTTATTTTCTTGTGTTTTGTTCGTGGTTTGGGTATAATGAGGCGGTCAGTTGCAAATGAATTCCTTTCTACATTTTGTGTATGTTCTTCTATGTCATCTAGCCAGTCAAGAACACGTTGATTGTCGGTATTTGATGAAGATAGTTGTTGTTGTGGTGTTTGTTTTAAGGATGAATCTAAAAGCGATTGTTCTTGTTGTTCCGTTAGTTTTATCGATTTTTCAGTATATTGATTCCTGGGTATACGAATAGGTTTCCAGTGCCATTTGTGTCCACAGTCGTTACATACCCTAAAGTGAAATAATGAAATAAATCAATATACTTATTTTTTTTTTAAACAGAATAAAAACTAAAAGTGATTGCTTACGCTTTTTTTGTAGTTCGAGTAGCACCTAAAAAATCGACATCTTCACTGTGGCATTTCTTGCAAGAAAAAGAGAATTTAGCTTCTGCTTGTTCCTGTTCTTTATTCAAAATATCATAAGAATAAGGAAACTGACGAATCATTCTTCTTGTTGAAAAAAAGAAAAAGATAGAGAAGAGCAAAAAGTAAAAGAATGAAAAATATTCCAGTCGGTGCTTTAATACAGACATGACAGACGAGGGTACAAAAAGGAGTATACGAATATGACAATGACAAATAGTTTGTTAGATTTACTTGTTTGTATTATTGATATACAAAAAAAAAAAAAAAAAGAAACATGATAATACAAAGAATCAGTATGATTTGATTTGATAATATTTATAAATGATATAACGAGATTCCATCAGAAAAAAGAAAAAAGTTGTCTGCATCTCCGCTTTTGACATTTTTGAAAGCATTTCTCCCTTTTTTTTTCCATTTCTTTCTCTTTCTTTCAGTTTTATTTATTTATTCCTCTTTTACTGCTCTATTATAGAGCTTTACGTGTTTTTACTATAACAATAAGACATGTTTTTTGAAGCATCATATTTACCTTCACCTCAATTCTCAAGTACAAGCCAAGGTAAAAAAAAAAAAAGAAAAGGTATTATCTTATCATACAACAAAGAAATTCACTTTTTTTATATATAGATGATTCGACTATTCCAGAAAGTTTATCTCCAACTGAAGACACCTTACCACCTCCTCAAGTTGACTCCTCATCGGAAGAAACGACTGTGAATCACCTAGTCTTTGTGATACATGTAGGTCATGTTAATAAATAAAAAAAGTAGCTTCTCAGTATTAATGTCAATTTTTATTTTCAATTAATGACTAGGGAATTGGACAAGTAAAAAAAGATATAGTTTTGAATTTTTATTATGAATCACTGACTTGTATTTTGGTTGATAGCAAACGGAACAGTATGGTCATTTTTATGAACATGGTAAGTGTTGAATGATAATAAAATTTCTTTGATAATATTTATTTACTATTTTTTTTAGTTGAAAGCTTACAAGAAACAACTCGTCAAGTACTTCAAGCCAAGGTACCCGACCATAATGTTCGAATTGAATTGATTCCTATCGAATGGCATAGACATATCCATGATCAAGTTGACCCTATATTGAACCGGATTACCCTCAAATCGATACCCACCATACGATTAATTGAAAATGATTATCTTGCAGATGTCCTCTTTTATTTTTCCAAGGATCGGGGTCAATCTATCATTGACAATGTGACTCATCTCTTCAACACATCTTATCACAATTTTATGGAAAAACATCCTGACTTTAATGGAAAAATCGTTATTTTGGGATACTCGTAAGTTAAAAAAAAAAAAAAGATATGACATTTGACCTTTTCTCCAATGCTTTTTTTTTCTCTCTCTCTCTCTCTCTTTTATTAGATTGGGTGGAATTCTTACTTGGGATATTTTATCACATCAAAGACAACCAAACTCCAAAGAAGAAGAACAAGATTACCGCAAGCTTGACGTTATCTATGGGAAATTGGATTTCAAACCAAATTATTTTTTTACATTGGGATCCCCTATCGGCGCAGTTTTGACTTTCAGAAATCAGTCTCCTGTTACATATCATCCTGATCATGGTATCATCTTTGAAAATGTGTTTCATCCTTTTGATCCTCTGGTATGTTTTTCAATAGATTGAAGTGATACCACTGACATATGACTAAAATTCTCTTGAATTTTTATTTTTAGGCTTATCGAATAGAACCACTTTATGATGATTATTACATTGATCAACCAGCTGTACTTGTCGAACGATCTGTTCCTTTTGGTCCATCCTTCTCTTTTCCTTCCTTACCTTCTCTACCTGGTTTGAATTTATTCTCTTACTTTTCATGGAAAATGTCGTCATCATCGTCTAATACCAACAACGATAACATGACCTCTGAAATGTCAACAATGGAGGCAACATCTATCGAATGCAACAGCACAAACGCTCCGGAAAATGACAATCATCTCTTCAAGAATAAACATTTATCTGCACCATGTTTACGATCATCCGATTTTGTCTCAGATACTATTGAAGATCTCCAGCATCGCGATTTAGGAGATGAATCAGGAAAAGGTAGCATCATGAACTCTCTTTTACAATATTTTGGAAAAGGACAACGCGGAAGCAAAGACAGCATTTTGGATATGATGGCAGGATATAAGACCAATAGCACGACATCACCATCGAATGCAGCAACTACATGTGATATTGGTGAACAAGATCGAACATTGTTAGTAGAAGAAAATGCACAAGGTATTATCACATGGGATCCACTTCAAGAACAACGACGAGCCGTGATATCAACCGATAAAGGAGTACAGAAACCAGCACTTTGGGACTCATTGATAGCACATACAAATGAAAATGGAAACAACAAGAGTGGCAACAATGATAACGATCACAAGACTAATGATGATGATGATGATAGGAATAATCGTATTAATGACCATTCTTTGATGAGTGCATCGTCTTCTTCTTCAACAAACTATAGTGGTCGCCGACAACCATTACAACGTGCTAAAACCTATTGTGCTCAGGGGACTATCAATGACACCACTGAATCCATGCTTTTCTATGAATTTGGCAAAGGAATGACAACAACTGGGCGATATAAACAAGAGAATAACACCACAGATTATACCAATGAAATGAACAATAGTGACAACAACACAACAACAGTATCACCAAGCACAAAACTTCGTCACCTTGTGGAAGTTCTAGGGATTGATGGTGTACGTATGGAGTCATTCGAACGAGCCAAAACTAATTTTCAACGTAATTCGAACAAATCATCAGTACCACAGCAACCACAGGATCATCAGGAATCAAAAAGGTCAACTAATAACAACAGCAATGAAAATCGAGTGGACGGATTTGAAGATGTCTCAAGTGTTGCAGAACAAGTGAAAGACGGTGTACATGAGGATGTTACAACATTTAATACCATTTCGGTTGATACCACTAACGATCGATCATCAACCAATATAGAAACGGACAAGGATGTACAAGAACAAGATGAAGAAAAGGAAGACCAAAGTAAATCCGACAAAGGTTCTAATGAACAACAACAACAACAAGAGGAAGCACGAGCACAAGAAGCACTTAAACATTTACCTGGGAATCGACGAATGGATTTTGCATTACAACCTGATGGATTTATGAGCATGATTGCGAACGAATATATTGTTGGATTACGAGCCCATTTCTCTTATTGGACAAGCAAGGATTTGATGGTAAAAAAAAAAAAAATAAAAAAAAAATAAAACAAAAAGGATGTTCGGTATATCCTATATTTGTATTATACAATGAAACTAATCCTTTTTATATGCATACATCTCGTCTTTTCTTTAGTGGCACATTTTACAAACATTGGAAAAGTAATGGGGCTTTTATTTTGGACATGACAATCATATGTAAGCAAAAGAGAAGTTGTTATTTATAATAGACCTATTAGTTTATTTTATACCTTTTGTTTTTGATTTAGTATAGAAACATTTTTTTTTATTACTTTGTATTATCTTATTGTTTGATGAATAAAAAAAAAAAAAAAGAGATATACATATTTGTATTAATAAACAACATTACTATTATAAATTAGATAACTAGCAGTACCAGACTGTATTGTCAATCATTGGGGCAGTGGGACCAGTATTTTGGGAATCAAAAGAAATCAAGTCTTCCATGGTCAAATGATTGTAGAGGTCCATGATATGACAAGCTGGAGTTTGAGACAAGGTGGAACAGGAAGAAGAAGGGGTAGGATAGGATGAAGGTGGGACATGATTCAGAGAATGGACGGATGAATTGGCAGATAATGAAGGTGTATAAGATGATGATGATGATGAAGGATAACTTAAAGGGGATGTATTATTATTATTATGAGATGTTGGAGGAGGGGTCGCTAGAGGCTTGATAGGTTGAACAATATTATCTGTAGTTGTGGGACAATCAGAAGATGATAAATTTTGTTGTTCTCTTCCATCATCCGTATAATCTGGTGTAGTTAATGGTGATGGCTGTTGAGATATATAATAGGATTGTTGTTGTTGTTGTTGATGTTGTTGTTGATGTTGTTGCTGTTGTTGATGATGTTGTTCTTGTTGTTGTTGTTGTTGTTGTTCAGAAAATAATAAATGAGTAGCAATATTACTGTTCTGAGGATGTGGCCAATCAGTTAAAGGTTGACAGGAAAAAGGATCTAAAGTAGGAAAGAGGTAGTTTTGTGATATGGATGGATGATATTGCGTCATCATAGTATTGGATGATGATTGCTGTTGTAATGTATCATCACCACCACCTGCTGCTGACGATGATGATGACGAAGATGATGATGATGATGACGATGATATTGTCGTTGTTGTTGTTGATGCTGTCGAAGTAGTTGTCATATCAGGTGTAATGATAGATGTCTTCTTATGATTTTGTTTTAATTTTTTAGTTAAATGAGATCCTGTACTGGTTGTTTTTGTTGCATCATGCATTGACAAGGATCTTTTCTTGGCAGTATGATTAGATGATCTTTGTTGTTGCTCACGTTGTAAACGAGTATGAGCCATTGCACGACGGGTTTCCAAAGTGGATTGTTCAGTATGTTTTAATTTGGCTTCCAATTGAGAGGTGATACGATCATGATGATTTGATTTTGATTTAGAATGATGATGATGATGGAGACGGTCGTTGTTATCAGTTGACATGGTTGCCGTAGGATTATTATTTATAGACGAAGGTACCATATTAATTTGAAGGGATAAAAATAGATTACGTTGGGATTCAAGATCCGCCTCGATTTGATGAATTTTTATTTCTAATTGAGACAAGTTGTCGATAAAAGGGTCCACATTGGTAGTCTGGGTGTTACGAGATCGCCGACTGCTTGGATAAGCGCATAAAATACCCCCTTGAGTACAACGAGTACAATTTGGATGTTCTCCATCGCAACGTACCTTTTTTTTTTTTTTTTTTTTAAAAAAGAAAGAAGGATGATGATGAAGTGAGTACTCTTTTTTTTTTTTTTTTTTTTTTTTGATGATGATTACTTTTTTATGATGACATCGTATACAAGCAATAGGTGCACGAGGCCTTTTCATGGAAGGATGCATTCTAGTGATAGCATTACCATTACTATCGACTCTGGCAGTGGCAGGATGATTACTTTTTGTATTAACCATTGTTGTTAAAGAAATTATTAACTAGGCGTAAGAAAGATGATGATAATGATGAATATAAATAATCAACTTGGTTTACGAAAGATGGATGATTTCGTTGAGTAAAAAAAAAAAAAAAATAATGGATGAAAAAGAAAAAGAAAGAATTGTATTTGATAAAAACCAGAAAAAAAAAAGAGGGGATAGTTTTATTATCTCTCTCTCTCTATCTATCTATCTAACCACTCTAGGTTTTAAATGAAATGATTAGAAACAAAAGATCATCTGAATTATTAACAACACTATGTCAAAATGCATAAATCGTAGTTTCAAATCCTCAAAAAGAATCGTTTGCTCCTTAATTTGAAGAGCGTATTACTATTTAAAGACATCCCTTCTTTTCCTTAGCAACGTACTATTGTCTTTTATAGCACATGATATAAGCCTTTTCATTCTAACTGCTATAGACGATGATCTGGATGATGATTTTTTTTTTATAATGATGATCTTTATGATGATGATGATTTCTGTACTGATGATTTATTCTGATGATCATGATTATAATTTCTTTTTTTAAAAAAAAATTAATCAAGAGATGATATGTAAGCTTAAATCATCGTTTATAAAGAGATCATAACGAATGATTGTATAATCATTGTCTTAGTTGTAAAGTAAACAAATTTCTCTTTTAGATGTTATAGATCACCTGTCAAAAAAGGGTCCAACCCGCTCAAGATTAAAGGTAATGAAGAGGAGTGAAAGAGAAAGAATAGAAAGACACCAAGTTGGACGAAATTTGAACAATCAGACTGTCATAAGATATTCTTCGTTGGATTTCAATGCACAAATTCCAACTATTTCATTGTGACAATGAGTTGACATCCGAAAAAGGGATTCATAACATTAGCCAAAAATAAAAGTTTTTTTTTTATATATGTGTATCGCGATTGCGTGGCTTGCATTGTCGGCATTTAAGCTGACTCAAAATAAATCTATTCTTCTCACCCTGTGTCCTTCTATATCTTTTTTTTTTTTTTTTTCTCATATAAGGTTTTGATTTTTTATGCTCTAAACGGAAATAGAGGAAAAAAGGAAATTAGGAAAAAAAAAAAAAAAAAAAAAAAGAGAGAGGGTTATACAGTGTGTGTGTGTGTGTGAATTAATAACTACCAAACTTTCTTTTACTAGCCATCATCAGCTTTTTTTTTTTCTCGAACCTTATCATTTTTCGCTTTCTCTTCTTCTTCTTACTTTCTTTGATTTTTATCCCACATATTTTCCATCATCATCGATTTATACATTATGCCTTTAATAGCATTGAATAGTTTAAATATCGTTGATCTCTTGAAAAAGGATGAATTAGTTCCTGATGGTAAACAAACCAGAAAAAGGAAAAAGATAAAAAAAATCATTAATGATGACGATGATGTTTTAACTATTTCTAATATGCATATCATGCGTTCTATGTATGTCATTTTATAGTGTTTTTAGAAGATGGCTTTTCGTCATCTCCATCCTTATTAGAAATCACTTATCCCAATGGATCTCAAGTTGTATTTGGGAACTCTTTATCTCCTTTGGATACCAAGCAGTCCCCTATTGTACAATTCTCACCTGATGATTCGTCCTCGACTCATTATACTCTGATTATGGTAATCATCATCTTCTTTTCTCGTTATTCTATCATCATATCATCTATATCATCTTCATCATTTTATTTATATATTCATTTTATTCTTATCTTGGACTTTTTCATAATCATGATTAGGTGGATCCAGATGCGCCTGCAAGACATGATCGTAAATTTGGTTATTGGAGACATTGGGTAGTAACTAACGTGGTAAAGAATCTGACGGGATTTAAATCAATGAATGTACTTTAGTTCATTCACTCAACTTTTTTTTTTTTTTTTTTTTTAAAAAAATAAAAAACCATCCATGCATTGATAGGTGCCTTCCACTACCAATACAATCACTATTAGTGATCATCAAGGTGAACAACATACTCCCTATATTGGTCCTGGTCCTGGTCCTGACACTGGCATTCATCGCTATCTCTTCCTTCTTTATAAACAATCACAACATCAAGACTTCCCTTCTATGCTTCACTCTGAAAAGGAACATCGTCGTCATTTCGATTTTTATCAATTTGCCAAAGATCATCAACTAGAATTAGTAGCTTTTAATTACTTTCTTTGTTCTGCCACACAATAAACAAAAGTCCAATCGTGATTTCAGTTTTTTATTGTTTTTCATATATATAATAATAATAAAAAAAAAATTGTTAGGGTGGAAGAAATGACGGGAAAAAAAAGACAATATCAATTTACAAAGTGTGTATATATATGTGTGTGTGTATGTGAGTCGATGGAAAAAAAAAGGGAAAAGGAAATGTTAGGATCAAAAAAAAAAAAAAAATAAAAAATAAAATAAAAATAAGACTATAAAGAATAATCATCAATATATAAAAATATATAACGATGATCAAAAACTATATAAAACTAACTAAAGGTGTATGTATGATGATAACAAAACCGAAAACAATACAATAAAAAAAAACAGATAATGATAGTGATGGTGTTGTTGTTATATGTTGTTGGCGTTGTGTTGTTGTATGTATCCAAGAATTCCAAAAAATAGTTTAGAAACCATGCACCTTAATATTGGCTTTCTTCGCAATTTCTTCTTTAACAAGGAATTCCGCAATCTTCAAACGTTGATCACCAGAGAGTTGCAACACATTACCAAGTTCTTCATCTTCAACCACAGTACCATTACAAGCAAATTCCTTCTTGAATTGTTTCAAGATCTTCTTAGCATCATATTCAGTGGGAAGTCCTTGAAGAGTTGTCAAAGTCTTTCTACCATTTCTTTGTTGAATACGCAAGTCTATGGATCAACAAAAAAAAAAAAGGATGAGATTCTTTTTTTTTCCTTTCATGTTTATTTCATTAAATTTCTTACGGATATAGCTAGTGGTTTTGGGAGAGCTTTCTTCTTCAACGTCAGCAAAAGGATCTAAAATCAAACAAAACAAAACAAAACAATAAAAAAAAAAAAGAGTATTAGTTAAAATTCGTTCGTTATCAAGAAGGTTAGGTGTTAATGAGAACTCATCAAAAGTATTCTATCCGTTATAAAACATGTATTTTTGCTTACCAAAAGGGACGTTGAGTTCTTCGATGTTTGACATATAGATTGAATAAATAGAAGAAATATAAAGACTAAAAAAATAAAAAAAATAAAAAAACGAAAGAAAGAAAGAAAGAAAAAAAAAAAAAGAGAAGAGGGGTTATGTTTTATTTGGATTTGCTTCTAATTTTTTTTTCTTTTTTGAATACCGCAGTGACGCACCACTTGTCGCAGGTGGCTTGAAGCAATTTTATTGGTGCAATTTTGTGTCGAAACACGTTTCCCTTTATGTTCATCGTCATTTCTTGTCGTCTTCCTTTCTTCTTTTTCTTCTCTTTTTAGATATCCGCTTCCTTTACTTTCATTCGCATTCGTATTGTTGTAATATATATATATATATATATTTATATATTTACTTATATTTGGATATAACTAATATTTATATTTCTATTAGAATCTGCAACAAAACCTTACGTTCTTCTTGGTATAATTGAAGTAAGATTTTTATTATCATTTTTTTTTTTGACAGTATGTCACTTTATTCTTTTATTGGTGGTTTTTGATAGATCTCTCTCTCTTTTTTTTTTCTTCTTTTTTTATATATATTTATTTATTTTCTTCTTTTTCTTTTCTTTTTATTTTTTACATTGGTGGTGTTTTATTCGCTCATTACTTCCTTCCTTTACTACTTTTATTCTTTGGATATATCAAAATGTTAGTTCTCCTTTTTTTTTTTTTTTATTTTATTATCATTATTATTACTGTTGTTGGTATTGGAAAGAACTTGTCATCTATTTGGGGGGGGGGTTGGAACTAGGGAGAAAGCTTTTTTTTTTTTACGCATGATTTTTAGGAGATAGCTGATTCTAACGATCTTTTTTTTTTTTTTTTTTTTATTTTGATTTAGTTACACCAATGTAGACACCCGGCAATCATGAAGCGAACAAGTGATCATATGAACAATGGACAAAGTAATGGTGATTTCAACAAGAAGCAAAGGTTCTCTTCATCGAATAGGTAAAAAAAATAAAAAAATAAATAAAAGATATTCATTTTCATCATTGATTTTTAATAGAGGCGGAAACCAACATTATCAACAATACCCTATGATGATGATGAATACAAATCCTCAAATGTATATGCCTACTGGTGAATTTGGTGGTCAAGATACTCTTCCTATGATGGTTCCTGATCAATTTGGTGCTAATGCTGGTTTTATGATGAGTGGAATACATCATCCGTCTTCCCCTTTTATTGGCTCTTCTGGAGGAATGGAACAAAATCGTACTATTTATCTTGGAAATATCAACAAAGATATCACACCAAATGAATTATTGAATAAAGTCAAGACAGGCGCTGTTGAATCATTACGAATGTTACCCAATAAAAATTGTGCATTTTTATGTTTTGTGGATCCTGTCAGTGCTCAGATGTTCTTTCAAGATTTCAATTCAAGACCATTGAAAATACAAGAACAAGAAATCAAAGTTGGATGGGGAAAACCAACTGCAACTAATCAAGTAATCCAACAAGCTATTTTCAGTGGTGCAACACGAAATGTTTATATTGGTCAAATCGACGACGACACGACAGAAGAATCTTTGAAAAACGATTTGGAACGATTTGGTGAAATTGAACAAGTCAAGATCGTTAGGGACAAGAGAATCGCATTTATTCACTTCCTTTCCGTTGCCTCTGCTTTGAGTTGTGTTACTTCTTTACCAAAAGAACTTTTTTGGACTACTCACCGTGTTTATTTTGGCAAGGATCGGTGTGCCTCTTCACGACAAATCATGATGCCTCATATTCAACAACAACAATTACAACAACAACAGCAACAACAACAACAATTACAAAATGGTAAATCCTTTGAAACACATCTTTTTATCCTTCTTTTTTTTTTTTTTATTCAACAATCTTTGTATTAATTATCATTATTATTTCACTAGTGCTAGCTCCTACCATGCAAGCGAACAATGCGGTAGATTACGCCCAAAGAACGATCTATTTAGGAAATCTACCAGTGGATACGACCTGTGAAGATATTTGCAATGGGATGCGGGGTGGCAAGTTATACAATGTGCGTTATCTCAAAGAAAAAAACATGGCCTTTGTGACTTTTGTGGATCCAAATGCAGCTTTCCTTGCATTTGAACGTGGTCAGAGTGTGGGGATTGCAATCAAGCATCGGCGTGTCAAGGTGGGATGGGGAAAATCATCAGGAATACCATTTCATACTTTGATGGCAATTCAACAACAAGGTGTCACTCGCAACTTGTATTTAGGTGGAACAGATCAGGTGACAATAGAACAAATACGCAAGGACTTCTCGCAATATGGTGATATTGAAATGATCAATCATGTGAAGGACAAGAATTGTACTTTTGTGAATTATACAAGCATCAACAGTGCCATGCAAGCTCGTCAAGGAATCAAGACCAATCCTATGTACAATTCAATCAGAATCAACTACGGAAAGGATCGATGCGACAATCCATTCAAATCGCCACCACTACCCAACATTCAACAAACCTCTCATAAACCCGACATTCAAGAAACCTCTTATACACCCGACATTCAACAAACCTCTTATAAACGACAAGGTGATGATTCTTCAGATGAATGGTCTAATGTACGTGAATATCCAGAAAGCCAGGTGAACGATTAGTTCACATTATCCTTTTTATACCGGATGACTACAAACACCAACTGACTAGAGCAACAACGATCCCAATTACATTACCATTTTTTGTTTTTATTATTATTATTATTCATTTGATTCTCGCCATTTTTTTTTTTTTATTCTTCTCATTTCAATAAACGATTCTTGACTGTACCAATAAATGTCTTTTGCCTTCCAATTTTAAATCGGATGAGTGATGACTGATGTATGATGATAGTAAAACAAAGAGTGTCCAATGATGAAATCAATTATGTTTTTTCTGTGATGTGTGGTTTACTAATAAAGTAAAACTCTTCAACAAGTAAGAACCAAATATTAGATACATTTGATAAATCATCCGCCTGGATTAAAAACATGAAGCGTTAAAGGTGTTGACATTATAAGATACCCTTCCTATTTAGTTTTTTTTTCTTTTTTTTTTTTTTTTTTTTTTTTTTTTTGGTGAAATATAACAAAATGAACTTCATACTTTTATTTACACGTTCTAATGTCATTTTATGTATCCTCCTGTTATTCCTTGTTCTAGTCATCACTATGACATATGGCGGCGGGAATTGAAATTCTTTGGAGGATGGCCTTTTTCTTTGTCGATGAACCGGATTTTCAATTGATCTTTCCTTTTACTTCACCGTACGTATCTAGGGTATCAGAAAAGAAAAAGAGAAAAGGTGGAGAGAAAGATATATGTGTATCACTACGGATTTCAACGCAACAAAGTATATACATATCGATAGATGGATGGATAGATGGATGGATGAATGGATGAAATATATTTATACAACATCTTACAATTCTCAAATTACATCGCTCAGTGACACACATACAACACACACACACCTACAAATCGATAACGAACGTATCTCTGTCTATCCATCCATCTATCGATCCATCCATCCATCCATGTATCCATCCATCTGTTCGACTTTTATACAACGATTATCGACGATACTTTTTTTTTTGTACAACTACGATTTATACCATCAACATTATTCAATTTTCGTCAACATTGCACATATATCTTTTCTCGACACTGAGCAATAGGTGGTCAAACGATGTACTAATCCATTCGTTTTATTTTTTTATTTATCTATAGTCAATATGGCTAGCAAGATTGTTAAGATTGCCGGTGCTAAGCCCGTCGATGAATTCGAGATCACCATTGGACAAGCTCTTGTTGACCTTGAAAACTCTGTTCCTGAATTGAAGAAGGAATTACGTCCTCTTAACATCACTGGTGCCAAGGAAGTAAGTTATCTGTTGAGATAGAATAAAAGTTTGCATATAGGATATCAAGATAAGATTTCTGACACTTTTTTTTTTAATATAGGTTGAACTCGGTGCTGGCAAGAAGGCTATCATTGTCTTTGTACCTGTCCCTCAACAAAAGGCTTTCAACAAGATCCAACAACGGTAAAGGAAGACCAAAAAAAAAAAAAAAGACATTGGGAAGTATTGACATATTTGATTTCATATCCATAGTTTGACCCGTGAATTGGAAAAGAAGTTCTCTGATCGTCATGTTGTCTTTGTTGCTCAACGCCGTATCCTCAAGAAGCCTAGCCGTCACGAAAACCCCAAGCAACCTCGTCCTAGATCTCGTACTTTGACTGCTGTCCATGATTCTATCCTTGAAGATCTTGTCTTCCCTACTGAAATTGTTGGTAAGCGTACCCGTGTCAAGGTTGACGGTTCCAAGACCATCAAGTGTTTCTTGGATACTAAGGATGCTACCTCTTTGGAATACAAGCTCGATACTTTCTCTGCTGTTTACAGAAAGTTGACTGGCAAGGATGTTGTCTTTGAATTCCCCGCCAACGCTGAATTGTTCTAATTCAACCATTCGCATTCATTTTTTACATGTACAATCACAAACAACAAACTAGGTAGTTCTCTTCTACTTTTTATTTGTCATCTCTTGATCACTCTGCAATAAACGATTGATTCTTTTTTTACTCTTATATTTTGTTTTGTATTGAATATTGTTGATATATATAGTTCATGGTAAATAAGTTTTTTCTTATCACACATAAGTCAAATGATACTTGATCTATAATGTAAAATAATAACACGTTTTATTAAAATTTTTCCGTCTTTTCCATATAGGGCTTTGTTGTATTGAGTTGTGTAAAAAAAAATAAAAAATAAAAATAAAAAAAAAGGTGTCGAGAAGGAATCAGTAATGGTGAAGACTAAGGAAACAATGATAAGAAATGGAGAAAGTGATTTCTAAAGTATATATATAAAAAAACAAGGGGGAGACAGTATGTTTATCGATCAACTTCACCGAACACAATATCCTATTTGAAAGAAAAAAAAAAAAAAAAAGAAAAAGAAAAAAGATTGTTAGTGAATCGTTTCCATATAATGACACCCAAGATTGATCATCCCTTCCAAAACAATATTTTTGTGATCCTTACCATGGTACCAATAAGAGCCACCATATCAGGAAGTAAATGGCCACGAGACATAAAGTCAGAACCTTGAAGATGGGCAAAACCGGGAGCCTTGATCTTGCATCTGTAGGGTCTGTTGGAACCATCAGAAACCAAATACACACCAAATTCACCCTTAGGAGCTTCAATAACAGTATAAGTTTCACCAGCAGGAACAGAATAACCTTCAGAGTAAAGCTTGAAATGATGAATAAGAGCTTCCATGTTTTCCTTCATAGCAGAGCGAGGAGGAGGAGCAATCTTCCAATCATCGACCTTGATGGGACCTTCAGGGATTTGATTGATACATTGAGAGATGATACGAAGAGATTGACGCATTTCTTCGGTACGACACAAGTATCTATCAAAACAATCACCATTTTGACCAACAGGAACATCGAATTCCACCTTGTCATAAGCATCATAAGGATTATTCTTACGAATATCCCATTTGATACCGGAACCACGGACGAGCACACCAGAGAAACCCCAATCTTGAGCTTCTTGTACAGTGACTACACCAATGTTTTCAGTACGTACTCTCCAGATACGATTGCCAGATAACATTTCTTCCATTTCATCAATACGATCACCATATTGTTCAGCCCAAATTTGAATATCATCCAAAAGACCAATAGGAAGATCCATGGCAACACCACCAGGGCGGACATAAGCAGAATGAAGACGAGCACCAGAGACACGTTCATAGAATTCCATCAACTTTTCACGTTCTTCAAACATCCACAAGAAAGGAGTCAAAGCACCCACATCCATCGCATGAGATGTAACAGACATAATATGGTTGAGAATACGAGTGATTTCACCAAACAAGGTACGGATATACTTGGCACGCTCAGGTACTTCAATGTTGAGAAGCTTTTCAACAGCTAAGGAGTAGGCTTGTTCGTTAGTCATCATGGAAACGTAATCGAGACGATCAAAGTAAGGTAAAGCTTGAAGATAAGTCTTGTATTCAATCAACTTTTCAGTACCACGATGAAGAAGACCAATATGAGGATCAGCACGAATAATTTCTTCACCATTCAATTCCAAAATCAAACGTAACACACCGTGAGCAGCAGGATGTTGAGGACCAAAATTCACTGTAAAGTTGCGAAGCTTGGTTTCTTCTTCATTTTCGAGAGCTAATTTAAAAAAAAATATCCAATTGTCAGTATATCGTTCAAGTTTTCTTTTTTTTTTTCATTGTTCGTATTCTTTTTTTTTTTTCTACGCATGTATGTGTTGAATTCACTTACAACTACCAAAACTTTTATCTTCAGTAATAGTGGTGACTGCACTGTTTTGTTGTTGGTTGACAGCTGTTGCCATGGATCGCCACATTGGTTTAGTGTACAAAGTCGAGTTTGACTTGAATGCTAAAGGACGAGCAGTAGCCATACGGCGTGCCCACATTCTAGTGGCAGCAAATGACATGATAATAAGTGTTGTAAAAGAAAAAAAGAGTGGGGAGTTGGTTCGAACTAAAAAAAAAAAAAAGATCGGGTTGACTTTCTCTTTTGGTTGCGAGAAGAGTTTGGTGTATATGTGGGTGAAAGAAAGTAAACAACACAAATTTTTTGTTTTGGTTTCTCTACCCAAGTGATCAAATTTTGATTTCTCTCTCCGACTATTTTTCTTGTCTTAAGAGGAAAATAGCTCAACGTCACAAGCTCGCCTCTCTCGGTAATTCAATCACTGCTTAATTTTTTTTTTACTTCTATATTTTTTTTTTTTCACCACTTTTTCCTCTATAAAACAAATGATACAATGTTGGATACTTACAGTTTAGGTTAATCCGTGTATTCCGTTTAGGTAATTAAGATAACTAGAAAAAAAACAAAAATAGAGACGCGCCACCTTTTTTTTTGTCGTGGGAAAGTACCTTCTTATCATCATATAAATATTGAACGTTGACACTATATCTCTTGGCTCATTTCTTTCTTTCTTTCTTTCTTTCTTTCTAATAAGCAAAAGTTTTTTTTTTGATAGGCGAAAATGAAGAAGACTCAAGGTTTTTCTACTCGTGCTATTCACACTGGTCAAGAAACGGATCCTAGTACTGATGCGGTAATTCCTCCAATTACTTTATCCACAACCTATAGAATGCCAGCGGCTGGTGTTGTCAAGGTAAACAGTTTAGAGAAAATATATAAAGAAATGGAAAATAATAATAAAAGAATAGTATCTTCATCAATCATATATATATTTAGAAATACGATTACACACGCCTTGGCAATCCGAATAGATCAAATATGGAAGCTGCAGTGGCAGATTTGGAAAATGCAAAATATTGTTGTGCTTTTGCATCTGGTTGCTCCGTTACTTCGGCTATTATTAATACTTTGGATTCTGGTACCCATATTATCTGTGTTAATGATGTTTATACTGGAACTCACAATATTCTCGCCAAAATTGCCCCCAAGCATCAAATACAAACCTCATTCGTTGATATGTCTATCGCCTCCAACATCAATCAACATTTTCAATCTAACACCAAGGTAAGCAAAAAAAAAAAAAAAAAAAAAAGGATCACGTAGAAGATATAATTTTTTATTTTACTTATTTCAACATAGCTTGTATGGCTCGAAACTCCCACCAATCCAACGATGAGGATCACAGACATTGCAGAAATTGCCAAGTATACTCATGATCATGGATCCATTTTAGTGGTCGACAATACTTTTTTAACACCTTATTTTCAAAATCCCCTTGCTCTGGGCGCCGACATTGTGATGCATTCAGCTACGAAATATATCAATGGACATTCGGATGTTTTGATGGGACTAGCATTGACCAATGATGAAACACTGTACAAAAACTTAGTATTTATTCAAGCAAGTATGGGTGCAGTACCTTCACCTTTTGATTCATTTTTGGCAAGACGCGGTATGATGACTTTGGCTATCCGTATGAAAGCGCATGAAACGAACGCACAAGCTGTAGCACAATTTTTGGAAAATCAACATAGAACCGTGGATCAAGTATTCTATCCTGGACTTGCATCCCATCCTCAGCATCATATTGCAGCAAAGCAACAACATGGGTATGGTGGCATGCTTTCTTTCAAACTCAAGGGAAATTTGGATAATGTGAATGCATTTTTAACTTCACTCAAGGTATTTGCATTGGCTGAATCATTAGGTGGTGTGGAATCTTTGGTCGAAGTGCCTTCATTGATGACTCATGCGACAATTGATCCAAAAGAACGACAAGCTTTGGGGATTACTGATACTTTGATTCGAATGTCGGTTGGTATTGAAGACGTGGAAGATTTGATTGAAGATTTGGAACAAGCACTAGGAAAAAGCAAGATTGAAACAAAAAATGTGGAAGATTTGATTGAAGATTTGGATCAGGCACTAGGGAAAAGCAAGATTGAAACAATAGTGTAGTGAATAGATTATAGTTTTATATTAGTGATTTTGTGTGTGATGATTGAATAAAGGAAAATAGTATGATCTTTTTTTTTTTTTTTTGTAACCCACAATTTGATCGTCAATAGGAAAATCACCCAAGTAAACACCTTCGGAATCAGCGGATACCCAAATTCAAGCGTCCTATGTCAAATTCCAGAAACGAACTATTGAATTTTTTTTTCTTTATACTCGCTTCTGTGCCGAAAGTCGATGCAAGAATATGGAAATGGTTATCCTAGTTACCCATTCTTTTTTACGATATTATAAAGTGAAGAAGAGGGTCGGTAAATCACATATTCTAAAATATTACAAAAGAAAAATGAAAATAACAACAATGACAATGTCTATGAATTGTTCTATATTAGGAATATTATACTATTCAGGTATCAACCTATTATTGTAACCTTGGTTTCATAATGCAGGGATGATGATGCATTGTAAATACTAGGTTTCTAAAAAAGAGTCAAAGTATTCAACCTGGGTATTTTGACGTATTCATATGTTAGTATGATTCTATAAATGAATGATCATTTCATTTGTATTATATATATATGTCTGATTCATTCATCTGATCATGATGATGATAAGGAAAAACATTGAATGATTTTACCTGTCAGGTTAAAATACCAAATATGGAATGATTTGGGAGTTTCACGTATACTTTATCCAACCTTTCTTTAAATCATAGCCCCTTTTAAAAACAATCAAGATATCTTATATTGAAAATAAATAATAAATAAATAAAATAAAATAAAAAAAAAAAAAGGGAAACAGGTTGGTTGAAGAAAGGATGGCTTTTATGTTAGTTATGGAATTAATCTTATTACAGTATGGATAGCTTGTAATAAAACTAATGTATATATCCTGATACTAGATAATACAGTATTATGCAAAAATATATTACAGTATCCTATTGAACTTCTCCCCGGGAAATGATGAAACCTTGAAAGGATCGATTTTTTTTTTAGTCTAAATATTAAAAAAAAAAAAAAAAAAAAAAAAAAAAAAAAAAAAAAAAAAAAAAAAAAAAAAAAAAACAAGAAATCTGATGACCTCCCCGGGGATAATTTACTCCTTCCTTTTCTTTGAGGATGATTATCTTAAAAATTGAATGATATAGTCAATAATTTAAGTTTGGTTCTTTTATAGACAAAAAAAAAAAAAAAAAAAAAATTAAAGAAAGTAAACCAAATAAGGAAACCAACGGCAGAAAGCATTGATTTTTTTTTTATATAATACATGCTTCATTTCATATGGTTATTACATATTGTTTTTATCACTCCGCACTCGAAACCAACTTGGCAGGAATTTGAACTTGACTCTTTTTCTATTTTATCACCCTTTTTTTTCCCTTTTTTTTTTTTTTTTTTTTTTTTTTTTTTTTCCTTCCATTTCGATTAACTCTTGACCCCTTTGTATTTTATATATATATTTTTTTTCCTTCTTTCTTTTTTAGTTCTTCATTCAATTATTTCTATTCATATTGTTATGTCTTCAGTTATACATTCTTCTTCTTCTTCTTCTTCTTCTTCTTCTTTTGATATGATTGGACCTAAAAAATGGGCAGGAACAACAATCGATACTCTATTGACAGAAATTCATCCTATTAAGGTGGAACCTCTACATCTAAATATGGTTTCGGGAAAAACGTCTAAACAACAAGGATCAACAGTGCGACCAATTCAATTACAACCGTTCAACTCTATACGACGATCATTCTCTACTTTAGGAAAAAATCCTCTTGAACATACAATTGCTTCATCTGATCCAGATGTCAATCAACCAAACTTTATATTAGATGATGATGATAATGATGATGATCAAGATAGTACAACAACAACCATAATCAAAAAATTCAACCTACGAGATTCAACTTTAATGTCAAGTCTGCCGCCACCATCATCTATTATAGAACCTCAATCAGCACCTGTGTCACCTACTGATGTATCAAGAAGACCTTCTTTTTCTCGTATCCTCAGAAAAACCTTCGACATGAAATCTTTATTCGCAACCACTTTTGATCGACAACGGAAAGAAAATATGGAACGAGAACAAGAGGCATTGATGATTTGGCATCAAACATTTGAAAAGTCCCTTTTACAATCTTCATTATCAACATCTTCAAGTATATTATCTTCTTCATCTACCATCACCAACAGTAACACCATTTCTTCCAATGGTCGATCCTCACAATATGCACGCTTTGTGATGATGGAATTAATTTCAACTGAAGAAACATATTTGGATGATTTACTCATTATCAAAACAGTAAGTTAAAATAAATATAAAAAAAAAAATAAAAAATAAAAAGCAAATATTGATTTTATAATTTATTTATAGAAATTTATGGATCCACTTATACAAGCTAGTCAACAATCACGACCGATTATCAATTATCGTGATATTCAAACTATTTTTGCTTTTATTCCACAATTGATCTCATTATCTTCTACCTTAGTTCAACGATTAAATTCAGCTCAACATGATAATGATGATGATGATGATTATGATTGGATTGGTTATATATTTTCTGATTTGGAATCTTCTTTTGATGTTTATATTTATTATGCTGTCAACTTTGAAAAAGTTCGGAAATGTTTAGCCAAGATTGATTGTGATGCTTTATGTTATCAAATATTACAAGTAAAATTATATATATATATATTCTAATACTATATTGACTTCTTTTTTTTTTTTATTCCTCTCTCTAGGATTCATCTACAAGAAGAAAAGAAACCAAGAGAATGGGATTATATGATTTTTTGATTACACCTATTCAACGAATCACACGTTACTGTTTATTACTCAAAGGTAAATAAAAAAAAAAGGTTTTTCTGTATAAATATATTTTTATCTGATTTCTTTTTTTTTATCTAGATCTTCAAAAAAATTCAACTAAAAGTATTCTTGTGGATCGATCATTAAAATGTTTATCTGCTTTAGCCTGTGCTATGAATGAAATACAATGATCTTTTGATAATAACAATAATAAAAAAAAAAAAAACCGTTACTTTTGTTACACAAAGCAGGATCGGCCCTTGGATTTCTTGATTCAAAGGATAATACATCAATTTTTTTTTTCTTTTCTTCCTCTCTTCACTTTATTTTCTTTTTCTTTCTTTCATGTATTCACCTTATCCTAATATCTTATACGCGAATACCGCCTTTTTCGACTCATACAACATTGAATTTGAGATTGACGAACCACTTGTAAAGGATACCTTTTTCACTGGTGACTCCATTCAAGGTAATAATAATAATAATAATCTATTTATATTCTAACTTCTTTCATATTCATTGAATGGTTTTGAACTTAGGAAATATACGATTACGACATGCAGAAAGATTACAAGATACTTCTCGCTTAGATATTCAGTTATCTTGTACTTTTCAAGGTGACAATCATACGAAAACCAAACTCTTTAAACTTTTGATCTCTCCTTGTCTTTTTGTTACACCTTGTCAAGATTGTATTCCCTTCTCCATTCCTATACCCAATGAGATACCATCGACTATTAAAGATAAGGTAAGAATAACTGATAATTGTTAGATAAGAACTCATTACCAATTCACTTTTTTTTTTTTTTTTTTTGGAATAGACATTACCAGGAACAATAACTTACAAGCTCAAAGTCATACACGAAATACCCAAACTTTCTTCCTCTCTTTATCCCAAAAAATCAAAAGAAATCATCATTTTGGACCGAATTGCTACCGAAGACTATCAATCACCAATATCAAGTGAAAAAGAACTCAAAATCACGATACCCAAAGATCTTGTTGGAAAAATCAAATCATCAAAATGGAACAAAAATGAGGATACACCAGTACAAGCTCGTTTGTCTATACCTACTTCTTGTTTTTTATCAGGTAAATCAAAGGATGACAATAATAAAGTGATAACATTAATTTTTTTTTCTTTCGTTCTTCTATATGTATATAGGTCAAAAAATTCCCTTGTCTTTAAACATCCAACATATCGCACCAGTTAAACACATGCAAGGAATACAACTTCAGCTTGAACGTATTACCAATGTCATCACATCTACTGGGGAAAGATCTTTGGACACTATTATACTGGCTAAAATTGTATTACCCTTGATTTGCGATCTCAAGGACTATTCGTCTTCCGTCAACAGTCATCTCATTATACCTCAAGATACATCACCTTCGCTACAAACTACCAATTGTCCACTTCAAATCACTTATCGTATTCGAGCAGCCATCAATGTAGATTTAAATAACTTATTGGATGAACCAGCAGCACCATCAAGGAAAAGGGATATTGCAAAAGGAATGGTGAACTCTTGGGGAAAAAAAATCGGATGGACTGATGAAGGAACTGGAATGGGAACATTATTTGAGAATACAATAGATCTCGAGTTACCTATCATCATCGGCACAACAACAACAACAACAACAACAACAACAACGCCTTTACGTTCATCACCTTCATCTATTCATTCATTACCGAATGGAAGTCAAATATCAATCGCATCATCATTAACATCATCGTCATCATCAATACGACCAAAATTACCAGCAAGACCATTATCACTGACAAGTCAATCCAGCGCACCTGCACTTTTTCCATCTTATCATCAAAACAATAGTGTCCTTTCTAATACTGGTGACAGCAATCTTCATTGGACAAATCATTTTAGGGCAAGATCGTCGACTGATCCATCGGCTCCTGAACTGTGCGACATTGAATTATCTGATAGCAAAAAGGAAAAATCATATCTCTACGATTTGGAAAAACACACCTTGAATATGGCTTCTCATCATTCATTTAGCTAGTATTTTTTTTTTTTTTTTTTTTTCGAATCAAAAGAAATGCTAATAAAAAATTACAATTGAAACTTTACCAATCTTATCTTTTTAATAAGTAGTTAAAATTTAGGTAGTTAGTTGTTCTTATCCAATCAAGAGTTCTATCTGAGTTTAATGTTGTCCTGCGCAAAGTGAGTGTCTGCCAAGAACAGAAAGAGAGCCAAAAAAAAAAAAAAAAAAATACTCCTTGTTCATTTCATTCCCACTTTTGTCCTTTCTTTGTTTGTTTCTATATCATAAAAAAAAAGTTTTAGTATCAATGTCAATACAGAATTCGAATAATTCAGCTCGTTCACCAGATAACACTATTTTATTCCCTCAACAAAGTCCAGATACACACAACTCTTCAGGTGACGAAACACAACAATTACTCACAAATGATCAACAAGGATACTATGATGAATCAGCAACACCATCCATGTCTCGGTCTTTCTCTGCTGAAAGTGTAGTCAGTACACAATCTGCGCCTCCACCCTATGAACTCTATGCTCCAGCTAGAACAGTGGTTGGACGTATGTTCAACTGGTTACGCAAAATACCTCGCTTCGCAACTCACCAAGCTATTTATTTACCGACTTTACCTATTCGTCGTCGCCATCATCACCATAACAACAGCCATCTTGAATATAACCATCATCGTCAAACTCTACAACAACAACAACAACAAAGACCAAGTACAGATTCTTTATCGTCTACATCCATTGATTCCTTTGCTTCCTCAGCATACCCAACCACTTGGTGCACACCATACTATTACCAATTATGTAGTCTTCTTCCAAGTTGTCCTCGGTATGTACTACCACAACCGTTTGCACGCTACCGTGGCCTTCTCCTCTTTTTCTCAGTGATGGCACTTCAGTTATGTTGTTTTCTCTTGTTTTGTGCTATTTATTTTGCTCCTGCCGACTTGCCGCCACCCATCTTCCCTGACAAAATCCTCAGTGATACGCATCATGCACGTGTCTTGACTCTCAATATCTTTATGCGCCCACCTGGTATCAAGAACAACTGGTCTGACTACAAGGATGAACGCTTAGCCTATATCATTCAACACATCTTACCTCATTACGATATCATTGCCTTTCAAGAATCCTTTGCCTTTGCAACAAGACGTAAGGATGAATTGATCAAGCAAGCCCGTTTACGTTATGGTTTCAATCATCATATAGAATCACCAAGAAAGTATCCCTGGGACATTTCAGTTGATGGTGGACTTTTGATCTTATCCAAGTTTCGTATTACTCGTTCGAATATCATTCAATACCCAAGAGGAACCCATAGTGATTGGTAAATTAACAAAAAAAAAAAACAAAAAAAAACAAAGGAATGGAAGAGAATAAATTTTTTTTTTTTTGGAATAGGCTATCTCGTAAAGGAGCATTACATGCATTGATTGAACTTAACCCATCTAGACGATTTCATATGTATACAACTCATACACAAGCATCTTATGATTTGAACAACATCATCAACGCAGGCGATACTTTGATACGACTGGAGCAATTTGCACAACTACATGAATTTATTAGCAATACAGCAAGAACTGATCAAGGTGGCGATGCGGATGAAGCACCTATTTTGATTCTCGGTGATTTGAATGTGGATGCAGCTGTACATTTACCTGGTGTGCCATTGACAGAACATTCGGTGGATAGCTCGATACATTATACAATGATGACGGATGTCTTGAAAGGCAACGGTGTAGATCGAAAAACCCTTGGCTTGACCGATGATGACAATCAGAACAAGTTGTTTACACATCCATATGTTTTGAACGATTTGACGGATACAATTTATCAACATTATGGCTATCATCCTGTCACTTTTGGTGACATTGATGTGGAATCGACAGATGGTTCTAAACATATAGTACCTGGTGAAGTCATCTTGACAAATCATGATCAATTGATGACCGTACAAAGTATCGATCGGATATATTGGTCAGCAAGGAACTCAAGTTCAGTTGTTATACAAGATCCATTGGTGGAACCGTTCAAGGTGAAGGATAATCAAGACTTGACTGATCAAGAACGGAATAGTATTTCATTTACCCAAATCTCCGGTAAGCTTGTCAAAAAAAAAAAAAATAAAATAAAAAAATAAAAAATTAACTAACAAATATTCTTTTTTTTTTTTTTAATTATTAGATCATTATGGAATGAGTTGTAGTATTCGTATTATAGATTAGTTTATGTAGAATAGAATCAAATTGATGAAATAAATAGGATGGTATCTATAAAAGAAATAAATTTATAACGGGATGATGCTAAATAAGGTTTCCCACGGAGAAAATCAGCGGATGCGTTCATCAATCAATAGTTCCTTTTAAATTTTCCTTTTTCCCCGGCAGAAGCTCATGCAAACGAAACTCAGCTTCTCATCCTAGTATAAATATAGTCTTTTTTTTTTTATTTCAATTTTTTTTATTTTATTTTTTATTTTTTTTTATTTTTTTTTATTTTTTTTTTTATTTTTTTTAAAGAACCAACATGACTACTGAAACTTCTTCCTATACCAATGTGATCATCACAAGATATGAAGTACGTGATATCCGGTTCCCTACAAGTAAACATTTGGATGGGTCAGATGCGATGAACAAGGATCCTGACTATTCAGCAGCCTATGTGATTTTTTATACGAATACATCGGTGGCAGGACATGGTATGACATTTACATGTGGTCGAGGTACAGAGGTATGCTGTAGTGCGATTGAAGCTTTGGCCAAGAAATTCCTTAACAAGAGTCTAGGTACGTTAACAGCAGATATGCGCGCGACTCATCGGATTTGTACTGGAGATTCTCAACTGCGTTGGATTGGTCCTGAAAAGGGTGTGATTCATCTTGCCACGGCTGCGGTGATCAATGCCATCTGGGATCTATGGGCCAAATGTGAAAATAAACCATTGTGGAAACTCATTGTGGATATGACCCCTGAACAGTTTGTTCAATGTATTGATTTTAAGTATATCACTGATGCTATCACTCCACAGGAAGCTCTCGACATACTCAAGGCAAATTTGGATTCCAAGTTACAACGTGAACAATATATGCGTGATAATGGTTACCCTGCTTATACAACTTCAGCTGGTTGGCTTGGTAAAATTAAAAAAAAAAAAAAAGAAAAAAAATGTCACTCCTATAGTACTTAATTCTTTTTTTTTTTTTTTTTTTTTTAACGATCTAGGTTACAGTGATGAAAAGGTACGACGATTATGTCGAGAAGCCAAGGCACAAGGATTCACATACTTTAAACAAAAAGTGGGTGGGGACAAACAATCTGATATACGACGAGCCGCTTTGATTCGAGAAGAAATAGGTGATAGTGGTGTGTTGATGATGGATGCCAACCAGATCTGGGATGTACAAGAAGCTATTGATTGGATGCAAGACTTACTACCGTTCAAGCCGTTGTTTATCGAAGAACCAACATCACCGGATGATGTACTTGGACACGCGACCATCCGCAAGGCATTGTTACCGCATACCAAGGTGGCCACGGGGGAACATATCCAAAACCGTATTATCTTCAAGCAACTGTTCCAAGCACAAGCCATTGATTATTGTCAAATTGATTCTTGTCGTGTCGCTGGTGTCAATGAAATCCTCGCCATTCTGCTCATGGCCAAGAAATTCAATATCCCTGTCGTGCCTCATGCTGGTGGGGTTGGTCTGTGTGAATACGTTCAACATCTCTCCTTGATTGACTATATTTGTGTCTCGGCCACCCTTGATGATCGTGTGTTGGAATATGTCGATCATTTACATGAACATTTTGTCCACCCTGTCGTGATTAACAACAAAGGTTGCTATGTCGCTCCCCTGGCTCCTGGATACAGTATTGAAATGAAACAACAATCCATTGATGATTATACTTTCCCAACTGGACGTGTGCATCGTGAAGATACGAATTAGTCAGATCGCCCATATTATTAGTATAATCTTTTTTTTTTATTTAATTTTTATTTTTGTATGTGTTATGATTCCCGAAATAAAGTATTTTTTTTTTTTAAAAAAAAAATAATAATACTCAATTCTGTCTCTTGTAAAAAAATAAATCATCATATATGAAGATACTGATTTTTTTCTTTCTTTGGTATAATTCATTATCAAATAAAAATCAGCACAACATTTTTGTAATAGAAATCATGTAGAAAGGAACAGTGACCTGTTATCATAAGAACGAGGTATAAACTGGTCCTCAAAAAAAAAAAAAAATTAACTAGATACGATCCATCATCATTCAAAAAAGGGCAATCATTTTCTTCTTTTTATTATATTCAAACATATGGGGTATGACAAAAAAAAAAAAAGGGACGAGATCATTGAGATTTCGGATGTATCAAGGAAGAAGAGAGAGAGATAGAGATAGATATATAATTGAGTAAGGTAAGAGTCTAAACGCTAAAAAAAAAAAAAAAAAAAAAAAAGAAACGAATTATTGACCGGTTGTCAAAGGCAGTTGAAGTAAAGATCGTAGATGGTCCGACACAGTTTCACTGGGAGTACGTATTGTCAATCGATACATCTATATATAATAAATAAAGAAAAAAAAAAAAAAAAAGAGAATGAGAATCTATTTTTATTATAATCATTATCAATACTTACATTTTCTTCCAAATTGGGTTCCAATCTTAACAAAGCACCGATCTTGCCACCTTTGGAACCAGCATTGATAACACCCACACCAACGAAATTATTTGCATTTGGATCTACACCTTGTAACAAACCAAATCGGAATCCACGCAAGATATTGCTCACTTGATCCAACTTGATGGACACTTGACTAGAAAATATAGCTTGACTTTCACGTGGAGGGCCTCCGATTTGATTCCATCTTTTGAAGAAACTTGGACCATCCATTTCCACAGGTTCTTGGAATTTGGGTAGAGCCACGGGTAACTTGAGATGTAATGTTTGACCATTGAATCCAATAAACAGGGATGGAGGTTCCATAAAGATATCCATACATTCGATTTGAATGAGTCGTTGTATTTGTGCTCCGGGTGCGATCGTATGTTGATGAGGTGCCGCTACATTCACTTGAAAAGATGCATGATCCGAAGTTTGTACTGATATTTGGGACATTGGGAATGACAACTTGTTGCTGATGTATATTGCTAAACGTCCTTGTGCACCATGATATTCACTTTTCACCGAGACCTGCGCTTGATTGTCTTCGTAAAGCACTCCTTCAGTTGTATATAATAATCGATTGTATCCTAATTCGTATCCAGGGGCCAAGGGAATATTGGTTGGTAGTGCTTTTGCAGGAGTTGAGTCTTGTAAAGTAAGATCGTCTAATCCAAGTAAATCATGAGACCCTGATGATGATGATGTGGTTGCTGGGATGGATATACTGTTGCTATGCTTAGGACCTGCTGTGATTTGCTGTCGAGGACTGGCTTCGCTATAAGAATTGGCTCTGAGTGTTGCGATTCGTTTCAATCCATCCTGTTGTTCAGCATTCGCCTCTTTTCCGCCAATCACCCATACACGTTTATCTTCAGTATCGCCATGTTTTTGGTTGAGCTTAAGAAGTAATGTTGATTCACGTTCAGGGAAGGGTGGCATTTCTTCACATACTGTTTGAAGCATATCATCAGTTGGCATGGTAGAAATGGAGAGATATTCACAAGCACGTTGTTGCAATTCCGAATCAAGCACATAGCGATATTGATTGAAGACGTTCAGTACTTGACCTTTGATTTCAGGAAAGAGATTGACAAACTTGACATAAGTGGTAAGCATCAACGCACGAGTTTGGAGAGAGCAAAGATTGAATTTTGAATGAACTGCATTGAATTGTTCGATCGGTGAACATCCAGGATAGTTTGCAATCAAGTGACCAAATTCACCGAGAATATAGGCACCTACTTTGACCATAGTTTCATTGTATTGAGGGGAACCAAGATAATTGAGAACTGTTTTTGCTGCATATTCTTGAAGTTCTTCATTATTAGTAACAATTTGTACAACACGATACCACACTTCTTCACCCACTTGTTCACCAGCAGTTGAGATCAGTTGAAGAATGATATCCACATACCAAGAGTAAGCTGTTGCAAACTTTTCTGCCAAGATGGCAATCTTGAGTACCATTTCTTCTCGCATAGCATAGTCGGCTACTTGTAGATATCTTAATAGTTCAGAGACAATGACTTTGGCGTTGGATGTATCACACATAGAGTACAATAAATCAAGACCACGACGACGAACACTAATATCTTTATCCCGAAGAGACATAAGGATAGTTTCTTGATGTCGTTTGATAGGTGCCAATGAATCCACACACGCAGCAAGATGAGCCATCGTTTCCAATCCCAGGTATCGTACGTTTGTTTCTTTACTAGAAATGAATCTGCCTAGTAGTTGAGCAGCTTGAGCGCAAATAGTGGAGTTACTGTCGAGGTGAATGGCGAGGTTGATGGCTTCAAATAAGACAGCATTTTGAGCATTACTATGTTGGACATTCTTTGGTGCATCTTGAGAATTGGTGATGATGATTTGTAAAAGTTCACTGATATCGCTACGTAACTTTGGGTCATCTGAAAAAAAAAAAAATGGAATGCTTAGTAAAAAAAAAAAAAAACAAAAAAAAAACTGATTTTCCTGATGATATTTTTTTTTTCTCTTACCAGGAGGAGGATAGTATTGTAAAAGACGTAAGCATTTGACTTGTAACCAAGGAGTGGGAACCTTATAATAAATATAATCCAAACTGTAATCACGATCCACCAAAATCTAATAAAAAAAATAAAAATATAGTATTATTAGAAAGAAAGATGAATCCAAAAATGTATTCTCCTTACTCTTTTCAAACGGTTCACAGCCTTTCCATAACAATTGGCATATTCAATAGGAAATGTTTGAGCAAGGACAAGCACCAAAGTTGTAACAGATAAAGCCACACCCTAATATAAAACAAAAGCAAATATTCAATATCTATCTATTTTCTTCTTCTTCTTCTTCTTTTAGGGACCTTACCAAATCATATTCATCCATCAAATTGATAATACGTTCAGCCCAATCAGTAACAGGAATAACATCAGGATATTTTCGGAACAAACGTAACAATGTCAATGCGGCCTTCTTTTTGACAAAACTTTTGGATGTTCTATTAAAAAATCATAACAATAATAATAATTGTAAATCATATAGTTCATTTTATCTTATGGATACTTACGGTGAGATAAGTAATCGATGTACATCATTGGCTAAAGATTCTGCCATTTCACGACCTCCAATGTTTGCTATAGCATGTAAAGCGAGACAATTGTTGATTTCATTCATATCATCCAAATCTTTTTTTGTTGAATTGACCACCAAACGAACAAGATCACTATTTTCATGGAAAAGTAGAGTCACCGCCAAATAACCCTATATATATATATATAAAATTAGAGAAAAACGAATAAATAAGATAAATTAACTTACAATTTGCTTTTCACTATACACTTGACTAGAGATGAGATTGACAGCTTCCAAGTGACCAAAGTCAATATCCCAACCAAGAATATACATGTACAAAAGTTTGCATACATATTTCTTTTTTTGATATCCATTCAAATTGCCCTCTAATAATATAGAATGAAAGAGTTATTTATATACGTTTTAACTTTGTTATCATACTCACCTTTGAATTTTGACCGAATATTTGCCATTTCTTTGTTGATTCTTTTCTCTTCCAATTCACGTACACGACCTATATAAAAAAAAAAAAGAAAAGTTAGTCGATCAGGAGTGTCATCATGTTCTAAAATGACCTACAGTTTCGAATGTCGGCAATAAATAAAGTTAAACCACGCATTGTCAATGGTGTATAAAGAGATTAAGATTATCAATAGAGATATATTTAAGGAATGTATATAAAAAAAAAAAAAAAAAAAAAAATGAAGGAAGGTAAAAAATATAAAATGGACGATGAAGGAATGAAGAAAAAAATAGGATACAGCTTTTTTTATTTTATATATAATATGTTTGTTTTCCATCTCCGCCAAAACTCATTCGCTCGATCATTTCTTTGTGTGTTCACTATCAAGATCAACTTTGTTACTATAGAATAGTTTTTAAATTACAATCAAACATATTAATTAATAGTTTATGGTGAGTATATATATATTCAAATAAAAGATATCTTCCAATATATATATATATATATATATATTCCAACAAGTAGCAAGTATTATTCAAAAGGAAAAAAAAAGATTGATATACATATTATATATATATATATATATATATTTGATCATTAGAATAATTTATAGTTATTATTAATATTAACCAAATCATCTACTTCTTAATATGATACAAGAAGTAGTAAATCAATGGATGATACTCAAAAGTATGAAATATATATAAAATGACATTTGGTATTCCGACTTCGATAAAATTTTTGCCTGTTTGGATTTTTTTTTTCTCCTCTTTCTTCTATATACATATTTTTTTTTTTTTTCGATGGTGGCTCCTATCAACGAATATACTCTCGAAAACAACACTATTTTCTCTATAGAAGGTAAAGGATTGAAACTTGATAGTAGTGACCATGTTCAAGTTTTTGTCGACACCATTGTTCAAATGGATGAACTGAAGGAAATTAGACTTGGTGGCAATACTATTGGTGTTGAAGCAGGTGAAGCTTTGGCTGGTGCCTTGAAATCAAGATCAACTCTCAAGGTACAGAAAGGAAAAACAAAAAAAAAAAAATAATAACTGAAAATGATTGGTTTTATAGTTATTGATTATTCTTATTCTAATAGATAGCAGCACTTTCTGACATCTTTACTGGTCGTCTTCTGAATGAAATTCCATTGGCTTTAAAGGCATTATGTGATGCTTTAGAACAAACTTCTTTAGAAGAACTGGATCTTTCCGACAATGCTTTTGGACCTGCAGGAGCTGAACCCTTGATCGACTTTTTATCCAACAGTAAGACGTTACGTATATTACGACTCAACAACAATGGTTTGGGCATTGGTGGTGGAACTATGATTGCAAAGGCATTACAGGCATCTGCTGATAAGGCTCGTGCTGAAAACCGACCTTCTTCTTTACACACCATTATCTGTGGACGCAATCGGTTGGAAGACGGTAGTAGTAAAGCTTTGGCTCAAGCATTCGCTTCTCATGGAACTTTACAAGTGGTACGTATGCCTCAAAATGGTATTCGTCCTACTGGTATCAAGACTATTGTACAAGGATTATCAAAATGTAGTGATCTGTATCATTTGGATTTACAAGACAATACTTTTACCTCCAAGGGTAGTCAAGCTTTGGCATCTGCTCTTACTCACTGGCCTAAACTCAAGGTATTGAATGTAGGTGATTGTTTACTCGGCAAGTCTGGTGGCGTTGCTTTGGCTGAAGCTTTGGAACTTGGTAACAATGTTGAATTGACTCATTTACATTTGCAATACAACGAAATCTCTGCTGCTGCCGTTACTGTCCTTGCTGGTGCCATTAAAACACATCTCAAGGAACTGATTCATTTGGAACTAAATGGAAATCGATTTGATGCTGATGAAGACGAAGCAAAGGCTATTATTGACGCTCTTGCTTACTGGGATCATGAAGATGCTTTGGATGAATTGGATGATATGGAAGAATTGGATAGCGATGAAGAAGAGGAAGAGGAAGAAGAAGAAGAAGAAGATGAAGAAGACGCTTTGGTTGAAAAGGCTGAAGAAGAAGAAGACAAGGAGCCCGTCAGCAAGGAAGATGACAAGGCTATGGAAAATGATCTGGTCAATCAATTGAATAAAACTCATATCTAGATAGTTTTTCTCTTTACTACAAATACTATTTTTTTTTTCATTTTTACTTTTTACCCCTTCCCTCTCCCCATTTATATATATATATATATATATATATATATGTAGCACTCACCCATTTCATCATTACTAGTTTTTTTTTTTTTTTCCTTACTCCCTTTCTTTAACACTTTATTTTCTTTTATCCTTCTCATGAATTGTTTTATCCTTCAATTATAATAAAACACTAATAGATTGGAAAAATGTATGTTAAATATAAATGGTTTATTGTACAGCAACGGTATAGAAACGGTATATATATAAAGAAAAAGTGATATCATAAAATAAATAAGTCTATTCTAAAAGATGGCTCTAGTTCTAATAAAAATATTGTTGACATAATCCCTCCAAAGACGACGACCATTTTTGTCATGAGGATCTACCATGCGCTTAGCCAAATCAAAAAAGCTCTCAGATGTCAAATCCTTCATGCCATAATGATCTGTGGAATACAACAGTTGATAGTGATGTTGTGTTGCTGGTAAGTTTTCCCATTCCGTAATATTTGCAAAGTATTGATCATAGCCCATCAAGTTGTTCTTCGTGTAACGGTAGATACGTACGGTTGGATAATACTTGGGTAACACCGAGGGAGTCACTTGGATAGCTACCACAGGAGATGTCGGTAATATTTCTTGTTTTTCATCATCTTCTAATCGAGGGTGTATTGATGAATACATATCATGAAGTTGTCGAGCAAACTTGGGTATCTTTGGTTTCTTGAAAAATGGTTGTTGGTCCAAATAATCTTTATCATAGCTGTCTTGATCCATCGTTGTTGTTTTTGACAGAGGTCGACTGGTATCATATAATAAGAAATGGTCCTTGTTCAAATGTCCATAGAGATGTCCCATAATCACATCAGGATATTGAGCAGAAATTCTGGTGTAAGATGCCAAACATGAAAAACGGTAAGTATCTTCAGCAGGAGGAACATGACCCAAGACAAGCACCTTGTAACCATCCATTCTAGCCTTGATAAGTTGTTGTTCAAACCAATCCATGTGTTGTTGAGCATCACTACCAGGTTTTCCACATCCTTGTAACTTTTTGTTTTTCTTGATAAAATACATAGTATTAATAGACAAAGCACGTAATTGAGGACCCACATCGACTACAAATGCACCATACTTGAGGAAATCATCCTGTTGTTGTTGAGGAATCCAATGTTTCCAGAGATGTTGATAAAATCGTAACAGTCGATTGGTATTCTTGTCAGTACCGTTACCCATGGTAATTCGATTATGAGGAATGACATCGTTGTTACCAAGGCTAGGGATAACAGGGATATCACCAAAGGACCCATGTATCATATTTGCCATCATACGATTGGACTCATAAACGTTACTGCGATTTCGTTTCATTTGCTTATCCCAGTCATGTCTATTATTCAAAAAAAAAAAAAAAAAAGTGAGACAACTTTGATCGATTTTTATCACTAATTTTTTTTTTTTTTTTTTTTTTTTTTTTTTTTTTACCTTGCATTATCACCAGTCCAAACAATAAAATCTAATTTTTGCTTCCATTCCTTTGATACCCAATCTACTGTTTTCTGGGCTAAAACGGTAGGAGTATCACATCCCGACATTCCAAAGTGAAGAGCAAGACCGGATTTGTGCTTCGTTGTTGCTGCAGAAGACGGTGGTTTGTGGCACGCTGATTCAATAGTAGACCCCGCCACATAACTGTTATCTAGCTATATATTAAAAAAAAAAAGGAAGAATAAGTTTGATAGTTTACTTTTCATAAATATATATATATAATTACATGAAAATCAGTAATATGTAAGAAATATCCGTAGTCAGTTGAGTTTTGGTCAGAATGGTGTTGGTCGTCCGGGAAAGTAGAAAGAACCTGTGTACACCAAGTAAATGCCAAGTAAAGAATAAGGAAGGTTATTGAGAAATAAACCAATCTCAACATGACAAACATATTCATTGAACAAAGTGATTCTATTTCTATAAAATATATAAATATAATGAATATATAAAAAAAAAAAATAGAAAAGAAAGAAGAAAAAAAGAGAAAAGAGAGGGTTAAAAAATCGAAAAAAAAGAAAAAAATGTCAAATTTATGACGACCAATGCAATGAACAATTTCAAACGCCGTAGAGCTTAATCCCTTTTTGTATAGTTTCGTCTTGGTGGCTTTTTCGTACATCAAAAAAGAAAAATTTTTCAAGGGAGTTTGTAAATGAAAAGAAGAAATTTTTTTCTCTATTTACTTTTTTTTTTCTTTCTCTTTCTCTTCCTTCACATTCTCAACTTTTAACAATGGCCCCTACTGCTACTATCAAGAAGTCCAAGTTCGTTATTGACTGCTCTGCTCCTGCCAATGACAAGATCTTTGATGTTGCTGCTTTCGAAAAGTATCTTCATGACCGTGTCAAGGTTGAAGGTCGTACCAACAACTTGGGTGAAGCTGTGACCATTACTCGTTCTGATAACAAGATTGTTGTTGTTGCCAATATTGCCTTCTCTAAGCGTTATCTCAAGTATTTGACCAAGAAGTTTTTGAAGAAGAATCAAATCCGTGACTGGCTCCGTGTTATCGCTACTGACAAGCAAACCTTTGAACTTCGTTACTTCAACATTGCCAATGATGAAGAAGAAGCTGATGAAGAATAGATTAGTAGTATTCCATTCCCTTCCTATTTATAGTCTAGTTTAGTTTAGTTTTTTTTTTTGTTGATTCTTGTGTACATAGTTATTTTGTTTTTATTTAATCTTTTTTTTTTATTGGGTGAGACGAGAACGAACCCGATGGGCTAAAAAAAAATAAAAATTTTTGCTCACAAATCACAATCTCTGGGATTATTCGAACGACCTCCAGTACGATTAACGATTAATGATGATGATGATGATGATTTTATAATTGATGATGTTTATTATAGATTGAACAACTTTATTTACCCAGTTATGATTCAAATTGGACCAAGAAGGTATTGAACCAAAAAAGAAGCAAGATACTCTGTTATACTTTTGATTTGTTAAATCAATTAGTAAATAGAAGGTACCTAGATTGTACCAATATGATTACCAAAAATGAAAATGAAAATGAAAATGACTTTTATATTGATTATCAATAAGTTTTTTGTTAAAATGAGTACAACGTATGATGTTAAAAAAATGTTAAATCATATGATTACCAAAATAGAAAAAGAAAATTTCACCTGTGAGACTTAACTCAAACCTTTAGGAGTGTATTGTTGCATGGGAGTTTTGAGACAAAAAAAAGCACCAGTTTACCTGGTAAAAAAAAAAAAAAAAAAAAAAGGGGAGAGGGGCTCCAAATTGGTTGTCCGGTTCCTTTTTACCTAGTTTGCCTTTTTTTTTTGATCTATTTATTCCTTATTTTTTTTTCCTTTCCCTTCTCCTATTTTTTTTTTTTTATTCACTCCATTTTATCACTACTTATTACTATTATCACCATTATTACTACTACTATTATCATCGTTACATTACAACAATGAGACGTCTTGTCTTTGGGCGATTCTCTTTTTGTCGATGGCTATTTTACTATTTCATACTATGTCTTATTATAGTACCTTTTATAGTATCTTCACCATTACCTTCTATTGATGATAATGAAAAACCTTCTTCTATTATTCTATCAACCACTAGTCACAATGCTTTAGAATCGACAAACTCTTCTCATTCTTCTCAACAAACATACAATGATAAAATGGAAATGACAAATACAGCCAATAAAACAAGTGGGAACAATGACGACAGTCTAGAAGAACAATTGAAAGACGATCAAGTGGCCTTGAAACGAATGGTGACTATTCTATCTTTGGTAGGAGGGCTTGGTGCTGTGGCAGTAGTGACAACCATTGTGATTTTTACCAGAATGCGGAAACGGAAGCATCGAATCAACAAAACATCTAACAATTTTGATGATGATGATAAATCGATATTAAGTCAACACCATCAACAAAGCAACAACAGCAACAATGATGATGATGATGATAATGATAACAACAATATCAACACTACTACGAACGAAAGTTTGGAAGATAATACAGGGAATGAAACATCAATTCGACCTGAAAACAATACCAACAACAATCAGCAAGCAAATATACCATCAACGTCAAATGAAAGAAGAAGAGTAGACATGATTATACCACAACCATCAGCACCTCCCACTACTATGACATCTCCACCCTCTAGTCTCGGAACTTGCCACCATAGACGAATATTCTCCTTATCATTACAACAGTCTACTCCTGAACCATCAGCACCTTCAGCAAAAGAATTGGCTAGTCATCAAAATATAAGCAACGAACCTACTTGCACCTATTGTGATCAAACTCAACAACACTACCACCATGATGATGACGCCTCTTTGAATAATTCAGTATTGATGTCGACACCAGATTTACCGCCACCTGCCTACACACCTAGTGCTCCACCTTTGTACAATAGAATGCATGAAAATCAGTGGAATGGATAATACTGTTGATATATCATGACTAACTTTTGCAACAAACCAACGATTATCAAGATGGATGGGACTTTACCATTGTTAGTTAGTTAATTATTGGTTGAATTCTGTAAAAGTGGGACTGGTTTCTCTCTTTTTCTATTTTATATCATCCTTTAGTATATTTCCTTTTTGTACTTCAATTGTTATTATATCTCTCTCTTACTGTATACCTTTTTTTTTCTTCTTCTTCTATATATCCATAATAAAACTATATATATTTTGATATATATATATATTTATCTATTTTTCGTCTTTATGACCTTTGATACTTAGTTTCTATACCTCCTTAAATATGTTCACTCCTTATGATTCCATTATTTTCACTATATCTACCTTTATACTAGTCTGCATATTTTCACACAATTTATTATACTTTCTCCTCTTCTAAAAAAAAAAAAAATAAGTTTGAAGTATTTCTCTATTTGAAAATATAACAGGACTCCTTATAAAAAGTTCAATGTTCTCGACCCTTTCAAAAACATATCAATTTCTCCTTGATATTTCTTTTATGATCATCAATCCTATTGAAATAGCATTATTAAAATAACGTGTGTATAACTGATGATGGATCCCTTAGTATTATCCCTTTTCAATATATCTTTGTTCAACTACTTGATTGGTATGAATCTATTGAATCGCGATCTCTCTCTCCCCCCTTCTCTCTCTCTCTCTTTTATCCCACTTTATCCTTTATTCTCCTTCTATTCTTTTTTTTTTTTTTTTAATACAGATAAGATTTGTTTATTAAGATATTCGGCTATATCGATTAAATTTATCAAATTGATCGGATTATCACTAGTTAGTCTAAATTTATACCAATGACGATGATGATGGTGACGACGATAAATGTTTTCTCCTGATACTTTGTATTTATCCCACTCATCTGGTCATTCATCACTCTCTCCCCTCTCATCTCCCTCGAATGAATAATAATAATAATAATAAAATTGGATTGAAAACTTGACATTTCCCTTTTTTTTATCGAGTATAAAAACGGGTTTTTATTTTTTTTTTATTTTTTTTTATTTTTATTTTTTTATTCTTCTTTATTTGATTTGTAAAGAATATATTTTATCTCTTTGTCTCTTTAAGCATTCTATCTATCAAATTTATTTCTTAGTTTACAACATGTTGGCTTTTAAATCTATGATCATTACCTTGACTTCTTTGGTCGCCTTTACTGCTATGGTGAATGCTGATGATGGTGGCTTTTTTTCTTTGACCAAGCGTGGAGAATGTAATGAGTTTGGTGGATGTGCTCAAGATTGCAATGCCCTTTGTTCTGCAAAGGAGAAGGACGCTGGTGTGTCTTTGCAGAGTGTTTGCTACTTGCAGACTTGTTTCTGTGGTTTCAGTCCTTAGTAAACCATCATTTCTCCCTTTTTTTATTCATTATCTCTCCATTTTATACCGATGACCTTAAATACTATCACTCATTCTTTTTTTTTTTTTTTTTATACATACAATCATGGTTTTTCTCGTTATCCAAGAGTAATATTCCTTTTTTAATGGTTTTATTTTCTTTTTTACCCAAAAAATAAAAATAAAATAAAATGAAATCATTATATGTATCTTGTTTTCTATGTCTAGTATTTTATATATCTTGTCTGGTGATGATCATTATAAAAATCATCATCTTTGCGTTCATAGAAAGTATAATCATTATGAATTGTCATCTACATATCAATCATCATCCATCCTTTTATCACAGATCATATTCTTTTTTATTTTTATTATTATTATGATTTGAAAAGCTATGTATCCTTTTTACGTTTTACGAAAAAAAAAAAAAAAAACAAATTATCAAAATAGAGACCACCGATATTTCTTTCTAGTGAGCCAAAATAAAAAGACACATGATATCTTAGCATTCTTAAAGTGGAGCAATAGGAGACTTAAACAATAAAAAGTAGGAGAAAAATAGGATTATCTTCCCTCCTTGTGATATCGAGCATTGATATCAACAAGGAGAAAGAGAATGATAATAATAGATCAAACTATATGTAAAAGCTTTGGACTTGATGCTTGGTGACGGTAGAATTTTTTTTGTGGGTGAAATCGTCAAGACATATTGAAATATTTTATATTACCTTATTTGTTTTCCATAATGAATCAAAGGCCTTACAGCAAAGTAGCGGTGTTAGAAATAGGCCAATCCAATCCAATCCAATTCAATCTTTCCAGTTGCTTTGTTGTTGTTATTTTTTCTATTTTTCTTTCTTTTCTTTCCGCCACTTTTTTTTTTCTTTTTTTATTATATCAACAATGTCATCGACTACACAAACAAATCGTTTAACAAAAGAAGAATATCGAAGGCAGAAGGATCTTGACGCAGCTCGTAAAGCGGGAACAGCACCAGCAGCTATCGATGATGAAGGCAACGAAATCAATCCTCATACACCTCAGTTTATGTTAAATGCTCCTTGGTATGTGGACACTGGTAAAGTCTCTTTGAAGCATCAACGTGCACCTGAAAAACGTAAAGGACCCAAGTTTGGTCCTGATGATAATTATTGGTATGCAAGAGGAAAACGAGTGGTAAGTTGATGAATATCAATAAAACATAGATTCGATCTCTCATATGATTTTTTTTTTTTTTTGGTATAGGGACCAGCAGCAACAAAATATCGAAAAGGTGCTTGTGAAAATTGTGGAGCCATTAGTCATAAAACTCGAGATTGTGTAGAACGACCTAGAAAGAAAGGGGCCAAATGGACGGGCAAGAACATTCAAGCTGATGAAATTATACAAGAAGCTGATTTGGATTGGGATGAAAAACGAGATCGTTGGAATGGCTATGATCCCAAGGAACATGATCAAGTAATTGAAGAATATAACAAAGTGGAAGAAGCAAGACGATCGGCCAAGGCATCGGAACTGGATAAGGAAGGTCCTACAACAACACAGGAAGCAAAGAAATGGGCTAAACAGAACAAAACTGGACAATTATCGGATGATGAGGATAATGGAAATGAGGATGACGATGATGATGACAAGTATGCAGATCAAGCAGATATGCCAGGACAACATGTGAATCAAAAGACAAGAACGACCATTCGAAATCTTCGTATTCGTGAAGATACAGCCAAATATTTACTCAACTTGGATACCGAATCTGCATTTTATGATCCCAAAACTCGATCAATGCGTGACAATCCTTTGAAAGATAAACCGGAAGATCAAGTCAGTTTTGCTGGTGACAACTTTACAAGATACACAGGGGATGCTCCTGAAATGGCAAAAGTACAAATGTTTGCTTGGCAAGCCGGTGATCGTGGTAGTCAAGTTCATTTACAAGCTAATCCTACTCAAATTGCTTTATTACACAAAGATTATGAAGCCAAGAAGGATAAAGTACGTGGATCAACTCAAAAAGGCATTTTGGAAAAATATGGTGGTGCAGAACATTTGGAATCTTTACCCAAGGAACTCTTATTGGCACAATCTGAAAACTATGTGGAATACTCAAGGACTGGTCGGGTCATCAAAGGGCAAGAAAAAGCAAAAGCGAGATCAAAATATGAAGAAGATGGTAAAGTGAATCAATTAAGATCATTTGATAAGAAACTAAATATTTATCTTTTTTTTTTTTCCTTTTGTTCTTAGTTTTTATCAACAATCATCATTCTGTATGGGGATCTTATTGGTCAGATGGTAAATGGGGTTATCAATGTTGTCGTTCATTCATGAAAAATTCATATTGCACTGGACAAGCTGGAATTGAAGCACAACAAAGTTCAGCTCAACTTTTACAATAGATATCAATATACTTCTGATTATAACCTTCATTTTATTTTTTGACAACCTTATCAATCAATTTTTTTTTTTTAGTTTAGTTTAATCTAGTCTAGTTGTAGTCATAGGATGTATATGTAGTTTGGAATAATGTCAAAAATAAATATATATATTTATATATAGTGTATTTACATGCAAGAGCAATCAGGGGAGAAGTAGAAAGAGCGGGTTTTTTTTTTCTTGTCTCCTATTTTCAATTTGATTTGAATGCGTTGATGATCGTTTGCCTTCTCTCTCTTTTTTTTTTTAAACCTCCCTGCAATTTCTCATGATTCCTGTCGTCCCAGAGAAAAAAGAAGGAAAAAAAAAGTCGATCTATTTGTACAACCCGTTTTTTTTTTTTTTTGTGAAATGAAGTTGGATAAAGTAAACATTTATTTTAGATGCATATTCATCCTACATTTTTTTTATTGTTGTTGCAATTATATATTATGAAGCGATAAAAAGAAGGTTGAAATTCTTATGTAAATGAATTCAACATTCTCATTGATCTTATTGATCCCAATAGATGGAGATGATGCTACGGTCGGGGTGTAACGTCCAATTTGTTGATATGTGACACAAAAATTTAAACATACATTGGTTCGCCTTTTGTCTCTAAAATTGTGTGTGTGTGATAAAATAGAAACCAAATATTTATTTTTATATCAATAAGGACTTGAGAATGATGAACGATGATGGTGATGGCAAAATAGATGATGATAGTAAAATGATGATTTAGTCAATGATGAGGAGTAAAAAAAAAAAAAAAAGAATAGCAGCAAAAGGGGAGTGAGAGAATCAAACAACTAAAAAAAAAAAAAAATGATAGAGTGAATTAAAGTAAGGAGCTATTTTTGACTTTTTGACACACATCCAACTACACAGGCACACAAACTAATTGGTGAAAAGGCATATTATAGTTCTTTGCTAGCTAATAAAAAAATAATAATAAAAAAAAAGAGGTCATTTTCTTTTTTCTTTTCTTCATTTTTCTTTTTCTCTTTCTTTTCATTTTTTTTTCTTTTTTCCTTTTACTCCACCCCCTCCATTCTTTTATAATCTCTCCTCTCATTTAACTTATTTTCCTTTTCCACTTATCACGTCACCCAAGTTTTCTTTCCCTTCCTTTTGATACCCGTCTTCTTTCCATTCCTTAGTCTTTCCTTCATCGATCATATATATATATATTTCTTTTTTTTTTTCTTAATACATTTCATCACATCAGTAACAAATAATCATCATCATGAATACCGATACCGATTTTACCTTTGATGAATACATCATGCCTACAACGTACGCTACTTCACACTCCAAATTGGACTTGGATAATACTTTCAATACTGGTAAAATAATAATCCCTTTTTTTTTTCTTTCTTTATAATCGGAATTCAAATTTAATTTTTTTTTTTCTTCTTCTTTTCTTTCTTGTCATTCTAGCGACTTATTCTGCTCCTCTTCTTAACTCGTCCGACATTAGTTTTCTTCCTACTGTATTCGACTTGCCTGATTCACCACCAGCCTCGACACCACCATTGTTATCTTCTAGTTCCACCATCTCTGAAAAGATTGCCAAAGTCAATACACTACCTGATTCATTTTTACCTCAATTCCATCAATACTCGAAAGAATCCTATGAAAATGGACGTAAGAAGAAAGCTAAGCGTATGAACTCCAACAACAGTCTTACAAATGCCAACAATAGTAGCAAAACAAGTGATGACGACTCTGATGAAGATAACAACAACAATAATAATGCTGCTGCTGCGTTGGAAATGCGTCGACAAATCCATATCCAAAGTGAACAAAAACGACGTGCTCAAATATCCGATGGATTCCAAGAATTACGCCAACATTTACCTGGTTGTATCAACAAAAAAATGAGCAAGGCTGCTTTATTACATCGTACTGTTCAACATCTTCAACATCTCAAGAAGAATCAATCCTCCTTATTGACTGAATTGGAACGTCTTGTTACTGAAAATGAACAATTGAAGAAATTTCAAGACTCAGTGTTACAAAAACAAGCTTTGGAAAGAATGTATCATGTTTCCATGTAAACCTGTCTGCTATTCTATTTTTGTGCCTTTGTCTTTTTCTTTTTTTTTTCTCACTTTCTCTCTCTCTCTTCTTCCTTCTTCTTTTATTTGATGTACAAGTCTAGTTAGTAGTCAATTCTTCAATTCTTGATCGATATATATATCTATATACACTTATTTATTTCTGTTTGTAGTGTGTATGTATTCATTTACTACCAAACCAACCCTTTCCCCTCTTTTTTTTTTCCCCTTCTTTTTTTTTTTCTTCTTTTTACCTTTTTTTTTTAACTTTTCTCCCTTTCAACCATTTTCTCCTTTTTTTTTTCATTTTTATTTAGTTTATTTCGGCCAGTTATTCCATTTTTTATTAGATCTTTTCTTTTATCATTTGCCTCACACTCTTCAATCATTCAATAAAACTGGTCTTTTTTTTTTTTTTTTTTGGTCATCAAACTATTTTATTACTGCTATTTTTTTTTTGGAATCACATGCTATTTGATTGGGAAATCTGACTAAAAGCATAGATCATTTTTCTAGCTATTCTATACATACATACTAAATATATTAAATAAAATTGAAAATATCACTGAGGATAATGTTTGTATAGATAGAGACAATCGAATAAACCAAATTGAAATAAATCGTTCCTGGGGTAAGGCGGAGATGGCCAACGTTTTGTAAGAGCATACGTGATATAATTGTATGTGTGGGGAACAAGCCTTGGACTCCGACAGAAAAAGAAAAGACTTGACAAAGCGAATTTCTTGCACTTTTTTTTTCCCTTTTCTTTCCATCGTTCAATACTTTTTTTTTTTTACGTTCCTTTCTTTTTATATGCCCAAACAACTTATTATACAGTTTACGCCTATAAGATCTTGTCTTGTCAATTTACCTTCTCAATGGGTGAATGCTTTATTAGATCAACGCAAGGTAGGAACCTAGTTTCAAAAGTCATGGTGTTGAATCTATCTCGTAATCACATACTTCGTTTTTAACTTTAAACTATTTTTTTTTTTGACTATGAATATGAATAGGTACCGCAAAATGTCATGTTGGAATTGGCTTGGACAAATAAGCCTGCAGGTGAAAATAAGAAAGGTTATTTTGGATGGTCTGGTCAAGCTTCAAAACCATTATCTCCCAATTCTGTTTTCACACATGGTTCTAATGGAAAACTTGACGTGTTAGAAATGGACCCTCAACTTGGTACTGCCATTGGTTTATCTGAAGGTCAAAAGGTAAATAAAGAAAGATAAAAAAAAAAAAGAGTGTTGGTTGGTTTTACTGACAAACACATATTCTCTTGGGGTTAATAGGTCAATGTTGAATTCTGTCGCAATGTGCCCGAATGTACTACGGTAAATGTAGAACCTCATACTGAAGACGACTGGGAAATACTGGTAAGATTAATTCAAGGAAGATATATTATAGTCTGAAGTGTTTTGCAGTGTCCTCATTACATCGTCTTTTTCTGTTTATTTATGTTTTTAGGAATTACATGCTGGTTATGTAGAAGAAAATCTACTTAGTCAAATCCGAGTGGTATATACAAATCAGTTGATGTGTGTTTGGATTCATGGGAAGACATTGGTGCGTTTACGAGTGGGTAAGTCTAAATATATATATATATATATATATATATGAGGCATGAGAATGGTTTTTCATCTTTTTTTCTTTTACTCATCTTTTATTATTATTATTATTAGCCGAACTCAATCCAAGGAATGAATTTGTCAAGTTGACTACAAATACTGAAGTGATTGTTGCTCCCAAAGTACGTCAATTGACAAAAGCCTCTGATTTAGCTGCCTCTGCTCAATTCTCCTCAGCAAAGGACCAAAAGATGTCCACTCCTCATATTTGTTTACGGAACTTGTCTGATACACCTGATATAGTTACTACTCCCATGTCCGTGATGATACACCCTGATGATCTTTCTGGTGTCAGTCAAGGTCTAGTGCGATTATCCAAAGTGATTCCTGGTTATGCTGCTTCTACCACTTCGTCTTCACGAAAATCAACCAATGCTGGAACATCTGCACCTGCTGCAGTTTCTACTACCGACAATGATGAAGATAAAGAGAATACGATGATCGATGATGATCTCTCGTCTCCTGCCAAGTTTGTCTACGCTTTTCTAGAAATCAGTACTACTATACCTCGTTATCATGTATCTTTAGGATCTGTCATCAAATCAACTCTGGACTTGGACGATTTTGACATTGTTAGGTAAGTCATATATATATATATATATATATATATATTTGTATACAAGATTAGAGATAATATCATACTCATATAAAACCTTTGTTTTTTTTTGTCCTTCAAGGTTGGCTGCTGTAACAGTAAGGAAATCGACTCCTGGATCTCTAGTGTTTAGACGTTTCGTCACTTCTCAAGCTTCTAATTCTACTTTAAAGTTTGACTTGGATTCCAATCAAAATCAAGCTCAGGAAAAGTCTCAAAAAGAAAAGATATTATCTCAGGAATTGAAAAGTAAGTTATAAAAAAAATAGATGAAATAGAAAATGATGATTTATGGAATGATGTATATATTTATCTTTTTTTTTTTTTTTTTTTTTTTTGTATAGAGGTATTGTCAAGCATGGCCGTTCAAGATAGTATAGCATTGACTCAGGGACTTGTAGTATCTCTTAGTGAAGGAAAAGGCCTTATTCAATTTGGGCAAAAGAAACGACTTTTTGGTGTTCTAGGTAACGGTAGTTCTCCGTCTGATCATTCTACAGAATTATACACAACATTGTCTTCGACTCAAGTGAAGGATCTTCAAATTGATATTGGTGAAGATATTACCAAAATGGAGGATACAAATAAGACGAAAAAGGCACCATTACGGTAAGATACGTAATGTGGTAAATAATGACTGATATCATTAAATTTTTATATACTTTGATATGGTAGTTCTTCTGAAATGGGTGGAATAGAAAAAATCTTCAAACGATTATACCATTATACTATGGCCAACATTACCAAAGGGGATTTGAAAAATGCCCTTGGTGTACCGGGATCTGGAGGTGTTTTGGTGACTGGAGCTCATGGATCTGGCAAGACGGAATTAATTCGAAAATTACTTTATACTGCAAGAACAGATCGATCATCGCTGACATGTAAGAAAGTGTATTAAGAGATAGGATAGATAAGAGGGAAAAAAATACTCAAGTGGTTTTTTTTATTGTTAATAATATTATGATGATAGATACTTTGGAAGTAAATTGTGCTGAAATTGCTGATGAACGGATTCCAAACTTGAAGGAAATGCTTCAAAAATGGTGTGATGAAGCTGCTTGGCATGCACCTTCTATTCTCTTCTTTGATGATATTGATCGATTGATTCCCGCTGAAGTGGAACATGCTGATTCCACACGATCAAGACATATTGCCGAATTATTTACACAAGTGATTTTGACAATGACCAAACGACATTCCATCATGGTGATTGCCACTTCTCAACAACAATCTATTCATCCATCTTTGATCACGAATCATGTATTTAGTGAATTACGACACTTGAACCCTCCTTCCCGTGATGAACGAAAACAGGTACAATAAAAGAAAAAGAAAAGTAAGAACTGGTTTTCACATGGTTTTTTGGAAAATAGATTATGCACTCCATTATGGCTCAAGGATCTAGTGTTTTGACAAAGAGTTTGCCAAATATTGATCTTGTCTCAGTGGCTTCTGAAACTGAAGGATATTTGGCTGCAGATTTGAAAGCATTGATTGAACGAGCAGTTCATGAAGGTGCTGTACGTAGTATCAAAGAAAAAATGGGCGACAATAGGCTAGAACAAGTTGTGGATACTGATGATCAACAAGTACAACAATCTCTTCAATTGATTCAACAAGATTTCACTCAAGCACGTGAAGGGTTTGTCCCATCTTCTCTTCGTGGTGTCAAGTTGCAAAGTTCTGGTGTTAATTGGTCAGATATTGGTGGTTTGAATGAAACTCGACATGCTCTTTTGGAAACTCTTGAATGGCCTACTAAGTATGCATCTGTTTTTGCTCAATGTCCACTCCGTCTTCGATCAGGGTAAGATTATTTTTTTTTTAAAAAAAAGGAAGAATATAATGAAAGTATCTGATCATCCATCTTTTTTTTTTTTTTTTGTATGTAAAAAAAAAAAGATTATTGCTTTATGGATATCCAGGTTGTGGCAAGACTTTATTAGCTTCTGCTGTGGCCAAAGAATGTGGACTGAATTTTATTAGTGTCAAGGGTCCAGAAATTCTCAACAAGTATATTGGTGCAAGTGAAAAATCCGTCCGTGATCTATTTGAGCGTGCCTCCGCTGCTAAACCTTGTGTACTTTTCTTTGATGAATTTGATTCTATTGCACCAAGACGGTAAATATATTTAAATTTTATACATTAAAATTTTGTAGATAATTGTTTATTTAATCTTTTTTTTTTTGTTTACTAGAGGTCATGATAGTACTGGTGTAACAGATCGTGTCGTGAATCAAATGTTGACTCAAATGGATGGTGCTGAAGGATTGGATGGTGTCTATGTTTTGGCAGCTACTAGGTAAAAAAAAAAAAAAAAAAAAATGGACGATGAATATTGCAGATTTATTTAATTCTATTTTTCCAACTAGTCGACCTGACCTTATTGATCCAGCCTTACTTCGTCCTGGTCGTCTTGATAAAGCACTTTTATGCGGTATGCCAAACTTTGATGAACGTTTAGAGGTATGATGATGAAGAATGATGAATCAACGATGGATCTTAATTTTTTTTTTTTTTTGTTAGATTCTTCAAGCGCTCTCTCGAAAAATGACGCTGGCATCAGAAGTGGATTTGAAGGAATATGCTAAAAAAACAGAAGGATTTTCCGGAGCAGATTTGCAAGGATTTCTTTACAATGCTCATTTGGAAGCGATTCATGGTACTATCAATATTGACAGCTTCAAGGAACAACAAAAGAAAGAAAAGGAAGTAACGGAAAATAATGAAGAAATCAATGGTGATTTTGTGATGATTGGTGGTCACGATGGCGATTCCGGCAAAACAAAGACACCTTTGACACTTGCTGAAAAAGGACAAATATCCCAACGAGTAAGTAAAAAAAAAAAAAAAAAAAAGGTGATTGTAAACTAACGTTATATTATTGTTGTTATTATTCAACTAGTTGACTATGATTAAGAAAGGGATCAAGGGAAACAATAATAAGAAGAACAATGTCAAGAAGGCTAAAGTAGTTGAACAAGAGGTTGCGATGATCACGGTTGGATATCTAGAAAAATCGTTGAAATCTACTCGACCTTCCATTACGGCTGAAGAATATATGCGACTTAAATCTATCTATGATGAATTTGTGACTGGACGTACTGGTGAATTACCCTCAGGTGAAGGTGCAAAAGGAATTGGAAAACGATCGACTTTAGGATAGATTTTAGAATAGATATTTTACAAATTTATACAGTTCTTTAGATGAATAATAATAATAATAAAATACCTGATTTATTTGATGTTACACTATAGATCTTAAGGTATCAAGTTTGACCTGATAAAGAGCATCTGATTATTTCATGTCAAAAAAAAAAATATAAACTATTTTTTTTTTTTTTTTTTTTTTTTATTTCACCGAGTCAGATAGAAGATCAGATCATTTATCAAAAAGTTTCAAATCAAAAAAAGGTCTTTTCATTTACAATGGTTTCACCCCTTTTACCCCTTGATTTCACAATTTATATTCATGACAAGTCTAATAGAGATCAAATAGAGAAGAAGAAGGATGATTAAAATCCCTTTTTTCTTTTATATTATCATTAGAAAAATTGTTATTTATCCACTATTGAAATTTAAGAAATGAGAATAATAATGATAATAATTATGATGATGATATTGAGGATTATACATTCGATAACCATATAAGTAAAAAAATGCTGAGTTCCTTTTTAGAGCCAATAATTGGATCCCCTCCCATTGGTCTTGTTTTGACTGCTGGTCAGGTCGAATTACAGTTTTTGACTGTTCTCGTCGGACTCCCGTACAAAAAAAAAAAAAAAAAAATTGTAAAGAGCCAAGATTTCCCTTTTTCCTTCCCTTTTTTTTTTTTTTTTTGGCCCTTTCTCTTCTTCTCTCGAACCTTTTTCTTTTCTATTTTTATTCTATTTGTTTCCATCTTCCCCTTTATCTATTTTGATTCTTTCTTTTTTTGAAAAAAAAAACTTCAAACGTAAGTTAAAGTTTAATATCAAATGTTGATTTTGAACGAAAGACTAAAAAAAGAAAGAAAGAAAAAAAAAAAAAAGAAAACTAGTTTTCTTGTATAAGGATTATGTCAAGCATCTCCTTTTTATATATCATCAAAAAAAAGTTGACCTTGATATAATTTTCTTGTTACTTAAAAATATATATATTTATTTGATGGTGAAATATGGTTTTTATACTAATAACAATCTTTTTTATTTCTTTTGTTCCTTATATATATATATATATATCTATATATACAAATAGGTTTTGATATTGAATTTAACCTACCAACTTCTTTACTAATACTGTGACCATGGGACGAAAAAAGATCAAGATCCAAACTATTGAAGATGATCGGAATAGACAAGTAAATGAATAGAATAATAAATATATACTTATATTAATATAATATATTTTATTATAGGTTACGTTTTTGAAACGAAAACACGGTTTGATGAAGAAGGCCTATGAACTTAGTGTACTTTGTGATTGTGAAGTTGCTTTGATTATCTTTAACAATAATGGGAAACTTGTACAATATGCTAGTACGGAAATTGACAAGATATTAATGAAATACACTGAAGTAAGTCAAAAAAAAAGGGGGGAAGTGAAGGACAGGGGTTATCGAAAGATAAATATACTTAGTAATTGTACCTTTATTATTATTAGTATAACGAACCTCATGAAAGCAAATCCAATCATGATGTAAGTAATATCTTATTTATTCATAATCATTCAACTTATTATTTCTATTTTTTTTTCTTATTAGTTTGTCAATTCTTCTGAACTCGATGATAACAAATTAGAAGAAGAAGAAATTGGAATGGAAGATCATACTGAATTACCTAGAAATCAAGCTTCGTCATCCTCTAAGCAACAACCTTCTCAACAATCGCAACAACAACAACCACAACAACAACAACAACAACAAGCTATCCCACATACTACAGCACCAGCAACTATCACTCCTTCTCCTCCACCACATATGTTGAATCCTCAATTCAATCAGACCTCAGGCGTTCCTCATCAAGCACCTGTTTATTATCAACCCCAACCTAGTCAAATGCGTTATGCTATTTCTCAACCTCTTCAACATCCACCTCATGTACAACATCATCATCACCATCAACAACACTCTGGTATGCATTCTTCTGGATACGATGTCTATTCAATGCCACCATCCCATCATCAACAACAACAACAACAACATCACCCTCATCACCAACAATCTCAACAACAACATCTTCCTCATTCTCATCATCATCATCCTCAACAGCAACCTTCTGGACCATCTCCACAAATGTATATGATGCATGTAAGTTTAAATTAGAAACAAATGAGCAATTCCGGAACAAAAGGAATCTTTTTTTTTATTAATGGTATTCTTTTTTTTTTTTTTTTTTTTTTTTTTTTTTTTTTTTTTTAGGGAACACACGTGGGCGGACCTCCTCCTCCTGGTATGACGTATCATCCACTACCTTCACCTTCGCATCTTCATCAAGGACAACAACAATTGCAACAATCCCAAGCCCCACATCAAATGCAGACAACTTACTCTCAATCACCTCCACCACATCATGACCAACAACAACAACAACAACAAAAACAAGGATCTCCTGGAAATCATTCTCGACAACCATCGGCACATTCCCCATATCCTGCTCCTGTAATATCATCAATGACACCAGGGTCTTCTCCTACTGGAAGTCCCGCAAGGAAACCACCTAATCTTCGCGTTCAAATCCCAGAAGCTGTTGATCATGTCTCTTCTCCACCACAACACAATGACCAACATAATCAACATAAACGTACAATTTCTTCATCATCTATACATTCCAATCACAATAAAGATAACGATGAGGAAAAGGGAACACTGGAAGGTATAACAACAACAACAGTGGAAGGACCTTCAGTATCTTCAACTAATGCGGGTACAGGAACAGCGGCAACAGGAACAACGTCAACAACATCATCATCAATAGTAGCGAATGCGACAACAGTAACAACAGGATCAGATGAGCCAGGACCTCCTTCAGCTGGTCCACCTTCAGCTCTTCCATCTCAATTTGCTCAAAATTTACCAAGTCCTTCCTCATTTTATCCAGATTTCTTCCAACAAAGTGAATTACCAAGTCCTTTGAATTTTTCGGCAACACCTACAGTTGGAAACACATTCCATTGGCCACCACCACCTAAGGATTACAAACCATCGCCATTAGCCAAACTTGGAAGGTAAGATAGAGAAAGAAAGAAAGATGAACCTGATGTGAATACTTACCTTATTATATATATTAAAACTATAGTGAATCATTGAAACGACCTAAACAAGAAACAAAAGAGGATGAAGATCAAGATAGGAATCAGGATGATACAATATCAAAAAAGCAAAAGACGTGATGAAAATAGTAGAAAATAGGTTAGTTTATGTTTATTTTTTATTATTATTACTATTATTATTATTTTACCATTACTATTTCATTGAATTGTATATACTTCTTTATTTCCATATCACCATTCACCTTTTTTTATTTTATTTTGTTCTCTTTTCACCCCCCAATCACACACACAATTTGAAATAAAAGAAAAAAAAAAAGTGAACCATATACACTTTTTTTAAAATTCCGTTCATCTTTTTTTTTTTTCTCTTATTTTATGACATGAAAAGGGAAAATATTAATTCTTTTTTTTTTTTTTCCTTTTATTTTTAATGTTAAGGCACCATTTGATTCATTCTTCCATCAAGTCTAGTAGAAGACTTCGTTGGATGACTACCTTTAATTCAACAACTTCCTGTATAGCTTCATTGACTCAACCCTTACGATCTGAACCCATAGGTTATATTAACATTTCTCGACCTATACCTTATGATATTGGACTAAAGCTTCAACAATCACTTGTACAGCGACGACATGAATTGACTCATCAACTCAAAACCGGTAACTCCTCCTTGGACAAAAATACTCCTTTGGATATTGTTTTATTTTTACAACACACACCTACCTTTACAGCAGGACGTCGGATCCGAGGTGACATTCAAGAAGAACAAAGATTAAAGGCTTCAGGTGCTGATTATGTCGAGGTAAGTTCCAAAACACATAAATTTAAACTCTCATTTTTTTTTTTTTAATATTAGACAATGCGTGGTGGACAAGTGACCTTTCATGGTCCTGGGCAATTGGTGGCCTATCCTATCTTGGATATTCGTGATTATCAGGTAAATATATATATTATGTTTATATTAGTGATTCTTACTATCATTATAAATAATAGCTATCAGTACGATGTTATGTATCTCGATTAGAAAAGACAATCATTGATACCTGTGCCTCCTTTGGAATCCAAGCGAATACAACTGAAAATACAGGTGTATGGGTAGGACAAGATCATAAAATCGCTGCTTTAGGTGTACATTTACAACGATATGTCAGTAGTCATGGGGTTGCTTTGAATTGTGATGTGGATTTGAATTGGTATAAGCAAATTGTACCTTGTGGATTACCTGATAAGAAAGTGACGTCCCTGAGTGATCAATTGAATCGTCAAGTCTCCGTATCTGAAACTGTCCCGGTCTTGATCCGTAGCTTTGAAACTTTGTTCTCAAAACAACTTGTACCTATTAAATTGAATGAATTGGATCCCCTTTTACATGATTATCTTTAGTTTTACTGTCAATGATTTAATGCTTAGATTACATAACATAGATATATATTTTATTCCCTCATTTACTTTTTTTTTTTTTTTGTTTCTGCTCTGAAACCCCGCTATAGCCAGTTTTTTTTTTTTTCTTGGAATATATATATATAATTTCTTGAACTCCCTTTTTTTGTTGTCTTCTTTTTTTTCTTTTCCTTTTTTTTTTCTTTCTCTCCTGCGGTTCCTTTTTATTGGAAATCATGACCACACCGTTGACTGATAAACCAATAGATACAACAAACCATGGTCAACAAACGATATCACCATCAGCCATGACAGTGACAGATATAGACGATCCTTCTCATCCACTTCATCATCATAGACGAACTGTTGCTGACTTTGAGTATGGGGATGCTTTAGGAGAAGGCAGTTATTCCACTGTAAAAAAAAAAAAAAAAAAACTCGGATCACCTCTATTTATTCTCATGTATTCCACTTTTTTTATTATTGTTTAGGTACTTATAGGTCGAGACAAGAAAACTGACAAATACTATGCTATCAAAAAACTGGACAAGGCTCATATTGTTAAAAATGATAAAGTCAAATATGTCATGATTGAACGGGACGCCCTTAGTAGAATGAATCATCCTGGTATTGTCAAGTTATATTGGACATTTAGAGATAACCGTAGTTTATGTATGGAAAAAGAAAAAGAATTCTTTTTTTAGTTGCTACAAATGACATTCAATATTATTTTCACTAATTCGTCTTTCTCTATCCTTTTTTTTAGATTATGTGATTGATTTGGCTCCTCATGGTGAACTTTATACCTTTATTCGCAAGGTGAATAATATATATAGGCAAAAGGAGAGAACAATCCATATTAACATATATTTTCATTACTACATTATATAGATGGCACCACTTGATATGGAAACAACTCGTTATTATGCTTCGGAAATACTATTAGCAGTTGATCATATCCATAGTAAGAATGTAGTACACAGGTAATGAACGGAAGCTGTTATATGCATCAAACTAAATCACTGATATCTTGTTTTTCAATCTGTATATGAAATAGGGATATCAAACCGGAAAAGTAAGTAACAAAATCTTTACCTTTTATCATGAATCTAAACCTTTTGATGATTTATATATATATATATATTTTGTAGTATTCTTTTAGATGATCAAATGCATATCAAGATCGCGGACTTTGGATCGGCCAAACTACTCTCTGAAGATACAACCAACACAACATCAGGTACATTAAAAAGAATATATAAAAAGGTCATTGATTGACGTTTCCCTCTCTCTCTCTCTTTTTTTTTTCAAGGTGCACGCTCCTTCGTAGGCACTGCAGAATATGTCTCTCCGGAATTATTACGAAGTGATCCAACTTTTAAAGAGTAAAGTTGAAACAATACATGATGAACCTTTTTTTTTTTTTAAAAAAAAACAACAACTTACCAATGTTACTTGTATATTTCTAGAGCTGATTGGTGGGCTTTTGGTTGTGTTATCTTTCAAATGATATCTGGTCGTTCACCATTCAAGGCTGCTACTGATTATCTTATTTTTCAAAAGATCAAGAATTTGGATTACGAGTTTCCTGAAGACTTTCCCCCTGTGGCTAAAGATTTGGTACAAAAATTACTAGTACTGGATGCTGAAAAACGTTTAGGTTCTGAAGCAATGGGTGGGATTGATGCTATCAAGAAACATCCCTTTTTCGATGGTGTTAATTTCGATCAAGTCTTTGAAAAACCTGCACCACCAAGGGCTCAACAATATATGGAAGATTGGAAATGGCAACAGGCACAACGACAACTACAGCGTGAAAATGGAATACACAATGGTGATAATGATGACGATGACGATGGGTTTGAAACCTGGTTCAATGAAAACGAACAACAAAATATAGAGCAAGAAGTACAACCAATGTCCCCTCGACAACGTAGACTCCAGCGATACCAACAGCAGCAACAACAACAATACCAACCAAATCATAACTTACCAACGGTCATCACAGATATGGAAAACCCTTTTAGTGATGCTGCTGCTACAACACCTACCACTATTACAACACCAAATGCAACACATGATTTAGATCATCATTATTCACCTACCTCACCTTCAATAAAAGACAACGATGATAATAGCACCGTGGTGATACCTCCAGCCCCATCCGCTTCATCATCGTCACCTTCACCAATGGCTACCAATCTACCACATTCATCTGCTATTCAACAATCTCCATTCTTACGATCCAATAGTACGCGAACCTCTTTTTCGACAAGACAATCAGGAAATGATCGACTTGGCAATCAGTCCCATCCACCTTGGTAAGTTCATCAAATCTGTCCAAAGAAAAAAAAAGTCAATAATGATATATTGGATCTTCTTTTATTTTTTATTAGGATAGCTCATTTATATCCCAGTGAATCGATTGTACGTGCTGGTAGGGTGAGTCGTCGTCGTGGATTATTCTCCAAGAAAAGATACTTGATACTGACTGATAGACCAAGATTACTTTATTTGGATGAAGGACAAGAACAAGATGGATCTGGTGGTGGATTAAGATGTGAAATTGGTTGGACATCCAAACTTTTACCGGAATTGAAAGGCAAATCCATCTTTTCTATTCATACTGTAAGTTAAAAAAAAAAGGCATGTTTTTTTTTTTTTTTTTTTTTTTTTTTTTACTTATTAACATTTTTTTTTTTTTTATTTATCATAGCCTGAAAAGTCATATACCTTTGATGTTGCTAAAGGCCAAGCTGAAGATTGGGTCAATACCATCAATACCATGTTAGTAGATAGTTTCGGATTAGCCGCCTAATGATTATTTTTTTTTTTAATGGGAAACAATAAACTCATGTTTTGATGACACTTGTTTTTTGAAATAAAAAAAATGCGGATTGAATCTTTAGATAATATTTACACATTTGTATTATTATTTTTATTATTTTCTTTTTGAAGATCCATTTAAGCATGATGAATGCCATCCATTATGACATCCTTTTTTTTTTTGTTTTTTTGTTACACTATTATTGATGTTGATCTGTATTGGTACAAACTATGTTAAGGAATCAATGTATCGTTTGATTTTCACCACAAAGTAAAGCTGATAAGAAAAAAAAAAAGAGTCAATATTGGAACATAATAAATAGGGATGATTTATTTGATTTATCGAAGGCGTTACATCAAAAAAAGAAAACGCAACGATAGGATGACAGGGTAGTTCATACGTCAAACATAATAATAAATCACGCGCATGACCATTAAGCGACCATCCGTCTTCCATCCGTCTTTCAGCCGTCTTCGGTATTTAAATATATTGCACTTTATTGGTAAAACGAAGTTGTTCTTTCATTTCTTTTATTTGGAGGTAATTTTTTCAACTTATACATAATACTAAACTAAAAAAAAAAAAAAATCTATTCTATGATCATCATCTATCATTCAATGCAAACGTTTGTTCCATTTCAGGCAGATGCCACCTTCTTTTCTTGTTCAATCGATTTGTTGACGCTGATTTCCAATAAACTATTTAATCTAGAGATCATTGATCGAGGATCATCCAACACACCAGCTGCACATAAAGCATTATCGTACACCTAAATCAAGTAGTAATATTTGAGTCATTATCATAGAATTGTTTCCTTCAGTTTCATTACCTGTTCAGCTACCATTTTGGCCAATTCAGGGTTACTTTGTCGAATTTGATATAATCCTCTCATAACAGCATGATCAGGGTTAATTTCCAATCTAGCAGGAGAAGGAGGAACTTCATCCATTTTCGCAGATCCTTGCATCATTTGCATCATTTTTCTCATAGCAGGACTTTCATGTTCCAAAACTAAAAAATCATATTAAAAAAAAAAAGTCAGTTCATTCTCTTTCCAATATATTATATTTTTTTTTTTTTTTTTTTACCAATAGCAGGAAATTTATCAAGACGACGAGAGACATCCACTTTTTTCACAGAATCAGGACCCAAGGTAATTTCCATCCATTTGGCCAAATCTTTTGCATCATTTTCACTTAAGAAGCCATCATCAGAAGAGGAAGATCGATCTTGTTGTAATAATGGATCAGAAGCCGCTTCAGGAGAATCAGCAGCTACGAGTTTGATGCCTTGGAATTCACTGAGATGGTTAACGACAAATTCATCCACGGTATCATAAAGATAAAGTAATTCCACACCTTTCTTCTTGAACATTTCGGTGTAAGGGGACTCTTCAGCATATTTTCGCTTGGGAGTCAATAGATAATAGATGGATTCTTGTTTATCCAATTTGCGATTGTTGTATTCTTCCAAACTCGTCATATCACCTGCATTAGTAGTGGAACTTTCAAAACGTAACAACTTGGCAATATCACGCTTGTTCATGGCATCGGTACAAGCACCTTCCTTGATGAATTGTCCAAAGTCCATAAAGAATTCATTGTATTTCTTGGGATCTTTCTTGGCTTCACCATCCAACCACTTGAGTACTCGTGAGGTCATCACCATTCGAAGTTTGGATAAAATGTTGTCTTGCAAAAGTTCACGGGAAACATTGAGAGGAATATCTTCGGAATCCACTACACCTTTGATGAATCGGAGATAATCGGGAAGAAGACCCTTTGACTTGGGTTGGATTAACACCTTGCGGGAGTAAAGAGATACACCAGGTTCTTGACGTTCTCCAAGCATTTCCATATGACGTTCAGGAATATATAAAACTGAAGCGATAGATAAAGGTGCATCAGTCTTAAAATGCATGGTATATTGAGGATCATCCCAAGCATTGGCAATAAATCTGTAAAAATTCTTGTGTTGTTCTTCAGTCACTTCACTTTTGCTCTTGGTCCATAAGGGTTCCACAGTATTGACTTCTGTACCATTCAAATAGATAGGAAATCCGACAAAGCTATAAAAAAAAAAAAGAGAATGGAATAATTAGTTTGATTGAAAGAGAGTATGTAAACAAAGAAAAAAAAAAGAAGATTTACTTTGAGTATTTCTTGATAATGGAATCGATCTCCAATTGAGAAGCATATGATTTGCAGTCTTCACGAAGTTCAATCACAATTTTTGTACCAACAGAGACATTATCAGCTTCAGCAACAGTATAAGATCCTTGACCATCAGTAGTCCAACAATAACCTTTGGATCCAGGTTTAGCAGAACGAGTATAAACCTTGATACGATCACCAACCATGAACTAAAAAAAAAAAAAAAAATCCAATAAGTACTATGTGATATATAAGTCTTTTATATGTACTTACTGTAGAGTAGAAACCAACACCGAATTGACCAATGATATTTTCACGAGAACCACCATCTTTTTCCAATTTTTCCAAAAAGCTTTTTGATCCAGATCGTGCAATGGTACCTAGATTTTCATTCAATTCATCCAAAGTCATACCAATACCATAATCTTGAATAACAAATTGTCGTTTATCTTGATCAAGCGAGATACGAATTTCAAGAGGTTTGTCAGTATCCAAATTTTCCATGGATTGAGTATGGCGTAATTTTTCAAGAGCATCGGCTGCATTAGAGATTAACTCACTGTCAAAAAAAAAAAAAGATTAGTTATACAATATTTTGACATATATATATATATAAAGTGGTTATTGTACCGAACAAAGATCTAATCGATAAAAAATTAAAGTTAATATACAATAGTTTAATAATTAATATATTAACTTACTTCTTTTTCAGAATAAAGAGAGTTTGCTACAATATTCAATAAACGTTTGGTTTCAGTCTTAAATTCATGAACTTCTTCTTTTCCAGTAATAATTTCTTGATCAGTTGGTTCCTGAATGAATAAATGGTGAATATATAACCATAATGTTTTTTTTTTTGTTCTTTCTCTTACATTTGTTGTTTCAGTATCGGTAGAATAACTTGCCACTTGTTGCCACATATACTTTTGACCAACTCCAGAGGCAGGGACAGTAATACGTTGTATCAAAGGTGTTTTCTGAAAATATAAATATATGAATAAAAAAGAAGCTATTTTCCTTATTTATACATGAATATATTCGTTTACCAAAGTTTGTTGAAAATGTTTCAACTGACGCTTTGATTGACGTCTAGCTGCTGTTGTCAAATGAGGAAGAGAGGATCTTGCAAAATGTTTCAACATGTCAAATGGTAATGGAAACCAAAAGAAAAAGAAGGAAAGACAAAGAAAAAAAAAATCAAGCAAAAGAAGAGAATCATGATTCTAGGCCCGCAAATAGGTGAGGGAAGGGAATTCAATCTGTGGCTTTTTCCCCTTTCATAATTTCTATTTTCTCTTTTTCTCTTCTTTTCCTTTATATACAATCTATTATGAATTCAGGCGGAAAGATTATTAAACACTTGATTGCAAAGCATGGACCCATGACAACCAATAGTTTGGCTTCCCATATCAGCACTTATGAAAAAGAACTTGTATCAAAATCTCATATGAAACACCATATCTTGTCCTCTTTACAAGGTCAAGGTATTTTAGTCAAGAAAATACATCGAGACCCTTCTTTAACAAAACCTGTCTGGCGTTGGCAATTCACAAATGAAGCTGAAGCTGCTCTTCACAAGGAATTGAAATAATTCATTTCTTTTCTATTCTTTTGTAGAACCTTCCTACCTATTGATTTATCTTATTCTTCACTTTTATACTTCATTCTTCAACTCACTTGACTACAAGCATAATACTCCTACATATAAGTATTCATTTTGTCCTATCTCATTATATATCTTTTTCCCCCTCCCTCTACCCTTGTCATTATCTTTTTGTAACAACAGATTATATTATATATTATAAACAATAAAAAACGACTTCTTTTTATTATTATTATTTGTAAATTCTTTTTAATTTCAAATAATGATTCATATGCTTGGTTGATATATATTTATAAATTATTCTTTATGAAAAGACTGATTTATCTACATGAAATACGATTTGCCTTTTCAAAAAAAAAAAAAAAAAAAAAAAAAAAAAAAAAAAGAGTTGACAGTTGACCATAATTGATTACCAAAAAAAGAAAATGGTCAATACAGCCACCATCATGTAGGATGCAATATTCATTCTCAACCTAAAAAGAGGATTACACAGTATTTCAAAGAGTTGATCAATAATAATACTGTATTGATTGTTATGATGAGCAAGTGACCATGGAAATTTTACATTCATATAAATCTATAGAAAGAATATGAGTCAAAACGAAAACCGGAAGAAAAGCGATGATGTTGGTGGCACGATGATTTCAATGACCGTTATCCGAAAGTCTATATACAGTAATAGAAGATGTTTTGATTTTTCTTCTCGATCTTACAAACATGTCCAATCCCTATCATCATAGACCTCTCCTTTGTTGCTGTTTACCAAGGTAACCATCTATGCCTTTTTTTTTAATATATATATATATATAATATTGATTGATGATTTGATGCCTTTTATTAGACTGGGTATCATCACCATGTGTATTTTATTCGGTATTTGGGCATTGATTGGATTATTGGAAGAAGTTCTGGGATTTTTCATTAACGAAGAACAGTCATCTTCATTGGTTTCCCTTTCCAGCCTAGTCATTGTAATCAATACTACTTGTAGCCTGGTTTACTTTTACGCAAGTTACAAGGCATACCATGTAAGACATAGATAAGGACCCAAATATATATATATCAGTTCATGCATGATGACATTTTCCTTTTTTTTTTTTTTTTTTTTGATAATGATAGAAGGATTGGACTCACTTTCAAACATGTATCTACTTTTTCATTCTTAATACTATCACTGATATCTACTCCTGTATCATTCTCATTCATAAATTTATTAAAGTTTTTCAAAGCTCATCACCACCATTTGAGCCACAATCTACAATGGAAACAAGTGAAGATGACGATCATCAGCCAGAGCTTTCCAAATTTGCCTTATTCATTTTCTTTACATGTTTTGTAATCGTGTTCAGCGTACTTCCCATCATCCTTCAGGTAAAAGTGCACTCTATTACATTTTTATTAGAAATTTCAATCTATTCACTTTTTATTTTTTATTTTTATTTTTTTTTTTTTGACTTAGATTTTTTTCGTCAACGATGCAAGATCATACTCCAAATATGTCATGCATAAAAAAGAAGCCAAACCATGCATATAGCTAGCCATAGTACACACATCATCATCATCATCATCCAACTATCCCATTCATATATGCCATCATATAAATTAGCCATAAAATAAAACATAAAAATTGAAAAAAAAGTATACTTTATTTGGAAGATAGTAACAATAAAATAAAAAAAAAAATAAGAATAATTAAACTAATAACCTAAAGAATATAATCCAATTCAAAACGTTGATATGTATTTCGTTCGTCATCAGCAATTCGAGGATAATAGGGCACTAATGCATCTTGATTGCCGATATAAAGAGAGTTGTAAATTTTCCAATAGACTTCACGTACCTTTCGAGCTGGATGGAATAATCCTTGTAATGTATATTGAAGAATTGTTGCTGGTCCTAGAGCTACACGCATACCTTCGATAGATTCAAGTACAGCATTGATAACATGTGGACTATAAAAAAAAAAAAAAAAGATCGATGTTAATTTAGTCCTGTTTTCCTAATCATTTCTCTCTCTCTCTCTCTCTCTATTTATCGTTTACTTACCTTGTTTCAAAGATATTGGGCCAAATATAATTCAGTAAATGTAATAAAGGTTCTTCACATCCTAAACCAACTACACCAAGAGACATATGTTTGATAGTAGCGCATGCTGTTTGTCGATGAACAAGATCACGATCAATCAAAGCATCTTCCAATAATGGTGTGACTGCATGAATATAATCCTTTCCCATTTCTACCAAAAAAAAAAAAAAAAAAAAAGAATGAGTATCATTCTCTATTGAGTATATATATATTCATTACCTCCAACATATTCAAAAATAAAAGATAGAGATTTCAAAACACCATTTTGTACATTGAGTTCTGGTACACGATATTCATTCATCACAGCAGGTAACACAGTAAAAGGAGCACAAGTTTCAGCAACAATAGCAATGGCCACAGTAGTACATACACGGTTTTGACGTTCTTGTACCTTCAAATTATTCAATAAAGTGGCCAAAACATCTTGAGGACCAATCGCCTTGGCAATATAACCAAATGTGTTGACAGATGCACGACGAATTCCTTTCTTGTGAGCCTTGAGTAAATCCAATAGTTCGAAACATACACGCATCCATTCACGAGCAGAGACATATTCTGCACCACGATCAGCAATACGACCCACTAGATCAATACAATTTTCTTGTACCTTTTCATGTCGGTTTCGTAAGATAGGAGTCAGTCGAGGTAAAAGATCCTTGATAGGTGGTGTCATACTAGCCATACCAATCACATTCACAATTCCCTTCAATGCACCCAAAATGGACCCAAGTACTTCAGGATATTCTTCACCAAGATATTCGTATAGAATTTGACCCAATTGACTCATCAACTTTTCTTCACCACATGTCTTCATCACTACCGCAATACGAGAGATCAAATCTGCTGCCTGTTGTCGTACCTTGGCCGATTTGTTGTTGAGTCGCCAGAGAATGGTATAACAAATTTGTTGTAAGTATGGCTTGATTCGCATACCAAGAGCATTGACCACTGTACCAAAACCATTGAGCATTACCACATCTTCTACTGTTTGTTCTTGGAAAGCATATAAAATACCATCAATCAAAAGTTCTTCCAAACGAGGATCAATATCAGCTGCACCAAGATTGGATACTACCGCTTCGATTGTTTCCATCACCATTTTTCGATAAGGTTCACTTTCATCCTTGAGTTCATTCACAATACGGCTGACGATTTCGGACACACCCACCTTGTTGGCCAATTCCACTGTTGTTTCCACCACTTGTTTATAATTTCTACGATCCAATGCCATACGACGTACCCAGAAATGTTTGAAAAAGTCTGGCAAAATATCCTCCTTGATATATGCTGGAGTCACCCCATCTGTTGCTGCACATTGCTTGACTACCTTGAGTACAATCTTCTTCATTTCTTCATCAGGAGATTGGAATTCTCGAATCAAGATAAACATCACTTCACGGGTATAGTAATTTGCATATTCATCATCCATCAAAGGAATAATAAAACCAATTGCCTTTAAGAATGCTGCCAATCCCTTGCCACGATGTTTTCGAATACCAGTCCAGAGTGGTTTGAGTACAGTATCAAATGATTCAATACCATAAGGAGCCGCTGCTTCTGCCAGAGCAGCAATTGCCAAAGCAGTGATAGTACGCACCTTTTGTTGTTCATCTTCCAATCCATGAGCCACAGCTTCCACCAAGTTCTTCAAGTGAGGTAAAATAGCACAACCTAGCAAGATGGCGATTTGTTGAACAATCTTGATACCAGTATGACGAGCTTGCCATGACTTTTTGGAACGACATACAGCTTTCAAGAAAGGTAGAAGAGCAGGAATACCGAGTGCAGATGCTACCACAGAGAATGCACGGGCTGTTGTGTTTCGTACGTATTCATCAACGTGATCAATATCAGGACGCATAGTTGTAATCATCGTTGGTAAACCTGCTGCCTTGGACAAATTACTGATAATTTCCCTTCCTTCTACACGAGCATAATAATCTTCATCAATCAATAAAGGTTCAATCACCACGAGGATCTTGTGTACAAAAGGTCGAACCAAATCATCCAGCTTGTATAAAATTCTATCAATCACTTTGACCAATAAATGACGTTCTTGATCTTCCAATGTAGGGGACATAAGCAGAGGAAGAATTTGATTGAATAAAGGACCAGGACCAAAATCGCGAGCCTTTTCAGTGATTTGTCGTAATGCTGATTTTCTCATAGGAGGAGTTCCATTCTTGATTTTGAGTAAAAGTCGCATGATTTTACGTTCCATTAGTTCATCCATTGACAATTCATTTTCATCCTTTTCATCCAATAATTTTCCAAAATGTTGCATATCCTCATCCTTGAAAAACGGAAGAGTACCGACACCAGGAATTTCTTGAGGTAATTCTTGTACAATGCCCACGGTTTCTTCTTGCATGACAAATCCATTTTGAGCCATAGGTGTAGGAGTTGCCATTAGTTTACGTGCTGGAGTACGGATAGGAGCATAATCAGCAGGAGGTTCCAAGATCTTGTATCCAGTACTTGGGAACATAGCATCCAGTTCTTCATCAGAGAGATATCGATTTCTAGCATCCAATTCACGTTCCCATCGCATAGATGACATGGCTTCAGGAGTCATCGGTACTTGTACTTGATGTGGTGTAGGAGTCATCATACCAAAGCCACCAACAGGAGTCGCTTCTACACCAGCAGTTCCAGCCACAGGTGTTGCATCCCAACGAGATCGTTTGGTAGTAGAACGAGGAGTATCATCCCATTCAGAACGTAAAGGAGTTGCTCCAGGATCCACACGAACAGGAGTAGCGTCCCATCGAGATCGTTTACCAGCCACAGGAGTTGCTTCCACATTGTTATTTTGTACAGGTGTTGCCATGTCCCATCTTCGTTTCTTCTTTGGTTCTGTTGTGACGGAGGTATCGTCCCATGATGAGGTTGTTGATTGTGTTGTATGTGGAGGAGTTGTTGAAGTTGTTGTTGATCCTTGTACGATCTCTTGTCCATCCTTCTTACGTTGCGCTAATACATTCAGTACTCGTTGTTGTTCTCTTTCCAATTCAGCTTCACGCATGACTTCAGCATAAGATCTTGATTCATTATCTTCAGATTGATTAGTATCTTGCTTGGCAAAAGCATCCTTTCGTTCAGGTGAAAGAATACGGTTGAATCGTCGTTGTTGGTATTCTGATTCTCGGTCGGCTATACGTCGTGATTTTGTACTGTTGGCAAAAGGATCGTGATGGTCAGATTCACCGATAGTTTCTTGTGTAAGTTCTTTGGAGACAGTGTAAGAATTGAGTTTTCGTTTGGCTTCTTGATATGCATCGTCGTCCATGTCGTCTTCTTCTTCGTCGTTGACAGCAATAGAAGTAGAATAACCAGCAAACTTATCGTTTCCACTTGTGCCATAAATATCGGTATCATAGGAAACAGAAGCCATACTAGCATGACTTTCATTTTCTAGTACTGCTTTGCTAATATCTTGATCAGTGATTTCTTTGCGTTTTGCTTGAGCAGCTTTGATTTCTTGGTCAATATCTAGAAAGATGATTAAAAAAAAAAGAAGGTTAATAACTATTATATTTATCTTTTTTATTAATTATTTTAATAATATCATTACCATCCGACATGATAGGAGAATAATATATATATGAATGTATAAATATCGAAAAAGAGAAGAACAAGAAGAAAGAGAAAGAAAAAAAAAAAAAAAAAAAGGAAAAGTTACTTCGCCGTGTTCTGTCTAATCACATATATATTTCAAAGTGACGTCGAATTTTCAAATCCCATCCAATCTCTGAAGAGGATTTTTTTTTTTTTTTTATTTTCACCCCCTCCACTCATTTGAACTAAAAAACAACTTCTTTTCTAATTTTTTTTTTCCACCTTTCATTCACTCACCTCTTTCCCCCCCTCTCTCTCTCTCTTTCTCCACCAACTCGATATTACACAACATGACCGCCGATAATAAAGACTGTATTGCTGATAGTGGAAAGACTGCCCTTATTGCTGGTGGTTTGGGTTTAGTAGTATCTGCCATGCAAAATACTGTTCAAAAACATACTGAAGGTGCAAAGGGTGTCATTACCCGTACTGGTGGTACCATTGGTTTATTCGGTAAATACTCGTTTTCTTTTTTTTTTTTGACAATAATAGGATGCAACAAGATATATATATATACAATCTTATTCTAATTTATTTTTCATTACTTTTTTTTTTTTTTTAAAAAAAATGAACTCGACTAATCTGATAGCTGCTATGGGTGGTATTTTCACTCTTGGTGAATGTATTGCTGAAGATATTCGAGGTGAAGACGATGCTCTCAATGCTGGTATTGGTGGTTGTGCTGCTGGTTTAGTGGCTGGTATTCGAAGTAAGTTATTGGTTGGAAATAGTTTACATATAATAGGTTAGATATATTGATGGTTATTATTTTATTTTAAATTAGCTCACTCTATCGCTAAGATGTGTGCTGCCTGCGCTGGTATTGGTGGTACTATGTACGCTTATGAATATAGTGGTCAACTCAAGGGAACTCTTGCTGGAAAGTCAAATGCGGAACGAAAGGAATTACGCGACGCTTTCTTCAAGGATCACACACCTTCTTCTCAACAATAAGGTTATTATTATCCTTTGCTTTTTTTCTTCTTTATTTATATAGATCTATCCTAGTCTCTTTATTATACTTCTTTTATTATTCACACAATCATACACCACTATCACTAAAAACCTAACACACCTCTTTATACTCCAATAGTCGTACTCTCTTTTTCTTCTTTGTTATATATTCTACATACATGATGAATAAAAGAATCCATCCTTTTTTTTTGTATCACTTGATGGTTTCTTTGTGAATGATTTTGATTGAAAAAAAAAGGTAATATTTATTTACAATAGAATAATACAGAAACAGATGGGAATCAATAAAATAAAAAGTATAAGTAGATAATGATGAATAACACAAATGATGATGACGAATGATAATGCTAAAAAAAAAAAAAAAAAATTGATAAATGTGATGTAAAGTTGATCATGAAGATCAAAAAAAAAAAAAAAGAGTCTAAATAAGGGAAGCAGAAGATGAGTATAAAGAAGTAATAACACTAAGACACATGTTTGAGATAACCAGCCTTGATTAAAGTTTCCACATCGGTACGTCTCACATAAAATTGATTTCCTTTTGCCAGATTCAAGACACCATATTCAGTATGGATTTCACCAGCATCCTTGATAACGCGTACTTCAATAAACAAATCTTTTGGAGGGACTAAACCAACACCACCATTTCCACCAAGATCGATATCCAAAAATGCTTTTTTGTAACTAGCAACAATATCCCCATATTCTTCCAAGAATCGATGTTCTTGAGGACCAAGCGCTGACTTGATATCACGTTGATATTCTCCTTGTCTTCCTACATCCCATGACAATTCCTTAAGTTTATCCATGCGTTGACGATGATAGGCAAATAGTACCCGTTTGTTATGTTTGACAGCTGAGTGATGCATAATAAGTTGAGTTAATCGACTTGTTCGTTTATCAGGACCATCTATTGTTGCATCGTCGCGCATAGTACGTAAGATAGTTTCTGCTTTTGTATGAAGCATGCGTGTTTCTCGACAAATATTTTGTACTAAATCTTCATTGTAAGGAGATACCAGGAGATCTGCTGTTCTTTTTGCTTCTTTAGCTAGTTTATAACTTGATTCACCAAAAGTTGCCATTATATATTCTTTATTAAAAAAAAAATAATAATAAAAAAAGAAAAGAATGAAAGAATAATAGTCTTGATTCCAGCTTGTTTTTTTTTTTTTTTTTGTAGGATGAGGAACGAGATTTTAAAAATCCGCACGCGTCCAATATTTATATTGAAGATGAACAATTACAACTTGGGGAAAAGGGATGGGAAGACCGGACATAAAAATAGAAAAAGCAAATGCAAGGGTTATTGAAAATAGGAGAAAAATAATGGTTACGATTCTATTAATGAAGTTATATGAAATCCAATTTTCTCTTTCAAGCATAATAATATGCTAGTTGATAATCTTGTTTGTCTTCCACATTAGTGATGCGGCTTAGCTAGATGATTGATTTGGGTACTGAACAATGACGATGATTTGTGATGATGATGATGATCCTCTTTTCCCCTTGAAAAAAATGCCTACGACATCATCCTCCCCCCAATTTTTAGATATAAAATTCACCGAGATTCATCCATCTTTTTTTAATATTTCTTTTCTTTTTTCCTTTTTTCTTTTTTTTTTTCCATTATTACTGTATATCATGTTAAAACTCTTCAATATCATTGCTATTCTACTTGTATTGGTGAATCTACTTTTAGCTATCACCGCTTTACCTGTTGTATTTTTTGATACGGATGTCGCTGCTAGTCCATTCGTACATGATAAACGTCTTAATTACCGAGGAGGTCGTCTTGTTCACTTTGGCAACAATTCTCCACCACCATCATCATCATCATCATCATAAAAAAAAAGGATAACTGTCAATCAATCATCAATTCTTTCTCTCTCTTTTTTTTTTTTTTTTTTTTGTAATATCTTTCATTTTTTTTCCCTCTATTGTAAATGCTTTTTATATACATCTTAACTTTCTATTTTTGTAAATGAAACTTTTCAATAAAATAAAAACTCCCAATTCAAAAGCTGATCTTGATAGAAATAATATGATTCTTTTTTTGTTTATTGTTTGTTGTTTCTTATTTAGCCTTGTAGAACACTTTTGATCATAAAAATATCACGGCTCCTATCGCATAAGTCAAATAAAAAAAAAAGAGACGTTGGTATGTTCCAATTTAGGAAAGTCATACAATCTATTTTGCTACTGTTTTTCTTTTTTTCTTTTTTATTATTATATAATCAAATTATTCTAGTTATTATATTGATATTATTTTAATGTATGCTAGATGTACATCATCCAACATGACATAAACCTGTTTACACTTTCCAATTTGATTGATAACCATCATCCTTTTTAGAATTGGCCAATCACACTACTTGACTTCAAAATCCGACGTCCTTTATCTTTTTGAAATCTTTTAGAGTTTTCCTTTTCTTTTTTTTTTTTTTTTTTTCTCTCTCTGTCTCTCTTTCTCCCCCTTTTCCTTTTTTTTTTTTTTGTTGCGTTGTTATTTTTTTTTATCGTACATATATATCCACATACAGGTATACAATTATATACATATATATTACATATAATATATTATATAAGTAGATAATTTACATTGAACAGATACAAAACCGTCACATATTCCATGGCCACTTCTATATCACCTTCTGTACCAAACGCCTTAGATGATCCACTTACACCGTATTCCTTCGATACTGAATATGTTTTCCCTCGACATTTTTTACCAACAGTTATGAAGGGTAATTAAGAATGAATAGATTGATTCTTCCCCTTTGTCTACCTTTTTTGATGCAATTCCTCTCCTTCAAATAGATGAAACAAAGATTCCTTTGGTTTTGGTAGCTTGTGGTTCATTTTCTCCCATTACTTATTTACATCTACGCATGTTTGGTAAATTGTGTTTTTTTTTTAAAAAAAAAAATACTTTACCATTGATTAATGGATTAATTTTGACTTTTTTTTTTAATTTTTATTTGACAGAAATGGCCAAAGATCATTTTACAGAACGCAATGAATATGAACTTTTGACAGGTTATTATTCACCAGTATCGGATGCATATATGAAAGAAGGTTTGGCTGAAGCAAAACATCGGGTAAAAATGTGTCAATTAGCTGTGGAAAGTACATCCAACTGGTTAATGGTTGATCCTTGGGAACCCTCACAAACTACTTACCAACGAACAGCTGTTGTTTTGGATCATTTTGAACATGAACTCAATGTTCTCGGTGGTGGCATCCTTACAAAGACTGGTAAGATTGGATAAAATTCATAAAGTTATTCAACATAATTGAAATATTGACATTCTATTTTACCAATTTATTCAGGGGCAAGGAAAAGAATTCGGATCATGTTACTTGCTGGTGGTGATTTGATTGCCTCATTTGGTCATCCTGGCGTTTGGGCCCCTAATGATCTGCATCATATCGTAGGCTATTATGGTTCTGTTATCATTGAACGTACTGGTACTGATGTTTATGGCTTTTTATTGTCTCATGATATACTATACCAACACAGAGTAAGATTATTTTTTTGTTATAAAAAAAAAGGAGAGATTGAATACTTATTCTTGCTTTTTTTTTTTGGTAGATGAATGTCACTGTCATTAAACAACTTATTCATAATGATATTAGTTCAACAAAGATTAGGTAAATAGATAAAAGAGGAAAGAGAATGGTACCATGTGATTCCATGTGATCTTTCTAACCTATTCTTATCCTGTAGGTTATTTGTTAAGCGTGGCATGTCGATCAAATATTTATTACCCAATCCTGTCATTGATTACATCCTTCATCATCATCTTTATGTTCCCAAACAATTGGAACAAGAATTGCCATCAACATTACAGCCAGCTCCAGTATCAGCATCATCGTCATCATCATAGTAGTAGATAGTCCTCATGTTTCCATTGTTTGTATTTACTAGTTTTTTCCATGTTCGTCTATTTTTTTTTCTGCGTTTGATTAGAGACTTTGTTTACACTGGGTTTGAATATATTTGTGGTGATTCTTCTTTTCTTTTTATTACGGAAATAGATCATTGATGATGGATGATATCAATAAAAAGCTTTCTTATTCTTTATTATAGTCCCTTCTTAATGATCATAGCTAAATCAATAATTTGACCGTTTTGAAAGCTTGGTTATCAAGAGTGATTCAATGAATAATTCCAATGAATAAAAAAGGTTGAGGACGCAAAAAAAAAAAAAAAGAAACCAATTCATTTCCAGTGTCTTTTATCATCTAGGATTTATTTTATCAATCATCTGGTAAATTATTTAATCACCAAGTCTTATTATAAAGTTATTTTATTATTTTGATCATCGTCAAATGCCATCACATTTGACATCTATTTCTATTTTTGGACAATATCAATGTATTATCAATAAAACATCTTTACTTTTTATTTTATTCAGTTAGAACCAAAAATAATCATCATACAAAAAAAAAAAAAAAAAAAAAAAAAAGAGCGTTGGAACGGAAAAGTGGTCGTTATGGCTCTCCCTTTTTTTTTTCTACTCCCGTCTGGCTTTTCCTCTTTTTTCTTTCGGCTTCTCCAAATCAACTTTTATCTTTCTTTCCTTTCTTCTCTTTTTTTCTCTGACAATATACAATCTTGGTGAATATGTATCGCGAACTTGGTCTCCTTGCGGTATTGCTTTTACCAGTGATTCTTATTTATCTTTCACGAAATGAACATCTTCAACCCAAAACTAAATCGAAAAAGTCCAAAAAGAAGAACAAGAAAAAGACCAAATCTACTGAAGGAACCACTACGGACAACAACAACAACAACAACAACAACAACAATGGCCAATCAACACGGAACAATGAAGGGTCTAGTATAACGGGTGATGTCACAGTACAAAAGGATCTAGATTCAATTTCATCAGCAACAATTGTCTTACCTACCACCAGTCAAGATGAGACAAAAGCATTGAACACCACCACCAAAACACAACAACAAAAGAAAAAAGGTAAAGGGGGTAAGAAGCAACATCAAACTTTACCAAAGTCAGAATTCCCTCCTTTACCCACATCATCACCTCCACCAAGTACAACGCCGCAGCAACAAGAAGGACATAAAGAAAGAGAAATTGATGAACATATGGATAATACAGTAAGATACTCACGTGTCATGCGTATTCGAACTGAACCTGCCACCACTCCATTAACCCCTGTGCCTTATGAAGAGGGATGGGATCAAGTCAGTAAGTCTACTCATAAATAATAAAAAAAAAAACAACTCACTTTTTTTTTTTTTGGGTTAACCTATTAGAAGTCAAACCAAATTCATCATCATCATCATCAATACCACAAGTAGAAGAACCTTTAACCAAAAAACAACGGTATAATCGAACTTTGGCAGCACGCAAGAAAGAAGCAAAAGCACAAGCAGATGCTTTACAAGCACAAAGGTTACGGCAACATCAACGTGAATTAGAAAAGGAAAAGATAGCAGCATTTTACAAGACAGGTGCAGGCAAGCATACGCCATGGGGTGCCAAACCAATTCCTGGATCAAGCAAGGTTCCTACTGGCAAGGCTGGATTGAATGAACATGGGCAATTGATTTGGGATTAGTGTAGTTTTTTTTATTAGTAGATACATTTGTCATTCTTATTCTGATGAAATAAATATATATATATATATATATATATAAAGCAGTAATTGTATTCTATTTAGTCTTCGTATATTATCATTCAATTTGTATAAATTCAATCATCCATTAGCTAGATCATCATAAAACTCAACATTGTAAATATGTATATTTTTTTTTTTTTGAGAGACAGAGAAGAGAGTAAATCGTGATAGGAAATAATAATCAAGGATTTTTTTTATTGTATTTTGAGATACATCACTAAGTAACTAACAAAAAAAAAAAAAAGGTGAAAGGGAAATAACAGATAATATCAAGGATAACGAGGAAGAAGTAAGAATACACACAAAAAAAAAAAAAAGGAGAGGAAGAGGATAAAATCACTATACTAAACACAATATAAAAAAAAGATCTAAGCTTCGACGTAGAAAGGATGAGAATAGAATTCACAAGTTTCATCATGTTGAGTGGTACCAGTCAACTTGTAGAAGTAAGCAGTGTTAGCAGGAGTAGCTTGGTCGATGGTATCCTTGATGTTAAGCATTTGAGTGATGGTTTGGTTAGTAGAATAAGAGGACTTGACTTCAGTGGGTTTACGAGAATCCAAATCGATCTTCATCAAGGTCAAAGAGGTGACAGTATCAAGATGAGCAGCAGAATCACGTTGGATATGGACAGGGAAGGCAGTGTTGGTCTTGATATGTTCACCAAGTTTGGGAGCAGTGATTTCCACACCGAAGCAACCACGATCAATGTTTTGGTCCAAGTTGGAGAAGGCTTGTTGTTCATCAGCAGCATTGCTATGAGAGTTAGAGCTACGTACCTTGAACACCTTGCTCATTAATGTACAATCAGGTCCCGCCTTGTTGTGCACCCACACACGGAATTCAAATTGTCCAGGATATTTAAGACCAGAGACCTTGGAGAGATTGACACTAAAAATAAAAGAATAGTATTAATTAATGAAATCATATCGTAAAAAGGCTAAAATCAAAAGTAAATTTTTTTTTCTTTCTTTTATATTTTGAATAAATTGAATAATATATTGTTTACTTACGTCAAAGTGGCCTTCTTGTTCAAAGCATAGTTTCCTTTCCAGGCAGTAGCAATATATTTAGCCTTTCCCTTGTTATCAATAGTATAAACCTATATATACAAAAAAAAAAAAAAATGGATGAGTATATGTATTGATTGAATGTGGAAAGGAGTGAGGACAAAAAAAAAAATATTAGATAACGTACATCGACAGCGTTCACAATCTTGGCTTGAGCGTCAGGCTTGCGAGCTTTTTTTTTTTTTTTTTTTTTGAAAGAGAAAGAGGGGTGAGGTTAGTTTGATGTTATTTATTATTTTGATAGATAAAAAAAAAAAATTAAAAAACGAAACTTACTAACAGTAACCTTGACTTGACTGGGACTAGTGAAAACAGCATTGGTGGCAGGGGCAGATACAGCAATACCTATATAAAATAAAAAAAAAAAAAAAGTGAATATCAAATTTTTCATTTTTTCTATATATTTCTTCTTACCACCACAGAACTTCTTCTTGGCAGCATCAATTTCATCTTGAAGAGAATCAGCTTGAACAAGCATGATGCTCATGGATACAAAGACCAATACACAAGCTACAAGTAAAGAGAACTTCATTGTGTATAAACGTGATATATGTGAAGGATGGGGACGGGGGAATGAATAAAGAGAAAAGAAAAAAAAAAAGGTGAAAAGAGAAAAAAAAAATTGAAAAAAAAAGTAGACTGGTTTTTTTTTTTTTTTTAGTGAACCAGTGGGATGAAAGAAGGTCTGGGTGCACAATAACCGTAATTGAAGCTTGTCCAAAAGATAAAAATAGGTTCAAATGTTACACCATAATACTTGAATTTAACTCCGAATACATTTAGACAAAAAAAAAAAAAAAGACACAATAATATATATATATTTTTTTTTATTGATAAAAAAAAAAACAAAAACAAAAAAAAAAAAAGATATATATATATATAACTATACATGAGAAACTAAAGATAATCCATAACAAAGTAAAGCCTGTTTCCTAGCAGATGCAATCAATAGATTCATATGACATTTTTCTTCAGATCGGAGAGAAATCCCAACATTATTCCAATCATTTTTATCCAATAGATGAGGTTGTCGGCATACTTTTTGAATATATCGTTGTGTTTGTTCATTGAGGTACTTTGGTATATCTTCATAATCATAATCTTCTTTGATAATCCCTAATAATTGTTGTACATAAACAAATATAGCATTTCTTAAAGGTGAAGTATCTACAGTTCCATCCCCTGTTTGATGAAATATACTATAAAATAAAAAAAAATAAAAAATTATAAATCAAAAAAATCTTTTATGATTCCTTTTTTTTTTTTTTTTTTTAATTACCTCCAATCTGTAATACTAAGTGATTCAATAAATTCATCATCTAAATCATTCCCAATACCAGGTAAGAAATGATTCACTAAATCACATCCATGATCTTCCCAACAATATTCAGATAGCATATATTCACCATAATCTTCATGTCCAGGTACAAATTCTTCATAATCCATCAATTCTTGTTTCATGATTTTACTACAAGTAAACCTGGTAAGATCTTCATATACTCCACATACTTTTCCATCATGTTGTTCATTTGATGTTGTGTCAATTGTTGTTGTTGTTGTGATAGTGGTGTTTCCTAAATAAGATTAGCATCAAAAAGTTTAAAAATAAATGAAGAATGAAATATATACATATATTTTTACTTACCAGATAACTTTTCATCGTCTTGTTGATCCATCTTGGTAAATAAATTCAAGTTGGCCAAACTTTGATGTAGTTCTTCCTTGACTGCATCCTTATTCGATTTAAGTTTGGAGATAAGTGCACTAGTCTGATCCAAATATAAATTATTGTGTTGCCCATCGTCATTCATGTCATCTCCAAAATCCTCTTCATCCGAATCAAAAGACACACCTAATCCTAATCCCTTATCAGATACAAAAGATGGTTGAGTACTTGTTCCAATATCATCCTTCTTCTTCTTGTTCTCATCTTCATTATCGCTATTGTCTTGGCTATGTTCGCTTGATTTCGGACTAATGTGACTATCATACCAACCAGTTGCACTTGAAGCTGCTCTTACTGCCAATTCATCTGCCATTGATAATCGTTGTCGTTGATGATGATGATGTTGATGTCGGTCAGTACCAGTCAATTGAACTGTATCATCCAATTCATTTTCAATTCCATAACAAGCATCATATCCTCGTACATAGTAACCACCATACATATCCATTTCTGGAGCTATTCCACAAGAAAGTACAAAGTTTCCTAAACCCAAAAAGGTAGAGATCACCAGGATCGCCTGTACTAGTTCACCTTTACTCCAAGTCATATTAAGAGAAGAACCTGATGTACTAGGATGGTTGGAGACTGTCATCAATTCCAATAGATCATCTTCAGTCAATCGCCATGGTTGCCTTGCCATTTTCAATACAAATCCAGTAATACGTTGTAATTTTACTGGACAATAATCAATACCTTTCAACCATACCGGATCACCTCCATTCTGTAAAAAGTCCAGCTTCAAAATAGATACGAGGTATTGACATTGTTGTTCTGCGCTTGCCTTAAAAAAATTAATAATAATTTTATTAGTTTTTTTTTTTTTTTTTTTTTTTTTTTTTTTTTTTTTTTGTACCATGATACCAAGGTAAGTTCGCCATGTCCGATGTAAAGGTCCCATAGAAGTTTTGGTAATATTGTTCATTGTTGTTTGAAATATTTCATAAAAAGTGGGGAAAAATGATATGACTCGATAAACATTAGTCAATCTTCCTTCATCCAAAAAAGATTTCACCAACATTTGTCGTACATATTCATCAGAGGGTCGTCCGCCTGTACATTTGCCGCGAGAGGTGAAAGAATATGCTTTTGATGATCTATCATCCATAGAATATACGTCTTCATCGTCCCCATCAGCTCCATTATCAGTATCCACATGATCATCATGATCTCCACGTTCAGAAGAGGATCGATCATATATACTACTCGGTTTCAAAAGTGAAGAAGTTGAAGAAGAAAAAGAAGATGCCAAAGGAGTCATACGAGATTGTGAATGACGATGTTGTTGAGAATGCTGAGAATGATGTTGATGATGATGATGTTGATGAGAATGATGTGTGTTTTGTTGAGATTGATATGTAGATGGTGATTTATTTATGTCAATAGAATCACTACCAGCTCCACAATCGCTTGCATCATGAGACCATGGAGAAAAGGAAAGATTGGAAGGTCTTGGATAAGAAATGACATTATGTACTGAACTTGTTGATTCCAATGAAAAGATATCTTGAAGAGGAATAAAATAAGATGGTGATAATTGACGTGCTTGAGGTACTGGTATAATTCCTGCATCCTATAAAAAATAAAAAAATAAAAAATAAAAAATAAATAAATAAATGGATAAATGTATTATTTATTTATGTATTACCAAAGTTGTTTTCAAGAATTGTTGGAAAGTTTGTCGTACGTCGCGAAAAGGACAAGTATAGGATAATCGAAGGATTGTTAATAAAAAGTATTGTAATTCTTCATCTTGTCCACCAGTTTCTGAGCAAGTCATGGGAGCATTTATGTCGTCATGCGTCTGAGAAATCGATTTTGTGGTAGTTGAATTAGAATTATCTGGTTGTCTATTATCAGATAGTTGAGATGTTGAAGTACTTTTGATGGGAGAAAAAGGAGATTGAGCCATTCGCATATAAGACTTTGCAACTTGAATGATTTTTTCCAAAGAAACTTGTCTTTCTGTAAAAGAATCAACTTGAAGAGCTTTAAACAAAGCAATGCGCAGCCTTGAAGATTCTAGTCGTCGAGCTCTTGCATCGCGTGCTATATAGAAAGAAAATAATAATAATAAAAAAGATAAATAAATGTATATAAATATAATTGAATTATTTCCAAACTAATAAAATAAGTTTGTTTATTTTTTTTTTTACCTGTTTCTTCTTGAAAGTGAGGATCAGAGGTTGGTTGCCACTGATCAGAATACATGAACAGTACGAGAAAAGACAATAAAGAGAAAGAGTTCTTTTTAATAAAGTTAAAAAAAAAAGACAAGATAGATAAATAATAATAATAATAAAAAAAAATGTATATAATATAGATGAAAATGATAAAATAAAAAATAAAAAGAATTCAAATTAGAAAAAAAAAAAAAAAAATGTAATAGAGCAAACAAGAAAAAGAAAAAAAGAGAAAAAAAAAAAGAAAAGAAAAATTAAGTTTTCTGAGTTAGAAAAAGACAGAATTTCACAAAAAAAAAAAGGTTTTGATCTATTATCATAGTTTGTCTTTTTTTTTTATTATTTATTGAGATCATCATATTATTATTATTATTATATTGTAAGATATTAGGTTCAAAGATATTAAATAATCATTTAATGAAGAAGAAGAATATAGTTTTTTTTTTTTAATATTGATCAGTCTGATATTCAATCACATAATGTTACACATGTAGACAGTCTTTTTTTTTTTTAAAGAAGTAATGTTTATATTCTAGAACTAATAATATATAAAAGAAGTTCATGAAACTAATGATAATAAATAAAAAAAGGGTTTTAGTTGTCAAAAAAAAGTTATTTTATATTATTATATGATGTTCTATGTGTGACTGGGCCTCAAAATAATCCCTTTGATAGAAACTGATACACTTTTTCCTCTCTTTTCCCATATAATTTGACTTTCCGTTCTTTTTTTTTTTTTTTTTTTTTTTTTGGTGAACCTTTTCCTTTTTTCTTTTCTTTTTTTTTTTTTATTATCCTTTCTTCTCTCCTTCAATTAACAACTTTCACTCTATAGTATTAGTGGTTTTTCATCACTTTCTATCACCCATTATAGTTTTATATACCGTTTTTCTCCTCTTTTCACTCCTCCTACCCCTTCCCTCTTTCTCTCTCTCTTTTTTTTTTGTCATACCTTTTTTATTGTTTTATTTTTGGGAAACTTCCATCACTTTTTTTTTTTCCTTTTACATTCCTTATTCAATCAAAAAAACTCTCTTTTTTTTCAAATGACTTCACCAAGTAAATCTTCATCCAGTTTACATAGGTCTTTATCTGGTCATCTTCAACGACTACAATTAAGACGGGAAGACGCTTCACAAGAAAATGGGGAAAAACGTGAAGGTAAGCAGCAAAAGGAAAAGAAAAAGGAGAAGACTTTACAAAAAAAGTGATATTTATCTTTCATCTTTTTCTTTACTAATTAACTAATTATCGCTTACTTTTTTCTTTCTTTTTTTTTTTATTTATTTTATTTTATTATTTATTTTAATGTTTCATACTTGGATATCAAACATTAATATAGATAAGAAGACACTACGTAAACCATCTCATAAGTCTTCTCCTCCTCTTCCTCGCAAGATTACTACAACAGATACGACTGATGGTGGTTCTATAAAAACAAGTTCTAGTATATCAACATCTGGTAATCAACAAACTTCAACTCCTGTATCACCTAGTGTTAGCAAGTCTTCTGCTGGTTCATTTTTATCTCGGACACTCTCTTCAAAACGTACTCGTGCCGAATCTTCTAGTCGTAATCGCCCTTCTCCACCTCCACCTTCATCCACAAGTTCTCCTCTCTTGACTCGTTCTTCTGACCCTTTGGATCCTACTTTGGATAATTCTACAAACCAACAAGTCAATAGATCAAGTAGTAAAAGCGATGATGATTCTTCTGGTAGTCCTACTCCTCCACTAGAAAATAGTCCTCCAACAACATCTACTGGTACAAATAACAAAGCAAGGGATCGTAATACTCTCAAGGATGTCTTTGGAAAATTTGTTGGAAGTTTCAATGGTAATATATATATATATATCTTATATTATTTTTCCGGTGACAACAATTTTTTTTTTGGATAGAACTATTGAATAAAGAAAAGGATAATGCGAATAAACAACAAGAAAAAGAAATGGAAATTGGTGAACCTTTCAACGCTAAACATGTTACACATGTTGGTTTTGACCCTGCTACTGGAGAATTCACTGGATTACCTCATGAATGGCAAATTTTATTACAACACAGTGGTATTTCAAAAAAGGAACAATATCAAAACCCTCAAGCTGTTTTGGATGCTATCGGATTTTATCAAGAAACAAGAGAACATGATGATCAAGTTTATCACAAAATGGAAAAGGCCTTGGCTCTCCAAATGAAGCAAACTGATGATGATCATTATCACTCTCCGACTGCTGATTATGTAGATAATGAACTGATGACTCCTTTATCCTCCTCTATTTCTGGTAATGAAGATCAAGATCGACATGACAATAATGAATCTCTCGTTTATCAAAAATCACGTTATGAACAAAGTGTAAGTTTATTATTATTATTATTAGTATTATTATTTGAATCAAAATATCCAATCTGACTCATTATCTTTTTTTTCCCTGTCTTATTTAGATCTCACCTTCATCCTCTACTAAAAGTAAGTTGTTGAATAATGATAATAATTAATATATAAGTATATATAAGTGAACTAATTTTTTATTGATTTTCTTCCCTTTCTCTCTCTCTCTCTCTCTCTCTCTTTTTTTTTTCTCCTTTTATTTTTATATAAGAACAATTCATCAGCAAACAACAGGATACTACACCACATAAAAACGAACGATTCTATGCTGAACTTGGTATCGAACCTCCTCGTGTTTCCCCCACTCAAAAAGGATCACCACAGTCAGCTCGGGATTACGACATCAAGCGAAAACTCAGTGCGAAGAAACGTGAAAAGAAGGATGATAAACCAAAGGAAACACTCACTGCTTCTCCTGGTACAGTTAAACAACGGGTTCCCAAAGAAAAGAAGGCTGGTATGAAGGATTCTGAAGTGATTGCCAAATTACAATCCATTTGTACAGAAGCTGACCCTAGCAAAGTATACCGAAACATGACAAAAATTGGACAAGGGTAATTAAATAAAAGAGGGGAAAAAATTATAGACTGGGGATATTGAATTATTATTATTATTAATTAAAAAATGATAGTGCTTCAGGTGGTGTTTTCATTGCTCATACAACCAAGAGTGAATTACCAGTGGCCATCAAACAAATGAATTTAGAACAACAACCCAAGAAAGAATTGATCATCAATGAAATTCTTGTGATGAAAGAATCTCAACATAAGAATATTGTCAACTTTATCGATTCTTATTTGTACAAAGGTGATCTCTGGGTGATTATGGAATATATGGAAGGTGGCAGTTTGACAGATGTAGTAACAAACAATATGATGATGGAAGGTCAAATTGCTGCTGTTTGTAAGGAAGTTTTGGAAGGATTACAACATCTTCATTCGAAAGGCGTTATTCATCGTGATATCAAGAGTGATAATGTGTTACTTAGTTCTTATGGTGATATCAAACTCAGTAAGTGACAAATTGAAAAGAGAGAGAGAGAAAAAAAAAGGAAGATTCTCATCTATTTATTATTATTATTATTATTTTATATAGCTGATTTTGGTTTCTGTGCTCAATTAAATGATACACAAGCAAAAAGAACAACTATGGTTGGAACACCTTATTGGGTAAAGATAAAAAAAAAAGGGATATTTAGAACGAACGAATGATTGATTATTTTATGTATATATATAGATGGCACCTGAAGTAGTGACTCGAAAAGAATATGGACCTAAAGTAGATATTTGGTCATTAGGTATTATGGCAATAGAAATGGTGGAAGGTGAACCTCCTTATCTCAATGAAAATCCTTTACGTGCATTGTACTTGATTGCTAACAATGGTACACCTAAATTACAAGATCCAGAAGCTTTATCTCCCATGTTCCGTGACTTTTTGGCCCGATGCTTATCTGTAGATGTAGATCGTCGACCTACTTCTGATGAATTATTGAAACATCCTTTCTTGAAATGTGCTGATCCTCTTCCCTCACTTGGACCCTTGATTCGTGCTGCAAGAGAAGCTGCACGAAGAGACGGTATCTAGTTGTTCTTCTTCTTCATTATTATTATTATTATTATTTTATTATTATAGTTTTAGTTTATATGTTTAGTTAGTCATGATGTATTACTTCCTCCTCTTCTTCTCTCATTCTATTCCATCCTCTTTCTTCCATCTGCTCCCTCTCACATTTATATTATAGTTTATGAATTATACGTTTAGTTTTTCTCAATATTTATACTTTTTTTTTGATGATCATAAAACTTATGATATTCTATCCTTTCTTTCTTTTTTGGAATTGTTGTAAATAAAAACAAAACTATCATCATCATCATTATTATATAAGATTTTCTGCCATATTTGGATTATTTCTGATGCTGCTGCGTAAAAATGGTCTGAGCGCAAAAATATGTATCTATATAAGACCCTTTTTTTTTTTTTTTTTGTTCTTCTTTGTTCCTTCACAATGTCGTCCAACCATTCTCATCATAATCCTTCATGTAACAAACGTTCTTATTCTATTGTTGTTATCCATATCTGTTGCATACCTTTCGCTATTCTTTTCACACTCGGTGTATTCGAACTTCTACTTGATAACTTCCCATGTCATAAAGGTAATAGAACATAACCGTTTTTTTTTTTTAGTGCTCATCTTTCTTCTTTTTCTTTTTTTCTATTTTTATTTTTTTTTTTATTTTAGTGTTTGTGAAGCGTACCACTATACTAGTCTCAGCATTGGCGTACGTATTAGTGTTGTATCCTTTGATGGCGTTTGTAGTCACCAAGGTGTTAGGTCCAATTCAGAACAACAACAACAATAATAGTTTGTCCAATACTCATCCGAAAATGGCAAGTGTGGTGACCATCATGTGCAGCGTGGCAATTTATTCATTATCTGAAGGTATCATCTATTTTTTTCAACTAGATTCATGTAAGTTTAGTTTGTATGATGGATCAAATGTTACCAATCGTTCCTTAATAGCTCATCTACTTTTTTTTTTGTAGATGCTGGTTTCATTCATACTATTGTAGGAGGGTTACTTGGATGGTTTATCTTTACCCCGATCACTAAATCTGTCACTGCCAAAGCAGCTGGATGTCAAGAAAAACAGCTAGCTTCTTAAGTCTATCTCTCTCTCTTTTTTATCAAGTGCCAATGAAGAAGGAGCGAATCAAGGTTCTTATTATCATTTTATTTTGTTGAAGATGGATCCTCTGTTGTATTTTTTTTTTTAATAACTGATAGTACTTCTTCCATGGATTGTATTTATACTGTAGTTTATATCATGAATAAAACGAAAAAAGAGCATCTTTGTATGATATCGTCATTTGTCTCTATTTTATGTTTTTTCAAATGTCCCTATGGTATTCGAAATAAATGTTTTGATCTCTTTCAATGAATTCTAAGCAGTTAAGTGAGGAAAAAAAAATGGTTTGACGCGATGATATGGATCTCTATGAGATGATGCTTCTAATGATGATGGATGGATTATGAAAAGATAAAAAAAAAAAAAAAAAGGAATGACAAAGGACCAAAAACAAAGAGTTTAGCATTTTATTTCTTTTCAAACACAAGAGAATATATAATCGATGATAATCAAATCTAAAAGATTATATAGAGAGAGGAAAAAAAAAATAGAATCTAAAGATTAAGCTTCCACAGGTTGTTCAACGGGAGCAGGGACACCAAATTCTTGAGCAGTGGGCACTTCAATGGCAGTTTCTTCCTTGGGTTCCAAAATAGTAACAATATCAGGCAAAGTTTGCTTAGGACCTTGACGACCAGTAGGATCATTGTCTAACATGATCTTGACCTTGATACCAAGCACACCTTGACGCAAAAGAACGTGACGAACAGCAGTGGTGATGAAATCACGGGTAGGTTGACCAGAGTGGATCATGAAACCATCACTGAACTTCATAGCCTTAGCACGGGCAGCACGGAGCTTACCGGACACAACCACTTCACAACCCTTGGCACCGGATTCCATAACGAAACGAACAACACCATAACAGGCGCGACGCACAGCCAAACCATTGAGTAACTTGAATTTGACAGATTCGCATTGAGCAATGGCGCATAAACCACGGTTTTGCACACGTTCGGCATACAATTCAACAGCATTTTCACTAAACTTGAATCGCTTTTGAACAAGAGTAGTCAATTCACGAATACGACGTCCTTTTTCACCAAGAACATTTTGAGTGTGGGTGGCACGGATAATGATTCTATTCAACAAAAAAAAAAAAAAAAAAGAAAAAAAAATGTTAATATCTCAACCTTACTATTCCTTTTTATTATTTATCAACTTACTCAGTACGAGCAGGGGTGACACGTACTTCCACACCAGCATATCCATCTTCGGCCAATTCACGGGTAAGGTATTCGTTCAATTCGGCATAGAAGACACCATCGGCGACCTATATCGGTTACAATTCCAAGTGAGTAAAAAATGTCAAATTGTATTGTTCATTTTTATTTTTATTCTATTTTTGTTCGTCCGTATACTTACAAACTATATTCATCGAAGCGAGAATAATAAAAAAAAAAAAGATGTTAGTTCAATTCAATTAGTCATTTTGAATGATATCCCATATTCATTATTGTCGATAATCCATCCATCCATCCATCCATCCATCCATTCCATCCATCCATTCCATCCATTCATTTGTTTAAAAGTTATCAATATATCCCAATAGCTTTACCTTGCGCTTCTTGGAGATTTGGTGAGCTACAGCAGCCATGGTTGTGTATGAAAAGAGAAGGGAGGTTCGTATTTTACCCAACCACAAGGAAAAGATAAAAAGCCAGTGTCTCATCGGCCAATCATATCCCAGGATTTTTTTGTATTTCCGTTTTTGTCAACTTTTTATTTTTCTTCACTGCCAGAATGCTGATGAATACAAGGATGTATTGTGGAAGAAATCAATAAAGAATTTTGGTATAAATATAAAAAAAAAATACACATAATAGTGATGATGTTTTTTGATACATGAAAATTGAACTATAGAATAATTCAATAATCATGCCTTTTTTTTATTTTTTTAAACGGATAATGATGATGAATAAAAGATCGGAAGAAGATGATAAAAAAAAGGGAGGGGACTAACTAGAACTAGACTAGATTAGGGTAACAAAAGAGATCGATTAAAAATGATGAGAATAGAAAACGGTGAAAAAAAGGAAAAAGGGAAAGGTGGAAAGATAATATAAAAAAAATAAAAATAAAAAAAAAAGTCATAAAAAGGTTCATCCCATCCATAAACAAAATACAGGATATTAAGGGATGAACTACAAGATGATCAAAAAAAAGCAAAACAAAAAAAAAAAAAAAACTATAATACAAAGGATGACGGGAAAGTGTGATCAACAGGAGGAAAGAGAGAGAGAGTGATGAAGGAGAAAGGAAAAAAAAAGAGCAGAAGAATGGAAAAAGGGAAATTTTTACAAACTAGTGGGATAAATAAAAATGGGGAGAGGGAACCATCTTCAAAAAATAAAACGCTTCAAAATATACAAAAAAGAAAGAGGGGAAAATAAAAAAAAAGAAGGGGGGTATGAAGAGAATAAATATGAGAAGGATGGTCCAAATACACCAACAGCCTTGTAAAACAGTTATATCTTGAAGAATTTGAGTAGATTCTTTAGGAGGCGGCTTCCAACTTGAGCATGGAACGAAGATCACGTTGAATTTGAGAAAGGGTGTGGTCCATATGAGGGGAATTCATCATAGGCATATGTTGAGGAGGAGGAGGAGGAGGAGGTTGACGATGAGGAATTAACAAATTCATCAAATCTCTTGATTGTTGTTGGAAATCAGGTTGATGCATGATAGGACGAGGAGGAACCACTTCCATATAAAAGATATCATCATGAGAAGATTGTTGTTGAGGTTGTTGAGTATTATCCATAGTAGGAATAGGCAATGCACTAGGAGCAGGTGCATTATTGAATGTAGGACCAGCATACACAATCTTGTTTCCTTTTTGTTGTTGTTGTTGTTGACGACGAGAACCACTAAATATATATATATATAAAATGATTAAGATTCTAAAATAAAATAAAAAGAGATAATAGAACATTTTTTCTTTTTTTTACCTTTTCTTTGTTTGTTGATTTAAAGGAGGGAAAGTATTAGCATTTGCAAGATTGGGCTTCTTCTTGTTATTACGACGTTTTTGTTCCAAACGACCAGTATCAGAATCTTCAGATTCAGTTGCAGAAACAGGTGGACTTGTACTAAGAAGATCAACTTGAGATGTTTGAAGAGCTTCGGTCATTGATTCAATATCTTTTCTTCTTTCCATTCTACGGACCTTGACAGGTAAAACAGTACGACGTTGATGATGTTGTTGTTGTTGTTGTTGTTTTTGAGTAGAAAGAGTGGATGATGGTTTTTGATGTTTCTTCTTAGTATTGGATTGTTGTTGTTTGTTGTTTGTAGACATAACCGAGGTGTTGTTATTATCTTGTTTATCAGTCATACGTTGTTTCTTGTGCTTTGGTTTCGTAGTTGGTTTTGAATGATGTTGAGGTTCTTTTACTGTCGTCTTCTTGTTATTTGTATGTTTATTCACATTGGTAGGTTGGTTTGAAGAAGGTAAAACATGATGAGAAGGAGAAACAAGCTTTTGTGTAATTGAAGAATTGGTCATGATAAATTGTATACAATGATGATGAAAAGAGAGAGGATGAAATTTTTTTGGGAGTTTTTTGTTTTTTTGTTTTTTAAAGTGATGAATAATAATAAAAGAAAAAAAGGAAAAATGTAAAAAGAAAAGTAAAAATAAAAGATTGGGAAAAAGAGAAGTAATAATAGTAATAAAAATAAAAATAAAAAAAAAGGCGTTATAACATTCGTTTTTTTTTTTTTGTTTTTTTGTTGTTTGTTAAAGAAAGAAAGAAAAGAAAAAGAGAAAGACGGAAAAAGTGGAAAAATGTTTTTTAGTGACAAAACCACCGTGTGTATAAGTTGTATTATAAACATTAAACTAAAATTGATTGGTCCAGATTCGGCTGGTTTTCATTTACACGTTTCATTTTTTGTTACCGCCTCAAAAATCACACCACGGCTTTTGATGGAGAAAGGGAACCAATAATAAAAATTGTGGAAATTGAAAAATGAATCCATCTTTTTTTTTTTTTTTTCTTATCATCATTTTTATGCATTACTTATCGAATCATCTGGACTTTTTTTTTTATATATACCCACGCTTAGGGATGGATTTAATTCTTAAAAGCCATGTGTGTCTCATATGTCGTAATAATAATAATAATAGTCACCCTCCTTTCAAATAAAAAGTATGAATAATATTAAGTTTACTGTCAGTATACTGTCAGTCTTATTGTTTTTTTTTTTTTTTTCATTGATACATATATTTATTCAATGTTAATTGACACTTGCAGTATCCTATAAAGAGAGAGAGAGAGAGAGAATACAGTCAATAAAGTAACCAAATTTTTATAATTATATATATAAAAGATAGGGGTTAAAGTTCTCCTAATTAAGATCTACATAGGTTGAAAATTTATACTACTTAGTTACTATAGTAGTGTATTCTTTTTTTTTTTTTTTACTGACTAGTTTTTTTTTTTTTTTAATTTGAATTGGTAAGTGAGTACAAAATAAGGTATTTGCATAGATTGCGTAAATTTTTATACATTCAGATATGAAAGGAAAATCCATCCAATTGCCTTTTTTGGATAATTGTCCTTCATTCACTTCATTATTTTTTTCAACTCCTCTTTCTTTCGCATTTTGACTCTTCCTTCCCCCCCCCTTTTTTTTTTTTCTTCGTTCTCCTCTTTTCTTCTTCTTTTTTCTTTTCACTTCGAAAAAAAAAAGAGTTTATTTTCTGTCTTATAAACAGTTTTGTTTTTTTTGATATATATATATATATATATATTAAATATCTCCTTCTTCTTCTTCTTCTTTCTCATTGGTTTCGTGAAACCACCACGATATCACCGATAGTCTTATCTTCATATACAATGTCAAAATTACCCAAACCTCCTTTTGAAAGTAACTCTACACGAAAACGCAATGTACAACCTTCAGCATCAAAATCTACTACTAGTTCTATTTTTTCAACTACTGAACAGAATGACGACCCAAGAATAGGTGATCGTGTATTAGTGGAGGGAAGACAACTTTATGGTACTTTACGTTTTCTTGGTCCTACTGAATTCAAGACTGGAACTTGGGCTGGTATAGAACTAGATAATATTGGTACTGGTAAAAATGATGGATCTGTTCAAGGGTAATAAAATAAAAAAAAATCAAATCAAAAAACAAAAGAAAAAAAAATCGACTGATATTTTTTAATATATTTTATTTTATAGTATTTATTATTTTACTTGTGCTCCCAATACTGGTATTTTTGTCCTCTCTTCCAAGATAGTCTTAGTTAGTCGAAATTCACACAATATCAATAAAAAGAATTATCGAATCAAATCATCATCATCATCACCAATATCACCATCATCAGCACCTATATTACCTTCTCATTCATCTACTCTACGAAAACAACATATCAACATCAAAAATAGTCAACGCACGGTCTTTGGTAGTACTGTCACACCATCCTTTTCACTAGAGGAATACGAGCACGTGGGCCAAGACTATCAACAGCAACAACTTCAGATGCAATCAACGTCATCATCACGTATTCTACAAAATCAACAAAAGGAACAGCAACACGATGTCGATGACAAGAATCGATTACTGATGGAACAAAAACAAAAAGAAATTATCGATTATCAAGTCAATTTAGGACGGGAACAACACAGAGTATATGAATTACGAAAAGAACGTGAACATTTGTTACAACAGATACAACAAAAGGATCAACAATTATATCAACAAAATGAAATCACTCAAAAATGGCATCAAGCTCAAGATCAAATAAAACAATTGGAAGAAGATAACCATCAAAAAAATACGACAATAGAACGACTTGTCCATGAACTGGAGCAAACTCGACAATCACAACAACAAGAAACATCAAAACTTTTGGAACAACAAAGTCAATTGATTCAAGAATTACAGAGGGAACGATTTCAGCATGATAATGTCAAATCGAATATGAAACACGTGGAACAAGCATGTCAAAGTCTAATGGATCCTTTTGATGTACGACCTGGATTATCACTTGTGGATCAATTATTAGAAACACAACGTCAAATGAAAGATATTTTGGAAAAAGTGCGGCAAGATACGGATCAAAAACAGAAACAGCAACGCGAGATCAATACATTGCATAGGGATGTGGCTAATTTGGAATCTTTGATCGAAACCAAGTTATTTAAGGAAGCAGATTTAATGGAAACTTTGGAATTGGAACGACAATATAATCAACAATTACAAGATGAACTTAAACAAGTTAAACAACTACGACGACGCAAAGGAGGTAAAACCGGAAAAATGAATACAAGCAAAAAACATCATGCTTTATCGGATAGTAGTATGACATTGGGATCGATCGATCCGAGGTGGACTATTGGCAGTAACGAAACAATGACAACTTACTCTTCTTCCCTATCTGATGACGACGATTTACCTTCCTATTGTGAAATCTGTGAAACTGTAGGTCATGATCTGATGTCGTGCTTACACGTTGTTATGAATGATTCCGCTGACAAAATCAAGTTCTCTGTTACTTCCCACATGGTAAGTTAGGATATAATAATGGACCCTTTATTGACTATATAACTCATTTATTTAATTTTTTTTTTCAATAGAATTCTACTCCTATTCTTCAACATAATATACTCCCTTCTTTATGATAGATAGATGCTGTCATCGGATCATCCTTTCTTATATTATCCATCTTTTTGTATTTAGATTTATCTCCTTATTTTGTTACATAGTTTTCTTCTCCCCTTATTCCTTTTTACCTACATTTTACATTTTTATCATACATTCTATTTTATTTTTCATTGTTCTCTATTTTATTTTAACTTAGTCTTATACCTTCTTTTTTTTTTTAACTTAAACTTTCTCATTGTGTCATTAGTATCAAAACTATAAATAAAAAAAAACCTCTCATACTATTATTCTTATCTTCCTCTTTTGGCTTTACATTTTTTTGAACCTCTCCCCATATGGCACTGAAGCGGATGTTGTAAGATGAGATATTATTCCTATCTGAAAAGATGATCTTTTCCATATTTTACAATCTGATGCTATAGAAAACGTAAATCGTATCAAAAAAAAAAAAAAAAAAGATTGATCATCATTGAGTTGATATGTTCTCCGGTTGATTATTATGACCAAATGTGTGTATTCATATAGGCGAACCAGGATGGAAAATGCGGTGTCTGAATTCGAGAACTGGGGATGTCTAGATTTTTTTTTTGTTTTCATACCTTTTTTTTTTTTTTCTCGTTCTCTCTTTTCTTTTACAGCATATTATATACACTAATGTCTACCACTGACAAGAGTATTGCTAGTGAGGAACTTCTCTCAAATAAGGTAATTAAATAAATGTGACGAACAACTATGATATTTTTTTTTTCAAAACTGGAGGGAAAGACCATGTCTCTTTATTAGAAAGATTTTCGCGCTTATCATCTTCTTTTATGTATATATAGTGGGACCGTGTCATTTCAAACTTTGTTGTCAAAACTGGTCTTGGTTTAAGTGTTGGTATTGTAGCCTCAGCATTATTATTCAAAAGTAAGTTTTTATTTCATTAAAAAATTTTTGTAGACTAACATTTTTAATAACTTTTCATTATTGTTTTATAGAACGCACTTGGCCTATTGCTATCTCTACTGGATGGGGATTCGGTGTTGCTTATGCTGATGCTCAGGTAAATATATATATATAAATAAGAATGTTTTTTTTTTTTTTTGATACAAGTTCTAACTTGAAAAATTTTATTTTATATTATAGCGTATCTTCCATCCTTATCACGTTCCCGGTGTTGAATTCAAGAAGGAAAAGCCAGTAGTTTAGATTTGATGCCTTTGTTTTGGTATACATGTATAGTTCTTCTTTTTTAGTTTTGTTATAGTCTTTTCACATATCTTTATTATTATCTCCATTAAAGTAAAAGCATTGCCAAACATATTTCAATTACCTGTGACGTCGAAAATTTGTCTCTCCTTTTCAAAATATACAGCTGCAATTTCACTTTTTTTTTCTCTCTGTCTCTCTCTCTCTCTGTCTCTCATTCACTTTTATACTGTCTTTCTTATTTTTCCTGCCGTGGACATTTGTCTTCCTATTCGGATTCAGACCTTCTTATCAATTTATTTACTTTTGTACTTGTCTTGTATTCATTAGAAGTTAGAAGAACTTGACCTTTAACCATCCTTTTCTGTCTTCGCCTCCTTTTTTTTTTTTTTTTTTCTCAAGACACGACAATGCAAAAGGATCTCAGCCCTTCACAACAGCAGCAATTACAGCAGCAACATTTCCAACAACAACAAAGACTGGCGGCATTATATGCCATGCAACAACAACAACAGCAAGGTCGTATTGCACCTCAATCTTATGGACAACTTCCACCTGGAACTATGTACTCAAATCCTGCTGCCATGATGCCTAATGATCCTACAAGGCTGAATCAAGGTTACCGTCCACCTAATCAACAACAACTACAACAATTACAGCAACAGCCTCAACAAGGTGTGTATATTCGACCTCCTAATATGATGCAGGGTGCTGTTAGTGGTATATCAGCAGCTCCTAATGGTCTTAATCCCAAATTCGCTTCGCCAGCTCTCCAGCAACAACACCTACACCTTCAACAACAACAACAACAACCGCAACCACAACCACAACAACCACAGCAACAAGCGCAACAGCAGCAACAATTACAACAACAACAACAACAAATGCAACAGCACCATCATCAAATACAGCAACAACAACAACAGCTACAACAACAACAACAACTACAACAACAACAACAACACCAGCAACAACAGCAACAACAGCAGCAACAACAGCAACGGCAGCACCAACAGACCCATCAACAAGCTACTCCTCCACCGCAACTTTCTGGACGTTCAATGATGGTGCCTACAGCTGCAACACCTGCCATTGGCATTCGTGGCAGTCATATTACCATGGGTGGTACTAATGGTGTAGATGGTCAAACAGCTGTTCCTGTTCCTCCAAGTAATACGATTCCCTTGAATATCCCACCTATCGAAGCAACTATGGCCGAAACACCAGCACAAAAGGAAAATCTAGCTCAGTATCAACAACGCGACAAGGCATATCAAGATATTCTGAACACTCAACATAAACGACATTTACAATTGGCACAAGAGAAGAAACGTGATATTGAAGTTAGTACTATGGAAAGACGTACTCGTATTCAAGGTCCTAATGGTGTTATAGCTACATTTGGTCCTGGCTATCAAGGTTTTGGTAACGGTACCACTGGTATACAAAGCAAGATTATCTATCCTCGTGATAAAAAACGGTTACGAAGGACACCTTTATTGAAATTGTAAGTGAATAGTCCTTTTTTTTTTTTTTTTTTTTTGAAAATTTGATCATTGATATCCCTCTCTCCTCACATTATAATCTATATAGCTCTGTAAACGATATGAAGGAACAATCAAATAGAGAAGACAACTTGGTACCAATACGACTAGAATTTGAATCTGATGGATACAAACTACGGGATACCTTTACTTGGAATTTGAATGGTAATGATTTCTCTAGAAGAACTCAAAAGAATATAAACAGCTTACTTTTTTTTTTTTTATTAGAACAATTAGTGACACCTGAACAATTTGCAGAAGTGATGTGTGAAGATTTACGATTGCCCCCAGGATCATTTATACCTCTAATTTCAAGAGCGATTCGAGATCAAGTACAAGATTATTATCTACATGCTGCAAGTATGGTGACGAATGAGCAATCGGATGCTGAAGATGATTCAAAGATATCACATCAACAACAAAACTCTTCTTCAACCAATACGCCTATCAAGACAGAGCATTCTATGATTGATTCTCCTCATCCTACCAGCCATCGAGATGATGATGACAATGATGACAAAAAGAAATCAAAAGAGACCGCGGAATTGCGAATGCTAATCAAAGTATGATTATAATATATGGATGGAGAAAATACAGATAAGTTTACTAACCGTTATTTTTTTTTTTTTTTTTTTTTTTGAAAATCATTAGCTTGATATTACAGTTGGACACAAGGCATTGATCGATCAATTTGAATGGGATATCAGTTGTCCACAAAATTCACCGGAAGAATTTGCAGAAGTATTATCTAGTGATCTTGGATTAGGTGGAGAATTCAAGTAAGACCACGATTATATACTATGAGAAAGAATGATCTAATGATTTTATTTATATATGATAGAACGGCAATTGCACATTCTATTCGGGAACAAGTCCATGTGTATACCAAATCATTATTACTAGTGGGTCATGAATTTGATGGACCTGTTGTGGATGATGACCTCAAGCATAGTTTCTTACCATTATTGAAAGGTGTTATACGTGAAGCGGATGCTGTGGAGAAATTCTCGCCTTCAATATTAGAATTGACAGATGCAGAACTTCAAAAGAATGAAAAAGATCGATTACGTGAAGCAAGGTAAAAAAAAAAAAAAAAAAAAAAAAAAAAAAAAAAAAAAAAAAAAAAAAAAAAAAAAAAAAAAAAGTTTGTCATATGTATTGATAAATGCTTATTTCTATTTAGACGAAAACGACGACAAACAAGAGGAAGGCGAGGAATCATTTTACCGGATCGCGAACCACTGAAAACAAACCGTACAACACATGAAACTCAACCAGAACAAGAATTAACGGATGAACAATTTTTTGCCAATATGAATGGAAATGCCATGGTGAATGGAGGAAGAGGAAATACACCTATTCAAGAAGCCATGCATTCGCAACGTCGTAGTGCTTTACGTGCAAGAGCCAATATTGCTGCTGAAGCTGCTGGATATCTACCTGGAAATCAAACACCTCCTCAATCATCACCCATTTATTCAAATTCAACCCATTAGTAGTATCCATAGTATTCTATGATCTCTCCCTCTCTCTCTCTCTCTCTCTGTGTGTGTGTGTGTGTGTATATGATAGTGTTACTTTTTTTTTTTATCCCCATTCGGTTTTAGTTATTTTGTTTTTATCATGATTTGCTCTATTCTTTACGTTCTTACCTTTTTACTTTGTGCTTTTTTATTGATCTCTTATATATCCTCTCTTTCAACATAAAAATATATACATATATTCTTACTACATCTTATTTATGACTTGTCTTTTCTACCTCTCTCTCTCTTTTTATATCTATATATATATATATATATATTATGTAAATGTATGTGTGTGAAATCACAGATGATAGTGAGTAACCAGTTGAAATCTAATGGAATGCATAACAAAATACGACGAATACTTGTAAATTGCAAGATAACAATGATCAATGATTTTTTATTTTGTGTCAATGGATGAGATGATAATAGTAATAATAATAATAAAAAAAAAAGTAATAGTATATACAATAATAACATTGATGATGACAAAATAAAATGACGAGAGTATAAGAAGAAGAAGAAAAAAAAAAGTAATAACAGGGGAATGATAATAATAATAATAATGAATGGATGATGCTGTTAAATGTATAAGATAAAGTGATAGTTTTGTCTAATTTGATGCTAACTAATAATAAAAACTAATCTAATAAACTTTGGACCATGGATTCACATTCCTTCTGGCTAAGATATTCCGAGTTTTGAATGGCATTGGAAATCAAGATGGTATCCTTACAACTGTTGCTATTCACCCAAACACGACCATTCATTCCCACTGCAAGTTCAAAAGGAAAATGATCACCTAAAAGAGTAAGAATGGGTGTAGTTGGATTCAATAACCTAAACAAAAATAAAGAAATAGAGTTAATGATAATTTGTAGGGTTCTCTATTGATCCTCTCTCTCACCTTCTACATAAACCTAATGAGCACTTGAAGACAAATCCACCTTTCAATTCACCAAAACCATCGGCCCTGGAGGTAGTAGGATTAATACATTCTAATTCAGGTTCCATATCAGGATTAGCCAAACTGACACGACAATACACAAGACTGTTCACTGCTAAGTTGGGTTTATTTCTTTTGGTAGCACCTTCGAAAGCTAAAACAGGTAAGATGGCTGGTCGTGCTGTTCCAATATCCACACGATAGTATTCACCAAGACGAGCTACCACTGTTCCCAATACTGATTCTCCAGTGGCTGCAATATACTAATAAAATAGAAAAAAAAATAAGCTATACAAACTAAATAAAAATAATATTCACTTACTCTTTTTTGATTGCTTTCAATCCACCAACGATTCCCATTGTTACGTAAGATTCCAGCTTTATTGGCCACTATTTGATCACTGTCTTGTCGTAAACCTGGACCAAGTATAAGAGTACTGTTGTCATTCTCGTCTTCTTTTTGATCTTTTGAAATAATATCTCCAGGAATCACGATGCGTAGTTCCGATTGACCATCTTCTTGTTCGTCGATAGATGGCATGATAAGTTGATAGATAAAGAGAAAGAAGCAAGAAAAAAAAAACAAAGAGAGAAAAAAAAAATTCCCCTTTAGCTTTTTTTTTTTTTTTTTTTAAAGTGCGGACTGCCTTTTTCCATTTATGGGTTGGCATTTTTCTTTTTTTTTTTTTCAACTTCTTTTTATCATTATTTTTTTATGAACTTGATCTTTTAATGGAAGTAGACTCCAATCAGTTGAGCAATATCGCAGCATTCCCTGTTGTACCCAATTGGTATTCTAGCTACGCTGCATCTTCTACCAACGAATATTATGTATACGCGTCTAGAAATCTCATAGTTGTTCTCTTCCTGCATTCTCTGGATTATCGGTCTACCTTTACTGGATCCTTAGAAAAGATTAACGCCATTGATACCTATTCTCACTTTTGTTATGTTGCTGGTGAGGATCCTGTTGTACGTGTTTGGAATATACTTGATGGATCTTTACTTACCTGCCTCCAAGCTCACAAAGTAAAATCGATCTGTTTTTTTTTTTATGTACATTGTACTCATTATTACATTCCTTCTTAGGTAGAGGTGACAGCTATCAAATGTTTTCGCGAAGGAACTATTGTTATATCTGGTAAGATTATAATAAAATTGTCCATTTATTTTCCAATTCTTCTTTAACCTTTTTTTTTTTTTATTATTTCTTTTGCATAGGAGACAAATCTGGTGGGATTATCGTACAAGAAGCATTTGGATCCAAGTGTCAATTTACCACACCAGTCAAATCAGAAATCACTGCTATGGAACATGTCATTTATGATGATACGGATTATATTGCCATAGGGTAAAAAAAAAAAAAAAAAAAGTATATAAATATATATATCATGCATTGATCGTATTATTGTGCTTTGTACTAATTTGTATTACTTTTTTTTTTTTCTTCTGAAAGGTATAATAATGGGATGATTGTGACTTACTCTATCGATAATAATCTTGAACTAAAGGAGCAATCACAATTATTACTTGGAACCGATTCAGTCAATGCGCTTTCTTGGCAAATCATCAATGATTCCCAAACCTCAAATTCTTGGCCATTATTAGCATCCAGTGGCAAACGATCAAAAGAAATATCAATATGGAATACTAAAGATTCAAGTCTCAACAATACAATCAGATTACCAAAAGCTGATCTTCATATTAGCAAAGTGCAGAAAAATACCAATTGGATTCAAATTGTTTGGTCAAAGATGGCTCCTAATGAACTTTATGTTTCATCCTTTGGGTAAGTGATATTAACCTCATCAACAGATGTATTGATTTACCATTATCTTTTATTTATTCACCTAGAGGACAAATTTTACGATATGATATCTACAAGGGCAAATTGAAAGAACCTCGTTTTGGAGATGGTCATACCCGAATTCTTTTTAATATGTGTTACGCTGGTACGTCTTATATGATTAGCACTTCTCTGGACAAACAAGTAAGTTGAAGAAAAATAATAAAAAAAAAAGATTTGATCTCATCCTATTTTTTTTTTTTAATTTTTTATGTTATGTATAGATCATCAAATGGAATCTTAGTACAGGCAAGTCTATCATGACTATCAAGACACAATCAGGTTTTCCTTATAGTTTGGATATTTCACATTTGAATCCTGTACAAGCTGTTATTGGATATGGGGATAGTGCCATTAAGGTATGGAAGTACAAGCAAGTTCACGGTTCTGGAAAAAAGGGAAAACAGCAACAACCAAACTTTTACGAATCAACTACCTTTTGGCAAGGTCTACGAGGACAGATTGAACGAACAATTTGTCATCCTACTCTAGATGGTCAAGTTGCTTTCTCTACTCAATATGGGCATGTAGGTATTTATGATATCTACAACAGCAAATGTGATATTTTTAGACAACATCATTCTGGAAGCAATGGCGGTCCTTCTTTGGCATGGGCTGGGGATCTTTCTGCTGTACTAAAGATGAACAAGAATTACGATGATGATGATGACCAGAATACAACAATGATCGATACTCTAATTACTTGTAGCAGCGATGGCAGCAATACAGGACTCTACTTACGGGATGTCAATCATCGATCTCGGACTCCTATTGACTTGGATCAAGTACTCGAAAACATCAACCCTGATTGGTATACTTTGTTGAAAACGAAAAACACGATCCGATCATTTGTGTCTGTGAATCCTTCCTTTCAATATATGGCACTGGGAAATGGTGACGGATCTTTGGAAATTTACAGCTTGAAGACTTTAAAACTTATTTATGTATCGAACTATCAACGAAGCATCATTACTGCTCTTCATTGGAAAGGTAATTGACTGAAAAGAGGATTCGTCTCCAAAATGAACTGGGTAATAAATCAAAAAACTTTTAATAGATCTACAAGATTATTCACTTCTTGCGTCTGGATGTCAAGCTGGTATTATTGCTATTCATCACATCAAACAAGATATCAATATTGATCCCAGTTGTAATACTCAACATGAAAAGAAATAAATAAAAAAAAAACAATGGATGATTCATTAACTGCTTTTTTTTTTTATTATTAGCCATTCCAATCATAGAGACTTCAACTTACCATCATCAACGGGAACATACAAAAACAATCACTGATTTGAAGTGGAGTCATCATACGGATCAAGTACTTTTAGCATCGAGTTCATTGGATAATCTGGTTTTTGTAAGTAAAACAAAAAGAAACGAAAAAGGTACATTTTCATTTATTTCCAAACTATGATTTTATTTCATTTCTTCAAGGTCTGGTCTTTGGAACCTGAATTCAAGGTGATTGGCTGTTTTGATCAACATCGTGGTCGTGTCTTTTCAATTTGCTGGCAATATTTGGAACCTGATATCTTGTTTTCTGGTGGTGAAGATAAATTTGTTTATATGTGGAATTGGAATGGTCATCCTCTGAATAGAGATACTACAAGTAAGTCCAAAATAGAAATCAATATTTATGAAATGATTTTAATGATGATTATTTTAGACAAATATGTACCTTTACTTTTGAAGGAAAAGAAAAAAATACAACGACAAACTCAAGCTGCAGAAAATAGAAAGAAACAAAGTCAAACTGCCACCACCAGTATAACCATATCAAACTCTACGCATTCAATAAAAGAAAAACCAGCAAAGAAACGGAAACTCAATACAACAAGAGTTACGGAAACTCTCTTTGAAGCAACCAGGAATGCAATCGAAACCGAGGATCTACATCAGCTTCAACGCCAATGTTACTTAACAGCAGTAACTCTACATTACCCTGATCAAGACCCAATGATTACTATTAATGAAATCAAGAATCGATGTGATACGGTGGATGATTATATCAGCAAGTATATTTCTCTGGAAAATCTGGATGAGAAAAGTGAATCGCCTCATTTAAGTCTCTTACTTGGCAACAAGAATGATGTACGAACTCTTATTGGAATTGAACGTATGTTGGATTAGAATGAGGATAATATGGGATCCATGTATTCACCTTTTTTTTTTTTTTCTGTTTAATCTATAGTTGATCATTTCGTAGAGGATAACGAAACAATAGAACAAGAACATCATGGTATGAAATTTGGCAGTGATGTGATGGGATCAGATGTGAAGTTGGCATTGAATATCATGCGTAGTCAATACTTTATCCTTGAATCTTACCTCCATGCTGGAAATGGAATGATGCTTACTGACTGGATTGCATTGGCGCTAAGTCCAATAGGCAAGTAAAAAGGATAATAATAATAATAATACAGTCATCTTACACTTCCTCTTCTTTTTTATTAGCTGGAAAGGAAACTTGGCTTAAATTGATGGAAGAACAGGCAAACAAATTGGCAGAGGGCGGGTATCACCATTTGGCTGCGACTTGCTTTCTTGCATGTTCAAAGGTATATGAAGCTATCAATGTTTACCGGCGGGCATCCATGTATAAGTAAAGTGATTATTTAAGAAAAGATGAAATCAAATTGATATATATATATATTTTTATAGAGAAGCTATTGCGATGTTGAAAGTTCGTCTTCCAATAGATGATCCATTATTACCAACTCTATTATCTGAATGGGCTCAGCAACTACAATCAAAGGGCAATGAGGAATTGGCAGCATTATGGTAATCATTATTCCTACACTGAACTTTCATTGATTTTTACTTATATAATTATCATACTTTTTTATAGTTACATCCAATCTCAATTACCTGGATCTGTATTAAATGCTGCTCACTTATTAGGACGACGTGCAACAGAATCAAGTCTTTTTTGGTCTGCGTGTTTGTCTTTAATAATCAAGGATGATTCATTTGAAGTGTTGCTTAAACGATGGTTAGATGTAGTGGCATGCCGACAAGGGAAGGATCATCATCATCATCAACAACAGGAACAACAATCAAAAGAAGAACTGCTGGCACCATCAAACGATATACTCAACATACCTTAGAATCTCCTTTATGTTGCTCATCATCTTCCGGTTCTCCTCCACTCCTTTTAGAATATTTTCTTGTAGTTTACATATGATACCTTGCTGATAAGAGCAATCACTTTATTTACACATACTATAATAAAACCAAAATGAATTTCTTTGAAGAAACATATATGATATTGATCGATGGATGCTTAGGATTGATGAAATAGTGTCAGGGATAAGCTCAAATTTGTAAAGAGAATAATGGTACAAATACATTGATTTCTCATTGTAGACGAGCTCTACTAATTTGATACTATAATGATATAACAAAAAAAAAAAAAAAAGCACTGATGACAAGGATGTGACTAAAGTATGCACAGCATGAAAAGGATAGACAGGAAAAAAAAAAAAAAAAAAAAAGCACACAACCCAAAAAAGGGCAATCATGGCCGGCATCGGGAAGTGAAATTAGATACATCTCACCGGGTTGCATTGGAGATGGACATCAAAAGATTTCCAAAGGCGAAACCTTGAACTGTCTTCTCTCCATTATTGACGACATGGCACCAAAGGGTAAAAAAAGAACAAACAAAAAAAAAAAAAAAAAAGAAAGGGATTCAGAATAGAAACAACATGATATTCGATGGATGAATGGACAAATTATAAATGGATGAATAAATGAATGGATGGATGGATGGATACACCAAAAAAAAAGGAAACAGCACGAATGAAAAAAAGAAAAAAAAACGAATGGATGATAGATGAATGGGGTCTTTTTTTTTTTTTATTAATGGAAGAGAGAGAGAAAAGACGACATGGCATTTAAATGATAACTCATTAGACTTTTTTTTTTTTTTTTTTTTGAATAGCTTCTACCACCAAAGCTCAAGCTGCCAAGAAGGCTGCCCTTAAGGGTGTCCACGGTAAGACTGTGCGCAAGATCCGTACCTCTACTCGTTTCAACATTCCCAAGACTTTGAAGTTGGCTCGTACTCCCAAGTACACCCGCAAGTCTGTGCCTCATTTGCCTCGCATGGATCAATACCGCGTCATTCGTCAACCTTTGAACACCGAAACTTCTATGAAGAAGATTGAAGACCACAATACTTTGACCTTCATTGTCGACGTTAAGGCTAACAAGAACCAAATCAAGCTTGCTGTCAAGAAGCTCTATGATGTCGAAGCTCTCAAGATCAACACTTTGATCAGGTAAAAAAAAAAAAATGCAATCGATAACTATAGTTTATCACTCTTTCATATTTATTGATGCATCATCTTTTTTTTTTTAGACCCGATGGTACCAAGAAGGCTTACGTTCGTTTGACCGCTGATGTCGATGCTTTGGATATTGCTAACCGTATTGGTTTCATCTAAATGGTTGATAGATAGATAGTTACTTTTTTTTTTTATCCACCAAAATAAAAGAAATACAAAAACTAGGCTTGTTGTTAATACTTTGATCTGTGTATTATTGATGTAATTCTTTTTTTTTTTTTGTTGGGTCTCTTGTTCTTTCTGTATAAAAAAAAATATATCATATATTCAAAAAAAAAAAAAAAGATGTAGTTCGCATGAATCAACACGACCATTGATAACCATGTGTATCTATTAGCATCCTTATCAAATCATCACTTCATATACCATCAGCACACACAGAAAAAGAAAAGATAAGAATGACCTCCCCACAGACCAGAATAAAGACATAATTGTATGAAAGAGAAAAAAAAAAGCAGTACGATTCCATGTTTATTAATATAATTTAAAAACTAAGGATATGTGTTTATTGAGTCTTGAAGTCTATATATAAAAAGAAAAAATAAGATTAGTATTAAAAAAAAGGCTTAAATATTTTGATAATCAACTTACAGTCCAACAAAATGTTCATGGCTTCGGATTCTTCTCCAAAGTCAGTGACAGCAACACAAGAGCAACCAACGACCTTACGGGCATTACCTTCACGGTCAATCTTGCAGAGACCAGCCCATTCACCAAGCTTCTTGGCATCAGAGACCTTGATCAAACTGATGTTGTGTTCAGCGCACAAAGCTTCGACCAACTTGAGGTATTCACCTTCAGTGCAAGATTCAACGAGAACAGCCAAGTGAGCTTGACGTCTATTATTCAATATAATGTTAGTATAATAAACATTTTTTTTCTCATTGCCATTATTTACCTGTCCAAAGCCTTAACGGCTTCCTTCAAACCACGGGCAAGACCATCGTGGACCAAGGCACGACGCAAAACTTCTTGAAGGGCTTCTTCAACGGACATTTGACCCTTGGGAGCTTCGGCAGCAACTTCGACTTCTTGGGTTTCCATGATGACTTCTTCTTCGGCAGACATGCTAATAAACAAACAAATATAACAAAAAAGATTTGATGAGTCCAATGATGTCCGTATATAGAAACCTATCCTCTAACGAATATATAAAAAAAAAATGCAAATCCATCCATCCATCCATCCATCCATCCATCTATAGTAGATCTATTATCGATTCAGATAGTCTATAAACAGTATAGATGATTCTTTGATGATGATTTCATTTTGATTCGTTCGAGATAGTGGTTGGTTATTTTTATGTGTACATTACTTTGCGAATTTAAGAGAAAAGAGAAAGAATCTCTAAACTGATGTGCGCTTCAAGTCTATTTTGCTCTCCCCGCAAGCTCGACTGTTCCTATTTCAATTCCCGCTATATATATATGACAATCATCAAACTTAAAAAAAAAAAGATGCATAATAAACAGGATAGAGACAAGTAAAATTATAGTTAACATTTTCAATGATCAATTTATTACGTTATCATCATCAATATGATTATTAAAAAAAAAAGATCAGTAGATAGATAAATAAAGATTTTTCAATCACTATGATATTACAGTCATCTTTATTCATATTTCAAAAATTCATAACTATTCTAAACTATAGCCAAAAAAAAAAAAAAGAAATAGGTAATAAAACTAATTAATAGGAAGGACGTGATTGTTGTATTTTCATTGTTTCAGGATTGTAGTAATAGAATGAACCATTAGATGACATAATCATTTGCCATGGTCGAGGAAGAGGTTGTACACTGGCGAATATCATTTCGATTTGTTCTGTTTGTTCATACTTTTGTCGTTTCGTTCTATGATGTGAAGTTTTCTTCTTCTTGTACCACTTTTGTTGCTCCTTTTTTTGCATGATTAAACTATTTTGTTTGTTTATTAGAGACTGTTGTTGATCCCTTTGAATTTGATCCCTTTTCTTTTGTTTGGAAGGAGAGATTGATATATGACTTTGTTGTTGGAAAGTTGTCAATCGTTTCTGTTTTTTGTCTGTCAAAGTCTTGCTTGTGATTCTGATATTTATAGGTTGGTTTTTTACTAGGTTTTTTGGTTTGAAGGAGTGTTCATTGGGGTCTTGAAATGACTTTATTCTTGATTGACATTTAGAATAACAAGTTGAAGGCATGTTAAAAGAATGATAAGTTCAAAAAAAAAAAAAAAAGAAAAAAAAAAAAGGTAAATAAAAAAAAATTTACCTGACTAAAATAAGTTTGTTTATTACTTTTCATTGTTTTTAACTAGAAGCCAGCGAATTTTATCATGCATACAAAAAAAGACAGACAGCTCTCAAAATATCACTCGCCCTGCAGATACAAAAATCACATGCAACGCGGTGTTCAAATCCTCGCTTTGAAATCACATTATAAAAAAGATAGATTTACTTTATTCTTTTAATCCATCTTCTTTTTTCTCTAAAAACTTCCCAGGCCACTAGAATTCAATTATTCCCCCTTCATCTAAAACAGAATGACTAGCCAAGTTGCCCAAGTTGCAGGATATAATCTCAACAAAGTAAACCATCGTGTTAAACTATTAAACTAGTATATTTATTTTTATTTTTTTTTTATATTTATTTGTATAGACTACTTCTTTAACTCTATCTGTACAAGATGCTATTACCCATGCAACTAATTCTGGTACTGCCTTGGAAAATATGTTGGAACTTTTAGAACCCAAACAAATAGTTAATAACGAGATTGTCAATGTAAGTAAAAAAAAAAAAAAAAAAAAAAAAAAAAGGAAAGATATTTATATATATATATATATAGGACTCATATCAAGAATGTCTACAACTCAAGGATTATCTCTCTGAACAATTGTGGAGTGATACAGAAGCTGATGGTGTGGTTGAAGTTCAAAATGCACTTGATATTGTTACTCGAGCCATTGTTAGTTATGAAATGATGAAGGATGCTGCAGAAGGCGATTGGTAAGTCAAATAAAAATAGAAAAAAAACGTGTACAATTAATGATTCACTTTCTTTGTTTTATATAATATTAATAAATATAGGGAACTGGTGGATGTTTGCATTCCAAGTTTATAGTTATATGATCATATTCCCCCCCCTCTCTTTCTCTTATATATCTATGCATTTTTATTTCAATAAATGAATATATATCGAAAAAACGGCTTTCCTGCATGGTTTTAGATTCTTTGTCTTCTACTGCTTACAAATATTATTTCTTTTTAAACATTGACGTCAGATCAAAAGATAAAAAAAAAAAGAAAGGATTCTCCCGGGAAAAATATATTTACGGTTATGATTTCGGGATCATTATTATTTTTGATGTCTGATATCGTTTTTTTTTTTTTTTGTTCCTGACCCAACTTAAAAAAACTCTTGAATGTAATCTGATGTGCTTTTTGTACATTTCCAAAAATCTACACTTCAATCTCAGATTTCCTCTTTTCAAATCAATCGCCCGGTGACGTTCAAAGTTTTTTTTTTTTCTTTTTATTGGGCGACGCACGTTTTTTATGTTTCTTTTTTTTTTTTTTTTTAATTCTTCCCTTTTGTTTTTTTTCTTTGGATTTCTTTTTTATTCTTATTTTGAACATCCAACTTGTTTTATTTGAGGCACAATTAGAGTCTCTATTATTGCTACTACTTGATTGTTTACTCCATATCCAACCATGGTGAACAACCATATTCAACAAGAGCAACAAACATCAACGGACTCTTCACGTCAAGGTGATCTATCTTCTCCTATGCGACTCCAACAAGAACAAAGTAACTTATCTTTACCCAATTCCACCATACAATCACCTATTTCTCAACAACAACAACAACAACAACAACAACAACAACAACAACAACAACAACAACAGCAACAACAACAGCAGCAACAACAGCAGCAACAACAGCAACAACAAAAACAACAAAGTGAAGAACGTCAGTCTTCAGCATCTGAACCACAATCAATACAGTCAGCATCATCATCAGAACAACCTCAATCAACCCAACAAGATCCTACAACTAGTTCTGGTTTAGGACAAACAGAGTGTAATATTGTATCACCTACTTTAGCGGATATTCTCAGTAACGATCGGATACTTCGGTTTTATCAATGTGTTAAAGAAATCAGATTACAACAGTCACCTCAACAAACAAGTTCCATGTTTTTTGCACTATGTCATGCTCTAGGTGATTCAGTATCATTTCTCAAGGTACCTAATATGAATAAGATTATGTTTCGCCAAGAAGAACAGATTTTTGCTGTCAATGTCACCGGTACTTCTACACAAACCTTTGATGAAGTTCAGCAACCACCTCAAAGTGTACCGATCGATTCTGTATTAACACAAGCACCTTCGACTTCTTCATCTTCTACCTATGCTCCTCATATGACTACAGCTGATACTCTGACAACACCATCAACGGATATCTCGGCATCCTCATATCATCATCCACAGAATAACAACCACGCGACAGCAAACACGTTAGCAGCAGCAGCAGCAGCAGCAGCCAATTTCTTCTCAGTATCTGATCAATCACAACATTTATTACAAGCGGCATTATCTTCGGTCGGAACTCATGGGACTGGTGCCCAAGCCGTACACAACGCCGTGGCTCCTTCAGCAACAACAACACCACCTGGTGGACAGATCAAAAAGAGAGGAAATGCGGATAAACGACCAAAGAAACCAAGTCCAAGAGATAAGGAGTATGCGATTAGACGTAAGTTAATAAATAAAAAAAAAAAAAGAACTGTTTCAAGAATCTATCCTCATGTCTCTTTTTTTTTTTTTTTTTTTTTTTTAGGAAATGATGTCATTCAAGATTTACTAAAAGTCTCAGAGGCCGATTTATTTCATCAAGCAAATACTGTGGATGGTGATGTCAAGTTGATTATCCAAGGTCAAGAAAGAAACACCAAACTCGGATTATTATCTCCTCTTCATCGATTTGCCACTTTTGCCAATCTCGCTGCTCATTATGATAGTGATTTTGCTCCAAAGAATGCTGGAGTTTATTACAACTATGAATATTTTCAACTTTACTTAGCATATCGTGATCTAGAAATTGAACGAACTATACAACAACAACAACAACAACAACAACAACAACAACAATCAGATCAATCGGATCAACATCACACGGATAAAATACATCAATCATCGTCATCTCCTGAACCAGCAAGTGGGACACCTACAACGAATCCAACAGCTATGGCGATTTCCTCACCAGCAGCCGTCTCAAGACCCGTCATGATGCAATGTCGGGCAGATATTGAAAAGGTACTTGTGAACACGAATTGGGAAGCTATACGACGTCGTCTTACTATTGGTGAACGTATTTGTCAAGTGTGTGGTATCCTGGGACGTGGATTCTTACTTCTCAGCAAACAAGTTTCTGGACGAAAGCTTTTACATAATTTCAACACGGGTGAATGGGGTGACTTTTTACGAGAATTCCAGCGACCGGAAACACAACCTTTGTTACAAACATTGCAAACCAAATTCTCACCAGAACGTCTTTATCAACATCAACAACATCCGGCTTATTCCCAAACCATGTCTGCGTCTGCTGCCGCTGCCGCTGCCGCTGCTGCCATGAAAGTCCTGCCTCTATTATCTCAGCCTCAACAAGATCAAACAACTCCTTCTACCAGTACGACTATACGCCAGACACCTACTGTGATACCATATGCATCCAACTCCCCACCATCATCACCATCCTCCTTACCGCCATCCACACAAATAGATACAACTATCAAAGAAACAGATCCTACCTTGACAGAAGATCATCAATCAACCCCTACTGATGATGATATGTCGGATGAACAAGATCGTAAGAAACCAAAAGTGGAACAAGTATGATTTGGGAAATAATTAGTTAGTTATTATTTTAGTTTTTATCTAGTTTAGTATTTTTTTTTCACTTTCTTGATATATCCCCTCTACTGTTTATATTTTTTTTATTTTATTTTATTTTATGCAGCTTCCTGTACTATATGTTTTTTTTTTTTTTTTCTTTTACAAAAAAAAATAAAATAAAAAATCTAGTCATAGTAATCATTTCAATATACCATTGATGATGATGATCAAAAAAAAAAAAATGTACAAGCATATCTCTCTCACACCTAATAAAACCCACACATATGCACACATTAAAAAAAAAAATAGTCGTTGTAAGGTTACTTTTCCATTTATTGAAAGTCTACATGGATTAAAAAAAAAAAGAGGAGGGGGGGGGGGGTAAGTAAAAACAAACTATATATTTTGAACTAAAAATGACAATGAATAATAAGGATGATAAATAAATAAAAATATAGAAAAAAAAAACAAAAGGATATTATATATAAAAAAAAAAAAAGACAATGAGAAGGGAAAAAAGATATATAAACTAAAATTATGTATATAAATATCAAGAATGGGAGGGAAATCTATCATTGAATTTTTTTTTTTTTTTTTATATCACGAATAATAGAGGCATCTAAGACCAAACATCTTCTTGATAACGACCAATGTTGCGTAATGATTTAACATATTCCAAAGCTTTATCTTCAGATTTGTTGCCATATTCCATAGCCAAGTTGACAAAAGTTTGATTGACATCACGAGCCATGTTCTTTGCATCACCACACACATAGATATAAGCCCCTTTTTCCAATAATTGCCACATTGCTTGTCCATGTTCTTCCAAACGATGTTGAACGTATATCTTGTGATCTGTTTCGCGTGAAAAGGCTGTGATCAATTGTGATTCATCACCTAAGGTTTCAAACAATTCAGACCATTCATCAGAGTATAAAAAGTCTTGTTCAGGATGTCGACTACCAAAGAAGAGGACTGTAGGTCCTACTGATTTGCCTTCTTTCTTTTGTACAGCACGTTCACGGACAAAACCACGGAAAGGTGCTACACCCGTACCAGGTCCAACCATGATGATAGGAACACTCGTATTGCGAGGAAGTTTGAATTGAGATCGACGAACATGAATAGGTAATTTGCTTGCTTGACCATCAGCATTGAGGAAAGATTGACGAGGTCCAGCCAAATCATAAGTTGGTAAATCAGTTGGTTGTTGTTGACCTTGGATATGCATGCGATATAAAAAGTTGGTGTTGACACCGTATACAGTGCGGTCAGGAGTAGGTTCAGGTTGATAAGCAAGAGTGACACATGTGGCAGAAATAGTAGTAGGTTTTTCCTTGGCCGAGGATGAAATGGAATAATAACGAGGTTGAAGTCGAGAGATGGATTCCACAATAAGATCAAACGGTACAGTTGCAAAAAGACCAGATGTATTTTCATGATTATCAATCGTAGTGACCAATTCTAGTACTTGACCCAAATTGCGTACAGCTTCACCCACCTTCAATCGGTACTCATCCTTGTCCGTAGCTAATAACTTGAGAAATTCCTTTGAGGCTTCAGTAGGAGCATATTCTACCAATGGCATCAATGATTGACGAGAAACAGGAGCACAGATATCTAAATAATGACGGAAGATTGCCCGGTAAGTCGCAGGTACAGGGAAAGGATATTGCTTTGAAGCTGCAGGATCAATTGCTTTCACCATCACCACAGCATCCAGTTTATCAGTCAAACCCAAAACGGAAGCCAATCGTAATACTTCATCTTCATTATTGGTAGGCCACATAGCAACGTGATCACCTGTTTGGTAACTAAGGTTGGTGCCAGATATGTCGATATCGATATGTAGACAATGTCGATCAGACCCTTTGAATAATTCATAGGAGGTGATAGGAGCAATATAAGGACGTTTGGCATCGTAAATCACCTTTCTAAAATAATAATAATAAATCAGTACATAACATTTATAGTATATATATATATTCAAACTTACGATCCAGCCTTGACTTTAGGACCAATTTCACCAAAGTAAACATCATCCTTTTCATAAGATTGTAATTCTTCTACATTATAAGTAGCTTGTCTAGGACCAGATAGAGCATTCGTTTCATCTACACCAAGAGCTTCACAGAAGGCAGGCCACATGGATTCTTGCCAAGCCAAAAAATCTTCTTCCAAAGATCCATCATCATCACCTTCACCACGTTCTCCAATACGTTTAGCTCCAAGTTTCGTTAGTTTTTTATCCAAAATGCGAGCGACAGCATTATAATGTTCATATGTTTTATTGCCCAAACCAAAGAGAATATATCGCAAGGAGGGTAAACGATCTCCACCATCAGAGAATTGTGGTTCTTCATCCGTCACTAATTGTTCCCAAAAGTCAACAGCATTGTCAGTCGGTTCACCTTCACCATATGTAGCCATCACAAAGAAAACCAATGCATCTTCAGGTAAAGTATCTAAATAGGTGAGATCGTAAAGTTCAATATCTGCCGTCATACAATTGACACCATATTTTTGAGCACATTCCTTGGCAAGTCTTGAAGCATAATCTTCAGCAGTACCAGTTTGAGAACCATAGAAAATAACTAGTAGAAAAATAGTGAGAAATAGACTTTATCATCTTTATATGTGATAATACTTACCAACTTGTCGACCCTATAAATCCAAAATAGTAGAAAAAAAAAAGATGATATTTTGACATGTCAATCTTCTATAGTTTGTAAATCACATTCTCTTTTCCAATTTCCTTGTTAACATTATTTACCTGTTGTTGCATGACTTTGACAAAATTGCGTTCACGTTTGGGTGGTGGAGGGGTTGAAGGTTTAGCAGTTGCATCTTGTTTGGAGGTACCAAATAATTTGTCAGCCAGTTGACGTCTAGCGAACCAAGCAATCGTACCTAATCCAACAGTACCTAATAAAACCAAATCAAGTGTATCTATCACAGCAGGAGTAGTTTGAGCCATGATGTCTATTTTTTTTTAAAAAAAAAAAAAGGAAACAAAGAAAACGGAAAAAAACAAAAAAGAAAAATAATAAAAAAAAAAAAAAGAAAAAGAAAAATATTAGGCCCTCCTCACAGCAAAAAAAAAAAAAAAAAAAAATAATCTCAATGCGGAGATGTAAATGAAGAAACCAAAGTAAAATTTCATTCCTTGTTTCCATCGGCTGCCGATACACCCGAAAGAAAAGCTATTGGACAATTAAATCTATCATTTTTATATATATAACACGTGAATTTAGGAATTAGGATCATTTTCTCTCTTTTTCTTTTCTTTTTTTTCTTTCTTAATAATGTTATAATAGAAATATAAAATAATCTTTGTTTTCTTTGTTCTTATTGTTATATATGATTAAACATTTAACTTTTTGAAATAATCAAGAAAGATAATCAGGTCATATTATATATATGAACAAGGACGGCATTTAAATTTAATAGTAAGAAACTGAATGAATTGTGCAACGTTAACATTTGGGAAAAAAAAAGAACTAGGTGGACTCTTTTTTTGTTTTAATTTTTCTTCTTCTTCATCTGTTTCTATAAAATTCTTACTATGTGTGATCTATCAGACCCAAGAATTACTCAAGCTTATCAAGCCATTATTGAGGGTGAAGAAACTGATTGGTATGAACAAAAACCTTTGGTTATAAATTATATATAAAGAATATTCATCATATTTTCAAATATAATAGGTTGATATTAGGTTATAATGATACTCGAGAAGTCATATCTCTTTATTCGAAAGGTACCAATGGTTTAAAGTAAGTAGAAAATAATTGGTTCCTGAAAAAAAAATACCTAACCACGTTTTTTTTTTTTTATGCTTGTTCAGTGAATTCCGAAGTCAACTTCAAGAAGAAATTTTATTTGGTTTTGTACGTGTGGAAGATCGATTTATACTTATTTCTTATGTCCCAGATCAAGTCAGGTAATAAAAAATCAGAAGGGGCGTAGATGGCATGTTATTATTGGAAAAGTATAAATTAACTTGTATTTTTTTTTTTTAGTGGCGTACGAAGAGGTAATATATATATATTAAAAAAAAAAAAGGGATAAGAAGCTTATTTGTTTTCTTTCTTTTTTTTTTTTTTTTTTTCAAAAGCAAGAACATTGGTACATAGTCGATCCGTTGCTAGTTTATTCCAAGTCCATCATGCACAACTAACAGCATCATCATTAAATGATCTTAGTGATGCCAATATCCGTACGCGTTTGAAACTAGGTGAAAATCAAGTACCTAATCGATCTCGACCTCCTTCTTTATCGGAACGCAAACGATCATCTCTTCAAGCACGTCGAAAATCTCAACAACAACTTCAACCAGCTGATCGTCCCTCATTGCCATCTTCTCCCACAACTAGCTCCTATACTGCTGAACCTGATACGTTTGAAGAAGCTCAAGAAGAATTCAACACTCCGGATCTGGATACCAACCCCACTTCTTCTTCTGATGTCACTCCTACAACTGGTAGTCATGTGGAATCAGATAGTATTCATTATGATGATCACCTCGATGATCAACAACAACGACAATTTGGATCAGATGATGTATCTCAAAAACAAATTGTGGAAGATGATCATTTGAAACAACAACAAGAGGAGGAACAACGCCGTGCTGAAGCTGAAAAGAAACAACGACTTGCTGAACAACAACAACTTGCTGAACAACAACGTCTTGCAGAACAACAGCGTCTTGCAGAACAACAACGCATTGTAGAACAACAACGTGCTGCCGAAGAGGAGAAAAAACGACGTGAAAAGGAACTAGCAGAACAACGTGAATTGGAAGAGCAACAACGACAAGAAGCAGAAAGGCAAAGACAAGAAAAACAACGTCTCTTACAAAAACAGTTGCAACAAGCTGAAAAGTCAAAGGATGTAAGTTTCTATTGTGATGATGAAAAAAATAAAATAAGAATGTACTGGAAATTGATCACCTATATATATATATTTGTAGGTAATCATTCAAGGTTTTTCAAATATCCAACCAAGTGGCAGTCCGGTATGTATATTTTTTTTTTTTAAAAAAAAAAGTCTTATTCTATATCATTGATTGATTTTTGTTTTATATTATTAGTTTTGGCGTCGTCGCTTTTTTGCTATTCGTGGCAAGACCATGGCTATTTATCGTGATGAAACAGTAAGTGATGAATCATCAAAAATAATACGATCACTGATTTTTTTTTATTATTATTTATAGGCATTACAACCAATTATTATCATTGATTTGAATGCAATCAACAAACTTCGCTGGGCGGATATGGAAATAGATACCTTTGTACCAAATGCGTTTATGATCGAACTAAAGGATAACACTACTTATCAGATCTTCGCTGATCACCAACAAGATGCTAACACTATCTTCACTGCTCTTCAAACCGTACTTCGATCCAAATGATTCTTTTTATGCTTATGATTAATACCTTTTTTTTACCTTATATGTTTCTATTTATTCTTTATTTCTTACTTATTTATTTCAATCTATTTTTTTTTTTTTTGACTGTATATTATTCCAATAAATCATGTCTTTCTATTCATTCTATATAATTTGACTTTGCTATTTTTAGTTCCATCATTTTCTTCTACTCGTGCATCATCATTACTATTCTCTTTTAATTCACTAAATAAACTAGTTTTTCAATTCCCATTATTCCATATATAAATCAAAGTATACTTTTTTTTTTATTTCTTTTATTGAGAAAATAAGGTATAAACAATAATAAGAAAAAAAGTGATATTATACAAAGGCTTCTAAGAATAACAAAATACCCAAGAAAAAAAAAAAAGGAGAATATAATCTGTATATATACGTGTGTATGTGTGAGCGTGTGTGTGAAACAGAGCGGAAGTGACCAAAAAAAAAAAATGTAATAATAGTAATAATAATAATAATATAATAATAAAAAGACAGTGTATAACAAAGGGGGGGGGGGCTATTCATATCAATCATCATGATCCCATCCATCCATCAATCCATTTGTATCATCACCATCCGATTTCTTTAATCCATTTCTATAAGAGGATAAGGGGTCGATCTGATCTTGTACACGGTGTGAAGGTGTAGATCCTATTGATGGGTTTACAGATCGAATGCCGTTACTATTGTTGGTTGGAGGTGGATCCAATAAAAAAGGTTCTTGTTGTTCATCCGTTGATACATCTTGTGTCAATAAATCTACAAAAAAAAAAAAAGTTCAATCCATATATCATGAACCATTTATATTCTTTTTTTTTTCTTACCAGTTTTTTTGTTTTGTGAATTCTTAGAATGTATTTTATCCATATTGATGTTATCGGTATATTGTTGATGAGAGGCAGGTACCAATTCAATGCCATTGTAATCATCCATAGACTGTTTTGATCGACGAGAGAGAGTGAGCGATTTCCGAGAAGTAGAGGCATAACGACTAGCACCAGACAAGGGTTTTGGGAAGATATCAGCAGGACCAGGTTGATGCACACCATTTTGTTGAGGAAGCATATGATCATTTTCATCTAGATCATCTTCATCCGAGTTTAAATATTTCTCATTATCAAAGATGTGAAGTAAACTATTTCGTCGATTGCCGTGGATATTTCCATTCATATGAATCGTATTGTCACCGCCACTATCGAGACTAGATTCATCATCACCTAAAGGTTGATGGTGTTGAGGTTGACTACGAGAATGATGAAGAAGTGCGACACCAGAACAAATAATCAAGAAACCAAAGACACAAGTAGTAACATCTGTACCAGAAGCTTCGAAACCACGATAAAAAACGGTAGCACTGACGATAGTGAGAGTGGTGAAGATGACATAATAAGTTGGAGTAACTAGAGCTGTATTGAAAATATTCAATGCCTTGTTGAGATAAATGATTTCCACCATCAAAGTTACGATTGTTAGTGCCAGCACTAGATACACAAACCAGTCGTCGAATTGATTTTCTACAGCTAGAGAATGTACAATCGTCCCACCAATGCCTTGAGTAAATACAACAGATAATGATCCAATCAATGAACACACCGTAATATACACCAACATGTTTTTACTACCCCATCTAGGACCACAATAAAACACAAGGAAAAGTGATATCCCAACTGCAAACACAGAATAAGTCATAAATCCTAAAAAAAAAAAAAAAAAAAAAAGATTTAATTATTATTATCATTATTAGTATTCTATATTATTCCTTACCAGATGACAACATCAAAGTTCGAAAAGTTGCAATAGAATTATCAGCAGCACCTTCTTCAGGGGCATGCAATACAATGATGATTGCACCGAAAACACATTGAACACAACCAATGATACCTTGAAAAGTCAAACCTTCTTTCAAAAAGATAGAGGATAATACAGCACTATTTAAAAAAAAAAAAAAGAAAAACAAAAAAAAAAAAAAGAATTCAATAAAATTCATTTCATCTCTCCATATACTTTTTTTTCTTTACCTAATGACCACTGAGAGAGCACCAAGAGGAGTGACCAAAATAGCAGGAGCAAAAGCATAAGCAACAAAATTACATGCTTCACCAACAACCACTATTGAAAATAATAATAAGGAATTAATAAAACATTTCAACATATTTCAACATGATCCATCCCAATCCATTATATAAATAAATAAATAAAAAAACAAATAAAAAATCAAATCTTTTTGGATAGATGAAAAAAAAAAGACTTACTTAAACCCATCCCTAACCACCATAAGGCAGATTTCAGATAACCATAACCTTCACCGGCAGCACTTCCTATAAAAAGAAGGTAAAAAATAAACGAGTTTAAATTCATTCTATATATATATAAATTGAAATTTTACCCGACCGTGCGTTCGAATCCAAAAGACCTTTCTTCTTGAATACAAAACTACTACCAATAAATACACCTATATATATAATATAAGGGAGAAATTTCAGTAAGAATAAGTTTAAAAGCTAATATCAATCATATATATCCCCACTCTTACCTCCCTTCCTTTCTTCCCCCTCTTATTCTCCTTTTTGTCAAAATATATACATATATCAACACCACCACCACCACACACACACATACACACACACACATATATATATAAGATAGTGACCAAAAAAAAACAACAACAACAATATGAATCATATCCAACAAGTTCATTGTTATTATCCCCCATCTTAATAACTTTCTTACCACTTGTCACAGCTAAAGTGACACCGATGCTTTTATAAAGAGCTCCATGAGTTTCCAATGCTTCCGGTGTAAAGGATGGAGTTGTTGTTGTAGAGTTTGACATGTATATAATATGCTGTTATGTATTGATGACGTTATCAGATGAGAGAGAAGGTAGTAGATCGCGGCAAGTAGACAGAAAAAAAAAAACGAAGTTTGTCCTTGAATAAGTTGATTTTATATCAAGTTCAAATTTCTAAAAAAGACAATCTTTCTTTTTTTTTTTAAAGTTGGGTCCAAAGAATATATACAAAAAAAAAAAAAAAAAAAAGATAGTAAAAAGGAAGAAGAAGGAAAGCGAAACCGAATAGAAAAAAAAAGAGAGAGAGAGAGAAAGAGAAAAACCAGAATCTTTAAAAAAAAAGACGAGTCTCCTATTTTTAGGTCTTAACCTACAATGGGTTGGAAAAATAAAAAGTGTCACACCTTCCCCATAAGTATAAACCAATCATCAATAACCGACTCAGATCAAAAAAAATAAAAGGTTGATATTTCAATACTAAAACAAATAAAAACTTGAATTATTTTTTTTTATTATTATTATTCAATCATTAGAAAGAAAAAAAAAAAAAGAAAAAAAGGGAAAATGTGATAAAATGATAAAGATGATATCATTTTATTGATAATTAATGAACATTATTTATCATATTATATGGTTCATACAACTGAGATTAAAGTAATCATTTTTGTAGCCAATCATATTAATGTTTCACGCCAAGACTATATGGAAGAAAAAAAATAATAATAATAATAATCTAAAAAACGATATCCTTTCTTATTTTAGATTTCTATAGATCGTCCTCAACCCTGAGAATCATCCTAATCCTTTGTAACACACATCATTCAATAACTATCAACTTTTTTTTTTGAATAAATGATTTCATGTCATTTTTATTAACCTATATAATAATATAAAATCTTTTTATCATCTCTATTTGTACTTTTCTTTTCTTTTCTTTAAAAAAAAAAAATAAGTTTCATTAATGGAAAGAAATCAGATATTTATTTATATAGAAAGATTGTCTATCATCTTATGCAACAACCATTATATGATAACAATATCATCCCAATTTTCAAATTTAAAAACAAAAAAATGTTTATTATATAATTACAAACCAAATAAAGGTGTACAAATAAAAAGAATAATAATAATAAATATGTAGATAAAGAGAATAATAAACTATCCAATAAAACTAAAAGTAACCGTAGTTTTTGTTTTGTTGTCCAGATCCTCCAGAGGAAGTGGGACTTGGTTGATTTGGATTTTCAATAGTTCTAAAAGGATTGTAATCACCAGTGACTATGTCGCCAGGCACAGCATGTGAATGATCAGTTGCAAATTGAGGTTGATAGGTGGATGACATCTTTTCATTTTTCAACAAAGGAGCATGCATTGAAGGTTGAGAATCCATAGTCATGCCAGATGCGACTCGATCAGTAGTAGATGGGTTAGGATAAACAGCATAAGGATCTTGCGTTGATATACCAGAGGCATAAGGTTGTTGTGGTAAAGGTGATGTAGATGGTGGAGGAGGGGAAGATGTTGCCATATTGCCATAAAATTGAGAATCATCCACTTGAGTTTCTCCTTGGTATTGGAATTGAGCATCATCGATATCATGAACACTATTATTATTGCTGTGTTGATTCATCATAGCTGGAGCACCCACTGTCATAGCTTGTCCACTTGTTGATGTCATTTCCCGTTGTCCATATGTCGCACCATCTGAACCATGGAATACTTGAGCCAAAAAGTTGAATTTAGAAAGACGGGCTGATTGTTTGTTGTGTCCACCAATAAGATCTGTAGAAGATCCTGCCATGTTATTATTATTATTGTTGCTAAAGTTTTCTTCAAAGTCATGTTCCCTAAATCGAGCTGCACGCATCTGTACTTGACGTGATCGTCTTTGCCATCGAATTAATCCCAACATAAGAATCACTGCACCTGCAATACAACCAAGTGTTATACCAGCAATTTGACCACCAGAAAGAGCACCAGGAGATTCATTTTGAGGAGGATCCGAACATACATTACCACTACCACAGTATTCAGATAAACATTGGAAATCTTCATAACATTGTTCACCATTGTTTTTGAGAGCGACACAGGTCTTGAGAGCAGCATTGCAAAAGTAATTGTCAGGACATCGGCCATTGACAGCAAGAGGATCACTACCACATTCGTTGCTACCTAGTACAAGAGATGGAACGGCTGTAGATGATGTAATAGAGAAACTTCGCGTTGAATATAAAGTAGATGTGAAGGAAGGTTCATCTGTAGTTGTTGTGGGCGTATCTGATGCAGTACTTGAAAATGATGTTGTATCCGAGGTAAAAGTAGTAGCTGTTAAAGCTGCTGCAGATGATGCTGATTGAGATGTTGGATCAGTAGATGTGATTGCTGAAGATGACATAATAGTTGCTTCTGTTGATAATGATGATGATGGTATATCAGTAGCGGATGTGAATGCATCAGAAGAGGATGATTCGATTGTGGTAAGAGTAGCTTCTGTAGAAGTAGTCATTGGTGTTGGTGTTGCTGAGAAAGTATCGGTAGCAGTAGTAGTAGTATATTGCCAACTATCTGAAGTCATGGATGATTGTATATCACTTGAAGTAGGGTAAATAGAAGTATCTGATGGTGTTTCAGTCATTGATGAATCGGATAAAGTCATCGTTCCAGTATATGATGTATACGCTGTTCCTGTCATTGTTGCTTCCGTAGATGATTCTATGGATGAATCTGTTGCAGTAGCTGTCATTGATTCTGATGGTGATGATTCCGTTGGTGATTCCGTAACTGATCCAGTGGCTGTTTCGGTGGGTGATTCAGTAGGTGATCCAGTGGCTGTTTCAGTAGGTGATTCAGTAGGCTTCTCTGTCATTGTTGGTTTATTAGACTGTGTTGTATCTCCAGAAGGACTAACAGTGTCAGTAGGTTTGGCTGTATCAGTAGCAGTATCAGTAGGAGTATCCGTTGGTTTAGCTGTATCTGTAGCAGTATCAGTAGGTTTACCAGTGTCTGTTGGAGTATCCGTTGGTTTCGCTGTATCAGTAGCAGTATCAGTAGGTTTACCAGTATCAGTAGGTTTACCAGTATCAGTAGGTTTACCAGTATCAGTAGGTTTACCAGTGTCCGTTGGTTTAGCTGTATCAGTAGGAGTATCAGTAGGTTTGCCAGTATCAGTAGGAGAACCAGTCTGTTTACCAGTGTCTGTTGGAGTATCAGTAGGTTTGCCAGTATCAGTAGGAGTATCAGTAGGTTTACCAGTATCAGTAGGAGCTTCAGTTTGTTTGCCAGTGTCGGTTGGAGTATCAGTCGGTTTAGCAGTATCAGTCGGTTTGCCAGTATCAGTAGGAGTATCTGTTGGTTTGGCTGCATCAGTTGGAGAATCAGTATGAGGTGAATTGTTTCCTGATGGTTTTTGATCCGTTGGTGAAGCATCAGCAGTAGGTGTATTATCAGTTGGAGTAGCTTCGGCAGCGTTTTGATGAATATGAGATGGAGAATTATTTCCTGGATTTGATGAATCAGGGGAAGAAGATGATTGATCCGTACCTGCATTTTTTGATGTATTGTCCACTGATGTATTGTCGTTACTTGATTGTTGTCCTCCTAATGACTTATCTATTGATGATTGATCAGTTGTTGGATTCGTTTGATGTTGACCTATTAAAAAAAAAAAAAAGGTTAATTCTTTATTTATTTGTATAAGGAGAGAAAAATGAATTACCATTTTCAGATATTGAAGGAGGAGCTCGTTTGATGAATTTGCCACCATTCAAATCAAGTTCATTTTGTTGACCTAAATAAAATAAAAATAGAATGAATTAGTATCTTTTTTTTTTTTTTTTTACTCCTCTTTATATTATTTACCAATACAATCAACTTTTGTTAAAATCATAAAACAAACAAGAATCAAAAGTAATAAAAAACGCGGTTTCAATGTAAAATTGGGAATGAAAGAAAGGAATGTCAAAGACATGAAGGAATAAAAAAAAGGAAAGGAAAGGGAAATAAAATAACAATAAATAAATAAAATAAATAAATAAAAACAAGAAAGAAAGAAAGAAAGAAAGAAAGAAAGAAAAAAAGAAAAAAAGAAATTAAATTTTACAATTTCTTCAATTTTTTTTAGATATCGGAGCTGGTTTAGTTACACAGACTTAGATGGGATTTCTTTGTACTGGGATTCTCCCTATTTATGATGATTATTATCATCAAACAAAAATAATCATCTTTTACTATAAAAATATAAAAGATATTTAATGTGTTTTTTTTTTTGTGGCTGTTACTCTGATAAATACCCTTTTTTGTTGGTTATACGCGCCTTACTGAGTTCTAAAACTATTTCTCTTTTTTTTTCATTTTAATATATATCAACAATAACTTTGGGGAAATCATTCATCAATTGTATTAATCTATAAATGTTATATATTGTTTGTCTTAACTTAAAATGTTATAACTACTATTTTTTTTTTTTTACTAGACTAAATAAATATATATATATATTGTTTTTTTTTTCTTCTTTTTAATATAAAAAAAAAAAGAAGAAATCTCATTCTTGTATCACATAACGTAGATCCCAGAGAGAGAGAGAGAAAAAAAAAGTTTAATTTTTCTACTCTTTTTTTGTCTATATAGCGAGGTGTCTTTCCCAAAATTACTTAGTTTAGAATTCATTTTTATCCAATCATCTTTATTCAATAGTAACACTCATTTTATTATTTCTTTTTACCCTAGTTTTCTTTTCATTCAACGTCATCCACTATCAATCTTATTACATTCATGCAAAAAAAAAAAAAAAAAAGAAAAAAAAGAAAAAAAAGAAAAAACTTCTCACTTTATCCTTTTTCCTATATATGATTTCCATCTCCGATGACGCCCTCTACAAAAAAAAAAAAAAAAATTGCATCCATCCATTCTCCTTTGTTTATTACCTTTTTTTTTTTTTTTTTTCTTAAACCAAGGAGCTTGAACTACTGTATTATTTACTTACTTTTTTATTCAATTTTTATTTTCTTATCTTCTCTTACCATGTCCAATGAATCCAATGAACAAACGTAAATGTTATTTTTTTTTTTAAGAAAACCATAAAGTCAGCCATTCCTCCAACTCCTCCGACTCGGCACGAATACTAACTCACCCTTTTTATTATTTTAGTGCAAAGAGGAAGAAAAGAACAAGAGTACCAGTACGTGAACTTCATGCTTTAAGGGATGATAACAATCAAAGATGTAAGTATTTATTCAATTCAATGAAATATATCTTATTCTTTTTTTTTTTTTTTGAACATAGCCAGTCTTAATCTACCAAAATGTCCTATATGTTCTCATCGTATTGAGCCACAATATTGGCAAATTCATTATAATTATGAACTTGATCGACTTAATCAACTTGATTCTGATGTTTATACTGATCCCATGGATAAGACGTAAATATTTATCTATCTTTTATTATCACTCAATTTCTTATTATTATTATTATTATTATTATTATTATTATTATTATTATTATTATTATTATTATTATTATTATTATTATTATTATTATTATTATTATAGAAAAGGGAAAAGAGGTGCAGCAGTTCTGGCTAGACAACATATGGAAAAGAAATATCGAAAACGACCAACAACCATTTATGAAGAAGCATTACAAAAAGTCAAACATAATACAGCTCAACGCAAAGAAGCTTTGAAACGATTAGATGCACCACAATCTGATCTTGTCGATCCATCTTCCTCTTCTTTATTGAATCAAGGTAAAAAAAAAAAAAAAAAGTTCCTTTATTGGTTGATTCCAGTTCTTATAATTTTATTTTCTTTTTACTATAGAACTTTTGAATACGGATCAACAACAAACTTGTTTTATATGTAATGAAACACTTTTTGGTGATTCGGAAGCCATCAATTTACACATTGATCGATGTTTGATGAATATGAATGAACAACCTACAACTACTTCACACAATAACAACAATAATAATAATCTTTCACCACAAGATGGCAATGATTGGGATCAATATGAATGGGCTGGTCAAGTTCGTGTTCGTGCTACTTCTATGATGGAAGGTGGCTATGGAGGTAATTATTATATATGATCATAGATAATCAACGTTTTTAATATATATATATATATATATATATATATATATTTGATGTAGGTGCTGGTTTTGCAACTGCCCAAAAAGAAGATGATGTGGATGAGGATTTGGATATCGAAGAAGATGATGCGGAATATGGTCATAGTCAATACAATGAACGGGATATCATGGTCAATATGGATGAAGATAATGATGATTCAAATGCACTGAGAGAAATGATATCTGAAGGTTCTTCAATACCACGGCAGCAACAACAACAAGAAGAAGAACAAGAAGAAAATAATAGGTAATATATAGATATAGATATAGAAAGAGTCAAAAATAACTTTTATACTTTTATGGTAGACAAGCTTCTCCCCAAAGTGGTTTTGAAGAAACAGTATCTGATGCAGGTTGGGATCGACATTTAGCAATGGATCATCCATCATCCTCTGAAATCTCACAAAGTACTACCGGTAATCTTGTGGTGGATTCTTTGAAATCTCGGATACATCAATTGGTAAAATCTCCATATATTGAACCTTATCTTTTATTCTCATTGATATATGATTTAATAGGAAATGGCTTCACGATCTGTCCCACGATGTTTGATTTGTTTGGAACCTTACAAAACTCCATTGACCTCTATTATCTGTTGGCATGTCCATTGTGAACAATGTTGGTTACAAACCTTGGGATCCAAGAAACTCTGTCCTCAATGTCAAAAGATCACCACTCCTTCTGATCTTCGTCGTATATATCTATAGTTTTTATTTTTTTTTTTTTTATTATTATTATTATTATCATTTGTATATCATTCTTTTCTTGCATTTTATATAATCTTACTATTTTGTACACAACATAACATACATACAAACTTACATTTATTCATACATACTTCATATCCTTTCTTTATTCTTTTTCCACATTTTGTACCCTATCTTCCTATTATCACAATAAAATATATATATATATTTTTTTTTGATAGAATTGTTTGTTTTTATTATTTTTATATTAAAAAAAGAAGTGTCATAGAAATAGACTAAAACTACACCATTCTCTCTAACAAATGATAAGAATCATCCATCCAATCGTGGTAATTTTGTCTTTCGATCTGTCCCATCCTCTGTCTATAAATAAACAATAATAAAAAAAAAGTTAGGAATATCATCATATATTAATAAAGTTCCTCTTTATTCCAATTCATGAGAAAGGGAGATTACCTTTCGTTTTTGATGCAAGTCCTCATCGAATCCTTGATCCATATCCACATCGGCATTCTTCAATAAAGTATTACTTTTGATGGCATCGGCATGACAAGTAGCATGATATATCTATATTAAAAAAAAAAAAAATTAGTTTGGTGCCAAGATGTACATGATATATATATATATTTTATTTTTATCATTACTGTTGAACCCACAAGTACCGCGTTTTTGTACATCCATTCTTCTTCATCATCATTCCAAACATCCGTAAAAGCTTCACCACAAATTGGACAAGGTTTCCGTTCACCATCATGAGGCATCACCACCATTGAGTCTCCCAATTCCAATAGTTCATTCTGTTCCTTATTCATGGTATTATTGTCCGCAGCTTGATTGGTTATATTATCACTACTACTTTCGATCGTTTGTAATCCACCCGTTTGTTGTTGTTGTTGTTGTTGTTGTTGTTGTTGTTGTAATGGTTGAGAAAGTCGTTGTTGTTTGTCGGTCATAAATGTTGGCATTTGATGACTAGTCAATTCCCCTTCTGCACCATGAATCCAGTCGCTTTCAGATACAAACCAAGATCTAGATAATCCACGTTTGACTCGTTCCTTCATCCTTCTATTTTGTCGAAAATGTGAATCCAAGTGTGCATCCATCTTCATCTTGCCTTCTTTAGTGTCAGGATAACGAATGCCACATTGTTTGCATTTTAATGGTAACTTGGCATATAGGAATTCCACAGCTCCAGGTCGTTCTCTAATAAAAACAGGAAGAATAATAATAATAATAAGAAAATAAGATTAAATATGAATATATACAATGATTTATCTTCTTTTTTTTTCTTTTTTTTTTTTTTTTTTTTTTTTTTTTTTTTTTTTTTTTTTTTTTTTTTTTTTTTTTTTTTTTTTACCTTTGAAGATCCTTGTTATCTAAACGGAAATTGTACTCGGTAGGTGGCATTTGCTGTAATGAGGTTGGAGGCGTTGCAAGAGGAGGGGTAGGTGTTGAAGTCAAAGGTAATGAAGTAGCCACCGGGTTCGTATGAGTTGGTTGTAATAATCCTTGAGACATCAAATTTTTTAATAGATCAGCAGTATTGAGACTTATTGGAGCAACCATTGGTGGTTGTGGTGGTTGTGGTGGTGGCGGTGTTGTTGTTGGTGTTGTTGTTGTTTGAGGAATAATAGGTGGATGAGCTAGCCTTTGAGGTTGAGGAGAACCAGTGGGTAGAATTGATGATGTAGCTACAGGTGATCCTATTGCTCCTATTGGAGGTGGAGTTGATGTTGTCATTTGATGTTGTTGTGAAACAAATGTAGGACCAGAATGAATGAGATTGTTCGGGAGAGGCTATAGATGAAAGAAAAAGAGAGATTAGTTTATATTATACGATACTATTGATAATCATTATACCTGAGTTAACAATTGTCCTTTGGAAGGTGAAGAAACTGTAGCAGGAGGCGAAGGTGTGACAGGAAGTTGACCTTTTGGTTCCATTCTTGCTCTACTCCTTGGATCCCTTGGCTACAAAGATTTTAAAAAAAAAAAAAAAAAAAAGAAGAAGAATTGAGTTCTCATTGACGAGCAAACCTCTTTTTTTATTATTGTTATTATTCTTTTTTTAAAATACATACCTTTGAATTAGTTGGTACAGGACGACTAGAAGGTGATTGCTGATGTTGTTGGATAAAGTTGATAGAACGTTCAATGGTATCAATCAAATGACGAGCAAACACAGGAGAACCATTAGGCATTCCATTTTTCCATGTTTGTAATAAACGTTCAAAACTTTTTCTTGTTGAAGGATCGACCAAGGTATAAGTATCCATAAAAAGAGATGTGATATTTCGAGCAAAATGTGTTACATAAGGACCGCCCACATTCTTGCAAATTGAGTCGATCAAATATAAGACAGGGAGTTTTTGACCAGGAGCATTCTATAATGACAAGGATAATGGAAATAAAAAAGGATGAGTAATCACAGTAGTGATAAAAAGGTTAACAATAAAAATAATAAAAATAATAGAAAAGGAATCAATCATATAAATATTTATATAAAGAAGTAGTGTATAAATCATTCAACAATGAATCCAATCCCTATTTTTTTTTTCTGTTCTTTTTTTTTTCCTTTTTTTGCAAGTGATTTATTCATTGTATAACGAATGAGAGTTGATATAAATATATATATATATATGAAGAAGGTATAATAATAATAATAATAATCACAATCATAATAACAATCATAATAATAATAATAATAATAATAATCTAACTATAATCTAAATATTTCAAACTTACCGTTCGTATTTGTTGTTCAATTTCTCGTACTATTGCACTTGCTGCAAATTGATTTTCTTGAGCCTTAATAGTCAGTCCAGTAATAATAGGTTTGCTGTTAAAAGTCAAGTCAGCCAAAGCAGTCCTATAAGCTAACCGTATTCCTTCTATTTCATTGCTGTTATTTTGTTGTTGTTGTTGAAATGAAGTTGAATGCATGGTAGTCGAAGATGAATGTTCAAATCCGTTCATTTTATAAAATAATATTTATATATAATGTATACTAAAACTAAATCAAAACTAAATGAGAAATAAAATAAAAGTCTATATAACACTAGTAAAAAAAGAAATATATATAAAAAAAAGGGGAAAGAGATGACTATCAAACGTCACTACCATAGAATTCAAAACGGAAAAAAAAAAAAGAAAAATAAAGAATAAAAATAGTTTGATAAGTGAATGGTCCTTTATTTAAGTTTTCTTCTTTTTTTTTCTTTTCTTTTTTTTTTTTTTATGTATATAGATTTACCAAAAAAAAAAAAAGGATCAAAAAAAACAAAAGTTATTCAAATAATCAATAATAACTATTATACGTTGAATGTCGATAATGAGGGAGAAATAGAGTAAGGAAAGGAAAAAAAAAAAAAAAGGAAAGGAAAGGAAAAGGAAGATGTTTGAGAAAGGTTTTTTTTTTCCCTTTTCTTTTTTCCACCTCCCCAATTTCTATCTCCGTAGGTGACTTGATGTGGTCATCCCATGGATTCCAATACCTCGTCCATTCAAATACAGAAATTTTTCATGCAAAAAAGATTTTCCATCTTTTTTTTTTTTTCCTTTCATTGTATTTTATCATCATGTAAGTATAGTGATTAATATCAATAAACATATATATATATATCATGACTAACTTGATGAATTTCTATATTAGGTCAGAACCATATGATCCATATATTCCTTCCAACAAGCCCAATGAAAAAGAAAAAAAGCGTTCACAAACAGCTGAAGTTCAAAAACAAGTGGATGATGTGGTCGATCTGATGCAAGATAATATTGATAAGGTGATGAACCGTGGAGAAAGAATAGATGAACTACGTGGAAAAGCTGGTAAATATATATATATATATATAAATATATTGTAACTATGATGACTGATCCTTTTATACATATGTAGAGGATTTGAATGCCACGGCTGGAAACTTTAAACGTGGAGCCAATCAAGTACGCAAGAGAATGTGGTGGAAGGATTTTAAATGGAAAATCATCATTGGTCTCACTATTCTTGTCATCATTGGTATCATCATTGGTAAGTTTGAGCTATCATCATTGCTTATCCTGACATCTTTTTTTATTTTAAACTTTTTGGTTAGGTTCTATTGTTGGAACTCAAACTCATAAAGATGATAATAGTAAACAGCAACAACCTCCTACTACTTCTCAAGAAACACAGCAACAGTCATCATCAACAACTTCTATTATACAAGCTACATCACATCCTTAAGAACAACAATAATAGAAATGTATCATCTTCTTCAAAACCCTAGTTTAGACATCTTCCCCCCCTAGTTTATATTATATTACATATTTTATTTCATCTCCTTCTTTTTTTAAAGATTAATAAAAATCAATATAATAATATATTTGTATAAGAATGAATTTATTTTTATTAAAATGAATTAAATTAATGAAAAAATAAAGATAAAAATAGAATACCACGTTATTCACTAAAAAAAAAAAAAAAAAAAAAAAAGACGATCAAAAGAAAACCTATCGAATTCCACCACCTAGATAGCTTTCAGAAATCAGAGAATATATCGGAATGAAGTATTTTCAGTAAAGTCATCATCATCATCAGCTACTACAGTATTATTTTGTTTAGCTGGTCCATATAGTTCGTCTCTTCGTTTATTTTCTCTTGCCAAAATATATCGTAATAAACAAGCCAATATAATAGTCATCATTGTAAATCCCAAGCAAACGGCATGTCCTAACCGATAGTTAGGTGAATCAGAATCTCGATAAACCTTAAAATAACCGCCGAAACAAAACAAATAAAAACAAAATCAAAGGTCAAATTGATAGATTCTTTTTTTTTTTTTTTTTTTTTTTTTTACCTGCGTTCCAATAAGACCAAACACTTGAGCAAACATATTAGCACCACTAAGACTGACTCCACGTCGAGTATGACCTTGTTGATTGTTGGATAACCATGAAATACCCTATTTCATTAACAATCAAATGCGAAAAAATAAGTAAATATACCTTTATCTTTTTCTCTTTATATATATATATATAATTTTTTTAAATTTACCAAAGAGATGATAGGATTAACCCCACAAGCGACAAGAATGACACCAGTATATTGAAGAGGAATAGAATTGCCGATTAATAAGAAAGTATATCCAATCATTGATAAGATAGAACACCCAATAATTGGTAAACCTCGTTGACAAATACGATCAGAGAATCGACTAACGGCCTAGAGTAAGAAAAAGGAACGAAAACTTAAATCAATATTCTTTTTTTTTTTTTTTTAATCTTCAAATTTTGATTTACCAATAATACAATACATCCAGTAATATAAGGAGGGATAGATAATAGTTGAGCTTGTAGAGCTTGAAAACCCATGGCCTTGACAATGGTTGGTAAAAAGATAGAAAAGGAAGCATGACATAAAATGGCCCCTGAATTGATCGACGCCACTAACCACGTCTTGTAATCTATCAAAGCGCCTATGATTTGTGACTTGTTGATAGAATCATCCTTCTTGTTCTTGCCTTCCATAATTCCTCTTTGAATTGCCACTTGTTTTTCTTCTGCAGTCAACCAATATTTGCTAGCTGATTCTGGGCTACAATGATAAAAAAAAAAAAAAAAAGTCAATACGTTTCCTTCATTCCATATTCTTTCCCATATTCTTTCCTTCATTATTATCATCCTTACTAGTTTGGCAGGAAAATCAAACATAAAATGCCTAGTGCGATCGTCGGTATGCCTTCAATGATAAACATCCTGCATAAAAGAATAATATATGAGTTTCTACTACAATTCAAATGGAACAAGGAGAAGAGTTTAATGTTCCTTACCAACGCCAAGACGCAAGTCCATGTACTTGATCCATATTGTCCATAATAAGATACGCCCATATGCCTGCAAATGATCCTGCAAGTGTGGACGCCGCCAAAAATACAGACACCTACACTATCATCTATCAATAGAGTCCTTCTTTTTACTTTTTCTTTTTTTTTTTTTTTTTAATAAATTACCCTTGACGCCATTTCATGTCTCTGATACCAAAAACTAAGAAGTAAAGGTACACAAGGTCCAAGGCCAGCTTCGGCACAACCAAGAAAGAATCTAGCTTTTTATATGTACACATGTTAATATATAGTAAACAAATTGTTATGGTTTTACCTATTGCCAATCCAGGAAGACTAGTAGCTGCTGAAATACTTTTTGTTCCCAAAGAGATAAGAAGAAGAAAAAAAAAAAGAAATGAGTATTATTGATATATCAAAACACGTCCATCACTCTATCTACCTTGTAGAACAAACACCCTGTAACAGTAAACAATATGAGTTTAGTAATATTTTATGCTTCTATTTACTATACTTACCCAAATAATAGTAGTCATGCCAATCCATATTGAAGGAGTAATCCTATAGAATTAAAAAAAAAAAAAAAAAAAAAAAAAAAAAAAGGTAAGAGAACAAGGAATTCTGATGTCTCGAAAGGGTAAAATTGAAAGACCGGCTTACATTTTCAATACTAAATTAGAAGGGATTTGACATATCATGTAACCTATAGTAATATCATCATATTGTCAGAAGAAATAATTCATCATTGAGTCATTACCAATATAGAACACCATTAGAGCATTATAAAAGTCATTTCCTTGCAAATGAAGATCCTTTTCAAAAGAACCTAATCTTGCATTTCCAATATTACTCTATGATTCAAAATACATATGTAAGAGTCCTTCCTATCAAATCATATTCATGTCACTTACACGATCTAAAGAGGCAAATAGATACAAAATGGAAACAAAAGGCATTAAACTTTTTTTAAAAAAGAAAAGAAAAGATAAATCAATACAGATAAAGTATCATATTAATATGATGTCTTACAAGCAATCTAATTTAAGAAGTAATCGTTTTTCAACAAGAGGATCTGTATCATAAACAATATCAGCAACGTGTTCATAATGATCGGTAGAGACACTTTGTGCATCAAAAGAATACTCGATCTTTTTTTCATCCATCATTTTGTAAAATAGAAAACAAAAAGGAAGGAGAAAAGGAGAAATAGAATATGTTTATCTTGGAGTATTTGACTCAAAATTTAAGGAGGGAAGCAGAAAAGGGAATTGTTCGTTTTGAAATGCTACATTGATTAAAAATGGAGTTTTTGTATTCGGATGAATGAATTTCAATTCAATAGGTCCTCATCCGGTGTTACTGTTCTATCATCCTGTTTGGATTTATGACCAGAATAAAAGGAGGGTCTTTTTAAATTATTGTACATATATCAATTTCAATGAAGGAGATTACTTTTATTAAACACAATGTATTTTTCCATGCTTCTCCCCCCTTTTTTTTTATGTTACCTTGGTAGAGAAAACAGAAACAATATATATATAAATGATCAGATATCCATTTAGATAATGTTATTACTGGTCATTCCATATGGTGATGATATATTTCTTCGCCATCTTTTATTATGGACGATCATCATCTTCCTTTTAAAACAAAGTCGGCATCATCAAATAACATCATTCTCTCCCGTTTCTCTTTACCGGAAAGACAAGATTTTGGTTAAAAACTTAAAATATTGGGTCTAGATGATTACAAGCAGGAGTTTTATTGAATCAAATAAGATGAATAATATACATAAGATGAAAAAATGACGCATATACTGACCATGTAACAAAAGAATACTAACTAATCAATAGATTCCATCGTTGAATAAATCTTCTTGAATCCATCTACGTCCTCTTGCATTATACATTCAAATAGATTCTTGAAAATTTGTTGTTGTTTGTTGTTCGTCGATCGCTGTGCCTGCATGGTTTCCATTTCTTCTGATTTCTGTTTGGCAGTTTCTAATACACGTAAAGGGAGTCTTGCCAAATAAGCAACATTCAATCTATATCATATTATATATATATATAGTCAGTGTTATCATAATAGAAATATCCATTTTGATTAAATAAGAATTGTTCTTACCCATAACTTTTAGTGGCCACACCTGACACTAATTTGTACAAGAAAATCACCTTTGGAATCTCTATAGGAAAAAAAAAAGTTAAAATCTAGACGATAACTATAATTCCACATTATTTTTCTTACCATGTTGACCGTCTTCAATAAAGCTCATATAGCCATTGGTAGTCGAATCAGGGTATATATCGGCAAGGGTTCCAAGAGCAGGATAATGAGTGACAAAGAGAGTAATGGATTGAATCTAAACCAGAGAGTAAAAGAATTATTACAACATATGACGTTTATGCATATATTTAGTCCAGATACTTACTTTTGTAATAAAGTAATCCAACACGGCATAAGCAATCGCCATTCCGTCATGAGTACTTGTTCCTCGTCCTAATTCATCTAGAATCACCAATGATCGACTAGTTGCCTGTTTCATGATATCAGCAGTCTCATGTAATTCCACCATAAAAGTACTTTCACCTTTCATCATGTTGTCCGATGCACCCATTCTATCCAACAACAACAACAACAACCAAAAAAAAAAAAAAAAAAAAAAAAAAAGGAAAGAAAGAAAAGAAAAAAAAAAAAGTAAAAAGAGTTAAAGATGAGGAATACCTTTCTTTTTTTATCGGCATATCCGTTTTTCTATGACGTACCTTGTAAAAATACCATCCAAGATTCCAATTTCAGCTGATTCTGCTGGAACAAACGATCCTATCTGAGCCATCATAGAAATTAGTGCCACTTGACGTATATAGGAGCTTTTCCCTCCCATGTTGGGACCAGTCAATATCAATGTGCGATGGTTTTCTTTCTATTAAAAAAAAAAAATAGGTGTGAGTTTGAAGATTGGAATTAATCATATTCTAGTTTTACATCAAATTGAATATCATTAGGCACATAAGAAGTAGAAAGAAAACGTTCTACCATAGGATGTCGACCATTCACCACGCTCAGTCTTGTGTCTGAAGTAAACGTGGGTTTGACATAATTCGGTAAACTTGCTACTACAGATAGAGAAAAAAGACAATCTAGTTGTGCCAAACAATGGATAACATCACGAAATAGACCATAATGCTCAGCAATAGATCTAAAAAAAAAATTAATCTATGTTCTTTTCTTTTTTCTTTCCTTTTACCTCAAAAATCCACGATAAGCAGCATCAGCATCTAAAGCCAATCTTTCTCGATATCGTTCTCTTTCTTTCAACTTGTTAATCACAAATGGTGAATGGAATCGTGATACCGCCTTTGTTCCGCTCATCTTGATCCATTGAGGTGGCACTTTTTTGACAACCGAGTTTTTGACTTCTATCAGGTACTATTCGAAAGAAAACAAAGAATGAGATGAGATGAGGTGAGATGAGATGATTATATTTTCTTACTTACTTCGATACCCGCCACATTCTTGTATTCCATTGGAAAATCATATGTTTTCTTCATTTTACTTAATTCTTCTTCTAATTCATTCTCTACAGAAGTGATATTCTAAATAACAAATGTTAGATATCTCTTTATCATAAAAATTGTTATTACTTGCCTGTTTTCCACGTTGCAGTTCAGGCCAATGGTTTTCATCAGATCTAAGCAAATTGATGTTGCATTTTGGAGTATTGAGAGCACCTGGGTTCAATCTACTTTGAAATTCAAGTACTACATCATGTACAGTCGGTAAAGTATCAAAAATAATGTTGAGCATATCTGATTGAAATCGATGAGTTTGTGAATGTTGAAATCCTTCGAATGCTTGAGCCACTTTGTAAAATGCATCCAATATATTGACAAGTTCCACAGGAGATGACTAGTTCAAGAAAAAAAAAAATAAATAAATGAATATTAGTAAATGAATAAATTATATTATGTATATATTGACATACGGAACCATAATTGATCCGGCATAAACCTTTTTCCAAATCAGGAATCATTTTCAATAGATCTTGACTTCTCGCCTTTTTCGGATTGTCAGTTATCATAAGTTCTTCAACTGCTTGTGTACGTTTATTCAATCGACTAGCGAAAAAAGTATATATTTGAGAGATAGTTACAAAAAAAAAAAAAATTACAAGGTCATTCACTTACTTAATATCTATCAATGGTCGTCCGACCCACTTTTTTAATAGTCGTCGTCCAAAACTTGTACTTGTATGATTCAATATGGAGAAGAGAGATCCTTGTTCAGATAAATTAGTTGAGTTTCGGTATATTTCTAAATTCACCATGGTATTCCCTTTGATAATCATATGGCCATGCGAAGAGAAGTGAGTAAAATACTTTGTAAGTTGAAAAGCATGTTGTAAACCAAATTCAGTCAAATAATGTATCGTAATGGCTAATGCTTTGCTATTTAAAAAAAAAAAAAAAAAAAAAAAAAAAGAATATGAGTACCTCTACAACACTTCTGCTCTCTGATATTTTTCTAATGACTTACACCACAACATCAGGTAATTTCAGAATATCACCTATCAATTCAGCTAGAATAATAAATACGAATGAGAAAAGATGAGTAAACAATCATGGTGACGATATATATATATCTTATTAAAAGCACATACATTGTTGATCCGTTTGCTGTTTAGCATAAAAGTCCGTAACGTATGATAAGGCAAGGTCGTAATTATTGCAAAAACCATTATTGGCTGCTAATCTTTCCACACGGATAGTTTCACCCCAAGATGTTGATCTATGGATTTTCAAAATAAATCAATGAGTCATTTCCTGATATGATATTCATAAAATGATGCATCTATAATTACCCATGATCCATCAAATAACGAGCCACTTTTTCTGTTGGTTTGCTAATAGAGAATGGGAATAACACTTCACAAGGTTCGATATGTAAAAGTCTAGTTTCCAATTCGCTTCTCATATATCCATCATCAAAAGCATCATATATAATGTCACCAGACGAAGGTTGGACTGCCTATAGACAAATGTGTTAATATGGATTCTTGTTTTTTTTTTTTATTTGATTTACCACAATGCCAATTTTGACAAATTCATCAGATCCAGATCCACCTCGATTTTGTTCCACTACACATAAAAGATAATTGCTGGAGGATGGTGCTTCCTTTATATCCATGTTTGATTTTCCATCCAATTCAGGTAAAGTCATTTCATCCACATATGTACCTTTGGTATACAATTGTTGGAGTTTTCTTTCAAAAGGAGCGCTTCGATTACTACCGACTGCTTTCAGTGCTGCTGTTTCCGTCTGTCGTACTACTCCTACTTTGTATCCTGCATGAACGAGTCTATGTGAAAAAATATAAAATAATATGGTTAATATGGTCATCATTAACGTTAACTATTTCACCAAGTATTTACCTTCGTACGTGAACAGACAGACGATGCACCGGGATACTTGCGACATAAAAGTTGCGGTCAATAAAATGAGCAATATGTAGTACTTTGGAGGCGATCTATTATATCCGAAAAAAAAAAGAAGAGAGAAAAAATAAATACAAACTCTTAAGCATTTGATTAAAACATAAAAAAAAAAAAGAGTTTTCTTCATTACCTTTGCATCTTCACCAAAAAAGCGAAATTTGTAACCGACCTCAATAGCGAGAAGAACATCAGGATGCTTTTGTTTGAGATCAACCACTTGTTGTTCCAAAGGGGTATATTTCATAAATGGTTGTTTCATAGATGGTTGTTGTGTTTTGATAGGAGAGTTCTTGTTAGCATAGGTGTCGAACAAAACATTAGAAGTAGTGGAAGACGGCGAGTCATCAGCCGATGGATATTCTTGATCCAAGTCTTCGTCAGGTATACCGCCAAGCGTCGTTTCATGAAGATCCACTCGTTGACGTTTCAGAGCGCGTTTTTCTTCCAGATCACCAAAGGTTTTGACAAAGGCTTCATGTCGCTTTTTCTGTTCTAACGAGTTTGCGTCCTCACGTTGAACATGAGATTGATTTGTGGGATCATACTGATACTGTTTTTGTAACCCTGAAGTTGAGAGCGATGGCGCAGGAGGTGGTAGCAATGTTTTTTTTACTATTGATGTTTCTTGTTCAGTTGTCGTCTTTTTCTTGAAAAAGGAACTAAGACAAGCTTGTTGTTTGCCGCCCATATAGAAAGGTTTGCAAAAAGAATCAAGTGAATGTAATAAAAAGGAGAGTAAGAAGTGACAGAAGAATTCAAATCTATAATTATTGCAGTGGGAAAGAAGCGGAGTCACATAATGGCATACATAAAAAATAAAAAGTAAAGGATTAGCCAATCATGTATGTTCAAATTTTTATTTGATTACTTACCGGAAGTCCACAAGATATTAAAGTATGTTCGCACATCCTCAATCAAACTCGAGCATAAAGTTGACAAAACTTGAGTATAGTGTCCGAAGGATATTTCTTGTTTGGATGGTTGGACAAAAATGTAGGGGAAGGATTACACGTGATGTTCATAGTACCGACCATAACCATTTTCACGCTTGCATTGACATCCCGAGACATTGCATGATATCCTTTCTTTCTTGACATTCACGATGGATTTTGACAAATGATTGTTTTGACTGATCGTTTGCTATTCTTTTTGACCTTGTTTGTATGAATCAGTGGTTCGTGACAAAAACAAAATAGTTTTGAGGCGCGGAATTCAGGTGTGATATTTGACCAATTTCTTTCAGGAGCAGATGACCCTTGATATGAGAATTAGTTCCATGACCAGTATCACCGTAAAAATATACCAATTTCCTGTTCTTGTTTTATCCATTCTACTGTATCTATTATACCAGAACCCTTCGTCCACCACCATGATCCTAACAACAAGTCGCCATTCCTAACGAAAAGAAGTTTGACATCCGGTTAGTTATTCGTTCACGTTACCAATAAAATAAATCCAGGCCAAGGAATTTATACATAAAAAAAAAAAAAGAAAAACCAAAAATATTTTTCTTCATTACCTGTACTAAATCCTACATCCAAAATGAAAGGGTTTCCCCATGTATCTTGTAAATCCCTTTTTCAAAACGCTCCAAATCCAATAAAATCTACCTTGACAAGATCGCACAAACAAAGAGGACACGCAATGTGAAAAAAAAAATGAATGGAGAAAAGAAAGGAAAAAAATTAAAATTGCACGAAGGGGTAGTTATTTTTTTTTTTTTTTGAAGCCCGTCCACTAACAACAATTTGGCATGATTTTGGCTTTTTTTTTTTATCCCAATCCTCAACCTTGCCAAAGTCCATGTCCACTCAAGTATATATCTTTTCAAGTAACCTTCTTCAAAAAAAAAAAAAAAAAAAAAAAAAAAAAAAAAAAAAAAAAGATAGGCCATATGTCCTTTTTTATTTAATTCATGGATCCCCTCCTTCGGATTTCTTCCTTATTTATATTTATTTATTGGAAAAGAAAGGTACTAAAAATAATGAACAAAAAAAGAGGAAATATTATCAAACAAAGGGAAAGAATTTATTGATAAAAATAAAAACTAATAGAAGACCAAAAAAAGAAAAAGGGAAGAATACAAAATAGTAAAGAATGAAAAAAAAAATATATTAACTAAATGGTTTTTTTTTTTCCTATTTTTTCTTTGATTTTCGACACAACTTCTCTTGTTCAAACGTAATAGGTATGCAGTGTTTTTTCGTGAAATCATCGACTAGCTTGCTGTAATCAGTGTCTCCACATATTGGAAACGGTATTGTTACTTCGGAGTCAATTTTTGAATTTAGTTGTAGTGTTCCATGTGGATTGTGTTTAGATGCGTAAGTCCCGTAATAAGACGATACCCATCTTGATGATGACTGAGGGAAAACTGGAGGAGACAGAGTAGGACCGAAATCTTTGAAAAAAAAAATAGAGAGAGAGAGATGGGAGAGGGGAAATAAGAAGAAAGAGAATCTAGTCAATTGATGCACGTCTTTATACGAGCAGCATCAAGTTGTGGTCAAGCGTAGCCTAAAAGGGAAAGACACCCTTGATTCCTTTTTTTAAAAAAAAAATGGTTGATGTTCTGTATAAAAAGCGATTCTTCCTTGTTTCAAACCTATTCTATCATCTGATGACAGGTGAAAGTTATGGTAGACTAGTGTTGCTATGTATACTGAGAGTCAGTGTTGATGTAAAAAGGAAAAGAAGAAAAAAACGGGAACAAAGGGAGAGTTTATCATTTAATTAAAAAAGGATAAATGGGAATAAACTATGTGTCAAAACCAAAAATAAAATAAGCAAAACTTTATTTATTCTGGTGTCAGTATGACAGTATTTTCAATATATTCAGTATTTCCGTCACTATCGTCACCCGTCTAAAGCGTAAATAGGAAGTGATAAATTATGTGTTACTTTCAAATATCTTGTTCGACTTGTGTGAAGCATTGACTTCTCCGTTGGATTAGAAGACGATCTAGGATGAACGGATGATTTGATATAATGGATGATATGTGATAAATGAATGATATGGTGTGTAATAATAATAAGATAATAGTGAATGATAATAATAAACAAATCATAAAAAGTTTGATTTTATTTAAATGACAATTTAAGACTAAACTAACTGGGTAAATTAATTTCCATGACAAGAGAGAGTTGGGAAGAGAGAAAATTTTACCATGAATTGACTTACTCCATTCTTTATCCAATCGAAACCTGTTGCAAACCTATTCCGCTGTATCCTATCCAATTGATCTAATTGCATATGCTGCCGTATATCCTATCTAATCATGTCCACAAAAAAAAAAAAAAAAGGTAAAAACTAAAATAGATGAGTTCAGAGAATAAGAATGATAAACTTTTATAATAAGAGAAAAAGGAAGTATGTAAGTAAAGGGCGACTTACCTTAGAGTATATAATGTAGTGAAGTATCCTTATGTACAACTGTAACTTACATGTTCAAAGAGTCATTTGTCACAAGAAAAGGAACAAAAAAAAAGGAACTAAAAAAAAAAAAAAAAAAAAAAAAGGCCAGCTCCCTTTTTTTCTGCATTTGAACCTTTTTTTCTTTTCGATTTGTCTCCGGCAGCTTCGGAAGAATTAGCCGTAACCCCTTCGTGTCCAAGGTGTCACGCATATCTTCTCCTTGTGACTCAAATCAACTTCCGAGCGTACCCTACAACTAAAAAAAAGATATAAATGTAGAACTTGATTTTTGTTTTATCTTTATTATTATTATTATTATTAATCATTATAAAATTATACTATAGAACATGGCCACCACTGTTGCTCCAGTACAACTCAAGAACAAACCTCCCACTGGTATAGATCTTTATTCAAGATTTGCAATTGCTGGTGCTCTTGGTTGCGGTAATCATCAGTCTTTTTTAGTTCCTTTATCAAAAATATTCATTTTTTTTTTCTTTGTAGGTATCACACATGGAGCAATGACACCAGTTGATGTTGTGAAAACTAGAATTCAATTATCCCCAGAAATTTATAACAAGGTAAAAAAAAAAAAAAAATTAAAAGAAAGAGATGATGATGAATGTTAACCAATTCCAAAAAAGGGAATGATTTCAGGGTTTAGACAAGTAATAAAAAATGAAGGTGCTGGTGCATTGTTGACCGGTTTTGGACCCACTGCTACAGGTTATTTCATCCAAGGTGCATTGAAATTTGGAGGTTATGAATTTTGGAAAAAGACTTTTATCGATATTGTAGGTGTGGACAAAGCATCTGATTATCGTATGCCTATTTACCTTGTCGCATCAGGCATTGCGGAGTTTTTTGCTGATATTGCCCTTTGTCCTTTGGAAGCTACACGTATCCGTTTGGTGTCACAACCTACTTTTGCTAATGGCCTTGTTAGTGGATTTACTAGATTGTTGAAAGAAGAAGGTGTCCTTCGAGGTTTTTATTCTGGTTTTGGTCCAATTCTTTTCAAACAAGTCCCTTATACCATGGCCAAATTTGGCGTCTATGAAGTGGCAGTGTAAGTTGAATTTTTATTTTTTTCTATTTTTTTTTTTTTTTTTTTGGATGATTCATTTTTTTTTTTTATGCAGTGAAAAGATTCTTCAAGCTGTGAATACTCCAAAAGATCAATTATCACCTTCTACATTGACCTTTATTGATTTGGATGCTGGGATCATCGCTGGTATTTCTGCAGCGTTGATATCACAACCTGCTGATACACTCTTATCCAAGATTAACAAGGAAAAAGGTCTTCCAGGTCAATCAGTCACATCTCGTTTAATTGGTTTGACTCGTCAGCTCGGTGTAAAAGGCTTATTCCTCGGTACATTTGCAAGAGTAACACTTGTGAGTGTCTTGACTGCAGGACAATTGTAAGTAGCATGAAAAATTCATATTGATGGATGTCATCACTCACCAATCTATTTCTTTTTTTTTTTAATTTCTAGTGCAATTTATGGTGACATCAAACGTATGTTGGGAGCAAGTCAAGGCGTAGAAATAGCAAAGATTCAAAAATGAAATAAATGATGGATGCATTGTGAATCTGCATTTTTTTTTTAAAAAAAAAAGATGAAGCAGCGTATCTGTATCAATGATGATGGGCTGATGGGATGATGGGATGATATTGGATAATATGTGATGATTGGATTAAGGGATGATCGGCGAAATTGAGGATATAAAAATCTTTCAGACACAAGAAAATAACAGATGAAAGAATCTCCTGCCAAGTCAAGCAGCATGTCAACTACCATTTCGCTTTTTACTCAAACCGACAAAGTATCGATATATATTTATGATCATCATCAAAGAATACAACAATTGCTTTTCATTCCCTCTGTTTTAGAAATGTGATCCATGTCTTTGTTTCCAATTTCTCATTGCCCAAAAGAGTTATCAAGTGCCTTAGCACTCTTTAATCCACTACGAATTCTGATTGGATGGCGGAAAATAAAAGAAGCAGAGAAAAAACCAAAAAGCCGATTTTGATCATGTTGGGTTCATTCATTTCTTTTTCTTTTTCTTTCTTTTTTTTTTTTTTTTTTTTTTTCGTACGTACTTATTATTCATGACCCATGATGACCGATTTGGGATGGATTCAGACAATGACGATGAAGCTATTGAATTTGCGACATATGTAGAAAGTGACGATGATGACGAAGATCCTTTTTATATGGCGGAACACAATAAAAAATCAAGTACTCTCTCATTCCAAAGGTAAATAAATATACAGACAGAAAAAAAGAAAAGTACATTCCTTTTATATATCATTTACTAAACACTTTCGGGATACCTTTCTATATAGATTATCATGTTCACCTGTACAGTTACTTCGATTCATGGTACCAACTCTATGTATTCTTATTATAATTGTTTATACTACGGTTATTGGTGTGCTGACCCACAAACGAAGAAACCCAGTGTATCCCTGATATGACCAGAAGAGGACTATCCCTCTACCCAATTCACTCTTTTTACTGTCCCTTATAGAAAACTCTCTCTCTCTCTCTCTACTGTCTCGATCATTGTTGTTTCATGATTTGTAAATATTCCTATCCTTTTTTTAGTTTACCCTGTCCACATTCTTTAGCTTTTACACAATTTTTATTATATCTGATTGATTTGATGAATGAATGAATAAATAAAAAAAATGATATTGATGTGATCATGATTAAATTTTCTATGATAATGATAATGATGATGATTGACATTGTACGGCTGCATATATGAATTACAGAACAAGCCTAGTATTTTTTTATTGATTTAGAAGACAATTAAATAATATTGAATAAACTGGATAAATATAAGAGTATAAACTACATATACTAAACAAAGTAACTAACTAGTAAACGAATGTTGTTATGTACATCATTGTTTTGGTGATGATGATCTTGTGCCAGGAATATCCAGTCGTACATTGATTTCGCCAGCACCTTCGGATAAAGGAAGCCATCCTTCGAATGGTTGAGTCATGTCCAATGTTGCAAATCCAACATCATGATCCGTTATTGTACCTCGTGTTCGTACTCTGAATTCCAAAGTCTTGTCGTTTGGTTTGATATTGGCCATAAAACTCTCATTCCTATAAAAAAAAAAAAAAAAAGAAAAATCAGTATATCCTACCCAACGCATAAATTCATCTACCTCTCCTTACCATTCTGGAGTGGCACTCTTTTTAATATGCTTTGATTTGTACAATGAGTGCTTGCTGTTGCTTTTCACACGAACATAGCAATCCAAAGTATCCTTGAGACCACGGGCACCAATAATAGAGACTTTGATAGCTTCATTGGGACGAATCATTGACATATTGGAAGAAGATTGTAAAGAATCGATGCTTTTTTTACGATCCAAGTTGCTTTTGTTGTTGTTGGGTGATCCTAAGTGAGCAGTTTCATCAACGATACCATTACCACCAGATACAACGGCACCACCAGGAGAAGCATCCTGTACAACAGATGAACGATGACCTCCTAATCTACTACCAATACCACGAATACCACTGCCGAATTTTCCAACCCCACCAAAAACAGCTTTGCCACCTGTACCAAGTACCTTGCCACCCAATCCAACTGCATCACCGGCAAGTGAAACACCAGCACCAAGAGCAGCACCAGGAACTGCTGTAAATGCCTTTGTTGTTGTATTCAATAGTGAAGTGCCTTGACGTTCTCGTTTCAAGAGTTGAGGTTGCCATAATAATCGAACTTTGAGTGTTGACTCACCGCCAGTCAAATGAATATCAAATTGCTTGGCTTCGAAACTTTCTAATATATCACCAGTAAATGGAATATTGCCACGTCCAAGTTCTTCATTATTGCCAAGTTGATCCCAGTCATAGACAATGGCTTCTAACGTTGATCCAATACGTCGTTGCTATAAAAGAGAAAGATATAAAAAAAAAAAAAAGTGAATAAACGCTTATACTATATACACACAATCCTTACCACAGGTAAAACAAAGGTTTCTTTTTTGACATTGAATTCTGGATTGAGAGTTTTCTTATAAACATCGGTCTTGTACATCTTTTCACCATTGAGAGTAAAGACAACAAAAGGATCACTTTTTCCATTTCGATCAGCAGCTCGGAGGTGACTAGCCGAGACAGGAGTGACAGTAAGGGTACCTTGATTTTCCATGCTTTCTTCTGGAGGAAGAATGTATTGCACCACAGGGAAGTAATTGAAGCTCAATCGAATAGTGCCACCATCGATGTTGAGTAACTTGATTTCCTGACTATTTTCCTTTTCTTTGTCGTTGTCGTCATTATTATTATTATTGTTGTTGGTGACTGTGATGCTTTCTCCTCTAATTGACCTGTTAGAAGCTGAGGATGATGCTGCCGATGATGACTTACTATTTGATTTCCTTTGCTGATCCATTACCATTTCAAGAATTTTGGAGACAGATAAACTACAATGACCAAGAATGACCACATCCTTCTTTTGAGTATCCTTGACAATTTGAATAACTACGTTTGAGAAATCCAATTCCTTGACAAAAGCGTCACCTGTTTCACCAAATTCAATTGTTGATCCTTTTTGTGGTAATGTCTTGTACTGAGGATCATTGCTATCGACCAAGAGCTGAGCCAGCACTTTGCAAGTATTTCCAGGGATCTTGGCTTCATGTACCTTGACTGAAAGAATGCCAGACGTGTACTTGGGAAGATTGATGATGTCACTATCAGGAGATTCGTAAATAATATCTTCACCATGGATATCCTTTTCTTGTCGTTTGTTGATGGTGGTGGCTTCAGTAGTGGCATCAGCAGTTTCTGGAGTAGGAGATGTTTTATCTTGTGTTTGTTCTTTAACCTTTTTCTCGTCATCAGCAGAAGATTTAGCCAGTTCAAGAGTAGGATGGAAAGATATCTTGTAGTGCACCTTGCCTTTACCAGGTTTGCGCTGAGCATTGGTCAAATCCGCCCATCGTTCCACAGGTTCCAAAGCTTCGTATACCTTTTGTTGCGTTTCTTCGTGAATAGATTCCTTGATCACTTGTTTGATGGAAAAGTCGCATAAACCCAATGATTTGTCCTTTGAAACTTCGTTATAGTCCATCACTTCGAATACCAGATCTTCTCGAAGGGAATGTACGGGAACATAGAGAGCAGTATCCCACTCAGGATCCAATTCATCCAAAATATAATCCGTTTGATCCCGGATTTGCATACCAGATAAGATACGAACATAAGGATCGGATTTTCCACCTGTTAATGCTTCAACATTCCTCAATCCTTTGGCACGGTAAAAGTGAGCGCGAATGACACCAATAGGAGGTCGATAAGTACCACGTCCAATTCCACCAACAAATCCGGTCATGACTGTAGGTTTCCATTTCAATCCAAGGTGTAATTTGCCAGCGATACCATCCAAATTGAACCATTCCTTATTGTCTTCCAATGCCTTTTCTAGTTCACATACCATCATCTTCCATGTTCCTAAAACAATGTCACCAGCAAGTTGGCTTTCTTTGATAGTCACCTCAAGTTTCGTCTTGCTCTTATCAGTAACAAATGTTTCCACTTTTTTGTCCCAGCGAGGATTAGCACTACGTTTGTATGTTGAAGTTGTCAATTTTTCTTGTCCGTCAATCGTCACAACAGCATAAGTATCCAGTTTCTTTCCACTACCCAGATCCTTGCATTCATACACTGTGAGTTGAGCAATACCAGTATCTATTGATAATAAAGCAGAATTATATTGATTAATACGCAAACATACATAAATGTATGACACTATTTCTTTCTCTTGACAAACAAACAAAAAAAAAAAAAAAAAAAAAAAAAAAAAAAAAAAAAAAAAAACTACTTGCCTGATTCAGCAGCAGGGATCACAGTGCCATCTTCTTGTTTTTCTTCAGCAGATACAGGGAAATAACGCATATCACACTTGATTTCACCAGCGGCCTTGCCTCCATGTAAAACAGCCAATGAACTACATCATATAAAAGAAAAAAAAATGAGTACTGAGAAGCTTGTATATGAATGATCTTGTTATAATAATAATACTTACAGTCCATCTAGAACGTTGTCATTTTCACCGAGTTCTTTGAGATCAAAAGAAGCCATACCCACATCACCATCCTTTCGACCAGTATTTCGATCCTTGATATACAAAGAGAGAGTATCAGTGAGATTGTTCAGTAAAATATAGAGAGTTTCATTCCATTGAGGGTTGTTGTTATCTTCGATTGTTTGTGTCCGACCCAATTCAGGATTTTGTTCACTTCCAACGTGGACTTTGATATATGGATCAAGTGTACCAAGAAAATCCGAAATTTTGAGACCATTAGCAGAGTGAATGCTAAGAGCCAAAACACCATTTGCAGATTCTAAAATTAAAAATGATATTTAATCCATTGCGATTGTAATTAGTTTGTATATTTTACCTGTATCAGCACCAGCAAGTAAAGCAGCCACATCTACAGTAAAAACATTTGGAGCATACATCATAGGACCAAGATTGGCATGAACTTGATCTCTCACAAATGATTGTAATCCAGGGATCTATCATACGTTATCAAGAAAAAAAATTAAGATGATATTGTGCACCTAATATTTTCCAAATAATATTATTACTTACGTTATTCACATCAAAACCTAAGTATTCACCACCAATGGGTTTAAGGATATAATCAAAAGTAGGTTTTTCCAAAAAGCAAGCCTCTACCGTTTGAATATGAGGGAATTCATTGAACATTTTGATTCTGACACGTAAATGACCAGTGAAAGCAAGTCCTTCCAAAAGTACAGGCATACCAGCACCAAGCATCTTCTTGCCTACCCGAATAGATAATACAATCTTGGGATCGACATGCGACTGCAAATCACGAGGAGTAATATCAGTAGTATCAGTAGGAGTAAATGATACTTTCCAATCCATACACTATAGAATACAATGAAAAAAACCAAAAAAAAAAAAAATTGAACAAAAAAGAAGAAAAGAAAAAAAATATGTTACATACCACAATATTGGATTCAGTTCGTGGATAAGTCTTGACAAATTCAATCAAAGGAGGTTTGGTACCAAGAGTAAAAGTCGTCAAACGAAGAGAGTCCAGAAAAGAAGGACAGTTTTCACTAAGAATCGCGTCAGCTGTACCAATGACTTGGGCGCATAAAACAGGTTCATAAATCAACCAAAATCGATGTATAAAGTGATTCATCCAATAAACAGATTCATGGTCAGATTCCAATTTTCGCATTGCCATTTCACGTTGAACATCATCGCGTATATTTCTTCGTAAGCGCCGTATAGAGGTTTGATAATATGTTGCTAATCATTGTTCATAAAGAAGTAAAATAAAAAAAAAAAAAGAGAAAGAGAAGGAAAAGAAGTTAGATAACTTGCGCGGTCTTTTTTTTTTTTTTTTTTTTTTAGGTTACCTAAAAATGCCCCCACTGTCAAACAAGCGAATAAACCAGCACCCAATTTGGTCAAGATAAATGTCAACACAACTGCCAAAAGTAGAGCAGCAGCATTATGGAACCATTTACCATAAAAAGTATCGCTCAATTGTTGTGCCAAAAATCCATTATCTTGCGTATAATCATCCAGTCTTGATCCAGAATAAATAGTGGCGATTTGTTCATCTGTCAATGATTTTTTTAAAGCTACCATCAGATGATCTTGTCCAGGATTGGGTAAGCTTGAGAAATCTGTCCATCCACATCTTGTATCATTGTTGATAGAAAACCCGCCGGGAACAACTCTACTTTGTTTTGAAACTGATGATGATATATCACTGTCCTTCCTGAGAATATCCTTGTTTTCTGATTTGACTAGATCGATCTTTTTGCCGGTATCCTTATTGATGTTTGGTGAAGATATTGGATCCCCATTGATGCCTTTCATATCGCGAGACGTTGCTGTCGTAGGAGCTGTAGACTCTACTTGTTTCTTCTTTTCTTCGGGAGTCATAGGTTCGGAAAATGTATTTACCTTTGCATCAGGATGAGAGATATCTTGATCGATTTTACCTGCATTTGGAGAAGCCAACCGTGGCGGAAGGTTAGCGGAAGTCTCCGTCATTATACTAGCTAGAAAGAAAACCGAGAAGTAGAAAGAAAGGGAAAAGAAAGATGTATAATTGCAGTGTGTTTTATTAAAAAATCAAGTATTTTTTTTTTTTTTTGAAACCCACCACACGGTATTCAAACTGAGACATCTGAGACAATGATAAACACCCAAAAAAAAAAAAAATGAACGTAGGGTAAACAAACTAAGACTATAAGAGACTATCATATCTGGATATCAATATTTCAACTAAACTAATGCCTTGATTCATCTGTTTCAAATAAAGACTTGCACTTGCCATGGCTTCTTGTTGACTGGTTGGAATATTGGCATGTTGATGGTTTGGTGGTTCATCCACACGGACTAAATTGGGTGTGAATACAACTGCCAAATTGTGAGCTGTCATTTTGTTGAATTTCGAATGCTGTACCACCTCTGATAAGAATTCACATAAATAACGTAACAGTGCCAACGCGTATGGTTTGTGCGCAAATGTCGCTTGTACCTTTTGTCGTAATCCATCTTGCGATTTTTTTTCTTCTTCTTTGCCTATTTTCACCCAGAACCAAAACAAAAAAAAGAAAAAGAGATTCGTTTAATTTCAGTCTTTTTCCGATCCTTTTCTACTTCATTCTACCTGATAATAATTCTCCAAGTTCTGCACTTTGTTCTACAGAGATGATAGAAGTTGGTAATTCTCGTAAAAACACCTTGAGTAATGCTGCAGACACGTCCACATCATGATCATTCAAATCTACTGTTTCTCCATAATTGAATTTGGTCTTGACTATCCGTAATTCCTCGCTACTGGGTGATTTTCTGAAGATCCCTTCTTTATTTAATCCTAATAAAAAAAAATCCAACTAAATTGAGTCCATCTCTTGTATTATTATTTTCTTTTCTGTTTACCTTTGGTTCGTAAATGATGTATCAATTGATAAACCACACGAGGTACCGGTGGATCTGATGTCAATGTCCATCCTTCCATTGATGCCAAATCTTTCAGAGAACGACCAAAAGCAAGAGATACCGTCGGCATTGGGGTGATACTGTTAAACTTGAATGTTGTTGGAAAAGCAGGGATACTGGCATCATAATCAACGACTGGTTGAGGAATCATATTGGTAGGTACTTGGATAAGTTGATTCAAGTCACTTAAACATTGGAGATATTGTAACTTTCGAGCAAATTTTGGACTACGAAACAAAAAAAAAAAAAGTTTATAATCATATCAAAAAACTAGTTTTTTTTGGATATACCTTGTTATCTTATTAGCTAGATCAAATATCATACGATAGCTTCGACTGAGATGAACAACATATAAAGCCTTTAAATTCTTTTTATAACGACGATCCAGAGCACGATAAGCTTTTAGTAACCATAACCAAGAAGGACGATATTGTGCAGGAGACGAGAAAAAGATAAGGACATAGTCATTTTCAACAAATTCATCCCTATTCAATAAGTAAAAAAAAAAAGAAAAGAAAAGAAAATACATCAGTATTGAAAAAAAGAACAAATATTCAAGAAGAAATATATACTTACAATCGAGATAAAATGAATCTATAATAGTTTGCCAAAGATAATAGAGGAAAACTTCAATATACTAATATATATATATATATGTCTTCATAACTTACGCTAGAATCAAGTCGTAGTTGATGGTATCCGGATTAGGAAGGTTATTTGCGCAAAGAACTAAGATTGGACGACTTTCATTATCAAGACCTAAGTATCAAGGAATGTAAAAAGTGATGATAAGGTTGATCATTCCATTAGTCACCAAAAGAATCAATCTAGTTTTTTTTTTTTTTCCTTTTTTTATGTTTACCTGCTTCATAAATAATATTTAACTGAGAAATACCCTTATATTCAGGACTTGAAGAAGACAAGCGTAATGGAATGGTAGGAGACATTAATAAAAATGAGTGGGTTTCAAGCAAATAAAAAAGAAGAAAAGATACATAAAAAAAAAAGAGTGCGCCTGGAAGAGTGAGAAAGGAAAAAAGTTCAAATACCGCTACCTTTGCCCCTTTTCCTCAGCTCTATTGTTCATTCATGACCTTGTAACCCTATTTTTCATTTGCAATGCACGATGCAGGTTGAAGACATACATATTTATATGGATGAGAGTGTGTGTATGTGTGAAGGAAAATAAAGGAGGAAGTATTCTAATTATGACAAGTACCGGATTTATGATATATTCAGATATGGTAAGACATGTCCCAAAATGACCATCAACCTTTTATAGTGTTGACCGAAAAAAAAAAACCAGAGATTTATCCAAAGTGGTAATGTACGGGAAAATGATCGACGATTCCCATGAAAAGTAATCAGATAAAGAAGAAAAATGAGAAAGATTGATCTTGAATGTCAAAAAAAAAAAGATGATGATGTAAATGTTTAAATCTTGTCCATGATGTCTTTCTTTCCCCCACATTTTTACGTTTTTAACTTAAAAAATATTTTGATATATATATCATCATCATAATCATCGTCATCAAAAATCAAAAAGTTACCTAATGTAGTACAGAAACAATCATGTGAACCATGAATCATGAAAATGGATAGTTGTAAACTATTCAAAATGGTGGGAAATCATTGAATTCTCCGAATATGTCCTTATACTTTTCAACTTCTTCATCATCCCCCACTCTTCTCTTTTTTTTTTTTTTTTTTTTTCTGTCATCCTTACAAGTCAACGGAGTTTCGATTCCGCCCCGCCATTTCCCTCATCCCCACAATTACCTGAAAGAGTAACAATTAAACTTTCTTTTTCGATAAAAAAAAAAAAAAGGATATAAAATGTTCCCTTTCTTTCCTCTCTTCATCACTTTTTTATTTTTATTTTTATTTTTTTTGTCATCAATCAATTAAACATGGTATTTTCTACTAAAAAACCAAACGGAGAACCAAGGATACCCAGTTACTTTGTTCCAAATGCTCTTGTCACTGTTCTCTTTTTCTTATGGGGGTTTAGTTATGGATTATTGGATACATTAAACAAACATTTTCAAACTGTTCTTAATATAAGTAAGTTGAATCATGTTTTTATGGATCATCAGCTGATTTTTTTTTTTTTGTATTGTAGCAACCACCCAAACTACATTTATGCAAGTTGCCTATTTTGGTGCATATTTTGTCTTCAGTGTACCGTATGTAACACCCCTTAGATTTTCATTTGACTGATCAATGACTCTTTATTATTATTATTATTATTATTATTAGTGCTGGGTTGATATCAAAACGATTTGGATATAAAAAAACTATTGTATTTGGACTTCTACTTTATGTGATAGGAGCATTATGTTTCTATCCTGCTGCTGAATCATTGAAATATGGTGCTTTTGTTGGATGTCTTTTTGTGATTGCTTGTGGATTGGCTACTCTTGAAAATTGTAAGTTTGAGTATTCAAATAATAGTAAAATTATATTCTGATCTTTTTATCATCAATCAATGTCAATTATCATCTAGGTGCCAATGCTTATTTGACAATCAATGGTCCTCCTGAACAAGCATCATTCCGTATTAATCTCGCACAAAGTTTCAATGGCTTGTCATCTACCATCGCTCCAGTGGTTGCATCATATGCCTTTTTTGGTGGTAACAGTAGTGATACTCAAAATTTGGATTCTGTGAAATGGACTTATGTTGGTGTTGGATGTTGTAAGTTTTTCTCATTTATAAAAAAAAAAAATAAGCGCGGAACTGAAATGGGATATATCTATTTTTTTTTTTTTTCACACACTCACATTTTTTCTTTTTCTTTTCTTTTCATTTTTTCTTTTTTAATTAAACAGGTGTGTTTGTGATTGCCATCTTGTTTTGTTTCGCCAATATTCCTGAAGTGGATGAAGATGCTTACTTGGCAAATGAAGCGATAGAACAAGCTAAAGTGGCTCGTCGTGCATCTTTCTGGTCTCCTCATCTATGGTTAGGTTTTGTAACTGAATTCTTGTATACTGGTGCTCAAGTGGGTGTGGCCTCCATGTTCTTGTATTACTCAAGTGGGGTGGGTCATATGCCTGATAATTTTGGTAGTATTTTATTATCTGTCTCTCAAGGCTGTTTTACTGTGGGTCGTTTTGTGGGTGCTGCTTTATTACGATTTATCAAGGCAGAACATTTGATGGCTATCTATTCAGCATGTGCTTCTTTGGTCACCATCTTTGTCATTGCTATGCATCAACCTAACGCTACCTATTGTCTATTGATCATTATGTTCTTTGAAAGTATCATGTTCCCTACCATCTTTTCTTTAGCTACAAAAGGATTGGGTCACAACCATAAACGTGGATCTTCATTGGGTAAGTTGGGATTATATCATTAAAAGGTTATAGATATGGATAAGGAAAATGGAATTATTTGATCATCATCATCATTTTTATTAATCTTATTCTTCTTACTTTTATATACATATATATATGATGATGGATAGTCATTATGGGTGTGGGTGGTGGCGTCTTGATTCCACCAGTGCAAGCTGTCATCAAGGACCATAGTAACATCAATTATGCTTTTATCGTCACTCTATTTTGTTTTGTCGTCGTATTCTTTTATTCTACTTTGGGTCATAAATGGGTACGCTATGTTGACGAAGATCTTCAACCTCAAGTGGATACACTAGAAATCACTGATAAAAACACTACTGGAAGTGTGGATGAACAACAAGCAAAAGTATAGTATGTACTCCCCTACACAATTGTTAATTATTATTAGTATTATTATTACACTTATTATTTATCTTTTTCCTCCCTTTATTTTATATATATATATATATAATCTATTTTATTCCATTCATCCTTCTCTTTATTATTAGTATCAAGTCATCCTCTGTAATTTGAATATTATCATCGTTTTTTTTATCTTTTACAATTTATCATTAATAAAGAAAAAAAAACAATTCAAAATATTTCCAAAACAAATAATATTCTTGATGTATTCCCTTTCCAAAAAATAATAATTATTTATTGAAGTGAATATATGGATGACTAGACTAGCAAATAATACTGGAACAAGATATGTACATAAAGAAGACACCAAAATAAAAAAGAGATACAAATTATCTAATCTAAATGAATCCAATCCGCTGCTGCATCAAGACCTTTCGAGAGTAAACATTGTTTTTCGCTATAATGGACCACAAAGGCGTCTTTAATCAGAGTGAAGGAAGAAGAAGAGAGCACTGGCGAGGTTCCATCAAGTTGTTGTGACATCAAGGTACGTGATCGGTAGTCGTGTCGTTGTTGAATCAGTCTCAACATAATATCATCCATTTCCAATTCATTATTAGTACCACTGGGATCATCCGATAAAAGTTGTACATGTCGTAAGAATTGCATTGACCACGGTGATCTCCGAAATAAGTAAAGACGAGCATTAGTGGGTTGTGGCGATGTAAGAATGATTAGATCAATGTCGTTCTCGAATGTAGTTTCCATTAAATGTCGGTTTTGCTGTTTGTTATATACGTCGATCAAATCTGAGATAAGATCATGAATCGAACGAGTGTTATTCATCACTACCATATCCCTATCCATCCACACCACCCATTGATATTTTGGTAAAAGTTTTTCAACAATGTCAAGTTTTCCCCATGATAAATGTCGTTGCTGTGACACAAATGATTGTTGATCAAATTCCGCTGATCGTGCTACAAAGGCGTATCCATGTTTCAAGGCATAATTCCGTTTGTTTGTTGCGGCACGTATTGCAGTTGTAAAGTTTTCCTGGCATTGACCATCATCATCATTCCCATCATTGTCCTGGATGACCTTATTTTCATCCATATCCACAAAAGAAGAGGTTGCAATAACAATCGTTGGATGTACAATACGATGTTTTTTATCATCTAGTTGCTGTGTTGTTGTTGAGGAGAGTCGTTGCTGTTGTTCATATAATAGCTCTTGAATCATTTGGGCATTGTTCTCAATGTCGTCATAGGTAATCATAGTATCATCGTCCTTTTCTTCATCATCATCAGTGTCAGTAATAAAGTGAGAGTGTCGATATCCATTTGTTGTTGCGTAGCATACTGGTGTTACTTGCATTCGAGTCCAAGAAGTCAAAGCAACAAAGTCATCATCTTGATAGACATTGCTGATGGCCACATTCTCCATTACTGATACAGATTCCACATTGTTTTCCCATTCTATAAAGCGACGTGTCGTACCATAATCACCTTTATCTTGAATAAATAAGGGTGTCATTCGTTCTTGTTCAGCAGCAGAGGCTTCAGGTTCCAACATACTATCAATAGCAGCTTCCAGCATATCGCCAACAATATCAAAGTGCTGTTTCAAATCGGTGGTCAATTGGCCGGAATGAGGTCCCACCAAATGCTGAGCATTAGCCAAGGCAATCAATACAGCATCATGTCCAATGACTAGTCCCAACTTGTCTTGATTTTTCCCTACCATTGGTCCCCAAATGACATTTAAAGGTGCTTCAGTATAAAGTACTACAGGAGAATACGTATTGCTTCCAATCACTTGAGAATCCAGCTCATTTTTGATAGCATCTAATCGTACGAATGTATGAATATCTTGTAGAATAAGGTAATCATAAGTGATATTTTGCTGCTGTCGTAAATCTTTTTCAACCTATAATAATAAAAGAGAAAAGGATAAGCTTTTTTTTTTTTTTTGATATCCTAATAATAGTAATCCGTTTTCATTACCCATTCTAATACAGTTTGTTGCTCAAAATCAACACCCCTTGGCATTTCCACCATGTCGGCCCATTCCATCTTTTCCGTTTCATATTTGTATTTTTCTGATGAGTGAGAAGGTAGATCACCATAAATCCAGAATAAGTACATAACATCTGTATCATACTCCATGCAAGGTACTAAGTTGTCTACTAAGCCAAAATAAGACTGTCGAATAAGGCGACGCCTAGATATATGTGAAGCTTTTGATGCGATGATAACCAGATATGAATAATGGCGCGAACGATTAATGATGGGTAGATTCGCCTTGTTCAAATCAAACGGATCAGGTGTATAAGTGTCGCGAAAATGTGTATGTTTATCAGAGTGTGGCGATAATTGATGTTGATGGTATTGTCCTGATTCCTCTTTTATACTTGTTGTAGTGAACTTGCTGTTATTCTCATAATTGTTTTGTTGGTACAAGTTAGTGTCATGATGTTGCTTAGATAGGAAGGTTGACATGCATAATAGACAAATAGTGCCAATGGTTCCAAAGAGTAGAGTTGAATAGAATCGTCGTCGCTTTTGTAGTAATCGTATTTCCATTGCCAAAGAATCAACAGTAACCTACGAATCTTTTTTAAAAAAAAAAATTGTTAAGGAGAAAGGAAAAGAAAGGGATTTAATCAATTTTGAGGAGAACTTGGGCCTTATTTTTTTTTTTTTTTGTAAATCTATTACCATATTAATCTGTCATCAAAACCTATTCATTATCCCCGGGAATAAGCTGGTCACGGTCCTTTGGTTGCACTTCAGATGATAAAAGGGAAATTCCAATCAATTTCAAAGTTGTATGCTATTTGACTTTTTTTTTTTTTTTTTTACCTATCTTTGGTGGATATCCAAACGATAAATTGAGTATTTTGAGCTATTCAATAGCATGATAAGATTATTTTGAATCTAAAATTAGAATAAAATAAAGTTATACAACTTTTTCGTTATATTATTCTTTACAGTCATTGTCTTCTTTACAGTAAGCATACCAATCACTGATTCCAATCCTTATAATGCATAAACATTTCCTTTTATACTTGACTAGTTGTTTTTTTTTCTAATTAGTACTTGAGTACATTGCTATAGTGTAATGTTGAGGAGAATACGAGGAGTGGAGGTAAAAATAAGGAGAAGAGGAGAGAGCCAGAATAAAACCCTTATTTGAATCTCCGGTCCCACTTTTTTATTCTTAAAGGCTTCTTCCACTCTCTTTCTTTTTTAATCTTCATTACCATTCATACCTATGGATTTTTTTTTTGTTATGGATTTTTATGCGTGACAGGAATAAATTTAGGTGGTTATGCAACTGAATGAACATACTGTAACGCCTGGGTCAATTGGAAGGATATACGACCGGATCAATTGAATGGAACCATTTGGATGGATTTGCAGCAGGATAGAGATTACGTTAGGATCAATAGGATGTAGTTACACATATTAAGCTAGGCGGCTATGTATCATTTTTAGTTCCTGGTACATCAAAAGGTAAAATGGATATTATGTACGAGGCAAACTGAGGTTGGATAAAGAATACTGATGAATCCTTTTTTTTTTTTCTCCCTTTCTTTCTCAATAGATTATTTGCACAACAAAATCAATGATTATTCTTTGGGTTCAGAATGGAATGACAGATGATGATCATGTTGGATACTCTGGCATATGACTAATGAACTGGTTACAAGGCAAAAGAAAACTATGACAGGATGGTTGTACAAAGGAATGTACTTTTTTCGCTTTGCAAGTGGCATGATCGAGTGATACTTTTATGAAACAAAGGTAAGGATACAAAAATAAAAAATGTTTGATGATAGATGGTTCTGGTTATAATATATGACATTTATTTTTTTTGTTTGATACTTGAATAGAGATCCTTAAATAATCGAAAGTTTCAGTACCACAAACATGACGACCTTTCTCCTTTTTTCTTTTGATGACTCCCCCCTTATCCCTTTATAGTATATACTGTTTTGTCAATATGTTATTGCTTTACCACTTGATCTTCTGACTCCATCACACCATTTAGTTTTTATAATAATAAAAAAATAACAATATAAACTATTCATATCTTTGTCTGTTTTTTTTTATTGTTGTTACTATATGAAACTATAACTGTATTCTATAATTGAGTATTAAAATGAGTATTTTTAAAACAAATTGAATATTCTTCATGATATATTATTGATGATAGCGCAAAGTGTCACTCGTAAAGAATGTTTTTGAAAAAAAAAATTATCAAGGGGATAAAAGGGACCCTTTTAACTCGTACGCACAGGGGGGAACTGTAGTCTAAAAAAGAATCGTAGCATATCACCAAAAACAAAGGGGGGGGGATAGTATTAGTGGTGTAATAGGTCATGGGAGAATAAAATTTATTGGCCATATAAGGATATTGCTTTTTTTTTTCTTTTGATACATTAATATTCATTGATATATACAAAGAGTAAAAAAAAATAAATAAAGTAAAAAGAATAGATATAAAAGAAGAATGGAATATACGTCAGGAATATATAAAAAAGAAGAAGAATGTACATAAAAGAAGAAAAAGAATAAAAAAGTAATAAACAAGAATCAAGGTAAATAAAATAAGAAAGGGACATATCTATTTGGTTGCATCACGCCCACCAGCACCACCACGAGTAGTACGACCCACCAAGGAGGAAGTAGCATGGTTGTTGTTGTTGTTGTTGTTGTTAAGCATCAAATCTTTGTTATTGCATAAACTGGCTTGAACTTGATTCTTAGTAGGGGCACACATCAAAGGTAGTCGTTTACGAGAGATTTCCACAACAATTCTACGCCGAGCCACATTTTCACGACAGGTTGCATCACAATACCAAGGTTGATCACTAGAAACAAATCGATCCGATAATTCTTGTTCCTGTCCATGATAACACTTTTGATGATATGATTTGTAACATCCTTCACAACGTACTAAAATATTCGTCACCCAAGATTCCATACGATGACAACTTGCACAATAAAATTGAAGAACTGGTCGATCACGATCATGAAGACTTTCGTGCGCATATCCAGTTAAATCCAATCTAGGTAGTTTACAGGCAAATCCATATCCTTTATAATCGCATCCATGTTTGCTAGTTAAAAAACAAAAAAAAAAAAATGGGATAGAGATTAGTATTCCATTCATGCAATGATCACTTTGTTTTTATTGATTTCCCCCTTTTTTTCTTTTTCTTTCTTTTTTTCTTTTTTCCTTCTTACTACTTACTTGCATAGAGTACGTTTCCCCCAGGGTCCCGGACGCCAATTCACTCCTTCGGTAGTTCCACAGTATCTACACCAGTCCACATTTGTTTTCGTCAGCTTTTGATAAATAGTGGGATGACAAGTAGGACGAGGATCCACTTTTTCCAAATGATCGTGACTCTCTGAAGGAGCTGGTATATTGTTCGTAGAGAGTGTTTTAACTTTTCTTGGTTGTTTTTGTTTCTTAGTTGTCGTTGTAGAATTCAGTTGTTGTTTCTTCTTTCTGAGCACTTTGTTCGAATTTCTTGTTGTTGTGATTTTATCCTCCTTGTCACTTGCATCATCAAACATATTGGCACGTCTATTTTCCCATGAAGATATAGAATCATCATCAGAATCAGATTGGTCATCTTGCACAGAAATAGATTGGAAATCAGCATTCATTGTTTGATAATCAAGACTATTTACAAAAAAAAAAGGAGTTAATGATTAGAACAATGAAAATCAAAATAATAATAAAAGATAAGGTGATAATATATTCTTTATTTTTATTTATTTTACCTTGAAGACGCGACATCATCATCAGAAGAATCTTCACCAGAAGCATCAAAATAGTCCCAACTTAATTCATTTGGAGACATAGGAGGAGTAGATTTGGGAGAGATAACATTTAACCAAAGATCACGTTTCTTGTTTTGAGGCAGGAGATCGTCATTCCGTTTCCGTTTCATAGCAGAGGAATTAGTGTTAGAGAGAGAAGCAGAACAGGAGGAGGAAGGAGAACCAGGGGAAGATTTTTCCATTGCTTTTTGTCGTTCCAAATCCAAATCCAATTGACCAAAGAAAAGAGAAGCATCATCTTGATCCAATAAAAGGTCAGAAGGATTAAAATCATCCTCCAAAGAACGTGTTGATTCACAATCAGTTTGAGATCCACAAGAAGTATTGGTATCATCATCGGAATTAAAAGCAGAAGTAGTAGAAGATGTTGAAGATAAAGAAGTGGATAATAAAGAAGTATCTGTAGCAGTAGTACTGGATGGATTCATTGCTGGAGAAAAAAAGACATCTTTGACCAATTCTTTTTGTTGTTCGACCAAAGTATCATATGTGATGGTAGCATTTTCCAAAGTATGATGAATTGGTTGGATGATGATAGGTGATTGAGACAGGTTGTACTAAAAATAAAAGCCAGTTAGTGAATCATTTATAAAAAAAAAGAGTTAGAATATGAGCGGAGATGCTATTAGGTTTATATTGGTGCCACAAGTCATGCCCACTTTTTTTCTTTTTCACAACCCAAATGGATAAGATCCAGTACCCTAATACGTTTCTTTTTTTCTTTTTTTCTTTTGATGTGTATGATTTACCTGTGATTGAAGTAGAGAGGATAAAAGAAGTTCTGGTATAAATGAAATTGAAGATACTTCAGGTACAATATTTTGATGTTGATGTTGTTGATGATCAGTCGTGTCTTTAGAATGACGTGCCGCTACTGTAACAGGACAATTGGTAGTGCTAGGTGATATATCCATATTGGAAGAAGTATACAAAAGAGGGGTAGACATAATATATAGAAGTAAGAATATAATAGAATAACAATAATATTAGTAAATATATCAATAGAATAAGGTAATGGTGTAAAAGTTCATTTAATCGTAAGGGAAAGAAGAAGAAAAAAAAAAAAAGAGAAAAGAAAGAGAAAGAAAAGAAAGAAAAATGGAAAAGAGTTTCAAAAAGGGGAGGAGTTGAATTTGGCTTGAAAGGATAAATTTTTGGGGGTGGAGGCTGACCATCCATTTTAGGCTTAGACCAATTAGAAAAGAGGGGGGGAGACGGCTTTGAATGAAAGGAGTAGGCTATTTTATTTCCTTAAGAGAGATCAAGCTTTTCCATGGCTACTAAATTCTAATAAATATATAATCATCATCATCATCGTCCTTATTATTATTAATATAATTCTTATAATTAATATTAATATTATTATCGTTATTTTTGTTATCATCAACTTCATCATAATGAAATCATTATAGATTCTTATCGAAAAAAATACAAATATAAATGAATATGATAATAAAGTACCGCATGATTTTAGGCATGGCACTTTTTTTTTTTTTTTTGTAGATCAGCACAGACGACGTGCATATTCTTCCTCCTAACATAATCCTCGTGCATTCTTTTCACCACAAAGCTTACTTTTCGTAACACCTTACCTTTACTTATCACATACACATATAGTCTCTTTTTTTTTTTATTCTTTTGTTATCATGTCAACTTTAAACAAGATAGATGATGAAGCTTAACAACTTTAATATGTTATTACCCACAACAACATACTGGTTTTTCTCTGTATTATGATTATGATTATTATTACTAGTCTTATTATTCTTATTATTCTTATTATTATTATCCTCGCCCCTTTTTGTTTTTGGACTTGTTCTACATACTAAGGATGTTGTGCAAAACTTTATTACTGAAACCTTTTTTTTTTTTGAATCATCTTTACTTTTCTTATCAATCATATTCATTGTATAATGACAGAAAGGACACATGAACTTTTCTTTTATTTTCTTTTTTCTTGGTAAGTGGGCTAAAAAAAGCTCATTTTATTTTCGTTGCTATGGATATATCGGCTTGGCATATTTTTGGTGCACTATTGCGGAGTTCCTGAGGATGAGGGATGGTGACAGTACAGATAGAAAGAAAGTTGGAAGGATGAAAGCAAGCTGAGAACAAAATATAAATAAAACTGATACCGGCTGATCTTCTCTTTATAAGTATTGAGAAGGAAGATCTAGTCAAAAGAGATGCGCTAGACTATTCAGTTAGGTGCAACATATCGTTTGTGCTTTGTTGATATGATTGGATCACTTTTAAGCATTTTTTTTTTTTTGAACATTGATGATTCCACTTTTCTACTCATTCTGTTAACATCGAGTCTCATTGCTTGTTCTGCATTCATTCCTAATATAGTATCATTCAAGTGATAGGCATCACTTTTTTTTTTCCATTGGATTGTGTCATTGTGCAAATATCTGATGCTTGAAGCGGTAGTTGAAAGGTGTCCCAATCCAAGCCACTCTTCTGGGAGCTTTTTCTTTGGCAGCGATGTTTTTTTCGGCCAGTTGACTTGCAGGATATATAATTTTTTTTTCTTTTTTCTTTCTTTCCTCTTTTCTTGTTTCCAGTACTGAGCATTATATCAACAACTAGCCATGTCAGATACTGAAGTTGAAAAAAACAAAAACAATAAACGATTCCGTAAGGATAAACGTAAGTATATATAATATTTTATGTATTGTACAAACCAAATAGAAATGTCACTTTCGCTCTCTACAAATTCTCATTATAATAATATTTTTTTTTATAATAATAGCCTGGGATACAGATGATATTGATCATTGGAAAATCGACGAATACACACCAGAAGAAACAAAGCAACCATTCACTGAAGAATCGTCTTTTGCTACTCTTTTCCCAAAATACAGAGAAAACTACTTGCGTGAAATCTGGCCTCACTGTACAAAGGCTTTGGACAAATATGTAAGATTGAATGGAACAATTCTTTTGTCTTTTATATATAAATCAGTACTAACAAGATAGTTTTTCTTTGTGGTCATATTATATTGATAGGGCATTGCCTGCGTATTGGATTTAGTCGAAGGTAGTATGACAGTCAAGACAACTCGCAAAACATACGATCCATATTCAATTTTGAAAGCACGAGATTTGATCAAGCTATTGGCTCGTAGTGTTCCTTTTCCTCAGGTAATCATTAACGAATGAATAATATAATACTTGATGGAAAATTGATTTTTTTTTTTTTTTGAATTGTGAAATCATAGGCTGTCAAGGTGATGAACGATGGAGTTGCATGTGACATTATTAAGGTGGGCAACCTTCTTCGAAACAAGGAACGATTTGTAAAACGTCGACAACGATTGATTGGACCTAATGGATCAACATTGAAAGCTATTGAATTATTGACTGGTTGTTATATGTTGGTACAAGGAAATACTGTATCTGCAATGGGACCTTATAAAGGACTAAAGGATCTTCGTCGTATTGTACTCGATTGTATGAAAAACATTCATCCTATCTATCACATCAAGGTAAAATAATAATAATAATAATATGAATGAATTTGGAGAAGAATTTAACTGTATTATATTGATAGGAACTTATGATTAAAAGAGAACTTGCAAAGGATCCAAAATTGGCTGAAGAATCATGGGATCGATTTTTACCACAATTCAAGAAACGTAATGTTAAATCCAAGAAAGTTGATACCAGCAAGATCAAGAAGAAGGAATACACACCATTCCCTGCTCCTCAAGAATTATCCAAGGTCGATAAAGAATTGGAAAGTGGTGAATACTTCTTTAAGCATGGAAACAAAGGCAAGAGACAACCAACTGGAAAGAATCATGATGGTAACAACAAACGACAAAAGTCTAGTTAGTTTTCTTCCTATCATCATTTCTTATTTTATATATTATATACATATTCTTTATTTTCTTTCTTTTACGCATTTCCCATCCACATATTCTTCATCATCTTTTTTTTTTCTTTCTCTGATTAGCATCTGAAATTTATTTAATAAAGCTTTTATTGTATTCTCAATTTTCCTTGTACCTGTCATTCGACCAGGCGCCATTTCAAAAAAAAATAATAATAATAATCTTGACCTTTACTTCTTTTTTATTTTTATTTGTTTCCTTTCTCATTACCTTTTTTTTTTTCCATGGCCACACCTGAACGAGTTACTTTAGTTGTTGGAGGTGCAGCTCTTGGTGCATTATCCTTTGCAGCATATCAAAAAATGAATCAACCCAAGCCTCGTCCAATGGTTCCTATCTCCACCAACAAAAAACCATTACCTCCACCACCTACTACTTCAGCAACTCAACAAGATGTGGATGCCAGAGACAATGCACGCACAATTCTTCCATTTGGTTTCCCCGGACCAATGAACGATACTGTGTATCGTCATGCCTATGTGACCTCATACAATCGCCGCGATCGCAATCCCAATTGGGTGGCTGAACACTTCACTGCCGATTCTTTGAAAAAAGTGGATGGTGTAGACCGTGGCAAATCAACCTTCAAAGAGGACGACCAAATCCCTGTTCAATTCCGTGCTCGCCTTGCTGATTATTACAAGAGTGGATTTGATCGTGGTCATATGGTACCTGCTGCTGATGTCAAGAATAGTCAAGTTAAGATGGACGAAACGTTCTATTTGACTAATATTGCTCCTCAAGTCGGTGATGGATTTAATCGTGATTGTAAGTTTATACACATGTTTATGATAACGTATAATTCATTTTTCACTCATCATAATATATATATATATAGATTGGGCTCATGTAGAAACCTTCTGTCGCTCTCTAACCAAGCAGTTCTCTAATGTGTATGTGTTTACCGGTCCATTGTATTTACCCAAACAAGAAAGTGATGGCAAATTCTACGTCAAATACCAAGTGATTGGTAATCCTCCCAATGTTGCTGTACCTACTCATTTTTATAAGGTGATCATGACCGAATCTAATGGTCGCTACCATTCTGCTGCCTTTGTACTACCCAATCAACCCATTCCTGATAGTACGCCTCTGGAAACTTTCAAGGTACCAATGGATGCCGTTGAACGTGGTTCTGGTTTGACTTTCTTTGATCGTATGGGCCCTACCAAGGCGAATCTTCCCGATTTGTGTAAGGAAACGAAATGTCAAATTGTTTTGTCCAAGTTCCATGAAGCCAAGAAGACTGCCGCCATTACTGCTTAAGGCATATAGTTTTATCTTTTTTTTTTTTTGTTTCCCACTCGCCTTATGTTTACTTTGTATAATAGTTGTTACTTTTTTGAATAATAAAAAAAATGATTGTTAGAATGATTTCACATCTTCATCAGAAAAAAAAGTTTGATTATGTATTATTTTATTGTGTATACATGTATATAAATTGTATCATCCATGAATGTAAGAAACAAAATTAAAATTAAAAAAAAAAAATGGAAGAATGAATGTATTTAAAAAACAAAAAAATCAAGATAATATGGAATCTAACAATTGGAAGTATTCTACTATGCTACAATAAATGGGATGAAAAAAAGTGGGGGCAAAGAATCAGGTCTATGGTTTTGATTGATTGAGAATACGGACGGCATCTTTTGAGAAGACATAGCTTGCACCAGACCACACCGTTGTAGTTCCCACTAACCAACTAAAGAAAAAAAAAAAAAAAAGAAACAAAATGAGCACTTATTCATTCTGTTGGCTGTATTCATCTATCTAATTGTTTCCAGGCCAATTACTTACTGCATTGCTGTCATCATTTCAGCCGAAGGAATACCCATACTCATCGATGTCAAGGAGGATCCCATCAAAAGAAGCTGAAGAGCAGTATTCACCTTACTGATGGTTGTAGGCCGTACTTCTGCTGATGGTATGGAAAAATCCCAATAGCGTGTAAACGTTTTCTAAAATAAAAATAAAAAAGAAAAGATCATAGATGACAAGCTTATTCTTTTTTTTTACATTTGGTGATCATGATGATGTTTTTCTTTTCCTAATTACTTACTGGTGCTGGAAGTGAGATATATCTATAGTAAAAGGCGGCAATGATAAGTCCTATATCTCTACCTAGAATCACACCAGCCAAAGGTACTAAGAAAGAAGAATTTATATCACAAAAAAAAAAAAAAGGAGAGGTTAGGGTTGCATGAATTCGATCTATCATATTATTTGATTTTGTTCATCACTATTTACAAGGTAATACGCCTTCCATTGCCAAAGTAATTGTCATGACCGTCATCAACGTCTTATCTGCCGCAGGATCAATGATACTTCCAACCACTGTTTTCAAGTTATATCGTCGTGCTATATATCCATCAAGCTATATTAAAAAAAAAAAAAAAAAGAAAGAAAGGATTAATATGAGTGAGAGAGATATGTTACGATTTGGTCACTTGCCATATCGGTGAATCCAGCTAAAGCAAAGACACCTAATGCAATATCATAATTATGTTGAACAATGAGATATCCAATAAAAGGAGCAGAAAGTAGTCTGGAAAAAGTCAAAAAGTTGGGAATGGTGTAAATGTTTTCATGAGTTGGTATGGCATCCTTGAGCTATGTAAAATATATAAAGGCCAAAAAAAAAAAAGGTCATTTTGTATATTCTAATCTATCTAAATCCATTCAATAAATATGAGGTTACCTTGTTAATGACAACCTTTGCATTTTCAGTTTTTTGCTTTAGTTTGGCCGTGGAAGATTCAAGTTGCTTGTTGTTGTTGCTAGACGTATTATAAAAGGCAAAGGTCTTTTGATATTGAGAGCGCCATTGAGGTGGGAATATAGATTTTCGATAAAAACAAGATCTATAAAATAGTTCAGACAAAAGAGATCAGGGGTTAGCTACATAGCGATCTAAATCCTTCACTTTTTTTTTTTTTTAGATACCTTATATAAGACATACGGATAGTTGGCAGCAATGGTTGGTGTTGAGTAACAAATTGAGCCCGTTTTAACATGGTATACGATTGTTTTCGAGCAGTACAAGTGGAGAAAAGGCGTATCTGTATTGAAGGTAGCATTAGGAAGAAGGAACACAAAAAAAAAAGGGAAGACAGAGAAAAAGAAAAAGAAAAAGAAAAAGGAAAAGAAAAAGGAAAAAAAATTTATTGTTTTGTAGATGATGGAGTTTCAATATTGGAGACAAGGCAGGTACGATTTGCAACAAAATAAAATGAGCTACTACAGTCTATTCATTCTTTGCAATCATATTTATACTTACTATGTTTAGCAGAATACTCAGTTCAAGATACATCGATTGATTTCGATATCGTTGTTGATCACTAGAGCAAGAAAGGAGACGTAATTGGTCATTTTATCCAAAATCTGCTTGATAGACGCATTGACATTTCCAACCAATAAGCAGAATGATCATCTTTTGAACCCTATATTGTCATTCGATACCTTTTTTAGACATTTTTAGAACTAAAATATTGAATAATTGTAAATGGTTAAAACGCGTATTACTTTTTTTTTTATTTTATTTTTGTTTTGATAGAATAAGACATATAATAAAATAATAATATTAAAAACAATATAAACTAAGGCTTTTTTTTGGGGGGGAAGTAAAGAATAATAGTAAGAGTAGAAGAATATATACGACGTACAAGTGAAGAATAAAGGTAATATAGAATATATAGTAAGGTAGGGTTGGGAGGAGTTGATATATATATAAAAAAAAAGAGTCAACACACTGATCATTTCCAGAATTGCCATGTCTTGCGCTTATTTTCCTTTTTACTATCCTTGATCTTGATTTCCTTCGCAGAATCAGTACTGACAACTTCTTTTTCAAGTGTTTGTTCAATAGGTACAGCAGGCACAGAAATCTTCTATAAAATAAAATTCACAATGTTGGTCATCAGTCAGTCAATTTTATAATCAACACATGCATACCCTTTTTTCTTTTTTTTTTTATTATTATTATTTACCTTGTCCTTTTTGAATAAACCAAATACTGATTTTCTCTTTTGCAAAGACTTGTTTTTCACTGATTTATCCTTTTTCACAGTACCATTGAGAGTAGCCACACCATCTACACTTGCTGTCTTTTCACTTGATTTGACATCCTCAGTTTTGTTGTCGCTGTCTTCCTTATCCGTCGTTGGTTCATCCACCTTGAGTTGTTCTACGTTCGCTTCAACAGTGTTTTGGGTTTCGTCCTTGGCGTCTACTTTAGCTTCATCAGCCTTAGAATTTTCTTCAGCCTTAGGAGTTTCTTCAGTCTTGGGAGCTTCTTCAGTCTTGGGAGCTTCTTCCACTTTAGGAGTTTCTTCAGTCTTGGGAGTTTCTTCTACTTTAGGAGTTTCTTCAGTCTTGGGAGTTTCTTCAGTCTTGGGAGTTCCTTCAGTCTTGGGAGTTTCCTTAACCTTGATTTCTTCGATCTTGGGAGATTCTACAACCTTAGCTTCTTCCACCTTGATTTCTTCGACCTTGGGAGCTTCTACAACCTTAGCTTCTTCAACTTTGGGAGTTTCCTTAACCTTGATTTCTTCGACCTTGGGAGCTTCTACAACCTTAGCTTCTTCCACCTTGATTTCTTCGACCTTGGGAGCTTCTACAGCCTTAGCTTCTTCAACTTTGGGAATTTCCTTAACCTTGATTTCTTCGACCTTGGGAGCTTCTACAACCTTAGATTCTTCCACCTTGACTTCTTCCACCTTGGGAATCTCTTCAACCTTGGCCTGGCTTGATTGACCGGCGGCTACAGCATCAGCATTGGTAGATTCAGGTTTGTTTTCGAGATCAGATTTAGTATCAACAATGGCAGAAGTTTCGTTGGCAATATCGGCAGTAGATTGGTCAATAGAGGGAGCAGCGGATGAGTTGGTAGTAGAAGGAGTAGAATCGTCCTGTTGGGTAGCCTTTTTGTTGTTGTTGTTGTTGTTGGCAGCAGCAGCAGCTTTTTGCTTACGACGTTGAGCAGCGTTCTTTTTAGCCATGATGAATATGTTTTCTTAAAAAAAAAAAAGAGAGAGAGAGAGGGAAAAAAGAAAGAAAAAGCGAAAAAAAAAAAATTCCAGGTCGTGAAATCAAATAAAACAAAAAAGGCGTGTTGTATATATGAATATGAACTAAGAATGGAAATGTCACTTGCAACGTGTAAAAACATTTTGATTGGCTGTACTAATATTATACTGTCCCAATTGAAGTATGTTCACTTTATTTGATACACGTTTTGCTTTCCTTTACATGTTTTGACTGGTGGCACAAAAGCTTGATCTACCCCTTATTTTTTTCCACTCCTCACCATACTTAAAGTGGCGATCCAATCAAGACTGTCTTGAAAAAACCAATGTTGCATTCTCTCCAATTTCTGTCACACACATACAAATGGAATGTAATTTTGTCCCTTTCTTTTTTTTTTCAATATTAATAAGTTATAATGTCACTGTAATCATCCTATGTACTCTATTTATTAACATATATATGTTTAATACATAAAAAGATTACATATATGTGCATGAAATAAATTGATCCTGTTAAGCAAATGAATATCAATACAGTATCATAATTATCAAAAGGAGGATTACCAAAGATGGAACGTAGATACATAAAAGATAAAATAATGATTTCATTTATTTATTGAACAACTGATATAGACTATTCTAACAATAATTACTACTAAAGAAGGGATGCATATGATCATTGTTCAAGACCTGATGAAGAATCAGTAGAAAGTCCATCATCCGATCATCCGACCAAGTTTTGTTATGATGGATGAAGTAGAAAGAAAAAAACACGGATTCAACCAATCAGAGTTAGAAAAAAAGTGATCGTCAAAAAAAAAAAATATTGTAGATTTGATATGTCGTACGCATTCTCCACCATCACTAGTTTATCTTCCAAATATTTTCATATTCGATAATCCAGGTGATTTTCTACCTGAATTCCACTTTTTGCTGATGTTTCTTCAAATAATGAATCTATGAGAATATTATATGATAGATAGGTAGAGGAATGATAAAAAGTTTTTTTTTTATTAAATATGGTAACTAACTAAAACTACAACAAATTAAGTAGACGACAGGTAATATACGGATGCATAAGAGGGAGAAAGACAATAATAGATAAAGTAGACCAAAGCTTGCTTCAATATCACTACCTGGGAAGATCACATGGCCAAGAATCCAAGAATAACCAAAGTAATAGACAATAACACAATCATCGGTTGAGGCAAGTGAGATATAGCACCACTGTGAAGCATCATAGGAGCAGATCGTACATCATATGTATTTCCACTTTGAGTCTTGACATGTTGAAGAAGAGTTAAATAGAAAGTATCGTTCAAATTTGATGGAATTTGTAAAGAGATTGTGGTTGTACTGTTAAAAGCATTGTTGGTACCATTTGAAACACCTTCAGGAACAGAGGTACCAGTAAGAAGGTTTTGAATCAATTGAGTTGCACTTGCATCTTGCCATAAGCTTGCATCAACAGTATAGGTACCAGGTCCAAGATTAGGATAGGAGTATTGTACTTCAAGTGACTTTCCAAGAGATACAGAAGCATTGTTAGCAGGACTAATAATGGATGGTCCCACTTGAGCTTTGACTATTGTTAACATCAAGCTGACCAAAATAGTAAAATGGAGAAATAAGGACATGATATATATATAAAAAGAGAAAAGAAAGGAATGGAGGGAAAGGAGGGAAAGGAGGGAAAAAGATCAAAAGACAAAAAAAAAAAAAAAAAAGGAATACAGAAAATAAAAAAATAAAAAATAAAAAAAAAAAAAAAAAAAAAGAAAGCTAAGGAAAAGGCGGAGTCTGTCAATACAAAAGGAAGGAAATCATGAGAAGTTCATAAGGTTTGATGGTAAGTGAATACACTGTCTCTTCTTAGTAACCAGTCACAGCTATTATAAACTTTGTCACCTTCATCAAACTCTATTTCATTATAATGAACTACAGTAAAAATATAGGTTCCGCCATCTGAAAATAGATTGTTGTTCTATTTTCAGAAATCAAGAAAAAAAAAAAAAAAAAAAAAACGGTTCCATGTCTTACGATGTCACGTTTGATTCAAAGGTACACAATAAAATCAAATGAAGTATATACACATATTACTCTCTTCTTCCTATCTATATTTTATTTACGAGATTATAACCCATCATCCATCATCCGTCACCACAAACAAAAATACAATATTCTCATTTCACTTTTCTATTTTGCATTTGTATAAATCATATCGATGAACTCAAGGTGGAATCAGCCCATGGAAATTCGTTTTATATTAATAGTAGCATTAGTTGAAATAAAAAAGAAGAACATTCTATAGGGATATACTATAGTATATTATAGGTAAAATAAAATAAAAAAAAAGACTGGCAATATGAAAAGATGATAATGTGTAACAATCTGACTGACTTTTTTATGCAGCTGTATTGCCATCCAATCACACCCATCGGTGTTTGTCTCATAATTCTCAACTGAAAATACGTAACCAAGCCAAATTAGATTTCCAGATTAGGACAGCTAGGAAAAAAAAATCTTGTCATGCCTTCTTTTTTTTTTTTTTTTTTTGAGCGCGTGGTTCAGTTTCTTTTTCTTTCAATTTTTTTTTATCTTTTTTGGCTTCTTACCCTTTTTCGTTATTATACCTTCTAAGCATCGATTACCCTTCCGTTTACTGTTCTTTATTTACATTATCCCCATATGAAGGTATACCGTGCTGAAACCGGTCAGCATATACACTGGTCCCGCAACTTATCTCAACATATTGTAACGTATGTCCGCAGTAACTCTCATCTTTATCATCTACTTATGCATATTTCTTCAATATATATATATATAGATTAAATGACTTTAAACAAGAACTAGAACGATGCACAGGAGTTCCAACTACTAATCAAATACTCATGACAAGTTTCGGAACTCAAATCAAACAAGATCAACTCAAAGAAGTGTTAGAAGCTACTGGCAAGGTAAAAAAAATAATCCGTCTCATTATTATCTAGTATTAACCCATATAATTAGGATGAATATATTGTATTCTGCTATGATAGATATTATTTAGGTGCTTCCATGGAGGAGATCGCTACTTTACTTGATGTTGAAATGCCAACTTTAGAACCACCTGTTTCACCCTTGGCTGGTAATATATGATATAATATATGACGATGACAAATATATACTCATATTATCTTTTTTTTTTGTTTGATAGTATCTACTTTATTAAATACTGTGAAAGCAATATCGAAATCAGCTACTTTATCTCATCATTGTGAAGCTTATTTATCTCTCTTTGCCAAGTTTGATTCATATAGTCAGGTAAGCATCATCACTGGAACTGAAAAGGACATATATATATATATATATATATATATATACTAATAGACACATGTTACTTTGATAGTTGTTGATGAAAAATGTATCTTCTCATACTCTACTTGCAAAAACAATGGTCGAGGAACAAAAAGCTCAGAGTATGGCATTGAATGTTGCAGTCACCAACTTGGAAACTCATATTCAAATCACTAATCAAGGCGTACAAGAATTTTACCTCAAGGCAGAAAAGGAACTGGACAAGCAATCAGCCTTACTTGATACGACGGATATCGATTTGGACATCCTACGCAGCATTCAAATCCATCCCGAGTTCATTGATCATACAAACAACTATAATGCTATGGAAAATGTTATATCTTTGGAAGGGAAAACGTCATTGATGGATTTTGTAGATATGGATCAATTACAAACAGCACGACAGGATACTCAAGAGCTATGTCAAAATCTGGCAAACGATATACAATTCCTACGATCAGTGGTGATGGAACTCAAGGAATACGAAGATGACTTACGACAACAGATAGCCATTGATCATGACTTACAGACGCTGGATACAATGTTGATGGATATTCAAGAAATTCGGGATAAGGCTCAATTCCTTCGAGACAAAATTAAGCGAGATCTAAACCGGATATACATTAAAATTGCTGACTTGCTTCAGGTACCGTTATCATCACTATTTGCGACTTTATCACTTGATGGATCTACAAGTTCGACCACCACTTCTACCACTTCTATATTACCAAGGTCTTCTCCAATATCATCATCATCAGCATCAGAATCATTAACAACACCATCACCAAACACAAAAACATCGTCTTTTGACTCTCAATCTGAAAACAAAACATATTCATCAGCTACTCGACGTAATTCATACATTCCTCCATCACAAGACGCCAGTACTACATTCCCATCTCAATCGAAGAAGACACTTGAAGCATTTTACCACTTGGCTGAAATCCATGTCAATGATTATTTGTCCAAACTCAACTCATACGAAGCCATTGTACGACAACACATCAACAAACTTTCTCAATTAAAACGACAATCCATCCAGAAATTCTTGAAAAACATGAACACTGTTTCACAATTACAAAGCGACATTGCTGCCACCTCCCCTCGATTAGATTCAGCAAACAAATCATTGATGGATTTCAAAAGTAGATATGGAACAAGTTACCTGGAAACAAGTAGAGATATGTTATTTGCTTATGTAAGTAGATCAAGTCAAAAATATCATATTCGATATATCAATGCGATTGCTTATTCAAATAACATTTTTACTATTTAAATTTAGGGTGCCTTGATGATTGAAGTTTTACGACGAAAAGAATATGCTTCTGTAAGTAAAAATCAATAATTGAGCTGAGACAAGGAGATGGGAAGAAGATGAATTAACAATATATTATATAGATCTTGGTAGAAAATGCCAATCTTATTGCTGATATATTAGGTAGATTCCGTGAACAAGAAGAAGAACGTAGAAACTTTTTCCGCCACGATATAGAGAATACATTACCATTCAAAATCACAAGTAAGTAAAATCAATCAATAGTCCACGTATCTTAAAGATTAACCTTTTTTTTTGGTTGGGGGGGGGCTTTCCTAGCTATCAATGAAGCAGCACCTCAATTCGAAATCTCAACCATCAATACCTACGATAGCAAATCCCTTATCACAAAGAAAGATATTATAGGTAAATATAAAGTTGATTATCAGTAATGATAGGGAAATCTAACTTGAAGATAATATTCACGATTCAATATTTCTGTATAGATTTTGTATCTCTACTGGATCGTTCTTACTCTCAGGCTATGGGAAATCAAATGAACCCTGGTACTAATCGACCATCATCGAAGAATGCAAAGAACGACAGAAAGGGTTCCTTCTCGACGTAAGTGGTACATCAATAGGCCAAGAGAAAAAGAAAAGAAATCTCATCATTTATGCAAACTTAGGCGTGCGAATCTGATGGGTATCACAAAAGATAGCTATGGACAAAACCTTTTAAATCTTCTGAACAATATGAATAAACAGCTAGATGGATTGAATGTTGAATTCTTGAAGATGGTTGAAACCACTTGTAAGTTCAATTTTACATTAAATGATCAAAGTCAATCAAAATAAATATATACTCATCCGATTGCTTTTTTTTTTTTTTTTATAAAAAAAAAAAAAAAAAAAAACTTGCATAGTCTTCATGGGTTCCAATAATAGTCGTATTAGGTCAGCAGTAATCTCAACTAGACCAGAAATGAAAGGTAAGCAGTCTATTTCTGCTCTCTGTTTATTATAGAGGTAACGGTTTTTTATATTCACTAAATATTTTATTTTAGATGATATCTCTGCAATATCCAAGATTTCTTCTGAATCATCAGCATTACAGTTGGCTGAAGATAAAGTCAAAGTAATCAATCATGATATTAACTAAAGTACTGAACTTATTAAATTGTTTATTGCCTTTTTTTTTTTTTTTTTCTTTCTTAGAAATATGAAGCTCGCATACAGTCTTTAGAAAAAACACTTCAAGAATATCAAACATATACACCACCATCTCGTTTGTCAAACAAAGGAACGACTATCGAAGAACATCGCAACAACCTACTTACAATTGATCCTTCAAAATCTGGAAGTCATGGTTCCTCTATATTTTCAGTATTGGAGAATGATATGGAAAATGAAACTGGGCTTGATACGGCAAACAATGGTAAAGACAAGACTGTGACGGAAGAACAGGTATCGAAACTTCAACAAGAGATAGCGAACCTGCAAGAAACTGTTCAACAACGAGAAGCATTTATTGGGAAAATGCATGAACAGTTACTTCGTGAACAGCAAATGGTAACTAATGGAATAGAAAAAAGGAAAAAAGGTAGGTGATCATAGATTAATTTTACTATTAATTGTTTTATAGCATCAGCAGTATCAGGACCAGTCAGAACATGATAAAGAAGATCTGCGACTTCAAATACAAGAATATGAGCAGTTGTTGGAAGAAGAAAGGCAAACGTATGAAGATAACCGCAAAAGTGTAAGTTGTTTTGTATGAAGGAGAAAACCAAAATCATCCCTGATACTTACCCATTCTTTTTCCTCTCCTATACTTAGTTTATGAGGGAAGCACAGATAAAAGACAACTTGACTGATATACGAATTGCTGATATTGAGACGGAATTGAAAACAAAGGTAAAAGAATAAGAATAATAAAGAAAAAAAATTGGGTGAATATTGTTAACTGATCATTTAATTACATGTGTATTATTATTTAGCTCAAACACTTGACAGAAACTGTTGAAGCAGAACAAAAACAAAAGGCTGAATTGGGAACTCGGCATGAGCAAGAACTATTAGAATTGAAGGAAACCCACAAAAAGGAATTGGCTATGGCAATTCAACATGTAGAGGACAATCATAAGGTTGAAAAATCGAAACTGGAAAAAGCCTTGGAAACTCTTCGGCAGGAATACATGGATTATCGACAAGAAACTACAGCATCGAAACAAGAAGCGGATGAAAAATGGAATCAACTGGTTTCAGAAATGAACAATAGTGAAGAAGCTAGGAATGAAATCAAGCAACGACTTGCTCAGGTACGTTGACTATTTTTATGATGAGAAATTGAATTTATTTTAATTGGTATATTTTACTCATTTAGGCAAGAGATATGGTGTCAAGAGCCGAAAACGACTGGATGGAAAAACAAGAAGCATTGGAAAAGGTAACCTTCCCTGTCCTCCCGAAAAAAGAAAAAAAAAAAAAGAAAAATCTCACTTACATATCAATATATATATATATATATATATTTGAACCGATAGCTTAAAAGTATCCACGATAATGCCTGTACAATTATTCTTGGCTTGGTGACCAAACTCAATTCTGAACTTACGAGATCCTTATATAAGCGTGAAGATGATGACATTATCAGTTTGCTTGATATTCTGACTCGTGAATTGGATGTGGTGGTGGTGGATATGAAAGATGCCCAGCAGGTAATAGGAATTAGTATAGGTGGTAGATGTAAGTGTTATTAACTTTATTATATGATAGAAAATTGGTGTTTTGGAGAACAACTATAACGAGGCGTGTCAACAATTTGAAATTGTGAACGAAGAAAAAATGGAATGGCACTCCCTTTCTGTCCATATGGCGCAAAAATTGGATGATGTACGCAGAAATATCATCTTTGAAGTGACCAATCAACTCCAATTACCTGTGGATGAAGATGAAGCGGGTGCAATGACCAGAAAAATTATTTCTTTGGACTCGACGACGGAACAGCAAGATACCTCTATTTATAATGACATTCTTATGGCTGCCAATGTCATCGATAGTGCAAAATTTGTATCAAAAATTCGTAAAAAGGTTAGAAATGCTCATGAACTGACTAGACGATGGCAAAAAGAATACAAAGATCTCAAAGGTATGATAAAAACATCAACATAAGTGTCTCTAGACTAAATGATTATATTCTCTTTTTTTTTTTTTTTCTCAGAAAAATATTCCAAGTTGACGAATTCAGCACATGAAAAGATAGCCTTCCGAAAGTAAATAAGCAAAAGAAACATAATGATGATGATTTTTTCTCATTTTTTTTTTTATTGTTATTATTATTGATAGTTTCAAAGTGGGAGATGTGGCACTATTTCTTCCAACACGAAACTCTACGGGGAAACCATGGGCAGCTTTCAACATCAACGCTCCACACTACTTTTTGAAACCATCCGAAGCTATAGCAAATCAGATGAATTCGCGTGAATGGATTGTTGCTAGGATTACTTCTATTACAGAATGTGTAGTCAATGCGCAGGTAAAATGAGGAAAAATATCATTTTATCAATTATCTTACTTTTATTATTCTGTGTTTATGGTAGGATCCAAAAACTAACCCATATGGACTTTCGGATCAGCTTGTATTTTATCAGCTAGAAGTGGAGAATTGGCGCAATGCAAGGCAGAGACATCATCATAAAAAATCAAGGCAGGACAAATCGGCTACAGCGTCAGAAGAATCATCATCATCAGCTACACCGACAACAGATACTACCACCATCAATCCTACGGTCCAGCGACGTTATACTTTACCGAACATCAATAATCGAGATATTGGATTAGCTAGTATATCGTCATCATTGATCGAGAAATCGCCACAAACTGGATCACCCACCACCTCCATCTCTCAGCAAACATCATTACCATCGAACGGATCTATACCAATATCCTCATCCTATCAACAGCAAGAACAATATGGACCATTGATTTCAACTTCACCACCTTTGTCATCATCAGTAGCTTCATCTTCACGACCTTCACCATTTCAGTTCGCGCGCGGAGCATCCAGCAACATAGTACATAGTACTACAGTATCTTCACCTGCATTGTCTGGTGGACAAGATTTGAATCATTCTCGCCGTGGTGGTACAGAAAACCTAAATGATATGTCTCAAACTGGCGACCCGACTTCTTTTTCATCAAGTATTGACCCTTCGCTGATTTGGACTTCCGGTGAATGATGGATGAACTAGTAGAATTGCAAATAGTTTAGATAATCGGATGGAAGGTGTTTATTAGTACAGTTTATTACTTTTTTTTTATAGTAAGATGGTGACACCAACCAAAGATCATTCCTTTTTTTTTTTTTTTTTATTTCTTTGTTACATATTTTATCATAATAAAACCTTTTTTTTTTTTCTTCCTTTGATTTAAAAAAAATAGTTTATTGAATATTGATTTTGTGTGTGTGTGCGTTTTCTAACTATTAACTATTTAAATGTTGTATCCATGTATCAAATGAGCTGATGTCCTTTTTTTTGGGGGGAACAGATATTGATGATGAATAGCCCAAAATAGTGTTGGTACCCATCCATCAAGGTGTCACATAGTAGTAGTATCCATGTGGAATTCAAACGGCACCACACAGAGACGGAGACAAGAAAAAAAATTTTTTTTCCATCCCTCCATCTCTTGAGACCAACGAGGAGGCCAGACGACGCGGCGAGTGGCAGGTAACTCGCTATAATCATTGACAATAACAAAAAAAAAACGGTGATGAATGACGAGTATATAGAAGGAAAGAAAAAAAAAATGAAGATGATCACTTACCTACCACCACAACGCGACCGCCAATATGTAATGATCCATCTAACCCCTTCTTTTTTCTGTCTGTCTGTCTGTTTGTCTGTCTGTCTGTTTGTCTATCTGTCTCACACATCATGGATTGGCGCCTTGTCTTCGGATAACTCTTCTCTCCATGTACCAACAACAAGACATGATCAATGTTTTCTTTTTTGTCATGCTATTTGTTGATGGTTCCATCGATGATGATGTTGACACTATCATAACATCGCTCATTTCTTTCTTTCTCAGCAGATGGGTGCAAAAGCGACGGTAGGGAGGGAGCAGCTATTCCTTGCGGATGTTGGGTATGGGCCCCTAGTACTTGATGACACATCTATTTGTTGTTAATATTATTATTATTATTATTATTAATCATTCATTCAGCCACAATAATAAAAAAATGAATAGTAGAAAGAAATCATCATCGTAAGTTAAAAAAAAAAAGTATACGTATATATAATAAAAAAAAGGGAGATAATAGAAAAGAAATAGAGAAAGGAAAAGAAAAGAAAAAAATAAGGATAAGAATAACACGATCTATTTATGTATTGTGTTGGTTAATAATTGACTTACCAGAATATCCTCGAGCGTCCTACCACAAACAATAACAAAAATAATGCATTTTTGACTTTAGTCATGATAGTATTTGAAAAAAAAAATAAGTTGCATGGTAAGATTCTTCTTAGTATGATTGTCTTTTTAGGCAATCGATTTTGGTTTACCCTTTTGACAACCATCACTTCCACCGAAAGAGATATTTCATGATAAGAAATGCTGGAAAGAAAGAAAGAGGGAGAGAAGAAGGAGGAGAGACAGACAGACAGACAGAAACCACTCCCTCCTAAAGGAAAAAAAGAAGAAAAGAAGAAAAAGGAAAAATGGAATAGATGACTCAATTATAAAAGATAGTGGGTGAATTTTTTTTTTTCAACAGAGAGAGGGGGGGGTAAGTGATGATGTATGGTGTCCACATATACCTATGTGTTACCCAACAGTAAAAATGTTACAGAGGATGTGAAACGCTCCTTCTATAGAGCGGAAATCACCTATCTTTTTTTTGGGGGGGGGGGGTAAGACTAGAGAATCAATGTAATTGGATTGTCCTGATTCTTAGTGGAAAAACTCTACCTATGGAATCCTACTGAACCAATGAGCGGAGAGGAAAAATCATGACAATAGGGAGAGAATTGTTTTTTTTTTTTTTTTTCTCTTTCTTTCCATTTTATATATTTTTTTTTTCTATTATATTACATTATTAAACTTTTTTTTTGAAATCTTTTCTTTTTTCTCTCTCTCTCTCTCTTCTATTTACATTTTATATATTTATTTGAATCAACTACTTTGAATATGGGTATTAGTGGTGGTATGACTCCAAAGGCTTTGGCCAATCGTATGAAAGCCAAAGGATTGTTGAAACTGGTTTATTATTGCCAAGCTTGTCAAAAACAGTGCCGAGATGCAAATGGTTTCAAGTGTCATACACAATCTGAATCTCACCAACGACAAATGCTCCTTGTGGCTGATAATCCTGGCAAATATATTGTGAATTATTCTGATCAATTCAAGAAAGATTTCCTCAGCATCTTATCTCGTCGTCATGGTACTAAACGAGTATTTGCGAATGCCGTCTATCAAGAATATATCGCCGATCGTCATCATATACATATGAACAGTACTCGATGGGATTCATTAACTGGTTTTGTCAAATATTTGGGAAGAGAAGGGATCTGTCATGTAGATGAAACTGAACGAGGATATTGGATCACTTGGATCGACAATAGTCCAAAAGCATTGGCAAGACAGGCAAGTAACCTTTTTTTTTTTTAAAAAAAAAAAATAAATAAATAGGGGAGGATAGGAAGGACAGGAAGAAAGAACTGACTCTTTTTTATTGTTTTGTTCTATAGGCTGCTATTCAAAAGATGGAACGACAGGCAAAAGATGATGAAGAACGGGAACAAGAATTACTCAAAGATCAAATTGAACGTGCATCCAAACTAGCCGAAGAACGAGGCGATAGCGAACAACATACAGTGACTGAATTGAAACGAGATCAAGATCAAGGGAAAATCAAGCTCAACATGTCATTAAAACCGAATATACCTTCAACAACAACAACAACAACAACACAAACTACTTCAGCATCACCTAGTTTGACAATGAAGAAACCAACAGGCAATAAGATGAAATTGATGATGGGTGGTATGAAGAAACAAGAATCATCTACAACTCCTACAACTGGAGCAACAGCAAAGAAACCGATGATGATGATGAATCTTGGCAAACGAAAATCTTCTCCAGACAACAACACTGATGCATCACTCTCCATGGATAAGAAAATCAAATCATCTTAGGCTTTTTAGTTATTAGTCTCAAAGTGAATGTGATGTTGTATTTACCCCGGTCTTCCCGATGTTTAGTTGTTAGCTAATTTTATTGTATATCTTTTGTGAATAAAGTAATAATTATTTTATATATTGTGTGTATGCATTATCTTGGAGTTGAAATGGAATAGTAACTGCTTTCTATCATATTCATGCTGCGTAGCTTTCTTTGATCGACGATGTTTGTATGACAATGATAATGGTGGACAATAAAAAAGTATTTAAAGAAATCAATTATATTTATTAAATAAAAAGTGGAAAGCGTATTATGATCAAAATAGATGCATGTAGAGACAAGAATACTAATAATAGTGGTACTAATAACTAAACTAAGATTGGATGTGAAGTGGAATCAGATAGAGTAGTAGCATGAGGGGGAATGACCTTTTCACCGAGGGAAGTAGAAACAATATCAGAAAGTTCATCAGCACGTTGTTCTTCCTTTCGATCCTTGGCTTGTTGTTTCAATTTACGTTGATAGACTAGTGCACGATCACACCATTTGGCCATGATGGTATCACATCGATGGAGCAATTCCTTGTCTTCTTGACGGACAATTTCACGGATAAGGTACCAATCATGAGCGTATTGAGCCTTGCACACATTGACTTTGAGCTTGCTAGTTGTTTTCTTGATAATATCTACAAATGTGATGATGTCGTCCCTGAATACTTCCTTTTCACCAACAAAAATAAGAATAGTGCCTTGACAAATTTGCTCCATACCACCATGAGAGAGATTGTTAAAGAGATTGAACATTGCCATTTTGTCCAGATTATTTTTTTTCAATGACACATACTCCTTGATCACCAAATCGAATAACCTGTGAGATACAATATCAGAGGATGCATATTTTTTCCAAGATTCGGATGTTTGATTGACTGATATCACGGGTGAAGAAAGTAATATACCTGCTGGTAAATCGATATCAAAGTTGGTACGTTTTGCATATGGGTCGGTAAGTAATCCAGGTGCATAAATATGACAAAGCATTTCCAAACTGATGATTCCGCTAGATGTAATAAATAGAGATATGAATATATATACATGAGTTTCCAATTTCTTTTTTTTTTTAATACATACCCAGCAGAATCTCCAGAAATAATTATTTTGGTAGGAGAGACACCCAGTTCAGTAGTCAAGTATTGATATCCACTAACACATGTTTGAATAGGTGCTGGATAATATACCTTCGGAGCAAGACCTACAAAAAAAAGGATGGAAACAAGGTAATATTTAATATGAGGGGTATTTTATTATTATTATTATTATTATTATTTTCTCTCTTACCGTATTCAATGGACATAATGACCGCATTCACACCATGATTTTCCTTCAATAAAGTGAGCCATGAGATAAATGCATCCATATACATAACACCTAACATAAAAATGTTAAGACTCTGTCATCTATTTACCTTTGTATGATGTTTTTAATTTTCACTTACAATGTCCAACGCGAAAACCACCACCTAGAGACCCAAGGAAGAAGAAGAAAAAAAAAAGAGAGAGAGATAAGTATCATTAAAGAATATAGTTAAATTCTTGTCTTGGAAGGTAGTTGAGTAGGGACTATATAAGGACTTACCATGAATTTCATAGATAACAAGGTCAGCATTCTTCAATCGTTCCAAAGCTGTGTGTTCATTGTCCTTCTTGATGTCAGGTGCAATAAGAGCACCTTTCCAGTGTTGATTATCAAAATACTTGATCCATTTCTTTTGGCTGCCAGTAGGTCTGGTAAGGTCGTAAACAGCATAACGCGCGACTGGGGCAGGGGCAGTCATCAAAGTACGAAGAGTGTGTTGAACTACGCAAGCAGGCGTGTTTTTCTTGATTTGTTGACGTGCAATATCCATAATGACGTTGATTCAAAATAAAACTAGTGGAAGAAAACCAAAAGAAAGAGAAAGAAAAGAAAGAAAGAAAGAAAGAAAAAAAAAAAAAAGAGAACCTTTACCTTTGTGTGGGGTCAACACATGAAAAAAGAGAGTTCAAAGCCCGGTTTCCCAGAAAGGCAATCATTGATGTTCGTTAAAGATTAACTCCATCACATTAGTGATTGGGACATCATGTGAATCTCTCAGATTCTTTATCATTGAAATTGTTATATATACTTTTCTATTTTTAAGATCTCAGGGCAGCATGATTATCATGACCTTAAATATCCTTTTAGTATAACGTTGATATAGTGTTATTCTTTTCAGTATAATGTATTACACAGTAATGAACGATTCGTTTGAATTGTCGTTAGATATTTTTTTTTGTTCTCATATTCATCCACTATAGTAACAAAGACAAAAAAAAAAAAAAAAAAGAAGTTTATATCACTACTGTATACGTGTTCAGTTATTTAACTAAATTCCCAAAAACTCACTGTTTCTCTCTATCAGGTTGAATATCGTATCATATCACAGCACTGTCTATCTTTTTTTTATTGATACTAAGAGTATGCATCATGATTCATTTATTTGATATAGCCGCTGTGCCTTCATTTTTTTTTTTTTTTTTTTACTTAAATGGATGTTTACGTGGGTCCGAGCACGTGGTAGACTCTTTTGATGTTTTTTTGATATCCCTTTTAAATCCATGGATGAATTCAGTTTTATAAGGAATCATGAGGATTTAATAAAAAAAAAAAAGAATGATATTATAAGAGTTCCATACTGTATGAAACAATAAAAAAATCGGCAAACTCTGGTAAATTATACCATGATGATTTTGTTTTTGAGTGAGTAATCATATGTTTGACGGATATCTGGAAGAGAGACATCTGGTGACTTGGATAACTGCTGATGAAACAAGCAAGAAATCTTTTTGTAAGTTATATTCTGCCAAACCTGTGTTCTTTAATTTATATCGCAGATTCTTTTGATATGTTAGTATAAAAATTAATAGATGTGACCTTACTGTGAAGTACGGATGATATCCTTAACATAGCTACAAAAAAAAAAAAAAAATCATGTGTGATTCAGATTGTGGGGTCGTTCTCTTTATAGTAGTACATGATTTTTTCTTACTTTAGATTTATTCTCTGTACTACATAATAGATAAAGAAGAATTGAAAGGAACGATTGTAGTGACGTTACAGATAGTACTTGATACACCAAGAACAGTTTATCATCATCATCATGAAAAGCGAAGAATACTGTAAAAAGAATAACAAAAACCATCATCATCATCATCATCATCATCATCATCATCATCATCGTCATCATCATCATCCACTGGATAATCATGCTAATCATCATCATAGGAAATCAATCGTATCATAGTAATAGAGTTAACCTTTTTCCAATGATGATTATTGGATAGCGATATTGATTCTTACTTTTTTTTTTAATTTACTCTATAAATGCAATGATAATCTATAAATCATGTAGGTAAATCGAAAGTAAATCATTTCTTTTATGTTATGTCCAAATTTGGTACAATGATGGCTACTTTTGAGCGAGAAAGAAAAAAGAACAAGGATTTCGTTCGCTGAAATACAGAATGAAAAAAATGGGATGGATTTTTGGATTTTACAGCCAAAGTTTTCGAACTCCTCAGCCAAATTTTGGCTGTAAAAAACAATCGTCGAGGGTACATCAGGCATTTTTTCGAAATATTGATGAAATCCTTTTGGTATTTATTGCACATTAAGTAGCAATGTAAGAGATAAAATGAGGTTAGATGATATTAAACTACTTTTTGATGAGGAACCTAATGGTGGTAACCTTATTGGATGATGATCATTATTGGATGAGGGATGACTGAATTGACTCTTATTTTTTAATTTACTCTATAAATTAGGAGGTAAGGTATACAGTGCTATTAATACAGTTAAAAGAGAATATCTTCATGTACCTTCAAATCAAATTTGAAGCAAGGATGATTATTTTTGAGCAAAATAGAGAAGTATAAACAAGTACCTTACTCCCCATTTGATCAATGAAGTTATCAAAGGAAAAAAAAAAAGCAGTGGATAGATGAGTAAACCAAAGAGAGGGATGGATACAACTTTTGAAAACATCCAGGTTAATATGATACCTTAAATCTCAAAAAGGTTTTGCAGAAACCATTACCGCGGGATGTCAATTTTGACCCTCTATTGTGTAATATTTTGTTTCGCCAAAACAAAAACTCCACTTCTCTTTTTCTTTTTTCTTTTTTAAATATATATACCATCTCTTTTCATCTAATAACAATTCATTATTTTCTATATTCTTCAAGACATACTATAATACAATGGGGGTAAATTCGAAGACTTTATGTATTTTTTTATCTAAGATGATATTACATACTTTTTCTTGTTTACTCACTTTCTTATTTTTTTTATTATACAGATTAACTGGTTATTACTCGTCAGTCGTCAAGGAAAAGTTCGTTTAACAAAATGGTTTGTGACTATTCCACCAAAGGAAAAGGCAAAGATTGTGAAGGATGCTACACAATTGGTATTGGCAAGGAGGGTGAAAATGTGTAATTTTCTGGAATATAAAGGTAAAGAAAAGAAAACGTCTAGATTCAATTACTCTTAACTTTTATTATTATTATTATTATTATTATTATTATTATTATTCTTGTAGACCAAAAAATTGTTTATAGAAGGTAAAAAAAAAAAAAATTACTATTGAGCGTGTCAGGGAAATAGATTGAAATATGAATGACAAAGGACAATCATCTTATCTTTTTTTTTTTTTACTTATTAGATATGCAAGTTTATTCTTTGTGGCGGGTATCAATCAAGACGATAATGAACTGATTACTTTGGAAATTATTCACCGTTACGTAGAAATCTTGGATCGTTATTTCGGCAACGTATGATAAATACTATTATCAAAAAGAATAGATTTCATTGATACTAAATTCTCCCTTTGTTCTATATGTAAATAGGTTTGTGAATTGGATTTAATCTTCAATTTTCAAAAGGTAAAAAAAATATACAGAGAGAGAGATTTGAAAAATTTGGGTTTCTTTTATCCAAAAACAAAAAGTGAAGACTAACTTTATATATTTATTATAGGCCTACTTTATACTAGATGAATTGATTATAGCTGGTGAACTACAAGAAACAAGCAAAAAGTCAGTATTACGGGTCATTACTCAACAGGATCAATTTGAAGAACAAGAAGGAACTGAAGTCAAGTCAGGATAAATACCATCATTTCCTGTAGAATATTAGTATATTATCATCATTCATTATCATGTATCATCCCTCTCGAATTTTTCTCTTTATTCTTCAAGTTGACTTTTTAAAACAATAAAGAATAAAACTGTACCCCATACCACCAATGCAAATAATTCGATCTACAATGACTCCAAAATGACTCATTACTGAGTTTAAATCTATCAAGACGTAAAAGGGAAAAAAAAAAGTGATATTTTTTTCTCACTTCTTTCATTCCTTTATAATACAATGGCATCTTTTCTCAAACCTTTCTCTCAACGAGCAACTATATCTTTACAACAAACAACTCGATCTATCGCTCCTATCTCCTCCTCTGTATGGACTACATCTCCACTCACATCTCACCAGCATTGCTCTTTATCCACGTTGACTCCTGCACCAGCACACTTTATTACCACTGCTGACTATAGTGCTGATCAGTTATTCAATCTTGTTGATCGCGCCATACAGTTGAAGGTAGAAGCCAAGTATCAACCTGCTCAAACTTCCCGTGAACGTCCTTTGACTGGAAAAACATTGGCACTTCTCTTCTCCAAGCTATCTACTCGAACGCGTGTTGCTACTGAAACATCTGTTGCTTATCTAGGTAATCCTTCTTATTATTATTATTTACTAAAAAAAAGTAACATATACATGATTACCTTTTTTTTTTTTATTGTATCATTGGCTAATATCTTGTTTGTTTCTCGTTTCATTTTTGTAGGTGGTCATGCTATGTTTTTGGGATCTCGCGATATTCAATTAGGAGTCAATGAATCATTATTAGATACTTCTCGTGTTGTTAGCTCTATGGTAGATGGTATCATGGCTCGTGTTGGTGGACATGAAGAAATAGAAGTAAGAAAGAACAAAAGGAATGAACGTGCAGTATATATCATCGACATTTCTCATTTTTTTTTTTTTTGATATTTATATAAAAGCTTTTGGCCAAAGAATCCAAAGTACCTGTGATCAATGCATTATCAGCTAAATATCATCCAACCCAAATTCTTGCTGACTTGATGACACTCCATGAACATATTCATCACCGACAACAAGGGAAAAAGGATCAATATACAGCGCATACACAACATCCTCGAGAAACATTACCTGGTCTCAAAGTGGCATGGGTAGGAGATGCAAACAACATCTTGCAAGAAATGTTAGTATCATTCCCTAAACTAGGTATTGATCTCTCAGCAGCATGTCCTCAAGGTTATCAATGTGATCAGGATGTAGTGGATTTAGCAAAGAACGATAGCCAAGTGACAGGATCCAAACTTGTATTTACAACAAAACCGGAAGAAGCCATCAAGGATGCCAATGTAGTTGTTACTGATACCTGGATTAGCATGGGACAAGAAGAAGAAAAAGTTAGACGACTTCGAGATTTTGAAGGTTATCAAGTGACAATGGACATGGTAAACAAAGCTGGTGCCAAAACTGACTGGTCATTTATGCACTGTCTACCTCGAAAAGCTGAAGAAGTGGATGATGAGGTAAGAAGAAAAAAAAAAAAAAAAGAGAAAGAATAAAATGATATGATGATGATAAAACTGGAATGATGAACGGTGATTGAATACTAACTTTTTTTTTCTATTTTTGTATTAGGTATTCTATTCTGATCGATCTCTTGTTTTTCCAGAAGCTGAAAATCGAAAGTGGACAATCATGGCGGTGATTGATGCATTGATGGTGAAAGGTGGTATTTAAAAGAAAAAAAAAAGATCAGACCATTTGATCATAGTGATACATTCTTTCCTGTTTAGATTTTTATTTGGCATAATATCTCTTCCTTCTTTCTTTTATCAGTATCATCTCCTTTTCTTTTTTGACATTGTTTATCATACCATAACTTGTTATTATTGAAATAAAAAAAAAATGAATATGTTTGTAGACAACTTTGTCATATCTGTAATATCTCAATTCAATATACTCTTTTTAGGCAATTCTAGGAAACAATGACATCATGGTTATACAGGGGAAAAAGGAAAAAAAAAGAATGGCAATGTTTCTCTTTATTGACTTTTTTTTTTAGATACGTTATCGATTTGAATGAGGGACTTTTTACTTGACACGAGTAGAAAAGGAATGAAAGGAAAAACAGAAAAGTGACAATATGGTTGCCATGATAGGCAATTGATAATGGGTTCTCCGATGATTTTTGTGTTGATTCCAATACTAGCCTTATAACTTTATCTTTATGGGTTCCATCGAGAAAATCATGTGTTCTACATAGGGTGATCGCCGTTTTTATTTTATCATCACCATCATCATCCCTATTATTATTGCCACCTTGTACTCAGCCCCTGAATTTTATCTTGATGTTTGTCCAATAATAATATGAAAAAATCTTTTTTTTTTCTCACTGTACCCCTTCATTTGTTAATAGGACTAGTTACTAAAAACTATAAACGTTTTGATTCATTCAACAACGATTAGTGAGGCAAACAACGATTTCTATTCTCGGGTTATTTTCCCTTTTTTTTAGAATAAAAACATTCAAACTTTCTTTTGACTTGAATTTATATAATGTCTATATATCATGATCATATATACATAACCTTTTTTTTTTTTTTTTTTGATCACCAATCGATCGCTAAATAAATAGATGAAAAATATACTTCCCCTTTCTTTCTTACTCCATCATTTATGTCAAGAGGTATTTTTTTTTTTTTTACAACTGGGCTTGAATCACGCCCCACTGTATTATCATCAGGGTGGGGTTATAAAACAGACTAAAAAATAAGACCTTACCGTGGGGAAATCTTATATCATCATAATGATGATTGCGTAAAATTCTATTGCGCTGATTTCTGCCCTAGATAAATCTAAACTAGGCGGGATTTTGAATTGATAGCGTTCTGATTGGTCAGTGCCCTGAAATCACTGAGCGAAGTCCCCATGCACCTTGTTCATTTAGCTGAGACAAAAAAAAAAAAAAAAAGACAGAAAATTGGGTACTTGTATTTTATGGAATAAGACAGAAATTCATTACAATTTTTTTTATATGGTATTCCTGGCAACTGATAACACTATTCTATTATTGACCTTCCGATAGTATCAAACTTTACTTTGATGATGATGATGATGATAAGAGCAAGCCAATGTCATCATCATCATTGTTCTACTTGAGGTGGTCAAAGACCTCAAGTATCATGCAAGAGCATCATCATTTAAGAGGAGGTGAAAAGAATCCAATCAGTAGAAGGAATCATCAGTTGGAAGTCTTTTTTTTTTTTTTTTTTTTTTTTTTTTTTTTTTTTTTTAGAAAGAAGAAAGTGTTCTGATACTCATCATCATAATACCGGATAAACCATTATTATTGTCATCATCACCATCATTATTATTATTTATTATTATTATTATTGTAATTATTGTAGTTAAACTGGTCAAAGATACTAAATTTTATGCAAAAGTATCTTTTATTTAAAAATAATAATGTGATGATTAGTTGATCAATGAGGGGATGATGATGTTGGTACAATATTAAAAAAAAATCATCCTATCGATAGAGTCATTTTGTAAATTGGTGTCGGAAACAAATAAGAAAGACATGATAATGAAACTAGTTGTTCGCTATCGATAAAGCTAGTTATAACATATCCTCACTTGTCTGCATCAGCACATGTGTAAACATCATCTTTTACAAGTCGGACATTTTAAAGTTTAGGTAAAAAAAGTTTATTATGAAAGAAAAGGGGAAACCCATCCATTTAACTAGCCTTAAAAAGGTAATCAGCTGAATCTTATTTACCTGTCTTATCGACAATGATGATTTCAAGCACATCAGCTTGTTCTTACACTAAAATATCAATTGGAAAAATCAGTGAGATCAATGCTATGACGACATTTCTTCAACATTTACCTTTTTGTCTGATTCTATCTCTTTATTATATTCATTTATCGATTGACAGAAAACACCGAAAAAAAAAGTATAAAAAGAAATCTATTTTTTTTTTTATTTCTTCTTCTTTTTAATTTTTTTTCCTCACTTTTTTTTTATTCTTATTCTTATCATCATCATCTTTTAATAATAACAACAATAAATTACTGTTAATCAACATGACTATTGAATATATGACCCTCAACTCTGGCAATAAGATGCCTCTTATTGGTTTTGGCTGTTGGAAGGTGGATCCTAAAGATGCTCCTGAAACCATCTACAATGCAATCAAGGTTGGATATCGATTGATTGACAGTGCAAGCAATTATAAAAATGAAGAAAGCATTGGAAAAGGTATTCGTATGGCGATTGATGAAGGTATTGTCAAGCGTGAAGATTTATTTGTTACTACCAAGTTATGGTCCACTTATCACAAGAAGGAACACGTCCGATTGGCCTGTGAAAAGCAATTAGAACAATTAGGTCTTGATTATGTTGATATGTTTTTGGTTCACTTCCCTCTACCTTTGAAGTATGTACCCATCGAAGAAAAGTATCCTCCTGGATGGTATCAACCTGGTGAAGAAACAATCACATTAGATCGTGCTCCTATGCATGAATGCTGGGCGGAGATGGAAAAGCTCAAGGAAGCTGGTTTGGTGAAAGATATTGGTGTTTCCAACTTTAATGTTCAATTGTTAATGGATATGCTGACTTATGCCAAGATCAAGCCTGCTTTATTACAAGTCGAACTTCATCCTTATTTGCAACAACAGCATCTGGTTGATTGGGTTCAAGCACAAGGTATTGCCATCACTGCCTATTCTTCCTTTGGTCCTACTTCCTTTGTATCTACTGGTTCCAAACGTGCAAAGGCTGTTGAACCTTTGTTTGAAAATCCTACCATCAAGGATGTGGCTGCCAAATATCAACGTCAACCTTCTGAAGTAGCTCTCCGTTGGTCTCTTGAACGTAACATTGCCGTCGTCCCTAAAAGTTTGAACCCTAGCCGTATGAAGATGAACTTGGAAGCTCTCAACTGGCAAATGGATGAAGAAGATGTACAAGCTATCAATCAATTAGATATGGGCCTTCGATTTAATGATCCTGCTATCAACGCACAAAAGCTACCTATCTTCTATTAGATTTAGTTGTTTACTTCCTATTATTTATACTGATGTCAACTCTCTTTATGTCAGTAACTATTGTTTAATATTTCGAATAGTTTTCTACTTTATACCTTTTTGACCTCAAATAAATTTATAAATGTTGTAGATATTTTCCTTTTGAAACCCAGGATTTTTTGTCTCTTTCTTTCCTCTTTCTTTCACTTTTTTTTTTTTTTTTTTAAAAAAAAATATAGTCATGCCGCGACAATCTCATAGCGATATTCAACAAGGTCTGGACTATGAATTCAAGAAACATAATACTCAATTTGAAAGAAGAACCTTTCGTAAGTTTTTTTTTTTTTTTTTTTTTTTTTTTTTCTGGATGAAGTGCCTGAAGAATGGTTTAGGTGAATAGAATGTTTTCTCTTTTTATAGGCAGCGATACTGAAAAAGTGTTCAAAGAACTGGATGAAATTAGACGAAAGCAAATAGAACTGGCTTCGGATCATATTGCTCTGGAAACTTTAGGGGATATTACGTAGGTTGATCATAAAACAAAACATGAGGAAGTGTGGATCACCTTGGTATTATTTCGATGATGATAAAAAGAAAAGAAGCTCATACTGATAAAACTCTTTCTTCTCTTTGTTCAATATGTAGTCAGGCACATCAAACTATGGATGGCAGTACTTTCAATGAATGTCAATTGAATCTATCAAATTTTAATAAGAAGGAAAAGGCTTTGAAGAAACTGATAGTCAAGGTACAGTGAATTCATATATGGACGCAGTGTTTTTTTTTGTGAATTTGTCGAGTATATCTCCCTTATAGGAAGGTATCCGATTCTTGGGAACTCTAGATAGGGTAGATGATTAGACTGAACTTTGGGATATCCGGAAGATGGGACAATTATGAATAAATACAACCTTTTACTCACTATTTTTCTTCCTCTTCTATTCTCTATCATTTTTGTAGTTGGATGACCTTGGTGACTCTGTGTAAGTACAAAAAAAAAAAAAAATAGGGATACATTCAAAAAAAAAAAAAAAAAATACTGATCCTTTTTCTCTCCCTCCTACTTTTGAATGGGCATAGAAATCGTTTCCTTGGTGAATACTGATAGAAGGATAGGTGGATCGATCAATGGAATCTTTCAAGGTAGACTTATAGATTCTTTATGTAGCGTCAATAGGAAACAATTGTGATGAAAATCTACAACATTTTAGGTATTTAATATCTCTTCAGTGTTCTCTTTTTTTTTGACCTTTATTTTTAGTCTTCAGTTTTAGCCTTCCCTATGTTACCTGCATTTCAACAGAAGACGTTTTATTCCCTCTCTCTCCCCTTCGATACCCTTGGCCTCATTTTATTAATTAATAACGTCTTTACAAATAAATAATAATAATAATAATAATAATAATAATAGTAATAATAATAATAAACTAGTTTAAGTTTATAAGTACATTTTATACTGTCGAGAAAAAAAAAACGTCTATTTCATCTCTGCTTTTGTCATCACTAAGTTTATCAATAAGTATCACAGATCCTCAGCGCCGTAGTTATGTGAAAATCATGAGGTTCGTCAAAGAGTTCATCGTAGATATTACAGAGGTATCATACATAAATTACACATATCAATCTTCATCCAACATCCAACATCATGTATCATGTTTCATCCATCAATTATGTATCAAACATCATCCGATATTCTGAGTAATATAAAAGATTGACTGATTTATTGTAGAGGGAAGAAAAAAACAAATAAAGTGTACTATCGATTGAAACCAAAGCTACAAGCCAATCCATGAAACAAATCTTCACCCATCATCCATGTCATTTCCAAAAAGAGAATCAGTAAAAGCCCAAATCTGACCCAACAGAGGTGCACCCAACGAATATAAATCCAAAGTCATTTCCCCTACATCAAATAATAATAAAAAGGTGATGAGTTTCTCTAGAATTCTTTCGAATACCCTTTTTTTTTTTTTACCATCCTTTTGATCCACAGACATGGTATTATTTTGGTATTTTCGAATCATGGTAGTAAGAGTTTCCGCTTGAGATTCCGATAAAAGAGAGAGTCGCCTTGCTAATTCCACCATATTAAATCGTTCTGGTATATTCCATGCTTCACAGGTAGAAGAATCATGTTGTTCATAATGTATAGGGTTCAAATTGTCAATATCATTTTCATTTAGTACTTCGTCTTCTATTTGTGGATCATCATCATCGTTGTTGTTATCATTTTCATCCTGCCTTGATCGATTTCCGTTGGTAACACGTTGAACATCATTATCCATTAATCCAACATAGTGCTGACCTTCTGAAAGTGGGGAGATTTCATCAAAATCTTGTTGTGGTGTTAATAGATCGCTTGGTGGTGATAATGCTGGAGGTGCTGGAGATAAGGATGATGAAGAAGTGGCGGGTAATGAGAGTTCGTCATCGCTGTAATAATTATATCCATTACTGTTATGTTGATCATTCATGTTACCGTTATTGTAATGATGATTATTTTGTGGTAGCTTTTTCTTTGATTTTTGATGAGATGATTCCTTGGCTATGTCTTTTAGTGATTCCAAATAAGAAGCTACTTCAGCAGAGACATCACTAAATGTCTATAAATAAATAAATCATCTTTATTAGTCTCAATATATATATATATATATATTGAATAACTTACCACTAAATGAGTTTTAGAATAATGAGGTTCTTTGAAATTGAGATCAAATACAATGATTTCCCTTGGTGCAAATTCATCCGCAAAGTGTAGCATAATTCTTAGATCAAATTCTCCCCAACCAGATTCTTTGAGTAAATAGGGCTCGTCTGATATATCTATTAAATGAACCCATTAATATTTCCTTCTTTTTTATTATTATTATTTATTTATTCTTTACCTCGTCTTGGATTAGGAAAAGTAGGATGTAAAATATATTCGACATGATCCAGCATGGCTTGTAATTTTCCAGGTACTTGTTTGCCATCGTCTATTGCTACCAGAGATACCTCCCAATTGCGTAATGTATTGCCGTCAGCATCTTGTTCAGTAGTCCAAGAACTTTTACATGATATTCTGATTTCTTGATAAATATTGTTGACCTTTGAAATAAAATCAGATCAACATAAAAAAGAAATGGTGAGTTAAAAAAAAAAAGTTTAAGGTAAACATAAAAGTAACAAAACTTACCATTGTAAGGTATATGTTTTATTTATTTTTATTTGGTACGATATATATATATATATAGATAAGAGTAATGCAAGGAAGAAAATTAAATGTACAAAAGGATGAGTCAATATCAAAAATCAAAGGTAATACCAATAATAAAAAGGTAAAAAAAAAAGAAAAAAGAAAAAAAAAAGAGAGAGAGAGAGAGAAAAAAAGGAAGAGGGCAAAGGCGGGGTTTTACAATTTGGAAGACGCACACACACACACACACTCAATAATGACTCCTGGTCCGTGGTTTTTCCTTTATTTCATTTTTCTTTCTTTAATTATTATTTTTTTCTTCTTCTGATGGCTGTATCAATCAACTTTGACTTTGAACCATATATAAACTCTTACAAGGGTAAAATACAAAGAGAATCATAGGGTTACAAAGAAATAGTTTAAACTCAATGTTTTCTTTTTTTTTTTTTTTCTAGGTCGTACGCGTATCAAACGAGCTTTGTTCATTGCAGAACATTGTCCTAGTTTGGAGGTGGAAGCGTATCATTTTGCTGTTAACGATATCAAACAACAACTTAGTGATATAGAATTATATCAAGCATGTATCAAGAAACTGAATGCGGCATTGACTCGAAGGAATGAACCCATGGTAGATATTGATGCCGCTTGGGTAGATGCCACTACAAAGAAAAACAAACGAAACTTGGAACAACTCGAAACAGAACTCAAAACTTGTAAAACAAGTGTTGTCAAAGAAAGCATTAGGGTAAGCGTTTGAAATCATTCATAGAAAGGATTCTCTTTTTTTTTTTTTTTCATTCGATAATTCAACCCTATTTTTACTTATTTCTTTTATTATATATATTGTAGATAGCTCAAACAAACCTAGGTGATTATTATTATGATGTTGGAAAAATGAGTGATGCAAGCAAATGTTATTCAAGAACAAGAGATTATTGCTCTACTAGCAAAAGTATATTGGATATGTGTTTCAATATGATCAAGGTAACGCATATATATATATATATATATAGGAAATGTTGGTTTAGTCTTTTTTTTTTTTTGATAGGTACATTTGGAAGAACGTCATTATGTACATGTACACAGTTATATCGTACGAGCAGAAACTACACCACAGATACCAGATAAAGTGAACACAATATCAAGATTAAAATGTTGTCAGGCTATAGCCTCTCTTTTTATCAGTGATGCTAATCGATATCAGACTGTAGCACAATGTTTAACCCAAGGTGTTGCTTTAGAATCAAGTCATCTTATACATGATATCATGTCTCCAAATGATGTAGCTCTTTATGGTGGATTATGTGCATTGGCCTCTTTTGAAAGATCTCAACTACACGATTTGATCAGTTCTAATGTGGCTTTCAAAGGATATTTGGAATTAGTACCTCATGTTCGAGAAATCATGGAATACTTTCATGCTTCAAAATATGCTGCTTGTTTCTCTTTGATGGAAAATTACCGGGTAAGTTGAACAACCTAAAGAGAACAAAGAAAACGAATTGATTCTCTTTTTTTTTTTTTGATAGGAGGATTGGAAATTAGATATCTATTTGAATAGTCATATTGATCCTATCTTTCAATGTGTTCGTGAAAAGGCAATGGTTCAATATTGTATTCCATATTCTATTGTGGATCTTGGCCGAATGGCATCTGCATTCCATACTACGGTGGATCAACTAGAATCTGAATTGGTCAAACTTATTGGGCAGAAAGGAAAGATAGATGGTCGTATTGATAGTCATGAAAAGGTAAAAGAGTTCTTATAAAATGCGATGATAACTTATTGTGTTATTTATAGGTTCTCTACTTTAAACAACAAGATCAACGTAAAAAAGCATTTGATCAGTCACTTGGTCTGGCTGTGGAATATGAAAAATCCGCCAAAGCATTGATGCTTCGATTGAATCTTTTGAAATCCAATATGATAGTACAATAAAATTAGTTACCTAGTATCTTATTATTGCATATGAATAAAAAACAACTGATTTTTTGTCTTATCATTTTTATAGTAATTGTGTGTATGCACAACGACATTGTAATTTCAAATGCCGATTTTTTTTCTCTTTATTTTTTTTTTTCTCTCACATTCTTTCGTTTTTATTTCGTTGTTTCTTTTCTCTCTCTTTTTTTTCTTATGTATTTTGTTGATATCACCATCTTTAATAATTTGTCATATGAATTCAGAAGCACCAGTCAATGCGGTAATGAATGTTTATTTATTACAATATGTATATGTGTATACTTATGAAACTAACTTCTCTTTTTTCTTTGTTGTATAGGGACATGTGTATGCGAATGCTGCCGAAGATTACGAAGACAGGGAATTATGGACAGAAGCTATTCAAGCACATGAAAATGCAGCTGGTATGACAAGATGTGTTTATATGCATTATAATTTTTTTTTATTAATATATATGTTTTATTATTCTTAGAACAATTTCAAAAAGCTTTGGAATATACCCAAGATGCTGAAGTAAGTATACATATGGTTTTATTTATTTATTTTTTTTTTTTACATCCTGCAGCAACAATAAAGTGACATTAACTAACTGATTTTCCTCTTTCTTTCTCCCACTATAACTATACTTATAGGCTGGCAAGTCTTTACGACTCTTGATGGCTAACCATACAAGAAAAGCAAAGGATTTGGAACGGAAGGTCGCAAAGTCTCTACAGGAACAACAACAACGACAAAAAGAACGTCAATTACTACAGCAGAAACAACAACAACAGCAACAACAACCAAATATTTATTCTCCAACATCTGAAGGCAACAAACAACGACCTCTATCAGGACATATTATTGGTGCTGGTGGCCTAAATAGTAGTGGAAAAGATGGTATCAATATGAATGGTCTTTTGAATGCACTACCTGCTACCCCTTCTTCACCTCGAGGTAATTCATCTGGACAAATACGATTGGACAAGAATAAAAACAATGATGCTTCTCAACATGGTACTATTGGTGAATCTTATGCTTTACTATCAACTGATAATGTAAGTAATGAAAAATATAGATAATCAAATGAAAAAAAAAAAAAGATTGATGGAACCATAATCACTTGTTTAATTTTTCTTTTCTTTTTTTTTTTCGTATAGGATGAAGAAGATGATGACGATGCCTCCGATCCATTTAACAAGTTTTTCCAAGCGGTCGAAACACTGGTGGAACAATTATCAAATCCTGTAGCTTTTGCATCAGCACCTTTAAATGAAGATGATATACCAACTCCTTATCACCAAAAATTACTCTCTGCTGATAATACCACCAATTATCCTTCCTCTGATAATAGTACTACGTTGGATCATCCAATTGATATGTCAACCATGATGGAATCGTTTTTCTTTGTTCCAGAACATGATGGTGGCGCTACAGAATCAAGTAGTGGATCATCTGCTTCCTCTACAACTGGTGGTGGTCAAGAGAAGATAAAACTTCAAATGGAAAATGAACAATTGAAACGTCGCGTTGAACAGTTATCCCGACGTTTGATGACTTTGGAAAAGGTAATCAAGAAGAAATGGAGTGGCTGTTACTCACACCCCTGTTTTTATATATTATATACATTTCAGACTGCGGAAGAAAGTCATATGTTGAAAAGTAGTATATTACAATTCAGAAATGATGTACAACGACAGGCCAAAAGAATTATGCAAACACATGACTCAGCATCTTTACGAACATCATCTGTGGCATTACTTGGAAATAGTGGCATTAATGGTGTTGGAAGTACTCACCATAGTTATCCTAGACATCCGGGAATGAATCAAACTACTGGTAGTACATCAGAATTAGGTATGAATAGAAAAATATGGAATGATAATGATACTAATTTTTTTTTTTTTTTTTACTTTTATTATATAGTCACGCGATTAAAGGAAACAGAAGAAGAAAATAGACGACTCAAGGATCAAATTGAAAAGCAACAAGTATTAATGAAGAAGTATCAAGAAAGATGGGAAAAACTCAAGGAAAGTGCCAAAAAACGACGTGCTCAACCATCAGATATAACAAACAATAATACAAAAAACAACAGTGATTCTGGACATGGTGGCGGCATGACACCTGAATATCATCGACCTTATTCTTCACGACCACCGGCCCTATTGCGATCCTTAGCACAGCAATCTACTTCAGCACATCATCCACCTTTTGCATCCTCATCATTGGCAAGATCGAGTAGAATAGCATCGGATGATTGTCAATTATGAATGGATATCTAGAGTTTTTTTCTTTTTTTATAATCTCTCCCAATAAAAAATTTTTTGACCCTGATGTGAAACCAACTAAAAAAGAATTGCATGATGGCGGGGAAATAAAAAGTGTCAATTTAAAGTTTTGCCCCAAAAACTTTTTTTTTTTTTACTTCTTTTACTTTTTATACATTAAATGTGAACCTAATCAATGAATTCTTCGTTATCATCTGTTATTCCGCCTGTTGTAATATCACCTACCATCAATACTTACAACGATTTGCCAAACGAAGACAACGTTATTACGGAAACACTGCCACGATCGAGTGACCAAGATCAGCAATCGAGTATAAGACAAAAAGAAAAATTGTCTCCACTCCCTATGGCTAACAATAATATCATTATTCAAGGACGAAGATATCAAAATTATAATGATCGTTATCGTTTACCAAATGATGATATGGAAATGGATAGATTGTTGAATAATGTAAGTTTGTAGTGATCCCTTTTTTGGGGTCGGAATGTGATTTTCTTATATTCAAGTTTCTTTTTTTTTTTTTTCTTTTCTTTTTCTTTTTTTTTTTTAGCATCTACTAGTTAAGTATTGTTTTGGTTCTAACTATTCCGCACCTATCACTGAACTTTTATCTGCTCCTCGTATCAATACTCTCTTTCATACCCAACGTGCTAAGAAAACAACAAAACACAAATACCTGCATTCAACAATACCAGTAGAACATCATCCGTCAGGAGTAGTCAGTCTACAACATCCTACTTCTCACGAGACATCTCAACACAATGATACTACCTTCACCTCTTCCCCTGAAGAAAACATGTTCATACCAAAGAAACAACAAGAACAATCTTCATCTCCTCCTCGTGGCAAGTTTATGGACTACTTGCGAAAATGGACTAAATTAAGGAAACAAAAGGAGCCAGCGAACAGCTCAGCAACAAAGAAAACACGATCTGCATCTACAGGGGCAGACCAATTACAGTCGACACCATTGACTAAGACAAATGTAGCTGACCTATCTCCGATACCGCATCGTCGTCATTATTCTGAAAGTGATACCCAACAAACCAATGGAAAACAACGGTCCTCTATCTCCACAACTTCAAGGCTTTGTACTCATTATCCTGATATCAACATTTGCCGTGTATTGGACATTGCCTGTGGGAATGGTGTATGGATTTTAGACATGGCACATGAATTCCCAAATGTTGAATTTTATGGTGAGTTTATGATAATAAATAGAACTGGTCTTATTAACTTTTTTTTTTTTAAAAATAATAATAATAATAATAATAATCATAGGATTTGATATCTCTGAAGTATTTCCAACTTCTATTCGACCAAAGAACGCTTACTTTAAATTATTTGACATGAATCAAGGTATTCCTTATCCAGACAGCTTTTTTGATTTTATACGTATGCATGATGTCCTTACTTGTTTTGCCTCTAATGATATCAAGGTAGAATGATTGATTTTCTAGAAAATAAAGTTTTTTTTTTTTTTTTCATCTGCAACTTACCTTTTTTTTTTTCTAGTTTATTATATTGGAAATACGACGATGTCTGAAACCAGGTGGTTACGTTGAACTAAGGGAACTGGATCCTACGATTTCCAATGCTGGTCCAATCACTTCGAAATTTACATCGTTAGGTAAAACGAAAGGAAAGATCAAACGTTCGATTTTAATTTATTGTTTTTTATGAATAGATTCCAAAATAGTAAAAAGATTACAAGATCAATACAACGTAGATCTATCTTGGCCATTGGAATTAAATCAACACCTTCAAGATCATCATTTGGTTGACATTCACAGTCAAACCGTTCGTTTGCCATTTGGTCATCAACCGCCAACATGTCCATTATTATCATCAAGACCACCTGAAGCATCCCTGATCAGACTGACGTGTTGGTTTTGGAAAGATCGATGTGATGCCTACCAGCGACTACTTTTGGAAGCGTACAACGAGACGGAAAAAGAATTGGATCAACAAATGAAATGCATGCTTGAAGAAATGATGGACCGCTCTTCTTACTGTCAATACTATATGGCTTGGGCTCGAAAACCATTGGTGGATGACTACTGTTATCAGCAGAACAACAACGATGATGAACATCAGAGTAGAAAAAACAGCCACAATACGGCTCAACTCAGCGTCTCTTCCTCTCGTTCCGATCTCTCCTCGATGACAGACGAAGACATCATGGACGACATATATGATTTGACGGATGGTTATATAGATTAGCTATTTTATTGATCAATAAACTTTTTTTTTATGAAGTCATTTTTGTCATGTTGTGAGCATTTTTTTAAGGAGAAAAAAAAAACACCATGGTGTGTGTGGATAAAGAGACAACTTGATCCTGGTAAAACATAAATATTATTGTCAAAGGATGATTTGTTCATTCTTAGGAAAAAAAAAAAAAAAAAGGTTGACTATCAAAAAAATAATATGGAGACAATCATGAAAAAAAAGAGATGATTTATTTTCAATCTTCATCGTTTATTGATTTAAATAATAATAAAAAGAAAAAGAAGAGAGAGAGAGAGAGAGGGAGAGAGAAAGAGTGAAACATATACACATAACCAAATGAAAGTGGTGGGGGATCAAGAGGGAAAGGAGTGGTATCAACAAACTAAACTAATAAGAATAAATATTAATAAAAAAGGAGAGAAAAAATAGTAATAATAATAATAATAGTAATAATAAATAATATAATAAAAAAAAAAAAAAGAAAGGATGGGAAAAGGAAGGTGAGATAGATTATAGATCGTAAAAGGGTTGGAGATGGGATGCGTCTACACGTAGAGGTCTTGGTTTCGCCAGAGCAATGGTAGATTGTTGGATTTTGCGCCAATTGAACTTCCCAGTAGATCCATCCTTGCTGTTGCTATAGGTCGAAGCAGGTTGATTGTTTATAATGGTGGATGGAGGATGGTTGTAAGGTGATGGTGCATGAGGATCATCATGAGACGAGATGGATGAAGAGCCTGATGAAAATGATCGTGGTGAAGATTTTTTTCTGGCGAGATGCATTGTTGATCCACTACTGTTCATAGTAGGGTGGGCGGCCAAATATAAGAGTGGTTGTTGTGGTGATGTTGGTGATACAGGAGATCCAGAAAAAAAGTAATCATGATGATGATCGTAAAGAAAAGTTTGCGACGTAAGTGATCTTTGATCTGGACTGGTTGGTGTAGGCGGAGGAGGAGTCGAAGGTGGTGCTGATGATGGTACTGACAAAATTTGTTGTTGTTGTTTTTCCAGTTGTTTCTTCGCATTGAGCATGACACGTAAAGCACGAATCTGTAGTCCTAGTTGATTGGTCAAAGTGGTGGATTCATATATAAGACTTGCGGTAGAAATGGTGAGAATTTGATGAAGAGCATGTGTGGTGAGTTCCTTGAGACGAGACATTTGATATATATCAGCAAGTATTAATAATCGAGCCAGGACGGAAGGTTGATATTGTTGTACAGTCATCAAGTGATCGGTATAGATATATTGTAAAAAAGATAAGGTAACAGAGTACGTTTCAGAAAACAAGAGTGTTTTGCCAATCCCTCTTTCATGTCGTTGTCGTCCACCTTGAATGACGGACTGGTTGGTGTCACCATCGTTGTTGTTGTACAGTCTTCTACGAAATAATTTTGCTGCATAGGGCCACCGAAGAGAGAGAATAGAACTATTTGCCGGGATAACTTGATGATCATTTGTAAGAATATAAACATCAGCCATATTGGGTTCGTTGAGCATTGTCAATCCAAGTTCACGTCCAAGTTGATTGCAAGTCGGTAAAGGTGTGGTATAGATTCCAAAAGCTTCCAACTGTATAATCGCCATATGATCAAAATTGATTTGTCGTTGTTTATAATCCGTGAAGATATCCCGCTGTCGATTACCAAACAGAATCCATTGATTGTTGTAATGCATTCCACGATTCCAAGAACCAACTACCAATCGTGATCCTGTGTCAATCCTTGACCAAGTGAAGGTACCTAAATGAAGAGCCCATACTTGATAGCTTCTTGAGTGAATGCCGAGATGTGTACCAGCGACGATCAAATGTTGACCAATCACTTCACCATGAGGGAATCGTAGACCTGGAGGAAATATTTTCTTGGTATCAGTTTGAACAAGTTGACTATGATCAAGAATCCCATTTCCTTGACTAATAGGACGAGTTGGATCAAAACTAAAAAGTTCACGGGTCATGGTGTTGGCTGTAAAGTTGTAATTGGCGTAAAAAAATAAGTTGTTGCTGTGGGTATTCAAAGAAGGTAACGGATGATGTTTTGACTGATGATGATCAAGATATTGGTATCTTCTTTCTTCAATAGGTTGTTCAAAAGGCACGGTACGATATATTCCACAAGGTCGATCCAGTGTACTACCAAGTAACCATTCGAAAGAGATCAAGTCCAAAACATTGAATTCGTTCACATATTCATTATTTGCATCCTGTCCACCCATGATCACCAGTTTATCTTTTTCTGTTGTTGAAATAAGTGCAATATGTGCATATCGTGGCTTTGGCGTAAATAAACTTCGAGGAATCCTAGGTTTGATCCAAGTATGTTCTATTGTATCGAACAAGTAGACGTCATTGAGAGTAAGGGTATCACCATCAGAAATATGACTATTGTTACTTCTAAAAGAAGTATGTTCAGTTGTCATTCCACCAAAATAGACAATATAATGTCGATATGCAGTAGCTGAATGAAAGTAACGAGGGGAAGGAGGACGATCAGAATCAGGTGAACCAATATGACGTTGCCATTCCAAAGAGTGTAAGTCCATAATATAAAGATGATTCGTCATTTGTTTTGTTGAAGGAAGACGACCACCAAAAACGAAAACTTTATCGTGTAATACTGTGACGGAACAGCCTACTAAAGCAGGAGGCACGTGTCCTCTCGTTTTCTTGAGTAAAGTGGTTAGATCAGCTACCGATTGTGCGCCAACCATCTTGATCAATAAGTTCAGTGTATATAAATATGAATATACACTTAACTAAAATAAATATATAAATAAAAAAAAAAAAAAAAAAGGAAAGGAGAGGAGTAAATATATTGAAAAAAAGATAAAAAGAAAAGATAGAGAATCGAAAAGAAAAAAAAAAAAATTTCAGACCAGCATATACAAAAGGTGCCTTTGTTTTTAAATTCCGATGGAGATAATGCGGACGGTTGCACACAATATTGATAAAGATAACAAGTACATGTATATATCAGTTGGTAATTTATTTATCTTTTTACTGTGCCTAATTTGTATATATATTTCGCCATCGTGTCATCGGTGTTTTAATGACAAATACACTACAAAAAGTTGTTTCACGGATAATTTCAAATTTCTAATGAATGAAAAGTATTTTAATGATCAGGAATTAACATACAAGGCATAATACAATTATTATCAATCAACATCAGATAAGAATCATTTTCATCAATTATGTATTAATTATAATTAACTAAACACTTCATCATCGTAATCCTATAGAAAGTCCACGTTTTTACTGAAAACAAATAACTTTTTTTTTTTTTTTTTTTTTTTTTTTTTACCTATAAACCCCTTAAAACTTGTTGAAACCTTTCTGATAGATAATAATAATAATATTTTTATGATATTTTCAATAATGATTAAAGTGATGATGGTTTGTGTTATATCGTTCCCGGTTTTAAACCGCGCTTGACGTTTTTTTTTTTTTTAAGTTTTTGCTCGTGGGTGATACTCTGGTTCTTGTGCTTTCCTCTTTTTGTACAAATCACTCTTTTTTTTTTTAATGGTAAAATAACATTCAATATATTGATCTTGGAAAAGGAAAAGGAAATGTTTACATACATAATGCAATCGAGTTAATTTGAACTACTTACTAATATCTTTATATTCTGTAGCCTACCACATATATTCCAACTATCAAGAAAGAAAAAGGTACAGTTTTTATTCAAAGAACTATTCTCCAAAAAAATAGATTATATTCACAGTATATATATGTTTTTCTTTCCATATTTGATGAATAGCACACGATGGGGAAATATGGTGTGTTGATTGGTCAAGAAACACTAATCTCGTGGCTTCAGGATCTTGTGACAATAATGTGAAAATATGGTAATGTTCCTCATATTAATAAAACGCGTTCATTACATGTTACTAATAAATATTATATATTTACATATGAAATACGAAACAAATAAAAAAAAAGGGATGGCACATCAGGGGAATTGCTTTGGACTTTGGAAGGACATACACTTGGGGTTATCTCTGTCCACTTTTCTACCGATGGCACTCGTAATACACATATATATATATATATATATATATATATATGAAATGTATACTGATTTATTTATTTTTTTTTTTTTTGATAAATAAGGACTTGTATCATCATCTATCGATTCAACATTATGTATATGGGATATGACTCAAGAAGGAAAATGTATCAAAGTAATTACAGCAACACCTGTCGAAGCATGGACAGCTCGATTTCATCCTGATGGTACTAGAATTGCAACTGGATCTCATGATGGAAATATCAACATTTATAACATTGAATCTGGAGAAAAAGAAGAATCATTAGCAACCAAGAATAATTTTATCATGTGTACAGTCTTTGTAGGTTCAGGGAAGATAACTATTATATGATGATCGACTGATTTTTTTTTTATAATATAGAGTAATGATGGAAAATATTTGGCAGGTGGATCTCAGGATGGATCTATTTACGTATTTAATATGGAATCAGATCAATTGGCTCATACATTATCAAGTAAGATTGAAAAGATAGGAAGTGAATATATGTTTTATTTTGTTGAATATGTCTTTTATTTTATTTTTTTTATTGTAGCACATGCATTGGCAGTACGAACTTTATCATTTGCACCAGACAACAAGACTTTAATCAGTGGCAATGATGATAAATGTATCTATGTGTATGATGTAGAACATGGGCAATTGGCATCTGTTTTGACAGGACATTCTGGTTGGATTTTATCTGTAGCAACAAATCCTGATATGGGAAAACAACAAGTATGTAGTGGAAGTGCTGATAATAAAATCAAGGTATGGGATCTTACTACTCGATCAGTATTGGAAACTCAAGAAACACAAGTAGACCAGGTTCGTATTTTTTTTTTTTTTAATTTCAAATTCAAATTAATATATATGTATATCTTTTTATTATAGATTTGGGGTGTAGCATGGAATCAAGAAGGAAATAAATTTATCTCAGTATCAGATGATGGTAGTCTTCAATGGTTCGCTAGCAGTGGATCTTCTTAGAAATAAAAAATAAAAAAAAACAAAAGCTTTTGTCTTACATTTTTTTACCGTTCAAATGAAATGATTTTGATCCAAATGGGGAATTAATATGTATGTGACTTTGGCGTTTTTGGCGGACTTTTTCACTTTTGACGAGATTACAAAAAAAAAAAAAAAACTATCATAAATGTTTATTTTTATTTTTTTTTTTTTTACTGTTTTCTTTTTTCTTCTTTTTTTTTTTTATATATACATTCTTCACCATGAATGACCCTTCTTCAATAAACGATGAACAGGTCGTTTATATTAATTCAACTGTATTCAACAATTTTTATGAATTCATCTTTTCCATTCCTGGATCTCACATGGTGTTGAATTATATCAAGACATCCTACCATCACGATCCTTTCCGAATTGTTCTTGAACTGTTTTTGGTCTTTTTTGCTTTGAAATATATGTTTTCCAAGAAATATAAACCTCATGATAATGCTGTCAAACTTACAAGAAAGGTAAAGAAAAAGGACATATCAATTTTTTTTTATGCAAACTGACAAACAACTCTTTTTTTTCTTTTTTCTTTAAATAGGAAGTTGATGATCTGATAGAAGAATGGCAACCTGAACCATTGGTTCCCAAATTGAATTCTTTTGACCGTTTGAACTTGGAAAAGACACCTCAGATTATTGGGGCTCAAAGTGCCAAACCAAAAGTGGCGGGACATTCAAAACCTATGATGAATTTGGCAACAAGTAATCATTTGAATTTGGTAGCATCTGAAACTATTCGACAAAAATCAATTGAAACATTGAAGAATTATGGTGTTGGTTCTTGTGGTCCTCCTGGATTTTATGGTACTCTTGATGTTCATATGGATTTGGAACGCAACATTGCTTCTTTTTTGGGAACAGAGGAAGCCATCATTTATGCTCAAGGTTTTTCCACCATCTCTTCTGTAATTCCTGCTTTTTCCAAAAGAGGTGATTTATTAGTTGTGTAAGTCTTATTATAGAAATTATTTATAGGATATAAACTAATTGTTTTTTTTTTTTTTAACAGTGATGAAGGTATAAGTTTTGCTACTCAAAAAGGTGTTCAAATTTCTCGATCTAATGTTCGGTGGTTCAAGCACAATGATATGGAAGATTTGGAACGTGTTTTGGAAGATATAAGATCGGATGATCTGATTGTAAGTGAACCAAAAAAAAAAAAAAAAAAAAAAATAGTACTTGAAAATTAACTTTTTTTTTTCTTTGAATTTAGCATAATAAACGATTAACTCGTCGATTTATTGTGACAGAAGGGTTATCAGCTAATGATGGTGACATTGCTCCTTTGGATCGGTTAATTGAACTTAAAAAGAAATTCAAATATCGTTTGATTTTGGATGAATCTCAATCTATTGGTGTCATTGGTAAACGTGGTGCTGGTTTGACTGATTTATTCAATATTCCTGTAAGTAATATTAAAAAAAAAAAAAAAAAAAAGAGACCGGAGATTGGTTTTTCCTGAAAGGATGCAACGTCAAATTAAAAAAGGAATGTGACACGAATGGAAGAAACAACTTTATTCTAGTGTATTAAGCTACTAATATCACTTGATTCTTATATATAGGCAATTGATGTGGATATGATTATTGGATCTATGGCCTCTGTCCTTGCTTCATCTGGTGGTTTCTGTGCTGGTAGTCATGAAATAGTAGATCATCAACGACTTTCTGGTAGTGCTTATTGTTTTTCTGCTTCCATTCCTGCCATGCTTGCCGTCAGTGCCTCTGAAGCACTTTCCATTATTGGACAGCAACCCGCACTTTTGATGGAATTAAATGAACGCAGTCGTACCTTCCGTCAAACACTTTTGCACAAAACCTTGGAACCTTTTATTGATCTTCATGTTGGTGATCTTGATGCACCTGCACCATTCTTCCATATTCGTATCAAGCCTTCCTTCCTACGATCTCGATTACAAAGTCATGAAAAAGAAATATCTCGTGAAGATGAAGAACGGTTATTACAAGATGTTGTGGATGAATGTGGATCACAAGGTGTATTATTGACTCGTGCAAAGTATGTCTATGATCAAGAACGAAATTGTCCTCGTCCAAGTATTAAGATCTGTGTGACCACTGGACTCAGCAAAAAGGAAAATGACAAAGCAAGTGGTATCGTCAAGTCTGCTATTATCAAGGTATTCACCAAATGGCGAAAGTAGTATAGTTTCTTTTTATTATTATTATTATTATTATTACTATTGTTATTATTATTATTATTATTACTTTTATTATTATTATTTTATATATATACACATGTACAGCTTTCCTTCATACACAACTTCCTGTTCCCATCCTACTTTTATTCACATTACACTTTTTATAATATTTTTTCCATTATACAAAAAATCATCATCACTACAAGAAACATCTGCTTTTTTTTTTTTCTATATACACTTTATTGAATCTTTGTTTTTTTTTGTTTTTGGAATATCATACATAATAAAAAAATCAACAACTAAAAATAATAAACATAAACATTCAACTAAATGATGACTAATAAACTAAAAATGGGTGAAGATTTTGTTGTTTCCGCGGGATGGATTTTAGATCAAAGTTTCTTGTTGATTTCTTCGTCGTTGTTCTCTTCTTCGTTCCACCTCGATCATCCTTGCACATAAGACCCCGGTATCAGGTCCACGTCTTGGTTGAAGAGTTAAAAATTTTGGCATTGGTCGTTCCTCCAAATCCAATGAGATATTGATACCTATCACCAAAAAAAAAAAAAAAATGAGCATTTAATGTGTACCATCCTTTGTTTTTTTTTTTTAAAAAAAAAAAAGTAAATAAATAAAAACTTTTCTTGATGATTACCTGCTTGTAAATGTTCAATCCAAGATATCATGTCAACATGATTAGAGAGTTGAATCAATAATTGCATGCCATTGCAACCAGTCAATCGCACTACAAACGGTCGTTTCAAATATTCAATGGCTCTTGTTGCCTCAGCACCACCCAAAGAAATCGTATATATTGGTTCCTTTCCAATAGTTGACCAAAACCATGACAATGGATAAATTCGTAAAACTGTTCCCCATAATTCAATATAAAACCGTCTATGAAAGTGGGGTAAGTGATCTCTCCTTTTTTTTTTTTTTTTTTTTTTTTGGTCATATGTCTATTTTTACTTACCTCCAAGGTCTCCGATTAGACTTTTTTCCGGTGGCCAACCATTCTATTTTCACATTCACTTTGCCCATTTTATAAACACTACAATGATAAGGAGGTAAATCTTCACGACCTTCTTCTTCTCGAGGTAAAATCATACAGGACCGTCGATGTTGCCATTTCTGGATGGCATGGGTATATGGATCATCGTCTTCTTTCTTGTCGTTGTAAAGAGGGGGCGGCGTACGAGGGACCGGGGGCATGATCGGCATAGACAATGGGCGGGGTTTGCTTTCCATTCTTCTTGAACGAGGGGCGGTGCTGGTGCTAATGGTGGTAATATTAGGATATGGCGTTGTTGAACTGGATGCAGAAAGTGATGATGATGAAGCAATTGTTGTTACAGGAGATGATGATGATGCGGTTATAGTTGAAGGAGATGATAAAATAATTGTTGGCTTGGGATATGGTGGTGGTGGTGATGTTGATAATATTGTACAAGGTGTTTGAATACTGCTACAAGTACTGCTGTTGTCATCATCATTTATACGTGAAGTAGTAGTAACCATAATATCGGACACGAGCGAAGGGGTGGTAGTACTTGAATAACTCGAGACCCGTATAGAATTATCATGGTTCATTGTGTTAGTTTTCACTGGAGTTGTCCATTCCAATAACTGTCGATCAATAAACGTCATGGCTTTCTTCATTGTATTTTGAAATGCTGTATGATATATTGGAGAAGGAATGTAAGCTGGATCCACCATGGCTTTTTTTTCTTTTCCTTTTTTTTTTTTAGTTGTTTGTTGTTATGAATGCTGTTTATGTACGTTTGTGGTTGAATAAGAAGAATAAATAAAAAGAAAAGAAGAGAAACTGGGGAGTCAAAACACTGACGAAAAAGGAAGGATAACTATCAATAACAATAATAAGCAAAAGAGAAGTAATAGGAACAGAACAAGGCCAAAAACACAATTTATGGTAATACGGAATTTGAAATTTTTTCGTGCTTAACAGAACCGGAATGATGCAACCTATACTTTTAAAAAACAATCATGGTGTGGGTGCATTCATCACATGGAATAATAATTTTATTATTATTTCGCCATTATTTAAAAAAATGATCACCCCCCTTTTCTTTTTTTTTTCTCTCCCCCAATTCTTTTAAAAAAAGATTGATCCCAATGGATCTAGTCATTGATTGTTCTTTCATATGTATGATGATCATTTGTTTTATGATGATGGAAATGTAAAGGCTGATGGTTTATCCGCGTTTGGCACCACAACGATAAAGGAGGATCGACAAAGAGGTTCATCCGTGTTTCGGCTTATTTATTAAATAATCTATCCAAAACATAGACACAGAAAAAAAAAAAAGTTTTTCATTATATGCATGCTATCCATCTCTTTCGTTTTGTGTTCCCCTTTTCGTCTCACAGAACACTTTTTCTGGTTCCTCTTTGATTCAATTACCGCCATGCAACCATTTAGAACAGGTAAGACAAAATCACATTATATATTAAAATGTCACTTTTTTTTTCTGTAGAAAATATCATGTATCTATCGCATGTAGATCAAATTTTAACTGTCAAACCTGAAAGTAAGGAAATCATCCATCATATGTTATTATATTTCACAATAGGGTTCTCCAATTTTTATTAATACGAAAACGTAAAAAAACAAAAACAAGTACACCAACCAAATAACATATACCAGCAAATAATTTGTAACTAAGGAAAGGCTGGTAAGCGGGTCCAACCGAGCGAAGGAGGCTGGTTTCAATAGCACTTGCAATATTGGGACCAAATACACCAATAATATTAAAAATCAATAATAAAGAGAGACCAGTAGGGAATCGATCCTTGCCTAAAATCAACATGGTAATGGGTGACAGGAGAGAGAAATAAGCACCACAGAATAAACCAAATACAATACTGAATCCAATCAATGCACCAAAGTTGTATGCAAATGTCCAAATCAATAAGCAGCTCAATCCTCCCACCAGCGTAAATAATATGTTCGTATTCAATTGCCCTAAATAATCTGCACAATATCTATCCATCAAATACAAAAAAAAAAAAAAAAATTCAGAGAGTGTCACCTTTTTTTTTTTTTTTTTTTTTTTGATGTTCTTACCCTGTTGTTGCCCTTCCAACGAAATTAAAAGCTGAACTGATCGATACTAATACTGCCCCTTGAGCATCGGTTAATCCAACATAATGTCCATAAGCTAGTTTCAAAAAAAAAAAAAGAAAGAGAGAGAGAACATGGTTAATCGTCAATCCCCCCGTCAAAAAAAAGTAGAAATGGTTTATCAGTATATCCATCATCATTCAAAAACCTGTACCGTCGTTTTTTTTTTTTTTGACTTACACGGCAGAAAGTAAAAAGGAATAAAGTAACCAAGGAGGACAATATCGCTTCCAATGACCCATAACACATAGTCTATATCACGGAGAACATTCAATTGAATAATATCGGATAGTTTCTTCTTCTTCTTTTCACTTTGAAACGTAGGGTTTTGTTTGATGAGAATACATGCCGATAAATCCATAGCAAGACAAATAAAACCAAGAATACGATAAGTCCAAGAAGGTCCAAGTCTACTATTGATGGATGTCATGATAAATGGAACTACAAGACCACCTTTTTCACAAAAAAAAAAAAAAAAAAAAAGATTGAAGTATAGTGTGGGGAGAGAACAAGTCATTACTACCTATTCAAATAAAGTTCATCCATCTTATATCTATTTATATATGTACCTATACCAGAGCCAGACGCGACAATACCTAGAGCCAATCCTTTTCTTTTTGTAAACCATTGTGGAGTGAGTGTCAAAGAAGTCTATATATATATAAAAGGAGCAGGTCAATCCATCCACGCAATAAATCAATATATTTATTTATTTAGATGATACTTGCGTAATACATCAAAGACGAACCACAACCAAAAAGCAACCCCTGGAATAGATACAATTGATAGACTTGTGTAGCAAACCCAGCCATCAACATACCAATGGCCTTGCAAAGACAACCGATCACCAATACTCCTTTATGACCAATCCAAGGTTCCATCAATTGAGCCACTGGACCCATCAAGCGCATAAAACTCAAGGCAAGAGTACCAACAAAGGATAATTGTATAACTGCATTTGGAAGATCGATAAATACATGTTGTTCATAATAATTTTGCATCACTCCCCTAACACCAAAAAAAAAAAAAAAAAAAAAAAAAAAAGAATCAATCCATTCATCTTTTTTTTTTTTTTTTTTTTTTTTTTTTTACCAACTGGTATTGACTCCCATCGATGTGATTTGTACAAAAAGTGCACCTATTACTACTAACCAACCATATCTTTCAGGAGGATCGTCTGTTACGGTGGCGTCATCTAATAAACAAAAAAAAAAAAATATCAATCCACGTGCCTCTTTTTATTTTCTTCCTATTATCCTTTTATGGATGATTCTTTTCTTTTACCGCTGGTGGTTCCATTCCTCTCCATTGTAAGATTCCTAAAAAAAAAAAAAAAAAAAAAAAAAAAAGAAGTCAACATTAGAATCATTCGATATAAAGGAATCATCATAATAATGAATTTTTTTTTTTTGGTTTTTGTATTTTACCTGTATTGAATGGATGAAAAGGAAAAAAAACAAGAGTGTAGAAAAAGATCAATCAACCATATATAATTGGAGGAGGAGGCATGCCGGGAGATGTCGGATTTGTCGTTCCGATGAACTAATCCGTAGTATCGGTGAATGAGGACGGGATGTGTCAATTGGTATAGATGATTAAAAGAGAGTGGGATAGGGAAAAAGGAAGTTTATTCAATATGGTCATCTAAATATGAGTCCAGCTCATTATGACTATATATAAGAGAAGGGATAGGTATCTACAACTATAACAAAAAATATGTTAAGATAAACTATGCTAAGGGAGGAGGGTCATAAAAACGAATAAAGAAAGGATTGATTGTATTACTAATTCTATCTAACTAGATGAAACCAGCATTTTCACGAGGAGGAATAGCAGGAGCCGGAAGACCAATGGAAGCTTCACGTCGATGGCGACTAGGTAAAGAGTTCTTTCGAAGTGGTAAAGGTGCTGATTTGTTGACTTCAGGTATTGGGCCGTTAAGAATCGACATATGATTGAGAATAAATTCAATACAGGCAATCTTATGGTTCATTTCTACCAAATCCAAGTTTTCATCTGTATGTCGCATCAATGTTGGACCAAATACAACGGCTAGATTCCTTGTTGTCATCAAATTTTCGCTATTCTTTGCACTGATCCTAATTTATATATATATATATATATATATATTCAGTCAACAAAAAAAAAAAAAAAAATAGGGTATTCAGTCTTTCTTGAACTTACTTTGCCAAATGTTGCATAAGATATTTGAGAGTATTATAATGTTCAATTGGTAAAGAATATAATAACTTTTGGAATGTGTCTTCTGTATTCTTGTCACCGGATACTATAAATAAAAAGGGGAATAGGTTAAAAGTCATCAGCAAAGCCAAATCAAAACATCTATTTGTTTTCTTACCTATAGCATCCACCCATTGTTGATGACGTTCAAAGGTGAATAAAGGATTAGGCAGGTCACGGAAATACTGTTTCAATACACTGGTGATGGCACATATATCATTCCATTCGTCACTGTCACAAAGATCTATATCTTCATTTTGTTCAAAAGCTTGTTGAATAGATCGAACTTGTCCAATACCTCCCGATTTCCGATAAATCCCTTCATAATCCATTCCTCTTTGTTCCACAGCTTCAATGCATTTCCGAACCACCAAAGGAATATTGTTGTCTTCTGATTGAATTGAACTTGTTTCACCAAATCTTGTCCAAACATTGATACTTAAAAGAAAAAAAAATTATATTGCATAAATGAGATGGATTGCACTATATATAAAGTGAACCTTATTTTACCTTTTTGAGAACAATCCGAGTTTGAAGAGTCAGAGCTTACTTTGCGTTGACAGGTTGTCGTACGGTAAACACATTTGGTGTGGCAAACAATGCTGCATTCTATATAAATATAAATATACAGATATAGATATAAAGAGTAAATACTAGATATACTCCCATTCTTTTTTTTTTTTCATGCTTACCTTGACATTTCAATTCACTACCACGCCACATCTTTTCATTGCATACATCACATTTAGTTGGCCGTAAAAACTTTGTTTGATTGAAGAGATGATTTCCTACGCGTAATTGGTGATCTGCTCCATGAGACTTTTCTACAACGGGTATATTAGTATCGTATGGTACACTGATCAAGGTATCATTGCCATTTGTGTCCTTCTTGTCACTATTGTCTTGTGCACTATTGCTTCTGCTTCGATTTCTTCTGAATTTGAACCGTCGAGGAGGTGCTACTGCTGCCGCATCATTGAAACTATCACGATGAGCCGTCAATTTCGGACTAACAAGTTGTTTGAGATGATCTGGAGATTGTCGTCCACTACCAGATTCCGTCGGGGGTGATGTGATGGTAGATGATGAAGGTTCGTTAGTCAAAAAGCTGGTACCTGCCATCACCGCAATAGCTTCACGTTCGCGTTCTGTCATACGTCGAGATAAATCATTGTTGAGACTAGATAATTCCGCGTTCTTGGTGTTGAGCATAATCATTTCTGAAATAATATCATCTCTTGCCTTGACCAGTCGTGCATATCCTAATTTGGCGTGGTCTGTGTCATGCTGCAGAGAAATTAAGTGTTGTTGATGTGCTTGTGAGAATCGATCCCAGTGTGCATGTTTTTGTCTATATAAAAAAAAAAGTTCAGAAAAATATTTGAATTATATTCAATAATTTATACCTTTCAATATCAGCGAGAATAATGTCACGTTGCTTTCGAATATCATTCACCGATTGTTCAACTTGTACCTTGACTTTATGTAGTTGTCCTAATTCATCTCTTGAATATTGAGCAAATTCAGTGGGACCAAATATATTCAAATGATGATAAAAGGAGATTTCATCTTGTAGTTTGGCCAATTTTTCTTCTGCTTCTCGCCTAGCCGTTATTTCCGCATTGTATTCTTCTTTCATCTTGTTGAATTCTTCCAGAGCTTTCCGACTCATTGTCTAAAATTCAAAATGATTAAATTAGTATACTCTTATATGATCTATTAAGATAATAATAACTTACCTTGACCTTGTTGAAATCCGTTTCCACTTGATGTAACTTTTGCTTCGTGTACTCAAGTTCTTGTTGTAGATCAGTCGATTTGTTGTATGTAGAAGAAGGAACGCCACGAAGTTCAGGAGGAGGACTTGGGATATTGTCATCGTTTAATCCACCATCTATTGCCGCATTCAACATAGTTTCGAGTTCTGCTAATTCTTGTGCCGATAACACTGAAATTGATGAAGGTTTTACAGATAGGTCAGATGTCGATAATTGTTGAATATGAATCGGGTCAACATAGTCGTTTAGAATAGAATTTGTTGAAAGTTGCCTACTCATTGCTTCATTTTGCCACTTGTCCAGAGGCAATACACGACGAGAATATATAGATGTATCGATGTCAAGACTAGGATTCATTGAGTTGTGATGATTCTTATCAGAAAAAAAAAAAAGAAGGTGAGTCTCTTCAACTTTGTTATTTTGTTTTCGTCTAATCATTTTATTCGAAAATCTTATTAATACCTTTCGATGATCATCCAGTTGCTCTTGTTGTTTTTGTTGCTGTCGAAGCTTTTCTTCTTTCCGTTTTTGACGTAGCTGTTTTCGAGCTTCATGACACTTTGTACAGAAGATACCCTAAAATTTTAAGTCAAATACAACGTTAACATCAATTGTTTTCCTTTGATCATTGTTAATTTACCTTGCTTGTCTGTGTAAAAACTAGATCCTCGATTTTGGTATCACATTGAATACACCGGAAGCATTCCGCATGATAGGCTTCTTCACCTAGTAAAGAAAATAAAAAATTAATAATTTGAATGAGTTCGTTTGTTATTTCACCCAAGTATTTCTTTACCAGTCATGATAGCTTCGTCTTTAATCGTTTTGTGACATATATGACAATTGTATGAACATCGTTCACAGATTGGACTTCCGTCACGTAATAATAAAAGATTGCTATAGCATTCCACTAGTTCTTGGCATTTTGAGCATCGAAAACTAATATATAAAGGAGTAAAAAAAAAAAAGTTTAATCAACTGAAAAAAAAAGAACCTTCTTTTACTTCTTACCATTCGAAATGCCATATACCATCACCAAATTGAACTACAGAACCGTCGTCTATAGGAAGAGTACATCCTTGGCAACGAGGATCTTCATATTCTTCACCAGTAAAAGAAGCATCGTCCAAATAAGTTTCCATTAGCAAATTATGTAATGGGTAGTCTTCAAAGAGGAGAGTAAGATAATGATAATAATAATAAAGTACAAAGTAAAAGTAGTTTAAAAGAGGTAGTAAAGAATGAGATATTTATAGAAAAGAAAGAAATGCCTAAAAAGACAACAAGAAAAAGAAAAAAAGAAAGAAAAAAAAAAAAGAAAAAAAGAAAAAGAGAAAAAAAGATTGAGGTTCTTTTTTATATATAGCCATAAAAAGAATGTGGCGCGCTTTGAATATTGATTTTATCGGGAAAGAAGGAAGAAAGGGGCACACTTTATATAAATATATATCATCATTGTTGTCCGCGCCAATAAAGGCAGCTTTTTATTGATTAACTAAAGACATTTTTTAAAACGCCTATTGATCCTATTTTGGATCTCAAGAAGTATCATACTTAAAAATAAAAAAAAAAAAAAAGGAAAACCTATATAACAGGATTTATTTTTTAAAAAATAATAATAATAATAATAATAATAATAATAATAATCAAATAAATCTCTCCTGTAACTTACATAGACTGAATTGATTTCATCCTATATATGGTAATTGAAGGTGGTTGTGATGATTTCTTAGATTTCCGCCGTTTCACTAATGAGTGTAAATTGTTGTCCTCCATCTACTTTAATCAAATTCGAATGTTGATGATGATGATCCCGATAATGATAGTGATACATCCTTTTTATCAATCTTTATGATGATGATGATGGGTAATGATCCTGGTTCCCTGCTCTCTTTCTTCGGAGAAAAGAAAAAAAAAAAAAAAAAAGAGGGGAACGGTACCTTGGGAATCGTTCCAGAACTTGGGCTATTCTCCCGCCACAATTGTAAATAGAGAAAAAAAAAAAGTAAGATGATTGCCATTTAACTCATCCATATTTTCTATCCCTTGCATTGTTCATATTTGTACTACTTTATATAGATCAGCCACTAGCTTTCATTTGATAATCATTCATGCCAAGCACACTAATATAAACTTGATTCTTAATTTGAGATGGAGTCTAAAAAAAGAATGAAAAGAAATAACAATGGCCACATGCTGATTGGACAAAATGATATAAGGTAAGTGGCTAGATCGCGAGCATAATAAGCTTTATAGAATGCCACTATATTGAGTAAGTCGTATTCCCCTTTTTGATTTTTATATATAAGGTTATTTAAAAAAAAAAGGACAAAAAAAAAAAAAAAAAAGAAGAACAAAGAATAGAAAACAAAATGCAGAATTTCTAGTCTAAGAACGATGGTCTACCTAGCGGGTACTTCAGAAAATTAATTCCGTGAATTAAGGAATCAATAAAAGTAGACACAATAACTGAGTAAAAGAAAAAAAAAAAAAAAGAAAAGAAAAAGGTTCCTCCATTATACCTGCCTCTTGTTACAATCATTATTAATCTCATATCAAGGATAAAAAAGAGAATCCGTAGGTACTAGCGAGAAAAAAAAGGCCATTAGAGAGATTCAAATCATTATTTTTGCATTGGAACATCATATGGGACAGATGTCCATCTCTTTTATACTTTTATAACCCGCTCAAAAATGATCATCACTGCACCAAATTCAGACTGAACGTAGTTGAAATCATTCTTCTTTCAATTGCCTTAATAACAGTTTATATTTTACCTCACAGTTTGTAGAGTAAATTAAAAAATAAAAGTCAATTTCGTCATCTCTCATCCAATAATGGTCATCGTTCAATAATATTATTGCCATTAGATCTCTCTTAAAAAGTAGTCTAATATTATGTAATGGCATTATATCCATTACCTTGCCACAAAACAAATAATCATTTGCTCTACTGTTCAACAAAAGTCTGAAACTAACATACTTCCTCTGACCCATGTGAATCATGCCATCCTAGAAACAAAATGTCGAATTGAAAAATCTAATACTGTTTTAAAACCTTCGTTGCTTTTCAATAATATTGGTCAACTGACTTGTAGCTCAAAATAGAATACGGTACTTCGAATGTGAAACGACATCATATAGCGATCCCTCTTGATATGAGGCTGACGAAATAATGATGCTTATAAAAAAGGAAAAAAGGGTTTGGTGACAAAAACAAATCTGAGAATATTCGTTCTCTAGCACAAAAAAAAAAAAAAAAAGAAAAGAAATGGATGACTACATAATATGCAGATGAGATGAACAGAGAAAGTCTTTAGCTTGCCTTTTTTGGAATACCTTTTTTTTTTTTTGGTATCAATTTGTATTGAACATCATGAACTAGAAGAAATCAACCGTTGAGTATTAAAAGGAGCAGTGTGATGATCATTGTCATTTTGAACAACGAAAATCGATGAAGCAAAATAACAATCATAATAAAAAAAAAATAAGCGAAACGGATCTACTTTGAATTCATGCAGATGCTTATTGTGTCATTGGATTCACATGATTCAGATGAAGTATATGTGAGTGTGTGAAAATAATAGAAAAAGAATTTTATTACAGTATGAATAACAAAAAAAAAAAAAAAATGAAACCATGAAGATAATGATGATGATCCAAAAGAGATTATAAGAATGGAAGTAAAAAAAATAAAAATAAAAAGTGATGAAATGAAAACATATGAATAAATAGAAGACTTGGTGTGAAAAAAAAGGAATGATATACAAATAAACAACGAATGAACAAATGGGTATCATAAAATTAAACTATATAATAAAAAAAAGGAAGGACAAAGTTTGAACCAATAAGGAAATTATAGACCAAAATCCACACGATGAGACAAGACAAAATCATTGACATCTTTATCATCCACCCAACATTGATATTGAATCAGTTTCAAAAAAGCCCGTTCCATTTGATCAATTTCTTGAGGTTGGAATAATCCATCACATAAATCATACAACTGATGATTTGTCAATGTTGTTTTGGTCCAAGTACTACCTTGTAAAAATTTGGATGCAATCAAAAGTGAACCTAATAATAATCTATGGCTTGTATCTACATAATAATAATAATAATAATTAGATATTCATTTATAAACCTCTTTTTTTTTTTTTTGATTACCATGACTTCCAACAGCATAGATTGGTAAAGAAGATTTAACACGATGAAGATAGATCAAAGCTACTAAAGCAGTTCGTACATTGATGCCCGCAGTAAAAGTGATTTTTTGAATAAAGTAGACTAGTTCAGGTAAAGGTCTACCTCGAATGAAGGGCAAGGATGGAGTATCTCTTAAACTTGATTTAATAGGAAGTAGATCACACAATGTAATGGCAATAAAATCTATTGATAATAATAATAATAATAAGAAAAAAAGGGGGTATTGCATCTATTACATTCTTATTTCAATATCTCTTACCTATTAGTACAGAAGGAAGTTGTCGATTTGTTGAGGATGTTGATTTTTTAGTGCTAGTAATGGATATGGTGGATGAACTTGTTGAACTGGTTGTTGAAGTTGACAATGATAAAGGGGAATGAGTATGATGTAGCATTTTTCAAAAAGGAATAAAAAAAAAAAAAGAAGGAAAAAAAAAAAAGGAAAAAGGATCACAGTTCTTATTTTTTTTTTTTTTTTTTTTGTGAGGAAAGTATGACAAAAAATGATGCACAAGGAAAAGACGGAGGAATTCCGAAACATGCGATAACCATCACTCATCATATTAGATCCACCGTTTCGGGTGCCCTAAATACGGAAACTCCCAAACAACAACAATACTGTATCATAGAACAATAGCCTATCTATCAACAAAAAAAGAAAAAAGGACTAAACAACTCCTTAATATCCCATGATATCAATAAGCTTCATTTTTTTTATCGCGGCATTGCCAAGTATGGTCATCAACAAAAAAAAAAAAAAAAACTTCCCCTTTATTTTCATAAAAGTCAATCAATATAAACAATTAAAAAGCCATAATACTAATCTAATAATCAATTAAATAAATAAACCATATATCTATAATTCGCGTTTGATAGAGATTCAAAAGAGATGTTGGTCATTCTTTCGTAATCGATTCTTTTCTTCCAAAATTGCTTCAAATTTTTGTTGAACATTGGTATCGTATGTCTTTTGTATGATTGGCGTCATTTTGAATGAAGTTCCATCAACATCATCATCAGCTGGTTGTTGTTGGTGTTGCGTTGTTGCTGATGCTGTCGTAGTAACTTGTTTCATCATGATTGGTAGGTGATGACATATGATTTCCACTTTTTCCCATGCTTCCGCTGCTGTTGAAGGATGATGTGCTTTTGGGCTTTGGTCAATCAATGCTCCACTGAAAATCAATTGAATTTCTTCAAATGTCTTGCCCTATGAAATAAATATAAACATAAACGTATGTAAACAAAAGTATATGAATCCTTTTTTTTTTTTTTTACCTTTGTTTCTGGATAACATCCATGCACAATAAATACTGTAATAATACATAGACAAGAAAAGATAATATAAGATCGCCAACCAACAGATTCAAACACTAATGGTGCCACTTGAGAGATCAAGATACTAAAAGCAAACATGGAGCCAGTAGTCACACCCATAGCCTTGGCACGTATTGATTGATTAAAGATTTCAGAATTGTACAGCCAAGGAATTGTACCCCATGACATAGCAAAACACGATAAGAAGAGACAAAGCAATACAAGAACACTTAATGTTGCTTGTTCATTGGTTTGAATCATTGCGACGTCCACCACCGATCCAGGATACAAAGGCTGATTATTTGATTCAGTGTGATCACTATGAATTCCCAAAACGAGTGCTATCACCGCCATCACCAAACTCATGCTACTTGCTCCAATCATAAGAATTCGTCGTCGATCCCATCGGTCAATCTAAATATGGTCATTAGTCAAGAAATAACAATAATAAAAAAAAATAAAAAAAAAAAGGAGACATGTCAGTTGGACATAAAGAGTTTTCTCGTTTTGCCCTTTTTGGTATGTCTTACATAGAAGAAAACAGGGATGGTTGCCAACATGTTCACCATACCACTGACACCATTACCTATACTTACGAAAAAAGAAAAAAAAAAGAATATAGTGAGCATTAAGAAAAATAAGATGTAATATTCAACATAAAAAAAGAAATAGGGAAAATATGATCTTACCAAATAAAACAGAGTTCATCTGGGCCAGTCCCATAGATTCCAATATATGCGGCAAGTAAAATCTAAAAAAAAAAAAAAGAGTCATCAGTCTTCCATTCATGATAATAAGATGATCTTTTTTTTTTCAACTTACAAAATAGCATTGATTCCAGTAAATTGAGTCATAATATGAAGTCCCATACCTAGTAATATCCGTTTTCGATAGTTGTCAATACCTTTTGTTAATAGTGCTGAATAGGATCTTGAGGAACATTGTCGTTCAAAAGTGACGTCTTGAATAATGCCAAGGTATTCCATTTCTAGTGCCTCCAAACGCCTGTACATAACATCCGTTCCATTGTTTACATTGCCGAGTGTTTTTGTCAATGAGGATGATAACGATGAGATTGGTGACAATATAGTACTACTATCATCACCGCCGTTGTTATTGTTGTTATTGCTGTCATCATGACTTGGTAGTATAGGTGATGATGATGGCGGTACAGTATTAGATCCTATATATGATGATCGTGGTTTCTGCTGCTGCTGTTGTTGTTGTTGTTCCAGTCTCTTCCTCTGTAGTTTGATTTTCTTTTGACGTCTTTGTTGATGATAATATCTTTCTTCTTGTTGCAGTTGTTGTTCTTTATCGTTAAGATGACCCTTCATACGCAGATTGGATAATATGGCATCGGCTTCTTCTTTGCGACCACGGTAAATCAACCATCGAGGGCTTTCTGGGATACACCATCGTAAACCAAGAATCATTACAACAGCCGGTCCAATTTGAGCACCAAGTGGAATTTGCCAGGATAAATGCCGAGGAAGATCAAAGGTACCATAACCAATCCAAAACGCCACACAAAATCCGAGTGTCACTCCGAATTGATAAAGGTTGATCAATCGTCCACGATGTTCGGGTTTCGCTATTTCACTTTGATCTAAAATAAATAAATAAATAAAAAATTATCAGAAGAGAATATATATATATAATGTTATATTTTATAAAACTTACACAACGGTACTAGAAAACTGAATACACTAATATATGTATATATATAAAAGGTTATTATATTGCATAAGATTACTTGATCAAATTTAAGAGAGCCGTTTACCCAATTGAAATACCAGTTATGATTCGACCAACAATAAGCGCAGTCAAATGTCCACTACATAATTGAATGATAGTTCCAATCAAATGTAAGAAAGCACTAACAAAAAAGAATCTTTTTCGGCCTATGGCGTCAGCAACTGTACCGGATAACTGGAATCATCATTAAAAAAAAAAAAAAGGATGATGTATTAATAATCCAACATGTTCGTTTCAGGAAGGTTCCTTAAAATTTTCAAAGATTCGTCATCATTATTGTTATACTTACAATGGAAGCTAGAGAAGAGGCCGCTAACGGAGCCGAGACAACCGCGGCTGTCTTGATAGTATCATCCAAAGAGAATGTCACTTGAAAGTCACTCATAATCAAACACGCCGATATCGTACCGTTGTCGTAGCTAACAAAAATAAGGGTCAAAATCCGAGAGCGAAGTCAGTTTATTCGTTTTCATTTTTTTTTTTTTCGCGCGCGATTGTCCATGTTTCTGACTATGGTTATAGTATTGGCATATTTTTAATATTACTTACCCATACTTTATGTTATTTTCACCATAAATAACACGTCCCATACAAGCAGCAAAGGAGAAAAAGAGAGAGAGAGAGAAGAAAGAGGGAGAGAGAGAAAGAAAGAGAGAGATAGAAAGAAATAGACATAAAAACATATAAATATGAGAATAGTGAGTAAGAACGTTCAATCCTTTTTTCATACTTTTCAATATTTTGCTTACCAAGAAACCTCCAATGGCCACAAAACTAATAGGTAAGTATCATACATGTAGTTAGTAGAAGGGGGAGGTCAATAACAATGTGTATACGTCCTACGTGACATTACCTGCATATTGCATAGAGTTTCCAGCAAGATGGGAGTTGGAGCATCTAGATCTAGCTCATTGGGCATACACACAACAAAATAGAAGAGATAGCATACAACTACTTGAGACACTGAAGCACAAAAAAAAAAAAAAAAAAAATAAAGAGAAAGAAGGAAAGAATGGAAAATAGTGAAGGCTTTAGAATTTTGTGCCTAAAAGCTGAGTTTTATAATAATAATGGATTACAACAATGACAACAAGGCATGACCTGGACAATAATAGCAGATGAATGGTACAAACATATACTTGATTGATATCTTCATCCGATTTCTTATGTTATATAGTCAGTAATACTAGTTATATCATCCATTTTTACAATAAAAAACTATTACTTATTTTGAATCATTTATTCATCATTGTCGTTCTTGTTATTGTTTCACACTAATAATCACTACTATCGTTATTCGTATCAGGGATACACTAACAATGATTGATGATATTCATCTTTATAAGGAACCATTCATCATCACCATCAATATCATCGATAGTAAAAGACAAGTAATTCAAAACAATCATTTATTTGACATGTTTGTATAAAATCAACTGAATAAACATAAAAATGCATTATGGAATAAAAGAAAAGGAAACAAAGTCAAGATGAAGGTAGATTTTTTCAGTGCCGAGTACAGTTTGTCCACTAATACATGACGCAGTTTCGAAAATAAGATGTCGCCAAAATAGGAAATAAGATATCGTAAGAATAGAGAATGAATGACGGGCAAAACAGATAATGGATGACGCATAAAAAATAAAAAAATTGAGATAGAAGGACAAATCAAATTGGAAATACCAAAGAGAGATCATATTGAAAAAATAAAAAAAAAAAAAATTCGTTAGTACATCATCCATCATCCTATTCATCAATTAAAAAAAAAAAAAAAAGAAAAGATCCATCATCCATCCATCAATATACTCTAATCGACATCTCTGGAGCGATATCTATAATAATGGAAATGCGCTATTCATTTTGCGAAAGTCCAATATTGTATTTGATAAAATCACTAAAACTATTTTCTTGTGACCCGACAAAAAACTTTGAAAACACTGTACCTTTCCCTTATCTGCAGCGATTAATAAACTGTAAAACCTCATTCATATATGATGTTCAAATCAACCAGTCAATCATCAAGTAGTCATAATAATAAAAAATAATAATCAAAAATCGTAGTATTATTTTATTTCATTAAAAAATGGGTAAACTAAATCAACAAGTCCAAACACGGATAAGATTGTCAGAATGACCAGTATAAAGAGTAGAGCCATCAGGAGACCAAGCCAAAGAAAGAGTTTGAATAGAAAGGGCCTTGTCAGTCACATTTGAGGGAGATTCCACATGAATCACATCCACATCTTGACGAGTTTCAACATCCCAAATATGAATCAAAGAGCCACAAGCAATAGCCAACCAAGTCTTTGAAGGACAAAAGGCGACATCATAAATAACATCATTGACTGAAATAGAGTGTAAATGTTTTCCTTCAGTAAGATCCCATAGCATTACATTTCCATCCTTGCCACCAGATGCACAAAGACTACCATCAGGAGAAATAGCTACTTTTGAAACATAACCATTATGCCCAATCAAGTTGTAACGGAGTTGAAGTTTTCCCATTTCCCATACCTAATATCCAAAAAAAAAAAAAATATAGAAATATATGAGCAAATCCTTCTATATTACCATAATAATCATTTCTATCCGTTCCCAATAATGCTATAGTTGGATATACATAAATCAGAACATATAGTGGTTTTGTCTATCTCATAATACCTCATGGTATTCCGAAGTAGCAAATATATTACATGATCATCATTTCGAGTATCCAACTACAGTTTTTTTTTTGTCAACTTTTTTTTTTCGAGTTATTTACCTATTAAAAGGAATATATAAAAAAAGAAGTCAGTAAATCATTGTCATATATTTCATCTAAAGTAATGAACAATATAGAAATAAAGTGAGACATGCATCAGATATAAATTGGTGTATGTTAATCTCATAAGTCCACTTGACTTCTGAAGTAGCAAATATATAGTTGATCATCACTTTCATGCCACTCTATTTCTATAAAAGTCCTCTAACCTTTTTTTTTTTTTACCTTGACAATTTTGTCCCAACCACAGGATACAATGACAGGAATAGCAGGATTAGGAGAGAATCGGACACAAGTAATCCATTCAGAATGACCATTATCTTGACCACTAATGGATAATTTGCATTCACCAAGTGTATTCCATAACTTGATAGTACGATCACGGGAACCAGTAGCAATTTGACGATTATCAGCAGAGAAGGCTACAGAAAGTACATCCTTATTATGACCCACAAACCTACGGATAGTTTCACCTTTGTTCAAATCCCATAATCTAACAGATTCATCCCAAGAAGCAGAGAGTACATACATTCCATCAGAAGAAAGGGCCAAATCTTGAATAAAATGATGATGACCTAAAAGTGATTTTTGTGGAACTCCATAGTTACTTTCATCCCTTTACAAATAAAATGTAAATGGCAATCGTGAGAAAGAATGAGATAATTAAAGGATTAATAATCATTATTACTAACCATCCATTAATCCCATACTACATTCACATCAACTATGATATAGAGTGAGTTTCATCCAATCACATACCCGCAGAACTCGAAAAAAAAGACCCTTCACCTCATCTTTATATCCTTACCTATAAGATGAGGAGAGAGGTCAAATAAAAAAAAAATAAAAAAAAATATTAGTATAAAGAATAAATATGGGACAACTAAAAAAAAGAAGTCCTATAAACGCCATTAAAAGTCGTGTTTCTTTATTGCAGGAACCTTTGAACGCGCCACACAATAAGAGATTTATCTATTAAAAAGTATCATATGATTAACTTCATTATCATTCTTAAAAGTAGTCTCCAATCACTAACTTGCATTCAAATCTATTATTACCTCTTGAACCAGATACAATCATATTGGGAGCTTCGGGACTAGTTGCAATAGTTGTCACCCATCCACCATGACCTAAAAGAAAAGTATAAATTGGTCAGTATCTATTTTACTTATCCATCCATCCATCCATCCATCCATCTATCCATTCATTCATCTATTTCATTCATTATACCTTCAAGAACAGCACGTAAAGAAAAACTAGCCATGATTATATAGTTTGATGTTAATAGGTCAACAAAGAGAAAATAAAAAAAAAAAGAAAAAAAAGAGAACGCGGTACAATTTAAGTGTCCCTTCAAAAAAAAAAAAAAAAAAATTCGGAGCCAAATTGAAAAAAAAATCAAAGATCAGCAGGTAACTAATTCTTCTTTTTCTTTCCCTTTTTCGTCACTTTTGTTTACTATGCTTATTACTTCATTCATGTATTCTCTTTTATTCTTCTTTACTATTCACTAATTTTTTTTTTTCATTTTTATCGATAAAACCAAACAATAATCGGTTGGCTGGATGGATTTATGACAAGAAAAAGAGAAAAAGTATCCTTGTTTGATGATCTTTTTTGATAGTGTTAGTCTGTTAGTGAGTATTTACACTTTATTCAATAAAATCATATTCATATCCTTGTTTTTTTTTATTATTATTATTGTTCTTTACTATTCTTTATTATTATTATTATTTTTATTATCCACTATTACTATTCAATCATCAAATGATTTGAAAATGGATGGTCTAAAGATTTACAAAAAGACATATATTTTGAAACACCGGACAAGTTTTGATCAGAATCAAGGGGAGAGTAAGGTGGTACAATATGTGTATCATCAAACAATTCACTTGTTATGGATGGATGTTTTTTTTTATTCTAGACAAAAACGAATAGATGTTTTTTTTTTATTTATTTATCAAACAAAAGCAGATGAACCATCTCTTTTTTTTCTTGTTTTCTTAAAGAAGACATTGAATGGATAATGATAATAATAATAATGACAACAACAACAGTAATAATAATAATAATAATAATAATAATAACAATAATAACAATTCTGTAATGATACGAGAAGAGATAGGATAAAGAAAAAGATATACAATGACGGAATATACAACAAAAAAAAAAAAGAAAAAAAGAAGGATAAGATATATATATAATATAAAGAGTGACTATGGATAGATGATCATTTCGTGGAGTTAGTTATTATCATTCATCGGTTGGATACTACGTTTCGAGGTAGCGGAAGGTCTTGTTATTGTCATTTTTCGAGGAGGTTTAGGATAATAAGCTGTTTCAGGTTTTGAGATGGATGAAAGACGATGATTGTGTTGTTTGTTATATTCAGATGGCAAAACAATACCTGGTGGTCGAACTTTCTTTTCAATATTTGTTTCTTGATCTTGATATACATGAATCAAATGAGTTCCTTGACCTTTTGGTACTCTTTTAGCTACACCTTTTTCATCAAATACCACTTCATGAATAGTAGCCTAAATAAAATAAAATAAATTAATATTTGTCTATCAAATCTTAATTATATTTTTACTTCAGTTGAAATACAACAACCCATTTTTTCAATAAAGAATAAAAAAGAAAAAGAAAAAGAATAAATAAAAGATAAAAGAGTTTTTTTATTTTATTTTTGCCAAGCCCATTGTTTTGAACAAGATTGTAGTAAGAAAGATCGAAAATAGATGATTTATGTCCTAAAAAAATTCATTCTCCTTTTTTTTTTTTTTTCGAGAAAGATGCGCATGAAGTTCTATTTTTAGTGTCTTTCGAACCAATATTGTACCAAACTTTTATATATTTATCATCATGGGCTTTGTCCTATGGTTACTTTACGCTCCGGTTCATCTAAAATAGTTTATTTGCTTTTGACATTCTTTTAAAAAAAAAAAAAGAAAAAAAAAAAGAAAAAAAAAAACTATTTTTTTTATTTTATTGACTATTTTGTTATTGTTGTTACTATTATTATTATTGATGATAATTATGTTTTTACAAGTTCTTTTATTAATGATGTACATCTTTTATTACACCCTTTTTGATCATCTCCGAATAACAACCTGTTAAATCATTAATATATAATAAACTAAATGTATTTTTATATTTATTTTATATAAAGTATAATATAAAATGATTCCACTTTTTGAATTATCCTATCTTTTAATACATACAGTATTTCTTGGGCGGCGTATGAAATCAAAATCAGTGGACTCTTTCTCTTATTCTCTCTCTCTCTCTCTCTCTCTCTCTTGTTCCCTCCCCTTTACCAAATAAGTTCCATCCTTCTTTTTCTATTTTTTTTTTTTATATATATACACACACATATATATATATACCATATATATTGTAAGATATTAAATAAAATCATCCTGTTTGATTATATACTAACTTCCATTTTATGTCCAAATATTTATACATAGCTATAGACCTAATGTCACTTCGTCACTTGGCTCAAAAGGCCGCCGTGTTTGATGCTTTTCCCAAAGTAGAAGCTGACAATCAGACACGTAGTGAAAAAGGTGGTTTATTGACTTTGATCTTGACTTGTTTTTTACTTTTCCTTACCTTTGGTGAATACTCTGAGTAAGTGATTGATATATTTATACTAATTTCATTTCATTAACTACTTCATCTGTATTAATAGATACCGTAAATTACAAACTGGTTATCAGTTCAAAGTGGATTCTACTATTGATCAATCTTTAAAGATCAATATGGATTTTACTGTGGCTATGCCTTGTCCTGGTAAGTTATAATATACGAATAAGCTGGTATGTATATTAACGTTATCATTTTAAATATAGTATTGATGGTTCATGTATATGATGTTTCTGGTCAACGTATGCACTTGACAGAAGAATTGAAAATGGTACCAGTAAGTGACTCTTATCCAAATAAGGTGGCGCTTCTGCCTTGATAACATTATATTTACATATATATATATATATATATTTCATAGGCTGAATTTTCAGTGGGAACGGCAACCAAATATAGGTAAAAATATCTCTTTCTTATATCGTTTAGAAAAAAAAGAATGCATATTCTAATGTATGATATGTATAGAGCTGCAAAGGATCCAAAATATATCAAGGAAATTATCAATGCTGCCAAAGGGAAACCATATGATGAACAAGTCGCAAGAGATATGGGTGCATGTCGTATTTACGGTTCTATTCAAGCAAACAAAGTGGCTGCTAATTTACATGTCACTGCAGCTGGTCATGGATATCGTAAGTTTTTACAATCTTGTATTTCATTGTATTAATATGAAATAAAGGAATACTAATTGATTTCATCTTTATTTGTAATTTTTTATAGATGGCAGTACACATACAGACCATTCAGGTAAATTCAAAAAAAAAAAAAATGACAATATGGAATGATTGATCCAAATATGTTGATATTTCTTTTCTTTTCTTTTTTTTTTTTTTTTTTCTCTTTTTACATGTAGTGCTGAATTTTACACATCGCATAGATGAATTTTCCTTTGGTGAATTCTATCCCAATTTAGTGAATCCATTAGACAATAGCGTTGAAATATCTGATTCACGTAAGTTATCAGCTAAGGGAAATGTACATGATGACTGATGTTTTTTTTTTTTTTTTTTTTTTTTTTTTTTTTTTTTTTGCATATAAATTAGATTTTGAGGTACTCCAATATCTGATCTCAGTGGTACCAACAACGTATTTTGATGTGGATGGTAACATGGTATTAACGAATCAATATGCAGTAACGGATTCACGAAAAGCATATGCAGAAGAAGAAGGACCCCGGGTGGTACCAGGTATCTTTTTCAAGTATGATATTGAACCTATCTCAGTGGTGATTCATGAATATCATTCATCCTTTTTTGGCTTTTTGGTCCGATTGTGTGGGATCATCGGGGGTTCCGTGGTCACGGTGGGCTTTATTTATCGAACAATCAAGTTTTGTTGGACTGGTGGAAAGGATGACGATCCTCATCTTTATGCACCGGTGCATAATCTCATGAGGCGGGTATGAACTTGTTTGAATCTATTTAGGGCTAGTTTTTTAATAGTATTATTACTGTTAATGTTCCTCCTTTTTTTTTTTTAATAAAATCTATATTTCTTTTTTATGTGTTTTTTGTTATCTTTTTTTTTTTTTTTTTTTTTTTGAAAGACTGCGGACAGGTGGTACAAAGTTTCTCTCTCTTTTTCTTTTTTTCTATATATATATATATATATATGTATGTGGATTAATTGGCACGTTTATTGACAATATCGCTGCGAGACAACGATCATCCATCCTTGAAATCATGTCATCTGTCGTACCTTCCCCATCACTCGGGTCTACTATCAACACTGGTGAGGTAATTGATTATTTCTCGTTATCATTCTGGTCATCGGTTCTTTGTACGATATTATAGGGGGAGGAGATCTTATGACGCTATGTATTTCTTTTTTTTTTTTTTCTATGATACTACGACGATAATGAATGCTAATGGATGACAATGAATGACGGGTGATAATGGATGACGGATAACAGGTGATGTCTAATTGTGGTGACACTGGTTATGAATCAAATATAGGCACAAACACGTGGGTATTTTTTGCAGGAACAATAGAGAAGCTTATGTTTTTTTTGGATTTAATGGATTTATTGACATAAAATCTACTCTTCAAACATATCAAATAACAAAGGAAGAAAAGAGGTATAAAGATAATATAATACGAATAGGATATATATATATATAAAAGAGAATAGGCTAGGTAAATAGGATTCACTATAATATATCTATTATGTATGTGTGAAATACAATAATAAAAGACGAAAGATATACATGGGAAACATGTTGGATATATAATAGACTAATAAACTATGGGGAATAAAATTAAATTGTCTTGAGAAGAGAGGTAAGTCCAACTAAAAAGACACCAAGGAAGAAGAAGATAACCACATGACTTTGATGAGTATCGACCTTGATTGCTTGAGGCAACATACTCTATTATAAAAAAATAAAATAAAATAATCATATAGGAAAAATAGGAAATCAGATGATGCTTTTTCATCTTTTTTTTTTTTTCTTTTCTGATTTACCTGAACAGTAATAAAAGTCATCATGCCACTGATGATGCCAAAAGTAACACCGAATAACATATCTTCTTGATCTTTTGTCACGGATCTAAAAGCCAATAAACCAATCAATGCCCCTATAGGTTGAGATAATCCACCCATCAAAGATGCACACAAAAAAGCTGTTGGTCTAGATCCGGTTGCATAATAAATTGGTAACGCCATCATAAACCCTTCGGTCAGATTGTGAATCGACATGGCGGCCGCCACACTTACACCTAGGGATGATGATGCTTGACTTGATATAAACATGATCAGCCCCTCTAATCATCCCAAAAAAAAAAAAAGGTCAGCTTACATTCGACCATTTTTTAAATTTTTTTTTCTTACCTGGAAATTTGTGTACACAGATGGCCACTGCTGTTTGAATCCCAATGCTCCAAAACTGTTGTTTCTCTTGTTCAAAGTCGAGATTATCATTGTCATCATTGTCATGTACATTATGAACTTTATGATGATGGTGAGTATGGCTGTGGTTGTTAACATGGTGATGATGAAGATGTTTTTGATTCTCATTTGAATGATGCTGCTGTTGTTCTTCAAGGCTATGAGTCATATTGGGATTGTTATGTTCATGGAATCGAAAATGAGCATCATGAAGTACAGTTGATCCATAATTCAAGGTCGGTGAGTTTTCCGGCAAAATCAAAGTTTGCTGTTCCTGTTCTTCAACTCGAATGGGTTTAGTTTTGGTGAGTGATAATGACTTTGGTGTAATATTGTTATGATGGACAGTGGGAGTATTTTGGTGATTGATACGAGGTACCATTGTGGGAGAAGAAGAAGAAGAAGAGGAAGAAGTAGAAGTTGACAAGGTTCCACTAAGATCATCGTCAATGTTAGTTGGAGATTGAGAACCACAAGCATGAATAGCATCGGGAGTACACCAATGTATAATACGAGATAATACAAGAGTAAACATAGCACCACCAAGAAAACAACTATAGGCTTTGGAAGTTGAATTCAAACGAACTTGTGATTCTGGTAATAAAATAGTGAGAGAAGATACTAATAGAACACCAGACGCCAGCGCCATGGATGAAGCAAGAAATGTTCTACTTGATAATATAGATCCTTGACGTCTATGCCATATTCTATCTATAAAAACAATAGATGCTATAATAAAAAAAAAAAAGAAGAAGAAAAAGTCAATTTCAAAGAAGGAATGTTTATGTTGACTTTTTTTTTTTGACACCTACCACCTAAAACACAAGCGGTAGTAGAGATAAATACCAAGATCCAACCAGTCAGAGTACTTTGACTAATTTCTAATGTCATTACAATTAGTGTATATGTAAATATATATATAAAGAAGTGTTGTATATAAAATGGAAAAAGGAAATAAAAACGTGTATCAAAAAAAAAAAAAAAAAAAAGAAAAAAGTGAAGAAAAGGAAAGGAAAGAAAAGAAAAAAAGAAAAAAAAAAGACTGAAATTAAAAAGGCGATGGAGAAGGAGAGTAACTGCTGTGTAGATTAGCTTACAAAAGAGGATGGTACAAGCATGGGTCAAAGTCACAAAAATTTCAGAAAATTTTAGATCACCTGAGGTTGCATGAAAAAAATAAGCAAACATACATCCCAAAATTTCAATCAAGAATGTGTGTGTGATTAAAAACTTCCCTATCTGTTATATGTATAAATTTATATGTATATGTATAGAGAAGAGGGGGAAGGCGTACCAGGAGGTTAAATAAAGTTTCACTATTGGGTGGCTGAATATGAAATATCTAACGGTAAAGAATGTCTTTGTTCCGGTCTAGGGACTTGATCCTATCTATATATATGTATAAAAATAAAAAAAAAACAGTATGATTTGATCATCCTTGCTTATTTTTTTTTTTACCCTCTTTTGTTTTGTTCCTGCATGAAACATCAACTAAAACTAAAAATAATAAAACCCTTCTTTTTTTTTGACCTGGGTTACTATGATCCATTGATAATTCATCATATCATCAATCAATGCACATTTTTTGTTCAGCATGACATCCACTATTTTTGAATTAACCTCTTTTTTTTTTTTCGTTCTTTATTACTACTGTCACCAATGAAATAACTACTAAAATGAAAAAATCATTTGTTCTATATGCCATTCTACATCAAAAAGTCCTAAGTGGATACATTGGTTGCATTGGATATTGCATCATCGTGGGATAATAAGATGGAGTCATCATATAAGGTTGATAGTAAGATAAAGGTTGTAACATGGGTTGTTGATAATAGGAAGGATAATAATAGGTCGGAGTGATTGGTATGTGGGGTAAAGGTGTTGTAGGTACCGGAGTAGAATAAGTTGCATTGGTTCCTGGAGTGGGGATCAAGATGGTACTTTTGTCAGATATAGTGATATTATTATTATTATCTACAGAATTGACAGGTTCTGTATACCAAAAAGGTGTTTTAGTACGAGGTACAGTTGGATAATAACTAGGTGCGTTTCCCATACTATTCAACTTGATTTATATACATAACAAAAAAAAAAAAAAAAAAGAAGAAGAAAAAACAACAAGAAACTATCCATTGGAATGAATTATCAAGTTTTTATTTCAAAATCAAATAAAGAAGTCCAAAAAAAAAAGATCCCATGGTCAATCAAAAAAAAAAAAAAGAAAAAAAATAGGATAAAGAAGATCAAAAAATAAAAATAAAAAAAAAAAGTCTAAAATTCTAATAAATAAAAAGAATACACTCCTTAAAAGAGCCACCCATCCCCACCTTTATTCGAGCCTAGATCGCATCCATTCTATAATTTCATCCGCAATGATCTTGTTTTCTTCATTGATTAATCCAGGGATTTCCAAATTAATTTTATCAATGGCATCTTGAGGAGCATGTTCAGAATAGCGACATCCTTTTAAAGCTATAGACAAAGCAGACACAACTGTTACTTCATGTGCACTAATAGCATCAGTACTCATGTCTACTTCAGTAATCATCCCATGTCTTGATCTTATAAATACATTCTATGAAGAATAAGAATAAAAAAAAAAGAAGTATTAGTTTAGTTTTGTATGTGTGGTCATTGTTGATAGATTCATTCTTTTATTATTATTATTATTATTACCATATGACCCCAATCAAATTTATTGTCCATTTTGTGAGTAAATTCAGGAGTTTGACCATACATCCATTCCCAGGAACAAAGTTCTTGTCTTGTCTTTTCGACTTGATCCGGTAAATCTTGAATACTTCTTTCATTGAGAATAATTGGCTGTACATTTATCCCATGATTATATTCTCGTTCAAATTCAGTAAGTACTGATTCACAGAATTGTTGATGATCCACCGTAAAAGAGTAATCCCTTAAATTTGTCACTGGAGAAGGAACTGATTCTACCCCTTTGGATTGAATACCTGACTATTAAGAATATATATATATATATATAATTATTAGTTACATTTCTTTATTATTATTATTATTATTATTATTATTATTATTATTATTATTATTATTATTATTTTTACCTTGTTCATATATTTCTTTGATAAACATCCTTTCAAATTGGTAGTATTGGCATCGATAAGCATAGTACCATGATGATAGGCTCTTGAACTAATGATTTTATATGCGCTTCCAGATACTTTTTGATTGTCCACTACAATATCATGTCGATCGTTCACACCTGCAGGAATATCCAGTTGAAGTAAGGCTTTTGAAACTAATTCAGCATTGGCTTTTCTTGAAAAGGCTTCCCTTGGCATAAATATAGTATAAATGGAATTCCCCATATCCTATAATATAATGAATAAAATATATAGTTTTATATATATATATATATATATATATGTATTAACCTGAATGACTTACATGGTATACAGCCCCACCACCTGATCGTCTTCTTACAAGAGGTATATGGTTATTTTTCATAAATCGTAAGTTACATTCTTGAAAAGGATTTTGATTCCTACCAATAACAACACAGTTTCGATTACGCCATAAAAAGAGTATATAACGTTTTGGATCAGTTGTTCGAAGTAACCATTCTTCAATAGCCAAATTGGTATATGGATCATGAATAGTTGAAATGTAACAGTCAACGTTTGTTGTTGTTGTTGGTGAAGAAGTAGTAGTTGTATTGATAGATGAATAAGAATAGTATCTTTCTGATAAGGATTTTCTCATCATAGGTCGTAGGTATCTTTGTAAGGACATGACACAAAGGAATGGTGAAAGTAAAAAAGAAAAAAGAAATAAAAATCGTCAAAATAAGAGTTTTTTTTTTTTGGTCGGACAAAGAATACTTTTTTTTTTTGTAAAGTTACTCTTTTGTGGATTGATGATAAATAAGAATTCATATCATATATAATATTTTTTTTTATTCAAGTTACCTTTTTGCTTAGTTATAAAGAAGAGGAAGAAGAAGAGAAAAAAAAAAAAAAAAAAAGGAGATAGATAAAAAATGTATAGATAGATATTTCATGCTGCTGCTGGGCAAAGAGTTTGATATTGATTTTTCCCACAGTGTGTCTGTACCAAATCAACTTTTTCCGTCTGGAACCCAAAAAAATTCATTTCTCACAAAGTTTTTCTTTTTTTTTTTTTTTTTTCTCAGTCTTTTTTTTGTTCATGTCTTCACAAAAAGAAGAACTTTTTATTCCACGATCAGAATGGCCTTTTACAGAGGTACTTCCGGAAGAATATACAAGAACTTTAGAAACCACTCAAGTCTATGTTACTACAGTTGAACCAAAATCTACTAACCAATTACTAAAGTAAAAAAAATAAATAAAAAAATAAAATAAAATAAAAATCCTTTCATATTCACTCTTTTGTTTCTGCATTTAGATTCATTCAAAAATATCTACCTCCTTTACAACAACTTGAACACTGTAAAAGAATTAAACGATCAAAACAGAATCCAGGTAATATCAACCCCTTTATTATTATTATTATTATTATTATTATTATTAACTAATACAACACCATAGATTCCCTTGTTTTGACTACGATTCTTTGTACTTGTGATAGTATGGACTTATCTTCCTTAAAGAATCTTGCAACACAACACAATATCGATATTGATCCACAACAAATAGGTGTCCCTCGTTATCCACCAAAGAACAAACGCCAATTTGAGCAATGGAATCCAGTTTGGCCTGTTACTTATAGAGAAGACCCTCGTCAACATCCAAAGTGGACCCAGCAAGATCTCGATTTGATACAAGATCATATGCGACAGTTGATGACAGCAACTATTGATCATGATTCTTCTTGTCTTGATGTAAGAGCTCGTATTGTCGATCCAAAATCAAACACAGTCTTGGCCCAAGCAACTGATACAAGACATTTAGGCCATCCATTGCATCATGCTATTATGAACTGCATCGATCTGGTTGCTCAAAAGGAACGACAGAATAAACAACAACAAAAGGATGAGGTAGATGGACTCAAAAGGAAACATATGGATGATGACAATGCTTTGGATGATAATATAAATGATCGATCAACAACCTATCTATGTAGCGGATATGATATGTATGTCACGCATGAACCTTGTGCAATGTAAAGTTTATAGATAAATAACTGGATTGGGGAATATTTCATTTCTAATTTTATAATTATTATTATTATTATTATTTTGGTATAGGTGTGCAATGGCACTTGTACATTCAAGAATAACACGGGTCTTTTATAGTGTTCCTACGAAAACTGGTTGTCTTGGTACTCTCTATCATATTCATTCTCATTCAAGTCTCAATCATCATTACAAAACATTCAAGGATTTATTACTAAATGATACAGCTCGCATACCCTTTACACATTTCCCTGATCCATTGGATGCCTAGAATAGAAAGAATAAACCATAACTATTAATATATATATATACATATATTTTGTACTTTTGCCATTCCTCACATATACATAGACACATACTTCATTGTTTTTATTCAATATAGAAAAATAAATACATAATATGATCAAAATTTTTTATTTTATTTTGTTTTATTGAAAATATTGTAAATCAAGCAATAAATAAATGTCTATAACTAACAAAAAAAAATACATACAAAGAATATAAAATTTTCTTACTAACGGGTATATTGTTCATCCAGCAAATCAGAAGTGCCACCACCACGCTTAGATGTCTTCTTGAGTTCTTCTTCAGCCAATTTGGTCTTTGCCTTTTCCAACATGGAACCATGTTCATGTACAGGTTCATCTAAAATGCCTTCCTGTTGTTCTTTGTCTTGTGTCATCATCGATTCGGTAGCGCGTTTGAATGCAATATCAAAATTAGTTGGTAAATGATCCAAAATAATCGATTTTTTAAGTATCAATTCGCTTGATACCCGTTTGGCCGTTGTTCGTTCCACCACAATCCTAGTTTCATTTTTCGGAATAGGATCCTAAACAATATATATATATAGATATAAATAAGGTATTCAATAAACAATAGATATGCTCCAAAAAAAAAAAAAAAGATTCACTCACCAGCCAAAATTGATAAACCGTTCCAGCAACATACAGCTAAAATAAATAATAATAAATAAAAAAACGATCAATGATTGGTTTCTTTTGTTCGATATACATGTATGGTAACTTACCCTTGGGTTTTCATTGGATTCTATACATCGTTGCCTACATTCTGCAACTTGATTAAAAGCCTGCTTCCACTTCTTTTTCCCCTGTTCGTCCGTCCAAAAGAGTTGGGTAATACCCAAATGCTGAGCTGCTTCTGATCCTGCAATAATCATTTGCTTGGCATCCATCATCGTTCCATAACAAAGTTTACTAACTACATCATCTGCAAATACTATGGATTGAATATGATCCTACAATACATCGCAGTTAGTATTAAAAAAAATATATATATAAATTCTACTTTCTTTTTTTCTTGTTCAATATGAATTTACCTTGTATTTTTCAGAAAGATCCAAGGAAAGACAACAAGCAGGGGCAAATCCAAAACATTGTAAAGTGAAGTCATCAGATTTTCCCTTTTTAAATTCATCCATATAATCTAGAAGCATAATAGTCAATATGGAAGCTGTAGCCGCACCAAGAGAATGTCCCACAATGTAAAGTGCAGATGTCGATTGAGTATTACTGTAAGCAATCAATTTTGGACCTAAATGACGGAAGAACCACATCGCAGATGCCTATAGAATTCATCATCAAAAGAAAACATGAGATTCTTCCCTTTCTTTTCTACCATATATGAGTTGATGATGATTCATCTTACCTTCATTCCTTTATGCACCATTCCACCTTTCCAGGGTTCATAATCACATACTAGATCAGTCATCGTATCAAAAGCACTCTGTCATATTGGATAAAAGGAAAAAAAAATTTTTTTTTTTAGTCATATCACAGTATCAAAAAAAAAAAAAAAAAACGCCTATTTACCATAGTACCACGGATAGATAAAACAATAGAATTTGTAGATCGATCATGAGCCACAAAATAACTAGGACGAAAAGCTTCACCTGTACGGAATTCATAAGCTAGTAAATCTTCCTTTGGTAATGAGAGATGTTCCATAACGGATTTGGCATCTGAATGATCTCGAACAGCATCTGATATGTAACCATTTCCTTTACCAATAAAGTTCAATCCTTTCCAACCATAAGATGCCATAGAGAATCGCCACATATGAGATGCTAATTGAATTTCAGATAGATCTGTCACAAGATCCCAAGTACGGTCCCGAGGAAGTTCTTGATAAAAACGTTCCACAACTGCAAATCCAGTAATCATCTGTAAATGTGATAATTCAAATCCTTGCCCCTATCAAATATAACATTTTCATTTTTTTTTTTTTTTTTTTTTTAGTTTCAAATATGATCTTGTATTCTTTTAATATTCTATCATTTTTTTTTCTCTTTTGACTTACAAATGCTGCCAATAATTTTCCAATAGCACGTAGTACTTGATTTGTTTCCTTGCTAACAGTCCATGAACCAATAGTATCCAAGAGAGGATATGTCTTCAAACTATCATCCATATCATTAAGAATATCCATATTGTTAGTGGTTTCCGTAGAATTATTGCAAATAGATGTCGTAGTACTGGTAGTTGAACGCAGTTTTTCTGAATTAGAACTTTGAACAGAGATATCTGTTGCTGTAGGAGTTGCTGTGATTGATGATGATGATGAAGATGATGATGATTCCAAAGTGGTAGTAGACATAGTAGGCAGTCCAAACCAAGAATTGAAGGAATCTAGTATAGTTGAACTCGTCTGTTGACGTTCAATAGTTGATTGAGATGGTGTATTCTTCGCTTTTGAATTTATATATTGATTTGTTCGTTGTACTGAGAATGCCAAGGAAGAAGAAGAAGAGATATGATGATCTTCATTTGAATCCGAATCACTGTTATCCGGGAAATCTTGATCTTCTGATGGTGGAGTTGTTACTGTCGCATGTAACATTTTTGCATCATCATTAGTATGATTCAAGATTTTTGGTTTTTGCTGATCATTATTGTCGTTTTCTACACCTTCTTCATACTTGCGAAACTTAATGGCGGAGGCATCACGGTCACGTTGTAAATGTCGTCGAAAAGTATCATCATCAGGAGAGTTCCTTCGAGTATCAAATTGGTGAGTTCCATTATAGATATGATGATTTTCTTGAAGGGAGTTAATATGTTGAAACTGATAAGTGATTTTTGCTTGAATGGCACCAACATTAGTTGACATTGTAGTTTTTCGAACAGCATGTGAACTAGCACCAGATGAGAGTTTCTTATCCCAAATTTCATAATAACTCGTAAATGTTTCTGGCATGTCTTGTAAGAGTCCCAATCGTATTTCAGCTCTTCCTATATGTCGATCTGGTAACAGCATATATGAATCGTATATATCCAATTGTATTGTATCAAATAATTGAGCATGATAAGTAACCTTTAGTTCAAATCCTTCATTCCATTTGCCATCAGGGTACTCCGATATAGAAGTTTGGTAGATCTGGTCTAAATAATTTTTTTTAATTCAATGGGGTAAGATCATTTGTTGGATTTTCACGTGGCAATCGTAAAGAACTCGATTTTTTATTATAATTACTTACCACCCATTGTAATAATGACATAAGGACGAGCTACTTTGACATCGAGATAACAGCTATTGAGATGAATCTAATAATACCAATAACAAATGAAATCAAAAAAAAAAAAGATAAGAATATGAATGGTTAGTATACGTTCAGTCAGAAACTATAGTTTTTACATACTTTTAGTTTTCCAACTTGCATAGACTTTCTTGGTATCATAGATGGACTGTAAATTGTTGGCATGTAACAAAATGTCAATGTATATTATTGTATATTATAAAAAGATAATAAGAAAGAGAAAGAAAAAGGAAAAATGAAAAGAAATGAAAAAAAAAAAATATGGGGAGGTTTGGCATTTTTGCCAATTTTATTGCGGGATTTTAAATTCATAGGGCAATAGTGTTTTGCACACAAAAAAAAAGTGCCACTGACACCACTTTTTTATAGTTTTCTTTTTCTAGTGACAATGTCGTCATTACTAAGGACAAGAGTGGTGTTAAATAAAGCATGGGTAAAACACATATGATCCTTGCTATTCATTTATACTCATTTTTCCTTTTTTTTTCTCTTTTAAATAAATATAGAAACCGAGATCGTTATCAACCTTGACTTGGACTGACTGTTTGGATAACATTTATGCTCATAATGACAAGATCAATGCCTTTACCTCTGTTCAAGACAAAAATGTACTGGAAAAGATGAACAATAACTTGGGAAAGGGTAACTCATTAATTTTTCATGACAAAAATATAAATCCTCATTGCATAACGTGATTCACTTCAACTCTTTATTCCTTTTAGACACGCCTATAAATGATCTACCTATTGCTTTGAAAGATAACTTTTGTACTTCCAGTCTCCCAACAACGTGTGGTTCCGCCATGTTGAAAGGTAAATCAAAAAGATGAACCAAAGTGATAAGAATATACTAACTTGTATTTCCATATTCAGATTTTACCTCACCGTACGATGCCACTGTGGTCCATTTACTTCAAAAAGCTGGAGCCAAATTGATAGGGAAAAACAATATGGATGAATTTGGAATGGGGTACGAGAAATGTTCTATTATCTTTTTGAACTATGACTGATATGATGATCATCATTGTTTTTTATAGATCTGCCAATATATTTAGTAATGCTGGAGCTGTCAAGAACCCTTGGGAATACAAGTCAAACCCTGCAGCACTAGATGATCCTTCACAGATACGTGTGGCAGGTGGAAGTTCAGGAGGTGGAGCTGCAGCCGTTGCAATGGATATGTGTACCGTGTAAGTTATTAAACTGATTATATTTAGTATGATAAGTCATCACTACCAAAGAAAAAAAAATAATTAATGTCTCCATTATTTTTTATTCTTACTCTTACATTTGTTAATTGAATTAGGGCTCTTGGATCGGATACAGGTGGCTCAGTACGTTTACCAGCGGCTTATTGTGGTGTGATTGGATATAAACCTTCTTATGGGCAAATCTCAAGAAATGGATTGGTAGCTTATGCTAATTCACTAGACACTGTAGGTTTATTGGGTCGTTCTGTACAGGATATATCAGCTGTTTATGGTAAAGTGCCAAATTTACCACGATATAGGAATAATAATAAAAAAAAAGTTACTAATGATTGTTTTATCATTTATATTTATCTAGGTGTCATTGCTCAATACGATGAAAAGGATCCTACTTCAATACCCTCAGAACTACGAAAGCAAATATTGGAACAAGAAAAGGAATGGATACAAAATTGGAAAACATCATCACCTCCAACAAACGACGATTTATCTGGACTTTGTATAGGTATTCCAAATGAATACTATGTGGATCAACTTTCTACTGAGGTACTCGATACTTGGCGACGTACTATCCGTTCTTTACGTGATCGTGGTGCTACTATTATCTCTGTCTCATTACCTCATACCAAATATGCTTTACCTGCTTATTATATCATTGCACTAGCAGAAGCAAGCTCTAATTTGGCAAGATTCGATGGTGTACGTTATGGTAAGTTGCTGTATATTCATCCGAAAAAAAAAGCAAAAAAAAAAATGAAAAAAAGGTTTTCTCTTATTCTCAATTTTCATTTTTTTTTTTTTTTAAAAAAAAAATAGGACATCGTTCCAATGACGCTTTAGAATCAGATTTGATTTATGCAAATACAAGAGCAGAAGGTTTTGGACCCGAAGTACAGCGAAGAATATTACTTGGAACTCATGTATTGACTGCTGGGTAAATTATAAAAAGAAAAAAAAAAGGAAAGGAAACCTCAATATGACTCATGAACGGTATTCTTTACTTTGATGTATGTTATATAAACATAAAGAACGTACGAAAGTCACTTTTTACCTGCTCAACAAGCAAGACGTTTGATTGTGGATGATTTCAATAGGATATTCCTCGCCAAGAATGAATTGTATGAAAAAGACAATCGACTACCGGAAACTGAAAAAGTACATGTACTGCTAACACCAAGTTCTATATCGACAGCACCCACCATTCAAGAAAGTTTACCAAGGGAACAATCTTGTGACAAAAGCAAAAGCAAACGTGTGGTGGAAGCTTATGTGAATGATGTTATGACGGTACCTGCTAGTTTAGGAGGCCTTCCAGCCATCACTCTTCCTTTGGGACAATCATCAAAAAATGGATATCCAATTGGATTACAGCTCATTGGGCAATATGGTTATGATAGATTTTTACTTGATATTAGTGATAGAATTATGCAAAGAAATAAATGACTTGTTTAAATAGAATGAAAAAAACGTAGTACCATTGTTTGTCTTTTCATATATATATCTTTATTTGATACTCTAGTTGGTATACATATATATATATATATATATATATATATATTGATGGATGATTCATACAAGTTCAAATAAGTACCTTTAATATTTATGATTTCCAAGATTTCTATTATTTCTATATGTGATAACGGTGGTTGAATACTGTATATGAGGATGGAACACAGTGGGTAGATAATGATGCCAGGGCTTGAGCAACAAAAGTTCTGATTTTTTTTTTTTTTTTTTTGTGGGAAGATGATTTCGGGAAATGCATTTCTTTTAGGAATCAGTTCCTGGTCCCGATCAACAACCTCTAACCAATAGAAGAGAGAGAAGCGTGGATCGACAGTTTGTACAACACACGTATCTTCTATAGACAGGAAGGAAAGCCAAGCATACTTATAAACGTAGAAATGCTTCTCTCCTCCGTGACAACGGTGTCCTCGAAATAACAGGTTTATGACAAGCCATCTTTAACTAGCCATCATCACTTTGGGACGGTATAGGATATTTCTTAAACATTCCCGTCATTTTTTTTTTTTTTTTGGAGTCGATCCTATTAACAGTGTTCGGTATACAAAAGATGTTAAATGAAAAGGGAAACCTAAGAAGGAGACAGATAAAAAAAAAAAAAAGTACATATGTATACTGACATTCTAGTTTTTTGTTGGTTGCAACAGAAAAAAAAAAAGGAACACTATGACGAGTGTGTTTTATTTATAGTATAATCGTTAGTCTCACGTTTCATATAAACAAACAAAGAGGAGGATGGATGAAGGAGAAGGAGGAAAAGTGGAGGAGAGAAATCAAAATAATACTAATAATAATAAAGGTCCTATGTTGATAAAGGGAATACACATAACCAGCTGGAGAGAGATAGAGAGAAGGATATAATATGAAACTATTTCGTGGAAGAAGGTTGAGTGGCTCCAGCAGCAGAAGTGGCAGTATTGTTGGGAGTATTCTCTTCTTTGGGTTCATCATCGCTATCGTCATCGTCAACATCGTCTTGTTCATTCGCAGGTGTGGCGTTTTCATCGTCATAGTCCCCAACACGCGACATGATGTCATCCATGGTTAGATCCTTGTCATTAGCAGCTTTGTTCCCACCGATGGTTCGTTCATTGGTAGTGTTCTTGTTTTCAGAAGAAGGTTTTGAAAAGATGTTATCTAGATTTCCAATATCCATAGTTTGTTGAAGTATATAAAAGTGAAAGAAAAAAAAAAAAAAAAGTGAAAAGAAGTGAAAAGGAAGGAACGGTTATCCAAGCAAAAAAAAAAAAAGAAAAAAAAAAAGAGCCCAATCGTTTAGTTCCCGATTTTTTTTTTTTTTTTTTTTTTTTTTTTGGCCTAGCTTGATTTTGGTCATGACATGCACCAATGCAGATTTTTTCGAGTTCGAATTTCTTAGTTCAAAAAAAAAAAAAAAAAGAAAAAGGTGCACGTAGACAAAAACTAATCCATATCTCTATTCAAAAGATACCCACATAACTCTTAATCATCCAAACATCATACAAAAGCACAGATACATCGTATTAAATATACAAAGATGAAAGTTTTTATTTTTTATTTTTATTCACATCAATAGGGGACAGTTAGAAAATAATACTATAAAATAATGAAATAAACTAAATAACATAAAATAAAGTGGAATAATTGTTTAGAAAGGAGATTTGGTAAGACGAAGATAAGGCTTGACAACACGGACATTCTTGAATAGCTTATGAGCTTCTTCGGTGGTAACACTAGGATGAACAATCACATCATCACCCTTCTTCCAGTTACCAGGAGTAGTAATACGATGTTGATCACCTAATTGTAATGAATCAACAACACGCAAGATTTCATCAAAGTTACGACCAGTGGAGGCAGGATAAGTCAAAATAAGGCGGATGGTCTTCTTAGGATCAATGATAAATACGGAACGAACAGTGAAAGGAATACCCTTGGCATCAACATTAGTGGCATCTTGATGGTCCAACATGTCATATAATTCGGACACTTTGCGATCAGCATCAGCAATAATGGGGAAGTTAAGTTCTACACTGTTGACTTCATTGATATCTTCAATCCACTTGGCATGGTCTTCCAATCCATTAGCAGATAAACCAATCACTTGTACACTACGTTTTTCCCATTCATCTTCGAGAGCAGCAACAATACCAAGTTCAGTGGTGCAAACAGGGGCTAATAATAATAATAATAATAATAGTTGGTTAAAATGTTTTATAACTTCGGTTTGTGTTTCATTACTTACTAAAATCAGCAGGATGAGAGAAAAGAATAGTCCACTTATCACCAATGAAATCATGGAACTTGATACTACCCTTGGTAGTTTGAGCTTCAAAGTCTATATATGATGAAAAAAAAACTTTTGTAAATATCAAGAAGATTTGTTCCTTTATTTTTATACATACCAGGAGCAGTAGAACCGAGACGAAGAACCATTGTATATAGATAAAGTAAATTTGTAAGTGAATGGGAAAAAAAAAGGAAAGAAAAAAGGAAAAAAAAAAAGAGTGCCAGGCCCCGCGTTTATATGAGACAAGACAGAGACATCGGAAATCAAAATCACACGGTGGTAAAGCATTATCAAGTCTTATTGGATAAAAACCATCATTGCGCGATCAAACATCCTGTTGTTCTCATCCTTCGCCATCATTACACAACAGCAACTAAAAAGCTTATTTTTTAATCTAACATTTTTTTTTTTTTCAATACATTCATTTTATTAAATATTCAGAACGAAAGAAATAACCATACAAGTGATAAAAGAAGAAAGTAATCAATCTAATCTAGTGAGAGTCCATGCTTGCCAATAAGTAACTGTCTAGCTTCTTTTTCCGTATCTTCATGACTGAATCCTTTAGACAATAAAAGATTTTCCCACCGGTATTTGGTCCAAGAGACTGCACAAGATGATGGTCGATAAAAGAGATCTTCAGTATCAGGTTTGTAAGAGAGTCGATAAGTATCGTCATCTACTAGATATTCAAGTTTGCTTTCTACAATCACGTCATCTAGTGATTTCATCCCTCCTATCAAATTTCTAAAAATTTATAGGTTAAAAATCTGATTCACATGATCATCATCGTTACCTTTTGAGACTGGATTTGATCATCAGAGATGTAGTTAAACCTTGTGTCACTTTGGGCCATTTCATATAACTTGTCAAGTATTTTTCATGTTGATCGTATTGATTAGTTTCTTCTCCATCTTGTCCAACCAAGTGAATAGAAAGTCGCTGTTTATCCTTGTTCTACAATCATTTTTTTTTATTAATCAAGTTATTCTTTTTACTTCTCATTTTACTTACGTAATCCAGTTGGAATACATGTTCATTTTGACCAATGATATTTTCTGCCAGGTCACGGTATACGGAAAGAGGACGATAGATCGCTGCTTTATTTAGTTGGTGATTATCTTGATATAAACGTAATAGTTCCATGGATTTTTCATCACCAATAATGGTCTGAATCTATATGTAAAGAAAAGAATTAATATATATATAGGCTGAATTATCATTTGTTAATACCTGTTTCACCAAGGCATGCACCAATTTATCTATATTGAAAAGGATATAAGCTTCAGTAGTAAAAAGGTAGCGAGCAATTTCTTCAAACATGGCAATATCCACATCGGAATCAAAGAAGCGGTCAATTTGTTCCAGTAATGCTTTGTAATGACCTTGAGTCAAATCTATGTCTACAAAAAAAAAAAAAAAAAAGCAATCAATATCAAAGCCAATATATAAAGAAGCAAATATCTTACTATCGAATCGATTAGATTTCAGTCCTAATTTTTCTGCTACACTATTGAAATCATCAGCCTTTGATTCATTGCCTAGTTTTTCTCCAAGTCGCTTCATTTTCGCTAATCGTCCAAAGAGTATCTATAAAAAAAAAAAAATGTAAAGCTCATCAGTTTAAATCTTCAAAAAAAAAAAAGTATTTTTCATTTCTTACCTCGTATAATCTGATAAAGCAATAAAAGTGTGAGTTTCCAAAAAGACTATCCACTTTTCGTCTGTAAAATTTTGGTGCTGTCATGGTTGCTGCCGTTTTTAACAATTGTTGTTTTGATTGATCATATTCGTCCAAAGAAGGTAAAGATGAAAGTGCCGTCTCTGAAATAGATGATGTTGATGAGGTTGTAGGTGATGTTGCCGTACTGATAGTTTGCTTCTCCAATATCAAAGGTTGTTCGTCATTATTTTCATTTGTACGATCCGTTCTATTTTCACTCTGATTGCTTGAATCTTCTTCGTCATTGGACAGTCCATCTGATTTTAACTTGGATCGATTGTTGTTTGCAGTTGCGGTTTTGATCCTTGATGATGACCTAAAGGCCTGTTGTCGTTGACTACTACGTTGCTGTACTTGACGTCGTTGTTTTTTGTTATTAGTTTTCCCTTGGTGGTGATCAGCATCAGAATAATCTTCAGATGGAGGAGAGGATGGATTAGTATCATCACCTTCGTCGCCATCTTGATCATTCGCTTCTTCCATATCTTCATCCTCGTCATCCATCTTTAATTTCCGTTTGTTGTTAGGAGTAAATGGTGGAAGATCGTTGTTATTATTGATCGAATCGATGTATTCAGCTGGTATAATATCATTAACATCGAAAAAGCGTGGAACAAATAACTGTAAAAAATGCCGTACCTTGTCGCGGTCCCCTTTACTGAATCCAGTTTGGTGTTCCATGTATGAGAAAATCAAAAGTGAAATATCCTTATATATATCGTCGCATGTGAATTGATAAACTAGTTCCCTTACGCCAGAGATGTGGGTGGTAGATGATGAAGGCGATGTCCCTTTTGACCGTACTGATCGACCATTATCCATTGGATGCTTGTCTGTGTCATCATCCTCATCGTCTTGATGCTGATAAATGGATTCAATTTCGTTGAGTAGGTAGCGATTGGTGATAGTCTTGCGTTCTGTAGTTTTAAAGGTCAATCCTTGATAATCCAGCGACTTGTAATAATTTTTCTCATCAATTTCCCTCCACACCTTGTTCCACTCGAGCTAGACAAAATAGTCATCAGTGAGTATATATCAAGATGATTCATTGATAATAATTATAATAACAATAATAATCTTTCTTATATTTTACCTGTCCCTTTGTCCATTCTTTATCTTTTTGCTTCAATCGCTTCATGACCACAGGTGCCACACGAGCAGGATCAGAATATAGCATTTGAATGATCTCAGAACCACGATCTGACCCATAGATTTTCTTCAGTATGCGCTCATAAATAGAAACGGTCTGTCCACCCAAACCAGGAGTAAGAGTAAATTCTTCTTGTTCTTCTTGTGACATTATTTCAATCTTTTTGACAATCGGTTCAAGCAAAGCTATACAATTCAGATTGGCATCAATATTGAGATCATATTCATATCTATATAATTAATAAATAGTATTAATTGCTAGTTTGTAAATAATGATTATTCCTTCTTCTTCTTTTTTTTTTTTTTGATAACAACTTTACCTATCTTCTTCACAGCGGTGCATGGCTTCTTCATAAGGATTTTTCTTTGATGCTACAAATGCACTATCTTCACTTGCCCAAATTGGATGAGAAACATAAGCATCATTCAACACTTCCCAACATAAACTATCCCGACCAGAGCAGGGTTGATGTTGCCACTATGTAAAGTACCCATAAAAAATAGAAGGTTATTAGTAAACTTTGTATATATATATATATTTTTTCATATTCTCTAAGACTTGCCTGTTTTGGTACCAACCGATAACTGGGACTATCACGAACAGTTTTGCAGCGCACAAGGTCAGGCTTGGGTATAATATGATGAGGCTTTTCAGAACCAAAGATGGAAAAAGAGGAGACCACAGTAGTTTCGTATCCAATAACAGACTTGAACCAATCGAATAACTCGGGTTTGTTTCCTAAAAAGCTATCCACTCTTTCCAATAATGTATCCAGGTCAACAATATCTTGAGTATAAAGGTTCAATAATTTCAAAAAGACTTCATAGGATGGTTTGTTGCCGATGTGCTTTCTAATTTGTTCAAATAATTCCACTTCTCCTGCTGAAATGGATGGGTTGTTTGGATCAAAACCTTGACTATTACTATATCCAACACGTTTAATATATCGTTCATCATCATCATGATTAATCGATGTTTCATTTCCAGGTTTCATTTTCTTTTGCTATGATATATGAGGTTAATATATTATTTTTAAACATATCCAATAAAAATAAATTACCGTTGTACGCTTCTTTTTTCCAGGTACGCCAAAGGACGATAGTCCAGCATTGATCGTATTTCGTTTGGCACCATGGACTTGTAAGTCAAAAAAAAAAAAAAAAAGGAAGTAAAGTGGTCGATCAGTGTACATATTTATTTTTCATTAAGTATATGATGGAAAAAAGGATACTCACGTTCACCCACTTCAGGTAAGAATTGTTGAAATTCATCCAATAAATCACCATGTCCATGAAAGAGTCGTTGTACATGAGCATACACATCTTCGATTTTCTGTTCTTCCTTTTGATATGTTTGTAGTACTTCCAGGAATTGTTTATAAGCATCAGGATTATCAATAAACCGATTCTATAAATATCAATTAATAAAACGATAGTTATCAGAATCATTATCATTTTCTTTTAAAAGACTAACCTTGATTTTGTTAACATAGTTAATTGCATTGTTGAAATCTACAGTAGGTCGCTTCCCATTGGTAGGAGATCGAGTGGTTGTTTGACGAACTGTGTTTGCTTGAGATAAACGTTGTCCACTGATAGGTGAATGAGGTTGAGTCTGTAATTGGGCCTGATCTTTGTGATTATTGGAAGTTGAATTATGCTTGGAAAACTGTTGCTGTTGTTCTTGCTGCTTTTGTTGATGTTGATGTTGTTGATGTTGTTGATGTTGTTGATGTTGTTGATGTTGTTGATGTTGTTGATGTTGTTGTTGTTGCTGTATCTGTATCTGTTGCTGTTGCTGTTGCTGTTGTTGCTGTTGTTGTTGTTGCTGCTGTTGTTGCTGCTGCTGCTGCTGTTGTTGTTGTTGTTGTGGAAGTGTTTGGGATGATATTAAAGAGTGTTGCTGAGAATAATGGTGTGCTGGAGGAGGAGCCAACTGTTGATATTGGTGTTGATGATGTAATTGTTGATGTTGCAGGTGAGATGTACCCAACGGTATAGAAGAAGAAGAAGGAGGAGGAGGAGGTGGCGGTGGGTGTGTCTGACTTGCATAGGGTAATCCATAATACATAGGGTTTGCAGGTATGGTAGCTTTATCCATAGGTGGAGGAGGATAATGCTGAGGATGAAGTTTGGTTGATGTGGTGATAGTTCCAGAAGGCGTAGTAACACGAATCAAATCGGGATCCCGTGGATCAGTAGAGCATTCTATACGATATCCTGGGGGCAAAAATGTATTGAATCCAGAAATCAGGGTAAGATGACCTTGAAACAAAGTAGATACACGTTCAATCACACCTGGCGTATCGATACTAATTAATATCACAAAATAAAATAATCAAAACCATTAATAATCTCATTTGTCTTTTTTTTTTTTTATTTATTTACCTTTGACTTTTGAAATCTTTCATAATATCCAGGAAACGGTTGTAAACATCAGGTCTATCACCAAATTGAATTTTCACTTGATCCAAATAAGAGAGTGCATCCTTCACATTAAGAGGTCGATAACCAGTAGTATCAGTTTGAGAGGAATGAGATTTTGGTAAAGAAGTATTAGACTTTGTTGTTGATGCGATACTACTAGATTCGGCGTATGGAGGTGTAGTACGCGTGGGAACAGAAGACAAAGTGGTGAGAGGCCTAGTTGGTATTTCGCCATAGTTGGTTTGGTTAGTTGAAGATGAGGATGAAGTATGTTGAGAATGTGGTATAGTAAAAGTGGAAGGAGTTGGTATAATAGGATCCTTTCTTGACATTGGTGTTATAGTATTTGAAGCATAAGAGGTGACAAGTGGATTTGAAGAAGAAGAAGAGGTAGAGGTAGGCGTTGTTGAAGATAGTGGTGGAAGTTGATATGGTGTAGCAGATAATGAAACTTGAGGTTTTGAAGTTGACATATTGGTATTCTGACTATTAGGATTGTTATTTGATGAAGTACTAGTCGTTGTAGAATAGATCGGTCTATATATATATATAAAAGAAGCATAAGTGGATATATATAATTGAACTTAATGATAATTATATCAAGCGCGTTTAACTTTTATTTCAAAATGTATTTTTTTTCTTTCTTTAACACTTTTTTTTTCTTTTTGTATTACCCTATACCAAGATTCGTTTGTATGGGGGAACTAGTCATTTCCACTAAACTTGAAAGAAAAGAGAAAAAACGAAAAAGGGGGAGGAACCATCAAATGAGGGGGGGAAGGAAGCGTCCTGGCTTTAAAAAATATTAGCGGGTAGTGAATTGGAAGATCATATGGTACAGTTTTTATTCTTTTTATTATTATTATTATTATTATTATTATTATTTCTTTCTCTTTTCTTTTCAGTTCAATGTCTACTTTGTCATCACCAACAACACCTACTTCACCTACTCCAAATTTATTCAACATTGCACCACCACCTTGGCATGCCTTATTGAAAAAGAGCTATAATAAGAACTTTTTGTATATGGACGATCCAGGTACAGAGAGAGAGAAAAAAAAAAAAAAGAAAAACCAACAGGAACACACTACTTAATCTTAACTTTTTTTTTTCTTGAATAGTATTTATTTCCATGTCCAATATCAAACGGTCAGGTGAAATATCGATGCATTGTCTTCAGTTCCAATCATTTATAGAAGACGATGCCAGGTTTTTAATCTTTCACATTGCTCTCAATGATAACTTGATGGGTGATATTAAGTCTGATCCTAACGCGCGGTTATGCTGGTAATAAGAAAGTCTATTTACAATGGTAACACACAAAGGAGAGAACTAATTACAAAATATGTTTGATCTTCCTTCCCTCCTTTTTTTTTTTTTTAATAATAATAATATAGGACCATGCCGAAATCAAAGGAATATTACAAGTTTAGTGGCAAATTCTATATTGCTTCATCACCTTTACAAGTCACTCGATTTCCTCCACCAAAACCAATCAAAAGTCAATTATCAGCTGCAGAATTTTGGGAAAAAGAAAGGAAACAACAATGGAAATCACTATCAGATAAGGTCCGTGCAACTTACACTTGGCCATCTCGTGGGGATTGCCCTCGTGCAGGAACTGCTTCATTCTCTTGTCAATCATTAAAATATTTTGATGAACAAACTGGTAACAATAAATTGGATAGTAATGACAAACTTAAGATAGTTCATTCTATTGCTATGGACAATTACTGCTTATTAGTATTTAAGGTGACTGAAGTGGAATATTTTGATTATAATGGTTATCCACCAAGACGAAATGTAAGTAAAATTACGATGATGATGATAATTTCATATACTAATCCTTTACATATATATATAGTTATTTTGTTTTTCTATGAAAGACAATATGTGGTCAACTGTTGAATTGAATCCATAATATATTATTGAAGATAGTTTATCAAATAAAAAAGATCGGATTGCTCTTCCTTCAAAGCAAATAGTTAAATCTCCGCCCTGCATTTCTTTTTTGAGTCAGTGCAATTGTTGTACCACTATTTTTTTTTTGTCATACACAAAAATTTCAACGCAGGTGTCCTTTTTTTTTTGGTTCCTCTTTCTTTCTTTCTTCCTTGTCTTTTTTTTTGTTCTTTTTGTCATTTTTATATTCCCCTTTTTATATCCTTTTTTCTTTTTTTCTTTTTTCTTTTTTTTTTATTTACAAATACAATATATCTTTTCTGTTGATTAATGACTTCAACTGCAGTGAGGTAAGTTAATATAACATGTCAAAGAAGTAAAAATATATATATAAACTTTTTTATCATTATTATTATTATTAGGGTGGGTCTTCGAGTTAGACCTTTGACTCAAAAAGAACAACTTAGTAACTGTACTGAATGCTTATCGTTTATTCCTGATGAACCTCAAATATTAATTGGTACTGATAAGTCATTTACTTTTGACTATGTATATGATTCAAATACTCCACAAGTTCAAGTTTATGATACTGCAGCAAAACCTTTAATTGAAAAATTCCTTGATGGGTAAACGCGATATATGAATTATATATATATTATGATCGATGTTATCAACCAATTTTTATTTGACATATTATTAGATTTAATGCTACTATTCTTGCTTATGGACAAACTGGTTCGGGGTAAAGAAGAAAAAAAAAAATACTTTCATGATCTTTTTTTTTTTTTTTTTTTGTTCATTTTTTGAAAATCTCATCCTATTTTTTGTTATCTTTTAGGAAGACTTATTCTATGGGGACAAGTTTAGAAAACAGCGCCAATGCCGAACAAGAAGGTAATGAAGTAAAAAAAAAAAAAAAAAAAAAAGTCCCGTTCCAAACTATATACGCTGAACTTTATTTGATCTATCTAATAGGTATTGTACCACGGTGTATCGTCCAGTTATATCGCAGTTTACAAGAACGAATGGAATCTATACCTGGCTTTGATTATCAAGTTTACGTCTCATTTCTGTAAGTTTTATTAACTTTATTTACTTCATTGTTTAATCATATTTTTATATAGTGAATTATATAATGAAGAATTGATTGATCTACTTAACCCTTATAATACTCAAAAACGCAAAGGAGGTGTTATTACTGGAACTGCTCCTGCTGAAGTCACTATTAGAGAAGATGTTGCTGGTAATATCTATTGGAGTGGAGTCAAAGAAGAACTTTGCTCAAGTCCTGAAGAATTACTTGGGTAAGATTATATCTATTCTCACTTTATGCATCTCCTGGATTTGATTCTAAGTTATATTGTTTTAGATTTCTTGCTAAAGGTTCATTATGTCGTACAACTGGTTCCACTGATATGAATACTGTATCCTCACGATCGCACGCTGTCTTTTCCGTCATCCTCAAGCAAACACGCCCTGATTTGGAAGATACAAAATCATTGACAAGTAAATTCCATTTTGTCGATCTTGCTGGTTCTGAAAGGGTAAGTTTTACAATTTTTTTTTCTTCTTTTTGTATATACTTACCGTTTTTTTTTTTTCTTCCTCTTTTTCTTAATAGTTGAAACGTACAAATGCACAAGGTGATCGGGCAAAAGAAGGGATCGCTATCAATTCTGGTTTATTGGCTCTTGGGAATGTGATTTCTGCACTAGGTGATGAACATCGAAAAGGATCACATGTTCCATACCGTGATAGCAAGCTCACGCGACTACTTCAAGATTCTTTGGGTGGCAACAGTCAGACTTTGATGCTTGCATGTGTATCACCTGCAGATGCCAACTTTATGGAAACACTTAACACTCTTAAATACGCTAATCGTGCTAGGAATATCAAAAATCGTGTCGTAATCAATCAAGATTTTGCTGGTAGCTCTATTGAAGTTAATCAACTCCGTGCTCAAATAGCTCGTCTTCGTATGGAAAATGCAAGTTTAAGGGCTGAAGGTCTTTCTGGGAGTGTGGGATCACGAAATAATACTGGATCTTATATGGCCATGGATGAACATCGTGCTCTTCGAAATGAAGTGAATAGACTCCGTGATCGCATTCAAGAACTATCTACAAGTTTAATTCAAGTCACAAGTGAAAGGGATACTATGGTAATGGAACGTGAACTTGGCGAATTTTTGAAATATGAAGAAGAGCTCGATGCTCGAGTCCCATCAAGACGACCAAGTTATGATCTCGCCAATAGCAACAACGATCAACAAACACAACAACAATCCATTTTGGATACCAATACTCGTATACAAGCACATCCTCTAGTTGCTCAATACCAAAAGACTATCCAAGACCTCAACAACGAATTAGCTGACACAAAAGATCGTCTAAACTTTTTGGAAAACGCTAAAACATATCATCCGCAATCATCAACAACACATCAATCTGCTCAACTATCACTTTCATCCTCAACACTGTCATTTACACAATCTTCTCATATTGGTGGACGTCAACGGAAATCCAATAGACGGCGTCGTAGGCCTCTTATGTCATCATCAAGCAGCACAACAACATCTGGTCGTCGTGGTTTACGGGCTCGTCGTTCTCATATATCTTATTCTGGTAGAACTCAACGTTTAGGATATACCGAAGATATGGATGAAGACTATTCTTATCATCCGGAACAAGAACAAGACATACGAACAGGTGTGAAAGATAGTATCGCTAAAGCTCGTGAAGAAATTCAAAAGGGAATGCAAGTTTTGGAACTCATTAAGGTAAAAATTAAAAAAAAAATCATTCTTTGTCATGTTTGTCTTTCTTATCTTTTTTTTTCCACTAATATTATATCTTTATTATGCATTTTTTTTTTTTTAGCCACTAGAAGATACTGCGCAGGAATGGGAAAAAGAACTTCAGGTAAAATTGAAATGAAAATATCATCAGCATTCTTCTGTGTCTTACATATTGTTCGGCATTTAGGCGTTTGAAGAAGCTGAATCAAAACTTTACAATGGCAGAGATACCGGATCAGATGAAGGCAATTTTACAGCATCACCATCTCCTGACGGTCAAAGAAGTGATAGTAGTTTCTTTGATGAAATCGAGTCGCTGGTATGTTATTGCATTATAAACAACAACAACAACAACAACAACAACAACAACAACAAAAAAAAAAAAAAAAAAAAAAAAAACCAATCATCTCATTTTTTTTCTATATATGATATATTTCATAGGCGGTACCTTCCTGGGAGGATGATCTCAAAACAACAAAGAATTCCTCGAATGATAACAAATCTATTACCTCTTCTCAAGATGACAAAAGTACACCATCATCCAATGGCTCAAAACATGAAGATGGCAACACATATAGTGAAAAATACAATCCTCAACTGGTACGAATGCTTCATCAAATCCAATCTGATATTCGTGTCAAGGAAGAACTGGTATCTCATCTTGAAAAGTCTGAAACAGAATACACATTTATGCGACGAAAGTTTGATGACAAAATTGGTGCTCTTGAATCTAAATTGGAAAGCTTGCAACGAGAAAAGGATGAAGCTTTGGCACGTACAAAATCTGGGTTTGCTTCCAACAATCATCTTACCAACAGCAAGTCTGATGGGGTACAACTTCGTGAAAAACAACAACTTGTTGAAATTCGACATGCTTATGAAAGCAAAATGAAATCACTATTATCAGAAATCCAAGACTTGCGACGCAAATATTCACAAACTACCATGACGATGCAGGCTACTCGTAATCAAAATGATACTCTTTTGCGCTCTCTTCGTGTGAATGTGGAAACTCTCAAAATGGAAAAAAAACGAATGATTAAGCGAATGAAACAAGAAGCTGAACGAGTCCGTGAACAAATGACGCTTCAAGATCGAAAAATTCACCAACTTCAACGTCTCAATGCGGAAGCGAATCAAGCTCGACGACGTCTAGAAAAGGAACATGAAGCACAAAAACTCACTTTGAAACGACGCAATGAAGAAGTATTGATGAACAATAATCAACTGAAACAATTAACCAATGTACTCAAGAAAGCTGTTCGTGAAGGTGGTGTTTTGGATGAGCGTCTTCTTACCAAGGTATCCAAAGCAATGGGTGGAAGTTTTGCTATTATGGCCCGTGGTGGTGGTTTATCCTTCCGTACTTCCTCTTCTTCTACGACTACTTATGGTCGACGACGCAGCAAGAACCCTATTCCTGTCCAGGTTCGTGCTACCCGGAAGAAACAACTCCTGGATCGTGCTCTATATCAATTGATACAAGGAAAACAAGCTATTGTGGAAATGGAACAACTTTTATTCAAACGAGAAAGACTAGCAGCTGAAAAACTTGAATTAGCGGAAGAAAGAAAACAAATCTACTTGGCTGAAAAAGAAAATGCAGAGCTCACTGGTCAACCAATGAATAGCATGGGTGTGGAATTTATGGATGAACGTATTGATATGATATCTGCAGAAATCTCATACCTTTCAGCTCGTATTCGTGCTTTACAATCGGAAGCAGCAGGAGGAATAATGGATGAACCAACAAACAACAATGGAGATGGATCAACTAAACAACAACAACAACAACAACAACAACAACAATCATCTGAAAAGCGTGTTACATTTGCCGATGAAATTATTAGTGACTCTGCTATGGCGACTATGGCAGCATCACACGATGAATGGATGGATATAGATGCTATGGAAGAACAATTCAATGTACCAGCAGCTGCAGCTCCAGAAGTAGCATATGATATGACGATCAAGATTCTCAAATCCCTGGAAGTGGATGAATGTAGACGAATTGCTGAAGGATTAGTAGATGATATTGTGAACGTCCGAACAAGTGAATGCAACCGCCAAGTGACCATGCAAAATTTGGAGCGAACAGTACATGATCTTCGACGTACATTGATTGTAATGAAACGGGCAGCCATAGCGACTACAGTGGATAACGAACGACGCATTCGCAAACTTGAAGGTGGTAGTACATTTGGAAGCGACGATGAAAAGGATAGTGCTATCGATGTCAAGATTGAAGAATACATCAATAATGGAAATACTATTTTTGACAAGATCTACGAAGATGGCCTCCGTGGTATGATTACAACACCTGAACCTGGATCAACAGATTATTACCCTGCAACCATCAGTATCAATGGATCACCAATTAGCTCAAGTACTGGAGAAGGAAGTAGTATGGATGAAACAGCGCTATTATCACCTTTGTTATCACCTGCATCAACGAATGGATCAACCACTAACTCAACGACAGGTCCTACACGACCAGAGCTTCTTAGCAATGCAGCAGCTATACTAAATGGAACCAAACCTCCTACTGGATTGTCACCGGAAAAGGGCAAGTATATCAATCGTGAAACAACACCTTCACCAGATCGATTCTTCAACATGATTCAAAAACGAATGTCTTGGCAGCAACAACAACAGAGATCAGATTCACCTATGGCGATATCCATGATTAACCCGGCAGAATTTGCACGTTATACAACTACTGATCGTGAATCATCAACATCCTCTATTCGAAGCAGCCACTTACGACGCTCTTCTATTCAATCTGATCAGTCGTTATCTCAACCAGATTCCTCCAACTCCTCTCAAGGTGGAAGCGTGACTATGCGGAAACGTGCTTTTTCATTACAACAACCTCCAGTACCCACTCGTCGACGAGCGTCTCTACGTGAACTATCTTTGATGGGAAGTACAGCATCAACATCTCCTCGTCATGGAAATAATCCAGATCAAATGGTACCTTCTTATTATCAACAACAACATCAACAGCAACATCAACAACAGTATTATCATAACAAAGATTTACCTGCATCTCCAAGAGTATCAGCATCGGTGATGCATCATCATCATCAACAACAACAACAACAACAACAGCGTATCGCAACTCTTCGAAGACCATCCTCTGTATCTACTTTTGCGCCTCAATCTATTAATTTGATGCATTCTGATGTAGCAATGGAACGTGGATCATCAGCTGGTAGCAACAATGTTTTTGATCGATTATCACAAACACCAACTCGAGCATCCAGCGCAAAAATGCAATATCGTCATAGTATCAGCAGCATGGATGATTTACAACAACGATGGGAACCTTCAAGTCGATCTTCTAGTGCCATGAGTGGTACATTTTACAACTAGTTAGTTTATTTTCCTTCCTTAGTTTTAGTTATCTTATATTATATATATATGCTTTTTTTTTATATATTTCCTTTTCTGATTCAGTTAGGGATGTTTTTATTTGTATAGTTTCTTCCTCTGACCTTTGGTTGATTGTATCTATTCTCGTTTATAGTTTTTTTTTTTTTTTTCATCCTTATATTCTCATTTATTATATATACAATAAAAATTTGATTTATCTCTTTGACTTTATATCTAACAGGATAGCAAACAGTGTTTGACGCCATTGGTTCGATGAAAAAAAAAAAAATGCCATTCCTTCCTTACATATTATTCATTCTATCGTATCATCCCATCATCATATCACATGTTGTTAACACTTAGTTTCCTATCATCACATAACATCCTATCATCCATACAACTTGCCCAAGATTTCTTGTATTTGTTTGACTTCAGTATTATATGTATTTCTTTATTTCATTGTTGTATATTCATTCTTTGTACACATACACTAACTAATACTACTACGGAGAAGAAGAAAAAATAATGCTAAGCGAGAAGTAAAGAGGGGGTTGTGGAAGGAAAGTTCCAAAGAGGAGAGGAATAAAAAAAAAAAAAAGGTTGAGGAGAAGGAAAGGGGATATATATAAAAAAAAACATGTTCACAATCGATCTCGTAGAATGTATTCGATACTTGAGTTGATAAATTCCTTTTTAGGCGTCATGTCAAATCCAAAAAAGGTAGACAATTGTTCTCGTACTATATCAAAGAAAAGAAGAAGGAAAAAAAAAAGAAATGATTTAGTGATGATAGTAAAAAAAAAAAAAAAATAACAACTTGTTTACCTTGTTTTTTTGTCACACTCATCAAGTTGGCAGTGGCAAGGATGTTTCGAATTTCAGCCAAAATATCATCATCCGTTGGGAATCCAGGGGGAATCATGGGAGCAAGACCTCCTTGAGATAAAGGTACCGAGAATTGACTCATAGGTCTTAATTGTAAGTCTAGATCATGTGGTTGACCGGGTTGCATAAGAGAAGATCGACTACCCATAAAGTTTTGATAGATACCAGAAGATGGTTGTTGAGGATAACCCATGATACTTCCACGATCATTCATCATAGTATTTGCAAATTGACCTAAATCAGGACCAAAACTATTAAGAGACATCGTTCTAGAACCACGTTGAAGAGGAGGAGTCATATCCATCGGAGCACCACTAATAACGGAACCTGGATAACCACTCATCATAGGCATAGGAGACCTTGATCTACTATTTCTTGGTTTATCTCCACCTATATTTGTATCCCTGTAATAATCATAGTCGCCACCAGGATCCATTTGACTTCCATATTGACTTCTAGTATCATAACCACCACCTATAACAGAGCCACCACCACCACCACCACCATGAGTATAATAACTTCTATAACTTTGTCCAGTCACACCAGTTTCCTTGGAACCAGTAGAGCCTAATTCCCATAATTCTTGTTCATATACACTCCATTTCTTGAGAGGAATCATTTTTTCATCAAACTTTTCATCATCAGCCACAATGATCTTCTTTTGTTTGTTGTCACCAACGACCACCCGTGTATTTCCCCAGGAGAAATCATCAAAATGCCAGAATGAATAGATGGGTAAAAAGAATGAGAAGACCGGGATAGCCAAAATATAAAAAAACATCCATCCAATATGTTGCCATTGACGTTTCAGAATAAAAAGAATAGCTTGAAGACCATAAATACCAGCCAACATACACATTGCCAAAATAGGAATAGGACCTGTACCAGACGCAATGACATAAATCAAATAGGCCAGATACACCACAGAGACAGGAAGAGTTAAAGTACCAATCAGATCAATCAAAACAACAAATCGCATAGAGAAACAACAAAAACCACAAAGGTCAGGTAAAAGCACCACTTCGAACAAGTTGTGTATAGTTGAATTGATCCAACGTCGTCGTTGTGAAAGCAAAATTTTCCATCGATCAGGAGCCACGGTTTTGCATTGAGCATGGGATGTGAATTTCATCTTGTGTGAAGGAAAGTGTTTCATCATGAGAGTAGTCAAATAACGATCTTCACCGAGATGTAGGAGATTTTTCTTGTGTAAAGTATCCACATGATTATCCGAATAATCTTGAATCACCTTGGGAGAAATAATCAATGGTTCATTTTTGACAGGAGTACGAATTCGATACATACAGAAACAACCAGGGAGACATGTCACAGATCCAAAAAGAGATTCAAACGCCTTGGCCAGGTGATGTGAGATATAATATTCATATACTTGAATCATTGTTGTCCATGATCGGTCTTCATTCACTAGCTTTGTTTCACCACATAATCCAATAATACGTCCATCATGAAGCATGCAAGATATCATATGATTGAGAGCATCTGGAAGCACCTCCGTATCCGAATCTACCATAAGGATGTATTCATAAAAGGATGGATTGACGCCAATAACATTCTTGATCTGATGATACACTTCTAATTCCAAAGGAGTCATTTCACCATCAAAATGGACCTTGTTGAGAAAGTTCATACATATCATCTGCGAATCTCTTTTGCCACGATTACCAGGTTTGGCCCTTTCAGATGCTTTTCCCACCTTGACAATCACCACATAAGGTACCACATGGCCTTCACATTCATAAAGTCCAGAGTATACTTTTCCATAATTGAGTTGTTTGCTTCCTTCGCCAATAGACTTGAACATCAAAGGTTCCGGATCATTCTTAGTATCATAACCAAGCACATCCAACACAATCCGAGGTGTAGGTCGATCATTGCCACTTCCCATAATCATTCCATCCGCGATAATCAGTAATAGCTTGCGTTTGTCGTCATAATTGAGCACTGTCAGAGAATCAAAAGTCTTGCGTAAGGATTCTTCATCTTCGGTATAACAAGGGACTTGACAAATAACAAACTTGTCATGATCTTCAGGTGTAGGTGCCCCGCCAAATTGAAGTGCTGCCAAAAACTTGACCAGAATTACCAAACACATAATACAGGCAAATGATAAGAGTAGGTAATTTGTAAAAGTACATCGTGGCGATTCCCGTTCATCTACATCACCAATATAAAAAAAGTTGTCGAGACAATTCAGATTTGCAGCTTGTTCAGTAGCAGACATTGCACCTTTGTACTTGTTCCATTGAATGGTTGCGTCGCCACCACTAAACTTGTTGAAGATTTCTTCCACTGCAGGTGAAAGAAAATGATAGTCACCACCCCCAGCACCAGAATCAAAGTTTTTCGCAGTTTCAAGATAATCAGTAATGTCATATACACGTTTGTTGATAGCCATTGCCTTTCTTCCCCATCCTTGAAAATCAGTTTGAAGTTGAGAGAGTTGTATCACCACTGTACCCTTTTTGTATAATTTCATATTTGGTATAAACGTATTCCAGTACCACATAGAATCCTTCATGTCTGCCAAAGTTGTTTCCACTAATTGATCACCAGAGAGATGTTTGAAAGGACCAATATCGATTGTTTGATTAGGAATCACTTGTACCGCAGGATTGGACACAAGACCTTGACATGCCACTGTAAGAGGAGGAGGAATTGTATAAGACACATCTAAACCAGCAAGTTCACCCATTGCTTCCTTATTTGCATTGTGTGCAGTAGTACCATGTCCAGCGATAGCAAAATTTGTAACATCATATGCGACACCGCGTACACTCATATACATATCATCAGGTGTACCATGAGCTTTGATATTGGCAGGAGAATACATATTACGAGTTCCAGGACAAACCACTTCACCGAGGCCAACAATCACAAAGATAACCAAACTTGAAAAGAAGAAAATGACAATACACAAGGTCACTTTTTCTCGCCATGCCATTTGTACGTCCTCTCGTTTCATTTTTCCAAACCATCTTAAGAAAGGAGAAGGAATCCACCATGTCATAAGCCATACGAAGCGAACCCACCAAATACGAACGGCCGTTATTGGCATTTCTTCCACTTGTTCATGTTGTGGCGTTTGATAGTCTTCCACCATTTTGCTCATATCCATATTGGGACCAAACCTATTGCATCAAAAAGTATTAATAACAAGGATCACTATTTTTTTTTTTTTTTTTTTTTACCCTTCAGATAATCCTTTCATTCCCCATTCGGATTCATCACCCCATTGACTTCCTTCACGTTTCATACCATCTTCGGTTTCAGCATAACTTGCATTGTCTTCAAAAAAGGAGGATCGCGGTAAATGTTCACCATTGTCATCGTTGTAAATGGTGGAATTCAAATAATTGAGTTGTTGCTTGTCTCCATAATACAAATTGTGCATATCGTTGTTTCCATTTCCATCTTGGTGATTTTCCATCATATCATCTCCTAAACCTGCTGTCAACGTTTCTGTTGAATAATCAATAGCTGGATCAAGTGGTTGTTGTTGTTGTTGTTGTGCAATGAGCGTCGTTTTCAAGCGTTCACGTTCTTCTTTTTCTGCCACTCGTAATCCATCTTCCAATTCCCTCCATATTTCGTGAGATAACCAAATCATTTCATTCCCCATAGTAGCTTGATCATCTGTCCAATTCATGATTGTCATTGTAGTTTCCACTTGTTCACGTTGAGATTTTGTTTCTTCGTCAATTTGTAAAGACTGTACCAATCGATGATATCGTAATAAGAACTCTGCAAAGGTATAATAGTTCACATATTCTTGTCGGCATCGTAATGTCAGATCAGGAAGAAGGAAGGCTCGTATTTGGACTTTAACTCGTTTTGGATCAAAAGTATCTGGCGTTAACGTATCATTTGGTCGAATGTGTATGATGTTGTAAAGTGTTGTATCAGACATGGTGTTGAATAAATCCCTTAAAGTCATATAAAGTTGATCTGTCACTGTGGTCATTTGCATATTTTGATAAGCATCTTCGGTATCTTTGTTGCTGATCAATTTCTGTTGTCGAAGATTATCTTCAGTATCACCAGGAGAAGGATTGTCACCAGTAGTCTCACCACCAGATAAGTCCATAGGAGTACTTCCAAGTGTAGATATCGTATTACCATTAATACGTCGTTTATTAGGTCGTTTCATGGAGGGTGCACGTGTTGGTTTATTGCTGAGTTGAGCTTTGACAATAGTTCGATCGTCCTTTGGGTGAGATTCTGTTGCCATGACTGAACTTTGGAAAAGAGTCGAAACAAACATATTGGTAGAACTATCGCGTAGTAAATTGACAAAATCAGGTGATAAATCATCCAAATTTTTTTCCAAAAAGGCATCCACAGTGTAATGAACAGTACCAGAGAAGTGATTGATCCCAAAAGCATAAGCATAACCAGATTTTGCATAAGAAGGATGTGATCCATATTGTCGCTGTACATTGGCAAGAAAATTGGCTTCAGTAGCATCAGTAGCACCAGTTTGATATTTTGCACAATCACGATCCATGACTCCCATAATACCACCCAAGCCAAGAGAAGCAGATTTTTGAATGTGCCTACTAGATTCATTTGAATTGTTGAGATCTTTTTCTTTTCCAATAAGTAGTTCCAAGCATCCAGAATTGTCCATAGTAATCACCTTGTTTAAATATAGTCCATCCCTGGTCATCGCTGCATTGATTCCTTCAGAATCGTTGAATTGTCGTTGTATAACATATTGATGTATACGTTCGTTGGCAAAGTTGGCACAAAATTCTTCAAATCCATTTGTCTTGAAATTTTGAAATCCGAATTGATCCAAGATACCAATAAAGTTTGCAGGTTCATCTTGATCAGTATAACAAATTTTTGTATTGATAGATTCCACAATCCATAAAAACAACACATGATAAAGAGCACGAGCCAGAGCATCACGTTGTTCAATAGCACCTTGAGGGTTCAAAAACATGGTACAAAGTTCTTTTCGAATAAGACGTAACTTATATGTGAGGGACGTTTCTAATTTTGAAGGTGATACACCAAGCATAGCAGAGACCAATTCCAATTCGTCTGTATTTCGTACATTACAAGCTTCTTGAGTAGCCATTCCACCATCACGATTTTCACCAAATTGAAGATTACCAAGATGCATGATAGCAGCCAATAATTGGAATATTTGAGTAACTGTTTTTGCTTTGAATCCACAAACCTTGAGAGCACTTTTTAAATCACTAAATCCAATAGAATCATTGATACCTTGTACTTGTATACATTTGGAATGACCAAGATAATGAAAATGATCTGGATCAAAATTGATATGTAAAGCGGCTTGTTCGTCAGTACTTGTACCAGCCAAAAGTTGATAAAATACATTGAAAGAACGTTCATCCTTGGGTACAGAGGTAACACGAGATTTGTCAAAATAATAGGTCAATGTTTTTGCACCTTGAATACGACCACGTTCACTAAATTGAAGTTCTTGGAACATACCAAATTTGGAGGCGGAGTTGTTTTGACAAGTTTTAGCATGACCAAAAGATTCTAATATGACCAAAGCGTTCTTAATTTGATGTTGTAATTTTGATTCCTTTTTACTGTGAGTTGATAAAAATAGTAATTGATTGAGAAGATGTGTTTTTGTTGTACTTTTTCCAGAACCAGTAATACCACTAAAATAAAAAATAAAAATAAATAAATATTAAAAAAAAAGAATGTTAGTTTAGGTTTGCATAAAAAAAAACTATTTTTCTGTGGCTAGATTGATGCGGAGGTACAAATAATGCTTTTTTAGTACTACTTGATGTATAAATATCAAAGCAGATCTGATCATCATCATCATCATCTTATTTTTAGGGGGAGGGGAAAGAAGGAAGGTGATAGAAGAAGCGCGACAGATAGAGGAGGAAGAGAGGGGATAGACGTGTTCAGGGATAATATTTTTTATTTTTATTTACCTAAGAATAATTGTTTGATCTTCACCAGTACGACGCATATGAAAGTAGATCCTAGTAGCCATATCATATATATGAGGTTGCATAAAAGGTTTTTGTCCAGATATATTTCGATAACCATAATCAGCATAACTTTGTAAAGTGGCATCATTCAAAATATCTAAAGGTTGATATGGATTGAGTACAATAAGGTTGAAGTGACCAAGTTGAGTATATGGTTGATTTCGTTTATATCTTGTTTGTAATAAATTCACAATATTATCTTCAGAAGGAGGTTGTGTTGAATTAGTTAACAAACAAGTAAGATCCGTTCTACGATCGTCTTGCATGTTGATGGAAAGTTGAGTTTATTGAATAGATTCAAAATAAAATAAAATAATAATAAAAAAAAAAGAGAGAGAGAGAGAGAAAGAACGTACTAAAAAAAGAAGAAGTAGTTTTCTTTCAATCTTGTAACAATCTTGATGGCTAAAATAATAATAAAGAAAAAAAAAGAAAAGAAAAAAAAAGGAGAAAGAAAGAGAAAGAATAAGTAAAGAGGGGGGGGAGAAAGAAGAGAAGTTATTTTTGAATCTACGCTCCCTTAAGAAAAAAAAAAAAGGGGGGGAAGAATATCAAGTAAAAATACGTATTTTTTTTAATGGAATCATTAATCCTCCCATTCTATTTTGTCTCCACTACTCCTTTGTAACAAGAAGAACTTTTTATTATTTATTTTTATCAAATGATAAAATATTCAAATTTAACTTGTTTATTGACACTTTTTTTTGTGTATGTTGAACTTATGCTTGAACAGTTTTTTTTTTCCATTTTTGAAACACCGAAGTCTTATATGTAAATATTTTTTTTTTCTTTTCTTTGTCTCATATCCCATATTCTATATTTTTTTTTTTTGAAATAGAATATTCGTTTTTACTCTTATTATTGTGAATGACTTCTAACAATAATAAAATATCAAATCATAATAGAAAATTCTTATCAATTCAGGTAAATATACATAAAGATTTGATCATGTAAACCAAATATTTTTAATCTTTCTTTCTCTTTGTACTTATATTAGACTTCCTGTCGTCCACTAGTATCTGTGACTATTCCAAAAGCTACCTTGGTTAGAAACAATGATATAATCGAACAACCAGTTATTTATACTTCGGATATCAAGAAAACACCACGTGAACTCAATTACCATGGAGGAATACGCGCAATACGACGAAAATCTGTGACTGATACTGGTTTGATACATTATATAGTTAAATGGAAAGATGGACATACAACAAAGGTAAACAGTATAATTTCATATATAATAATAATATTAATAATAATAATAATAATTTTATTTATTTTATCTTAGTCTTCTCCTGAATCATTGATCAACTTTAAGAATTTGGTGGAAGAGTACGAATATGAACAGTTTCTGAAAACCGATGAACAGCAATCAACCCCAGCTATTCAGCCTTATGATATACAAAGAGATTCAAGTGACGATAGTCATCCTGATTATCTAACGACAAACAAAACACAATCATATCCTAAAAACATACGACACAAAAAGGACACTACTTCTGATGATGATTATAGTGAGGAAGAACAAATACATTATCGAAAACGCAAGAGAAGATCTAGTGCTAAGGAAGACAAGACTTTACGAAGATCAAAACGTGTTACTCAACCTATTGAATACAACTTCAACATCTCGGACGATCACATTGTCTTATCCAGTGACGACAGCGATAGCTCAATGATAACTTCCAAACACTACAGATCAACTCCACAGGTCCGTACAGTATCAACACCTATCAAAAAATCAACAACAAAAGGTACTTACAACATAGCCGAATCGAATACAAATTTTGCAAGACAACATGATCAAATATGCAACATATGTAAAGGCTCTGGTGACAAGCTTTTGAACAACAAATCCATCGCAGTGACAAATGATCGCGTATTACTTTTATGTCGGTATTGCTCGAACTCCACTCATCCAGCATGTGTTCAATCTACCAAACAATACCAATTGACTACTACGACAAAAGAAACTCCAGTTCTTTCCGAACTTGGTTTCAGTAATACTACAACCTCTGATACGAATGATATACAAAAGGAACCAACTTATTATCATGTATGCCGCCAATGTTACAAAGGTGCAAATGATGGAAAAATCGACACTGGAACTTGTTATATATGCAATAAAGAATTTACTTTTGACGGCAACGATCAACGTTCGAACGATCCCTTATTTCGATGTCGAAATTGTACGCGTGCCATTTGTAGTGATTGCATTCATATGGATTGGGAAACAAAAAATGGCAAAAACAGTAGTGATTCGGATATATCAAACGACAAGGAACAAAAGAAAGCAAGAGCAGTAGAAAATACATGGAAAACGATGGAATGTGGCACATGTAGATACTTTTCTGGTCAAGATATTGAAACTCTGCTGACTTGGCTACCCGTGAATACAAATGAAGAACCAACTACTACACTGTTACCTTGCGTGAATACCAAGAATCCATGTACTACTGATGAAGACAAATCATATCGAAAGAACAATGATAATACACATAGATTGGATAGTACAACAAAGAACAGAGTGTTTCTTGTGAAATGGAAGGATATATCTTACCGACATTTGGACTGGGTACCTGAAACATGGCTTGCTGGTGTGTCTCCAATGAAGTACAACAATTATTTAAAAAAACACTATGATCAATATCCTATCAAAGTGGAGGATGCTGTACCATTCTATTGGAAAGTAATTGACCGAGTATTAGATACAAAGCAATCACAAAGTGGACATGTCAAGATGGTGTTTGCAAAATTTCGAGGATTGGCCTATGATCAAGGTAAAAAAAAAAAAAAAAAAAAAAAAAAAGATTAAAAAAAAATTATTAAGGAGAAACTTATCATCTATGTATTCTATTTTTAGCATGTTGGGATACTCCACCCTTCGAGGCACAGTTGACAGCACCCTATCATGAAGCATTAAGACGCTATCGGATGATGGACAGTATCAAACCAGTAAACGAAATGAAGGAACATATCTCCATATTAAGATCAAAACTAAGAGCAGATGATTTTGGTCGTCTACGTGAATTGAAAAAGCAGCCGGATTATGTTACCAATGGAACAATTTTACCTCATCAATTGGATGGATTGAAGTAAGTTGTGTTGTTTTGCTATGCAACTTTTTCTGATTTTTTCTTTTTTATATTTATATTTTGATTAGTTGGCTTATCTATCAATGGGAACAACAACAACCTTGTATCTTAGCAGATGATATGGGACTTGGTATGTGATATACATATATAGATATACCATAACCAAATAATCTAGAGCTAACAATTTTATTTGATTAATCATATAGGCAAGACCATTCAAATAGTTACATTTTTGGATTATCTTTTCAATGAATACAATATATATCCATTCCTCGTAGTAGTTCCCAATAGCACAGTGACAAACTGGATACGTGAATTCAACAAATGGGCTCCTGATTTGGTAGTGGCTCCTTACTTTGGTTCTTCAACCAGCAGAGATATGGCAAGAAAATACGAAATATTCCGTCATGGTCAACAGCGAAATCAAATTAGCTGTCACGTGGTTATGATGACCTATGAATCAGCATTAAGTGGTATTCGATACTTCAAAAACTTGGATATTTGGCCTTACCTCATAGTGGACGAAGCACAACGACTGAAAAATATGGAGAGTCAACTCTTCCTCAAGCTTGCAGAACTCAATACTGACAATAGGATATTACTTACAGGTAAATAAGGAAGTAATCAGTCGTTTTTGTAGATGATGACACTTTTACTGACATTTATTTTCATTATTGTAGGAACACCGTTACAGAACAATATTGAGGAACTTTTTAACATTATGCATTTTATCGCTTCATCTAAATTTCGTGATATCGATGCACTTACAGAATACTATAGGGAATTCACTCAGGATTCAATTCAGGAATTACACCGAAAGTTGAAACCTTACTTCCTCCGGCGAACCAAAGAAATGGTGCTTGTCGACTTACCACCCAAGAAAGAAATCATTGTACCAATCTCTATGACCAGTCTACAGAAAGAACTTTACAAGGAAACATTGACAAAGGGCACCAAGATTCTGGCTCAACTTCAAAAGCAATCCAGGGGAAAAATCAATAATAAAGAAATCAAGAAATCAGGGATAAACTACAACAATATACTTATGATGCTTCGAAAAATCCTCAACCATCCTTACCTCATTCCTGGTGTGGAAATTCCTCAAGAGACTCAAAGTGCGACACAACAAGCAATGATAGATGCAAGTGGGAAATTGAAATTATTGAAGTTAATCCTTCCGAAGCTCCGGGCACAAGGACATCGTGTACTTTTATTCTCAACAATGGCTATAGCTTTGGATATATTGGAAGATTACCTAGTAGGGGAAGGGATCAAATTTGTGCGAATAGACGGAAATACTCCACAACTACAACGTGTTACTAATATGGATATATTCAATGCTTCTGATTCCGATGTCGATGTATTTTTATTAACAAGTCGTGCTGGTGGTGTTGGAATCAATTTGGCAACTGCCGATACGGTGATCATCTACGATTCGGATTATAACCCACATGTTGATTTACAAGCAATTAGCCGTGCTCACAGAATGGGTCAAAAGTCTCCTGTCTTGATCTTACGTTTTGCAACAAGATTATCGGTGGAAGAAAGTATTTTGAACAAGGCCAAGAAAAAAATGGTATTGGATCATTTAGTGGTGGACAAGATGGATGAAGAAGAAATAGAACCAGATGATATCGAATCTATTGTGAAGTTTGGACTCAAAGCTCTCTTTGATGAAGATGATGGACCTGAAGATATCGTCTATGATTCTGCTGCTGTGGATGAACTACTGGATCGTGATGCTCAATTTAAAGCTGATACACCATCATCGTCAACAACCGACACTATGGACCCTGCTACCGATGATACTACGAAGGACAAAAAAGAAAATGGATTCATGTCTTTCTCGTTTGCGAAGATCTGGCAGAAACAAAAGGGTCCTGTGGATGCGCAAAATGACAATTTGATGCAAGTGAATGGCGAAGAAAACCAAGGAAAACCCGATAATGCAGATGATGACAATGTGTGGGAACGACTTCTGGCAAAAAATAGAGAAGCTTTAGAAGAAGAAAAACTACAACAAGCAGAAAAACTAGGACGTGGTGCTCGACAAAGAAAAGTGATTGTAAAGTTCTCCAAAAAAAAAAAAAAAAAAAAAAAAAAAGTGCTACTTTTACTTACTTTCTTTTTATCATAGTCTTACCGGGAGCAACGCCCCTTGGCAAAAGCTTTAGCAAAATCATCAAAGACTCGCAATATCAGTCAAGACAAAGAAGCAACGGCCCCTTACAATGAAGATGACGATAGCACTGACACTGATTATATCCAAGAAAATGAAGAGGAGGATGACGACGAAGAATATACTGAGCATGATCAACGGCAAAGCATACATAAATCTCATCCACCACCTCCAGCAGAAGTAGTGTCACCAGATAGGTCAACATCTCAAGTCAAAGCATCATTCCCAAAACCTGGCTATTTCATGGTACCGAATGCATTGAATCAAGTCCCACTATTACCTGCGACTCGAATTCTTCCTCATGAACCGGCATCCTCTCCATACGGTTCGTCTGTACAGAATGAAAACGATAGGACACCGCGCTGGCATCTGCCTATGTCTTTAGATCAAGCACGCCAAGTCATGTTACTGACATCACAACAACTAGAACAGTCAATATCCTCGAAGCGACAGTATCAACAAATAGCGGCGCGTCCAGTGATTCCTCAACAGATACCACAACAAATGCAAACAAGTTTATCCCCGTCCCTTCTATCCAACATGCATCCAGGATCGTCTTCTGACCAGATACAACAGCAGCATCAACAACAGCAACAACTTCATCAACAGCAAATGAATCCACAGCAAATGCATCAACAACAGATTTATCAACATCGATTTCATCAACAACCTTTCATCAACAATGACTTCAACAATTTCATTTACGAAAATGTCGACAAAAACCATCATGTTCCATAGGATATAGATATTAGTGTTTTATATTATTAAATAAAATGTGTATTCTTTATTTGTATTTATTTTTTTGATAGGAAATATTACGTTGATGAATAGATAAATCATATATATATAAAAAAGGGGGGTTATCTATCTACATGATGATTTGAGGTTCCGTGATATTAACTGAGATTGACTTGTGAGGTAAGATAGAGCCACCATTGACATAAATTTCATCATTGATTGTCACATCATCACCCAATACAGAGCAACCTTCCAAACGAGACCAACGACCGACAGATGAATGCCAACCAACAATACTAGAATGAACCCAAGCATAATCTTTGATCGTAGCACCTTCCAAAATGACACATCTTTGTAATCGGGCACCTTGACCAATTTCCACGTTGGGACCAATCACGACGTTTGGACCTATGCGACAATCCTTTCCAATCTTTGCTGTAGGATGTACCATGACATTACCCTTGTGTACAAATGCTTGTGTACATAAAAGTTCAGATTGTTTCTTGGCTAAATAAGCGAGATACAAACACGTTCCTGTTAGGAAATCCTTGGGTTGACCAATATCCATCCAAAATCCTTCCAAATCAAAAGTATGTAATTGTCCATCTTGTGCTACGTAGGGAAATACTTCCTTTTCAATTGAAGTAGGTTTCAACTATATGTCATTCGCAAAAAAAAAAAAAAAAAAAAAAAAAAAAAAAAAAATTGGTCAGTATTTTTATCATCCTACATTATATAAAATGGGATTTACCTCAATACGATCCAAGACAGAAGGACTAAGAATATATATACCGGCATTGATTTTATTACTAATGAATTCTTTTGGTTTTTCTACAAAACGTTCGATTCGATGTTGATCAGGATGATTGACAATGACACCATACTTGGAAGGATCATCCACCTTGGTGACGACAATAGTACCTTGATGACCATGAGACAAATGGAAATCGCGTAAACATTCAAAAGGGTAATCACAAATAATGTCACTGTTCAGTACAAAGAAGGGAGAGTCATCTTTGGCCAAAATAGCACGAGCCAACGCCAAAGGTCCTGCTGTACCCAAAGGTTCTGTTTCCACAGAAAAAGTAATCTTGACATTGTATTCCTTTTCATATGACTTTAACGCTGCTACCATGATTTCTGGTCGATAATTCACCGCTAATACAATATCTGTTACACCTGCCTTGGCAAGATGTTCAATTTGATGTAGAATCATGGGTCGATTGGCGAATTCAACAAGTGGTTTGGGAAGTGTCAAGGTTAATGGTCGTAAACGTGTACCAAATCCTAAAACAAAAGAAGAAGGTTAATGTATTGAAACATATAACTATTTGTTTTTCTTTTTTTTTGAAATAAATACACACCTCCAACAAGAATAAGAGCTTTCATAATGGTCAGTCAATAGATAAAGTAAAAAGAAGAAAGGAAAAAAAAAAAAAAGGAAGAACAGTTTTATTCCGTTTGGGCGGCATATCAAAATCCTCACCAAAAAATCAACTGGCATGAACAAAATGATGATTCGCATTGCAACCTGAATAACATTCTTCTAATGGGACCAATAAAGTCAAAGAATCAAAAAACGTTTGATTCTAAAACGATAATGAATAATCTCTTCAAGAAATGTACATGATGATGATTTACTTGTTTAGTTCAATCAAAGTTATTAAAAAAGTCATCTTATTGAAATGATAGAAATAAAACGTGATTCCTAATAATAATAATAAAAAAAAGGGGGGACAAGATGATGATAAATGGTATTTACTTTGAATAAAGAATTGGTTCGGTTTCTAATTTATTGTACCATTAACAACCCACGTTTTTTTTATTATTGTTGCCACTTCTTGGCGGGTAATTCTAAAGAAAAGAAAAGAAAAAAAAGAGTACCCAATTGATTCTCGGACTTTGCCTTCTATAGTATAAATATGATATTTGGCTAAAAAAAAAAAAAAAGAAAAAAAAAAAAAAAAAAAAAAGGAGATATATATATATATATATAGAGAGAGAGAGAGAGAGGGATGATCAGTTTATGATGATGTTCAATAGCTTGGATGATCGTGCTTTATAATAATGAATGGTGTGAATAGGGGAAAACCTTGGTTTTACTTTTTGTTATCGATAAACAACTAACATTTGGTGCAACCTGATGGATGATCACCCTTCACCTTTTTTTTTTCTCCTTTTTTTTTTGAACTTGGTTCTCATTGTATCACTATAAAGTGACATCATATTTCTGTAACCTTTTTTCAAGAATTAGAAGAAGAATATATATAAAAAAAAAATATACTTTGACTTGGAGTAACCTTCTCTTGTATTTCCAGAAAAAACAAACTCAGCTTTCTACTTTTTATTGATTTATGTTTTCGCCGAATGTCAGGGTGTGAATATATATTCAAAAAAGAAATCTTCTTTATAAAGTTTAGTCTAATATATCATACACATCAAGTTTTTTTTTTTTTTTTTTTTGTTACTTTATTTTTCTCTATTCATCACATGAGTTGAAGCTCAGTTCGTCCTCTCGGAGAAAAGACAAGGCAAGAACTTTTCCATTTCAAGTATAAGCATCACAGATCATCAATGCTGATTGGTCAAGGACCATTTGAAAGTTCATATATGGATTAGTACATAAACACCAAATAAAGAAAGGAGTATGGTATTTTATTTTTTTATGTTTTATGCAATGATTCTATACCTAAATTGTGTGTGGAGGCGGGGGAGAACTCCCTCTCTTTCTCTCTTGGACCCAACGCCAACTTTAAAAAAAAAAAAAAAAAAACTCATCTGAGTATAAAACTATGCGTAATCAAAAAGAAACGTTACTTTTTTTTTTTCCTTTTCTTTTCTTTTCTTTTCTTTTCTTCTTTACTTTCTTTTTTTTATATATATTTTCTTTGTCTTGTATTCATTTTATACATCTATTTGAAAGTCATCCTTTTTTTCTTATATTATATATATTGAAACCAAACTATATACAGAAATATTGATAAAAGTATTTGTTTGATCCAAAAATGCCTTTGAAAGGAAAAGCGTTGTTTGCTGCTTCTACTACTTTAGCTGCCACTGGGTTTTTACTCTTTGGTTATGATCAAGTAAGTTGATTACTTAATAAGGATAACTTTTGTTTTTACTAAAACACAAATTTCTTTTTTTTTATTTTATTAATAGGGTGTCATGTCTGGTATCATTACAGTAAGTAAAAAGAATAGTTGATTTCAATTAGATTTAATCATTCAAACTTTAATCTTTTTTTTTTCTATTTTGCAGAATGAGGAGTGGTATAAATTAATGGGACGACCTAATGATGCTACTATTGGTGCCGTGGTAGCTCTCTATGAAATAGGTATATATCTAATATGTGACCTTTTTCCTTTTTTTTTTTTTTTGTAATTCTCCTCGCTTATATCTTTGTTTTTGTTATAGGATGTATGTTTGGGGCCCTTTCTTGCGGTAAAATAGGTGATTGGCTTGGACGAAAGATGACCATCCGTGTAGGTTCCGTTATTTTGATCATTGGTGCTGTTATCCAAACTGCTACTCAAGATTTAGCCATGTCCATTGTTTCCCGTATCATTACTGGTGTTGGTAATGGTATGATCACTGCTACTGTTCCTGTTTACCAAGTAAGTGAATTGAACTCATTTTCGAAATGGATGATATTAATATATGATTTTTTTCTTTAAAAAAAAAAATAGTCTGAAATTGCTCCACCTCATTCAAGAGGAGCTAATGTATGTTATGAATGTACTTTACTTGTGGTTGGTATGTCAATTGCTTACTGGCTTGAATTTGGTCTATACTATGTTGGTGGTGAATTTGCTTGGCGATTCCCCTTAGCTTTCCAAATTGTCTTTGCCTTGATTCTTCTTGCTGGTACAGCTATTCTTCCTGAAACTCCTCGTTGGTTGGTATCTAAAGATCGAAATGAAGAAGCAAAAGTCGTTCTGGCTCGCTTATGGACGAATGAAGATACAACTCATCCTCGATGTGTATCTGAATTTGAAGAAATCCGTGATGGTATTGAATTAGAACGTCGTTTAGGTATTTCTTCTTATAAGGAACTATTTAGCAAAGGTCGATTCAACAATAGATATCGTGTCCTTATTGGTATGCTTAGTCAAATCATTCAACAATTATCTGGCATCAACGTAAGTTTCCCTTCACAAATATATATATATATATATATATATATAGGTGGATGAACTCATCTTTTTTTTTTTAATTTAATCAATGAATAGGCAACTACTTATTATTTGACCTCAGTGTTCAAACAAGCTGGTTTCAGTACACCTATGGCTATGATGTTTGGTGGTGTGGATACAGTCGTATATGGTATTGGATCATTATTACCTATCTTCTTTGTGGAAAAAGTGGGTCGTCGACCTATCATGTTATGGGGTCTTGTGGGACAAGCAGTGACATTGATTTGTTTAGCAGGATGTCAAAAAGCAGGGGAAGATTATATAAGTGGTATTATCTCTACTCCTGGTGGTCAAGGTGGTGCTGCAGCTTTCACCATGTTATACAACTTTGTGTTTGGTGCATCTTGGCTTGGAATGGCATGGCTTTATCCAGCAGAAATCTTCTCTACAGCAATGCGTGCTAAGGGTAACTCAATGAGTACAGCAGCCAACTGGCTTGGTAATTTTGTGGTTGCAGAAATCACACCTATATTGTTTGGTAGCATTCACTTTTGGACCTATATCTTATTTGCCTTCCTCAATATATTGTTTATCCCTATGGTATACTTTTGGTTCCCTGAAACTAAAGGTTTGACTTTGGAACAAATCGAAATCTTGTTTGCTACTGATGATGTCAAGGCAGACGCTCAATCTATTCAAGAACATCATCGTGAACATCATACAGATCCTAATAAAGCCCTTGATGTGGAAAAGATAGAAATCACTGCTCAAGATAAAGTGGAAAAGCAAGAATCATCTAGCGGAAGCAACTCGGACTCTGGAAATGAAGTGGACAAGACAGTGGATGTCAATAACGAAAAACAAAATCAATGATGTTGATCGGATATACCTTTGGATGTTTTTTTTTTTTTTTGTCTCCTTATTCTTTTATTAGAGTTTGTGTGATTGATTGTTACTAGTTTGTTTATTAGTATATGTACTATATTTATTACTTTTTTTTTTCTCTCTCTCTTGTTTTTTTTTATAGGGTGATGGATCATCACCATCATCATTGCCCACTTCTTTTTATTATTATTTTTATTATTATTATTTATTTTTATTACAATACAATTTATCTCTATCTTATATTTGTTATTTTACTTAGTTTAGTTGTTGATGATCGTCAATCATACAAATAAACATATTATATCTCCTTTTTTTTTCTCTCTCTCTCTTTTGTAGTTGGACAAGGAAAAAGAAAAAAAAATAAAAATAAGAGGTTAGGCTTGATCTCGGAGATAGAACGAATAGTTTGGGGGAATCAGATGAGAAACGATAATAATTTATCAAATGGGATTATAGTTTAGCTCGATAATTTTTACTATTCATCGGTTCTGAGAATGAAAGGTGGCACATGCATCTATTTCACTATTTTTTTTTTCTTCTAAAGACTGGGGAACAATAACAAAAAAAAAAGGAGAGGGAACAATGACCCGATTATTTTCATTGCCATAGTTTGACATTTCATCCCTTTATCTTTTTTTTTCTTGTACATCCAGTCATGTCCAGATCAGGGTTTTTTTTGATAGATTTTCTCTCCAAAAACAGATAAAAAGGGATCGTTTTACTTCCAAGTTTGACCTTTTTTACTTTTTCTGTAAAAAAAAAAATCATCAGGGAAAAAAAAGAAACTTTCTTTTTTTTTTTTTTGATGATTCAGAAAAATACAATATCATGTCACACGATACCCTGGAAAGATGGAAAATCTTTCTTTTTAAGCCCGATGTGATACATTTGTACCTTGGCCAAAAAAAAGTTAGGATCAGCTACATACATTGTAAAAAGTCACGATGATGAAATATACAAATTTGAACTTGATAATAATACATATAAATAGAAAAATATAAAACCCATTGTTTTATTGTGAAGACATATTTATAAACAGATTCACGTGGAATCACTAGTTTACGTAGCCTTTTTTTTTCGACGAGTACAAACAATGGATGATGGTTAGATGAATGATACAAACGATGAGTAGTACAAACAATAAATAAATTTGAATGAGAAGGGGGGGGGAGTAAAGAGAAAAAAAATGAATATCAAATGACAATATAATATATATGTTATGTGTATACAAAAAAAAAAAAAAAGAATGCACAAAATGTAAGTTGAATAGAATGGAATAATAATAATAAAGTGGGGAATCATTAACTGTGCTTGACCATCATCCGATGTTGGCGATTTGAGCATTGCCAGGGCTTGTCATATCGTTAGCACCAGAACTTGTTAATAAAGAGAAGGTTGTTACAAGCAATACAGTTCCAAAAACGTCTATCATTGCCGTTCTATAATAATAATAATAAAAAAGGATTAGTGCATGTCCATTTTTTTATCTTTTTTTTTTTTTTAAAAAAAAAAAAAAACGAACTTACAGATAAGGAATCACATAGTTATCAGGATCATATCCCATTTTCCAAAACCCTAATGTCATCCATTTTCCAATCTTGAGGCATATAAAAGTCTAAAAAGAAAACAAAAGATTCATCATCAAAACATCGTTCTATGTTATAGTATTTGTACTTACACAAATAAGTGATACCAAGATATAAGTCAAGAAGAACCAAAAATTGTAATCCAATTGTCCCATATCAAATCCCCAAATGATAAGTAAGAATACACATTGAACTGGAAAATTCATAAGGAATAAAACCCATTCTACTGACGCATAATTTTCATAGGTGTCCTGATGTAAGCTTGTACTAATACGTGAAGCATAGATTGATCCCAAATTGCCTGCTACACCAATCAATACTGGTGTCAATAGTGCTACACCTTTGTATTTTTCAACATACTGTTCCAAGACCACTCCAGCAAGACTAAAATAAATAAATAAAAAGTTTAGTTCGAATAAATAAAAGTATAACTATTTTACCTTGATATCACCATGGCACAAACTATAGGAGTCCATCCTACAAATAACAGATCTTTTGCATGTTTGTTTTTCCATACTATCAATCCAAATAGAGGTACAGATGTAAGCATCACCAAAAAGACAAACGTACTTAAAAGAGAATCTACAAATTTAAGACTTTAGTATCATCATTTTTCTTTTATTTTATTTTATTTTATTTTTTAAAAGTATACCCATTTGGCCTTGAAGCACCACCGCACATCCAGCTAAAAGAATCAAAGTCACTATATCACCTGTTGCAGAAGCTAAAGGACATGCAATATTATCTATATATGATAATCAAAAAAAAAAAAAAAAAGAATTAGTTTTTTGATATCAGAAAAATTTGCTATAAACCATACCAGGATTTACATTGAATCGTCGACAAATTAGAATCAATGCACACATAAAAACACCTAAAATAGCACTCGAGAAAGAAGCAGATACCATGGAACTTGAAGTCATATAAACGCATTCATGATAAGAACTAGTACTGTCAGGACGAGTCATCAGACCTAATGCAAAAGAAGCCAAGCCTGCCACTGCGCCTGCAATCAAGGCTTGAACTTGGAGTAATGCTAAATTACCAATAACAAGAGACCTTCGAACTGGACCATAATCTAAATCACCCATGTTTGCCTTTAAAGAAAAAAAAAAGTGTTGTCATTAGTATCATGGTCTGTGCTTTGTCAATAAGTTATTTTTACCGATGTAGAGAATCTTGAAGCAAGTATCATTTCTAAATTGCCTTTCAGGTTCAATAGAATAGGTAATAAAATAAAAAGTTCTGGAGTTCGAAGGAAGACATCCCAATGCTATTGGTAATACAATAATAAGAAAATAAAATAAAGATAAGTATGTATATATATATAGATAATTGTAATACAAAAAAAAAAATACTTGCCTGATATTCATCCATAAGTACACCAGCAACAATAAGACCAATAAGAGAGACTATCAAAGAAGGCAGAGACTGTGTATAAAATTGTGCATAAGGTTCAATCATGGATACCCATTTAACAAAACGAGCATAGATATTCAAACCAAAGCAAAACAAATCAAATAAAATAGAAATATCCATTATACATAGTCACACCGTATAAAATAAATAGAAATAAAAAAAAAAGAATGGATTGAGTAAAAGAAAGGTAGAGAAAGAAATGAATAAATATAGATAGGGGTTGATGTTTTGTAAATATAAAAATAAGGAGAAATCGATAAGGGAGAGAAGGGTATAATGATGAAAAGTATATCAAAAAAAAAAAAATGAGTTAAAGGAGATATGTACCTGAAAGACCAAATGTTTTGGAGAGGTTTTGACTATAGTCAGTTTTGTGATGGTGTCTTCTGCTGGAGTCAATTGGTTTGCTTCCTCTAACAATGCTTCCATACTATCACGATGAAGAGAGTTACTATGTTTATGTCGCATAGGGTATAGCTGTAATTGGTGTTGTTCTTGTTGGTTTTGTTGTAATCGTATATCAGGAGGTTCGTCATCTTCATTTATCGTGTTCGATAGTTCAATATAATCATCATGTCGGGTAGTTATTAAAGGTGCCATCAACTGGTATAATATAAAAGAAAGATGAATAAAAAAAAAAAAAGAAAAAAAAAGAGTGTTGAGGATGAATCTAAGTAGTATTGAAAAAAAAAAAAAGATAAGAATAATAATAAAAAAAAAAAAAGAAAAGAGAGATGTAAATGAGAGAGAAGGACAGCAATGAAAGGTACTCAAAAAGAGGAGTTGGAAATCTTGTAATTTAAATATTGGTGGTACACCCGATATCATATCATTTTAGCGCCAATCCTTTTTTTACCAATAGAAAAATTGATAAGATATAGCTTTTTTTTTTGTTAATTAAATTATAATAATAAATAATCACATAGTTATATAATTTCTATTTTATAGTATTGATAGTAATATGGCAAATATCAAAAATAATGGTCGATCATGTTAATTGTGTAACATGTCACGTTTTTTTTTTTTTTCTTATTCGCAAAATCCCTCAACCCCAGGATTTCTTTTCTAAATAATCTATTCTATGATGATTACCTTTCCGACCCGAATCATTTTTCACTCAAAAATGTCAATCACCAACCTTTCTCTTTCTCTTGTTAGATTCTACGGATGCATAGATCCGTTGCTACGGAAGTAATCCTTACCATTTCAAATGCCGATTGATATCTAAAAAAGCTTTTTTTTTTTTTTTTTTTTTTTTTTCGTTCTTTTGGTTTCTTCGCCTTTCTTTCTTTCTATTAGTCCCAGCATGGCTACTTACACTAATCCTGTATTTTTAGCAGCTACTACTGAAGATCATTTTGAAAAGTCAATGAAAGTTCGTATTACTGTCTTTGTTGATGAACAAAAATATCCTCTATATACCGAAGTGGATGAGTAAGTTTTATTATAGTTATTATTTTGTGTGACTCACACTGACAAAATTAGTTAAGAGGTACTAACTTATATTATATATTATTAGCGAATATAATGACAAGAGTTACGTCTGGCTGGTACAATGTGACAAGACTTTAGAAAATGGTCAAGTAGAACATGACGTCCCTGTAGGTACCGTACGACTGATCACAGTATCTGAAACTGTTGGTAAACTTGGACGATTGGCCGTTATTTCTGAAGCTCGTGGACTCTCCCTAGGTAAAAAATTGGTGCAAACAGTAGTGAAGGATGCAGCTGACCGAGGAATGACTGCAATTGTAATCCATGCTCAATACGATAAACAAGGCTTTTATGAACGACTGGGTTTTGCCGTAGAAAAGGGTGATGAACAGACTTTTTTGGAAGATGGTACTCCTCATATCCGCATGTGGCATCGTGGTGTTGGTAAAAATTAGTGTAGTTTTTTATTATCATCTAATATTGACTATATAGACAAACTTATTACATATTTTTTTTATAATAAATTTTGACATTGATTCCATTTTTTTTTTTTTTACCAATTCCTGAACGCGATATGGGCGTGACTTGAAACCAGCATGATTTTTTTTTTTTTTTGTAGGAAAAGAGATAGCCCCCATTTTTTTTCTCGTTCTCTCTTTTTTTCTATTTTTTTCTTTTTACAATTCCTTCTTTTTTTTTCATCATTGAATGCCATCTAACCGACGACCATTATTACAACAAAGCTCACCTTATAACGATAGCGCACGAATAACCTCTTTTGGCAACAGGGGCCAATCAGTTTCTCCCATTGGACCACGCACGTCTGCCTTGAATCTTACCTCCAGTATCAACAATAATAATAATAATAATAATAATAATAATAATAATAATAATAACAGTCCCAACACATCGACTCATGATTTCTCTATTTTACAAGCTGGTGGAAACAGTGGTATTGGTAATAGTAGTAGTATGATGGGAAGTCCTGATACACGATTCTTACGACATCAACGGCGACAACAACGTTCAGGATTCCTGGATGTCTTTGGTTCTCCTACTGCTGATAGTTCACTTTACGACAATTCACGCAATAATGACGACTCTATAGTAGCTAAACATCTTGCTCGTCGAAATTTACTAAGTGATCTTTCTATGCCAAGTGCTGGATTCAATTTTCTCCATCAAATCAACAACAACAACAATTCAAGAGAAGATCGACTACGAATGTTACGACACGATGCTCAACAACAACACTTGACTCAATCAGCTATCTTTTTTGCTGAAAAGGTCATGGCAATGACAAGTAAGTTAAAAAAGAAATCACAAAGAATCCATTATCGATCTTTTTTTTTAATTATTATTTTAGATGATACCAATGACGTTTATTGTCTAGCTCAAGCTTATTATCAATCTCAACAATATGAGCAAGCATTAGATTTATTGAACAAGAAAGAAACTCTCAACAAAAGTGTACAATGTCGTTATCTTGCTGGACTATGTGCTGTAAGTATGTGTTTGTATAAATATTGCAGAAAGATGATCGAATGAACTTTATTCTTTATAGATGGCATTAGAACATTTTCAAGATGCTCTTGATTATTTGGGACATGATAATCCATTTGTAGATAAGGACTTTACACACAACGACAATGTTGATGGAAGTATCAAGGTAAATGAATGATTAAGAAAAAAAAAAAAAAAAAGAGGAAACAGTGTTTTGATCTACTTTGTTGTTATTTGTTTTTAGCTGGAATCCATCATGTGTTATGCTCGAGGTAATGCTTATTTACAGTTGAAGGAAACAATCAAGGCAAAAAAATGTTTCAAAGAGGCATTGACAGTGGATGTGAAATGTTATGATGTAAGTATAAGATGGGAATGAAAAAGAATATGAACTCGAAAATCAATGTATTCACTGGATTGATCTATCTTATTATTATTATTATTATTGTTGTTGTTGTTGTTGTTGTTTAGGCTCTGGAAGCTCTTGTTAGACACAATATGTTGGAAGAAAAAGCAGGTAAGATTTTTTTTAAAAAAAAAGAAAAGATAGGAACATAGTGTTGTGTGTTGATTCTTATGGTTTTCATTCATTTTTATATAGAATGGGAATTTATCATGACTTTACCATACGATACTCAATGCCAAAACAATGATGCTGATTTTTTCCGTGATCTTTATATGCTTCAACTGAAAAGGGTAACGAATTTTGAATGAATCTATCTGTAAATGTTTTTATTCATTTATTGTATTTTTTTTTTTTAATAAACAGTACTCTCACAAAAATGATATTGCCTCTGCACAATATAGAACTGAGGTGGATTATCGACTAGCCAATAGTTTGGATGTTATGCAAAGTACAGCGGAAACATTATTATCTGCACGAAAATACGAGGAATGCCTCAAGATGTGTGAAAAGTAAGTATCAAAGGATTTTTAAGATGGCTATCATTGAACTATTATATATCTTTGTAGAATAAGGAAAATGGATGGACTTTACCGAAGGTGTCTCCCTATCTATTTGACTTGTTTGTATGAACTAAGGATGAAAAGTGAACTTTATGAATTATCTCAAGAATTGGTTAATAGACTGAATGATGAAGCTGTTACATGGCATGCTGTTGGAACATATTATCTTTGTATCAATCGATATGTAGAAGCCCGACAATATTTTAGGTAATAAGATGAAGGAATTGCTTCAGGGTATAAGTTGAACTCAATGTTCTTGTTGTTATATGTAGTCAATCAACATCAATGGATTCTCATTTTGAACCTGCTTGGTTTGGACTTGGACATGGATTTGCAGCAGAAAATGATCATGATAATGCAATTGATGCTTATCTTACATGTAGTAAGCTGGTACCAGGGTAAAGAAAGATCAAATAACTAACAAGTAAAAAGGAATCAGCTATAACTTTTTTTTTCTTTATTATTATGGTTATTTAGGTCACATCTCGCATATATGTACATCGGTATTCAACATATGGAATTAGATGATATGGAAAATGCACTGACGTATTTATCGAAAAGTTTGGAAAGATGTGATAATGATCCATATCTATATATTGAATTTGGGGCTTATTATTATAACGTGGAAAAGTAGGTATAAATAGGAAAGGAAGAATCAAAGTGAACATGGATATATATTAAAAAAAAATAGATTTTTGATATTGACTTTATTATTATTATTTTGATCTTAGTTACAAAGAATCTTTGACTTCATTAGAAAAGGCACTCACATTGGCGAAAGAAAATGGACAAGCTCCAAGTAGTCCAATTTGGGAAAGCATATGGGAAAACATGGGTCATACTTATCGAAAACTAAAGTAAGTAGAAGAGGGAAAAAAAAAAAGTCATTACTTTGTATGTCTGTTTGACTGGATAAAGAGTAACTCACCTATTGATTATAATATGATAGAGAATATGACCTTGCTCTACGATGCTTCAAGTCTGCATTATCTATGAACGCACAGAACTCAAACGTCCATGCTGGTCTAGGGATGATATACCATATATACGGAAAATACGCAAAAGCAGTAGTAGAATATCAATTGGTAAAGTCAAAAAGAAATCATTCAAGTTGATGATGATGACGTATATATTACAGACTTTTGATCATCATATTCATCCAATTTACCTCGTCTTCCTTTTTTTTTTTTTTTTTTTTTTTGATATAGGCACTTCGAAATAGCTCATCGCAAGATCTGGTGATGAATCTACTTGAAAAAGCACTATTGGCAAATTCCTCTACACTTCCCGTACATTTACATACCTTATCTGATAATGATGTTGATTTTGGTGATATGTCTGCTTTTCGTATTTAAATAAAGTAAACTCTTTTTTTTTTTTTTGGTGAAAATGGTTCCAATTGCATTGATTTATATGGAAGAATCAAACATAACAATTAGTAAGGGGTTCACTGAAGCGACAGTCGCAACACATTGGAAGGAATATGATTTACTAGACTTTTGGAATATGATATATACAATTTACTGCACTAGCTAAAGTAATGGGAACAATAAAAAAAAAAGCAGATACATACAAGAGATCAATGGGTGACACTAAAGTCAATACAAAGAAAAGAAAGAAGAGAAACATAAAAATTATCGGCATATCAAGAGACAGAAAAACAGAATTGGGGGAAATCACTATGGCTCATAGTCTTGGTTTATTTTTTTTTACCTAAGAAAAGCAAATCGAGAAGGGTGAGCATAAGACGATTTCCCTTTTTGTATGAAAGTCTATGATCCATTTTAGTGGACGTGACTTTCGTGTGATAAATAAAAGCTCCATAGTCAAGATCCGCACGTACTTTGTAGTCAAGAGAATGATACTTATACGTAGAAAGTACTTTTGTTCGTCAAAAAAAAAAAAAAAAAAAAAATGGCTGTGTGCCCATTATCAATCTGAATCAAAAATATGAAATGATGTGGCTCATGCTTTTTCTTTTTTTTTTTTTTTTGTTTTTTAGAACCATACATCATCCCGTCTACTGCTAAGCTTTCCTTTTTTGGCACCATCACCTTGTTTGACAGATTCATCCGATGACAAGGACTTCACCTGGTAAGGTTTACAAATATTATTATCAATAAAGTATCAGTACTATTCTTATCAACATGCATGAATTCACCCCCAGTAGAGAGGCCAAGCAATTTCTTTTTTTTTTTTTTATCACCGCATGTATCACAAAAAAACAAAAGGCAGAAATGATTGATTGTCTAGATAAACTTAAAAAGAAAAAAAAAAGACATACACCATGATACTTTATTGAAGTCAATATATAGAAAAGTAAAAAAAAAAAAAAATAAAATAAATAAATGGATAGATGGTTTGTTGTGTGTGTGTGTGGGGGGGGGGGTATGCTGGAAATAATAATGATAATGATAATAATAGGAATGGGAAAGAAAAGTACAATAAAAACAAAGAGGAGTCAAAAGGACATGTATAAATCTATCCTAATCAAATCTATTGTCGTCGAGTAGGAGGAGTACCCATATATTGTCCAGGACCCATGAATTGAGGTTGATGAGAAGGAGGAGGTTGCTGCCATTGTTGTTGTTTTGGAGGAGTGGCAGGAGAACTTTGAGGAGTAAAGGAAGGATAATAACCCGATCCAGATTTGACAGGGGCTTCTTTGGAAGGATCAAAATAATGCATAGGTCCACCAGAAACGTCTGATTGATTGTCATCATCCAATAATCCACGACGATCATCATCGATACCACCTTCATGTGTCAAATGTGTAGGTCCCATTTCTCGAATTTGTCTTTCCTTTCGTTCGCGTCGTTTGTTAGCCCTAATACGTTTACGTTCATAATCTTCCCATCGTTTCAAAGGAACCTTGGATGGATCAAATTGTCCTTCAGCCTTGGAATGATCATCGCCCTTAGTTTCACCTTCCACCTTTCTAGTTTCACCCCATGAAAAGTCATCAAAATGCCAGAATGAGTACACAGGTAACACGAAATTCCATACTGGTAGAGCAAGTAAATAAACACCCATCCACATTAGATATACCCATTTACGTGTCGTAATCAAAATCAAGAAAGCCGGTGAGAAGAGCACAATGATCAAGAGAATCAAAGGTACTGCCGTCGAAAAGTCAGTAATTTTAGTTCGAGCCATGTTGATAATCAATACTACAGTCAAGATAATAGCTACAGGAAGTGTCAAAGTACCAACTAAATCCATCATCACTACAAATTGCATAGAGAAACAGAAGGTACCACAGAGATTTCGTACCAATACAAGTTCAAATAAGTTGTGAATAGTAGAATTAATCCATCGACGACGTTGGGATAAGAGTACTTTGAATTCATCAGGTACAATTGTTTTACAAATCTAAATAAAATTAAAAAAAAAAATAAGAGGATTTTCTTTCTATATATTAAAAAAAAAAAAGGACACTTACAGCTTGAGGAGTAAAGACCATTTTTCGGAAGGGGAAATTTCTAAGCATGAGAGTTGTCAAGAATCGATCTTCACCAAGTAATAATAGATTCTTTTGATGAAGGGTATCAATAGTATTGGAGGAATATTCTTGTACAATTTCAGGTTTGGTAATAATAGGAATCCAATCACCATCACCTTTACGAGCCTTGAGTCGATACATAGAGAAACAACCAGGTAAACAGGTCACACCACCAAATACAGCTTCAAAACCTTTTGCCATATGATGAGAAATAAAGTATTCGTATACTTGAATGGCTGTCACCCAAGAATCACGTTTGTTGGCAATTTTCGTTTCACCACAAAGTCCCATAATCAAATTATCATTTACCATACAATTGACTAAAACCCGAAGAGATGTATCATAAACCTTTGTATCAGCATCCACCTATACATAATCCAAAAATAAAAATAAAAATAAAAAGAAATGTCAATCATACGTCATTCAGGAGGAAAAGGGGGAGAAAAGAAACTTACCATGAGTACCACTTCAAAGAGATCAGGAGTAACACCAGTAATATACTTGATTTTTTGGAATAATTCATAATCCAAGGGCGTCATACGATCGTTATAAGTGACACGGCTGAAGAAGTTCATCAGAATAAGTTGAGAATCACGTTTACCACGATTACCAGGTTTTGGTTTTCCTTGTTCGGCAGGTCCACCACACTTGACAATAAGAATCAATGGTACCTTGTGACCCTTGCAAACTAAAAATAGAATGTTGATCAGTTTTTTTTTTTTTTTTTTGTCAAACCTTTCCAAAATTATAATTATTACCATAATGACCAGCATAGACCTTTGCCATATTATATTGTTTGGAACCAGTTGCTACAGCAAGGTAAGCCTTTGCTTCAGGATTCTTCATAGCAGGATTATCAAAAGTAACAAGATCCAAACACATATCAGGGGTAGACATCGTTTCACCATGACCAGTAATAATACCATCAGCAACCAAGAATAAAAGTTTGCGATCATCAGGATAAATGGTAGATGAAAGAGATTCAACGGTAGCACGAATACCTTCAGTATTTTCAGAATAACAAGTGATCAACATGACAGTATATAAATCATTTCCGATTTCTACACGAGTATTTCCATAGCCACCAGTGAGGGGAGTATTGATATCAGCCATTTCCATAGATTGTTGATTAGGGAACATTTTACCACCACGTCCAGCAGCGGCTCCAACAGAGATAGCACCAGCAGCATTGTTGTAAAGAGGAGAGTTCACATCTTGAGGAGTTTGAGAGAGTCGACGAGAAAGGAACCAAGAAAAGATCAAAGCCATCAAGAATCTTGCCAAAACAAGAGATACCACAATCAATAAGGAACAGTACAAGATAATAGCAGCCATGAAACAACCTGGTGTATCCTTATCAATAGCTCCAGCTCTATATTTTTGTACCAAACAAGGCACAGCAGCTTGAAGTGCGGAAGTACGATACATCAATTTGGTTGCATCCCGTCCACCCATAGCAAAAGTTTGATTCAGTACTGTTCGTATCACAGAATCCAATTCATCGTTTGCAAGAGCAGTTTTGTGAGTATTCATATAAGGGTCCATATTGAGTACATTGCCGTCCACCACAAGGAAATTAGTAAGATTGGGACTTGCCATTTGTTGCCAATCAAAACCAACTTGTCGAGTAGAATTGAATATGGAAAGAGTTTTGAAAGTAGCGTCGTTCAAAGGACCAAGAGCACAATTTCCACCAGTACAAGGATTGAGAGTCACTGCTGCAAAAGAAGCTGTAGTAGAGTCACCAGGATTAGTACAAGCTTCCAAGTTTTGACCGTGAAGAAAATTGTTAGTGACATCGGTACCAGGAAGAAGATCATAAAAATTGGTAGAACTACCAGTAGGTTTATAAGTAGAGATATTGAATTGCCAACCTTGAATCCCGACCAGACCAACTATATATATTTGTAATTAAAAAAAAAAAAAAAAGATCAGATATCATAAAATAAAATAATAATAATAATAATAATAATAATAATAAAAAGAAGATACTTACAAGCACCAGAAGTATCGTTGTAAGAAGCAAAAATGGCAGCATTATTTGAAGAACCAGGAGGACATAAGACAGTAGATAAACCAATAGTAATAAAAGCAACGAAGCCACCCAAACAAGCGATCAAAAAACATAAAGTAATTTTTTCACGCCAAGCTTGTTGCATTCCTTTATCGTGTAATCCACATGCTTTCAACATAGGAGGAAGAGCCCAAAAAGTAACAATACGAGAAAGTAGAGTCCATGGTTCAAAAGCGGATCGACTGGTTTGAGGTTTGCCTGTCATCAGCGGAGCTGGTTCTTGGTACCGATCAGGTCGAATTAAAGTACGGCCGCGTTGAATATCTTGACTGGCGTTATTGACATTACTATTAGCACCTGCAATGATACGTCGAGTAGGAGCACGACCAAGTGTAGTAGGTCTTCGTCCAATAGAAGTACTATTAGCTGTTGTATCTACATAATGATGTTGTGGTGGTTGTTGATGATGAGGAGGGTATCCAGTTACGTTGTCATATCGCCCTGGTCCTGGCATCCTTGTAATATATTAATGAGTGTATATGATGGAAGTAAGAATATGGATATATAAAAAAAAAAAAACTATCCAGTTGAACTCTTGCTTATTTCTATAGATACACAAAAGATAAAGAGAGAAAAGAAAAAGAAAAAAAAAAGGGGGGATGGAAAGAGTGAAAGGGAGAATAAAGAAAAAAAAAAAAAAAAAAAAAAAACTATTTTTAACAAGAGTAATAAAAAAAATCATCCAATAAGCTCGAGTTTGACATGCTTCAAACCCAGTTCAGAGTGATGTTCATCCTTTAACTGATCATTAATATTGAACTTCCGGAAGAAAATCATTGAATAAACTACTTCCCAACCCATCTTGTTCTAGATTCATTAAAGTAAAACTATCTCCGTCTCAAACTAAGTAAACTGAAAGGTACCTGCATAATATATCAATTCAGAAATCTAAGATCATCCCTTTTTTCTTATATATACGTATATATATTTTTTGCCAATTAACCGTGTAATAATTATTATTATTATCAATTTTGAATACAAAAAAAAAACACATATTTATATAATGAATGGAAAATCAGCCTAAAATTTGTAATTCATTCCATTACCTTTTACGGAAAACTAACAGTAACACAAAAAGTATCCTCCTTGACTGTTCTCCCTGCTCTTAAATTTCACTTGAGCTTGTCCAAAACAGTTATTCGATATGATGAAGATCTCCGAAATTATCATCATCCCATCATTATTTATTATCATCATCATTGAACTAATAAAATAAAAAATACAATCATCATTCATAACATGATTTAATGAAAGAAAGAAGGAAAAACTTGACTTTTTTTTTTCTATAAAAGATATGCCATTTCTGTGAAATTAAAACGTGATACGATTCAAACCAAGAAAAAAAAAAATTCATTTCTTAACCACCCATTCATTCATAAATAGCTACATCCACATATTAACCACGTTTTTTTTTTTTTATTCTTATCTTTTGTCACTATTAAGCTTTTCTTTTTTTATATAAACTACAACGAACAGTTTTTTTCTTTTCTTTTTTATTGATATAAACAAATATGGATAAAATAAAACAATGGTTGTACTAAAGTAAAAATACTATCACTTTTTCGGCTTAGTTTCATCCATAAATAAAATCTTGAGCAAACAAAAAAAAAAAAAGCCCAGGTCATGACTGTGGTAGATACTATTAAAAAAAAAAAAAGGATAGAAACGGTCAAAATTCCGGTAGGCTTTGATCAATGATATATCTTTTCTTTTTATTACCTTGTAAGGATTCATGATACCTTTTGGATCCAACATTGTTTTCATTGTTTTCATCAAATCGATCATCTCAGGTGATTTTGAGTAACCTAAGAATTCATTTTTCGCTACACCTAAGCCATGTTCAGCACTGATGGAACCTTGATGCTTGGCTAAAAAAAAAAAAAAAAAAAAATTCTGAGTGAATGGGCTCTATCCTTTTTTTTTTATTATTTTATTATTATTTTGTTTTATCCTTACCAACCCATTCAAAAAGATAAGGCTCGATCAAGTCCGACACTCTTGAATCCAAGTCTTTGGTAACAATATTCAAATGAACATTACCATCACCAATATGTCCATAAGCCACCACATCGATCACTGGAGAATCCGACTGACCAAATACTCCACCTGCTTGTAAATGATATCGCATATCTTCTGTACAATCCCAAATCTTGGCCACTGGAATCGAGATATCATATTTATATACTGCTGGTTCTTTACCTAAAGCTTCTGTCAATCCATCACGAATACCCCACAAATCACGCATTTGTTGCTGATCTTGAGCCACTACTCCATCTTGTGCAATACCATTTATCATCATTTGTTCCAAATAACTTGTCAACTTCTAATAACAATAATAATAATAAAAAGAAGAATCAGGATGAAATAACTAAATTTTAATTTATTTTTTTTTACCTGATCATCATGATCTTTGTTTGAACCACTTGTTTCAATCAAAATATAAAATGGATAATCCTTTGCCATTACTTCTTTATGATTAAAATGTTTCTTGAACATTTTGAAAGAATGAATATCCCAGAATTCGAATGCTGATAAGATTTCTGACAAGTCCATACGAGATTGTTTGAATGCCACCTGAACATCATCAAAAGAATTCAAACCAAGCAAAGCAACATTAACTGCCTAAAAAAGGAAAAAAAAAAAGAAATCAATTCAAATATATATATATATATATATTATTTTGAAACTTACTTTAGATCTTAAAGGAGTCAATATGGATACACCAGTAATTACACCTATTGTCCCTTCAGAACCAATAAATAATTGTTTCAAATCAAAACCAGTATTATCTTTCCGTAAAGTAGACATATTGTTGAGTATGGTTCCATTAGGTAAGACCACTTCCAAGCCTAGTACAGTACCATGTAAGGATCCATAACGTAATAATCTTAATCCACCTGCATTGGTAGCAATATTTCCCCCAATATGACAACTAATTAATTGTAAATGAATGACATGAATTTTCATTTTTTTTTTCCCTCCTTATATCTTTTTCTCTCTCTCTTTTTTTTTTTTTTTTTTTTTTACCTTCCTTTGGCAGCAAGATCCAATGGCATCATATATCCTTTTTCAGCCAACCAATTATCAAGTACTTCCAGTATACAACCAGCATCTGCTGTCAAAATCCCTATATAAAAAAAAAGATACATATGAAAATACATATAGATAAACCTTATTTTTTTTTTCTTATTTTACCAGATACACTATCAAAAGATCGAATTCGATTCATATTTTTCAAATTCAAAATGATTTCATCAAAAACAGGTACAGATCCACCTACAAGTCCAGTATTACCACCTTGAGGAACAATGGCTAAACTAATTAAAATAAAATAATAAAAAAGTATATGATATTAATTCACTATTTCACTTTATATATACCCTACTCTTTGATTAAATCAAATTATTAATTTACTACTACTTTTGATCATGACAATAATTCAAGATAGCTGAGACTTGTTGTGTTGTACGAGGCATCAAAACCAATTGAGATTGACCACGAAACTTATTCATCCAATCAGTATTATAAGGTACCATTTCTTCTTTTCCATTGATATATCCTTGACGTCCAACTATAGATTCAAAATAGTTCAAGTCTTGTTGTGTTTGCTTTATAAAAAAAAAAAGTTTAGAATTAATGTATAAAAAAAAAAGATAGTTTACCTTTTTAAACTGAGGATGACGAACATAACCTGGAAACTTATCTACAGTTAAAGTAACAGACTTTGTAGCATAATAACGTTTCATACATCTTGTCCATATATGAGCATTCATTATTATATATATATATATATAAATGTATGTATCTATTATATAGTAGATGAAAGAAGATTTGTCACAGTGTATTGCGTGGATTCAGGAGACAAAAAAAAAAAAGAAAAAAAAAAAAAAAAAAAAAAAAAAAAAAGGCAAAAAAAAAAAAAAAAAGAAGGAGGCAAAAAAGAAAAAAAAATAATCACTAGTGGAAACCAAACATAAAAAAATAGCAGGCGTTTCAAATGACGCTTTGTTATGAACCTTCCAGTCAAAAAAAGGATCTCATACTTACACACACACACTTCCTGCAGTTCTCAATAATAATAATAATAATAATACATCTTCCTTTTCAACATAATAATAATCAGATCAAATAATTGATTCTCCACGTTCATGCAAGAAATGAATGAATCGCACCTGCGTAGTATAAATTTGACTACAAGAAACAATTTTGAAAAAAAAGGGAGGGACCTTCTTTTTCATTGTTTTTTTTTTTATTCTTCTCGTGTTCGTGCATAAACCAATGATCTTAGCGGAGTTGATGATCAAGAAGGAAGAAAAAAGGGTTCTTTAGACGTTTGGTTAGTTTGATGGCAGATGGATTATAAAAAGAAATGAAATAAGATGGTAAATAAAGACGCAATTCATCATGTGGTTCTTTAAGGAGACCTTTTTTTTTTCTTGCAATAGATCTTATAATTCTTCTTTTTTTTTTTTAAACAACAAATGATAAGAATACATTTAATAATATGATTCATCCTTTTTAAGTGAATACATGTCAAAGAGAGTAAAAAAAAAAAAAAAGGAAATTGACATTTTAAAGAGAAAAAAAATAGGAGTGAGAATAAAACAAGTGGCAAAAAAAAAAGATAATATGCATATTGCTGCTTGTTATTGACAGTAAGTTGAAATGTTTTTGTGTCACTAAGAATCATTAGTCTTCCTAATCGGGCTAGATTTTTTTTATCTTTTTCCTTTTTTTTATATAAACTTGCGGTCTTTGCTTTTTTTTTATATATTCTTTCTTTCTTTCTTTTTTTCTTTTTTCTTTTTTCTTTTTTTTTTATTATTTTATATTTATATATATATCAGTGCTGGTTTCACGATATTATTTTTGTTTATTATAATAAAAAATGCAACGTCGTCATCCATCATCTCATTTATCATCAACGCCTTATACACGAAAACGAACACATTTAAAACCAAGTCAAGTTGCTGTCCTTCAAGAATCATTTGTTACTAATGCTTTACCTGATGCTGCTATGCGTAGTAATCTCGCCCGGGAACTGGAAGTCAGTGAACGTACTATTCAAATTTGGTTTCAAAATCGACGGGCTAAAGCTCGTAAATCAGAAGCTTATTCTATTGGACATGGTATGTCTTCTTTAGTACCAAATGTTCGTACTGGTTGGATCGAACCTCCTCCAAGATCTCCTTCAAAATATCAACCTACTTTTCGTTCTTTGATTACTCCTCAACGTTATGAAGAAACAACAAATTATAATACTCGAACTCGATCATCAAGTTCAAGACCTGAAAAACAATTTGATCTTATCGCTTGTCCACCTACAAGAGCCATGTCCGAAGGAACTGATCGTCAAGGTAAAAAAAAAAAAAAAAAATTATTACACTTTTTTTATTTATTTATTTTTTTTTTTGATTTTAGTACTTCAACTCTCTCTTCCTGTAAATGCATTACGTATTGGTAGTTGGGCTAGATTCATGTCCTTAACATTACAAAATGAATGGGATCTTGTATGTTATTGTCATCCTTTGGAACGTATGATGGTATGGCAAGTAGAAGATGGTGGACATAAATTTCGTATTGAACTGGACTTTGATCAAATCATTCAAATTCGACTTGGACAAATGACAACAATCGACAACAATAATAATAATTCAATGATGGGACAATTGGAAGTGGATGTACATCAAGTTCGTTTTGGTATGTGTCGCTCTACAGAAAATGTTTGGGTACAATGTGGTGATTTTTCTGAAAACAAACAAGCTAGTGTTGAAACGATGCATATCCTGCAAGGCAACTACGATGCATTGAAGCATGCTTTACTGGATATTACGGCTATGGTATCGGAATTGTCTCCCAAATTGGTATTACCTCCTTCTTCCTTGGCTACTCTTGGTGATCCTTTATCCTTGTCTCCTTCTGCAACACCTGAACCTTCTTCATCTTCTTGTTCTTCCAACCAGATTCTTGTTTTAGATCATCCTTCTCTACCAATCTCTTCTTCAACTATGACTGATTTTGGTTCTTGTATGGCTGGTACTTTCAAGAAAAACACAATGACCTCTCCTGCTACTCAACAGCTTCTGACTACTTCTCCTTCTTCTTCAACTACTTCATCATCTTCTTCATCATCGTCATCTTCTTCATCAGCTTCTTCTCGTGCTTCTTCTTTTGGCGTTTCTACTTTTCAAGGTTTCATGCATCCTTCTTCCCCTTCTACTCTAAATCAATGGTTATTGGATCCAAAATTATCTTCTTTATATCTCCCACCTGATTCTTCTCCTGGTTCCTTCCAACGTCATCCACCTCCTCCACCTTTTGAACAAATGCAACAATACTATATGCAAATGTTACAGCAACAACAGCAACAACAACAACAACAACAACAACAGCAGCAGCAGCAGCAACAGCAACAGCAGCAGCAACAGCAACAGCAACAGCAACAGCAAGCTACATTTATGTGATGCTAGTGATTATCTCTTTTTTTCCAATTACCACAACGTTTATATATATATATATATATACACTTACATATATATCACCCTTTTTATTATTATTTACTATTATTATTATTTGTTTACATTGTTTTATATTCAAATACATTCTTATATATATATATATATATATATACATATATATTTCAATAAAGATATATCTATATCCATATTAGAAAGGGTGAATGGAAACCAAGCTGGTTATTGATTTCCATCTCTCTCTTTCTTTTTTTAACTTTTTTTTTTTATCTGTCTTATCTTTTTTTTTTATTGTATGTATATTAGATTCTGTCTATCATCATAAACAAAAGAATGAGTTGTATTTCGTAAGTAAATGAAGATAAAACAATTTGTGATGATGATGAATGTATTTCTCTTGAACAGTCATCATCGTCATCATCAAGATGGTTGATCTTCAAATATGATTTTTGTCATGATCTCTATCCATATTCTACCATGATGATCATCATCTATAATGATCATAGGATCATTTTTTGAAATCATTTGTCATCAGTAGGGCTCATTATATGTCCTCATTATCGGTTGTCTGGTAAGAACTCTCAGGTACTTTTTTTTTTTTTCTATTAGGGTGGGTGTTTTGGGATACCGCCAGTGAAAAAACGAAAAGTCAAATATGCGCGCAATTTTCTTTTTTGTTGCTTTCTGTTCTATTCCTTTTCTTTCTTTCTTTCTTTTTTTTTTTTGATATATCTTTTTTATTACTTCAACATGGCCAGTGCTTCATCGTCTTCTCATGGTCTTTCTATGGATTGGAATGATAGTCATCGCCTTTTTATTCAATCCATGTTATCACATCATATACTATTAGAATCCAAAGCTATTGCCATTCAAGAAAAAGTATGCGAACTAGCTGAAGGTAAATCTAAGTCTTTCACTTTTTTTTTTGGTCTTTCTATTAACTCATCTTTTCTTTTCTTTTCTTTTTTTTTTCTTCTTTGGTTATAGTGCCACTGACTGATTTTGCTGCATTTGTAGGTTTGATCAACCACAGGATCAATGAATTTGATTTTGCATTACGTCGATCTCATCACCAACATAACGGCGAGCCTGTACTTGCATTGATCAACACTAAACAAGACGATATGGCTCGAATGGCTACTAACTATGATCCAACACAAATAGCTTATTTACGAAAACTGGTAACAGAAAAAAAAAAAAAAAAAAAAAAACTAACTAACTTATTTGAAACGTTTTATTTTATATTATAGATAGAAATGATTGTGATGGCAGACGATGAGGAATTTGCAGTACGATCACTGGTAGCGATTCCTTTAGGTCCACGTACAGCGACATCATTGACATCCAAAAGTACAGAAGATTTATTAGATCAATTGGTAAAGGATGGATGGATTATGGAAATGGGTGGTGCTTATACGATGACTACACGGACTATTCTGGAATTGACTGATTATCTTCACGAACAATATGGTGATGCAATTAAGGAATGTAGCTTATGTTCAGATTTAATCATCATGGGTGAACGATGTGAGAATGGTTCTTGTAACGTACGCTTACATCATCATTGTGCACAACAACTCTTTGTCGTCAATAAACAAAGTCTCACTTGTCCTACTTGCTCCACTGCTTGGTCTCGTTTGAATACTTTTGGATTAGGTGCCTCTTAGGTCTTTTTTTTTTTTTATATTCATCTTGTTCTATATATCCCCTTTGTTTTAGTCTAGTTATATTTTTTGTATTGAATAGAATAAATTTTTTTCCTTTTTTTTTATATTTGTTTGCCTTTAGTACTACCAAACGCGGACTGAACATTGATTGATGCATGAAACGTGTACTTTTTTTTTTTTAGTCGATTTGAAAAGGGGGGCGTGAAATTAAAATGTCTTTTCTCCTTTTTTCTTTTCTTTCTTCTTCAACTCAACCTGAACAATCTTGGAAGATATTACTAATGAGCTTTTTGTGAGTACATTACTCTCTCTTTTCTTTTACGTCTCTTTATGGTATATACCTTTGTTCACCTTTTTTTTTATTTTCTATTTATTTCCGTATCATGGTAGAACAGGATTCAAGAAAAATCTCAATAGAGCTGGTCAATCGGTAAGTGAGAAGATATTTTCATAACCTATCTAAAACTCACCTTTTTTTTTGATGATGTTTTATATATAGATCATGCAAAAAACAGGCATATCAGACAAGACTATCGATGATGAATTTGCTGAAGAATACGAACGATTCAAAGTGTAAGTCATAACAACAACAAGGAAAAGTTGGAATAAAACTCACTCAATATCTATAGATTGGAACAACGTATGGAGAAATTATCAAAAGAAGCAAAAGGGTATCAAAATTCCATGAGAGCTGTGTCATCATCTCAAGTACAAATCGTTGAGTCTATGGATCAATTCTATGATGATTTGCCATCCACCTCTTGCTTTCAATCTTACAAGAAAGCCATTCAACAAATCGATACAAAAATGAAATCTGATATGGTAATATATATATAAAATAAAAGAATGACAACTTCATGATTTTATATATGATGATAGGATGATGCTTATACCGCCACGGTAGTGGAACCTTGGGCAAGATATTGTGCTTATTTTCCTGACATCAATGAAGCTATCAAACGACGACAAAAGAAACTCTTGGATTATGATAATCATCGCATCAAAGTGAGAAAACTGATAGAACGACCTAGTGATGATCCTCAACGCTTACCAACGGTAAATAAATAAATAAATATATATATAAGGAACATGAATATTTATTCTCTTTATTTTTTTTTTTTTGTAGGCAGAAAAGGAAGCTAACTTGGCTAGGGAAATGTATGAAAACATCAATTCTATTCTGATCAGTGATTTACCCAAAATTGTTGAACTTCGTGTCCCCTATGTGGATCCCTCTTTTGAAGCCATGGTCAAATCTCAATTATTGGTTGGTCAACTCGCCTATGATCAATTGGAATCCCTTCGTCCTTCTTTTCCTGGTGAAAATGAGAATGATGATCGACTACATGATATTTTACAACAAATGCGTGATCTTTCTATTTGTGGCAACGTATGATTCCTCTCTCTCTATCGCATCCTTTATTATTTATTATTATGGTTGTTATTATTATTAGTATTTTTTTTTCTTTTTGATCATTTTTATTAACATTATTCTCAAAGATACATATGCATACCAATGATAATAATAAAAAAACGGCTTGTTCCTTTATGACTCAAAATGGAAACAAATCGACGGATTTTCTTCCGATATACTCAATTTTTTTTTTTTTATGAATCATCCACATTCACCCGTTCCGTATGCAAATCATTTTCTCCATATTATCGATTCTTTCACAGTATAATGTAATAGATCAAAGACAAATACTTAAAGACAAAATACTTGGAACAAAATCCATAGGGTCAACAAGAGATAATCATCAACTTATCATCCCCTTTCTTTTATTGATCCTTTCTATAGATAGATATAAATGTATAAAAAAAAACATCCAAAATGATATAATATGTATATGCTAAACTAAAAATACAACTAGTAAGGATTCTATACACAATATATTATTTCGTCTCGCTTTGTATAAGATATCCACCAGTAGCATCTACAAAATGGACAAGTATATTAATATCGTTTGATCAGTTTGTATACCGGCCCCTTGTGTTCATCTCCTTACCATTGTTGTTCTTCAGTTCTTGCGTTCAAAATAGGAAGAGTTGTTCATGTACACAATACTGTTATCCAATACCCATTCACCAACATTCAAATACTTTTGTACATAGGATTGGAGATCATCATTTTCAATAGTGGCTACTTTAGGTCTAAACATCAATTTATATAGAATGAATAAAAACTGTCACCTGATTTCTTTTTCTTTTCTACTTACTGTAATCCAGTGTTTCGTTTGATACCAGCTAGAACAGTAGAAACAAGTACAGCATCGGCAGTCAAATGGACAAGTTTTCCCCACATGGTCATAAATAAATATTAAGAATAATAAAAAAAAAAAAAAAAAAAATAGAAAGAAAAAGAAGTGAGAAATAAAAAAAAACATCCAACCGAAATAAATAGTCGCAGTTTCAAACTTTTCGTATCATTGTCATGTGCAAATCCATACATACTTGTCCTATTTTTTTTATTACCTAGTATCATTTCCAAATATAAATTCATAAGGACCAGTCCAATGAGTGATATGACCACCAAGCAAGACAATAATCAAGAAACAAAGTAAAATAGGAAGACCATGATCCAGAACGACGTAATGAATCCAGCTTTTTGCCAAGAGTTGTTTTCGTATCTAACCACACCGCACGAGCACAATAATGTACCATGATCACATAGGTAGCATTGGAAGAGGAATTATTTCGTAAAGTTTCATCCAAGTGGCGTAAAAGATCTGATGTTTTCAAGAGTAATAATACCGCGCGAGGTAAAGTGGCCAAAATAGCAGCAATTTTATGCAAGAATAATCCTGTTCGACCAGATACACGTTCCATTTCTGTAGCAGTTCGGTAAGAGGACAAGTTCGCCGCTTCGATCGTATGCCATTCACGGCCCGTGAGAAGAGAAGCAAATAATCGATGTGATTGTGCACGACATCCCAATCTATCTGCATAAAACCGAATTCCTTTTTCATCACCGCGAATCAATGACGTCCACAAGTGAGCATAATCCGTCCATGTATTGTGTTCAAGTGTCCAGTATAATCCATGATCCAGTAATACAATATCAAAGTTCTTTCTATGATGTGTTGTTCCAGTTACTCGAGGTCGAATCAATATGTTTCCAGGATCTGTTGGCCAAAAAAAAAAAAGATAATCAGTAGGCTTGTATTGATTTACATAAAAAAAAAAAAAAAAAAAAAGGACTTACGTGGGTCACAGTGGACAAAGCTATCAAAAAAAAAAAAAAAAAAAAAAAGATAAATCTATTGTTTTAGTATGTGAAAGAATATTTTTGGTTGTTTGTAGATTTACCCGTGCAAAAACATCATTTTAGAAAAAATGGTGGTGATTTCCGCAGAGACTTGACCAGGATCAATCTTGTGTTTTTCCATGAATTGTAAATCATCAGGTCGAGCACCCTCTATAACTAGAAATGAAAAGTTATAGAAAATAAATAATAATAATAATAATAATAATAATAAAAAAAAAGAAACTTACATTCCATACACAAAATACGACGTTGAGCCCAAATGATACAAGGCACTACCAAAGCTGTAGGAGGATCCCCATTGACACGTTGATCATGATCAAAATTAGACATTACTTGTTGAGCATTACGAGCTTCATGGGCAAAATCCAATTCCTGAGGTAAAGCTTCTTGCATTTCTTGCAAAATCCATTGAAAACCAAAATCCGGGAACGTCCATGTGATCAAATCGAGTAATACAGAGACAGTATCCATATCCATTTGATAAAATTCATCCAATCGAGGGTGTTGTAATTTGACAGCGACCACCAACCCATCCTCCGTTTTTGTTGATTTCAACTTGGCCTTATGCACCTGAGCTAAAGACGCCACACCTAAAGGATGATCCCAGTCAAACCAATCAAAAATATCGTCTACCCATTGTCCATCATGATCCTGTAAAAATTACTGTTCTAATTCATCACGAGAACTAGTAGGGTCACATCGAATCTTGTAGTACCGCTAGCGTAGTTGTCCATTCCAAAGGTAAGATATACTTCATCGCTGACACGTGTTTTCCCAATTTCACATAGATCCCACCAAGTCGTTGTAATCCTTCCAGTACTCGTTGTGCAGCTCTCAAATGACATTTTTTCTTCTCCAAATCCACCATTGCACCATCGTAGTCATGGTATTGGCATGTCAAGTAAAACTATTGATAATCTAGAGCAACTCGGATCCCTACCCAGGTGGCCTGGCTGACACGATGGATGGCTTGCATTGAATGACGAAAAGATGCACCATAGGAAGAATGTTCGTAGCAGTAATAAGAAACGGCTGTCAAGGTGGCGCCCACGGCTGTACGCTTTGTCCAAACAGAGAGTAGAAGTTGAATGGGAGTGTTGTCGCTGGCTTTTGTAGATGTAACAGAAGGGATGGTATAAAGACACCGTTGGTTGGAAAAGGAAAGAACACGGATTATTCGAACACCCTTCAAGAGTGATAGGTGTTGCATCATGACATTTGAAGAGAAAAAAAAAAAAAAAAGGAGTAAAGAAAAAAAAAATTAACTGATTTTTTTTTCTGTAAATATATTTGCGGTGATTCTTTTATTACGGAAATGGACGACTGATGATTAATGATATCAATAGATACTTTCTTATTATAATCTTCTTAATGATCATAGTTAAATCAATAATTTTAACCGTTCTCAACAATAAAACCTGTTCTTTTTTTTTTTTTCTGCATTGTTTATCATCACTTTTTTTTTTTATCATCAATGAAAAGTAATCATCATCATCCGATCACTGATTAAAAAAAAAAAAAAAAAGAATTCACACCTCCCTTTTTATTCTTAGTATCATTCCATTCTTTCTATGTCTGAGCTCTATATGCTTAACCCAGGTAGCAAAAACCTGCGACGTTTAAAACTTTGGTTGGAAGTATTAAAAAAAAAGTAAGACTTTAATTATCATATTTCTTTTTCTATTCTTTTTTTTTTATATTCTCTTTTTGGTACAATCAATACAATGCAAATCACTCATTTTATTACTTGCAAACCATATTATTTACAGTAATTATCTATTCCGCTAATTCTTCTAAAAAAACAGTATCCTGCTTCACCTACCTTAAATGCTCCTCTACGCGGCATTTTAAAAACCTGGCAAAAAAAAAAGTTTTTCTTCTCGACTTTTTTTTATTTCTTTCTGTTATTCTACCTTTCGTTTTTCCGCATAACGTTGTTAACGAGCATGGCACCTCACAAATCAAAGCAACAAGTGATGTATGCTCAATCGGAAGAAGAAGAAGAACACGATGATGAAGAATATGGATTCGACTATACCGATGACGAAGAACAACAAGTAAGACATTTATCCAATAGATCGATCTATAAAAAAGAATTACTCCCTGTTTACTTGATATACTTTGATATTATAGGTAGCCAATGATACCAGTGAAGAAGAAGAAGAAGAAGAAGAAGAAGAAGAGGAAGACGAAGAAAGTGATGATCACATGGACAAGGCATCTCAAGCAGCAAAATTAGAAAAATTGAAAAGAAGTAAGTAACGATGAAAAAAAAGAAACAGATCTTTGACTCATCCTCCATTACTTTTTTTAGGTCTTGCTCATGTGTCATTTGAACAGTTAGCTGAAATCAAAAGCAAAATGGGTATGAAGGATTTCAAGTTAGCCAGACAAGATAATAACGATAATGACGACAGTGATGACAATCAAGATGATCCAACAAGTCGACACAACAATAAAAAAGTATCCAAAGCACAAATCATTCAAGATATCAAAAATGCAGCCAGTAAATTAAAGGGAACTCGGAATCGTATGAAAAAAGAAGATATGAAACGAACAAATAAACACAGGTAAAAAAAAAAAAAAAAAAAAAAAAGGATCATACTTTTCTTTTTGATAAAAGATGATTTTTTTTTATTCATACTTTTATTATTATTGTTATTTTATTCTAGTCCAATGGAAATGTCATCCAAACGAAAAGTAAGCCGATTTAGAGATGTAGTAGAAACAGCCGCAACGGTAAGAAACCAAAAAAAAAAAAAATACTGGTATGATAATAAATGATGAATTATTTATTTATTAGAAACGACGAGATCCCCGTTTTGATAAGTTGTCTGGACAATTGAATGAAGACTTATTTGAAAAATCATATGGATTCCTTACTGATTATAGACAAGATGAACAAAAAGCATTAATGGCTCGATTACATAAGGTGAAGGATCCGGAAGAAAAGGCACGAATCAAAGCAACTTTGACTAGTATGGTAAGTAACGTGGGATTCGGTTTTATTACGTTATATGATTACTTACTATGTGTCTTGTGATTCCTTATTATTATTTATTACGTTATAGAAATCGAAAGAAATGGCGGCAGCAGATATGAAAAGAAAACAAGCTTTGGCAAGAGAAAGAAAGAAAGTAGAAGCGGATTTGGTCAAACAAGGCAAACAACCCTACTTTTTGAAGAAATGTAAGTTTTTAAACAGTCGGCTACTAAAAATGCACTTCATTTATGAAAACCTTAAAAAACTTGTTGGTAACCATGATCTCATGCTTTCTTCCATTTTTTTTTTATAGCTGAAAAACGAAAATTGGAATTGGTAGACAAATACAATCAACTTGGAGAAAAACGTATGGACCGAATATTGGAAAAACGACGAAAAAAGAATGCCAACAAAGATCACAAACGAGTACCATTCAAACGACGATCGACATAATTGGATTCTTTGTACTTTGTAGTACAAATAAATGCGACCCTTTTTTTTTTATTATTTTATACTTTTGTAGAATATTTTGGTGGTGGTTACTAGGGTTATTAGTTTAGTGTCATTTTTTTTTTTTTTGATGATGATGAAATAAACTTTGTTCCTTTATGTATTACCTATAAAATTAACTCTTTTTTTTTCCTCTTTCTTTTTTTTTTTTCTTCTTCTTTACTTTATTCCCCTTTCCTTTCTTTACTTTATATGAAAACTTTTTCCTTGAAGGCGATTGTGATTGCCCTATTCGCTACATCGGTAGTGGTTTCTGGCAAGAATTCCCATCATGGTTCTCATGGTTCTACACACAAAACTCCTCCTACTTCTTCTGCTCCTACAAAAGCAGCTTCTAATGTGAAACTGGCTGCTTATGTCACTGATTGGGTAATCCATAGTAATGATCTCATTTCAAATCATCATAACCTTTTCTTATCTTTTTATAGGCCCTTCCTTCCAAGATCGCTTGGTCCAAATTGGATCATGTTTACTATGCTTTCGGTATTCCTGATAAAACTGGTGCTCTTGGTTCTTTCGATACTGCTCAACTTAAAAATGGTAAGTACCGTTTATATTCTTCATCATCTTTTTTACTAAATTCTTTTTTGATATAGTTGTCAGTGAAGCTCATAGTAACAACAAGACTATCAGTCTTAGTGTCGGAGGGTAAATGTTAAATGATGTTTTCCCAAATAAAGTATCTGACTCTTTTTTCTTCCTTTTCTTTTTTTCCATAGATGGACTGGTTCCCTTCATTTTTCAACCTTGGTACGTACCTCCGCTTCTCGTGATGCTTTTGCTGCTATTCTTGAAAAGGCTGTTGCTGATTACAACTTGGATGGTATTGATATTGACTGGGGTAAAACATGTATATATATTTCTTTTTCTGTTTCTTTACCAATCAATGTTCTAATATATTTTAATTATAGAATATCCCAATAGTCCCAATGGTGTAGCATGTAATTCAATGTAAAGTCTATCATCACATATCTTTTTTTTTAAAAAAAAAAAAAAAAAAACGCTCAACTCAATTCTTTTTTTCTGTTCAAATAGTAACTCTGCCGATACTGACAACTTTTTATCTCTGATGAAGAATTTACGTCAACGTTTGGGTGATAACAAATTGATCACAGCTGCTGTAGCCACTGCTCCTTTCTTTGATAGTAGCCAAAGTCCTTCCTCTTATCTTGATTCTTCATGGGGTACTACTGTTGATTACTTGAACATCATGGTAAAAAAAAAAAAAAAAAAAAAAAAAAAAAAAAGGAAAACAATGGATGATCACTGACCATCATCTATGATATAGGTCTATGATTTAGCAGGTATGTGGAATCCTACAACTAGCTCCAATTCGGCATTGAAGAATGGTGGTGATGAAGGCAGTGTGGACCAAGCAATTCAACAATGGACGGATGCTGGTTTCCCTGGCAACAAGTTAGTGGTGGGTTGTCCTTTCTATGGTTATCTTGCTGCTGTCAGTCAACCGGTCACAGCTAGTTCAGAAAACGTCCCCTTTTCTGGTAAAACTCAAATCCAAGGTGATCAATATGATGAAAAAGGTGCTGATCCTTGTCCTGGTGCTACTGCTACTTATTCTGGTGAATACCAATACCGTTCCATTGTCGCTGATGGTATCCAAAACAATCAATCTTCCTGGACTACCTTTTGGGATGACAAGACTTCCACTCCTTATGCTTATAATTCCGCTAAGAAGACTATGCTTACCTTTGACAACCCTGCTTCTCTTAAGCTCAAGGCTTCTTATGTCGTCCAGAATAAATTGGGTGGTTTGATGCTCTGGTCTTTGGAAATGGTAAAAAAAAAAAAAAAAAAAAAAGTAACCTGTAAATCAAAACTCATTGGCCTTTTTTTTAAAATAATAATAATAATAATAATAATAATAATAATATAGGATGATGCTAACAACTCTTTGTTATCTGCCATGCAAGCTGTACGTCAATAAATCTAGTCTCTCTCTCTCTCAACCAAACCTATCCCCTCTCTATGCGTTTCTTTTATTTGATGCGTACTTATTTTATTCAGTTTATTAGTTAGTATTTATTCTTTCAATAAAGAATCGTTTTTATTGTCTGTTCTCTTTTTTCTTTCTAGTCATCATAGAATATCTATTAAATGATACGTTTACCATATAGGTCACCAAATAATATCATTAATGAAGCGGGGGATGTGTGATAATGGTATGATGATCATTTTATTACTTGTCATTTTAAGTTTAGTTAATTTACTCCAATCTTTCCAATTCTTTTTTTTTTTGGGTGGTATAGTTCAACGTGTAAACCATAAACTGATATAGTTTTTTTTTTTTCTGAATCCACTTTATCTTTTATTCATGATGACTATACACATCTGTCACAAAGTGATCAATCTATCAACTAAAATCATCACTTTCTGTACGATGAATTCCGTGACGGAGATAAAACTGAGTCGAGCTGATTGGTGAATCTTCTTTTTCTGGATCCAGGTACAAATTCTTCAAAAGTCGCATTGTTACACATCCTCATACACAAACACGCACACACAGTACAAAATAATAACAAGACTACATTTTTTTTTATACAAAATGATCAAGTTTTATTGAATAGTATACGAATGACGATCTACAAATTTTGTATCACAAATAATAAAGGGAATACACTGAAAAAAAGGTGAAAGTAAAAAAAAAAAAAAAAGAGGTAATATATAAAAAAGGATGAATATATGTATGTATAAAAGAGGACAGGAAAACGGGGATGTGGAAACTAATTAAACACAATCAGTAATATCAATAGTAGGGACTCTACCACAAAACTTGAGAAGTAAACGACCATTTTCAAGATCGGCCAAACCCTCATCATGATAAGAGGTACGAGCACGGAGATAGTTTGCAGCTTTGATGCTTGCATGACGGTAATGAAGAGCTTGTTGTTTGCGCTTGGTATCCTTAGCAGGGAGATCAGTCTTTGCCCAGGCGTGGGTTTCATGAAGATATTCACGGATCATGTCTTCATAATCTTGATATTCAGGAGTCTTCTTTCGATCCAATGTGCCAGCAGGAGGGCAAGGGAATTTATCATTATTTACCTTGATTTCTTCAGTACCAGTGAGGAAGGGTGGTAACACATTCATATCAACAAAACCAGCCAATTCATCCAAGTTTTTAGTAAAGTGAATCTTGCTAGCAACAACAGGATCCAAAAGAGGAGTGATCATGGTCCACACTAATTCCAATATAAAGTATTAATTCTTGTCAACCTAATTTTCTTTCATTTTCCTTTTTATATATCTTCCTTACCAGTAGAGAATACCCAAGGAGCCTTGTGAATCAAACAAGAACCTAAAGTTTCTGGATAATAAGCTTCGAAACAGTTGAGTAAGAATTTGACGAATTCGAAATCCTATATAAATAAGAATAGAGAAGGAAAATGATGTCAATATATTTATATATACATCATTATCATGATATTGACCACTCTTTTATTTTTCATTCCTTTCCACTTTACCATGTTTGCAAGAGTGAATCCTTCCAAGTTGAAGACAATACAAGAAGATTCCACAGGTTGATGAACAATCATACGAGAGGTTTCCATCACATAAAGAGTCATAAGTTTGATGACTTCAAAGTCTTGGTCTTCCTTTTTGTGGAAACGAACGTTGATGTAACTATGATACAAATAAATAAAGAAGGTTATAAAATATTATATAAATGTATATTAGATACTTACGAAATACCACGACCTTCTTTATCAGGACCACCCAAGACAGACTTGTTGCTGTGTAAGTTTTTAATAAAAGATTCACCCATACCAGGCTTGAGAGTTTCAAGTTCATTACGAATACCAGTTTCACCAAGAGCAGTAATATCGTCAACACGCATAACAATACGCCATCGGAGACAGTTCATTAACATGTTGAAACCAGCATCCAAGTCCCACTTTCTAGCACGCAAGAAACGAAGTACCACAGCATCTGGATTGTCGCCAGCAACCATATTCCAAAATGTAATACCGAGAGCTTCACCAGGAATAAGAGGAAGAGCCTTTTCAAGAGGAAGAGATAACCATTCAGGATTAGCAGTGGCGCCAAGGAAAAGATCTTTGTTTTCAGTAGATTCTTTCTTGCCACCAAAACCCCAACGAGACTTTTTAACTTCCTTTACTTCTTCTACTTTAACAGGAGGTACCCATTCAACACCTTTTTGTTGAAAAACTTCAATCAATCGGAGCCAAGTTTTCTTCAATCCTTCGTTTTCTTTGTCAGTCAAAGTATCAACACGTCCTGGTAAAGGAGCAGCACCGTTTGTTGTAGCAGCAGTCATATTATATAAGTATAGTTCTGTTTTGGTATAAATAAAGAAAAGAAATAAGAGAAAAAAAAAAGAAATGGAAAAAAGAAAATATCAATTTTTATATGGGCTTGCTGCTTTTGAAATAAATTTGAGAAGGAAAAAGGATCACAAGAAACTAGTCCTTCTTCTCCAACCTCCCCCCTCTCTTTCTTTTTTATTTTTATAACTCCCCCCAAACTAAAGATATAAGGTTTCTTCCGTATTACAATCAAAAATCTATCACACTTGTATGAAACAAACTTTTAATCAGTCTATTTACTATTCCAACAATCATCATTTTAAAAATCTCATTATTTAATTGATTTATGTGATTTATATTCATTTGATACTTTTGACAACAATATTGAAATGGATCATTCTTCTTTTTTCTTTTTTGGAGTAAAATATTAGATTTCCGCAAAGTTGAGAGGTTCATTACACAAAAGAGTGTTTTGCTGCCCAAATAGAAATTGTGAAAACGAGGGCAAAGAACAATTTCTTGGATGGTGAGAATTTCATGATTTTTTTCACAAGAGTTATCATTAATAGCATAACCCTTTTTTTTTTTTTTGTCCTTCCAATTGAATGTCAAGATCATCAATACAAAACAAAACAAAAATATACCATTAGAAAATATTAAACCTTTTATATTCTTTTTTGTTTGGCAACAATAAATTCAGTAATAGTTGAATATGATCATCATTATCAACGACGTCTTGTTAGTAACATTTTAGTTTTTTATTACCCCACTCGTGCCTGAAGACAATACAGATTTTTTTTTTTTTGCTTGAACTGAAATCACGTGGTACTAACTTGTCTTTTGTCAGTTTTGGGGGGTTACTGAGTAAGGAGTATATATCATCATTAATTCTCTTTTACAATAGAATTCTAAATGAAGGAAAAAGGTTCTTTTGGAATGGATGATGATCATTGAAAAACAAAATCATCATGATGGAAGATCACATATACAAATAAACACACAGACAACAAGACAATTGAATACACTGGGTTGAAATCATATCATGTGAAAGCTAGTATGATTACAAAAGTGGTCCATGCCCATCGTATATCCCCAACCAAAAAAAAAAAAAAAAAAAAAAAAAAAACTGTAAATTGCGGAATGATTACTGATTTCTATATATGTACTTTTAAGGCTGACAGTTGGAAAAAATGTGGAGCAATTCATACCCAGTAGCACTCGTGACGTGAGATGTCAAAGTTTTGTTATCATTAGATTCATTGCCTATGTTTCAAAATTTTGCAACCAAGTATTAGCATGAATGGATTGATACTAAATGTAAACTATTGAATACAGATATCAACGTTGATTTGTTGTTAAGTCATGGGTATGATGACATTTCTAAAACCGAATGAGACCATTTTTTTTTTCTTTACTCATTTTTTTGTTTTAATTTTTTTTCTCTCTTCTTTATCCAAACAAAATATATCAGCTATTCAAATTATGGAGCCATCTAGTAAAGATGACAATGCTGCATATGTATCGGCAGCTCAATACTATACTACAGGTGATAATGCAGCAAGGAATCGTACGAGGGCTTATACGGTAATAGCTCATTTTTTTTTTAAAAGTCCACCTGCATCATCGAAATCAATTGATTTTTTTTTCCTTTTTCTTCTTTTCTTTCTTTCTTTCCTCTCAATTATCTAGCGTCCAGAAATAGGCTCAAAATATGAAATAGAAACTGTTCTTCGTCGTGCATCTCATGGTAAATATATTTATATATAAAAGTTTATAATGAACTAACTTTAATTATTTTATAGAGGATAAAGGCAAAGCACGCAAATTCCTTATCAATGTTGAAGACACTAGAAAACTCCTTTTGGAACGTGAAGATACCGACAATGATTTCCAAATAACGGTAAATGATATTGGACCGAAGACCTTGGCTCTAGGTACAGCTGATTCAGGTGGTTTCCGTAAAATTGGCATTCGTGGCAATTATATGCTCTCTAACTTATTACAAGAACTTGCACTGGCTGACGATTATGGACGCAAGTACATTGTTTTGGATGAAGATCGACTTTGTGAAAACCCTGTTAATCGATTATCAAGAATGATTCGTCATACCTTTTGGGATGGATTGACCCGTTGTATCGATGCTGATGGTCTGAATACAATATGCGCTGATACAAAGGACCGTACAGGTGAAAACCGACCTAGGATTTATATTCCCTATGGTGAGCAACGGATGTACGACTATTACAAAGAAACTGCAAGAACAAGGCCTCATTTACATGATCTCCAAGTAGAATTCTTACCCAAGAATATCACAGCCGAATATGTTCGTGATATCAACACACGTCCTGGTATATTAGCCCTAAACATGGTGGAAGGTGATGATGGACAGCTCAAAGGATGTCCTTTTGTAGTACCTGGTGGACGATTCAATGAAATGTATGGATGGGACTCTTACTTTGAAGTACTGGGCTTATTGGCTGATAATCGTGTAGCTATGGCGAAAAGTATGACGGATAATTTTGCCTTTGAAATCAAACATTATGGGAAAATCTTGAATGCTAATCGATCATATTATCTCTGTCGCTCTCAACCTCCCTTTTTGACTGATATGGCACTACGAATTTATGACAAGATGGACACTATCTATCCGGGCAAGGAAAAAGAAAACAAGGAATGGTTACGGTCTATACTGCAATCAGCCATCAAGGAATATCATCAAGTTTGGATGTCATCCCCACGCTTAGATCCCAAGACAATGTTATCTCGGTATCGACCTGATGGTCTTGGTATTCCTCCTGAAACAGAAGCTTCTCACTTTGATCATATTATTGAAAGATACTCAAAACCTTTGGGCCTTCCTATTCCTGAATACGATTATCTCTACACACAAGGTAAAATCAGGGAACCCGAACTGGATGAATATTTTTTACACGACAGAGCCGTACGAGAATCTGGTCATGACACTACTTATAGATTTGAAGGTGTTTGTGCAAACTTGGCCACCATCGATTTGAATTCTCTCTTGTATCGTTATGAAGTGGATTTGGCAACTGCTATTGACAATATTCTTGATGGTGAACTTGTGGATATGGATACTGGTGAACGACAGACAAGCAATATATGGTACGATCGTGCGAGACAACGGAAAGAAAGAATCAATACATATCTATGGAATGCCGAAAATAGCCTGTATTATGATTATGACACCGTCAAGGAAAAACAAACGACATACGAAAGTGCTACTGCATTTTGGGCTTTGTGGGCAGGATGTGCAAGTGCAGATCAAGCAGATGCATTGGCGACCAACTCTCTATTCAAGTTTGAAACAAAAGGTGGATTAGTTTCTGGTACTGAAAATTCACGTGGCAAGATCTCACTATCAAGGCCAAATCGACAATGGGATTTTCCATTTGGTTGGGCTCCTCATCAAATTCTGGCTTGGGAAGGATTCGAAAAATATGGTATGAAGAGCATTTCTGAACGATTGGCTTACCGTTGGCTTTACACGTAAGAAAAAAAAATTAGAAAATGATTAATTTTTTTTCCTGAACATTTCATACAATGATTGATTTGAATAGGATCACCAAGGCATTTGTGGAATTCAATGGAGTGGTACCAGAAAAGTTTGATGTAGTAGCCATGTCACATAAGGTGGAAGTGGAATATGGTAATCAAGGTACTGATTTCAAGTATGTTCCTCGTGAAGGTTTTGGATGGATGAACTCCAGTTATGAAGTGGGTCTTCTTTACTTGAAAACCAGTTTAGTGCGTGCTCTAGGTACATTAACCGATCCGGATGATCTCTTTGCCAAGTCTTTACAATACGAACAAGAAAATAGATCTCCTGATGTACAAGTACAAGCCGATATGCGTCGTCGTGCCTCTACTATTGCTGCTCGACACTTTGCTCATAGTCATGATCCCGATGCCACTGAAGCCGCCACTACCAAGATATATGCTGAAGCCGTCGATGATCATCAGTATGCTCATTCTTTGTCGCCAGAACCTCAGTTTTTAGATGTAGATTACAGTCAACCTCATATTAGTCCAAGTCAAGAAAATTTGGATCTACAACTTTTAGCCCCATGAAAATAAAAATAAAATCCATTTTATACTCAATCTATATACACTTTTTTTTTTTTCTTTTTTGATAGTATGGAGATGAATGAGGTGAATGGGATGGTAATGGGTGATGGTGGATGATGTGATGAAGGATGATGTGATGGATGATATCTTTTAATCGTGCGGGTAGAAAAAGAAACGTTTGATAATATTGAATGACATCCCGTGATATTTGATTACTTTGATATAGAAATTATGATAGCTGCTTATTTTAACAAAAAGATGGCGTTTCTTTCTTCTCATGAGACATAGAACACAAAAAAAAAAAAAAAAAAGGAATACTGTATAATAGGAAAATTGTCATAGAAGATGCAGATCACATCCACAACTACTTCATGACGAAAGATCTTGGATAAGAGATGAACATATTGAATAAATTGGAGTCCATCCATGGTAGAACAACCTTTTATAAAATAGAAACAAAGCCGAAAAGAGGGGATATTCAATAAATACTTTATTTCAAAATCATAATAAAACAGGATAATAAAAAAGAAATTAGACTAAACTAAGTGAGAGAGAGAAGGGAGGCGATCCAACTAATAAACATATATATATCTAACTAAGATCGTCGTCGTCTTTTACGACCATCATCACTTTCACTAGCAGAGCCTGAAGAGGAGGATGAATAGCTTGGAGAGCGTCTTCGTCTTGAAGATCTTTTGCCACGATCACTGTCACTTGCCGATGAACCCGATGATGCTGATGATGCTGATGATGCTGATGATGATACTGAGACACTTCTTCTACGTTTCGTTGTTGTTGTTCGTCGACGTCGATGCTTATCGTCATCTGAATCACTGTTGCTATCAGTATCAGTACGGCTACTGGCACTGTCAGAAGAAGGAGTAGGTGACCGTCGTCGTCGTCGTCGTCGATCGTCACTTCTTCGATAATATCTGTCATCTTCCTTTCGTCTTCTGTCACTACGGCGAGCTTCCCTTTCACGTCGTTCGTATCGTTCCATCTTTTCTTCCAAATCACGTTGCCGTTTTTCAATGCGTTCTTGTTTCCTTTGCTCTTGTAATTCCCGATCAAATGCTTGCCCTTCTACATGATCTTCCTGTCGTATTCCAAATGCTTTCGCAAACTTGATATTTTCTTCATTTTTGGCAGCTTGTAATAAATGGGTTTCATGTTCTTGTAAACTATATTTTAAAAATACATTTATATATGAGATGATGAATGAGTTTTTTTTTTTTTTTTTTTTGTGATTATTTACCTTTTAGCTTCTCGAGGTTTCATTTGATCCAAACGTTCCATTAAAGATTGTCGATGTTCATCCACTTTGGTATCAATCTCATCATCATTGAGACTATTAGAAAATATATATAAAAAAAGAAGTTAAGTTGGGCTCTAATATTTTGAAAAAGCAATTACACTTACCCATCATCTTCTAGTTTTAAACGTAGTTCCATACATTCCACTTCTATCTTTCGTTTCAAGTCATGAAGTAAGAGTTCTTTGTTAGGTTGTTTGGCAGTAGGAGGAGGGCCTCGAATATCTTCATCCCTTCGTTGTTGTTTTTGAATAGGTGGAGGTTTCACATGAGATAAGTTGCGCACAACATAACCATTTGTACCTATATAAAAAGTAAAGAAAGTATTATAGGTTAACATACTGATCTTTTATCAAGAAAGTATATCTATACACATAAATGAAATATATATATATATATATATATATATTACCTGAACCACGAGGAGTTGTTAATCCAATACCGTTATACATATCAAATATAAATATATAAAAGATATCAATTGAAAAAGAAAGAAAGAAAAAAAAAAGTTTTCAAAAAAGGGAAAGAATATATGCCTGCGGTAGGAAAAGTCACAACTACGTTATCCAATAATAAAAACGCTGGCGGCATTTGAATGATCCAGATACACTCTTTTTTCTTTTGCTCTATCATAACTGGACAGTTTCTTCTTTTTTTTTTTTTTTGCCTCTAGCTCTCTTTCTTTTTTTTTTGTGTTTACTTATACCATGAATATTGATGACATCTTCAAGGTAATGGAATAACCAAATATTATATGTTAAACAATATTATCAAAAGAAAGGACGGAAAAGGAAGGAAGAGAAGTCTTACTTCAATTCATGTTTATTTAACATTATTTTCTCTTTCTATTTTGTTATGATAGATCCCTGCGATCCCTAGCGGTCGTAACAAGAGAAAAATGCCAGCTACACCCGATGTTGATTTTTTGGACAAGTATCAATCTAATCAAATTCAAAACGACAAGTTTGAAGGATACAGTGATTCAAAGGGAAAAAGACGCGCGGTTGATGTAGACGATAGCATTGATGACAGTGAATTCAAAGCAGAAGCCGATGATCAATTTATTTGGAATGATAATGATGAAGAAGGACGATTTTTTGGTGGTGGTTTAACAGATGAACAAAGCAAACTTTTGGAATTAGTGGATCAATTCGATGACGATGAACAGGTACAACATACATCATAATTTGGAAAAATTGACACTGATTTTTTTTTTAAAGGACGATGGAATCAATGTGACCTCTGTAAAACGGATGATTTTGAAGTTTGAAAAGGCCATCAACAAGAATCAAGAATTACGAATGAGATATAGCAATGAACCAAAAAAGTTTATGGAATCCGAAGCTGATCTCGATGAAGAAATCAAAAATCTACTGGTCCTGACACAAGCTCCCCATCTATATCCCGAATTAGTCAAGTTAAATAGTGTACCATCCTTAATGTCTCTCCTCAGTCATGAAAACACTGATATTACTATTGATGCAATTGATTTGATCAGTGAATGGTTGGATGAAGATGTTGGCATTGTTGCTGGAGGGAATGAAGATGCAGATGATGAACAGGAAGAACGATCAGAAGCTGCTACTAATGGTATCAAGGTTTTGATGGATTCTTTGGTATGTGTTATATAAAGAAAACCTATTATTTGAATAAGAGACACTCAATAGGATTATATTATTCTATCTGTTTTTTTTTTAACTATGTTAATATAGTTGGAAAATGAATTATTGGAATTACTAGTACAGAACTTGGATCGATTGGATGAAAATGAAGAAGGCGATCGACAAGGCGTATTCAAGATACTGAGCATTTTTGAAAATCTACTTTCTTTGGATCCTGAATTGGCTAAACGCATTACATTACAGACTCAATTGGTGCCATGGTTATTGAAGCGAATACAATCAAAGGAATTTGATTCCAACCGTGGATATGCAAGTGAACTCATCTCTATTCTACTCCAAAAAGATCATGGTACAAAACCAGGATAGATCATCATCTTTTTTTTTTTTAACTCATTTTATTTTTGATTCTTTCTCTTTGTTCTAGATGTACGAATGAAATTCTGTGAATTGGATGCTGTGGATATTTTATTGCGTGTTTCTTCGGTAAGTGACATTATATCTCTTTTTTTCTGTTCTATATATCTAATTTTATGAATATATTCTTGTCATTTAGGTATACAAACGCAAGGATCCCAAAGAAGAAGATGAAACAGAAATGTTGGAAAATTTTTTCAATGCAATGATTTCTCTTTTGAATGAAGAAAAAGCCAAAACATTATTCCTAGAAGGGGAAGGAATTGAATTGATGCTGATCATGTTGAAGTAAGTTATTTGGTTTTAGAAGTGATGTATTTCAAAAAAAAAAAAAAAAAAAGTTAATGGTTTTTAAATTTGTTATATTTTATAGGGAAAAGACTTTGGCAAGGATTCGAGCTGTCAAGGTCCTGAATTATGCTTTGTCTGGTAGTGATGATGCTGCACATGCCAACTGTACCCGATTTGTAGATGCTATGGGACTGAAAGCACTCTTCCCATTGTTTATGGGCAAGGTAATATTCCTTTTTTTTTTTTTTTTTTATGCATAGATGACCGACGTTTTCTCATATTGACTTGCTTTTTTTTTCTGTATAGGGTAACAAAAAATTGAAAAAGATCCACAAATCATTTGTCGAATCGGAGGATGAGGAACATATTTTATGTATTATATTATCCATGCTGCGACATTTATCATGTGACGATATACAACGATTGCGATTGCTAAACAAATTCACAGAGGATGATTATGAAAAGGTGGATAGGTTAGTAGAGATGAAACAATATTACGAAGAACGGGATCAACAAGTACGCAAAGCAATTCAACGTGATATTGAACAACTGGAACAAGAAGACGAACTGGATGAATTGATGGAAGAAGAATTCTATTTACGACGACTGGATGCTGGTCTCTTTGTCTTGCAACGAGTATGCCTTGTTTTGGGAGCTTTATATGCGGAAAACAAAGGTGTGGGTGCCAAGGTAGATCTTTTATTGGGACGTCAAGGATTAGACCGTTCAAGTATCATGGATGTTATTGAAGAAGAAACCGCTGTATTGGCTGACTTTGTTCACCTGCGCAAGGTAGCGATGGGGGCAACAACGAATCCTTCACAACAACCACAACAACAACAACAACAAAATGACAGCAATCATATGGATTAACAGTAAAACCTTGGCTTTGAATAGGATGAGCAAGATTCATTCAAGAATGGAATTATGTACATAGACTTTGGATATCTTTTACAAGTTGATATTAGTTTAGTATTATTATTGAATCTAGACAATAATTTACAAACAATACAATAAAGAACATTTCTTTTATATATATATTTTATGTAATCGTCATTAAAAAGAATATTATGTATCACCGTGATTATTTTTGTATAAACCATTATCTATCATAATTGAACCATCCAACATCATGCAATCATCTCTGAATCATCATACTACTATATTACCATCAATTGACAACAACAACAACAAAAAAAAAAAAAAAAAAAAAAAAAAAGGAAGCTAATATCCTTTTTCGCATTCATAAAAACAAAATCAGTCTTCTACACAATAAATGAGTCATCGTTTATTTATTGTCAATAATCATACAAATAAAACAAGAATCTTTTTTTCAAAAATTCAGTTAAATAATAATAACTATTCTATGATACACTAGTCTATCCAATGGAATAAATCATCATTGAGCCCACACTTGTCTAAACATATCAGCAAATTGTTTCATTTCTGAAGAGCAATCACTTTCAGCACGCTTCTGAAGGGCAAATGGCATCTATACAAAAGAGTTAGAATTGACATGGTAAGCTGAATGTTTTCGACATAACTTTTATATATTATTATCTAACCTTTTCTTGTAAATAGGAAATACGGTTTTTATGACTTGGATGAGTACTTGCAAACTCAGGGATTCCACGAGCAGTACCGGAAGCTTCCATTCGACGCCAGACATTGACAGCTTGTGTAGGATCAAAACATGCCTGAGCCATCAATTCCAATCCCATAGTATCAGCTTCTCTTTCACATTTTCTAGAGAATGGTTTCAACATCATTAGGTTCATGGTCAAATGGTTGAAGAAGAGTCGAGGATCAATACCAAAGAATAATAGACCAAATTGTATCGCCAGGAGTACCTTTTCAAAACTGAAGCGTTCTGAACTATGTCGAGCTACTTGATGAGAGATTTCATGTCCTAGAACTGCCGCCATACCATCTTCATTCTCTACTACAGGAAGTATACCAGTGAATACAAACACCTTACCGCCAGGTAATACAAAGGCACTACATAAGAAGAAAAAAAAGATACTTTTGAGTTTTTTCCTTTTCCCTTTTGGTACTTCATTATCTTTTGATTTATTTTCAACTTACTTTTGTTCAGGAGAGTCAATGACATAGAATTCCCAAGCAACATTATCCATACCAGAAACACGGATTAACCGTTTGGCTACACGACTGACGAATTGAGTATAAGGATGGTGTCTAGGAAGTATACGGTGACCAAACTGAGCCATGACTCCTGAATAGGCTTCCCGTGCCATAGCTATTACAATGATAGAACAAATGTTGAGTGAGTCTATTTTTTCTTTTTCATTGATATTGTACTAAAGGAAATTACCTTCTTCTTGCTTTGGTGTGACATGCATGAACCGAGTTCTACCACTGATCGGAACCTTTTCTAAATGAGTGATATAATAACCACCAAATAACACTGTGCCTGTACCCATTGTAATCCAGAATCGTAATGAAGTATAAAACGGACCTTGATTACTTCTGAATCGTCGATAGTTGTTAGAGTACCTTGAACCTGGAGTTGTTGTTGGCGGTGTTGGAGGTCGATATTGTACAGGTGGTCGTGGATAAGAAGCAAATTGACGAGTATATACTAGTGGTGTTGTCCATGATGAGCGTTTGCTTGAAGAATATATGGATCGTCGTAAAAAAAAGAGATTCATGTTTGTAAGAGGTGATAATGTTGAGGAAAAAAAAAAAAAAAGAGAAGAAAAGAAAAGAAAAGAAAAGAAAATGTGATCAGCCCTTGCAGTTTTATTCTTTCTTTTTTAAAATAGCGCCGGGATGGATCTGGAGGGAGGGAAAAGAAAAAAAAAAAAAAGAGTAGACAACATTCAAGCGAATCAGAGTAATAGTTTTATTTTTTTAAAGATATTGAATGTAAAAGAAGAAATGGTTTATTATATTGATAGATGATCATTGGATAGAGACTATTTTATAAATTGACGAGGGTTCTTTTTCATTTTCCCTTTGGCTTTTGGTTTCCCTTTTACTTTTTTGCCTTTCTTGTTCTTCTTTTTCTTCCCTTTTCCTTTTAATTTTCGATGTGGTTGTCGATACGCTTGATTCACATCATCATCATCATATCCTTCATCTTTCATGATACGAAGATACACATAATGTCTTAAAGAAGTAATGTCTTCCAAATTAGGGCCTGGTGTGTACATCGGGCGCATATATCGAAAAGAAGGTAAAGTCAAATTGGCCATGGCTTCTATGTAGGCAGATTCACGTTTGCTTGCAATATCCATCTCTGCCTTGATTTCTTGTCCACGATCAAAATCATACCGAAGTACTGAACCAGGCATCATGATGAATCGACTTTCTATCATATCATTCTTTTTTTCAACATCATCATCATCATCATCATCGTCCGTGAGTTTTTTCTTATGGATCAATTCTGTCAAGGATCTGGTAGATGGGGTTGGTAGAAGAGGATATTTATCACAATCCATCCCTTTAATATCATACATTTTACATTGGGTACTTGTCCAAGCGGATGATCCGTCCATGAATGATGACCAGGAAAGGAACTGCCCGACATGAAGAAGAATTAAAATCATCATCATCATCATCCATAGATAATTTGTTTTTCCTATGTAATTCATGAGTGTCAACTTATTATGGTGATTTGTAACATCAGTCATTGAGCGACAATGATGATGATTTTTTGAGGATACTATGAGCCATTCGAGTAAACTTGTAAATGCAATTGTCCCATACATCAAACAAGGAAACATATCTGATAGGGTGATAGTGTGAGCTGGCCATAATCCAATTCCGGCGGTATGGAAAACCACCCCTACTAATGCTATGGTGGCTGTTTGAATCTCATTTCCTAACATCATCCAGTGAAAAAAAAAAAAAAAAAAAAAAAAAAAAAAAAAGATGTCAGACAAGATAACAATACACTGAGAGATTGCTTTTTTTTTTTTTTTCCTCTACCTGCCAAAAACTGTTGACAACACATACTAGCCCGTTTCCACTGAAGTTGGGAAAATAATGAAGAGAAAAAGGCGATGATAGGAATAAGAACAAGAGTCACTAGTGTAATATGACGCAAGAGAGGATGAAGTATAATATACACTGATCTACCTGTCAAATCATCCCATATTAATTGTGCATGTAATCTTCGTAACCATGTCCAAGGTTGAGGGAGTTCATCATAATACATCATGGTATTTACATACTCTACATCATCCGCTTCAACAGAAGATAGTCGATCATATACTACTTTTTTGTAATTCTTCATTAGATGATGAACATATTGGAATTTAGAGAAAAAGGTTGGTTTTTCATATTGAATCATTGGTGTCTCTCCCTCCACTAGAAAAAAAAAAAAAAAAGACTGATCAATCCTCTTTTTCTTTCCTTTTTTTTTTTTTTTTTTTTTTTTTTTTTTTTTTTAATCATTCATCATATTAACTTACAATCGGGATGATGAGTGTATTCAAAAACCCAGGCAGAAACAGTACTTTTAGCTCCTGCCATACATGTGACTTCTTGTTGAGCACCATCAGCAAGAGGTAAAGGTTGATAGTGACTACTGAGATAGCATCCTCTTTGATGTAAAAGTCGAAATCGAGTTGTCAATGCATGGATAGGTTCATCACTATCAGTGTCGTAACCATCATCATCCTCCACGATACGAATCCACCATAAATCATTGCCATCATTCACCACAGAAGGGTCGCCGTACGATCTATTCCAAATAGATAAACCAGATATAAGGATCATCTTAGATATATTCTCTCTCTCTCTTTCCTTCTTTTTTTAATATATATATACTTACGTTACTTCATAGAAACCATCACCTGAATGGATGGGTGCATTTTGATCATGAGAATGTAATTTACGAGTGGATGCGTAATGTTCCAACTTGAAAGCATAGTTGTTGCGAAGATAATCGGGAGGTCCATCATATATTTTACCATCTACCTTTTGTATCACCCAAATATTATTTAAATCTTCGTAGGGATATACCGTTACTTGATTCTCTGTATATATCATCATAGAAGTTGATATATTATATAAGAAAAAAAAGTTTGTAAGTAAAATACTGATTAATCATCATCATTCAACGACATAACTTTTTTTTTTTTTTGGATGTTGACATGCTTACGATGACTTCCAGATTCAAATATTTTATTGTCAGAATGAAGATAGCCGTTGTTCGTCCCAACATGCTTTAATACTACATGTGATCCAAAAGCAACAGCTTGATGATAAAAAAATAGATTCATATTAGTGGTATGTATTAACAATCACAAATATATATATATATATATATATATATAAATCTTACATTGTTGAACAGGATCAAATGTGTTTCCCTTTAAAGAATAACGAAGATCAGATGCTAAAAATAGATCATGATCACCTGCACCAGGGATTTTTTGAAAATGACATTGAAATAATAAAACATAAACAATCATAGGTAATATCAGTAAAGTTAGACATTGTACACCTATGTATACCATTGATTGTTTCTAGGAGATATTCATCATAGAAATAAAGAGAAAAAAAATTCAGTGATGGTTTTTTTTTAAAAAAAAAAAAAAAAAGGAAAAAGAAAAAGAAAAAGAGAAGGCTAAATGATTGATTACCATTGGAGTAGCAGGATCACCTATTTTTTGCCACCATTCATAAATGGCAATAACGAGGAAAAAAGCGATCGTAGTACCACCTTGCCATTTTGTACATAAAGCGCAACCGAGCAATATACCTGTCAAACATTGCCGACTTGTTCTATATTGTTATCCATTGAAAGAATGTGTTTAGACTATATAGTAAAAATAAAAAAAGAGGAAATCATTCTCTTACACTGTTGGTTGGGAATAAAAGAAACTACAACCAGCAAAGCAACAAAACAGTATGCATAGAGGGTTTTCAGAAATATATCTTGATTGGATCACCATGCTATTCTCTTGATGATGAAAAAAAAAAATGAATTGATTTCATTTCAATATGCTGGATAATCCTTTTATTTTTACCTAATAACAGAAAACTTGATGTTAAAAGAGCAGTTGTATGTGATCGACCGAGAATACAGATAAGTGTATAAATGGCTGGAATAGTAAGAGCACTGATGATCATCGTCCAATATCTTAATGTTGCTAATGGAAACTCTTTCAATATTCTGTGTATTAAAAAAAAAAAAAAAGATCATCATATTGTGAATCGATTGAAAATATGAAAAGGATTCAATAAATAATAATAATAATAAAAAAAAAGGAAACTTACTGGCCAGCATATAAGATGGACTCATTACCATGATAACCAGTCAGTTTTGCTAAACTAGTATACATCAAGGTAGCCAATGGAGGTGATGATCCAATATAAAATTGTTTTCTTAAAGTCCAATTGATTTGTTGAGCTAAAATCAATTCACTTTGACTATGAATGGATGGATGATTATCAATCATTGTCCCCACCTTTTTTTTTTTTTTTTTTTCTTACGTGATAAACTGTGGTACACCTGAATGCCATAGACGTATGATCAAAGCAAATAGAAACAAGAAAATAAGATAAATGGGATGTAAAATAACCTGTGATGAATTATGATGATGGGAGGTAGATGATAATTTCTTTTCCTTTAGATGGTGTATATCATCTTCCTTCTTTTTGTTATGATCCAAAACATCTATTTTACTTTGAGTTGTATTGACTAAAATATCAGTTGTATTATGTCGATATCTCAATGAGAACATGATGTTTCAATAAAGTATTGAAAGGAATAGTATCCAATAAGAAAAAAAATAATAAGAAAAAGAAATGAATGGGAAAAGTGTTATTAAGTTCGAATATGTAAAATGTCTTTCATACCAAAAAAAAAAAAAAAAAAAAAAAAAAAAATGTTGCCTAAATGGGAATGAGAGGAGACCAATTTTGGACATGTCAAATATATAAGAGATGAAAAATACCAAACATTCTTTTCTTTGAACAAAACGGTTTTTCAATTTGAACATCAACCGAAAAATCATCTCATGATAAAATTTTACAGAGAAAATAAAATCATTGAATTGGAGAAGATCATTGGGCTTTGACGAGATATACCAACACTACATCGGTGTTTGAAAACAGTCAGTGTTGGTTTCTTTCTTTTTTTATCCCCTCCTTTTTCTCTCACTCTCTCTTTTCCTTTTGTACATTTTGAAAAACTTCTTTTCTTTCTTTCTTTCTTCCTTTTTTTTCTTTCTTTCTTTTTCTTTTATTTACTGATTTATATCATTGTCTTTACTTCTTGTTCTTGACAAAGAAGTAAGCAACTCATTAACTTTCTTTCATTGTCATTCAAACATTGCTATACCACTTCGACCTCTCCTCTACTTTTTTTTTTATCATCAAAAAACATAAAGGTAATCTACTTCCTTTTTTTTAAAGTATATCTTTATTATTAAACTTATTGACCTTATTTTCTTCCTCTTTTATATATATATATATATATATATAATTAGAATTATTAGAATACATATATATATATTATGTCTACCGTCACACGTCGAAGAGTGGGAGCTAGTGGTTCCTCCAATCATCCTGAAGATATAAATGACAACAGTAACAACAACAACAATAATAATAACAACAACAATAGTAACAGTCAAAAGCATATTGATTCACCATCCTCTGAAAAGAAAATAGCCTTTGATCCTCGTGATCTAGATGAATCCAAAGCCAATCCCAAACTTACTTTGATGGAAGAAGTATTATTATTAGGACTCAAGGATAAGCAAGTAAGTATGTCCGACACTATATGAACTCCCATCTTACTCTTTATTATCATTATTATTATTATTGTATTGTACAAAGGGTTATCTCTCGTTTTGGAATGACAGCATTAGTTACGCACTACGTGGATGTATTGTTATGGAACTTGCTTTCCGAGGTCGTATTGCAATGGTGAAGGATCCCAACCGACGAAAATATCCATTATCGGATCGACATATTGAAGTCATCAATGACAAACTGACTGGTGAAGTTTTATTGGATGAAGCCTTGAAAATGATGAAAGTTAGTGAAAAGATGAGTGTGGCTAGTTGGATTGATCTGATGAGTGGTAAGTATTAAAAAAAAAAACAAGAATATAACCTTGTTATTCTAGTTGTAATCTTTCTTTCTTTCTTTCTTTCTTTTTTTTTATAGGTGAAACTTGGAATGTAATGAAGATTGGATATCAATTAAAACAAGTACGTGAACGATTGGCAAAAGGTTTGGTGGACAAGGGAGTATTACGTACAGAAAAACGCAACTTTTTACTATTCGATATGGCAACCCATCCTGTGGCGGACACGGCAGTCAAAGGAAATTTGATCAAATTGGTATGTATGATGTTGACCACACACGTATCTCCTAACGCCATTGAAGCCGTCACCGATATCCCTTTTGCTTACCTACGTGCGATTGCCATGATCTGTGCTGCCTATGCTGCTAACGTTTTGGAAAATGCTCTGCTATATTTGGAACCTGATTCACGGGAACATGCTTTCAACAAAGTAGATGAACTTATGAACGATTATTCTACTTGGCCTTTTGCTGGTGAAGGTGCGAAACTAGATATACCTACTGGAAAAGAATTATCTTTGGAAGTCATTGCAAGTGTTTTGAATGTATTGACTAAAATGGATGCTATAGTAAGTGTTTAAAAAAAATCTAAATTGTATGAAGTCATCATTCACTTTTCTTTCTGTTTTTATTAGCTTTGAAATAAATCATTATTCCTGTCTGTATTCTCAACAAATATCATAGCCTTTGACTTTCTTCCAACTTTTTTTTTTTTTGCTATCTGTTTATACATTTATACATCTCTTTTCTTCATCAGTTCCCTTTTTTTTTTATATATCTTCTATACTCTTCTTATCCCCAGCTCTCTTTCTCTTTCACACACATTTCGCTACAAAAATTTACTTTTCTTTTATTATTCTTATTATTCTTATTCTTATTTACCATAAACAACCTATCCTTTTTTCTTTCTTGTCTTCCTCTCTACCACTATATGCGATATGTTTATTTATTTTCCTCTTTTTTACTTCTTTTCAATAAAAATAACATCACTTCATTTGTATCTGGTATTTTATTTTATTGTTTTTTCCGGAATTGAATGACCATCATTGAAGGGTCGTCCATCTATCAAGTATGCTTTCTATTCTGTATATCAAATACATATTCTTTTGATGATCTCTAAAAGATGGATGAAAAAAAAAAAAAACAATAATCTGGATCTGAACCTTTTTTTTCAAAGAATGATATGTCATGTATAAAGTAGGAAATATTCTGTATTTATTTTCATCATCTTGAATGATTTATTCTCTAATACTTATATACATCCTTGCCATGTAAGGTTTATCAGAAAAAAAAAACAGAAAGTCACTGCATCATAAAAACAAGATCATCTGTCTATTTGTGTATTCCTATCCTATCATGATGAACACCATAACTTCAAGTGATGAGATACAAAAAAAAAAAAATAGTTCTTCACTCTATGTGAAGGTTGTTTATTAATATTGTAAGCCGAGGGAGGGTATCAATGTATAGATACATATGTAAAAAACAACAACAACATGGATAACTAAAATAAAAATAACAAGACTGATGGTAATAATAAAGATCAATCTGTTCTAATTCTATCAGTTGCTGTAGGACAATAGAAATCTTCATCTTCTTTATAATCTAAAGTGGTATACTTTTTAGCCTTGGGTAAAAATAATTCTTTCCATAAAGCCTTAAAAATAAACAACGACAGAGATGAGTATGAGATTTTACATTGACATCAACACTAGGTATATCTTTATTTTTTTTTCTAATTGTTACCTTTGAAAAGAAGCGGTGAGCATTGATATTTGGATGATAGCCATCCAAGTTACTAAAGAAAGAAGAAGAAAAAAAAAAAACAGGGATAAGTATGTAATATTTTGTCATTCTATCTGCAACCTTCTCCTTAAAAGCCAACATAGATACAACTTTTTTTTTTTTTTTAAAAAAAAAAAAAACATTACCTAATAGCAGTTGGAGGGATGGATTTAATATTGAGGGGGAAAGGTTGATATACCACAGTAAAAGAATCAGAGCCGAGAGTACCATCAGGACCATATTCCTTAGCAACGCTTTGTAAAATTTTGTTGAATCTGTCGACATGAAGTCCAATATCGATTTTTCCCAAGCCAGGTAATCGACAACACATGCATTCAAAAAGTTGAGGATCTGTTTTTTGATCTTGAAAGTATTTTCTGTATCCAGGTTGCTTGTCAGTTAATCCAATGATTTGCTCTGTATGAACAAGTCCAACTAGAATATATATATTATTATTTTTTTAAAAAAAAAAAAATTAAAAAAAAAGTGATGCTACCTATATATATCGTATTTACCTATATTAATGACCGCATGATCTACTTTTTCTTTCAAACGAGCCAAACCAGCGCGAATATTCTTTTCATAGTTAGCAGCTCGATAGTCAGGCATACAAGAGACAGAAATATCGTTGGTACCAATAAAGATATTAATGAGTTTCCAGTTTTGACTTTGAGATGAATCGACACCAATGTATTTACTAATATAATCGACTTGTTCTTCAATAGTATTACTGACAGCTGAAGGAATAGCAGCATTCAATTGATCTTGTTCAAATCTTTCAAAGGAAGAAAAAAAAAAAAGAAAAGAAAAGGAAGAGAGTAAGAAATTGAATGAGATAAAAAAAAAAAAAAAAGACGGAGACTGAAATGAAGGCAATGCAAAACTAAACTTACTCATGAGGATAAGTTAAACAGAAAAAGGTTTCTAAAAAGGAAAAGATGAGATATAAATGAATATAGATTATTATGATTTATGATCCCTTACTTTCACAGAGTGGCAATTGTCTTACGCCAGTGGAACTTCCAAATAAATCGGAAGAATAATGTTTGATATAATTGGCAATGGAAGATGCACCAGGATCCTATTTATGTCAAGAGTGTTAACAGGATGATTGATCGATGATAATAGAATAATAATTATCTTACCCCACCACTTAGCCAACTTAATCCTCGATATTGTTTAAAATCATCTTCAGTAACAAATTCAGAATCGATATTCATTGCAGCCACTCCTGCAGTAATACTTGAGATGAAAAGTGTTAATAATATGTCTTCATTTTCTCTTCTTAATTTACCTATCTCCAATGCTAGCAATGACTTTAATATGACTTGGATGAAGATAATGAACATTTTTAGGAGGCTGGATATCATCTGGGACAGAACAATCATTAATATCGGAGGCTGATGCCACATGGATAAGAACAATAACAAACAAGACTAAAAAGGTGGTAAATAACATGGTTTTTATACAAGAGAAGAAAAGAAATAAAAAAAAAAAAGAAAAGAAACAACTTCAGTTTTTATAAGTATTATAGAATCAAGGAGTGAGAAATATAGAAAGTTTTGTTGGATCAAAGAAGAAAAATAGGAGACGAAAAGCGCCCTCAAAGTGAAAAGATCAAGGTACAGACAACAAGGAGGTTTTATGCTTGAGCGTACCATTTTTTTTTAAAGGTGAACTCTTATATAATACATTGTTAAATCATTTTTGGAATCTGCTGCATCATCAATATCATTATCATTGTTTATTGTCATAAAATAATTCATATATAGGAATAATAACAATAATAAAGAGGTAAATATAAAATAAAATAAAATAAAAAGAAAACGCCACGGAAAGTAAACTAACTATCAGGGGTATGCATAAAAAAAATGGGGAAAAGGAGAAAGGGGTGCAAATTTGGAGGGTAAACTGGGGTCAACTAGAAGTTGTTGTTTCGGACAGAGGTGATGCAGTCAGTCACTCGCTTGGTTATAGTCCATGGCGATAATGTTTTCTCCATACCATACCAATCATCAGGGATAGTTTCTTTGAGTAAAAAGGATTCCAAATGAGCAGCAGAGATTTGATGATCACGACCAAGGAAATTCAATAGCAAAGCACATTCGACACCAGCATTGATCTATAATAACAAAAGATGATTAGTATCTATAGAATCTTACTTGTGATCATATGATGAATGTTCAAACATACTATAATGACCCATCTCTTCCTTTTTTTTTTTTTTTAATACCTGAAGACCAAAACCAAAATGATGATAAGGATTTGTTTGTATAGATTCAATCCATCGTTTCCTTCGAAAGTCGCTGAGTTCTTTTATACCCACCATTGAAGTTGTAGCATTTGCAGTACTGGCAAGAGATTGAACCTGTTCAAGACTGGGAATAGAAAAATCAGGTTGATGGAATGCATCAGGTCGAGAAAGTGATACATCATGTTCAATAATGTTGTGTATACCAATATGATCCAAATCGAGATGAGGTGCTAATCGTAAATCATATCGCATGGGTTGAAGAGGATCGATTTCATTGTAAACATAAAAGGCAAAATATAAAAACGCTCTGGTACCAACAGAGGTTGTGCCTACCATTCGCATCACCTTGTGAAATTCTTCAAATGTAATATTCTTGCCTGATCTGGGAAGTATACCATGGTTGGCCATTGTATTCAAAAAAGGACATGGAGACCTTACATCTGTAGCAGTTGGAGCTTGATAAGGATGAGCTTGAATAAATGCTTTCCATTCACTTGGTGTCATTGTATACTTATTATCTGGAATAATAATAAAATATAGAGAGAATAAACCAATCACTAGTATAAAAAAAGTTTTCCAACTTTTTCTTGTTTTCTTGGGTTGTGTAGGAGAAAAGGCTCCTGGTGTTTGTAAAGTCATGGTAGATTTCTTTGTCATTGTGAATAATAATAATAATAATAAGAAAAAAAAAAGAAAAAAGGATTTGTAAGAGAGAAATGAAAAAAAATTTAAAAGCGGCAAAGTAACAAAAAAAAAAAAGGCTTTTTCTTTTACTCAATAAAGAAAAAAGGTTGAATCTCAGCAGGGCTTGGAATATGAAATGAATAAAAAAGGGATTCATGCATCAAATGAGCCAATCAACAATAAGTAAATCAGGCATCAAGATTTCTTTCTATTTGTCCAATAAATACGCGAGTATGTGCAACATCAACTCGGCAACCTTCCGCCTTTCTTTTTAGTGTGACAAAAAGGAACAAGAGCCAAAAGAAGGAAAAGCGCGTTATAGGAAGTTAAATTCAAATTGTTATGTTAGTTTGACGCGTGTGGACAAATAAAGGGAGATAATTAAAAAAGCAGGGGGGGAAAAGGACTCATATGTTGCTTTTCAGCATATTTCTCATTCCCGAGTAATGTTGGTCCCTTTTCACTAAAAAAAAAAAAAAATATCCTTCTTTTTTTTTTTTGACTTTTTGTCACAAATAATAATAATAATAATAAAAAAAGATGTTCTTTTTTTTGACGTCACTTGACATCAATAAGTTTACGTTAATATTAATGAATAATGATTTACTACTAATAAAAATAAAAGATCAAAGAAATCAAATCAAATAAATGATAAAAAGATGATAATAACATGCGGAGGCTTAATTATATATACTTTTGGATAGGTAGGAAAAAAAAAAGTTTTTTTTTTTTTTGGACACTAGAGAATGCGTGTTTTCTGTGTGAGTGAGTACAAAGATTTTCTTTTGGTACTATTGCTGCAAATGTCTAATATTTCAAGTACCCCTTATTGTTTGTATTTGTTATTGTGTGAGTAAAAAAACAAGAAAAAAAAGTATGAAAAAAAAATGAGTTTTTCGGTTACCCAAAATCAGTTTAAACTGCCAGTTTTGAAAAAATTAGTTCTTTGACTGTCACTGCTTTTTTTTTTTTTTTGCTTATATTAAACTTGCGCCCTTAGTGAATTTTTTTTTCCCTCTCTTTCCATTTTTCCCCTTCTGTTCTACTTTAGAACTCCTTTTTTCTTTCTTTTTTTCTTTCTTTCTTCTTTTGACAAAAAAAAAAGAAAGTCATATTCTTATCTACCATCTTTTCTTTTTTTTTCTTCTTCTTCTTCTTCTTCTATTGTTGTCTATCTCATTTCATCTTTTATTTTTTTAATCCCTTAAATGAAGACTTCAAGGTAAAATATATAAAAAGAAAAGAACGTATTAGAAAACAGGAGAATGATTTATTTTGTCCGACTTAAAAAAAAACTTTGAAATATTATTCTTATTTAGACATGTTAACCAACGAAAACAATCTACCTTATCAATAACCAATAAACCTATATTCAAAATACCAATCAACTTACCCAAACATGTTTCTTCTTCAAGTTCTATATTATCACCATCTATTCCATCTTCTACAATGTCAACTGAAATACAAACTATTGCCTCTACTATGAAACTACGTACGAAAGCTGCTCTTAGTTCAATGGTTTGGAAAGGGGAAAATCAAGATTTACTCTCTTCTATTGTATCAACTTCTACTACCACTACTACTAGTAGTAGTAAATCCACTGTTGATCATGATCTACCAATCAAGTTTTCACGACCTATACTGAAAAATCTTACCTTATTGAAACAATATCTTTCCTTTGTCCAAGAAGAAACTGGTGTTATTATGAATATATCATCATCTTCAGTTAAAGAACCTTCTTGTTTACCATCATTATCATTCCAACATCAACCTCATTCCTTGGCTTCATCTGGTGCTTCTATGATTGAATCTATGGTTCACCATTCTATGTCAAAAATGGAAATCTCCCTTCAAAACGGTAAAACATTATTTATTTTAGTTTTTTTTTTTTTTTTTTTTTTTTTTATTTGTGTGTGTATCTATCGTTTTGTACAAATATGCTGACTGGGTTTTAAATTCATAGATGTAACGCCACTTCCAAGCTCAATAACAATAGCATCATCATCATCAGGTCATCAACGAAAACAAACTCGACCCTTGAAATCTATCAGTAATCTCAATAATATAAAATCGGATGAAGAAAAACAACTCAAGAAATCAGAACGTTTACGACTGAAACAACAACGTAAACCACGATGGACATCTCTGACAACGACGATCAACAAAAACAGCAAAAAGGATACGGCTGTGATTCAATGTATTTGTGCTACGCCGCATGAAGAATTTGGCGCAATGGTACAATGTGACGATTGTACATGTTGGTTACACTTGGAATGTCTCGCTTTGGATGAACATGCTTTGGATGAGACTTTCCGTTGTCCTTCTTGTTATATTACTTTGGGTCCTAGTCATCATCTTACTAGTGCTGTCACTTGGCGATTTGCTGCTCAATGGAAATCTGAACGATTAGCTGCTCGGCGTGGTAATGATACTCGATCTTCTTATCATCATCGACGTCATACTTCATTTGGATCATCTCAACGACCAATTTATTCACAAAAGCAACGCAAACACCATCGTTTATACTCTGAAAAACAACGTCGACGATATACCTTACCAACACAAGATGAATCTTCATCTTCTTCTTCTGATGACGATGATATGAATGATCAACAACAAACTTGGATGATTCCTAAGATGACGATTCATTCTTCTATCAATACTACCATGACAACTCCTTCTGGAAATGTACTCGTACAGACCCTTTCGAATAATACAATGGATCGACCATCAGATATTAGCAATGATATGGATGTGGATTCAGATACAACAGAATCTGATTGGGAAGTGAATTATCGTTATGGTCAACAACGATTAGATGTCTCTTCTATCAACACTTCACCATCTCTTGTACTCTCTGCTAGTAGTGATATGGACAGCCCAAGTGAAGCAAGTACACCAGATGAACATTTTGGTCATGATGATTCCTATGTACATGTGATGGATACAACTGATTCTGAAGTGATGATGCTGTCTACCACGGCAACATCGGCATGCTTAGATCAAGAAAGTTTGCTTTGGTTATCACGTTTAGCTTATTTGGAATCATTACAATCAAATTCTGGACAACAATGTTTTACACCTCATGCATCCGATGTATTCCTATGTGATGAGTTACAACATTTCAAACAAGTTGGAACAATGACAGATCAAGAAAACAAGAATTCCTCTTGTGTGCCACTCTTATCTCCTACGTTATCGACAACAACAATATCAACAACGCCTGGAATGGCTACTCCTCGGTCTGATCCTCCTTCTACCATTTGTTCTCATGATCTTTCTCAATTTTCTTTTGATGCTGGACCCTTCTGGAGCCCTATTCAATAACTTGTTCTCCTACCTCCCTTTATGTGTATATATTTATCCTCTCTTTCTCTCTTTCTCTTTCTCTCTCTCTCTCTCTCTCTACCTTTCTCTTGGATTCTAGTTTTAATTTATTCCTTTACTAGTGTATTATACTTATCTTTTTTAAAATTTATTGTCTCGTTCCTCTCTTCCTCTATATATATATATATATATATATATATATATATATATAAGAAAACTTTACTATTGACTTTATTCCCTTTTTTTTGTTAGTTTTAGTTACTTTTTTCTCTCTTTTTTTTCCGTTTGTCTATTTTTTTTATATATATATGATTCAAACTACAATATATCTATATCTACTTACATACTTCTTTGAAATAAAATAAACGCTCTGGCACTCCATTGGAGTCTTTCGAAATCGAAGATTTGTGTAGACTCTAGACTCCTTTTTTTTTTTTTTTTTTTGGAAAGTGTGGATTATAGATTTGTTTGAAAGATCAGATGCAGTTGCTGATGAAAGGAACAAAGTAGATGACTACATGACTAATGATATTCAGACCTTCAGTACTATGTATCATCAACGAAAGGATATTGCATGTTTAACTGATACGAGAAAGAATATTCTTCTGTCATGGATGGACCTTTATACTGATGTTACAAGACGACACACAAATCACTTTCGAAATATGAATACCCAACGATAACTTTATTAACTAAAATATATATATAATTTCTATACACTATGATATGATCGATGATTGATAATGACGGAAGACAGATGATATGTGATGATAGATAGTTGATGATTGGTCATACAGTATGTGACAATGAATAAAACAAAAAGATAACCATCAAGTTCATCAGATAGACCAGTTGCTATGATAGAAAAGATATTGTATGCAGTCAGTAGTATTCTTTCACGTTATATAACAAAAAAAGAAAAGGAGTAGCGCCATTACCTTAAGGTCCATCAAGAGATCGCTTCGTCGTCATCATAATGAATAGACAAAAAAAGAAAAAAAAGAAAAAAGAGATAAACGTCAAGTTGTACACTTAGAATAATTACTACAATATAAATAAAATTAAAGAAAGAAAGAGGTCACTTGCATTTTTTATTTTATATGATATAAAAAAAAAAGTAACATCATTATACCTTAAAGTCATCACAAGATTACTATGTCATCGCTAGCTTGATAGGAAATTAAATAAAAAGAAAAAAAAAAAGTGAAAGAAAAAAAAACGAAAAGAAAGTGAAAGGAAAGAAAAGAGTGAAAGAAAAAAAAACGAAAAGAAAGTGAAAGGGAAAAAAAAAAGAAGGGGTAACAAAAAAAAAAAAGAGTAATGATGATTTGGAGAAACCCTTTTTGGGACGATCATCTGTGTTACGCCTCTCATGTTCATAACAAAGAGTAGAATTCATTATCGAAATCATCTACATTTATGACATAATTGCCTTATTTAGGTACGAAGATCCAACTACTGTCGGTGTTTGGTATCTTTCGATAAAACAAAAATAAGAAAAATCCAGTTCACTTCTTCTTTGTTTACATTTCTTTACTTTTTTTTGCTCTCTCTTTCTCTTATTTTTCATACAAATGATGCATATTAATGTGCTCAATTACACCAATACAAGATATACAAAAGCAACCATACTTCTAGAGGATAGAAGACGACCACCGACAAGTATACAACCAATCAACAAAGAAGAATACTTTTCCAAAACGTCTTTCAAGAGAAATTTCTTCAGTTGTTCAAAAATCTAAATCATCCGGAAAACAAAAACCTACAAAGGAAAACAAATCAAAACAAACTATGCTGCCAATGAACAAGCAAAAATCACTTCATCGAAGAGGGTTGATCAAAATATACTATATGACACTGTCGATGAATTGGAATGCTGGTAAGCTAATGAATAATGGTACACACTTGTACGATGATCGTCGCTAATCCATCTTTTTTTTTTTTTTTACGACATCATAGATCATATCAACGATCAAATTAATAACACGGTAGTTGTGTGGACTCGGAGGGCATCGTATATCATTCTCTTTGGTTCGATTATATTCGAGAAAACGTTGACCAGGTGATAGATGGCTTTCTATATAAAAAAACAATCCTGAAGTAGCTGGGACCAGTATTGTGGCGAAAAAAGAATATGTATACCGGACAACACTTAAAAAATGTCTTCGATCTGACCTAGAAAATAGCGAGAAGAAGATGATTGTGGAAACCATAAATAAAATTCACATGCAAAGAAATCATTCTTTTTATTCATTCATCTCTTGAGGTAGCGCGTGCATACCTTGGCATCTTTTGTAAGTAATCAAACAAAATTGGAATTTAACGATCATGACTAACCATTTCCTTTTCGGTCTTCAAAATTTATCTTCATGGGGAAATTGAAATCTTTCATTTCTTTTTAAATTTTTCCTTTTTCCTTTTTCCTTTCTTTCTTTCTTTCTTTCTTTCTTGATTGTTACATTTTACTATCACACTGTATAAATGTCATCCTCTTCTACTGAAAAAAGACAAGCACCAAAACCAGAACCATTCAATCCATTGGCTGTGGCTAAGTATCTTGGTCCCTCCAATCCCAAACTTGATCACCTTTTACGTTTCCTCAATTCTGTCCGAGGTACTGATAAAGTGTTGATGGTAAATTTAAAAAAAAAAAAAAATGAAAAGGAAATTAATATGAATAGAATCAAAGCACCTTTCCTATGAACTTTGCTCAATCTTTTTTTCTTTCTTTAAAATGTAATAGTTTATTCAGTATTGGTCCAAGATTCTGATCTTCTTTTTACAACGACGAGGAGTAGCAAAACGCATCTCAAACTTGGCGGGACCTGTGAGTGATTTTCGGATCTTATTACGGTACTATGGTCTTCTTCCCATGGTACAATACATGAATTATATTGAACATCATGCTCCTCCTAGCGCCTGGCATCAAACAGTGGAACGACTTCAAAACTGGGCCAATGTCATCTATTATCCTTTGGAACACATTTATTGGTTAGGTGCACATCAAGTCATTCCATTATCTGAAGAAAAAACAAATAAGATTGGTATGTGGTCATGTCGATTCTGGGCTACTTATGTCGTATTAGAATACGTACGCTTATTGGAACAATATCGATTGTTACGTCGACGAGAAACTTCATTGATGAAACGTATCAAGGCTGGTGATGTTCAAACCGATGAAGATCCTGAATTGGAAATGGCCTTGATTAAAAAGGAACGTACTGCTATGGTGGTTAATACTTGTATCAATTCTGGGTAAAAAAAAAAAAAAAAAAAAAAAAAAGGACATATCCAAAAAAAGAAATAAGGGATTGATTCTTACTCATCTCCTTTTCTTATTTTATTCAGATACTTACCCCTGACTGTTCATTGGTCCCTTGAAAACTCTTCTTTCCCCGACGTCTTGGTGGGTGTTTGTGGTGGATTTGCCTCTATCTTCCAAATTTATGCTGCCTGGCGCGATACTGCTTAGGTTTAGATGAGTTGATCCTCTTTCTTTATCCTTTTTTTTTTTTTAATATGCTCCATTCTACATATATATATATATATAGTATTATCTGTATTTTATTTCCTTGTTCGATTTTGAATATCATCTATTTGATCCCCTCTTTTTTTTTTTTTTTTCAGAAAACATACACAAGTATATCTACATATACAAAAAAATAATAATAAAAGAAAAAAAAAAGTCCAAACAAAATGACTTTTATATATCATTTGTTCATATGATTCTACTATACATATACACATATTTTATTGAATTTCATCCATAATCTATCCAAGCAAAATCTAATAACATTGTTCCGATGTATTTCTATTATAAAACACGTCGTTCTTGTAACTGCAAAATAGGCCACCATGGATCATATTTGAATGTAACCATCACCTTGGTTGAATCATCCTCTCCTAGTTTCAATAAACGCAAGATGGTGATATTATTGGCAACACAGGTTTTAACCATAGACATCAATACCTACATCAAAAAAAAAAAAAAGGATATTAGTATTTAAATGAATCATTCCTTTTTTTCAATAATACCTTTTGTGAAGTATCATGACATAATTCAGTTTTGGACACAGTAATGGGTTCCCGAATCAAGATTTCCAATGTTTTCTTGGCAGTAACAAAATAAGACGATGCTTCGTCAAGTAAAGCACGCGCAGTAAGATGATCGATTGATGTATGTTGTAAGAATTGGGTGTAATCTTGAGCCACTGGGAACGAAAGCACTGCAAATGGCTTGAGCCGATGTTTGAATCGTGTTTCTGGATCATCAAAATGTAATGGTTGTTGTTTCCATTGACCTGTTTTCTTCATCGCAAGTAATAACTTGAGAACGCCTAAGGACATTTGTTTTTTAACCACATTCAATTGTTGGATATACTGTGAATACGCTGTTCTTTCTTGATCGTAATAATCGTGTATTGTTGTTTTATCTTCGTGCTGTTGATGCAATGTTTCCAATGCTGATTGTAAATACGAGTGATACCAATAAATCGTGATATATTCACTATCTCCATACAATTCTAGTTCAAAGCCAAGTAATAAAATTTGCTCCATCATCGCCATCTGAATAGTATACACCCATATCGAAAAGTAAGTCGAGTTTTGTAATCCCTAAAATTAAATAAATGTATAAACAATTAAATAAAATCATGATGAACATGAAGAGTCCTTGTTTTAATTTCTTTGTTACCTCTGCTTCTTGGAATTGTTTGTCCACCAGACGTGCCTATCAAATCAAGTAGATGATATGTCAATATACTATCATATCAATTCACTCGTTTTTTTTTTTTTTTTTTTTTTTTTTTTTTTTTTTTTTTACCTCTTTTTGAAGAATATCCCATTCACCAAGTACTTTGCATAATATACGTCGCTGTCTTGCTCGGTTATGACATTGAATCTTAAAGTAATCCACAAATGGCTAACGTAGAAACAAAACAAATAAGATTAGTACAAGAAATACAACACATGTCTGTTGAATTTACTTACTAATGCCACACTTTGTTCCAAAAATCGATGTAATGATGTTTTGGCCTTGGAAAGTAATTCAGAATCACCAGATTGATTGAATTGAAACCAATGTGGAGGAGGTTGTATTATATCGAATACACAACCGGTGACCAACGCACCAATGGGATATTTACCAAATATACATCCATCTGAATAAAATAAGGACTAGAAACGGAAATGTGAGATAATCCAATAAATAAATGAGGAACTTTTTTTTTTCTTCTTTCTTTCATTTACATTCAATTTTGATCTTGAGAATGCATCAGGATAAGGTTTAGTGCCAGCAAAATTTGTAAAGTAATTCTAAAAAAAAAAAAAATAAAATAAATAACGTTGGTTGATAATATAGTTGATGCATCATTTTGGTTCGCTTACCATGAGTGACGCCACAGATGAAAAGTTGGTAATGGCACAAATAGATTCCAATCGTTGTATGGTTTGTGAAAATTCTAGATACGACTGCTGATGAGATTTCAGAGACACTGTTCTTGGTGGTGCTTGAGATGTCAGTTTTCGATTGATATTGGGATCGAAAGCGCCTTTTACCTCTGATCCAAGGTTTAACGAACCCAAAATAGATGTCGAGTCCTTCGCTGTTTCTTCGTCCAAGGATTCTGCAAGTTTTTTCAACATTGTTTGTGCTTCGTTGATATGGCTACATTGTGGTTGTGCTAGGTATATAAGACTTTGAAGAAATTGTTTTCGTGCATTGAGACGTTGATAAATGGCCAACAAAACTACCATAATATATACATATATCATTTCTTTTGATCCTTTTTTTTTTTTTTTGTTACCTGGTGAATTGTTAGAATCCATATAAACCTTTAAAATACGTAAAGCCAATTGTATATCATTGAAAACATCCATATCCAAGATAGTTTCATACAATGATAACCCAAAGAGATTCGTAGTAAAATCTTCTTCCTACAATAATAATAATAATAATAGTTTTATATAAACATAACTAATAACAATGGTCTTTTTTTTCTCTCTTACTTCGAATATGTTGCCAGACACCATTTCATTCCAAATATGATGACAACACTTGACGGAGCCCAAAATATATGCCTTTAGAACAGCTTGCATAACTTTATCTAAATTCTTTGATTCTGTCAATGTAGGTGGAGGTCTATCCAATAAAGTTGGTACATGATGAAAGTAGATACAAGTGTATACCGTTTGAGCTAAAGAATGTCCAGATAACCATGCCATCTACAAAAAAAAAAAAAAAAAAAAGGTTAAAAAAAAGTGAATCATTTTTGTTTCTTTCATTATTTACTTCACAAGCCAATAGTTGATCCATAATCCAAAGTAATTCTTCTGGTTTCAAAGTCTGATTGATATCATAATCGGCACCTTTCTTGTCACCATCATCTTCCATTATAACCATACCAGTATCCATTCTTGGGTCCATAATTTCGATAGCACTCATAGCATCAAACAAAGTAAAAGATTGCAAATGAATTAATTCCCCCTCTTTCATTTCTAATAGTATTAGTTAAAAAAAGAGAGGCTATTAGTAAATATGTCCTTATATTTGACGCGGAAAGTCATGCTACTGTCATATTTCCTTTTGTGTATGTGATATCATACCTTGAGTTGCTTGGTCCAAAAACGAAGTAATATCTTTCCAAGGAGGTGCCATGAATGACTGATCATCGAGATTCAAGTTGTACGCATTGTTCGTGTCATTGATGTTCATTTCAGATACACCATCTACCAAGTTTTGTTGGTTTCCCATAAAAAAAAAAAAAAAAAGAAAGAAAGAAAAGAAAGGGAGTCAATAAGCTAAAGTTTATTTTTTGATAATATGAGATATTTTTTATTTACCTCTTATGTCTTGTACAGGCCGCTGGCTCATCTTTTTACACAATGAGTATATGGGAAATAGATAGAATGGAGAAAAGAAAGAGAAAAAAAGGAAGGGAGAACTTACACAAGTGGAAGAAAAGTGTATGAATTTAACGTAGAGTGCCGTGACCGCGTCTGTATTCAAAACGATTTTCTCTCTTTTTTTTTTTTTTTTTTTTTTTTTTTTTTTTTTTTTTCTATCTCTACTTTTTTTTTTTTATTTCTTCCAACTTCTCCACTAAACACAACATGGAAAATCTACTTGAATCTCAACGACTGTAAGGAAATAGAAGGAGAGGAAGAACAAACAAAAGCTAGAAAAACAATTACTTATTCATTAACTTTTCTTTTTTTCTTTTTTCTATTTTTTCTTTTTTTTTTCATCTAGTGCTCACGAAGTTATCGAACGTTTAGAAGAAGCTTGTGTTCAACAATTCTTGACTGATACCAAAACCTATAGAGGACGACTTCGAAACGAACATATTATTGACAAGTACTTGAATCGATTAGGCAAACAAAGTGAAAAATTGATTGAACTATATGAAGACAAAGATGGGTAAGAAAAAAAATTATATATAGATTATTAGTTTTTTAAAAAAAAAAGAACGAAGAGAATGGACTCATACTAATCCCTCACTCTTCTCATTTTGACATATTTGTAGGAAACGTCAAAAAGAAATCGACTTTATTAGCAAGCCATCAATCAACTTGGATGAATTCTATCAACAATTAGATCAAATCAAGGACCATCACCAAAAATACCCCAATGAAGCTATTGAGGCACCCGAATTTGAATTCATTCGCACTACGGATCAGGATGAAGAAATGGAAGACGAAGAAGAAGATGGTAAGAAGGAGTACAGTTAAAGGAAGACTAATGATATAATGAACTAAAGTTATAATTTATTAACTTTTTTTTTCTTTCTTTTTTTTTTTTTTTTTTTTTTTTTTTTTTTTTTTTTTTTTTACTAGTTTTGGAGACCCTGTTTTCTGGTGAAGAGAATGTTGGACGTTATTTGGATCTCAATGCATTACATGGGGAATATCTCAATTTGAAAGGTGTTGACAGATTGGATTACATTCCTTATTTGGATCAAGTGGATAAATTCAATGATTCAAAAGTGTACCCACCAACACAAAAGAGTAGCAACCAATACAGAACTTACTTGGATCATTTACATAACTATTTACACAGCTTTTTCCGACGAGCAAAACCACTTGAAGATGTATCAGCACTCGAAAACCAAGCCAAGATTGATTTTGAAAAGGAATGGAATACAAACGGAGGCAATGATCATAACATGACCAATAATGACGAACTATTCTGTCGGGCTTGTCAGAAATCATTCACCAAACAGACAGTATATGATGCACATCTCAAAGGGAAAAAACATATCAAAGCAGCGGCCAAGTTGGAAGAAGAAGAAAACAACAACAGTAACAACAACAACGACAATAATACTAATAATAATAATAATGATTCGGATGCAACGGAAAAGATAAAGATGGATAGACGAAAAGCAACTGCATTACAAGAAGCTTTGATTGTAGCCTATATGAAGGTGTTAGATAATGTTAGAATAGAAACAAAAGCTAATGTGGAACGAAAACAAGCTTTGACAGATCGAGAACGAACAGTAAGTATAGATACAGAAAAAGTAAAGGATGACATAGAAACTGATTATTTTTTTTTTTCGTAGATGGAACAAGAACAAGAAGATATTGAAATACAAGATGAATCTGATGAAGATGAAGATGAAGATCGAATTTATAATCCTCTCAAATTACCATTAGGTTGGGATGGTAAGCCTATTCCATATTGGTTATACAAGTTACATGGTCTTGGTGTAGAATATCCTTGTGAAATCTGTGGCAATTATGTATACATGGGACGAAAAGCCTTTGATAAACACTTTCAAGAATGGCGTCATGCTCATGGGATGCGATGCCTTGGATTACCGAATAGTCGACAATTTCATGAAATTACAAAAATCAGTGATGCTTATGCTTGTAGGTTCTCACTTTTTGTTTTATTGGTCGATCTCTCACCTTTTTTTTTTTTGTTTTTTTTTTTTTTTTAGTGAATGAGAAACTCAAGAAAGAAGCCATCAAGGCAGATGTCAAGCCAGAAAACATGGAAGAATATGAAGATGATGAAGGAAATGTATTCAACAAAAAGACATATGAAGATCTGAAACGCCAGGGAATCATTTAGACTAGGATAGATTGTTGTTTAGTTTTTGTTTTTTTCTTGAATAAACAGGCATTAAAATGGATTTCCTTTTTTTTTGACATATGATATTGAGGAAGAATTGGGATTTTTCATCAGGAGTGTGACAGTAAAGGATATAAGACAATTTCTTTTTTTAGATTTTTTTTTTTTTTTTTTTTTTTTTATTATTGTAAACAAATTTCATATGAGAATGACAAGTAAAAAACAAAAAAGTATCATATAATAAAAAAAAGTAACGACAATTACAATGAAATCAAAGGGGAACAAAAAAAAAAAAAACAATAATATAACAAACTAGAATGAATGAATGAATTAATAATAAGAAGAAGACAACGAGTGCAGTAATATGTTTATATATATATGCTAAAGAGGGTGGAAATCTGTCATCAAGAAGATAAATAATGAGGGGGTATAAAAAGAAGTGAAGGTGTTGTAGGCTGCCCAGTGCCGTAAACCAGTTGTGAAGGATCCATGTATGCGGAATAATTTTGAGATGATGTGGTAGTCGTTGATGATGAAATATTCGCTATTGCAGCTCCAGAAGATGTTGATATCATCGATGTTGGAACACTAGCCTGCTCATGTTGCTGTCGTTGTTGTTGCTCTTCCAACCGTTGACTAGGAGATGTAAACATAGTATCGTAAAGCATTAAGGACGAATAATCACCTGTCAATCCATCTCCAACAGTAAAAAGAGTGTTGCTATTATAGTCCAATCCTGGTTGGTTCGATGATGATGATATTGATGATGATGATGACGATGATGTAGCTGTAATAGATGAAATGTTTTGATGATCATGCTGCTGTTGCTGGTATATTTTTGGTTGATGCTCCTGAATATAATGCCGGTGATCTACTGTTTCAGGATCTATATTGACATTATTGATTGTGGTATTTGATGAGTGGGTCATTTCGGATGGATTAATATTTGGATAATAGGGTACTGATGTCGACTTTGATGGAATATTAGCCGTTGTTGCAAGACCTGGTACAGAAGAGCTGATTGATTTGCTGTCATCCTTGATACTACTTTTCTGTGTATCATTGATCATGTTGATATCGGTAATGTTATTGGAGTCGTTTTTGATAGGCGTGGATATACTGGATTTGCTGGTAGTAGGAGTAGTAACAGTGGCGTTGTTATGAGTGAAATAATCGGCACTAGTATCTGGTGTGCTGACAGAAGAGTAATTGAGCGGTGGTGTTGGTTTGTGTTTCTTTTGTTTGCCTTTGAATGGATGAACTTCGATAATCTTGAGTCGTTGTAATGGTTTTGCTGTTGTCATCATTGTTGATAAATTGCCATTGACATTGCTAACTCCAGATAAAGGGTAATCACCATCAACATTGTAAGGTCGTTTAGAAAAACTGTGATCACCATCATAAGAGGATACTGGTCCATCACTCTGTAATCTAGGATCCAAGGAACAGACGCGAGGACTGGAAGAAGAGGATGAATGATGTTTGTTGAGTGATCGAGTGAAGCCAGACATAATGGGTGCCTTGCGTTGTTTGTATTGGGTTTCCAAGTAATCTATTGGTTCTGTTAACATGGTATCTGATCCTGTGGCTAATGGTATGGTACGTAACTGATCCAAAGTTTGTTCAAAGCTGATTTCACCAAAGGCGACTAATTTTTGATCATGAGAGGCTGAAGCGTTGATCAGATGAATTCGAAGTGCCAAGATTAATGCATAGGTAATAAATGGTGATAATTTTGATAGATAGATCAAGTCATCTTTAGGTATATCTGACAGAAGATGAGTAATGATCATTGCTGTATGTGAGCATATATCCAAGGAAGGTTTTGATGTATTGCCACTACTACTGGCCATTTTGGGTAAATGTTCTTGTATATATGGTCTATGCAGTAGAATCAAAAGACTATATAATGCCAATAATCGGATGTTGTACAGGTGTCGTAGCTGGGTCATCCCTTCAGTTGTATTTTCATCGCAAGTTGAAGAATCCTTTAAAAGTGATGTAATCCAAGAGTCCAAAGTCGATAACATGGCATCTTGATGCTATTTGTTTTTTTGTAACACACAAGTGATCATGTTTTGGTTAGTTAGTATTCAATTCCATAAAGTATTATTATTATTATTTTATTTATTTATTTACTCTAATAGGGCCTCTTTGTGTTGAATGTGGAGCATAGTTAAATTTGGCAATTCTTCCCATAATTTTGCTGATATCAATGGAATCATGAAAGATTGTCATCCAAGTACTTGTTTCCTTATCATCTTGTTCTAAGCAGTGTGGTAAAGGGACATCACTATAAGAAAGAGATAAAAACAGAAATGTGAGATAATCGTAAGAAAATATAGTTGTTTTGTATGTGTCACCAGCCCATCCTTCGGTCCGAATGATAAGTTTTCACCTATTGCGGTAGTATAGTTCTTTTTTTTTTTTTTTTTTTTTTTTTTATTTATTTATACTTACATATCTTTTTCTTCCAATGTAAAAGGACGACCACAGGTCAAACTCATTGAGCGATCAATAACAAAAGCAGCCCAAAAAGTTCGAATTTCAAATTGACCAAAAACAGTGTTTGCTAATGTCGAATGTTCCGTATGTTCAGTCCAGTTTGGTGATGCCATTGAGTTACACAGTGTTGTCGGTAGTGATGCTGTTGGTGATGCTGCCGATGCTGTTGATGTTGTTAATCTGGATGAAGAACAATCGTGGAACGAATTCAATCGATGTAGACCCAAATCCAAAATCATCCTAAAAGCTTCGCCTGTCCATATCCAAATTCGACTGAAATCCTTTGGTTGTTTTCTTTGTTCAAGGTACACGGCCATAAAAAGAAGAGCCATCACAGTACTAGTTCGAGGTTGTTGAATATAAGCATCACGAAATTGATTGGCATACTGTAAACAATGGATTGAAAAAGAGTCAATGGTTTGTCCAGATGATGGCTGAATGAAACGCTGAGGTTCAGTTGAGAATGGTGCAGACCGAGCAAATAATGCATAAAAAAACATAGGCGACAAATAGGAAGGTTCACCTTTATTGCAGTGATCCAATTCCAATAGTAAATCATGTTTGTTGATTAAAGGTAGGTGTGGATGAATGTGAGTAAAATAAACTTCAATCAGGTGCATTTGGTCTTCATTTGTCAGCTGAGGAGGTGCGATAGGAGCCAATAAAGAGAAGGATGGTTGTTGCAACAGATCAAAATATTTTCGCGGCATATAGGATGATAAACTACAATAATATGAAGTTTCACCCATGAAATGACCATATCGATTGATGACCGGTCGAGGCCTAGCATGCTGAGATAAGATAGTTTCATAGAATTGTTGGGTATTATCGGGTGTTGTAGGAGATGTCGAACTAGTTGAATGATTGTCATTATTGTTCAGAGAAGAGTCTTGAGGTCGAGTTGGTTTCTCAAACTGTTTGATGATAAGTGCTACACCCGTGTTTTGACGAAGTTCTGCTTCCATCTTGCTAAGACTTTCTTGAATACTTTTGGCTAATGACTGAACCAATTGAAAGGAAGGAAACCCCAAAGGAGGAGGAGGAACAAGTTGAATAGCGTTACCATTGTGTTGCATAGTTCAAGTCAGAGCAACAATGGTTACGTGATATATGAAAAGTTATTTCTTTAAAAAGAAGAGAAGAAGAAAAAAAAAAAAGAGTAATAAATAAAAAGTCAAAAAAAGAAAAAGGAAAGGAAGAAAGAAAGTGGGAAGAGAAAAAAAAAATAACAAAAAAAAAAAAAAATCCAAATAAAAATAAGAGAGAACGGGCCAAAATCAAGTGTTGTAACACAAATGGAGGTGGATCCCACATAAAACTATGACCTAAAATAACATCAACACACTCCAATCATAAGTATATGTCAAACTTCTTTATTTCAAAATATCAAAAATAAAAACCTAAACTAATATTTAGAACAATTCGGCATTGGGGAATTCAAAGACAACATCCTTGCCAGTCAACTTTCTGTAGACAGCAGAGAAAGTATCGAGCTTGTATTCCAAAGAGGTGGCATCCTTAGTATCCAAGAAACACTTGAGAGTCTTGGAACCGTCAACCTTGACACGGGTACGCTTACCAACAATTTCAGTAGGGTAGACAAGATCTTCAAGGATAGAATCATGAACAGCAGTCAAAGTACGAGATCTAGGACGAGGTTGCTTGGGGTTTTCGTGACGGCTAGGCTTCTTGAGGATACGGCGTTGAGCAACAAAGACAACATGACGGTCAGAAAACTTCTTTTCCAATTCACGGGTCAAACTATATAATATAATTTTTGTAAATCAAAGAGTTTCATTTTAACCTTAGTTTTATTTTACCGTTGTTGAATCTTGTTGAAAGCCTTTTGTTGAGGAACAGGCACGAAGATGACAATAGCCTTCTTACCAGCACCGAGTTCAACCTAATACATTGAAATAAGAATATGATTAAATTCGATATACACATCCACTACTAAAATAAAAAAAAAAAAACTTACTTCCTTGGCACCAGTAATGTTAAGAGGACGCAATTCCTTCTTCAATTCAGGAACAGAGTTTTCGAGGTCAACAAGAGCTTGACCAATGGTAAGTTCGAATTCATCGACGGGCTTGGCGCCAGCAATTTTAACGATCTTTGAAGACATTGTCGTTTCTATATACAAAAAAAAAGAAAATATATATATATCGAATAAGTATACAAATCCATCTATCCATCTATCCATCCATCCATCCATCCATCCAACTTTATAGTCTTTGTTCCGTTGTCGATTAATATTGTATTATCCCACACATATAAAAGTCTACTGTAATTACACCAAACTGTTAGATACCTACAAGGTTAACCACAGTAAAAAGAAAGAGCAATTCCCCGTTGGCAACTTTTGCCTTTCAAAAAAAAAAAAGATCCCTCCAATCCAGAAATAATTTCAACTCCCGCTCCTTTGCTTTATTTACTGCCTGGAGGGTGTCATCCTATATCCCTTTTCATTATTCTTTGCTTTACACTTTTTCCAAGGCG